AAATAAGCAAAATTTATTACCCTCCTTAAATTTTAAGTTATTATTCTTATTATTAGTATCTATATAAATTAAATTATAAGTAAAAGCTAGAAGAATAGCTAATTTATAAATCTTACTTTTAAGACTAATAAATAAGCTAAATAATATTAATTAATATTTATACTCTAAGAGAAAATACTTATTACTAATAGAAATACTTATAAAATATAAAAGTTATTATACTTATTATACTACTTATATTAAACTAACTTAATATTAAAAAAATATATCTAATTAATATTATATTAATAAAGAAAGTTACTCTCTTACTAGCTTAAGGTAATTAAGATTAATCTTAATAGCTAAATAGAAATAATATATATATTAATTTTTATTAGTAAAGAGGCAGATAATATAGAAAAATTAAGCTATCTTCTTAGTATCCTACTAGGCTTATTTCTACTTTTTAGATAGTATAATTAGTAAAAATAAAAAGAAAATAAAGGGAATTAGTAAGAATTAGCAATAAAATAAAATATAAAAAAAAGAAACTACTAAAAATAAAAAGATATAGAAGGAGCAATAGGGGCGTAATAATTAATAAAATGGAATATAGAGGAAAATAAGATATATATAGAAGAAAAGTTAAAGAGATTTAAGCTAAAGTTATAGATCTAAAAGTAAATAAATAAATCTAGTATGCTAAGTAGGATAATAATAATAATAATAATTTCCCCTATTATATAGTATAGGGTCGGTAAATTTTTCAGATTTATAATATCTATTACTAGAGATAGTAACTTATAGAGGGGGGATAATTATAATAAGAATACTAAGCCTTATAGTAATATCTATTATATATTTATATTTAGTATAAAAAGGGGTTAGCTTATTTTGCCTTAGTATATTAAAATACTAACTTAGATATATAGCTTTTATAAAACTTAATTATATAGCCTACTTAATAAGCTTGGAGCTAGCTCTTAGAATTTTACTATAATATCTATATAATCTCAGCTTACTAATTAGAAACTAAAGTAAGATAAGCTTTAATTTCTATCTTAATTAACTACTATCTTATTCTTGCTTAGTTACTTTATACCTTTTTATTAACTTTATTATATTATTTTTATTATTAAGAAATAAACTATATCTAAAAATAGCTAATATAATTCTTTAATTTTTATTTAGGTATTTTAAGTAGTATAATAAGAGATTTAAAAGGTTTCTTTTTCTAAGGAATTTTAAATAGTTATTTAGCTTATATCTTTTTCTTTTATCTTAAAAATTCCAATAGAATTCTATATTATATTAAAATCTAGATTTATATTTCTAATATATAGAGATATATATAATAAGAGCCTTGTAATTAATAGTAATTAATATAGTAATAAGTTATTTAGATAAAATTTATTAAGATAAAATAAGTATTAAAAGGGAAGTTAATTTCTTAATAATAAGAGATATTAGTCTTTTTTATATTTTATTACTTAGAATAAGATTACTATTTTAAGCTTATTAACTATAAATAGTAAGGTTATTAACTATAAATAATAAAATTAAAGTTAGAGGGGTTAAATAAAAACTTTAAATAGAGACTAGTAGGTAATAATCTTATTATTTAGCTATTATTTCTTTTAATACTAGATATAGTATTTATTATTTATCTTTATTATTTGAGATTACTATATAGCTTTAATCTATTTAATAGGATTAAGTAAAGCTAAAAAAAAAAACCTAAATAAAACTTTAATATATTAATATATATAATTACTAATTATATTAAAAAATTATATAAAATTAAATTAATATTATTTATATATTATTAGTTAAATTACTAATTAATAATCTTATAAAAAGTTTTTTATAAAAATATTTTAAGATATTTATTTAATAGTTAAAATTTATTAATTTATTAATAAAATTTATTTAAAATAATTTTTTTTTTAAAAAATAAAAGATTTTAATAATTAGGAAAATTAGCTTAAAAGTAATACCTGTAAGCTAAAAAGGTATATTAAATTAAAAGTATAAAATATCAGAGCTCCAGGATATTATATAAGAAATAAGAAACCTATTCGAGCAGGGCTCGCCGAGCCCCCGGCCGGCTAGCCCGTACTAGAAAGCAAGAGAAAACTAGTTCCCCCTAACCATAAGGGGCGGGATACATACGTAACAGCTACACATACAATACACATACGCGTTCAAGGTCATCAATTGGTCATTCAAGCTATCCAACAACTCGCGGCCACCGGGGATCACTGATAATCGGGGTGGGTACCACGGTGATTCCCGGTGGTCCGTTGTTCCGCTCCGAAACAGTGGATCCTTGGCGTAGGCCGCAGGGTAGTCGACCCAGGCCGTGACACCAGGGCGGCTGTGAATGGGCGTTGGTATTACTTCGTAGTATTAATAAAGCTAAAGAGGAAAGAAACTGTATCCGGTGCACACCCGCTCCATGCCCGGTCTGTACCCGATGTCCGTGCCCTACTGTGCCCGTGATATCCTTCCAGGGCTCGAGCTGTAGGCTCGAGCCCATGACAGAGGGAGAGATAAGCCTACCCCTTTAACCTCTTTATTATAGTAACTCAGCAGAAATCTGAGCTCAGATATCGTAATATCTAGGTGTCACTTTCTTATACTCATATATGCGAAATAGAGAAAAAGGCACTTGCAGGAGTTAAATCGCCACATACCCGAATTGTTATAGCTATGTTTTACTGCAGCTCATTTCAGGCGGAAACGGACAGACGGGAACAGAAGGTCAGCCAATATAATACATGTGTTTGCGTGCAACTACTTTGTTGGAAACCTAGTTTTCTGCAGTTTGTCTTTCATTGTTCTGATGGAAACATTGCACTTTTTGTTGCGTTGCGTACCTTGAGCTTGCAACGTGTGTGTCTCCCAGCCACTTGACAACTCCCGACTTCAACCTCAACCTCAACCTCATTCTCAACCTTGTTCTCGATCTTAACCTTGACGTCAACGTTACCATCAACTTCTTCGTATTCTACGAAGATACGAGCCAGATTCTCGAACATCATCAAAGACAACGGCGCGGCCATAGCCAGCTCGGGCAGCAATAGCCAGTCTCTGATCACCGTCGCGCGCACCAACGTGCTTGACATACGCCGATCGAGTTCGGTGACTGGATTGTTCGAACGACGGGACGCTTCTGTGGCCATGTCTTCAGAGGGGAGCTCGCGTCGAGGTGAAACGCCAGTCCCGGCAAGTGAGTACCCAGGTGACATGGCTTGTGTGGGAGCACGAAGAGTATCAGAAGCTGATGAGTGATGCCATCCAGGTACCCCGAAGGAGTCGTTGGACGTGAGACCAGCGTTGGAGATGGAGAAGCTCGTCCAAACACCAAGTCAAGCGAAGGACCCCGATGCCGAAGGAAACGAGTCCGAGCCGATCGGACGCGCCCAGCACACAGCGCCCTTGAACCAGTACAACAACACGGACGGACGCAGCCAAGGCGAGACCGCCGACGGAAGCCCTACTAGAAGCAGCGTTGCGTCTGGTACAAGTCGTGACTCCGAGATGTCGCCTCTTGGTATATTCCCGGACCTTTCACGGCATGAGGTAGACCGGCGAGCTCGGAGAAAACACCGGGACTATCCCGTGGGAGGTACCAACACCCGTGGTGCTCGTCATGGTCGGCGTGTCGGTCGGCGTGTGGGTCGGCGTGGCGGTCGGCGTGGCGGTCGGCGTGGCGGTCGCCATGATGGTCAACACCACCGTCATGATGAGCAGCAGCAGGCCGAAATCCACGACCAAACGATATTTCGGTCAATCGCAACCGTCGTCAACGCCTGGGCGACGCAATTGTACGCGTTCGGATACTTCATGGCCGCCATCTTGCTAGCGCTAGACTGGGGGTTCATCCTTGGCCAAGGGGAAATCCTGCGCGACATCGTAGCCGCCATCGTCGATCTACTCAAGCTTTTCAAGAAGCCCTCGGTGCCGTCGCCCAAAGTCGCCGCGCCGATTTTCATCGTCTTGTTGGTGACAATGTGGCCGACTTTCGACGGTCCAAACGGCTCCGGCTACGGCACTCCCCCGCTCGTCTTCGAGCGGCCTTCTCACGGCCGCGTGCTGGAGCAGCTGTCGATGCAGGGCCATGTGCTGCGCGAAGCTACGGGTCTGCTGAACACGCTCGAAGTCGCCACCATCGCCACGCCCATGGCCAATAACTTCACCAAGGCCAAGCGGATCATGGCCCGCGGCTCGGCTGACTTGGCCTCGGCCTTGCGGGAGTACCGTTTCCATTATCGCGACGAGGGCAATAATGCGGAATCTTTCTACTGGCGGCTCTTCTCACACAATATGACGCTGCAGCAATACACGCCACAGCAGCAGTCCATACTAGGTCCCCTCCAGTGGATCCCGAACCTCTTCGGTTGGAGCCACGATATGGACGCCCTGGTGCAACTCAGCACGCACCTGGGCGGCTGCTACTCGGAGCGACTGCACAGCCTCAACGCTACGAGCTACAGCTTCAAGCAAGACATGGACAACTTCAAGGACGTGGGGCTGAGAATCAACGCTACCATAGAGGTCATCTCGTGGGAGGGCGCGCTTTCGGAGCGGGACACGAAGCGGTGGTATGCTTTGTCGGCGAGTCTGCAAATGTCGTCCAGGGCGATCAGCGCGGCGCTAAAACGGCTCAGCGGAGAGGTCCGCGGGCTGTGGGTTGAGCGGAGACATATCCAGAAAATGCAGAAGAACCTGGCCGGTGAGAGGGAGGCCATGATGGCGGGGGTGAATAACGAGGCCAAGTTTAAGGAATTGATGGTGTCGCAGATGATAGTTTTGTTGGGGGGGGAGGCAGGGGAGTGAATGAGAGTGTTACAGTAAATGGGGTCATGCGTAGGTATGTTCCCTTCATGAGACACATGTCAGTATTTCATTCATACTAGACTCGCATTGCTGTCTCATTCATACTAGGTAGACGCATTTTACCATTCTATCCATACTAGGCACGTCACTATTCCATCCATAATTCACATGTACCCATCCACAATAAGCATAACATCCAACATCAACACCATTCACACCCCTTGTGGGGATCTACCAACGTCCACCCCCCGGCCCTAGCCACGGCCTGCGTAGAGTCGTTGAAAAGGAGCTGCTGCGCCCTGATAGACGGAAGACGAAAGTGCGTGTTGGGCCTCATGCTCTGTGGGAGCAACCTCGTCCATGTCGTCATGGCTAGCGCATGTATCCTCCGCTTCCACCGCTGCTGGTCGGCTGATGGATCATCAGTGCCAGTCTCTTGGTTGCCTGTCCAGATAGACAGCAAGGTCCAGATATCCAACTCGTTCGGCACGCCACTGCTGATGCCGCTGCTATTAGCGCCGTGGTAAACGCCGTGGACGTCTCGGAGACCAGCCACCAGCGTCAAGCCGGCCTGCAAGGCACGCATCTGACGCATGGCCGCATCAATGCGATCCCGGTACTCTTCGAGGGCCTCCCGAAGGCTCGCTATGCGCGTGCGCGTCTGCGTCGCCTCGGGCAGGTGATTGACGGGGTCGAAGCAACCGGCGATGGATGCTTGCTCGCCCTCGGCGCACTGGAACCGGTATACGTTGTTCGCCAAGATGGCCGCGGGATGCTGGAGAAGCTTAATTGAGGCGATGAGGCCGTCGAGTATGATCAATGAGTGTGCCATTCTTTCGGCGACGGTGTGCTTCAGTTGCCTCCAACCCTTCTTTGTCTTCCACGCGAGCGGGTTGCGGCGCTTGTGGTGGCTGGACCGGTCTGCATATCCGTACTCGTCTGTGTGGTCTGGTACTTGGACCTCGTAGTCCTCGTAGCTTACGTAGAACTGGTTGAGGGAGTCAAGGTAGAGGGTGATGATGTCTTTTTCCATTGCCTCTTTGGCTTTTACCTTGTCCTTTTCTTCATCCTCGTCCTTGCCTTTGGCTATGAGTGAGAGTGATGTGATGAGGGTGCTGACCAGGTCCTTTATCTCGCCCTTCGCGCTGAGGAACTCAAGATCCTTCAGCGATTTCTTTGTTTCTTTTAAGCCGGCATTCAACACCCTACACGCCTCGACCATGGCGCACACGTCGGTCTTTTCCGCGCCGCGAGGAAGAGACTTGCCGCTGCCATCACCGCCATCGACCTCGTCGCCCCAGAGCTCGCGGTCCCAGGGCTGGCCCGCATCGGGCGTGTCGTCGGCGCACATGGGGCTCCAGCGGTCCGTTCGGTAGCATACGACATGTTGACCCAGGGACCAGTCGACAGTGTCGACGTCGTCTGATAGCGAGTAGATGGCCGCATTGGCGTCGGCTATCGGGTAGTGGATGGGCAGGGGGACGACGGGGGGGAGGAGGAACCAGGGGCTGAAGAAGGCGGTGGCGAGGAGAGCGATGAGGAGTCTGCCGGTGATGGTGTTGATGATGATGTGGCGAGCTGAGGGTTGAGGATGAGGCGTAGTCAAAGCTGGGTTGGATGTTGTCGTGTTGTTGTCGTTGTTGTCGTCTTGGGAAGAGCTAGACTGACTAGCATCATCATCGTCGTCGTCATAGCCATCGCTCGACTCGTAAATATAGTCCTCCTCATCATCATCACCACTTGAATCTTCCCCATTGTTAAACAACCTCACTGGCGCCTCGAGCCTCACCCACGGATCAGCATGCCGTTCAAACGAGCGCGGCAGCCTCACCACGTCGTCGCGGAAGTGCAGCACCCTTCCCCCCCGCGCGGCCTCCCAGCTGCGGTGGAAGTACATGTCGACAGGCTGGACGTCGGCGCCGGGGCCTATTTGTACGCCGAGGCTGAGGCGGGCGTAGTCGGGTCCGGGCCCGGTGCTGCGGCGGAGGCGGGTGTAGGGGGGGCATTCGGAGGTAGAAGTGATGGTGGACATGAAGCTTGTTTCTGTTATTATTCTTGTTGTCGAGGGAGCTGACTGAGGGCGAGGACGACGCGGCGGTGACGCTGGTGGTGGCGACGGTGAAGCCGTCGATGGGGGCGGTGAACTGCCATTATCGTCGAAACGAGATCCTGACATGCTTGAACGAGACGACAAGCTTGGAATTGGAGTTGGAATCGATAAAAAGACTGTATGACGACGAGACGACGAGACGACGAGAAAGACACGAGTCGAAGCCCAAAGTCGGAGTTGAGATGGAAAAATATCAGTCGCGAGGGGGATCAAGAACACCTTGGGAATCGAAAAAGGGTACACACGGTCTTCTTTGTCCTGTACATGTATTGTTATGCAATTTTCACCACGTCAACGAAAGAGGGACGTACTGTTCGTGTTTTACCCGGCTTGTCCGTGTTGGCTTGGGAGCACAAAGGAAAAAAAGCCGCCAGCGTCCAGACCGGGCGTCATCAATAGGAAACATCAGCTTGGACCAGCGCCACATATGTGGGTAGACGGGAAGAAGCCAGTCGTTGCGTTGCCTGGGCTGGAGAGGTGAGGTAGGTATCCGTACCCAAGCAGGTAGAAATGAAAACGGAATACGTGTTTTGTTTGTTTTGTGTGCTGTCTCTCTCCTCATCATTTCATCCCATCTCCTTTCTGTGAGCAAAAGCCTACTTCTGTCTATCAGCAAGTTCTGTCTGTCAGCAAGTTCTGTCTGTTGACGAAACCCCGTTCTTTAAACATCATATGGAAGACCAGAGGATAACCAGAGCAATGGCCAAGAATGCAGCCAAGAATGCGGCCAAACCCCCCAGAAATAATGTCAAAAACACGGCCAAAGCTCCGCGCGGCAAGACGGCCAAAGCTCAGGCCAACAACCCGGTCAAGCGCAAGACTGTCAGGATGAGTAACAAGGACGCAGCCGATGCGGACGACGAGTCGGATGTCGACAACACAGTCAAGACTCGTCTCGACAATGTCATCGAGACTCAGGGTGAGGACAGCGCCGGAACAGGCACCATCAAGTACACTATCATCCTCGTCGCCATGCTCTCCTTTATCCTATGCGGCGCCTTCTTCGCCGTCGTTGCCGTCCCCAAAGACGAGACAAAAGGTACATTGGCCACCTTTATTCCTCTCTCCTCCATCTTCTCACTAACCCTCAAAGGCCGGCTGTGCGCCTTACAATATGATATTCACTCGGTGTACGGGCGCCATCGTTCGGCGTACGACATCATCGGGGTTACCATCAGTGACACAGCAAAAAACATCATGGACTCATATCCAATGCAAATTGGCAAGACGGTCGAGCGAGACCCGGAAGACGACGGCGAGTTCAATCGGCGCATGGCCGTGGTCAACGCCGCATCACTGGTGCTTCTCTCGCACAAGGAGCGCGGGCGGTATAATGTGGAGATATACGGCCCATCCGGGCTCGCCGAACTGGATGGTGTCGAGAAGAGGCTCGAGTATGCGCAGCGGGCGCAGAATCAGAAGGCTTGTATGAAGGAGGGAGAGATGGCAGAGGCCATGCAGGCTGATGTGGATGCGAGGTTGCGTGAGGTGTGCAAGGGGTATGTCCCAGGCGAGTTCCATGTTTGATGTTATGTCTTGCGTGGGATACTCTAAAAGATGGTCAGTTTGCTGGGGGTCGGGACTTGTTCCGATGGTTGGAAGATGGAGCCCTGATAGGAGAGTGAGAGAGAAACATTTGCAGTTTTGGCCACGCCCTCTTTTGTCGTAGACCGAATGGCCTCGGGTTCGTACAACTCCCTGCCTGACACTTGGGCAATAGTCTCTGCTTCTTCAAGGTGATGGATTTGCTAGAATCAAGTCAAAACAAAACAGGTGCTTGATGCGCCGCCGCTTTGGGCTCGGCTGGTCGATCTGGAAAAGGACCTTGCGCGGCGGCGTGCTGTGACAGTCGGGAAGCGCAGGGGGTATTAAGAGGATAGCGTGCCCGTACACACATATCCAGAGGGGATACTAGAGGCTTGACAGTAAAAAACACCCCGAAAATAGTATTAACTAGATCTGATGTTAACAAGCTGCCATAGGGGTAGGGGTAAGCAAAGCTGTAGCTCTAGCAAGGGTCCTATTTGCCTCCAGCAGCCCTACCCATCTGAGCCTTGGCGAAGAAAGCCGCGCAGCGGCTTCAGGGCAAGGTTTCTGGAGGCAAATAGGACCCTTGCTAGAGCTCTGCTTAATACCCGTTCCTTTGCCTCCGGCGGCCCTGCCAGGGGCTGCCTGCGGCACGCGTCTTTTCAGTCAGGCAGGCAGGCAGAGGGATCGGGGCTCGGCTTGCCTAGGGGACTAGTGGTCTGTCAGATCGAGGGTCCGGAGGTGCGCTGGATCGGTCGGTCGGTCGGTCAGTCAGTCAGTCAGTCAGACAGACAGACGGCTCGGGGCTCGGCTTACCAAGAGACTCGGGGGTCTATTAGATTAAAGGCCTGGAAGTCCGCAGGTCGGTCCGTCGATCAGTCAGTCGGTCACTCAGGAAGAGGGCTCGGAGGTCTGCTTGTCTGGGGGCTCGACGGTCTGCTTGCCCAGGGAGGGGCCGAGGATCTGTTGAATCAAGAGCTTGACAGCCTGCCGGATCAGTCAATCCCAGTCAGTCAGTCAGTCAGGCGGAAGTCTCAGAGGTCTGCTTACCTAGAGGCTTGCTTGAAGGTCCGTCTGAGAAAGAGTCCGTCTGCTAGATCAGTCAGTCAGTCAGTCAGTCAGTCGCTCGACAGTCTGCCGGATTAAGAGCCCACCTGCTAGGTCAGTCAGGAGCTTGAAGGTCTGCTTGCCTAGGGTTCTGAAGATCTCCTGATTGACGTCTTGAAGGTTTGCCGGATCGAGGGCCTGGAGGTGAGGGATGGGGTCTGCTAGGTCAAGGTCAGGATTCAAGGTTGGTTCATGGAAGGCATCGCATTTTCCCCGGCCCGGGGGGGGGCGCCTGCCGGGGGCTGCCTGAGGCGCTGACCCCTCACTCACTGGCTATATACTCTAGGTATTACTCACTGGTTTACTTTATAATTCGCCCTTGGCGTTATTCACCGGTCGACCAGGGGCTGGTCACCGGTCACAATGTGTCAAACCTCCTCTCCACCCATCACCGCACAGCAAGGTGCATTATATACCCCATGGGAAACGTGGAATCTTCGCGCAAAGTTCACAGACACAGAGCGCGGTTTTACACCACAAACCTAGATTTGCGATGCAACTGTAGCCCACATCGTTATCCTAGGTACGGGAGAAAATAGGAGATCCTGAAAACTTATGAATGGATGGATTGAACTCAGACCAGGTGCAGGCAAATTGCTCTCGCTTACCCGCATATCTCAAAATAGCTAAATGAAGCGTATTGAACCCTTGATACTCCCCAGGTCCCAAGGCTAGATGCTAGGAAGTTGTGGCCCGCCCGGCTCGTGACACTGCCTGTTGGCCAATGCCCTTCGGTGGTCTCTGCATGAGCGTTGAAACATGGCCACTATGTATGTCAGATCACATTGTGAACCATGCAGAAGGTCACATCACCGGGTAGCATACCAACCTAGCCGATCCATCAAGAAGGATGAGTTGTTTATTTCACAGCCTGATGCTAGCTTGTGCTACATGCAGGTCGGAACACTTGCTAGTCCGAGCCGCCTTCTATGCAAGCTCATTCGTCGCCTGATCCAGTTCCCTTGCATTTTCACCATCAGTGCGATGGTCCTGATATTGAACTACGGAATCATGGCTTGCCAATAAGAGTGCGCCACGCTCCCACATAATTCGGGGAGTAGCATACGGTCACTTCAACGGCCGTTTGTAAAGAAATGGGCTGAATTTACTGGCATTGGGCCTACAGGAAGCAACAAAGCATAAAGCATAGTCTCCAAGTCCGAACATTCAAGATCCTTCGTCCAGGGGGTGGTGAACTGACGAGGGCAGAGTGAATTCTACCACTTCGAGAGTGTTACAAGTATATCTCCTTCCGTGGCCACCCTTCCAAGATGTGATTGTTGGCTTGTTGGGCTATATTGGTCATGCTCGGCATTTTCCTCTCGGCTTTATGTCAGACCAGGTCATGCTGCAAGCCCCTCTCTCCCTGTCACATTGCATCCCACCTATCAGCGCCGCCTCGAAATATCCGTGAGCGTCCTCAATTCCAAATTCCCCCGCTCCGCTCGATTGCAGCTTCGCGCCTGTGCGTCTACACACACCAGCCATGGGCAAACGACATGTATACTAGCCAGGCTTCCATTCAGGACTTGAACATGATCAAAGCTAGATCAAGTAATGCATCATCCGGAATAACTCAATGAGCTCACGATACATTTTGTCGACAATCATGATAGCTTCTTTAGAAATGGCCGTCTCCATCTGGAAGGACAACAGTCGATACTTCGTCGCGAAATCTAGCCATGTACCATAAATCTTCAAAATTCAAGATTAGCAAAAAGATAAAGGATAATGCCGACCAAACTCGCTGTCGTCGATGCAAGAGTAAATGTCGCCTTTCGAGCTCCGCGTTAAGAGCTACCTAGATGCCAGGGTGGCCCACATGTTCGCGCCTGGAAATATGGATCCATGAACTGATTGTGATTCCTCCTACAAGCGCAAGTTCTTAGAGCCGCTCGAGTCTTGTGACGATGGCCGTACGGCTGGGTTAATTCGTGAGACTTTCTGGGGTTCTAAAAGTACTTCGCGATAAAGATGTTCCTTTTTAAGGTGCACAGAAGCTGGTACGGCGGTATCGAACGGAAATCGACGCCGATCGGAGTAAGAAATACAGCTTTCGGTACATAGCAACCGAGCCCCTGCAGCCTTCATTGCGCACATGCACGAGAAGAGTGATTAACAATTGAACGGATGTTCATTATCTAGGCCTTGTTTGGAAAGGAGTGGGAAGAATGAAGTATGAATAATTAATTCGTAGCAGCATAAATAAAGCTTACTTACGTTGACACGGTGTCCATGTACTCGAGGTGTGTAGATTAGAATAGGGTGTGATAATCGGAAACAAGCCTAATCAAGGTAGCATGGATACCTAGATAAAATAAAATAAATCCAGATATTCTAACTAGATACTATTTCTATGTATCATATACTCAAAATACGCCTCTTCTTTGTTACTCATTCGAAATTTACTTAATTGTCGCCATCCCAGCAAGTGCATTACATTCTGCGCCCTGTAATTAAGGACCAACCCCCGCTTCCTCCCAACATGCACTTTACCTTCTGTCTAATTTTCAGCACCTCCCCAGGCTTGCTCTCCAGTCTTCCGTCCTTTTAAAATTGTATCGTCAATTGCACTACCATGTCGTCGAACGAGGCAATCAGTGCTGTCCGAGCCAGGGTCGAGGCCCTCGAGTCGCAATTCTCAAACATCTGCCGAATCGGCGGCACACCCGGTTTGTCGCTTGTCGCTATCCATCACGGAGAAGTCATCTACTCGAACCATTTCGGACATCGAGATGTCCAAGCCAACGAGCCGCCCGACGGAGAGACCATTTACTTCGTCGCCTCATTGACCAAGGCCATGGTTGCCGCATTGATTGGAATCCTTGTCGAAGAACGTCTGCTGGACTGGGACACTCCCATCTGTTGCATCCTTCCAGAACTCAAAGGTGCCCTAGAAGGTAGAGGGTCCCATATCACAATAATCGACCTCCTTTCCCATCGAGCTGGCATCGCCCGCAGCGACGCTCTGTGGCTGCAGAGAGCCGGCAACGTCCTTATCTCGAAAACCCAGGGCATCGATACGTGGACTTCGCAACCTCTGGTCAGGGACTTCCGAGCCGACTACCTGTACAACAACTTCGGATATGACATGCTTGGTCGAGCCATCGAGAAGCTGACGGGAAAGAGCGTCGGTACGAACTTCAAGGAGAAGCTATTCGGGCCTCTCGGCATGACCCGTACTTCTCTAGAAGATGACGCTTCAACCAGGTCTAACGCCGCCAAGGCCTACTTCACATTGGACGATGGGTCTCCTGTCGAAGTTCCTGTCCCTACGATCTCAGACAAAACCTTCATGGCAGCTGCTGGCTCCGTTCGTAGCTGCACAAATGATCTTGCCAAGTTCTACACCAGCTTCATGCACGCCGCCAACGACCAGTTTCGGAACAAAACTACAGAAACACATGGGTCGCCCTTCAAGCAACTACTCCGCACTCTCCAGCCGCACAACCAGCTCACTATAGTTTCGCTGAGATAGCAGTCTTATGCTTTAGGCTGGGGCCGAGCTGAGCTCCCATGCACACTTGGGGTGTTCAACTACAACAAGGATCTCGTCCCGGCCATGCCGACCATCGGCGAGAACGCGGCCTCTCGGCTGGTCGTATACCATGGCGGAAGCATGCAAGGGTTTACATCATCGGTGTATCTACTTCCGGAGACTGAGACAGCGGTGTTTGCGTTGCAAAACTCGACGGCATTGTGCGATCCTTGCGATTGGATCCCGCAGCTCGTAGTGCAGACAATCTTCGGACACGGGGGAGACTTGATCGACTTCGAGAAATTCGCCAAGACTGCTGCCGCGACTGGCGCAGGCCTTACTGATGCCATCGAGAAGCAGCTGCAACAAGAACGCGAGCCGGGCACCAAGCCGCAGAAGTTGACCGCCTATGTTGGCAGGTACCGAAACAAGGCAAACACATTCTACATCGACATTGCTGTACAAGAAGACGGAGAGCTGTACATGTGCTTTCAAGGTTTGGAAAATGAGACATACAGACTTAGACATTATCATCGCGACATCTTCGTGTGGAACTTGTCCCACAACGAGACGGCGCGACAAGGCAGGTTCCAGACCCGCCCGCTGTGCTCGTACAAGATCGAGTTCCAGTCAGTGGATGGACATGCAGGCGATGTGAAGATAAATCACCTGGGCTGGATGTATGATGAGTCACTTCTTGAGCCCCCAGTTTTTCTGCTGGAGGAAGTCGCATTCCAGAACATGGGTTTGCAAAAGTTGGACCGGTTCAACATTGACTAGGCAGAGAGAGTACGCAGGATACAGGGAAGGGAACACAATGGTAATCGTTCTAGTCCTCTTTAATATTTCCCTCAATGAGAACACCGCTACTTCTAAACATAGACAACTAGTTTTTAAACATATCGCGGTCCTTTCCATACTCTGACTTCTGTTCTCTCCCGGTGATCATCGCTTGGTACTACGATATCTCGGTCAGTAGTCCAGCCGCCTTCAGCTCTTCACCTAAGTTTGCCGTGACTACGAATAAGTAAATTATGGTCGCGTCTTCTTCCTGTCGGTACTGAATGTCTTGTCAAAAATATCGATTGCTTATTTCAGCGCGCTCTCTGCTGCTTTGCAGTCACCAGCACCGTGAAGGACAGCGCCCACCTTGCGGAGTGACGCTCCAGTATTTAAGCCTTACCACTTAATATTCTATGCATGATATATTGAACGAGCGACTATAGGGCCTATTATGAAAGACAAGATCCCATCTGTGGATGGTAGGACTTTACCGTCGCTTGCCCAGCCAGCCAAGCTCTGAACGACACCTTTATCTCGTGAAAAGCTCAAGAGGATGGAGACATGCAATCTCTCCAAATACCACTCGTTCTGAATGAGAGAATGTGAAACTGTACTATGTTGTTGTGGCCGGCTCTGGCTTTAATGCATACATCTTCAACGGTAATAGTTGCCGATTCCCAACCACAGGAAAGCCACGCTGCATATCTGTCCTAATAATTCGCAGACCAACCTCCTTGAAAAGAGCCTGGAATTTCGTATCCTCCCTAGAAATTTATTAGGTCCACTGGTCATCTCGCATCTTTACTCCATTGCAGGAAAACAAGCATACCTTGTGACGCTATGGTCGACATCGTCGAATGTGTCAACACCGGATGTGCTTATGTTTTCCTTAACCACAATAAATCCACCATCTGGGTTCAACACGCTCTTGCATCGCTCCAGAAACTGCACCAATGACTTATCGGCAACATATCCGACGCACCATTGAATCCAGATCAGGTCGTATACCACTCCATTCGCGGGTTGCCACCCCTCTAAACCGACATTGAAAATGTTTCCCACGCCAGGCTTACCCTCCAGAGTTGTAGTAAATTTGGCTACAGGTTCAATGACATCTACTTGTTCGGCCACTTGAAGAAGAAGCCCTTCGGTGACTCTGCCGATCCTATTTTGCCAATGCGAAATCACCTGTTAGTCGTTACCCAGTCCCTGATTACTCTTGATTCAGAAGTTGATCAAAATTAACGCACCCGGCTCCTCCTTCAAGTGCCCTGGGAACAATCTTCCGGCCACTCTTAATACCGATGCCCAGTCTCGCTAGAAATGTTCGGGAACCCTGTAGATCGACTCGGGACACGGACGGCATCAGGGCGGGGATCCCGCCCAGCATACCATCAATATCAGAAGCAATGCCTTCCCAGTGCTCCTTCCCCTTGTCTAGATTGATTAAGGAATCCGGAGGTGCGGCATTCTGTGGGTTTGACATTGCGAGGTCAACGCGTTCCGAACAATTGCGGTTACTTTCTTTCCCTGCTCCCGCATAAAATCTTTGCCCAAAAGCTTGATAGACAAGCTCACGTTTATACCTCAGGCACCAAGCGCCCCACACAGTACCGCGCAATTTTGGTCAAGTCTTCTTAGCCCAGGGTGGGGGCTTAGAACTGTACAGATAGGTAGGTTTTCAGTCATGCCAAACACATGCCTGCCCGAACGCATTCTGTATTCCTTTTCTCTCGCAAAGTCCAAAAATATGGGAAAAGGCAATTGAAAGCATCATTTAAAGATATAGATGAGTATACTGTGAGACCCGCAAAGGATCTAGTTCCGAGCACATGTACGCTCAGGTGCATAGCAAGGCACTTACACATGTAAGACTCATCAATTGTGGCCGCACCCGTCATTGCCAGAGCCCAAGATCATACCAGGAATTGTTTGCCAATCCCTAGATGTTATCAATCTTTGCTCGGAATTCTTGCCCAACATGCAATTTTCCTCAAATTTTCCCATACAGGCGGTACAATTATCGCCCCCCGCGCACTCCCCCACCGGGCTACCCGCACCGGACCTTGTCACTATCATCCTCCGAAGCTCTGCCACGTCCGTGAAGATCGGCTGTTGAAATGTTTAACTAGGCAAGAGTGAAGATATCCTCCTTGCTCGGAACTTATCAAGGTAGATTTCTCATATGCTTGTCGGCCAACCCAACCTCTGGGGCCTAGGGTTCTCAGATCCCCTTGGGTCTACCGATTGGTTGCAAGGTTCTTGTCGTTCCAGGATCGCTATCTTCTTCGATGATCGTTCCGCAGGACTCTTCCGGGTGAAATTGAACTGCTGATCTTCTTGCGCGTGGTGTTGTGGCGACTGCTAGTGCAGTTTCCGATGGAAGTCTGTCGGTGGAATCTGTCTGTGTGGGCATTCGACGTTGAAGCACTCAGCTTCAAGATTATCCTCTCGGCCACCTGAGACGCATACATATACGCAGTCCTCTCATTCTGTTGCGGCACCTTGCAAGGTAATATGAATGAATGAGTAAATTATGTGTAGCAGATACTCTGAGGACCCCAGATGCAGCTAGGTGTACTTCTACGTACAGTACTTACTAGGCGAAATAGGTGTAGACTGTAGAGTCCTTAGAAATGCGTTGAAGAATGTGTCCGGGACGACCTAAAGTATGACCTGATGGCCGAGGGCCTCGTCATGCGAGGCCTATACACACATATTCTTGACACATTCCCAAGGGCTCTACAACCTACACCTATTTCGCCGTAGCAAGTACAATACATAACAGTACATAAAGCTAGCTTAGTCCGAGGTCTCATGTTCCTTGCTTCACACAATTCACTTTTTCATATCCTCTTTGCAAGGTGCCATAACATAGTAAAGGGCCTGAAGGGGCTGATGAATAATGCGGCACCTTGAACAGCACGTATACATGAATGAGAGTGAATTTTGCATGGTGGAAGGCAATTGATTTTCCGGACCTAGCTAGACTTATATACTTCTACGTACTGTACTTGCTAGGGAGAAATAGGTATAGAGCATAGAGCCCTTGGGAATGCGTATAGGAATGCGTAAGTTATAGGAATGTGTCCGAGATGACCGGAAGCATAGCCTCATAGCCAGCCAAGGGCCTCGACGGCCGAGGCCCACACACATGAATTCCTATGACACAGATCCTCTATTCGACGCTATGGCGGCAACTGTAGCGCTCTCTGACATAGGCCTGATACGTAAATCGGCTATTGACAGCAATGAGCAACCGCAGGGTGTCAGATTCAACAGCTGGCGCACGCGAACACTGTGGAGCACATTCTGGACAAGATCCGCGATACACAAGCGGAGGTCAGCACGCACCATCACGATGGCACTGAGTTAGACAAGTTCGGGACGCTTGTTAGCTGGTTTTTGTTGCCCATCCAATCTGCGAGCAACATAGTGGCCCAGGTGACCGAGGGGGTGATTCGTAGTGTCGAACTAAGAAACTTATAGTTGATAACCATTAGATATCCCCCGAGCGAAGCTACGTTTGTAGCAGTCCAGTACCTCATCAGTGTTTGTCTCATAGCCTCATCCAAGCAGTTTCTGGCTCCTACCAGGTCTCGAACCACGCCTCCGCCGACTGCGACAAGATCACCGGCTTCCTCGAAGACTCGCATTTCTATCTCAGCAGATTGGAAATGTGGGAAGGCAACATTCCACCTATACCTGAGTTGAAGCTGGCTGTCATCCAAGCTTTCACGCCTATCTTGAGTCATTGTGGGACATGTACCAGATATGTCCAAATGGAACAAGTTGATGTATATGGTAGCTCCTGCTTTTTCCCAAACTACGTCTGCTAGGCATGCATCCTCTGCGGGTTAAATTTTATCGTGATGGTGCAATCGCGTTGAACGAGTATTTTCACATTGAGCCAATCACTCAAGTACACTCAAACTCACGTCCAGGCATTCCGAGACCCGACATCGTCGTGATCGTAGTTGACGACGGTGCTGATGTCGATGTAACGGTACAACCCTAGCAACCTTCTTACCAGAGAATGGGGCTGAGGTCGACGCCAAAGATCACTGGGGCGTCACAGCATTGGAGTTGGAAGTGGATAACAAGCGTCATTCATATGTGGAGTTGCTTCAGCGGGGAAGGTCTCCTTCTCTTCGAGCTATAGCCAAGGACTCGGAATCTCCGCTACCACTTATCCAGACTAACCGCCTTAAATCAAATCATACTTGGACTTCTTGTCCCATGGTGAAGATTCTAGTTCCGCCTTCAAATCTTCCAGGTCATCCTCGACAGCCGCGATTGGCGATTCCCACATGCCTTCTTGAATTTGTCGTCGGATTCCGCGATAATACCCCACTAAATCATCCATCTTCATCTCCTTTTTTTCCTTGATCAAGAGGGCCAGGTCGGCGCACGCAGCCTCTCCATCTTCCTTCAATAATGCTGCGTGAAGGCGGACCAAGATTTGGATATCGTGCTGCAAGTTTCTATCTCGAATACCCCTGTAGAGTCGGACAAAACTTTGCTGCTCCTCAGAGGTTGGTCGTCGAAAGCGGCCGAGTTCCCATTCAGGGATGTTAAGAACGTAGCAGAAGGAATCCCAGGGGGTATCACCATCCTTGTCACGCAGCTTAGTGTTGATGCCTATGAGCTCTAGTTTAATTAGATAATCCAGGATCTCTGAATTGCAATACATCGCGGCGGTGTGGAGCATGTTCCACGAATCGTCGACTGAATGAAGCGAACCTCCAATCTCAACGAGGCAGCGCAAGACTGGGAGGTTATCACAAAGCATCGCATACATCGTTGGTGCTGCTCCTCCATTAATTCGAGCTTCGAGATCGAAATCTTTGGTTATCGATAGTAGGTTCAGGATCTCTCTCGTCGTTTCGAGGTCTCTTGAGGAGAGTGCCAGTGAGTGCACAGCTGTCCCATTCAACGCACCTCGAGCTGATGCTGATGCGCCTGCTGCCAGTAGTAGCCCAACTGCCTTGGGGTGTCCTCTAGCGGCGGCTCTGTGCAACGCCATGTCGCCATTATTGGTTCTTTGCCACAGCTTACACTTAGCTTCAAGGAGGAGCTTCATGCACTCCAGGTCCCCTGACAGGACAGCGTGTATCAGTGGTGAAAATCCTTGCCAGTCTTTGGCATCAATATCAGCATTTTCAGCTATCAGCTATTCGACTGCTTCAATCCTGTTTAAATTGGCAGCAAGGTGCAGTGGTGTGAGTCCTGTATCGCCAAGTACATCGACGGCCCACCTGTCTCTTTGGATGGCGTCCACCAAGCCACGACCTTCCATGACTGCTTCGTGAACTTCTGTTGTCGGTTCCGCTCCATCATATACCCATGCCTTCACTTGCTGGAGTATATTGACTTCTTGGTCGGTGAGGCCATCCCACCTCTTGAGTACAAGATTAACGCGGTATACCACTCTCCTAGCTAGCAGTTATTTCCATGGCTCAAGTAATATATCAGAAGGCAACAGAAGTCACACTGGGAGAGATATAGCACATACCTGGATATACCTTCATTTGGCAACATGTTCTTCCACTCATTCCATAACATTTCTACCGTCTTAAAAGAGCCCACACCAATCAGAAACTGTTTTGTCAATAACTTAGCAAATTCTCGCACGCTGCCTGGCTTATCTCACCTCAAGTAGCCCTTGACCATCTTCATTTTGGTCATCTGGGAAGTAGACATTTCCATGCTCAATGGCAGCTTGGAAAACATGGACTGGTTGTGATGCATGAGCCCATACATAATGAAAAGAAGGCAAGATGCGGGTAGGGCGTATTTCGCAGCTCAAACTCATCGATTGGCTGTATGAGCCTTTGAACAACACCATCTTGGCCAAAAGCCATTGCGGTAACCGGTATTCCATGGTAAGATAGGCTCCTTCCCTGCAATTGCATGCTCGCTTGCGTGGGAATCGTTCTTGGCTGTCAATTGTGTGGTATCGAAAAAAGTAAGAACCCAACAGGGGTTGAAACCAATTTGCCGACTGGTATTGTTGCTGGCTAGAGCGGCATTGACACCGGCTGCCTTTTAGGCGTTGCGATCGTCGTAGGGGCACGAGGGTTCGAAGTTGCAAATGCCTCGAATCTCCCACTGAGGTCGCAAAAACCCCGTTGCCAGAACTCGAGGTTGAGTGACGCAAGCCTAGATTCGTGACTGGCATATCTTCAACGTCGTCTTCAATCCCCTCAACTCCACCAGTCTTCTTGTCATGGATTTGGCTCGCCGTTATTGACACTGGATTCATGGCCAACTCTTGAATCTCGGGTGAACCCTTTGGACGCAAAAGACTGAGTTGAAATCGCTTAAATGACTCAAGTTCCATGAGAATCTCGGTGCGGAATCTAGCATCATCATAAGCTGTAACTCATCCCTTTAAGGCAGTGCAAAACGCCAGGGGAACAGATTTCGTCTTTCCTCTATTACTTACTGTGTCAACATAGCGCCTTGATGGAATTGAATAGCACCCTGGTGGAGTTGAATAGCCAAATGTAGATTCGACTTTGCGTCCCGGACCTTTTCGCACAAGTGTTCAATTTCTCGGGCAGAGCGAATCCATTGTAGCTTGTTCACCATGGATGTCTTGTTGAAGGTGGTTCGTGTACAACTAACAGCAATTTTATCAAGTTCATCGACGACCTCTTTGAGCTGCTTAGCTGTTCGGAATATTTGTGAGTCTCTGGACGAGGGCTGTGCTGAATGCTCGAGAGGAATCAAGCCGGGAATCGTCTGAGCACATCTGACCAGATCACCGAGTATAGTGATCTAGGCGCCGGTTAGCACTTGTCCTCCATCTTTAGATTCGCACCATATCATCACACGACTTACTTGCTGCCTCAAGTCCTCGAAAGCATCCTGGACTCCCTTAATTTCTCTCAAAAAGCTCAATGTCTTGAGCGCGACTTCGGCGAGTGCGATAGAGCTCGCGACAGCTCCCAAGGCCTCCGCCATGTCGCACTTGATGGGCCTTTGCGAGATAAGACCCAGACTCCAGGATAGAGGTTATTCACTTCGAAGGATCGTCCGGTTCGATTCGGTTAAGGAGAGAAGACGGCCGTGTGCAAGGTGTCAGCTCGAGGCGGGGTTAAAATCAGCCGCCAGCTTGGCCACAGCCTCGCCAGACATTCAGCCTCCAATTATGCCTTGTATGACGACCAATCTCCAGTCTGCACATGTTCCAATCAGAGGCCATTCAGCCATGCCATTATGGTCGCGGCGAAACCACATTCAGCCAACAAGATTCAGACAAGCACCCCAGCCCGGGGATAACGACACCAGGCATCTTTACTTAGACCTACATCCGTTTACCCTAAGGATAAACTAAGACTAAATGATAAAACACAAGGAGGGGTTCAAGACCTTACTATTTTCCACGTGATGGGTGACGACTGCTGACCTTGCACCGGAACTGATTTGTATGACGTTATCCATAATAACTGCCCGGCCGTTATTGGCTCACGACATCATCGCCACATGCTCATACCACAATGTGTGACCGAAAAACTTGGAATACGGCCGTCTTGGGGCGCAAAAAACGTCACTTCGCACTAGATCATGAATGTCCTGTTGAGAATGCTTTTAAACCGATCTGCCCAGCATTAGAACTTTGACTAGAACACGTCAAGCATTCCGCGACACATCAAGTCCCATCATCAACCCCCGAATGAAGATCGACCAAAATGCCACGAACATTATTGCTATGTTTTATCCATGGGTTCAAGGTATGTCGTGCACGACTCTTCGGGAATTATGATGCTGATTGATGAACACTGCAGGGAACCGACAATACCTTTCAAGATTTCCCTTCTGTAAATCCTGCCTCCAGCCAAACGCAACCCGAATCATTCTGATGCATTCCTAGGATCTCCAGAAAGCCGTCGCCCAGCATCTCCCAAGTAATCGTGTCGAGTCTGTCGTCTATCCGAAATATGAGACGAAAGGCGAACTTTCAGAAGCCAGTGAAGCCTTTCTAGAATGGTATCATCTCCCGCATGACATGGAGACGGACAGTGCTAATGGATTACAGGCTGAAGGAACGCGTCATAGATATTAGAAAGGCACATTCAGAAAACCCTTGGCCTCCCAGCGATAGAGATGTAGGAGTAGTCCTTGTCGCCCATTCCATGGGGTAAGTTCCCTGCCTCTCGGTGTCTATCCTAGGCTAACGGTGAGGCTACCAGAGGTTTCGTCGCATCAGATACGCTCTTCTTGGCACTCAATAACCGAGTAACCAATTCCGATAGCGACAGCCCCATTTTCCCTCCGATCCAAGGAATCTTGACCTTCGATACTCCATACAACGGACTTGCACGCTCCATGTTTGTGTACGGAGCCTTCTCGAACTACTCCAAAGTCAGCAGTGTCTTCAATGTCATGACCGCATTGTCGGCCGCTGCACCCGCAAGTCTAGCTCGACTTGGTGCTCGAAGAACAGCAACTGCCGCTGCGGCTACCTCTGGGAGTCCCCAATGGAAGGCGTGGCAGCTGGTCGCTGTCAAAACTGGCACGGTCGGTGCCATTGCCGCTGGTGGTGTGGCTGCCTACACGCACCGAGAGGCAATTATGAAAGGCGTGAGAAGCGTGAAGGGCATCAACAAAGAATCCGTTGTCGAGGGATATCGACAAAGCATTGACGCGATAGGTCAAGGCCTCGCGTACATCAATCGCGGAAATGTCGGGAAGTCATTCGCCTGGCTTTCGGACCACTTTACGTTTGTCGGTGCCTTGCTTAAACAGAAGGAATTGAACCGTCGCATCGAGCGCATGGGTGCTTTGAGGGGTATTGGGATCCACGACTTCTATTGCTCGCTTGGGGAGAATGGCTATTGGAGCGGCGGTTACTTCGTGCCGGAGAGAACTTTCTGTGCAGTCCCAGAGGAGAGCCATCCCGCCTACGACCTATTTTCCCGGCGCGTCTTGCCCAAGGATAAGATCGACGATGAGGTCCAGGCGCACTTGAGCATGTTTAGGCCCGAGAAACACGCAGGATACAAAGATATGACCGAAGAGTCGGCTGTCCTTGTCAAAGGCTGGTTTCTGAGCGAAGAACCAATTTTCGATGACCCCAAGTTTCAAGAGACACCTGTGGATGAAGCAAGCGAGGGTGCGACGGTGACGGATATTCTGGACACGCCCCCCGAGAAACTCGAAAAGGCCGAACAGACTGTGGAAGATGAGAAACAGATTGACAATCACCCAGACGAGTCCCCTATCGATATCGCCGCCGCCGCATCGCTCGTCCCTCTACCTAGCGACGAAGGGGAGCTCGTCGGGGACGCCAGCACCGACACCACCAATGATCCGGAAAAGAGAAACTACTTGAACCATCTGTTCCAGGTGGCACAACAGGCTGGAACAGGGCTGTCGGGTGTGAAGGGCTGGCTGCCTAATAAGATGCCGCAGATGCCACAGATGCCGACAATGCCCAGCGGGATGCCAACCATGCCAACCATGCCCAGCATGCCAAACATGCCAAACATGCCTAGTGTCCCCGCCTCAGTATCATCGCTGGCCCAGGTCTCAATGCCGAGTGTCAAGATGTTTGCGAAAAAGGAGACCAAAAACGAGGACCAGAAGGGAGAAACCGAAGAGGCCCAGCAGCCAGTTTCAGAGACCGGGGCGACCGATGACCGCGAAAATGAGGGGTTTGATGTCAAGGCTGCTTAAAATCTGCTCGGTTATTTTGGTTCAAAGTGTGTTTATTTAAATTATCCTCTGTTAGCAAACCCTTGGTTTATTTGAACCCTCTAGGCGTCTCTTAGCGAGCACATGCTTGTACGTCAGCCCCCGTGAGTCATGTTTGTACATTTTCGTAAACATCCTCATTTAATTAGCGCCTTCCCAGGCATTGCTCTTCCATTGGGGCATTCCGAATTACAGTAGACTCACCTCTCTTTGTTACGATAGGCAACTTCCTTTGTTTAATACAGGCAGAAGATGGTTTGTCACCGTTGCTTGCTGCGCATTCGACCACACCCAAGGCAAACAGGCGCATTTGTTAGGCAGCACGCACCACGTGAGAATAAGACGGTCCGAGAACAAAGACTGTCGGTTTATATATTGAGCCACGTCTTCCATGCCCAATTCCCTGAGAAATTTCTCATCCTTGGAAATTTTTCCTTTCATTCGACAAGTCTTGGAATTGAGCCATTGCTGTCCGCTCGCCATGGCCCCAACGACGCGCTCTGCGAGACGCAGGACCGCTGGATCGAGTAACGGCCCCGGGGGCCCAGCGACAAACACCAAGACACAGACTCCAGCGACAGTCTTCTCAGGTATGTTCCAGCACGCGCATTCTGTTGCACCTTTTGTCGCATATTCCAAGCTAACTTCTGGCCAGTTGCAATTAGGAAGAGAAAGGACCCAGGAAACGAGAAGCATCAGGCCACCAAGAAACAAAAGACCCAGACAACCCATGCGGTAGCGAAAGCAAAGCCCAAGAGGGCGGCTGCGCCCAGAGTGTCTGCCATTTCAGCGCCGTCTCCCATCGTCGATCAGTCACAGCCAAAGTTTTCCATTCTTATGCTCGGCACCGTCGATTTTTCGGAGCTTGGGCTTGGGCCCGATGAGAAGGAGTGCATGCTCCCTCGCCTCAATCCTTATCTTGACCCCAATGAACAATCCGCCTTCCACATTTCCAAGTACGCCGTCGGTGGTATGCACACGGTCGCCGTCACCGTCGATAACAAAGTCGTCACATGGGGCGTCAACGATCATGGAGCTCTAGGCAGAGACACTTCGTGGGATGGCGATGAGACGGCTAATCGCCACGAGTCGACTCCGTGCGAGGTGTCGCCCCTTCATTTTCCACCGGGCGCAAGAATAATACAAGTCGCTGCTAGTGACAGCTGCAGTCTTGCTCTTACCGATACCGGGTTGGTCTATGGATGGGGCACTTTTTTGGTATTTCTTCTACTCGCTTTCTACAAATTTGACATCTAACTTGTTCCAGGATCCCGGAGGGAAGAAGCGATTTGGCTACGATCAGTTCGGCAAACTCATCACGATCCAGAACACTCCGCGACTCATTCTTGGGCTCAGCAACATCACCCAGATCGCCTGCGGAGCCAACCATGCACTGGCCCTAGATGCAGCCGGTACCATTTGGGCCTGGGGCTCGGGTCATCAAAACCAGCTTGGGAAGCGTCTTGTTGGACGCTATCAAGACGGACTGACACCTCGGCGCGTGGAGATTTTCCGGAACAAAGCCAAGTACATTGCTTCTGGAGCATATCATTCCTTTGCCGTCGACCAAAAAGACAATGTCTGGGCTTGGGGCCTCAACGGATTGGGCCAAGCTGGCGATGTTACATCCGCAGGTGGCTATGAGGCGTTTCTGCCGCACCCAATGAAGATCCCAGGACTGTCAGGTAGAGGCGTGCATGTTCTGGATGGCGGGACGCATCACTCGGCTGCTGTTACAGAGGATGGGGAATGTTTGATGTGGGGGAGCATCAGGGGCGGGCAACTGGGCATCCGGTTCACGCAGGAGCAGATTCAGGACTCTTCGCACGTCCTTTGCGATGAGCGTGGTGAGCCTCGCATTTGTCTTCGTCCTACCGCCGTCCCCGGTATTGGACCCGTTGCGCATGTTGCCTGTAGCACTGGCCATACCATCTACATCACCAAGAGCGGCAACGGCTATGGTACAGGATTCGGCAACGGCGGTCAGCTGGGAAATGGCAACGAGGATGATGCCGACGTTCCACAGCTCATGATAGGGGATGAACTCCACGGCAAGCACTTGGTATCTGCGGGTGCGGGCGGGCAATTCTCAGTTGTTGCGGCGCGTGCGAAAATGCCTGGAGATTACTGAGCCTTTGGCATGGAAATCCATCCGCACACGAACACGACGAGACTGAAATTCTGTACTCCGACTGTCCATGCTAGTAACGCCCTCTCACACATCCATAGGCTTTTAGAGGTACTGGGCGTCCGTATCTAGGCGCATTTATCTAGATCTAGGGAGATATCATAGCAATTGTGGAGTTTTACATCGAGGGTCTAGATTTTGGAGTTGAAGTGCAATAGATCGAGGTTGAGCAGCAAGGTATTAGTGTCACATTCGCCACAGATTTAAGTCCTAAATAATACGATTTTTTTGACATTACGAGCCATTTCATGATTGTACTCAACAACTATTAAACACAATGAATATATTTTGACTCGTCAATTTTATTAATCGCCAACTTGACAAGATAGATCATTTTCGAGTACCCAATAGCCCGCCTTAATAAACCGAAGTATGCATGCAGGGATCAAGGGCTTGGGGCCATTCTCTTCGTAATCAACACTTATTAATATGCGAATAGCCGAAAATGGGCCATCCAGGATTTCTTATGCAGGCTTAGGCATCCAGGTCATACGGAGCCTGGCTGACCTGAGCCGCCCAGGTCAGCGATTCATTCACACATTATGTTGTCGAGATCTGACTAAAAGATCGCCTCGAAGACAACGACGACACAACTCATGCTGTAAATTCACTAAAACCCTCTTCGATCCAGTCGTTGGCCAGTTCAGAAGGTCCCCTCAATCTCTTCAGACGAATCCTGGAAGAAATCATCGCAAAACTCGCTCCGCAAGATAGACTCCGCCGGTATTCGCAGCCCTTTACGTGGCCCTTTGATAAAAAGGACATTTCAGAGCTACTCTCCTCTTTAGAGCGACTAAAAAGCTTCTTGAACTTGGTCTTGCAAAATGATCTCATGTACGGATTCTTCACCCAGCTCATCCATCCGAGGAGCATTAATATGGTTTGTGCTGACCTGGCTACAGCGACCTTGCAAAGTTCGCAAATCTCAAGCTTGATGACATCGGCAACAAGGTGCAAAGCTCTGAGGTTAGGTCTCAAGAGGCCGAAGTTCAAAAGGTCATTCTCTGGATCAGCCCAATTTCTTTCCGCGCAAGACATCTCGGGGTTTTAGAAAGTGTCCAGCCAGGAACGGGCGCCTGGCTTCTCCAGCATGAGACGTTTCGCAACTGGGTCAAGGGCGGCATCAATGTTCTCTGGTGCCCAGGCATACGTATGTTCCCCATCGAATATGGTGATGATGAGCTAATACAATTCTTCAACTGGAGCGGGAAAGACGAGGCTCGTGTATGTTCGTCCTAGATCCTCTACTATATTTCAACTCTTCATCTCCTTTAGCTGGGTATTTCCAACTTGAGCTAACATATTCTGCATTTTAGATCCTTGATAGTCGATCATCTTGAACGCGACGACAGTTCGCCTCAGAAACTTTGCACATATGTCTACTGCGACTATAACCAACGAAAGGAGCAGACCTCTGTCACACTCTTGTCAAGTCTGCTTCAGCAATTTCTTCAACATTCTTCGAGCGCTACCTTACCATCGAAGGTGGCACTTCTTTATCGCTCGCATCAGAAGTACGGTACACGCCCAACATTAACCCAGATCAATGGTACACTGCGCAAGTTGATCTCAAACTTCAAGATATTTTACGTCATCGTTGACGCCTTAGACGAGTGTGCCGAGTCTGAAGAGGACGCTATCCGATTTGTCTCCGTCGTTTCCTCGTTGGGCTCGCAAGTCAAACTACTATGCACCTCTCGATTTTCCAGCACTTTTGACGGCTATTTCAAGGACTCTGAGAGACTTGAGATTTCTGCACAGAAAGGAGACATCAGAATGTTTCTCGATTCGCACATATCACAGCAACACAGGCCATCAAGGCACGTACGAGTTGATCCAAGCTTGAAAGAAGACATAATCGGGGCTATCATTGAAGAATCCCAGGGGATGTAAGATGCACGCTCCTAAGCATCAAAAGGGTTTTCTGATACTTGTGGCAGGTTTTTGCTAGCAAAGTTACACGTCGAGTCTCTATCTCGAAAGTTCAACCGCAAAGAAGCCCGATCCTCCCTCAAGACTCTTCCTCCGACATTAGACGCCACTTACTCGGATGCACTTCAAAGGGTGTATAGTCAGGCTCCCGATTCTGTCGAAGTGGCTGAGTCGGTGTTATTCTGGGTCATTTGCGCCCAGAGAACACTGACATTGTTGGAGCTCCAGCATATGCACGCCAGACGGGAGTTGTCTGAGGGATCCGCCCTTGATGAAGACGATCTACCCGACGCAGAAATCCTCACAAGTGTTTGCAGTGGTCTTATCATCGCTGACGCGGAATCTCAAACTGTCCGCCCAGTTCATTACACCGCTCAGCAGTACTTCGAGAGGTGTCATAGTAAGGACCTGCTAGACGCGAAAATGAGCCTCGCAAACGTCAGTTTGAGATACTTGACATTGCCAAATTTCTCAAGCGGCGTATGTACAGACGATAAGGCCATGTCCCAACGCCTTGATCAATACCCTTTCTTAGACTATGCTGCAAAGCATTGGGGATCAGAAGTCGATCAATTTGACACGGACTCGATTTGGCCAAGTATCTAGGCTTTCTTCACCAACCCAGTCGCGCTTCAAGTTGCGAATCAAGCTTGGAATATTGACAATGCTGGTTACGGCGACTGGAGTCAAGAATATCCCAGGGATGTACCCGCCCTAGTTCTTGCCTCTGCGTTTAATCTCCCGAAGATTATTCGCCAAATGGTATCAGATGGCCACAGCACAGAAGGCAGTGGAAGCGATAGAGAGACTGCGCTGATTCGTTCCGCGTCTTTTGGGCATACAGAGAACGTCCGGACACTTCTCGAACTAGGTGCGTCTGTAAATGAGCATGATTATATGCAGCAAACCGCGGTACAGCGAGCAGCAAAGGGCGGGAAAGGAAGCGTCGTCAGAGTCTTGCTAGACGGATCCGCATATGTTAACATGAGAGCGTCAAGCGACTGGACCGCACTCATGTCTGCTGTTTCGAGTGGCAACATCGAAGTTGTCCGGGTGCTGGTTCAAGCAGGGGCAGACTTGACAGCTGAAACTGTATGGGGTGATTCCGCGTTGAGCATCGCAACACGCAACGGCCAAGAAGCCATCGCCACTTTTCTCGCGGATAGCGGAGCAATTCTTCCCCGCGGGTTGGCTGGACACCGTGCTTCCGTCGTGGCTTCCCAAAAAGGACTTCATCAGCTTATCAGGCGCCTCACTCAACTCGCCCCAGATTATAAGTCTGTTACTCAGAGACCCCTTGAACGACAAGCTTCGATGCTGATGGGTGGACTGTCTGAGGCTCAAGTGGCGGCAGCAAACGCCTTGAGACGGCAGCCTGGGACACACTCTTCCACGGCTGGTATTGATGATAGTGATTTCTCAGATGTCATGGAAGGCTTCGACTACAGTATTGGGTTTCGAGGAGATACTCCGCGCTCGAGAAGCTCGGCAAGGGCCACTACGCGGAGGTCTTTATGTGCGTCAACCGAGTCACCAACGTCAAGTACGCTGTCAAAGCATTCCGTATCGACGGGTGGGAAAAGTCGCTCAAAACCTTGAGCATGCGTCGCGAGGTCACAGCGATGGAGGAGCTTCGGAAGAAGTCGCACCCGAATATCCTACCACTCGTTGACCTATTTGCGGAGTACTCAGATAACAAGATCTACGTGGTCATGGAAATTGCACCGGAGGGGGAACTCTTCAACTACATCGTCACGAAACAAAAGCTCACGGAAGAGGAGGCCCGGAAACTGTTCTTGCAGCTGTTTTCTGTAATAGAAATCTTGGTCAGTCCCCGAATTCTCAGCAGCATTTTGATGTCCAGGAGCTGATTTTGCACAGCACGGTAATGGGTGGATGCATCGAGATATCAAGCCCGAGAACATTTTACTCTCCGGCACAAAGGATATGACAGTGAAGCTCGCAGACTTTGGACTGGCGAAAAATATCAATACCGCACCAGGAGTCTGGGAATTGACAACCACTCTCTGCGGTACACCAAGCTGTGCGTATCCATGCATTTGCGGCTCGCAACAATTAATGAATATCCCTAATGTGGCTCCCGAAATACTGGAAGAAGGCCCCACAGACGATACGGGTTCCCGGTGGACATATGGTCTTGCGGCATTGTCTTGTACATTTGCTTGTGTGGTTTTCCACCATTCTCGGACGAGCTCTTTTCCTGGGATTTTCCTTATTCCCTTTCCCAGCAAATTAAGATGGCGCGGTTCGACTATCCGTCACCGTACTGGGATTCAGTCGCGGACCCGGCGTTGGATCTCATCGACAGCATGTTGGTCGTCGACATGGAACGGCGGGTTACGATTCAGGAGTGTCTTGAACACCCTTGGACCGTCGAAACGGCCCTCCCAATATTGCGAGACACGGTACAATCGACAGGTTTGGAGCGGACCCTTTTGAGTGAGCTGAATCAAATTTAGTCAGGTCGTCGCCATCACCAGGCAAAGTTCATCGCACACAAAAAAAAATATTAAAAAAAGCAAGAAAGAAGTTTATTGACTCTGGACGGGCTTTGCTTGAAGTCATTTAATCACCAGCATCGTAAATCTTCTTGCTTTCAGAACTTCAGCTCGGCAACATCCATATCACTAATTTAGTGTGTATCAACTACCCTCTACCCACTAATAATCGTAGCCTACTTGGGGAAAATATCATGCATGTTTCTACGGATTCAGTTAGCTACAATGTCTCTCGAATAGGGGCGATCTACAGGCTGTGCATGCGGGCTGGAGATCGAGCAGCTAATCGCCGGGTACTCGTCCCGGCAGCGGGCAGCGGGCTGCGATCAGCGATGTTAATCGTCACCGGTGGCTTGAGGGCTGTAATTGTGCATATGCAGGGCGCATGTAGTCTTTGGCAGAAGCATTTCTGGCAAGGCTTGGCCAAGCATCGATCGCTCATTCGTCAGGTCTTAGTTCTCCAGCTCGTTGGGGACTCCCTGCAGAGGAAGAAAAGCAACCATCACAGGTTGATTGGGTCAGGTGGTGGCCAAATCTCGCGGTTCCGCGGAGCAGTGAAACACGGGCCTCACGCCGGAACGGGTGTTGCTTCCGGTAGACAATGAGGCAGTAATGTCTCGGATGGTGCCTTTTCACACGGATTCTTTTCTCCAGGTTTGTTTCGTTTACTTATGCTCCATGCATGCCACACGAGGAGAGTGCGGACTCACATTACACCGTAGTGGGTCTGGAATGCTGGGAAAGGTTTAGGTAGACAAAAAGCATCCAGGATGGCCATCTGTCACATTTCCTCGTCCTCCCAATGCGGGCTAATTAATAAACAATTTTACCTCGCTTGAGCATGCGACACTACTCCCCAAGGTACGTAGTACAACGCAGTACTTACTACGTACCGTTAGTCGCCCAGAGACCAGCTCGGTAGCTCGGTAGCTCGCTCCTTTGCGACAAGGGGCTACTTAGCTCGTTCCCCATTCCCACCAAGCTCCAAGCCAACGTGACGTGTCGCACGCCCGTAATTATTTCAGCGGAGGAGGCCCCGGAGACTCTCATTGGATTCTCGATTCCTCACAATCCCCCGTGTTGATAGAACGCGCGACCGCTTAACTTACGAACGCACCCCGTCGATAGTCTCGGGTTCGACTCACCAACGCGAGGAGCCCTTGATCTTGATCTCAGCCTCGCTTCCCCCTTAAACTCTCGCCAAATTGCCTCATCCCTGCGTCCAGATGAGCCAACGCCTCCCGTCAATGCGGCCCGTTGCTCGATCGCAGACCATTACCACCAGGTCTCCAGACGCCGCCATTCAGAGACCGGGACCTCCCTCCAAGACCTCGCTGGTCCCGAGACGCAAAGCCGTCTCGGTCGCCTGCAACTGTTGTCGAAAGCGAAAGGAGCGGTGCGATGGCAAACGCCCTTCATGCTCCACCTGTATAACCAGAGCCAAGGCCTGCTCCTATCCCCACTCTGACCGAGACCTGGTTCGCACCGCTCCGTTGAAGAGGAGTCTGGAAGCCCTCCAGGGCGAGAACGAGCAGTGGCGGGAGCTGTATCTTCTTATCAAGAACCTGCCTGACGCAAAAGCACGACAAGCGCTGGTCCAAATCCGTACTGCTGCGGACCCGATCGAGGTCCTCGATTTCGCTAGGCACCTTGCTAATTCCGGTCCAAGCGCTGGGCCTAGTTTCGCTCGTTATAATCCCCGAGTCGACAGTTTAGACCTCAAGGCGTTGAGCGAGAGTCGGATCAGAGTGCACGCTCGCCCGTGGACCATTGTCGCGGGAGACGGCATAGTTTCTGAGCTGATCACATCCTTCTTCGCTTGGGACCATGCCTTCCTCTGCCCTTTCATTGACCCTTATTCCTTCCTGGAAGATATGAGAACTGATGACCCAGAAAAGGCCAAATACTGTTCACCGTTTCTAGTCAATGCCATCTGCGCCACTCGATGTGTACGTGTTCCTTGTTGCCCTCGCATCAATTCAAACAACCATTCTAATTCAAATGTTAGTTCACATCTAGCCGAGCAAAGAGCATCAGTTCTATAGATGGAAGGGACATAGGCTCCAAGTTCGTCGACGAAGCCAAGAAAATGCTAGACCGTGAGAATGGTCGTGCCTCACTCCCCACCGTCCAGGGCCTTGCTCTACTCTTCTTGTTGGCGGGTCAAACTGGAAGTGACAGAGCCGGTATGGTAAGTGGTCCTCTTGCCAGATAATCTAAGTCAACACAAGTTCTATTGCTGCCACGGACAAATTATCCGTTCATTTTCATAACTTGATTTTCTTCGAACTCTCTAACATTTTGTCCAGATGTATCGCTATGCCGCCTACGAAATGCTCTTTCGATTACACCTTGACAGGGTTTTTAACAGTATAAAAGACGATCCAGCAAAGTCACGGCAGAGACAGATCATATCGAGAGCCCTCTGGGGATTGTTTTGCTTCGAAAGGTATGTAAAGCTGCCACTGTATCTTTATCAGAACTATCCTAAGAAACCGGTATTCTTTGATACAGTGTTGTCTCGTATATGTATTTAGATTCGTCCCTACTCGTCCCCCCAACGATTCCTCGGTGTTTTGAGACGAACCCGCAACCATTATCCACTCAGCCAGGAAATGTCGACATGTTTGGTGCTCCTTACACCAAAGGAAGCAGCCCACCGCCATTTGTTCCTAGAACCCTCAACGCCCAGTGTGATCTGTCTCTATTTCTATACCGAGCTATGCAGAGGAATGCCGAGGCAGATATTGGCAGTGAGGAGGACCTCCGCGAGAGACGCAGTCTGTATAAAGAAGTGCTCGAGTGGAGAAAGTATCTCCCAGCATACATGAAATATGAATCAAATCCAACTCCGCAGACGTGCTACTTGAGGTTGGTTCAACCTCTCCCTGTCTGACTACTCTAACGTTCTTCCCAGGGTGTACTTCGACGAGGTTTTGACGGGAATCTTGCGACCCCTGCCGCCGGACATAATTTTCGACAACGACTTCAATGTGCGAGATCTGTGCATCAAATACGCCGACATTGACACGAGGATCATTACGGAACACATACGGGCCTTTCCTATGCAGGACTACTCGTGCATGACGCTGAGCGGGCTGTTCAACGCAGTCTTAGCCATTGTTCCGCACCTGGACGATCCCAAATCCCATGCAATCTTCTTCAAGGCAACACTAATCCTGCGGTGGAGCGTAAGGGACTTCCCCATGTCTCGGTTCACTCTGCTGGGGATCAAGGCGCTCGCGTGGGCATTGAAGATCGGCGTGCCGCCCGAATCCGCCCCGCATTTTGAAAATCTCATGACTGGGAAGGAGGAGTTGAAAGACATACCGCTTGCGATTGCGCTTCCTCCGGTCGAGGCTGTGAGGAGGGTTTTGTCGGTGGAGGACGGCGAATGTGGTGGGCCAGGGATTGAAATGGGTCTGTTGCTCTCTAAATGGAGCACGCTGTCGATTGAGTGAACGTAAAGACGAAGTTGGGGGCGATGGGGGCTCCGTGGGGTGTCGTTCAGTGGCACAGGGGGCTCTGGTTAATGGTATTATGATGCCTGCTGCAATGCGTCCAGAGACGCTACCAACCGTATATTACAAGATACCCTTTTTTGTTTGATCATGTTATATTAGGTGCTGGGAACATTTATTCAATACGGCTTATTGCCAATATACCAAGAAAACAATCCATCAATCAATTAATAATGCGTGTTGGGTGTCTCAAACAGCGACCAATCCCACTCAGCCACCCCCTAAGACAGAGTGGGATGATCCAACACGGAGCGTCCACTGCATCTGCTCGGCATCCCAGAAGAAGAGACAGGACCCTGAATAACATACTTGCCCGGTTCCGAGCTCGCTTTTCCAATCCTGACCAACGAAATCATAAAACTTTTCAAGAACAAACCGCAGCATTATAGAATACGGCACAAGCCGTGAGAATGAGAAAGAAAAGTCACCCGTTTTCCGCACCACCAATGTGACACCCCCACGGAGCACCCAGGCGGGCTGTGCCAAAGAAGAGGCGGTAAGCCACCGGCTTGGATCTCACCCACTCAAGTAGGTCGCCGAGATGATCACTCTGAGACCGGGCCAACACAGGGTTAGCTGACCTGTCCAAGATATCCCCAGCCTGCAGGAGCCCCGATGTTAGCACCTTGCTTCTGGTGGAGCTCTGCCAGAGCAACCGGTGAGCTGAGGGTTCATGTAGTCGACTTACAACACCGCCTTCATCGTCTCACAGACTGTCCAAGCCGACCACACAGCGACAGTGACTAGGCACACCAGGACAATGACGAGGATGATCTTAGCCACAATCCACCAATTCGACGAGTCTGGCGATGGCGAAATGTGGCCCTCCCCGTCCTTGCCCCCTGCGGCGCTCGGTTCAGGGACTCCGCTCAGGGTCTTGAGGTGCTCCGCCAGGGAGAATATATAGAAGATGTTGGTCGTAATCTGGTCTCGGACAGTGATGATTTTGTCCGAGCTGGACCTCCAAACTCCATTGACCTGGGGGCCCCCGTGGGAAACATGGCCAGTCCCCACGTACGCTGCTCTCCCGGTATTGGGATCGTGTTCGGCCGTGGCGCTCCCCATTATCAGTAAAATGCGGGCTCAGTCGTGTGTCGCTCGTCTTAGTTGGCTGCCGTGATTCCGTCGTAGGTGGACCCCCTCTCGGTGCGTCACACTGGCTTCGGGAGACACGAATGGGACGGGTCACCTCGTCCGTCCGTACAGCAAATTTGACGTATGTGTGTGGGTGCCGTTCAAGCTGTGGGTGTGCGCCTGACATCAGGGCTATCCTAGCCGCCGACTTTGTACAGGGGTTCCATGACTGACATGGGTGCAGGACGGGAGACAAGGCTGTAATGCACAGCATCATCTTTTCGTTTCCCTGCCGACGGGACATATCTAGCAACTTTATTTTTCTACGTCATCGTCTCTTGACATCGCGGTGATAACTGGCAGCGCAAGAGCAACGGGAACGTGGTATTTCGAACTGGTCGAGGTCCGGTTCAGAGTACCCCCAACTTGTCTCCCCGTCCCTCCCACACGGGACAACAAGCCAAGATTAGATGGCGCTGGAGCGAAGCAAACAACACCGGTGATTCGGCTTTTCCCCAGAGGCACATGCAGGTGATGAAGTTGGGCACAAATCTCACACGAGAAGATGCGCACAGCCATCCGCCCATCTGGTCGCCTGCATGGAAGACATGCAGATGGTGTGCGTACGTGGTGCCATCCGCAATGCGAGGGGCCCCCAACCGCGTGCCACCGTGCCACACCAAGACAGTGGAGGGCCTCGTGATTGTTGCTTTTCTTCCCTCAGAATCATTCCTTTTCTTTCGAATCACTGCCAACTTACTCCGGAGTTCCCCATTGTGTCGTGAACAATTGAGCCTCAACAGATTTCTCTTCCCGCCCCCAAATGGCGCAGGCCGAGACTCGGCGCCCGCTTCTGTCCATGTTGGTCGTCTCGCTTTTCTGCCCGATTTCAATCCACTGTCTGAGCCAACATGCTCCAGTGGATTAGATGACCCATGGCTGCCAGTGTCTGCTTTGCAATGGCTGAACCCGCTAGGCAGAGCGTCATTTGATGAGATCTCAGTCCAGCTCGAACACATATGATTTTCTACCAAGGAAGTCATATGTCAAACACGACGAAGTGTAGAGCCAGTGATTTCCACACATTAACCTCACGCTCAATTCCAGTTATCTTAGAAGGCCAGTTCTTAGCCCGGACGTCTGCCCCTTTCAGTTCCGCTGTTCCCGGACTTGATGCGCTCACTCCCAATGCACCTTGGGCTCAGCTCTCCCCCATCCGATGCCTCTTGGTCGCCTTACGGGCTTCTAATCAATACTTTGCACTTACACGCGTTGCTCTCTCTCTTTCATTTACTGTACAACGTTGCTCCGCCTCCTTCCTGCAGCGGGCACATGTTTCACCGCAGATGAGGCTCTTCAGTCCCAACTCACAGCCTCATGAATTTTTTCCGCCCAATCCTAAGCCTAACTCTTCATCCTCACGATCCTTCCCGGCCTGTAAAGCGGCCGCTTTCATAAATCATACCGGTCCTTGGATGCCACGTTAATGCAACCACTACAGTGCTTGCATGCCACCCACCACACAATATACCCAGTTTCAACAAGTGAAGCAGTCTTGGGACCGTCAATACCTTCACCGGTCTGGTATCTTCACCGCCTTTCGGAAGCTCCCACCAAAATTCCTTCACACCCAAACTCAGCCATGTTGCCTTGTTTTCAGGCCTGAAGTTGTCATGGCAGAGATTGTCGGTGTCGCCGCATCGGCGACCCAGCTGGCCGTCATGTGCGTGTCGTTGCTGGACCTCATGAAAAAGATAAAAGGGGGTTCGTCGACGCTCAAAAGATATCATCAGCAACTCAACGAGCTTCGCAGCGTTTCTGAGTCCATCTCGACAAATCCTCTACTTCAAACACCTGAGGTCGAGAGTCACACCCAGACTCTATTAGCCATCATCGACGACAATTCTCTCAGTCATTTGCTTCGACAAGGTCGCTTGCTTCGCACCTTGGGTCTCCTCCATAAAGAAAGAGATCTACTCGACGCTTTCTCCTCCCTTGAACGTCACAAAACAAACCTCTCGTTGCTCATTGAAGATATCCAGTCCAGAGCTCTATATCAAATTCAAGGCGACATCAAGGTCATCGCCAACATGTCTTCCAACCTCCCTGTGGCATCCTCCAATCAGGATATGGACACTACAGCAAGAGAAAAAGACAACTCTTCCTTTCTCCCAAGCACGACCAGTGCACTCGTTCCACATGCTCAATCCTTCAACCAACAGACATCTGGTCAGATCGAAGTCTCGGAGGTTCTACTCAGAACACTGTTGAGTTCACTTTCCAACAATCAGACGGCTCAGCAATTCGTTCATGGAGCACAAATCGGATCCAGTCATAGACAGTATACAGGTTGCAAGGCAACAGCAGGCGCTGATCAAATCAACGGCATTGCATTCAATGGGTCTTTCAAGCATCCAAAGGCAGAGACAGTTTCCATTCCCGGCGTTTCCAGCTATAACGACTGTCAGAAATATGGGAGCGGCACTCAGGTCAATGGCATTGAAATTGAGATCGCAGAGGACGGGGAACCGGTTGTGGTTCCCGATTACAGTGCTTCCTGGATTAATTGTGGAGTGAGCGCCGAGAGCCCTGATGCCGCCAGTATCAAAGGCAGGGTGTGTCAGGTTAATGGGGTGAACTATCGCCCTGCGAAAAACGAAGACAACCGCCAAAGCAAGTAGACGTCTACTTCAGGCGACGGTGTGTGGTAGGAAATCGGGTCGATATTTTGTCATGCTGCTTGTCATCGTTGACCTAATGAGTTTATGTGTAGGTTTTCTTTGTTATTTACTCGCCTATATGTTTTTGTTTCAAGTTATAGATTGCAAATTCAAAAGTTTTAACAGTCTCGATTGCCCTCGGATGAGCCCACCTTTTAGTACTTTGCAGGATCTTCAGAATTTATGGACAACAATGATTCACAAAAATTCAAGCGTGATTCAGAAAGTCTGGATCGGGGAATCTTTATCGCATCGGGTAGGGCAAAAAGGTGGATCGTTCAACTCCACTAATGCGTAGATCAACTGAAGCCTGTGTTGTATGTGACATGCCCCTTTGAGTTGGCGTGAGGTGACGTGAACAAATGTGAAGAGAGGCAGTGAGTGCGCTGCTCTGTGGTTGGACCCGGTTTGATGTGTGCGGGTGTTCGACGCAGGGGTAGCCTGTTTAGGCTGCGACAGCAAGGTGATCGCATTGACGGCTATGGCATGGAGGGAACAATCCGACGTAGTGTAATTTACGTATGTCTTATTTGTGATAATATCCCTTGGATCATGTATACCATAAACTTCCTGGCTTTAACAGCGATATTCCACTCATTCATAAGCCTATTTGGATATTGCTATCGGCTATTGTTACCACACCCCATCGAGATCTGCCTCGACCCTTTCGAATACGCCCGGCCCCTGTTTCCCGAGTGCTGTGCCTATTGCCACTGCATATGCACCCACAGCCCTCATCCTTCGGTAACCTGCGCCGTCTGCCACGCCTCCTACACCAATGATCTGCACATGTTTGAGATCCGGTACCGCATCCAAGAGTTGCCTTAATGTAGCCACATTGCCCAGCGCAATGGGATGAAGCGGTGGGCCAGCCATACCGCCCACGCCGGAATTAGGTAGCTGAGGTTTTAACATATCTGTACTCTCGTCCTCGAGAATCAGACACGATCCAAGCGTATTAGTAGCGGTTATGAAACTAAGAGACGAGGCGACGGGTTGTAAAGCAGAAATGAGGGTTGAAAATTGCCCGTGGTGTGTGTATGGGGGTGTCTTGACACCGATTGGCAAAGCAGGCGCATCAGGTAACCCAACGAGGTACTTGGCGAGGGCATCCCCATCATACGCCGGTGGCGGCGCGCCGCGAATGTTCGGACAGCTAAGATTTATTTCCATGGCGAGTGGGAAGTGGAGGTCCTGAGCTGCGGCCTTGATGCGTTCATAGCAGGTATGAATGTCTTGGGGCGAGCCGGTAACGCTAATAACAATCGTCTTTCGCATATTGGGTTCCTCACGAGCCAGCTGTTTGAGGAATTCCAAGTACCCATCTAGTGTGATTGGGCTGTAGCCTAAATTGTTGAGACTGGCGGTAGAACTCTCTTTGTGGCCAGCGGGGGTTTCTGGTGTTGAAGATGTGCCCTTGTCTGGTACGTTGGACCCCGGATTGAAGAAGAGGTATTGATGGTCTCCGTGCTGGTGATCGAAGCCATGAATGAGAGAGGTGCGGGTTGTCACAGCGCCTGTGGAGGGCGATAAGAGGATGGCGCGGAGATTCTCAAGACCTGTAGCCCAGGGGGTGGCCGAGTTGAGGAGCGGAGGGCTAATGCTCAAGGCCGGAGGAGACATATTGGTGATTTGGGAATTGAGACTTGGCGATGGTGAAGCATGAGAGGCATGAGAGGGTGAGGGGTAACTGCAGCAATGCAAGAGATGTTGATAAGGAGCTGCGGTTAGCTAAGCTTAGATAGCAGCCGATAGGTGATGTGCCTAATTTGGTACGCGTGCTGTGGAGATCGTAAGTTACGCTGCAGGCACTCTTCATCCGTAGGTGAGTATGGAGTATTATGATTAAATAGCGCATATTAAAGAGACGAAGATAAAACGAGCCTGTGTCATCTTATTCAGAATTCGGTCATTTATGCCGAATATTGCTATTTGCGCGACGCAAAATCTATAATTATACAACTAGAATAATATAAATTTATTGATACCTTATATTAATATAACGGACTAAAGAGAAAAGTAAATAACAAGTAAATTTATAAGCTATTCATATAGTAAAAAGTCTTAACCTAACTATCATTACAACAGCTACACTCTAACTGCTACTGCAGCTATAACGGCAGCGTTGCTGTAGCCGTTGCTCCAGTCTTTTTTTTTCTGGTGACATTACCTCATGGTTCCTCACCTCCTTCGACTTGGGCGGCCCTGCAATCTCTACGACGACCTACGGAATTACTCAATACCCCTTCTTCAATCTCCAATTGCATCAGGGTCCGTCTTACGCTATAATCGAGATAGAGATTGAGGTTTGTGCGAATATCAATGCTCTTTATTCCAGACCTAACTTGCTGCTGGCCGTCACTCGAGGTGCAGGCGTAGAGGTGCTGCCTCAGGTAACCCAGCATTCACCTGGACAACTAAAGGGAAGTCTGATTGACAAGGTAGTTTTCCACGGGATTATACGAAGACACAATCAAAACCTTGTAAATAAACACTTCGAAATATGATATGCGAATATGAGACTTGGACTGGACCCATTTTGGTATCCCATACTCTCAAGTCTCAGCATTGTACTCCAGTCTGCCCACTCTCTTCAAAGCATCTCCAACTCCTGAGTTTGGTCAACCAAATCACAAGTGCCATTACCTTCCAGCACTCACAGGTATGTTGTAGTTTAATTAATACGCGCTTCATCGTGTAGTGATAGCATCACGAGGAAAGGCACAGTGTAGCGCACGTTTCCAGGTAGCTCTCAAATCATCACTATGAATCCAACGTACGGAACTGAGAAGCTCAAATAATTCCCGAGTACTCTAGTAAGTAGTACGATGTCCGAAATCAACCGTCAACGAAGAACAAATCAAGGTGGTTGATTGCGACATCCATCTAAATATTGAAATGGGCCCACCATCGGTTGCAAGTTCGGAACCACAGATCATTCCGGATGGTGCGGCTCAGTTCTTAATCGTGCCGTTTGAAGAATGGAAGTTTAGTCCCAAAATCGTGCGATAATGAAGGTAGTCGCAGAACGCGCGGCCAGTTCCGAAGCAGGCGTAGGAATATTCCCAGACATCACGAATTAGCCCACCTCAAAACGTCTTCAATGTGAGCACTTTACCGCATTCATATATAATTATTCAGCATGACCCACTGATTAGAAGCCTCCCATGAGCTGTGTGCCGGGGCTGATTCCTTTATTGCCCGTTGTCCATAATTGGCAATGCGCTCAAGTGATGGCGCAATAGAGTGGGATGCAGTGGGATGGCCCCATGGTGCGCCAACCATTGTCATGGGGCAATGCCTCAATTCGATATATAAACCACGACGGGCCTCTTATCTCTGAAAACCATGCCAAGCTGTATTCCCATTTAAATTTTCGGCCAGCTCATTTCATGACCAGCGAGACTTCTACTACATCGACCCAGTCAATTCGTACACCAAATTAGTAGTACATACACCCCTCGGCACCATGGCAGTCAAGGAATATTCCAATGGCATTGCCCCATTGAAGGTTGCCACCATTGGCGGTGGGCCAGGAGGCCTCGGGGCAGCAATTGCACTTTCGAAACTCCAGTTTGTGGACTGGACCCTGTACGAGAAGAAATCCGAAATCAGCGAAACCGGTGGCGGCATTAGCCTACAGCAGCACACGTGGAGGATGCTTGAATGGAACGGCGCGGCCAAAAACATCAAACCGGAGGACTTTTTCAGATCGCCTGATGGGCTCGGTGGACAGCAACGGTAGGTCCATCTAAGTCGCTCATGATAATATAAGAGACTGAGAAAGTATAGGAACGGAAGGACTGGGGAAATTCTGGAGCAGAACCGCTATCCCTCCAATGTGAATCCGAAACATGTCAGCTGCCGTCTCAGACGGGCCTTACTGCAGGCAGCTCTTCTCAAGGAGGTTGACAAGTCAAGGGTTCAGGTCTCTAAGAAGCTTGTGAGGGTGGAAAAGCTATCGAGCGGCAAGGTTGAGATTACATTCGACGATGGTTACACAGATGAGGTCGATCTTCTGGTTGGAGCAGACGGTATCAGATCTGTGAGAAATCAAGCTACCTATGTTTATCAGAGCCATTCTAACAACGAGCAGTTCGTCCGGTCCTTCACCTTCCCGGAGCACAAAATCAAGTACAACGGGCAATCTGCATATCGCACCATCATTCACAGGCCCACCGCCGAAGCCATTGAGGGTATCCCCCAAGCCTCAACGTTTTGGCAAAATTTGGGGGGTCGGTACGTCTTCACTAGCCCTCTTGGTGGCGACGACTTTGAGGTCACGGCGCGCATCAGCCGACCATCCGAAGGCCAGGAGCACGTTAGCTGGGGACGGTCATTTGACTTCAACACCCTCGTCCCAGAGTATGAAGGATTCTGCGAGCCTGTTCGCAAAGTCGTCGCCCTCGCAGCCGCCCAAGGGACCACTGAAGAATTTGCCCTTTTCTCGGGCCCGCGACTAGACAGTCTAATTGCCCTGGGATCCGTGGCCCTCATCGGCGATGCATCACATCCGCTCTCCGGCGCATTCGGCGCCGGAGCCGGCTTCGCACTGGAAGATGTGTATGCGCTCTCGAAGAGCATTGAGTGGGCATGGAAGGGCGGCCGGGGCTTGCCGGCTGCGCTGGAGCTGTATGATCGGATCCGGTCGCCGCATTATGGAGACTTGTACGCGGTGCTCGATTGGTACGCCGGCATTGGAGCGGAGGTGGCGGCCGAGGGGCTTCCGGTGGACGAGGAGATTGCGCAGCGAATCAAGCGGACGACGGGCAAGAAAGGGAGCTGGATGTATCACTACGATGTGGAGGAGGCTGTTGGTGAGATTCTACGAGGATTGGAAGAGGCGGCCACAGAGTAGAATGTTTGGTCGCGTCCTCTATCATAGCTGGGTCAGTTGATGCTTAATGAAAGTTTCCAGTGTGCTACCCGATTGGCAGATCGCACCTCTCCTGCTCCTACATCCCCACGCTGCTATGTCCTTATTTTCAGTCGTAATTAGGTCTAACTACTTTGGAGGATGACTAGGTCATTCCATTCTGTATCAAACTTTCCAACGAAGGTTTCCCCGTTGGGATGGTTGCACCACGTGAGACACTGAGTTCGAAACGATGGGGATTGAGGTGCAACGGTTGGGGCAGCAGTCTGCACGTCTCAGAACGGATAATTGAGGTCACAGTACCTACCTAGGTATGGAAAACCATCACGAACCAGTCATAGCTGCCATGAAACACTTGTGCCGTGTAGCATGAGCTTTGCGAGAATACCGAGGTCCAGCTAAGCCACACGTCAGAAAAGGTTAAAGATCTACCTTAAAGTCGTCTAGGTACGAGCCGGAATGAAATCCGGAAGCACTTGGTGTGGGCGGTTCCTCGTACGGAGATAAAGCGCGAGCTGAACTTGTCAACTAGAATGCAAAACGCGCATAGGTCTTTTCAATATGAATAAGAGACATGTGAATTTTGGCACTGTCTTTACCCCGCCATACAACGTGAGAGGCAGAGAAGTTGATCCATGTACTGCGTAGGCCCGGAAGTTCGGGATCGGGAGATTACCGAATCCGAGGGCGGGCGCTTCGAGTTAGGCCATGATAGAGGAACAGGGCGCCTTGAATCCTCATCGCGGCGTCTCTAGGGTAAGCGAACGGAGCCATCACGCTGCCTCAAGTCGATGCTGGTACCGGATGGAGCCGGACGGAGGATATCGTTGTAATTGCGCCGGCGTGGGGCCACAACTGGCGCGGAAGCGGCCGAGGATTGGCGCCGCGAGGAGGTGACGTGGAGTTGTTGGGGAAAAAGTGACGAGCCGGCGGTATGCGGTGAGAAGTTGCATATGCGCATGGAGAGGTGGAATGAATGGATTGGGTGGGATGCGATGATGGGCAGGTCAATCGTGTTATGTGAGGCACTTTGGTGGGCACAGTGGGTTTGTTTGTAAATGGTTGGGACTAGGTGTAAAGACATGAGGAGACAAATAGCAATTATGTTCATGGAAGGTGCTCTTGATTTGACGTCGATACAGATGGCCACTGATAATTGAGCCAGTTCATCATGACGTCTTTGGTCGATCATTGGAGTCCATCTTCGGGATGCTACCTACCCTGTACTTGGCGCTGACAAGGGAGTGACATGATGTGCGTGGCGCGTGGTCTGGAACGGAGTCAACGGATGCACTGTGAGTGACGGACCATGTGTGCGTGCGGCACGTCTTGTGGCTGTATCCGGACTAGGTTGCGATGCTTAAGCACATTGTGAGCGCTTTGCTGAATTACGGTGAGGATCATGCTGAGTAGATGAAGGCTTCAATGCGGGTTGTTTTGACATAAGGTCATCCATGGCGGGTCATCATCATCTGAGAGTCTGTCGGCGAGGATGCAATGGGAATGTCCCCCTTTTTCTTATTCTTTTTTGGTCCCGTTCGTCGTTGGCTTGCTTGCGCCAACAAGAATGTTTCACTGCGACACTGAATATGCGTACCTTTCTGTAAGGTGAGACAATTGCATGAGGCGCCAAGCAAAGTCGGGCAAGGCCTGGGCTGCGAAAGCCACGCCACGCATATCCCAGGAACAAGTGGCTGCGGGAAAGATTTTCTGGCTGGCGGAGGAGACGCCCTGGCGGCAGGATAAAAGGGGTCTTTCGCTTGGGCGAGAAACGGGGGAAGCAAGCCATTGATGGCATTGCAACGGGGATTGACACGTCTGCAACACGTCCTGCGCATGCCTGGTTTAATCCGCACGAGCTAGAGGCAAACAAATGGGTGTCACATTTTAGGCTGGACGGAGATGAGGTTGACTTTTACCGTTCCCGGCTGGCACCGAGACGAGACGGGATGCGCAAGGAGGCGGCGGGACGCGGGTTGCGGATGACCTCCGTATCAGTGTATCACACACACTGCGTGACGTACATGTGCTTCGGGTGCCTGTGCCTTTTGCCAATTGTGCAGCAAAAGGGAATAAGAAGTCAGAGAGAGCATCTCGTCGGGTCAGCGTGGATGGATAGTACGTGGGCTCCAGGTACCCCTGAGCGCAAGCCTCTCTGCCAGGTACGGGAGCGCGTGGTAATTAGCAGACAACTGGTACCTACCTCATACTTAAGCCAGGTATGGATGGACCTTGAGACGTCCGAAAGGGGCGGAGAAATGGGCGAAGCGTCACCACCACCATGATCGGCAACTCAGAAGGCCAAGTCCAGACAGAGCCAGCTCAGTAGAGTGGTCTGGTGCTCAATAACCATCCAACCATCGTCATCTCTCGGGACTGCGCCGGTGTGGTGCCTCTCCCTACCTGTATTTCGCTCTCGCATTCCGGGGCTTCGTCAGTGGTATCGAGTACGTACCTGCGAGGTACCTCCCGTCTCTAGTGCCTTCTTTTTAGCGTGCAGTACCCACTGCTGGCCACTGTAGTCGAGTCCCAGCTCCCTGCTCCTGGCTCCTGCAGCAGCAGCACCCACCTCATCCAACGCATCCCCCATCCACTCGCAGGCTTACATCAACGCCAACCTCCTTCGCCGCATTGCTCTCCGTTTCCTCCCCTCCAGATCTAGACCGCGGCCCCGACGTCCTCTCTCCCTCTCCCTCTCCGCCTCTCTCCCTCTCCGCCTCGAGTCCCTCGTCGACGACACCCAAGCCAACGCACGCACAGCACGGCAATCGGGCTGGCGTGAGCTGAGCCGAGCGCGATGAACGCCATCCAGCAAAAGTGTCGCCCCAAGCACCAGGTCCTGGTCCTCAAGTGCTATCCCCGGACCACCAAGGGCGCCGTCGACATCAAGCCGAACAGCAGCGAGCTCAGCTACCTGCTGTACTATGCCACCAGTCGCCGCTCCAAGATCCAGAAGATTGGCGCTTTTCTCGAGAAGAAGACGGCCAGTGATGTCTGGCGCCTGCGCTTTGGGTACGTGTCTTGCGCGCATCATTCGGGTACCGACGCATCCGATGTATCCTATTCCTCCCTCGTTCGGCCTTCGCTCCGCCGACTGCGTAATTCCCAACAACCCGACACAACTCGCGACTCGCTCTCCTCGCGTTCCTTGACTCTATCGCCTTCTTACCTTTCCCCTGCTTGCGCCCTCGCTTGTGCACCAGAAAATACTGACCACCTGCCACCACAGAAATGTTCAGGTGACCTTACAGATCCTCGCTGCACTCATCGAAAAACTCCACAAAGATGTCGTCCTCATCGCTCCCTACGTCCTCAAGGTCCTTGATACCGTCCTCCGCTCCGAAGATATTACCATGATCGAGTCGTCCCTGCCCACCTTCGAGGCCTTTTGCGAATACCACGATGGCACCCAACTCTCCGCCGATCAAAATTACCTCCGCCAGTACGAAGACATTGTTCGGCTCTACACCCAGCTCGCCTCGCCCCTTCACACCCCAGGAAAAGCTGCCGTCAGCAATCCCGTTCAGATGCGCTGGAGGAATGCCGGCCTCGAGGCAATTCGCAGCATCTCTGCCGCCGACGCACTCTCGTCAATTACAGGCCGCCAGATGGATGTCATTGTCCCCCGAATTCTTGAAAACCTGTGGTCCGACAACGATGATTTCCTGGATGTGTTGCAACAGCGGGTCGAGGGAGTAGAGAAAAGTGAGCCTGAGAAGCTGATCAAGAGAAGGACTAGTGTTGCCACGGTTGACACCGCTGGGGATACGAACCCCCTTGCCATGACTGGAACTGCCCTTGATGTCGACAAGCTTGCGGAGGAGGACATTGGGGTCCTGGCTATGGAGTGCCTCAAGAGCATTTTCGTGGTTCCAAACCGCTCCCAGATTCACGGCGCCACCCTCTCGCTGTTGAGATTCATCCTCGAGCGTGTGAGCCAGGGCGATTCTGTCGTCACTCTCCACGATGACCGAGAGCGCGACAGTGGCTGGGCCATCTCCATCTACAACATCATTTCGCGATGGGCTCCTGTGCAAGACCGCTACGTTATCCTAGTCGCTGCCTTGGACACTCTCCTCCGAATCCCGATTCAGGACGAGACCATAGATCAGCAGGTGGCTCTCACGACCATGATGAGCTCTCTGCTGCGATCCGATGTGAATCTGATTGGACTTAGTGTCATGGATGTCCTCCTCGGACTGATTAAGCAGATGCGAAAGCTATTCAAGCTACGGAGCCCGACTACCCAAAGCGACGACGGAACGAGCGCCACCGACGGTGAGCAGGGCATGCACCTGCACAGCAAGCATCTCCTGGGGCGACTCGAATTATGCATCGGGGACCTCGCCACCCACGTCTATTATGCAGACCAGATTTCCGACATGATTGTCGCCGTCATAATCCGCCTGAAACCGAGCCGATCCTCAAGCACAAACTCGTCCCCCGGAGAGAAGACAGCACCAACCAACGACGGCCCTGCCGCCTCAACAGTCGAATTGGCAGAGAGCCAATCACAGCTTGACCATTACTTTTCCCTTAATGCTGGGAGAGCTTCGGCGCTTAAAGTTGTAAAGGCTATTCTCTTGGTTGCCAACCCCCAGAAGAAGCTCACTGGCAACCGGGCCCTCTCCCGAAACCCGGTTCCTCTGCATGTTTGGGAAGGTACCCATTGGCTTCTGCGCGATCCTGATGGATATGTCAGGAAAGCGTACATGGATGCCCTGGTGACATGGCTGGACCGTGAGACGACTATTGCTGATGAAAAGGCGAAAGACGAAACCCTACCACGCCCTCGCTCCTCCGTCAAGGTTAGCCGGGACCTGACGAGCTCCACTGCCCGCCGTGTAGTCTCCAGCGCCTCCAACCGGGACCGAAGTTCGAGAACAGCACCGTCGCAGTTCCTGCCACTGCTGCATCTGGTTATATATGATAACGCGCTACAGTTTGTCGAGTACGAAAACGACCTGGTCATGCTCCACATCCTTCTCACCAAGCTCGTCTTTAAGCTTGGAGTGAACTCCATCAGGCACGGTGTGCCAATGATCTATCGACTCCAGGAGGAGATCCAGGATATCGACACACCCATCCACAAAGTGCGAGTGGCCGCCCTGTGCCATGGGTACTTCTGGGCACTGACGGAGAAGTTCGACTTTGAGGCGTCTGTCGTGGGCAGGGCCATCCAGAATGAAGTGGTGCGACGCCGAAGCAAGGGATTCTGGGTCGAAGGAATCAATATTCCCCCACCTGCCACCGATCTCGTCGGAAACCCGGGTGAGGTGCGATCACAGCCTCACTGGGACGTCACCGCCCTGGAAAGAGAAGAGCTGCTACCGTTCGATGACAGGAGCTCTCTGGTTGAGTCTATCGCCGCGTGCTATCAGGATAGTTTCCGGACACCTCCCGGCAGTCCCATGTCTCCTAACCGCGGGTTCTCGGGCCCGATCCTGGGATCAACCATAAACACAGCTTCTACGCCCGATCCCGAATCGGAGTTGCCGCCTGTTTTCCGCGAGCAAATGCTGACAGACTGGTCCAGAGATGCGGCCGTCGCCATGCTGGCGTCGGCTGGCAAATCGGAATCATTGTCGGGTTCCAAGACTGGAACGTCGCTTACGAACCGGGCCCACCTCACGGTCAACACAACCGGTGTGAATGGCAACGGCAACGGCCTGATTTCTCCGTACGGAAGTCAGTTCAACCTGATGCCGTCCCAGAACCAGGACCGAGAAGGAACCGCCAAGCCAAGGAAGGGCAGCATGCGAAGTGCCATTTCCCCATCTCTGTCGACGTCTAGCCGCGGAGCCGTTGCATCGGTGGACCAGTTGAAGCAAGTCTTGTCGGGGAACCCTCCTCCCAAGACTGCTGGCCTTGCCGGTGCGGACGACGACAGCGGGGAAAGCATGGTCAGCTACGACTACAGTCCTTCAGAGATCAGCTTTAACCCACCTGCACAGGCCGAGCAGGCGATCAGTCCAACCAGTGGTCCCAAGCGGTCTAACTCGGTGGGACGCCGAGGGCCCCTGAGCGCACACCCTCCCCTCGAGGGACCACCGGACCTGCACGACGAACTCGAAGACGATGATGGAGCGGTACCCCCGGTCCCACCACTGCCAAACGTTGGCCTATTGGGCGGTAAGAAGAGCCCAATCCACATGGCGGAAGTGTCCTTCCAGGACCAGGCCATCAAGTCCGGACGGCGCAGTCTCCGCAGCCGAGGCGGAGACAGTACTCTTCCACGATCCGTTCCGTCCCAACAGGATAGCGGAAAGGGTATGGACCTTCAGGATCTCCTCCGAGGTATCGATAGCCGATCGGGCGAGGGAAGCTTGGGCAACGTGATGAGACCGCCTTACTAGTTGACGAACCAGGTGATTAATGCTGGGTGCGATGGGGGCGAGTTCAATACACGGGCGCTTTGCAGAATGGATCAGCGACACTTGGGTTGGTAATACACGGTGCTTGGGAATTTTGTACTAATATTGATTTGCGCAAGAGGAGAAAATGTCGGGTATTGGGTCATTCGTTGGGTCAGGTCAGGAGAGCGAGTACCAAGGGTCGAAGAGGTGGAGCGCTGCAGGGATGAAAGGAGAGGAGCAACAGCGACATGTTTGCATGTAGAGTAGCGACTCACTTTTTGATTTTGATTATTGGAAGAAACGCCAAACAGCAAAAACACACGGGATACTTCTTTAAGTGAACATGGCCTTGTTTTGGGTTATTTTTCGGCTCGTAAAGATGGAATCGAAGGATTTCAGATTTCATGACGGAGCGGAGTGGGACGAAGCATTCATTGTCTCGAATTAGAGCGATGTCACCTAATAACATATGGGCCAGCAGCAATTAAACAAGGCCCGAGCAAAGGTGCGTGCAGATGATGGAGGCATCACGGGCCAGTTTTGGAGGTGGACGAGATGGAGTGAGGGAAGAAGAGAAGAGACGAGCGGTCAAGGATCTCATCTCGTTTGAGTTTTGGAGGGACCACGCGGGATGGAAGAAGTCGGGCGTAAATTGTGGGAATATGTTATGGCGGTGGTGTTGTTGAGTTTGATGTGAGATGGGAGTTGGTTGGGTCATGACGATCCTATCTTCTCCCTCTGGTTTGTCATCTGAGATGTTAAGTGCTTGTGTAACAGTTGGCTGCCTTTATTGGGTTGGGGTATTGATGAGATTTGACACGACTGCCAGCATATTCCTCTGCACATAGCACCCGCATGGCATGGTAGAACAGAACAGAAGACAACAATATAAGATGGACGCTAATATCCCTATCCGAAATCAAGGCGACGGTCGGGCAGGCGGCCAGCCAAGTTTAAGCTCCAGACGCCATGCCAGGATGCCAATCTCAAATCTCCATCCCATGATCCTTTTTCCGTCTGGATCCTCTTGGCCGTTGGCCTTCACCACAACCAAGTAAGAATCAAGCCCGGCCGGTCTAGACCATGTTGAAAATACCACCCCTGCCAGGGGCCTTGGCGCCACAATCCAGACTAAGTCGCATAGTTTGAGGCTGTGTTTCATCCCCCATCGCTCATCCCGGCTGCGGTCGCTATCTTTGGCTGCTCGCCAAAGTCCCCTTTCCCAGTTGCCCAGCTTGCCACGACGTCGTGCAAGTTCCGTCCACTCCCCGTGCGTCAAGCTCATCTGTATTCTATCTATCACCGACAATTAGATTGGCTCTTGTCAAACTGCCGGCGTCGGCACACGCATGCTCCGTCACTTGACTATCTACGTAGGGATCGCCCAGGGTCCCTTTCGCCGGCGGAGGCTGTGCCCACGGGTCCCGGCAAAGGCTTCTGCCTTATTGCGGGCTGGCATCCTTGAAGCAGCGCAGTAGTGTGCAGTATTAGGTTGGGCTTGTACATGGGCTTGTACATGGGCTTGTACATAGGCTCGCAACCTCTAGCCCACTTCAGCCCTCTTCCTCTTCCCGTCCCTTCTCTCTTCTCCCCTCTCTCCGGCTTGGAACGTTGGTTCAAGGTTCTAGTTCCCGCCATCCTCAAGCCCGTACCTTTTCTCGGTTGTCGTTCCCCTTCTCGGTCCATTTTCGCCCTTCTGCTGCGTTACACGCGAACAACACGCACAAGAGGCAAACACTCCAAGCCGACGTGTAACCAGCGCCCATAGAATCGAGAGACGACGGCCGCCAAAAGTGCTAAAGGGCGTCAGATCGCCCGGCCAGAAGTGGAAAGAGGCAAAAGGGCGGCACAGATAGTTCCGCCATCTTCAGCCGGGTTTTACGACTCAGCCTCACTCAATCTCACTCGCGCCTTTTCTCGTACCGCTTCTCCCTCCACCCCCCGTCACGATTGGGTTCTGCGACTCTCTTTTTATTCTCTTCTCCCCCTTGCGAACGTGGACTTGTTGCTGCCGTTTGAGCTGGACCGTTGACGACGGCCCGCTCGCTCCAAGGGGAACCTGGGAGTCCCCGATCCCCGCCATTCTCACCACCAACGTTTGTCGGATATCGACATTCCGCTCAACCTTCCGCCATGGACCCTCACGATCCCAACTACGGCAGCCACCCGTCGCAGTCCATCCCCAACGCCGCGTACCCGGACTCGGCGTACCAGCCCAGCCATGGCGGCTCTGATAAACCGGCCCAGGGCGTCAGCTCGTCGCCCGTGATGGGGATGGGCATATCGCCCGTGTCGTCGCATCCGCAGCTTCAACAACACCACTCATACTCACCCTCGCAGCAGTCGCACCTCGCCGGATTCTCACACCAATCCTCCCCTCGCAGCAGTCGAATAGCGCCCTCACCATGGGGCGTCTCCGGTCCCCAAGGCGTCCCCATACCGACCGGCCCGCCTCCGCCCTACGACCCGACGCAACCGCCGTCCTCATACTCGCCGCTCGACAACACATCGTCATCGCACTCGCCCTCACGGCCCGCCGACTTGCATGTCCAGCCCACACCGCCGGCATCAACCCATTACCCGCCGTCGCTCTCCTCGGCCCAGTCCCCGCACCCGCCGTCGCCAAACCCCTACAGCACCGCCGGGTCCAGTTTAGAGAACGGGTCGAATAAGCTTGGTCCCATAGCCGAGGCCCGGCGCCGCAAGAAGCGCAAGGCGAAGATCTGCGTGGTGGCGCTGTGCGCAGTCATCTTGTTCATGGTTGCTCTGATCGTGGGCGTGGCGCTGGGCGTGCTCAAGGTCCAGTTTAAGGGCGGTAATGACCATGGCGGCCCTGATAACATCCAGGACTAACGGAGCCTTCCGCGAGGATGGATGTCTGGGAGGATCATGGCCTGGAAGACGAGACGTGGTGTCGGCCACGGTGCGGCTGTTCTGCCAGCCCGGTCTCAGCTCGGGCATCCCTCAATGTGTTGACAGCGGATTCGTATGATTTCTTTTTTTTGCCCGGTTTTTCAGCGTCACGGGTTTCAAAGAATGGACATGGCATGGCGTTTGGAGAGATAGATGGCGGAGCACGCTCCTTTTCTGTTGGGTCTCTTTCTTTTCTTTTACTACAAGCGGCATGGATCTGGCATTGGCATCAGACTCCCAACTAGCGAGACGCGACCAGAATAATTAAAACTACCGATAATGACACAACTAGATTATGACTTTGGATCCATCTCTGGGTGATGGCACAGACCGCACGGGCAGCACGGACAGTCCACTGTGATTAACGATGACCATTGTTGGACATTCCATTCGCCATTACTTCCTTTGTCTGAAACTCGCGGGCCTCAATGACAATTCCGTCATTGCTCTACTCTATGAGATAACACACATTCGGGGAGCCCCCCCGAGACACGATGGACACTTTGTCAGGAAGTCTTGCTTGAGAGTCCATGACAGATTGTAAGTGGCGCATCGCGGCTCACGCCACCTACGTATCATCAACAACAAAAGTCTCACCCTGTGAAGGATAACGCCTCGATGCGATGCCGCATAAACAAACAAACTCGAGAATTCACTCACTCGCGCATGATGAGCTCATCGCAATTGCAGTTTGCGGTCCAAGAGGCTCGCACTAGGCCGTCACCTGGCGAGCTGAGGCTGTCCCCCCGGATGCCAAGAAAACACCTTGACCCGGTGCGTCGGGATCATTCGTCTGGGGGCATTCCCTTGGCGGGGATGCTTCCAGCCCCGGCGCTGACATCACAGAGTGGGATTGGATCTGTTTGGGCGGATCGCTGCCAAGAGTTTGATGGGCGTTTGCCGGCAGGGTGAAGTTTTGTTGTGAATGGATGGGATCAGCGGAGGTTGGGACCAAGGGCAAGTCAGACACTGCATCTCTGTCGTCACTGGCTGTACTTACTGCACTCCACTACACCCTCAACAGCGCGAGTTCCATCCAACTCGGCCAAGTTTTCAATAGCCTGATGTCTCGAGGTCAGACGTCGGATAGTTTACTCGACGCCTCGGGGAATATCATGCACCGCAGCCTCTCGCTCCCTTGTGCACGGAGGCAAGGCCTTGCCGGTTCCGGTCGAGGGAGCGTCGGGTGATGGGTGATGGTCTCGCTTTGACCTGTTTTTGCCCTGGGATGTAGTTCTCCCTGGGATGTAGTCCTCACACCGGGGGCGGCGCTGTGACCAAAAGCTCGAAACTCTGGATGGTGGTCGATAGGGTGAGGATGGGCCCGCTCCTTGCGCTTGCGGGACGCGGGAGAGGATCCGGGACGGCACGGCAGCATCACACGTTCTGCGGATCTATCAAGCTCGCGGGGCGCAGGAGGCTATCCCTCCAGTGTGCGTGGTTGTCATTCTCGCCGCTGCGGGGAGGAGGCTATCCCTCCAGTGTCCCTGGTTGTCCTTCTCGCGGTGATGGGGTGAGACGGCGTTCCGTCGAGTAACGGTCGGGCGAGACGAGACAAGATGACTTGTCCTTTTCTGTAAAGCCATGCAACCCGGCTACTTACAGTTTCGTGCGGTTGCCTATCGGAAGCACGGCGGTCATCTGACGGTTGGTGGTGGCCTCACCTGGTGTTCTGGGCCCTTGATGGAGAATGGGGATCGCGGTCTGGACTGTGTGGAGTGGATGCTCTGAGGGTGCAGACGGGGTTGGATTGGCGAGTCGAGAACGAAGACATGGTCTCAGCCGCAAGTGGGAAACGCCGAGAATCTCTTTGTGTGTATTTTGCCTTTGCCTATGTACGGAGTACTCGATACGCGAGAGGCGAAATGGGACGTGGGGGAGAGGCCATTCTCGACGTGCGGCTGCTGCAAGGACAGTACCGCTACAACGTTGAGGCGAGGGGTAAATTGACTCTACCGAGTCTACTGCAATTGCGCTGCCCTGCATAGCAAGCGGGGGCAATGAATGACATGTGTCTTCGCATTCGCTGATATTCACCGACCGTTCAGTGACAGCTTTGCCACCGGGTGACAGCTTCTCTCGGACCGACACAACCTTGATTTCGTCCCATGTCAGTTGGTGGCTGCAAGCACGGAAGATGCCCGTTTCAGCCATTGGGTTGACGTGTCGCTGCTGCGCGGGCGTGTGTTGCGTTGCGCTTCGTTCCGGCGGCTCAAAGAGGAAAAGGACGGTTCCAATTCCAACGTCATGGATGTCATTGTTTTTTTGGAGAGTCGAGACTAGGGGGCAAGGTCTGAGGTCTCACAGCATACACTACAAAACGCAAAACACACAACAGAACACGAGGGACTCAGGGAGGCATAGGGCCTCAGATCCGAATCCGAAGCTGTGGGTGTCCAATCGGGAGCCTTGCCCGCCGCGCGCTACAGTTGCATGCTGTACCACTATCATGCTCCTGGTCTAACGCCGGCCAACAGCCCATCAGTTGACGCATCCTGACTTACAATTCACCAAGGGGCGCCTGCGGGTGACGACACTGCGCCGGCCGTCCAGCGAAGCCTGCAGCTAGAGTGTGGCAATTAGGCCGGGCATGTTGTCAAACACCTGCTGTGGGCTGTGAGGCTCCGCCGCGAGAGCCTCGACGCCCTGGATGCAATGCACCTCGGACGCCGTTGCAGTCTTTTCTACTGTGCAGCACCAGCTCATCAGTGCACCGCAGATGGCATGCGTTGCTGCAGGTACAGCAGCGCGGGCGGATGTGGCCCCCGCAAGGATATTCCCAGCAGGAGTGCCGAGCAAAAAGTAGACCGGCTGCATCGTCGGCTGTTTGGGATGAAGAGTGGCAGCTGCATCGCCTTCTCCGGCGGCGGGGGAGCTTCAGGCGAAGGGGTTTCCTACTTTCTCCTTGCCTCTATTGCGAAGAGGAGGGAGGGTGCGAATACGAAGGACGAGAGGAGAGACATGGAATAAAAAGAAAAGAAAAGAAAAGAAAAGAAAAGAAAAGAAAAGAAAAGAAAAGGAAAGTGAAACGCTACTGATGGAACACGCAACGCAACGCAACGCAACGCACGGGGAAACATGAGAAGTGAGGAGAATCGGACCATGCGTTGGCCTCTGTACGCAGTTCAGCTGCAGTGGCTGTAGCGGTAATCCTGTGGCGGTTGGAGGGAGGGGAAAGGTTGGGGAAGAAGCAAATGCCGGCTTGCACGCCCTGCGTTGTCCATTATGCTCGGTAGATGTGTGTTTTGCTTTTGCCTTTTTTTGCTTTTTTGATGCGCTCTGCTCACCGTTGTTTGTTTCTTTCTCCGACTTCTTATCTAGCTAGCCCTCTTCAGTTTCGAGTCGCAAGCCCCCAATGTCATGCAGCCATTGCGGCCTTGGAGGAGAATGAGGCCACGCCCTAGACCCTCGGACATGTAAGATGAGATGAGATGAGATGAGATTTCTTCTCCCCCTCCCTCTACGATCCCATCGTGGCCATTTTTTTTTTACCGCTACGGGCTGCACGTGCCAGCAGCTGTCGTGGACCTTACAGCTGCAACGAGGCCAAGATGCGCAGCGCAGTCGGCCTCAACGGAGCGGGCAGAGTCAATGCAGGAGAGGAGACGGGGGGGCTGAAGACCATGGTCCAATGCAAGGTGTGGAGGATGATGATGATGATTGTTTCTTCTTTTCTTTTATTTGCTTTGTTTCTGTCTCGAGAAGACCGTCACTACGCCCCCCATTTGCCCGTCGACATCCGTTGATACACCATCCGATCCACGGCGACGGCGACCGTCTCCGTCCCCGCGCTCGAGCGGGCACGGTCCTATTCGCGGCGTTAAGCATAGGCGCTGTCTTATTATTCACGCCCGCAGTGCAACATCTCGAGAAGATCAAGTCTCGCCTGGCCAGGCTGGAATATAGACTATTATGTTAAGTTATAGAGTAGGGTCCGACCGAAGGGGGGGGGGGCAGTGCGAGACCTGCGACACTGCGGTGCGGTGCGGTGCGGTGCGGTGCGGTGCGGTGTTGGTACGGGCGAGGCGACGTGTTACCTCCCGACGGACCGAGTACAGAACGCAGCTCGAGGATTCGTGGATTGATTCGGTTGATCGGTTCACCTAAGCTCCCCTCACCTCCCCCCCCCCCCCCTAAGCTTTCCCAAAAGCTCCCAAAGCTCCCATCCTCGCCATGTGAACCCCCTGTCGCTCACATCCCCCGATCCCGGCTGTCTTTTTTTCTGGGTGCCTCCGATCCCAAATATTCCTCGATCCCGGGCCCTTGTCCCTTGCCTCTGCCACCCCTCGTGGTGCCCTGGATACGTGGTTTCCTGTCTGACCAGAGCTGTGGTTTCGCCAAAAGAAAAACCCGGCTGCAAGACGAAAGAACAGAGACAGAGAATAAGAGAAAAAAGGCCCAATGCGCGGCTCCAGTCCGGCCATGTATATTCCAGCGGGATAGCGGGACAACCGGACGCCTGGGGACTCGGACTCCAGCTGCTGGCTGCCACGCTACGAAGCCTCCGGGGCAGTATCCCGCCGGACCCCGTCCCCTACAGGCTCCCTGTCCTCCCCGGGGGTGCTGTCCGCTGGGACGGCGTTCACTGGCCGGCTCTGGGTCCCTGTACGTACGCACATGCCCAATATAGCAGTACCACCTGGAAGCCCGTCTGCCAGGGGGATCCCTCCCAATCCGCGTGTCCGGGCCTCCATTGCTGGGCCTCCATGTCAGCTGTCGTCCGGCCTGTCGTCCGGCGTCCCCTGTGGCACTCGAGCGGCGGGCGAGCCGGGCAGGGACCAATTGCAGCCCACGCTGTACCGTGGCCTTGGGAGCGGGAAATGCGAAAGAGGAGAAGGGCCTTTGAGGAGGGAGGGCGGGTGTCCGCGGGCGATTGGGATTGGGCCGAGGGAGTAAATTGTCCGACTCCGTTGCTTTGCCCATGCCGTGTTCCGCCGGTCAAGGAGAATCTGGGCTTTGGGATGTGACTGGGCGGCGTTGTTCTGGATGGGCTAATGTCTAGGTCTGTCTGTCTAGGTTCTTGTATGGGCCAAGGCCAGTGGCCCACGGCCAGTGGTCCATCGGAGACGGGTCTGAAGGTTCACAGTGGGACATCAGCGGTATCAGCATCAGTAGCCAGTAGCGTGCAAAGCGGTGCAGCACAGCGCAGCACACAGATGCATGTCCATGCTGGCCAAGTTGGTACCTGACATTGACACTCCACCGCACCGGCAAGGACCAGCGGTTGCCTGCCATGCCATGCCATGCCCTGGGCATCTAGGACCCTGGGAACAATGGCCGGAACGGAGAGTTGCTAGAAGCCGCCTTACACACACACACACAGCATACGCTTGGATGGAGAGCTACTATTAGTCCGCTCCCTCGCCCGGGAAACTGGGCTGGGGCTGGACTGGGCTGGGCTGAGCTGAGCTGGAGCTGGGCCTCGACTTGCTCGCTTCCGCCTCCAGCACCGAAAACTTGTTCACCCTCGCGCTCGGCCGGCCGTTGCATGCAATAACCCTGGCACCGCCGTCCAACAGCCGGTCGGGCTCGTTGGCCGACAGGAAAACAAACCACTGAGGCAAGGAAGAAGGAAAGACAAGGGGAAAAAAGAAAGAAAAATAAATAAATAAGACGTATCCGCGTACGGATACGGCCCGTGTACACCGAGCACCCCTTGAGCTTCGGGATGCTAGACTGTCGCAAGCAGAAGCAGGTCAGCAACAAGCAAATGTATCAGTCCGTCAGTTCAGTCACCCACGCCCTGGGATACGATGGCCTCCGATGGAACCCCCCTAGGGCCTCTCACTAAATGGCGACAAGCCTAGACCAATCCGCAACCAAAACCAGCCCTAGCAGCTCCCCTTCAAAGCCCCCCCGTACTCCGTATCCCGGGAGAGGATCCTCTTTTTTTTCTTTCTTCGTTTGCTTTCCTTCTGGGCCCGTGAATGCGATTGCCTTTCTTGCTTGCGTATTTGCTGCCCTGCTGCGGCTTTGGTGCGCCGTTGCTCTTCGTCCCCTTGTCTCGTTCCCCCTCCGCCCGCCCCTCCGCTCCTCGCCCAATCCATCCCGGCCGTTTCTCGTTCGTTGCTCGCCCTCTCGCCCTCTCTCTCTGCTCTGTGTATTTTCCACATCTTTCTTCTTTGGCGTGCTCCGGACCTCGTCTTGCTCACAGGATCGGATCCTCTCTCGTTTGTTGGCTCGATCTTCGACAGTTGCTGTGCTCTTACTCGGCGCTCCGTAAACACACACCCCTCCTCTCTCCACTTCCTTTTTTCTCTCCCGTCTCCCGTGCCCCGTCTGCCGTCTTGTCTCTCCCCCGTTCTCCCCCGTTCTTCACGCCGTCGTCCAGTCGTCCACCTTTCCTTTCCTTTCCTTATTACAGGCAACCCCCGCCGGGCTGGGTTTTGCTTTTCCCTTCTTGCCTCACGCCTCTCCTCGCGCCTCTCGGGCCTTTGTTGTCACCACTGCGCTCTCTTGTCTCTCGTCTCTCGCCTCTAGTCTCTCGCCTCTAGTCTCTCGTCTCTCGTCTCCCAACCGTCTCAGCCTCCGTCTCCGTCACGGTCCCCTTCCGAGTCTCTCACGGCCCCCTTCCGAGTCTCTCACGGTCCCTCTCGAGTCTCTCACGGCCCCCCTCCCATCGTCTTGGCGCCTCCGCTCTCTCCCCTCACCCCCCTGCTGCGTGGATGTTATAGAGTGCCTTGCCCACCTTCTTCTTCCCCCCAAAAGACTCTCCAGTTTTCCCCCCTCGTTACCATTGCCAGGTCTCTCGTTTTCCCGCCGCGAGTACTTAGTGCATCGAATTCTCCGATATCTGCAAATCGTCGCCCTACCCAGAAAGCTCGCTGTCCGGCTAGTCTGGCTCCCCCGTCCCTCAGCCCACTTTAGCCTCAGCGCCGTCCAACCCGGCCTCCAGACTCTCTGGTCGCGGAGTTCTAGAACACCATCTCCAACACCTAGCAAGCTCTCGATCGACATCCCTTTAGGGCCCCTCCTTGCAACTTTAGGTCAACCATCCGCTGTCGGGTCACTGTCCACCCACTGTCCACGGTCCCTCGTCGCAGTTCCCACCCGCTAAGAAAGCCACCATCGACCACCATCGACCATCCCTCCCTCCACCTTGACGACGACTCTGCACTACGGAGGCCTTTTCTCCTGCCTACTACTACGTAGTGCCCAACTTATCTGTCTCCCCTCCACTCCCGTCTCCTCATTCTAGCTTGCCACAGCCTGCCAGCTTGCCCTGCCTACCTTAGTTGGTCGGTCATTGCCCTCTTTTGCCCTCTTTTGCCCCAAAACTCTCGCTCCAGATCAAGCCGTGGCGGCGCCCGCCCAACGATTGACCCTGTCCGGCACTGGCTTTACCGTCCTACGGTCCCCACGGTTCCACGGGCTTTCATCCCATCTTCATTCACATCCACTTCCGTCCGCACCGCATCTGCATTCATCGCTTGTTTCTCTGCTCCTCTACGCCTCTTCTTCCCCCCCCCGCTTCATTACGACAATACTAGGCTAGCCGCCACGCGCGCTTCCCACTTCCCGGTCCGAGGAAGACGCTGGAACTCAAATCCAGGATCCCAATCCAGGCATTCTAAGCCCGACTCCCTAGTGCCTCACTGTTCGCCTTGCCTCGCCTTGCCTCGCATTGCCTCGCCTCACTTAATCGCCGCACCTCTTCTCATTCTTGCATCTCTCATTCTTGCATCTCTCATCTCTCCGCTCACATCTCACCCTCGTCCTCTCCTCTCCTCCCTGGCTGGCATCACCCCTGGACTTTGGCCCTCATCTGTTTCCTCTCCGTGTCGATCTCGCCTTTGTTGTGACACAAGCCCCGGCCCGCCGACGACATAGCCGCGTCCCCCCCCGGACCTCCGATCGACAGTCCTTTTGTCTTACGCCGTGATCCTGCGACAGTGCATCCGCGTCCGCCTCATCCTCAGATATCACTCCGCCAGACGACCCGTCCCATTGCACCAATTCGGCCGCCGCCTATTGCCTCATCACTGCGTCGACCGCCCGTTCCGAGACCTCTTCCCGGCTTCTTGTCAACTTTTTGTCAATTTCTTCTCCACGCTTCTGCCCATTGACCATCGTCGCCCATTGTCCAGCTCATCCTTGCCCAGGAATCTTCCTTTTTCGCTTCTGATCGCGCTCTGGAAGCATCGACTACTCACTCTACGGAATCTACTTTCCCCACCACGAGGCATACGGACGCTCCCAACGGCGCCACAGTATCATCGCCTCGTTCGGTTCCTTTCTTCCCTCACACCGTCACATCGTCACAGTAGCCGTCATCATGCCCCGGCACTATGCCTATCAGCCCAGGTATGACATTGGCCATTCTTGCTCTTCCACCCTCATCCCAAAAAACATTTTGCTAACTCTTTCCGTCCACAGTCGTGAGCTACACGTGGTAGTTCTTGGCGCAGGTCCGTCCATGCCCAACCCAACTCTGTCTCCCTTATTCTCATCTTTATTTGCACTTGGCTGACTCGCTCTCCACATTTCAGGTGGCGTGGGTAAGAGTTGCTTGACTGGTAAGTTGTCCTCTTCTCCACAACCACACAACCTCACAAGCGCCGGTTCTCCATCTTCCTGCAGAAGCTCACATGGCCGACAGCCCAGTTCGTGCACAACGAGTGGATCGAGAGCTATGATCCCACCATCGAGGACTCTTATCGCACCCAACTCCAGGTTGATGTAAGTAGTGCCGCACTCGTGCCAGACTGCTGGTGCCGCGCCACATAACCTCCTGACTGACTCGCTCTCGCAGGGGCGCCAAGTCGTTCTCGAAATGTGAGTCTTCATCCTTGGTTCTCCCGCTAGCTCGCTTCCATGGCCGCCGAGACTGACTCAGCTTCCAGCCTCGACACCGCGGGGACCGAACAATTCGGTAGGTCTTTCGTGGCCCAACAACTAGTCTCGCACCCTCGTACTGACGATGGACCAGTCGCCATGAGAGACCTATACATGAAGACCGGCCAAGGGTTTCTCCTCGTCTTCAGCATCACCTCGTCCTCCTCATTGAGCGAACTGGCCGGTCTGCGAGAGGAGATTATCCGCATCAAAGACGACGAGAACATCCCAATTGTCATTGTAGGCAACAAGGCCGATCTAGAGGAAAACCGTGCTGTGCCCCGAGCCAAGGGCTTCTCCATCTCGCAGCGATGGGGGGCGCCATACTACGAGGCTAGTGCCCGAACGAGGAGTGAGTTCCCACAACTTGGCCCGGCTTCAAATTGGCCCGCCCCATCATATCGCCGCATTGGGAACTGACAAACAACCGCAGCAAACGTCGACGAGGTCTTCATTGATCTCTGTCGGCAGATGCTGCGAAGGGACGACGAGCAACAAGCCCAAGGAGATGGAGACGACGGGTACAAGTACGACGTGGGAGGTTCGCAGAAGAAGCGCCGTCGTCGCCGAAGAAAGGACTCACCCCGATGCGCGATTCTGTGAACGTGACGAATGATGTTTGAACAACGACCAAGGGATGGCATGCGAGCATCAAGGTGTTTTTGACTTTTTATTTCTTTTTCTAGTTATGACTGTACGGGCCTTGGCGACAAAAATCACTTGCACCAACAAAGACGAATGACTTTTAGCAACACGAAAGGGCCTCGCGGTCCGAGAATCACGAAAACACGACTGTACCAGCAGACAATCGACACGTCAAGTTTGGTCGAACGGGGAAGCGCAACACAAGCGAATAGAGAGCTATCGGATTCAACGGTTTTAGTTTGTATCCCCACAAGCAAGTCGTGGTCTTATTGATTGGGGGAGCTCTGGAGCAACGAGCCCCGACTCGGAATTTGGCCAGATGAAGAAAACGGGCCACAACCCCCTACTTGTATAGGCACAAAAAGAATGGCGTCGATGGCGTTGGGAAGAAGACTCAGGGACATGGGTCAGGATATCATTGTTTTTCTGGATATTGGATGTTTGGGTATTACCCCCGGTCGACTTTGGGCCCGCTGAGGAAATGGTTTACTGGATGACGACGATTGAATCGAAGCTAGAGGACTAGACTGGACGAGTCTGAGAATCAAACACCGATCACGATCAACCCTGTAACCCAGCCGTGACCGTGTGATTGCACTAACACCATACAACCTATATGTGTTGCAGATATGTGTGATTCAACTGCATGGAAGGAAGATCACGCCACCATGTTGGTGGCTAGTCATGACCAACCAGATGCATCCTGGAGACCCAAATCCTCCGAACTACGGTTATTCACCAGGTATTACTCCACGCACTCCCTGTGCCGGCGGACGAATACGAAGTTTCAATCGCTCGTTGGTAGGGTCCGCGAGTCGAACTTTGCTCTCGGCGGAGCGGCACGGCGCGGGTCCACATATGTGCTTCAAACAAGGGAAGTGTAAGTCTGGGTTCTGCAACCTTGTAACTTAACGAGTCTCTTTTATAGCTGGTCGCTTAGTAGGTTTTTTGGTTGTTGGTTGATCCTGTAGAATATGTTTCCAGGGTCTATTTCTTATGGCGACATATATTGCAACATTTTCGGTTTCCAATCCCGACCTCTGGTCTCAGCTTTTGGATGACGAGTCATCTTTGCTCATTCGCCGTGGCGGTGCGTCTTGGAGGCCAACTCGCGTGGCACACATCGGGTGAGGTTACACTCACTTTCTCCGGAAGATGCCCCAGATATCTCCCAGCATGCCCAGCCAACCCCTCACATTGCCCACGGTATTCAACAGGTAAAGATAGCGCTTCACAAACGAGTCCACGTGCTCGTAGTCGTCGGCGTAGCACTCCCAGATGCCCCGTCCCTGGCCGTCGCCCTCGCCGTCCGCAACGGCCATGTCCTCCTGCTCCAGCCCGTCCACGCCGCGCGTCTTCATGCGCGGGCCGATGACGAGGGACCGGCCTGCGACGGCCTCGTCGGCGACCAGCCGGGTCGCGGCGTCCACCACGTCGGCGACGGTGGCGGCGCCCGCGCTGCCGGACAGGAAGATGGCCTCGGTGACGGGCGGCATCATGTGGGTCTGGGCCGTGTAGAAGGGCGCGACCATGTTGACGCGGATGCCCCTGAGGTACGACGTGGCGCGGAGCGAGCGGAAGAGGCCCAGCACGGCGTGCTTGCTCATGGCGTAGTGCGTCTGGCCCGGCAGGGGCATGATGGACGCCACGGAGCCGATGAGCAAGAGGCAGCGGTCTGGCCGGGGGTTGAGCGGGAGATAGTACAGCGCCAGGTGCGTCGTGAAGGTGGCCCCCGTGATGTTAACGTCGAGGGTCGCCGTGCTGGGCTTGGGGAGCTTGCCGTTGACGAGCACCGGGTTCTCGAAGATCTTGGACTGGGCCGGCTGGATGATGCCCGCGTTGGGCACGACAATGTCAATGGCACCGCTGGGGCTCACGCGGACGGCCGTCTCGAACAGGCTGACCTGCGAGTCCCAGTCCGTCACGTCGCAGTGTTGGTAGGCGAACGTCGCCTTGGGATAGCTGGCCCGCAGCGAGGCCACCAGCTCCTCGCCCTCGGCATCCGCCAGATCGCCAATGACGACGTGAGCGCCCAGCGATGCCCAGCGACGCACCATGTGGGCGCCGAGGCCCTTGGCGCCGCCGGTGATGACGACCGTCTTGTCGTTGACCGTGGACGGGTCGTAGGGCTTGGTGACGTCCACGGGCGGTGACTGGCGGATCATCTTCTGGATGGCACTCATCGTGGCGGGAGCTTAAGCTGGAGCTTTGCTTCGCGGTGATGAGAGGCGAATGGGCTGCTGGTATACGAGCAAAGACGTTGCAAAGTCGAGGTTTTCGACGCTCCAGCAGCTGAAGGGCGAGCTGTGCGCTGACGACGAAGCTGTCCAATATATCGGTGGGGCTTTCACCGTTCAGGCTTAGTTTTACACTAGTGAGGATCACAGATCAATAGCTTGATGGAGTGGATAGCACTAGCACGGGTGTCAAGCTGGCGATGACATTGCAATTCCTCTCGTGGCTTTTCTTGATTTTCGCATATACTCGATGGCATTTTCACTCACACGACGAGGCGACCGGCACGTCCCGCTTAAAATATAACGGAGATCGACGGCCCTGTTGAGCGTCTTCTGACCCCCACTTGGGTCCACCTAAGCTTGAGCTGTTAGACGACGATCCGCCCCCACTCTCGGGGCAGTTTTTAGCACACTGTAATCACGGTATAAGTAAGGATCTAGGACAGTCTGAGTCAATAAACAACGCCCAGGATACATTATATGTAGAGAACACGAGCTGAGTCAATCTGCCAAGATTGCTGGATCGGATATTTAACCTATCTCTCCCCCGCCAGTGGAGAAGGGGAAACTCCAAGAGCGTGTTGTAGTCTCGAATTTCCGGCGTCACAGTGAATGCCACCCATGGGGACGAGCCATCTTGCACCCAAACGCCTGGTCTCCATAGCTGCTGTGGTAGTCGTGGCCGAAGTCGAGGTGGAGTTTGTCATCGAAGGTGTGATTGAAGGTATGGTCGAAGACGCGGTTGAAGGTGTAGTCCATGTATTAGACCATTACACACAAGATGCCACTCGCTAGCTATAAATGCAGCACTCCTTTGTTGGCTCGGCAAAGACGCGTGTCGCTTACATAGCGAGACTCCTTTTGGAAACTACCGATTTTATGTGGCTGCGGTGGTCGTTGTCGAAGTTGTCATGGAGTCTGTGGCCGTGAACAGCTGGTTGCATTAGTTGAGGTCGTGGAAGTGTTAAGCTAATATCCGACGTTGACAAACTAGTCGAGTCAGATTGGCTGTGAGCGGGCTTTCATGGCCCGGCGGTAGAAAATGACGCCTGAGCGAGAAGCAGGGACACCGCAATAAGCAATAATTGGAAATGCATGGCGGAAAACTGAACAGAGTGATACACAGCAGACATCAAAGAACAAGAGCCTGCACGCCCACTCTATATAGTATTCAACAGAAGTATTGTTCATCTCTTCGACCAAACTCCTAGACTAATTTTTAAGAATTATCGAATTTTCGTACTCCAGCTCGCTTCCCGTCTCGGAGGCAACTAAAGCTCGCAGTTAACATCATCCTCATTCCGCCCTGGCAGAGGAACCTCGAACAGGGGCTGTATCCCCTTGCTGTTCCGGTCAGGCTTCTCCTTTCATTTCGTTGGCGGAGACTGGAAGACCTGGTCATTCTCGGACATCATTCTGCCGTTATTAGACAAGTCGTGAATAAAAGCTAGCAACATAGGGTTAATTACCAAGCCCCAACTTTGTTTTTCGAGACGAAACTCGACCTTGTATTATCCATATAAGCTTCACCCTGAACTCCGATCATCCATGCTCGCAATGGAGACTGTCAATTTGGACTCGTGTCCTGAGCTGAACTCCTCCTAAAATCTGCTAGCACCCTACATGTGTAATATCAGACAGGCCACCACTCGAACGAGAGTCTACTAGGTCCGACCTAATTGTCAGACGACGTCGCCCAAGTTTTCGCCGGCACTGTCGGATTCCAAGATTCAAGTCGTTCTCTAATTCATCACCAAAGGAATCCTTCAGCGTCCATAGCACAATAGTTGATGGTCCCCATCCACTCTTACCCCCTTCGTGAAATACATTGCGTTGTTGAGCCCCTGGTTGATGTGGATACAACACAAACCTTGCGATGCGGATGACTACAGCTTTGCCTTCAATCTTAGACTGCGTGCCGACGGCGATATCGATGTACCTACAAAGATCCACAATTGCTTCCGTAGCTCTTGTCGGGAGCTCCGCACTTGCGTCAGTGTCTTCGTTCCCGAAGAAGTCAGCAAGGTCGGCTATGTCAAAACCTCGTCGGTGTTGACGCACTGGTGGAGATAGAAAGACTCAGGCTGGGCTTGCAGGTCCCTTGGCGAAGAGAAATAGTGCCAGGGTGAGATGTAGGACAGTACGATGGAGGATGGTCCGAACTACTTGGTCGAGAACTGAACAGCCGTGATCACGACAGATAACGAGGAGGACGCAGCACGTAAGTTATATAGCACGTATACGCCAAGCTTAGACAGCCAAGAGACGCATCATCAATCTCGTGAGACGATGTATTAGGACTATCATTGAGAACTGTCGACTTTTGTTGTTCTGCCTCATCGCTATATATAGTGTCGTTTATAAAGCAGCTGATACAAGAACCAGACATACACACTCTGTGGAGGATCCTCGATCAGGAGCATGCTACAACTCCACTGCGTATTATTGGGAAAATCCATGTCCAGCACCTCTTTTGGCATTCGCTAGAAGCCATCGTATCCAATCATACCTGAGCCAATGGCCGATATTTGACAGTCAACTGTAGTCCAAAATTCGTCGGTACGATCTGGGCAGATGGAGTGAGGCCGGACGGCATAGACGAATAGAGTGTACCAATCCCCGTCAGGGTCCGAACTGGTTGCCGCTGTATTTATTGGCATGCCAGCAACCAGGCCCAGCATTCATTTTTGAGCGCAGAAAGAGGAGGCGGGGGAGAGAATGTGAAAACTTGAGAGCTAAATTCGCCCGTGTTTCGACTGGGAATCCCTAAACTGTGCGGTCTTTGATCGTCTTGTCTCCATCCAAGCAGGATCTGAAAGCAAACACTTACGAGGCACACGCCAGTTCCATTGTGTACTGTTTGCTGGCATCAACCCGAAGCGCGAATGAAATGCCGTTACCTTCCCTACCTTCAATCTCACCGCCATCTAGCTCTTCACACTATGCTTACTCCCTCCCCTGCCTGTCATCTCTTACCACTAATTAGGCAAAAGGAGAACAAATCCGATTCCCGGGAATCAACGGCTTATGGTAAGCACTTAATGATTAGGTTTCGGGTCAACATGGTTTTCGCCAGGGTTGAAAATTTCACGATTCCGAAAGTCAAACCCCTCCATACCGTCGCAGTTTAACATCTTGACCTAGGCAAAAAAGGGCAACCGTCTGAAGCGAATCAACACAGCAACTCGGCAATTGTCGAAGCTTTAACTTCTAGACCACTAGGTCTCAATTCTTTTTGGGTCATCCGTGGGCCTGAGCCGTCGGCATGACCCCTTTCTTGCCTCTTTGTGTGACATGTTTCTAATGTGATCTATCATTCACAAAAACTCTTTTGACGAATCCGGTATGGCCGGAACTCATGATCAGGTCGCGATACTGACTGGCCAGCCAGGTTTTGAGAAGCCTGCTTCCAGTGTCAGGCGACCGACGATCTGCCCTTCGCTTCTTGGCTTCTTTCAATCGAGAACCCCAGGGGATGAATATCATCATTGGTGGAGTTTCCAATCTCGGGAAGTCGTCAAGAGGGTGCCATTGTCGTCATTGTTTGATCCAGGCACCTCTCAGCCACCTTTCCACGCCCATTGCGCCCAAGCCAATGGGTCGAAATATCCTGCAGAAGGAATGCGCTAGACGGTCTGCTGATGGGCGCCCGGGCGGGAAAATTGTCAACAAAGCGAGGTCTCAGTTTGCTCCGAGGAACGGCCCGACGATGGGAGTCATCAGATGAGCTTCGCCTCGTCATTCACGGGCAGTTTCACAGCAGCGAGTCGGATGATGATGTTCAGACAATAATGACACAAATCCGCTCAATGGTGTCAGCAGACGCTTGCCATAAGCGCGCGGTCTGTGGAACTGGAACAATCCGACTTTTGTGGCGTTGTATCCTCCCTCGGTCTTGTCTCGAGACCGTGGGGAGGTAGCCAAATGTGCGAGGGCTGAGTTCAGTGCATGTCGTAGCGGGAGAGAAGCTGACTGAGGTTGTGGGGAGCGAATCAGGTGTTGCATTGTCAGTACTTTGCGGCTCGGGAAGCCAAATGTCGGGTAACATATTAGGACTAACGGCTCTTAGGACCTTTCATGTATCATGTCGCAAAGCTCCGAGACACCTGTGGAGGACCGCCTGTCCCCGCGTCTAAAACGCCATCGTCTCAGCGCACGCGATCACGCTGGGCGATCACCTTTCCCATTTCCCCGACAGATAGCAATCTCAGGCCTCAGGCTCGAGGAGGTGAGGTGGGATACGTCACATGAGAATCTGTGAGGCGTCGAGCGCTGTGTCTAGAACGGCGGACCGGGGCGGAGTGGCTGTTGATGGGCGGCGGACCGGCAGTCTGCGAGCGTCTATCAACGGCTCCCGAGAGCTGCGAGTATCAACGTGTCTGCCACACGCTTGCGCTGGAATAGGGTATAGCAATGGCACATCATTTGCCGCCGAACGCTGGCGTTCTCAGGGAGCGTGCTAGGAAGCGTGCTGGGTGAAGAGCTCGGGGGAGGTGGTGGGTGAATAACGAGCTGGTATTGGATCATCTGGATCTGCTTACTCCCCGACACCAAGCTTCTGCTCGGGCCCTGGTCCCAGGAGAGCCAAGTGCCAACGAAGCCAAGTAGGGGATAGGCTATTCCCGGCGGCCAACAGGCTGGGATGCCGGGGCCCGTTTGCCATGGACGGTGGACCACCCCCAGAGCTTACAGACGCCTTGGGCTGGGTCGCTCGTTAAGCCCACCTCATTGGCGCGTGGCCAGGGGAATGGGTGGGAGGGGGGTGATTGATCCCTGGCCAGATGGGAACAAGTGAGGAAGCCGTGTCGACGCCTAGGCCGAAGAGACTGATAAGCCGATTGGAACCAGCGGGGGCGACGCCAGGCGAGAAGCCACAAAGGCGGATGTACTTTGTACTCTGCGCATACTGGCTGAGCATATCATGATGCCAACGGAGGGGTGGAGGCCAGCGCTCGGAGGGTGGAGGCGGAGGAGGGGAAGGAGGGGGATCGACCGAGGCCTCTGTGGCCGGGTTTTGCTGGTCTTGATAACAGAAAATGTCCGTGAGCAGGGTGGGATTCATGTGGTGCAGAATGCAAACCTAATAAGAATGGGGAATGTTGAAGAGATTGCGCAGAACGTAAAGTGAAGTGGTGGTGTTGCGACGTAGAGACGCGGTTGTAGTCGCCAAAATCACGTGCGTGCTCATTCAAGCTGGAGGGCCTGCACAGGGGATGTGCAGTTCGTTGTCGTTGCAACGCCGCCTGTTACTCACTTCCGGCCCGGACAAGTTACCATGAAGGTACTATGTTGGGAGATCGTGTCGATGCGCGATGGTGCCTGGCTGAGATATGATGGTGCTCTGGCCAAGGACCGGCCAAGAAGCACATGGTTAGACAAGCTCGGGGCATGAGTCCTGTGGCGCCTTGAGGCGTGGTTTGATAATACGTAGCGGTGGTAGCAGCGGCAATGGAGCACAGCTAGCAAAGTACTTACAATGGGCGACGAGATTGTAGCGATATGCCATCGAAGGTGGTTGGCGGCTCATGCCATATCATTGCTCACCTTCTATCCACCCATCCCGTCTCCTCCGGCGTCGACGACGGCTGCAATGCATGTGGGCGCTCTCAAAAGAAACGAAACCGGCGCTTGCCTGTTCCAGTGCACCGCATCCCCATAGGTGACGGGACAGCAGACAAGTCAAATGATATCGTCACGCATCTTGTCCCGCGGACCAATGGGCTAATGGCCGCAGGGGACGGAACGCTGTGCCGACTGAAGGGATTGGGATAATGGAGATCCAATGGGGGCCGAGTATCGACGGCCCAACGCCAAAGATGAGGCAAAGACAGGGTACCCAGGGCGTAAAAGTTCCTGCACCTATCTCTACTACGTAGTATGTGCGGAACGCTCCTCAAGTGACCAGCAGAGTTAGGGGCTGGCCAAGGTGGTACAAAAAGCACTGGTTCATGGGGGAAAATGACCTGGGCGGACATGGCACAACTGGCCAATGTGCATGAAGCAGCCGACGAAAAAAGAAATTCGTCATTGGAGGCTGTCGGGGCAGAAGACGACAGACATCCTAGCGGTTACTCTACCCTTGTCTCACATCACATCATCCCTGAGACGTGAGACGTGGAATGTGGGCGTGGGAGGAATGTGGGATGTGGGATGGGGTCCAAACGTGGGAGGCTCTCGAGCCGAGCCGCCGACGAACAAATTTGATGTCTTTGCCCTCTCTTGCCGACTGCGTAAGTTTCGGTGAGAACAAGTGAAGCAAAAATATCACTAGTCACGCCTTCAACCACGTAACACGCCACGGTTACTCGGAGTATAAAATGGGCTGAAACCTAACGCTGAAGAAAACGCGCGGCGCACCTGAGGCGATACGAGCCACAGGAAAGTGTGTTGGTGCCAATTACTGGCTTGGAATGCCTGGCCTGCTGGTCAATTTAAGAAAAAGAGTGACGTTTGGGGAGAAATGGATTGACTGACGGATCTCTCCCCGTGTCGCACCTTGTACGCACGTCCCGCCGGGTCAGGGCAGACTGGCTTCGGGCAGCGGAAATCATTCCGGCGCATTCTAATTAGACCGACCTTCAGGGCGCGATGTACGGCATCGGTGTGTTCACGGACGTCGTTTGAGGTTTAAAAAAGAGCATTGCCGTTCGGACACATGCAGCGATTTTCGACACGCAAGTACATGCTCAGATCCTAAAAATAATGATCAACAATGCACCTAATACACCGGTTTAGAAAACAACGTTCTTACAACCCCAAGTCTTTGGTATTTGTCAAGTTGGATTTATTATCACAGTTGCCTGAGAATGTACCTTTTGACTGCGCATCCTAGGTACATTGTTGTGCCTGACGTTTAGCTGAAGAGGCTTGTACCTGTGTGCGAATAGCATGATGTATGGGTGCGAATAGTAATAATCTTCAAAAAAGAGTTCAGCCGGTGCTTCGGTTCTGTTTAGGTTGGAGAAACGTCGCATCGGTTGCAGAGCACGGGAGCGACGGGAACACACAATATTTTCATGTGCGAGAACGAACAGCCGAGAGCGGCTTGAACAAGGGGACATGGGCTTGTGAGACCGGGTCAGGCTGCTTCCCGAGAACCTATGCCCTGCCATGCAAGGCCAAGGGGGGCATGGGCCAAGACTTGGGTTCCAAGCAACCTGCCGGGGAGTTATCCGCCGTTCGGGTACCCAATTATTCGACATCTTGCCGGGGCCAAGGCGAGAGAGTAGGCTCGATTTTCGTAGCCGCGAAGTTCGGGAATGTAGTCGGCCGACTTGCATAGACACGCTTCCTGGGCTTTGTGTAACTCGACTACTGATGGAACACTGAAACTCGAAACACCCAAGCTATATTCAGGTCAACGTCAACTTGCAGGCAGAAATTAGAATGAGACGCCAGCAGCCGCGGCAATCAATCAACCTAATCAATTGACCCAACAAAAGAGCCCAGAAGAGCCTGCTGCCGAGGCTAATCACGCAAGCCCTGGCCTCCGAGCCCCCTCGTCGGAGAATTGCTTTGCCGAATCGAATTGGATCTTGATCCTCTGGTCTCTATGGAGTATGGAGGTGCAAAGAGACAGATGCGGTTGCTGTCGCAGTGAGGACATCCGTTAGCGCGTACGCGTCTCCGTCTATCTGTCAGCGGCGGTGGGCCAGCTGCTGCAGGCCGCCCGTTATTGAGCCAGTGACCCGGTCTAGAGGCAGCCCAGGCGGTGCTTTGGGCCTTGTGCTGGGCCTCTTGCATGTATCAAGTACCGCTTAAGGAAGAGCCACCTCCGGGCTTGATGACATGGGTAGGGGTGTTTGTGGCTGCCGTGGTGGGGTGGTGGTGGAGAGAGCGTGATGGATGGCCCAGATGCCGAAGCCGTGTGGTGTCTCGTCTCGTCTTGTCTTGTGTCGTCTTATCTCTGTCTGTAGTTGATTGTTTTTAGAAGCGCCATCCCCTCGTGCCATTCACCAGTTAAAGGAAAGCGACGGAAATCAAAATCCAACGGGGGGTTTGAGAGAGAACCACTCTCGGCCGAGTAACTCCTCGTCGCCATGGCAGCTCTCACTCACCTCCAGTGCTGCTCTGGACGAGCTAAAGGCCAAGCGTGAGCTGACACCTTCACCCAGACAGCCACCATCAGCCAGCAGAAGCAGCACCGGCATGACAATAGCTATCCGCCACGGCTTCAGAAAGACCATACATGTGGAGCATACCACTCACTGCCACCCTTCCTCCCATCCACATGGCACCCTGACCAGAAGGCACGATGCAAGAACACTCTATCCAGAAGAGCAAATAAAGGTACAAGCCTGCAGGCCGGATTGATTGACAGGGCACGTACCCGTCGGGGCTCGGGAACAGTCGTGTGTCTTTGTAAGGAGCACGTTTTCTCCACCCCTGCCGCCAGTGCTGCATGGCTTGCTCACCGGTCGACCGCCCCCTCTTTTTGGTGCCCTCCACCCCGTACTGCAGCCGGCCATGCCTAGGCATCGCCGTGTTTGTCCCTGTTGTGCCCTGCCCTGCATCAAAACTAGCCAAGTCTGTGTGTGTGGCTACTCGGGACACTTGACATCGGCGGCCGGGGACGGACATATCGACAGGGGGCAGACGTGGCTCTGTCGGAGACAACACGCCCCCCATGATCCCATCAAAGCTTTCAGGACCAGCGCGGGGGTTTGGCTGGCTTTGTGGTGACTGCAGTAAGAAGTGTGGTGGTCACCGCGATTCTGGGCCCTCGGCTGGCAATACAGGGCTGCTGCCGCGCTGCTCACAATTAGACCAAGGTGTGGTGGCTCAGTGTCTGTGCCTGCTTCTGCCACAGCCCCTCGCCAGCATGGTTCAGTAACTAAGAGTTAGACAGACCGAGAAGCTTTGGCGCAGATGGTATCCGTCGTAGGAGAGGTGCGATAGCAACTGGGTCGCTGGAGGCTGCGGGCGCATGCTTCGTCATACCATGGCGCTCGCTCCGTCGCTCGTCTCTGTGGGCCAATGCCTCTTGGTGGATGTGGGCGGAAAGTCTTTCAACCTGCCAAGTTGCTCCGTATGTACGTAGATAGTGGGTGCGGAAGTGCAAATGCGTGAATGCAGGTGAAGAATGCATGTTCAAGATCCAGTTGAGGGCGAAGTATGAAGTTGCATAAAGTGTGTGGGAAGGATCAGTGGGAAGGATCAGTGGGAAGGATCAGTGGGAGGGAGCAGTAGGAAGGAGCAGTGGCCGGCACATGTCTGACCTCTTCTGCAGCGGCACCTCCAAACCAACCTTGGAAGCATGCTGGCATCCACACGACACACGCACTCCCACTCGCACACAAGCGCCTCACGCATCGCGCTCGCACCGCGGTCCTTGCCCATGCAACTTCCCACTGCTTCCCGAAGGCCCTGGAGGCGCAGCGCGGCGCGGTGCAGTAGGCCGTGGTACACAGCAGGGCGGCATTCGGAGGTAGGTACGTGCAAGGGAGATTTGCAGCTCTGCAGCTCTGCAGCTCTGTATTCTGCAGCTGGGTTGCGTGTGCGGGAGGCGCCCGGCTCCAGGGGAGTCACCAATGCCACCCAGACTCCCCACTTCATCCCCCCACCACACCACACTCCCCAACCGTCATTGTTCAACTACCAAACCAACGACTGAGAGACGACGCAGACGGAGTCACTCAAGCTCACAGGCAATGCAAACACTGCACCTCCACCTGCTGCAGCAGTCCACCCACCGACCCCAAATCCGTCTTGACTGCCCTCGCCTCGGCCTGCCCCGCCTCATTGGCTCTCCTCGGTCGGGAATTGCTTCTTTCGCAAAAATGCGCAATTGTTAGCGTTTATATCGACCTTTAGTCTCCACCGGATGGAGCGTGGGCTCGTTCAAGTCCATCACCAGATGACGGACGGCTCTCCTTCGCCTTCTTTTAACTTTGCACCACCCTATGCGATCGCCCTCCGATTGGTACGATAGCACTGGAGCCAAAACGATCTCGCGCCAATTTGTGCCCACCCCCTCCCACCCCCTCCCACTCCACTTCCACCTTCTCTTCCCCTTCCACCTTCGTATACACTTCCGCTGCCCTCCGCTTGCTCTCGTTGGCCATCGCCTCAGGCTGTTTCGTTGGTCTCTCGCAGAGGTGTGCAATACTGTACCGCCCAGTCGCAGGCTCGGAAACAAAACCAACGCATGGTGTGCCAAGGTGAGACTTTCTGGATAGTCCCTCCCGTTCACCAGGGGAACCCTGGTCCAATGTTCCCCAACCCAACCCAACGTCATTCGGGTCGCGGGTCTTGGGAAGTGTGGAGGGGATGCCATCCACCATCTGTGCTTTGTGTCCCATCGACACCATCTCGTCGCATGCGCTTCCGCTGTCGCGGGTTGCGTAATACCCTGGGTTTGCATTCGCCCCAGCGTTTGCTCGTTGCTCCCCCATTTGCACCACAACCGACCACACCCACCCGCTCCAGGAGGTTACCTCATTTTTCGACTCCACAAGTTTGCTCACTCTTCATAAATCAAGACCAACATGGAGATGACATCAATAGAAGCTTCGCGAATCAACAGCGCTCGAACCAGGACTTGGTATTGTCAGAATCGATGTCGGCATCGTCTTGCGCAATCGACATGCACCCGACGCGCTTGAATTCAAGAAAGCACGTCGCATCCAGCACGGACACCATCGGTTGCTGTTGAGTCCAGGCGGCCATCGCACTTGGCGCGGTTATTAAGTGGGCTTTGTTGAGTTGCGCCAGGTGACTTTTGGTACCTGTCATCATCATCAGCATCAGCAACAGCATCAAGCATCATCAACATCATCATCCCTCCATCACTTGGGCACGGCCAGCACAGGCCAGCACAGGCCATCCCAGTCCCAACCCAACCCAATCCAGTCCAAGCTTCCATGGGGCGGACCCTCATCCCCCGGCTCTTAGCTGCTAGCCGGAGCATGTGTGGTGGACCGAGTACGGGTGAATCCCCAGCGGACCCGGCGTCCCAGCGATCCAGCATCGATCCAAGCGGCCCCCAGCCAGGCCAGCGCAGGCCAGGGGATCCAAGCAAGTGACCCAGCGACCCAGAAACGGGGGGGGGCACACCACGCACGACAGCTCCCAGCTGCCCCAGCTGCCATCAATCTATCCTCCAAGGCTCCGGGCTCCAGGGGGTGCCCATGCTTGACGGACGGAGTCCTCACTCCCGCGGCGCTCGTCCACGCCCAATCTCAGACTCTTAACCCTCTGCGTCTGCGTCTGCGCCTGCGCCTGGACCAAGCAACCAGAAAGCAAGTAGGAAAGCAAACCAGGCTGAGGTACCGACGGTACCGCATACCGCATACCGCACCCTCGCCGGTGCTGTCAGAGACGTTGTCCCTAGCTGTCACTCGCGATCATCGTTCTGTTCTCTTGTCCCTCCTTCCCGTCCATCCATCCCTCCCTCGCTCCCTCCACCCATCTCATTCATTCCGAACCGTCCACCCATCCACCTCCTCGATCAGTCCAGCAAACAAGCCCGGCCGGACAGCCAGACAACCAGAAAGCCATACAACAATCAGCCATCCACCCAACCAACACGCTTGCTCGCGGCTCGCCCTTCTCCCTTCGCTTCCTCTACCTACTTCTACCTCTGCCTTACCTCTCTCCCCTCCCCTGTCCGGCTGCCCACCTCCGTCGCTCCTCCTTCCTCTCTGACTCGCTCGCCCCCTCGTCTCGCTGCGTTGGTCTTGGGCCATCCCGTGTCCCGCGTGTCCCCCTCCGCCCGCCGCCCGCGCCGCTTGCCCATACCTGACCTCGGCGTGGTGGCACCTCGCTCAACCTCACCGTGCGCTCGCGCCCGCCCTGCGACCGCTGCGACCACTGCGACCACTACCGCTGTAGTCCGTTCCGCTACCGCTACCGCTCAACTACCGCCGCGGTTTCGCCTTGGCTGGCGCTGGTGTGCTGCGCGCCGTACATTAACTACGGCGCCCCCCTTCCTGCACCCCATCTCCCTACGCCGGGACACTTCACCTCGCACCACACCCGCCCGCTGCGACTCTGTCGCGCTCACGCACAAGCACACTCACACCCTCTGCACTCTGCCACGCCCACTCTGCCACGCTTCCCACGCCCTCATCCCGCGCTACTTCTTTCCCATCGCCTCTCCATCATCGCCCTCAAGCAAGCGTCGTCCTGCCTGTCTGCCGCAGTATTTCTACCCTCAATTCTCTTGATCGGCCGTTGCACCTCAACTCTTCGCGCTTGCTCGCCTTGGATACCGACTGACGCTGCCTCACCTTGTCATATCCCGCCGTCGTACACCCGTCCGACTCCGAATCTCGCCGCGTTCGGATCACGTTCCTCGTCGCTCACTCACTCCGGTACTTTAGTTCGCCCTGTCGCATTTCTCCCTAGCAACCCCCTCTGCGACCCTGCGACTTTGCGACAGCGACCTTGGCACTGATCGCGACACTCGCAATTGCGACCAAACCCCCAGTCCTCAGATCTTCACGATCGTCGCATTCGGCCCCAGATCTTCTTGATCCAGCGAATTAGGTCTCGTTCCAGCGCATGCACCCCATCACTGGGTAACGACCGCCAGCCAGAGTGCACCGCCAGCAGGCGCATCGACAGTCGCGTTCCTCACTGCTCAACATTCCAACCGCGCAATCCCTTACCCGACCTCAACCACCACGACGGCCCGGCTACCACTACGACGTCCACCGTAACAACCTCGCCCGCCACCGCTGCCACCGCCACCGCCTTCGGTGCCATGGCCACGCCGGGTTTCCTACCCCCTACGCACGCCCTCCGATCTGTCATGCCCGCTCCAGCTCTCTACCCTCCAAGCATGCTGTTCGATCGCGAAGCCGCAAAGCCCGTCGGCACCCCCTTCTCCCACTCTCCCTCGCCCATGGTTCGCGTCTTGATCCGTCGCCTACCCTTGAACACCTCGGAGGAGTCTCTGCGACTCATGGTTGTCTGGTCCCAGGAACTAGCCGACGTTGAGCTGTTGCCCGTCGATCAGTCTGAGGATGCGGGCTTCCGATCAGCAGTCTTGAGATTCCGAACCATGGGAGGTGCGCGCGAAGCTAAGAACATGCTCGACGGCCGCTCCAACATCTCAAACGATGCCGAAATGATTGTCGAGATTCTCTCCAGCAGTCCCGTCTCAGCACGTCGTTATCCCACCGACTCCGTGTCGGCCAACCCGTCCAGTTCCGCCTCATCAACCGCTTCTTCTGGGCCTGGGTCTCGACAGGCCTCCCGGTTCAATGCTGCCTTTCAATCGCTTGAGAACATGTCCCCCCCAGCAAATGGATCATATCCCGGCCACGAGCTGCCGAACCCTGACATGAGTGCCCATTATCAGAACCTCTTCTCTCCGCAGTCACCCATCGGCAATTATCTCTCTGAGCCCCAGAGGATATCCGGAAAGTCGCTCATTGCCAACGATTCTACCGACGACGACGAGACTAGCGATCTTTTGAAAGACCCGGTTGCCTACGCCGAACACGGGGCAACAAGCCAGAGACGAGCAACCGCGCCCCAGATTCCCATCAGTAGAATGGCTGGTCTAAGCCTGAACACCAACAGCCAACCGCAACCAGGGTCTTCATCGCTGCCGCCATATATCACCGCCATGTCGGCGCACCCCGGCCCCATGTCCCCAATGAATGGATCAAGCCCTGGTGTTGCTTACCCGATGAGCAGCCAGCCCTACCAACGACACAATTTCCCGCCCGTCAACCCCGCCGACCAGAACCCGCCCTGCAATACGCTCTACGTGGGCAATCTCCCGATCGACACTTCAGAGGAGGAGCTCAAAGCCATGTTTTCCAAACAGCGAGGCTACAAGCGTCTCTGCTTCCGTACCAAGCAGAATGGGCCCATGTGTTTTGTTGAGTTTGAGGATGTGTCATTTGCGACTAAGGCGCTACATGAGCTTTATGGGCAGCTCTTGCACAATAGCGTGAAAGGCGGCATTCGACTAAGTTTCTCCAAGAACCCTCTAGGAGTCAGATCCGGGCAGGCTCCTGGACAAAGCAACTCTGCCACCCTCGCAGGCATGAATGGCATAATGGCTGCCGCAGCCAACGGATTCGCAACGGCCAATGGCCCTCCTCCTGGACTCTCAGCCCCTCCTGGTCTCGGATCTGGCCGTGGAAACTACCATGGGCCATCGCCCTTGAATGCTGGGCATGGCCATCATTACGCCGTTGCCACCTTCCCAGGGGCCGCGGCCAACGGCTGGGGCGGGCCTGTGTATGGCGGCCAGATGGCGGCACCCCCAAATGGAGTTCTCAATAACGCACCAGCAAGCTTTCTTCCTCCACATATGATGGGGAGGTAAGTAGTTGAATGGTTCGTTGCGGGAAACATCCATCATGGAGCCCCTACCCATTTCGAATTTCAACGATTTTCTTTCTCTTTTTCACGTGTGGTGCTTGGCCACGCCAATGAATCACACATCTTATGTTGAGCAACAGCTAGATCCTTTAGTGTTTTCTTTTCGGTTTCAAGTTGGACTTTATACCTGGATGATTCCCCTCTACGTTTTAGGACAAGGCCTGAGAATTTGGGACCTCTGCGAGGTCAGGAGTCTGTCTCAGTCAGATCCCGGATGGCTCGACTAGGTCATTGGAATATTGATCTTTTGTTTGTTTTGGATTGATTGGGTTTCCTTTTTTTTTCTCCTTGGTTAGCTTTTTTTTTTTTTTCGCATCGAGCATGGCGCGCGGTTGGTCCGGATGGTTGGCATTTGGCTCGGGCGTCATACAATCACTCTCATACCATTGTTCACATCATGATGGCTACAGGGGTTGGACACTTTAACCGGATCTTTTGAGCAGGAGTTTTGGGATCAATCACTCAGCATCTGCAAGGAATTCGGTCGAACCACGAACTGGAGGCCCTGGCGTCCAAGGTCACGAAAGAAATCCTGGGCAATCCACATCGCTGATAGGTAGGCGAAGTTCTTGTTCGTCTTCCTATCTAACCACTTACTTTTCGGTAATCGTACTACACCCGCATTGGAAAAAGACGGATGAAAAGCAAAGACGGAAAACTTTTACAAAAAAAACGGTAGCGGGAGAGAAAATGAGGATGACTTTGGCGCGAAGAACAGCACCGAGAACGGGGACAAGGTTGGAACAGTCACTTTTTGGCGACGATTATATGGACCTAGCATTTGTGTCAAGCTGGGAGTTCTCTAGGACGACAAGGATACTTTTAGGGCGGGTTGGAGCATAGGAAGAAACAGGGGCGGCCGTTCCGCACCGCATCGCATTCGACGGAAGGAGCATCGGAATGGATACACACGAGGACACGGGTTAACGAACGCATGCCAACAAATACCCCCTGGCATAGGAGCAAATAGCGTCTGCATTGTCTGGTTTTTCGCATCTAACCAGCCACCACACCCGGCATCGCATCACACTCTGGGAGACGTTGATAGCCTGGTTCTGGGTATGTTGGACACTCGCGGCCTATGGGTGTATAGGCCACGTTCAACCATTGGTTTGGGTACTTGTTGGTTCAATTGGTGCTTACGGAGGGAATAGGATGGGTCTGACTGGGTTGTACCTGGGTTTCTTGTTCAACAGCGACTTGAAGGGGTCGCAACTTTGGAAATGGTATTGGGCATGGCGTTTTCTACTACTCTTCTCTTATCGCAGTGCTGTTTTGCGATGTTTGTATGGACTTTTGATGTTGCATCGCACGAGGAATTTTTCTAAGCATACGTTTCGCCAGCGGCTACAGGTTCCCTCTGTCGTTAAAGGAAGTCAATGTGTGTCTACCGTGTATCGCCGTGTCCTTGTTTTCATTGTTGTAGCGCATGGTAGCTTTAGATGCATCAAGACGCATATGCCGCATGGGAGCTTCCGTTTCAATGTAACGTGTTTGAAAGCCGGCAGCATCTTGAAAGATGCTCACATGGATCGAAGCATGTGAAAATTCACGAGGGTACCGACTAATGCAAGTCATGCTCGGCATGGCTAGCTATCTAACAGTTAGAGCGCATTGGTGGTTACACGGCCATCGGGTTCAAAATGACGACGCACACCGGGACGGCGCAGGTGTTTCCTCTGGGACTTGGCAAAGGACGTTATCACGCGCTGTGGATTTACATGTGGTGACATGTTGTTTAAAAGTTGGGTGGATGGTGACGGGACGGGATACCCACGGGCCGGTCCCCCCAGACCGGTAGGCAGGGGAGGGTTAGGCAAGGTGACTGAGGGTGGATGGGTACGTCTCTGGTACGACGTATTTAGCCGCGAAGGGATGAGAGATGGCAGCTGAAGTGGTGTTTTGGTGTTTGGTGTGGGCGTATCTGTGTGTGTGAGTGTGTGTGAGTTGTGTGTGGGTGTGGCTAGTGGGTAGCATGGGAGATTGTGGACTGCATGCATCATGTGGGAAGCTGGGAATATGGGAATAATGGGGAAGCTGGAGAATATGAGACTATGAGAGGAAGAAAGATAGCGCCAGCGTTGAAAGCGGAAAGCGAAAGCGGAAAGCTGGTGTGGAAGGCGGGGCTTAACACGGCGGCGGCTATACCCTCCCTCTCCCAGGTCCCCCGATTTCCAGGTCGAGACTGCTGCAGCAGGGCAAAGAACCATGGGTGGCGATTGGTGATGGGCTTTGTGCCCAGCCAAGGTGGAGCTGCATAGGTAGCGGTTTGGCCGTCGAGAGCCACTCCCTGGGGTTGAGGTTCAAGGAGAAGCAAAGAGGAGGCTCATAATGGATGGATGGCGCGGCGCGGGGAGCGAGTGTTGGTTGGGGGCTAGAGGATCAAGGGATGAGACGTAGACGTAGATGGATCAGCCAACGAGCAAGATATCATCGTGTCCATCCGCGCGCGCGTGAGGCCATGATGATGCCACCGGCCGGTGAAGTTGGCTGCGTCTAAGTGGAGGAGCGGGTGCAGCAGCGGTGGCGATGAGTCGAACTAGCAGGCGACAAGAGAGAAGCTGTCGCCTTGCACGCCGAGGCGAGATCCAATAGGGGGCGTGCTCCGGGAGGGGGAGGTTGAAGATGGAGAGCTGTGACGAAGATATGATTTCACGGCCGTCTAGGCTCGGCAGTGCGCCAGGTACGTGCAGTAGCAGAACGCCCAGAAGGGGTTACTTGAGCTTGAGGTGCCAAGGACAGGGCTTGATGGGTTAGTGAGCCTCGTGATGGTTCTTGATGAGCCACGCGAGGCCCGGTGGAGATTGAGACTTGAGACGGGGTCACGTTTGTTTCTCAATGTACGGGAGTGGTTAGAGAAGATGGTCTATTTTGGAGTAGACACTCGCTGCTGGTCCTCACTGCTGGTTCTCGCTGCTTTATCGAATAGATTCAGTCGTCTCATTGAGGCTTACAGAAGAAACAAATCGCCTGTCGTTTTGTTTTGCTTTTTTACCAATCTTCGGATCATAAGCCCTCCGCTTATACGCCATGTAGACAAAAGATGATTCGTCCCCGCTTCGTCTCTCCCGGTGGCTTACATGTTGTGGCTTCATCCAATACAGCTGATAACGGAGCCGCGTCTAAGCCCCTACGCAAACGGGAAATATACGTACACATATAGTTAGTTCCACCTACATCTCATGACCGTCTTGCGGTTTATCCTTCGCCCATCCCATCGTCATCGTCGCCCACAAGTCATGGAACACCGCCTGCTGGCCCTCGACTGACGGGGCCGACGACGGCATCGAGGCGCCAAGGTCAAAGTTATCCCCCCACGCTGAGATGAAGGGCTCCATGGTGTTGTCGAACATCGGGCAGCCGTGCGTGCTCCTGTCGGCGGCCTTGGCTTGCAGCTCGAGCCGGCGGTCGTACTTGGCCTTGACCACGCGCAGCACCACGCGGCTGGCCGACAGCACGTCCACCCGCGTGTTGACAGAAGTCAAATCTACCCCGTCGCACATGTGCTCCAGGAACTTGTCGAAGCAGAGCTCGCTGCGCGCCCAGGCGTCGTCCCAGTCCGGAAGCTCGGGCACCGCGAAGGACAGCCGGACGCCGAGGATGACGGAGAGGACCACCTTGCTCCATTCGACGATGGTGAAGGAGAGGAAGGTCGACGGGGCGAGGCTGGCGATGTGTTGGAAAAGTTCTTTGAGGTCCTCGACGCATAGGCGGAGTTTGGGCGTCGTGGGATAGACGAAGCCTGGGGGCGCCGTCTTGGAGCGGCCGATCCGTATGAGAGAGCCGCCGTTGAGATAGACGTTAAAGAATTGTTGTGATATTTTCACTGCCGCTACGAGCCATTAGCTTGTGTATCAATAGTTTAGGCCAATTACTCGTACCAGAGCTAGCAAGATGGGGCAGCATGTTTTGTCGAAGCTCGCGATCCTGCAACTCCAGGCCGAGGAGAACCAGCTCGCTCTGCTGCTGACTCGTCCCATTGTTCTCGTGGATCGCCTGGTTCGCTGCGTTGGTATAACTAGCCAGTCGCACCAGGTATGTCAAGGCATAGTCGCCGTCGACCTCGGCGCAACGATGCAACATGTCGCAACACGCGGCCGTCCAGCCGGTATACGGCGCGACGAGGTCATCCATCTTCTTCCACGCGGTCATAAAGCTGAAATCAGAATAAGTAACACAATCCGGGACGGCTTGGGGATAACCTACTGTGAGACGGCGTAGTACCAGGCCAGATAGGTGCGGATCTTGTCAATTTGGTCGCTCGGTGCGTTGGGGCTGCTGGGATCCGGCATCTCCTGGTCCAGCTCGAGATCGCGGGTGAGGTCTCCTGCCATGCGGACATACTGGAAGGCCTGCTTGTTTTTGGGCCGGAGGTGAAAGGGATACCTAACGTTATCAGCACGCTTGTCGCAGCAAGATTAGAACGACGCCTGCATACCAGGCGCAGTAGATGAGCATGCCCTGCAGCAACTCTAGGCTTCGCTCTCCACCGGCCACGAATTTGAGACCCAGCACCTTGCGAAACTCTTCATCATAGAGCGTGTGTCCCTGCAAGGTGCGTGACCCCGACGCCGAAGCGAGGATGGCCAACAGAACAAAGGGCCGCGTGGCAGCGAGGCTGGCGACGGTCTCGTCGGGCTTGAGCACGATGCACGGGAAGTGAGGCAGCATCCCGCGGAACGACGCCAGCAGAGACGTGGCCGAGTCGACGTTGAACTGCGGCTTTGCGTGCAGCGACTGGATGGAGTGGCTCTGGGTGGACGGCGGAGTCGGGAAGCCGTTGATGCGCGCGGGCGACGAGGCGAACGACTCGGACTCGGGCGCCGGCGGGAACATGGCGTCGATGATGTGCTCGTGGCTGTCCCGCAGCGCGTCGAAGTTCTCGTCGACGTCGTGCGGCGTCGGCACGTCAAAGTCGATGGTAAAGGTCTTGGATGGGCCCGGTGCCGGCGGAGGCTGGTGTTGCTGATGCGGCCCATCGACGACACTGGTATATACGTCCCCGGTCAGCAGGATAGTCCCTCTTACGCGGTGCGAGAAGCCACTTGGGCGTACAATTTCCTCCTCCGGCGCGTGCGCGGGCCCGTCCGCGAGATACATTCCTTCTTGGAGTCGAGACACCTAAAACCCAGGCCGTCAGTCAGTCTCGACAAAACGGGCACGCGAGCTGCTCGTACTTGCGACAGACGCCCGGCTGCTCGCTGGGCTCGCACTTGATCTTGGTCGCCCGGCACGCCTCGCACGCCGTCGAGATCCTCTTGCGCGCGCCGCTGCTGCTGCCGCTGGGTTCGCGGGGAGGGGAGACGTGGTCCACGTCCATGGCGGGTGCGCGCGCAACGGCCGAGGTTTGGGGTGGGTTGGTGATGCTAAACAGCCCTCACAAGCTGCACGAGGCGGCGGAGAACAAACGCTGCCAGGGTCTGAGGGGCCAGGGTTCAGGGGTCTAGGGTCTCAAGATCTACTCTGCAGAAATCCCCTTCCTTTGTGGTCGTCTGAAGCCTGCGCAGAGCCCAAGATTGCGCATCGTGACCGGGTCGGCGGCGGAGGTTTACAAAGCACGGCGGGACGTTCCATGGGGCTCCATCCGGGCCAAAGACGTCCCGGTGCGGGCTCCATATCGCCGGCGCGCTTCGGAACTTAACCCCGTCACACGTCACAGGCAGCCGGCCGCCGCCACTCCACTCCGCTGAGGGTAGTAAGTTGTCGGAGCAACCACAACAATAGTCAATGGTCTATCACGGCCACAGCAATCAGCCTCCAATTCCTTCGGAATGCACCCTGATGCGATTCACGCGTGGATCCAGACCATTGTCATCTCCAGCCCGCCCCACGATCCCCTTCCAGACATTGACGACGCATCGCTAAACAAAGCCAAGTGCAGATCCACCAGATATTCCGTGTCGAGTCCGTCGAAGCAGTACAGGAAGATGGCTGACTTGTTAACCCTTGATCGGCCAGTGCATTTTAAAATGGAGACGGACATGGAAACCGCGCTTCCATCTAATGTCCAGGATCTTTACGATGCTCTCGTTATGGCAGAGCACAGCGAGGGGATCCTACCACCCACCCTTGCTGATGACCCAAGCATGAATTCCAGGAATATTCGTCCATACATGTGGCAGCAGGCGGACAAAACGGCCGATACTCAGAGTACTAGGACAAGTACCCAGCCCTCTGACCGCTCTGTTGCTGATAAACATCGTCGTATGCTGGAGCTAGTCAAGCTCTCCAACGAGTCATTCGACCTGCATCGCTCCGAGGCTGCCTGGAACACCATAGTCCATTATCCTCTCCTCTCCGAACTCACTTCATTCTCCTCCGTCAGAGTCGAGCCGATAACATCAGCCTAGACTTTGCGCTAATCCTTACTCCCGACGAGGATCTCGAGGCCCTCATTAAAACATTCACAAATTCCTCGCCCACAGCGACCGTCAACCAAACAGCATACTACCCCCTCAAAACTCGGCCAGCGCCAGTATTTATTGAAACAAAAACGTCCGCCGGCAATATTGAAGCAGCAAAAGTCCAGCTAGGCGTTTGGATAGCAGCATGGCATGAAAGTATTCGGAGCATCATGAGACGTGGTGGCGATGAGGAGCGAATCATCACTGTTCCTATCATCCAGGTTGTAAACGGAACTTGGATTCTCATGTTTGCGGTAGATGCGCAGACTGAAATTGTGAGTTTCTCCTGAGCCTTTCTCGTGAGCCCTTCTCTCGGTGTTAAGCTAAGTCTCATCCAGCATATTCTCGATCGAGACTTTCGAATCGGCAACAGCAGCACAATTTACGGGATGTATCAACTCCAAGCTGCCCTCTCTGTAATCGTAGTTTGGATTGAGGGCGAGTTCAAGGCGTGGATTACTCGAGTTCTTCGCAAAGCTTTGAGCTAGATCGCGTCGGTTGCTGCCCCTGCGATTACGCCCACGTCCAACATTATGCTAGGGTACAATTCGGCGCAGAAAGGTTGCACGTACATGCTTGGACTAGTATCTTCTGCTGCTTCATACTAAGATATTCTTGAGGAAATAAGAATAAATAATTCTTAAAAATTTAATAAAAACATAAAATACGTAAATAAAAAAAAAGGAAAAATCATTTAAGAATGAAATACTATATTTTCACAAATAATAAAGATAAATCGCGGTACTTTGTCCTACCTTACCTTGACTCTTCTACTGGCGATGGGCTCTAATATCATTTAGTTCACGGGCTAGACGATGCTTGGTGTTGCACTTGATGCTAAATCACAGCATAAACCAAGGCGGCTGGACCGAGCAAAAGACGAAAAGTCTACCTGAACCCCCGTTACCAGCAATTGACGCCCGATGCCTAAATCAACCTCTTCAGCCCTCGCGATCAACCAAGCGCGATGATGCCTCTGAAGCTCAGGCATGTGAGTGGTTCTTAAAATCTAGTGGCTTATTGGTAACAAGACGCTGGCCATCTATACAGTTCTTAGCAGAGGGTCTTGCTCAATGGTCTTCCGGGCACATGCTATAGACCCTGACATTGCCCGAGACTGGTGGTCACTTTGAGTGTTTGGGCATTTAGATGGAGTTGTATCACTGCACCGCTCCGTAGCGATCAGAAGTTAGATCAGGCGTCTCATCAGCAGTTTCCCACAAGAGTCTCACCATGGAGCATCTCTATCATTTCCGGGTATTCCTTTTCGACCTATTAATACAAACAACCCCAGCCTACACACGCTCCCTCCAACATGCCTCAATCGGCAACCGAAAACTTCAACCCAGAGTTGCCTTCCTTGATCGTCTTCTCCACCAGCTCCCACAGCGGTGACACGAGCGATCTGATCTCGTCCGTCGCCGTCTTGACCCCGTGCTTGGCTTCCCTGTGCCGTGACAGATTCTGCATCGCGCATCGTGAGGAGCAGTAGATGGTCGACTGCTTCGCCGTGATGCAGTCGTTGCAGACTACGCTTTGTTGAGTCCCGTCGTCCATTTCGACGTCCTCGTCCAGGTTCTGCACGCAGTTGTCGCCAGCCTCGCAGTCGTGATCCTTCTCCACGTGGTCGTCCTGCTTGCTGTCAATATCCGCGTCAACACACCCATCAATTCACGGGCCATACCTGTCCCTTGCGGTAGCACTCGGTCGAGCAGTACACCGTCAGCTTCTTCTTGCCACCAATCTGCGTCATGACCTGGCAGAGCGAGCATGAAAACACATCCTTGGGGTCGACCTTTCTTTCGCACACGGCACACGGCGGGAGGTGGTACAGCTCCTCGGCGACCGCAGGCACTTGAGCTCCCAGACGCTTAGCCTGGAGTCTGTTCTGCTCAAACGCCGTCTTGGCTCTGCGCAGCTCGTCGAGGCGCGCCTTGTGGCTGTCGCGTTGCGGTTGCGTGTTCATGCTGGCCCGATGGTCCTGGGCGATGCGGTCGATGACCTCCTCGAGCGGCATCGCGTCGCTAGCTTCGTATGCGTCGAGGTACTTTTGCGCGTGCTGCAGCACCTTGCCCGTTGACCGGTCTTTGAAGAGGTATGTGATGTACAGCTTCTTCAGCTCGGACGCGTCGCTTTTGGCGCCTGTCATCTTGTCCACGAGCGTGTCTACGTCGGAAGACCACCTGGCTGGTTTTCCAACGCCTTCCCAGACCCTCTCGATGAGTTCTTGTCGTGACCGGTCCGGGTCGTCCAGCATCCCCCTCAACTCGTCCCGGTCCACGCCACTGTCGCCAGCCGTGAGGAACTCTGGGTACATCCGCAGGACCCATCGGTACCACGCCTCCTTCTCCGATTCAATCTGATCCTCGATGAATTTCACGTCGACCTTGTGGTCCTTGGCGTCGGCGAACAGCATGTCCAACTCGTTGAGAAAGGCCCTCCGTTGTGAGAACCACTCCCGGTCTTCGGCATCGCAGTAACGTGCCCGCATCAAGTCCAACGTCTTTGAGAAGCAATCTGGGCATTCCACGACATCCTTCTTCCCGCACCCGGCAGCACACTCCCTCCTCACGGTGTTCACTTGGTCGGTACACTGTTGTCTGTGTTCCCTTGCGGCACTGAGCTCCGTCCAGTGCTCTGGCAGAGCATATTTGGCGGATGGGGTCATCCTGGAGAACTCGGACTGAATTGTGGGCTCGCCCAAGCGAGGAATCCTTTTCACGCCACAATTCGGGTTGATGCTTCGGATGCGATCCTCTCAAACGTCGACTGGTTCGCCCCTGGACAAGCTGAGTGAGACAGGCAAGTTGTTCGCGATCCCAAGACGGACTGGTGATATAGTGACGATGCCCAGTGAATTAAGCCCCCAATTGAAATATGCTTATTTATCAGAATTAGTCGCGTTTGTTGTGGCATCTTACATGATCTTGAGTCTCGTCAAGGGAGGTGAGAGAGCGTTGCCGACCTGACATCACTGTGACAATGGATTTAGCCGGAGTTCTAGCGACGTCGCGCCCGCAAATACTCCGGCCAAGCATCGCGATGCTCCAAGCTCTACCGAAAACAGATTTACTCTCCTCAACTACACCACCGCCTCGAATTCATATTCCGTCACATATTCAATTACAATGGTAGCATCCCCTTAGCCCCATAGTGCTGCTTCTCCAGTCGCTAACCCCCTCCCAGGCCGACAAGCTCCGCAACCAGCAAGAACTCGAGCGCCTCCAGGCCAAGTACGTCGGTACTGGCCATCCAGACACCACCAGCTGGGAATGGCGCACCAACATCCAGCGCGACACCTACTCCTCGATCGCCGGCCACCGACCGCTGGTCTCGTACATTGCGCTGGCGGAAAACGAGCCCGTTATCAAGGTCCGGGCGCAGATGATTCGGGTACGTCTTGCGACCATGCGCCGGAAATCGAAACTTCTGCTGACAACTGGGTTTGCAGAAAATGATACAGCCTTGCGGAGCCCCGCCTCCTCGTGAAACATAGGCGACGACGGAGATTTAGGACATGATTAGACCTGCGTTGCAAGTCCCGGAGTCTGGTATGAGTTTGGTCTACATTTGGCGTTCTAGGAAAGATACCCCTGCGGAAGGGAACAAATACGGTACCAAATAAGATGCTTGCTTAACATTGTTGTGCTGCTGTCCTGGTGTTGCGGACCTTTTGAATACGTTTTTGGGTATCATAGGTATTACTCGTTGTCATTCCTCGACATCCATCGTCTGCCTTCGACTCACGTCCCCTTCCGCGACTTCCTCATCCCCATCGGCCGTCCGCTCCTTGATGTTCAAGCTAGAGCGAAGCTTACTCTCGAGATCGGGATTCCACTCTCCATACACTTCCCGAACCATGCCCATAACACCATCCAAGCCGACCTCTTCTTTGGCACGGGGTCCAACATGCCAGCTGACTGTTTGGTCGCCATCCTGGCCCACAGGTGGCCTGTCTATCTTCTTGATCACGTAGCCTTGTCTCTCCATTTTCTTGAGAACAATATCCGTCTTATCCATTGAGACGTTCTGGTCCGCGTTCAGTCGTGTGAGGTATCGCTTCAGCTTCTGGTCGCTCAGCTCGCCGCTGTTGAGCCAAATCATAGATATGACCATGGTGTAGAAGGCTGTGTAGGTTGCCTCGTCGTCTGAGCTCGGGGTTTTGGAAGGGGTCAGAATAGTTGCTGTTCGGTAGGCGCTTGGCAATGTTGAGGAGAGGATGTAGGCGCCTGATCCTATCTTCGGTTGTGAATTGCTCTTCATCGCTATAGATCAACGTTAGCCAAGAGCCGGAAGCTGTAGGAGACTGATGCTCACCTTGGCGTTTCTCTTGCAAGGTCATTTTCTCCCTGACCGGCAGTTCCCGAAGTTCCATACCCCAGACTTCCTTTAGCTGTATTTGCGCCACCGCGAAGATGCGCTTAAATGCTCGCCCTTGATTTCCAAGAACTGCGCGAGGTATTAGATGGAACCTCAGTAGCCGAGTCCTGTTTGCGCTCACCTCGCTCTTTAATTCCATCTCGCCGTATTACTGTTCTCGAGTACTCGCAAGAAATCGCATATCGGATCAATTTCTTGGCCAGTTGGTCGTCGGCACTTTGACCAGGGTGGGCGTCCATATCCGTATCGTCGTCACTTGCTTCTTCTTCAGGCTCTGCGTCCGAATCTACACGATGGCGACGCTGTGGAGGGCGGGCGTCTTCTTCGGATTCGTCGTCCTCGACCTGCCACTTTCGTCAGCTTTTGCGCCTTGTCGAATCGTGAATCACGTACGGGACGGCGCCTTCTTTGCGACGGAGGCATTTTAACGGCAACAATATTTTAGACTTTATTTGGACAAAACGCGGTGCAATTGCGACAATGGAAATTGAGAACAAAGACGGACTGGGTTGTAAGGACAAAGACAAGCTGGAGGGGGCTTAGACGCGATCGGATTCGAGACGCGTTGACAATTAACCTTATCGCTTATCAATTATCACTTATCGCTTATCGGTCAAAATTTCCTAGCATCCTCCATACATCATCGACACTTCTTATTGAGCTCGCTACGGTGTCGCATTGCACCTTATTAATGTCCGCGATTTTTCAACTCTTGTACTACCCATGATCTCAAGGGCAGCGCGTGCATCGCGCATCTGCCAAGCCTGTCGGGTCGGCCTTACACAACGCAGCGCGGTGCTGGGCTTCCGCGCGCTTCCCCGTCAAGATGGCTTGCTTCAACGGCGGCGCTTTGCCTCCGACTCGGATCCCCCCCCTCAGTTCAACGCCGAGATTGAGGCCCTGATATCTGATAAGCTATTTGGTGGGAATGCGAAGAGGTCGATTGACAAGGCGGAGGAAACCCCAGAACCGCCAAAAGATGTCGACGAAGACGATGCCGAGTGGGATTCGCCCGCATTACACAACGCCGACAGCTCTATCGCCGCCGAGATCGACAAATTCCTTTCCGATGTTGCCGGAGCTCCAACTACAAGCAGTCAGGCCAGAAATCCATCCTCGAACCCCAGAAGAGACCGCAATACATTCACCGACCCCCCCTCCGAGCAACCATCTGCATCTTCTACCAAACCTCGATCGAAGCCCCGTTCCGACTCCTCATCCGATTCCATGTTCGAACTCCCAGTTATTCCCGACTTCGATCCGCCAGGCTCTCAATCCAACAACAAGCTACGCCACAACCTCCTCCACAACCAACCCCTCGGCGTATCAGCGCTCGGTGTCCCCGCCGACGCCATCATCATCAAGAACCCGAACAAGATGCGCATTGAGAGAAGGGCTGCCAGGGAGATTTTGGAGAAGCCTCTGCTTCCTACCTCGGATGTTGATTGGAAACGATTCGACCCGACGAATGGTGGCGACGATGCTAATTCTAGACACCACATTTGGGCCAACATCAATGAGCTGCGGCCCGACAGCAGAGCTCTGCGAATGAGAGACTTTGAGAAACTGTCCAGGGCTCTATTCAACGGCTTTACGGTCGACCAGCTCAGAGAATACATGCGTGATTACGAAATGGAGGCGGGACTCGAGGATACACCGCTGGGCAATTATCCCTGGATCATGAAGCAGATGCCCTGGACCCCATTCAAATCCCTACCAGTCGCCGAGAAACTGGCGTTCAAATACTCTTTTGTTCAGAAACTCATTGTCCAGAAGTGGAAGATTGGCATTCAAGAACATGTAGATGCGTTGGGCCAAGCCTTCATCTGGGTTGACCCTCACTACTTCAAGTTTCTTGCCCGTAAGTAACGTCTAAAATCACACGAGCGTCAACTGATAATTTGTCAAAGTCGGTATGAGACCCTTTTTGAAGGGAGCCAGGAATGACTTTCTCGACGAGTCCAACAACGAGAAGCTCTCGACAACATCCACCGAGTGCCGCCTCAACATCACAGCCCGGAAGGCCCCAACCTATGCCATCCTAGAACGGCTTGATCAGCATCTAAAAAACGTCCAACATCGCATGCTACCCATTGGCCAGCTCACCAAGCATATCCCGTCGTCCACAGAACTAGAAGAACTTGCCCGCATCACATCTACCTCCCTCAAACTTCACAAGCAAGGCAAGGATGCGGTATGTCATCTAACTCTCAATACCATGTTATCTCGTGCTGATAACAATGAAGCACCTTCAAGTCTCGTGGTTCTCCGAGCAAAAGGACCCCATCACCGCACCTCACGCTCAAAACGAAGGCAAGGCGGATACCGTTCTTCGGCTACTAACCACCCTCCCAAGTCGCGGCCTCGTCGAAACGGTTGAGTGTATTCCTTCATTGGAACCTACCAGTGGCACTGGTGGCATCTTCGTGGGCTTCAACCGAGAGCGAAGGAGCATGGCATGGAGGGATAAACTTCGCAAGTGGCTACGATATGTGGCACCTATGGGCATCACTAATGATGCTCCTGAATGGCCCCTGGACCTAGCCAAGTCGGTATCACTCCCAGAGTACGCTGGCAGACTCAGCAGCAATTTCACCACTGCGACATTTGGCCATCTCCTCCACTCTGAGGCACACCAGTCGACGACCAAGCTCTCTCGGAAGCGCCGCCTCTTGTCGCCCGTCACTCCTCACCCAGCATCATTTTCTGCCCTCAAGCCCGACGACGACGAACCTCTAAGCCAATCGACAGCCATTATCCTCAAATTCTCACCTAGTGTCGACCGCTTGACGAGCCCCGAGAGCAAGGGACCCCCCGTTCGTCTGCATATCCCAATCACGCCAGAAACCGACATTGTGGATTTCAAAATCCCCGAAGACGCGACTCTCCAGTGTGCTGTCCCTTGGCACGTCGACGACGTCATGCTTCCTGCCCAGAGCGTTGACGTGCGTCTCGTCAATGAGCGCCATCTCCCCCTTGACATCGATCAGCCACAGCTTCAAAGCTTTCTCGAAATTGCCGACTTCAATCTCCGCGACGGTCGCCTCCAGACTCCCAAGGAGGTGACTCTCTCTATTCCTGAGCAGTGGCTGAGCACTCGGTCGAAGGGTGGTAAGAAGTCACAGATCTCAGCCGATGTGCTCTATGCCTTCCGCGGTATCGAAATTCACCAGAATATCGAGATTCCCTTGAACGGTCACACTCTACGTTACTCCCTTATCGAGGCTGGTCAGCATGGCGGCAGGCGTCAGGAGCTCGCTCTCCAAGCGGGCCGCCCAGGAGCCCCTGCAAGTGCCTTTCAAGGCGAACAGCGTGAGAGCTTCCTCCGGGTAGTCGAAGGTGTAGCTACAGGAAAGTTCTTCTCATGGGTTGAGGGCCACAAGTCGGTCAAGGCGCAGCAATTTGAAGACTTCAGTTACGATCTCCCCGCCGAGGAACTTGGTGAGGATTTCGTCGTGTCGGAATTTGACCCCGAGGAGGAGAAGAGGGAGTTGGCTCAGCGGAAGGCGGACAAGGCGGATAAGGCTGCCAAGGAAAAGAAGCTCAAGGAGGAATGGGCCGCTTCGAAGTTGGCTGCGAAGAAGGCCAAGAAGTCTAAAGACCTCAAGCTTGATGCGAAACCTGCTGACAAGTCCGCCGAGGAGCCTGCTGAGGTATCAGTTGAGAAGCCTACTAAGGAGTCTGAGGATCCTCAAGAGAAGCTTGCGGAGAAGCCAGCGGAGGAGCCCGTTGAGGGGTCTGCTAAGGAACCTCTGGCAAAGCTTGCCGATAAGTCTGTTGAAGCCCTCGTTGACGAACCTGCGGAGAAGCCTGTGGAGGAGTCTGCTGTGGAAACTCCGCGAAAGCTCGCTAAGAAGCCTGTTGAAAAGCCTACCGAGAAGACTACCGAGGACCCTATCAAACGGGAGGCATCAAAGCCCAAGGCTCCCGTGGCGCCTGTGGTAGACGAAAGAGCCTTCTTCAGGCAGTTTTCAAGCAGGGCCGGAGACCAGCTCGATCAGTTCAAGGCACCTACGAAGCGCCGAAAGGGCAAGAAGAGCAATCGCACCACGGCGAATGAGAACTTGGACGAGGGTGACCCATTCCGGATCTCGACAAGGCCGAAAAGGAGCCCCTCATCACAAGCGAAGGATAGCAGCCTGTCTGTCGGCAATGCGGCAAGCAAGGCCGACTTCGTCAGACAGGACTCCAACGAAGCTGACACCGACCGGTTCACCTTTGATGATGCGTGGGAGGACGACGACTTCAACGATGATGAGATCGAGGACAACGAACTGTCGACCGCGGAGATTGAGGCCGAGTTGGTCAAGATGTTCGGGTTGGATAAGCAGTCCACTCAGCAAAAGGCGGCAGAGGCATCCTCTGAGACCATGGCGCGGGCCGTGGAAGAGTGGGAGGAGCTCAAGTCCGAAGCAGACGAGACGGCCCAGTCCTCCAAGGGGACCTCCCACAAAGCGACTACAACACCACCCTCTCACCAAGACAACGCTCAAATGCAACCAACTGGAGCGCGGAACGAGTCGACTTACCCGAAGGAGGACGCTGAGGATTCGTCCGTCGAGCAGCCGACGACCAAAACTACGGAGTCACAAGCGGGGATGAACGTTGACGACACAGCCGACAAAAAGAACAAATAGACGAAGGCATGTAAAAAAAAACGGCACTGGGAATAGACGAATAATTATGTAAACTAAAAGTGTAGTTATAGTTGATGTAAGAACACGAAATCTCAAGACGGCATGTATTGAACGCAATACCATTTCGGGCGCAAAGCATTGTCAATGGGCAGACGTGGGGCACCTCTCACGCAATCCTCTTACAAGAGGGTCAAGCAACGGGCAGGACAAAGTACGGACGGGTGAGTCGTGCAGGCCAACCGTCGGGTCAACCAGCTATCGAGCGTCCATCGGCAGGGAGGGAGCGACAACAAGCATCACAATCATCACACATCACATCACATTCATGGGAGACAAGAAATTTTGCATAAATCACTTCTGGACTCTATTTTATTTTTGGTTGTTTAGCACAACATGAGAAGTTCCGACGCAGTATGCCTGATCCCAGCCTCTCAATATGCGCCCCAAGACAAAGCCGAGTGCTCATGCAAAGCAAGGAAGATCGTATCGTCGTAGAAGTGAGTACATCAACCCATGAGCACGAGATCGTAGTGCTGAGATCCCGGGCGAGGAAGTTGCTTCAGAAGAAAGCTGTTTACTTCTTGGTAGCCTTGGCAGCGGACTTGGTGACCTAGTGAAGACAAAGTTAGTGATTGGAAGGCAACAAGTGAATAGGTAATGAGAACGTACCTTGCCAGAGCCGGCAGCAGCCTTCTCGACGGCCTTGATGACACCGACAGCGACGGTCTGACGCATGTCACGGACGGCGAATCGGCCCAGAGGAGGGTAGTCGGTGAAAGCCTCAACACACATGGGCTTGGAGGGAACCATCTTGACGATGGCGGAGTCACCAGACTTGATGAACTTGGGGGCGGTCTCAGTGGACTTTCCGGTACGTCGGTCAATCTTCTCCTGGATCTCGGCGAACTTGCAGGCAATGTGGGCAGTGTGGCAATCGAGAACGGGAGCGTAACCGGCACCGACCTGGCCAGGGTGGTTGAGGACAATGACCTGGGCGGTGAAGGAAGCGGCACCCATAGGGGGGTCGTTCTTGGAGTCACCAGCGACGTTTCCACGTCGGATCTCCTTGACGGAGACGTTCTTCACGTTGAAGCCGACGTTGTCACCGGGGAGACCCTCGGAGAGCTGCTCGTGGTGCATCTCGACGGACTTGACTTCAGTGGTGACGTTGGAAGGAGCGAAGGTAACGACCATACCGGGCTTGATAACACCAGTCTCGATACGGCCGACGGGCACCGTTCCAATACCACCGATCTTGTAGACATCCTGGAGGGGAAGACGGAGGGGCTTGTCAAGGGGACGCTTGGGGGGCTCGATGGAGTCAATGGCCTCGAGGAGGGTCTTGCCAGAGTACTTGCCAGCCTTGGTCTCACGCTCCCATCCCTTGTACCAGGGGCAGTTGGTGGACTGGGTAAGCATGTTGTCACCGTTGAAGCCGGAGATGGGGACGAAAGCGACAGCCTTGGGGTTGTAGCCGACCTTCTTGATGAAGTTGGAGGTCTCCTTGATGATCTCCTGGAATCGGGACTCGGACCACTTGGTGGTGTCCATCTTGTTGATGGCGACGATGAGGTTCTTGACACCCAGGGTGTAGGCGAGAAGAGCGTGCTCACGGGTCTGGCCATCCTTGGAGATACCAGCCTCGAACTCACCAGTACCGGCGGCAATGATGAGAATAGCGCAATCGGCCTGGGAAGTACCAGTAATCATGTTCTTGATGAAGTCACGGTGACCGGGGGCATCTGTTGAGTGAGAGTTAGAGTATGCCAAGTGAAGAAACTCAGAGCCAGTGACAGCTTACCAATGACGGTGACAAAGTAGCGGGGAGTCTCGAACTTCCACAGGGCAATGTCGATGGTGATACCACGCTCACGCTCGGCCTTGAGCTTGTCAAGAACCCAGGCATACTTGAAGGAACCCTTGCCGAGCTCGGCAGCTTCCTGTAAGAGGGCACTGTCAGTATTCTGTGCACAGCGTGTGAAGAGTCCCGCGATGATGATTTAATGATGCTGTGGTGGGGCGGGGTAAATTTCAACCACCAGTGTGCGGCGGGGTAAAATTCGCCCCCACCAAAAAAACAATGGAGGGTGGGTGAAAATTTTTGATCGAAGGGTGAGGGGTTGTGCTTCGTGGGCAGACGCAGCGACGTTGAAATCGACGGTCGTTGAGGGCAGAATCGGGAAAAGAGGACCAACCTTCTCGAACTTCTCGATGGTTCGCTTGTCGATACCACCGCACTGGTAGATCAAGTGACCGGTCTGTCGATGAGTGTTAGCAAGCTGCGATAAGACACCCCGCGATGGTTATGGCGGGGTAGGACGACCGAGATAAGACGGCGGGAAAACTTACAGTGGTCGACTTGCCAGAGTCGACGTGGCTGTCGAGGGTGTCAGCAAGCTGCTTGGTGAGAACTCAGTCTTGGAGAGAAGTGGTACGAACCCCTAGAGAATCAGGTCAGTGAACAGTCGCGATGAGATATCCATGCGGGGTGAACTTACGATGACCACGACGTTGAGGTGAGTCTTGTCCTCCTTACCCATTTTGGCGGTTTTGTGTCTGAATTCGGTTTGTTTAAATTCGTGCTGCAGCCGACGTGTTAGCAGGTGAAGGGTGATGAAGAAGCAAGAGGCCGAGCGAGGAAGCAAGGCGCCTTGAGGTGGAGGGCACATACAAAATCGCAGATCGGATGCTTGAACCGGGTATGCGAGACGAAGAGCAGAAGAGAAGAAAAATTTCAAACCCGGTGGTGGGAGGAGAAGATTTAAAAGGCGACCGGCGGGCGGGTGGAGGGGGAGGGGTGGGGGGAAGAGGCAGCTGCGCGCGCGGGGCAACCAGCTGGCACAGACTGGCAAGCCCTAACAGGACTGAGGTTTTTTTCGGCCCTCGCACTGGCAGTTTTCGACGGCCTGGGCCCAATCAGAGCGGGGCAGAGGCCGCTTGCCGGGTGGTACCAGAGGGGTCCAGTCCATCGTCTTGATCGAGGCGGGGCATGATCGGCCAGAGGAATGGTACGAGGCCTTTGGCAGTGGGCGCCGTGCCATGGAGCGCATCTCACGGGGCATCAGGCGCAAGTCTACGAGGGACACGGGGATAGAGGGAGCGTGTAGCTAGATGGCATCGCGATATTGCGCTGCTGTGGATGAAGCTCGAGCTGGCTCATGCCCGTCGTCGTCGATGGCCGTCTACGCGCAATGTCTCTCCAGGTGGGATGTCTCGCGGCCACGCTTTGCCACAGCAACAGCGGGGGACTGTTTCGTGCGCGCTTCACAAACTGCAAGCGAGCACAAGCGGCGGCGCATTCTAGGGTATGAATCACTGCTCAGCGTGAAGCGTGAAGATATCCGTATTGAATTACTGTTGCGCTGAAACCGCTCTATCTACGCTGGCCATATCCCATCCTCTCTCTCTCTCCGGCTGTGTTCGCGGCCGTCAGAAAAGACACCTACGCAGCGACATCTCGCCCTCCAAACAGGTGGAGGGCTGGCAGGACCGGCGAGGTACATGGCATCTGCTAGCAGATACCTGCGGGGACTTTGCACGCCCACGACGGCCACGCTCGAGGGAAAGAAAAAATTTCACCACGGCCTAAAATTCAACAAAGGGCCTGGTGGTGTGTGGTAGTGGTGGTTGCTTTCGGTGGCAGAGTGGATTTCGATGCTTGCTCCCCCCTGCTTGTCCGCCCGTGGGACCTTCTGCCCAACCTGCTTCGCCCCTCACCTCTTGTCAGCCCAACGCAACAGTGCGTGTGAACGGGACAAAGAAGAGGCGGCGTGAGTCACGGAGCTATGAGGGAGGGACCAGAGAGCTCGGGTTTGCTCGGCGTGTGTCAAACGGGCATCAGGCAGCATAGCATGACACCTCGGGCATGATTCACTGTTTGCCGTCAGACTACCTACCTAGGTAGCTGGCCGAGCTCAGTGGCGAGCAGCTCCCGCGCACACACACAAAAATTTGCTCCGTCCGTTTGTTGTTTTCGTCTCTCGAGCGGGCGGGGGAGGGGAGCTTTCTCGGCGCTGGACGCGATGCTGCCCCTCCTTCGCTCGTCGTGCATCTTCGCGCGGGCACCCTTGTGGGAGGGACGTCATGCCCCACCACTAGCGGTTGCCACCGTGTTTCTGCTCGCCACAGAAAAAAAAACACAATGCCAGACACAGACAGGCCCAACTTACAGGCATGCAACGCAGCGCCGCCCCTCCACCAGGGCTTATCGGAGGGGTTGTTGGATTGCATTGCAGCTCCGAGTCGCATTAAAGACCAATCGAGATCTCATTCTACCGAGGCAAAAACACAAATGAAGCATCCAGAACCCTTTACCCATGAGATATCTCACTCCGCCCCCGTTGGCAACACTTGCCGTATCGCCATGTCGTACGTGCGTGTCACTGTCTTCGTTGCGTGTCTTGTCTCGTCTCATCCCCGACTCGTTTTCGCGACCAAAAAAAAAACCTGCCCCTCCCCCTCCCCCTCTCTGCTGTTGCTGCAGTGCCAGAGCTCCACCAGCCAAGCTACTGGAGCTGCTAGCAAAACCACCCCCCGGACAACCACAACGAGAATGGACATTTCTGGGCCAAACAAAGCAAACGCCAGGGTTGCTGAGGAGGGGCAGAGAGAGAAAAATTTCCAGCCATTCCAGCCACGGTGGATCCGCGCAAGCTTTCTCATGCACCTCACCTCCCCTGCGCGGCAAGCCGTGCCCGACCCATTCCCATCAGAGCAGGTTGCTCCAACATCCAGGCCGACTTGCAGAACCGCTGGACATCGTTTGGTTTGCGCCGGACCACTGACAGCCCATCAAATTGCCAAAAAGATGCCCCATCCCACTTGTTGCTTGCCCACCGCTCTGCGAAACGCGGCTCACTGCGACCTAGACCACCATCAGGCCGCTCTCCCTTCCACCCTTGGATGTTTCAACCAGGACCACATTCACTGGGCGGCTATTCTGGCAGAGGTGGGAATGGACAGAGGTTTGTCCACTGTGGTTCCATGAGTGGATTTCTTTTGTTACTTTTTCCCTCTTGTTCTCTGCTCTCCATGCCGCATCCATCGCTTACCGCCCCCATGGCCCCATCCCGTGAAGCAGCCACCGATGGATTACGACCACAACGACCACAACGACCACAACGACCACACAACGTTCCACCGTAATCGCCCAGAAAACTCATCCTGCAACTGTACTACGTAGAAGTTATCCAGCTCATTCTATTGACCGTGAGTAAGCATGACTGAAATTCTACCGAGAAAAAAGACAAATCTCTTGATCCAGGGTAACTCGGCCGACTGTGATCTCATTCAAGTCCTATGTAACGGCCTAATCCCCTGCGCTCCATCTAAATGCGGTATATGTGTGTAATATGGTCCCATTATACTGTCCCGTGCATGTCTAATTCAATTGGGTATGCCCCGTCTCCCTAGCCCCAGCAGAGTTCCCAGAACCCATACCTCGCCGAGGAGGTATAAAACCAAGGCCCCCCCCACTACTTAAATCCTTACATCCTCTTACGGATATTCCGAAGCAATTCGAAAGTTGGACGGTGATCTCAGCATCAACTCGAAAGAACCCCGATTTTCCAGACGTCTCTGTAGTACAGTGTCGCGGTGGCGGGATTGTGCAACACGATGACTTCCCCCGGGTGGTCTACAGACGAACCAACAGTATGAACAGAAACAGCACCGACCGGAAACCAACCGATAATGAATCACACGAAATCCTCCGACCTTTCGCCGTTTCCTCCCTTGTCGACCCCGATAGGCTCCAATCTCGTCTCTTGTTACCGTCCCGCCGAGAGCCCCATAGCTGCCTGCAGTCACCCGCGCGCCAGCTGGCAAACACTTCCCGCCAACCGTCAAACCGCCAACCCAACCGCGCCTAGGCTTAAAGGACACAATTAGCAACGGCATCTTCAACAATCGAGCAGACTCCCGTCTGGTCGAGCGGTATGGCCCGTATAGAGTAATAGTTAACTCGTTGGATTCCTATAACAGTATAGGAACTAGCCAAGGATCCCGGTGCAAATCCGGGTGCGGGTGATTTTTCTTTTTGCTTCTTTGTTTTTTGCAACTCTGGGTCTCTCGAAAAACGCAAGCCTCCGGTCTCAATTAGGGGTGGATTTCGTTCTATTCCCTTTTTAATCGTAGAGTGCGGTGCTCAACCACATATGTGGTGTTTTGGCGTGAGGCATCACAATACGATGCGACGAACCAGTTACGGGGCGCGGCTTTCCCAACAAGCCATGAGGGCTAGGACGGCCTATGCTGGCATTCACCAAATTGCTCTCAGTGAGTATTTCATCTCATTTGTTTGCATTATTGTATCAACATTGGTCGCCTCTATCCAATCTCCAACATTCATACCCGGCAAGACTGCTTAGTTTCTCAGAAAGCCGCTCTTACTCTACATGATCGCCATCCGTATACATACAAATTCGTAATGTACAGTTCCGCCCATAATCAATATCCTTAAAAGTAGTTACAAAGTACATATCAACACATCATTCAACAGCCTTCTTAGCCTTTGCGGCGAGCATGGCCTTAGGCGTCTTCAGTCCAAGGAATACAGTCGTAGCCACGACCGCAATACCGGTCGCTCCCATGCCGTATGCTACCTCGCGACCCGCCCACCAGTATACGCTGGTGAACAGAATGGGTCCCAGCCCGCGGCCAAGTTGGCCCCAGCTTCGCAGCATGCCGAGTTTGTTGCCGCGCTCATCCTCGTGGGCCTCGAAGCTGCTCAGCGCATTCAGACCGGTGACGACGGTGGCCGAAGTCATTGCGAGGCACGTCGCCGCCAGGTACAGACCGCCGACGCTTGACACCTGGCTGAGGAGGACGAAGGATGTAAGACAAGCGAGTACACCAATGCGAACGGACAAGAGCGGCGGGAGACGGCGTGTGACACCACCCTGGAGGATAGATGCCACGAGGCCGACGTAGCCGAGCAATCTTCCGTTCTTCGCTGAGGTGAAAGAGAATAGCTCGTACGTCATAAACGATAGCGAGCTCTCCATGCCGGAGAAGAAGAGCAAGAAGACAAAGTGGACCGCATTGAGAAGGAAGTGAGAGTTGGTTCGCTCGATCTTCTTGGGTGCCACCTTCTTGGGATTCTTCCCCTTTTGCTCCTTGCCCGTCATAGAGGGCAATGTCTCGGGGAGACAGAAGTATAGGTAGACGGTCTCGACCACAATCAGCGCCAGGCTGAATCCAGCCGCCGTCGCAAAGGGGTTGGCAGCCACGGTCGAGATGGTGCTAAGCCATGCGCCCAGGCCAGGTCCGAAAGTGAAGGCAATCGAGAAGCACGCGCCAATCATGGCCATGGTCGCGCCGCGGTTGGACTCGTCCGAGATGTCACTTGCCATAGCCGTTGCGAGCTGGACGTTGCCCTCCGAGAGGCCGCCGACAACGCGGCTGGCAATGAAGGTTCGGAAGTCGACGGCGGCGACCCATAGCAGCACCGAGAGGATGTTGCCGCACATGGAAGCCAGGAGAGCCTTGCGTCGGCCGTAGCGGTCGGAGAAGGCGCCGATGAGGGGGGAGGCAACGGCCTGGAGGAGTCTATCCGCGGATGCCGCCGTTAGCAAGTCGCACGTGGGAGCGTGGACGCAGGGATGAACCTACGAGAAGATGGAGCCTAGAGCGCCGCCCAGCAGCACAATGTCATGTCGCGAATCAATCGGACGGGAAAAGGCAGCCTTGTATCGGTGGAGGCCGCTGAGGACCGACTGGAGGAGCGTCGCGGGGCCATCGGCGTCGAGCTCTGGGCCTTCGTGGTCGCGGTAGAACTCGAGGAGCTTCGGGAACAGCGGGAGGATGAAGGTGAAGGAGATCTAGATTGGAGGTCGGTTAGAAGACGCGCGGGCTCGAGAATGGGCGGTTGATTGAGTGTCTTACCAGGTCGAGGAGGAGGGAGATGGTGATGACACGGAGGACCTTCTTCCTCGCAGCCGGTTCGACGGACGTCATCGTGGACGGTGAATGCGCCGAAGAGAGCAGGACAGACGAATGGAGCGCTACAAGGTCAAGAATAGAGCATGGGAAACGAGCGAACGGCGCGGTAGAAGAGATTGCGGAAACAGAGACGGAACTGAGAAGGAAGAAGACACGAAACGTCGTAGAAGTGGTGGAACGCGATCGTCAGATGGCCCTCCTGTCCTGATTTGAGGCGACGCTGGTTGGACGAAGAAATGGAGCCGCTGCCCTTCAGTGGTGGATGCCGCTGATGGATGCCGCGGGCGGACGTTTCGGGGCGCCCCTGTCCCTGTATTTTAGGGGTTTTTGGCTCTACTCCGTAGTACTACGTAAATTTAGTAGGCCTCGGCGCTGGGGGAAGTCGGAAGGCTCCACTGCCGGGCTGCCGTGCTGTGCCGAGCCACTTGGATCGGGCGGGATTGGCCTGGGGGAGCTTCCTAAATCATCAATCGGATCTGGGCGTATCCGTAGCTAGGGGCACATTGGCGTCATATTCTTATGTGATAGTCTGAGGTGATATTCTTATGTGAGAGTGAGACTGCTTACTGGAGAGGAACGTGTGGAAAGTGGAAAAGCGGCACTGAGAGAAAGGGAGGGGAGATTGGACGAGCTTGGTTCACTTCAAGAGTAAAGTTTATTTTGTATTTAGAGTATGTTTGGTTTGGTTTAGTTTGTTGGTTTGGTTGTTTGTTTGTTTCTTGAGAAATTTTTGTTTTCGTGTGGTTCGTTCGTTTCGTGCCATCAGCTGGCAATGGACCCAGACCATCGGTAGGTATGGAATATGTCATGATCATCAATAGATCCGACGGGTATTTCGTCAAGAATCCGACAAAGGAAAGCTGCCCGTGCGCCATCGTCGGCGGCGATGGGAGATTCGGTGTGGTTCCCGCCTCCATCCACAAAAACCTCATCCCCCTGAACACGAAGCGGCGTGCTGATGCCCAGCAGAACAAACTCCAGCGAGTCAATAAATCGAAAAAATGCAAAAATGCAAAAACAAGAAATCGAAAGAAGCCTCTCCAGAGAAGAGACTGGGACAAAGTAAATGATAACAAAACAAGACTGAACACGCAAATCGTTGCCATCTGAGGCATACAGCGTCAACTCATCAAATTCTCGTTCATCATGTGAGCTTGAAAATCCGCCCATGTCGTACAATCGTTCCATCGCTAACAGAATGCAAAGTAAAGTCACATGGAACCTACCAGTCATTGAATATTTATGACCTTTGTCGTTGTTGTTCAGTAAGCCTCAAAGACGAAGCGGAGACCCTCGGATCCCTGTAGACTGTTAGCATCGTGTGTGGGTATTAGACTCAACCGAAAGGAACCAACCTTGTAGGGGATGGGGATAAAGTAATCCGCCGCCATTTCGCAATCCCGAACCCGTGTTTCGTAAATGCTGAGATATCCAACGTCTCCGTCTCTTACGTCTCCTTCGTCGCTGCCGAAAACGACGCCGCCACTTCCCCACTGTCGAAACAGCTTGGCCAGCATCAAATAAATTTCAGCATGCGCGAGAGCCATGCCCAGGCAGACCCGAGTGCCAGCACAGAAGATTGTAAGATATTTCTCCAGGTGCTCGCCATCCTCGACCCAACGTTCGGGGTGGAATCCCTTGGCGTCGTAGAAGATGGAGTCGTCCATGACGGTCTGGTAGGGGCTCATGCCCACGACGGAGCCTGGAGGAAGATGCCACTCCTTGTCGTTGTCTCGGTCGTAATAGACGAGAGTCTCGTCTGGTGCAACACGAGCCAATCGACTGCTAGTCCCGATGCCAAGGCGCAGGGCTTCCTTAACAACCCCGCGAAGGTACGGGAGGTTCTCTAGCTTCGCCAAAGGCACAACCTCAGTAGGGTCGGGAATGGCTTCAAAGAGTTCATCGCGGAGCTTGCGCAGAGTAGATGGGCGGTTCAAGAGGTGGAACGTCGCCAGTGACATGGCCCAGGAGGTGGTCAGGGTTCCTCCTTGAACGAGAATCTGACCCTCCTGTGCGAGGCGTGACGGCGTCTTCTCCCGGGCGGGGAGTGTCTTCGATGAGAGCAGCTCATGGAAGATGGTAGGGTGGCTCCCGTCGAGCGTCCATTTGTCTGTGGTTTGCTGGGTTTCGATGCTGTGAATTTGATCGAGGATGTCGTTCTTCATCTTCAAGAATCCACCCCATCCTATGTTTGGTCAGCACGGTTCGCTTGAATTTGTGTAGCTCCGAGTATCTTACCAGGTACGCATCGACTCGAGATAGACTCGGGCAGAGCATTGACGAGTGTGAGCACCCAGTTGACGTGCTTGACCCACGGGCCCATGTGTGTGCCAATGAGAAGGTTATTGGTAACCTCGGCGCCAAAGTCCGACTCCTCGACTGCGATTTGTTAGTATGGCCGTTTTCGAGCGGGCTAGAGTGTCAACGTACCCAAGTGATCGCTTCGAGCAAAAGCATACTCGTTGATTACATCTGCAAGTCATGTTAGTATTTGCATTGACCGAGTGATGCAATACTCCGTACCGTTAGTGTAGGCCGAAAAAGGGTACATGACGTCCAGAGGCTGGCCGTTTGACACACGAGCGTAGTTCCGAAATGAGTCCAAAAGAGCATCCCCTCGCTCCTCAATCACTGGCTGCAATTTGCGCACACTTTGAGTTGAGAAGAAAGGGTTCAGCGCGCTTCGCCGCAACTTGTGGAGGTTGTGGTCGACGGTCGCAAGAGCGCTCTCTGTTACATTGTCAGTCCCAGCTGAAAAAATGTCCTGAGAGGAAGGTTGCTTACGAGGAGCACCGAACTGATTGTTTGTTAGCCACGGTTCTGATCCATTGGAGTTTTGACGTCTGGCTTACCTGCTGAGTGTAGAAACTCCACTTGTCTCGGCGACGGCCAGGTCCAGCGTAGAGCTCCGAGAAGAACTCGGGGTCTCCTACATGGACCTCCCAGGGGTTGATGCGAACGATGGGGCCATATCGTTCGTGCATGTCGAGGATCTTGAAGGTGTATTGTCCCCCCAGGACAATGTCGTAGTAGAACTCATAGTATTGAGTTAGGGCCGCCAGCTTGGGGCCGGGGATATGGGCCAGCGGGCTGAGCCATAGCCGGGTGATGACCAGCTGGACGACGTAGAGGACCCAGATGACTGCAAGCAGACATGCGGTCTGCTGCCACGAGAGGGCAGCGATGGTTTCCAGGAAAGCCATGACGGTGTTAGTAACCGATCATGAGCAACTGGCCCTTGCAGGGCGGCGTTGTCATTAAAGAGGTGGAGAGCAAGAAAGGTGAGGAGGTGCCGGAGGGGCCATCAGCTCGCCCGGTGCAGGCCTATGACTTTGATTGGGACACGACCAGCAGACTCCAGAGAGCAAGCCTCGTGAGTTGGAGGGAGATGCGCAGGCAGCGCCGGTTTTGTAGTGCGTCTAGGCCACGCATTGCGCGCCCCTCCAGCTTGGAGTCGAAGTCGCTCATGGGCCAGAACGAGACGGCGGACGCAGCGGATGCGGGCCGCGTGGAGACTTGCTCTGGCGGTGTACGATGATTTGAGACCAGGGAGCAAAGGGCGGCCAGCTGTCACCGCAAGTGCTGCGCTGTTCGTTGGGTGAAGACGCCTCGGCGCCGCAGTAGCGGAGTCCGGCCTAGTCGATATCGTCGTGGAGGAGCCGTCGAGCCAATGGGTAGGCCATCCGGAGCCGGGGCCGGTCCATGGTGGGCGAGACCATTGGGTCGCTAACTTGTCTGAGGCTGGGCGGCGGGGGCTAGAGACGTGGTTCGCTTGATTAGGGACTGGTCGACTGGAAGAGTCGGGGAGCGGACGAGGTTGGTGGGCCGTGGGTTGCAGCACTTGCTGGAAGAGGCTGGCGGTTTGCGGAGAGAAGAGGCAAAACGGCCCTTTGCGAGAGTGGATTTTTCGTGTAGCGGAGGCGGTAAGAACACCCATGCCGCGAAACTGCCAGGTACGCAGGTACGCAGCCAAACAGGCACACAGGCACGCAGCCAAACAGGGGCACGACATCGGCCCTGAGCCGCCCAAACCGGAATCTGGTCGCTTGAACGGGCAGTGATGCGACAGCTGCCTCGTGGGTGCGGATGGGCCACAGGTTTGCCGTGGTGTGCTGACAGCTCTGGGCATCCCAGCAGCCCTCACCGGCAACCAAAGCTGTGGGTGGAGTCGTGTTTGCACTGGGCGCTATGCTTTATTTAGACCCCAACTTGGTCAAAAGGAGCCTAGGATCCCTCGGGTACCTGTAATGCACGCAAACTTCGCCCGCGCTCTTGTACCGCTCAGCGGTCCGGGTGGTGCTAATGGTTCCCCGGAAGGGGGGAGGGAGAGGAGGGGAAGGCTCACTTACACATGACATTTTCAAGCCGCAAGAAACAACGAGAGCAGTGTCTAGAGTATGAGGGGAGGTGCCCAAAGCCATGCCATTATAATGGCCCCTATCAATATCAGCCTTAACACCTCCTAGCATCTCAAACACACCGGTTTCACCCAATTGCTACCTCTATCTTTACCAGGCGCCAGGCGTCAAGGTTCCGGCGTCACCAGGGTGTCAATCGCGGCCGGCATCCCGCGCGTGCATCCGGGATATCTTCTCTCTGCGTGTCTGTGCAGCTGAGGCTACGCTGCAAATAGGGACCACATCCTGCGACCTGCCCATGATGCCTCCCAGCCGCCCTGCCTGTTTGAGCACGGGCGGGCGCGTGGGGAGGGATTGGATGCGAACCGCAGTGATACGACTCACCCAAGCACATCAGCCCATTGCTGGAGCCATTCGCTGAGGCGCACACCGCACACGGGCAACGCTGCTACGGGAACCGGAGATTCCCAGTCCTTCACAACAAAGACTCGTAAAATAGACTATTTCTGCTTGGTGGTAGCGAGTCACCATAATGATTGCTTCTCCTCTATGGACGACGTGGACCGTCGGTGAGGTGTTGTCGTGTGATGGTCCTTATCGTGCTCTAGTCAGCCAAACAGGTCACCACACCACGCCACTGCACCGTGTGGGCAGCTCTCGATGTTGGAGAGAGCTATTTCTGTACATGATAACCCGCGTATACATTGCAATGCTCAGTGAGGTATGAAAAGTACGTACATGGCCGAGTCGTCACGGGACGGTAGCAGGTTGCCGTCTACTTTACCCCGACCTCAACCTTGCACATAAGAGGGCGGTGGTCGATAGCCGCCATCGCTCTCGTCTTGGCATCTCGACCGCCCCGACACATGGGACGTGCTTCGTTCAACCACGCACGGCAGATATCGATAAGACGGGACCTCCAAATCTGTCCGTGGACCATCATGAGCCATTTTCTCTCATCGTCCTTATCCACCGCAAAAGATGGCGCAAGGCTGGAGAGGGTCCGGAATCCCAAACTGGCCAACGGGTCGGCGCGCCCACGATGCAGTCTTCCCCACCCCCACTCCCAAATCTGGGGTAGGTCCCGTAAATATAAAGCTTCTCAAATCCAGAGCTCGTCCCGCTGCCCTCCATCATCTCTTTTCCTGACGGAAGATCAGCTATCTTCAATCCTCCTTTGGAAGCTTCCTCCATTCTCCCGTCGTTTCAGCTCCTTCAACCCCACATCATCCGCGTCACGTTACTAGCCGTCTCGGGTCGTTAGCCGTTGCCATCAAAGGTTCCCGCCTCCCGATCACCAAGGCTGTTATCAAGTGAACATCTGATTATCGGAATCCGGCACGATGATCCCGAACTCTTCCAATTTAAGTTAATTGACATACTTGTGGTATTGAATGCCTCTGTCTCCGGGAATTGATCGACAGCCTTGCGACTCCCCGCACCATCCCAAGCACCCAATGCTGAAAGAGCAGGCTCCTTCCGCCCCTCAAGCTGAACTCTCTTCCTTTTCTCTCCCTTTACCCACACTTGATCTTCATCTTCATTTTCCTTTTGTCGATCACCGTCATCCGAATCGTCATTATCGTTCCACTTGTCCTTCATGTCCTTCAGCTGGCTTGTGCACTACCCCAGGACTGCTATCTCACTGGAATCCACGCCCAGCTCAATGACGCAGCTAGCCTCATGCCCCGGATTTTTCATTAGCCTCCACGCTCCACGAGAACTTGACGGATACGCCCCACAACTCGGCCGCATCGATCGCGAAGCGCAGTCTGGAGTAGAAAGCTCGGGAGGACAGTCTGGCGCTCCTGCGTCGCTAGCCTTCGTCTCTATCCCAGTTCTCCAGCTGGTCCCACATCAGGTCCCCACCAACCCAGAAGACTGGTTCACGCTGCAAACCGCTAATGTACAACGCACCTCGCGTGTTCGTCTGCGAGCCCAACGTCTCTCGGTCTCGATATGGGCCCCGTTTCGGGCCGTTACGTTGGGAATCGATCTACAAACACGTCACGATCGAATGGCCCTACTCGACAAGACCATAGGTCTTGGCAACGGGCACCGCCTGAATTTCATGAAATGATCTCGGAAAGCATGTCTTTTCAGTGATTATTATCCTCCCAAGTCCGGAAGGGGCTCATGTGTATGGTCGATTCTATGCGCGTGAGCGCTTGCCCTCCCGTGGTATTCAAGTGAATATCTCCAAAGATTGAGGGCCCCGTCTATTTTTTCCCATCCAGCCAGGCCGAGGCCAAAAAGCAAAACTCCCCAACACCTCGGTAACCCCTTTCATTTTTATTCGGCGGTCGAGATCATTGCTCGGTCGGTGTGCTGTGCATCCGAGTGATTGCTGTGTGAAACTTGGAAAGTCAGCCCACGCTCAAGGGTACTGTTGCAGGAACGGGCCGGGGTACACACCTGTTCAACACAGCTCGTGAACGTATCGCGGAGCAGGAAATTCGAAGAAGCAAGCTCTATGGCCGACAGGTAATCTTCTTTCCAGGCTTGGGCGGTTTGGGTGCATTGGGCTTTATCACGCCAGTGGTGTCGTAAGGTCCGCGGGCCATGCTTCTGTGTGGTCGGTGGTGGGCAGCGCGAGGGCTTCGTTGATCAGGGAGGTGACGGAGGTGTCAGAAGTGTCCGAGGTATGGATCGAGGATGGCGGCAGGATGTGAAGAGGGCGAAGCAGCAAAGATAAAGAGCGACTGAATGCCAGAGACAGGGACAGCAAATTTTCGGTAACCTAGGGGTTTTTTTTTGTGAAGACGAAAAGCGAAGACAGAGTTGCTGTCTTAAATTTTTGGGAGGTGCCCCGTGAAATAATTTAAGGCTGCCCGCACGCACGTTCGCGTGGCTTTTTAGCTACTAACCTACTGATGTTGCGGTCTATGGCGGTCAGCGCCCACCCCTGATATCTGACCTAGGTATGGTATCCAAGCCCCCCTGTACTTGTTTTTTACTGTACTAGGATCGGCAGGGGTGGGCGAGTTTCTGTTAGCTTTGTTGTCGGATGGTGAGCTGGACGGGATCTCAACCTGGGATGTTGAGGAGCCGTGGTTGCATGGCACTTGTGTTCATCGTCGCCGCCTGACTTGTGTGGACAGACGGGAGCGAGCGGCGGTAGCCGATTCCCCAACGGCGCGGCAAATGTCAAAGGCGACGGCCAGCAGCGGTTTGAATGTGATTCTGGGCCAAGGTGAGCGAGCTGGAGTGGCCATGGAGGGCCGGTGACGAGTGGGTGACGGGCCGGGGCATCATTGATCAGGGGGCGTGTTAGCCGGGGGGAGAAGAGATTCCAGTTATTCCACGGATTCCAGGGATTCGCTGGATGTGGGGGTCCCAAGGATCGGCTGGCGCTGGGACTGCGCTGGTCGCCAGGGGATCCCTTTCCAAGCTCGATTCTAGAAGAGACGCCCTGCGTAAGAGCTGCGCGAGGATGGGGTGGCGTCGCGTTGGGACCTGGAACGGTGAGCCCGAACTGGCGGCGGTGACATATCTCGGTGTGAGTGGACGGATTTCTTGTGACGAGTCAACCCGCGCTCGGTCATGGGCAGAGACAAGAATGGCCTAGAATGGACGAGCACAGGGAGGCCAAAGCAAAACGAGCCGCGCCAGAGATGATTGAAGGGCGATCAAAAGCAACCAAGCATCCAAGCAACCAAGCCACCGACATGGCATCCGCAAGCGCTCGTCATCCCATGTCATACCACCGCTGGCAGCACTGGCAACACATTTTATTTATTGCCCTGTAACTAACCTTCGTAGTCGGCTGCACGGGGCCGTCACACACGACGGCGCCCCAGCCCGTTGGTGACGTTGCCCACACGGCACGCGGGACTGGCTGACCAGAGCCGCATCCCTGGACGATCTGACGGACGGATGGTGAAGAACTACCTTGGAGACGCATCTGCCATGTACGAATACGCTCCGCTCCGGCTGCTATAGCTCTATTTCTCCTTCCGCCTTTTCGGATCCGCCAGCTCTCTCAGAAAGGGCCGTCTTCCGCACCAGCCCACGGCCGTCCAACGTCTCATTTCCCAGACCACGTTATTCAGCCCTTGGGCTTGGGTCCTCCCCCCCCCCCCTCCAGGGCCTCCCAGGGGAATGCCCATCTCTAGTCCGCCGTCCCAGGTCTGTCAGAGCCAACTGGTGGGAACGACGTCGTCCGCTTCCACCACTCGCCGCACGCTAACTCTGATACTTTCACCTGCGCCGCGGGCCCCGTGCTCTGCCGATCTTGCGGATGCCGGTCGATGGATGTCTGGGTCTGGGTGATTGATGATTGATATCCGCGAGTGGATGGGTGGGGACGGCCGAGCCCTTGCCGCGGCGTCTCGTTGGGCGGGCGACCAGAAGAAAAATGGACATCGAAATCGAAAACCAATCTTGGCTTTTCTTTTGCTGCCGGGGACCTGTCGGGACACCGCTGTACCACTGTGTCAGAGGCTAAGAGCCGGTGAGACGGGGAAAGGGGAAGGGGTCGTGACTGTGGCTTTCTGTTGCAGCCCATGCAAGATGTTGGGGACGCGCCCAAAGGAGAATTTTTGCTCCATCAAGGGATCATCAAGGGATGGACCATGCATCTTCAGCCACGCGCCCGTCGGCCAAAGGCACGCTGCACGCACGTCGAAAGCCACATGGACATGGGCCCAGCACGATGCCGTCGATACGAGCCACCTATTTCAAGGCGAGCTTGTTTGAAGTGTTTGAAGGAGTCCTGTCACCAGCCAGAGGCCAATCGGAGCCTGTTCCATGGGGGCGGTCCTTGGCCCGACTGAGCCCTGAGGGAAGCCCCTTGAGCCCACCTACAGCCGAAATGTCAAATCAACCGCGGAGCACGTTACGAGCCGTCTTGCCTCCGCAAACCCCTGTCCCGCCACGGAGGCTGTCCAGGGTGCGTCTCCAACAGTACACGGCACGTTGTTCTTTTCCCGGGGCGCGGCAGCTGACGAGACAAGCCCGTCCGTGCAAGTGCCGGACGCCATACAATTCCGCTTCCACGATGCGCTTGTGGGACGAGTTGTCCATGTGCCACCGCGCAGAGGCCACCGCGCTCGCTCCATCTCGCCTCTGGCCTCTGCCTGTGTCGCTCGCCTCGCCGCCCAATCCCCCGGCCGCAGGGGTCAAGTTCCCCGTGTCGTGGGGCGGGAACAGAACCGTGGCTCCGGTGCCGAGACCAGTGGCGGGGATGGGACGGGCCTAGCGGAGGAGCCCGTCGCCGGGGGGCCGGGTCGTGTGGCCTTGCCCGTGCTAATCCTTATTAGCGGCTTGTGAGAATTGGACGTTTGATAACGACCTCGGCCAAGATCCATCAAGGCGGCTAACATCTGGCAAGGGCTGATGACATGGTAAGTGACGGGCGGGTCAAAGGAAGACCATTCTCACAAAGACAGCATGTTGATCTCAAGTGACCGTGATCGTGACCGCACTATTGATGAGAGATGAATAGACCCATCAGCAGGGGCCAAATCTTAATGTCATAGACCCGCGCCGCTCCGTTGGATCCGAGAGATTCAGCCTTAGCCAGGAAGGTTCTTACACGGAATTTAGAAGGTTCCGCGCCTGAACACAGCGCATAGACGCATAGACTCGTCAAGTCGGAGATTATTCGTATGTCTACACGACAAACAGACTAACAACAGTGGAAACCATCCGCCTTACTTTGTATTTTAGTGGCTGAAGACCACGCGTACAAAAGCAGGGGAACATGTCAAATGCAAGCGCTTCTTGTCTATGTAGGGACCGCCAAGGACATTGGCGATCGACGGTTGGGGATATCCCTACCATTGGAATCCTTCATTCTGGATGGATTGGCGACTCTGAACACTCTTGGCGACCCGACAATCAAAAATTTGTCGGGTATGCCAGTCTAGACCGCCTCGTGGTGTGTGTGTAACCAGGGAACAAGCCGATTTGACATGTTGCTCTGCATAATCCCCACTCTCTACAATGTCGTTGCCGTTCTCTAGCCCGTTCTATGTCGGCAAGCGGGTGACATTTCTTCCATGTCACTCAGCGGGCGTCAATCCTCAGCTGGAAAAGAGTGGTTAAAGTCCAGTCAGCCAGTTGCCGCACAATTACAGCCATCCGGATTCAACCTCACCGTCCGTCGGGACTATATGGAGTTTAGGAGCAACAATTAACTTCGATAATTCACATTAAGCTGTTGCTAGTACGTCTGACTACACTTTGGTTTGACAGTCCAAAAGCCAATCATATTGCAAAAGGGGCATACCCAGCAGATTTCAATAAGCAGGCGTCTATTACACTAAGTTGCATGAGTCAGGTTTTTACCAGGTCTACTGTGGCGGTCTGATACAACGCTCACCGCCGGTGTGGTTGAGGCTAGTGACGCAGGCCCACTGGGTGCTTTGTTACACGTAGCGAACGACGATAGGATTGCTCCGTATTCTCTATCAAAGCCAAGCTAGGGCAGGTCGCGGTACACAAGCTGGAACTTCTGGAAGAAGAGGTGACAGGGTATACTAGCATGTGCCGGCACTCGGTAAAAACTGTGACGGGATGGACCCGCAACTAGCAGGCAAATCCATGCCATGCAGGAATCTGACACTGCAGCCATGTAAAGCTGAGGCCCAAGTTGGAGCGTTGGGCTTGTTTTCTTCATACGTGTAAGAAAAGAAAAATTCAGGGATGCCTCGTAGTAACTCTTGCCGCTAAGATTAGCACTTGCCCTGATTGTAAGGCACCGTCATTAGGTATGGAGCAGTAAATTGCCAGTTGTCAATTTGTACGAGACGCATCTGACCTGGAGTCTCCAGAAAATCAATATTTATCAGTGTTAAGACAACATAGGCAGCTCTCCCTCGCAAAAGAAAGCGCCCTACCTCCTAAAAACCCAACATCAAAACAAGGCGAGATATTCTATGAGGCATCTACAGAATTTGCTAATGGGAGTCCAAGTGACTTGCACGAGTTGTGATGGTCTAGGGTACGCGATGTGGAGGACAGTTTCGTACACTGTAGAGAGAACAGTGCATTTGATCAAATTTGAGTGAGGAGACACCAACAGTACAGTGCCAATATGGAGCAAACAATTGGTAAGCAAGTTGCCTTCGCACAAATGCAATTGTCTCAACCAAAGACATCGTCATCGACAAGAGAAAATTTACCACTTAGACCTTTGGCATCTCCTCACACAAAATGCATTTCCAGCCGATTGAGCACATGGCCGACGAAACCTACATTGCCCAGGGTGAAGGCGCTTACCAAGTGGAAGTGGAAATGGACGCACAGGCTGCCAACGACGCCCTAGACGATGTTTTCGGCTCTGGACCCTCGTCGCCCACCGCAGAGCATCATGACGCGCCTTCTAGCGCTGTTCACCCGTCTGACATGCGCCGATTAGAGACCGAGCACTCTACCGCTGGGTACCGTGAGGGCGTCAGCGTCGCCAAAGAGAGCAGCATACAGGCGGGCTTTGACGAGGGTTTTAGCCTGGGTGCCAGCGTTGGCCTGAGGGCCGGCCAGCTGCTGGGCTTGCTAGAGGGCATCGCTGGTGCTATGCGCGGCCGCGATGACCCGGATGCAGTGCGGGTGGGAGGGTTGTTGAGCGAGGCGCGGAAGGAGCTGAGTATCGGGACCATCTTCAAACCAGACTACTGGGCCGAGGATGGCAACTGGAAGTACGAGGTCCAGCCAGCCCAAGGTGAGGACGAGGTCGTCTTCACCGACGTAGCCGAGGCGCACCCCTTGATACGGAAGTGGACGGCGATTGTGGACGAACAGCTTTCCCTGTGGAAGATTGACCGAACGATCTTGGACGATGAGACCGGACAGCGCCTTGATTCGGTCATGGACGAACCGATTGCCTCGTCGGCAGTTCCGGCAGCACGGAAACCGCTAGATTGGTGAAGGAGATCCTCTCAAGCCTCAAGTTTCAGAAGAAAATGTTACATCCGACAGTTCGAAGGCGAAGAGTGAGCCGGGCCGGAGCCAGAGCTGGCCACACCCATCCAGCTTCCACAACCGGTCCGAAGACACAAGGGAGAAGCTCCATCGGGTTTCTATCAGGTACTTCACCCCTGAAAGCGAGATGGAGAGAAACACTCCCGAGCCGCCAACATAGAGGACGAGATGGGACACCCGCTGATGCTAGGTAGCCGGCTTTTGCCACCTGGCCGCCGGAAGGTAACTGCGTCCAATCCCGCACGGTATCTCTTAGCGGGGTTGGGAGTAGGGAGCGATTGGAAACGATCCTCAAACAAACAAGGCCAGACACCTACAGCCTCGTTCTCAATCTGAGAACCAGGAAGACCCGCAAGGAAAAGAGGGTACTTATGACGAGTCGGTATTGGTGCATTGGAGTTGTTCTAGATGGCGTGCATTGGCCCAGCAGCAATTCGCTCAATGCCACTCACACCCTCGGCGATTTACACATCCGAATTGGAATACGGTTTTGACAAAATGAGGTTGTTATGTTTCAAATGATGCCATTTATAGCTCTCTGTGTGATCTTTCCATACCCTGCAGACGTGTCGTGAGTATCGGGGAGGCGGAACAAACCCCATGGCAAAATATCCGCTCGCGAGATCCGCTCCAAGACAACTTCATCTCTGTGACCCGAAAGTCTCTTCCGAAGGACTATCCGCCCCTGATTGGGAGTGACGAGTTGTGAAGCGCTGGCTTGATACGGAGTTGTGGGGTTGAGCCGTGGTTGAAAAAGCAACTTCAGAAACATTTTGGACCCTACTGCAAGGGGGCACATCCAATCTCGGAGCTTTGTGTTCCAACCGGCCAAACGCCCTGCATGAAACTAACTCCGAAGGGCTCAGGTGATGGTTTGGTTCTTAGTGTCTATGCCGTGCTAGTGCAGGTACGCGGCGATCTTGCTGAACGATGTTTCGCAGCCTCTCCCGTTAGAGGGCACCTGACAAGACCGGATGAGGACTTGTCACAGAAGATCAGTCATGTTCTATATGCATGATTGAGACGGCGGCTCTGGGAAGATTACGAGTATGAAATGCATGACGGGCGTTGGCTACTCTCGAGATGCAAGGGCTCGTGGACTCTCGAAAGGGACAGAGGTTCAATCTCCGCCGCGAGACATGACAACTTGGCGCCTACGAGGCCTTCATCTCTCTTGATTCTGTTGTCCTTTTGGCCATGGGACGCCTTGATGATCGGCGGTTTTTGCCTCCCTTGAGACTCTGGGACTCGGCGTAATAACAACACAGACTCAAAGGTTGGCAGAATACGATGGCATTGGCAGCAGTTGAATGATGATAAAAGGAGCCATCAGATCCCTCCTCAGCAATCACATTCTCTTCATCACTCTCAGTTCATCGATCCCTCTTCCAGCTTTCAAGTCACTCGTTTGACCAGCCCTTCATTCACAAACCAGTCATTTATTCGCTATTTCAAGCAATCCCAACATCGCAACAATGAAGTACAACACCATCGCCTTCGCCCCCCTCCTCGCGGCTGTCGCCGATGCCACCAGCCTGCTGTCTCTCGGTATTGACATCAGCCTGCCCGGTGGCCTCTCTCTGCCCGATGAGTCCGTCGGCCCCACGGGCGAGCCCCGTGCGGACTGCATCAACGTCTGGCACCCTCCTCACCACGGCGTCGACATTGACGACTGTGACAACGACTCTGATGAGCACTGGCATTATGTCCACCCAGGCACCAAGTACCCCGAGCAGGAGCAGTACGCCTGGACCACCAAGACTGTCCATGCCACCAAGATCCATACCGTGACCGACTGCCCGGCCTATGTCACCGACTGCCCCAGCCATCACACCTATGTCACTACGGTCGAGGTCCCTGCCACCACTACCATCTGCCCCGTCCCCGTCAAGGAGGTCTACGAGGCTCCCACCACCAAGGACATGTACGAGGTCCCAACTACTAAGCCTATGTACGAGGAGGTCCCGACCACCAAGCCTATGTACGAAGAGGTTCCTACCACCGAGGCCGAGTATGAGGTCCCCTCCATCACCATGTCCTATGAGAAGCCCGAGGAGACCTCCACGTCATGCCCCCCTGGCGAGACCACCGAGATGTACCCTCCTCCCACCACCAAGGTGTACAAGGTCTCCAGCGTCACCCACCCGTACATGAAGCCCGAGACCACCTCGCGCCCGCCTGGCGAGGAGACCTACCCAGTCCCTGCCCGCAGCTCCACCAGTTGGATCCCCAACGTGCCCGAGTACACCACCCCCGCTGTCATGACTCCCGGCTACGTTCCCCCTGCTGCCGGAACTCATCCGATGGTCTGCCCGGGCCCTGGTTGCCCTTCCAAGTCCGTCCCCGGCTACGCTCCTCCTGCCGTCGGCACTTCTTCTATGGTCTGCCCCGGCCCCGGCTGCCCTCCTTATCCTACCGATGTTCCCACTACCATCATCCCCGTTGTCCCCGAGATGCCCACTGAGGGTATGCCCACCCCGACTCCCACGATGCCCGTCGTTGTTGGTGGTGCTGTCCGCAACGCTGGCGGTCTCTTCGCCGCCATTGCGGCCGTTGCTGCTGCCCTCGTCTAAATCTCATATTTCTCACATTCTTTTCAGCTTCTCAAGATGGATTACGTATTTACGATGTAATGCGGTTCTGGATTGAGAGGATTGGTGTTCTGAGAGCTAGAGACTTCTCTTTCTTGTATGGGTGCTATTTGTGGATCTTCGATTTACGGAGATGATTGGTGGTGTACCTATATTCTTGATACATATTCTTTCGTGCTTAATAGCAAGGCACCCCTAATGATTGTTCCTGGCGCTAGCCGATGTGACTAAATATACCTCGAAGCTACAGATAATTGTGAGCATGAGATTGGCTTGTTTATGACGAGACGAGAGACTTACCCGCCAGACATATCGATTGAGCTTTCTGCTGCTCGACTCTGGAATGGTTGGATGTCGCCATTGATTTGTCCTCACTGAGCCAAGTGACATAAGAGTGGACCAGGGCTGCCCGTGAATCAAAGCGGGAATTGCCTGATACTTCTGACAGCTTTGTTCGGTATCACAATGGGATGACGTGAGTTTTTGGCCCTGGATCTAAATCATCCTTGAGCATACTCCTGAAGCCTTTTCGCCACATCTTCGATGCGATCGTAGTTGCCGTATAATTCCTTGGTAGTTTCCCAATCGCGGCCCTGTTTCCCAAAGACCATGAGCTTCAACACCTTCCCGTCGTCGTCCATGACAACTCTCCCACTTCTCTCATCCGCCCAAGTGAATCGAATCTGTTTGGCCTCGATATCTGCGATGCCGACATCCACAATATCGTTTGCCGTCAAGTTCTCGGCAGTTTGATCGTGGAGTCCCAGTCCGCGCCGAAGGTCGGCAGAGACACCTAGTCGGTTGTGATAGCGCACAATCTCCCTCCTCAACGCCCTCACAAATCGGTCCAAGTCGTGTTGCGGAGGCTCATCACTCCCGGGCCTTCGAGCTGGTAAGTGACGTGCGGCAAGGCCAGCGATGGGGATGGCCGGGGGGAGTGTATGGCGGTGGATGCGAAGGTGTTTGGAACCGGAGTAGGGGCGGTTGAGCATGACGTAGTAGGGCCGCAGAAACTGGCCTCTGGACATGATTTCGAATCGCAGGCCGAGGATGTGGCCACCGTCAACGGCATGAGGGTCGGGGTCATGGACCTTGAAGGAGGTGACGGAGCTGCAGATGCGATGGAGACATTGCTGGATGTAGGCGCGCTGCTTGTCGGACTCGGCGAGGAGCTTTTTGCGGGAAGGGTTCGGTCGTCTGAGGTTGTGGGTGACGGCAGATGGCTGGAGAATGGTATGAGTCGAAGCGGCGGAAAGAATGGTAGAGGTTTCGATCTTGAGGTTCTTGCGCAGGGCGGCAGCTGCATGTTTTTGTTAGTTGGGTGTTGTTGACATTGGAGGATGGGAATATTTGGCTGCGACAGAGCTTACCTTGGGCTTTTAGTGAGGCAATCTCCTCATCCAGGAGGTCGCTTTCGGAGGGGGTACTTCGCGAAGACATGGCGATTTTGGGATTAGACGTGGTCGTGGCAATTGCACTGTTGGCGATCTTGGATCTTGTTTCTTTTGTTGACCAACGCGATACGATGCGAGTTGGCGCGTCATTCAGAGGGATGCATATACATGAGGAGGGCTGATAAGATAAGCGGCTGGTCCCAGTGGCTTGGAGCAGTGGCTGGTGACCATTTGTGGCTTGTGGCAGGCGACAAGACATTGGGGGGCAGGCAGAGGAACAATTCCTTGTTCAAAATCTCACCAAAACATCGAATTGAATGGCAATCTAAAAAACAACTAAATACACTTCGAGCAAGCTTGTTCCCTCGACGACTGCAAGGTGATGTGACTCATGTCCACCCAACTACCTCTACTGTCAAGCCAAGGCTTTCCACCACGGTGGACCAAAGACCCACGCCTCACTTTGCATGCTACCATCCTACTTAGGGACCACTTCACCGTACGTCTCGTGGAAGAGCTTTTCAGTCCAGTCGAACACCTTGTCGTACTGAAATCCCTGCGAGTTGTATAGGCGACGAAAAAGGTGACGGAGGTATGCGTAGTCGGGTTTGTCCTTGAACCCCAGCGATCGAGTATAGTTGATAAAGGTTTCGAATTCGCGAGGGAGTCCCTGGCATAGTGTCTCAACTGGTATGTTCATCTTCTTCTCCATAATCATCTTGTCCTTTTCCTCTTGGGTCGCCGCCTTTAGACCTATCCACGGTAGCGAGCCACCCTGAAAAAACAGCAGCATATATCCCAGGGACTCTAAGTCGTCACCCCGACACTGTTCTGTCCCGTGTTAGCAAGAAGTGGGCATTGTGATTCACAGAGTACCTACCAAGCCCCTTGTGATTGTTGAGACTGGCGAATCGAGCGGTGCCACCAAAGGGGCAACCTTTAAATCTCTTATCCTCATCTTTGTCGAAGACCTCCATCGCCATGCCGAAGTCGATAGTATGAAGTACATTTCCTTGCTTGCCAGCCCCCATCGTAAAGTTTTCTGGCTTTATATCGCGATGGATATAGCCTTTCTGGTGGATATACTGGAGTCGAGAAATGGCTTGGTCGGCGATGAGGAGGGTGGTCTTGAGAGAAAACCGTCCGCCACAATAGTTGAGTAAATCTCCTAGCGATGGGCCAAGAAGATCACATATCAACACATAGTAGTCGCAGTCGACTCCAAACCACATGAATCGCGGCATTCCAATGCCGCCGGACAGAGCCCTGAGCACGTCCACTTCATGCCTTGACATGTCAGGACCGTCTTTACAACGCATGAGCTTCATGGCGACTATCTCATTCGATTCGATATCGGTCCCTACGGGAGTTAGCATCGATTGGGAAAGACAAGATCTGACAACCCACCGATGTACACGAGGCCAAAGCCTCCCTGGCCGATTTTCCGGTCCACCCGGTATTTCTTATTAATGATGATATCCTGGAACAGATTGTAAGTGAGAACCGGATCATTGTGTCTGAAATGCGTGCGACTGTTACCTTCATGATGGATGTGGTTTCTATGGCAGCTTGGTGGTTTGGAGGTTGTCGTGCGACAGTGGTAAAGGTGAGAATGGAATGGCAACCAAGAACTAAAAGGGTCATTTTATTAATGGGCTGCGCGATACTGTTTGTCAAAAGAGACCGATACGGAACAATAGCTCTAGATTCTTCCGCCTTTGTCCTCCTTGTTTGCCACAGTTTGGTAGTCCCAGTTCACTGGTATGTGTACAGACAAACAGACAAACGTAAATCTAGCCTGTTCAGTAACAAAGGGAGCAAACTGCGATTCAATGACATGCAAGAAATACCGAAAGAAACCAGGCATGCCCTGTCAAGCGGCTTGCATCTTTGTAGAGACAACCTGTTGCGCATCATCAAGACCACAGCGATCCCTGATATAAATATCCACTGAGTTGAGTCAAACGATAGTCTCCAGCCTGGACAAGATCCCAGCTTCATTGCTGATAGTCGCAGTTCCTTTCAAGTGTCCAGCGTTACTGCCTGCAACCGACAATCGCCTGGAGCCTGGAACCTAGGATTGCTTCGTTTCCAATCCCGCAACTCACTCTCGATGGCGCCCATAAAAGGACCGCAGACTCAAACCCAACAGGTCACGCAAGAGAGTCCTCTCGCAAAGTCCGCTGATAGACGTAACTTCCCCCCAGGATTCTGGGATGACCTATCAAAAGTTTTTCTCACACCGCGAGCACTGCGAGAGATCGACCGACGACAAAATACTCATCCTCATCTGCTGTTCACGCCTCCTGAGGTGTATCCTATCGACCTTGTTCGATTCGCAAGACACGGTGGCCCAGACCTTAAGCATCTACAAGGGGTAAGACTTTCTTACTTTTTCTATAATTTATCTTCTAATTTGTGCCTGTCTGTCTAGTATCCCGAACCGAAGCCCATCACTGAGGATATGTGTTCACACTATCCTCTTTCCAAACTTGAAAAGTTCAAATTAGCAGGAGAAGACCCCCCACTCAAGACTTCATCCGCATACGACGCTTGCTTCGAAAGGCATCTCCGCGATCATGGAATATACATGGAGGGAGGTTCTCATGAAGAGGACGATTCTGAAGATGACTATTCTGAAGAGGACGATTCTAAAGATGACTATTCTGAAGAGGACGATTCTGAAGATGACTATTCTGAAGATGACTATCCTGGAGATGACTATCCTGGAGATGACTATCCTGGAGATGACGCTCCGATCTCAGAGCCTACAAATCTGGACGAAATCCGGCAAATTATCGTCGCTCCTAGAGCCTCTATCTCGTCGCGAACTCAGAAGTCAGTATTCTCGAAATTCAAACGACAGAATGAGGCCGCAACGGAGAAGACGGTCATGACCCGTGTGATCCCGATCATTGAGGGCAACGCGAACTTCTTTAATTGCCAAGATGCCCGCTTTACGAATCTTATCTCGATGACGAATCAGGTGACTGCCAGATTGCAACCAGACTACTTTGACGGAGCTCGAATAAGAGCAATCCACGAGAAAGTGCAAAACGATCTCAGCACGGTAATCATACCAACACACGACGAGAAGATTCCAGTCGCAACGAATTTCTTCCTTGAGGCCAAGTCTCCGAAGGGGAATTCCGTTGTGAGCAAGAGACAGGCATGCATTAGCGGTGCAAACGGGTGCCGCGCTATGCAAGCCCTACAGAGTTACGGAGAGGCTGAACTAATATACGACAATAACGCATACGCATTCAGCGCTACTTACCTAGCTGGAGACGGTTTACTTCAGCTGTACGCCCATCATGCAACACCGCCAACGAAGATTGACGGAAAGCCCAAGTATCACATGACCTTGTTGAAGGTGTTTGTGATACGCGAAAATCTTGAGATGTATATCCAAGGCATCACTGCATTCACAAATCTCAGGCATTTAGCAAAAAGGTACCGAAACCGCTTCATAAATATGGCGAACTCCAGAGCATCAAATGCAGAGCAGGTTACTGCCAAAGAAAGCCTTGGCACGGCGAGGCCATGCAAGCGGAAGCGCACTCCGGCCTCAAAGGCGGATCGTGCATCGAAGAAGCGAAATCGTTGAGCGCCAGGGTTGCTGAGTTGTGGGCCGGCGTCCGCAGTGGAACCATTACTTGAGAGGGTAGCAAGGGAGGAATGGATGATTCTTAGAGGGGATTGGGTTGATAGATACACATTGTGATGGTGCTAGTTGATACCACGGAGTTTTAGAACAGTTAGGCCTTCTATCTAGCTAAGGTCATTCGTGGAGTAGAGATCTGTCTAATGATTTGGCAAGGCGCGCTATTACGCTTCCTTAAACTCAAGCTCACCGGTTGCCTTGCCTTGTTTCCCTGTCCCAGCTGTCGCAATACTTGTGAAGAAGCACCATGTTAAGTGCCATAGATGAGTATATGTCCATTCTATCTTCCGACGCAAGTTCACTTCATTTGTCCATCCTTACCTTGCTGTTGGCGATAACCTCCCCTGTTTCTTGAGTGTGCTTTGCGTCTCCAACTAACACAACATACCGACTGGAACATAACATCAATCGGCTGCGCGCAGTTCTTTGTAAAGAACAACTGCTCCGGAATACAGAACACAGGCTCCATACCCTTCCGCTTTCCTCTGCTATATCAAAGACAGGTGCGCAGACCAACTTGCACTCAAAGTGTTTACAATCAATGAGCGATGTAGCTCAATACTACATTGGACTAAGAACCTCAACAAAGACGGTGTGGTGTATCGGAGTAGTGATCATCGGTCCCTTCATCCAAGACAAACAACTCCATGATTCGGGTCAGGACAAGCTCTGGGATTGTTTGCATCCCCCTCCCCATGTTAAGCTACATTACACTAGGAACTTTGACAAAGAGGTACGGTATTCGGAACAGCGATCACTGATCCCTTGGCTCGCTTCATCCAGGACAAAGAACTCCACGATTCAGGTCGGGACAAAGTTCGGGCTTGTTTGCATCCCCTCCACATCTTGAACGTCACAATCATCCAGCCCTAACGGGTATATTAAACCACTACAGTCTCAAACAGGGCGCACCGATTACGCGGCATTATTGTTAGAAATTGACATAAATTGACATTTTATTTGAGCGGCCATCAGCTACATGAAAGCCGCCTGCCTAACGCTACTGCGAATAGCAACTGACCGAGACAGGCCACCCACAACCTGCCACCTGCGACTAGCAATTCTAGAAACTCGTTCGCTCATACTCATGGAAAACCTCCCGAGTCAGCCCAGCCAACTCCGGCAAAGCAGTCCTCTTTCAGAAAGGGCCCAGTCCATTCCTAAAAACAACTTCTCTCCGGAATTCTGGGATCGCGCATCTAAAATCTTTCTTACACAGCGCGCAATACGAGAGTTAGATCGCCGACAAAAAAGTTATTCTGCCCTTCAGTTTACACATCCAGACGTACGACCTTCAGATCTTGCACGATTTTCAAGGCATGGTGGTCCAGAACTAAGCCATCTACGAGGTGTAAGACTCACCCCTTCTTCTTATAGCTGTCATCTAATTTGTGTATGCCTAGTTCCCTGAACCGAAAGGAATTGCGCAAGAGATGGAGTCTCGGCTTCGCATGTCCCGGCATACGCAGTTGAGGATCTCTAAGACCAAGATAACATCTGCGTACGACGATAATTTCCAATACCATCTAATCCACCATGCGGTATATCCTGCGGGGTATAAGAGTCCGACAGGACGTCGGAGTCCAGCGCCCGGCAATCTGGACCAAGTTCGTCATAACCTCTCGGCCTCCAGAGCCTCTGTTCTGGAACCACAATGCTCCGAATCCGAATTCCAGGACTTTAAGGATACGAACATGGGCCTCTCGCTGGAATCAGACGTCATGACGCAGGTGATTCCAGGGATTGAGGGCAAGTCAAAGATCCCACATTGGACAAATATCGAATTCACCAACCTCAAGTCCCTGACCTATGAGAAGACGGTTGCACCGAAACCTGACTCCTATGACGGGGTTCTAAGGCAAGAGATTCACCCGCAAGTTCAGATTGATCTCAATTCGATGATCATGCCTTCCAGAGTCCGCTCGAAGGCGCCAGCAGCACCAAATTTCTTCCTCCAAGTCAAGGGCGAAGACGGGACCTGGAAGGTGGCCCGGAGACAAGTGTGCCTCGATGGAGCCATGGGAGCTCGGGCTATGCACAGCCTGCAAAATTACGGGGAAGCGGAGCCGACATACGACGGCAACGCCTACACATACAGCGCGGCGTACTTCGACTGCGTACTTGAAGTGTATGCTCATCATATAACGGCGCCGACTCCGGACTCCTCGGGCCCGGAGTATCACATGACCTTATTGGATGTGATTCCAATGCATCTGAGTTATGAGATGTATGTCAAAGGCGTTATTGCATTCAGGAACGCGAGGGATATGGCAAAGAAACATCGAGACAACTTTGTCAAGATAGCAAACTCCAGAGCGTCTCAAGCGGAGGCCGGAGAGGAACGGCACCGGAAGAGTTGGGCGATGCAAACGTCGACGACTCGGACTCTGTCAACAGCGATGAGCACACCTCTCTGGATGGTCATGGTCATGGTCATGGGCAAGGTCCGAACCCGACGTCTGGATCTAAGCGGAAACTCAGCCCGAGTTCAAGCGAGCAGAGTGATGGCGCCCGGAAGAGTCGGACTCGTCGTCGAAATGCGTGAATGGTTGTTGATGGTGTTTGTTATGTGTATGCTTTCCTTTTGGGGGGACAGTTGAGGGCAGATCAGTCTTTGTTGGGGGAAACCCGGTTGATTGGGCGAGGTAGCAAGGAAAGGATAGAGGATAGAGGATGGAGGACATGATTTTTTTAAGGACGGAATCTCATTGTTTTGTTCACTCCTCGACATCATGACTGCTCGTGGAAGAACCTGAAGGCTGAATAACACTGCACATGAGTTGGAGATGGCGGTGCCACAACCTCAGAGCGGCTAGTCGCGTGAGTCCAGTGACGTTTGGACATGGGATTAGTAATGCGGGTTGGAGTGGCGGCCCCTGAAACCTGACGCGCGCCGGATAATTTTTGTGGAGGTGGGTGTCTGGATAAGGTAAAAAAAGGGTGTGATTCTCAGTGATTCTCAGTGCGACAGGGGGAGAGAAGTCGCTAATAAGTCGGGCGTCGCGTCGCAGAAGATAGAGACTCGGGGACTTGATTTCTGAGGCATCGGCGTCATGGTCTACTCCGTGGGTAATCAGGTATTATCCATTGACTCATTGTCGAAGGGTGACGCGCATGTGAGCGTTCCGCTTTGCCACTACAGAGCATGTAAACGGCGGACGGAAGAAGCAGCGTGGCCACATCTGATGCCATCCACACATATAATCAATCATTATTAATGCGGCCAGCGCATCCATCGAATCGTATCTGTTGTTATCCATCCTCCATTCCCTGACAAACCAAACCATCCCCCATCCATCCATCCATCCATCCATCCATCCAAATCTATCCAATCCGTCGGCGCCCGACTTCCGTTGAGGCCACGGTATTCCGTAGCGTAGCGGATGCGGTAGCTTGGACGCCAATCCAGATGCAGATGCGCAACGCCAGGTCATCCGGACTAACCACTAACCACTAACCACTGTACCTACTTTGTACGGATACGTAGCAGGGCGTAGGCTTCTTTTCTCTTTTCTGGCTGGTCTCTCTTAGTATTTTTTCTCTACCTACCTCTTGAAACCGCGACCCGCTCCCCTTCGCTGCCTGGACTTTGTCATCTTTTCCATATCGGGGCCTTGATGGATTGACGTCTTTTTTCTACTGTCTACTTGTTCTCTCATTCTCCCACACTCTCTCAACCATTTATCCAACTTCTTGCCTCTAGACCTCGACGTCGCCCCTTTACTTTTGCTTCTTCGTATCAAACCTCCAACTTCAAACACACCCTACTACGTAGTACTCTTTGACTACGCCTGACGCCACCGAGACACCGAATACGCCCCCGTCACACTCGCGCGCTTCCATCCTTGACTCTGCCGAACCCACCCTGCAGCAGCTCCCTTTCTCTCAGGGCCCTTCCCTCCACAGGTACTCCCGTACTCTGTAGTCCCGTACTTCAGCCTCTCAGCTCTCAGCTCTCAGCTCTCAGCGCACTCTCTCAGCCAACCGCCGCCGCCGCCTCTCGTTTCTTTTGCACCCGCGTCGCTCGCTCGCTCCTCGCGATCCCTCCCTCCCTCCCGCCACCTATGACCGCCAGAGCCCGAAAACCTCAAAAAACACCCCGCCGACCTCCCCTCACGCTCAAAACAGACGACGCGAATGCCGCCGCCAACGGCAACGGCCACGCCACCATGAGCAACGGAGTCGAGATGCGCCGCAAGGCCCCCAACTCCGACAACGTCGCCGACAGCTTCATGGCCAGCGAGTCCTTCTCCCTCGACGACCCCGTCCCCAAGACCCCGGCCCTCAACAACCACGGCTTCTTCGACCTCCCTCTCCAGGACCAGCGCAACTTCCTGCTGCTGGTCTTGTTATACTTCCTTCAGGGCATCCCAATGGGCCTGGCCACCGGCTCCGTGCCCTTCCTCCTCAAGAACCACATGTCTTACAGCGAGATTGGCATCTTCAGCTTGGCCTCGTATCCCTACTCTCTGAAACTCTTCTGGAGCCCCTTTGTCGACGCCGTGTGGAGCCCCAAGATTGGACGCCGCAAGACCTGGATCGTGCCCATCCAGTTCTGTTCGGGCTTCGGCATGCTGTATTTGGGGTCGCATGTTGAGGGCATGTTGGCTACGGCCGGCAAACCTGGCGGCATGACGGCCTTTTCCTTCATGCTGTGGTGGTTCTTCCTGGTCCTCATGTGCGCCACCCAGGACATCGCCGTGGACGGATGGGCGCTGACGCTGCTGACGCCTGGCAATGTGTCGTATGCGTCGACCGCGCAGACCGTGGGCCTTACAGCTGGCCATTTCATGTCGTACACCGTTTTCCTCGCCTTCAACGCCGCCGACTTTGCCAACAAGTGGTTCCGAGCCGTGCCTTCCGACGAGGGTCTCCTCTCTCTGGGTGGATATCTCAAGTTCTGGGGCTGGGCCTACATCATTGTTACCATTGGCCTCGGCCTTCTGAAGCGGGAAGAGAAGTCGCACAACGAGGACGGCGTCTGGGACGTGTACAGGATCATGTGGGGCATCCTCAAGCTCAAGAATGTCCAGACCATCATCATTGTGCACCTCATCGCCAAGATTGGCTTCCAGGCCAACGACGGTGTCACCAACCTGAAGCTCCTGGATAAAGGCTTCGGCAAGGACAACATGGCCCTGACTGTTCTCATCGACTTTCCCTTCGAAATTGGCCTGGGCTACTATGCTGGTATGTGGTCGCAAAAGTATACGCCCATGCGCCTCTGGTGCTGGGGCTTTATGGGCCGTCTCATCGCTGCCCTCTCCGCTCAGTTTGTCGTGGCCATCTTCCCCTCGGAGGGCGTGACGCCTTGGTATCTGTTGGTCGTCATCGCTGAACATCTCTTTTCGACATTTACAAACACCATCATGTTCGTGGCCGTCTCCGCCTTCCACGCCCGAGTGTCCGACCCCGTCATTGGCGGTACCTACATGACACTCTTGGCGACGTAAGTACATCCATTTATTGTTGCAGCGACATATTTACTAACATATTACAGGGTTTGCAACCTTGGCGGCACGTTCCCACGATACTTTGTTTTGCAGCTTGTCGATACCTTTACGGTGGCGACGTGCAACCCCGGCAAGTCTGATGCCAAGGGTCTCAAGGGCCCGCTTGTGACCGAGGCCTTCTCATGCGCACTGCAGGTTGAGAAGGAGAGGTGCGAGAGCGGAGGAGGCACGTGTGAGATGATTCATGACGGATACTACTCTGTAAATTTGCTGTGTGTGGCATTTGGTGTAGTGACCTTCTTGTGGTACATCAAGCCCAAGGTGCTCCACCTGCAGAGCTTACCCCTACGGGCCTGGAGGTTGACGGCCGGGAAATGAGTGGTATTGAAAGAGGAGGAATAAGAATAAGAATAAGAATACCATCCGCCATGTAACTGTATTTATGTATAATCAGTATGGGGAGCATACTACACCCATACCCCATCCATATCCCAAGAAATAAATAGAATCCGGGTGAGATGAAGACATCCTAAGAATAAGAAATCATTTATTACAAACTCCACCTTAACCTTTAAAATACTATGTAGAATGGTAGCAGTTATTTAACAACGTATCTAACCTCATGAGCTGTATGGACATTTAATTCTACTCTTTGACATACAGAATCCAGACATAAAATATAAGATGAGTATTGCTATTGGGGCAGTATGCGTCACGTAACCTACTTTTCCGGCAGCCGCCGCAGCCTGCAGGTAGCAGCTATCACAAGCTCCTACAAGTAGTAGGGGCCGGGGAACTAGAGGCAGGGGCAGAGGAAGTCATCCCGGCTACACAACTGGGGCCCTTACAGCCACCGGAATAATCGCCGGGCTAGGCCTAAAGTTACGAATTTTCAGAGGAGAGACTACAGAGATATATTTTTTTAAAATAATTTAGCTGCAGCTGGGCTTACGGGTTGTTATCTTATATAGACACCTGTTAATTTACTTATTATTCGTTACGTTTCCTGACTTATACGTAAATTTAGTGTAACAGAGAGAAGATCCAAAATACCGAGCCAAAAAATCGGGGTCAAATAACGCATGCATACTGTGCCAATGCCAATATGGTACTGTGCCAATAGTAATACTCTAAGATATATGTACATGTGGTTTCGAAGACAATGAATTTTGTTCTGTGGCTTTCCTGAAGATGCAAGGGAGTCTAGAATAGACCCACCGTGGCTTAGGTATTGTTGTTGGATGAACTCAGGACAATGAAAGTCGTCGGCATGAACGCACAGCTCTTATTCTCAGCTTTGACTCATCTATGACCTTAAAAGGGCTCAAGAAGTCTCCCCGAGGTGAGGTCAGAGAACCTCGCCGCATCTCCCACCCTAACTATCAGTCTGTAGTGCTTCATATCCCTTCTGCCGTCATCACCCTCCTATATTTCCGCTCTGATAAACAACCATGGCTCGAACAGTCTCGAAGGAACAGCTCTCCAAAGCCACCAGATTATCTACGTGGTCCCCGGTATTCAAGATCGATTCCAAGACGATCATGAAAACCGGAGACATCGTCCGCATGGCAGAAGCCGAGGTAATGAAATTCGTCCATGCCAACACCTCCATCCCCGTCCCAGAGGTCCACAGCGCATACCGAGATGAAGCCTCAGGGCATGTCGTCATCCTCATGGACTTTGTGGAGGGCGAGAACCTCGACAAGGCCTGGCCGCGATACACGGAAGCCGAACGGGAGTCGGTCATTTCGCAGCTCCGCGGTTACATGGCGCAGCTCCGCAGCTTCAAGGGCACCTTCATTGGGAGCATCGACGGCACGGCGTGCAACGACCAGTATTTCTGCGAAGAGCCGGAAGGATACGGACCCTATCAATCCGAAGAGGAGTTCAACCAGGGAATCGTGGCGGCGATGAAGAAGGATCGGCCATACACCTTTGTTGACTGGAAATGCGATGTCTGGACGAACGTCCTGAAGGGCCACGAAATTGTTCTGACGCACAACGACTTGGACCCGCGGAACATTCTAGTCCAAGGCTCCAAGGTCGTTGCTATCCTTGACTGGGAGCTCTCTGGTTACTACCCCGAATACTGGGAGTACTGCAAGGCGGTGGGGGCCTCTGGCTGGGAAGATGCATGGAGTCGGAGTCGAGCGGTGGATCAAATCCTCAAGCCCTATCACCAAGAACTAGCTGTCTTCTGGAATTCTCGAGAGGTTATTCACTAAGGATCAAAGGTTTGTATAGTTAAAGTATGCTTTGGAAGTAAATGGGTTCAATTTTAGACCACCGCCTCTGCCTAGATTACTAGGAGAATGGATCTAATTAGATTGTTTAATTGCGCCTACTTCCCACCCAACCCGTGACACAATGAAGTTCACGATGTCATCAATTTCGTCGGGTATCTTGTACCAATGGCCCTGGTTCTCGTAACATTTCCAATCTACTTGATATCCCGAATCCCGCATGACCTGTGCCGCAGCTTCCCCCAGGGCGCAAGGAACCTTTTCATCAATGCTCCCGTGTCCGAGAAAAACGGGAGTACGACACGAGGTTCTTTCTTTCGTTGGCTGTTCTAGGTAGCTCAAGGACTGCAGATCTCTCTCGAAAGTTTGTGCTTTGACACTTGGGTCTTGTTGGGCAGGATCGTCATCATTTGAGAAAGGGTCGTCAATGAAATCATCTTCTGCGACGGCAATCTCAAGATCCGATTGATAAGTAAGATAGCCACTCATGCCAATGTAACCGCCGAGTGGGTATTCCAAGGAGAGAAGGACTGCGAGTGACATGGAGCAACCCTGGCTCAGTCCTCCGAGGATGATGTTTTGAGCCGGAACACGTTTGAGCTCATCTTCCAAGATGGCCAAAATTTCCACAGCCGATTCAGCAAGGCCGTCCAGCTGGATCTCCTTGCGATAAGACGGATCTGGAAGGCGGGCGATGTCGAACCACTGCGTAAGCATCGAGCGACGAAAAGCGCTGGAGCGGCGACGTTTGGATGTAGGGAAGACAAAGCGAGCCCCGGGCAGAAGCTCCGTCAGCCTACAGCCCGATGAAGTAACTCCAGTGTCCAAAAGCTCTGTTCCGAACTTCTCGCCATTGGAGCCGAGCCCGTGGAGGAGAATGAGAGTATGGGTGTGAGGTGCCTGGGGCTCGACTACAAAGATGGGGTCGCCAGCCGAACGTGGCGGTGTTGACGTTTTGGAATGCGACATTTTGGATGAAAGGATGATGGTCAGAGAAGGTTGGAGGAGGGGAAGAGAAGTTTTGTGAGACGCGAGGTCGGCAAGTGATATACCAACTCCAATATAGGGCACAAAGGACAACCACCCATTCAGACACCGGCCCTTTGTGTATGATGAATCGTTCAAACAATGAATATAAATTCGCTTAAAGCATGATTGCCATTGTCAAACGGCTTGTTTGTTCGTTCGTTTGTTCGTTCGTTTGTTTCCCTGTTTGTTTGTCGAGAATATGAGGATAGTTACCATGACTTGACACGATTTCCCTTTCCCGAACAGCGCGCTTTATCACGGCGAACATGCAAGACGGCACGGCCCATGGCTATAGCCATAGAATAACCTGTAAACTGATTATAAGAGAACAAGTCGGTTGCGTGCAAGATGAGGAGGAAAGATAACTCAACGCTCCAGTCGATCGCCGTTGCTTACTCTGGGCATATCAGCCTGCCGTAGTGCATGCCATACTGGCTACCCTTTTTACTTTTATACTCCACTTAGGACGTCTCACTATAATGGGTAGGCTCGAAATATATATTGCGTTTGGCCACCGCCGAGGCAGTGACCCCGTGCATTGGATGATCATGCTCCGCGCCCCTGATTCCACAAAGTGCACATGGTACCACGTCACCGGCGGCCCAAGCAAGGGCACTGAGTACGAGCTTTTAATCCAGAACAACAAACGGTTCAAGACCTTTGGCGTGTCGGACCACTGCTACGTTGGCGAAATCAGCGAGCAGGATCAAAACAAGGTAAAAGCTGCCGCGAAGAAGGTCCCCGCGCAGAGGTGCCAGGAGTGGACAGTTGAGGTTCTGAGAAACCTGGAAAAGAAGGGCCTCGTGCCGGTCGGTACCAGGGATTACTGGTTTGATCGGATAGAAGCCAGTCCGTATTCCACGGACGGCGTACACGGGTTGGCAGGATCGTCGGGTCCTCAGTGGCTTTGGGACGAGGGACAGCAGGATTATAGATACTGGGATGAGGGCTCTGGGGGCTGGGTTTGGGCGTCTGAATCCAACTAATAATAGAATGAATGCTCTCTTACAACTATACTAGGTTGGGTGGATCGTTGATTGTTTCCGTATTTCAGTATTTATCTGACAACTCGATTTTCCCTCGATTGTGCTGATACCTGAGCCCCTTTGCGCTTACGAGTAGACAATGTGAGCTCATCGTGGGAGATGAACTCTCCATGCAATTCCCCAACTTTAAGTCCTAAGAATTCCCTGGGGGCCGATAACTACTTGACCAATGCCGTAACCCAATTCCCACTAATAGATCTGGCCGTCGGACAGGACAATCGACTCACGGCGTCCCGGACGGCACCGCACGGACCAGACGCCGGGCCGCATCGCTCAGCGCCCCGCGTTTGCCCCGGACACCACCACGATCAGATCATGGCCGTGAGTTGAACAAATCCGGGGCTTCACTCGTGACGAGCAGAAAGAAAAATCCATCGTCTTGAATTCAGTTCGCCTCAAGTTCAGAGTAAGTCACGCCCCCTTCCTCCCCAAACACCGCATCCCACCAGCCTCCAGCGGGGCATCGTTATCGCCCTGTGCTCCCCCCCCCCCCCCCCCCCCCCAAAAACAGCCGTGGCCCGAGGACTAAGCTTGCGATCGCGGGCTACCAACTCGGCATCTCTTTACCCTCAACCCCCTCAAATGGAATCCTCCGGCGATCCGGACGCGGGAGACGATCCCTCGGATAGTCGGAGAAGCCCACACATGTCCGAGCAGGATCCCTCAAGCGAGGGACTTTTTTTTTTCTTTCCCTTTTCATTCTTATTAATTACATGGAGACCACCACCCGGGATGGATACTGCTTCGTAATTGTGAGCACAGGGTGATGGGGCGTTGTTGCGCGGACAAGGTGACGGAAATGCGCTCCCCAGCTAACAAAATGGCTCAGCCGTCTCCGTTTTCCTCTTTTCCCTCATCGCAATCGCCTCAGACCGTCGCGGAGCAAGACTCGGCGCCACAGTCCTCGCTCTCCCTCTCATTCAACTTGGCTCGCCGGTCCTCCGGGTCAGACAGCTCCGGGTACTCCGCATCAGACTCCGGCTGCACGTCCGGCTCCGACTTGTGCTCCGACTTGTGCTCCGGAGCCTCACTCTCCGCCTCTTCACCACCGTCCTCCACCACCTCCTCCTCCTCTCCCCCCACCATGGCCGCGCCCGCATCATCCACTGCCGAGGCCCTCGCCGCCGAGGATGTCTACTTTGCCGAAAACCCGGCCCCGCGCAACCTGGAGGCGCACACGGCCCTCGCACGGGGCTTCATCGCCGCCCACAGCGCCGGCGGCCGGCGTGTCGTGCTCATCACCTCCGGCGGCACCACGGTTCCCCTGGAGCGCCAGACGGTGCGCTACATCGACAACTTCAGCGCCGGCACGCGCGGTGCCACCAGCGCCGAGTACTTCCTCGAGGCCGGCTATGCCGTCATCTTCCTGCACCGCCAGTTCAGCCTGCTGCCGTACTCGCGCCACTACTCGCACGCCACGGACTGCTTCCTGGACTTCCTGACCGAGACGCCCGGTGATGGCCGCATCGCCGTGCGCCCGGAGGACGAGGACAAGATGCGCGGCGTGCTGCGCAAGTACCGCCAGGCGCGCGACAACAACATGCTGCTCATGCTGCCCTTTGTCACCATCGTCGACTACCTGCACGAGCTGCGCGGCATTGCGCGCCTCATGCGCCCCCTAGGTCCCGCCGGCTTGCTCTACCTCGCCGCCGCCGTGTCCGACTTCTTCGTGCCGCCGGACCGCATGGCCGAGCACAAGATCCAGTCGACCAACGCCGTCGACGCCCGCAAGCAGGAGGACGAGGAGACGTTTGACAACTTCGACTCGTCGCCCGCCGTGCCGCGCTCCAAGCGCCTCATCGTCGACCTGGACCCGGTGCCCAAGTTCCTCAAGAACCTGGTCGACGGGTGGGCGCCCGAGGGCATGATCGTGTCGTTCAAGCTGGAGACGGACCCGACCATCCTGGTGCACAAGGCGCGGTACAGCCTGGACCGCTACCAGCACCACCTGGTCATCGGCAACCTGCTGTCGACGCGCAAGTGGGAGGTCGTCTTCGTGAGCCCCGGCCGCGACGACCAGTGGGTGCGCGTGCCTCGCGAGGGCGGTTGGGGCGAGGCAGAGCTGCGCCCGCTGCAGGCCGAGGAGCTCCCGCACGAGGATCCCGGCGTCGAGATCGAGGGTCTGATTATTCCCGCCGTGAAGGAGTTGCACGAGCAGCATATCAAGGGGTTGAAGCGGGACTGAGCATCTTGGCGGAATGTGCGCATTAATAACAGGGGAGCACACATGACAGTGGAGGCGGATTCTGTATGTTTGGAGCAGATACAAGATGAGCCGTTACCAAAACAGTATAGATGTTATTATTTACACCTGCTATGAATGTACATATCCAAAGACGGGCTCGTGTCAGACTGGTGTTGGGGGTATAGCCAAGTTCACAACAAACACTACTCTACTCCTTGCAACCACTTCGACAGTGAGTCGACTCTTGGCCGACATCTTCCGTCTCCAGTCGACAGAAGCAAGACGCAGTAATAGGAACATCCGCCATGGTGACTGCTTTCGCCAACGCGCCCTCAGCCTCCTTTGCGGCGTCGGTGCGGCCCAGCTTCCGCAGACACTCGTGGACTCCATGCAACGCCCAGACGTTGTTTTTATGCTGCAAGGCGCGGGAGAGAGTGTCATCCATGCCCAAGTCGGCCATGTACGCCTCGAGCGCTTGCTCGACATGGCCCTGCTCCAGCGAGAGCGCACCGTAGGCGTGTCGCGTGGGTTGCATCCACCCCCATGGCTCGTCGTAGGGGAGATTGTCCTCGCGGTGCATCGCCTGGCGCAAGTGCTCATACGCCACGTCGAAGTTGCCCCGTCGGTATTCGATTTCACCGTCTAGCATCGCCTCTGCCACGCCGAGAATATCTCGACACGTGTTGTTGAAGAGAGTACGCGACGCCTGCACTCGTGTCACGGCTTGTTTGAACAGAGCCCGCTGATCATCTGCCTCCTGGACTCTTCCCGTCGCAGCAAATGCAACCCCCTTTGCGTAGTGCAGGATCGCCGTGGTCGTCGAGTAGAGGTTCTGATCCTCTGGAAGTTCAAGGTCAATTATGTCCTCCCAGCGGCCGAATCGAATCGCCACGTGTGCGCGAAGCGTGAGGAACGCCTCGAGCCAGTCCGCCATGGGGGGCGATTCCACCTGCAAAAGACTCTTGGGGATGGAGGCCTCCACTTTCGCTACGGTGTCGATGGCCACCTTGTATTTGCCGGCAAACATGGCAGCGTAGACGCTGAAGTGATAGTCGTGCGACCGATAGAGGGTGTAGAAGTTCAGAGGCCCTGCCCTGGACAGGAACTTCTCATCGGCAACGCTTGCTTGGGCATTGGACTCGATAGCCTCCTGGTATCGCCCGCAAAGCACGTCGAGGTGGCTCGGCATGTGGTGCAAATGGCCTCCGTCTGGAACAAGTCCACGGAGATGGTTAGCCACAGGGAGGGCAGACTCCGGAGAAGGCGACATCTCCATCAGATGGATGTACATGTGCAACAGCCCGGGATGCTGAAGAGCGCCCTGCAAGGTGAGGGCACGATCGACGATTGCCTTAATCTCCAGCGTTCGCGCTCCTTCGGTGGGCTCTCCGGTTCGCAGATCCCACAGCTGCCATGGCGTCAAGTTCATGAGGGCGTCGACGTAGATGGTGATGACGTCCAAGTCGTCCACGAACGCCGCGTAGACCGTTCCCATGGCGTCGGCGAAGCCTTGGTTCCAGGCGCCGCAATTCGGAGCCGGCTGCTCTTGGGGGTACCGAAACTGGAGGGCCTTGATCAACGCCTGCTCGACGGGCGTGACGTGGGCCATGTTGGCGAGGGCGAGTTGAGCTGCCTTGTAGCCCCGACCGACTGCGATTGCCAGGTCTGTGTCGTCAAAGAAACTCCATTGCTTGTTGTAGTTGGGGCCGACGGAATACGCCAGTCCCCAGTATGCCATGGCGCAGCTGGCGTCGGATTCGATGGCGCGCTCGAAGCAGACGACCGACTCTTCGTGATTGAAGGCATACGCCCAGACGAGGCCGCGGTCGAACCATGTTTGACTGTCGTCGGTGGCCGCCGTGACTTGGCGATGGTATGTCCCCAGGTCGTATCCATAGTCGTCTTTTCCGGGTGTTTGCTGCATCTTGAGGGTATTTGAAAGAGTTGCTTTGAAAGAGTCGCTTTGAAAGAGTCGCTTTGAAAGAGGCCCTCTGAGAGAGCAAGTATGCCAGCAGCGTCTTGAGCTTTATCTTGGCTCTCCTACTCTCGTGTTAGATGCAGATATGTGGAGCAGCGGGATCTAGAAGCATGATGGACCCAACACCGTCGCAATGAAAGCCGAGGCACTCGACGATTGGACAGAATTAATTCCCGAAATCTATCCACAACGCAGCATGAGGGGCCGGTCACGCGGAGATCTCGCATCGCACGACAGTGGGAGATATCTTTGAGAGTTATTTGAAGTAGATAGACCTATGGATAGACACTACATAAAGGCATTACCCACAGAATCGCACAAAATCGGTCCGCAGGCTAAACTCCAGGTAACTCACAATGCCAATGCTATCCAGAGACGCCTGACCCATGCATTTGCCCGTTTTCCGGTTCCTTTTATTCTTTTCCAATTTTATCAGTAAATCCCAAACTCCTACCGTGGTATCGTTTTCCTTTTTACTCATGTTGACAATCTTTTTATGTTGAGCCGCGCTCGAGGTTGAGAATCTAGAGAGCTGCCGCCCAGCTCTTCCATCCCAACATGCTCACCTTGGCCGCGCAAAATGCGACGATAGAGCCCACATACACCGTGCCGGTCATGACAATGAGCCCCCAGTACGATCCGCCGTTGACCTGTACCACGCTGCCACCGACGGGTATGCCAATCAAGCAGGCAAAGGACACCACAGTGTATGTAGTCGCATAGTAACGTCCATACTCTTGCGTCTTGCAGAGCCTTCCAATGCATACAGGGGCAATGGCAATGCTTGTCCCGCTCGAGAATCCGAAAAGCACGGCGAAGAAGAGGACACCACCTGTGGTGTGACCCAGGGGCAGCCAAATGCACAGCGTCGCCATGATGGAGAGGAGGACGGCAAGAATACTGACGTTGTATGGGCCGATGACGTCGGCATAGTAACCAGGGAGGACTCGTCCGACAATTGACCCAGCGTTCAAGATAGGCAAGAGGTTGTAAGAGAAATCCTTTCCAAAGCCCTGGTGGAGCGCATACGTCGAGATGTAGCCAAGCGGGATGAAGAGGGAAAACTCGAGCAGGAAGATGCCAATGGTTGTGAAGAGGAACGGGAGGCTCCTGAAGATCCGAAAGTCCGGGTGGGCGGTGGCATTCTTGGCTGGAGGGAGGCGGGATCGGATGAGGCAGATGCCGATCAAGCTGCACAACAAGCAAATGAGAGCGATGACGCGGGTTGCCCACGCATACCCGATCTTTCCAATCAACGAGCTCAGCATTAGGGGGTAGATGATGCCGCCCAGGCCGCCGGCGGTTGATGCGATACCTGTGGCCAGGCCGCGGCGCGCTTTGAAGAAGTGGCCGACTGCAGCAATCGAGGGGGTAAAGAGGAGCGAGGAGCCAAAACCGCAGAGGAGTCCAAAGGCAATGATGAAGTGCCACAGTTCTGTAAACGATTAGCACGCGCGGCGAGGACATCCTTGTTGGGATATGTAAAGTAGACTTACGGGTGCAGAAACTCATAAAGATCATGCCACTGACAGTGAAGGCAGAGCCAGCAATGACGAGCCACTTGGGGCCATACTTGTCGAAGACTGGCCCGATGTAGACGCCGCAGAAGAAAGCAAGGAAGGTGTAGATGGAGAAGACCCATCCAACCGTGCCTTCGCTATAGCCCTTGAGTTGATTGTCAAGAACATAGGCCTGGAAGGTACCAAGAGTGTTCATTAGTCCCAGCGAAGCGAAGAGGGCGAACCACGAACCCGCGACCACAGACCACGCTTGAAAGCCGCCTTCGGGATAGGTTTCTTCGTAAGATGCCGACGAGATTACAGTTGCGCGCTTCTCAAGGTCAAGGCCGGTTTGGCCGGGGCGAACCTCCGGAGTGATCTCGGCGGCGTTTTCGACATCGCTGAAGGATTCGGCGCCATCGTGAAGGGCGCGAGAGGTGACTTGGTGGCAATCCATATCTGTTTCGTGCAGTTGCGTTCTGTCTTGACTCGTTTCTTCTCGCAACTCTGGTCTTTGGTCGACTTTTCAACAGGTGCCCATACTGAAGACTCGGAATTTTTTACCCCAGTGTCGGAGGGGGGCGTTCCCCAGGGATCGGCTCTGATATAGTGTGGTCGGGGTTCGGCGCCGTCCCAGGCCAACAAGGGCCCCGTTTTCGGAGGGCGCATCTGACGGGTCCAGCTATTACTAAGGGATTGAAGCGTAAGGTAATGAAAACTCTTGATTTGCTGTTTTGCTCGGCCCTCGCGTTTCCTCGCGCCTGGCTCCACCTGTTCGCGGATACTTGCGGTATGGAGTTTGCGAGCTAGTGAGATGCGCTGAGCTGAGAAGGGTAATGTTATGGCGAGGGTTGGCGAGGGTTGGCGACATCGCCGGAGTTCGATCCTGGTTGGCTTTTCGTATTCGATGCAAGGCGACGGTTAGGTGTGAGCATCAAGGGACTCTCTTGGTTGCTTGGTTGCTTGGTTGACATGAGCTTGACTCTAAGCAGCTCTCTTGTTCGAAGTGATCTTTGCCTGCACCAACCGGCTTCTTATTCGCTGCATGGCAAACCGTCTCGGAGTCTCCTTCTCCATCCCTCAGCCCACACCCATGACGCAAAATCCCCTTCTTTAATGGATCCCTTCCCCGGGTTCCACCAGTCGACGCCGGCAAAAGAGTCACATGGCCCACATGATATGCAATTCTTTGACCGTATGTATGCACGCCGCACGCTGCAATCACCGTGTTGGCTCATCTGCAGACGCCGCATCGGCTGAGACGTCGGACATCGACCTGCGCCTGCTGTCGCCTGCTGTCGCCTATGCATGATATGCAGTCCATCCACATCAATTGCAAATTGCATTGGAGATTGACGTCTTTGACTAACCTCAATTATTCATCTCAACCCTCCTCGTCATCCACATCCTCCATTATCACATTCCGGAAAGGGCGTCCTTGGGCTGTCGTCGTTGCCGTTGTCGCCGCTGGTGCCTGACCGCTCGTGTCGCCCGTCTTCAGGTAGCCTTCTTTCTCCAACCTGTCTGCCTCCTCCGGCTCCATCAGCCCGCCCTCGCCCTTGCCCTTGTCCATCTTCAGCTTGACCGCTGTCGGCACAAACGCCGACACGGCTTCTTTCCTGAGATCTCGCACCACCGGCTTTGCCTCGTAGACCGTCTTGGCTTCGATAACTGGCGCTTCTTCTCTCTTTGGTATGTTGCCCTCCTCCTCCTGCTTTGCTGCAATCTCTGCGTTCCTCCGTGCGCGTCGCTCCGAGTACCACTTGTCCAGCACCTCTTTCGGGATTGGAGGTGGCGTGTCTCGAGGCATTGGGATATTCTTGACATCCTCGGGAACATCGTCGTCGCTGGCAGTTGCCTCGTTGGAGCCTCTCCTCCTCTTTCCTAGCACACCAGACCTAGAGTCGTCTCGGTTCCATCCTCGACCAAATGACGGCGCCTTATCGCCCAGTGTGTCTCTCGCCTTCTTCACAGCCCGTAGTTCCTTTTCTAGGCCTTCTAGTGTCTGCTCCTCGTGGCGCGTGAGTTTGCCACCGCTCGTTGTGATCTTTTTGAGGTCGTCGATTTGCTTCTGTAGTCGCTCGGGGTTCTTTCGCGCCAGCTGCTCATTTCGACGTCCCTGTACTTCCGCTTTGCCTAAATTCGCGTGTTAGAGTCGCCAGGATTGGTTTTGAAGAAGTCAACGCACCCTTTTTGATTGCTTTAGCCTTGTCAGCTTTGCGCTGGGCTTGAACGGGGTTGTAATTCCGTTCCTTTGGCATCTTTGTCGGTGCTCCGGGTGGCGCTTCTCCTTCGCACAGTGGCTTATGGACAGTCGGGGTATATTTTTAAACCGGTGAATCGATTTCTGAAGGGAGTGACGTGGTTGAAGGCTGGTGAAGTGTTCGATAGGAGAGAATGCAGTTCCTTCTGTCAATGGCAGATCGTGGGGCCGGCCAAAGCTTCCACCAAGCTCGGAGCCTCAAATCTGTGTGCTGACTAAGCTGGTCGCCAGATGAACAACACATAAAGTTACCCTGTAGCAGCAACATTCTGGAAATGTTTTGTTTGAAGACATTGAAGTGCTGTTCTTGAGATCCCTTCCGAGATGCCAGTATTTCAAATCGATTATTTACATTTTCACGTCTTAGTCTCCGTTTGCATGTATTCAAATATGACTGAACTCAGCTTGAAAATAGTACGGCTACAGTTTTGGATCCACCTCATTCACTTCTAAGCGTACCTTCGACACCGATCGCCATGCGCTGAAATGGTTGCAAAGCCAAAGAGACTGTTTCACTACGTATTATGGGACCCCAGTACCTGTAGCCTACCCGCTCCCCACGATGGGAGAAAATAAAAGGGATAAGAAAGCAGCTTAATTGGTAAGAAGAAGAACTAAATGCCCACAGCAACCTGGATAATTTGCTTTGCGTATGATAGTGATCTAATACTAAGCGCAATTGGCATTCAAACACTTTTCTCGAATTTGAGAGGACATGGAACCTTGTGATTTGCATCTACAAATCATTCGACTCAAGTGCTTTCTCCTCGATATAAACTGAACCGTTTCCTCCACGGTACCCAAACCTTTGTCCCGGCATCCTCGACTGTTTCTTGACTATCTGTCAGGCACCAACTCTCAAAATATCTACTACTCCACCGGCTGTTGACATGGCACCAACCCTAAATTCCACCCTGATAAAATAGGAGTAGTGGGTTTGGGATTTGAGTTCATCCTCCCGTTTGAAAGCTAGCTATCATTACCGTCCGTCGAAGCTCCTAGTCGGCATTGCTTAGCCATAAACCATCAGCCGCTCCCAATCCCGAAAACTTACCCCAAGTCATGCCCCATATCAAGGCCATCCGCAGAATTCCGTGCTTTGGGAGCCTTGATGATCTTCGTAAGTTCCTTGGCCTCAACCTCAAGTGGCTTGAAGACATCGTTCAGGTCGGTATGGGATCTTGCACAGAAGAAATGAGCGATGTGCTGGAGACCATCACGGTAAATACTCCATCCATCCAGCACCTTCTGGCATTTCCTTGAGCAGGTCCTTGATGTCGTCAGTGTCCTCTCTCATATCCCCGCCCTGGCCAAATCGAGCGCGAATTGTTGATATCGCTGGTTTGATCCCTTCAATTGCAATGCTTCAGCGTTACGTATGGTCTCGAGCAAGAGCATGACCAAGCCGGGGAATGTCCAAGTTGGCAGCGATGAGGGGTGAACCTACTATCGACTCACCTAGCCGATGCCGTTCGGGTAGTGTCATCTTGCTCCAGCCCTTTCTCAGGAAGAATGACCTTAATAATCGTGATATCAGAAAGTGCCACTTCGCGAAGACCTTGCTTCAGCTCTATGAAGAGATCTGCATGCGGCATCAGCGTCAATCCGACTTGGAAAAGCCGGCTAAAGGGCCTAGTAAGGGTTAATTATATTTAAATCGTCACTGAGCCCTCACATTATAGGTATTTGCTGGCTCACTGGTGTCGCTCCTATCGGATAAATCATTGTTGGCCATCGAGCCGTGTAATACATAATGCCGTGGGGCCGTGTTGACAACACCCATGATCTTTCCCTTGCGATTTGGGGTCTTCTCCTCGTAAGAGAAGTCTCGCGGTCTGTGATGTATTGCTTGCAGAGGGCCGTGGAATTTTTTTACCAACCAGTCTTTCGCTTGTTACCTGTGGAACCGATCCTCCGTAGCCCACTCGTGATAGTAAACAACCTGCTCTTCCATTCTCGCTGGAAGCAACAAAAGTCTGCAATACCCATGATCTTCATGTGGATAATGAGGTTCGCGTCCTCGGCTGAGAGTCGGCGAACAAGAACACGTGCATCTGCAAATGGAGGCAAGGTTGCGTGTTTTGTCGAGTCGAATACCGGCTTCTTCCCCGTGGGCTTGGTCTCGGTCATGGGTGTGAATTCTTCGGATAGAAGATCGCCAAAAACACCACAACCAGGTCTCCGATGTACACATTGGTGATGTCACACTCCGGAGCGCCCCCTTCCGTTCCTGCTTGACTGTGATTATTGGGAGACACCTTGGTTTCGCCCGACCTGTCTTTGCGAAACCGAATGATCTTCTTCTCCTGTCGTCCCTCCTGGCTCATCTAATAAGCCTACAACTTCTAGTTGTAGGCCATGTCTTGAAAATACTTAGGATTGTGGTAAGGCTACACACGGGTGGCACTTTGGGTCTGAAAGTGTACGAGGGAAGATTTGATAAGAAGAAGGGCAAGCGAGGAGTGGGCGAGCGAGACGCAAGCGTCAACTTTTGGGAGCTTAGCCGGGGAAGGCTTGAGGAAGTTGCCCGAGTAGCAGGCAGGGGGTGGTTTCTCGCAGCATTCCCAGAGAATTGTGCGGTTAGTTGGTGGTGTTCCGGAGATCTCAAAGAGAGACGAGGAATGAATCATACGGCATGGCGGGAGCACGCAATAAATGCATATTAAAAGAGGAAGTATGGGAAGTCTGAAAGGGAGGATGATGATTTACACAACAGAGAATGCTCTTTGAATCGCGCACGCTGCATTCAGGCACTGCAAGTACAAACACAAAATGCAGGCACACCTAACTAAGCTATTTGCCCTAGAAATTGACATGGCATTTTAGAAACACCAAGTCCTCACCTAACAGCTTCACCTTCGCACTAAATACCTGCAGCCCGTGGCGTTTTTAGTTTGCCCAAGTTCGTATCTCGAGCCACATTCCTCACCGAAGCTCTCTACACGATGCCTGCTTTTCCAACGACCACCACTTTCAACGCCAACAAATGATCCAAAAAATGGCAAAAAAAAACATACAACAGTGAGGATTCCCCGGTCGTCACCGACCCGAGTACTAATTCACCGCTTCTCAGCTTGACTAAGGGAGAGCGGACGGGATCCCGTATTTTCTAAGAGCTATGGTCGTATGTACCAGAAGTCTCGTCACCACAGCTTGTAAGCGCGGGGAGATTTGACGTGGTGCTCATTGACAATCGGATTTCCAAGGATACTACGCTCAGCACCTCTCAGCAGTCGACGTTCACGGATCGCTCGGGCCCAACATCACCCTCGCACTCTCGTCTCACATCTCGATTTACCATGTCTCCTCCAAATCCAAAGTAGATAAAAGAACTCGGTTTCTCATCGTGAACTGATGGAGCCGCTTTGGCCAACTCACGCATGACGAAGAAGAGGTACCTCGCTGGTGCAGAGATGGAATCGCAAGCTAGCCTCAACGACCCTGGAACAAGTGTAAGTGCCTGTGAGTAATACATGATCATCGAATGATTTTATTATACAGCAAAGTTCAGCTACACAGAACATACCGGATTCCAATCCGCCAAGAGAGAATAAAGGCAATGGGGATGATTCCTAGGTGGCTGATGGAGAGGGAGCCATTCTAGCTCGATCAGATGACCAGTCTGCCTTAGGCGAGCCTGGACCCGATGTGATGAAGGTGAAGAGGACGACGACGATGGGAATGGTGAAGGCGACGACGATGAGCAGGACGACGATGAGGATGAGGATGTCCACAAGGGTGACAAAGAGACAACCTCTAGGGACGCTGTAAACAACCAGCCTATGTGAACGGCCAAGGACGTCGCTTAGCAGTTCAATCTAGATAACCTCTCTGGTACAGCAGGAAAGTCGACTCCGATGGAGAGAGGAGAGCGGGATGGTCCCTTGAGTCCAATCCAATCGATAGCCCTAATACTATAAATGATCCCCTGAGTGTAATGCCTAGATGAACTCGATCCCACGGACGACCCGCGATTGTAGCGATGGCAAAGCCTTGGTTTTAGGCGCTGTATCATGGAGCCGATCTGGCCCGATGGTACCAGACCATGGGGTACGTCGAGAAGGAAAACCTAAAGATGTCATGAAGTTGACGACATATATCGCCACAGGCAACTCTGAAGACTCCACACATTTGTGATATCGCCATAACAGCTTTTGTACCTTAGGCTTTAGGACAAGATACAGGAAGATATAATTACTAATAGACCCTAACATCTGTGTACTGCGCCTAAGTAGTATTGTAGTCTTAGGAAAATCGATTGTAGAAGCTGTTGTGAAGTGCAATAGCAACAAGCAAAGGTAGTGGCAACAAGTACCGCCAAGAAACATATATTCACGGTTTGTGGCAGTGTAAGACAGTTGGTTCGGGATATCTTGGTCTCTACAATCACAATCATCAATATCCCATGTACCTCCTCGTGGGCAAATTACCGGTCTTGGTACGGAGTAGACCATCCCTGTCTTTAAATACATCAGCTCTAGATCCCAGAGCTCATGGCCCCCCAGAACAAAGGTACCATTGTATTATGTCACATGGATATGATGTCTACCAATGCCGTGATGGATGTCAACCTCCCCAATATCCAGACTGTTGTGGCCTAAGAGTGGGTTAGAACAGTTCCCCAACGATTCTGAATGCCCCAATCGTGGATTTCTGGGCAGAACTTTGGTTGCCCACTGGGACAGGATATGCAAGGAAAGCTTTACTCCAATTCCATCAAACCCTTCAGGGAATGATGGAATCCCCGATATTCACCGTCAGCTTGCGAGGGGTGAGGGTGTTACTGACACATCACCGGGTAGCTAGGCACAATATCCAGTTTCATAATACAGGCGAAGGTGAACATGGCACTGACTCATCATGGCGTCAACTTGATCATCTCAGTATCAGTGTAAGTGAAATCAAGAATTGCGATCACGAACGGCGTAGCTTGTACAACCGATGCGGCGTTTTATTCCCCCCTGTTCCAAGCTAGACCAACAACACCCTTGTCCCCGACGTGTTTTTGGTAGCGATATCTGGAGTGAGATAACATGATACGAGACGATAACAAAGTCAATAGATCGGGGCAGGGTTGTAACGAACGGGCCGAAGACCGCAGCCCACTTTGAGCTGGTAAATTGGTCTCGTTCGTTCGCCCCCATCGATCTCCGCCTCTCTCGGAACCAATCACCTGGCTCAGTCATCCCCTCAATAGCCTTGGATGACTCGCTTCGTGCTGGGAAGTCAAGCCAAGGGGGTGTATGATCAACCAAGGCCTGTTGAACATTTCAAACCCACAAGCTCCACTGTCCAGGATGGCTGACGCCTCTCTGTGCGACTGTCACACCCAAAGTGGGAGCAAGGCAAAACTGACAACTGACCAAGGCTAGCATCGACACTCTTCAAGATGGTGGTTGGTACCAAGCTTGTACATGTGAATGATAGACCTCCTCCATCCCCTTGCCACATTTGCGGACCTCAGGTGGATTTCTTAAACGCCTAACTCCGCTGATGTTCCGTCTCATTGTTAATGGATGCTCTCCGCTTCGATGTCCCTACTTGGATCGCTACATATGCCAAGTCACCTATAGCCGCTTCCCAATCTCCCAGGTCGCTAGGCTCGCCGGGGTTCGCGGAAGATGGTAGCTCATCCGGTGTCAGTGATCATTCAAGAGATCGCTAGAGTTGGTACCGGAACGATAGTAGTTGCGGTGTTATACTTTCACAGGCCCTGATACTTGCTCGCCACCATTAGTAACGAACGTAATAAAACGGCACAAAGCGTCACACAGAATGGTCTTGGAAACTGGTATGATATGGTAGTTTTAGTTGTAATTCTTGCGTAATTTATAGAGAATCTAATTCACGGTTTCATTTGCGAACCTGAAACCGGCAGGCTCAATATTCGGCGGCGTATTGGTTTGTTCCCTGGTACGGTTCGACAATGGCGTCGTGAACCTTCATCTCAGACATGGAGTACTGGTATACCGGCCACAACACGCACATTTGGATCCACAGCTACAAGGGGCTGGAAGCGCGTTCGTTTCGCCAATCTGAAACTCGCTAATTGCTCGATATACTTTGGGGAGGGTGGAAATGAGATAGATGAAGCGGTTTTCGCATATCTAGTGAATAATGTACGGTTGTGGATGCCTTTCAACATCCTGGCCCGCTTCATGTCGGCTCTGAGGGTTGTGTAAGAATTGGTCGAGATAAGTCCTGGTCTACTGTCATCGCTTCTATTACGGCTAGTATCGGCTGATAACAGCTATACAATTGTAAGTGCTTGACGTGGCCGTCCGAAGGCCGGTTGTTGTGAACGAGGGCCTCGCATATGCAGGGCGGCAATCCGGCTCGGTCACCGTTCCTTCGCTCCAAACTGAAGAACCATTATCGGACTCGTCAAAAACACATGTGATGTGCAGCCAGACCGAGAACTTGAGGTGGGGTGATACCGCATTGCGTAATGTAACATCGCTCTCCTGGGAAGCGTGATCTCGCAAGCCTCAGGAACATGTCCAGCAAATCAGGGTGGTTTACTTAGACCGGAGGTTTTAGGGTGGCTTCAAGTTCACAGTACTTGTCTACATCTTGATAAAGGTGGCTGACACTTGCAGCGTCAACACATCATAAATGGCTGGATAAGCGTATGGTGGTGGTTTCGAGACATGCAGAACGACAAGAGAGGATGCCAGTGACCTTTGAATAGAATATTCAAACTGTAAATGATAGAAAGACCTTTATAAGACCCTAGAACATGAATGCGCTAAAGAACGCTTAGCATCCGTTCCCTTCGCCGTCGCCGAAAATCAAATCACATTGCTTCCCATACTAAACCGCCTCGCCTCCCACCTCTCCCGGCGCATATTCTCCATCCGGAACGTATCCGCTGGAGATGACGGGGTCTGCAACTGCCCCCCAGGGCTAAACGTTGGCACAAAGTACCGTGGGCTACATCCTCGATCAACCAAGGTCTCGTCAGTGCTCGAGGGGGGCGCTGGAGGAGGACGAGGCGGCGGCGTTCGAGGCGGACGTGACGGCCATCCTGGAAGGCGAGCGGGCGTCGAGTATTTGTTCGGCGAGGGCGTATGTTTTGTGTCTTCGAGGAGCTCTCTGCCCAGGGTGCTCAACGTGGAGGTGGAGCTACGACGTGACCATGGTGAGCGGAGTGGGAGTGGCCGAAACGGTTGCTGCTGCGGTAACGGCGGCATCGATGTTGGGACAGTTGCGGTCAACGGGGGAGGTGTTGCCGGTACTTGGAAGTTCCAGGCATTCTGTCTAATACTAAGTAAGTCAGCAGCCTTAGGAGGAATCGCCGGGCCTGGGGTTGGTGCTGTCGTGCCAACTTGGGCGGCGGTTGATAGGTTTCCGAACGAGGCAATGGACGCAGAGTCGTCGGCCGCAGAAGACCAAGCGTGCTTAAACGAAGCACCTATTCTCCTAAGAAGTGCGGTCCCGGAGCCCTTAGTATGTCGTGAGTTTGGGGAGGTATCGTTCGCTTGGTTTTCGTGTCGTCGATAGATGACATACTCTCTATAAATCTTGAAGCACACGAAGACCGTGAGGCCAAGCACAATACCAACGCCGATAGTGCCGCCCACGATAGCTCCTGTTGCGTTATGTTTCTTAGGATGTTCATGAGCACGAGCATTGTGAGAGATGGTTATTCTGCCCGACGGCTTGCCCAAGAAGTGGTGTCCTCGGATACCCAAGGTCGACGAGTTGGTTTTCGTTTCCTCCCACACATCGTCGTTCGTGTAAATTGGCATCGCATCGGTTGGGCCGAAGGTCTTTAGTGTCAAGAGACAGGCAAGGATGTACATCGAGGCGCGTGGCGGCCACGCGGCGGTCGATCGGTCGGTCGGCATGTTCGCGAGTTGTCGTGGACATCGGGGAGCCTGGCATCGGGCGCCATGGCAAAGACGCCTCGATGGAACATTAAGTATCACGAACACGGTTCGGTACACTGCGATGGAAGCGGCGGTCGGGCAAGAATAGCATCGATTCGGCTACGTCGACAAAGGACTTTTGTCCAGCAACACGGTGCCTTTGTTGAAGACTCTCCCAGGGATGCCCCATGATGCACCCTTTGGATATCCCCCGTGCGTACGTGCTGCCAAAGAAAATCCATCTCAGTCCCCTCCAACACCGTATTCCGCTCGGTCCGTATCGACGGTTCGTATTTCGCTCAATGACGTCGAGCAGGAGGGACAAAGCCGGTGCGTTGACCGTCGGCATCAAAGGGCGCCGGCGATGGGAGGATGAAGGAGATGCTGTGTACTCTTCCAGACCAGACCAAGAGGTGCATTCCGACTCGGGAATTCTTTGAGCAAGAGCGCGCAAAGAAGCAGCTCACCGCACAAGATAGCGGACATCACAGGGAATCACGAGTGATCGGGAGGGGGGAATAGAGGCAGATTTATGGTGGCAGGGTCACGGGCTTCGCCCGCCACTCTTGCAGATAAGCTGAGGTACAGAGTTTTCATAGATATGCTTTTTCCTTGCAATGCATTGCCAGATGGTGCAATAAGTCGCTACGCAACTGATAAAGGAGCGTGCGGTATTGCGAGGGCTCAGTGATGATTGGGAGACGCCCGCTATCTATCTAATCTCCATCCCTTGACGGACGGCAAGGGCGGGCAGCTGCCTCATTAGACATGCAAGAAGGGCTTGTCTCGGACAGGGCAATGCGCAGAATGATAAGGAATTACCGTCTGCGAGGAGGTGTATAAAGCCCTCCCATCCGCTCAGCCGCAGCTGCTCAGCTAGATCTGGGAGGTTTTGGGACGCCTTACGACCCACGATCCCATTCCCGGGCGACGGCCCAAGCCAACAAGCCATCGCCTCTCGACTGGATCCCAGCCTCGTCAGCCCTCCTCGACGGACTGTCCATCTCGGCAGCCATTCGGATCAAGGGGACTCGGGATCCGACTTGGCCCTTTGATCCAATAATGCACATTGCCAACCCCAAGGCTCTGTACTGCAGCCTTCGAAGGTTCAGCGAATCTAGATGGCCCATGTCGCCCATGAACTCAGTCGACTTTCTCTACCCTTGCTCGTCGATCACATCCTGGCGCCCAGGGCAGCTGGACCGAAGGGCATGTCGACAGCCTGCACCGGATCCCTCTTCCGCAGCCAGACCCCAGAAGACCCCCCACGCCCAGGATTGAATCATTTCTCTCGTTTCTGCAGGCTCGTCCGCGTTGGATCGCGACAGCCAACAGCGCCAGCCTCCATCCAGGCCAGACGTCTTCACCGTCGTTGACCACATTTGCCATGTAAGAAAATGGCTGCCGCCGTTGGAGGCGATTATCGACCATCGAAACGGAGCTACCTCTAGTTCGTTTGGGCTAGCCTTGCGCAGTCCCAGTTCCTCAGCCCCAAGCCATGTGCCTCGTGTCTAATTGACCGAGACTAGAGAAATCGGGATCTCGCCAGGCGACCGGACGGACTGGTCAAAACGGGCGACGGGCATCGGACCGGGGACCTGGACAAGCAGTCCCGTCAAGCACGACAGCCTGATGCCCCAGCCGCGTTGGTTGAGAGATATATTCCAAGCACGCTGCGGGCCCAACGCGGCCGCTGGCGCTGGCCACTCGTCGCGAGATCTGATCTGTCCCATCGCATCGCAACGTTCGTAGGGTGACTCTGGACATGACATATTAATATCTGTCTGTATCTCTGTGTCCACACCGCTTTGGTGGGCCAGTACCTCAGAGTCCCAGCGCGCTATTCGCTCTAGCCCATGGACTGCAGCTCTTCGCATCACCCACCCCGGACAGAATTACCCCCCATGTCGGTCCGAGCAAGTAGCGATCCAGTTAATGGCTGTGTGGGAGTATGTACATACTTACGGTTCCCAGAAGCGCTGGGAGGCGATTCGCCGTGCTGGACTCCCGGCCGATGCCCGCAGTGATGTACGGAGTAACCACCCCAGCACATCGTTCAATGTGCACACACATTGGTCCTCTGTGGGGTCCCCGTCATGCAGTTCGATCCTCCCAGTATCGGACTTTATTCCACCGGGATTTCAAATCCGGGTGGATGCCAGAGCATCCAGAGAGTGGCATCGTCGCATACTGCACACACATACAGTGCTGAGGAATATGTAGACGCCCCGGCTCAACCGGGAGATCCTTTCGCGCATTCACAAGGGGCAGGCGTTGATTCCGGTCCGTACTTTGCAGAGGAGTGTACACTTGCTGTTTTTAGACCGTTGCTGACAGACTTCCGACTTTGGACGGTTGGCGTTAGCTTGACGCTCATCAATTAGCAGTAATAAATAGGGTTCAGTAATTAGGGTTGCGTGTAAGACCTCATGGCAGCACAGACAAGTTTTGTTGATGGCCTTCGATCTGGGCGCTGATGGTCTTGACCGTTGATCACATCCTTGCGGAGCCTGGTCCATCAACATGGGGCCCTCGAGATGCGAACCAGGTTGGCCAGATCGTCTTCGAATCAGACCATTGACAAGATGATTCGAGCGAGAGTATGGGGTAAGATGTGTTCCTTGTCAGCAGCTTATGCCACTGTATAGCCGTGTATGTACTCTGGTACTTCGTACTCTCGTCAACTCGCATTGGCGGAGCCTGGTCATCGTCTGAAACCCGACTGAGCATCGATCGCTCCCGTTTCGGGCTCCCCAGGTTGGTTAGGTTGTGTGGGATCTATGTTTTCCCGGAGCCATGGCATTCCTCGTAGTGGCATGGCGTCTCCGAGAGTAGACTTCAAGGCTAGGCCGCTGGCCTTGCTCAGAGTGCCTAGCACGGGCCCTTGAATCAGTTTGCGGGCGCAACTTGAGATGAGAGTCAGAAAACCCACTCGCAAGTAATCAACAAATGTCATGCTCATCGGCATCAGCTGAGGGCCAGGCTGCTCATCGGCATTGCGCTGCCTCAGGTCTCTCCCGTTGGCGCGCTGGGGGGCCGGCGCAGTACCGTGCTATGAGCGGGATACCCTTCTTGGCATCCCAGGACCAGGACAAATCTGCCAGTGCCTCCCTGTATTCGCAGCCCGCACGCGTTGCGACGGCAATATTCACAGCTCAGCTCACCCGATGAAGCAAGCTGGATGGACTGAGCAGACCCTGCAGAATCAGGGACAGCTGTCGTACCGCCGGCTGGGGAGCCTTGAGTTTGGCATGGCCGCTGAAAGTGTGTCTCCATGGCTCCGGGCCATGTCCCCATAACCGCCATTTCTCCGGAGCTGAACCCTGAAGCCGTGCTGCTATGTACGGCTGGGATCGCCACCAAACACCAAACGGCCGCCAGAGGCCGACATGTCGGGACAGGGAAGAGGTCGCCGGAATGACTCGTGGAAGTAGAGGATGGGCATTTCCGTCTTGCAGCCAGAGTGGGATGAATGCCGGTTACTGGACGCTGACTGCCGCAAATACAGTGCGTGGCCCTCGGAAGGCTAGAAGGCTAGGAGTTGCTAGCTCCCCTGGGCGTCGGGCTGGGATGGAACATGTCGGGAGAAATAGGCGTGGTCGAGGACACCACCCAACACCAACACTAACACCATCACCATCACAAACACCACCACCACGGCGTACCAAGCTTCCAGCACCGCACCATAATACCCCCGTCCGTACTCCGTAGCATGTACCCGGGACCAGCTCTGCCATAGGGAACTAGCTCTCGCACCAGGTCTCGGCAACCGCTCTGGCCACCATCTCCACCCACCTTCATCGAGCATCTGGCGCCAGCATGTGAGAGGGAGGGAGCACCATGGGGAGACTCTCCAGGGCCTCAAGCACGCCCAAAGGCTCAACAAGGCCCTTCACGAGCGCCAGCCCGCCCCCTCCCCTGTCGACTCGTGGGTTCAAGTGGGGGTCCGACACGGCGTTCCATGCGAGTGCTTGCGAGGCGGCGTCAGGGCCCCACTGAGTCTGTACCCAGTACGCATCATGGACCGTGACCACTGGTGCTGTCACTGGAGCATCTGGCTGGGCGTACATATGCCACTAAAATAAGCATCTGTAGCCAGGGGATCTTTTTGCCAGTTTGCGTCTACTGCTGCATGTGTGAACATTTGATTCTTCTAATGGAAATTCCGCCTGCCGAGGTGCTGAGCTTGGCGTATTCGAATATTGGCGCTGGAAGGAGGATGGCCTCTTTGACCATGAGAATTTGGTCCATCACGCTGAGCCTACCCAGTCGCCAACGTCGCCACAGGTGTCGCATGACCCCTCCCGTAGTCCCACCCCTCAATCAACTTCTGTACGCGGACGGGCAAGGAAGAGCTGTCCTTCAGACTCCCCCGGAACGGTGGGGAGTTGCGACAGAGGGCAATCCAGGCCGCAGATTGGTGGGCTTGCCACCCACACAAGCTCAGGCTGGGCTGGGCAGCCTCGTCAGCCTCCAACTTGAGCTAAGGGTTCAAGCTTGAATGAAGGCAACCGTCTCGCTTCAGAATGGCCCAGCCACGAGTCCTGGCCTTGGAAGTGGTTGGCGTCGCCGACATGAAACTGGCAGCTCTTTTCAGCGGCGTGAATGGTTGCAGCCCAGACGTGTTCTCAGGGTGTAGGATTTGGTGAAGAGAGCCTCGGGGTGCTCGCCTGCAACTCGAGAATATGGACAGAGATGGGCCGCGAATGAAGATGCATGGTCATGCGATGGACAAATGCTCTCTTGTTTTCGGTCTCGTATGTGCGCGCCTCCAAGGCAACAGAGAGACCAAATCAAGCAGACTGGCTTTAAGGCTAAACTCAGGACGGAGCCGCAGCCGCAGCCGCATCCTCCATGCTCTGTCTGTAAGTACCGCAGCAGTACCGGCGACTTGGCAGCTAGACGGCCTGCAGCTTGATCTCGTCGGTGGCTTGCAGCCATGAAGAAGCAACTATTCCTATTCGAACGGCAGGCTTTGCTGCGCAAGTCCCTGCACATCTAAGCAGAGGTCTACCGCACCAACGCAACCGAGGAAAGGGTATTCTTTTCTCGTGGGTTACTGAGAGCACATTGATGATGAGTGGTGCGGGACGGGGCGAGAAAGCGGGGTGAGGGTGTTGATCAGTGAGGCCCAACTGCATCTCCATCTCGAGAGGAACCGGCTTCGGACAGAGGATTTAGTCTGAGGAGGGCCGATTCTCCCAGTCCAGCAGGACTCTGCACTATGTACCCGGAAGCCGTGCCGCGTGGGATGCATGTGGCGTTCGGCCAGATGGCCCCGCCATCCAGCTTATCCTGGGACAAACCAGGGCGACCCTAGCTCTCCAGCCCATGGCCGTGGGGCCAGCCGGGCAGAGGGTTCCCTAGATGCAGCATCCTCCGAGGCGTCTTGGAGATTGAACCCCCATCCCCATTTCCGTTTCTGTTTCCGCGAGGGGGGAAGCTGCACCTGCACTGAGGCAAATTGTCTCCGACAACAACAGCAACATACATAGTACATGGGACTCCGTACTTAGCTGCTGAACGGCGAGGTCCCGCGATGCAGGAGGGCGGACCCCCACCGCCAGGCCACCCAACTTCGGAAAAGATGAAGGTGAGTTGTGATCGGTGGTTCATGGAAGCTCGGGGCATGTTGGGCCAGGCGTTCCCACGCGACAACCCGAACGGGCGCTCCATCAGCAGCGTTGGGGGTCCGAGACAGTGCTGGGTTCGGCGAGCGGGAGGTGTATGAGTCAAGCCACACGAGTCGAGGGGGCGTTCTGGTAATAGCACGAAGACCTATTTCAGAGCAACTAGTGCCTATACTCCTCCGTATTAGCAGCGAGGAGTCTGGCCCGGCCGAGACGGCCACCAGTAGCAGGGAGGGAAGGCTTCCAGGCCATGGGTGGTAACTAACGCACGTCTGGCCCGCTGGGTATCCGTAGGCAGGTTTGCGGATGTAGGATGGAGTGTTTAGGTCCATAGGTCCACAGGTCCACGACTCCACTGCCACACGGTCGATCCACCTGCACAGCGTTGGCGCGCGCATCGTCACTTGGTCCGTGGCCGGAGTGCCATGGTCCGTGATCCACGGCCGCGGTCGCTCGTCGTCATACCTGGAGTCGAGTCGGGGACGCCTGCGAGCACGGCTCCATGCGACTCGCGACAGGCGACAGGCCGACAACCCTCGGCCCCTTGACCCATGGACTCGGAGACCAGGGCGTAGCGCCCCCCCGACAGACAGCGAACAGGCCAGACCCAGACTCCTCGAGTCCTATATCGCTGCGCTGCGCTGCGGTGGCCGACGCCCTGAGTTCGGCGCGTGGGTCCGCGACGCCATCGTCGACGGTCTTTGCCCGAGGACCGAAGGGGAGACGGCCAGTCATGTCATTGGCTTTCGTCAGCCCATCGAGCATGGAGCGACTTTGTTGCGGCAGCAGCTACTACTCCTGTATGTGCTTGGTGCGTGGGTGCGGATGGTCGGTCGGGGGCCCTGTAGTTTGTGTAACGGTCGCCCCCTCGGTCTGCCTGCAATGTGTTGCTGGGGTGGATGGGCGAGCGCGGGATGATGACGGCGATGCCCTGGGCCTGGGCCGTGTGTGGTTGTGTGGTTGTGTGGTGTTGCGCATTGGGGTTACCGCCGTAGGCGAGTCGGTAATTTTCTATGCGTCGCTCCCCTTTGGCCCGTGGGCTGGCGCGCCGTGAGGGAATGCTGAGCAATGTCAGAACCGGCACCTTAGTGGGCAGGGACCGAGTGCCAGCTGCCAGCTAAAGAAACTTGGTGTGCTCGGCAGCCGGCGGAGGGCGCTGGCAAGTGGCTCCGGGGGGGTGCCAGGGCGCTGGAAGGCTGCTGGGAGACAGCGGGAGGTGGGAGTCCATCCCCTCCAGCTCCCACCGTGTACAGTTCCCTATGGCCTGCAAATGCCCGGTGGGGGGAGTGGGAGAGGTGGGAGAGTGGCCCCCCAGTACCTCTTCGCTGGAGTTGAATGTGCGGAGGTACCACGGTCGGCCCCTGTCATGACGGGCAGCCCCCCACTGTCCCACTATGGCCTCCACTCACAGCCGGACCTGGTAAGCTACCATGCCTGTGGCGCGGCCGTCATCTGGGTGCATGTACTCTGTACTTGGTACTGCGTACGACATGCTAACCTCCGTCCGTCGAAGTCGAAGTGGAAATCGAAGCAGACGCAGAAGCGGATGCGACATGGGGTGGGTGGGAGCTATTGCTGCTGCTGCGGCGTTGCAAGGAAAGGCAAGGCAAGGCAAGCAACCTGGTCAACCCAGTAACTCCCTAGGTACACACACAACTCAGGTAACCTCAACGACGGCGGGTGTGATGGGGATGGATGGGATCTTCAGGCCGGAGCCTTCTGGGGTGCGTGGACGGTCGTGTATCGCGTCCGGTCCCCTCTCTTTCTTCTCCATGCCGTCCGTCACATCCCAGGCTTCCCTGCCTTACATGGCATTATTACCCACTTGCTGGTCTCGCTCGTAGCTACTATGTACTCCCAGTTACTACCTACTCCTCACGGTCTCACCTCACTCACTCCATTCCCCCAGTGGCGTTGTGGATGCCGCTGCTGCATCGGGATGCTTTCGCACGAGTCTTTGCCGGATCTAACGCGGGCCCGGGTTCCAAAGTTGTCATGGTCCAGCGCCGGCCACGGCGGCGGTGGCCAGTGACAGTTCAAAGCCCCCGTAGTCTTGCGTCTCCAGCACCGAAGGATTGGCCTTGGAGTGACTTGAGTGCCTTGAGTGGTGCCCTGTTGAGTGAGCGACGACGCGGAGCACTAACAAAACCCAACGGGCCCCCCCCCCCCCTCCCATCGCAAACGAGTCCTCATCCTCGTCCTCGGCTTGTCCTCCAGTCTCTAGTCTCCATCCAGTCTCCATCCAGTCTTCAGTCTCCATTCTCCAGTCCTCCGCTACTACCTACGTACCTACTTCCCCCGTTCCCCTCCGCCTCGTTCCCCTCCAACCCTCCAACCCTCCAACCCTCCACTTCAACCCTCCACCTCAAATCCCCCCCGGCATGTTCCTTGGTTTCTTTCCTCGCCGTTGCTATTCCCTCGAGACCAATACACCGTCACTTTTTGGGGTCGCACAGCATCCAAAAACCAACGACATCCTCTTTCGTCGCCGCCTCCTGTCGCACTCGCACCTTGACAGCCCAGCCCTTCTAGCCTTTCTGGACCGCCCGGATCGGCCAACCTCTCTGAAACCTAGCAAGGTACCCGAGCCCAGCGGCTTCAGTGGACAGCCCCACTAGAGCACAGCACCCACAGCACCCGCAGCAGCCAAGTAGCAGCGCATCGCCGCCGCTACGGGGGGCACGCAGCACGCAGACGCAGCGCAGACGCAGAGTCACCTCCCACACACCGGCCCTCCAACCCTCCAACCGAAAGCCCGCCTCGCCCAAGCGTGGGGGGACATTTCCTTCTCCAGCGTCGGGTCAGCCTCTCACTCACCCTCTCCCTCTCTCTCGCTCCCTCCACATCATGCCCTCTGCCACCATAGCGACTCCCATCACCATCTCGAGTCCTCTAGACATGACTGCCATGAACCCAACAATAACAGAGCACGATTTCCGCTTCCCGCGAAGGCCAGACGCATGGCTCGCCGGGAACGGGAACCCCAACGGCCACACGCATTCCGTTCAGCGCACCCACGCGGGCGCACCCAGCGCCCGCGATATCTTCAATGACTTCAATGCCGACACCTCCAAAACATACTCGGCCGCCAACGACAGCCTTCTCGGCTCCCCTCTGTTCCCTTCGCTCGAGGACGATAGCGCCCATGCCGACCAGAGCATCGACAAGATGCAGCAGGACGATCCTCTAGCCACCCAGGTCTGGAAATTCTTCACCAAAACCAAGTTGCAGCTGCCGAACCAGCATCGCATGGAGAATCTGACTTGGCGCATGATGGCCCTCAACATGCGCAAGCAGAAGCAGCAGAAGCAGCTCGAGGAGGAGGAAGAACGAAAGAAGAGAAACAACGAAGCCAACAATAGGTACAGTCCCCCAGCTTCTTATCCTCACATGTTATTCGTGCTCTCGTCTCTAGTCGCTCGCGTGCAAATCCATCAACCATGACGTGCTGACATGGGCCTCCCAGGCTCGGCCGCTCCATGATGCACAACGCCCCCAGCGGCATCGCCCAGTTGCGAAAGTCGTCGGAGAACAACATGTCCCAGTCGGACGCCATGAATCTCGACGACTTCATCTTTTCCGACAGCGCTGCGACGCCCATCAACTTCCCTTCACCGCAGGCGCCCGAGAGGCCCGACGACAAGTCGGCTCATTCCATGGCCATTCCTATCAAATCCCGCAAGGAGTTGTCGCACCACTTCGTCCCTCAGTCCGTCCCCGTTCCAGCGCATCACCATCATGCTCAGGGTAATGAGTTTGACTATGTCAATCGCCATCTTCGCAAGACGAGCATTGACGACCGCCGGGTAAGTGATGCTCTCACCGGCCGGCTTTCGGGCCCGGTTTGGTTGGCTGGATTTTCCAGTTCCCCTCCGCCCACCCCGTCAATCCGCCGGCTTCGGCATGCGAATGAAGATGATTACTGACTCCGAGATTAACAGACTCGAAAGCGCCCAGCTAACTTTTCCCCTCATGTTCCTGCCGTCAATAGCAGCACAGCGGCTCAGAACGACATTGAACTTGACTCTGAACTCCATGACTACTCCTTGGACAACTCCCATCCCACCAACATGGCACAGCCGCCTACCCAGATGGGCGGTGTTCCCTTTGCCCTCGACACCTTCATGGAGAATGACCCCATCGTCAACTCTGCAGGTCCTTTCCACCAGAACTTCTCTTTCTCTCCATCTACCTCTCCCATGATACCCAACGGCCCCTTCTCCAACATGTACCATAACTCATCCGTCCAATCCTCATCCCTCAACAACGTCGATCTGTACTCACCCCCAGGATCCGCCTATCCGTCAACCGCCACCACCCCCCACCCTCTACCGGAGCAGGAGGGATTCTACTTTGGATCGCAGGATGCGCGATCGCAACGGCCCCAGGGCTTCCAGCCTGGGCCTCAGAGCATGGGCAACATGATGGGCCAGCAGTTCATGTACAATGGTGCGAACGGCAGCAACACCAACGGTAACCCCATGTTCTCCGCCCCAGGGACGGGCTCCGAAACCATCTCAGCCTACAGCAATGCGCCCGGCTCATTTGCACATATCGACCCATCTCAAGTATTCCAGCACGACCAGCAAGTCACCTCTCCCGACATGCAAATGCAGCAGGACAACATGTTTTCCTTCGGTGGCGACTCCGATGACGAGGAAAATAACGCTTTTGCTGATCGGAACATGGCCATGCACAAGGATCTCTCGTCGTCCCTCGATGAGTCCGGAGCTCTGGGCTGGGATGCGTCACTACCAGGGCAGTTCAGTACACAAGCCGCTCGCTTCCCAGGCGGACCGACCAGAAAGCAAGTCATGATTGGAGGAACCACCACTGACTACGTCGATGCCAATGGAGAGTGGGATTCAAATGGACTGGCGAGGTCGCAGTCTCAATCATTCCGGCCTGGCAACCAGAGGAGAGGATCTAAGCTTACGAGAAACGCCTCCACTCCGTCCCACCTCACAGGTAAGCAGAATGGATTTGAGCAACTTGCTCAATCCATGCCAATGTCACCGGTGGGTGATGGAAACGGAACCATGTCTGGATTCTCCTCCGTGGCACCCAGTCGACCGTCGTCTCCCCCAGGCTCCAAACATGGCTCCACAACCAACCTGCAAGCAGCCGCGGGGAATGCCACTGACGGGAACACTCCTACCACGTGTACGAACTGTTTCACTCAGACGACTCCTCTTTGGAGACGGAACCCTGAGGGTCAGCCGTTGTGCAACGCATGTGGCTTGTTCTTGAAGTTGCACGGCGTCGTTCGACCGTTGAGTTTGAAGACAGACGTCATCAAGAAGAGAAACCGGGGCTCTGGATCCAACTTGCCTGTGGGAGGAACAAGCACCAGGTCCAAGAAGAACGCGAGCGCCGCTGCCTCACGCAAAAACTCTTCGCTTTCGATGTCGACAACTGCCAATACCAGTAAAACCAACAGCATTAGCCAGCCCCCCAAGGTCACAACTCCGCCTGCCTCCAACCGGGCTTCAAGCATTAAGGACGTCGATAGTCCTTCCAGTGGCCCTACATCAGGAGGCAATACCGCCGGAAGCACTCCAAACAGCCATTTTGGAGGCTCTGGCTCCTCTGCCGGTGCAGTGGGAGGTAAGGGTGTGGTGCCGATTGCTGCCGCTCCCCCAAAGACGAGCCCCGGGCCGGGAGCATCTTCTAGTTCAAGGCCAGCCACCGTGTCCTCAAAACGACAGCGTCGGCATAGCAAGAGCATCACTGCCGATGCCCCGATCAGCATGGACATTGACAGTCCTGAATCTACGGGATCTAACGAAGCGGCCCGGCCAATGGGTTCCTCCGCTGGCCTCTCTGGATTGCCCGGTGGCATGTCGTCGAGCGGTTTTGGCATGAACCAGCGTACTCCTATGGGAACAGGCATGATCAGCATGTCTGGCAGCCAGACCAACATGTTGAACGGAGTGGGCGGCTCAGCTGGGCCCCAAGAATGGGAATGGCTGACGATGAGTCTGTGATGCGACCACAGGCGGTACTCTATATCACCCCCACACTGGGGGAGGTTAATATGTGTTGGAAGTTTCAGCATTCCGGATTCCTTATGGGTCATGTCAGGGCTGGATTTCCTGGCGAAGGCTTGCCTTTCTTTTCCGACACCAACACAGTCACGACATGACGAATCTAACCAATATTTTGGGATGGCGTTTTAGGAGAACGCGGGGATGTTTTATTTACGTTGTTCTCACGCGAGAACTTGATACCTCACACGGGATATATGGCAATATATGGCAGACTGTTTCTCTCGATTTACGGATCTCTGAGGCCTGTCACATCACACATTCATGTCTTGGAGTGCCAAAAGCGACGAGCATATCCTGGGATGACGACGATTCCCACACTGACGAGTCGAGTATGAACAATATGACACGCGGGATTTGTCACGGTTCAACCACAATGACTTGTTGGGAATGCACGACCAATATGGCGCATGGGACATGAGATGTTACTAGCAGGAACACATTTGGGATTATTCTTGTTTTTGGAATTACTATAGAGAGTGGACAGGGGATCGTCGACGACTCGGTTGCTTTTGACGCGCATACTCAGGGCGGGTGCAAATACCCTTATTTTTTACGATAGATTACACACACCCCCGCGCGCATTCGAGACGTCGATACACTTTTCACGTTCGCCGATGGATGGATCCTGGAGGTTCGGTCTATGATACAACCCGTACTGATATCAAGGATTTTTATTTGGCTCTCGCTGGTCTTTTATTGCAGGGTGTGGCTTTGGGGGTGGTTATGTCTTTTTTCTGCTTTTTGGCTTGGACGATATCCCACGAATGATTGCATATGGAGGTGGAGAAGAGAATCAGCTAGATTGGCGAGAGGAGTGAGGAGTGGTTTCTGCTTCACTGTTGTGCATCTTGGGTCTTGGTTTCTGTTCTTGCTGGCTGGCTCGATTATGAAGATGAGGTTGCAGAGCGAAGTGATGGCGAATGGTTGGCTTTTTTGCAATGGATGCGACAGCAGCGGGCTGGGATCGTCCTTTTAATAGAGATGCCTTAAGAGATACCTTTTTTCTTTGAGTGTTATTGTCCGCACAACCATAAAATGCTCAAGTGCACTTATAACATTTATCCCATGATATTTCGGTCATTGGCTTGATATGTTCCCTCCATTGTTATGAAATTGGCCAGCGATGAGAGAAGACGGTCCAAATATAGCCCATTGATTTGATAGCTCCTATTGAAAAGAATGCCCCGTGACCTAATGGTTTTCCAACCGAAGTAACGGAGGAATTGAGTTGACGTCTACAGCTGAAGTTGGCGACACCGCCATCACGCTAAACACAGCAAGCGTAGAAATGTGGGCAGAGCGGACGTGACCTCCTGTCCTATCTCGGACTTGCTCTTCATGTCTTGGCATTTGGGTTATGGTAAATAATAATACTACTCTCCCTTTGCCACGGATGCGTTCGTTGCAATTGTGCTGTCATATCGTGAGATTCTTATCGCGAGACTCACCTTACAGCGATATCGGGCATCATAGGTGCATACGAATATTTTGGAGAGAATCCTTTCGGAAAACCTTATCATGATAGTATTTCTACCTATCTCTTTTGTTTACCCCTCGAACAGCGGATTCGGACAGCCCAAATACATATCCTCTTTGGCCATTATACCCGAAGCCTGGCCGCGTCAACTCATGCACGCGCAGACTCCCTTCCCTCCGGGACCCAACCATTCCCGGTCCCGTTGAACTCCATTCGTCCAGCTAAAACAAAGCAAAAGTGGTGATGAGACATGCGGCGGGAAAACGTCACATGATGATGATACAGAAACGCCGTGAAACAAATAGTGGGGGAAAAAGAAAAGAAAGGGCCGGTCAACCTGCATGCCATCCATCGTCATCATCCATCCCGCAATACACCCCATTCATCATCTTCTCGTAGTTAGAATAGAGCCCTTCCGCGGCTCACAAATCCCCGCCAGTCCAGTTTCCTGGGACTTGACTGCTCGCTCTAGAGCATTGTCCCAAACGTGTCATCTGTGGGGATGCGCTTCCGTGGGCTGCCGCCATCCTCGGTGGCTGGCTTGCGATGCCGGAAGGTGAAACCAACGAAGAGACTCTTGCTCATCGGGTCATCACGGTCGGCCATAGTCTCGAGGGCCTGCTGCTTGTCGTGGACCTCCTTGTACTTGGCCATGTCAGCTTCGTTGCTGAAATCGTCAAAGTACCCAGCGTCCGTCTCTGAGTCCAGCTCGGGGACAAAGGGCGCTCGGGTCTGGCGAAGAGTCTCCCAATCGACTTCGGCGAAGTAGTGATGGTCATAGATATCCTTAATGTTGGAGAATCGTCGCGTTTTGGAGTTGATGCATCTGTCATGGGTCAGTAAACGAAACGACTGCGTCCACAATGGAATATGAGACTATACTTACGTGCAGATGAAGTTCCAGGTTCGATTGCTCAGGAAGTAGTTGGGATCTTCCCATACGGGTCTCTTCAACACCTCCTTCCAGTGCTTCAGATTGCGCCATGTCTCATCGGGGGTGGCGCCCGCAAATGGAGGGAAGCCGGTGAGAGCCTCGAACAACATGCATCCCAAGCTCCAGTAATCAACAGTAAAGTCGTATTCCTCCCCTCTAAGGACCTCGGGGGCCATGTAGTCAGGAGAGCCCACAATCGACTTCGCATAGTTGACGTCCTGGTCACGCATAGTTCGGTAACTCTCTCGTCGCTCAGCGACAGTTCGCTGATCGATAGGCTTGCCGAATGGGACAGCCGTCTCGGAGGCCTTCTCCAATTTGACGCGCATGGATTCGATTCTTGAGGGAGCCAGCATACCAGCAGCCAGACCAAAATCCGTTAGCTTGACGTGACCTGTAGAATCGACGAGGAAATTTTCAGGCTTGAGATCGCGGTGGATGTAACCCAACTGGTGCAGAGCATCGACTGCACAGAACATTTCGGCGATGTAGAAACGAGCATGGCGGTTGGACAGCACACCGGTATTGTTAAGCAGGGTGCGGAAGTCACCACCTGGCACATACTCCATCGCAAGATAAATGCTCTTCTCATCCTGGAAAGAGTAGAGCAACCGAACAAGCCACTCGCTCTGGGCGGTCGTAAGAATGTCTCGCTCGGTCAGGACGTGTCGAACCTCGTCCAGTTTGAAGAGCAGCTTCTTGCTCATGACCTTGAGTGCACATACTTCACGTGTGTCCTTCTTCTGAGCGAGAAAGACCTGGCCGTAGCCACCTTGTCCGACCTGGGTCAAGATCTGGAAGTCGCCCTGGCGGAGCCGGACTCGTCGCTTCCGAAGGTTGGCGCGCTCTCGGCCAGTGTACTTGGACCACATTTGGTTGTGAGTCTGCTCATCGGTCTCGGGGGGGTCAGGGTACTCGGACTTGAAGGCGGCTAGTCGATTCTGTCGGGAGCCAACGTATGTGAGAAGATCGAAGTAGTAATCCAGGAAGTCTATGAGATGTTAGAGAGCTAATCTGACTTTGGAGTCTGTGTTTCAAAACGTACAGAGCTGTGTAACGTTGACCATGCGGCGAACGTTAGGTTTCTGGAGGATCTCGCGCTCCTCGGCGGTCAGGCCTCGAGAAGTGTTAAACCTCTTGGCGGCGGGAGTCGTTGGTCGATCTTTGTGCTCATAGAGCTGTTGGCGGGAGAGGGCAGCATGGCTATGTTGATGAGGTGACTCTGGGGCAGGCATACGGCCTGCGGGTGGGGTGTTCTCCTGGCCCTGCTTCTTCAAAGGGCTGCTGGACTTGGTCTTGTGAATGACGCTATCGTCGACATTGACGCTTGATTCATCCAGGGGCTGGGCGTTGCTCTTGCCAGGGGAGAGCGGGGCGACGAGGCTGTGGGGACGGCCCAGCTTGACGGGGGCCTCGATGCTGGGGGTGTTGAGAGACATGGCCTGGTCAAAGGCGTTGGGAAGGTCGTGGGCCCCAGGGGGGATTGTCTTCTTGCTGGGGCTTCCCTGGGGAGTGCTGGTGGGGTTGACGAAGTTGTCAGCCTTGGTGGGCGTCCCAGGGCGGGGGATGGGAATCGCCTCAGCAGCGCTCTTGTCCTTCCCGCCAGGGAAGAAGTTGGACATGAAGCTCGCCATTGTTTAAGTTGCACGTCGTCGAGTCGGAGAAGTGGGACGAGCGGCGGCGAAGGGAAAGTGATGGTGATGGGGATGGTGATGATGATGAGGGGATGAAGTAACTCGGAATCTCGGATGTTTATCTTGGTGGATTGGGCAGCGGGCGGTCAGATAACGAGGCCCGCGGTCGACGATCAGCAGATCAACAGACAGCGGCGGAAGACGAAGAGAATATAAGGAGAGACGTGACAAAAGGATCTTTCGTCCTCGACGAGGCCTGCGAGGCGATGGGGGAGAAGATGAATGGAGATCCAAGCTGTGGTGGCGGATGCAGCAGGTGCAGGTACAAGTGCGGCGCTGCGCTCCCCTCGTTGCTTTGGTACCTGGATCGAATGAGGAATGTCATTGGTGGGCGGGGTGCAGAATCAACATGGTTGCAGCAGCAACAATCGACGTCTCTAACAATGGTGGGGGTGATTTACCCGGAAATCTGCCGGTCGAGTCTCACCTCACCTCACCCTAGACTCTGGAGCGAGATTCGGAACCATGATTTATTTCCTCTCATTCCAGCCAACGTCACAAGGGCGGTTTAATTCATGTTCAAGGCACGATTCCAAGGATCCGGACGGTTTGACAATATACAAGGGCTGTTTATTCTACATAAGAGCTTGGTATATTTGGACCATCAAGACTGGGACTTCCACACATGTAATTTCAATATAGCCCATGCTCAATGCGGAGTAGTTGCTATCCGAAAGCACCCGTTGAACAGCCCACCGTTTTCTCGACAGTACAGTACAAAGTGTCGCAAGCAGTTGTTGGCAACCCGCCGCTGGGTCCCCAAAGCGACAAAACAGAAGCCATGTGACTAGCCTGGTTAGGAAAGGCGTAAGAAACCTTGGCAAATCACTTGCATGCTGCATTCTTTTGCAGACAACCACCCATCCCCACGTTGTCCGTCCATATTGATCCCACCCGAGGCCTTATTTACTTACAACCAGGGGAGGGTTTCATTAGAGTTGAAATAGCCCAAAAAAATAGAAGTGAACTCTCGGAGGGACTTGAACCCCCAATCCTCCGAGTAGAAATCGGATGCCCTAACCATTAGGCCACGAGAGCTGGTGAGATGATCGAATGGCTCAAATCTAAGGATGAGTACTGTCTGGCTTTTCGTCATCCCAGGGGTCCGATTTCGCATTCTCTGCGCAATAATCCACTGAAGTCCACTTCCATCGGTGTTCACATAATTTGACCAGAAGAGACCGCGAAGTCACGAGTTAGTGGCTAAGCAAAAGGGAGGCTGCCCTTCATTGAGTAGCTGCGACATAATTTTGTACTACTCGATTTCGTGAATGAGAGGATCCATCTAATCTTCAAGTAGCTCCTCGGCGCGGCGCTCATCGCACTCGAGCTAGCAGTGCGACGACACCACCAGCGAGCCATGACCCGACATGCAAATACTGAGCAGACATTGTGTTGGTGAACTCCAGGTCAAACACGGTAGGGATATGGTGTGACTTGTGGTCGGCGAGCATGCTGAGGGGACCAAAGCCGTCACTGAAACTGCTGAAAGGGTGATCGTTGTCGCCAATTCAGTGCGTCACACCTAACTGTGTGAGGCGGCAGTGAACAGGAAACTCCCGAGGGTTCTCATACTTGGTCTGACAGATGTTCTGTTGAGGCCAAGAGCTGCAGCATCCGACAGGAATTACGGTATGCGTAGGAAGGTACCCGAGCATGGACTTCGTGAATGCGTTTGGCGTAGCGATTTTCCAAACAAGCTAACCGAGAGCGACCAGGCCCTGTTAATACTCGACTCCGACATTAGCTAACGGAAGCTCAAAGTGGTGTATGCCCGAGTACCAATTACGTGCTGTAGCTTTGCGGGCTGGAATTCCTAAGCATCTGCACCATCTCGGAGGACTCGGGCAGCTGGGCTGTCACCACGCAAGCAATAACGTATGGCATGAACGACCTCGCGGCTGACACTGGATCCCCCTCACAATATATTCAAGTCAGTTCAGGCACTCGAGGGCCACGGCCATGCTCTTAATGTTCTCAAGCAATAGAGTTGCTCAGGCAATGGTGACATCATTGGGACCCTCGGAAGCTGTTCCAAGCCTCCTCCTGGCGGTGACAACCACGACGGAGCGCGCTGAATCGTGATGGTACGAGGGGTACATCACAATTGCGGCAAGCTCTGTCAGGGAAAATAAATGTTCGAATAAAAGTCTTTCGCCGTCTTAGGAGACCGAGTCAGAGCTTGACTTCTACATACTTAAAGTTATGGCTATTTGCACGCATATTCACTCTTATTCACACGCAGATGATGCGTCCTATTGCGAAGCAATTCAACATCGTTTCCGGAAAGAACAAGGAGCAAAGAAATAATTAGCCTTGCATTTTAATAACAAACCTTATGTCTACTAATACGTCCCATACCTATTCTTTGTTGTACTGAATTGTCATACTTATGGCCAATACTCTTCCCTCAAAATCAGAGGGGGCAAGTAAACGGTGTACCTAACTACATGTCATGGCAATGAGTGCAAACATGAATGGGTGTGCGTGTGAATAGACACTCTACTACTACTTATACGTGACCCCCACCACTCTCACCTCCATTCCGGAGCGTCTCACTGACGACAGGGGAGTGGCCACCGCGGATTGGCCACCGTCCAGCAATGTGACTTTGTCCCCAATATCCGGTAAATCAGTTGACGGCCTGGTATGTGACGGGGCTGTGCTGTCCCAATTCACCGCCGACCAACCGTTACCAGCGATATAGACCCTTGGCGTCCCTCGACAAAATGGCTCGCCAAGTAAATAGTTTGTCCTTGGTAGCCACAATTCCTGGTTAGAGCTGCACTGTGTCTTGGCGTGTGACTGACTGACTGAAGTACGGTATTGATGCGATTGACGAAGGTACTGCGTACGGTTAGTCTGGTCCGTCAAAAGAAAGGTCCTTGCATGGCATGAAAAGTGGCCCTGTGAAGCTTCGGCCGACGATGGAATCACATCCACCAAACCCTGCGGCGCATTTCGCCAAGATGCTCGTAACCTCTTCATATCCACACGCAAGCGTGAGTGAATTATCTTGTACGAACGCGATGATTTAAATGCCTCGATCACATCATGCCATCTGGGGGGGCAGGTCGTCCCAAGTCGTCCTAAGACGTCCCGACAGCCAGTCAACGGTGCAACGGCCATAACCGGTTTCGGCCGGCGAGACCGGGATCTAATCTTATCAATCTAGCCTCGGCGGTGATACTCCGACCGTAACATCATCATGGGATCAGGGTCACCAGCTAGCGCGGCCACCTCCGCCTAGCCTGAACGTTTTAGGCCATGTCGCCAAGCTTTGTCGCCATACTTTACTGTCTCCCCTCGTCCGTCCCTCTTCTTCTTTTCCCTCCAGTTTCCCCCCGCCCATGACGAACTTGATCCCGCTTGTCTCTGTCTCGACGACACCCTGAGCCTGGTCGCATCAACCTTAACTCTACGCGCCACGAACCAAAGATTTCACCATGAAGTTTACCTACGCCGTCGCCGGCCTGGTTGCGACCGCGCACGCCTTCAGCCCCGCTGACAGCTCTGCCAAGGAGCCTGAGACCCAGGAACACAGGATCCCGACTACCTTCGAATCTGCTGTCATCGCCCGTCGTGTTCTCGCCCTCACCAAGCTCGCTACGATGTCGACCATCTTCCCGGACAAGCACTCCAATGGCAAGGTCAACGAGGCCGAGTTGGGACTCGAGGGTCTCCCCATTGGCATGATGGACTACGTCGCCGACTGCGAGGAGGAGGGCGACCCTACGATCCTCGAGATCAAGATCGCCACGACATTTAAGAATGCCCGCGCCGGGTCCAACCTTACGGTGTCCATGAACTGGGTTCCTCCCTACCCTCCGTCGAGGCGCATGGCTTTCCTCTCACGCCTGTCGGCCTACATTCCGTTCCTCTCGAGTTCCGAGTATAACACTCCGCAATCGAACACGCCCGACACGGTGCCATACTCGGCAGCCAACCTTCCGCGCTTCTCGCTCATCGGTTATCTCGAGGACATCACTCCCGACCCCGTCTCGGCCGTGAAGCTTGCCGCCTGCTTCACCTTCAAGCACCCCGATGCCAAGTACTGGCTCCCGGGCAACGCCATCCACCAGAGCCAGTGGTCACGACTGGTTGTGACCAAGGTCTACTTCGTAGGCGGCTTTGGGGACAGGGCATACATTGGCTGGATTCCAATCGAGGAATGGAAGTCTGTGACGAGGAGCGATTGGGAGGCGATTAAGCTGCCCGGTGAGGAGAAGGGCTGGAGCGAGTGGACGGTTAATCAGGCGGGGGACCTCTGATGGCATGACTTTACCATCTTCCGCTGGATTGGGCAATGGTGTGGCACGCATGTTTTTCTGTTTTTGATGAGCTGATTTGCCCTTATCAAATTGGATCTACGGCACTTGATGTTTGCACTGGGTCGGTCTATTGTAGTTACGGGCGGCCAGTTGACGGAGCAATGAAGAGCCCTCTGGGCAAGGCCTGCTCTTTTGCGTTTGCGCCTCTATTCTACTACGCATGCACCTTATTCACGGACCTCTTTGTTTGAGATGGCCTGCAGATAGCCGAGTGAGTGATTGAGTAGTACTTGACGTCCCTGTTTCACGCATTGGCCATGTCCGTTGGTCAGGCCACGAGCGAGGCTTGTGACACACAGTGACGGGGATACGGGTGTACGAAATGCGACGTAATTAGTGCCGGGGCATGTTGGGCTTGGCACGCGTGGTGTGGTCGCCGGTCACCTGCAGCAAGCTCAAGCTGGGAGTTGTGAGACGCCGCCTGAGTGGCGCCCCAACTGCTCAGTTGTGACGCGGTTGTACGGTCGGCGGGTTGATCCGGCATACTCTGCCTGAAGAGCTAACGTGAGACGGATAGGCACAGCGGATAGGCACACTGGGCTTGACAGAGATAGATGAGGGAGACATTTATGCAAACACCGAATGTCGGACAGAGATATGGGATGACACTGCAGCGGTTTTGAACTTGACGATGAATCATGGAGTGAGGCCGGATTTGTTCATTCGCCGGGATTTAGCCATTAACAGGGAGGGCTACGATCTTGTGCTCCTGGTCTGCTCTGGTATCATGGATAGGCGAACCCAACTTCTAAGAGGCCCCTGCCAGATTTAAGCCCCTTTCCTCACCGACAGACAGGAAGGCATCAATGCTTGCTGTAAAGAAGGCAATCCATCTCACCGGCGCGCCAACAACCCAGATGGTACTGGTTTTGTGGTCCAGCCGCCTTGATGCATTCCGCAATTGGACGGTAAATCAATGGAGCTACATACATACCCACAATGATCATAAAATGAGTCTCAGGTCAATAACTTTTGATTGTGGCAGTCAACATAGTGGACTAAGCCTAATCCTTAAACATAAGGGTTCATTAGTATTTATATCTTTATTTATATTTTTTGGCTTATATCACAAGGTACGTAGGTTATGCTTTAGTGTAAGTGCACAGTTTGATTGATCCTTGTGGGGTGACAAACGATGACTATCGGAATTACGGAAGACGTGCGTAGAAGGACGGTCTGCCGGAAAGAGTGATCTCACTAGCTCGTCATTACACTCGAATTACTGTATCTGTGCTATTATACTCGGTGGGTACGCAGTAGTGCGAAGCCTCAGGGATCTTGTTCCCGTGAAGCCGTGAAGCCGACAGCTTGGGCAATTTGCGGAGGCCAGAAAGGAAGGTGAATCCGGGCGGTTGCTCGGGGCTGAAAGGGGGGTTTGGTCGGCTCCCGCCCGGAGCGACCAGCCGACGGAAGGGATTCCGATATTCGGCTACGGAGCACTCCGTACCCAGACAGAAATGAGGCTACCTACGCGTGGCGCATGCGCGCGATTGCAGAAATGTTCTGTAGTGTGTAGAGTTGAAGATAGCATGGGATGGCTTGGCTTGGCCGTGCAGCATGTCTGGCATTTTATCCGGGTCATTGGCTCATTGGCTCATTCTGCATCGGCCTGTTCGGACGTGGGCCGACAATTCGACGACCCCGTCTCGCTTCTCCGCACACCGCAACGCACCGCAACAAAACAAGCGAAGCGCGGCTGTCGCGAGCCAACCCCCAAGTCGCCCCCCCCCCCCCGGAGGAATCCAATGAGCAGCGTTACCGGGTGGGTTGGCGTTGATAATAGGTTGCCCGCTAAGTGCTGCCCAGGCGGTGCCGGGGTCGTGCTCGTGAGTGGCGCACGCCCTCTCCCCCGGAATACACAGAATACAGAAGAAGGGTTGCGGCATCGGGCTGCTGATCGGGGGCATTGTTTGTGAAGGTTTTGGCCACCGAGCATCCCGATCGTCAGTGGCCGGGCGTTTGTTGGGATGGCATCCTGCAGGTGTATTTGTCCGACACTGCCAGGCTGCCGGGTGTAGTTGGATGTGTGAATGTTTGTTTGTATGCATTCGCAGAGAAGCCCGAACAAGAAGACGAGCATCTCAGCCAGCAGTGCTAATGTCAGTCAGCACCAGCCATCGCCACCCTCGGTTTGACGACTATGTACTTGAGGCGTCAGCAGAGATTTGCCCATGGGCTTCTCTTGGCCATATGTGATTCAGAGGCGCAGTGCAGTGCAGAGCGGGCGCCCGGGGTGCTGCGGAGATAAAAAGGGTTGCGTTGCTGGCTGAACGAAAGCCACCCGGCTCGGAGGACTTCCTCCTCGGTCAAAGTCAATAGTGGACGTCTGCGACCGACCACAAGGCGCAAGATAATCTGCACATTCCAACGTAATACCCGTTTGAGATCTGGGGTGTGCTGCCATCGGGCAAGTTGGGTAATACCGTAATACAGAGCGCTCATCACCACTCATCAGCAAGCGGGGTTTGGAGATAGGCCGTGTGGCGTGGCCCTAGTAGTTATCCCTTGCCACTTCAGACACCATGTCTCTTCTCTCTCATTGGAGCCACTCAGTCCCTATTAGGTACGTAGTAGTAGTTACCCATTCATGATTCATACCCCCATTCACTTCACTTTATCAATTTGTGCAAGCGCACTGTCTGAACCCGTGGCAGTGGCCGAGGCCGTCCGTTCCCGCGGTCCCAGTGCCTGCCCCCTGCTTGTCCCGCCTGGCCTCTCCCTACAAACACTCCATCTCGACACGCTACTGTTGCCTCCCCCCCAATCATCCTGGCTGGAATCCCAATCCCAATCCAAATCCCAATCATTTCTCTCTGACTATGTTACCCTAGCATCGAACGGGAAGAATACACAGGCGCCCACCACATCCTCGCACACATACCTACTGTACATGCGTATCGAGACGGAGCACGGAGTACCCGCAGATCGATCGCTAGCCTGCCACTCGCCGACGACCTACCTGCGTCAAGCGTCTGGACGGCCGTACCTTGCCTTGCTCCCTCTTCTTCGCAGCCACACACGCCCCCCATTCCGTCTCTTCCCCAGTGAAGCGAGCGAGTAAGTAGCCCGTCGTCCTCGCCGTCGTGTACTCACTCTGGTCCTTGGTTGTGTCTCGCCTGAGGCCTGTCTTGTGCCTCGCCCTGGCCGACATCCCCCCCGTACCCATCCCCCCATCCCCGGCCACATCCACATCCGCATCCGCATCTCATCGTCTCTGCCGTCGGCGCCGCGTGCCTCCTTGGTACCTTCCTGCTGTATTTCACTCAATCTGACTCTTTCATTCCCTCGTCAGCTCAACCGCCGCTCCCATTTCCCATTGTGCCCTGACGGCCATCTCAGGCGACAACTTGGACCGCCAATACCGACGACCAAACAACGACCCACTTGGGGCTTCACCAGCGATTACATACTCTCGTCGCCTCGTCTCACTCGCCTCGGACCGGTGCGGCTGACCCGAACGCCTAATGCCCGACGGCAACGCCCTCGACGACAAACGACGCCGACAGACGACGGAACACACGCGCAACTCGCCCCCATCGTGGTGAATCGATATCCTCCCTCAACTGTCGCTCGCGGTCCACTTTCTCCTCCCGGCCGACGGTCGCACGGCACCGCGACCCGATCACGACCGAGTCATCCTCCATTTACCACCGCATCCCATCGCATTCACCACATAGATCTTTCGGCATGGCGCATCCGCCTCCGTCCCAGCAATGACCTCGAGGACCCCCATGGGCGTCCAGCCGCGCCCGCCTCAGCGGACCGTGAGCTCATCGTCGCTGCCCGGCCAGCAGCGTCCTCCTCATCCGCGCTCTCTATCGCAACAACAGCAGCCACAGTTCTTACCCGCGTCCCCCGTCCGAAAAGACTCCTCCTTCATAGACCTCACCGGCGAGTCCACCGATGTCGCGTCAAATCGATATACCTCTACCCCGAGGAGGGGCGGCTCCCGCCTCAAGCTCGAGCTCTCCAACGAATTCTCGGGTCACATTTCCGTCACCGGCTCACCCCAGAGCCTCACCCCATCGCGCATGTTACCCATCTCCGACCCTTTCGAGACCGGCACCCTAAGCCCGGCCGTATCCAAGGCTTCCCATCAGGACATCGATAACATGCCCCTACCGATGCCCCGACGTCGTCCACGAGGATCGCAGCCGGTATCCGCCCCCCGAATAACTACACCCGCACCCGCGCCCCCGAAGAAGGATGCGCGTCCGAAGCCCTACACGGTCGAGATCCCCCCTCTTGCCCCTCGATTCGTGCCCACTAGACACGATGCTCCCAACCGAACTCCGGTCGATCCCTTCAGCAAGGGGCTGAGCTCGGGATATGCCGACTTCTTTCCCTGGCACGGCGCTCATCATGAAGATGAATGGAACGGCGAAGCCATCACTAAGGGTACTTGGGATAAGGTCAACCTCAATGTTCCCGAAACATCCTCTGCAAAGTTAGCCATCTTTCCGGCTCTCAAGCAGAAGAGCGGCCTCAACGCCCTTTCTACCATTTTCATGGGTGTATTGAACCAGCGGAGACACCGCGGTCAGATCAATGCACCGTCTACCTTCAAACCACCGCCTCGTGTCACGCTCACTGACACAAAGCGAGAGGTGTGGCTCAAGGATTTGGCGAACCCTGCCATCTCCTTGCGCCGCCTCAGCCGCACAATCCCTCACGGAATTCGCGGCAGAACCCTCCTCGACCAGTGCTTGAACAAGGACGTCCCGACCGAGAGAGCTGTATGGCTGGCCAAGTGCGTTGGCGCCAACGAGATCCGGGCATTCAAGAGGAAGGGAGTCAACGGTGCCTTTGTCATGGGCGGCGAACTGAAATGGGCTAGGGATTGGACTGTCTTCGTCGAGCAGTTTGTCGATGCGGTCGTCTCGGGCTTTGGTGAGAGTGAGTGGAAGGCCAGAGTAACTTACGCGTGAGTTTGACTTTTACTCCGTCACACATCCGACTTCTAACAAACCCACAGTATCCGCCTCGCCACGAACCTTTATTCCGAGCAACTATTGGACCGAGACCACTATCTTGACTGGGTTGTCTCTGGGATCGAGAACAGCCCCCAGTCTAAGATGCCCATGTGGATTCTGATTGCTCAGATATATTGGAAGGACTTGATGCGATCACGCAAATACGGCCGCCGCCTTGTATTCGCGTTGCTCAGCCACCTCCATGTCGTAGGTCCTTTCCTACTTCTTGTTAGGATTCTGGTAGCTAACTATAATTAGATCCACAACGACCCCGATCGAGACATTTTGGTCCAGCTATCGAGCAGGCTCACAACCCTCCTTGGCTCGCTGCTTAAGACTAACCCGGAGAGTTTCATTTACCCCAACACTTGGCCCAAGTACCGAGATACCCTCCTGGCCTCCTTGGCTTCCGACGACGAGACGATGCAAAACATGATCAATTCGATTCAAATACGAAATTCGCGACTCCTGGTCTCGAGCTCGACTTCCTTACCCGCTGGACGAAACCAACTGGTCAAACTTCTAGACGCCGCCCTGAAGGAACCCATCGATCGAGAGCTGGCCGCGCAATGTTGGTCAACGAGCGACAGCAAACCCTTGATTATCAAGACGCTTGTCGAATGGGCTACTTCGTTCCATCGCCCAGGCTTGGCCAAGGTCTACGTCGCAGCAAACCTGATTCGAGCATGGAGCACCTTCCGAGTCAACCCCACGACGGCTATTCTTGAGATTCTGGACGGCATTGCCACCCACGACAAAACCCGCAAGGAGCTTGTGTACCTCTTGGTGACGGAACTTGTGCGAACCGGTCACTTCTCCGTCCCTCAGTATATCCAGTGGGTGATCGCTCGCGGCGGCTACCACGACGACGCCGACATCGACCCAGACGAAGGCCCCTGTTCAACTAGATTACTTGTCGAGTTGCCCCTGCATGCTCTTTCTGAGAAGCGACGGGCCGAGAGAGGAAATCTCCTACGAAGAGCTGGAAATTACTCGGTCGCTGATGAAGAGCAGAACATTTTCAACGCCGTCAAGTGCCTTAAACACACCCTCGGACTACCTCTACCTCCAGGCGACCCGTTATCTGAGAAAAAGCCACTGTCTCTTCCGAAGCTACTGCGCAGGATACGGAACAGCAGCAGAGCTCTCAGGAGCTGCGTTGGTGCCCAACTCCGCGACATCGTAACGAGCCAGTTTTCTAGAAAGGGACAGCCTTCCATGTCTGTGGCCATGTTCACTTCTGTTCGTGAAGTCATGGAGACTGTGGAGGACTTCCCGATGCTCTCAGAGATATTGAAGGCCTGCACAAAATCGGGAGATGCGGAGATCCTGGCCTCGTGCGCCGATACCATCAACTCTAACCTTCAAATCTTCTTAGCTATCGGCAGCGCGGGAAATTTGTTTAACAGCCTTATCGAACGCCTGAAGTCGATCAACGAGGAGCAAGGAATTGTACCCCGACCCCTACTCGCAGCACTATCCAGCCTAGCCCGACGCATGGCGGGCCACGAAGCGATTGCAAAACAGCTCCGCCATGAGTTGCTCCAAAGCGATCGGAACAACGCCATCGATGCATGCTCGCCTGTCTCGGATATCATGACTATGCCGGCGCAAAGTGCAGAAGGGGAGGTTGCCGAGGAGATCGAAAAGCTCCTGTCAAGCGGGACTCGGCTGGATCCTCCAACTATGAACCGACTATTCCGAACCATCATTCCACGGCTAGAGCGAGGTTGGGCGAAGAAGGATGACACGCGCCGGGTGTTTGCGACACTACTGGCGAGGACTCGGGTGTTCGATACTCAGCATTTTGATAAGCTCATGACCGACTGGACGAGCCATGTTCGCTCGCTCCCAGAACGGCCTCCGCTCTCGGATCTATTCCCTCTCCTTATCAGCACCGGATGTCTGGCCATGCCTATTATCCTCAGCACTGCAAGTGCTCCATCGTCAACTCCACTATCCGAAGCTGCAGCAAAACAGCACGGATCGGCAACCTATCTTCAGGAACTGTTGCAGCTCATCATCACACCGTTGCCTGCTGCCACGGGTCTCTTCCCTGAAGAAAGCTACCAGTTCCGCACGGAGCAACGTTGTGCCAAGTCAGAGCAATCCAAGGGTCTGATGAATCTCGTCAAGAATGCTTTGTTGGAGTACTCTGGCCTGAGAAACTACAGCAACGGGATTGATCTGCCTCTCGACGACACCCAGTGCCAGGAAAACCTCCTTGAAACCCTTCGTCTGCTCGTCTTGGTGGATTCTACCGCGGTGTCCTACGCACTGAGTCTCAAGTCCCTCCCCGAAGCTGGCGACCTGGTCCAGAAAGTGACCACTAACCTCCTGGTCCCTGGAGACTCTGGAGAGTCCCAGATGTCCTTCGACCAGATCCTTCAACTGGCCAACGAGCTGACCCTGCCATTTTGCCAGCTCAAGCTGAATCTCGACTTGTCCATGTCCCAACAGAACCCTGGCGAGGGCGACGGGCATGGAGCCCGCTTCGATCTATTTGCCAAGGCCATGGATCGCGCGATCGAGGCTGGCAACATCATGTGGACGAGTCTCCTACCTTGTCTGAGCGACGACATCACTCAGCACCTCAAGAGCCAAGCGCAGGCTGGCTTCCTGGACCTCATTCCCTCAACGAAGACCACCAACACCACCGAACTGGCATCGAACCAATCGATCCACATGGCTGAGAATCTCTTGGAGGTTGTGGAAGCTATCATCTCAGGACAGCCGCCCCCCAAGATGGCGCAGCTGACTATTGCCATGGTAGAGAAGCTCACAGATCTTTGGGAGGTTATCGCAGGCGGAGCGCAGGAAAGACCCGAAATCCACACAGCAGCTCTCCGGCACTGGCTGCCCGCAATGCTTCGTTTTGTCACGCTGCACAGCTTGTCCTCGGAGCCGCCGTCGGCACCTCTTCCTAGCGCATCGGCCACCAAACCACCTATCCCGGCTGTTCATGACACACGAGCCCGCATCGTCCTCGTCCTTTGCGGTCTTATGCTTGAGCTGGAGACTCTCCCACCTGCCATCACCGGCTCACTACCCCAGCAGGTGCAAGATATGGCGATGCTACTCGTGGACACTCTCCCAGAAGACTTGCGCGCCCAGTGTGCCAAGTCCATCCTGCTCACTCCCGGCGCTACGACCAGTCTCAACACGTCGTCTGACCCGCGCCTCTACTATCTCTTCAGCGCACCACACCCGGGTCCTGCAGAAAGCTTGATGCTTACCCATCGCGAGAAGCCCGCGACGGCCCAGAGTGCTGCCGCCCGTGGCATGGGGGCCATGTACGGCATAGGGCCGGCCGTCCAGGAGCGCCTCAGTCCATTTGTTCTCCGACGGTGGGAGTTGCTCAGCGAGCCAACACCCAATGTTGGCGAGAACGACACGAGCCTGAGCCTTGGTTTATTCGAAGCAATCAAGATTCAGTAAAACTCGAGGTCCTGTCTATTATTATTACTTACCTACGTACCATACAAATCAGGTTGGTTTTCAGGGGGTCTGAGATCAACCTTGAAACACCACATCACAAACTACATCGTTACTTCCATTTTCTTTGGGTCATCATATTCTTCATCTTGTCTCACATGGTTCTTTGCGAGTCTGCTGGTTTGTTTTCTGTTTCCATACCATACGCGGGTTATTTTATACCCCTTCAACGAACATAACGACAAACAAACCCACAACCCACAAACCCAGCAACGCCCCAGCGAACTGGAGTGGCACAGAACAAAGACGGTGTGAGACGATGTACTCTAGGGCGGCGGCGGCCAGGATACGGTTAAGGGGGTAGTGTTCTCATTTGCTGTGGAGCAGGGCTTTTATACCCGTTTGTTTGTTGTGCATTTGCATGGCGCTGCATTTGGGAGGCGATGAGGTGGCGGGGGGACCAAGATCCAGAGAAATAGCATTACACACATATGTACGAAGGAATGGATCAATGGGATGATGGGAAATCATGCGCATTGAATGAGGAGCACGGAATCGGGAATTCTTACTTGAGGTGGGTTCCGCGTATATTGGGGCTCATGGGTTTCTTTGTACCAAACTTGTCCATGGATAGATAGATGCTCAATGAGACTTGCTTGGGCCGTATCGGGTTGCCCAGCCGCACCGCCTTGTGAAGTTGAGAACAGCATTATTGAGGCTCATACAAGCTTACGACGCAATGTCCCAACACCGCCCATCTCCCTAGTCGCAATTCGACATCGTTTCATCATGTCAGCTCACGTCACTTTATCGTTTCGAGAATACGCCGAGCCACGAGTTGATGCAACACATAGCCAGCCACAAAGATACGAGATATTGGGTCGCCTTTCTTCAGAACCTTATCACTACCAATTAGCATAGCTGCCAGCTAGCTGCCAGAGAGACCAGAGCAGAAACGACACAGCCCATCCGCCCCATCCATGCATGTAGATAACCTATTCATATCACGTCCCTCGTCCGTCATCTCCCTAACCTCGTGGGGCAAAGTTAAAGCAGCACAGCCCGCTCCAGCTCCCATGTTCTTCACCGGGAGACAAATGACAAACTCACGCAATGGTATTAAATGTGACCACGTAGTAGCAGTGACTGTTCAGTTCCCTGACGGAAAAAGAGAGCCCGGGCAGAGAGATTGGGGGAGGGATAAAGGGGAATGCGAGAAAACAGAAAACAGCACACACGGAAAATGCAAGACCCGACATAAACATGTGATAATATGCGACAACATAGCCTCCTCAGTAGTCTTACATTAAAAACCATCAAAAACAGAAACCCATAAACACGCACGCAGAAACATGTAAGACGCCATGCCAGGTTCAAAATCAATCTTTCCGGTCCCTCCTCCTCAAAAAAGCCCCTAATCGCAACTGTCCACGCTACCGAGCATCGGGGATTTAATCCTCATCGAAGATCTGGTACGTATTCTGCAGGATGGTGTCGATGACCTTGATCTGCCACCCGGCATCCGCGATTGCAGTGCTGGGGTCGGTGCCCATGAGAGTGGGACCGAAGATGACGGCAAGGTTGTGCGAGTTCATACGGTTGGTGTGAGAGTTGTCCATGACGCGGTAGAGATGGAGGGTGAGGGCGCGGAGGGTGGCGTAGTTGGGGTCGGGGAGGCTGTTGATGATGGCGTGCAGGGAATCCCGGCGGACCACCTCATCGTCATGCTCTGTTTGTCGAAGTTAGCTTGAGCGCTCATGTGAATATCGGTTTTGAGGATTGGGAGCACTAACTGGCTGCAGCAATGAAGCTGTCGTGGTGCTCGTGAGTCAGGAGCGGGTCGGGGAGGTCACGCAAGAACAACTTCAGCAGGCCGGTGACGCTGTTGACATCGTGATAGAAGTTTTCAGGGTTCCTGAAGTCGAGAGCCGGATTGGAGGAGTCTGCGGGCTAGTCAGACGACGCGGATTCAGCTTGAAGGTCAGTGGGAAACATACCTGTATCGAACATGTTCTTGAGCCTCTGGATGTGGTTCATCGAGCCAGACTGTCGGTAGATGCCCTCGAGGGCCAGACCGTACAGATCAGCTGCCTGGATACACTGGTAGAGAACCATGGGCACTGCTAGGCCGTCACGCTCATAAAGGCGACTCAATGAAAGGCCAAACACGGGCTTGGTTGGCGCTGATGCTCCAGCCGGAGGTTGGCTAGGAGCCCCGTAGGGAGGCGGCGAGCGGGCGCTGCTGGTTGGCCCCTGTGTGGCAGGGCTGCTACCGGAAAGCTCTTGGGGAGCCTGATAAGCGCCCGAAGGTGGAGGAGGCGATGGCCCGGAGGATGGCTGGAAGGGCAGGGCGCCGAGCTGGGGCGGTCCCGATGAGCCGAATGATCCACCTCCTCCGTTGCCATATCGCTGCTGTCCAGTGGTTCTACCAGAGACCTGCGGAGGATGTGCGGCTTGTGGAGTGGGCGCAGTCCCTTGGCTGAAGCTCCTACTATGGGACTGCGAGAAGGGACGGGGTTCGTCGGAGGGGCCGCCAGGAGGAAACGGAGGGTCCAAGGCAGTAGGCGTTTGAGATCCGCCGGTGAGAGGTCCCAGGCCGAGGGTACTTGACCTTGAGCCAGGGCCTAGCGGGGCGAAGCTTCCTGAGGGGGGATTCTGTGCAAGAGGAAGTTGTGGAAGAGGACCGCTTGTCGCACCGTGGCTGGAGGATTGTGGGCCGAGGACCTATGAGGATGGTGAGATGGACGTCCCATGGGAAGGGGACGCGGACAGACTCACTGCATTACGCTCGTACTTGATCTCTCCGCTGCTGGCGGGTAGATTTCTGTACTGCGCAGTGACATAGTTGTTCAGGTCCTTGTCGTTATCGATGGACGAGACAGCCTGTCTCAAGCTACGTTGGCTGCCCTCGCCCCCTGGGCCCTGGATGGGGCTGACGTTCAAGCCGTTGCTCAACAACAGCTTCTCGTTGTAGGAAGCTGGGCGTCATGTTAGCCCGCACTTCGCAATGAGGTCAGAGGAGTCATTAACATACCAAGTTTTTGCATCTGAAGCGATACTCCCAAGTCAATCTCTCGGATGAGATCCTGAAGGGTCCTGACGGCCTCGGGTCGCGTGGTGGACAACAGCGTAGCCTTCTCGGCCTGCAATGCTTGAACGTGTCCGTGGTAGGTCTGGTCGGCGGCCTGGACCTTCTTGAGCAGTTCCTCCTCGTGCTGGGCAGCAGACTTGTGGCCCTTGAGGGCACCAAACATCTTGCCGCTCTGCCGTGCCTCCCCCATCTTGACTCTCTCATAGTCGTCGGAGAGGGTGTCGTACTTGGCCTTACTCTTGCGCATGGCCTGTTCCATGTCGGCGACCTTCTGCTCAGCCGACAGGCCGTTGGTCTTCCAAGTTTTGCGGTTGCGCTCGGCGTTGGCGGCTAGCTCGATGATCTCGTCGTGCATCTGGTGGAGGGAGGAGGCAAATGACATGCCATTCTCCGCCATGCGATCGTGGGTGTGCATCATCTCGTCGTAGGCGGCACCAAAGGTACCCTGGCGGTGGTCGGGGCGGCGCATGCTATCCTGTGTGGATCGACTGAGCTTCTTGAGACCCTGGGCATGGTCTTCTTCGAGGGCAGATCGCTTCTTGAGGAACAGGCCGAATTCCTAGAGAACATGAGGTGAGTATAGGTGCCAGCGGTGGGCCCGCAGAGGGAGGAGCCGGGTCATTGGGAAGCTCGTCTTACCTTTGCAGAAGCTATGCTCTGCTTGAGGCGGTTTAGCAGAGTTGCAATTCCGATCTAAAGATTCCATCAGCGCCGTGTTCCAGCATCAATCGTGCATGTTGGTGATTCAGGCGTACCTCGGAGGACAGGACGTCGGAGACCTGCTTGAGCTGCTCGGGGCTCGCACCGGCCGGGTTCGGAGGGGGCGGCAAGTCGTGATCATCGGTGCTCTGCTTGCCGTTGGAGGTGCCGTCGACGGCAGCACCACCATGGTCGGAGGGCGGCGCCTGGGGGCTTGTGGGAGTGTTGCCCAGGGACATGGTGGCGGATGGGTCGCGTTGGTGTTGGGGAGGAAAGGCCTCAGAGCCAGAGTGGAATTCAGAAGCCATGGTAGCCATGGGAGCGAGGGGAGGGCTCGGCGAGAGCTTTGTCTCGGAGCTTTGTGTCGAGACAAGACGGTATGGGCGTGGGGCTTGTCGGCGTGGTCGCTCACATTCCCGAGGACGACGGGGTTGCAGGGGGCACCGGTGGGCTGGATCGCCGTATGCGACAGCGATGACAGCGACGGGCGTGACGACGACGACGATAGCTTGGTGGGATGGTGCGACGATGGACAGTCGAGCGACGACGGTGGTGACGGTGACGACGGCGGCGGCGAGGTATATCGGACGCAGTCGGGCAGCAGGTAGTGAGAGGACGGCGCAGTATTTAACGACGGCTGGGCTTGGTCTATTACGCTTCGTTGTTGTTTGGAGGGAAGCAAAAAGTCGAAAGACAAGCCAGCAACCGAACAAGACAGCCAGACAGACAAACGCCCAAAAAGGATGGGGAACTTGATGGGATCTGGTGGGTGGAGGGTGGAGTGGTGGAGTGGAGAGGAGGGAAAGAAATTGGGCTGATGTGGCTGAGCGGCGGCTGGGGGCGAGGGATGACGAACGAGCCCCCGCCAACCAAGTTAGGTACAGTTGGCAGGTACCTTACATTTGGCAGGTAGGTAGGTACCTTACAGTTGATACCTACCTTACCTAGGTACAGCGATCCAATTAATTGCCCAACCCCCGGGCAGCTACCTACCTCCAGCACGCACGGCACCACGCACGGCACCGAGCCCAAGCCTAGAGTAACCCGTTTTAGAGGGTTCTGGTACCCATCCCGCGGGTGGTGGCGGGAGTGGTGGGCGCTCAGTGGCCGTAGAACGCTCCCCCGCAGGCCCCTGGACCCCCTGGGCCGAGACATCCACAGCAGGTTGCCGTGCCTGAGCCTAGGGCCCGTTCGGGCACTTTTTAGGCGCGGCCACCACTAAGTAGCTGCCACCACTGGCTGCCACCTCCCGATGACGCCGGCACCCGCCCGCCGGCCTCTCGGTCCTACGACCCCCAGCGTACGGCCGACGGGGAGTCAAAGCGACAGCATACTTTCTTGGCGGGCGTTCCTTCAGCGGTGCTTTGCTTTTAAGCCGGTCGGCCCAGTATCGTATCTGACGCTGAAAACCGTGCCTGTCGCGGGAGCCATCAACGGCAAGCGTAGCATCCGAGGATCCGACGGCAGACGGGGGACGGACGCGGAGAGCGAAAGCAAACAACTACCGCAGACAGGGGACGGAGGAGAGCAGAGCAAACAGAAACTAGAGAATGCAGGTTTTGATCAAAGGGGGCCGACAGACTGCGTTGCGACGTTTCTGCAGCATGCCGCAGCATCGGAGTGGGAGAATATCCCGTGCGAATAGATGCAACGGAGGGCATGTCCCATCATGGAGGCATGTCCCAGCATCTCACTGGTCCCACGTCTGTCACCTTGGCGAGCGGCATGGCACCACTGGCTACTATCCCGCTTCTGTGCTCCCCGTGCTGCCTCACCTTTGCTGTTTTAGATGTGGCTGCGTCAGCCACGCTCGCCCGTGTAATCCGTAATTCGTGCATCCCGAGTCAAGCAGCAATATCACGGTCTAGACCGAACAATTCAACTCGTCGGCCCGTAGGTAGTTGGAGGTCCGGCCCGATGCGAAACGCCAAATCCAGTACAGCAAATGCCCGCCTTGGTACTAGTTGGCATTGACATTTCGCTGTACACGGACCTGTGACGAGTTTGCTACTCGGGTCAATTTAGCCAGAAATCTTGTAAGGCTCAGATCATGCCGCTTGGCGATCTTGGGGTGATGCTTGAGCGACCGTGTACCAAAGCTAGGACTCGAAAGAGAAGTAGGCCATCTCTTTCTCCTCGAGATCCCAGACAACCAACCAGGAGACCTTTGTTTGTTTGTATCAAACTAGGGATTGGTCGCGTTACATCCCCAGTCGCGGGGTCTCGTCAACATCCTACCGCAAGAGTTTTCCGACATGATTATATCGTTCCTGGCGCAGGAGCATCTGGGCTTAGATTGCAATGACACAATCCCCAAGGCTGCCCCGCAAGCATTTCAGCAGTCAAAGAGATGGCATCTTGTAGTTGTAGTCAACTGACATGGTGGATGTGGCTGCATTAGCCACGCTCGCTCGGCGTGTGGACGGCACCGGTAGTGACCCGTACGTCCCGAGCAAACCTTCATCTGCGGATACGAAAACCGTCTCAATTTCTACGACACCCCGCCAACCTTGCACGGCTCAGTACGAGAGGCCGCCCGGGGGGGACAAAAGACAAAAGGGGGTTAATTGTCATTAATAGTTACTTGGCCCGAACCCTCGTGTCTGCGTTGAGGGTCGGCTCGGGCCATTTTCAACGCAAGACCACACACATAATTAGGGCCACGGGGAGAAGACCACGGAGAGAGGACCACGGACAGCGGGGGGCTAAAAATAGCCCTGTTCAGCCAACGACCGGCCATCCATGAGTACGGCGGAACCAGGGGCTCGGGATCGGATGTTACTTGCTGAAGCTTGGAGCTATTTGCCTTTTCTCGCCTTGTTATTGTTGTCGCTGTTGTTGTTTTCTGTTGTTTTCTCCCTTTTTTCCCCTCTTTTTTTCTTGACCTACGTCGTATCCATCCTGCTGGGCAAATGCAAGCCGACTCCTGTCCGAAACCACGCACGTCGACCGGGGCCTTGTTTGCCGTGATGCGTTGTACAGAGAGCCTAGTCCGGTGAGACGTTGCGGGTTGTACAAGATGCCGTGCGCAACTCTACCTGTCACAGCGCACAAAAGTCGCACAGCGTCGTTTGTATCCCCCGAGTTACGCACAGCTAAGTGGCTGGCGTACTTCTGAGCCTGATGATGAGAACGACGGTGCTATCTCCAGTGGCGTCTGCCGTGCCAGCTATCCTGCAGGTTGCCGCGGATTTGTGTCCATGTGCGACTCCTCGAGTGCGCGTGCTCCAATGCCAGTGTTACTTTCCTGTTCCCGCGTTTGTGAGGCGACGGGTGCATGGTTTCCTAAATCCTTACCGGGAAGGCCTGTTCATCTTGCTGTGCGTCATGCCCGCGTTTGCTGTCCGCTGCCGCAGCCTAAACACGCAAAAGAAAACAATTACCGATTCAGTCAAACCACTCCGGCGGTCCAGACCCGGGTAAAGACAGGCAATCACACCCAGACACAAGGGCAGGCGGGGAGTGGGAATAGGGAAGAAGAGAGAACCACATGGAATCATCATCAAACTCCATCTCATGAACGTAGGGGTACGTCGTTGATATCCCAATCAACTAAACTACCTACACAAAGTTGAGAACCCCATCGATGAGTTTCCATCCACACCGGTCCTTGCATCTCTCCAACTTGACAACCTACAGCCTCAGCCCGGAGACAAACTCCGAACAACTCTTCCAGCATGCGGATTATCTCCATCCCTACATCCATAGGAGCGGAGATATCTGGTCGTATAAGCGCAGCAATGGAGTCTGCATCCTCTCATGCTAACGGACTGTTTCACAACTGGCTCCGCTCTTCAGCTTCACCTCACCTGCTGCACGTCTCTCCACCTCCCCAGACCGCACTATCTCGTGAGAGCCCTCTGCGGACAAATAGACAACGGGAAAGGTCGATGATCTGTTCGGAGATTTTGTGTGGTGCCCACTCGCGTCCCGCAGATGGGTCGGCATCCTACAGTCTGGAAACAGGCCAGCCGGTAACTACGTGTCGACAAGTAATGTACACGCCCATCGTCTCAGGTATAGACTCGTCTTGGATTGCTTGGGTCGGTCAGCATTGGTAGCTCTCACAGAGTGTGAGGTTGGAGGTGCCATACAGCTACCATATCAATGATGTTGACGCACCAGGACTATCCCTCTTGGTTTGGCATCAGAAGCTGGCTACTGTGATGAACGCAACTGCCATAACTCTGCCTAGCCGTACACCTCGTGGATATCATTGTCACAAGACACACCAGTATATGAGCCAAGGTTCACATCTCAACATATTCATTTGATCTGAATCTTCAATCTATCATGACGCAGTACGAATATCTGCGGGGTATGTACAAGAAACCGCTCCCGTGTCGTCAAACGACTAGCAGCTCATCTAAGGTAATAATATGTAGTAAGAAGGTGGTGTAAAGAGAAACCCTTGCCGCCATCCGTTCCATATCCAACCAGCTCATCGATTAGACGAGCCAGTCGTCATGGATATCTCCCCCTCTCCCCCAGAGTTCCACAAGGGTTAAATAAAGACGCAGAAAAGATGATGCAATCATGCCGATGAGGCTGATGATAGTCGTGCTTCTGAAAACATAAAACAAAGGAGATGGAATACAATGCCAAAAATTGCCGGCCGCCCATGGCTGACCCGCCAGGTATCATGATGCAAAACGATTTAAAAAGGAAAATCGAGGATAGTCGTAACGAATTATGCCGCTTCAGACGGACCATAGATCCTGGGAACCCAAATGATACCCAATAACAAGGCCACCGTACGGCCGTAACATGCCCAAACGTATTAGTATGTCGCCAAGGTATACGACCCGGCTATGTTTTTCTTCACACCCTTGAACTTGCATTTCACGCCTGAATCTGCTCGGCGGTTGATGCGTTGCTGTCGTTGTCGTCGGGCCATACCGGCGTGGGGATAGGCGCATATTTGAGGCCGTCCTGTGTTTCGAGCTCCTTCCGGAGGATTTCGATGCTCAGTTCCCATCGGCGGATGAGTTTCGCCTTGCGCGACGCGAACATGGTCGCATGAGTCTCGTCATCCTGTGCGGCTTGCAATGTCCAGTCTTCTTGGTCTTGATGGCCCTTGTCCGTGAGCTTCTCCAATTCTGAATCCTGTCGATCGGCTAGTTCCTCCATTCGTTTCGCCTGCCGATCGCGCATCACGTTGATCTTGGCCTGGTGAAGTCGATCCATGCCGTCTCGGAGGTTGTATTGCTGGCCCAACTCGCGAAGGTCACGCTCCGTCACTACACGTGGTGGCAGCGCACTGCCAGGGCCTTGCCCATTGCTGCGGCCCAGGCCATCACAATAGGCCTCCATGTGCTTCAGACGGATTTTGACACTCCTTTCGCTCTGTTCCAGCGTAGTCCGTAGGTCCATCTCGGCCGCCACCTGTCGGTCTTCGAGATGAGCAACCGTCCTGACATGCCGCTCCTTCATCTTCTCCTCCTGCTCGGCTTGCTTTGCCGCCAATGTCACTTTCTCTTGAGCGTGGCGGGTATGTATGGCCTCCTTGGTCTTCGCTGCAAACTCCTGGAACCGTCGCATTTCTTGGGTCTGTGATTCTCCCAGGCTTCGGAATTCGTCTCGAGACTTCGTTCGTTCCTCGGCTTCGAGACGCTCGGCAGACGCCGTTGCCGCGGCCGCCTCCTGTGCCGCCTTCTCTTCTTCGTACTGGGCCAGTTGAACCTCTTCCTCCTTTCTTCGTCGTTCCAGCTCTTCTTCGAAATCGCAAGAATTGGGGCATCCAGTCTTGGCATCCCAAACGCCACCGCAGATAGAGCAGAATTCGGCATCGCAACGACACTTCATCTGGGTGCTCCCATCGACCATCTCGACCAAGTTCTGGCACTTGTAGCATCTCCTTGCCCCATCCTTCCCGTCCAGTTTGATCATGTGGTCCAGTTCCCAGTCTTCTGGGCAGTTTTTACCGGTCGGGTGGGCCTTGCGTTTGCACGTGAGGCATACCCGGGTGTTGCACTTGCGGCACGTTACATTGAACGGATGTTTGTGGTCCAATTTGTGGTGCGGCGGGATAAACTCTCCGCACGAGGCGTTGGGGCAGAATATCCTGGCTTGCCAAGGTGTGCCGTACTGGACAATGGCCTTGAGGAATTGTTGTTGGGCGTCACGGCTCAGCAGATCTTTGATAATCGTCCCTGGCAGTGGCTGTTCGCAGCATCGAGGTGGCATGCTGGACTCTTCAGCTATCGCTTGGGTAACAATGGTTTCCAGGCAATCGGCGCAATAAGTGTGGCCGCAGGGAATGTTGTGAAGTGAAGTCGAGGTCTTGAAGTCGGAGCGACAGCGAAAGCAGGTCCTGGGGTATCGAGTCAATACGGACAATTACCTTGCATCGTAGCGCACGGCAGGGATCGGGAATTAACACACATCATTACTTCGAGGGATTGGGGCGCCTTCTTCCGCCATCGTATCCGGTTCTTGAGGCCCGACTTGACGCTGAAGAGGCTCCTCCTGGTCTTGCCGCTGAAAACGCTCTGGGCAGTAGCATCGGCCTGGGCTGGCTCCTTGAGACACCTGCTGGGGTTTTGGTGAGGGTCCAGTATTGACAGATAGCGGTCGTACTGGGCGAAGTTGAGGTCCTTGGATTCTCGGGCGCTGGCGATTCCGAGATCGGGTGTCGTGGGTGCGAACAACGATGAGTGTGCGGTGAGTGCTGTGCTCGTGGATCCACCCGAAAGCATAGAAAAAGTGCGTGCATTGTACACGGTGGACGCAGACTCGACGCTCGAAGTAATGCGCTTCTCGGTGGCCGCCTCGGTGGAGATGCCCAGCGCATTGGCCTTTGCTACCAGGTCGTCGTCAACCTGACACTCGGTGCGGCCCGCAGGCAGTTGCAGCACGGCGGTGACGTAGTCGGGATCGCGAAGCTCGGGAACGGTGGCGTTGGCGCTGGCGCTGACGCCGTCGCTGGTAGTGTTGGAGCTGTCGAAGGACATGCCGATGGCGATGGCAGGGCTCTGTTGAACCAAGGTGGAAGCCGCAGCAGCCATGGCAGCGAGGCGGAGAAGAAGGAAGAAGGGCGGGGATGGCGAGGTCGAGAGGGGGGCGCAATTCCTTCTCAAAGCATCCTCGAGCGGAAATGAGGCCGTGGCCGGTGGGGATTGTTGTTTGCAGAAGGTCAGAAGGTCAGAAGGTGATGGGTGAGTCCACGGGCGAGTCCACGGGCGAGTCCACGGGCGAGTCCAATGGCGCCGCTGGGTGAGCCGCCTGTCGCTTGTCCAGAAGCCGAGTCCGAGTCGGGAAGCGTGGGGTGATAAAAAGTCTGGGCGCTTTCAGCGAGTTGAGACGGGACGATTCGGCCGGTTGGCGGTTTGTTCCTCTTTGGGACGGAGGAAAGAGGGAATGCGTCTGAGACCTCGGTCAGGTCTTAAAGGGCGAAGCGAGACACTGCGAGAGAGAGAGAGAACCGAGCAGATGAACGGGGACGGGGACGAAGACGGAGACGGAAACGGCCGATCGATCTTGGGGGAGAAGGTGAGTTGGTTGTGAGGGAGTGGTTGTGAGGGAGGGAGGGATAGAGGGAGAGGAGGAGTGAGGATGAGGACGAAGGAGGAACAAGGCCAGAAGCAGAAGCGGAAGCGGTAAAGTGAGGAAAGAAATGGATCCAAAGTCAGCCGTGATGCGTGATGCGTGATGCGTGGGTGATGTGCGTCTATCTGCGTGCCCTGAACCGTGAGCCGTGAGCCGTGAGCCGTGAGCCGTGAGCCGTGAGCGCGAAAGTGAGCCAGGACCAAACGCAACGCAACAGGAGCCAGGGCAGGAAACCGAAATGGAGTCGAAACTGGTCGTTGGTAAACCGGGATGGCGAGGCCGCAGGGCAGGACTCGAGACGGACCGGGTTGGGATGTCGGATTCCTTGATAATATTATGGATTTGGGATGGATTGGATGGATTGGAGTGGGATGGACGAATGGAGGGATGGACAGAGAGCCCCTCGTCCCCTAACTTATGGCCCTGATGGATAGATGAGCGCCCTGATGCGCCCTGCGTCTTGAACACCTTTCGCGCCTTACACAGGAGAGATTACCTGCAGAGTACCACCCTGACACCGTCGCCCGCCGCACCAGACACGCTACAGCCAGCATGCGGCCAGGTATGCACGGAGTACCTCGGCCGCCCGTGCTGTGGGCATCAAGCGGACCTACAACGGCCGCGCAGGGCATCATTGCAGCACTCTCCGGCGTCAGGTGGGATCATGCTACAGCCCAGCGCATTGTTAGCCCTCTATGCTTCTTTTTTTTTTTTTTAATCCTCTGCCCATCAGACCAGGAGCCTGGGAAACTAGTTGCCATCGGGCGCTACGGGCTGCCAACTACGGGCCCTAGCCTGACAATCGGCATCGCAGCAGACGCAGGGAAGGCTCAGCAGAAGCAATCAATCAATCAGCTCACGCCCGCCGGGGTGGGTCGGCACTTTACCAGGGCCCTCGACAAGGGCGTTGTACAAGGGGTTAAGTTAAGGGTACGGTAAGGGGACGGACGGGCTGATCAAGGCTTGCTAGTAGAAAACAGCACCAGGTATTAGTCAGTTAGCAGCATACGTAGCGGCTCAAGGGAGGCGGGAGAGACTCCACGTTTTCTACTAGGTCAGCCTCCAGGTTCATCGTCAAGGCAGTGGAGGAGAGCAGGGTCCCCGCTGGGGCTTCAGGCTCTGGAAGCTCTCAACCTTCCTTCTTCGTATTCCTCACAGGAACGGTGAGTGTGGCAGCTGACTCCGCCAACATTCGGCGATGCTACTCTAGGTACGAAGTACACATCCATAGTACTCTACATCGTACATACCCGAGTACTGCACATAATCTACGGAGTAAGCTCTCCTGCAGATAGCGCCCGTGGCCGCTTCCGGGGCTGCGGTCGTCACCAAGGAACCAAGGAACCCTCTATAACCCCGGCCTGATATTGCTGCAGTTCCTGGCTCAGGTGAGCAGGGCCGCGAACCTCGGCCAGATCTCACGCACGAAGCAATTCATTTGTTCCTGCATGCCTGGGGAGGTATGGAGCACGAAGCCCAGGGCAACCGCGTGTTCTCGTCCATGCCTTGACTCGCTGAAATTCTCGATCCATTCCTCTCCATGGTGCGATTCCCAACGGATGCATGCAGCGCTGCACGGATGGACGCAGGGCCACAGAGAGGAGACTGCCGAGATGACCCATTGGAGAATCTCGGGAGTCCATCAATAAGGACCGGAGGGGGGGTGCTCCATTGTGATTCGAGCGGACGGTAAGGGTGGTTGATTTTCCTTTCTTTTTTCCTCTGATGGTTGTGGGCTGCTGTCGTTTTCCTTTTTTCCACTCTCCCTTCCCCGTTGTAGTTGCTTTTTTCTTCTTCTTAGTATTCGCAAAGCCATGCCCAACACTCAATGCGCTCATCATCAATGGGCTCATTCGATGTGTTGCTTTTCAGGGGGGCTAGCCCAAGTGCCATATCTTGATGACAACATCACGGTGCCATTAACACACCTGCAAGGCACGGGAGCTGACAAGTAAACAAATCCCCGGTTGTGGCAGGTGATAGCGTCGGTTCCCCTGACGCCGATTTCAACATCGACTTCGCCTCGTCCATTCACAGCGGCGCATTCTGACAGTGCACATCACACAAATCTCGGTGCGTCGTCTTGAAGAGAGACGGTCGATCTAAGCGCCATCCCAAATGCGCCCGTGTTCATGTCGATCTTCTCATGGGGCCTCCTATCACATCCCGCGCCCGCTGCCAACGCCGCCAACGCCGCCAACGATGTCTAACCTTGTTGAGCCACCATCGCCGTCGTTTGTGATCCAGTTCCAGATTGTCCCGTCACAGTTCCCGGCTCCGGGTGTACTGTACATGAGCTTCCCCTCCCCTCCACAGGAGAATTGCGCAACTTGGCGCAGAGCTGAGAAATGGCTTGGCTCCCCCAGCCTCGGCCTTTGTTTGTTGGGGGCCGTACCTGAATAACTCGAACCGATCATCTCCTTTGGCCGTCGTACGACTTATCCGCCTCGTCCTCTTCCTCCCGAGTGACCCACCACTTAACTTACAGCGGCTACCTAGGTAGGTAAGCAAGCCACACGGTATCCGTATTCCCGGACCAACGACAAAGATTCGCCTCTTCAACCGTGGGAACGAAATCAAAGAGAAAATCACGGAGAAAAATGGACTCGAGATGCGATACTCGGACGAGACGAACATGCCCTTTCGCGTAACGGCACCCGCCAGTCCCACCCAACACGGCCCTCCTGTGGGCCGTCAATCCTACACGGAATGAGGGTCTTGGAACCGCTGTTGCCATTTCTCATTGAAAAGGAAGAGAAGCGAGCTCCGGTTACTGCTCCAGCGACAGCCAGCGCCATCGCCAGTCTAGCTCGAAGCCCGCTACCGAACGAGATGAACATGCGATGATCCCTTCCATCGGCGACCCGCGACTCCGCTAGGCGTTATTCGCCTTGCGCTATGCACAATGCGTTCCCTCTGTTGTACCGTCCTGCCGGTTTTTTGCTTTTGTATCCCACTTGGACCCTTTAAAACGGGCCCAGTACGTGCTGCGGGTGAGCTGCTTACAGGCCAGTGCATATCTCAAGCACGGTTGAGTCCTCTCTGCACTACGTACTGGCCGGCAGCCTCCTTGTCTTGGCGAGCGAGGACCCGCCGATTACCCAGTTGGGGGGGTGTTCGCGGCCGGGTCCGTCGCGGTCGCTGGCCGACGAGAAAGACTCGGGCGGGCGTTTGGACGAGGTCTATCATAACTCAGATTCCCGAGGGCGTCGGGCATGTGGGGATTGAGAGCATCGGGTGCTGTTTATTTCTGTCACAATGGGTTCATGATTCCCCCGGCCAAGCCAAGGGAAACCTGGGAGGCGTTGGGAAGCGGTAGGCGCACGATAGGAGGCGGTCGATGCGATCGGGTCGCTTACACCCGCGAACCGACGATAAGTGCCAATTGTGATGTATCACAGCCAGGATCCGCCCCCATGAGATGTTACTTCGGCAGAGCTTCCATGATTCGAGAGCACGTCACATGGTGGTACTCTGAAATACCATGTCAACCCTCTCATTAAACTCGACGAGTTTGGAGAGTTGAGCATCTACGGGGTGTTCATTCATCTCCCTCTTTCCCCAACGCCCACTGTCAATCCCCGTCCATGGGGTGTTGATGTTACCGACGTATGCAAATGATATGCAGCTACGCAGCAAGAATGACAACGCAATCCTGCGCAGGGCACCACGCAGGGCAGTGGGCACTGGGCCGCAGCAGCCCAGGGAAACGTGAGGGAGGGTGACGGGGTTCAGCTACTACGTAGTAAGTTAGGTCTCACTCCAGGAGCCTGAAGCGGAAGACAAGGGACTCGGGATTTGACCCAACAAGCCAAGAACGCTCGTACACGTTACACACAGCACACGTCGATGCTGGCGTTCTGTACCGGTACTTACAATGTCCAACAGAGCAAAGAAGAGAGAAACTTTACCCAATCTCACCCAGCCTGTTAGCTCAGGTTGTTTATCTCCTCCGCCTTCTTTTCAGCTCTCCACGCGCAGCCTTTCGCCCCAAAGAACCAACACGAGGCCCAGAGTGACAACTGCCGGTCTCCTAGCGGCACGCCCACTGGCCGCCACCATCCATCCCCATCTACAGTAGACGCCATCTCAACCATGAGGCGCTCTCCTTGTGGTTCCATTGGATCACTGGCAGACATGTTCTCCCGCCATATCCGGGAGCTAAGATGCTAGCCCTGCGCCATTGACGACTCAGACCACTCGGTCGAGTACTCACGGTCTGGGCCGGGGGGGTGACATTTCGCTTACACGGCTTCCACATATCGCCGCAATGGCTGCATCACCACCTTTTCCCTAGGGCCAACAAGCAATTCCGGGCTACAGCCTTACGGATACAGACTGTGTATGTCCCAAAGCCCCTCACAGCGTTGGTTACGTGTTTTCCGCACCGTCATTTTACCAACGCACCCCGTTGCGGCGCCAAGTCGATGATCCCAACGGCCTCTCCCATGGTAAGACATTGCGGGTTGACGGAGACGGCGAGGCCAATGGGCATTTCCGGCCATGTCACAGCGTGTATCAGATACGCAAATCCCTCCAGCCGCCGGCGAGGCAACAAGACTCCTCATCTTTCCCCGTTCACCTTGGTTTGTCTCCCTCGTCCCGTCCCCCGCTCGTTGATCAACGCTCGGATCCGTGACATGGCGGACCGAGCACGGAGCGTTTCCTCCCCCCCGCGCCCCCGCGCCCTCGCAAAATCGACATTCCGATCGATATCAGCGTGTTTTTCTTTTTTCTTTTTTGGCTGCTTTAGCCCTCTCCGTTGTCGTTGAATTGTTTTCTCCTGTGAAATAGAGTTGGAAGATAGGGTGGCTTGGATTGCCTATTGTGCGTGTGCATAAGGCCGAGGGCGGATTTTGATCGGCACCACATCCAAGTTGTCGGGTCTTTTGTTCAAATCCAGATGCGAATGACGTGGTGAGCCGATGCGTGACCAGAGAGACACTCATGATGCCATAAATACATTGTAGAATTGTGCATGCTATCGTATCAAATTTTAAATAAACATGCTTTGATAGAATTTTAATACCAGCAGTTAACCAAGACGCTGGCTCAACGCCTTTCACAGATGTCAGTTGGTGCGCCGAGTGAGAAGGCAGGGAATGTCTCTGTTTCTTCTGCCCACCCCCACACACGCCTGTGTTTGAGAAGAACCATCTTCGGAATTTGGGGTTCATTGCCTAGGGTTCCATCTCCGATTCATGTACGAATTTTAAGCGTGCTAACTTCAACGATGGTGAGAAACCACACAAGGAAACCCTTGTGGTTTAAACTGCTTGGCATTTAGACCATCGTCAATCTATCACACCGTGCAACGTAAGGCTAAAGTAGGGAGACGAGACCATCTAGGATCGTCACCAACGCGATCTCGGATATCTAACTTGCCGGCTTTGGTCTGTTTGTAAGCGGTACCGCACCATGACGTGTAATTCCGCCCCCAGGCTCTCAGCCAACAGAACACACTCAAAGAGCTCCGTAGATCGCCGCGGCTCCACCTGCTCAAGTGACATCCTCGCTTGTGGTAGCCCGAAACTGTATTTCCTCTAAAATGGCTGAAGCGAGATTCTGATAAACGGCATGGGTAGCAGGAATGCGTTCTTGACATAATCACAACGAGCACATTGCAGCCCACGTCAGCCAGCTGAATCATTGTGTGACGCTGTCTACGTCAGTGGGGTCGCGGAGATGCCGAATCCCAGCGGTCTCTATTCCAGCCTAAAATATCATGTGGACGGTTTGTCGAGATCCTTCCAAGGCAATAAAGTTTCGTCTGTATCGGAGCTTGCCTTACTGGGATCTTGTCCCGCACGACGCTTATGTCGGATCGACGTTGGTGTTGTGAAGTGTAAGCTACAAACAGCTCCCCACTAGTCGTGAAGGAGGCACGTCAGCTAGATAGATCTCTCCCCTATAACTTCTAGTTCAGTGACCAGTTCTTGTATCTGACGCCAGAATCTGGAGAGAGCAAATTCCAAAGTCCGCTTGTGGTAATCTCTACTGAGGACACTTGCGACTTTCACAAGGGTTGTGAAGTCTCCTATACAAGTCAGCCTGGGGGTCTTCGCCCATATCTAGTTAGTTTGTGTTCTCCTCTTACTTGTAGTTTGAAGAGTCACGGGACGGCTTTTAATACCGCTTCCTCAATGTAGAAATGAGCAGACCCTGCGTCGTAAATATGATTTTCATGAACTCTTAGCAACACATTTGTCGAGAAAAGGAAGAGGCTGCATAATTTAGATCGATCTTCAAATCGTCCTCCTCCTGGTTAATGCTGGTGCACTAGCAGCCTCATGGGGTTGCGTCTATAGTTATGTCCTGAATTATTCCACGAAATGAGATATACACTGGCCTGGGACCTGCGAGGAAGCCAAGAGGGGCCCATAGCGAACCAGCCAGAGTTGGAACCTCCGAGAATACAAAGTGAGTCGAGTTCCAGTTGTCGGGCGGAGAGGTGAACTTTGAAAGGTAAGGTCATTAGAATAAGCGATTTAAATGGCGATAATGTCCGAGAGAACTATTTTATGTGTCTAGTGATTGTACTAGCTCTGAGATATGATATTGTACGTCTAGAGTCCGTGATACTCGTGGTTGGTGGGAGGCGACCTACCCTGGAGTTGGCGTCAATCTAAGACTTGAATTATTAGTAGATGCCTAGAAAGACTAAGTGCATAAATAAAATTAGGGAACCGCGCATATGTTAGTTCATAATGATACGTGCCGTGTTGCTAAAAGAAAAAAAATTGGTAACTGTTTCTGCCGCTTGAAGTAATACTCGCGGGCGCAGAAAGACCTGGCCCCGATGCTGTTAGTTGGGGTAGAATACACAGCTGTTCTAGATCTTTCATTTCATTACTCTGGACGAACCCAGCTCAACTATGGAAAGAATATCGATCATTCCAATGTATCATAATACTTCCCTGTCATGTTAATGAAGGTAGCGGTCCGCTCGCTGGCCTCCGATTTATCAATTTGGCCGAGGGGGATATCGAGACACTTTAGAAGTATATCCTGCCAGGGTTTGATGCGCAAAGGCCTACTTGAAGCGTCAGTAATAGATCCCGTTGACATAATGGACCAAAGCCGTACCAGCCTAATTGAGAAATAGGAAGTACCTCAACATTGTGATAGCGTGGAAAGTGACCGTTGAGTTGAGATCTTTCTCAGCCATCCACGAAGATCCCCGCCGGCTGTGGACCGGACATCTCCATCAATGGGGCCGCCGTCATCATCTGAGTCTAGATTGTCGAGGTCTAGATTCCGGGTTATCAATGACCCGAGTAGGATATGTGGATTCTCAATGTCGTCCAAAACCGCGAATGGGCCTTGCAACCAAGCGCCGCAGATGTTGCTCGTGACACCAGGCTCGAAGAAGTACTTCGAGAAGTGCCTTCATTCCGATTGCATTGCAACTCAACGTTCAGAGCCGGTCTAGCTGGGGGAGCCCCCCGATTGGTTCCGGGGTCCTTTCATCCTGGGTAGGTGATTGTTGGGGCAGCTGAGGAACAGCCAAGCCAATGATTTTTTGTTCAGAGTTTGCTGTTGGGATGAGCAGTGCTGCATGGCTCTGCTCCTCAACACCATGGAGGCTGCAATATTCTGACAAATAGCGGAGGGCATTGTTAAATGAAGTCGGCGAACGCTCAGTCGCGTCACTAGACATGTTCGGCTTTGCTGAAAGGACGAAGTTGCGGTCTGACTTGGGTGTTGTGGACTAAGGGGAGTGAAGAAGGCCACCCGTGGCGTTGCGAATTGTTGTTCTTACTACTATTTATTGATAGAACAGCAGCCCGCCACCGATTAGCACCATATTAAACATCACCGACATCTACCACCACGGGGGACTGACCATTTCTGATGTGGAAGATCCATTCATGGATATTGGCCTTTTTTGAGGACTGTCGTACTCGGGTACACACGTCCCAGGAATAAGCTCGGCCCACCGCGAGGAAAGGATGTACGACCAAGCCAGCATGAAAATGGGAATATGGTTGCTTTGCTTTGTGCTGAAGAAACCCGGTGAGGTCTTTGCCGATCGCCGTGGATCGGAAGTCAATACGACGGACACTGGGTGGACTAACGCCGTGCAAAATGTGACCTCATCCTCCTGAAAGGACGGAAGGTGACCCTCCCTCTGGGTCCACTATCCAGGTAGTTGTCCCCTCACAGTGATTGTGTTTCGAGAAGGATTTGTCGAGTACAAGATTCTCTGGGAAGTATGGGTGACTGGGGAATGCGTACTGCGTCGATGACAAACAGTCCTCCACGAGCCGTACATCGCCAGTCGCTGATCCCTGGCTGAGGATGGACCACGTTCGATATCAACTTTCGTACATGGCTCTAAAGGCCCTCTTTGGGACGGACATCATCCTGCATGGCCGCTGGGATGATGTTGGGTTGTTGGGACGGCGTCTATCGCGCCCACAGGCGTAGGTACTTGATCGTGAATAGAGTTGTTAACGCTCTGTGTAACCAGATCGATCAAATCCTAATGGGACGAGGCGGTTTGTGGCTGAGCGAATGGTCTCGGCCAACCCGTGTAAAGCACCGCGCCCAACACATGGCACATGACCCATTTCTACAGATGGGGCTGTCGAGGCACCTGATGATTGTTGGTTGCCGCCGAGTGATATGATGAGTGGCATTCTGTCGCCGACTTACATCTTTGGTGGCGGTGCAACAGAGCCGGCGCTTTGGACGAGGAGAGGCCTGTGAATTACTCCAGGACCAGCTTCTTTTGTTGAATCACAAAGGAATAAGTCAACTTAAGCCTCGAGGATACACTGAAACGAAAGTGAGAGTTGGGCCGAACTCACATTTACCTCTCGTCACTCTTTGTTCATTTTCCGCTCAACCTGACACCCACCACACCACGCCATGCAAGGCCACTGGGCGCACGCCTCGCTGCTGATTGGCATGGCATGGCATTTGCCTCACAAAGAAATAAGCAGAACGGGACTTGACCAACAGCCTTGAAACTTTCTTTTATTCTCTTCATTCATTTTACAGCCACCAACGTCAAAGACCAAGCCCAAACCCAAACACAGACAGCCTCAACACGCTTCCCACCAAGGTTCCCCCGTCACATCTGGGCATTAACTTCCAGCCCCTCTCCAGCGGGCTTTAGCGCCGCCGTTACAAGGTTAGCGCTCGCATCAGTACCTGGAGCAGTACCTGGAGTTCCGCGTCCACCGCCCGGACCTCAGCGGCCCCCGCCACGCTACGCCCCCTGCGCCGAGTCGCCCAGCGCCTTTGTTCCGTCGTTCCGCTGCGCCCATCATCATCCATTATCTCCGTCCTCATCATCATCGCATCCATCTATAACTGTCCCGACGTCTGGGCTTCTGGGACTTGAAGGGAACCTCTTGTCTCTCCTCTCCTGCTCCGCCAACCGCCCAAACGATTCCCACCCGTCTCCCGCCGCTCCCTCCTCGTCGCCACCATGGCATTGGCCGGCCTGATTGACCCGACCAAGACGGGCAAATACCCCGTTATCCTCGGCGAAGGTATCCTGCTAGGCAAAGATGCTAACGAGATCTTTACCGGTATTCGATGTACGCCTCCTCGCTCATGCCCTTTAAACCCTTATCGGCAATTGATGCTCACTCTCCTCTCTCGCAGACAACCATAAGCCCGCCCTCTCCTCGTCCTCCGCCCCGAGTTCGGCCCGCCTAAAGCCATCCGTTCCCGGCAAGACAACCTCTTACGACCTCACATACACCGACGACGACAACAAATACGCCTTCAGCGGCCCGAGAAACACAGCCGATAGCCAATATGTCCTCTACTTCGACCCTGAACGAGAGGCGTTCATTCTGGACAAGATCGATTCCACCTTCAACATGAACGTGACCCGCCTCCCGGACAACTCCGACCCCGAGAGCCTCCGCCGCCAATACCCTCAGATCGACGACGCGTCGCGGCCTCCCCCCAAGGCCAGCAAGCCTCCCAGCAAGCCTGCCAGCGCCTCCGAAAAGCCCGCTCCCCAAAAGCCCACCCCCAAGTCTCGCGCCAAACCCACCGTCCAGAAGAAGGAGGTCAAGCGCAAGCCCGAGAAGAAGCAACCTCCCAAGTCCATCGCCCTCTCGCTACCCGTCCCTGAACCTGCCAAGCCTCAGCCCGAGCCACAGCCCAAGCGACGCTCGGAGGACGAGGACGAGGATGAGGATGAGGACGACGATGGTGGTCTGCTAGTCGAGTACCCCGGTGCCGACCCCAGGTCGAACCGCCAGACCAACTTCTCCCCGGCCTTCCCGTCGGTCCGTCGTTTCGACGACTTTATGAACCAGCGCGAGTCCGAGGGCGATGACGCCGACGGTGAGGATGATGACGATCCTGATATGGACTTTAAGCTGCCCAGTCCCGTCAACCACCAAGTCCACCAGTCGGCGCCCGACCCTATGGATGTTGATGCTGATGCTGACGACGGTGGCGCGGATCTTGAGGATGATCTTGAGAAGGAGATGGAGATTGCGTTTGAGGACTTGGAGAACAGCAATGAGGGTAGTCCCGATGGGGACGAAAGCGAGATCAGTGAGGAGGATTAGACCAGCGGTCGCATTTCAGTTGCTTGTTACCGTTTCTTCGATTGGATTTTTTTTTTTAGCATATGGCGTTCATAGGGGCACAAGTCATGATCTCGTCGTATCGAGTTTGGACAATTTGGCGTTGGAGGAAGATTACCGGTTCTCGATACCAGCTCGCTACTACAATGGCACAATTCCGCCAAAAAACAGGAACTATGAATATACAAAGATGACATACAAATCGAGCCGAGATTCGAGAGGCTTTAATTCGCCCTCTCTGCCCCTTCCCCCACACTGTTCAACTTCCACTTCTCCCCTTTCAAATGATCCGTTACCCCAGGAATCTCATCGGCGCACCAGATATGCGTCTTGGTATCAGTTAGCAAATTCCCCCAGCGCGCCAGCACCTCCCTGTCAAACGTCCCGACCGTCATCCCGATGCGCTGCGTGGTCTCGTCGTGCCAGAATATGAAGCCGCCGCACTCGCTACAGAAGCCGCGCTTGCGCTGCGGCGAGGCGCTGTACGTCTTGAGCGTGTCTTGCGACGAGTACTTGAGCGCTGAGAGGGGCACGACGTGGAAGCGCGCAAAGAGGGAGCCTGTGTTTTTGCGGCATTGGAAGCATTGGCAGGTGGTAGTCTAGAGATTGAAGATGGTGTTAGTGTGTGTATTCTTGAGATGAAAGAAAGCCTTACTTGGTCTTTGAAGGGGTGGTCTGGAGGGAATGTGATGGTGTAACGGATGGCACCGCAGAGGCACCCGCCAGTGATGGACTCTGGGGTGTCAGAAGACATGTTATCGTTGAACCTGGTAGTGTTTTTATCTTGATCAAGTCCGAAGGATAGGATATAATGATACGAAAGGGATGAAGATATCAATTCATCGGATTGTTCATCCACGATCAGTAGTGCTTCGCGGGGCTTTATATAGCCTTGTCTAAATCTTGGCATGTCAACGACGCCTTTCACCTCCTCTCACGACCCCCGCCATCGTGACGATAACCTAACCTCGATTATGCACATTGAGGTCCACAGCGTTATCATACATGGTACAAGTGGTGCAAGTTTCCATCATCCACTCGCTCGGCATACTGCCGTGTATGTCTAATCATGTCGTGGCGTTGCGGTTTGAACTGCCGTCTAAACTTATACAACTTCCCACTTTGCGATCCAGCCCACATTCTCTCCTGCATTGCGCACGACGCAGAACCGACCTTCCTTCGGGTCTTTCCTCACGTCGGCGATGATCTTTTCGAGGGCGATTGAGCCGATAGCAACGCCACGGCCTTCACTGAGGCAGAATGAACCCGTAGTCACAAAGCCGATGAGGTCTTCTGTGTCAGGAACAAGAGGATGACCGCCAACGTCATATTGGTTGGCTGGCAGCGGAGGGTAAGGGCTGGGCTTTGCGATGAGCTCTAGGGCAAGCTGGCGCTTCAAGGACTCTAGGTCGCGGGCTTTGTGTGTCCGAGAGGACCTGTCCTTCCCAGAGGTGGATGGGGAAACGCGCGCGAGCCACTGCGCGCGGAGATCATGTGGCAGAGACGATGATTTTGGTGAGGCTTCAGGCGGGATAGTTGCTGGGACTTCTGCCTCGGAGGACGGCGGGACAGCGGTAGGAGATGAGGGCAGGCGGTAGATGCGGGCGCAGGAAGTGACGACGCCGCGACCAAGGACGGAGATTCGGACAGTGACGATGGCGTTTGTAGGTGGTGGAGATGGCGGAGTGGCTGATGTGATGAATTTATTGAACAAGTCTTTGGAAATTTGGTTGAGGCGTTGGAGGGATGGTGGCTCCTGTGCATCGATTTCATCGATATCCATTGCTTCGGCGTCTCCCTCTGTTGACTCTGGCTGTGTTGCTGGGACTGAATTGGCGAGCTCAAACAAGAACTCAAAGTCGCTCGCAATGCCACTGCCTACCTCGCCCTTCCTTCCGGCTCCCAGATCGAGTGATGTCCATTCGACCCGTTTGCTCTTTGGGCGCCTATCCCACAACTTCTGGCGTTTCTGTCTCTCGTCAAGTTCCCACTGCGCCCCGGCATCCGTCCCCAAGAAGTCACCAGGGAACCAGGGCAGGCCACGCTCAAAAGCCACCTGGCGGGTTTGGTTCAGACCCGCGAATCTGGGATTTCCCCCTGACGAAAGAGGGACGTGGACAATGCTGTACCAAATGGGTAGGATGCACTTCCATGGCGCAAGGAGAGTCCATGTTCCTTGAGCCTGTGTACTTGAACTAGTGCGCGAAGCAATGAGAGTGATGGGGATTGGATGATCCGCCGCAGTGGGCTTTAGGGGAACTCCAGGAGCGTTCTCAGTTTTGTCTGCTTTCCGCCTGTTGATAGACTTTTGAGACGGGAGACATGATGCTGTGTGTCGTGCATCTCGACTGAATATGGGAAACGGCTCGAGATTGTCTTCTGATGGCCAGGTAGCGATTTTTTCTAGAAGCTCCAATTGTGTCTCTGGCTCATCAGAGGCCACAACCTGTCTCGGTGGGTACCGTAGTCGAGGGTCCTGCACTGAGAAACTGAGGATAGCCCCCGCAGGAAGTGAAGCTGGGTTTGTCAGTCCTGCTAGGGACCGGAATAGTTCGGCATGTTGACTCTTAGTTTTGTCCTTTTCCGGGTAAGGGTTCAAGACGGCCAAAAGAGCCTCGGTGGAGGCCGGACCAGTGAGTTCTATGCTGCCAATCTCGAAGCGGAGGTCCTCGATATAGAGTTGTGGGCTCTCAATCTTCGATAACCTAAGCAACTCATTGAAGAGCTCGAGGAAGGCCGCCGGATGAACTCGCAAGAAAACTTGCCGCTGTGCTTTTTTGGGATCCTCGGTTGCGTTTCCGGCAGATTGCTGGGGATTCCACTGAATGGTAGATGGACCGATAAGTCGTTGTTCTCCATCCATGTGCCGACTCACGAGACCTGTCCATGACCTGGTTCCTATCCTCCATTTCCGACCCTTTGCATTCCAGCAAGAGTCTTGCGATACCCCAATCTTCTTGAGGACGGTCTCTATTCCGGTATGGCTTCCGTACAGGCCAATGGTGCTCATGTAGGACGTGTCCCACACGAGTGTGCCCCTGTCGCCTTGGGCTCGATGAGTCGGTCGATAGAGCTTCTCGTTGGGTGTCAATGGTATGGCGAAACGCCAGAGGGGATCGAGGGGACCTGTCATCCGTGATCGCTTGGCGTGCCATGGATGGGTTGGCAGCCACGTCTTGTTGAGTTGTCGCTTTCGAAACCTGGCTTTCGGGGTGGGCGGCTCGTTGAGTTGGTTTCTTCGGATCTTGGGTCTCGGCTTTCGTCCCGTCACGGCCAGGGCCTTTGTATCCTTTCCATCCACCTCCATTTCTTGAGGCTTCATCTCCCTCGCCCTGCGTTTTCTTGCTGCCAATACGCCCAACCGCTTGGCGGTTTCGACTCGTATCCGGCCTCTTGTCGTCCTGGGGTTCCGTTTCTTTTTCCTCGCGTCCACCATTGGCGTATTGTCTTCCGCCATCTCTCTTCGCGCGCGTGCTCTTAGTCGACGGGGCACGCGCTTGGGGTTGTGGCTCGCAGTGCGACGGCGCAGACCGCGGGGCACCTTCTGGAAGGCGCGGCTGCTGCTCACGGCCTTGGAGGTGGCCATGCTCTGCTCGAGTGAGCGGATCTCGAACTCGTGTGCAGCCAAGAAGGCTTGGAGGTCTAGCTCGCCATCTTTGAGTGCGGCATCGGCAGGCTGTGTGGGAATCGCGCGGGCGATGTGGACGAGTTTGGAGCGGCTCTGGGTGTTGGCGGCATTGGTGCGGGCATTGTTCGCTGGAGCGCCGGGCTTCCGCTTGGCTCCCCGCCCGGCGTCTGCAGATGCAGAGCTCGAAGCCATCGCGGGATTGGAGTCGACGCAGTCCAACAGTTGTATTTGTGGCGTGGAGGTTGTAGGAGGAGGTGGTGGGAGGAGGGAGTCAACGCCTCGGAGAGCGCTGTGACAAAATCGCAACAAAATAAAGCTTTATCGATAAGCCAGCCCACCTCAAGTTGGACTCATGGGGAGGGAGTTTGTCCCCAACGACCAACCTAATAAAAGGTAAATCTAAGTTAACATGCACCTATAAACTGTGTAATTGGTGTTGGAATAAACTTTCTTCGCTGATTCATAAGGGCGTTGCTCCCTCCCTCATGGATCATGGTATTCCTTCCAACTCCAGCCCGCTTTTATGCCACCTACTTAAGTTACGCCTATGAATCGCCATCTCGGGCCGCTCCAGTAAATCCATGTCCCTCGAACTTTTTATCGAGGGCCGGTGCGGCCTTTGCATGCTTAATTTTGGCGTCTCCGAGAAAGTTGAGCAGGGTAAGTCATTGAGGTGTCCATGGCTAGGATGCGTTGAGAATGTGGCCGAAGCTCATTAATCCAAATCGCCAGTCACTTTCGTGGATGATCCCTACACCTTTGTCAAATCCACATGTGGTGGGAACCTCACCAGGTATGAACCCAGAGTGCGATACGTCCAGTTCCATGCGGGATGCCTCCGCTTGACCAACTTTCGCTTGGCCCAGGACTTGGTGAAGGCGCTCCAATACAGTACCGAGCCGTCTACGAACGAGAAGAGACGACGATCCGACTGGGCTCGACACAACCTTACGAATCAGTTATTGAAGAGCTCGCATCAGAATATCCCCCATTTTGCTGCCTTTCCCCCTGAGGTATGGAGATATGTAGCTGAGGATCTCTTGAGCGAATACCTCGCACTAAAGGCCATCTCTCTGTGGAAATCATGCCTAGATGACGCTTGCGTGACCTTGTCAAAGCCGATATGGTGTGGGTTTGTCGACTTTGAGGGCAAAAGGTACCTCTCGTCATTGAGGAACAGCCGCCATAACGGGGCCAAAAAGATATATGACCCAAGCAAGCCAGTCGATACCTTACACGTGGCCGAAGATCATATGGGGGTCACTCAATTGATCTTTAGTGTCTCTTCAGAGCCACCAACAGTGAAACCAGTTCCTGGTACATGGTGGAGAACAATACGACCTCACCCGTACGGCAGAATATCTGCAAAGGCTGATGTGAGTTGTCTTTCTGCCTTCATCTATATCCAACTTATTCGGGAATAGGGCATAAAACTGCATCATCTGGATGCAACACCCTGCTTACCTGATTTCATCTACGACTCGATTGGATGGCCGACTCCTACTCGCCAGCTCTTTCGATTTTCCCAATTCCTCTTCAAATATCCACCGCGGATGACATTCTTCACATGCAACGACCCATCTACCACCGGCTACTCAGCATGTTCTAACGGTGGACTTGTCACCTTCCACGTCCACAAAAGCGGCGAGGACATGGGGTTCTACAAAGCTGCACATTCGGAGGGTGCTAGCTGGAATTACATGCCTATGGGCGAGAATGAAACAATCACAGAAATTTGGCGACTTCAAAAGTGGAAGATGTCATTGGGGGTAAGTGGACCTACTCTTCGAATGGACTTTCGTAACGTTTGGATTAGATCAAAACCAGCAAAGGGCGCATATTCATTATCGGTGCTCGCGATTTCGATAATCAATTCCCAAATATCTGGTGTCTGGTCGATACGCCGACCCAACAGCCGAGCCAAATATATTTCGAAGACTCCTGTACATCTATCGAAACGTTCGCCTTCGAGACCCCGGAGCCCGACTGTACAGGAAGGCATTTTTTCGAACCGAAGCCGTTGATCGCGCATTTTGGGGTGAATTATTTTGAAGACTTCTTTTTCAACTCGGCGGACCTCGAAGGCTTATGCGCGGTAATGCCATGTAAGCCGAGGGGCTTAGAAACATCTGTTGGCATGCTGCTCCTTTATTCGGACGGCCATCGAGAGAGCATCGGAGAGGTCCGCCTGGATTGCCTGGCGGCGCCAATCAAAATTATTCCCTCTGGGTCTCTGTGGCTAGGTTTCGAGCTGAAGGATGGGAGGCTCCCAAACGTGGCCGAGGTTTCTCTTGTTCCTTCAGGGAGGTCGTGTCAATACCTTCAACTGCGTTGTTTCGGAAGGTTGGAGTGGCAGTGGTCCTACCGACAATGCACCGTGTCGTATAGGCACCAGCACAGCCCGCCTATGTATCGTTGGCCTTACTAAGTAGCCCCTGTGAACTGGGTCGAAAAGAAGACGAATCTTCATGGCTGAGATGGATTTGTACAGAGTAAAAACCCGTTGCTATGAATCTGAATCTTCTCCTGAAGGCGCTACCTGACAGCCGGAAGCGGGGCAACGTTGTAGAAATGAATGAATATGCAGGCCTGATCACAAACAAATGGCGGCAATATTCATCCTCGATACAGAAGTTTCAATCTAAAAATCTATGATATAGGTGCCAAGCGGATCCTTGGTCATAAAAGGAATCCAGAAATGGTGTTCATGGCCTACCCACGGCCGTTCCCAAGCGCCGTGTCTAAACCGTCTATCCAGCAAAGTGAAGCCCAAACATAAAACTGACTCCTGATCCCAACCAGCAAACTTGCTTCCATCAAGTGTATCCAAAACTCCTCCATACTGAGCGGCGAGGGTGCGAGGAAGGACCTCACAGCCCCTCTTGTTAAGGAACCAAAACCCCATTTCTGCCCAACCTCAATTCCAATCGTCTCTCGTTTAGGCCACGGCCAGGAAACGCTGACGCACTAACAACGTTAAAGCACCGGGCGGTTTGCATTTCGAGCACATTCTGTGGTTCCTGCACCGACGACACTCTCCATTAGCCAATGTTTGTGATGCTGCAGTCGTGGCTCGTGGACTGAGGCCTACCAGAACTCAGGAGGATCGACGACGCTCGGGCTGCAAGGCCTCTGCCTCTTCTCGTACAGACCACACCATTTGCGTACGAGCCAGGCATGATGCCCGCACTGGAACTCAACCTGTTGCGGACATAGTTAGCGAGGCGGATCGTCGGGACCACCGATGCCTGGGGATTTTAGCCGTACGTAGAAGTAATCACACATAGCGATGGAGCCAGAGGATAGCTAGCGGCTGATCAAAAGTGGTGTAAGAGAAAGAAGCGTAAGAAGTTCCGCCACTGGGTTTGACATGTCAACCCGGGGCCGCCGCCCTCTTACCGCGATCACGGTTTGTCCCTCCTTTCCCAGTTCTCAGAATGTCTCTCCACCTGACACGTCGGTGGAGGATGGAGGACGCGGTGAAGGGGTGGCGGCTGGGTAGTGTGAAGCGTAGGCATGGAATGTCACTGGTGCAATGCACCTTTGGCTTAATATTGCTTCTTTCAGCTGCACCATCGGCCCAATTATGATGGAATACAGCCCTAAGGCATGCGGGATTATGAGTGACAGTGGCGGAGGACGCAGTCTGTCCTGGGTCAATGCGGGTGAGCTCCTTACCCGCATAAGTGGCTTGACGGCGTCTAAAAAAGCAAAAGACCAGTGAAACCTCTATCTTTGACCTTGGAAGTGCGCCGTAGATTTGTTGAGCGGCAGCGGCTTTGTGCAGGACGATGTCACATCTCGACGAAGTGCCGTGAAGAGGAGGGTAAGCAACATGCCCGATAGAACCATCCAACAAGTCGCCCTCGTACATGTTGCAGTCGGCACTTCACATATCAGTAACTTTCGGGGTGGGTGTGTGGGTTACATAGAGTCGCAGCGAGGCTGAAGTTCAGACCTGGAATGTGTCTCAGTTGGATGAACTCGTTGGACGCCGATCCCTCCATTACGTATCGGATTGGGTTGCTCCCTTCTTCCTTGGGCTTCATGTTGTTGGATGGGTCGCTTGCTTCCGAAGTTTATGGCCTTACAACCTGGTCTCTGTTGATGGGGACGTTAACTGCATTTGAAGTCTCGGACCGTCGGACATGGGACTGAAAAGTGAGCGTCGAGAGGATGGACATGGCGACATCCGCTTATCCCACGGAGCTGGGCAGATTGCGCTAGTGCAATGTGATTCGTGGCACAGGCTGGCAGAAGGACGAGACATGATCGATCACCGACCAGATAGTAATAGGGTGGCTGTCGAGGGCAGGGCATGGGGCTTGCCCTACGCCTCCATCTCAGGTGTTGGACCTGGCCTGGGCATCAATAGTCGCTTTGGTGACCGGGATTTAGGACCAACGCGAGAAGCCCTTGTCTTGGAGCGGACCTCCTTGCATGTGTTTGATGGCGACGCCAATATCCATTAGGAAAGGTGAAAAGACCAGAGCTGAGGAGAGATGTGACAGGTTATAGATTCAACCCAATTCTCTCAAGCGCATTTAACAATAGACCCAACGTAATGAGACAGATTACGCACGGGGATATCCGGCCCACCGCCATCTCTGGGAGCCCCGGGAGGTTGGGTTGGTGTCTTGGTGAGCATAGTTGCCCCGGGGCGGAGGTGGGTATGAAGGAGGAGACCGGACGGAGCTCCACCTAGAAGAGAAGGAGAGAAGAAGAGAAGACCGCGGGGTCGGATGCGTGATGATCCGGCCCCGGAGGAAACAAGCCTCGGTGTCGTCCCACTGATGGCCAGTGAGGTCCGCAATTCCAGGGGGCTTTGAGCCGCTACGACAGGGGACTTTGCAGGAGGGAGCCCCATCCATTAGGCCCGTCCCTTCCATTGTCCACCCTTGCAATAGGGACCTAGGGATTCGCATTGAAAGTACTGATACTCCAAGTTGCTCCAACATGATTCCTCAACTCACTCCCAAACACGCATATTCCAACTGACAAGCCGAAAAGTTATCACTGCACAGAAGACTACACCATATACGATATTCCGACTGATTCAGAACCCATCTCCACTCGCTGGCCGCCCTTGAGTTCTCTTCTCTCAACGGAAATCACACCGAACACCAAACCACCACACCATCTCGAGCTATCCCGCTGCGCCGCTCGACGTCAATCCCCCGAGCCAGCCGCCTTCCCACGGCTCCACGTGCCTTCCGGCCTCTGCGGAGCGATAGGGAGCCGCATCTTTCGGCGCGCCGCCGGTGGCCTCCATTAGGACTGGCGCCGCTGGCCCGGTCCAGCCCGGCACAGCAGCATGTCCTCATTGAGTAAGCCATCCCCACCAACCATCATCGATGACGCGAGTCATTTCCCGTTTCTCAGCCTCAACTGGCAATCTGTAACGTTATCCTCTATCACCGCCTCTCCGTTTCGGGAGCTCTCAGGTCGTTCAGTCTTTCGGCGGAAGACACGAGATGAAATTCTGGTCTCGGGTCGACTCAGAAGGAGTGTTGAGAGAGCAAGCATCTTCGAGACTCAAGTGAGCTCGACTTTGTTCGTTGGATAAACAAAACAAGATCCGCAAGACCCGTCGTCACCTCCACGAAGCATACAATTACAGCTCGCTAACATGGACTTTCTAAAACCACAAGTTGGCAAAGCTCGCAAGGTGAGTTCCTAGGTATCCCATCCTGAGATGCTGTCACATGCTAACATCACATCACCAGCCTAAATTCGAGCTTCATCTCAAGGTACGCGCAGCTCACTCAACCCGCCCACTCACTCATCCAAGCATTGTTTCCAAATGAGAGGTTTTATCTGACGGGCACTAGATCTATGACCTCAACAACGTTCCCCTCGTCACTGGCCACTCCTTTGTCAAATGGCACCTCACACACTCTATGCACGCGGAGCACCGCGGCCGCACCGGCAAGTGTCCCATCGCCAACCACCGCGTCGACTACAGCTTCTGTACACTCATGGCATCTATCCGTATATCCGTTGATCGCAACAACAACTTGGCCGAGTGCCCCATTGAGCTCGAAGTTGTCCAGGAGTTTGCCGGGACCGAGAAGATGACCCTTGGCTTTGTTCGCCTCAACCTCAGCGAGTACATCGAGGAGAGCGAGGCCTTTACCAAAGATGTCACCTCACCAGGGCGCAAGCGGAGCAACAGCGTGGGCGTAAGCCCTGCCGGTAGTGGACGTGACTTGGATGTTGTCGAAGATGGCATTGTAAGGAGGTATCTCATGCAAGACAGCAAGGTCAACAGCACTCTCAAGATTGGTATCCTCATGATCCAAGTCGATGGCGAGCGCAGCTACATTGCCCCACCTCTAAAGACGGCCCCCGTCTTTGGTGGCATCGGAGGTATCATGGGCGAGTCGATTGAGGATGAAGTCGGCCGTACGTTCCAAGCCCCATTTCCCACGTTCCCTTTTCATATTTGACTGACACCTCGTAGCCGTCCCCAGCATCTCCAAGCCTCGCGATGCTGCTGAGCTTCAGGACCTCTACCGTCGCACCCTCGCCGCCTCCTGGAGCCGTCAGACCCACGAGCTCCCGGCTGACGAGTGCATCGAGGACATATTCAACGGAGGCAACGGCTGGAAGACCAAGCTCGACTCTGGGTCCCCGGACACTGACGAGGAGGACGAAGATGCCGACGATTCCGACTTCCGGGACGGCACCCTCCGACCGCGTGATGTTCGCCGCATCGGCATACTCCACCACAACCAGAACAATCTCCAGCCAAACCACACCCCTAACAATGCCCACCCGCCGCAGCCATCCGCCCCCGCGCGCTCCCACCGCCGCACCCCGAGCAACTCCAGCGATAAGAGCGTGTCCACCGTCACCGTCACCCCCCACGGCCACCACCCCGGGCGCAAAAACGTCCGCATCCACGAGCTCGACCACTCCCGCAGCCTCGCCAGCCTGACATCATCGATGACGCTCGATAGCGATGCCCTCCATGATACCGGTCTCAAACGCTCACGAGAGGTTCCCGAGTTCGACATTCGAAACGATCTCGTTGCGTGGCGGCTCCCTGGCTCGGTCGGTTTGGATATGTAGGTACGGGCTTGTTTCAGGGCGAGAGAAATGAAGAGGACGTGTTGTAATGCTTTGGATGAGGGCACAGTGTGGGGTTTAGATCTTCATCTTGTACATAGCATGGCTAGTCCTGTAGCGTTTATGGCGAAGGTGGGTTCACCTCGTTATTCTTTCATGTTGCAATTGTATCATTTCAATTCATCCCGGGCGTTCCTTCGAGTTCGGAACACCCTCTATCATGCCTCTAGATTCTACTAAAAGACCCATGCTTTTTATACCCCCGCCCTCTATATCAACGACGCGAAGCCTCCCTTTCCTACTTTTCCTGTTGGACTCAAGGAGCATATGCTTCTCCATTTACTGGCCGTTGAGGGTTCCTCGCACACCACCCTTGCCGCCGACTTCCCGGGCCGTGACAGTGACGCTCAGGTCAGCCAGAACATTAATCGTTACCTCGACCTTGCCACCGGCCTTGACGCCCTTGATGGCGGCCTCGGCGAGGAGGCTGCCAACCTTCCAGATCTTCTCGCGCTTATCCTCCTCCTCGTCATCCGAGTCGAACTCGGAGTCCTCATCCGAATCCTCCTTCTCCTTGGGCTCGGCCTTGGTCACCTTGATGTGGGTACCACCCTCAACAACCTTGATGAGGACGTCACCGCCCTCCTTAGGGGCGGAAATGCGGACGGTGCGGCGGGCGGGAACAGCGGTCTCGGTGGGCATAACGGGAGCGAAGGTCTCCTCGCCGTCAGTGCCAAGGGTGATGACACCAATGGCGTTGGAAATGTGCTTGACGGTGGTGACCGCAGGGTGAGTGGACTGCTCAATGTCGGTAGCCTCGTATTCCTGGATCAGGGACGCCTGGAGGGCGGCACCACGAGCCTGGAGCTCAGAGGGGTTGATGGCAGTAGCGCTGGTGGCAGGGGCCAGGATCTCAGTGGACTCGGGGAAGATACTACGGAAGTTGTTGGCGATGCGGGGAGTGTGAGAAGTACCACCGCACATGATGACCTCGTCAATGTCAAGGACGTCGAGGCCGGCCTTCTTGACAACACCCTCAACCAGTCGGTTGAAACCCTCAAACACCTTGCGGCCAATCATCTCGTATCGTATCCTGTTGATCGTCATGGAGAAATCGAAGCCGTCCGCCAGACTCTCAACACTGAACTGGGCGTTGGCACCCAGGCTGAGGGCCCTCTTGGTAGACTCGGACTCGAGGCGGAGCTTGGCCAAGCTACGGGCGTTTTCGCGGGGGTCAACGCTGTGCTTCTTCTGGAACTCCTTGGCGAAGTGCTCCATCAGGGCCTGGTCGAGGTGGACACCGGCGAACTCGTAGTCGTGAGCGGTAGCAAGGATGGTGTACATGCCGCCGCGGGAAGCCACAACAGCGACGTCGGAGCGGGTGCCACCCAGGTCGGCGACGACAATCATCTTGTCCTCAATGATGGCCTCCGGGCGGGCATCGTAGGCCAGGACTGCGGCAACAGGATCGGAGACGATCTGGAGGACCTCGAGGTCGGCATCGCTGGCGGCCTTGATCAGAGCCTCGCGCTGCTTCTCAGAGAAGTTGGTAGGAACGGTGATGACAGCAGAGGTGACCTTCTTGCCCAGGTAGTCGGAAGCGGAACCGACGAGGCGGCGCAGGTATCGGGTGGCGGCCTCGGCAACGGAGACGGAGGAAGCGGCCTCCTCGCCGCCCTTGTCCTTGACGGAGAAGTTAACAGCGCCGTCAGCCTCCTGGGGGTGGGCAGAGGCGTGGCAGTGGGTAGGGTCGATGGCCTTGAAACTGCGCGGCGTCAATTAGTATGGATGATTATTGGTGGGGTAGAGGAACTGGGGTAGAGGGACTGGATGTAGCGTACTCTTGACCGAGGAAATCGCGGAAGGAGGCGATGGTGTTGTCAGGGTTGCGGACGAGGAAGGCCTTGGCCTGGCCTCCGTAGTACTCATCGCCGTCGACGTATGAGATGACGGTGGGGATCTGACGGTCTATGTGGTGAGGAAGTAAGTATATGTGCGGCGTACTGTTGATATTGGGATATTGGGATACTGGGATGTCCGCTTGGGCGCAAGGCACAGGGCGGCCGACAGCCGCAACAAGAGAGAGAAAACTGCAGAAATTCAGGACTTACCACCGTCCTCGTTGGCAATGACCTCAGCCTTGTCGTCGACAGTGTAGGCGATGGAGCTGTTGGAGTTGCCAAAGGTGATGCCGATGGCGACTCGCTCGCTCGGCTCGGGGCCCGCCTTGGTGTTGTCACTCATGGCGCCGATTGTGTGCGATGTATTCCTTCGAAGGGGAGAGGCGAGGCAAGGGAGCAGCGGATCCCAGGTTGTCTCGTTGGCGGGCGTGGGAGGACGAGAGGGGAGGGCGAAGTTCCGGAGGGGAAGATGCAAGATTTGGAGGAGGAGGACCTGGTGGTAGTGGCAGTAGTGGGGGTTTCTTTTTCGCCAGAGACCCAAAAATTTGGGAAAAACTGGTAATCGCTAATCGCCCACATTTTTTTGGGCGGATAAGGTACGTACCGCCTACTGTCTCGCAAGCTGCCCCACCATCCAATGGATTTTCCACAAGGCTGACGCGCCGAAGAGCAGTTCAGAGAAGTCTCGAGAGGCTGTCGCATTGAACGAGGCTCAACACCAACACACTCCCACAACAACTTGCCACAGTCACCACCATCCCGCCACCCACCATGGCCTCCGAAGCCGTCTTCGTCCTCCCCGGCGACCAGATCGACCCGTCCCTCATCCCCTCCCACCCCAAGAAAGCTCTCCGCCTCGGGCCCGGCTTGCGCCATGTGCCGCCAAACGACATCCTGCCTACCCTCGCCGGCCAGCTCATCACCGACCGCCAAAAGAACCTCATTCGCGTCGAGAACGCTGGAGGACGGGTAAGCCCAGTCGCCCACTACATCTCGACATCTCGCCGAGATCGCACCGATTGAGAGAATCTGATTGACTGATCCCAAACATCCAGTATCAACCCCGAGCCGGCGAACTCGTCATTGGCACCGTCAACCGCTCCGCCGCCGAGGTCTACTATGTGAACCTCTCCGACTACACTACACCCGCCCTCCTCCCGCAGCTCTCCTTCGAGGGCGCCACCAAGAAGACCCGCCCGGTCCTGGCTCCCGGCGCCCTCGTATACGCGCGCGTCGCCCTCGCCAACAAGCACATGGATGCGGAGCTCGAGTGCGTGTCTTCCTCAACCGGCAAGTCAGAGGGCCTGGGCCCGCTTACGGGCGGCATGCTCTTCAACATCTCCCTCGGCATGGCGCGCCGCCTTATGATGCCCAAGAGCGTCCTGGAAGGCAAGGTTGTGGTGCTTGAGGAGCTGGGCACCGCCGGCTTGCAGTTTGAGACCGCCACCGGAAGGAATGGCAAGTTCTGGGTGGATAGCGAGAGCGTCAAGACAGTCATTGCTGTAGGGCGGGCGGTACAGGAAACAGATGAAAAGAGGTTAGACGTCGAGGCACAGAAGAAGTTTGTGAGGAAAGTCATCAAGGAACTGAGCTAGACGAGAGGGAAAGAAGAAGAAAAAACGGACACATCAATGCGTAGGATAAAGGGAACATGGTGCCGGATTCGCACGTTTTTGTTCTGCATTCATTGATCGCTCAGTTATACACGACCATACAAAGATACCCATATTTGAATACGCCGAGTCCATCTCAATAGACGAACTGTCTCCCAGGGTCCAAACGCCTGATAGTTCCTCCACGTCCGTTCGTGGACTTTTTTACCCCTGCTATTCCCGCCTTTGCCTTAGAGATATTGCTCAAAAGAGAGTGGAATGAATCGCTCCAAGGAAATGTTCAGAGTGGTTCCGGTAACGGTTGTGGGACCAGGACCACATGTCTTGTCCCAGGTAAAGTGCGCTCTGTCCGGAGCAGTTCAAAACCTCCACCAAATAATTCTTAACAGTTATAATCCAACGCCGACTTCTCCATGCTCGCTCTTGATGCATATCGCTGTTCCCAGAGCTGTCTAGTTAAAACAATTCCCAATCACGGTTGAGTCATGGACAGCGTATCGTCCAAGTCTCGGGGCCGTTCAAGGGTACCAGGGTCCAACCCGGTGAAGATGTTGTTAATTCCTTCTCTTATGTTCTTCTTCATACGCCACCCATCTCCGAATCAGCCTCGACGGGTTCGGGGAGATATTTCTGATCCATGTTGTGAATCTTGGTCATGTGGCGTTTCCAGTTGTCCTTGCGGGGGAACCCCTTGCCTCCTTGTCTGGAGTAGTCGCATCCCTGGACGGCGCAATGGAACTTCTTCTTCTTCTCGTGCCTGTCATTAATATGTCGCTGAAGATGGGTCTTGGTTCCGAATCCCTTTCCACAGTTGGGGTATGTGCATTTGTGCTCCTTAGTGTGGTATCGCTGATGATGCCTGGTGCATGTCAACATCCACTGTTTTGCAGCAATTACAAAGTCAAGACTTACTTCAGCTTATGGGGTTGATCGAAGACCTGGTTACAATTAGGCTCGTCACATGGATAGGTGCCAGCCTTCGGAGAGAGGTTGAGGTTGCCATTATTCGGGGATACACTGTGATGGTAGTCGGAGGAGTTGACCTCGGAGTTTGGAGAAGGGGTGTCGAGTTGCGTGGCGGGTGTGTTGAGAGTTGAAGGATTCGTGGATGCAGGGCCGGGAAGGGGAGTTGATGCGTCAGAGGGATAGCTGGAGTGTCTATCATGGTCTGGCGCGGGAGTCAGATGAATGTGCGTCGGGATATCCACCATGAAGACGTCTTGATCTTCCGCAGGATCTCGCTTAAAGGACATTTCTCGCTGAGTAGGAGTGGGAGATTGAATAATAGGGGTCGCCAGAGGGAAGTTCGGAGGTAGAGTGAGGGGTGAGGGAGAGTCAGTTGGTACTTCTGGTGGAGATTGATCGGATGAGGGCAGAGCGCTAGGCGAAGAAGGTGGGTTGTAAGTCATGTAAAGCTGATGCTCTGTACGATGCCACATCTCGGACTCTGTAGTGGCTGGCATAATGTCCATAGGGTTGACTGTTCCAGGAGCAGGGTTGGTGGGCGGGGAAGCAGAGGCTCTGAACTTGGCTTCAAACGGTGGCGAATCCGGAGGAGTCTGAATAGTACCCTCAGGCAAGTCTGAGGATTTGGCCGGCAGATTGATGGGCGATCCAAGGGCGCGGTGAGGCGGAGGCAGCATATCACTTGCTGGAGGGTACATCTCCGTGGGCGACTCACTCGTCACTTCGGCCGTAGTAATGCGCTCGAGGGGGGGGCTTTCAGGTCCTAGGCGGGCGTCATGTCCAAGGGGGGCACCACGGGAAGTGATGTCGAAACTGTCACCGAAAGTCGGAGATGTTGGCGAGTGCATGGAGTGATCTCGGGTACTCTTGCGGCTGAACATTTGCTTGAGATTGTATCGCAGAGAGCTTCCACGAGAGAGAGAGCGCTTGGGATCGGGCTGGGGCTGGGGTTGGGGCTCTTCCTCCATGACCATACCGAAGGCCTCGGACGGGACTGCTGGGCTGTAGTAGTCGGCGCTGGTACCATTGAGAACTCCGTTGTGAGCATCGCCTATCGATTGCGGCATGAATTCTTCTTCGAATCCGGTGAGAGCGGTTCCTTGGGATTCACTGCGGATAGGGGGCGCGGCTCGGGTTATCGGAACGGCAGTGTCGATTTGAACGGAGCGAGTCTGATGGTCCTGGCTGCCGGAGCGGGCGACGCCATCGCCGGGAGTCCAGCCGTCCTTGTCGGAACCTCCTCCAACATCACCTCGTGAAAGTTCTTCCCCGGGCTTATACGAGTCCTGCGAGGACAATCGGCGTTGAGGGCCATCAGTGCCAGCGGAACCGGTTGGAACGGGAACCTCGCCAGTCTCGGCGTCGGGAGTAACAAGTTGCTTTCGTCGTTCTCGTCGGCGGCGGATGATTCGGCGGATGACGACGGGATAGAGGCAGACGAGGACGAGCGCGACGGCCACGCAGACGCCGACGACGACGCCGGCAATGGCTCCATTGTCGAGATGGCGCTTGGCCAAGACTCCCCTCGGTGCAATGGCGGCCATGACGTCGCTCCTCCTCTCACTCAACCGCCGCAAAGATTCCATCGGGTCGATGGCACCAGGGCCGGAAAAGAAGCGCGCGTGCTCAGGCGGGACGGGCGTGGCCTGCAGCAGCAGTCCTGGAAGCAGCTGGTGGTCGCGGGCGAATTGTCGGGACTTCGATCGTGTTGTAGGCTGAGCGGGGCGGTGGTCGCGGCGCGCTCGAACTTGGGAGGCCGCCGTCGACGGGAGACGGGGCTCAGAGGCTCGTCGGGAAGGGGAGCCTGGTCGCTGGCGAGCGAGGGCGACGAAACGCGGGTTCGCTCGCAAATATGGGCCAAGGGGATGGAAGTAAACTCGGGGATTTCACTCAGGCTCTCATCGCATCATGGCGAAGGATGCGTGAGCTGAGAGCGAAGTGCGAAGTGACCATGGGACGACGACTAAGAGAGAAACCCGGGGCTGTCGGGCTGACAGTAGGTGGTAGCGAAAGGCGACTGGGCGGCAGCGAGTGCGGCGGTGCGGGCCAATACGAGCAGACGGTGCAGCGCAGCAGCGCACTTGTGCTGTAGATAGGTGGGTTTTGGGGGAGAGGTACCTGCTGTAGTGTGTACCCCCGTACCTATAGTTGCGTGGAGCCAGAGGCTGTAGGTACTCCGTACTCCATAGCGTAGGCAATTTTAGGGCACCTCACCTACTGTTACTTCTCCGGGACAGGGCACGCACGTATACGTACGACGGCCCAGGGTCTGTTGCCTCATGCCCATGTAGGTCCATCCAAATGGTCCATCCAAATCCATGTTCCAGCCAGGCCAGTCCCCCCAGCCAGTGGCCCCAGCCGATTCTTTAATTGCAACCGGCTTCAGCCTCAGCAGCGAAGGATCACAGCGGGCGAGATAGCACCGCGTGCACTAAATTACTAGCCAGCACCCACCACCACATCCGAAAGCGAGGGGTACGTAAGGCCCAGAATTGCTCGACTGTCACCCGTCGTTTGATTGGACACCACAGTCTGCTGGCCCCGCTTGCCGAGCGGCGGGTAGCCGAAAGCCAGCAAGCCCGCACCGGTCTAAGCCACACTCTGCATAACTTGGGCGCCATGACCCGTTTCCCGTCCACATTTCCGCACGCCCACCTCCCATTTTCAGCATCCCTCGCTCTAACGCCGAATCCATCAAGGATCTCTGGGATCCCTGGCGGCTCGAGGGGGCTGGCTGGGGGCCAGAACACGGCGACAACATGTGAAGAAACGTCGTGGGAACCGTGTTTCAGTGCAGGCAGAGCAAATAGCATGCGTCCCAGCCCTCGACTTTCTTGCTGTGGACCGCCTGGGCCAGACCAGACTGGCCGGCTCGTACTTTGCAACAGCACGTAATTTCGTCGTATAGTCAATTGTTTGGTTGGTCTCGGTAAGGGGAGAGCTGATCGCAAGCTTACGTCTTACAGCAATAGCTACCCGGGGCTGCTGGTGCTTCGCTTGATGCCACCTGAGACCAGGTGGTCCACGCCGCTCCTTCGTGGCCGCCGATGAGACGAGCTACCCAAGTCACAATGTCGCCAGATGAGTTGCTTGACGCCCAGCCTTGTGTGTCTCATCGCCAAAAGCAATCACAATTTGGCGGTGGGGTGACATACAGCCATAGTAGCACAGTTGAAAAGTCTCACCGGTCTGCGGATACCAATACCAGCAGCCCTCAAGATGAAAAAGACGCGAATTCGCCGTCACCCGCTGCCAGCCGACCATCCAGAGAGAGAGGTGCCATGCCGCTTATCTGACATGGTGCTGTACCATCCATCTTGTCCCCGAAGCTGGGTTTCTCCATTCGCCAGCCCTATGAGAAGCTATCGGAAGCCAAGCCAAGTCAGCGTCGATATGCGGGGGGCCTTTGTGAATCGCTGTGGCTGAGTTCTTCCCATACCGCGTGTCGGTGTCATGTCGGTTGGGGTGTCGGTTGGGGTGTCGGTCGCATGCTAGCACAACGTTGAGCTGGATGCCATGATGCTCGTCGCTCTGAAGAGCCATGATACTGCCAATTTTCCCAATGATGAAGGAGATAACGTATCTACTTATCAAGTATCCTATAAAGAAGCATCTCATCGTTTATTTCGTTCTTCCGGACATAAATCCATCACCTCATAGGGCTGACATGGGACAGTCGCCACTGCAGCCAACTGCAGCAATGGTGCGAGATCAGGATTTGCGGGAGGGCCTGGGCACACCTCCCTCCACCAGCTTGACACATCTACTACCCAGTCCGCGTTGCAGAGCAGCATGTCAGACTCTCTTGGTATCAGCATCTGCCAACTGCCGCTTCTCCTGTGTACATCTCAGATATGGCTTTTTGCCACTATCGTCCTTTGTTCCGTCCCTTACTCCGTTCCCTGTACACCAGCTCGCTCTCAGACAGCTCTTCATAGGAGCCCTTCCTCGTCGCACATAAAGCTAGCGCCACTTTCTCCAACCTCGCAGCCACCAAAGTCCCTTTTTCAAACCTTAACATGGGCCTGACAGGTTCCGCCCCGCTGATCAATTTCCCCGAGGACAAACTAGAGGGCAGAACAAAGGAAACACGGATCAAGTTCAGCTCTCCACGAAATAACTACTGAAGTTGGAAAGGATAAAAATCATTAAGTAATATCACTTGATATTATAGTTAAATCAGGGTGCCGCTGCACGTTGATCTTCGAGCCGTTACACCATTCGCTAGGGGTCAGCACCAAGTGTCTGGTCTACGAGTCTTGGTGCATGTGCGGGATCATCATCGAAGGGTACCTAACTCAATGACTTTTCGGAAGCATATTCACTTAGTATAACGAAGCTGCATTATTAGGAACACTATTCGTTAGCTCTCTCTCGACGCATCCTGGGGAGTTACAGATCTTGCGACTTTGAAACCCCGCTTCGCATGCATCCTAAATTTTATTATGACTGGAGATTTGCCGACAGAGGCAAAGATTGGTGCAATGCATCTTGCGAGAGGCCTTATTAACTGATGGTCTCCTGCGGTCAAAGACCTATCAGAGATTTAATCTAGGCCGAACACATTGGGTGCTCCGGGCCAAAGACGTGGAGATCACTAGCCTCCCTTGACCAAGACCGAGCGAGGCATGCCAAGAAATGCGGGGGTCCAGAACTGGGGTCCGAGTCGGAGGCTATTGCCGTTGTGATTCGTTTCGAGGACTTGGCAAGTTTGGGCCGCTTATCTCATTACAAGGGCTTTGAAAGATAGAATCTTTGCTGAAGGGCAAAAGTTGAAGACGAACTTTTAGAATCGGAAGAACCATATATGTTTCGGCATTGTCGTGCGCCCGGTGGGTGAAGTGTTTGTGTGGGATGGTAGTTAGACGAAGGAAGGTAGAGAGTAGTGTTCAACAGATAATGGCATTATGAGTGTCATTTCAAGAATCGACTCGCACGGAGGAAGAAGACGGTTTAGTTGACTATGAGAAGCCTTCGAAGTCTGTAAAAACAAATATGATTGGGGCACGCCGCGGAACGTGTTCCTAGCTTCTAGGGCGCGTCGAGCCTGTGCTGGCATGCCTTCCCTCATGCCTTCCCCGATGCGTGGAACCAAGTTGCCGGCCGCGGGTATGCGAAGCCCATCTGCATGCTGCCTAGGGCTTGGTGAGGGGCTGACCATCCTTGATCTTCTGTTCGCCATACTTCTTGAGGCGGATGGCCTGGATGGCAATGAAACCAGTAGTATCCATGGGAGAGAACCCTTCGAGTGAGTCCATGGAAGCATCCTGCTCGGAGTACAGGTTGGAAGCATTGCTAGATCGGCCGAGAACATAGGTGTTACCCTTGTAAGCGGACAGCCTGACGATACCAGTAACATTGTGCTGGCAGAAGACGACAGAGTTATCGATCTGGTAATTCGTTAGCTCGCCGACTCTAGATTGAAGTTGATATACATACAAACTCGCGCTCAGGACTAAAGTACATTCCATTGTACAAAAGTCGAGACCAGGTCAGGCTGACAAACTGATCTCTGAGTTCACGGACGCGGCCATCCATGACCAAGCCCTCAAGGGACAGATGGGCCAGACGGGCGACTATACACAGTCAGTATTGCTTCCATGCCCATGTTTTCGGGTACTCGGGTTTTGACATACTGGTCAATCCTGGGGTGCTATAATATGAAAGTCGGCGTCAGCTACCACGGTCACGCAATAAAGGAAAGCAAGTTTCATGTTCAAGACATCACATACTCATAGCAGCCTGTGATATAGAATTAGTAAATGATGCTTGACAGTCCAAGTGATGAAATTACCTCGGCTCTTGAGACCAATAAAGCCTTGACACACGTTGTTAGCAAATGGTATAGTGTATCGCCCAAAAGGTGCTTACGGTTCTCGACAATGTCAGCTCGTCCAACGCCATTTTCATAGCCAATCTAGACGCGAGTTAGGTGACCATTCCATGTCAACTGGTATGTTCACGATGAAACTTGCCTTGTTGAGTAGCTTGAAGGCCTCAACGGAATCCGTGACCTCCTTATCGCCGAGAACGACTTTAGAGATGAGACTGAGTTATCGTCAGTAGAATTCTCTAAATTGATAAGACACCGCAACATACCCCTTCTCGAAATGGACGGAAAACTCGGTGGACTGGTCGGGAGCGTCCTTGGGATCCCTAGGTGGTGTCAGTTTAGAAGACTGCTAGACATCGAAGCAGAAAATTACTTTGTCCTGGTCCAAAGGTTCGCAGGTGGTGTGACATCGGGATCCTCCTTTCAAGGTGTTAGCAAGTGTAGATTATTGGGGTGAAAAAGATGCTAGTCAACGCACAAGAATACCAGCCTCGTAGGAGCAATGCACAAGGTTGTCATCCATCGACCACGGAGAACGCGGGGTCGATGAAACGGGGATGTTGTTCTCAGCGGCATACGCGAGAAGGTCGTTGCGGCCTCTTTAAGAGCGGGAGTCAGTCCAACACGAATTCAACGGAAATAAGCAGGGGCGTACTGACTGGAACTGCTTAATGAACTCGGGAATTCTCCACGGGGCCAAAATTTGAATCGAGGGGTTCAGTGCGGTAAAGGCGAGCTAGGGGGAGTTAGCCTAGTTGGAGATGCATAAAAACATGGATTATGACCAACCTCGAATCGAACCTGGCTAAGCTGGCTGTTAGTTGGGGAATTCATCAATTTTTCAACATGGAGTGCTCACTCGTTCTGCGAGAAAGTTAGTAGTGAATCCGGGACTAGGAGGGGGGAAGTCATACGCCTTTGCCCGTTGCGCCGTGGGACAAGTAAGTGCAGTTGTGCTTCTCGGCAACTCGAACCATGCTGCGGGCAATAACAGGACGGGCCAATGCCGTGCCAAGCAAATACTGATCCTCAAAGATGGCGTTGCACATGATGGCACGGCTGACAACCTCGTCAACAAGCTCACGCTGGAGGTTCTCGCAGACGAAGGTCTCGGCACCCAGCTGGAGAAGAGAGTGAGTACATATCCATTGGCAAGGGAGAGTAGTGTTGAAGTCTGACCTTCAGGGCCTTGGCCTCAACGGCGGCGAAGTCCTCCTCCTGGCCGACATCTCCAAGGTAGCACACAACTTGGTAGCCTTGTCGAATAAGCCAGACCAAGATCTATCGAGACGGACAAAGTCAGCATGCAAAACGGGGAAGCCCAAAGTGGAATTGAGTGGTGAGGCTAACGGTGGAGGTGTCAAGGCCACCAGAGTAGGCGCTAGAGGAAAGGTCATGTCAGTGAACATTCTCGATAGAGAGCAATTGAGAGGTCAGGGAAGCACTGACAGACAGACGCGGCCCTTTGTCATGGTTGCAGAGGTCAATTGATCCGGACGTGTTCGCTAGGTGTGTGTGTTTGAAAGGTTGACAGAGATTGAGGGAGGGGAGAAGGAAAATCTCCATTTGTGAGTCACCCCAACGAATGGAAACTTCCCCAACTCAAGGCGGGTACGTACCTTGATAGGCGTGATAGTGCCACACAACTCGATTGCTATTCGCACACAAGTGGGGCCTTGCCCGAAGGGTTTCGTGCACACATCACATAATTAATATGAAATTGTTTCCTGTCGAACAGCTGCGACAAGTCCTCGCTTGCCTTTGTGATTCATGAACCGGTGCGAGGCGCAATGAGGAACTTCTGTCTTGCAGAATCCCTCGAAACCTCGATTTTGTCCTTATTTATATCTTTGCAATACCTGTAGTAGCGCTTGGCGGAGATTCATGCCTTTGGCGGGCGTCTGGTGCATTGAACCCCGCTTCCGACGTCATCGTCGATCATTGTCCCCAGGCAAAAGATCCAGAACGACAAGGGCAATGGAATCAGAGTAACAAGAACGTTAACGAAACATCTCGCGGCATCACCTGCAGGTTGCAGCATTGGGCCTCGCCTGTCAAGCGGGGGACAAAAAACATGGCACACCAAAGCTCGGCTTCACACTCAACAGGCGACACCTTCTTTTAAAAAGAGCAAATAAATCATATCAGAAGAAGTGAGTAAATAGTGTAGCATATCTACGCTTTTTTAATTCTTTATGCAGCTGTCTGTGAAGAAATCCATGCTGCATAAGGTGTGAATGTCGCTATTGTGGTAGTGACAAGGCCTTTTGGTGTGCCATGTTTTTTGGCCCCCGCTTGCCTGTCTTGTTTCCCCTGCTACACTTAAAGAAATGCTTATCTCTGTACGGAGTAATCCTAGTCAGGTCAAGACACCATCGTCCATAGAGTCAGGGTCTCATGCTGCCGCCTCCTACTCACTCACTCTGCCGGCTTGTCCCCTGTTGTACTGCCCTTTGGCCACTAACAGCAGAGCCCAGTTGACGCCTCCCCGCACCTACAGTGGGCGTGCAAAAGTTCCGACAATGCCTAATTTAGGTACACTAAAAGGTGTAAATTAGGTCACTGCCGACTGGTGCCATTTTACACCCAACTTTGCTCCAACTTCTGCTCTTGACTTCTCACTGGCACAGGGTCAAGATTGAAGATAGCGGCGACACTGATTCTGTTGGCCAAACTGCTGCATTTCTACCGGGACCCGAAATACATGACTTCTACTTGTTCTCCTGACTTCATTTCCCAATCTCTCCACCTGAATATCTTGTCCAAACCAAAATCTTTCACCGGTACAGCCTACTCAGCCCTTCACAGTCATTTGCTTGTACAAAGCCCTTTGACTCGTGCATGATCTCATAGTACAAACACACGGCGGTCTGCCGCCGCATCATCCCAAATCTGTGAGGTGTATTCCGCTCTGACAGGTCTTCCGCGACTGGTTCGCCAGGTCATTTGGTAGTGCATTAAAATGATCTCGGCCTGTCGTGCGCGCGTGATGGCAACGTTGAGCCGATGTGGCTCGTTCATGAAGCCAGCTTTCGTTGTTCTTACCATGTCCAGAAACACCACATCTGCTTGGTTTCCTTGGGCTTTGTCCACTGTCAACACCTCGACCCGGTCTTGCCACTCTTGAGGCCATTGTTTGACTTCGGATAAATACACCCGCACTGCTGTAGCATACGGCGTCTGGATCATCACGCTGCCCGGAGCGTTCATGTCGGTGATGCTCCGAAATTGAGGATCTCCGAGAAGCTTCTGCACCTGATTGATAACCCAGTTGTGGTGAGCGGGGTTCCAGAAGCTATTTTTCTGCTTCTCCTCCTGGCTGTCCTTGAGGCGGATCACAACTCGGTTCTCCCGCATCTCCGGAAGACCCCCAAGTTGCTGCAGATATCGCGTCAAATGAATGACGGTCGGAGGGTAGCGCTCAATACTCTCATACCCTGATATCATTTTGCTTTGGTAAAACATTCTGGACGGGAGCCGGTGTAGGTTCCCATGTGCCCGCTTGTTGACAAGGAGTTTGCTGTTAATGGCGCCCACCATCTCGGCTCTTGCCATCAAACTCACACGAAGTTGCTCGGCATATGGATTGAACTTCAATCCTAGCTTCATCGTGTCTCGTTTATCGCCTCCCTTGACAAATGGACGCGTTTGCTTCACGTCACCCGTAAGAATCCAAGCGATCGGCTCAAAGAAGGCCAGCGGGATCAGGGTCGTCAACTCCCGAGCATGGGGAGCCTCGTCGAAAAAGATCACCTCGGGGCGAAAAAGCTTTGAGAAATTTCCATAAGCCGCCACTGGCGTTGTAGCAATGAAGTCTGTCTGTGCCAGCACTGCGCGGTACAGGAGCGATACTTGGCTCCTCAAAGTTTTCCAGTCACCCGTGGTGAGAACCTCGCCTGCCTCCATGCTAGCCAGAATTCGCATGAGCGGAGTGAAACAGTCATCTTTGTGCTTGTCGTAGTAATCCCACGCAGCTTCGTCCAGCGTGGGTGCCTTGTTGGGGCTTCTGCCCACCCCGGTGTGCTTTGCGACACTGGCTGTTGTCAAGAACTTCTTCGTAAAATCCAGCTCGCCTCGAGAATCTCCTTCTTTCTGTGTCAATGAAGATCCATTCAGCTTGTTGCTGTTTCTCATCTCGTAGGGCCAACCGTGCATTCGCACAATCCGTAGTTTTAGGCCTGCGGCTTTGCAAAGGGTGAAATACCGATCCGCAGCATCGTCAACTGTCTTGTTGAGATCAACCACAAAAAGGATGGGACTGTGCCTTTTCTTAGATCCTGGACGGCGCTTCGATTGGATTAGCGCCGATACAACCATGTTCCATTCCGTCTTTCCTGCTCCTGGGCAGCCGTTGACAAAAAAGAGCCCATTAGGGATCGCTGTCAGAGCATCATAAGCCGCGCGATGGTCGGCATTGAAAGACTGGAACTTTTCCAAAAGCAGCTTCGGGATGCGATGTCGGGGGTTGGTTGGGTCTTTCAGATGAGGGAACTCATCGTGGAGATTGTAGAATAGCTTCCAGCTGTCCTGGAAATTCTGAATCATTCGAAAAACGTCCCTGGCCTTGAAGCTGAGTTCGCGTTCCTCAAGGCGTGTGTCTTCCACAAAGCGTCGAAGGGCTGCCAATTCAGCCTCGTAAGTCATCGAAAATGTATCCCACACAATCGTAATCATTTGGCATTTTCCCTCGTCCAACCTGATGTTCTCAAAGTCGTCGAGGCTCGAGGCGGTTTGAAATTCTGACATCAAGTCCAGCTCGACATTGATTCCATCATCATTCTGCCAGGAACGTGGCACTTCCACTTTGAAAGTAGCGCATCTTGAGACGAATGGACACAAAAGGTTTTCCACATCCTCGTACGGGTTAGGGATGCGGGTCGCATGTAGATGCACCAAGGAGAAGGTGCCCTCGGGTCTCTCGACCCGGCTCTCCAAGCTGATGCTGAACTGGTCGGCCAAAGACGGGAACACCACGTCGTCCGTAATGTTTGGGATTTTGACGAGAAACAGCCAGGACTTGGTGAAGGAGGTGGTGAGCCCTGGAATGGGAGCAATCGGCCAAGCCTTGAACTGAGTTCCCGACTCGTTGAACCGCTTCAGAATCTCCTCCTCATTTTGCATCTCGATCAGGGTTCCTTGTTCATGTCGCCAGACGTACACATCTTGAACTGGGAATGTGTGGAGAACGGCAGATGGCTGAACAAAGCAAAAGCGTCAGCACGTAGTCGACTTGCGGGTTCGAGGGTTGGAGCTTACCTTTTCTGGCCGCCACTGGGCGGGGAGGGTGGCCATGGCCATCTCGGAGAAGAGAGCCAAGTCGATGGGCTCGGTCTTGGTCTCGCAGAGCCTTTGATTTCGATTTTCGTGACGCTGAGAAGATAGCAGTGCGCAAGCTGACCGTAGAGGCTGGGCAAAGCGAGTCGGTTGAAAGGATTGTGGTAGGTGCTCTAAACAACAGCACGGATGTCTGCTCTCCTGTAAGACAGAAAATGGTTGATTATGTCTTCAGACAAAGAGTGAGAGGCACAAGCCAGAAGAAAAGGAGGTGGAGGAGAGGGGTGGGAGATGAAAATCCCTCCTCAGGCAGCGGGAAGGAAGACGTTTGCACCTGGTTCGGGGCACTTGGTTACCACTTGCCTGCCAGCCGTAAACACCTGCCACATTGACTGCAGGTGGCCTGGAGGTAAAGTGAGTTGGAAGTGAAGGTCAGCGCAAATGGAGAGCTCTAATAAGCTAAACAGCCATGATTCACTGTCGCGTGGTGTTCACATTCGGCGCCTCGCACGCACAAGTTTCGGCGTGCTCAAAGTTGCTGTTCATCTTAGGTCCTTAGGCTACCTACGACAAGAGGTGGATCACAAGAACACTTTGCAGAGAAATGTTGTTCAAAGCGAGTTCATATTGTGACAACTTTCTATGTTACGTATTCATGATCGTCAATGTCTTGATTGATCCATCCCCCTTACTCCCGCATTTCCACCCCAGATCCTTTTGACATTCAACACCCATTCCCTCTCAGAGGTGGTATTATTAGTTCCCAAACATGTGTATGCAAAGAAGTACGAGTAGAACATCCAAGAGCAAGTGGTTCCCCGAATCGTATCCCAGCTCACGCGGGGCTTCGTGTTCAAGTCATGTCAATGACCATGCAATCACCGTCGTCGTCGACCTGCACTGGACGATTCTCGCTGCCACCGACAACTTCCATGAAGCCTTCATCCATCTCCGGCGACGCTTGCTCGTCTTCAGAATCGTCGCTGATGTTCATGGATGTGTCTGATTCGTCGTCGAGGAGGATGAGATCCTCACTTGGTTGGTACGGCTGCACGCCATCATCCTTCAGTAGCCACTCCTCGATGTGTCGGTACAGCACGCGAACTGTATTGGGGGGGAACGCGTTTCCAATCTGCCTTTTGATGGAGGTCTTGGTGCCAAGGAAAGTGTGGTTCTTGGGAAACCCTTGGAGGCTGGCGATTTCTCGTAGCGTCAATTCCCTGGTGCCATCTGGAAAGTAGACGTCACTGCCACCTGTCGTGATAGTCCCGGCCAGGCGGTTGGGGTCAAGCGATGGCCGCCGAGGCTGGTAGGATTTGACATTGTCTAGATCGTGGAGGTCATCACCTGGCTGGATCCCGTCCAGTGCTCTCTGGATGGAGTTGAAAGGCAGAAGGCCGCCTTCACCATCCTGAGAATGTGTCGCCGCCGGGAATGTGGGAAGTCTCTCGCCTGGTGCAGCAGCGATGATGATCAAGCGCTTTCGGTCTTGGGCAGCTCCCCAAGTGCAAAGGCGCACAACCTTCCATCGCACAGAATATCCAAACTGCGTGAAGTCGGCAAGAAAAGCTCGAAAGTAGGTTGAATGGCGGTCATGCGTGAGGCCAAACGTCTGCTCGACCGTGATGATACGCGGCCGAGTCTTCTTGAGCAACTGGTTGCAGCTGAACAAGGCAAAAATGTTCTCGTCATCGTGTGCGGCTGCCCAAGTGTGGGCAGGTGAGAAGTACTGGCAGGGCGGCGAGAAATGGAGAACATCGACTCGTAAATGCCCGCTCCGAGGGTCGGAGAGGAACTCGTCCAGTGACATTGGAAAGAGTTGCGTATCAGGGAAGTTTGTTTCGTAAGTGTCCCAGACTTCCTCCGCCTTGTCCACGGCGTACTGGATCTTGAATCCCGCCATTTGGGCTCCTCGCGATACTCCGCCTGCGCCCGAGCAGGCATCAAATACCGTGTATTTCTGGCCGCAAAGTCTATGGCCTCGAGGATCCGTCGCTGTCGCCTCTTCCAAGTCAATGAAATCTGCCCCGGTACGTTGGTAAGGTATCCAGGATCCGCCCTTCACCCGACTGCCTCGCCACTGGTTGCTCAAAGCATCTTCCGAGACCCGGTACTGTGTATCCAGTACGTCATCCGAATGAACTCGGACAAGGGACTCCTCAGTCTTTTTCTTATTTCTTCCCTGCCTAATGAAGCAAACCTCCAGCTTCTAGCGACAGGTGAGATGCTCGTGTTGACTTTGGCCCATGGGTTGATCGGGCTTGTTGGGCCGAAAGACGGACGAGTTGAAGTCCGGATACAAGGCATTCGTTAGAATCAGAGTATGTGGTTTGACCACTGCCGAAGGGCAAACATCCACAAGTTCCTGGAGTCTTGTCGAATCTCCATCAAAGTAGAGAATCATGCAGACCTCATTGGATTTCTTCGGAAGCTTGTCCAAGACTGACCGTGTTCTTGCAAATGGGACTCCTCGAATGTTGACCTTCCCGGTATTTTTGCACCGCGCGATGGTCCGAACCAGAATGAAATTGGCATCATACTCGCCAACCAGAAATTTGCAAACCTCCAAGAACATTCCTGGTTTGATGACTGAGTCGGATACTCGCAGTGTTTCCAATGCGAACTCGCCTTCTCGGAGCAAACCATGACCAACCGTGTCCAGGTCATTGGTGAGGTCGATTATCTCATCTGCAATGTCCTCAAAGACGGGCGGAGGGCTACCGCTCAGGGTACTTGTCGATCCGTGCCTTGGCCAAATCGTTGTTTGTCGTTCGGTGAGAAACTGAACATCGTCCGGATCGAAACCGGAGTAGTGGTGTCGCATTTTGGTCGTCAAGGAGACTTGGATGCCTGACAGGCGCAGTGTTAATGCAAGAGGGAGACACTTCCAGGCAGTGCTTGTCTTGAAGAAAGGGTATTAGCTTGAGGTCTGCGGTCGGGCAGCAAACCCGCACTTCAGGGAGCCAATAGACTTACCGGGAATACACAGGTGAAAAGAGACAAAAAAAACGAAATCAAACGGCTATGCCCTTTTGGACTGTTTGGTCAACAATGATGTACCGAGTATGTTGAGGTCATGATCTGCCAAGTAAGCGGCAGTGGAGATTGCACGGCGACTTTTTGGAGGTGAGAGAGAGCTGAGAGTTTCAGGTTTAGAAATTCTCGAGATAAGAGCAAATAGATGCCTAAACTTTTAACTCGGATAACAAAAAGCAGTGAATCATTCGTTCTTTTTGAACGTTGTGGCGATTTCGAAGTCAGTGTTTGCTCACCTGAGAAGTTAGTGACAGGGGGGTTTGGCAATATCCCACTTTGAGCAGAGAGATGTGTTTTCTCCCCCCTACTCTAAATTGAACTTTCGCAGTCTCTACACGTGCTCGTTAGATTCATTCAAACATGGGTTTTTTTTTTAAACCGCCCCAAAAAAAGAAGAGGTCGTTGTTGACTTGCTTGCTCTCGGCCTCGCTCTAGGGTACCAACGACTCGGTCATTTTCAACGCTGTTAGACTAGAAGCCTAAAAGCCACCACATAGGAGCACTACTGCGGTGATTTCGCCTCTGCATTTTGGAATATGTCAAATCCTAGGCCAGATCAGTTCATGAGCAGATATATGTGAATTGAGTGGGCGATGATTCCTTGGTCTGTAACCTGTCGTAACCCTTCCAAACGAAGTCCACACCGAGCTTTAGCCGGTAGCACTAAGGACGACAAGCAAGCCCCCTTTTTGAAATCGTTGCAGTCATTAATCGAGAGCCCACTTTCATTGCCCAGTAAAAGGCCAGGAATTTTGAATGCGAAACTATACATCGTTGCTACACCCCATCGAAGGCTCTAAGACTCCCATACTGTGACCAAACCGGGCTACGCAGAGCTGCATCAAGACTGCCACGACTTGCCTCTGGCCTCATCAAGTCCCACAGGCCACAGATCGACAGCGGTGGTTTCCTTGAGGGTGATTACTTGAAAACAACCGATTGGTAATTCATTTACAACTATGACGGCGCGATCCCTGCGTAAGCGCCCGGCCGAGAGTACTTCTACCAGACCTCCAACCAAAAAGAGGCAGGTTGATGTAGTCAGCCAGCCGGAAGAGGACGGGTGGGAGGAGCTGCCACACAACTTAGGCCGTGTTCGAACCTCCAAATCCAAATCCGGGTCAGCACTGGCACAAGACCTCCGCGCTGTGAAATCCGAGGAGAAGGAAGCTGATGGGGTTAAGGTTGGAGAGCCTCCCTCCAAGCTGAAGCAAGAGTTGAATACCCAAGAAACTGCTATGGCTTCAGCCTCCGGGGCTGTAATACGACGAACTCTACGCCCAAGACGATCAGCCGTTCAATTATCCTATCTGGAGTCAGAGGATGAGTCCTCCAAGTTGAAGGCGCCAACACGGTCATCCACCAAGGGAGTCGCAAAGAAGTGGGCGTCGAAAAAAGAGGTTGAGGACGATAATGTTGACTTTGCTGTCGAGAAGAGACCACGGACAACATCAAAAAAGACTAAAGACAACCCCTATGGACTTACTCCCGGCATTACTCCTTTCCCAGAATGGACAGCTCCTTCAATAGCAGATTGCCAAGAAGTCTTCAGTCAGTTAGCAAAGCTTCACGGAGACGCTAAAGCGCCTGACAAGATACCTGCCCCATCATTGGAGGTTTCTGGCTGCGGAGAAGTTCCGGCTGTTCTGGATGCCATGATTCGCACTCGGCTAAGCGCTCATACGTCCGCGGCCAATTCGAATGCCGCTTTCAAAGGGTTGGTCACCAAATTTGGGGTCGTCAAAGACGGGATTGGAGAGGGTAGCGTCAACTGGGACAAGGTCCGGACAGCCCCGGTAGAAAGCATCATTGCGTCCATCAAGCACGGCGGGCTAGCACAAACCAAGGGTCGAGACATCAAGGCCATTCTTGAAACTGTCTACCAGGAGAACATGGCGCGGCGGGATGCCTTCGTGGCGGAGAAAAAGACGGGGAAAACGGCAGATGTGATTGGAGCCAAGGACAAGACTCAGGGGCAGAAAGATCTTGAGATCTTGAAAGCCGAGCAAGGAGTTCTCTCATTGGACCATATCCATGGGATGCACCCGGACGAAGCGATGCAAGCACTGGTCAAGTTCCCTGGAATTGGAGTCAAGACGGCGTCATGCGTCATCCTGTTCTGCCTCCAACAGCCCAGTTTCGCGGTCGACACACATGTCTATCGTCTCGCAGGTTGGTTGAAGTGGATGCCGCCGAAGGCCACGAGAGACCAGACATTTAGTCACTTGGAGGTGCGAGTACCCAACGACCTGAAGTACGGGCTTCACAAGTTGTTTGTTCAACATGGACGAAGCTGTGTGAGGTGTCGGGCGAACACAACAGAAGGGACTGAAGAGTGGAACCAAGCTACATGTCCTATTGAGGAGTTTGTTGATCGGGCTGGGAAGAAGAAGATGGGAGGGAAGCCCAAGACAGCGAAACGGAGGAAGATCAAGGACGAAGACGACTCTAGCAGTTGATCAGTGTAAGAGTAACAAGTACATATAGGGCGCTCTAATTTTTATGTCTAAATATTGTGTATATGTAATCCATATGAGGCCGCCAAGGTTGGACCTGGTTGTCCTTCGGAGGTTAACGGCATAGATTCTGCACCCTGATCGCTAAGGTGCCGGTGTAAAGGATTCTTTTGACTGCTGCCTTCGCACTCTCTCTCTCTCGGTTGGTCCGCACTCTCCTCTTGCACCTTTTCCACCTAATTTTTGTTCTCGATGTCAATCGAAGACCTAAACATAAGCCTGCACACAAACATTCGCTTTTGATCATTTGAACTCGTAAATCAAAACCCCACACATACGCAACCCGCAGCATTTCACCATCCCGGGACTGAAAGTACCCGAGCAGGCGAGGCGATACCCTGAAGCTCCCCCACTGTCGCCCGGCCAGCGCACGGACCACTTTTCGATTAAAACCCCTGCAAGACGCGGGCTACTGAGTTACTCCACGCGTGTCAGAGGCCCAGCTCAGAAAGCTTCACCTTGACATTTTCAAACCGAGCGCTACGGCACATTGCAGGCTCGCAGCCTCGTTGGAAACCACGGGCGTCGGTAGGATCCCACCACCTCTGGGGCATTCCCGTAGGCTTCAAGCTAACCGGCGTCCTCTAGATTGCTCCATTCCACCCGAGTCGCTATCCTGCAGCCGACTAGACAAAGCATCCCCACGGCCCAGCGCACCCGTCACCTAGCAACGCAAGCACCAACGAAGTGCATCCAACGCTCTTTCAACGACTTTGTTCGACTTCTTGCATCTCCACCGTCGCTGCGTTTGCTGCATTTCCTACGATATATAGACGCCTCACGCGCCCATTTCGCCGTCGATCTACGTCGTTTCGCCCCTTGCCGTTGATTCTGGATCTTGATTCGAAGTTGCCGCATCTTACGTCGACACCCGATTTGGCCCGATCACCGAAGAATGCGTGCCCCGACGCATCGTCTATACCATGTCTGACATTAATGAGGAGTTGGCAAAGTGGTATGAGGAACTCCAGAAGATCCCGACGGAATACCACCTGCTGTGTCCTCGAACTGGCGACGATGACGACGAGAACTACAAGAACCTGGACGATCCAGATTCCAAGATCTCATTGGAAGAGAAGAAGAAGCGCATAGAGCAGGGAAAGGGGCGGATCGAAGTCACATATTGGAATAGTCTCATCTTTGGCTTTGATAAGAAAGTTGCTGGGAAATGGCTGGAGGACTTTACAGCGCGGCTCGAACAGGGCCTCCAGTTCTGCTCTGACTGTGTACTGAACTGGCACATGAAGCGCAAGGCTAATCTCCAGAAATTTGCTGAGTGAGTATTCCATTACCTAAATGGGGCGACTTTGATTTCAACTAACACTCGTAGGCGCTGGAATGAGGAAGCTGTTTTCCAGATCCAGGAACTGCTTGACCGTTTGGATGTTAAACGGATTGATCATAACTTGAAGTGGGCCAAGGATTTCATCGAGAAGATCGAGTCCACGGGTACCGTGTTCAAGAAGTCGCAGTTCGGAGACCGTATATCCGAAGTTCACATCACTGTGTACGAGGCATTGTGTTGCATCGCGTACATGGCGGATCCCGACCAACGTGCCACATTTCAGTACGTCTTCCGTCGGCTGCAGGGCAAGACCGTTCTTAAGCTGGGGACCAAGGACCCTCTGCCAGGAATGACGTATTTCCTCTTTGATCAGAAGAATGAGGATCGCCGCAAATGGGCTATGGAGAACTGGAAGAATCTCGACACGAGCGCCATGTCACAAGAGCAGTTTGACTGGGCTGTGAGCGGCGGCCTGGTCAGTGCCATGGATGACGTCAACAGAAAGGATATATCGCAACCGACAAGCGAGATCTACCTCGAGATTGAGAGGTTCTGGCTCGGATTTGAAGAGATCCTAAGGACACTGAACGCGGACATCATCCTTCATCGCCTCCGGAGCCTTGAGGTGAGGTCAGGTTGCCCCAACATTTACGACTTGCTCTTCCGTCACATCCAATTCTGTCATTCGGAGGGGGTTCTGGTTGTTACAATCCGCGTTCTCACAGGCTTCCTCAAGAAAGCCCCCAAAGCATTCTGGGATGTGATTGGCGATGCCCGACCCAATGTTATTGCTGATCTGCTCTTTGGCAGTCCAGTATACAAAAGCTTGCTTCGCCAATCACTCGAGGATTGCTGGACTGGGTTTGAGGCTGGGACTTCACTTGTGCCGTTCCCCACCTCATGGGTCGATCCGTGGCTACAGTCGCTGGGCCGTGATCGCAGATACGATGCCTGCGAGGTGCTGATGCATACCCTCTTCGAAGCTCTTGCTAAAGATGCGAGCATTGGTGAACCTGGCCAAGCAGCTTGTATCCGTGCTGGCTTTGACGCCCTGCATTTTACCATGACGACATTTCTGGACCCAAATACCAAGATTGGCGTTGGTACTACTCACCTCTACGCCAGCGCTGCTTTCAATCTGGTCATGAAATACAAAGACCTGATTCTCAGGAACCTGCGCCCTCCCACTGGTAATCGTGAGGGTTGGCAGACATTCCAGGTTGCGACAGCGGCCAAGAAGGTCCTACAGGCGGCTATGAAGCTAGATATGAAGATCTTCGCTGAAGAATTCGACTCTCTCCTCGAGGGAAAACAGCTTCAGTCCACGATTGTCCGAAACTCCAAGATATTTTGGCAGGGCGTCGTGGAAATGTTTGATGTCTCGTCCGAGCAGGTCGATTTGGCAAGAGACATCCTACTGTCTCTTGAGCCTCTGATCGGCATTGAGCAAATCAGACCTCTCAAGAGCGGCCAGTTGTCCGAGTCTAGCAAACTCTTCAACGGGGCTCTCGAGGGGACAATAAATGTCCTTGGCAACACACTGGGCAGAATATCCGAATTGGATGCGACGGATCTCAATACTCTTTTTGATGACCGGTTAGCTTTCCAAGACACTATTGGTCTTTCTGTCCACGGAGAGTCAGATCTCGCAGAAGCTGCATCTGAGTTGCTCAAGAGCTGGACTGGGGAGTTGTCCCGAAGCGGCGCGTTTGAACAAATGTCTCAACTCCATCCGGACCAAACGCTCTCTTCAATTGTATGGTCCCTGGAGCGCATTCTGAAGCCTCCCAACCCATGGGGTCCCATCAGGCCTATTCTCAATATGAGCCGAGACGTTCTCCGTGGACTGGCTGATCCTCTCTCTGGAGTCCTGCGAGTCAAGACCCTAGACTCTATGTCCGCAGCCAAGGTCTTGCGGTGGTGGAGCGAACAGTGGCGATTTGTCTCTACGGCTTGTAAGAACATCGAAAACTGGTCTCGATATATCCAGAATAGCACCATGCAGGAATTCTGCCGCGAGATCATGGAACTTGCGGAAGCCCTTGTTGCAGAGGATGGTTTGATTGCCTCAGCCATTTCTAAGTCCCTTGGCAAGAGCGAGAAAGATACCATGTCTCAGATCCTCATCCCCGCGAAGCAACATTTTGGGGGTATGGAGAACATGATCCGGCTCAAGGATAGATGGCTTGTTGATGTCACCGTACGTGTCTTGTGCAAGATTCTCACACGTCTCCGAGAGAACGGACATGAGATCCATGCAGCGTCTCGGAAACTTATCACGGATGCATGTCTTCCAACCGCCGTTCCTGGGAAGTACGTTCGGTCGACAAATTTGACAGACCAGCAACGAGCAGAGCTTCTCCAAGCACTGGGCCAGACCGACGACGAGGTCCAAATCTATCAATTGGGCATCGCCTCACAAACCGCCGACCTTGCTGCGCAAAAGACCAAGGCCAAGGTTAAGAAGCAGAGTAGGCTCGATGCTTGGTCAAAGTCGGGAACTTCGACTTCGGCGGGCAGTTCCAAGTTATCTCGGTCTAATCGTGATGATGTCCTCGATATGAGCAAGTCCCTTGAAAACCCAATTCTTAAGCAGATCGAGGCTCGGCAAGCTAAAGCCAAGGCCAAGTCCAAGCTTCCCGATCAGAGGGCAATTTCTTCCCTCAAGGAGAGCAGACAGCGAGAGAAGGCCGAGAAGGCCAAGCGTGATGCCGAAACCATCGCTCGTGCCAAACAGCTGAGAGGAGAGATCGTTCCCGGCGAAGGGTCCGGTCTCCTTGGACTTAGCCTCACTGGAAAGGATCACCGCAGCGACATTATGGTCAATAGTTCCGATGAGGATTCAGAAGAGGACGATGACGATGACTCCGATTCCGATAATGAGCTCGCTGCACTTAGCACTGGAGGCCTGAAAACTCTTGACGAAGCTGAGAGGCGCAGGCGCCAAGCCTTGCGCGACCAGCTCCGAAAGCCTGTCAAGAAGGTACGACAGCAGCGTTCCGTGAAGGAGATGAGAGCCAGGTTGATCCCTCCTATGGACCGATTGCACAATACTATCTTGGCATGGGACATCTTCCATGAAGGAAACGATCCTCCGAGTGGCCCAGCAGCGTCTGAAGTCGCGACGAAGTATCTCAACCCCAACTCCTACCAGGAAACTTTCTTCCCCTTGCTAGCCTCTGAAGCCTGGCGTTCATTTGTCACCTCAAAGGACGAGGTAACATCTCAACCATTCGGCATGAAGATTGCCAGTCGTGCAAGTGTCGACAGTTACTTAGAAGTGACGTTCACAATGCCTGTGGTTCAGAATAAAGACCGACGTGTGGCGGAAGGTGACATCCTCCTCGTCTCTGAAGCTGAGAGTCCTCTTACCGAGAAGACCGCCCGACACTGCCTGGCCAGAGTTCATCGTATCACGTACAAGAAGGAGCTTATTGAGATCACTTATCGCGTGGCATCTCGAAACAACCCATTGGCGCAGGCCTTGACTCCCGGAGTAAGCGTCCATGGGGTCAAGATTACCAACATGACTACCATAGAGAGAGAATACGCTGCGCTGGAGAGTCTACAATACTACGACCTCATGGATGAGATTCTCAAGGCTGAGCCATCGCCAATCATTCGGTATGGAGATGAAAAGATCACCAACTACATGGAAAACTTCTCCCTCAACCGTGGTCAGGCCATGGCTGTTTTGGGCGCGCATGACAATGATGGGTTCACTTTAATTCAGGGGTAAGTTTCTTGTTTTCCCATTGAGCTGTCCAAGCTAATCAACCATAGACCCCCAGGAACTGGAAAGACGAAGACGATCATTGCCATGGTCGGGACTCTTCTGTCTGAACAGCTCAGTCAAATGGGCAATGCCGGCGTTCCTGTTGGTGTCCCTCTGCGACCAAATGGTGCTCCTAACCCCACCAACCAACCTCGACCGAAGAAGCTTCTTGTTTGTGCTCCCAGTAACGCCGCTGTGGACGAACTGGTCCTACGACTCAAATCCGGGATCAAGACGATCAATGGCAAGACCCGAAACATCAATGTCCTTCGATTGGGTAGGAGCGACGCCATCAACGCTGCTGTCAGGGATGTTACTCTGGATGAACTTGTGAAGGCACGTCTCGAGGGGGACACGACGAAAGAAAAGGCCAGGGCCGATCGCGAGAAGCTACATGAAGATGCCGGCAAGATCAAGGAGGAGCTTTCACAGCTGCGGCCTCGACTGGAAGAGACGCGTGGCCTTGATGACCGAGCACTCTACAACACCCTCTCGCGGCAGTTTGAAGAGCTGAAGAGACGACAAATGCAGATTGGAAAACAGATCGATGCGCAAAAGGACAGCGGCAACTCGGTTGCACGAGAAATGGAGATGCGCCGTCGCCAGGTTCAGCAGGAGATCCTCAACTCGTCCCAAGTTCTCTGTGCCACCCTGAGCGGTAGCGGCCATGAAATGTTCCGAAACCTCGACGTCGAGTTTGAGACGGTCATCATTGACGAAGCTGCTCAGTGTGTTGAACTCAGCGCCTTGATCCCCCTGAAGTACGGATGCTGCAAGTGTATCCTGGTCGGTGACCCTAAACAGCTGCCGCCTACAGTCCTTTCGCAGTCGGCCGCGAGATTCGGCTACGATCAAAGTCTGTTCGTGCGAATGCAGCAAAACCATCCGAAGTCTATCCATCTTCTAGATATGCAGTATCGCATGCATCCTGAAATCAGTATGTTCCCAAGCAGAGAGTTCTACGAAGGACAACTTCAAGATGGTCAAAATATGCAGGAACTCCGCCAGCAACCTTGGCACAAGAATCTCCTGCTCGGACCGTACCGCTTCTTTGACGTTCAGGGTGTCCAGGAGCGTGGTAACAGGGGCCGGTCCCTGGTCAACACGAGAGAGTTGGAGGTTGCCATGCAGATTTATGACCGTTTCAGTAAGGAGCATGGAGACAACGACTTGACTGGAAAGATTGGCATCATTACTCCATACAAAGCCCAGCTATTTGAGCTCCGGAACCGATTCACGGCCCGATACGGCGAAGGCATCACGAACATCATCGAGTTCAACACGACGGATGCCTTCCAGGGTCGAGAATGTGAGATTATCATATTCTCATGTGTCCGAGCCAGCCCGACGGGGGGTATTGGTTTCATGACTGACATTCGTCGAATGAACGTCGGTCTGACACGAGCCAAATCGTCGCTTTGGATCCTTGGAGATTCGAGAGCTCTTGTCCAGGGCGAATTCTGGCGCAAGCTCATCCACGATGCCCAAGCCCGAGATCGATACACCAAGGGCGACATCCTGTCGATGCTCCGAAAGCCTCTCGAACAAGCCAAGCCAGGCGCCTACCTGCTTCCTGCGCCAGCGCCACAGGCACAAGATCGAGAAGTCACCATGCGAGACGCCCCAGCGATAACTGCGCCACCACCTAAACCCAGTTCCTCTCGCTCAGCATCGCCCAATGTCATAGCTGGAAAGCCTCCTGGTTCTACCGCACCGGCTCAGATCCCTGGTCTAGGCGGGCTTGGAAGGAGTGAAGTCGTGCCAAGGTCTGGTGGGCCACCAGTCATCCACACATCTACGAGCAAACCACCGGGATCGGAAGCCAAGAAAAGAGCCTTGGACGGATCCGATTCCAACCAACCGGTGTCAAAGAGAGTATGTCAAGTAACACCCACACCACCCACAGAACACAAAGTCCAGCCAAACATATCTAACACACCAACAGAATGCGAGCGACAGAGGCCGAGGAGGGCTGATGGGCAAGTTTGGCCAGAGACCAAACCGGCCACCCAAGCTTCCAACAGACCCGTCAGCCATGTCTGTGCTGGGGATGGTTCCTCCAGAGCGACCACCGCCGATACCAACTGGGCCGATGAATCCGACGAAGACATCGAGTGGATCAATGTCCAACCAGCCAAATGAGACAGGGAATAGTAGAGTATGTAAAGGGAGACCCACTTGCCGGACATTTGCTAATGTATAGCTCCAGCCACCGCCTAAGAGCCTGCCTCCACCAAACCCTCGAAAGAAGAAGGGAAAGCCGAGTTTGTTTGTCCCCAAGAGGCGATAGTCCCCAGGAGACGGTAATCCCCAAGGGACGGTAGTCCCGCATAACATGTTGGAAGCATTGTATTATAAGCATCATCAAGGATATCCGCGATTAGAGCATTTTCAGGCGTTGGAGGACCAGCTCATGGTAACATGAGGATCTACATTGGGAGGAACATTTGGGCGAAATCGGCCAGGAAGCACCAACATCCGGAGTTTATTCTCTTGGCGGTGACTACGAGATGTTGGTTGGCTACTTGTTTGAAACGGGAACACTGCATTGGCTGGTGGCACCTCGTATGAGGGCGCGCGTCGAAGAAAGACGACAGACAGTTTGGGGTGTAAGGGCGTAGTCTTGCGACTGAAGTGGTAATTGCGCGTGGGCAAACCACCGGCGGGGACGACGAGGATAGGAACTGCGTCCCAGTAACCCTCAACCTGTGTGATATGTATGAAATATGTACCGAGTACAACGGGGTTATACCTAACAGACGCGCCTTGGACAGGACCGCCGCACGCAGAGGCACGATGCGATGTTGGTGATAGATTGTGCAAATCACGTGATGACCCGGACAGAACTCCATTAGGATCCCGTTCCTGTCGGGACCTTGTCTGTGCGTGTCGATGTCGAACCAGTTGAAAAATTGCAGACACGGAATGCTGTGGTTTCCCATGGCCATGATCGCATGAGTCGAAGTTGGTGAGGATCAGCATTGTCGGGACATTTCCGCTGCATCGCGATAACGCAGGGACACGCGGGGACAGGGGACGGGCAGAGGCGAGCTGCGAGCTGCAAGCTGCAAGCAGGGAAGACACGGGGAAGCCAGAGTAACGGGTCCACGTTCGCAAGACGACGAGACTGGCTGCTGCGTCGACATGGGCCTCTAATTCAGTGATCTCCCGGGTCCCCTTGCTCCCGCAGCTATCACACAGCGCACAGTCGACCCCCTACACGCGTGCTGCTCGTATGGGCCAACATGAGCCCACGGCGGCCCAGGCCTAGCTGTTGAGCCAAGCTGGGTCTAGGGGTAACAAGAGTCAGGAACGAATCGAACGCCGGAAAATGGGGAGCGCTATGCTGGTGCGTCGCCAGCCGGGCCCGTTTGTACGATGTGACCGCTCACTAAACAACTCAACACCTGCGCACCAGATCAACGCGTGGCGCCCGGAAGCCACCTCACCGTCGAATTTTCCGCCGCGTGCCTTGGAGGGAAACGAACAACGGGGCTAGCAGCCAGGGCAAACGGGGGGGGTAGGGGATTATGCTCTGTTAGCGGCCTTCTGCTCTAATAAGGCGTTCTGAGTTCGGAGGCCGAAGGCATCTGCTCTCTGGCTGAGCGGCTGTGCCCAGACGATGGCCGTTATTAGTTCCCTTTTGCCACCAAAGTATGGCATCCCGTTGAAGATTGAAACGGCCGAATTGGCGTGGGATGTCGTCGGTCCAACTCTGGTGGCTGGGACCATCACGAACCATCGCATCGGATGGGAGATTTGAGATTTGGGCAAGCACAAACCGCTCGGCGCACCATCACCCGCACACCAAGGCCCGGGCCAGAGACTTACTAGACTCGGGTCCGCCAGTGCTTGCTTGGAGGGAGTGGTGGCATCTCTCGTCTCTGGCTGGTCTGATGTTTGCTCTGGTCTAGAAGCACCAGCCAACAACCAACTACCAACCACCAACTACCAACCACCAACCGCCAGCAAGCGATGCAGGACCAGCCCTCGTCGCATCCCTCTTGACCAAGCAATCAACTACCGAGCTTCACGCCGCATTGCTTTTGTGCTCGTTTCTTTTGGAGCTCGAGCTGGACACCCTGCCGTCTTAGCTCCATGCAGAAAAAGCAACGGGGACCCATGCAATCACAGAGGGAAATGGGATCGCCAGCCCAGAGAGTTCGTCGGCCAGAACAGGGGGGCAGGAAATGTCGATCCCCGCGCTCCAGGCGCTGACTTACGGTCATGATATGATTGTTTGCGACATGTTCGCAACAGGTCGTAGCAGGGTCACGACGGCGAAGTCACATTATCGCGACGAAACCACACAGGGAGGCTATCTCATCGCCCGGCTGGCTGCTAGATACCCTTCAAGGGCCAGAAGCTATCTTATTCGCACTCGGGTGTTAATCAGTGAAAGTCCTTCCTAGCTCCGGGGATGCAATTGGCTTTCCACCGGCCCCATCAACGGGCCTCAAGCTAATAGCAAGCCGGTCCAGCTGGCGGCACTCGGGCTTGTGGCGCCAAGGGTACGGGCCTCTTAGTGACGGCATGCCTCAGACCTCTCGACTTAAGACTGGCGAGCTGCTGGTCGAGGGAGGTGCGGGAGAAGGTGGGCGTAATGAGGCGGCGCCCGTGGGTTTCTCTCGTGTCCTTGTCTCTTGCATCTGTTCCCTCTCGCCCTTTCCCGCCTCCTCTCCCAACCTTTTGGACTTTCGGGCCGGGTACAACTTCGTTCGGTGACATTAGGCGTGGGCAATAACGCCGTCTACCTGTGCAAGTACCCGCCCTGCCTCTCCTCCTCACACCAGGTCGACCAAGCAGGAGGGCGCAAATACCGACGTATAAGACAACAGGCCCGACATTCGGGCGATCCAAGCACAAGGTCAGACAAAACCGCGACAACAAGCATGGCCCTCGAGGTGGCCAAGTACTAACTGAGACAGGTTTCATGGATCTCAGGGCATCATCACCCAAGTTTGCATTGGTGGTGGGCGGGCAAATAGGTCCTGGGCGCTGGTATTAGAACCCGACATGGCGCAATCCAGCGCCGTTGACCGCGAGGTTTCTGTCACTCCCGGCAATGGTGTCGTACGTCCCAGGGCTGCATCCTCGGCCTATTCCCTATTTCATCATCAACAAGAGTCCAGCATTTCCGGCCAGCAGAACAACGTGCCGGGCCACCGCCCCAGGGCAAAGTCGCACTCCAATCTCGTTGGCCGCATGGAGCCCGAGTTCGAGTTTCAGAACAGCACGCTGATTGACGCGGACGGCAACTTCAAGCGGAGCAGCAGTGGGATCGCTGAGTTGATTGACTTCCTCAGGAACCATGCGCCCCCGTCTGACAACTTCATGTCTATACCGGATGAAAGCAACGACAGCAAAGGAAAATGGGCCAAGATACGGAAACTCGCCAAGCGGAAGTCCAAGTCCAAGTTGCCTGATCCGATCACCCTCCCGGACTCGGCCGTCTCTGGCATCACCACTGAGGGCCACCGACACATCGCCATCTCAATCCCTCTCGATGCGTCGCCGTTCGGGCGAAGTCCCCGCACTCAGTATCCCGTCTACCAGAATCGGAATCTCAGACCCCCTCCCGCTCGATATGGCCCCACGCGGGCTATATTGAACGAGAAGGGTGTCGTAACAGTTCTCCGCACTGTTGCAGAGGATCAGGAGATATCGGCTCCTTCCAGCCCCGCGATACCTCGAATTTTCCAGACCCGACCGTCTCCTGTTTCCGAGGTACCTCGTGGTCCGTCTGTAGGCAATTTCCATTCAAGTTCTGGGGCCTCCAGCACCAACAACGTCAGTCACGGCAAGGTGTCGGAGTACTTTGGGGTTTCGTCTAGTCCACCAAGGACACAGAGCCAAGACCAATTCAGACGAGCGAACGATGCATCTCGACAACTTCAACATCAAAATTACGGGCAGCCAGGAGCAAGTTCAAACACATCAACTCGAGCAGACGGCCTTCCTATACGAGGTTCCAGCCTCCCAGCAAGTCGTTTTGTGTTCCCGCCAACTCCATCAATCGATGCCATGATGTCTGAGCCAACCACCATGCCGAACACCTTGCAGGTTACCTCTGCTCATGCTCGCGACAACTCCAAAGATGGGTCCTATCGGGAATCTTTGTCCAAGAGCATCTTGACATCAAGTGACAACGAACCTGTTGTCGCTGATGCTAAACGGGTCAAGGCAACCTCTTTGCCTCTCGGGGAGTCGCCTGTTCTTGTGTCCAGCAAGAAAGAAGACCAGTCTGTCACAGTGATAACACGGAGTCCCCTCGCGTCAGATGGTCACATCTCGCCAACAGCCTCCATTCATTCGACACGAAGTCAAACCCGCCGTGACAAGGTACGTGACAAGAAGCGCAGAGACATGGAGGCGCTACGTACTACACGAAACCGAGACAGTCTGCAAAGTCAGATGAGTCAAATGAGCCTGCACAGCCAACATAGTCAGCAGAGCCAGCAGGACGACGAGCACGAGAACAAAGAAAAGGTATCTACCGACCCTACTGAGGAGGTCTCGATGTCACCGAAAAGAGAAAAGCCTCCGCCGTTGCCACTAAAGTCAGCGAACCGTCCATCGCTCTGTGCTATTATGGTCGTCTCCGATGTCCAGCCATCGCCACCCCAGTCAGCAGTACCTCCAACGTCGCCAACTCAGTCATCGCCGGCTCAGTCAACCATGGTAATACAAGGCGGCCCTCCTGAGATCGAGCCCCCTCTTCAATCCCCACCTCTCCATGGCGGCTTTCCCAAGCCGCCCAAGACCAAGCCTCAGTTCCGGCCCAAACCCATACCGAGAGTCCCTTCCATTTCGGGGAAACCACCCATTGCTTCTCCGGGGGTCTCTTTCAATAATGCCAGCAACCCGACCCCACCTCAGTCCGTCAAGGGGTCGCCGAAAGGACCCGGCGAGCGAATGTCCATGCAGAGCTCTGTGGACCGCACTTCCAAGCAAAGTTCTGGTTCTGTAGACCGAACTTCTAAGCAGAGCTCCGTTGACCGAATGTCCAAGCACGGCTCTATCGACCGATTGTCCAAGCACGGCTCTATCGACCGAACTTCCAAACCACAGAGCCCTATCGACCACCCTGCAAAGGATGGGTCTACCGACCGGACCTCTCTCTCCCGACGCCGTGAGTGGAATGCCACTCGGGAGCAGGAACGCAAAAATCGAGACTCGAGGATTGGATCTCGCCAACTACCGAGGCCACTTGTCATGTCGATGGAGGATATTGACGAGCCTAAGAGTGCCGCGACGCCGACACCGACGGACAAGGATATGAGCCGTCGCTATGACGTCTACCGCGAGTACCGCATCCGAGAGATGGAACGCCGACTACGTCGCCTCGAGCGCAACGGTGATGTGTGGCTCCGAGCACTAGTCCCCGTATTGGAGAACCTCAACCGCACACTCGCCCACCAACAGGGTGATAGCGATCGTGCTCAGGGGTGGGTTTCCGATGAAGACTTGGTGGCATCTCTCAGCCCTCCGCGAGGAAGGGCTTCTTTCGGAGGCGCCGGGAACCGCAGGAGCCGGATGATGCCCCGACCCGGAGTCTCGGAACGGGAATTCTTAGAACATCTTGTACGGACAAAGGAGGAACTGGAGGCCGGAAACAACAGCGACGACATGAGCGGCTTCGACACGATCGAGCCGCTGATGCGGGAGCTGGCCGGCAGGTCACGACTAAGCTTCGAGGCAAGGACGATGGCTTTTGCCGAAGATGATGAGCTCATGTTCCGTGGATTTTAAAGGTTTTGGAGGCTGTTTTCTTTTGTCTTATTTTCGGATACTCCATATGGGAGAAATGTACATTGGTGTACATTGATGCGGCAACACATTGTGGGATTGGGGAAGAAGTGTTTCGACCCGATGAGCGAGCGCTGTTTGATTTTGAAGCCAACTTCTTGTAGTCTATGCACCTGACACATTTCCTACTAACGCCCTTATATGATGACATTAGAAAATATTTTTTAATTATCAAATGCATTGTATATCTATCAAGACTGGGTTGGTTTGTTGTGAAGTTGTTTCTGGGGTGTATTGTCCTTCAGGGGAACCTCGTCTCCTTTCGAATCTTGACACCTCCCCCTCTGTCTAACATCCAACCTAGCCGATACTGGTTTCGTTTGTTGCGAAGCTGTTCCTGGGATTCAAGACCTCTCTCATGGGGGAACCTCGTCCCCCTTCCAATCCCAACACCGCCCTCTCTGTCCAACCTCCAAGCCAGCCACCACGTCTACCAGCCTCTCGGCCGCATACTCGGGACTCAGCAACTTCGCCTCGCCCACGCTGCCCCAGAACTCGCGGCTGAAGTCGGTCCGCACCGTGCCCGGGTGATAGCTCACCGACAGGGCCTGGTCGCCGCTCCGCGCCTGGAGGGACACGTCCAGGCTCTTGGCCAGGCTGATGACGGCGGCCTTGCTCGCGCGGTACGAGAACCACCCGCCCAGCCGATTGTCTGTCGTCGAGCCGACACGCGCCGCCATGCTGAGCCACGTTGCGTGCTCGGGCAGCCGGACAGCGTCGGTGGGCGGGCTGGAGAGGAGCATGGTGCCTCGAGCCGGGAGGAAGTGCGCAAAGTGCTTCATGAGCAGCAGCGGCCCGAGGCTGTTGACCTGGAAGCTCTCGAGGCTGGCGGCGGCGTCGACTTGACGCAGGCTCTTTTCCGCGTGGAGGACGCCCGGCATGGCGCACGCGAGGCGCAAGTGATGCGTCGACCGAGGGAACAGCGCTGCGGCTCTGGCGGCGGCGGCCTCGAGCGATGCCTCGTCGGTGACGTCAGCGTGGACGACCGAGAGCCGCGACGCGAGGCCATCGCCATGGGCGGCTCTGGGAGACAGGCCGTCGAGGAGCGATGTTTTCACCGCCGCCGGGTCATGGTGAGTGCGGGCGGTAGCAAGAATCGGGAGCGTAGTTGTGCGGAGGAGATGGCGGACCAGAGCGTAGCCGATGCCCCGCGTGGACGGGCTGATGAGGATCCAGGGCGACGTCATGACTCTGGTGTTGATGCGGATGGGAAAAGCGGAACAACAGGAAGGTAAACTTACTGCTTGCTTTTGGCGTCGTGGGCAGTATTACTGATCAACTGAATCACTTGGGTTTGGAACAAAACTTGTCTGTATCCCCGTCCGGGGGGAGCACTCCGCATGTCTGAATAACTACCTCTGTTGATACATGATACAAGCACGCACAGCAACCTAACTAAACAGCCCAGAACCCACTAGAACACAGGAACCAGATAAACAGCACCGTTCGCCTCTATCCCACTCCACGATTGTGACTATATGCCGGCTTTCACTCCTTGCGCCTCCAGAAGACGCACAGCCTCATCCCCTCGCTCGCGTGCTCAACAGCTCAAGACCCTTCCTCCCTCTCCGCCTCCAGGAGTTGCTCAAGGGAATGTTGAATCCCTTCCAGCCGCTTGCCCTCGCCCCATCTCAGGATATTGAGGACGCGGTTGCGGAAGCTCAGAAAGTGCTCGGGGTCGTAGAGTAAGAAGCCACCGATCGAGCGCATGTAATAGCTGTCATGATCATGCTCCCAGCATACAAAGAGCCGCGCCTCGGTCGCGTTGATCGCCACGCTGAAGGTGACCGTCTCAATCTGATCAATATTGTGCTCTCGAAGCCGGCGGTTCAGGCTCTCCGCCACCTTCACGCAGGATGCAGACCCGCCCAGGCATTGATTCACTGCGCACCACAAGGCGTCTCCGCTGGAATTATCCCCTTTGGCCTCGACGAGGAAGAATGGATAGGCCAAGTTCGAACTATTCACCACCATCTCGGACCCCATACCGACGAACTGGTCCATTTGCTCATCGGGAAATGCGTTGAGGTAGCTGTACCCATAGAGGATATCGGGGACCGGGGTGGATATGCGATGCTCTCCGATGCAAGGAACACAATGAGTTTTCATCGGTATGTTAGAACAAGACTCAATCTTCTCCCGTGATCCGGGCTCAAGAAATACCATCCGCCTCCAGTATGATGTTACTTTTGATTCGGCCCGGCCAGATTGGAGATGATGGAACTCGTAATCGGATTTAAGGTCATCGATCGATGGGCCTTCCCACTCGCCGTCCGTGCTAATATCATGGACAATCTTTTGTACATTTTCCGGCAATTGATCCAAAGGATGGCGGAGTGTGATTTTGTTCGACCGCAAGTTCTTGACTCGGTAACTGCTGTGTTTTGTACTGGAATTATTCGATGCAACTGTAGTAGACGGCATCGTGTCGACTTCCGAGAGCAAACTGGGCTCAGATGTAGGTGCAATCGGCTCGGCAAACCCTTCTCTGTCCCATGCAACATCAATCTCCAGTGCTGATTTCGTTGAAATGTTCGATGGCGGCTCGTCGTTGGATCGGTACACTCTGCTATCCGACCAGCGGCGCTTCCTATGGTCCGTTCCGCTGGACTCAAGCCACGCAGACACACGGTCATTGGCTTCGGTAGGTTTATGCGTCCAAACGAGCGCAGCACCAAGGGGCTGTCTCTCGAGTTGCGATGTTGCGACTTGGGTCGCTTGCTCTTTGTCCTCTAACCTCCTCGTTAGCATTTGGTCATCGCGGTCCAACAAAAAGAAGCATCAACATACCTCCGCCCTGGAAAGCTTCCCGTAAGTTGCCCAGCGAGAACTCCATCTTCGTACTGGTTCTGGAGACACGCGTCTTGGAAACTCTGCCGTTCATGATGGGGGACAGGGAGGTTATGACTTAGTTGTTAAGCAAAGCTCACAGAATGGTGCAAGAACGGAGTGATAGCAGCTTCTTCTTTAATGAGAGGCCAATAAGGTTAGGCCAATAAGGTTCAGCCACTACAATCTCAAGCAACACCGCCTTCGCGCCACACAAACTCAACCGGCAACTGGCTACGGCAAGGCCCCCCTCGGGCAGGGGGAAAAATGCGACTCCTTCCATAAACCGACCTTAGATCCTGACCTTAAAAAGATATATTGAATAAGAGGTATGTAAGGGTCCTATTTGCCTCCAACAGCAGCCCTGCCCTTCTGAGCCTTGGCGAAGAAAGCCGCGCAGCGGCTTTAAGGCAGGGCTGCTGGAAGCAAATATGACCCGCTGGCCTAGAGCTAGAGCTTTGCTTATGGCTGCTTGCTGATATCGGACCTAGTAAGTTGGATGATGTCAAAGCTAGGCATCTACACCCCTGACAATGAATGTCTTGCGTATCCTTCTCAGCGGCTGGAACAATAGCTGGTCCGGTCGGTGCCTGTAAACAGAAGCACTTATTGATATTAATATCCATCCAGCCTGCTGTTTGGTTCTGCTTCTTTGTTCTGCTTCTTTGTTCCAGTGAGCTTCGTCAGTGTGAACTAGTCTGCCCCACCCACCTGCGACTACCTACACTAAGGGGAAAGGTAACCAGTTGGATTAGAAACCTTAGTCTGTTTGAGTTGGCTGTTGACTTTTGAATGGATTGGGCACCTATATGGTCTATACACCTATATGGTCTATATTGTTGATACTGTTGTTAGTATTTTTTTTTTACTGTTGAGCTTCTAGTCCACTGTCTAGGTATGGGAGTACTAAGGCACCCTTATCTGTCAAAAAAAGAAAACACTAAGGGGAAGTGAGTCTCACTGTGACAGGGAGCCATAGTATGCGGTAAATGAAGACAGGATGTGAAGGACACAGAGAGGAGGAGAGAGGAGATGGGAAATTGTGGAAATTGGGAAAGTTGGTGTAGATTAAACGAGTTATCTGGGTCGTCGCTGCTGATGTTCCTCCCACTAACCAGCCAACGTAGTCATACAGAAAATGAAAAAGAGAAACCAAGCCGTACCACACGCCATCCGAGGGAATCCGTCAACAGGAACACTCACTGCAATCCAAAGTGATTCCAGAGTCTTTTATGGTCGTCTATAGCTCCACCTCCTGGAACGATGAACCATCGGGCGTGCCCGTGGGCTTCGCGTTCGCATCCTCCTCGTCATCATCTTCTGGCCTGTCCGCGCTCGGTTGGTTGCCATTACTCGCTGCGCCGCCGGGGCGTAGCGCCACCTTTTGCTCTTGCTTATCCTCAAATCGTACCTTTTGCTCCTCCTTTGGCGTGGCCTTGGCCTTCTGCTCAGGCTCCTCGTCATCATCATCTGTAGAGTCCTCCGTTGTGTCCCCGTTCTGTGCGTCCTTGTTGTCGCCCTTCTCTTCTGCCTTGCCGCCGTTTGGAGTCGGTGCAGGGGGTAGCTCCTTATCCTTCTCCGCGGGCGGCGGTGTAGGCGTCTGTCCTTCACTGGGGGGGCCGGGTTTCATGGCGTCGAGGTAAAACTTAGTCACACCCAAAATACGGCCAGTCTTCTCGCAGGCATCAACCCACTCAGGGCGAACGACGGGAATGTTGCTCTCAACCGCCTTTTCCCATTGTTGGCCGCGACCTTCGGTGGTTACAAAGTGCGTCGTGTCGATACGGACACCATCCACAAGCTTGGCGCCCATGCGCTCAACCGTCTGGGTCAGGCTCTCCTTGATTGCGCCGGGCAGAATGCCAGTAGTGATGGTGATGCCACTCAGGTCGGTCATCTTGTGCGTCCGCACGGGGACGCGCTCGCTAATGAAGGTGCCGGCGGTGGTGCGTAGGACCAGGTGGAAGGTGTATTCGGTGTCGACGGCAAGGCCACTAATCTTGGTGCTGTGCATCTGCAAGGGACGGGGGATGTTTCCGGCCTTCTGGCCATTGCGGTAGAGGCTCAGGGAGATGAGGTCGGCGGTGGCAAGCTGGATGGGATCCCACTCGAGGACTACGGAGGTCTGGGTGGCATTGCGGCAGCGCAGCGCAGGAGTGTCGGGCTCGGCGGAGCCAAAGGAGCCGTAGATGTGATCTTGGAGGGAGCGGAACGAACGGTCGGCAGCGGCCTCTTTGGTTGCGTTCTGGGACACGGCAATGTCGACGATGCTGCCTGAGGAGATGTTGGGAGGCAGCAGAATGGATGGGAACTCGATCTAGCCGTAGGTGTCAGCGCGGAACAGGAGGCAGAGCATTGACGTAGAACAAGCCGTACCAGGCGTTTATCGGGCGTCAGCAGGACGGTGACGCCGGCGTCGACCTTACCGACGGTGAGGGAAACCAGCATGGCGAGCGGATGTGGCAGTGATGATGGTGGGATGAGAGATAGAGCTGGTCACGGGGGCAGAGATGGAAAGAAGGGGAGGAGGAGAGACACAGACACGGTTGCGACGGCAAACAGGCGAGCGCTCTAGTACCCGTTGTCGTCGTTGCGTCTTGTGTCGTGGGTGCGCCGGCGGTTGGGGGAGGAGAAAAAGGGGTGAGATGTGGTGGTGATGGTGATGTCTTGCAGGAAAGCTGCGAATTGGACAAGCTGTCTTGGAGGTTAGTTCCAGCTTGACGTGTGGCGGTGGTGGTGCATTTGCGCCCAGTGGATAGTTCTAGTGGATGGTCCAGTGAGCGGGTGGTCCAGTGCGGGCTGTCCTCTCCAGTTGGGAGGCTGACGCTTGGCCCGTGCACCGCCCCGCGAGTTTCGACTCTCCTTTGAAACGGCGTGTTAGTCGTTGAGTTCAGCCGCGATTCTTAGTTCCAGGTTTCCAGCCATGGTTTTGCCTCTTCCCTCCCGTGTCTATCCATAACAATTGACGAGGATTCGAGCAGTACTTTCTGCAAGGCGGCTCTCTTTGACGCTCGGGGTAGACTGGGGGATCTACGTCAGCCCAGCACGACCCCTGCTTCAAACATCTAGCCGCCGATACCCCTATCTAGGTAGCCAGGTGTCAATATCTGTTTGAACAAGAAATAAGTCGGGCAAATAAATTACCATCAAGATCTTGGATCTCACGCCCTTCCAAGATTCATCCATGTCCAACACTACTTGAAACAGATACCAAGTGACAACCAGAACACACCATCAGAGCTCGGCAATGGACAATACATTGAGGAGGTAGGTATCAACTAATATACACGACATCATATCATAGGTTTCTTCTGCCCGCTTGTTCATCACTGGCCTTGTGGCCTGGTCCCCTCTCTGGTTCCTTCTGCTCTACCGCCTCGACGCTCGCCATCGACGCTCCTCCTATACTGCCTCACCACTGCATCGGCAAGAGCCTTTCCAAACTGCACCGCAGGAGACGACGCCGCCTTTTTACCATCGTACGTGGTCACCAAAACAGTGCCTGTAACCTTCATATTGGGGTCCTGTAACTCCTCCAGCGCAGTCCAAAACTCCCTCGCCAACCGCCGGTGCCCCAGGGAACGCACCAAGCCCGTGTCCTTGTTGCGGGGGATAAAGTACAGCCATAGTGGCTGATTTTCCTTCTTTTCTCGGTACTTTGATTTGATGCCCTCGATAAACGGGTGCCCCCGCGGCTGTAGATAAATGAGGTGGTGAGGATGGATGATGTGATACTTGCTAAACATGAGCTTGCAAGAAAAGGTATCCGTAATGTGCCGGTTTTCGGGCGCCAGGGATAAAAAGTTGGCCTTGGAGTTGTCGATCTCGATGCCGGTGCTTTGGAGGAACTCCCACACATCGGGTGTCGTCTGCAGCCTGCCGTTCCGTATAAACCTCTTGGCCCCCGACGGCACCCACATTTTGCTAGCCTGGCTCTGCCCCTTGATCATGTTGTCGGACTTTCGGTTCCTCTCGAATGGTTTCCTTGCCATCGGGAGGGCCGCAGAGGTATCCCGTGGCTTTTTGTTGTTCGGTGGCCTGTCCCGCGCCTGGTTTTGTGAAGGCCTGGGACCATTCTGGCCCTTGGAGTCGCGCCGAGGGTTGTTCGTATTTTGATTTGTCGCATTCGCCGTGGGCGTCGTCGAGTAGGCGCGGCGAAGGGAGGCCAAGGACCACGACAGGAGCCGAGGGCACAGGAGAGCTGGAGCTATCGCCATGTTGGTTAGAAGGCGGATTGGCTCTGGCTCATCTTGAGCTCGGGGGCGCCGGGGAAGGCAGTCGCTGCGCCGGGATTGCGTGCGCTGGGGTAATCCGGGATTGGTGGGTGCGATCGCGTGTCTGGTCGGGACGCGGCTGATATTCAATGTCGACTCGTTTTAGTTGGATTATCGGATTGGATGGATCTAGAAGACTTACCTACCTATCCACTGCAGTGAGGTCAGTCGCAAGAAAACTAACAGCTTAATTGGGGCTGGTGCGGCACGCCACTTGTGGCAGTGCATCATGGCATGTGCGAGAACTTAGTTAGTAGAGTACCTAGCAGAGGACCGTGTGTCCCGCCAAAGTATCTGTCTGCTCAGGTATCGCAGTAACTGCAGAATCAGGCCTCCTGTCTGTCTGTGCCACCAATTTTGACTCATGCCGCGCACCCAACCGTACGGCCGAAATAAAATGGTCCCGGGCCCCTCCATCCACCAAGACCCAGTCGCCGCGAGGGAAAAATCCACAATCTCACCAACCACAACAACACACCATCACCTCCACCAAACCCGACCCCGAATACACTCGCAAATATGCCTAAGAACAAGGGAAAGGTACGATGCACTCCCCGTCCCCTTCATGCCCTCCCCCTTCGCTCTGTCTCGCTCTCGTCCGCGCACAAACTCCTCTGTCGCGCGCGTCTCCAACCGAAACTGCCCCGCCCCCACCATCATCACAGCGCCTTTGCGTCGCAGCCCAACCCACCGCGATACTCGCTTTACTAACACCTCATCTCTCACAGGGTGGCAAGAACCGCAGACGTGGTACCAAGGAGAACGATGATCAGCGTCGTGAGTTGACCTTCAAGGAGGACGGCCAGGAGTACGCCCAGGTCATCAAGATGCTGGGCAACGGTCGTCTCGAGGCTCTGTGCTTTGACGGCAGCAAGCGTCTCGCCAACGTACGTGAAACAAAAGAAGAGCCCCTCGCGTTGAGGCCTTCTCCCCCTAGCCCAACCGACCCAAGGTCATGTTCAGCCAGCTAACGCTCCCCCAGATCCGTGGCAAGATGCGCAAGAAGGTCTGGATCAACCAGGGCGACATCATCCTCCTGTCCCTTCGAGACTTCCAGGACAACAAGGGCGACGTCATCCTCAAGTACACTGCCGACGAGGCCCGAACCCTCAAGTCCTACGGCGAGCTCCCCGAGCACGCCAAGATCAACGAGACCGACTCTTTCGGCCAGGGCGAGGACGGCGAGGCCTACTTCGAGTTCGGCGACGCCGACTCCGATGAAGACTCCGATGAGGAGGGTGGCAAGAAGGAGGTCGACATTGACGACATTTAAGCCGCCCCCAATATCCATCCTTTTTCGCCCTCCACTGAGCCCCCGACGTCCCGGTCAGGACTTGTTCGTCCCCCGACCGGCGTTGTTGATACTGTCTTCTCTCTCAAACCCGTGGCTCGGTCGCACTCGTTGCCGTGCCGTGGGTCCCACGACAGTAGTTGCTGTGGAGTTGGACGGCCGTGGTGGGAGGGACGTCACGGCCTGTCATCTAGTTTACTTTTCACGTCTTCTTTGTCTACTTTGCGTTGCTCGTACTCCACGAATATCATGAAGATCCTCTCGCCCAAAAAGCACCGGTTAGACAGAGACTCAAAAAATTCCAAATGATTTTTTCATATTTCTACCACAAAAACCCTTGACATGGAGACAACAAAAAAGGTTGTTTTCCCCATCTACTCAACCCATCTCGACTTGCACACATAACACAGCAGCTCCCAACGCCATGCGGGCTTGTCTCCCAGAGTTTGAGCTCCTTTCCGTGCCAGACCCATGTCGGATGCCCACGTAGAAAACACCAACTGTAAACCATTCCCCCTAATGATAATGTCACTGTTTCGTCTCAGTGGCGTAGAATTGGAAATCGACGGCGCCAAGCGTGCGCTCTCCATCCACACGCTATGGGCCTCCTGACAGACGAGTGAAAACCCTTTTTTGCCATGCTCTCCGTGTCCTTCTCTTTGGGTGCTGTGGAAACCCGTTTACCAGTCATCGTTGTTGTCCTCATCGTCTACGTTGCGGTTAGCATATTGGCGCTAAAATGTATAGGGGGTGTTGACACTTACCACTCTTGCTGACCTTCTCCTTGCGCTTCTGAAGGGCGGCAGCCAGGGCATCAGCCATGCCGCCACCACCACCAGGAGCAGCGCCGCCGCCGCCGCCGCCGCCAGCAGCATCGCCGCTTCCACCCACCTGAGCTCCGCTTCTGTCTCGGATCTTAGTCCTATCGACCTTCTTGAGTGAAGCAATACCGCCAGCCTTCTGGATGTCTCCAAGCACCGCTGATCGTGTACCGTCCGCGGCGGGCATGGCAGGAACACCAGAGGAGTATCCAGAGTCGCGGTTGGGCATGGGCGGTGGTGGAGGAGCACCAGGGGGACCGCCTCCGGAGGTTGGTGGTGGAGGAGGTGGTGGAGGCGGCGGAGGAGCGCCTGAAGTTGGAGGCATCGGCGGAGGTGGAGGAGGCGGCGGAGCGCCCGAGGTTGGCGGCAGAGGAGGAGGCGGTGGAGCGCCCGAGGTGGGCGGCAGAGGAGGAAGTGGTGGAGCGCCTGAGGTGGGCGGCAGAGGAGGAGGCGGAGGAGCGCCGCCAGTCGGAGGCAGTGGTGGGGGAGGTGGAGGAAGAGAAGACGTAGGGGGTAGAGGCGGCAGCATGGGAGGTTGGCTGACTGCCGGAGGAGGTGGCACCGGACGGGAGCTCGGGGGCGGGAGGGGTGGAGCTCCGGAGGCCGGCACCTTCGGGGGAAGTGGCGGAGGGACAGCCGCGGGTGCAACATGAGCGTCGTTTGAGCGCGGCGGGGGCGGAGGAGGGACTGGTCCACGGCTAGGAGTAGGGGGAGGGAGCCGTGAGCCGGCGAAGGGTGGAGGGACACCGTGCTTGTGGCCCGAGTCGTTTTCGACCGGGACCTTGCTCGGTCGGGGCGGCGGCGGCGGTCCGGGTGTGGCAACGGGAGCCGCAGATACCGGCCTCGGGGGCTCTACGTGGGCGAACTTGCCAGCATCGGCCAGAGGAGGGGGAGCGTTGAACCTGGGTCGAGGAGGGAGCGGTGCGGGAGTGGGCGCTTGCTCAGGGGGAGTATCGGCCTTCCCGCCGCGTCGCGGTGCTGGTGGAGGGGGAGGTCCGCCTCTTCTTGGGGCCGGGGGAGGAGGAGGAGCGTCCGCATGGCCTCGCGAGGGACCTCCAGGCGGCGGCAGAGGCGGGGGAGGAGGAGCTCGCCCTGTGCGTTGATCTCTACCGTTCGTTGGGGCTGCAGGCGGTGGTGGTGGCGATGCAGGCGGTTGGTTCACCTTCTGCTGTTCGTCCCTTAAGAAATCGACAATGAATTCCTGGTTCTCCTTGATAAAGTCGTCTGTCAAACCCTTGTCCTGGAGGTCTTGGCCGAAGTTCTCGCGCCACTTGGGGTCAAAAGCATCCAGCATGGCGAACTCCGAGGGGGGCTTGCCGCCATTGAGGCTTAAGGAAGAATTGACGACGTGGTGTTGAATGGAGTTGGAGTTGGAGTTTACTCGGTGAGGCTCTTGGGGCGCCTGTGACGGCGCAGACGAGTGTCGGTGGCCAAAGAGCCCTCCCAGCAGGCCATGCTTATGGGTCGGTTGAGCACCTCCGCCGAAGGGCGTTGATCGGGTAGACCGGGTTGCGTTCTTCTCTCGCTCGTCCATCTTCTTTTTGAATTGTTTGGCCTCCTTTTCGTCGATGAAGCTCAGCGCAGCGAGGCATTCCTCAAGCTCGAACGTATGGAAGAAGGTCCGGTCCTGGTTGTAGGACCACGTATCAAAGATCTCCTGATCCCAGATGACTCCGCGATTGGAAGGCTGCTCGTTGTTAGAAACAAGGTTGGGTATGTTAGGGGCGTCACTCGGGGCAGTCGACATACCGAGATATCCACCATCTTGATCCAGTAGGTGTGTCCGACCAGGTCGTTGGCGAGCACGATGGCTCCTTGCAAGCCGGTATATGTCCATTTCAAGCGATTGGGGTAGGCAACGTAGAGTCTAGCGACGGCGACGGCCTGGATCTTGTTGGACTGCTTGGGGACGAACCGCTTGACGGTGTCCTTGTCGTCTTCGTTCAGAATCGACGGCATGATGAAGTCGGGGCAAGGGCAAAGGGTTTGAGAGAGGTGTCGCGGGGACGGTGAGCCAGTCCCCGGTCAGTAAAATAGGAACGAATGTGTCGAGAGTCGTCGTGTGCAGCCCAGGATGAGGGCATGGAGCGGCGCTTATCCGTGTCTCCTCTTTCGCTGTTGTCGCAGGGTCGGTTGGCGGTGGGTTGACGGTCGGTCGGCGCTCGCGTGAGGCAGCCGGGTTTCGGGGGGGAGGGCGGCGAGGGCGGCGAGGTCGTTGAGGCCCGAGACTCTTGTCGACAAGGAGAATGGACAACCCGAGCTTCCGGGAGTGGAGATGGACGGTCTCAAATGGCGTGGGCCAGCACGGATTGCCGTCGCATGTCAAATCCGCTGTGGGAGAGTCAGGTAACCAGGCTGGCCCGCGCGCTCGGGGGAGCTAGCAAGGTGATGGAGTCTTCGGCGGTGCACCAGCCACAAGCGGTGGTGCAGCACAGCCACACTGCAGTCGACGCCAAGATCGTGGGGCGAGAACAGATGGGATGCCTTGCGTAAGGCCGGGATATCAACGCGCGTCTAAATAGGCATCCACCAAAAGAGCAGACGAAAATGGCTGTCATTCATTCCATTCCCAGCAGAGTCGACTCGCTCAAACCGATCCCATATGGCCGACAAAGCCATCAACCTCCTTCTAGAAATTTCCACCACACTCGCTCTCGGGTACGGCGACGGGGATCATGGCCAACGCTCCATGCGAGTGGAGCCTTGGGCGTATTATTCACGTCAGCGCTGACTGGGCTCCAATCGTCATGGCGACTCACAATACGACAATACGAAGGGCCCTGTCGCCCGTCTATCCGGATGCATCACATAAATCGTACATGTGCACAGGGCAATTTTATTCGAGGTTCATCATTCCCATTCATATCTCTAATACACTTTCATTTAGACATGTTATCCGTAGTACGTCCCTGGTCATACATTCGTCAAGCCCGACACCTAATATTAGGTGCCTAGTGGGTGGTGACAGAAGCAAGCGAGGCCCAACCTCACTTCTTACTTCTTGTTCATAGCCTCCATCTTGGCTTTTCGCTCTTCCTTGGTTCCCTCCTCTTGGGGCATTTCCTTGGGAACGGCCGGGCCGGGGTGAGCGCCAAAGGCTCCGAACTTGGGGTCAACGGACTCCTTGATGGGCTGGATGCTGAACTCCTTCTCACCCTGGTTGAGCATGGTCAGCCGTCGGTCACCACAGTGTCTGGGAGTGTGGCCAACGCTTACCTCGTTCTTCTGGTCCTTGGTCATCTTGATTGATTTGTTTGTGGGTGGATTTAGATGTGAATCTGTTGTGGTCGAATTGCGTGGAGTTTGATATGATTAAAAGAAGATTGTTCTTTGGGATGGCTGTCCACCACCTTTTGTAGGCGTTTGCTCCATCATGCCAACCAAGACGATGACGTCGACATCCCCCTCACTGGGCCGAGAGGTAACCTGAGGATCGCGCGTCCCTGTGGCGCCCGAGTGAATCAGACGGTCCGAGACTACGTGGCGTAAGCTTTCCGGAATCTTCGCAGGTGTCACAGAGTGAAACCCGACCACCAATTCAATTGGCCTTCCGATTAGAGGCAGCCAATGGTGCATGCGAGATGCGTTGACGATGCGTTGACGACGCACCTGTACCACCTCTAAATGACGTTGCGACTTTCAGCGGAGCGTCACTTCGCACGCTGTGCCGGAGCCAGCCGGACACACCATTACTTCAGGTTTTAGGCTTCCATGGGCCCCTGAGACTCTAGAGATCTCATCTCTTGGAATGACCTATGTCTATCAATATCACGTTTCATATTGGATATTTCTCCAGCGTCTTGCCATCCTCGTCCTATCTACGTCTTTTAGGTGTATAGAGATAGTGAGATAGGTGACCTGGATTCACACATTGATCCATTCTCATGAATTACAACACAATCCACCCCGACTAGCATTCTCGTAAATATGATACTTACGTACTAGAAACTACCCTATATTTTCTACGAGGCTACTCTTTTGATAATCCAGCTCTACGTAATGTTTAATTCATTTATGTCTGTCTAAGTTCTTGTAGTCTCCCCCCAGGCGCTCGACCCGCTATAACTTAGCGGCCCCGGCGGCACCGAGTCACTGAAGATCCCCTGCCAGCATGGACCCCGCTACAGCTGTAGTGGGTGCCATGATGGAATGCCAATTCCCATGCTCGGGACAGCTTCACGACCAGACATTCATATCTAACCTCCACCTCCTCCTCCGCCAGCACCAGCACTCCGGGGCCCCGCATGTCGACAAGTAATGCTCCCCAACCAGTGAAGCTTTCACTGCCGCTCGTATGTCCGCCCAACAACGCAACCCCGCTGCGCTAGCTGACCATCTCGTAGGAGTATCAGCAGGCCCTGTTCCAAGAGCTCCGTGCCGAAGATGAAGTCGTCGTGCTCGCCCGCGGCCTCGGGCTGATGCGTCTCGTTACCAACCTCCTCCACTCCTACGATGCGGCGGGTAACAACCTCATTGTCATAGTCGGGGCCGACGACCGAGAGAATGGCTGGATTGGCGAGGCACTGGCTGAGCATGCCGCCATCAGCATGTCGCCCAAGGCGCGTGGGCTAACGGTCGTCAACACTGACTTCCAGAGTGTCGGTGCCAGGGAGAAGATGTACAAAGGAGGTGGTATTTTCAGTATCACCTCGCGTATCCTAGTTGTTGACCTCTTGACCGGGTTGTTGGATCCCGACACCATCACTGGCTTGGTACTGCTCCACGCCGATCGCACCATCGCTACCTCCCTCGAGGCCTTCATTTTACGAGTCTACCGACAAAAGAACAAGGTCGGTTTTCTCAAGGCCTTCTCGGACAACCCCGACCCGTTTACTACGGGTTTCTCGCCTCTAGCGACCATGATGAGAAACCTTTTTCTACGCAAAGCGTCGCTCTGGCCCAGGTTTCACGTCACGGTCGCACAATCTCTCGAGGGGAAGAAGAAGGCCGAGGTCATTGAACTCGAGGTCCCGATGACGGACTCCATGAAGGAAATCCAGAACGCCATTATGGAGTGTGTTGAAGTCAGTATTCACGAACTGAAGAAGGGTAACAGTGGCCTGGAAATGGACGACTGGAACCTCGATAGCGCCCTGCTCAAGAACTTCGACGTCATGGTTCGACGGCAGTTGGATCCGAACTGGCATCGCGTCAGTTGGAAGACGAAGCAGATCGTCAACGACCTAACAGTTTTGAGGACTCTACTAAACTCAATTTTAACCTACGATGCGGTTTCATTCCTTCAGCATCTGGATACCATCCATGCGGCGCACTCTCCTCCTCCAGGGTCAACCCGCCAGACCCAATCCCCATGGCTGTTCCTAGATGCGACACAAGTCATCTTTGACACTGCTCGAAGAAGAGTATATTCGGCAAACACCAAGGCAGCAGCGACGCATGAGGGAAACATCGATTCTCTTCGACCGGTCCTCGAAGAACTCCCCAAGTGGGCTCTGATGGCGGAGGTCCTCGAAGAGATCGACCGAGACCTTTATTTTGAACCTCCCACGAAAGACGACTCCAATGGCACTATTCTTATCATGTGCTCCAGCACTGATACATGCAGGCAGCTTCGGGATTATTTGCAGTTGATGCATATCAAGCCCAAAACGGACAAGAAGGATGATGAAGACGAAGAAGACGCCCATAAGCCATCCGCGGCGTTCATGATGCGGCGGAGACTGCGAAATTATCTTAGGTGGAAGAAGCAGTTCGCCCAAGTCAGTTCTACCCTCTTTGCCGAGAATCAAAAGGCCATCAACGGTGCGACAGACACACGACCCGGCCAAGGGGGTCACAGAGGCGGCAGGGCACCAGCAAACAAGAGAAGACGAGTCCGAGGCGGGGGCAACATGGGCCCAGCTGTAGGCCGTGCAGAAAACGGCAGCATTATGCAGTACATTGAGAAGCCTGGTGAGGTTGCCGATCTCATGGCTGAGGTTCAAATCACTGAAGAGGAGGCTCAACAGAAGGAAGACGTCATCGCGGATCCTCTAGACAACATGGAAGATTACTTCAAGATGTATGAGATGCAAGACCTCGTTGTCATCCACGCCTATGACGGCGACCAGGATGAGCATGTTTTGGAGGAGGTTAAGCCGCGATACATTATCATGTATGAACCAGACGCGGCTTTCATCCGCCGTGTCGAGGTGTACCGGTCGTCACACAACGACAGAAACGTCAGGGTCTATTTCATGTACTACGGCGGGTCGGTTGAGGAACAAAAGTACTTGTCGACAGTCAGACGAGAGAAGGATGCCTTTACGAAGCTCATCAAAGAGAGGGCTAGTATGTCGCTGGTGATGACGACTGATTCTCACGGCACCGAAGATCCTGAGGAGGCATTCCTCCGGACCGTCAACACTCGCATCGCTGGCGGCGGCAGGTTGGCCGCAACAGCACAACCACCGCGCGTCGTGGTCGATGTACGAGAGTTTCGATCATCGTTACCGTCACTCCTACACGGACGGTCTATGGTCATCGTGCCGTGCATGCTCACGGTGGGCGATTACATTCTATCTCCCAACATCTGCGTGGAGCGAAAATCCATCAGTGATTTGATCTCGTCTTTCAAGGATGGGCGCCTCTACAATCAAGCGGAGACTATGTTTCTGCACTACAAGAACCCGATGCTTCTTATTGAGTTCGACCAGAACAAGTCGTTTACACTTGAGCCGTTCGCCGATCTGTCGGGCAGCTTTAACAGCGTAGCGCCGACTAATGTCTCCTCGGATCTGCAGTCTAAAATCGTCCTGCTGACGCTAGCCTTTCCAAAACTGCGCATTATCTGGTCGTCGTCCCCGTACCAGACCGCCGAGATTTTTGAGTCGCTCAAGACGCAAGAGGAGGAACCAGACCCGATCGCGGCGGTAAAGGCAGGCCTCGACAAGGACACCAAGGCAGGAGAACAGACGTTCAACCAAGAGCCCCAGGACATGTTAGCAATCGTACCAGGTGTGACGCCACAGAATATCAAGACCCTAGCGTTTGAGACAGAGAACCTCCGAGAGGTGGCCAACATGGAGGAGAAGGAGTTGGAGCCGCTGGTGGGCAAGACAGCAGGACGGACAATTTACGGTTTCTTTAACCGGAATATCATGGAAGAAGAAGACTAGGGTTACGGACACGGCAGATAGGAAATGACAATGATACCCAGACGTGAACAATGAAGCATTCATTTGTTGCTATTGAGAAACTAGCATGGTATAAGGGGTATTCTTGCGGCCGGTGATAAGAATTGGGTATCCCACTAGGCGCATAGGAAGCAAAGAAAACAGCAAAGTCGTCCATCTCGTGACATTTCAACACGCCTCCTCCTGTCCCCTTCGACAACCAGAGTTGAAGCAGGGAGCCGCTTTATACTCGGCTTCTTCTCGACGTTCTCGTGCCTCCTCCATGTCGCTTGCTGCCGCAGTAGCCGCAGGTGAGGAAGCGCACGATGATACCGCAGAAGCGGACAATGGCGCTGATGATGGCCTGGAGAATGCCGCCGATGCCGCTAATGACAGCCATGATGGCGTCGCCGATAGTGCGCAGCGCGGCCTTGATCTATAGTGGCGGGTTAGTTTTCGTGGAGGTAGGAGGCGGTCTAGGGGAATGGCTTACACAAGAGACGACTCCACCCATGATTGCAGTGTTTTGGAGGTTGGGTATGTGGTTGTGGTGTGGTGTGGTGTAGATTTGGTCAAAGAAAAAGGCTTTGAAGTCTAGTCTCGTCGCTTTGGTTGATGATGGTTCTACTTCCCTCAACAATCACGTTAGTTCCCTTGGCTTTATATACACGAACCGCTCTTGCACAACGCCAACCCTACCAGCCACTCACGCCCGTTCATCCACGCCGTCATGAATTCGCCCACGAACCCAACGCTTCCACCTGACGTCAGGGCGCCCCCTGTGTCATCTCGATGCGGTTCCCGAAGGAGCAGCCCAACAACGCAACACCCCTGCACAAACACTAGCCGCCCTCGGTGCATTCGCTCCGGCCAGGAACCCAGTGTTCCGGACGCTGTGTTTGGCTCCGGCGCGTTTTGCGCGTGGCCGAAAACTCATATCCATGACGTGTGCGGCTCGCGGGTGGCTTGTCGCGCCCGCGCTGAAATCAAGGCCGTTGCGCATCCGCTATCCCACTTGCGACTGACAGTACCCGCTGTAACCTCTAATTACCGATTTTTGCCGCTGAATGGCATTCTTTCTGTGTGCTAACCAGTGGGCTAGCCAGTGGCTTCGTGCATCATGCTGATAGGGCCCTGTCTTGTCGTTACCGCCTTGGGCTCGACTGCATTGCATGGGAGTACAGCTACGAGGCTGGAGTCATGACGTCACGGCGTTGTGGCAGGAGTCAGTCGTCGATGTCACCACGACGATCGTAAATCCCAGCATGGTAACGACAGTCGAAAAGGGTTTCTCAATTCTCGCTCAACCAGACTTTTTCGTCAAAGGTCGTTCACGCAGGGTAACATTCAACGTGGCCAGGGTGCCTTTGCAAAGGATCTGGTGTGTCTATAGTTCATTACAGTGGGGGTATATTCCGTCAACTCCAACCTCATTGAGATGAGTATCTGTATCAGCGATACTGCACATGGCGATTCCGGTCTCTACATGACCCAGTAACGCCTGTCTATATGTCACAAAAACGTACAATCGTACACAATGCATCCGCCACTCCTACAACCATCGCCTCTTGGTCACCTTCTGCATGTTGACGCGCCGGAGCATCTCGCGGTTCCTAGAGTCGAGCAGCCCAAGTGCCGTTCGGTCGTCCGGTCCGTACGGCTGCCCGCGCGGAAGATGAGGCCTCTCGTCGCTCATCATCTTGATACGCTGCACCCGCCTCAGCTTAGTGAGGCCGTACCAGCACACGAAAAGTGAGAAGACAATGGAGGCGCCGGTGACACCACCGAAGCCCCAGTTGGTTTCTTCGATAAAGTTCTCCAGGTTCATCCCGTAAAGGCCTGCGATGAATGTGCCCATAGCGAGTCCCAGTGTTCCAACACTGAATTTCAGGTCCAGAAGCATGAGGGCGTTGCGGTTTGCATCCAGGATGGCGCGCGCGCTGCACTTTGTCAGTAGTGTGGACGGGGATGCAGCGCAGGGGAGAGCTTCTTACATGTCTTCGGTGTTGCGGATCCCGGACACCAGGTTTCCTGCCTCTTGGACAATTTCGTCGGTAAGTTTGTGGTACGACTCGAGCAGCATCTCCACCTCGGTATGGTCGTCCATCCCTCTGTATAGATCGTGCGCCTTCTCCGTCAGGTACATGGCCGCCAGATCATCGTCTGCCTCGAGCAGTTCCTCAATGGCGTCTCGCACCAGCTTGACCTTCTGCTCAAAGGTGCTCACCCTCTTCGATAGAATAAGTAGCATGCGCAACTTCTGCCGATCGATGTCGTCTTCCAGCTCGCTGAGAATATGCATCACAGGCTCACGAACCGCCTCGAAGTCGGCTTCGAGCTCCGACGTCACCGAGGTCAACACAGCTTCGAGGGCGCGAAATTCGTATGGGAGTGATCCGGTGTTTTGGGAGTTTGGCGTGTTCTTCTGTTGGAGTTTGCCTTGCAGGTCATACATGAAAGCAGACTGGGGGTAGGACGTCTTGGACCCATAGACATCAAAGAGGAGTACACGGTCATGTTTGATGAGGACCTTGAGATGGAGCAGGTTCAAGAGAATCGCCGAAGGACGGACAAGAATGTGAGGGAGGTTTGACGAGTCAATTTTCCGCAAGTCTCGAGGTAACAGACCGTACTATCGAACCATTTCAGTCGGCGCCCAAGTTCGAGGCATTGAGTTGAAGAGAATGGCCACATACCTTGGCAATGAGCTCCGTCTTCTTGAACTCGCCGTCCACCAAGATTACCTTTCCGTGCTCGTCGACTTCAGTACATCGTAGCCGCGGCTCGGACGCAGCCTTGGCCGCCAATGACCGACGGCTGCTGAACATGGTCGAGCCGCCGCCAAATTCGTCGTGGCTGGGGAGATCGTCGGGCTTCAAAGGCTTCGCACCCTTCCTTGCCGAGCTCCCCCAAAGCCGTTCTTGCCATGTTGGCGCCCCTTCGTCGGTATCGTCCCACTTGAACCACTTCCGCGCGCCCGGGGTTGTGCTGAAGGAGCACTTGAAAGCCCCAACCTGGTCTCTTGTTCGCAGTTGTCGCAGCAGCGGCTCCAGGTTGAGAAAGGAGGCCTCGAGGGTCGCAGTTCGGCGGCCGCAGGTCGTGGCAATGGATTTCGACAGCTTCTTCGCCGGCGGGTTCGACCCTCGCATTTTTCGACAGAGCGCCGGGACGGCTATCGCGTCCGAGGTAGCACCATGGCTGCAGCTGACGAAGGCTCTCTTGGACTGTGAGCGCAGGAATCGGAGGAGGCTGCGCGAGGGAACCGGAGACCGCAGAGCGGAGTGCATCACTGGGGATCCCGCGCGTCACGTGGAGTGCGGGAAGGTCGTCGACATGGAATGCGGCCGTAAAATGAAGCTTTGGCGGAGGTATCGATATCGTCGGGGTTCGAGATTCTGGAGGTTTGCACGCCATGGCATGGGTTTGGTTGGCTGTCGGAGCTACTAGTGCCCGTTCTTGGCCGAAAATTCGCTGAGAGACAGGGAATGCGCACGGGCCATTCCATGAGACAACCTCTGCATCATCAATCGAGACTCAACTTGTTAGTTATTGATAATACACAAATGCATAGTAATATTTCATGTTCAACTAGGGCATATTGATGTATCTCGGGGCCTCTAATTCATCGGAGGCTTACAGCCTCTCGCAAGATTCTGAGTGGGGCGGCCGACGGTTTATCCCGGTCATCTTTAAGTTAGGAGCCAACTTTTAACCCGCAACTCCGCCAGAGGAGACGATACTCCGGAATCCCAACCGCAACATCCTCCAAGAGTCAAACATAACAACACGCTCACGACCAAGAGGGGGTCCAACTTGGCTTGGGGTGATTGTGCCACTCTCCTCGGCCATTTCCGTCTACTGCTATCCTACCATCGCCCTACTGTTACTTCTTGCTCTCCTTCTGCTGCTTCTCTTCGTCCGGAAACTCCTGATAACTAGCCAGAACAAACCCACCTTCCACGCCATCGACCGCTTCTCCTTCGTTTCTCTTTACTCGTCCCTTCTCTTCTTGGACCTCCTAATCGTTATGACCCTTACTCCCATCCGCATCCGAGGCAAACGCAAGACCAAAGCCTCATCCACCAGCAACCCACCGTCGGCCCTCAGCGACAGCCTCAACCCGCATCTTACTGCAAGGGCCAAGAAGATGAAGCGCTCGATTTCTACCGTCCTCGCTGACCGGTCATCCCGCTACCGCGCATCGCTTGATGCTCTCCCCGCCGAGATCCTCGAGAAAATCCTCCTCTACAGCACCAACTTGGCGCTGCCGCGTGCTGCACCTCACATCGGAGCCAAGCTCTCCGGCCGTGCCACCCTCCTCCGTCTCTTTATCTGGGCTTTCCACGATACTTGGAACCAGTGGTTTGGTATCCCGGTCCGGAGTGATGTCTTCTTTGGACCAGAGATCAAGAATCCTGAGTTAAGGATCTGCGACGGAGATCCGGTTCTGCAGGTTCGTCTTCTTACCTACCTCAACATGACCCCTTTTCAGTGAAACATTGTCATGTACTGACATCCGAACAGTCGGCCGTCTTGGAGCTTCCTTGGGTAAATATCGACTTCATCCTCCAGGCACAGCAGACCTGGGCAGATACCTATGCCAAGGACCGGTGGTACCAACACAGCATCGACTGGGACCGCGACGATGACGGGCTGCCCACGCATCACCACGACGACAGTCATGACTTCGACGGTGGCTATGGCCATTTTGACGCCCGCCGTTGCTTCGAGGCCGACTACCAGAAGGCCCTGTCATGGCAGCCTTTTGAGGCAAGCATCGAGCCTTGGGGCTTCCGGGACATTCACCCACTCACCCGCGTCCCTACCAATCTCATCACTGGCCCCTGGGACGATGAGAAGCAGCGCCGTCTCCTGTGGTTCACACGCGGCGGAGCTCTCAATCTCGGTGGAGAGGGTCACGCGCCGTCGCCGCCCTGGGAGGTCCGAATCGACTTCCTCCGCAACGCCGTCATTGACACCCCTGAGCCCAACGTGCTGGTCTGCAATTGCCTGATCCGCGCCTGGGTTTACTGGGGGCTTCCCGGGGATGTCGTGAGGCAGGAGTTGCGGAAGATACGTCAACGCATCGAATGGGGGGGCGACACGCCTGCGGGGAGGACCATCCTGCGCGAGGTCGGGACAACGCTGAGCAGCTTCCTCACGTTTCCGTCGTATGGGAAGGATTAGTGAGTTGTTGAATGGGAAAGCTTTCGCTACTCAGGCGAATTTCCCCGTGCCACGTGTGGTTGAACGCGGTGGTCAGGGGAGCCGGGCCTCAATGCGCAAGTCACACGAGCAGCCATTGCCGACAAGCGACAGAAGCAAATTCCATGCGTCTGTACCATGTACTCCGACGAGTATGCACGACATCCAGCGGTGCAACATTGCACAAAGGAGACTGCATGGTACACATGCATCTCCGGAGTCATCCGCCAGCACACCTGGCCCAGTGTGACAGCCACGAAGCCCAACTCGACCTAACTCGGCATCTCCAGTCCGGTAACACGCAATGCACCGAAGAAGCCAGAACTGTCTTACGGGATGCTCGTGTTACGCGACACTGCAAGCACCGGGCCGCAACGACGATGCACAATGGCAGACCCGGAAAGCTGCTACCAGATCCGTATCTCCAACATAACATAACCGAACTCTGGCGTCATGTCTCCCACTTGCCATATCCAGCTCGCCGATGCCGATGTGACTAACCCGGCCACCTGGACGCAACTCCAGCCTCCCTGGTCCGTTGTCCAGACTCTCACGGTGGTGAGACTCTCATCCTCCAGGCATGCCATAACCTGATTCCGACGCTCCTCCTCTTGCCTAAGGATACCACCCGAGGCATCTACGCTATACTAACATCCTGGCACGAGCCATACCGAATTCCCGCTGGCCGAGCTTTCGACTCACTCCGACTCATTCTGGCTCACTCCCTGCCTACAACCTGCCTGCCGTCGATGTGGGGATACACACCTCTCTGTATCCCCTCCCGGTGGTCCATGAGGTACCAGGGCTAAGCATCTCACTTGTATGGCGAGAGGGAACATGTTTAATGAATTAATTAATTGTACTGTTGTATTTGCCATTTGTCCTACCTTGGGGTAGAAATTATATGGAAGTTTAGTGTAAGTGCCGAAGCACGACCGCAGGTGGGAATAGCATCATTGCTCAAGCCGTCAACGACGTAGCATAAGCGAGGACGGAGCATAGAGTCCGAGGGTAAGGGCACGCAGGCATTTTTTCACGCACATAATGATCAACTCTCACTTACCTCGTCATGTACTCCCCTTCTCATTCACGCGGATTCACGCCCTCGACTTACTCCTCCCCACCCATCCATCCCCTGGTACTTACCCGGCCAACCGTAACATCAGCCGCTCAGCAATTGTTGCTCTCTTCCGGCGCCAACTAGCTCGGCCAGTCGCAAAAGCAGACGGCGTTGTCGGAAGAAACTCGCCTGTCAGTCAGCTTAACATCGTCAACACCCACACACACCATCCCTTGCCACCGGTTGCCCAATCCGGCAAGCTCCCGGCCTCAAGCGGCGCGGCCCAAAAAAAAGAACGTGAGAGAACGCCAAGAATGACTCACACACCGCGTGCACAGCCAGAAAATCAACACCACCACCACTAACGGCCAGTGTTTTGGCCGGGGTTGGCCGGCTTGGAACCGTCTTCAAACGCCAGGCATCCCGAGTGGTCCCGGCCTTGCAAGCACGCATCGATTCCGCTTTGGCGTGATCGATATGCACCAACCCGGCGGGATTTTCGGACGACAGTTAACTTCAAACCGTAGCAACCCGGGTTTGCGGGTGGAGGTTTATGCCCGATCTCGTTTGCGCCATGGCAGGCTCGCAAGGGTCGAGGCAGTTTAGACACGCCGCCTGTAGGTCTTGTTTCGACTCCGACGAGTCACAAATAATCACGAATAGGTAACGTATTGAGGAAATACTGAACAGTGTAAGTGAGTGCTTCCAGCATAATGCTTTTGATTTCGTGCTTGTCTTGCTTTTCTCGCGCGTACTTTCCTCTTCCGAGGGTTCGTTCCAAGGAAGATGAATCCGCCACGAGTCCACTATCGCGAGGACTGTTTCAAGCTAGCTATTAGATTTCGCCATAGCGTTATCGCTCTCCTCAATTCAGATCATTCTTGGGCTCCCAAGTCCGCTTCCGAAACTTGTAGTCTTGTCTTGCTATTCGGAGGTTCCAAAGTCTGCCTTTGACGAGGTCGAGTGGATTCAAGCCCTTGGCTGTCTTGTCTTAGACATGATGTGGTTTTTGTTGGTTGTCTGGTTGTAGAAAGGCAACTTGAACTCCTGTTGATGCGAGAAACCGAAAATGCCATGCGCATCCATGATTCGACGCCGAGGATGTTGCTCTTCGGTAGTCGTCGTCCACGTCTGCTCGGTTTCGATGGCGAATCAAACCAATTACTCCTCCCGATCTCCTACCGTATCCTCCCCCATTCAGCTCGTTGCCAGTTACCATCACTCCCAGACTCATCTCGAATCCTGGAGGTGAGGACTGCAAATCGACGCCGTATAAAGCAAGAAAACATAAAAACAAAAAACGCAAACGATGTCTTAGTCGTACAAGATCCACGTTCATCACCTCCCTTCCGTCTTCTCCGAAAGTGACTTTGTCCGCCGTCTCCCCCATCCTTCCAAATGCCCGATCCTGGATAATGCATGCAACACGAACACGCTTTTCGGCACAGACCCTGGACGCCATCTTAATGTTCTACGAACAGAGATGGGACTCGCCAGGGCGGTGGTATCAAAGCCCCGTTGGCAAAAGACTCCTTTCTTTCCGGCCTCCTAGATATCGATGATTCTTGACAAAGGAAATAGTTTCGACATTATTGTTCACATTGTAGTCAGGGGGTTGTAGTTTTGGTGGTTGACGGGTATCTTGTTGGTTGACGCTTATCATGACCAACATATTGGTGGATGTGGTGGGATTCAGTTCAGGATGCCTTCCCACATTCCTGGTCCCCGAATACCAATGGCAGGGTGGACAGACGAAACTTCGTAGCCTTGAGCTGCCTCGGCAGAGCAGCAAACACGCTTTCCGGTTCCAGGGAAACTGGGTCGGACAGGGACTTGGAGATTCGGATCAGAGGCAACACCTCGCGAGCGGACCAAAGAAACGGGCCAAGTGGAGCGCTCTGAGCTATAGTAACGGCCACTGAGCATCTCACGAACATTCTCTTGGAGGGAGTTGTCCATGGAAGCGGTGCGGCTTCGCTTGATACCCGTCTTTACAGGAACCTCGGCGGATGCACGGTAGTTCTGCAGCTCCTGAAGAGCTCGGGCAGCATCCGACGCAGGGTCACGAGACACGTCGTCAAGTTCCTGCTCGCGCCTTGCCAATGGAGTCTCCAAAGACAAGTCCCCGAGCTTACCGACCGGGCCGGTGTAAGACTCAGGAGAGGACGTAAAACAGTGCTCGTCGTAATCCTCGGGAACCGAAGGGATCGTCGGCTTCTGGCTCAATCTCTCGTTACACAGCTTCGCACCTCGGAATCGCGACGGCATGCCCAGCTTGTGGCTGAGGGTCGCGCTAGAGAGAGACGAAGCAGATGAGATAGAGGAAGAGCGCGAGGAGCGCGATGAGTCCGAAATCATCGATTCGGGAGAGGACGCAGTCGAGACTGAGTTGGCGAGAGAGGATCGACGGACAGGGCAGTAGCTCTGCGGCGACGAGGTGATGGACACCGGAAGGCGATCCAGGTAGTGCGAAGCATTGGCGTTGGTGGCTTGAGCCAAAGCCAGGCCCATGGCTGAGTTCTTAACCAGAATTTGGGAGGCGGCACTCACGGCAGGAGTGCAGAACCCACTGGTTTGGGGAGTGAGCCGGGGCGTTGGCAGCATGCTCATGGCAGAAACTAGCCGCCCAGGAGTGTAGACACCAGAGGTAGCAGATTCCATAGCGGTGGTGGGGAGCTCGGCCGAGTCATATCCAGGTCCGGATCGGGATTCCTGGGGAAGGTTGAGGATGCTGCGAGGCGACAGCGCACACAGATCACTGGCACGGGAGCTAAGATGGGTAGCAGGGATGAGGTCCGTGAGGTTCGTCAGCTCGGTGTTGAGGCCCAGGATAATTTGTTTCCAGTCCGCAACCTGTTGGGCCACAGTCTGGGAGATACCGCCGGGGGAAGGGGGGCTCGGAGGAGGCGTATACTTTAGGACGATGTCAGTCCATCGCTGGAAGACCTCGTCGGCAATATGAAGCTTCCAGTTGACAGCAAGCAAGAAGGCAATCTCGTTCTGGTTGATTTCCTGGGTGTTGAGTCCAGAGATCTTGCTCCAAGCGCGAGCAGAGTAGTTTCGGTCCTGGAGATACTTGGAAGCCAGGATCAGGGCCGCGAGGAACATGCGACGGCCGCACTGAAGAGCGCGATCAGCATGGCGATCGTCGGGCTGCTCAGTAGTAAAGTTATGCGTGGGAACATGGGGCTTGATGAGAATCAAGTAATACAGAGCGACCTGGAGGGTCGAGTAGCTAGTGCGCGAGCGACGCAGCGTCTCTTGGATAAAGGTACGCAGCGGCAAGACGGCCTTGCTTCCTAACTCGCTTCGGCAAACAACCGAAGAGAGGGGCCAGATGGCTTCCACAATCTGGGTCGACGAATCTAAAAGGAGATGGTTAAGTCGGGGAGCACGGTGCGAAGTCGAATTCAAACGTACCAACAAGGCTATCAACGAAGTTGACCTTGCGATCGGACTGTCGGACCAGGGTGGGAGGGCATGCAGCCCGGGCGTGAGGGCCAGTTGAGGTTCGTCGCGGGTTTTGACGCAGCTCTGCGGGGACAGCCTCGACCTGCGCCTTCTGAGCGTGGCGGCGGAACTTGAGGGCATTGTCGGTAGAGCTCGCCTGCTTTGAGAAGCAGTAAGATTCACAGGAATCGGAGTCGGAAGAGTGGGCGGAAACAGAAGTGTCGTCGGAGGATTGAGAGGCCGTGTCGGACCAGACCGAGGAGGTCGAGGTGGAGGCCGAAGCGGCTAGCGATGAGTTGTAGGGTGCATAGTAGGTGGGGGGGATGGAGGCGGGCGAAAGTTGCGCGTCGCACTTCATCTTGGAGGGTAGTATTATAATAAATCGGCTTGAACGCGTTTCAAGCCAGGATGTCCAGTCGCCGTCAGAGGCTAGGTCAAACCAATCAAATCGTGGTTATTGCCGGTGAGCAGTTTCGCGAAGTCCGAGTCGAGTAGCAAGCTTCCGAGCAGCTAAAAGAATTAGATGCTGAGAAGCGATTCCGTTGATGTAATGAAGATGCGTCTAGACGAGAGAGTCGAGATGCGACTTGATTACACGAACGATGAGACCGGGAGACGAAGCGGAGACGGCGACTGAGAAAAGGTAGTTGAGTGCAACAGGCATTTCGGCAAAGCTTTAAAGCTCAGAAGAGTGCTGTGAACGGTGGTCGGCCTAGAACAAGGCTACCATCGGAGCGGGTCGAGGAAGGGTCGAGGAAGGGTCGAGGAAGGCAGGTGTTTGAAGATGATCAAGCCGTTAATTGATATGCAGGTACAATGCGGCAAGAGTCTTGGTGTGGCTGAAAGGAAGGTGCCGAGGGTGGTGAGTATTTATTAAAGGGCCAAGCGGGTGACTCTTTAGGACGTGGCCTAAGGGGCGAGGCTCGAGGCGTCAGTGGTGGTGACAGCCTAGGTGGTGGGTTGTGACTCTTTTGCACGGTGGCGAAACCGAGCAATGACCGCGGGGGGGTGAGTGGCAGGTGGCAGGTGGCAGCAGCTGGCGATCTCGGAGAGAGCGTGCGCGCAGTGGGAGCCTAGGCCGGGGGGAAATGACCAAGACCCTCGTCACAGCGGGTGTGGCGAAGAGGGGCAGGAGCCTAGAGGGAATGAGAAGGGTGAAAAAGAGGACAAAGAGTCAAAGGAAAGAGGCAAAAAAATAGAGAACGTGAGGGCGTGAGGGCGTGAAGGCGAGATGAACAAAGGGGTATTGCTGCAAATGGAGAGGTAGATGGGAGAGGGAACGGTGAGGTGAGTAACACCAGTGAGAGCCGGAGGACAGCGAGTCCGGAGAGGACAGAGGGTTAGCGAGGACGACGAAGAGACCGTGAGAGTCACAGATCAAGTGAGTCGGGCACTGCTGGGTCTGCTGGGTCTGCTAAATCTGCTGGGTGCTAGGCGGCCTGGGCCTGTGCTGCTGTGCCTGGATGGGCGGATGACTGATTGCGGTGCTGGCTGGGTTAGGCCAAGTAAGGATAAGGTGACGAGAGAGGTAGCCTTGGGCTGGGGCTGGGCTGGACCGGGCTGTGCTGGAGAGTGGTCGTGGCCGAGACGGAGGTGGGCGGCGGGTGGTGGGTGGTAGTGGGTGGACTCGAGAGTGGGCGGAGAGTGCGAGAGAAGTTGTTCACACTCACTCACAAAAAGTCGCAAGGTGCAAGTGAATGCCGCTGCGACTCCGGGAATCAGGAGACGGGTGGACGGGGGGACCAGAGAAACGGGGGCGGGAGACCGGAGAGGAGATGGGACCAAGAAAACAAGAGCCGTGGAGTGGAGAGAATACACGATCCAGAGCAGACTTCGGAGAGTCGCTGGGGACGGATTTAAAGGGCGGATTCGAACATCATGGCGACGGCGATGCAGTTCGATGGGGAGAAAGGCGGGAGCCAGGTAGGGCGGGCCATGGCATAGTTTTGAAGGGGACGAGGAGGATCCGGCGAAGACGACGACCAAGCCCGGACGAGCCAGGAAAGCGACCTGGACGAACCAGGACGAGCCATCTTGGGCCATGACGGGCCAGCGACGAGCCACACGCACGCAAGCACGCTGGGCCACTGAGGCCCGCTGAAGCGCCGCTGAGCCCACTGAATTCCCTCCCCCCCCAGCAAGCCCCAGCAAGCCCCTCTCTCCAGCACTCCCGACAGCCCCCAGCAAGCCCCAGGCCCAGCACCCTTCGACGCCTGCGGCGTGTCTGCATTTTGACGCCCTCCCATTGGCCGCTGGAGACACCAGCGCGCGTTGCCCCCCCTCCCTCCACTCTCCCACCCCCCTTGACTCCCGAGCCTGTCCCTCACTGGACGGAGCGCTGCCCCTTTGCCAGGCTTTCTCGTCGCGTTCCCAGTCCTTCTCAGGCTTTCCCAGGCCTTGTCAAAGGCCGATGAGTACCCGCGTCGGTTCAAGTGTGGTTGGTATGAGCGCTTCCAGCCAGTCAACGTCCGTCGCGGACCCTCCCCCAGTGTTTCCGTCTCCAGTCTTTGGTCGCTGTGGTGGCCCGCCCCTCTTTCGCACCCCCAGGCGCCGCAGTGAACGAACCAGCCCGCGTAGCACTATGCGCAAAGAGCAGCGAGCCGTACCTCTGTACCGGTTCGGGCAACGAGCATGCCGTTGACAGGTCGAGCAAGTCGATGTCAAGCATGTGCGGGCTGGAGCTTAGGGCTCTTGGGGGCGGCATCTCGACTCTCTTGTACATTCTCCAGGGACTCGCAGGACCACAGGACATCGTGGGGGCCATCGATGAGGCAGGTGCTTGCTTGCTGCCTTCCCTAAGGTAGGTAGGTATTGCGCTGCTGCAGGAGAAATGGAAGGGACGGGGACACCTCACCTCTCTCGCGCGCACACACACGCATCTCCACCAACTCAACCTACAGAACTGCTTCGGACGACTCACTCTACTTGCCCTTCACGCACGCACCCACGCACGCCAGTCAGTTCGTGCGTCGCGCATCCCTGCCGTCCCGACCCCCCCGGTCCCCCTCCCAACCCTTCTCTGTCTTTCGCGCTCTGTACTAGGCATGTATGGTAGCTCTGCAGCTCCTCCCAACTGACTGTCACAGAGATGTCCCTCTGCGTCTCCTCTGCGTCTCCTCTGCATCTCCCGGCTTCTCCCTCGCCCTAGCGTCCAAGTGGCCCTACCTTTAGGTACGATTACGGTACTCTGTACTGGACGGGGAAAGCATCTTTCCCTGCCGACCAGCCCAACCAAGAACAGACACCAAGCTTGGCTTTTTTGGGCCCGCCCACTGGTGCAACGAACTCACTGGGCTGGCTGATGATGTACGATGACTCTTCCTGATACTCTGTCCCTCCACCTCGCCTGCTCCACCTCCACCATCTCCGTCTCCGTCTCCGCCACCGCCTTTGAACGTGGCCATGCTATGACGATTTTGCCATGACCAGAAACCCTCGTTCCCCTCATCCCCTCATCCCCTCACATGTGCCTAAAATCGTCACTCAGCTTATGGAGGGGCATCTTGAAGAACTTCGGCACCTGCTGACCCCATCCCTCAGCCTCCTAGGATCCCAGATCCCAGGAGACACGAGACAAGAACTGGTTCACCATGGCCCCAGCATACCATGGCATGGCATGCCCGAGATGATACACACCAACATACGCACATTTTTCGCAGACACGAGCTGTCTGGAATTGCCCCAATGTTTTTGCTCCGATGTTACCGGGGTAGACGGGATGGATGGATGGATGGATAGCTCTGGCTTGTCTCGTCTCAATCCAGATGCGCCGCCTCTATGACCGAAGTGCTCGGTACACTAAATCCCTAACGATAATGCCTAAAGACACTATGGCTTCGCATGTACTCCGTACCCGACACTCCATCGCCCTAATCGAACGGACATGAAAACTTGAGTGTCAAATCTTGCCACAGCTCGCCGCCGTTCGGGACAAGACGCAAAAAGCACACCACTTGGAGCACCCGATCGTCAAAGATTCGGCCCCCTTCCTCTGGGTTTGCCGTGCCCGGGGTGGCTCCTTGATTCCCTAGCGGGTAGTGCAGCTCGCCCTCGCAAAATCCCGAAGAGTCTCGCCATTCTCCCCATCCGATTGTTAATCCAAGGCCACGGAGCAGCCGTGGGTCTGTCTATGACCTCACGCAAGTTGCCGGCACTGTCCATACACTACACGACTTGACTGCTTCGTCGGAGCAGTCCGTGCAGGCGACACGCAATGCTGCTTAACAAAGGTGTCCATCTCGTCCATTTTTGGTTTCACTGCCCCGGAGCACCGACACTCCGGTATTGAAGGCCGCGTCCTTCTGCCGATGGCACCTAGCGTAGCTGGCTGGCTCTTGCGGAGGCGAGGCTGTTCACTCAAGGCAGTGTCAGTAACCCTCCCATCGAGACCTGCACATGCATTCTAGGCACAGCACGCACAGCCATTCTCTTCGAGCTATTGGCATCTAAAAATGAACACATGGGGCCTTCACTGCCTTGTAGTCCCTGCATCCACGACTTGCAGTCGTCATGGAGAGGGGCATCGGCTATCTGGGATGCTTCTTGAGGTTGCCAATCTATCCCCGTGTACGCCGAAGCCATAACGCACATCCATCCATCTGGAGATTCTGCCTGGCTTCCATTTACTTGATCCAGAAATGCCGTCCTACCCTCCTCTGAAGATGAAGTGGCTGGCGGCGGTGTGCCTAATTACAGGATGGATCCCTATTTCCCTATTTCCCCATCTTGCGCGGACACATGCAAACGTTTGATGGTGACTGTCTAATCTATCCTGCCCCCAATGAATCATGTCCGTCATCCCGTGTGAACTGCGCGTTCAAGGAGAGATGGATGATTGCCTTTGCCTAGTTGGCTTGCATTTCACTCATCTTGGCCCTTCCACTCTCCCATCCCTCGCACAGCTCGTTTCCTGGTCCGTGCGACTACTGGTGGCTGCACTACCAACCCCTTAACGAGACCCCAATCTCCTTCGCGTTACCGTGATAGCTTCGTCGCGAACTGCATGTACCGGTCTCTACCGCCCGCCGCACAGCACCTCCGCTGGACACTGGCTAATACTAACAAAGCGCCCATTGTGCATAGCTGGATACTTTTATACAAATCATTACCTCAGCGCTTCTGGGCACCGCTCCATCCGTCGATTCGCCTGCCGATTGGGGGCGGAGAAAGGACCCCACCGGGTACCCGGACTCTTAACAATTCCGAGAGAACTGGTTCACTGAGCCAGAGCAGACGCGATGATTGTTCGGGGTTCCACTTAATCCATCTCCTGGCCTTTGTGCGACTGTGTGCAGAACTCGTCGCCACCGGTGTAGAGGTTGAGGTTGTACGAAGTGCAAAGCACCAAAACCAAAACCAAAAACCCGAGATGGGCCTCCACCAAACAACGGGAGAGCCGCCACCGCATGCCGGGGAGCTTCTCCGTCTCAGTCAACGTGTACGAAGGTACAATGCCATCCCACGGCACCTTTCGATCCTTGCACGCCAGCATCGTCTAGAACCTGCAACAGATGCCGCCCACGAAGCAACATGAGTCTTCCCCGCTCTCATGGCATGCTGCGGTGTGCTGATTGGATCCGGGCCGGTGTAAGCATCCAATCTGTCTGGCCATGTCGCCTGCTCCCGGCATCTGGAGACAATCCTCCGCCATGACCGGATGCACTGGGCCTGGTTACGATGATGGGGACCTTGCTCATCTCCTTTCATGATCGACGGCGATTCATCAGCCATGTCTGTGCAATATCATGAATGAACGGAAGCAGAGTGAGGCCGACAGCCAAATCCCCCAGCAAGTGGAGACCCTGGAGCCAACCTTGAGAGTGCTTGGCTTTGCTCCTCCCCTGTTGCGCGATCCTCGGCCCATCGATTGGCCAACAGCGGCTTGCTACTTCGGGCACCTCCCGGACTCTCTCGTCAGAATGAGTCAAACACCATCAGCCTTACCCTGGACTGTTAATTGATTGATTCCATCTTGTTCTATCAGCCCTAGGCAAAATTGGCGCCGATGCTTTGTTCTCCGCCTCTCAGCGAAACCGGCGCGAGGCCTGGTATTCGTTCGGGTTGCACCGCCGCAAGACTTTAGCTGTGAAGACTGGAACGGTGAAGGCTGGGTGCGATGACGCACCATGTCTAAAACCGCGAGATGGAGAAGTTCAGCAGCCACGATACATGGAACACATGACGGGATACGGGGGACCTCCCTGGGCCTTCGAAAGAAGCCACCGCTTTCGGGGAGGTAGTTCTACGACGGACACAAGACCATAGTCAGCGTGACGGGGACTTGGGAGACGCATGACCAAAGCAATTCCTCCCCAGCTCCTCCGGACGGGGCATTATCGCCTTACCTGATGAGCCGTGCGAGGATTCTCGTGGTCGAGACGCCGGGGTCGCTCCACTTACATCCACTTACACTAACAAGGCTGTTCTCACTGCCGCGCGGTTCGTCCTCGTGTGTCGCTGACTCACCGAGCGCTCAGCGGTTCCCTGGCTTGCCTGTGCTTATACCTGTGCTTATACCGAGACCGAGCCCGGCTCGTCCGGGGGATTCGTTTTCGGGTTGTCGCCGTGGCGATGGCATAGAGGCGCCCGGGAGAGAGGAAGGCAGTCGTTTGATGTGCCCGAATCCTCCGGTCTGCGATAGGTGGTCACCCCTGGTTCCACGGCCAGGCAGTTAAGCCAGCCAACTTCGGCTGGAACCAACGGTGCATCGACAGCGTGTAAAGCGCATCCCGGTCTTATCTTAGATGGCAGGAGACAGGGATGGCAGGATCCAGAGGCTGTGGGCTTTCCTCGTCGCGCGTGTTGTGCATGTTCCTGTTTGTGCGGAGAGTTTGAGTGTTGGCCGGGCTTCACCGTAAGATTGACGAGCTGAATGCGGTAGGAGGAGGGGAAGAAAACGTGGTTGCCTAACGTGGGTCCAGGGTAGGTTGACGAGGGGCTGGCTGAAATGCTCGACCGGGATGTGAGAGTGAGTTGAGTGTGTGTGGCTTTGTGGCTGCGGGACAGGCAGGAGCTGAAGTTGGCCAAATCCAAAACGCAACCCAAGTCAGCACCAACCGGCCAGCTTATTCGGGAAGCGTTTTTCTTGCTTCTTTTGGGTGGTGATGCCTACGGCGAGTGCCATGGAAGTGAAAAGAAGGATTCCATGCTACCTGGCCTCATGCATTCATCGGGCGAGTGAGGTTGGCGTCATCGTTGTTGCGGGCCTCAGCCTCAAGGCCGCCTTCGCCTTGCTGGCATTTTGCCAACTGCCATGGTCGAATCAGGCATATTTCGAGAATTCTCTACTGTAGGGATCGATCCCAGTTTCGTCCGCCCCCGCCGAAGATCTCTCCTCCTCTCGTCGAGTGTGGTGGGAGGAGTATTGCCGCAATGCAAGTCAAGCCAGCGCGGCGTTTAGATATTGCCACCCGTATTACACAACCGAGCTTCGTTCGAGCATCCGGAATCATATTACAACCAAGTAACTTGGAGATCTGGGATCACTACCAACACAAGGAGAAGCCCAGAAACACAACTGGTGATCCCTGCCCCGCCGTGGTCAACACGAACATGTCGCCTCCAAGCCTCCCCCCCTCTCCGGAAGCCCACGCGGTAACACCGCCTCCTTGCCGATCGCAACTGGGATGCATTCGCCCCATTCCCTCTGGTGGCACATTTGCCGAGGTTGACAACTGGATTTCCCTCGCAGATCCCTCTTTTCTGTTTCTGCGTGTGCCCAAGTAAACGTATGTGCGCCCGAGACTATGCGTGTTGCACTTTGTCGGTGTGTACCTTGCGTGTTGTGCATGTATCTTGTGGGCCAGCTCGACGACCGACGTCACTCGTCGATTGCCATGCATTCGTTCAGGCAACGTGGAAGAGGGGTTGCTCGCTGTCAGGCCCTAGCCTAGAAAACCCCCGATACCGTAAATTCATGACATGGGTACGCTTTCTATTGGCTCTCCAGCTGTTGATTCGCTTCTAGACAATTCCTTGCATAGCAGGATAGTCGGTGAGGTCTTTATCAGCCCAACACCAACCGCTAGCTTCAGACACCCACGCGCGCTCGCAGGAGAGAGACATATATCCCAACAACACTAATACCCCGACTGAAGTGGTACAGGTCACTCACGGACGTCATGTGGATAATGTGCCCTGTGACCCGGCGTCAGATACCTGTCCGTTGGGAGATGAAGGAAACCACCAGCCTTGCCAAAGAATGGTTCTATTCGTAGCAACCTTAGTCACATCAAGATGCTTCTCCACAGAGAACACGTCTTCATGTAACGCAAGGATGATATCTGCTGGGCACTAAGGTCCTGGCATCCTGTGTCTTCCCACCTATCACTTTGCCCGCTTGATACCCCGTAACGACAACAGCGATTTCTTGCATCATGGACAATCGCTTCAAGGGGAATGCCAGACCGCCACGATTCCCATCTCTTGTGTTTCTCCTGTCGAGTCCCTCACTCCGTAGCGAGGAGTGAAACAAGCCGCCAGAAGACGCAGGAGCAGCCTTATAGCCCTCCTTGACAACAATACCAACACGTTACTCATCACGTAACGCGAATTTATTGCCTCATTAGTCAATGAGAGGTTCGGCGTCTGTGTCACGAATGCACTGCTTTTTAATCTATGTTAAGTGATTGGCTGATCTAGTGTGGTGGAATATCGCCCCCATCAGTCTGCCTCCGACAAGGACGTTGACAAGGCACGACATGACATTAATTACGACGCGGATGTGGGGCATAATTAAGACACGAACTCCTGCTACCTAGCTCCGGGGGAAGATAAGGTATCGCATTGGTTTTACGCAAACCTACGGAGCTCAGAGATAGGGTTGACACAACATACGCATTATAGGAACACTACATGGTGCCACGGCGTCGGTTATTCAAATACGCTTCACAGGAGCAAGTAGAATATTATGGGCAAGCGAGACAACACATGGAATGCCTAGATGAGCTCCTCCGAACTAACGGTGGGAGTGTTCCATCCAGCCATTATTTATTTGCATGGGATTTCCTCCCATTAGACCCAACATTCGGCCCTTGAATCAGGCACTATTTCTTCCCGGATCAGCACATGTCAGTAAGCCTCCAAATATAATGAGTATTGCTATTCGCACCCGTTCAAAATACTAATCGCACACAGGTACACAATTTTACACCTAATCTTAGTATAAGGGAATATACCCGGACTGTACGCCCGCCTTAAGGTATCTTATTCTGAAGAATTTCCAGTTTCCACTTTAAAATAAATTAAAAGATAAAATTTAAACTGCAGACCTTAGAGAATAAATACTAAGAATAAAGCTTATTTAATTTCTTAGGTTTTCTTACGAATAGGTATATTGTTAAGACTTCCCGGTAAAATTGGTTGATATCCTTGAGTGTGCAAGTAGCATTTTGAGTGTGTGCGAATAGTAATGCTCAATATAATTTACCCTGTGATATGATGGTAAGATTGCCCTTGAGTTTGATAGGGACTGGTCTTAACGCTACTTCGAAGCTCAGGGATGAAACTCGTATTCCCAATATGACGTGTGACGGCATCAAGGCGCCATCTACCACACAGAACTTCGATAAAAGTTATAGAGTTGTGTTAAATTATACAGATTGTAATTTCTCACGACTATAGAAAAGCATTCCGAAGTAAGAGATATCATCTTATGCTGTAGTATCCTCCTGTAGCCGTATGGCATATACGAGACTCCCAACACGAACAACGAGAGCAGGGCTTGTCATGTTACCACATGGAATCCACACAGATGGAGTACTTATCGTTTGACTCACCTCGGCCCGTATCCTCGCCCCATGACTCTCCTTCCATTCCTCTTCCCTCACCTAAAACATCGCCCCCTAAAAGACAAAGCTCAACAATAAGAAAGACATGTCACACAGCACACGACCCCAGTCGCCACCACGGCGTGTGAGCCATTTTCCAACCGGAGACTTGCTGGACCGAGGTGACACCACCGGAATAGGAGCCTATGATGGTGGCTAGGGGAAATGACGAGAAGAAAATTTTTCCCTCTTGATGACGGCGTGACTGGTCTGGTGATGATATCGATTGAGCCGAACCAAGCCGCTGGATGAGACAGCCGCAGCAGTCACGGGTCTAACGGACCTACGCCGACTCCGGATGTCAAAGAACGAGGCAGAGAGGGGACTTATCACCATTGCTGTGTTAGGCGGAATATCGTCATGGATGACATCTTCAAAGGTGGCACAAAGGGAGATACGCTCGGCAGGTTTCCACAGAATCACTTCAGATAACGAACTACTCAATACAAGCAATCAAGTTGGACATTTCGCAACTTTTCCCTTTCGCCCCCTCGATGTCTTGATACCATTCTTCCAGATCCCTAACCTCTCGAGCGCCTGGTAGCGAAAGAGATTGACTCATGTCGTTGCAAAACTACACCAAAACACCAACTGGTCCTCTAGGACGCCATGTACGTGCTGGCGTCAACACCCTCCTTGGGGAATTCACTGAACACATATTGTTAGTTATGGCTAAGGCAGGTCGGATTCGGAGCGGAACATACGGAAGGGCGACCTCGAATCGCTTCTCAATCTCCTTGAGGACCTCCTGGTCCTGATCGGTGCTGATAAAGGAGATGGCCAGACCCTTGGTACCGAAACGACCGGCACGACCGACTCGGTGCAGATAGGAGCTGGCATCGTTGGACAGATCGTAGTTGATAGCCAGGTTGATACGCTCGATATCGATACCTCGGCCGAACACGTCGGTGGCAACACAGATACGCTTCTTGAACTCCTTGAACTCCTTGTAGCGACGGATACTGAGACACATTAGACTTTGATCATTTGAGGGGCACGCTTTGGGACATACCGCTCTTCCTGGCTGACTCCAGAGTGGACAGCAATTGAGGGGAAGTTGCACTCTCGGAGGAGCTTGTCGAGCTCAGTAGCACGGACAGTGCTTCGGACGAAGATGATGACCTGGTTGAACTGGAGGTCATCAAGAAGCTCATTGAGCTTGCGGTTCTTCTCCCTCTCCTCCAGCTTGATGTAGTACTGCTGGAGACCGTGCAGGGTGAGCTTGGTATCCTCATCGACGTAGTGTTCAGTAGGGTTCTGCATGAACTTCTTGCAAATGGGCTTGACCTCCTCGGACAGAGTGGCCGAGAACATCATCACCTGCTTCTGCTGAGGAGTGGCACGGAACACATCCTGGACATCGGTACGCATGTCTGCTTCTGGTCAGTGCCTGTGGAGGGCCGCTTAATGGGATAGTTTAAACGAACCGGGCTGGTCGAGCATCTTGTCGCACTCATCGAGAACGAAGATGCGGACGCTTCCGAGGCGGAGAGCCTTGTCGCGGACGAGGGCCTTGAGACGGCCGGGAGTGCCGACAATGATGTGAGGGCAGGTCTCCTTGTTCTTGAGAGTCTCGATATCCTGCTTGATGGGGGTACCACCGTAGAAGACGCCGGTCTTGATGTCGGGCATGTACTTGCTGAAGCGGTTGTACTCGTCGCGAATCTGGTAGGCCAGCTCACGAGTGTGGCACATGACCACAACGGAGACCTCTCCATTGACAGGCTCAACCTGCTGAAGAGTGGCGAGAACGAAGACGGCAGTCTTTCCGAGACCAGACTTGGCCTGGCAAATAATGTCACCACCGAGAAGAGCCTGAGGGATACAGGTTTGTTGGACTGTCGATCGAACCGATGTTAGAGTTTGTTTCCAAGAAGCAACGAATGACGGGTGTTATGTCAAGAGTCCGTCCATCGTCGCAGCTTAGCCATTGGGGATATTTTGCATTCTCCAAGGAGGAGTGATCCGCAATAAGAAGCGGAACAGGCCAAGACTAATGTCTCGGAGTGAAGGATTGCATCTGCCAATCAAGGCCGTAAACAAGACGGCATCTTGTGCAGAACACATGCCCTCGCAATCTCGACAGCTTCCACCAATGTTGTTCCAATCCGTCCGTGTCAACCGCTCTGGTCATATCCGCTTCTGCGTGATATCTTGACTTGCGAGTTGTAGAATGCCGCAGACCACCTTTCACCGATGGTCTGTTCTTGCCCGGTGCGGATGCTGGGACCTTTTCTCAGGTCCATGCTGAACCGCGCTCGGCAAGGATGGCGACGACGACGACTTTGTGGGGGAAATGGCCATTTTTCTTTCTTGCTTGCGAGATGGACGGACGCTTGAAGCTTCAAGGGAGGGGATTTGATGACTTAGGGTATTAGAATTTCAGGACTGACCCTCCGATGGATGTTCGAAACCGCAGTCACCAATAGCGCGAAGCAGCTCGGGCTTCAGAAGGAAGTCACGGAAACCAGTTGAGTGAATACCGACATAGCTGCCCTTCTTGTCGACATTGTTGCCAGCGGCGAGCTCGCCCTTCTTGCCGTTGGAAGGGGCGGGAACCTCGTTGGTACCGATCTCCTCGTCGGAGTAGTCGATGAGATCCTCCTCGTGGGACATTTTGGCGATGGTTGAGAGGTGGTTAGAGATGGAAATGCGGAGCTGTCGCGATGGCCGTCGGTCAACGGGGCTTTGCGCTGACGAAGGGATGCGACAGGGTGGACTGGCGCGTTTCTGAGTGGATCACGTCGCGCAAGCGTTCTGCGGCGTGAGGAGGAGGAGGTGGGCGTAGGATTGAGAGAGTGAGAGAGGACGGCGGAGTGAGAACCCAAGTTTGCTGGTTCAAAGGCGGACTTGAAAGAGCTTTGTTGAGGCTGAGGAGGGAGATGCCAGCAGGCACAAGGAAGAGCCGCGCTGCGCCCTCAGGCCAAATAGGCCCGTGCCCGCGCGCTCATGCACGTGACGTGCTTTAGGCAGCGCGCCGTCGGACAGTGCCAAAAAGAAAATAGGGCACGGAGCCATACGAACCTTCGAGATGAGTCTTGACAACGCTCACATCTGTGACAAAACAATTACCAACACAACGACGCAGAGGATCGCAGACCAATGGCGAAAGTAAAGGGCCCGCAAGGGGTCCAGAATCGACACATTTACAACCGAGCCTCATACCTTTACCAAGCCGCATCATACCTCGCCAGTCAGCATCCTCATCACCCTCACGATGCTGCAACAAAATCATCATCCGCTAGCCAAGAGCACAGTGCTTCGACACCAAGAGCCAATGGGCAGAGTTCGTTGCACAACCTATCCCGCCAAATGATCTCCAGCATGCGGGCTGTGACCTTGAAGGCGCAAATTCGCCAAACACCGGCCCTGAAGCAAACCATCTGCAAATTTTGCGACACCGTCCTGGTCGAAGGCAGGACCTGCACCTCCACTGTGGAGAACGCCAGCAAAGGCGGTAGGAAACCGTGGGCGGACGTTCTCACGATTCGGTGCAAGACGTGCAGTCATGTCAAGAGATATCCAGTCAGTGCTCCTAAGCAGAAGAGGCGTGCCCTGAGGAACCTAAATCAGGCAGAGCCGGCAAAGGACTCACCTGAAGATGGCGAAGTCCAAGAAGTATCTCCGACAACATGATATGCATGGTAAAGATGCATCTCAACATATTTCATCTTCGTCGAAAACGACCCCCATCTACTGAGAGGACGAAGGGTGTCTGACTGGACGAGTGTCAATCACAGGAGTAGGGATTCCCTTGCGTCTCTTACTCCCATTGCCCAACAGCAATCGCTAAAGCTCTTAAACTAAGATTTTTTTGGCTTCAAATCCTGGTGCTGATGTCAGTTTAATACCTGGATGATGATTGGCATTGACAGGTCCTCACAGCCTGGGAATCCAACTACGTCGATCAAGCTGCCTTGAAATAAACCGCAGCTTCGACGTATCCAACCTGGGGCCCTCTCTCTGAAGGGCCAAGAAATATTCTACGTAAGAGCACGTCAGGTCATGAAATGCAGTCTCTTTGCCGGGTTGGAAGAGAAACTTCATTTCAAGGGTGCGTTTGGGTGGGTCGATTCACCACCAGGCCGGAGCCCGACATCTGTCTCTAAGCAGTGGTTGATCAACGAGCCCATCCATGTTGATAGCGGCAAGACGTGTCAGCTACGACCACCGTTGGCAGAAATTAGAGGACATGTCCAACGGAATATTTGTATCATGAACCCGCGGGCAACGACCGACGGTTCTTCATAGCTCATCAAATACATATGTACAAACGAATACCCTGCCATAAGAACACTTCCCCTCGTGAAACCCACTCTGCCATCATCAGATATTCTTCACAGCAATCCTTGACACCCGTAATGCCGTCTACTTCCCTGACTGTCCCGCTTCCTTGACACTCTCCTCTCCAAGCACCTTACTCGCTGCCATGAACCTTGGGACTTGGTCAGCAAAGCTCAGCTATAACGCTGATTCCGGACTCCTCGATATGTAAGGGTGATGGGGCTGACAGGGCTGGTACTCACAATCCTCCATGCCAGCTCCCTAGACCCCGCATCGCCTCTGCTTGCACGCTTGTCATGCGAAGTAGGTGCTCAGTGTCGGAGAGGTTGGCGGATAGCTGGGCGAGCTGTGAGTTGAGCTGAGACTAGTGTATGTTAGATGTATCCTACGGGACCCTTACGTCTGCCCGTTTACTTGAGAACATCGACGTTTAAGAAAGACGTACTAGCTGCCTCGATTTCACGGCGTTGCCGCTCGTAGCCATACTCTGTCGCACCTGCGAGCCGCCGATGTTGCGGGTTGACATTTTGCCGCTGTCTCGTTTATCACTTGCGCTCTTCCCACAACCTGAAAGCCCAATCCTCAATCCTCAGCGTAGTCACACTTTATGTCGAAGAGCGTAAACACCTTGGGCACAGGATGTTGTTCAGCCAAGTGAGGGCGGGGTAGTGGCGGGCCGTGTTGTAATCCTAGATATCTGGGGCCTGGAATAGCGAGAACCTGCCGACGAGAAGGGAGCTAAAAACATAGAGATCCAAATCCCGTCTGGTTGTGTATCGCGGTCACAGAAATCAGCATTTATGAGTTCGTCGATTGGGCTGCGCGTCGCGTCTTGTGCATGACGGACAGTGGTCGAGTGAAAATGGCCCGTGCGCGCTGCCTCTGACTTTGGTCGGGTCGGAGAACATCAACAAACACGCAAACAAAAGATGGCTTTCATATAGCCGTTCTATCCACGTCCTCATAATTACGTTCAAGGGCATTTTATTATACTACTACTATACACTATGATCATAGTTTGCCGTTTCCACATCAATCTGACACCATAAAGGAATCTTAGCTGGCCGGCTACCCAATCTTCTCAGCCTTCGCTTTTATCATCCCGGTATTAACGTTCAGGCCAGTGCCCTCACTCACTCAATCATGGGGCATTTGGCATCTTCCCGTAGGACCAGCCGTCTTCACCCTCTCCCAGAAAACTTGTCGCTCTTTTCATCTGTGGATCTGCAATCTGGAATCAAACCGGGCTTTTCCCCTCCTCTTTTTTCAAAGGTAGCTTCATGCTGTCTATGTGTGTCGCTTCCCATCACTATCTCCACCTCCATGTTCTCGGGATTTCCAGTCGCCCTCCAAAACAAGTCGCAAGAAAAAAAAAACAGAGTAGTAACCAGAGAAAGAAAACAACCATCCGTAAGTCTAATTTGCTGTGTGTGCCCCCATAAAAACAATGCCTGTCATAGCTCTCCCCTTTACTATACACCTCCGGGAACCTCACGGGGCGCCGACAAGAAGCGGCGGGAGAGAACTCAACAACCAAGGGTCAAAACAGGGCCGTTTTTATGCACGCCATGATATCTTCCCAATTCATCCCCACCTTTGTGTCGCCAAGCTTCTCGTCGTCCATCCCTAAGCCATCCCATCAAGAACGCTGTTGCATGTCCAGAGCCCAGAACCGTTGGGCAAGCCAGTCGGAAGCCATGCATTACGCTGAAGAAAGGCAGGAGACGCCGGCCCGAAGCTCGTGACAGCCCGATAATCGATTATATGCTGAATAGCGCAACAAGCATCCCGGTCCCAATGCAATATTACCAGAATAGGTTACTTCGGCTTGGTCGTTCCAATGATTATGTACGGGACTGTGCCGAGTCCGTAGGAATTATGAAGACGTTATCTTCCAAGAATAGTCCAAAGTGACCCTGACCCAATGTCGTGTCGTCTCGTGTGCTGATGGAGCTGGGGAGTATAAAAATAAAATAAAAAAGGACAAAAATGAAAGTGTGGTCCTCGTTGGATGTATGTCGTGTGACTGTAGCCCTTGGGTAGGTAATTTGGGCCGTAAGGGATCGAAACAATAGTAGAACGCACAATGCGCCTCGTCCTGTGTATATGGTGGACCCTGGACGCTATCTGATCGTAAACGTTCTACTTGTTCGATTTTGTTGGTATGGACGCGTAAGGTCCCTTCCACGTTTCATGGGCAAGGCCATGGGTTGTCGAGCTAGTAGGCCTTGCTTACCGCACTCCTATGGGCAGGCGCTGTCGTAGGCTGCCCTGACTGATATGTGACGGATCCGAGTCGAATTCACCACTGTCCGCGCTAGCGCTCGCACTGCCCGTCAGACTTCGATCGTTTCTAGGCTTAGTTTGAGGAAGGGTGCTCACCCCGATATGTTGCTCAACCTGCTGTGGCGCCACCTGGTTTCCCTGACCCGGGGGGTATCGGGGAACCGGTTGGCGAACACCGTCGGGGGGCGATGGACGTCCGTTCATGCCGGGTCCGGGTGGTCCGTATCCGTTAGGAGGAGAGGGGCGGCGACCGCCTCGCATTGAAGGGCTATATGGGTTGCCCGGAGATTGACTAGTCCTTCGAGGATAGGCACCGTTCATTCCTGGGGGACCACCGGGGCCGGGGCCATACTGGAAATCTTCCATCCTCGATGCTGTTAGTGAGTTGGCGCGGGAGCCAGCGTTCATCGTCCCTCTGTCCACAGTTCCGTATCGGTTCGAGGAATAGCCCATGAGAGGGTCCTCGAGAATATCAGCGGTAGTGGTAGGTGCATGGCTCATCTGACTCGAACGGTTGCGAGCACCAAAGTTCGGCCGGAATCTGCTGCCGCGAGTCGGCGGGGGCATATCGTCTGGGTTACGGCGGATCTGCGCTTGGGACGGTCCAGGGACCTTTCGGTTCTTCCTCGAGGTCATGCTCATCATGTCGAAGTTGTCCGGGTCGATCATAGGAGGCGCGGGGTTGGCTGTGGGGTCGAAGTATTCATCATCATCATCATCGTCGTCGTCAAAGACCTGCTTGCTGTTTCTCATGGGGTGAGGACCACGGCGGGGAGGCCCACCAGGCCCACCAGGACCAGGTGGTGGTGGCCCACGGCGCATCCGCATCTCCTGCTCCCGAAGGGCCAATTCGCGTTGCCGGAGCTGCATCTCTCGCTCACGAAGGGCGATGTCTGACTGATCAACGGCGGGACCAGACGCTTCCGAGCCTTCCGGGATATCATCGTATAGCACAAGGTGCGAAAACTCTTCGAGACTGTTCTCCTCCATCGACCCTCGCCTTGAAGGCTGTCTGGAGCCTCCCCCGTTCATCGCAGGAGGAATTCGACCATAGCCGTTCGGGGGTGGACCGCCATTCATCGGAGGTGGCCCGCGGCGCATGCCTGCTTGGCTCAGGTTTGATGAGTTCCTGGGCCTGGGTCCACGAGGAGGCATTCCATTGCCGTTCATCATGGGACGATGACTGTTCTGGGATGGCATCCGAGGTGGTAAGGGCGATGTGGCAGTCGGTGAAGCAGGCGGGAGAACGGCGGGATGATCACCCGACTTGGGCCTGTTCCGGTTGACACTGTTCAGGTTGTGAAGGATTGCGTAGAGTGTCTCAATTCGAGGGATGGCAACTTTGGAGTCGCGAGCCAACTTGATGGGCGAGCCCAGGTACGTCTCAACCTCCATGGGTCTCCTAGCGGTATAGTCTTGCCACATAATACTCTCAGTAGTGACTTTTGACATGTCATTGATGGTCTTCTGCTTGAAGTCGGCATCAAATTTGCAGCCATTAGCATTAGCCAAGCCAATTAGCTCGTCAACGACATCAGAAACAAGGTCCTTGACTCCAACCTTCTCAAGAAGAGCAGCATGGTTCGGCGTCTCAAAGATAACACTAGCTGGGTGGAAAGCGATGGGACTGTATCGATCAATTAGCTAAGCCTTTGTGAGAGACGTCTTGCAACATACCCAATCACTCTCTCATATTGGTGCTGTCGGATGTTCGGTGATACTTTACAGTCTACCTGTCCGGAGCTGAGAGTCACTGCCAAAGCCTGTGCCATATCATCCTGAATGCTCGCGGGAATGTTGGCGTTCTTGTTGGCGGGGCCAACCCATATTTCGGTTGAGCCCTTGTGCTCAAACTCGCTTTGGCCGAGCTGCACAACTTCGGCGCCGGAAACGAGGGAAAGGACAATGTTGGTAGGGAACCGCTCTTCGATAGCGGCCTCGACGCCGAGCGTGTTTGTTGTGTTGATAAGAATACATGTGTGATGAGGTGTGACAACCGAGTCGATAACAGCGGCGAGGTCGTAGACATCGGGGAGGGCTTTTACACAGAGGACGACATAATCGAAAGGACCGTCTCGAGCGTTCGCGGCATCTTCTGGATTTCGGACAACTGTAATGAACAACAAGTCAGCGAGCTGTCATTGGAGAACGGATAGTAGTAAGACGTACCATGTCGCGGCTTGAATCGTTCATTGCCAAAAATAGAGGACCTAAGCGCAGCCGGTCAGGACGGGATTTGGCGGATATGGAGTAGGTTAACCTACTTGAACGAGATTCCATATTGGGATACATGTTCGAAGCCCGACTTCCAAACAAGAGTAACATCGCAGGCGTTGGTGGCCTGGAGTCGCCAAGACAGGAAAGCCGATACGGGATTGCCGCCCACTGAACAGATTCTCATTAGCTCACTGTCGTCCATATTGGCCAGCGGGAGTGGGACGCTGCATTAGCAACGGTCCGCGGTGACGTCGTGGTGATGGAAAGCGACCGTAGAAGAGGATTATTGAAGATAACAGGAGGGGAAGTGTGATGGGGGACGAGATGGTTTGTAATGACGCGCCAGAGGACAATTGGGGCGCTGAGAGGCAGGCTAAGGTATGAAGGGAGAATTGCAGGAAGAAGAGGGACAACGGACCTGATAGAATCTTGAGCCTAGTCGTTACAGGCGCCATGGTTTCTGTCGGGGCCCCGATGTGGAATAGTGGGCTAGACCAAGTTTGAGGGTGTAGCGGATGGGCCTCTCGCGATGGACCCGTAGCCTCGGGGCTTGGTGGGTGCCACACGCAACGAGGACCTGGAGGAAGGGGGTGCCTCCCTAGGGATGGCTGGGATCGACAAGGACAAGCCAAGCGGAGGCGGTATATCGATTATTGCGAGCCGTGGAGGAGATGACTTGAACGGAGCAGCGGTGGCTGAGCTCGAAGAGGAATCAGTCGTGCACGTATCGAGCCGGGAGGTAGGCCCTTGGCGGGGGTTGGAAGCGAGGGCGAGGGCGTGTCGATGAAGAGCAACGGACGACAGACGGCAGCCAGATGACAGGCGATGGTGGGCTCAACGAGGGACAGGCCAGGATCGTGGCGGTAGGATGGCGTGCCGGGGGGTTGCGGGCAGCGAGCTGTGGACGGCGCGATATCGACGGTGGTAGGCCGGCAGTCCAAAGTGTGATGAGCAAGAGGTAGCCCAAAACGAAACGAGCGTGGTCAAGAATTCGGCTGCGGTGGTGACGGGTGGGACGAGAGCTGAGAAGGCAGTGGGCTGGCGGGAGATTGTCTGGGGTTGGTTGACAGGACTGCGGTGGGTTTGAGCTGGAACTGGGAACTGGGAACTGGGAACTGGGCGCTGGAGTTGGCCCTGGAACTGGCCGGCGGGTGCGGAACAAACTGAGCGGGCTTGGCCTGGGATGGGCCTGGGCGTGGACGGCGTGGGCCTGGGCGCGGGCGCTGCAGTGCAGGCGTAGGCGTAGGCGTCGGCGTCGGCGTCAGCGTATGTGGGCTCTTGTCCGCTGGGGCCCTGGACGAGCTGGAGCTGGAGCTAACGCGGAGCAAGCGGAACGAGTGCGTGTGCGTGATGCCACGAGGAGAGTGTGCGGGTGCGATGCGGAGCGGAAGTGGAAGTGGTGCAGCGCGATGCTGAGCAACCGACCGTGTGTGAATTGTGAATGAATTGCGAATCCTTGGCTCGGGTCGCAATTGCTTGAAAACCCCCAATCAAGTAAACGAGTGGAAGCCCGCAGTGGCAAGGCAGCGAGCGAACGGTCCTTGAATGTCCCTGAATGTCTCTGAGAGCAAGCAAGCGAGCAAAGGGAAGGGGGCAGAAAAGAGGACCCGCGTGGCGACGAGAATTTGTGAAGCGCTCCTACTTGGTGAGGCGTGTGGGCCCTTCCTTTCTTCTCCGTTCGTCGAGGGGGCGCGGTCGACCCTGGAATTGGTGGTGACTGATTAATTGATTTTGGAAGCTCCCGATGTAAGGGAATGATTAGGGCGTGGCCGTCAAGGGCGTCAAAGTGGCAGTGGGCGCGCGAGAGGATTCAATATAGCCGAAGGAGCGTTGAGTGCGTGGGGCGCTGCAGTTTCCTCGCCTTGGTTTCCGTTTCGGTTTTGTTTTGTTTTCGTCGTTTGTTCGTCTCGTGTGAAAATCGTCTTGTTCGTCCCTTGGCGGTCTTTCTTGGAGTGGCGTTCTTGTCCTCGAGTCGGGCACGGGATCGTGATACGTACGTCTCGGCGGATTGCAGCAAGATGAGGAGGAGAGCGAGCGACACGACAATGAAGCAGCCGCAGCAGGGTCTGTAAGAGAGTCACGTCCGTCGATTCTCGATGCACCCACAGTAGCAGCAACAACAGCAAGGAGAGAGGGAAAGGAGGATGAGAAGAGATACGGGAGAGATACGAGTAAGAGAAAAGCCAGCAGCACAGCAAGGAGCGAGGGCCCGAGAGCATCCAGTATCCAGGCCATCCCCATCCTCATCCACATTCACCACCACTCTCCCCCCCTCTACGGAGGTTTATCCCTACGTATCCGCCGTCCCATCCCTTCCCTTCCCATCCTTATCCCTACATATCCCCCGTCTGTCCATCGCTATGGCTATGGCTATGCCACATGGCTGCCGCTGGCCGGCGTACTACGACTACGTAAGTCGTAGTGCGGCTATAGCTAATGGATCCCAGGCACTCAGACGGAGGGCTGGGCAGGATCCAGGCACCAAGAACACTAAGGATGGATACGTTGTCCGTGGGATTATTCGCTGGCATGCGTATCACGATGATGACAGAATCGACACAGGGTTCCTGGCCTGCATCGCCGTCCATCAGGCAAGTCTCCCGGTGCGGATTGGCCTAGTCCATTATCGACGAGAAGCCTCCTCGCCCGCGCAATCCGGTTCTCTCCCAACATTGCGACCCTCTAGCCCCAACCCCAGTGATTAAAGGGTCGTATTCAGAGATCAGCCTGCTCAAGCTTTCCAAGGAAATATCCCACCACCAGATGTAACCCTGCAACCAGTCCAAGCTTCCTAACCATGTACTCGGGCTGCCAGTTCCTCGTGTAAAGTACCAGTTTGGCATGTTGTGCTATGCCGTGCTCTGCCGTGCTCTGCCGTGATACCTTTCCCTAATGCCCCACGACGTGCACGACGTGCAGCAACTCGGTGCTAGGACCTTGCATCGGGCAGCCAAAGCCCACTCTTTTCGTACGCAGTCAACAAAGCAGTGAGGAGATGGCTCCTGACATCGAACAAGGGCGACGACATGAGTGGATGGGCCCGATGGATCTCCCAGCGAAGCGTGGGCCCGCTACCGGGAGGGAGCTTCCGGAAAAGACTGCAGTCGGCGCCCTGCCATGGGCCTGCGCCTCAATGGGACGCGTATGACAATTGGATAGTGAACGCGGGAGGAGGTCACTTCCTCGTAAAGCAAAAGTGAGAGAGGGAGACGACCGGGATTTGGCCAGGTACCGAACAGCCGGTGGGCTGAAGCCGCCAGTCCAGTCCGCTTGAAGCCATCCTCAGCAATGGCATCCAACACGAGCCGGTGTGTGCCATGGTGTTGAGACTCGGGGAGCGGGAAGCCCGGAGGCCGGGGGTCGGGGAGAAGGTGGTCTTCGTTCACCACCATCTGGCATGTGAGGGCTTCGATGACGGTCCTTTGTACGCAGTATATTGATTGCATGTGTGTAAGTGGCACCTCGTGGCTTGTGCCACATTGGGGGTCCGACAGCGGTGGCAGGTTGTCTCAATTGACATTCCTCAACCAGGCCGGCGGTCTCTGTCATTGCGATGTCATGACGCGCCTACCGCTTTAACGAGACATGGAAAAGTGCCATCATCTGAGCACTGTCTTTCTTCAGCCTCTGCCCAGAATCCCCTATTTCCGCCCAGGTGCTATATTCGGATCATCTCCCCACCTTCGTCTACTTGGTGCATTCCTGCCCATCCACACCTCGGGTGAGGCGGAGACTCCGGGGATGGAAGCGGACGACAAACCACTGGACGCTGGCGTTGCGCAAAGGCACTCACTCCGCATACATAGCATCTCGCGGCTTGGGCCACGTCCCGCCGGCCTTGCTCTAGTGCTCGCCTCCAGTCACCACGCGGCGCGCCTCCGTGTAACCGTGTCATCGTCTCCGATTGTCCAGGTCTCTGGGTACGTGTCATGGTGCGCGTCGACACTCGCGGCTCACTCCACCCCTCGTCATTCTCACCGAAAAGTGGTTCAGCCGTGGGCGTTTCTTGCTTGCTCTCCACCTGGACGGTCCAAACAGCATGTACACGGTACCGGCGATTGTGTCTCACGTGCCGTGGACTCCGTTGTAGGGCCGGCTGGATGGAGGAGGGCCCTAGGGTTTGAAGGCTCTGATCCATAATGGAGCCATTGATGCCGTTGTCATCAGCCTGGTCAACGTTGGTCAGTGTTGGTCAATGTTGGTCTCCACCCAACGCACCTCCGAGTCCACTGATGATCCCCCTTTGACATTAAAGTTATGCACTTGGCTTCCTCCCACTTGAAAATCTTAGCCTCTTAGCCTTCTCGGTTGGCTGGTGACATGTTGGAGCGTCAGTAGTAGCTGTTTTATTCGGGGGCCAAGGCCAACTAACCAAACGGTCGGTTGAACGGGGCGGACTTGCAAGGAGAAACCGACCGGTTTAACGCCCCATTACCGTCCCGCAGCCACGGACCGCCACTACTTGCTATGCAGTACTCCGTAGTACGGAAGAAGAAGAAAAACCATCGTTGCCGACGAATGTGCTGATCATGACTTCTAACCCCTTTCCTTGCTGCGCCCGCAGTGTCTTGCTAACAACGGGGTTTCAGTTGTTGGGGCATGTTTTCTACTTCGACGCTGTGTTGAATAATGCGCCCGCATACGCAGGTCCAAGATTGCAACTACAACTGCAACTGCAACTCCAGCTGCAACTCCAACTGCAGCTCCAACAACCACTGCGACCGTGATTGAGACCATCAATCACCCATGTTCGTTTCTTGTTCGGTCTCAATCTCGTGGGCGCGCGCGTGCCTCCACTTGAAATGGTCTAAATCTGTCCGGCCCCTGGCCCCATGCGCTCCCGGCATCGCCGGCTAGCAATAATCTCGATTGGCACAATCCTGCCGATGACGTAATGTAGAAAAAGGCTTTCTGGCCTGACAAGAAAAACGACATGGGCCAACGAGCCACCATTTTTTATCCATTTTTCATCCAACAGGCTTCGTACAGGGCTTCGTACCTACGGATGCGCGGTTGGCTGCAGCCAAAAGGGGCCTGCCTACTCCAGGATCCCGGGGTTTACCGTTCTAAGCTTCCTTGGCTCTCTACGCCGCGCTTGATTCGTCGGCGCGCTTGGCCTCACCCCTCTACGCCCGTGGCAGTCTGGGCTTCAATCGACCAGCAATGCCATGCCAGCTGAAGTCGCGGCGCTAGAAGTTCGCCTAGAAGCTGCTGCAGCTGTGACCTCGCGCCTTGCACACATCACACAACTCACACAACTCCTCCGGACACATCGGATGAAACTAATTAGCCATGGTCGAATCGCTGCTCGCCCGAGTGTGTGCTGGCAGCTTTGGGCTTGCTGCAGCCTCCAGGTTCTTCCTTGGCCAGACCTGCATCATCTGCGTCCAAAGAAATGAAAGCACCCCCGGTCGTCCAGTCGTTCGCTATCGTTCGCAACCATGGATGGCATGCCAAGCTCCGCTCTGTGCTCTCCCCCAGTCTCGGACAAATACCACACCCAGTGACATTCTCCCTCCTGCGGACCGTTCGGCCCCGTCCCAATCCCCGTCTCCGTGCTCCATCTGCCGCTGGAGTCATCGTCCTGCCTGACCCAGAGGGTTGCGCGCATCGTAGATCCTACCGTAGCAAGGATGCTACTCAATTCCAGACCTCAGAGGATCTCCGCAGCGAACATCCCACATTGTGGCGGAGGAGGAAGCGGAAGCGGAGGGAACCGTTTGTTTGTTACTTGTGGGTTCTGGAACTTCAAAGTCATCGCCAATACGTCGTATTGCCTCCAGTCCGCTGGTCTATCCGTTCCAACCGCGTGCTACAGGGCTCCCTACCCTGTGCTTCCGGTGAAAGTATGCTGTATGGGGCACATTGCAGATACCGTAGGGGCGTGGGGGACTCGCACACCATCTTTCACAGTCCTTGTGCGCAGCTAACTTCTTTCATCTCCGGCCATGGGCTGCTCTCATTGGAGCCCAAGGGCCTCTATCTCCGTGCCTGTGCCCAACCCAAAGCATCTGTTGACACTTTCGCCCGAGGCTCTTTTCATTGACTCTTCGTGCCCCAATCTCAATGTCTTCGTTGAAGGGCTGCAAGGCTGAATGGGCCAACTGCTATTCCATCTCCCCTGGCTGGTCATTGACCCTGGTCGACGTTGCACTCACATATGCAACCTGATCAGAAGTCGCCACCCAGTACGCCCGTAGCAAAAACTAAATTACCAAGTGCTAAATTTGACATCAGAAGATGATCGACACAAACTATTGGCGGGTCTGCCATGGTTTTTTTATACCATTGCTGCCTTGGCAGGTCCAGGATTCTCATACCCGCGCAGCTTCCGCCCTGTGATGCCCGTCGACCCCGGCCTGAATATCATGATCATCGTCAATGCCGACGTATGAACAACTGGGATAGGGTAGGCGTAGATCAACTACAATTCCGGGCCTCACTCGTCCTTTCAATATTCGTTGCTCCTTTGGAGTGTGAAAGTTTCAAATGTTGCATATCCCAACCTCTTGAGAGTGCCATTGTGGTACAGGGTAGGTCTTTATTCTTTTCGCTGGTCCAAGTTCGATAATAACATATCATGTTGTTCTTCCTATGTATTTATGATACGGTGTGTATGAAGACTCGTTGCCGATGGGCAAATGGGCCATCGGACATATGCTCATTTGTTGCAGTTGCATATCATTGCATTCCAAGAGCCTCATGTTCCAATATTCCATGTCCATAGTCAATACTCACCCATACTCATTCATGCGTTTGCGTTTGTACGATGAAGGCAATATCAAGTTTTAACTAGAACCGTGGAATAGTCGAAATACCCTTAGTTGATTTTGTCTGTTGCACAGTTTAATATCCCTATACTATTTCTTGTACATGGGGTTGCATCTCCCAGATAAATACTTAACAGCCACTCACCAAGTCTCCCATGATAGCAACAACAGACTTGACGTCCGGCTATTCTTACCCTGCTACATTTATTGGTGCTTGTCCCCTCTTGTTTTTATCGCTACGCGTATCTGAACCGCGAAGCGGTCACCGCCCCTGTCGATCCCAGCAGCCACACCGACACCTTTCCTGCATTGAAAACAACCCTTGCCCACGAGAAGCACCATGAACTCGTCACACTTGATAAAAGAGGGCCCTTGGGCTTGGCCATGCCACCTGAGGAACGCTACTCGCCACCTGTATTCCACCAGACGCCATGTTCTAGCCTCAAATACTCAAGCGGCTGCCACGCAACCATTGACGACCAGGTGCCCCGGCCAATGTGGCTGAACATAAGGCAAAAGAAAACCGAATCGCGCAGTGCAGGGGATCATGCCATGTCGCCTCGTAGGAACCCTGGTTTGGGAGTGGTAGGAGAGTCAATACTGGGTCTCGGCGTGGGGCCATGCCTGCCGGGTAGGCGGGAACCTAGAGGTGCATATTGAAGAGACGATGGTCTCTTCTGCGAAATCATATTTTTTGCTTTGGGCTTGTTTCATGAGTCGAGATTTCAGTGGCTATGCGGTGGTGTTGTTGCTTTTTGAGGTTTCGGAGTCAGATCGGTGGCGAGGTGGATGCCCGATGGCGTTCGCCAAGGAGGCTTCAGGACGGCATTAAGCGACCAGCCGCTAGCCATGTCTCGGTCAAATGCGCCGTAGACCTCGGAAGGGAAGCAAAGATGAAAGTAGTGACAGTTGCTTCCGAGCCCTGGACCGAACTTGGCAACCGGCACCGGTTGTTATCACCAACCTCCCGGGTATACGAAAGACTACGGCAATATACACTAGATCGAATATCGGTATGGTTGACAAGTACATAATTGGGGTCAGAAACCATCTCATTCACCCATGTGAGCTGTAGTTGGCGAATACCTGGTCGTCCATGCCGCGTCCGTCTTGAGTTGTAGTTGTGTTAAAGGCGTGACCAGAGTTTCTTTCAGAACGGCACATAGAGCACTAAACGGAGAGTCTGCCATAGGAACATTGAAGATATATCTGCTCTTCGAAGAAAATTGAACGTTGATGCGAATGCTAAGCAGACATGGGGGTCAGAATAGATGAAGAAAGTAAGAGTCTCTTAACTATAGATGCTCTGAGCACTTGTCTTATATGACGGGTAACCGTTTAGCAGGTACTTGGTAAGCTAGGCATTCATAAGATACAGCTAGCTGAACGCATCGTTGTTCAGTCCTTCGAGCATGTTGTCTAAACCGAGGAACGGTCGAGGTTCTTGTTGTCACAGAAAGCACTGTATGACCTGAAAGTTCCACCAAATATACCAAACAGACACCGCCAGCGGTATTTTCTTTCTGGTCGTGTCTGCTCACTGCGATATTTGATAATACTCCATTGAACGCGAGGTGCCGTGTCTGGGTCCCGTCTCGCAGTGATGCTGGAGGGACTCCCCGGATTAGACATCTCCATCGGGAGAACTGAATGGGGTAGACATAAATCGATTGATGAGCCTAGGTTGCTTGAAACAACGCGAACAAAGCGAAAAGCAAGACTTTCGTCGATCTTGTGGCGCGAGGTCCGGTAGACCTCAACTAGATACTTACTTCTCGTCTTTCAAGAATGAGACTTCCCCTTAGAACCAGCAATAGTCGACATAAAGCAATGTAAAAAGTAGGTAGACGTTTATTTAAGTTTAATATCGAAGACGTATGTCTCTGTCAAAAACCAGAAGACAGTTGTTTCGGTGGTCGACCGTATATCAGTCCTTATTCTTGTCAGTTGTTCGACACGCTTGACAGCTGAATTAGCCTACATGACAATTGAGAATTGTCTAGTAATTTGGGTCAATTGAATTCATTTTCAATATAGTACCCGCGGTATTACTGACACGCCTCTCTGCGTTTATTTTGGCCAATACCGTCACGTTTCGCTGATCAGTCCACAACACTCACTTCGCGGCATAATACTCACTACATGACATATTTGATACAATCATAGTATTTTATAGATTCGGAAGAACTGCATAGCAAACCGCATGCCGTGCGTACTTACTCGAGGCTGACAGTGCATTGATAGATGATCACGAGTCGTCAACCCGTGTGACTCGTGGGCTCAAAGACCTCGTCTGTAAATCTGAGACACAATAGTTTGTATCCAAATCCATTTTAGAACCTCCAAATACTCAAATCTTTTCGCAATTGTACACAGATTCGCGCAAGAACAAACCAACGACGGGCATGACACTTACGTGGACGCCACACAAACAGTTTTGGACTGCAAAGGAAGAAACAATGACGAACTGGACCATAATTAAACAGAGGAAAGTCCAACCTAAATCTGGAGGTGAGGAGACTGAAGATAGAGATTTCATAGATGACAAGAGTGGGAAAGGTTCATATGAAAGAATTTGTTCAGGGGAGAGCAATTGAATGTCAGACAATTGACGGCGAATGAGCCCAAGGAGAGATCAAAGAGAGTCTGGTTACGGCATATTATAGCACTCGGAACGACCTAGGGGTAGAACTTGTTTTCGTTGAGTGATTGACAGCGTCGCTTGCTCTTGGTGGACTAGTGTGTGGGTAAATGATCGATGACGTGTCATACCTTGTGAGGTAAGGTTAGATCCAGATCTTGCTCTTTAACAGGCTTGGAATGGCTTTGGGAATGCTGGATTTCTCGGGTGCAATGGGGAATGGAAAGGCATGTGAGATTGTCTGGGGTAATTGAAACGTATCTTGCGGATCGTCAATTTGATTTCTATTTTCATCTGCACAGCGCGGGTTGTGGGAATCTCGGAACCCGAATGAAGGTCTTGGTTGGCCTCGCTCGACTCTGGGATGAAACCGCGTCGCAGCTAACAGCTCCACTTTTGGACGTCCAGTTGCAGCATGCGAGCGTCATCAATTCTTTGCATACGTAACTGCGGCACTGCTTCATTATCTGACGATTGTCGATTGTCCTCAAGCTTCCTCGTCTGCTCAGCGTGTTGCTTAGAATCTGCACTCCGGAAAATACTGTCGCAATGGTGGATCAACCCGTATACACGCTCCACTACTTCCCCTTCTCTCTGTACTCGCTCATGGTGCGGTTCGGCTTCGTGCTTGGGGAGTCACTTAACCCTAACACGGCGCCGAAGCTGAAGGTTAGGCTGGTCAACTTGCACCGGGGAGACCACCTCTCCGAACCGTATCTGACACTGGTGAATACCAAGGGCCAGGTCAGGTCCATTCCCCTTCCCAGATTCAGTTGTCCAGACAAAATATAGAGCTAACTCGTCCCAAGGTCCCTGTACTGACTTCGCCTCATTTACCAGCTTCCCTGGACGACGGTCAATCTGTTGCACTATGGCTCTGCAAAGAACAGCCGGAATTGGTGCCGGAAGAGCATGAGGAAGTCATCTCATACCTTATGGACAAAATTTATTCCCTCCAAGCCATCTCGCTGGTGTTATCAGAAGAGAACCAGCAATATGGCTTCCCTAACGAAGCGGCAGCATTGCTCGAGAAAAATGGCCTGTCTCCAAAGTACCGACGGGCCCTTGAAATCAACAGTATCTTGTAAGAGACTTCACAAACGTTCCATGCCACAGCTAACGAAGCATGAGCCATGAATTCACTCACAGCAGTTCTCTGGATCCGGAAAACGTCGCCGAGGCAGAAGAAGGGGCGCTTGAATTCATGCATGACCTGGTCGAGGTGTTCAAGGAACACAACCAGGGAAAGACGTGGATATTCGGGGATCAGCCTACCATTTTGGACGCACACGTAGCGGCCTTGGCAGCGCGGTTAATGGACGTGGATCGGAGTGATTTGTTACCCGAGGAAGTGCGAGCGTATGCACGCTCAGTCATTGCGACGCCCGAGTGGAACAGGGTCACAAGCGGAAGGCCAACCGTCTGGGACGATTCGTTAGGGAAGGTGGAAGACTTTAGGTCAATGTGAGAGTACCTGGCGAAAAATTGCATTTGCAGTTTCTATATGGACTTGTGGAATATGGCGAGGTATGAAGAAGAATGTACGGAAGCTGAGTGGATGAATGCTCGACCTGTGGCAGTTGTATGTCTAGAATCATGAGATTGTAGGAATACAAATCCAGATAACTGGAGGAAACGACACCCGGACAAGGGGTGATATAAAATCCCGGGCCTGTTTGTGCATCTGCTGATTAGTAGAAGAGATATTAGTGACTAGAACTCTGCGTTGTTGTCTACACGGATCTTCATGTGAAGCCCCACAGGCGACCGAGTGGGATACCACTGTCAGTGATATTGTGGAAACATGAAGTTGATACAAGGTTCCCGGGATTAATACGATGAGTATCGGCCGAATTGGAAATTTGATATGCCCTAAAAGTGATGATCGCTGCAACCGCCTCTACGTATTGGGCAATCTTCTGATGGCACGAGCCAAACGAAGCATCACGATTGGATCGCGACTGCACCGACTACGTTCATGTATACGTTGGAATGTGAAGAAATCAAAAAGCCCTTGCAGAAAAGATGAGGCTCCGGTGGATTGCCGGTCATGTTACGTACAGAACGGACGACACCTGGTTGGCAAAGGGGCCGTCTCACAACAAAAGTTCCCCGTCGTCGGAGACGCACACGGGTCGTCGCGCAACGCCACTGGCTGCCAGCCGATGATGCGCCACGGGTGAATCATGCTTCTCGGGGGCGATTCCAGGCGGTGACTCGCTTGGCTTCGGCCGAGAGCAGCCCGTGTTTCGTGCGATGGATATGGGGGATCGGAGGGTTGGAGGGTCGGAGTGACCGGGCAGTGCCGTGCAAAACAAAAGTTCGCCGAGCGACGGATGGGGACAGGGCCTTTTGCTCGAGTCGCGCAGGGACCCACGTACCCAAGTTATAGGTGGTGTTTTGGCGGGTGTGCAGGTCGGCGGAGTGATTCTGGGCATCAGTTCACCTTGAATAATGGAAACGGGACGGGACAGGGCTGCTATACGGTTGAAGAGAGGGAGTGGGAATTGAAGAAGAGGTGAAGAAGCGAAGATGCAGAAGATTAGATCGTGCCAAGCCTTCTACGCCGTGGTGTAGAAGGGCTCCGCGACAGAGCGTCAAGGCGTCCTACGCTCGAGGTTTGAGCCCAACTGAATCCTGCGAGGACCATAAGAACTTAAATACGGTGCCACGTTTTCTGGAATCAACTGCCGAAGAGGTGGGCTTGAGGGGGAGTGATGGTGAAGTCCGCATACTACCTGCTATCATGATAGTCAATCGTAAGTCCCTGCAGTCGTAGAATTACCTTGCTCCCGGAGTCTGGGGAGGGATGGATGGCATAATCGGCTAGAGGCCAGAATAAGATACAGCAAGCATATCACTGGAGAGGTCCCTGGGGAATTGACACCCCCGCGACCTAAATCAGGACCCGGCTGAAATTCCATCTCGTGGTCCGAGGCTAACCCTAGGTGGCATGGAAGATAAGGCGAAGTCTGAAGGCCATCTGGGCGGCAGCTCATTGGCTGTGCCAAGGTGGATGGAATGGCGTGCGGGCACTGCGACGGGCAGCCAAGCCCAAAATTCCATGGCGGAATTGATTGTGGTGGATGGGGAAGCATCTGATGATGTTGAGACGGGTTCTTTGCGATGGTGGTTTGGGCTGGGATGCGGAAAGAGGCCACGCAATGCTAGTAGAGGAGCGAGCGCAGAGGTTTCTTGCGTACTACATACATGCCATATGTGCATACTACTAACTTAGTAGTAGTCTCTGATGAGTCTGTACTCCGTACTACCTTAGGTATGTCGCACTGAAGACCGGATGATGCTCCCCCATTATGGATCTTGGGGAGGAGTCGTCGACAAAAGGTCCGAATCTGGGACCCAGTCGCCCAGCCAAAAAGCCACAGCCACAGCGTCCGTCTCGCTGACTTCCGAGTTGCTTTTCCAGCGGCCCCTGTTCAGGCGTGGCCCCCGGTAGCGACTATGCCCAACGAGGAAGGTGTGGATGGACCGATGGTGCCGTTCCGTGATAGCAGCTCCCTGCACCACCCTCACTCACCACTCTCTACTCCATCTCAAGGAAAAAGACGTTGTAGAATATGTCGTTGATTTCCTTGGCCAGCTTCTCAAGTTCATGCTTCTGAAACCCCACTTCATTCAGCTGAATTTCTCTCTCGGTTTCGTGAATAAGGCGATTCGCCCGCCAAAGCCTACCCGCACGCCGCATGAGGAAGAGTGCTCCCAGGTATCCTCCTAGGACTTTGAAAGTGCTTGATGGTGCGAAGTTTTGAGTGGTGAATGTTGAGTAGATACTTGTGAATAAAAGTATAATACTAAAGCCGTAAAACAATCTTGAACACGGTCCGACCCATGTTCTGGTCTGAAACTCCAGAGGGCCGGTCTCTCTAAGAAAGCGCTGGAAGTACTTCAGCATATGGGTTGCTTGTGCTTGTCTATGAGTGTTAATTTTACACAGTAAATTTTGAGCAAGAAACGTACCCAGTGTACTGTTCGTCTTCAGAACCGAATCTTATAAGTTCCGACATAATTTAGTGCAATGGTAGAATGATGGAGATCAGCTTTAATTGATGGAAATGCAAGAGTGTAACGTTGTGGTGATGATTCTTTTTGCAATGGAAGTGATGGTGAAGGAAGAAAGGTGGAGAATGGTGAGCCGGGATCAAGGGTCGGTGCCTAGTCGCACCTGACTTTGATTACGCCTGGGCGTTCTGAAGCGTGTCCCACCATGTCTGCGAGCGTCTAGCGCCCGGTGTCAATCTCCATCGCCTTGGCGCCTTCGCGGGGGCAACCCTCTCCTCGCCCGTGCTCATGCCCTCGATAAACGCTGGGGTCAGCCCGGTCACGTCTGAGGTGGTGGTTGTACGCCCGTGGTGGTAGTGGTATAACCACGCCCGCCTGGCTGCTGCCCGTTTCGCTGGGTCTTCTCTTTTGCCTCTGCTTCGCCTCGCTCCCTCCTTGCCATCGCATCGCAACTCCTCCCACGGTTGCTGTTCCCACGTCGCTCCCAGGCCACGGGCGTTAAAACCACGGGCGTCTAACCACCATGGTGCCGTCCATCTTCCGCAAGCGCCACGAGGCCGTGGACATCACCCCGATGCCCGGCCCTCTCGAGGCCGCCGCCGCCGCTTCCTCGGGCGTCGACACCCTCGAGCACCTCAAGCAATTCGAAAAGGCCCACAAGCTCGATCCCAACCTGCCCATCGACGACCTCACCGATGTTGACGCCGCCATCGCTACCGGAAATGCCGAGAAGGGCATTGAGATTGAGCACGCGCTCATGGAGGACAACAGCCCGTATCCCGAGGTATGCGCCCGCTCGCCCACGTCGTGTGCCGTCTGCGGAGCGAGTCTACCTCGCATTTCGCGATCCCAACATCGAATATGCCACTTCGCAGATGGCATCAATTTTGTGTTGCATTATATGGATGGACGGATTGATTGATTCCTTTTCTGAACAGGTTCGAGCCGTTGTCCGCAACTTCGATGTCGACCTCCCGGCCAACACGATTCGCGCCTGGGTTATCGGCATGGTCCTGTGCACCATTGGCTCCGGTGTCAATATGATCTTCTCATTGCGCAACCCTAGCATCACCATCACCACCTACGTCGTCCAGCTCGTTGCCTACCCTCTCGGCCTAGGCTGGGATTTGATCATGCCCGACCGCGAGTGGAATTTGTTCGGCCTCAAGTTTAACCTCAAGCCCGGCAAGTTCAACTACAAGGAGCATGTCGTAATTGTGGCCATGTCAAACGTGAGCAACTCCCGGTCCCCTTCTCCATCTACCTTATCTCTACTTGATTATCTCCACTCCAATATCCCTCCTGCATTATCTCCGTCCCACCATCCCTACCCCAATCCCCCTGTCAATCGCTAACTCAATCCCAGGCTGCCTATGGTGGTGGTGTTCTCTATGCCACTGATGTCTTGCTCGCCCAACAGCTCTTTTACGGCCAGCACTTTGGTTGGGTTTTCCAGCTTCTATTCGGTATTACCACCCTCTGCACCGGCTACGGCCTGGCAGGCATGGCCCGTCGCTTCTTGGTGTGGCCTGCTGCTATGATTTGGCCTTCTGACCTCGTCAACTGCGCTCTGTTCTATACCCTCCACGATCACTCAGTCTCGGACCCCTCCAAGACCAACGGCTGGAAAGTTGGTCGGTACAAGTGGTTCCTGATTGTTGGATGCGCCGCCTTCGTGTGGTACTGGTTCCCCGGCTGGATCTTCAAGGGTCTATCCTACTTCACCTGGGTTTGCTGGATTGCCCCCAAGAGCATCACTGTTAACAAGATTTTTGGTGGTCTCACTGGCTACGGCCTGATGCCCACTTCATTCGATTGGACCGTGTACAGCGGATACCTGGCGTCGCCTTTGATCCCTCCCTTCTATGCTACCGCCAACGTTCTCGCTGGAATCGTCATCTTCTTCGTCTGCGTTTCCATGGGCATTCACTTTTCTGGCACTTGGTATGCCGACTACTTCCCCGTCCAGTCGTCCGAGTCCTATGACAACACCGGCAACATCTACAACGTTGCTCGAATCCTGGACGAAAACTTCCATTTTAACGAGACGGCGTATAAGGAATACTCGCCCTTGTTCCTCCCGACACAATTTGCCATGGCCTATGGCCTCTCCTTTGCCGCTGTCACTGCTGTCGTCGTTCACGTTGCCCTCTACCACGGCCAGGAAATCTGGAAGCAGTTTAAGCTCGCTCGCCACCAGGAAGACGATGTTCATATGCGCTTGATGAAGAAATACCGTGATGTGGAGGATTGGTGGTACGCGGGTATGTTTTGACAATATTTTATGCCACGAGGGTCCAAAAAGTTCTCTGCTAACATGAGCACAAGCTCTTTTTATCTCCATGATGGCTATTTCGTTTGGCGTTGTTGCAGGCTATCCTACCGGATTACCTGCCTGGGCCTTCGCCGTCTGCATGTTGATCCCCATTTTCTGGCTTATCCCGATCGGTCTCGTTCAGGCCATCACCAATATCCAGCTCGGCCTCAACGTCCTTACAGAATTCATCATTGGATACATGGTCCCAGGACGCCCCGTGGCTATGATGTTGTTCAAGAACTACGGTTATATCTGCATGACCCAGGCCCTCTACTTTGCCCAGGACCTCAAGCTCGGCCATTACATGAAGGTCCCGCCGCGAGTCATGTTCTTCTCTCAGCTGACTGCCTCCATATGGTCTGCCATCGTTCAGATCTGTGTTATGAACTGGGCCCTTGGTCACATCCCCGATGTGTGCTCGCTTGACCAGGAGAACAATTACACTTGCCCCGGCCCCCGAGTTTTCTACACGGCTTCAGTCATTTGGGGAGCCATCGGTCCCGCCCGAATCTTCAGTGGCAGCGCCATCTACTCCTCGCTCCAGTGGTTCTGGCTTGTTGGTGCCGTTACTCCCATCATCACCTGGCTCCTCGCCCGCAAGTGGCCCCGCTCTATCTGGCGCTATGTGTGCACTCCTCTCATCTACGGTGGCTCCAACATGCTGCCTCCAGCCAGCGTCTACATCTATCTCTGCTGGGCTACAGTTGGCACCGTCTTTAATTACTACATTAAGCGACGTTACACTGGATGGTGGCTACAGTACAACTACATCACCTCGGCCGCGTTAGACTGCGGCCTGATTTTGTCAACCATTGTCATCTTCTTCACTCTGTATATGACAAGTGCTGCAGACCCCAACTGGTGGGGCAACAGAGGCGCCTTGGACACACTTGACCTGCTAGGAAAGGCGGTCAAGCTCAAGGTTCCAGAAGGACAGACTATTGGACCTACAGAATGGCCTTGAGCTAGAATGCTTCGGAGTTGTGTTATTTGGGATGAGGTTATATGCGGCGGAGCTAAAGAAGTTGCGGATTATGTTTTGGAAAGCGGGTCTCTCTGTACATATTTATATGAACCGGTCGTGGCGTCATGGGACAGGTTGTAATTTTGGCTGGTTTGGTAATTCGAGATACCTCAATAATGATTCATGTTTCTGGACTCTATTCACATGTCCCAGGTGAGGTGAGAGAGATGGCTGAAACTAGTGGTTGTGAAAGATGGAATATCTTGATAGCGATACCGTGTAGAAAATTTATAACGTAGGGAGAATGCTTGAATGGACCAATGCCATATTGGTATGCTGCAATATTGCAACTCCCATCGAATTGCTCATTTTCACTGTGCTATCTTTATTTACTGGACTATGGATCTCATACACGATCCTTCGCTCGATCTAGGCAAGGACCCTGCGACCGCGCTAGGTCTGAAGCTTGGACGCTGCGGGTTAGACATGCCCCGAGTCACGTGTAATTTCCATCCACATCGTGGGCACGTGACCTAAGCGGAACATCCACACACCGAGTCCGGGTTCAAGCAAAGATTAGGGCTAGAGAGTGCAATTCGACACTCCACCAAAAAAGCCCTCCAAATTGAGAATTTCTCGATCGCCATCCAACTAACCGCCCAAACACCACAGCCAAGATGAGTATGTCGCCGCCCTCGAATTCGAGATCCCCGAGGGGAATCACGCAGCTGCTAATCTTCTGCCAACAGCGAAGGGTACCTCCAGCTTCGGTAAGCGTCACAACAAGACGCACACCTTGTGCCGACGATGCGGTTAGTTACTTGTGCCCTGAAACCCCCCAAGGTCTCTCAGCTATATTTTCCTCGACTCGCCCGCGGAGGAATTCAATCGAACAATACGCAGAACGACGACGCGAGAGGCGAGGAAATTTTTCTGAGAGACCAGATTTTGGGAAGAGAGATGAATGGACGGCTGACGGGATATCTTCTTTCTAGGTCGTCGCTCGCTTCACGTCCAGAAGCATGAGTGCTCGTCTTGCGGCTACCCTTCTGCCAAGATCCGCAAGTGTATGTTTCCCCCCTTTCGTTCCCTCCCAGACAACGGCCAGACGACGTCCGATCCGATGGCCCTGGCCCACCGACACAACATACTGACCCCTCCGCAGACAACTGGTCCGAGAAGGCGAAGCGAAGAAAGACTGTCGGCACCGGCCGCACCCGCTACCTCAAGGGCGTCTCCCGGCGATTCAAGAACGGCTTCCAGACCGGCCAGCCCAAGAACGCGCGGGGCACCACCAGCAAGTCCGAGTCCTCGTAAACGGGGCACCGGAACCCTGTTTGCCCCCCCTTTCAATCGCCCTTGCCCTCTCCCTCCCACCCTGTGAACGGAACATCGCGCGCGCGCACACACCCCTCGGAACACATCAACAATGCCGAAAGTGAATGAAAAGGGATTTCGATAAAGTCGGAAATATGGGTTGGGTGGTATTTTTGTGGTGAACTGGGACGGGCGGTTTGTCTGTGGGGGGTTCGCGTGGATGATGGACCGGAAGGGGCGGCTGGAGCATGGGCATGGTGTTTTACATGTTTGAGCAAGGAAAAAAAGGACCCTTTGCTTTTCTGAGATTCCATAGGGATTCGGTTACGAGGTTCTGAAATGGCATCTTGATTCTGCATGAACGTGCCTGCGGGGCTTGCTGTGAGAGGGGTGATGAGTTGGTGCGAGGATGACCACATTGGCTGGTGATTGCCTGTGGGAGTCTTCAACCAAGGTCGAACGGTGTTTATGATATCAATTGCATTGAACCGTTTGATTCTGTCCCAAGACCGTATCGAGGTCGCAAACCCAATTCTATCCCAGCCCAACCCATGCCACAACACCCGTCTTTTATCGTCCCCACAAGCACATATATTCAAGCGCCGATGATCATACAGCCAATCCTCTCCCAACTCCTCAAGCCCCCCTCTCGAAAACCCTCACGCCGCTATCCGCGGCAACGTGGTAGAGAAACTCGGCCGGCTCGCCGCCGTCAACCGCCGGCCCCGTCAGGCGCACCACTCCGCTGACGTCGCGCGCGGTGCCCGTGTCGAGCATGCGCAGCGCCAGCACCGAGTCGGCCGCATGCGCTGTCGAGAGCACCAGGCTTGCGTGCTCGCGCTCCAGCGTCGTGGCTTGCGCGGCGACGAGCGGAGTGTCGGCGGACATGGTAGCGAGGGCGCTGTGGACGATCTGTGGTGGGAGGTGACCGTGTTAGCTTTGGAGCCCGACTGCTGCGAAGCATAGGAGAGCTGGCGATGACTCACGCTGCGTAGGGACAGCAAGAGATTCTGTAGTGTGAGACTGGTGGTAGTCTCGTCGGTGATGGCGAGGAGGGCATCGAGCTGGTCAACGACGAGAACCTTGCGCGTGGTCCGCAAGTCTGCCACGGCAGCCTCGAGCTCCTTCTTGATATCGACCACTTTGCTGCTTCGGAGAACTCTCTCCTTGCGAACAGCGCTTGATGGCGCTGGTGACGCATCCCCCGTGACCAGGCCCGTCAAGCCATCTACGAAGATGACTCGGCCCGCTCTGCTGAGGGCATCTAAGTCGAGGCCCTGCGACAAGTTGATCAACGTCAAGTTTCCTCACATATTTTCCCGCCTATAATAACATGCGCAAACCTGAACAGGGTAACTTACCATCTTGGCCGCGCCGTCCCTCCAAAAAGCCCCATCCCGTAGAAAACTTACAAGCACAACGCCAGTATCTCTATCCTCGCCCGACGCCCCGCGCAGGTACGAGTACAAATGCCTGAGGACGAGCCAGTTGGCACTGGCACCCAGGACACTCGTGAGGAGGACGAGAGACCCCTCAGATGGAAGGGCCAGGTACGGCTCCAGCAGGTGTGGAATCCGGGATGAGGACGCCATTGTGTATGGTGAAGGTTGCTATCGAGTATTTTGACCTGTCGTTGTACTGTGCTCGGGCAGGATGCGACGTGGGTGGAAAGGTGTCGTGGTGGGGGTGGGGACTGTGAGGATTGAAGGTCTTCCGCACTGTGACGACATCAGACAAACGAGAACCATGCCACACATCACGAATCAAGACAAGGTAATAATTGGTAGGGTTGACAAGATACGATTCCTTAAAGGTATCGCTCTGTGTAGAGTTGATGCCTATCTGGAGGGAACCTGCTCTAATGCTTGACTCCGAACTCCTATGACCTATTGCCCCTCTTATGCGAAGTGATTGCTGATTGCTTTGCCCTGATGCAAGAACCGTTCAGCCACGAATGCGTTCAGAATTCCTCAGTATAAGAAAACCATTCTCATAAAAGTGTGCGACCCAAAAACAAACGCCGGTGTCATAACCTTGACAATGCCTTAGAACTTCTCCAGCAAGTTCATGCGTACCGTCCACATGCGAGCCCGCTTACCGTAGATGTACATAGGGATTGTGAACAACATCAGGATCAACTGGATGATGCCAATCCAAATGTACACTTGCTTTGGACCATCTGCATTCAGCCAATGCGTCACGAAGAGGCTGAATACAAGTCCATGAAGGATATTCTTGGAGAAGTTGAGCGTCACCAGCGCCTCTCCAGCATACTGGCGGTAGCTGTCCACGCAAAATGTGATGGCTGTTGTTGAGCCGAGCGAACATCCAAACGAGATGACGCCAAAGAAGACCGTGGGAACAATCCAGTGGTCCTTTTCGTCGGCCGACCAGCCAAAGCCCATAAGCCCAATGCATGTGGTGATGAGAATGGGAATCGCCATGACGAGCCGGAACTCAGGCTCGTACAGGCCGCCGTTGCGCCGTGCCATGGACTTGACGATAATGTCGCTGATCTTTCCTGCCACGCCGGTACCGAGGATTCCACCGAGGAAGGGAGAGATGTATACCAAGCCAGTTTGCAGGGCGTCAAAGTTGTAAGATTCCTTGTTACGGTAGATCATGGCCATCGACTCGGAGACGACAATCAGCCATCCTACCGAGCAGGCATACACACCAGAAGACCACAAGACTGCAGGATATGCGAACAGAATAAACGGCCGCATCATGACCTTGAACCAGCTGTCACTGTTAAGACGACCGTTCCAAGGCCTGAGCTGCTGAGTGAACGACTGGGCCGGTTGAAGTCGAAGATTATGCGTGTAGGCTTTGACTGTGGGGGGGCCCTTGAGTTTGGAAGCAGGGATCTTTTCATTGTCCAAATTGGGCCCGGTGGTGAAATAACCGATGTTGGCCTCACTTCCACTCGTACTATTGAAGCGGGAAGAGTTTGAGACGCTAACAACATGTGCCGGAGGTACCACCGCAAGGCTATGATTGGAAGAAGGCCGTGTCTCTCCAGTCTCGCCAGTGTCTTTGGTGACACGAGCCTCAGGGTTGTCTCCCTTGATTCCTGATGCGCCAGAGGGGTTTGAGTTGGGAGTAGCCTCAGGAGCGAACCCAACATGAACATCTTTGTGCTTCCGTGCAGTGCCCGGAGTCATAGGATCAGTATCTGCCGGGTGTTCTTGAGGACTCATTACCCCCGTATGACCAGATGAATGTCGGCGGAGAAAGCTTGGCCTCTTGGATGGACGCCTTGCCTTGGCGTGTGGGGTTCTGTCCCAGAAAGTCTCAGGGACGAACAGAAAGAGAAGGACGAAGCAAACCCCCACAACCATAGCCACAATCCTGCTCAAGTTAGATTGTGATCCATTGAAACCCTGCGTGGAGGGTAGTTACCAGAAAACCCATCGCCACCCAAAACGACCAATAATAGCCGCGCTAACCAGTGGGATTAGATTCTTGCCTCCGAGGAGCAATAACGTGTAGATACCAATGCGAAATGCTCGCTCATGCAAGAAAAAGATCTCGGCGATGGTGGCAGACGGCAGACACTCGACTGGGCTGACGGCCATGCCCTGGAATACTCTGGCGACCAGAAGAGAAGTGAACGACGGAGACCAGGCTGCCCAGAGCGACATGCCAATGAAGACAATGGCACTGGCGAGATAGACCGGACGTTTTCCGTAGAGAATCGCAGTGGGTGAAACGACTACGGAACCAACACCGAGACCCATCATGTAGAGTCCGGTGGTTAGGGAAACACTCTCAACCTCGATGTGGTACGTCTCCGCGACATCGGTGAAGCCAGCGGCGATGATGGGAGTCATTCCACCGCCAACCATGCAATAGAAGCCGAGAGATAGCAAGGCAAGGTCACGTCGCCAGCCGGGCCAGTTGAGGGGATCATTGTCTGACTCTTCGGGTTGGGGCTCCAAGATGATGGCACCGTCGCCGGTCATCTTTTTGGTCTCAGCGCCATCCACGGGGACTGGATTGGCAGGAGTAGATGAAGTGGAGGGCCTGGGCATCTCAACCGGGAAGCCGGTAGGGATGGAGGAATGAGAGGTCCTGGCATGAACACTGCGTAGGCCAAGAGGCTCGTTGCGATGTTGAGCGAGTAGCAAGACGGATCCTATTTTCAGCGTTAGTTTCCCGGCTGTCTTGGAGATTCACGGGTGAAACCAACCAGGAACCTCAATGGTCTCTTTATCGTTCAACACTCCCATGCTCCATTTCGACGGCCCGGACACATCGTCGGAGGAGCTATTGCCCGTAGAGTTATCACCAAAGAAGCGACGCCATCGGGATTGCGGAGGCAAATTTTCATTTTCTGTGGACATGTTTGGCGCTGGTTAAGGGGCGATGTGTTCGCCTTCCACCATCTCAGAATGAGATTCCACCACAAACGAGGAGGCGCAGCGAGTTGTCAGGAACAAATAATCTCTATCAACAAGATTAGGTGGCGGATGGATCCACCTACGGTGGAGGAGGAATGCGCCAAGAGAACCCTGGGGGTTACAGTTGACGATTGGTGGATCTGCGGGCGGTAATTGTTGAGGGTTTATCAAGGAGACAAGGGAGGGGTCTGTTTCTTATGTGAAAGATTGGAAGATTGGAAACGCGGAACGGTTCTAGGCGGGAGACTTGTTGTGATGATGAGGATGATGCTTGAAAGCTCAACGGGGATTAAAGTGCCGTGAGGGAGGGAAAGACAACAGGATAGAATAGTCTGGGCTTTCGAGTCTCGGTGCAATTGTGGAATTGGGGAATGCCAGGTGACAGCCTCTGGCAGCCGAAGCCGAGAGAGTGTGTGTGTGTGCGTGAGATGTTGCGCGTGTGTCTCTGTCCGTAGGTGCGTTGATGTAGGTTCGACGTGTTGTTGTGGATGGGAGACGATGATGGCGATGGGAGGGATGCACGAGGCACGAGCACACACCGGGCAGGCGCCGGGGCAAGTGGCGCGCTGGGACGGAGCGGCCGGGAGATGCGGGAAGTGACCCCCGTGTTGGTACCTGCCTGAAGGTACGGAGTAGATAGGTATGGAGTAGGTACGGACGGAGTAGAGAGCCCCGGGGAGATTAATTTGTCTGAAGAAGATGATACGGAAACTGTAATTGGGAATTGAGACCGGGCGGCAGGATATAAAAAGGAATCAAAGGTAAGGCTGATCTATCTTCCAAACACCGGGCCGTAGCCGTGGTCGTAGCCGTAGCCATTGCCGCCCCCCGCCCCCCGCCCCCGCCGCCAAAGCATGCGCTTCACCGTCCCACGACGATCACAAATTGCTACACAGTAAGCCCGCAACACTACGATGGGATGGTGCCGATGACTCTGACTCGAGATGCCGGACGGCCGCGGTGGCGGTGTCGGGCGAACAGGGTCTCAGCGGCCACATGCCCACATGATCCATCATGGCTGCCACCCGTAGAGGGTCCCGTGCAGCACCCGTCAGCACTGTAAGGCGCTGCACCGCGCCGCCCAGAGCGCGCCCAGAGCCGCAGGCAGCCTGGCGAGGGACTCCCCCACTGCAGCCGCTGCGCTACAGAAGCACCATGACGTGCCGAGACCCCTGGACCCGTCTTCGTGGCCTTGTGCGGAGGTGCTGTGGCCTGTAGGTTCCAGGCGCAATTACATCAGCCAAGTTGATCGGCCAGTGAGTGAGTCTGATGGGAGGCATCCTGGCCACCTTGTATTTTCTCCAACCTCGTCCCCTCGGCCGTGAGCAGCTCTAATCTCCGCGACAACGCACTCGCAAGCAATGCATCTCCCTCCAGGGTTCCGAACCGGGCTGCGGCCGCTGCTCAGCAAGCCAATTCGCAGCCCGGTCGAAGCCCTGGCCCAGCCTCGTGGTGCTGTAGCTCGAGCCTTTCTCTCGACGTCAGAGCCGCGTCAGGCAAAGAACCAGATATACGCGCCGTAAGTCTCCACCACTTTATCTATCACCTGCCCATGCCCGCACAATCGTCCACCATCTGCCACCATCTCTATCTCTAGCGCTATATCTCAATCTCGCCCCATGCCGCATCGAATCCATGTACCGGTATACATTACCCCCACTCCCCGCCTCCTTGCTGAACCATCCACCTTCCAGTATCCGCAACCCCGACTCCTTCACCACCTACCTCTCCCTGTCCTCCTCCGCCCGCACTCCGCTCCTCACCTTCTGGACTGCCTCCTGGTGCTCCACATGTCGTGTTGTCTCCCCGATGCTTCGCTCCCTCATCGAGGCTGGCGTGGGTGAGGACGAGGGCGGCGTCGCCTTTGCCACGGTCGAGTTCGACTCCCCAGACATCATGTCCGGCAGCCCCAACCTCGCCCTCGACTACATGATCACCAGCATCCCCACCCTACTAAGCTTCGATGCCGGCGAGGTGCAGTCGGCGACCAAGATGGCCGACGCGAGGAAGATGGCCGATCGTGAGTTCCTCATCGAGTGGATCCGCAATGAGGCGAGGAGGCATGGCGGACGAGGCGGGGGCAGCGGCGGTGCTTCCTCTGTGTTTGGAGGCTTGTTTGGAAAATAATACTTGGTGGTATCAAAACAGCAAGCGTTGCTCCATCTTTTCAAGCCAATGTACCTCTTCCAGGTACGCAGTCGTGTACATATCTCTGTAAAACATGGGCATCCGGAGAGCCGCCAACAGATATACAAAAATGACGTTGCGACATGCACGGTCTGCCGTCATACGTCATCCGGCTTGACACTTGTAAGCAGAGGCTGCACAACAACACGACATTATGTGGCATGATAAGAACCGCGCCCATCACATCACTCTCCAATATCATCGCGTCTCGGCTTTTGATGGCCACCTACCAATAAATGCATTGCCGTATCACCGCCAGCTCCACCATCCCACTTGGTCGACTGTGCTCCCTTTTCCAACCAAGGAAAACTCCGTGTGCCGTGATCCCACTCTCCTCCACTAGCATGTCACACATGCCGAACACGACCTCTCAATCTGTAAACCTGCATTTATTGAGACTACAATCAACATCAACTCCCCGCCCAGGTCACACCACCCCAAACCAGTCAAACACCAACCAACCTCAACCAACAGGACCACCCTCGGCACATGAAGAGGGAGGCATAACCCAGTCAAAGTACACCACATCCAACGCCCTCATCCTATGCTCTTGTCCCATATCTTTTATTATCCCAACAGTCAAACACAGGGTGTCCTCTGGGGTTCCTGCCTCCATGGTTGCCATGGCTCTCGTCGTCATCCGTGGCTTCAACCTTGGTGCCCCTCGTCATCATTCATCCGCCGTCCCTGTCATTGGCGCAATCTGCGTCTCTCATCTGGGTATCGTGAGTGAATTCACATGATGGTGCAATCGCCTTCCTGCTGTCTCTCGATCTTGCTTCTCGAGATGCGTTCCCGCTGGCGCTGGCCACCCTTGCCAGCGCGCTTCAGATCTTCCAGTCGCTCACGAGCCTTGGGGAAGTCTTGGGCTAAGAAAGAGTATTAGCATTTTCATATTGTCCACAAGTTGCACGTCCAAAGCATTTTACTTACCGGCAGCTCGCCAGTACCAGCGCTTCGCGTCCTCCAAGTTCGCCGGAACACCGATGCCCACCTCGGTGAAGTAACCCATTGCATACTCGGCCTTTGCGAGACCTGCAACGGCTGCTTTACGAGCCCACAGGTACGCTTCCGTGTCGCTCTGACCCAGGACGCCCTCGCTACCTGTCAGATACCATCCACTCAGTGCCAGCTCGGCCTGGTGCTCCTCCTGTGTCGCCGCTCGCGAGTACCACATGATGGACTGCCGAGGATCGATCGGGCAACCCAGCAAGCCATACTCGAAAGAGCATCCTAACCGGTACTGCGAGAACTTGTAACCCAGATCCGCAGCCTGCATGAACAGGTCGTAGGCGTACGCCTCATCTCGGATAATCACGTCGTTGGGCTGCGCAGACTCGTACAACAAACCCAATTCGTGCAGTGCGTGCGGGTTCTCCGAGTTAGCCCGTTCCGATGCCCGCTTCAGCCAACCCACCGCCTCGCGAGGATTCTTAGGTTGACCAAGCAGTCCCTTGAGCAAGATCATACCCACTTTGTACATCGCAGGAGGGTCTCCCAATGTTGCCGCTCGCTTATACCACTGGATCGCTTTCAATGGGTCTCTACGAGTACCACCTCCTTCCTCATGACCAATCTCGCAGCAAACAGCCGTTCTGTATGCTGCCGCGGCATGTCCAAGCTTGGCCGCCGACTGATACATGGTAAAGGCCTCCTTGAAGTCAGGCTCATGCCCGAAGAGACCCCTACCGACGCTGTCGGCCATCAGGAACATGGCATCCTGGTTCTGTGCGTTGGAGAGCTTCTTCAGGATTTTCTGGCAGTCTATCAAGTATCGCTCACGCGCCCTCGGCCGCTGCTTAGGCTCAAGCCTGGGGACGAGGACGTCGGTGGCTTCAATAAGCTTCTTGGCCAGCCTCAAGGCAGATTCCTGATCCGCAGGGTTGGACTTGATAACCATTCTCAGATGCTCCAGCTCTTGCGGTGTTACCGGAGCTTCCGCCTTGACAGGCTCCTTGGAGACACTCGCCTGACGGGACGGCTGCTGCTGCTGGGGCGGTGGCTGTTGGCGTTGAGAGTGCTGCTGCTGAGGTGGTGGCTGCTGTGCCTGCGGATTCGGTGCCGAGACGCCGCCATAATTTCGGACTGGGGGCGGCTTTTCATTTAGATTAACAATCGAGTTGGCCATCAGGCCCGGCCGCACCGGCGTCGGGTGCGAGGGTAGGATATCTGGATTCCGGTTTTGCTGCAGACCTGGCCTCATTGGTGCTGGGTTGTTCGGTAACCCGCCAGGTCGACCTCCAGGAGGCGCACTCGGGCCACTTGGAGGCAATTGATCCTGCATTCCAGGTCCAGGATAGCCCTGGTCGTAACCTTGCTGATAGGCATTCATAGCATTCATGGGGGGAAGAGGGGGGACGGACGGCGCGTCGCCGACCATCTCAAAGACAGCTGCTTGCGGTTGGAGATCAGGCTGTGATTTGGCGTGGTAGAGTTGCGCCGTTTGGTGGGCTCCCACTTGTTGTTGGTGCTCATGACTGGGACGCATCGTCTGCTCGAAGGATCCTCGTGCCCCTTGGGATGGTATCGCGTCGAAATCTGGAAGACTGGTTCGCTCCTGTTGTCGATTCGAGCCGTAGGCTGGGTTGTTGTTTTGCTGATTATTGAAATAGGGGTCATAAACATCATTATAAGAGGCTGCCGGCGGCTTTCGGTATCCTCCGTGCGCTTCGTCATACTCGCCAATGTACTGGCTTGCCGGAGGTCCCTGAGGCTCAGTTGGGTACATGCGCTGTGGGGGAGGTCGATGTCCACCAGCCGTTGAAGGTCGTTGAGGAGGCATGCCCCGACCAGCAGGGGGCCCATTGACTGGCATCGTACCCGTCCGTTGCAGCGGCTGCATTTGGCTTCTTGAGCTGTTGTCTTCCACGGGCATCGTCATACTTCGTCCAGGTGGTCCGAACCCGTTTCTTGGAGGTCCTTGCCCACCGGGGCTATATCCATCGTCGTAGTCTCCATAACCACCCGGAGCCCCGTAGCCTGGGTCTTGTCCGGGAGGGGGTCCACGTCTCTGATCAGGATTGCCCTGAGCAGGGTAACCTCTTGGAGGCCCTCGTCCTCCATTCATCGCGGTCCGCTGGCTGTCGGAATTGGTTCTTCCTGGCGGCATCGGTTTCTGATTCAGGTCCATATTAGCCATCTGATCAGCCATTTGTTCGTCTGACTGTCTGATTTGTCCCGGGAACGGCGGATAGTTCCCGCCAAACCCACCACCTCGAGGGCTAATTGGAGTGTTGTTCATCGGTGGTTGGCGGCCTATAAGTCGCTGTGAATAACGAAATCCAAAGTAGAGGGGCCAGTCAGATACTCACCTGTTGGGTCCGAATGCGCTCCATACGGGCCGGGGCGCATCCCACCTCGACCTTGGCCACTGTTAGACATGCCTCTCACAGGTCCTTGGGCACCCGGAGTGTGACTTCGAGGCGGAGGAGCGCGGGCCCGGTGCGGATCGGCCGTCTGTGGACGATGAATCGGTCCTCCACGCCCTCCGGGCATCGGCCGTCCACCGGGCCCTGGGCCTTGTGCGTATGGATCTTGGGGTGGAGGAGGGCCTCGCGCATAGTTGGGGTCCTGGTATTGTCCTTGCCCTCCGTAATCCTGACCGTAGCCTCCGTTGTAATTATCATAGCCATTTCCGTTCTGATAGTCGTCGTACTGCTGTGGCGGCGCTGCGTTGCCATACTGTCGTGGGGCAGATCTCTGGGGTGATGGGCCACCATACTGGCGCTGCTGGCCACCATAGCCTCCGTCGTAGGTTGCCATGACTGCGACTCCAACAAGATCGCAGAGCGCAGTCAAAGGTTGATTTTGGCTTTCGGCCGCTCGTCGTCAAATAGTTTGGGCGTCGACGCGGAAACCTAGGGGGATGGGCGGTCCTGGAGCCAGGTCCCGCGGGGGGAGGGATGTTGGTAGGCGCAAACTGCGGGTAGGGCTAGCTGCGCTACAGTCGCATTGCCGCAGCTCTGCTGCAGTCAGGGCCACAACGTTTCGGAAGCGGAATGATCGGCGGGTCGCGGTCGGAGTGTTGTTACTGCAAGAGAGTGAAGCGGTCGGCAGTCGAAGATCGCCAGGCAACGGAAGAGTAGGAACCGAGAAGTCAAAGTTGGGGGCGTGCCCCCTTGCGATTTACGAGTTGCGTGGCCAGCGCGGTGAGGGTTTGCGACAACGCGATGGCTGGTGACAAGGCGACAGCGACGAGCAAACCAGTCAGTGGCTGGTAGGTGAGGAGCACGCGGTCGCACAGGGAAGAGGTATGTATAAAGGGCGGCGGACGTGGCAATAAAAGAAATGAAGAAGAACAATAGGATCAAATTAACAGCACGAGCAACAGGGAGAGCTCAAATCGGGTCGCTCGGTGGCTCGGTCGGTGGTGGGCCAACGCTATGCGCTGGACGAGGGGGACAGTGACGAGGGACACTGAACACTGCGAGGGACACGCTAGGTAGACACTGGACACTGCGCGGGACCGGTTCCAGCCAGGTTGAAAGGGAGATGCGGAGGGGAATTCCCTTTATGTTGGGCGTCTCCGAGCTCCGAGGCGAAGAAAGGATGGAATTGGATCGAGTCAAGGTCCCCCGGTGTAGGTCCCCCCAGTGTGTGAGTCTGCCCTCCCCCGCCCGGCTAGTGGGCATCGACGATGTGTGGCGTGCTGTAGGGGCCTACAGCAGAGGGGTTCCAGTGAGGGGCGGGCTTCTTTAGGCCAGGTACCTGCCCCGTCCAGCAATGTCCCAGTGCCGGTCAGGTAGCCCGGCCCACTGTAGAAATGCGGTCTTTGATGGTGTCTTGCCTTAAGCTAACGCACTAAACCTCCAAGGCCAGCCCCCAGAAGTCATTAGAAGCCCAGGCCCTAGGGAGGCTTGGAGAGCCCTGGAAGTACCTACCTTAGCGAGCCGCAGAGCCCTGCAGGTTCTGGGGTGGCTCGACCACCAGGGGGCCGCCTCACCCCTCCACTCTGCGGCCTTGTGATCTTGATCAGGGCTTCCATGATCCGTCCATCCATCCCCCGCGGTCACGACATTGAGAGGGCAGCACTGAGTCAGGCTACCAGTACAGCCACACTGGAATAGCTACTGGATCCCTAAGGGCAAAAAATAACTGTATGAAGAAGCATGTGAAATGGCATAATCTAACTGGAGGCGCCACTACTGGACTGCCCTCTCTGTCCCTTCGGCGGCATGAACACAACACCTACGACACCATGTGCCTCGGTCTCGCATCCTTAAAAAGCCACCAAAAGCGCAGCTGATGCCTGTCGGTGCAGGTCAACGCTGGTCGTCCCTGGCCCCATTCCAGCGGCCCCAATCGCAGGGCGTTACGCCGCTGCCGGCTTGGCCCCATCCCTAGACGCCAATATGCAAAAGACCATGGCTCGACTGGGCGGGTCTTCGCCGTTAAGACGTTAATAACCCACCAAGGAAGCGACTGTCATGGAGACTGTTGCAGGGGGTAGACGCGACACAATACGCCGGTACGCTGCTGGCTCTCGCCCGCCACACCATCCCAGCGGCTGCGAGCTTACCTTACTCTATATTTTTGGTACGGAGGTAGGTACCCGCAGAGAGCCGTGACAGCGCATTGCTATACCTCCAGGATGCATCAGGATGCATCGGGATGGCATTCTGCCGGACAGCTGTTTGGTTTTGTTTTGCCCCCCCCCCCCCCAACATCAATGCGCATGCGCAGGCCATGCGCTGGAGCATGTTGGAGCCGGCTGTGCCAGACAAAGCATTGCCGTGTATCACAATGGCCCTCGACCTAGATTGGTGGGCTTGATTGGCCACTCGCCTCGTTGTCGTCTCGTCTTCTCCTACCGTCGACGCTCAGGGATGAAAATGCGAAACACGGGCCTCCCCAAGTTCTCACTGAAGGGATCCAAGGGGGAGCCGCACCCAGTGTCGAAACGAAACAGCGGCCAGCCCAAGATCCTGCCGTTCATTGGGCGCGGGGGGGACGAGACGGACGAGACGAGCGATACGTACGCTCTCCGTCCCTGAATCAACCCTTAACAAGGGCCTTGCCTCGCTTTCTTCATGCCACAAGATCATCTCGTGGGTACAGCCAAGAACTACGGATCGACGGGGGACGGGTTCTTCGGCCGTCCCTGGCGCGAACTACTCAAGGAAGAAAACTTTCAGACACGCCAACTCGCATTTATTGGATGCTTTGCCAGAGACACTGATAATGCAACCCTGGTGAACTGGCCTCTATTGGCCTGCCATGCTGTTGAGGCTGAGGCCGAGGAGGCCTCAGCACCCGCACCTGACCGGGGATGTAACAACCCCAAAGAAAAGTCCCCAAAGAAAGTAAAGAAAATGACAGGTTGGGGTTTATCATTGATGGGGCAATGACATCAATCGCCGCCTGTGCGGGCTCAGCAGACCTTACGCCTGACCGAGGAAAATCATCTCGCTGGACATGGATGATGGCCTTCTGAGACGCCATACGCCGAACGGGCCAAGTTGCTGGCCTCAAGCGTCGATCGTATCGACCAGTCAGAGGCTGTGCAGCGGCTGATTTGGGAAGATGAGCGTTTTGCCACAGCAAGCTCAAGAAGGCCCGACCCAACATTCAATGCTGTCATGTCCAGTCCATTGAAATGGGGCTGACGCCAAGCTGTGCTGCCATCCTTCGGCGCTTGAGTGTGTTTGATGAGTCGTCTGGTCTGGGCACGGCACGTTACAGCCGCCGTTTGTGAGTGTGCATGTCAGACCAAAGTTGCATTGCGCTGCACGAGTACTTCGTACCTGCAGCTGAATTGTGTGAGGAATGGCTACCACTGCATTAAGGCGTCCATTCATTGGTTCGAGGTCACATCGTACCTTTAAGATTAAATGGCCTGCGTTGCTTTGAACGCCAACTCATAGTCGCTGCGCCAACCCACATTTTCGCGGCTTTCTACGACGTAGCAGCTGTTTCGAATAGAGACAGGCGAAGTACGCTATTGCGGCTGACATCAACGATATGGGAATTTCCGGACGATTGGTCAAGTTCACCATTCCTTGCCAATATTCGCAATATTCTATGATTCAACCGCAGTGTTGCGCTGTCCAGTCTGCCAATGTGCGATTGGTTTAGCGCTCTACCAGTGCGGGCGCCCGAAAGGATTCCACTGCATCCAACCGAGTGGATTTCTTGCGTCGCATATTGGAAAGCCTCGTCATGATTACTTTGTCAAGTTCGTGAATAGGTGCATATCCTTCCTCTGTATCTTGGGAGTGCACTTTCAACCCAAATGCCTCGCTCGTTAATCATTCGGGAAGTCTATCGCCTTCGACTTGCATCACAACTGGGGCTAGCTCAATTGCCGGTTTTACTGATGCTGGTATGCACTATAGAAGTGATTTGATTGACTTCGTTGCGTGTTTAGAATTACATGCAATGCCGCATACACTACTCAATCTCGATCCTACATGGTAGGAACTGGCTCTGTGACTTTGTTTTCCTTGATCGCATAATTACTTCTCCTCACCTTCTGGTGAACCCCGATTTATTAATTCGCGTTCAATTGTTTTGAGCGAACCTCCAAATAACAAATCCATGGTAATATCAAGACCTGATCCAACCAAATTATGGTACTATTAAAAATTAATGTGCGTGTATTTGATATCAGAGGAGGGCAAAGACGGGTTTAGACAGAATAAAATATTGGTGAATGTCAAGCATAGGTTGTCAGAACTAACCGTTCGTCACATGGGGCTGGGCTAGGGATGTTTTCTTACCATGGGTGAGCTTATTGAGATGTAAGATTATAACTCATTGCGCTTACTTGACTCCCCGCGTAAATTTTTTATTTTTTAGAATCTTGGTGGGCATCCTTCGAAAGAAATGCAGACAGAGCCTCGCTAGGCAATACGTTCATGATGAGTCGGTAGAGACCATCACTCATTTAGAGTATATTTGAAGGGGATGTGTTCGGATTTTTAAAATAATCTCGTCGACACCATAATAACACTGTCGCTAGAATTATTCTTTTGGGGGAGGGGAGGGGAGGGGGGAGCCAGTTGGATTTTACTTGAAGTTCGCAACGGCATAGGTGATGGTCCAGAGAACTGTTGGCTGATTATGTTCTTAAGACTTATCTGAGAGCACGAGCTCATGGGGCATCTCAGTGATGTAACTCAATTTCATGAAGCCCAAATGATAATTTACAATGCTGCCATGTCCATCGGGTTAAATCACACAAAACGTCGTGTGAATGTGCCGTTTGTTCAAGACCCTCATGTGCTCTAGGGTGACCGTCATGGAAGTGACTTACAGCGGACGCGCCCTCCATGGCTCGCAGCGGTCCGGGGCCCGGAATAAGCTTACTGCCGTCACCGCCTTCCTAATTTGCATTAGCCACCAATGAAATTCTGCCCAATCCATGACGGATATCGAATCGCGAAAATCGTCATTGGAAGAGATCGTGGAGAGCCAACAAACGAGTTCTGCCCCGGGGATCTCATCAATACGGAATTCCACAAGGTTTCCAATCCACGAATATGGCAGCAAAGAAGCCCACGAATTGGTGGCTGTGGACTAAGTGCCTCCTCGGGTGAGTAACTGCCATACCGGACTCAATGGGAATTGGGAGGCTGACTTCTGAATGCAGTGGCGCTGCTGTCGCAGTCGGCGGACCGGCATTCACCATGTGGCTGACCCCAACTGAGGAGGAATTGCGATCGAAGTACAATCCGGAGCTCCGAAAGAAGAGCTTGGAGAACGTGGAGGAGAAGCAGCAGGAGTTTGACGATTTCGTGATGAAATTGAAAGAATACTCCAAGTCGGACAAGCCGAGTGCGTAACCCGGACTCCAGCAAGAGACGCAAATGCTAACGCCCCATAGTCTGGATTGTTGTTAAGGAAGAAGAGGAGCGAAGGCGGAAGGCCGAGCTCGCGGCTGTCAAAGCATCGAAGAAGGAGACGAACGCTCGACGAGAGGAGATGCGACGTGAGGCTGGCCTGGAAGCCAAATGAGGACCCTTATTGTATACGCGCATTTGAGATGCTTGTAAGAGTATTCGGGCTCTGCTGTCGGGAGTGCAGCATGTACAAATACCACGGTGGCATAGGGGAGGATTATGTCTTGAGAGGGCAGGACATGCATTTGGAGTTATTCGGAGGCAATTGCAAGGTATTTAATGAACGTCTCTCGACTCGAATCAACATGAACTATAGGAGCGAGATCATGCCCAGAGTTTGGCTCAGGCAGTTCACTGTGACGCTTGAGAGGGCTGTAGTGTCGAAGGGTAAAACATGGCGAGGTGTATGCGGAGTGCATTAGGGCTCGCCGGCCAACTGCATTCGGGAGGTGCTTGCGACGACTGAAGGGAGCCCTGTATCGAGGAGGATGAATCTATAAAGCCACGAACATGATGTAATTTCCCCAGGGTCCGCCTGCGCACGACTCAAGAGAGAGCAATGCTATTGCCCGTCGCAGAGTGGCGGCATAGCGTGGGGATCTGCCGGCTCTGGTCGGTGCGTCTCTACCCCACGACGCTGGAACCACCCATGGCGCAAGGGTGGTGGCGCCCGCTGCCCCCTCGGCGAAATGGTAGTTCCACAGGCGAAAACTCTTGGCACGCACAAAATCTACTCCAATCCATCACCACTGCCCGAAGCCGACGGCGACAACAGCTCACTATCCACGCCTACATCACCGGTACGTCGCCCACCCTGCGCCCACGCGCTTCCTCCAGCCCGTCAACCTCGCGCCCTCGATTTTCCCCGTCCGAATCCGCGCCAGCTAACGAGCACTTTCGCAGTTTCAACGAGTCTCGGATTCCCCGCACCCGAACCCTCAACCCTACAGCACATCATGTCGGACGTTCAGGAGCGCCTCAAGAAGCTCGGCCTCGTTAGCTCGGGAGCCCGAATTGGTACGTCAATTTTTCTACGGATTTTCAACCTTGCGCAAGGCCGTCCTGTTACTAACTGGGAGATATAGGGTATGTCCACCTCTTATTGCGAAGCCAAGTGCCGCGACCTCCGATCACCGCAGCTAACCAGAGTCCCAATACAGTGGAAAGGGTACCCCCCGCCGCAAGGTCAAGCGTGCTCCTGCCCGCTCCGGCGCCGACGACAAGAAGCTCCAGCAGACCCTGAAGAAGCTGAACACCCAGCCCATCCAGGCCATTGAGGAGGTCAACATGTTCAAGTCGGACGGCAACGTTATCCACTTCGCTGCCCCCAAGGGTTAGTCATCTACCGTCGTGTGCCGCGATGAGGGGTTCTTGGTGTTTTCCCATGCTAACTTGTCCTCCCCCACCACAGTTCACGCTGCTGTCCCCTCCAACACCTTCGCCATCTACGGGAACGGCGAGGACAAGGAGCTCACCGAGCTCGTCCCCGGTATCCTTAACCAGCTTGGTCCCGACTCCCTGGCCTCGCTCCGCAAGCTCGCCGAGAGCTACCAGAACATGCAGAAGGAGAAGGGCGAGGATGAGGATGACATCCCCGATCTTGTTGAGGGCGAGAACTTCGAGAGCAAGGTCGAGTAAATGTGCTCTGCACCATCCAGGGCGGCAGGGCGGTGAAAACGTAGGTCTTGTTCGGCTCCAAGAGGCTGTCTAGTTCCTATAGGCGGAGTTATTCCCCGGAATCTGAGAGGAAGGTCGTTCTCATGATTCCCAAGGTTTCCAATGGTGAACTGGGATTGGTACACAAATGGTCACGGCCGGCGATAATTTCGTGGTGAAACAGCGACTTTATTCGGGCTGGCTGCGGTTGATTGATCTGTACAAAAATACGACTTACATCGAGAGAAATACCAATCTCTAATGATGTCAATGATTGTCACGCTCTTCTATCCTAAAGTCTGAGCCTCCATCATTTCTGACCCACCCAGTCAACGCCGTCTGTCGAACGTCGTCCTTGACTCGTCTTCTATCCTCCAGCAACGGGCCCTTTTTGATATCCCGATAAGTACCGGACCTAAGATACTCAGCCGTGCCAGGGTCTTGCTGACCGAGGCTGTCGGCAAGGTCTCTTGCCGCTTCCCACATGCCTCTCCTCGACATTCGACTCGCCCCCTGTGGGTTGAATGCCTTTTTGCCTTGAACGACGCCGCCTATGATGGACTCCTCAACGCCCGATTGTGACCACGCTGCGGCCAGATTACTTGTAGCAACCTTCTCCGAGCGGGCCTGTATTGCTCTTTTTGAGTACTCGAACTCCAAGTCTGTGGTTTCGGTAACGAATTCTTTGAAGGAGTATCCCCCGGGCCATCGCCGTCCCACCATGGGCTTCATTCGGCCCTCTGCCGAGAAGGCACGGCGACACGCGGTCGGCCAGTACTGCGATTCGGGCAGAATGAGACTGTGGATGTATGCATTTGCGGGATCAATGAAGAGGGATGTTAGCGACGATAGGAGTGAGGTGCATTGCTTGAGGGCGATCTTGTCGGAGCAAGACTTGGAAACTGTGACCGGTGCATCTGGTCGGCCGGGTTTCCGGCGGACAATGCCGAGTTTGGAGAAGTGTCCTCGCCCTAAAAGTGAGGCTTTGGGCGTCGATTCGGGGTCTGATTCGGGGTCTGGTGTGCCAGACACTGGGGCTTCCCATGGAGAGTCGTCTTCCTGGAGAGCCATTGTGAGCTCCATACTGGCATCACCACCTGAACCTTGTTAGTTGTGATTTGGAATCCCTGTCCGCATTCTATACACCTACATGGGGCTTCAGAACAGTACATGTGAAGCTTCACATCGTCTCTGATTTCGAACGGCTTTACATGCACGCCATTTTGACTAGATGGGACTATTTCTGTCCTTCGCACGATATCGGACTCTACCCCATCCCTAAGGAGGCTGCCGCACTCGTCCAGCAGGAACCGATTGAAGGTGCGAATGGCCAGGATTTCAGCATGCCAATCATGTATCCCTATACCATTTGATTCTGATATTTTGGACTCCGGCAGACATTTCATCCCGGTTCTATGCGTTTTTAGAATGAGATTTACAGTATGAAGAATTATAGATAGCTTACGCCAAAGCCAAACAGGTCAGTGTCCCATTCTTTTCCGCAACAATGCCGCTCAAGGGCACCCAGTCGTGGAGGCCATTAGTGCGAACCCTCGGTTTCCTTTTCGATGGGAGGTTTTGGAACTGTTGTAAGACCGCTCGGGCGATGAGGTTTGGACGGGAAGTCATCTAGTCATGCTTCACAACCCCTCCAAGTGAGTGATTTGTCGACGGCAATTATGGGCACTCGAACCAGCCAGTCGGGGATAATCAAGATATCGACCCAACGCACCATGCATAATGCAGAGCTCCTTGTAAGTGGGCGAGCGAGCCTCAGATGGACGGGAAGCGAGAGGAGCCGACAATTCTCCGAAGTGGTGGTGGACAGAGTCAGGGCGTCAAGTGAGAACCCACGTGATTTGACCCGGTGGACTTTTAGCGCATCGCCTGCCCTAGCCGATTAGTCAGTGGCACACAGCTGCAATTCGAGAAATTGACCGTATCACGACCCTCATCTTTTGCCATCGCCAATCCACGGTCCACCACACAACAGCTTGTCGCCTTAACAGCACCCCAGCGACAAGATGCGAACCTACGAAGACTCCTTCTCCGGCGCGAGAATTTACCCTGGCAAGGTGCGCTCTATTCCTCTTCCCATGTCCTGCGATCCGGTCGAACAGCGAAGTTGTGGCGCGGCGACGTCGGTCGCAGATGGACATTGGGGTTTGGTTGAATATTATCACGACGGAGGCTAACGGGTCATGTAATTGTAGGGTAAGCTCTACGTCCGTGGCGACAGCAAGATCTTCCGATTCCAGAACGGCAAGTCGGAGTCGCTCTTCCTGCAACGAAAGAACCCCCGTCGCATCTCTTGGACCGTCCTCTACCGCCGCCAGCACCGCAAGGGTATCTCTGAGGTACGAATCAACCACACAATGCCGCGCTCCGAGGGCCCTGCGCCGGGCCCCGAGCCGGTAACCTGATTATCGCAAAGGAGCAGGACTGACAAGCGAACAGGAGGTTGCCAAGAAGCGAACCCGCCGAACCGTCAAGGCCCAGCGAGGCATTGTCGGTGCCTCTCTCGATGTGATCAAGGAGAAGCGCAACATCCGCCCCGAGGCTCGCTCCGCTGCCCGCGCTGCTGCCATCAAGGACAGCAAGGACCAGAAGCAGGCCGCCGCTGCCGCCAAGAAGGCCGAGAAGGCCAAGCTCGCCGCTTCCTCCGCCAAGGGCCAGGGCCGACAAGTCAGCAAGCAGGGTGCCAAGGGTGCCGCCCCCAAGGTTAAGCCCACGAGCCGTTAAGATGGGACCTGAGGGGAAAATGGGAGAGTGGAGTCCGTGGTTCTTGTGTCTTTCTCCGGCCGGTTCTTCTACAATCTCGGGTGCATGGGATGCCATAGGGTGCATTGATAGTTGAGCAAATGCCATATCGGTGCAATGGTCAAGATGAATCTCTTCTTACGTGCAGTGACGAAAGACACGTCCCGTGTGCTCGTTCCGGTGTACTGGTGTACTGGCGTAGCTATCACTTAGTGGCGGGTTAGGTATTGTGCTCTCAACGTCAAAACTTGATATCAGGGTATGTTCGTATTATCATCATGCACGCATCAACAAGCCAACGCCTAGCATAAACACATGCATGTGGGGGAATGAAGACAAAATGCGTATGCAATGCTCCTTCGAGGGAGTTGTTCTTCATTTCATCAAGTTCTATCATCTATCATTCGTCTAAGTCTAATTTATTTTGAGACTTGTGCTGCATTTACAGCTGAGCCAGGACACCCAGGGCGCCGGAGGTCTCGATGCTCTGGGGGTGCTCGTCAACGGAGGCGTAGGTGACCTTGCCGTTGTCGATGATGATGGCGAAGCGGCCAGTTCGCTCCTCGAAGTTCCAGCCGATGCTGCGGGAGAACTTGGCATCCTTGTCGGACATGAAGAGCTGTTGTCCCACGTTAGTGCAGTTCGCAATATGGCCCTGTTTTATACGGTGGGCGAGTAGATAAGGTGGGGAGGGCACTCACGATGGAGTCATCGGTGACACCGTTGGCCTTGGCCCAGCCGGACATGACGAAAGCGTCGTTGAAAGCAACGACGATAACCAGGTCAACACCCTTGGCCTTGAGCTTGTCGATGTGCTCGGTGTAGGAGGGGATGTGGGAGCCAGAGCAGGTGGGGGTGAAAGCACCGGGGATGGAGACGAGAACGACCTTCTTGGTCTTGAACTCTGTTCAATGGGAGCAGGACATGTTAGCAGTTGTTCGTTTGATCGGAGATGCCATTCGAGGCGGGTTGGTCTGCAGGAGAGCAGGAGAGGCAGTGTAGAGGGGATTCACGTACCGTTGCTGGCAGCAAAGGCAATGGGGGTGCCGCACTGAGAGAACTGAGAGATCTCGGGGGTGGGAGGGATGTAGCTGAAGAAGACGCCCTCGGGGAAGTCGTCGCCAGCCTTGAGAGTACCAGTGAGAGTCATCTTGGATGTGGTTTGTGGTGGTGTTTTGGGAGGGTGTTGTGGAATGGAGCTGTTGAAGTCGGTGACGGAGAAAAGATTCGATATGCTTGAGGTAGGTAGGCGGGAACGAGGGGCAGATCAATGCGCGTTACTGATTTCTTTATAATTGTGCCCGCCACAACCGCCCCTCCCCTGGCACCTGCCCTGGCCGTTGGCGAGCCCCGTCGGAGAGCAATCGGAGACGGCGGAGAGAAGTCCATGGAACAATTGGCCGCATTGGCGCAAGAAGGGGAGCTGATGAGGTCAGTCCAGGATGGTGGATGGTGGATGGTGGGGTGTTGGCCGGAGCGCGAAACGAGAGGCGACTCGGCCCAAGTGGAACCGGGACGGGTTATTTTTGCTCGTGCTGGAGGAGAGCGGGCACCTTGATAGACCTTGATAGCCCTTGATAGGCGGCGCGGGCACCGGCTGCGAGGCTCGGAGGGGACAGTTGCAAAAGGGCAGGTGGCGCCGGAAGGGGACCGGCGACTGCTGACAGATCCGAACCAGGGGGAATATTCGCGTTGTACCTACTTAGTGCATGCGAGAAGGCGTGCACGTTGGACGGCTGGGCTGCCTGTTTCGTGGGTGGGGAGCGCGCCGGCGGTGGGTTGAAGCGGGCGGCTCCTCGTGCAGCTTCGCACCTTGTTCTCCAAATGGGACATTCACGGCCTTCGGCGGTCGGTTGCTCACGGAGGAGGCTCGGGCGCAGAGTCGGCGCCGAGGAGGGGGAGGCGCCGTGCCAGGCCCGATTTAGGAGGTATTTGTCATCTTTGCAGCATCTGATTAGATTATCGCCGGCTGACCACCGTTGCCGTACCGTGCGGACGCAGTTAGACGCGCCGAGAGTCAGATCAGCTGTCACGGAAGTCCATGATCCGCCTGGTTGTTGGGGTTGGGGTGCGCGGCAAGTGGCGGAGGATGTCAATTTTTTTGCGTGGCATGGAACGGCATGGAATGGGATATCGGGTCGGTTCCGATGAGGTATCCAGTAAACATCTGCCGTCCCTCTCGGGAGGGCATGCTATACCCAAAAAATTGTTATCTCTGTACTTTGAGATTCCAATTGTTCGCATGGCCCAGCCCAGGAAATGCCCGCCGACTACGGAACACGAACGAATTGTCTAAGTGCGGCGAAGCATAGAGTTTCTTGGCAGGTACTGATCGACTTACAGTGCACAATCACTACAGCAGGCATGTGAGAGTCGAACCACTTGGTTCTGTGATTCTCCGTGCCGAATCTAACAAATCAATCCTATCAAGAGGAATTTCTCCATTGGGAAAAACACCGCATTGGTAGATCCAGTCTGCGTCACCGCCGAGTACGTCGTGGCCATATCAGGGCCACGCAAGTTGTGAGAGGGCATGAAGTGGGGAATCCGGAGTGGGGGATGAGGGGTCAAACTGATAAGAGAGCACTTGGAGACAACAGATAAAAAACCCGACGGTCCCCCGAACTCGATGTCGTTGAGGGCCGGTCCTTTTCAGTGTGAGTCTGCGGCCGGTTCCGAGCTGCTCTGACTTGAGTCCGTGTGCGCAGCTGCACCACCATGCCGTCGGGACTTGTCAGCGGTACTTGGGTGGCACTGACCGCAACAGCAACCTGGCCACCGGCATTTGGACCGCAACAGGGGGAGCTCATGCGCATCTCCCTTTTGGGAGGGATTGCTGCCAGGAGCAGGGAACGAGGCTGTCCCGGCTGTGATTGGGCATGGTAGAAGCGTGCCTGACCCGTGTGCCTGATCCATCCCCAATCTGTGCCAACACGCCCGAGATAAGTTGAAAGGGTGACGGCGTTGCTTTTTAAGTAGCGTCACTAGCAGAATTCGTGTGTTTTGTGCTCACTGGGACGTCTCCCACTTCCTCAGAAAGGTCAAAGGTTCCGTTCTATGTATCTCATCGGTTCTAGTGCACTTCTGAGCACAGAAGCCTGCTACCAGGTGAGACCTCAAGTGCGCTTGGATCCGAGAGTGCAGCCGCTTCAGGGACTAGAAACAGGTGAACCAGTCCAACGTTGCATCGATCCGAAAAATACCCTTTTCTGCCGAGTCGAAATTGCCCATGCCATTTCATTGTTTGTATGCATTTGGACCCAAACACCATCCTCGCTGCCAAGACCTGGGCAAATCTCGGTGTAGCCCACCTCTCAGCTCGTCGTCGTGGCACTCCTCCACAAAAGCAACTCCTCGTCATCATTGCAGGGCAGATGCCGGAAACAAGGAGAGTGCAGCGCACTAATAGGGCTCGGTGAGCAATCAGAAATGCCACTCCGTTCTTAGGGCTTCCTCCAGCCCGCCACAAGTCCAGGAACGGTGTTTTTCCCACGAGCCCTCCCTTGGATGGTCTAGTTCGTCTATCTCCCATCGCCCATCGTCTCCATTCCCTCCACACTAAGCCCGGGCTGCCACCCTCCAAGACAAGGACACAGCCATCACCAACAGGCCCTTGTGCATCAAACCGGTCTAAAAGCAAATTGCATTCCGAGACATTTGTCATTGGCGGCATTGTCACATTTTGTGGTGTGGGGGAGACGAGGACCCTCCTGGCGGGCTGACGCAGTGGGGGTGATCGAGTCTCGATGCAGGCCTCCAAATGAGAGATGTGGGTGTCGATCGGTGAGAACCCTGGTCCAGCTGATTGGGCCATCGTTGCCGAGCTAATCGGTGTTATTGGCAAACCGGCACTTTTAAGTTGACCTCGGCGGCGCTGGGACTTCTGCCGTCTTTGCTGCGTTGGGGCTGGCGTTAGGCGTGTCTTGTACACACGTCAACTTCACGTCAATTCATGCCTGTGCATAAGGGGTTTCTTAGTCTGAGACTGAGACGGGTCTACTAATTCGGTATGTGCCGCGTGAGCATGCTAGACAAGAGTAACCCGCCATGTCTGCCCTGATTGAAAATGATCGGCGTCTCAAACCGTCCCACGAGGCAAAGACACCACGCCGGCAACCGCCTTGGGCATGCTCTCGGGCCTACGAAGGCGTTGCACGTTGCGAACTCTGACGATCACGGCGATCACCTGGTCCGATGCCATGGGAAGTAGTACAGATCGACGTGGACTGCAGATTCATGTGCAACGCTGCGCGCGCTGCTGAAGACGGGATGCAGCAGGGTGCAAGGAACAGGGAATGTCGTATTTCGTCTGTTGTTCAACGACGCCCAGCCTTATTTGGAACCTCCTACTGGTGCCGGATGTCGTAATTCCGTAACGCGTCCCGACTTTGGGGTTGAGCTTGATGCACTCTGGTCACACAGCCATTGGGTTAGCCGTCACCTGAATGCCAGACATGCATTGCTAGCACACACTCGCACAGCACAACAGAGCGCACTATGTACGCACACGGCGGTGATGTCGTAACTTAACTAGCAGGGGTCTGACATCCATTGTGCTCAGACACCGAGGACTCGAGGACTCGAGGTCTCGACGGTTGACAGCATGGGAATTGGAGACATCGTACACGAGCCCGGTCCCACGCCGCCTTCGCATTGTTTGTGGCATCTACTCCGTATCTAGGGAGCAGTCAGTCTCTCATCCTGAAGCTAAACTCCACCCACGGCAGAGGCTGGGTTTGGTTTTCGCTCTCCGTGCCGCAAGGGAGCCGTCTGGCATTGAGATGAGGGTGTCAGCTGAACGCCATCATTTCATTTTGCAAGCTGGGAGCTCAACTGGGCTTAATGGGCTGGACTGGTCTGGGCTGGCCTACCAATTTGCGTCGTTGAGTGGTTGCGCAAAAGCCACGCCAGCGACAGACTTCGCGCCGCCCACCATCCGTCCGTCTCTTGCACACCCAGTCGCGGCCCCCTCCTGTGACCAGTCACCGGAAGGCATTCGGATGAAGCACAGGCGGCCACTAGGATCTAAGCGAAAGAAAAGCCCGGGTCGCCACTTTTCCTGATCTTAGTCGAGGCCGTCACTGGCTGGCGATCCCGTCGCGCCCGATCGGCCGGATTTGACTGCCCCAGACCAACGATCGGGCAGGGCCAGGTTTAGCTTGAACAAAGCTCCTTGATTGCCCGCCTGGTGCAGTTTGCTTTTGAGCCCCTGTCACCGTGCATAATACGACGGGCCAAGTCATGGTGCAGACGGGCGGATGGGCGGACGGGGAGACGGGCAGATGGCGAACGGCATCCCTCAAAGGGAACATGCCTGCGGAGGGAGGCATGCAGTGGGTGCTCAGCTCTGGATACACTCGCCCCCTTTGGCTTCTCTTGGCTTTCCCTGGCTTCGGCGACGATGGTGATCCAGCGTCATGACCCCATGGGGCTGTCGTCTCTGCCATGGATCCTCTCTTCCCGCGTTCCTCAGAAAACTCTGGCCGCCTTCGCCGCTGCCATCGCAGCCTGGACATGACGCTACTCACCACTAAGGTTCCCTGCTAAGATAGTCGACGGGCAAGATGGATTTCCCATGATCCACCCTCCCTAAGGGTTTCCTTCTTCTTTTTTCCCCTTGCATCTGGGGCCGTCTGTCCCTAGTGGCACCCTCACCTGCGGACGGCACTGGAGGATGGCAGGCCGTCCGCAGGTGATGAGTGGCAGCCGGGTATGGGACATCTGGTTTGCAAACACCCCTACCTGCGTCGTGGAGGGTGCCACAACCCACCCCGGTGGCCGAGACTTTTCTTGTTCTCCGTCCAACTAGTTATTTAAATCCATACTGCTTCCCGTCTCCTTGACCCGTCTCTTCTCTGCCAAGTTTGTCTAGTTCTCCATCTCGCTCAAGTTTCACCCTTGGCATACCGAACTCGAATCAATCCCCGTCACTCTTTTATTTCTCTTCACGTACTCAACATGGGCCTCTTGCCTCTTACCTACACCCGTCCCAAGCATGTGGACCGGGACTCCTGGAACAGCTCGTCGGGCGGAGACTCTTCCTGCTCTGACAACGAGAAGAGTGATGGATCCGTCAAGTCTGGCCAGTCCGGCCAGTCGACTGGTATCCCAGACTCGTTGGCTTTCGACAAGATCATCAACGGCGGCACCTGTCCTGTCAGTTTCAGTCTCCGCTATCCACCCGTCTACTTTGATACTAACTGTGATACCTTCAGCCCATGACTGTCCGTGACTTCATGACCTACCTCATCTATGTGGAGCACGCCGCCGAGAACCTGCAGTTCTACCTCTGGTACAGGGACTACGAGAAGCGCTTCAACGAAGCCGACACGGCCGATGTCAAGCTCGCCCCCGAGTGGACCCAGGCCATGCACGAGGAAGCCGTCGCCAAGATCCGAAAAGAAAACGTTGACAAGGTTCGGAAGGAGTCGAAGGGAACCGAGATGTTCAAGGGAACCGACTTCGAGAAGCAGGGTGGTGAGAATGTTGTTGACAATGCCAACCCATTCCACACGCCCCCTCAAAGCAGCCAGGGTGAATCCCCTACCATGTACACAGCCTCCAATGCTGCTCCTTCGACCAACGCCTCCAGCTATCAGACACAGGCCTCGGAGGCTTTCCAGTCCGCTGGCGTTCGTCAGCCATGTAAGTCTAAGACGTCCGCAGATACTGCTGCCCAGGAGACCAGACGCTAATCAACTTGGCAGTCACAATCCAGCCTTTCCGCGAAGAGATTAACCGTGTCATTGTGAACTACATCATGGACGATGCCCCGAGACAGCTGAACCTATCTGCGACTGAGCAGAAGGCGGCCATGCTGGCCCTGTCTCACACTACCCATCCCAGTGCATTCCGAGGCATCTTCAAGACCATCGACTCGAGCTTGCGCCACCAGGCCCACCCCAACTTCGTCAGGTGGTCTATCTGCAACGGCAACCCTGCTCGTGTCTTCTTCGCTCGCGCTCTGGGTGTCGGTCTTATTATCGCCGGCTTGATGCTGGGCGTTATTCTTTGCCTCAGCAAGGCCGGACGTGGCTACCGTGCCCTGTCAGCCATTGCCCTCGTCCTGGGCATTAGCACACTCGTCGCGGCCTACAAAGGCATGTGTGTTGTGCTGCACGGCATGCACCACCGCCACATTCGGCCGTGGGAGCTGTTCGTTGATAGCGAGAGGCTCAACTCCCTGGAAAAGCGCAGCTTCGACTCGTTCTCTTCGTCCAACAGCTATGAGGATGAGCCGTGGATCGTCAAGTACGAGAAGCGCAACATCGTGCGAAAGGTCTTTGACCGTGAGGTTTGGATCCAGGAGCCTGCGTTGCGACAGATTCAGGACACCATCTTCATCCAGGCTATGCTGGCGGCGATTCTCCTAGGCGGTGCCATCACAGGCATCTTGGTTGCCGTCCCTAGTGGCAACTACTTCTAAATCTGAGGAGACATGACGACTGATGTCATCTCCCAACACACCAAAAAAAAAAAAACCTTTCGGGTACCTTATCTTCTGGTGGCTTACACTCTTTATTCATTTTCCTTGCCTTGTTTCTTGGTTCGTCGGATTTTCTAATACCCTATTGTGGCCGTGGTTTTGGCAATGTTGAGGATGGAGTTTTTTTTCGGTTGGAGAGATGCCAGGGGGGGCTGTGTCTTTGGGGCGTCTTGGGAGGATGGTTAACAGAGACGGTATGATGATCTCGAGCCGTGTGCGATTGATTTCCTTGTGCAGCTGAACGTATCTATCTGTAGGAATATGGTAACTATTTGGGTCGTATTTGATAATCTGCTTGGGATACCTGAGAAACCACACGTGGTCGCGTGTGTTCGTGGTGATTAGCTTGGCGTGCGCAATGGATTTGGTGAGGTTCCCGTTCTGGTCAAGGCGCAACTCAACTCAACCCCACCATTACATCCGGGTCATCGGTACCGGTACATACATGGTCGATCAGCGGTCAGGTATCCCTTTAACAGTCCTAAGGCAACACTTTGGCTTGGCGCCCCACATCACCCTAGCTTTAGCCGAGGTACCTAGAGTGACGAAGAGTGCGGTCAGAATCAACCCCACCTAATTCCTCATACATCTCATTCTCTGTATCCTTATGGATTCCCAACTCCCCCCTAGCCAAGCAGTCAACGCATACGATGACAATAGCTTCATTCGCGTTGATAACAGCAGCCGCCGCGAGCAGCCGGCTGATAATACGTGCCGGCCAATTGAAAATCCGGTCCCGGATCGCGGTTACAACTTCGAGCCGATGGACCTTCCAAGCCGGGCCTCTGCGATAATGACCCTGCCCCAGCAGCCGCTGCTGCTATTCCAGGAATTCCTACCTATTTCCCTAGTGGAAAGATGGGTCAGCTTTACCAATAGCTGGGTTAGTTACCTGTTGCGGCAGCATGAAGCTGGAAGCCGCCGGCTGCGGCCACAAGCTCGGCTGTTGACTTGGAAGCCGACCTCTGTTGCTGAAATCTATACATGGATCGCGATCCTAATTTATATGCAAATTCATATAGAGCCACGGATTGAGGACTATTGGAAGGTTTCTAAGCCGCAGGAAAACATCCCCTCCCATCCAGTAACCCGATGGATGCCTTATTATCGGTTCTATTTACTATCACGGCATATCCGTCTCTTTGACTTTATGACTGTTGATCAGGGCCCTGATGTCAGCTTCCTAGGCCGGACCTACAGCCGGGTTAACGCCTGGTCTGACCATATACAGCATGCGTCTACTATCTTCCTTATTCCGGGTATATCTATCGCTGTAGATGAGTGTATGGTCCGCTTCCTTGGCCGGTCCCTTGATACAACAACCGTCCCTAATAAGCCGATACCAACGGGCTTCAAAGTCTGGGCTGTGGCCCAACAGGGCTATTTCTTACGGTGGATTTGGCATAGGCCGGGCCGGAAGTTCGGGCCCGTAGGGATCCGGCCGGCTCGACGGCTCCGGCAAGGGTCACAGCTACGGGAGAGCCGGCAGCGGATACGAGAGAGGATGATCTATCTGAACCCGACCCAAGCCGTGGTTGTTGCCCTAGTAAATCTGCTGCCGGCTTCCACATATCACGTCTTTCTTGATAACCTATTCTCTTCCGGTAATCTCTTTCGCCGGCTTCGTCAGCTAGGTCACGGGGCCACAGGCACAGCCCGCTGTAACTGTGGTCTTCACACATCCCTCGTTAAGCTCAAAGCTTCCGATAACACTGCCGCCGGCAGCCTCGAATTCAACGCCCTCAAGGCTGTCCCTACGGTAGATAATCAGGTCAGTCATAAGGACGGAATTCTGCTGTATTTCCCTTACTAATTTATCTGCCGCTAGGTCAATCAGATCGTGTGGAAAGACAACGCCCTCGTGCTATTCTTATCAACCGCGTTTACGGGCAACGAAAGAAGCGACTGTAAGAGGAAGAGACCGACAGGGGACCAAATGCAGTCACGGCCGATACAGCATTTCTTTGGTAATGACCACGTCAAGCTGATTTCTATCCCGTCTATCGCAGCTGCTTACAATCTTGAGATGAACGCAGTAGACTGCGGTGACCAGCTATGGTCTTATTAGGGCCCTAACCGCCGTGTGCGTAGGGGCGGCTGGAAGGCCCTTGCTTGGGACTTTCTATTAGAAATAGCCCTCATCAACAGCTTCCTTTTACAGCTAAAAGGGCTGCCACAGTGGAAGCCGGAGTTATCGCAGAAGAGTTGGCGGCAACGCCTTGTTAATAACCTTATTGCAGCGTACGCAACCCAAAGTCAGGCGCAACAGCGGTTTCGAACGGGAGACGAATTTACGCCTGTATCACAGCACAATTAGGTCCGAAATAAGAATCCGTCGGCATGCCGGGCTTGTAAGAACGTACGGCTAGGCGAGGGTCGGTCGCGGCAGCCGTTGCAAGCAGTCAGCGGCAACAGCCGCCCGAATGTGCGGAAATCACGGTATCGGTGTAAGCAATGTGATGTAGCTCTATGTAGATCGGGGAATTGCTGGGACTTCTATCACCACCTAAAATAGGTGGGGGCCGAAGTACCGTTCATTTGTATTACTCTCGTTGGCCCGCACCCCTGCCACTAGCGTATGTGTTGCCTTAGGACTGTCAAAGGGATAAGGTGAGGTAGCCATCGCGTACGCTGCGGTGTGCGTTGGAGCTCTCTGGATTGGTTCCATTTACGGCCCCTCGACGATCTATCTTTCGGGTGAGCCGGAGAAGCGGAGGCGGTCGTCACGAGGCCGTTAAGCCGTCAAGCCGTCAAGCCGTCAAGCCGTGTACCAATATCCATTATCCCCAACCAGATGAACCATGGCACAAATGACTACCGACCGAACCCCCTTCGGAGCCTCGGCCCACCGGCTTCAACTGGACAAAGGTGGAAACTGCTCTTATCGATAAAGCCGAACCCCAATGTGACTACTACTGTATGGAGTATGGAGTATGGAGTCGGCGTGCCCCTCCACAAGCCGGCTGCTCCAACGCTCTTCTTGGAATATTGACGTCTCCTCCCTCTCCCTCTCCTTCTCCCCTTTTGTCTAGGTACTCTCCGCATAATCATCTCTTAATCTCTACTGTTCACCGGCTTTCCCCCCTTTGCCTTGGTCCTCGGCTTGCTGCCGTAGCCCGGCCCTAAGCATCATTACTCCCGCCCATCCCGTCCGCCTTCCCGGCCTCTCTCGCCAACATCTCAACAGTTCCCGCCGCCGCAAACAAAGCCATGTCGCCCGCCTCCGAACACGAAGACGCCGTACTACGGGCGACGAAGGTTGCGCAGGATCCACCGCCGCAGGCGCATTCACACGACGTTGCGCCGGCATCAGCAACAGCAACGTCGCCCGCGCAGCAGCCGTCACCGCTGAAGCGACGCCTCCGCACAATGACGTCGACCGAGGAGATTGACAGCACCATCAACCGCCCCGGCAGCGTCAAGATCAATGTCCAGGGCGCCTTCATCGTCGACCCGGACACGTCGACGCCGGCAACGGGGGGTGGTGCGGCGCATGCGAACGGGCGTGTCAGTCCGTCGCATCCAGAGACGAGCGATATTCGCCTGCCGAACCACACGGCCGTCGTGAGCCATATTGCGATTGATGTATGTATTTGCCATTGCGGACGGTGGCGTGAGGCCCTGGTGTTGGAGAGCGGGGATAGTGGCCGTGGAACCACCAATCCCCCCAAGACAACGCCAGACATGACCAGTTGGATGAATCACGTTGGCTAACGGGCGCAATTGCGCGCAAAACAGATTGGCGGCTCGCTGGCGAAGCTCGTCTACTTCTCGCGCGAGGTCGATTCGACCGACCCGGGCGGCCGGCTCAACTTCCAGAACTTCGAGACGGACCGAATCGACGACTGTGTAGAGTACATGCGACACCTGCGCGACAACCAACTGGCTCTCAACGGCTCGCAGCCCGGCGAGTTGTGCGTCATGGCCACCGGCGGCGGTGCCTACAAGTTCTACGACAAGATCCGCGAGGCGCTGGGCGTCGACGTGCTGAGGGAGGATGAGATGGAGTGCCTCATCATTGGTAATTGACATGCCCTCTTGTCGCTTTGGGTCTGTCTTGCATGAAGCTAACCAGGCGAACCTCTAGGCCTCGACTTCTTCATCACCGAGATCCCCCGCGAAGTCTTCACCTACTCCGAGGCGGACCCAATGCAATTCGTTGTTCCACGCGACAACATCTACCCTTACCTGCTGGTCAACATCGGCTCTGGCGTGTCCTTCCTAAAGGTCACAGGTCCGCGCTCCTATCAGCGAGTTGGCGGTACCTCGCTGGGTGGTGGCACCCTATGGGGTCTCTTGTCCATGTTGACTGGCGCGCGCACCTTTGACGAGATGCTTGACCTGGCAGGCCACGGAGACAACGCCAAGGTCGACATGCTGGTTGGCGACATCTACGGCACCGACTATGGCAAAATCGGCCTCAAGAGCACCACCATTGCCTCATCGTTCGGCAAGGTCTTCCGCATGAAGCGAGAGGCCGAGTCCGCGGCTGAGGACTCCCCCGTTCCTCACGACTCTGAGGCGTCATTTTCCGGCGCCGACGTCTCCCGCTCTCTCCTTTACGCCATCTCCAACAACATCGGTCAGATTGCCTACTTACAGTCGCAGATTCACAACCTATCCAATATCTACTTTGGTGGCTCCTTCATCCGTGGCCACCGCCAAACCATCAACACACTGAGTTACGCCATCAAGTTCTGGAGTCAAGGCGAAAAGCAGGCCTATTTCCTGCGACACGAGGGCTACCTCGGGTCCGTGGGCGCCTTCCTCAAGAGGCAGCCCCGGAACTGGGGGCGCAGGGGAAGCCTGGAGGGTATGGAGGAGATGGCCGAGGCCAGGAGGAATCAACGCGAGGCAGAGGCTGCTGCGAGCAGCACGTGAGAGGAGTGGAGGTGAAGAGTCTTGAAAGTGGGACAGAAGAGGGGGTGGTGATGTTATGCGAGGGCGGAGACCCATCGGACGAAGACAAAAAAACCTCACATCAAAAGCACCGTCGGCCGAGCCTACAGCTCGGAGGAAGGAGAAAGAGGACCGGGGAACACAGCATACCCTTGTGGGCTCGACCGAGGCGCACTTCATTGGCGTTCAATTGATTTGGGTGGTCAAACAAGTTTCTTTGGCTGAAGCACAGCGTAGCACGACATGGCACGGCGCATGATGAAGAGCAAGAAGGACGACTCAGAGGAGAACCACCGAATTTACTGGATCCAGGACCGAGGAAATAATGTGTGACATATTATACATTCAGGGGTTGATGAATTGTACGACCATAAAATACACAAACTACGCACTCTCCAAATAGATTTGAGGCCGTGACTCAGGAAATGCCTTCGTGCTACTATGTACCTACGGCTTGTGGTGTCGTGGTTTACTTTTGCGACGCAAACATAGCAGGGTTTAGATGAGAATGTGGTTAATTTGAATCCTCTCCCGTGTCTTTTAGGAATGGTACTTGGAGCAATGTTCTACTACCATAAACAAAAACAAATCACCAATATCGTCAGCCATGGTAAACTACAACGCGGAAGTAGATGACTGCGGCATCTGCATCGACGACGGGGAAGCTTCACAAAGACAACATTGTGGAGCTGCACAGGTTCCTGTCACATATTACTCGTCATCCAGGTCGTTGGACGCCTCGTGGCCTGGCTATTGTGAGGGCAGCTGTTCCGGATGCGAATATAAGTGTGAGAGTTGTGAATGGTGTTGCATTCAAGATTCTTGGGAAGAATGGGAGACGACGGACGAACACGGTAGCTGTGAGCGCTGTGTGATGAACCCACACGAATTGGAACAGGTACGAAATTACTGCCCCGAGTTTCTCAATGCCTGCTCATATTTTGAATAGTCTGGTTGCGGCCTCAACCGCTCTTGTGAACGACGCAGGGTAAGCCCGAATGGCGGACCAAGCAACTGCCACGACGGCGCAATATACGAGCACGACACAGCGAACAGGCGAAGCAAAATATGGAAGCGAACGGGGAGATGCCCTAGGTTGGATGATACGAATTACTCATGTCCCAACGCACGGGAATCGCACAGTGACAGGTGCCATCCCATCGAGGACTGGCTGCCAGACTTTGACTGTCCCGAGAGGAGCAGGACGTGCCACAGAGAACATGAATACGAGCACTGGAGTACTGATGAAACTAGAGGCGGTATGAATACGATGGAATGTGGGCACAGGGATGAAAGGCGGTATAGAGACAATGCTGGAAGGCATTGGGGATATAGAAGATCAGAGAGCAGGGAGGGGAGGCACGTGGATACTCGGAGGAGAGGTTTGAGGCATTCGGCCAACGGGCGTTCTCGCTCGGGAGTTCGAAGGGTCAGATTTAGAGAGTGAGCCGAATATACGAAGGGAGAAGGAGGTTAAAAATGGACAATGATATTTCAGCACAATAAAAAGTTTCTCTTACTCATTCACCCACTATGATGTGTGAGCAATACCACTGAGTTTCGAAGACACTTACTCCTCGACGCTCCTCAAAGCCACTTGACCACAACAGACAGGACTGATCAAACCAGGACGATAGAATTTGACGACCGGTAAGGTAGAGAGTAAGTAAAGTAAGTACACCAGTACAAAAGAAAGAAGCTGACTTCCTGAAATCTCGAGGGTACAACAAGTGTAAGAAAAGGCAAAAAGGAAGGGTCTGGCCGGGGATTGAACCCGGGACCTCTCGCAAGCTAAGCTGTAGGGTTTTCCCTAAGCGAGAATCATACCGCTAGACCACCAGACCGGTGAATGGATCAGAAGATCCGCTCTGTGATTGTTGGAAGGTAGTGCGATATTGCAGCTTATGGAGGGTGCGTTGAGTCATTTTCGCTCGTATTATTTTCCTTGTGTTTTTTTTGTGTGGCTGTGGGACCTTTTTTCTTTTTTTGGTCGCCGGTATTTTAGTGGGGCGAATAGCGGCGCGGGAGGCCCGTGCAGTTACCAGATACGGCAATTGATTAATGAGTGGGGCTGGTTGTGGCAGAGTCTCTTGCGCGTGTGAGGCGACTCGGTCAGTGATTCTGGTGAGATGACTCAGATGGGGTGACTCAGAGGATGATAATATGTATGGGAGGGACTGGGGGTTAGTACTTGTTCGAAAAGAGAGAAGGGGAAACAATGTCAATGCTGCACTGCCGTTCTTTGTCGTTGTGCCTAGTTTCAAGCCCGAAGACGAGAGGAAACTGACTAACAGACCGCATATAGGCAGCAGCCCTTATTGCAACCACAGACTGGCCACCTTGACGCATATCGGTAGAGATGTGTGGCCTTTTGGATTGATGGTACATGGCCAGTTTGTTCATGGAGAGGTATCGTGCTAGACTGGCACTCTCTCTGAGTGTTATCAATGTCTTAGTAGCGCTTGAAAGAGCTGTGATTTTAGAGGGAGGATAGGAAACAAAAGCCAAATGCAACAAGGTCATGGGGAATAGAGGCGCGCTGCATTCGAGTGGATGTCATTCAGCACGGCATTGACTTGAAAGGAATGACTGCATTGTGTAGAGTCGAAGCTGTGGTGATCAAGGTTAAAGCAAGTCTCATGCGCAGTTATTAATTTCAACAATTCTAGACTTCTAAATTTGCAACTGATAAATTTTAAACTAAACCGGCACCCGTTTTTATACTGGCAAATGGGAACGACTGCGAACGGGGTTGGCTTGGGCGCGTAAGATGTGATACCTTTTTTGAAGACATACCGATAAAACGTGACAGGGTGGTGTTGTGTAGTGCTACGCGTGAGAAGGCTGGGAAAGCTATAAAGTTGAGATTGTCTTTCTTGGATAGAATCGGTATAGATACTAGTCTTGAAATGCCGGAGTCTGTTCAAATTACCTCAAGCTCAATTGAAGTTATATTCGAGCAAAGAGCTGCATATAAAATTATATATTATCAAGCCTTTCAACCCTTATGTCGGTGATAATATTTGAAGTTGGAAAACAAGATTTACCTATAGCGAGGTACAATTTGGTGGTTGCAATGTTAAACTCCCCCTGACCCGGCTCATCACGATGCCGCATTGGCTGTTTCTCTAATACCGGGAACGTAGCCCTATTCGTACATGTGTACAATTGTTTCACAGAAGCCTCGGATAGACCAATGTACTAGACGTCTATGTACAGTCAAGGAGGATATTTTTAGGCTCAAAGCCTTCACTGTTGACTAATTTTAACCCAATAAATACACTAAAAGTCACCGTGGAGCCTGGACATGGCCCGTTCTCGTAAAAGATATTGTATTGTACAAAATTCGTACCGACGACGTCGGCTGAGGTAGGCTGAGTTGCTTCTTCGAAAATCCGGCTATCGAAAACTATGTCATCCATTATCATGCTCCTTAAGTCTTTCGTCTGGGATATCGCACTATTGAACTGAGCCAGTTTCTGGCTAGAGATCCACGGTCAGCAGCTATCTACTGAGATCCACACTTGGTGGGACACATATCTGCTCTGGTGCCATTAGGGAAGTATCGCATTTCAGAAGGTGCTTCGGCACCGGACGCTTACCTTCGAGCGTGTCCAGGCCGTTGATACATCTCAGTGATCTACTGTGGTGAGCCTCGACAGTGACTGGGTTTGGACGTCTAAGTAGGCAACCGTGTCTAAGCGCGGGGCGATATCCAAGACTGCTTGGCTAGAATTTCAGGAATGTTAAATGGTGCAATTAAAGATACAATCCAGGTTCGGAACAGTAGACCAAATGCTGACCTGGGGCCAAACGGAGCACGAAAGTGGGTAGTGTTGGTCTCCGAACCGGTGATTTTGGCTCCTAAAAAAATCGAAGCGAAACTAGCTGCAACGACTACCGTTGGTCTGGAGGATGATCTCCAAGGGTCCTTGGATGCGTGTTAGCAAGGGCACCAAGAGTGTGAGGTGTCGTCTTTGCTGGGCACTAAATTTTCTATTACACCGGTTCACTGTTCAGCGTCCTGTTTTTGACTAGCCACCCCTACTGAAGTCCCTGTGAGTATTAGTCCTCTGGTGTAAGTCGTGGGAAGTCCCCAAGCCAGACCGGCTAACATGTTATTCTGCCTGGGATGGGTAATGGATGTGACTTAATCAAGCTGGCGCTCTATCCCTTACTTTGACGACCAAAGAAACAGGGCGTTCTTCATATCTCTTACGGGCGACTGCGCACTCATGTCCAGGGGCGTGAGGGAGGTCACTACATGTAGTTCGAGCAGGGCGCGGTTGTCGCTTAGAACCAACCCACTGGCCATATTCTTGCACACGTTGTACACTGGAAACAGTACCATTCTGAAGCACCTCTAGTGGTGCTGGGCCTGTTCTACTTCCTCGAACTGGTCGACATTCCCCACATGATCGTCATGGATCTAGCAACAGGAGGCTTGGATAAAAGCCACCATTTCTATACAAGCAATACACGCCAGTGAGCGACTACGGGCTAAATTACTTGTGTCGAAATGTCATCATAAACTCAGACAAATTCCTCCAAGGTGTCTATCAATTGGTTCGTTACGGCCTAATGTCACATGAACTATACAGGGGACCTCGTAGTTCACCGACGGGTGCACGCAGTCACGATGCATCAAATGTCTCTAGAAGCTCAACAACAATCTTTCTCAGTGACTACTCTGGTAAAGCTATAGCGAGCAGGGTGATTTAGACAACCAGATCCGTCATCATCGAACAGTGAGCGTCCGAAGGGAAATATCACATCACTGCTATGTTCTCCCACTTGTCCTAAGAAACAAAGCCCCTCAGTCCTCGTCAATAGCTCAGTCCTCCCCACAAATCGTGGCAAACTGTTTTTAAAACCACAATCATATCATACATCCCATAACTGTTTCCAGTGAATACCTTCGGTAACAAAGAGTAAACGCAAAATGTGAAACCTGAAAGATCGCAAAGGCGGAAAACTGCTGCCTATTCCACGGCCATGTTCTGGCGAGATGGGCTTAGGTGCTCTTACGGGGACGTCCCCGGCGAGCCTTGGGCTTTGGTGCGGGCTTTTCTTCCTCAGAAGCCACTTCCTCTTCCGGCTCAGGGGTTGGGGCCTTCTTGACCGAGACCCGGCGTCCTCTCTTAACTGGAGCTGGCGCCTCATCCTCGGCATCCTCCTTGGGTTTGGCAGCAGCCTTGCGTCCTCTCTTAGCCAGAGCTGGAGCAGGGGCCGGAGCCGAAGCTGGTTCTTCATCATCTGCCTCGTCTTGGACTTTCTTGGTAACAGCCTTGCGTCCCTTCTTAGCGGGGGTGGGCTTCTCATCCTCAGTCTCGTCCTTGGCATTGGCAGCAGCCTTGCGTCCCTTCTTAGCAGAGGCAGGAGCAGAGGGAGGAGCTGAAGCCGGTTCATCATCCTCAGTCTCGTCCTTGGGCTTGGCAGCGGCCTTGCGGGCTCGCTTAGCTGGGGCCTTGACTGGAGCAAGAGCCTCATCCTCGGTCTCATCAGCGTTGGTAGGAGCAGGGGCGGGAGCAGGAGCAGCCTCCTCTTCTTCAGCCTCATCCTTGGGTTTGGCAGCTGCCTTGCGTCCTTTCTTCACCGGAGCCTTAACTGTAGCCTTAGCTGGAGTCGGGTCCTGATCGCCGTTCTTGGCGGCGTTGGCGGATGTCCTGCGACCACGGGCAGGCTTGGCAGGAGTAGGCTTCTCCTCCTCTGCGTCAGCCTCGGCCTCCTTGGTGGGCTGAACCTTCTTGGCCTTCTTAGGCTGAGGCTCCTCCTCATCGTCATCCACAGCCTTCTTCCGGCCACGCTTGGCCTTCTTAGGAGGGGATTCACCATTTTCGGCGGCCTGAAGGGTCAGCAGAGGTCTCAGGTAGGAGGGTTCTTAGGTAGGAGGGTTCGTAGGTAGGAGGGTAGCACTATGACTTACAGCTGCTTCAGCGGCCTCCTTCGCCTGCTTCTTCTTCTGGGCGGCGGTGAGATGGATGCCCTTCTCACCAAGACGGTTCTTCTCAGGGTCCTGCCTCTATGAGTGAGTGATCTAAGTGGGTTCGCAGGTGAATAACTTACACCGTTGAAATCGGCGGCATCAATGAAGCCCTGGGTCAGAGCGCGCTGAACCTTTTCCTGCAGATCAGGATGGTCCCTTGATGATGTCAGTTGCGTCTCTCATTGTTGATGGTGATTTGGGCAACCTACTCCATTTCGTCAAATCCGTCGATGCCCGAGCAGTCATAGGTGTTGTCACCTTGGTCGCAGGTCTCCCTCATATTGGATAACTGCTGGCCAGAGACGCAGCCCCTTTCGGACGCAGAGGAGGTTAGCGGTTTGGTGCCTTACTTGGGATCGGGCAGAATGGGGCAGGCTCTCACCAGTGCTTCCAGCTCCAGCTACCATGGTCCTGAATCTCAACCCAGGTGCCGAAGCGGAGGGTTCCCTTGAGGCACTTGTCGCCGCGCTTCTTGCATTCAGTGTCCTTGCAACCGGCGCGGTTGTTGGGCGAGACCTCTGAGTGGGTCGTTAGCGACCGTTGCCATTCCCACGAGGGCGCTTCCAGGCCGACGTCGCGAAAGAGACAACCGGAGGAATTAAATGCCGTTATGGCGACTTACCGATACGATACTGCGGCATCTTGACGGCGAATGTTGCTGTACTGGAAGGGTTTGAAAAATGTGATGAGGGAAAAGAATCTGAAATCTCGGCTGCGAGAGCGCGACGCAGGTAGCTCCTGTTTTGCCCTGGTTTCTGCCGCTGGGCCCTGGTCGGGTTGCTTCAGATGTGGCAGTGGCAGTCGCCCTAAAAAACGAGCGGCCTTGATCGGAATCAGCGAAAAATACGACCAAAGATGGCCTGAAATGTTGGTTCCTCGGTGATATGAAGAGACGGAATCCAAGGTAGAAAATGGGAAGTGAGGTAAGGTGAGATGTGATGGGGAGGGTGGGAAGTGGGAAGAGCCAACATCCCTCCTTCTCTTTGTACGAATGGGAAGGAGCTGGTCCGCGCGCCGACGCGTCCTGGCAGCGCCCGCTAGGCAGGTGCTGTAGCCAAACACCAGTGACCACTCCCTCCCGTCATTCACCGTGTCGACGGGGACAACGCAGCCATCCGTCTTTTCAATTTAAATTCTCATTACCAGCAATTAAAAGAAAAAAGAAAAAAGGACACTGTGCATGTAGAAACTGATGGATCCTTTTGAACTCCGGCTCTTAATTTAAAATTATTTATCCCCGTTTGGCTCCTGAAACCTCATAGCCAGCCAGCCTGGTATTTTCTTTTCCTTCCCGCGCATGATCCGATCCTTTGTCACACTTGATCCCACATGTAGAACAAAGGCTGCCTCACAAGAACGGACACCATCCAATGTACATGGCGGCCAAGTTCCTCGGGTCAACCGCCTGCTTGATCAGCTCCTCCACCTGTCCCTCAACGCCCAGCGGAATGCTCTCGTTCGCCAGCAAGCCCTTCACCTTTCGCCTGATGCTGTCCACCACGCTCTGCGGCTGTAGTTTGACCCCCACGTCTCCTCTGCGGTGCGCGCGTTTCTCCTTTTGCAGATCCAGAGTTGGGTCGTAGATGAATGCCTCCAAGATCGTCATCAGTGTCTCCTCCTGTTGACGCAGAATCGTCAGCGTGAGCTCGCATGACTTGCGGAACGGTCCCTCGTAGCCGTAGATGCCCATCGCTGCCACCATGTTGTGTGTAAGACGGAACGGCACACGCTCCGGCTTCGCAAACGTTAGTCCCTTGTCGAAAAGACAATTGAAATCGACGTGAAAGACTCCGCCATTGCCCTCCTCCAAGTTCACGTTCTCACCGTGCCGGTCACCCAGGCCCAGCATCGTGCCCACCATGGACATGACGGCGCATGAGCGTGTATATCTTAGACGCGCGTCAAACCATGTTGACGGGTTGGGGAACTGTTGCGTGAACCAGAGATGGAGCATCGGGGGGAATCTCCCCAGGACTTCGTCTGTGAATATGCGGTTCTTGGCTTCCGACATGCATGCCTCATCCATGAGCTGTTTGAGTGCTGTGTAGTCTGGGTACACCTTGCGTGAGGCATAGAGGTTGATGAGAATATCTCGCATTGTCTTGATCCCCGGAATCCACTCGATGATACCGCATTCTTCATTGAGCGGCGTTACAGCGTATGTCCGAATGTACAGCTGCCTCTGACTCGATCCTGCGTCCCGCTTCAACGATCGGTTGATCAGGCCGTTGAACTCCATTAGACGTTGGTCAGTCCTGAGATCATCCTTTGGCTTGATCAAGAGCATGTAGCTTTTACCATCGGTGCCCCGTGCAGTAAGGCGCCTTGGTTTTGCTAGTGAACTCAACACCAAAACGTCATCCAGGAAGCAGTCAATAGTAACTACATCTCTCGAGAAGGCCTTGTGTTTCTTGACATACTCTGACACCGCCGGAAGTGTCGCCGTCAAGGATCCTTCCACGGGTACCACCAAAGGACATGGCGTGCTCTTATGGTTGAAGCGCAGATCTCTAGTCAGACTGGCATGTACTGTCTTGTTACCATGGAAGTCCCCGTTGGTGCAAGCGAGAAGCAACTGTTCAGCTAGCTTCTCTCCCATTCGCAGGAGATACTTCATGTCGAAGGACGACCCTTCCACTTTCCGAGATACGTTCCTTAATGTTTGGAGGATCTGGGTGCCTCGTGCCTTTCGCTCCGACACCTGCTTTGTTGTCATAATACCAATGAGACTCCATAGAGCCTGGCGAGGATGGGCCTCCACAACTTTGACGATGATGTGTGTAAGCCGGTCAAAAACATTAGTGTTCTGATGGGCAATACGTGCCACAATCTGTGGCAAGGCTGTGTAAAAGATGTACGCAGGTAGACGGTGAATATACTTGTCCAGGAACGAATGCAGAAGGTTCAACTGCTCGACACGCCGCCGGTGAAGCTCGCGAGACAGGGACACCTTGCCCTCGGGGGCCTTGTCCACTTGTGCTCCCAGGTCTAGCCATAGTGTGAGGATTCTTGGCAGAGTCTGGTACAGATACTTGGTCCCAGAGTTTAATGACCGCACGTAGTTCTCAATGACCAGCCTGGCAATCTCGCCAGTAACGTAATTGTCGCTTTGATCGTCGACCTTGAGCGGCTTCTCCGATTCCAGAATCTTCTTGTAGTGACGGCCGAGGTAATAGTGCCCCTTCTCCCAGTTTGAGAACGTCTTTGGCGGCTGCTGATACTTTTCTCGTAATGCTCCAGCGTGCGTTTGCCCTGCGTTGTCGAGCCACTTAGCTAGGAGGAGTTGCGCTCTGGCCGTCAAGAGCTTTTGATGTGAGTTCAACTTTGTGGAGTTTGTGCTAGTTGATGCACCAGTCTGGGTCATGAACTTGTTCCCCTGGATAGCACCCTGGAGCATCTGGATAGCCTTGCGGTGCTGATCATCTTTCCACAGTAGTTTCGCGTTCTCAATAGTGGCGGCATCGTCACCCAGCTGCGAGGCGTGTAGCACCGCGTTGAAAGACTGGTGGAGGGAATTGGACTTTCTTGCGAGTCGCGCACTCGTCAACCAGAGTCCTGAGATGTCAACATCTGAAAACGTTGGTCTATCTTAGTTAGCATAATAGTTCAACCCTGTATTTTGGTTGGAGCTCGACTTACCGGGCAAGTTCCATAGCAGCTCTACGGATACCCAGAAGGTATTGCTTATCATTGACGTAAGCCCCGATGACTTCAAGCCGTCTGTCCAAGAGTGCCATTGTTTTGCGATGCGATGCTTCATCTCCAGTCTTGGCTGCAAGGATGATTTCCAGATCAGTGAGAACATGACACTTGAGCAAATGATCATGACAAGCCTGGAGTGAGGCAGTTGCTGAAGTATTCATAGCAGACGAAATCTTGTCTCTCATGTCTCGTATTGTTTTGAGGTGCTCGTCGGAAGCGCGGTTCTTGTGCAACTTGTCGAAAATGGTCGCTAGAGATACGTTAAAGTCTTGGATGACGTCGCCGTGGAACCGATTTGTGAACTTGATGAGACTGGGCCATCTCCCAGTTACCCATGCGGCTTCCACAGCGAATGGCATGATCTTATTGTCTGTGGAAGGATCTGTGTGCATGCCCTCGACATGGTTAAGGAGTACGTCTGCTAAAGTGTGAGCTTCAAACGTTTCGAATGAGGATGCGTAATTTACCATGTTGACCTGCCTGTTTCAGACAGTGTAGCAGATCGACCTGAACGTCCACATTGTCGGGATTCTCCGTGAGCTTCATTTCGTACCAACTCTGTACTGCCGTCCAGCGACCAGCTTTTCGGTGACCGAGGATTTGCTGATTGATGTCCAGAACATGCAGATGAGAGGATATTCCGTCCAACCCATCGGGCTCATCAATGTTTGCGTATATGTCTTGGAGTCTCTCGAGGAGACGAGTACGATCGTCAGGGCCTCGCTTCCGTTGTTCCATTTTCTGAGCATGTTGCTCGAGATGAAATAGAGCCCGGGCATACTCGTTGCAGTCAATGGCTCTTTGAGATATCAACTCAGCCGGTATTGTGTCTAGAGCCTTCTGAACACATGCCAACTTTTCCTTGTCAGACTCACTAAGTCGGCCAGCGGATCTCTTGGCTTGAATCCATCTCATTGCGTAGTCGACCACACGAAAGATAGCCTAAAGAAGATTAGAATGTGGGGTACGCGCTAGCACATACAACTTACGTGGCAAAAGAGCTTCATTTCTTCCCTTTCCATATAGGTTGCATTTTCGGCTGGTTGATGTTGGAGAATACAAAGCATCTCGCCAATGATGTCTTTCCTTTCTTGCTCGCTGCTTCTGGCACCTAGAAGGATGTGCAGCATTAGGTAAGGGAGAAGGAATTCTGCGGCAGAGAGATCTTTGACTCGGATAACTCGAGTAAGGGGCTCAAAGAGCATGTCGCCATGCGGGTTCTGCCCCTTTCGCAAAAGATCTACCACGAGCATTCTCAACCAGTTCCCATAAATCCGTCCCGGACGGAAGATGGGGTATTCCACCTTGACTGGAAGCATGGGTGCCACCATGTACCTCGATGTAAGGAAGGGTGCTATCACTTCGCGAGTAGCTTCCGGAATAGTGATCCATTTTCGGTAGATGTCGTTGCCACCGAGCATACCAGTGCCCTGCATGGCGCACGCGGCCTTGATGTCGCACTTATCCAGAAGCTCTTGCATTGCAAACGACAGAAAACCCTGGAGCTTGACGTCGGTAGCGGACAAGAATGAAGGCACTAGAACCTCTTGTAGAAGGAAGAAGGCAAAATCCGTTGTCTCCTCACCTCCCTCAAAGTTGTTCAGCACAATAATGGATCGCTGTTCTCTCACGGCCTCGACCTTGTTCGAATCTAGACATCCAATTAAGCCCATGGACTCTGTGCATAGCCGAGCAATTTCCGCTTGTACACCATTGTATTTGCACGCGCAGTCGAGCAATGCTCTCATGAGGGTAGCGATGGTAGTGTCTGGTTGTTGACTAACTGCGGAGTTGTGCAATGCGTTTTGGTTAGTCCGGAGGTAGGGGACCAGCTCAGTCAAGGCTTGGAGAACAACGCCAGAGTTTTCGTGTCCAATTCTTTCGGAAAAGACCTCTAGGGCTTCTTCCACGGCCAAAGTTGGTCGTAACATCCTCAATCTTGACTCAACATCCTTCAACCCTGCAATATGACTGAGCGAGGGCAACTTGCTGATATGGTTTGCAACAACACCCTCGTAATGCTCGAGGACAAAGGCCAGCATACGTTTTACTGTTGTCAAAGTTTCTGAGTTCAACGAGGACCAATAGCGGTCCACGATAAAGAAAGTGGTTTCAAGGAGTGCTTCAACGTCCTCCTCCTCAAGATGGGTTAGCATAGCTGCCCAGCACGAGAAGCTCACTTCTCGTAATGCATCGTGTGACAAGGCAGATAGAAGGCATGCGGACATCTGGTTCAACTTAGCACATGTCACAGGAACTGATGAGAGACGGCAGCTTACCTGGGGCCGCGCGATTCTCGCATAATCTCGGCAAACCCTAATCATTTCCTCCATCGCCCGAATGCATCGCCGTTGTTCCTGTGCAGGAGGATGGGTGGAAAGCGAATCATTGATGACGTCTGTGAGGCGAGCCATGAGCCCAAGAAGGTGGGACTGAAGAAAACGACCAGTTGGATTTCCTTTTTTCTGTCTCGCTTCCTTATTCGCGATCAAGATCATCGTCGCCATGGTGCTAAGAGCTTTGCGGATCTGCAGGTGTGTTAGAATCCGCGTACGTGGGCGAATGGGCTACTAACTGCTGGCTTTCGAGACTCATCTGCCTCACCAGATGCCTTTAACAAATCCATGGCGATGAGCACTGGTTCCGCCTGAAGGAGTCCAAGGAGTCCAAGAGAGTGAAAATGGGGCGAGATTTCATCGAGACGAGACTTTGCAAATCCTTCAATGTCCTCTGTATCCTGGACTAGTAGCAAGGCAAGGGTAGCAGCGAGGTTTGAACTGTCCATGAGCGGCTGCCAAATTTCGTTCTCCTTTCGCGCATCCGTGATCTTCTGGATGACATCCTTCTGCTTGTCAAGCACGAGCCAAGGTAATGCATGTGTCTGGACAAGCAAGAGGAGGTCGTTGACGGATATTTGTAGCAGTTCGGCGATGGCCCGACTCATCTGAGGACGGTGAACCATGTCTTTCGTGGCCATGTATGCAAGGCTTGGCCAAAAGGGCTCGAAGAGGCGGCGCGCAGTGGTGTTTCTTGCTTCGGAAAGATTGGAAAGCTCGTTGAAGGCGAAGGCGGATACAATGTTGTTGTTGCTTCCGAGGTATTCTAGGAGTTTGATAAGGACTAGATTGAGCTCATCCTCGGAGACGACCCTGCCCAGCTGCCCCCAAGCCATTATGCAAGTCTCAACCATGTTGGCCTGGTTCTTCTCCGAAATTGATCTCAAAAACGTGATCGAATTTTTTCTATTTCGGCAAACCACATCCTGATCTGGAGTAGGGATTGATCTGTCCAGTGAGAAAGTCGCTAGTGCTCTTCCAGCTGCGATTCGAAGTTCTCTGACAGAACTGTTCAAAGACTGAAGACACCACTGCCCCAAGCTAGACGTTTCTAAATCAAGCAACCCTGTTTGATCATCGCCATGCAGAATGAACCTCCTCAAGGCCAACATTGCTGCCACCCTTGGGCGTCGAGACTCTGCGAGGCACGGCAAACGAACAAGTTTCTCAAAGATCTTCTGGATCTCAGCTTTGGAGCCGTTCGTTGTGACACTCGATGGCTGGCCTCGGGTGGCCACTGTATCACAGATAGAACAGCTAAAATCTTTCACTGGTTCCCCAAGTTTGTCATTTCGCAAGCAGCAGGTTTGGGATAGAAGCTCGATGGCGAGGCACTGGCGAGATTCATCAACCCTCTGGAATGCATTCCTATACTCCTGTCAGTAGGTGGTACATATAACGGTCATGGAAACCTACAAAAACTCAGGCTCGGAAATCCCGGTGGCTTGGCTTGGGTCGATTGTGATGTTCAGGGCCTCGTGTATCAAATGAATCAGAGAATCGTGTGCATGCGGAGATGCCTTTATAATCTTCCGCCTTTTTACACGGTCATCGGGACTTCCCTCCTGGTCCTCATATGTCAAGGACAACTCCTGAATGGCTTTCCGAATGTGGTCGTCTTGGAAATTTGATGGATGTGTACTTGGGTCGAGTGAATTTGGAAGAGGCACGGTGGTAACTTGTCTGAGCGTATGAATCGTTCTCTGTACAGCAGTTAGCATACAGTCAAAGCTATGGCGAAAATAACCCACCCAAAGGTCAGAGTCCTCTGACAAGGTTGGGCATAATAACAGAGGCTCATCAACCAACTTGGATGCTGCAAGTCGGCTGAGGGATCTGTCCTGAATCGATGCCTTTGCAATCGTTGTCAATGCGACGCAATATGTGCGTTGGGCCTCGGGCTCGGCGGTATCTTCCGCAGGGGATTCTTCAGGGTTCGATATCATCTCGCTGCATAGCAGTATGAGCAGTGTAATTGCTTTTCTTTTAAAAGCAGAGGAAGTGGTCGGCTTTTCCGAAAAGGCTTGTACAACGCTCAGAATCGTCTCAATGGTACGAAGGGACGAGTTGGGAATGACTTTGTTCCAGCGCTTCCGAATAGTCCGCACATCAATTAGAGCATCTAAGAGCCATATCCCACATTCCGTGAATGAGACAATGTTGTGGAATGCATAATCTCCAGAGATCAATGGATAGAATAAAATATCTCTCAAACTGGTGACTTGCTGGATGGCTTGTGAGGTTCGGTCGACGTGGTACATCAGCCGGCCGGAATGCGATCGGTGCTGGAGGATATAGTCGAGAGTGAATGTCGGAGGTAGGTCAAGAGTCGTTGGGGAATCTTCTTGACAAGGGACGGTCGAGGGATCCTGAAGATAACTAAGGAGGCCTGAGTATTTAGGGTTAGGCGCTGTTTTCACTGTGACAATGTGATACTCACTAGACAACATCGCCCGCAGATAGAGGACCATCTCTGGAGCTGAATCCCACAGGGCCGGTGTTTGTGCAACAACTAGGAGGAAATACTGCACGAGACTTTCGATGCTCTCAACGAGGCCGATGGACTGAGGATGTCCCAGCAGCCTGAAGAGCTGTGGAAACAGCCATACCCACAGGGGCTCTGACCCTCGATACAAGAAGGCTTCTCCATCTGGCTTGTAGGCAAGCACTGTTGGTGTCTCCTTGACTGTGATCCGCAGAAAATTAATAGTCTTGAGCGCCTCTGCCCGTACGTGGGCGCGATCGAGGAATGGATCGTCGAATTTGATCCCGTCGAGGACGACTTGGGTGTATACGTAGATGAGCAGGTGGTTGTGCTCGACTCGCTCGTTTACGGATTTCAGAAGCGTTGGGTCGTTCTTGACCCGCTGGATGATCGCAAAGAGGCCCTTAAGTTCACTGTTCTCGTCTGATTTCGAGGATTTGGTTGAGGCAGAAATGTTTTCCACGAGCTGGGCCGCTAAGGTCGATGGAGGTGGATTGTCGGCCATCGTACATATAGCATCATGACGTCTTGCTGTAGACTTACGGCGGTTCAGAAGGACGGATCTGCAGACGCGACAGTGATGGCGCGGGGCAAGACGCGAAGTCATGTGACGTGGCATCAATGGGGTATGCATTCCCACAAGGGACGTCCGTCTTTTTTGTGACACTTAAAGCTTCGTTATAAACCTTAACTTACTACTTTATTATAAAACAATTGACCATAAAACATAAGACTTTTCATAAAATAATTGACTATAAATAAAACATTAGACTTATCATAAAGCTACAGAGATAATGATCGGGTTCCCGCCACCACCGGCCTGGGGCCGACCAGCGGCCAAGTTGCCGTCATCGTCTTCATCGCTTTCGTCATCGGCGTCGGCGTCCTCGAGCCCAGCCGCCGTTTCATTGACGATCCCCTGGAGTGCACCCCCTGACGGGACCGGGAATGGGGGCGGGGCCGGGAGAGTCATGGCGGCGGCAAGGCGGAGTCGTTGAATATGCAACACATAGAGGACGACGCGAGACAACTATGGCTCATCTTCCGACCGGGCATCGAGTTCATATTGATTAATGTGAAGTAAGTAAATTTTACGACATATATAATAGATGTATATATCGTATTTTGTTCGTCGTTTTAGGACTCTTGCTTCTTACTTACTCTGTGACTTGAACTCGCCTAAAACCCTGCTGCTATCTAAGATCTCACATTGTTTTAAATCAACACAAGATAGCTGCTTCGATATGTTGAAGCTTGCTCGATCTGTTTCCACCCTCCATTCCTACCTCCCATTCCCATCTTCCGTTCCTACTTTCCTCGTAGTAAGATAACTCAATACTTTAGATAAGGTAAACAATCTCCTATACAGAACTCTCTCAGCATAATTCCTAAGCTTATAATCTTTATTATAGCTTTATAAAGTAGATATACATGAGGTTTTATTTTACACAAGTTTAGAGGTACTTATGTTACCACCTATCCAAACAACGGTATGTTAGATGGCCCACTTTGTTCCTAGATCCCTAAGCACAGGGTAGGAAGATGGAATAAGGCAAGGGCCAAGATCCGTTTTTGTTCTTCTGTACCTCAGCACAGAGGAAGGGTTTTCTTTTCGGGTGTTGCAGCGTCGATATGGTTTGTGGCACCGCGGCACCGACAAGAGTGAACTTCCTTCAGAACACCGCAGGGTCCAAGTGAGCTTAAAAGACTAGGTACTGCGGCACCAGCAAAGGCAATCAGGTATTCTCCCTGGTTTCGCAAAAGAAAATGCGACAGCATCCCAGTCTCATCACCATGAAATGGACTAGTTTGGAGGTTGTAAGTGTGCTTGATTTCCTCTATCTGTGCTGTGGAGCGTCTAAGAGATCATAACAGCAATACAGGCATTAAATAGAAAAGTAACGGAGTCCCATGTTATACATGTTAGGTTAGGGTGGTAGGTGGGCCGGCGGGTGACCCGCACGCTCCGGATCAAGATTGATCGTTCCTGTTTGTCTTACCACGCACTCGCTGGTGTACACCTTACGACCCTCTCCGAGTCATGAAGGGCTCGGAATATCGCAACAAGCAATTCACATGCCTTTGTCCGACATTTGATCAAAAATTCCTGCGCAAGTCAAATTCGGACAGATGTTGATCTTGGATGTTGAACTGCTGGGACCCGTGGCAGTAGGGTTACCAGAACGAAGGTCTTTCGGGTATCGCCCGGCACCGAGGACGCGTTCGCTGGGACTGCATACTTACCCTCTGGCATCTCATCAGGTGACCGCCAATACTCGTCGACAGGGCAGAGATAGTAGTCGGTTTATCGATTAACCATCCTGGGCGGAGCCCTTTTGGACTCCGATTTCTCCTGGAGTGGAAGAAGGCGGGAGAGAAAGAGGAGATGATTATTCGAATGACGATTCTATCTAACTCAAGGGCCGTGGGAAAGCTGCAGCACACGCAGCCGATATTGGTCTCGTCTACTTCATGCCTTGTGCTCTGGAGTGGCAACGTATTTATTTCTAGTGGTTACAGATTGGCCGCCATGTTCTGCGTTTCCGGCCACCGTTGGCTAACCGCCAACAATATGAACCGGCGGCCTGCTTGATGGCCAAAATCTGCGTCACCCCTGTATCAATTCCATGCAATAAACCTCGTATTCGGCAGTTTTTTCTATCCATTTGCTACGTAAGAGGTTCGCCCCATCTGCGCCGAGTTCATCAATAGTCTACCTGTAGCTTAGATCGACTTCCAACACCTAGACAGCAATCTTGTTCAGCTTCGCTTCAAACTCACCGTGCAGCTCGGCAAAAGCTCGCAGCACTTTGAGTAGGCCTTTTCGCCTATTCCACCATGATGGCAGTCCTCTTCACTATCCTCGTTGAGACTGTGATTCTCAGCGTTGGCGGTGCCATCGACGCTTGTCTCTCCAGTAGAGCCGCTGTTATCAGCCTCTTCCTGTTTCGCAAACATTTTGCCATTTTGCCGCACCCTGAGATAATCTCTCTCGTTTTGTATATCCACACCGTCCGTATTAGACGGGGGCCTAGACCTCGTCAAGTCGGCAAGACAGGCAACAATTGTGTGTAGGATGGTGGCAAACTCTTGATGGATGTTAGTAGCGTTTCAAAGTATCCCAAACTCGGCACAAGCCTGACATACCTTTTAGACGTGACCAAACCTGTGATTCTTGGACCTTATTCACGTGCTCAATCGTCCTGATATCACCATGTTTGAAGAAATCAAGCAGGTATGCGTTAAGGGGTGGATCCGATTCCTCGAAATAGATTCGCAGGTGCGGCACTATTGCCTCTTCGAGGAATACTCCGGAGCGGATGGTGTTGCATAGCTCGGAAATAGTGGAAAATTCGTCACCATGGCCAGAGAGCGCCACGAATGGAGAGCGGACGACCGGTGGTGGGTGGCAGGCGCCGCTGCGTATGTCTAATGTTACCTCAGACCCAATCCGATGTCGCGTGAGCGGAAGCTTGTCGTCTACATGGTGCAGATACTGATCGATGTATGATTTGGCATACACCTTGAAAATAGATAGAGTCTCGGCATCATGAGCTTTAAGCGCGTCCTTTGCGGCTCTAGGCAACGCTGGGAGAAAGACGATGGATGAAGAGCGCTTGATGCCGTCGTCAACGAACTCGATATCCGAATGCTTGCACAATTGACGCTCGAAAATGTGCGATAGGACAAGCATCAGCGTTGCAAGGACACGCTCCGGATTGATATCGATGTCCTTGCACAACATGTGGAAGTAACCCTTGCTCAATAACGCGTGGAATGCCCAGACAGAATTTCCCGTGTAGTGCAAAGGCGAGATACAGTTTGCAAAATTAACAGGAGCACCGTCCATGTCAAGCAACAACTGTCGGCGAAGGTATTCGATGGAGAAGCGCAGGTGGTGTCTTACTGTTATCCCGGACTCGGGCAAACCGAGATGCAGATGCGGCCGTGAGAAGATGGAGTTGATCGTCTGAAGGGCGAATGACGAGTTATTGGAGCCATGGAGAAGTGCCGCCAGTTGAAGGATGAAAGACGTGTTAATAGGATACTGCGTAGTAAGGTCCGGTAAGCGGGAGCTCAGTAACCGAAAAACCTTTGCCGTTGGAATTCCAACAAAGACGACGTTTCCTAGCACGTCGAAGCCACGACGACCGGCATGCCCAGCAGCCTGGCGAAAGTTGAGCGCCGTTAGGGAAATCGAGTCACCTGCAAATACAACTGTTTTGCAAGGCATGTTGATACCAAGCGCAAGCGTACCTGTCGTCAAAACCACTCGTAGGAAACCTTTCCGGAAAAGCACTTCAACAATCTGGAGATAATTGGGATTCATGCCCGAGTGGTGTACACCAACTCCACGCTCCAGTCCACAAACAAGCCACTCCGGCACTTTGAAGCTGCTCAGCTCTGACTGGAATTCGACCAACTCTGACATGGCCAGCTTGGTGATGTCCGCGAAATGGAAGCCATCAATAGGTGCATCCGGGTTGAACCCAGCCCACACACTGACGTCGGCGTCGGCAAGTTCACGGGCACGTTCGGCTCGCGAGAGTTTTTCGTCGTCGTCATCATCTTCACCGCGCTTTTCTTCCTTCTGGGCTTCTTCCGCGGGGCCCTGGCGGCGCGAGAGCGGGCAATCTCCAGCTCTACCATATACTGATTGTAATCAGCCAGCTTCTTTTGCCAGGACAACTTGGACGCCTTCCATGCTGCTTCTTCGTTACCAAGCTCGTCGATCATGCAATGAGCTAGCGTCTCGCACATGATGCGGTCGTAGTTGAAAACGATACAGGGCAAGGCTCCCTCTGTATGCAGGTCAACTAGAACGGGCAGTACCATAGAAACAATGTCGTCAGCGTCGACTTGACGGTGGCCACAGTCTCCGCCACAGCCTTGCTTGGTGCTCATAATATCACGAGCTACCAGATGCTGGAGACTGCTGCCGAGATCTTGGCGAACTAGATCAAACGGTGAACTATCATCGAGCATCCACTGGCGGAGCATCGCCTTGAGATCGGCCTCCCAGGTGATGATATCTATCTTCTTGACTAACTGGGGGAGTACTTTTTCTGGATGTAGTGCATGAGAAAGGCCATGCTTCTCCGTAGCGTGCTGAGACATAACACGCCAGAGATGCAGACAGTCGCGAGCCTCGAGACTAAAGTCACTTAGAAGTCCTTTCTCTTTGTTGACCACGCTAGCAACGGGATGCACAAAGGCGAAGGCATTTGATCCATCAAGGCCAGGTATATAAATGCCAGGAAGAGCAGGTAGTCCAGAGAAGCAAAACATCTTTGGCGGCACATAGATGAAATTTCGCAGGTTTGAGTATCGATAATGATGCTGAACCGTAACAAGGTCGCTGGCGTTGGCTCTTTCGGTCGACGAAAGCCAATTACTTAACTGACGGGGATTCCCGACTGTAGCAGAGAGAGCAATGATAGGGCATGGCGCTTGCAGGAGAAGCTGTTCCCAGACTATGCCGTCCTTGGCCTGGCTAATGCAATGGATCTCATCGAAAATGATGCGCTTGATACGCGTGGACCATGAATTCTTCTTTTCCGCATGCAACGGTGTAAGCAGCATGTTCTGGAGCATACGTGGGACCGTGACGAGTATTTGACAACCAGTAGGATTGTTGATGCGTGAGTCTCGCATGTGAACAGCCCAGACTGAGCGCCCTGCATGCGTATAGTTCTTGGAGAAGCGGCCGTGAGTCTCGGCTGCAATCTGGTTGACAAGGGCCGTGGTCGGTGCGATGTATACGAGCACGCTATCATCATCAGTCTGCAGGACCTTTTCCATGGTGGAAAATGAAATGAATGTTTTCCCAGCAGAAGTTGGTGCTGTTACAAACAGACTTTGGTTCTTGTCAATGGCATCGAGAACGCTTCGCTACCAGCCATGGGCTTAAAACGGACGCGTGAGTCTGGCGCCGAGTCAATGACTCGGTCGAGGTACGGACCGCAATGCTCAAGTTGGAACTTAATCGGGTCACCGGGAAGGAGAATTTGCTGGTTTCAAAGAGTCTTTGGGTTAAGGCAGGAAAAGGCCAGTGGTCGAGATGGCGCATTCGCCGTGACGTCGATTCCAGGGAAGCCAAGTGTCTTGACGATTCCTTCGAGCGCTATTGCAACTTTCGAAGTTATACCTGAAGCCGTGATGGACAAGCCATAAACAGAGTTATGTCAGAGCGACAGTGCTTATTTGATCGAGGGCGTCTTTCCGTTGACAATGATACGGAAAAGGCAGCCAATGATAAAGAGCTGAACCTCGGGGCCTAGCTCATCAATCTTATCCAAACTCTGGAAATATTGGAAGCCGAGGTTGTGACGAGCAATCAGGTCGCCTTCATTCAGAAACTTTTCGCACTTGGCTCTCCAAAAATTAGCCTTGATGTCGCTCTTTGGCTTCATAGCAATAGCCTTCGGCGAGCTTGCCGCCCCTTTTATTGCCTGGTCTTTTGCTTCATTTTGAAGACTCATCGGCAGGATTTCGTTATTTGGCTGGCTGGCTTGAGAGCGCCCGGCTTCAGATTTTGGCTGAAGGAGCCAGAAACAGTGATCTGGGGCCCCAGGATCTTACCGCAGGCATTAGTTAGACTGGCAGCATACACTTGAATTTCCTTCTGGAGATTTTGATTTTGAGTGAGGGCATGTTTCTTCGCCTCTCGCTCGACTCAGACAGGTAGTCCTTGACCGACCGGGACCTTTGCATGACTGCGCCAGTATGAGAGCTCTTTGTAGATTTGGACTTGACCGGGATTCAGGGCGCCGGGCTCATCATCAGTTGTGAGACGGATGGGATCAAGAAGTTTTTTTCGAATACTGCGTTCTGGAAGGCGAGGATGCGCCATCATTAGACGGGGTCGCTAATGCAGGTATCTCGCGCTTGGTAGGAACGAGTGACTCAACCTTGATGCTTATCGAAACACCGCAGATACGGGTAAGCGTGGCACAAGGGAGGCAAACTCCATCCTTATTTTATCTTCAATTAGAAGAGTTGATCGAAAGTCGTGGTCGGCCATGATTATAGCGAGTAAGCCCCCATCTACGAGATCAACGAGGTTGCATGAGACATCTGAGGCTTTAAGTGGGTTGATACATGCCGAGCTAGAAAGAACCGAAAGCGCCGACTGCGCGAATGGAGAAATAGTATGCTTATAGCCGTCTGGACTGCTGAACATAGGTAAGTAGCGGTGCTCAAGTTGAAGAACAGACAACGCTGCAGTGTGAAGCAGCACCAGGGCAGCATTGTCCTTGGTGATCTGGCTAGTTGTCAACCAGCTCTGGAGAGCCAGGAGCGTAACCAGATCAGCCACAGAAAACTCGTTGAGCCCCTCAACGGCTTTGAAACGGGCAAACGACAGGTGCGGCAACTTCGCAGCCTGGGAGGGTTAGAATGTGGCTTCGGGCAGCTCCTTGAGCTCGGCATGTTCGAAAATATTAGTCAATATCTGGAAAAAGATAATTTAACAATAAGTGGAAGGAATGAGTCCCGGATAATATACCTTGCTGTCAAGTAATTGCACCCCGTTTATAAGGGCATCATTGTATTGGTTCGTGATGAACCAGGCAATCATAACCCGGAGCCGAAACCTGCTTGTGGCCGTGCGAGTTGGTGCTTCGGTGTTGGCTCCCGTATGCTCTTCAGTTTGCGAAAAATGTCGAGGATGTTATCCAACTCTGTCTCTAGCTGCGAAATATTTGTACCTCTGAACTGAAGCTGCCCTACCACGGCGCCATCATGAATCATAACAAAGCAAGCATCTGAGACGTCAAGAAACCTTCGGAGGAAGCAGTGAGGAAGTAGCGAGTCAAATTCGACTAGGAATAACACGTCGCCTGCGTAGTCATCAAACAGATCAATACGTCTCGATGGCAAGTTGCGGTACCAGTCGAAAACCATGCCGGCCCTGGAGAATGACTCGGGCACAGGCTGAGCGGGATCAAGATTCGCTGGCATGTGAAAGGCGAATGACAGGTAGTTACTAGAATGAAAGGCCGGTACTGAAATGATAGTAGGTGGAGTATATCTGGGTAAATATCCAGTTGAGTTCTACTAGCGTACAATTCCCGCTTTTCGAGTAGTTGCAGTGACAGCTTTTTGATCGTGTTTACCTAGAGCCTGCCGTCAACGGCGCGGCCGTTTTCAGCCGTAGGAGAAGCCATCCCAGGTTGGCAACCGGGGCCGCACAGCCGCTGGAATAACGGGCTGGCTGAGCCTGAACTTACGAGCTTTTCAAGGAAACTCCCTACGGAGATGTATTTTTTGAATGATTTAGATATGGCCGGGCTTGAGGGCTAATGGGCCGTGTAGATAACTGTTGAATTCGCTCATTATTCGTGACTCCCTGACTTACACGGCAAATTTAGTGTGATGGAATGAAGATCCGGATTGCGGGGCGAAAAAGGTGGTGTGCAAAGCTACAGAAATTAGGGATTTGGCCATTCCCCAGCCGTCTACTTGCGTCCGCCCCGTTGTCTATCGAGGCCGCATGTGAGCGAGCTGCTGCGTGGGTGTTGGTGGAGATATCTCAATAACTGCGGAGCATGGTGGATATAGTAGGATGTAGATCGTAGATCATCGATGAGCCGCAAAACCGGGGTGTCGGGCATGCCTCGCCCCTGTCTTGCGTTCCGCTAATTTCTAGCTGCGTACTAGCTCCCGCACTGTCGGCCTGCGCCCATTCGTTAAGCTTAACTTATCTAGGTATTCCTACCGCATCTCATTCGACTGGACTTGCTGTGTAGAAACCTTTCTAGCTATTTTTAATCTAAAAATACATCTAGCTCACTCCCTAACCCCTGTTCTTAGTTTGCGGAAGAGGTGCGAGCAGTGGAATTGAAATGCTCAGTAAGAAGCCGAGCATATGCATCCATCCATTTGTCATTGACAAACTTCTGATGCCCTTTGTATTGGCTCAGGCCCTGAACAACTCGAGCACCATTCGAGAGCATGATATTCCAGATTTTTTGCCCTGGTGAGTTGGCGCCTTCCTCGATTTCCTTGACCATGCCGTTGTACTCCCTGATCAAGGGTTCCGTCCTCTTGATGCGTTCAAGGGCCATCGGCTTGGTTTCAAAATGGCCAGGCGGCTCTGGGTCCAGTCCCGCAAACAAAGGAAACTGAGCCGCAACCTCGTACGGGGCAGCCATGATGCCGTCCAAGTCGATGACCCCAACGATATGAAACTCTTCATCAACAAGAAGGTTGTGAGGGCCAAGGTCTCTGTTTGTGAGACAGAAAGGGGCGGCAGGACCGTTACTGGAATTGCCGTCGCTGCCGCCGCAGAACTCCATCAAGTCGGTGAAGATGACTGGGAGCGTGAAGGACGCACTAGTCAGGACTTCCGGCGCTGCGTTGTTGACGCATACTTGAAGCGAGTGTTGGGCCACGTCGGCATAGTAATCCGACGAGTTTGACCAAGGGCCCTTATCCGTCTCGATATCCGGGCCAACGAAGAATTCCTCCGTGGCGGGGCCTTGGTACAGGCTTCCGATTTGGTCGAACGTGAAGGTCGCGAGGACGGCTTGGATCATGGCCATTTCCCGCCTGAAGCTCCGGTCTTGTTCCGGAGTGCCGTAGAGGCCGAGGGCACAGTCTTTTGCCAGCCGCATCTCGGACGCCACGTTGCCGTGTATGTAATCCATCAAAATATATGGAGCGCCCACAATATTGTCCTGCTCGGTGTTGTAGGAGTGAACCTCGGGTACGGGAATGTCGGTCTTGGCCCTGACATGAATTTAGATCCTGGACAAGCGAGAGTCATGAGACCGACATGACACTTACTTGAGAAACTTCATGCCCGCTACCTCCACTTGCATGATTCTCGCAACGCTCGCAGCCTCTCTGTCAGCAGGCACGTCGGCGATGGGTGGCATTCTGAGCCTGACGGCCCAGCTGACTTGGTCGTCGAAGACGATGCGCCGTACCATGTTGAAGTGACCGACGGAGAATTCATGGCTGACTTTGCATGGAATTCCACTGCGAATATGTGACGAAAGGGAGAGGAGAGCATCCCATTTGACCACAGCAACAAACCATGCAGCTCGTTGATGGAATGCATCGTCTGACTGGGTGGCGTCGGCTCCGATCCAGGAATCGCTACCGACAGCGGTGGTGCCTGAAGCGGCATTCATGACTACCTCGGACGCTTGAGGTGGGAATCCAATTGGGTGGCGACTTCACGAACGGATACTAGACTGTTGCAAATTGTAGGGATGTACGTGGTGGGAATGTGGTGGAATCGTGAGGAGGTGGTGCATTATATAGGGCTAGTCTGTCGAGATTCACTCCTCACTGCAACAACTATTCACGGTGCAACGTCCCACTTTCTTAGGTAGGTACCTACTTGTTCTAGGCACCTACCTACCGCTCGTCAGTTATTAAGGGCATATATCTCATGTTGCTTGTCCACCAACCATATCCCCTTTAATAGGCACATAAGTTTCATCTTTAGGCCGTGTCTTGAACTTGAGGATAAACTGGGCGAAGACCTTTGGCGTGGCTTTGTCGACTCAGAAGCTGCGTGAGCGGGATGCGGCCCTTGCGTTTTGTGGCCGCTGCCGCTTACAATGTTCACAGCCAACGACACTAAGGACGCAGTCAAATGCAAGGACCGCAAGGACGACGTCTTGCCATGCTCGGGCTTGGATGGTGTGGTCTGATGAGCGGACTCCTGGTCGATGACTTGGTAGCCATCGTCGCCTTGATAAACGGAAAGGGGCAGTTAGGACCACTCGACCTTGGGCTCGGAGAGCGAGGTTGACGGACGTTCGAGAGGCTTTGGCTGCCGTCCAGTCTACATGAGCCATTAGTAGTTGACTTGCGCGGAGCTAACGTTCGTCCTACCTTGGCGGCCCGCGATGTCTCCTCCTAGCCAACGCCAGAATGTTGTGTATTCATCTGTGGAGAGTTGTCGTACGTGAAACCTCGCACTATGCCTCGGGGGTCCTATACTTGATACGTCAGCACGTTTAACCTATCTTTGCAGATATGACAGAGTGCTCACCGGTTTGTGCGTCTGTCTGCGTTAAGTATGGTCTCTTAACGGGCGGTGGATTAGTCTGGGATGTTACGTCGGATTGTCTTTTTATGGACCGCACAGTCTGGGATGTTACGTCGGATTGTCTTTTTATGGACCGCACAGTCACTGCGTTACTTTGACTTGGCGGAAGGCTGTCCCTGGAGAGTTAGAGAACTGGGATACACGACCTTCACTGCTTCTCGTTGAAGGATAAAATTCGCAGCAATTACATTGGGCTTGTTGAACTGGGTACTTGATATCTCCAGCAGTGGGCGGCGTCATCTTAGTTGATTTGAAAAGAAACAGTGTACGTGCCTGCCAATACCTGGAGCGATGAATGCCCTCACGTTTTATACCATTAAAGGGGCTTGAAATGGCTACCGAATACCTGGGCCATGACCTCTCTGGGGTCACTCCAGGGCCTCGATCAGGAGAGACAGCAGAGCCAAAGTCGAAAACAAAGTTTGACGCGCATCCAGATTGCTTTCCCTGCTTTTTTTTTTTGGCCCGGTTTCTTCGGCTCGCGAACCCGGTTGTCCATGACAAACTTTTACTTGTTTCCTTTCATTCGTACCAAATAATTTTACCAGTCCAACCCAAACCCACTCAACGTCGACACGCCTTGAAAAAAACACATTTAACAGAAGAAATATGGCACAGGGCATTGCTGAGACAAACACCTTCTTGCACCGATCAAAATGGCCCGATATGTCTGGGGCCATTTGCCTCCAGAGATCCAACTCATCATCTTGAGACATCTTGCTCAGGCCGAATACGACGACAGAGCATCCCTAGTTAGCTATTCAACAGTGTGCAAGTCTTGGAGACCTGTATTCGAAGAGCTTACATTCCAAGAGATATACGTCAAGACATCCGAAATCAAGATGTTTCAGAAGCTCTTTCGAACCCGGCGTCGCAAATATGTGCAGTATATCAAGTTAAAGCTCGAGTTCGCCAAACACCAAGCCCCCCCTACAAAGAATATCGCGACAGAGAATTTGTTGGCAATCGCCAACAATGGAATTGACGCATCCCCTCTGCTGCCTGTACTAGAACGTGAGCAGATGAAGGACAACATCAGGTTCACCAAAACGCTTTGGGCCTTTCTCAGTCACCTGAGCCTTTGGGACCGAAACGAAACTTGCGGCGGCATCTCTCTCGAGATTACGACATATTCCCCAAGCTATTCAAAAAAGATGCTGAGAGCGATCTTGGAAAAAGTGGCTTCAGGGTGGGCGTTACCAAAACCTGCTTCAATTACGTCGTACACGTGGGCACGGTGTATATATGCTGCCGCGCATAATTTTCATTTCTCCCTTGATTTCGATTCTTCAACACTGCCAAGGGTTGCAGTCATATCCAGGTTCTCCATCGGAGCAGGAGCAACTCGCAACTTCGAGCCCAGGGCAGTTGCAATGCTTCTACAGTCGTTTCCCTCGATTAAAGAATTTGACCTGCACATGCGGGTTAGCTATGAGCAGAAAACCAGTCGGGTCACAGCCCAGAACTGGGTAAAGGCGCTGGATAGCTGGCCCTCGTCGCTAAAGACAGTCCGCCTTCACCACATACCCGGCGAAAGAAATCGGTCTATTTCACAAAGCCCGTTTCTTACACCGCTTGGGCAGAGGCTGGCCCAATTCTCTCAGCAGCTAGAACACTTTTACGTCCCTTATAGCATCGATGCGCAGGGGTTCTTTTCGGCAAATGTCTTGCAATGGGGTTCTCTTGAAAGATTGATTTTGTGGTCCATTCAAGATATCCTAGACGAACTACCCAACACAACGAATATGCTCATTAGGAGTGCGGCCCACGAAGCTCTACGCATGCTCAGCATTAGATTCCTCATCATTTACAGTCTGGATAACTACAGAGGAGCAATTTTTTGCTATGAAGTGGTGAACGAAGGCGTTCGGATCAGCGTCAAGTGCAGCCATCCTTTCAGATTAGACGAGGCTTGCAAGAAGGATTGGGAATACGTGGCAAGAGAACATAATCAGGGATACGTTGAATGGCGGATCGCAGAGTTGCCCGTTGACGTCATCGACCTTGCCGTGGGTGGCGTTGTGAGGAAGAATGTTGTGAGGAAGCATCCTACTCAAGGTCCTGTGAGAGCTCGCCGTGGCCGGCGCCCGAAACGCCGACGTTAGGAGCGGGGAGGAGGGTATTTGAGAGTACGATTTGGGTCACAATGTATGATGCGAGGATTGATATCTGAGCTTGGTTTCATTATTGAAGTTCTCATGCGTTGATGCCACAATAATACTTGTACGGGTGACTTATAGGTCTTTTTGTGAACGCTTTATTGAATTATATGATGTGGGGTGTTTATTTGGTCTTTCTACAAGGTGACCTTAGCTACTCAAATTCTACGAATCGTCCCGTGGGTGGGCACGGCGACTCTTTGTTCGTCCGCCTTGACCAGTACTTGAACTTCCCTTAGGTCTTCGATAAAACGAATACGCTGTGTCTGGGTCTAACTGGCGGGAGATGTTCCCCTATCCAGCCAGTAGAAACATTCACATGAACCCTCAGGAGAGAGGGCTCAGACAGGGACTGCATAGTCGTCCATTTAACCAGACGGCGAGCCCGGGCACAGACACCGAACAAGGGCACCCCAACATTGGCCAAAAGGCACAAGACTGCAACGTATAGGAACCACTCTACCATGAACCATGGTTCCAGCGTGGTCAAATTGAAGGTCACATGAATGTCTGGATCGCACTTGTAACATTAGCGAAGATCTAAGCTTCGACTCGACCGTTGTCAAGCCAGTTTGAGGTTCTTTAACATGCAATGTTATCTTGAGAGAAATTTCCTTCACAATAGTATATTGCACATGAATGTTAGGAGTAGTGTCCTTAGCTGACCAAGTACAGCCCTGGCATGATTCCTTAAGAGGGAATGGAGGGAGAATTACACGAGTTATCATCTCAGGAAACTATCTACTCAATGTCTAGAGTAATTGAAGAGACGGGGTATCTAAAACAACAGAGGTTGAAGGTATAGGGTTGCAGATCGGCCATGAGCTTCATCATTGGACAACATGCTCTTTCACTTAGCGAAAGCTCGCATCGCCTCGCCATCTACCACCCTCTTTGTTTCATCTCTCAACCCCTCCTCAAACAATCTCGCCCACTGCGCCGCCAAACTAGCCATATCCCATCCCACAAGCTCGCCGACGCTATGCTCCCCATCATCCCGCCCCCGCAGCTCCGCCGCTACAGACGTTACGAGTTTGCCATCGAGCCCGCAGGGTACGAAGCGCGCCCAAGGGTTCACATCTTCAGGCCCCGCTATGGGGATGTCGATATTCAGGGCGATGCCTAGTGAGGTGACGTGCCGCCGGTGATGCACGCCCAAGGCGGCGATTTTACGCTCCGGCTGGCCCGCGGACGTGGGCACCCAGACGCCCGGCTCGTCACGGGTGGTGTACGACTCCAGACCGAAAAGGCCAGCGAGCAGGCGGCGGGTGGTGGCTTCGAGATGAGCTGCGTAGGAGAGCACGGAATAGCGGGCGTATAGCGGCGAGTGCATGTCGAGGACTGGCCAGAAGACAAGCTGTCCAGGCCCATGGTATGTCGTTAAACCCCCGCGGGCCGTCTGACGTACATCTGGGGTAAAAGATGCTTCTGGGACGGGGGTAGATCGGTAGGGGAGGGCAACGCGCAGTGGCGCCTGGAGTCGGGAGGCCTGAACGGGTGTGAGGGCGGACTGGCGACGGCCGAGGGTTATGGTCGGGGTGGCTTCAAAGGTGAGGAGGTGAGGCCGCGGGGGTTCAGGGCGATCATCATCGGGGAGGCTCTTCCAGGCGAGGAGGCGAGCCCGGAGGTCCTCCTGGGCGGCTTGGGCGACATCGTACGGGACGAAGGCGCCGTGGCCAGTGCTGGTCAGGTGCTGGTGGGCGAGCAGCGTGAGCGGAGGCAGCGGCTCACGACGCGGCGTGAATGAGCTGGACCATCGGAGGGCGTTGTCGCAGCTCCCCCGAAGATGTGCCCCGTTTCGGACTGGAGCCCCGGACCGTGACGCCGGAGGGAGGACGGCTGCGGGAGGGGGCGGGACGGAGCAGAGCCGGCGCGGGGGCCGTAATCGTGGCGGCATCGTCAATTGGCTCTGAGGGGTGTAAGAATTGCGTCAACGGAGTAACGTAGACAAGGTTCAGAGAAAAGGCCAGACGCTGGATCGGCCCAGAAAAGGACGGTCGCGGCAGAACGGCAAGGATCGACAGGCGCGTGAGGTGAGGTAACTTGGTCACTTGGTCAAGCGTGGATCCTATGGGGCGGATTTGCGGTGCCGGGAAGATTCACGGCTTAGTGGGAGTGGTGACGTCGGGCACCGGGGGGAGAAGCGCCGAGCCCAGAAGAGTTCGATGGCGGGCCAGCAGCGGATGATGATGGACAACGCTACCGTTGGACTGCATCATTCATTCGTTTGACGCTTCATCTGCCCAGACTCTGGTGTAGTCGGCGATACTTTACGTGCTGTACAACAATTACGCAGTTTGAGAGTGGCGCAGCGACGGTCTGGTGGGCTCTCGCATCGCGATCGTGCACTGTGGATCGTGGGGCTGCAGCTGTCAAACGAGGACGCTGACGACCGAAGTGGGTGGTGCGATATGGGCTGGGCCATCTGGAGAAAGTTCCGATATTAGATCGTGGAGCATTTAATCAATTGCATTTCAGCTAGGGAGAAGGAGAGGGAGAGATGCTGGTTTCAGTGGAAGCTTGGCTTCGAAACATATGGCGAGGGCCCGTCAGGAGAGACATTGTAGCAGAAACAGGGAATCTCCATGGCGTTGAACTGAGCAACCGCCCTTTTCTCCGGCTGGGAATGGAAAAACAGACGAATTCGATATACGAAAAATGCTATGTACTGTACCGAGCCACGATCTTGCCAGACATCTGGACAACGCAAACCCCAGGCAGGGCCTGAGCCCCAAGAGCGTCGCGGCTTGCTTGTACAACGGAGGTCCATGGCATGACATCAGCACCCAATAAACCAAGCCATGGGTGTCATGGATCCAAAAGGCTTCGGCGCTAATCCTCATTGCGGCACACTCCTGAGCGATGAACGGCGGAACATTGTCATGATCTTCGGTGTTTATTTCATGGTTTGCGGGCTAGGCCAGCTCCGTCGGGGTCCGTGTCGTCATCACCCAGCATTCATTCCTACACCGGATGTTGTCTCCCCACTCACATCTCACCTGGCTGTTGTTCACTGGGGGACTGTGTCGATGGAGCCTCCATTGCAGCACGCTCGGGTGTTCTTTCAGCTGTCACGGAGTGGTAGGACGTACGTGCTGCACTCTGCATCCTGTAGGACGTACAGTGCATACGTAATACTGTCGGCCACCACCAGGACAATATTCCAATAATCCTCCCCATGAGGTTGCAGCATTTGCCGGCAGAAGCCCACGATCAGACCCTTTTCGATGCATCTGACACAGGCCCGGCCAAGTTTACGAACCGGTTCTCATCACCCCTGCTTGTTTCAAAATTTTCCTCTTCTTCGGCCGTCCACCTCCTCACATTCGCAGCACGCGCCTCCGACTAAGATCAGTGAGAGACACACAGCTCACATCACCCGAGGGCCCCACTTTCCACCCCAAGCCTCGCCCAGGTCTTGCCCAACCCGATCGCACCTGGCTGAGACACTCGCGGCTTCTCGCTCCTGCCCCGCTGACTAGGACCTCCAAGTGTGGCCCAGGCACCTAAAACCTGCACTAGCGGCAGGTCGGCAGGTGAGCTCCTGCGTGCTACGAATACGTAGGTACTACGTGAACCCACCAGAGCCCACGGCGCATCCCATATAAACGGGCTTCCGCCAAAAGGCTAAAAAGCAAGGAATCGCCCGTTCCTCCTCCGCTCGTCACTCCAAGCCCCTCTCCTCTTCGCCACATTCACCATCCTCTTTCTTCCCTGGAACACTGGGCCGAGCATACAAAAGGCGGGTTTCTCAGCCCGAGCTCATCCTGGCGTGACGACAAGGGAACACGCCGTCGAGTGACATAAATACTTGGCTGGGGTACCCATCCATCGACTGCTCAACCGCGACTCGCTCGCTCGCTTGCTTCCTCCATCTAACCACGGACTACGAGCAAACCGACAGGACAAGTCGAGAGTCGCCAAAGCAACTCGTCGGCGGTGGATTGACTGTTGATTGAATGATATAACCATCCATCATCAATCAAGATCCAGCACTGTCATGGCAAAGAGTAGGTTCCCAACTAATCATAACACCATCGCATCACCGCCCAATATAATCCGCTGGCATCGTCACCGTTGCTGACATACAACCTCATTAGACGCCCCTCTCGGCCTGGCTGGCCTCATCCTAACAGCTGCCTCCATCGTCCTCCTATTCTTCATCATTCTTCCCGGCGTCTCCGACACGGCGCCCCTCAGAAAGACCTACTTCCTGCGCGCCGATACCCAGGGCATCTCTGGTGCGCGCGCCACCACTCAGTGGACATATTTCTACTTCTGCGGACCCAACAACAAGGACTGTGGCAGCGCCCATCCTGCACCTGCCTTTGGTCGTGCCTGGGACTCGCGCCCCGAAAATGCGCCTTCGGAGCTTGTCGGCAGCCATGGCGGCCACACCACGTCGTCCAAGTTCTTCTACATGTGGCGGTTCTCCTGGGTCTTTATTCTCATCACCCTCTTCTTTGAGGTCTTGGCCTTCTTCTCCGGCTTCCTTGCCTGTTGTGGCCGCCTGGGCGCTGCCATCTCTGGCCTCGTCTCCTTCGTCGCTCTTTTCTTCTCCTCGCTGGCAATGTCTCTGATGACGTATGTCACACCCCCAATGCCACTGGTACCATCACTAACTTTTCTAGTGCCACATTCGTCCTTGCTCGCAACGCCTTCCACTCGGACAACCGCTCTGCCAAGGTCGGCGCCTACGCCTTCGGCTTTGCCTGGGGCTCATGGGCAGCTCTCTTCCTCGCTACGATGCTTTTCTGCGTTGGTCTGCGTGGTGGTGACAAACAGTCTTCTTCTGGTGGTCGTTCGTGGGGCCGTCGCAGCCGTAGTGTTCGCAGCCACACCTACGATGGCCGCCGGGTCAAAGACGATTACTCCTAGCGTGGGACATCGTCCTTGGCCACTGAGTCTGCCAGCCCACGGTGTACGCAGGCACCACCACGGGTGCCTGTCGTGGATGGTGCCGCTGACGATAACGAGGATGCGGAGAGCAGCGTAATCGAGAATAGCGCAATTGAATTGCGAGATGCTTCTAGTGAGGAAAGGTCTCTTGATGGCCGGAGCCTGGAGTCAACGAGCCAGAGCGACCACGACAGCAATGCCACCATCAGCACATCCGCAGCAGTGGTAAACGGTCCTGGAGGTGGAAGAAGATGAAAGCGGTTATCCACCCGTCACCCCTAATTCTGACTTTGTACATGCTATGCTGTCGGAGCAGGTGGGATCCGTGCCGTCGCGGCCCGTGTCTCTGGTTAGAGTCACCTACTGCCTAATAGTCTAAATTACGAATTGTATGATTTTAATAAACCTTCTCGTTATCGTGGTCGTGTGTTAAGTGAGACATGTTGCTTGTCATGATCGAAGGAGATTGATAAATCGTGATTTCGTGCACCGTAATTTGTGTCCATGGAATTGGCTTCTTTTTCTGCGCTACTGATCAAGGAATCTTCACTTTAAGTATGATAGGTACCTATGTGAAACACCGTGATCAAAACACTCCACCTCCTCTTCTACCCGCACAACAAACTCACGCATGCCTCATCCAATGCAGTACCAAAACGGAAGCCGAAGTTGCCCTCAAAGCCTCTCTTCGCCTCTTTCCCATCATCATCATATGTACATACTCCGAAAATACTCAAAAAAGTGACGATTCCCCCTCCATTCCCATCCCAGTTTCCAATTCCGTAAAGCATAAGTAAAAAAAAAACATTCTCCCATCTTGTTTGTTCACCTGGAGGAGTTCCCGTCTAAAAGAGCCGTCCCAATGCGTGTACAGGGGCCATTTGTGCAAGAAAAAAAAGGGAAGAACACGAGGATGAATACCCAACAAAAAGAAAACGTGTAGGTGGGGGACAAGGTGGAATACCGGCAAGATGATCCAACCTTGACGCTTGATGTGATTGATGATGGATGGGGGGGGGAGCTGAAACAAAGAAGCCGCCAATCGTTACTATCCAATGCTGTGCGATGCTGGTGAGGAGTAGAGAAAATATCGATCTTTTTATGCCAACTAGATGCCCGCTCTGTTGGCTTTGTCCAAGGGCATTCCTATCCGGTCGTGTAATGTTATCTGCATCAGGGGAGAGCGCAAGTGAGAGGGGGAAGCGTGGTAGAGATGCAGAACTCGCATGACAGTGAGATGTTTGCTCTTTTGCCGGACGTCCTTAAAATGTTATCGGCCCCGCCCCGACGAGCGGGCTCCCGATGGGGCTGACGCTATCGAGCGGTGCGGCGTGCAATGCTGGCTGGGATGGGCCGCTCTTATCAAGGCCGTCTTCCTTGCGCTTCAGCACAGCATTGACCCACTCAGCCACCTCGGGATCCTCAGTGGTTGAGCCCAGATCCATCTTGCCGACAGCCTCAGCGACCTTTTCGGCTTCCTCGCCCTCTTCGACCTCCTCGGTGATGGTCTGAGGCTTGGTGAACTCGATAAGCCAGGGGTGCTTCAGGAGCATGGCGTATGTTGGTCGCTTCATGGGGATTTTGTGCAGGCACGCCTTGACGAAGTCTTTGGAGGCATCTGAGTAGCCTTTGTCGGGCATGGAGGGTGCGTCTCCTTCGACAATTGCCTGTACCACAGAGTTAGCTATCACCACGAATCGCATATGAGAATAGGGTTCAGACGTACGCTCAATTGACTGAAGATGGTGGAGGACACCTCGGGAGGATAGGGGTATGCGCCCTTAGCACATTCGATAATTGTAAGCCCCAGGCTCCATACGTCGCTTTGAACGCTGTACGACCCATCACTGTTGCCGGCTGGTGCGAATCCACCACCCGAGATTCTCTCAGGTGCCATGTAGCTCTGGCATCCAATGTTTGTCCTGGCTTTGCTGGCAACGAGGTTGCCGCTGACACCAAAGTCACAGATCTTGATCTGGCCGCGGGTGTTGATCAGAATGTTTGTTGGCTTGACATCGCGGTGGATAATGCTATGCTCCTCCTTGAGTGACTTGAGCCCCATGACTGTCGAGTATGTAATCTTTCGCAACACATTTTCCGGGATGCCGCCACTGTATAGCTTGTCGATAGAACCGCCGTCCATGTGTTCGATGCAGATGTAGACGGCGCCTTCCTGGAAAAAGGCACCATAGAAGTCGATGATATAGGGTGATACACACTCGTGCAAGATGACTAGCTCCTTGAGAATGGTTGTGAACTTGGCATCGTCAAGCTCCAAGCGCATCTCCTTCATGGCCATGATTACACCCGAAGTGCCGTCCTCATTTCCGGTCGAGCTCTCCGTCGAGTCCTCCGTAGGCCTAACTGGAGAGGGATCGGATCGGCTTTGCTGGATCGGCATGGGCTTTCCCCCCAGGCCTTGACCAAACCGGGGGGCTCTCCGCTTTGCGTGCTTGACTTTGTAGACTGTTCCATAGTTGCCCTTTCCTAGCTCGCATAGCACTTCCACTTCGTCGAGGGAGATGCTGAACGTCTGGCCGTTGGCGAAGTTGACTCCTGTCCTGGTAATGGTGGCCGCGCCGTCGAATGTGACCCAGCCCTTGTCCGTGTCAATGTACTTTTTGAAGTCATCCATCTTCGAACCATGGCCGGATCCGTTTGGATTTTTCTGTTCGGGCTTGTCTCCTCCCATGTCTGAGAGCTTGAGACCGCCTGGTCGTCGCATTCCGGTAGGAGAAGGGGTGCTGCCTCCCATATCTGACAGCTTCATGCCCATCCCACCCATGCCGCCCATACCGCCCATGCCGCCCATCTTCGCCCTCCTCTCACTCAGTGACGACTTTGGTACCGCGGGGGCGGATTTCGGGTGCATGGGGTTGGGCCGTTGCATATTTTGGGGGATGCGCACATTCGGCGGGAAGCCGTTAGCCATGCCTCCTGCCGGGGACTGTCCCCCGGGCGAGGGAGGGCTCACGGGAGACATGCCCTTCTGTAGTCGCTGCTGGTGCAGTGCTCGTGCCTTGGCCATAATGCTGTTATCCATGGTGGCGCCGGCACTGCCCGCGAAGCTAGACGAGTGTTGCACAGGGTTTCTGGCCATACCCAGCAGCCCAAGGGCGGTAGAGTTGGGGTTCATGTTGCGGGGATCGGAAACGGATCGCAACGAGGGGACTCGCTTGGGAAAGTTGTCAGGGCTGTCCGGGGCTTCGAGCGGCGTGCTAGGTTCGGACGATCCGTCAGAGCCTGGAGACGCAGGCGTGGACAAATCCCGGTGTTCGGACGCCTCGTCCGGCGTGGCCGGAACGTTGTCGGAGCTCATGGCGAGGGGAGGGTCGGATGGAAGGTCGAAAGCGACTGCGGGGTGGGTAGAGTTTTCGGAGAAGCAAAGACCATGAAATATGGCAGACTCGGCGAGGTGGATGTGTGTAAAATCAGGAGAGGGAGGGAACAAGGTCAACCCGGGATGTCGATCGGTAGACGGGCCGCGATCGATTCGATGCGCACCAGAAGAGCGATGAAGGGGATGGTGCGATTTTTGGAGCTAAAATGGACTCTCGCAGCGGGCGGTCTAGACTGTGGCCGGCGACCAGGGCCGTTGGGGAATGAAGGCCACGGATCGCTGTTCTGATACTCTGATATCGGGCGGATGGCCTGAAACGGCGAGGATACGTGTTGAGTGGACTTGGGTGTGGGCTTTTTCTTCCTACCGAGGTTGCGAAGTGAAGCTCAACCACATGGCCATCCAAGAACGGTCGCAAGAGGAGGGAGAGGGCGCGAAGGAGACGTCGAGTTTGGCTCGCGGGACTCAGGCGGCGTATTCGGCGGGGGAGTGTCCTGTACTTTAGTTGTGCGGTCGAGGTGTAACTAGGACAGGATGGTTAGGTACTGGACGGAGCAATTCTCATCGGCGTGGGTGCTTGATGTGCTTGATGTGCTTGATGCAGTTGATGCAGGCGACACCGTTGATTCGTACCTCAGGGGTCCCAGGACGAGCTGCAGAAAGCCGCACGAGGCAATTGACCTGGGTATCGATGCGATGTGCGCCTCTGCGGTGGTACGGTGCTGCGATGCTGTGCTGCGATGCGGCGCTGCGGCCAGGCGACGTACGTCCGTAGTAGGTAGCGAGGGTGGTGAGTGGCAGCGAGCTGGATGCGGGTGCGGGGTCGCGGCGGGCAGCCCGGGCGGGCGAGCGAGCGAGAGGAGGGGCCAATGAGTTGGATACAGCTGCAGACGGCGTCGACGCAGGCGACAGTCGAGGAGAGGGCGCGCAGGGCAGCTTTGGTGAAGCTCGGATGTGGATGAGGTTGAGAGGCGGCACTGGTTTAGGTGTGCCAGAGTATAATGGCGGAGGTTGACGGTTTGTCGACTCAGCAGCTCATGGCAGCTGGCAAGCCAAACCAAAATCAAGGCACAAACAAGGCACGACACACACACAGGCGCCGTCGGCAGGGCCAGGCCGGCAAAGAAGTTGGTGAGGTCCCCTGTTGGGCTGGCACTCCGGGGGCTCTCCTCCGTAGGCTGCTCGGCGCTGCACTGCCACGGTTCCGGCGGCACCGTAGCACCCGCGGGAGCCCGCTACTGGCTATGGGGAGCTTTATAGTGGAGGCTACAGGGGACGCCGACAGCACGAGCACTGAACTGTACAGGGGACGCTCTGGTAGCAACAGGCCGCTGGGCTGCAGAACGACTCCCGAGGCGCCGGACCAGGATAATTCTTCAAGGTAGGTTTCCAGTGTAAATACTAGTGCGTAGTTCGTTCTGTGCACAGCAGTAACTAGCCTTCGATAGAGTCATACGTCTGGGAGAAGTCACCCCTAAGCTTTGTCGCATGCAGCCAGATGTGGCGATGTAACGAGCCACAAGACGCGTCGCCATCCATTGCTCGTGGGCAAGGACAGCCACCTTGATTCTCGTTTGTTCCGTGACTCAGAGGACCCTCGCTCTAGACATCCGCTGTATACGACTGGAGTCCAAAAACTCTTGCTTTGCTGGCCGAGCTAGCAGGCTCGTTTGCGACTTCACATGGATTGAAAGTAGCCCGCGATGACGTTGTCATAGACCCAGTATGTCATGTGTGGCTTGACAATGGGTCTTGGGCCTTGGCTTGGGCGTTAAGTGGTAAATTAGCATGCCCCACTGCTGCCATGTCGTCCACCCGCTCCGCCCACATCTCTGGTTTTCTCTGGATAGTGACGTTGACATTTGGCGTTTGGCATGGATTAGGCAAGGATTGCCATCAAACGCCATTGCATCGCGGGTTAAAAAAAAAACAAGACACGGACGGCATAGCCCAATGCGACACCAAACGAACCAACAGGATTTGTATCGGAGCTCTTCCCCGGATATCTGATCCTTAGACTAATAGGTGGCGCATGCGTGGCTTGAGCGTTCTCAGAGACTGCTTTCAAGATGTTGAAACCTGAATGTCATCGTCCCCCGGTCAAGGATGATGCTGACGATGGAGGAGTTTGTGTCATCGCACAGATTCCCATTTGATCCTGATTCTACCCTGAAAACATCATCGGTCCTTTCTATCGGACATACCAAAGTCAACGCCTATGAACTATTTTAATACTGAGAAGTGTCTAATCTGCTCAAACAAGTTTTGCTTACCGAGCGTAACAGGTTTCGCCGTTACACAAGGAGTGCACGTCCGGCGTTGAAAGTTGAAACCTGCAGCGGCCTCCAGCATCCTCTGTTTCACGATTTGTGTGAGAGTGTGACATGGCAAATCGCCGCTCGGCGCATTGTCCTAAACATCCAACCGACTGCGGGGGATCATCGCTTCCCGTCACACTTGGAGGTGGAGAATATCACCCGCTTGGGTGCTGATGCGTCTGGTAAGTAAACGCTATGCAGTTTCAGATGTAGCACAGGGCAAAGATTTTCGCATGTCGAGAACATGGCAGGTACAGTGACTGCATGTCCCTCGTTGCTCATTACTCGTAAAGCCATTGCGTAAAACAGCAAGATATGTCGTCAAAAACCGGATGTTAAGCGCGCCTTATCAAGAGATATGCCTGGCACACTCTACCGACGTGGCTGGGTAAGTGTCGCTGCGCCGTTCTCGACCACCAGCTTCAGCTGGCGCCACAACCCAGAAGAAACGAAACCGAGAACGACTAACTTACAGCTCGACATGGATGCTTATCATCAAAATGTAGTTTCTGGCTGCTGCCCAGTTTGTGCGATGAAGTGGTCTGAGACTTTGAGGTGGCACGCCTAATTTGCGCCGTGATTGAAAACCCCCATTATCGCCACCCGGACTAACGAACTTGGTCGAAACTAGTCGAGGCTATCGACGGTCGTGACAACTGATTCATGGTTTAGAGATAACAAATATCAAGAGCCTTTTTCACCATGAAGCGACTCACAGTGCCGACTACATACAGAAAAAGGTCTCGTGACAGTTCTCTCGCCCTCGAATACTCCCCATTCACACCGTGGACCTCTCCATCAAGATTCGGAGCATCGTACGCTATCCTCATCGTGATGCAATTGCCCGCACCTGTTGGATGGTTGGTTGCGTTGGAGGCGAGGCACGCGCCGACCTCTTAGCGTTGAGAGCCGGACAACGTGCCTCGAGCCGTCCATGACGACAATCCTGGCGGGCGCCACCCCCGTTTCCATCCAGGATCGGTCTGACCCGGTGGCGCCCCCATCCCAAGTGGTTGGCGCAATCCCTGTTGAGAATTCGATCGCGTTGCCTAGTACGTATCGGTGTCGTTGTCACCTTTATTTGCTCGGCGCAGCACGGCGAGTCGCTGGTCGCGCAAGGCAGGGACACTGACGAATCTAGACCATTTCTAGGCACACATTGCTAGGCGCATTTCCGAACATGTCAGTCCACGTAGGAGGGACGCGCACACCCTTTGATGACGGGAGAGTTTAACCATCTCGCATAACTGCCTCTGCTGCCAGCCAACCAGCCAACCTCTGCCTCATCGCAACGTACCTGGACGACGACGGCGAGCTTCAGGGAGAGCACCCGATTGATTAAATGGCTTGGCGCGCGTCGACGTGTCATCGCGCAGCAAGTGAGATGGCAATTGGTACCAGCCAAGTACCTTTTCCCCAGGGCGGCGCGGCGAATCCTCATCTGGACGACCTCCTGACTACATGGTCAAAGTCTGCTAGCGGTGCCAAGACCGGTTTCACAGGCGCCCGTGGAAACCACCCACCGGCACCTCCACTTGGGATCCTCTGGCAGCTTCGGTAGCAGGCTATCCCGCATGGCCTTACAATGGCCGGTGGAACCACCAGGCTGTCTCGCGGTGGACGACACGCTGTAGCTCCGTGACATTGGGGGTAACCATCCAGTAACAAACGCTGTCGCAAGCAGGCATCGCATTGCGCCTCGTTTCTTGATTAGGAGGAGCGTGCGTTTTATTTCCACGATCCCTTAGACTACTTGGTGCTACTGGTGCTACCCACGTAGTGACCTCTCGCCTAGCAGCCCTGCCTACAAGTACCTCCAAGATGCCACTCCGGCACCGCCGCCCTCGCCCCATCGAGAACCCACACTGATGGCTGTTGGGTGGCTCTGCCATTTTTAATCTTCATCTGCCCATTTTCGCACTTCGTCGCGCTCTTCCTCCCACTCACCATCCATTGTCGCGCGATAGAGGTGCTGCTCCCCTTTCTCGGACAGTCATCTCCCGCCAAGCGCTGCTTGTTCTGCCAGCAGATAAGCTTATCGCACCCGATCCACCTTTGCCACCAGCGCCTGCACGCTGCACGCTGCGCGTTCCCGTTTTCCGCCCGTCGGTGCCTTATCAGCCACCTTCGCCCTCCGATAAAGCGTTTCCCCCGAACCTCTTCTACAACAACATCACATCACATCATAGTATCTTGATGGATTCGACGAGCTCCTTTCCAGCGCCGGCGTCGTACCGACTGATGCAGATGACGCAAGTCGCTCAGAATTCATACGAATTGCCTTTCCAGGCTCTCAACACTCCCGAAACTCACCCGTCGCTGCCGCATCTATGTCTCCTCGTCTTCGAGGCCGTTCTGGAGGTCGTCTGCGTCAGTCTTCCGGGCTACATCATCTCAAGGCTCGGCCACTTCGATGCCGATAAGCAGAAGTTTTTGGCGAACTTGAATGTGATGCTCTTTACGCCATGCCTGAGTAAGTTCTTCTCCCTAACCACTTGTTCAGACACCTCTAACTGTCTTGTTTCCAGTCTTCACGAAACTAGCCTCTCAGCTCAATGCTGAGAAGCTTTCCGACCTGGCCATCATCCCCGCCATTTTCGTCATCCAAACTCTCGTATCCTGGGCTGTCTCGGTCGTCGTTGGCAAACTTTTCGGCTTCAACAGACGAGCCGCCAACTTTGTGACTGCCATGGGTGTTTTCGGCAACTCCAACTCGCTTCCCATGTCTCTGGTCCTCTCGCTGTCTCAGACCATCAAGGGTCTGCATTGGGACAGAATTCCGGGAGACAACGACGATGAAGTCGGTGCTCGAGGTATTCTGTACCTGCTCATCTTTCAGCAGCTTGGTCAACTCGTTCGCTGGAGCTGGGGATACCACGTGTTGCTGGCCCCCAAGGAGAGCTACCCTGAGTACCAGCAGGAGATTGCTGAAGAGGGTCAGCGCCGCAATGCCGATGGCAATGAGGAGGAGACGCAGCCTCTCATCAGCGGTCTCGACGACGACGACACCTGCAGCATGGACTCGCAAAGCTATGACCCCGCTGGTCGCACTCCTATTGCGAGCGCCTCAAGAGTCTCCCTGGCCGGTTCTAACGATGACCTTAAGAAAACCCAGTTGAAGAAGCGTGCGACTGCTGGAAGTGTCACTCCCGTCAATGATAGCGAACGCGACGACGACTTGCTTACTTTCCCTCGGATTCGATCCGTGGACGATGACGATGAGTCCAAGGGGTTCTTTTCCCTGGTCAAGGCTAAGTTCGGGCTATGGAAGTGTACTGTTTCGGAAGCGCTCAGCCGTCGGTATGAAAACCTGCCAGGTCCCGTCCTCGCTTTCTTCGGTTTCATGAAGACAGTTGGAGCCAAGTTCAACAGCTTCATCTGGGAGTTCATGAACCCCCCGCTGTGGGCTATGCTGTGCGCCATCTTGGTTGCGTCCATCCCTACCCTGCAAAGGCTCTTCTTCGAGGAGGGGTCGTTTGTTCAGAACAGTGTGACCAGTGCCATCCGTTCCAGCGGTAACGTCGCTGTGCCACTGATTCTGGTAGTTTTGGGTGCCAACCTAGCACGCAACACCACGGGCCATGACGAAGCCTATGATCCCGAGGAAGAACGTGTCGGTAACAAACTTCTTGTTGCTTCGCTGCTCTGCCGGATGGTGCTACCAACCGTCGTCATGGCTCCAATTCTTGCTTTGATTGCAAAGTACCTGCCAATCAGCATCCTTGACGATCCTATCTTTGTCATTGTCTGTTTCTTGCTCACTGGCGCGCCCAGCGCTCTTCAGCTGGCGCAGATCTGCCAGATCAACAGCATTTTCGAGAAGACCATGGGCAGAATTCTATTCCAGAGTTATGTCATTTGGTAAGTCACGAAACCCCTTTCTCGGTGTCATGTATGCCGAATTCGCTAACCCATGTTGCAGGATTCTTCCCTCTACTCTTGTCCTTGTGATGATGGCCCTCGAGGTCGTCGAGTGGGCCAGGTAATAAAATCGGGCTTTGGGGAGCTCCAAAATATCATGCGCGAACCAATGTGTCTCCGCGCATGTCGGAAGATCAACCCCCGAGGCTTTTGCTATTTCGACGGTCCCTTTGAGGCTGTCTCTTTAGGCGTTGGTTGGTTAGAGGTTCTTCGGATATCGGTGGGGTCAAATAGTGGGGCCGGAGCCACCTCGAGCTGTTCAGCACAGCTCTGTCGGACTCACTTTTGAATACACGGGGATTATTAGAGGGCTTTGGGTCTTTGGAACTCTACGGACAAAGCGGGAGTTTGAGCGTTAGACTGGCTGCCCTTGTTTGTATTTTAGACAGTTAGGAAGATATCGAGCAAATAACGGCTCTGCTACTCCTTCAGGATGGAAATCCATGACATGTTCTGCCTCTAGTCCCTACTTGGATTAAATAATCATACTATTTATTATTCACTGAGCTGAAATAAGGTGCTTTGGATCCGTCCCGGCACTACCGAGATCCATTAACAAGGTTCTCACTCTCCGGCACTAGAGCCCAATCTCTCACAGTGCCTTTCCAGTCGCTGATTCTCACGTCCTTGATATCTACAAGCACAACTCTGACCTCCTCGCCAGCGATGAAGCACTCGCGACCGCCATCCTCAACAGGGCCAGTGTCGCGGGTAAACGGCTGGGCGTTGGAATCGTCAAAGGTGTTGTTCTCGAGGTGCTGGTCGCGGTAGTACTTCTCCTCCTCGGAGCCACTGGGGACGAGACGTGCGGCGCCGCCAATGGTCGCGCTGATGCTAGACAGTGCCGACGTGTTGAGGTTGATGAGCATCGAGGCCAAGCTGGAGCGGTGCTCGGGTCCGGGAGAGCCGCCAGAGGGTCGGCGGCCTTGGGTCGGTGGGCGGTGGGAGACCCCTGTGGTTCCGTTGAAGATTAGCTACCTGCGCTATGCGTGTGATGGCTGAACCTTGGGTTCGCAGAAGGAGAGGAGGCTCACAGTCGTGGACGAGGAGGGAGACGTTGGGGTTAGTGACAAGGTTTGTCATCTTGCGAGAGGCCGGGTTGGTAGTCATGACGATGACGGGGGCCGAGGAGTACGGCGACGAGGGGAGGTAGGTGTAGTTCATGAGTGAGACATGGGGCACGTTATCGGTGCAAGTCGCAAGATGAAGCTATAGTGATGAACCAAGCAATCGAGTTAGCGAATCATTTTTCTTCTTTCCAAATTCCATATCGCCAAGTCTTCTTGTCTTGCTTCGATCTGCTGTTTCGGGCGGTCGGTGGGAGAGTGCGGGGGAGGGGTCGGCGACGTACGAAACGGGCATTTTCGAGGCATTGAACGACGTCCGGGGGCAGGGTGGTGGTTGTCTGCTTGTGGGTGTCACCCTCGGAGGCCTCGGAGTTTAGTGGTATTTGTTGCTCCATGGCGAGATGTCGTGTCGTGCAAGTGCGATGTGAGAGCTGTTTGCTGAGATAAGTTCTCGCGATAGGTGTCGTGCGCGGGACTCGTGGGATGATGATGACATAAGTTGCTGAGCTTGCAGCAGTGGCGGGGCTCCGTTGAGGTCGCCCCCAGCGGCTTAGTCACCTGAACCGAGAGCTGGAGCGCGCCGAACAGTGGGGACCACAGCGGATGATAGCGCTGGAGTTCTGGCGGACCTCAGCGGGCTGATCCACTGTCATGGGCAGTGACGTAGCGGGGCTCTTCCTCTAAGATCTGGGGAAGAGTCGCCCGGACCCGGCTACACTCGGTTCCCCGCGGTCACGCTCGCCCTTGGACGGCTTGGATCAACCGACGGGACGGCATAGGAAGCACGCGGCATAACGATTGCGACGAGAGAGAAAGTCTTTTCTTCTTCTATTTGATGCCTCACCCGCTCGCTCGCTGCTCTCTCTCACCCGAGCTCTTGAGGCTGCTCTAAAGCTATACTCTATGCATTGGCCGCCCTCTCTCCATCCGCCTGCCATGCGTTCCCTCCGCGCAAACCGTCGACTTCCCTTGAAGCCGCTCCCTCGGCTTCTCTCTACCACTGCCGCTACCCACGCTGCCTCTCCCTCCTCTGCTGCTCCTAAGCAGACCCCCATAAGCTCTGTCCTCATCGCCAATCGCGGTGAGATTGCGATCCGGATCAATCGCACAGCCGAGCGTCTCGGCATCCGCGCCACAACCGTCTACACAGATGTTGACGCCGGCAGCTGGCATGCCTCGTCCGGCTTCCAATCGCTGGCCCTCGGCCCCGCAAACGCCTACCTCGATGGCGAGAAGATCATAGCCCTGGCTAAGCAGAATGGCATCCAGGCGCTACACCCCGGCTACGGCTTCCTGTCCGAGAACTTCAAGTTTGCCGAGCGCTGCGAGGAGGAGGGTATTGTCTTTGTTGGCCCGCCCGCCACAGCCATGGCCGACATGGGCCACAAGGCGAGGAGCAAGGAGATCATGACGGCTGCCAATGTTCCCTGTGTTCCGGGGTATCACGGCACCGAGCAAGGGGAGCAAGAGTTGCTGGCGCATGCAAAGAACGTCACCTTCCCCGTTCTCCTCAAGAGTGTGAGAGGTGGCGGCGGCAAGGGTATGCGTATCGTCTTAACTGAGGACGAGTTTCTGATGCAGCTCAAGAGTGCCAGAGCTGAGGCGAAGGCTTCCTTTGGCGAAGGCGGAGAAGTCATGCTCGTGGAGAAGTACATCATCCGTCCCAGACACGTCGAGGTACAGGTCTTTGCCGATAAGTGGGGAAATACTGTCGCCTTGGGCGAGCGAGACTGCAGTATCCAACGAAGACACCAGAAGATCTTGGAGGAGTCACCAGCTCCTGATCTGGATGAAGCTACTCGGCAAGACCTCTGGGACAAGGCCAGGAAAGCTGCTTCAGCTGTTGGCTACGTCGGCGCCGGCACTGTAGAGTTCATTCTCGACAAGGATACCAACAAGTTTTACTTTATGGAGATGAACACTCGACTGCAAGTTGAGCATCCCGTCACGGAGATGGTCACCGGCCTGGATCTTGTCGAGTGGCAGTTCCGAGTCGCTGCTGGTGAGAAGTTGCCTCTGACACAAGAGGAGGTCGAAATACAGATGAACCAGAGGGGAGCCGCTGTCGAGGCGCGAATCTACGCCGAGAACCCCGAAAAGGGCTTTCTCCCAGACTCGGGCAAGCTTGTTCACGCATACCTGCCTCCTGACCTTATTAGCGAGGATGTCCGTCTAGACTGGGGCTTCCGGTCAGGGGCCACCATCTCTGAGGCATACGACGGCATGATCGCCAAGCTCATCGTGCGAGGCGAGACCCGAGAACGGGCCATTGCCAAGATGGAGAGCGTTTTACGAAAATACGAGATTGTGGGTGTCAGCACCAACGTGGAGTTCCTCAAGCGCCTCTGCCAGAGCGATGCCTTCATCGCTGGTGATGTAGAAACCGGCTTCATTGACAAGTGGAGAGATGAGTTATTCAAGCCCAGGCATATCCGAAACGAGGTTTTTGCCCAGGCCGCGCTCGGGATGGTCAGCTTTGAGATCCAAAACTCGCCGCCTCACGGTCAGACATTGGGCTTCGGCGAGGCCAATGCCATCGGTGAGCGAAAGCTCGCCTTCAAGGTGCTGGATGGCTATAGCGAGAAAGATGGTGAGATTGTAGAGGCCAGCGTCACGCAGACAGGACACAATCTGTACACCGTTGTGGTGTCTCGCAAGGGCGATGAGATCCCAGAAGTCTTCAATAACATCGCTTGTCAGCCAGAGGCTGCTGGCGAAGTCATGAAGCTGGAGTCCTACTTCCCACTGGAGCGGATCGAGTCCTCTGTTGTACCACAGCCCACAGACAATGACACAAAAATCACCATCTTTCAGCATGGTATCAAGACGGATCTCGCTCTTCTACCACCCACGTGGTACGAGAAGGCGCTAGGATTGAAGGAGATATCCGCCTCCGTCGCGGCGCCGATGCCGTGCAAGATCCTCAGGAACGAGGTGGTGGAGGGACAAACCGTGCAAAAGGGAGCACCTCTTGTTGTGTAAGTTTCAATACCCAGATGCAAGGGTATATGTGCTAATGAGGCCTAGTATTGAGTCGATGAAAATGGAGACGGTCATCCGATCGCCGCAGGACGGCGTAATCAAGAAGCTAGCACACAAAGAAGGAGTAAGTACCAAACTCACAAAATTTCCCGAAGTGGTTATTCTGACTGGGGTTTAGGACATTTGCAAAGCCGGAACCATTCTCGTTTTGTTTGAAGAGGGCGAGGCCCAAGAGGAGTCATAGAATGTTTGAGCACTGTCTCGTCGGAAGAAATGGGAATGCATGTAAATAATATGTATCGAAGTGAATGTGACTGGTGTCTCAAGACAACAATGATGCTCTACTTGGGAGCCAAGGTCTCCCTGCTGTTGTGTAGTCTCCACGCTATCTAGATTGCGTGTCTTTCCTGTATTCCACTGTCCCGTGTTGAGAATAAACGCCCGGTAATGCCCTCCATGATCTAACCCCGAACAAATGCAATCATGGAAATAATAATAAAACGCCATAGTGAACCCTGTCCACTACCTCGTTTGCATTTTCTGGTATTCCTCCGGCAGGTAGCGGCCAATCTTGGACTTCTTGGCCGCCTTGCGGACTCGCTTCCACCAGCTCTCGAGGCGTGGCTCGTATTTGGGATCGGTCTTGGGAACGTAAGCTGGAGGCTTGTTAATCAGGTCCTGCGTGAATGTTAGCATGGCTGTTTAAGGGGTCAGGCATGTATATCACGGCTTACCTCCTGCGTCGCAAGGGTGATGAACCCCAGCACAAAGGCCACCCACGCCAGCGTCCCCTTGGTGTTGAGGAACTGATTGCCTCCACGGAACTCAACGGTGCCCGTACACCTCCCGGTCTTGGGATTCGGGAAGATGTTCTGGAAGTTCCACAGCACGTAGCGGTTCCCCTGCATGTAAAAGTACAGCTCCATCTCGTTCGGCTTGGACAGGATCTCGGCCGCCACCTGGGCCAAGGCGGCGGTGCTCTTCCCCCAGGCGAGCGAGCTGTGCAGCCCAGACTCCTCGCTCTTGCTGTTCATCTTGCAGTACTGGTTCTCGCGGCGGACGGGCGGCAGCACGGTGGCGATGAACTCCTCGTACACGATGGTGGCGAAGGCGATCTTCTTCAGCGTGCGCAGCGAGAACTTGTTGTTGAGGCTCACGGGAGTGACGTGGACGTGGCCGCCGCATGAGGTGTCCTTTTGCGGGTTGAAATGCACGCGCATGGCCTCCCAGAAGTCGCCGAGGATGCGGCTGACGTGCTGGGTGGTGTCGAGACGGGGAGAGACGACTTCCATGCAGACTGCAATGATGAGTTAGTACATGACCTTGTTGCTGCATTCCAATGGCGCAGTCAAGGGCCCAGTGAAGCGAAGCGGTGGATGCAGATGCAAGTAGACTATTGCAGAACTCAAGACATACCAAAAGGACGAGGCCGCTTCAGCGACCCATCCCGAGTGACGAACCACTTTCCGCCGTAGTACTCGGGGTGCTTGCTGTACCGAGAATTGTCGTCGTGCACCGCGTCAATGCCACGGTTCCTTAGCTTCTCGGCAAGCTGGCGATACCAATCAGCGTTGGTGAAGCTCTCACCGCCACCATACGGTCTCGCAACCGCCTCGATCTCCACGCCGAAGTTGTAGTGTCTAACCATGGCGTCTGCGGGGGGTCTCTGTCCACGAGGCTGGAAGAGGAGGAAGAGGCAGAGGGAAAGGAGTAAATGCAATGGTGGGTGTCTTGAGAAGCACTCATGTGAGCTCTACTGTAATAAGTAAAGGGCTTCACCTCGGAGAGACGTATCATGTCGTATGCTGACTTTGCTTGCCCTGCTTGCCCTGCGAGTTTCGATTCGTTGCGGTTCAAGGAGAGTCAGCTGTCCTCATGACCTGTAAGTCCCAACGTGTCTGAGCCAGAGACAAGCCGGCCCTCGCAGGCATTTGAGGCGAGATACTTGCCATTACATAGTATCCATGCGGGCCGCCGTGGTCTCGATTCTGCGGCCCCGGAGGCGATCCCCGGGCTGGTGGAGACGGGGCCCACGCCAGGTACATGGCCGCCCAACGCGTGAAGCTCGCTCAGGCGTCGGTGTAACGCCTCGGGGTTTTTTTTTTTTACGCTGGCAGATGACTCTTTGGCAGCCCGACCGCTTGTTCCAGACGTGGTGGACACCAATTGGCCGCGTCTGGCGGCGTGCAGGCGTTGTCAAGGGGCTCGTTTGCTGCCCAAGCCATGCATGCAGGGGGCCGCATCCACTTCCGCCTCATCGACGTCAACATTCAGTCAATGCTCGATTACTCAGAGGCGGCCTCATCCAGCGCAATGAAACTCATGAGGAGAGGACTTTTTCTCTTTCATGGCGCACGCTAAATCCACTCACAATTACTTCCTTTTTAGCTTACACACACACACACACCATTTATCGCTCATTTGAGTGTTTCAGTCCTTGAGTTCAACCCCCAACAACCGGATGTCCGGAGGTTCGTGCCTCCGAGGGCTGTTCAAGATGGCCTCCGAGGCGATCGGAACCCCGGCCGCCGACTCCCGGCCTACCAAATACTATTTCGCCTACGGAAGCAATCTTCATCTCCGCCAGATGAAGCGGCGCTGTCCCGGAAGCAAGTTCATCGGCTGTGCGAGACTCTCGCACTATCGCTGGCAGATCAACGAGCGCGGCTATGCCAATGTCGTCGAGGCCGAAGGCCACTGGGTCGACGGGCTTGTCTACGAGATTGACGAGGAAGACGAGGCCCGGCTGGACATCAACGAGGGCGTCTCCAAAAACGCATACACCAAGCGATACATGACGGTTCTCCTCAACCGAGCCCATTCTCCCCTGTATCGCCGACCCACAGCTTGGATAGTCGACAAGGGCGGCCCTGCAAAGGTCCGTCTGCTGGCACAAAACGACGGCCAAAAGGAGTCCGAGCACCCGCAACACTGGGAGCAGAACGTGCTGGTCTATATCAGCCTCAACTATGTCGTGGACAGCAAGCCCAAGGATGAGTATATCAAGCGCATTAACTTTGGCGTCAACGATGCCAAAGCGCTTGGCGTTGGGGACGACTACGTCAGCAATTGCATCCGACCTTTCATTCCGCCAAACCAGAGGAAACCTCAAGCCAGAGCAAATAGATCAGCAAATACGGGAGGAGGAGGAGGAGGAGGAACAGGTGGGGGAGCAGGTGGAACAGGAGGGGGAGGAGGAGGAGGTGGTGGTGGTGGTGGAACAGGAGGAGGGACAGGAAAAACAGGGGGATCAGGCGAAACGAGAGGATCAGGTCCTTCCAGAAGAGACGCGAGTCCAATGAATGAGAAAGGAAACCAACCTACTCAGGGGGTCAAGCGCGGAGCTCCTCAGAGGTCTGGTGATCCATCTCCATCTCGGAAGTCCCAAGCACCTCCCCAACGGTCCACGACACCGAATCCAACCGGGAGGACTCCGGCGCCGGCTCACAGGACCGGCACGCCATCGCCAGCCCGGAGAACTCAGGCCGTCCCTCGGCCGGCCAACCCGTCTCCGCAACGCATGCCTCCTGGCCACCGGCTCGCTGTTCCTAACGAGAGGAGGCGGGCTCAGTCAGAGGTTGGATGCCCGCCTCCGTTGCCACCGCGGCCGACTCGTCGCATGCAAAGCATTCCCGTGATTGTGGTCGATGACCGTTATGTTCTGGCCCGATTAAGATAAAAACAAGATGTCGACTATCTGGATAGCTATCCCCAACATCCCCAACGCCGTAGTAATCGCGCGAACCCCGAAATCTAAATCATACTGGTGTGTCCCCGTGTCTATTGGTGGTTCCTTGTTGCTGGCCTTTGCTGACGTATAACTCCCTTCATTCAAACAGTACAACTCCACAAGATCGTAAATTCATCTGGCTCTTCCGGATGTCGACAGTCCGGATCCATGGGACCCTAGGCACAAGATCAGAGCTTGGACTGGTAACCGGGATATCCGGGCTTACTCTTCGGGCCTGCTGTTCTCGCTGGCCCTCTTCCAGAAATTGGTCCGGATCCTGCGCTGTCGCACAGCCACTTGACCAGTGTTGGTTTCTGGGGGAGTGCTCCGTCGCCTTTGTTGACGAGGACGGTTGGTTTTGAGACGGCCTTGAGGGCGAGCTTCTTGCCGCCCTCGACCCGTTCGACAAAGAGGCCGGGGCAGACATCAAAAAGATAGGAAACATCGGCGCGCGATGAGGAATCTTTGTTGGTGCCCGCAAGGTCGAGGATCAAACCCCCGCTCGCGAGGTTGAGGCATTCGTAAACCTCCAGTCTCGACGACGCTGTGCGAGCAGGCCATTTTAACGAGAAGAAGTTGGAGGCAAGGTGGAGCCGGTGGACAAGGTCCGCTGCAGGGTCGATGATGTTGTGGCGGACAGAGGCATGGAGCTCTGTAGGAGAGAGCCTGGGAGTAAAGACTGATAGAAGGGATGCCAAGTCATCGGTAACTAGATTCAGGTGCCGCGCTCGCCGGGTTTTGAAAGCAGGTTGGTTTGTCAATGCAGTGAGCGTTTCACTCCTCCATTCGCGGCAGTGAGCAACGTCTAGAAAGATCAGTTAGTCTGCCAAGATATGTCTGGCCAACGAATCGAAAAGAAAGCCGTACCTCTTGGTAGCCGGGACATTGTGCTCTCGAGCTCATCAATCCACCTTACAGTGCCATCGGCGTTGGAATCGTCCAGCGGGCAATAAAAAGACTTGGAAAACAACACGAGCCAGAGGTAGTTCATGATGACTCCCACGACGTGATACTCATCGGATTGGTCGACGCTGAGGCACCGCCGAGACGGTTCCCGGATGAGACCCACGAACCGCGCAGCCTGCGGAGGCGGCGGGCGCGTCTTCAAGCGGCCGAGATCCAAATCCTCCAAGGCGCCCTTGAGGCGATTCTCGGCCCATCGCTGGACGTTGCCGCACAGGCTCTTGTAGGCCTCGCGCGCCTCTGCCTCGGTGATGTCGTTCCGCGGCGGCTGGAGGCGGAAGATCTGGTCCCTGGCGTCTTGCAACTGCTTGGACTTGGCCTTGGTCTGGCTGCGGGCTTCGGCGAGCTGGCGCTGCGCGTCGGCGAGCTGGGTCTTGAGGAGGGATTCCTGCGACTCGAGCTCCTCCTGGCGCGAGTCCAGGACGGTCTCGGTGAAGCGGCGCAGGTTCATTTCGTTGGCGAGCTTGGTCTCGAGGTGGGCGTTTTCGGAGGAGAGCTTCTTGATTTTCATGGCATCATGGCCGTGGGGTGAGGATTCGGCCGCTGGGTCCATGATGATGGTCTAACCCGTCCTGTTGCGTGCGTCTGGGTCGTGTGATGTCGGTCTCAATCGCGATGTCGGGGGTGGGCGCGAATCCAACGAGTTGAGCGAATCCAACGAGTCCAACGAGACCAACGAGTCCAACGAGTCGTCAACATGGCATCCGAGGGAATCCACACTCCGTCCTGAGCCTGCCGCGGTGTGAGGCTTGGCTGTATTGGCCTATCTCCCAGGAGTCGTGGTCGCCCGATACAGGCCCAAACCTCCAGCCTCGTGATCCGGTTGGACGCGAGTGCGTTAGCATTAGGCGCCAGTTCACGGCAACCCAATCCTTCCCAATCCCTCCCCAGCCATGCGAATGCCGAAATGTCGGTCTCGTCACATCCATGATCCATCCCTGCTCCACTGCCGCCTCTCGAGTGGCTTCGCATATTAGTGCCCGTCTGCATGCAGGGCCAAATGCAGGGTGCTCCAGATACGACGACAATCCACACAGTCAGAAGACCGATGAGCTGGTCACCGTCTCGTCCAGTGCTTCAGGCACTCGGCGGTGCTCGCCTTGGGCTATGGAGTCGTGGCCCAGCCTGATGCCTCCGAGACCAGGCCATCGGGTACTGATGACAAATAATCCGGGGGTTAATGCTCTCCGCCGTCCCAGCCGAGGAGTAGACAGAGAGGCATTATCGCTAGATCTTCTCTTGCTGATTGCTAAACCGGCAGTTCAGACGTCTGAGGCCTGTGTAATCCGTGACATCTGTGACACCTCGTGTCAGCATCGGGCTGCCATACTTGACTTCGCGGTACACCACCACATTGATATACCTCGGTGATGAGACAGCCACACCGCAACAGTCAACCATTTCAGCCGTGGCCATGATTGAGCGGAGAATTGTCGTTTCCATTGATTTCGGGACCACCTACTCAGGCGTCGCCTGGGCAGACACCACCCGGGTAAGTGATGCCATTGCCTTTCGCAGAAGGCCGGTGCTAAGGCCGTACAGCCCGAGATTCAACACGTCCTGTCGAATTGGCCTGGCGTCGGCTCTTTCAAGAGCAGTCCCAAGGTTCCCACCGAGCTTCGCAAAGTCGCTTCAGGGTGGCAGTGGGGCTTCCAGATCCCGGAATCTGCAAAGAGAAGTAGATTCTTCAAACTGTCGGTGTGCCAGTCTAGTGTGTTAGGCCGCCTCAATCTAATCATAAAACCTGTGTAGAAAACTGGACGACGCAGACACCACGACGAGGGACGGCGAGTCGGCCGTAGACTTGACCAAGATTTACCTAACATGTCTTCACACGCATTTCATCAGTGTCCTCGAGAAGAGGCTGTCGCCAAGCATAGTGCGATCGACCCCCATGGACTTCGTCGTGACGGTTCCCGCAATTTGGTCGCATGCTGCTAAGCAAGCAACCGAGAGGGCTGCCGCAATGGCTGGGTTCTGCGGGAACCAAAGGATACAGCTCATAACAGAACCGGTATGTCGAGAAACGACTCCCAGAATGCCATTTTATTAACCAATCTGCAGGAAGCAGCAGCTCTGTACACGCTGAAGAACCTCAGTCCTGGCACTCTAAAAGTCGGTCGCAAATTCGTCGTGTGCGACGCGGGCGGTGGAACCGTCGACCTAATATCCTATGAAGTGTCACAAGTCGGCAAGCTAGAAGTGAAAGAGGTGACAGAAGGCACAGGCGGGAAATGCGGCTCGTCCATGCTGAACATGCGATTTCGACGGCACCTAAAACAAGCCCACGGGGACAAGTACTGGACTGACACCAGACTCGTGACTGCTCTGAACGACTTTGAGGCGGTACGCAAATATGCAACCTTGGCCGCGGAACGTCAGCTTATCGTGATATAGTTCAAGAAGACCTTCAATCCCAAAGGCGAGCCTCTCAGCATCAAAGTCGACCCAAGCCTTGGGTTGAGACGCAACCGATACACCATGTCACAGGAAGACATGAAGACCAAAATCTTCGAGCCCATCATGAAGGATGTGGTTTGTCTCATCAAGGAGCAAATATCGATGGCTGGTGACAAGGTCTCGGCTGTGATTCTCGTCGGCGGCTTTGGGCAAAGCCGATACCTCAAGTCCCAAGTACGCGAGGCCATCAGCTCCAGTACGGAAGTCCTTCAACCAGAGAATGGCTGGACCGCTGTGGTAAAAGGTGCCGCCATTTATGGCCTGGGTCAGTACCAGCCCGCCTTGACCCAAGTTGAGGTCGCGTCTCGCATTGCAAGGAAATCGTATGGAACGTGCTTGTTGGCCAAATATGACATGATGAGACACAGTCCTAAGGAGGCGTAAGTTGCAGTGATTCCCCCGATCCGTCCGAGCTAACAGAGGCGCAGGTTCTGGTCCGAGAAGGAACAAGAGATGGTGGTAACCGAGATGTGTTGGTTTATCCGAAAGGTAAGTGCCCTACATATGCACTCGGCCAATCGCTCACGCAAAACAGGGCGAGTCATATCTAGAGGGAAAGCCGTCGAGCATCGAGTACCAGTGTGACGTCCCCGTGATGCTCGGCCATTCGCCTCAGACCGAGATCGACATCTACAGCAACGACGACGATGAAAAGGCGCCAGTTCATCTCAATTCCACCACACTTTACGTGGGGACGCTCTCACTCAACTTGAGTAAGATACCGAAGTCAGTGAAGCAAAAGGCGAAGAAGAGGCGAATGGGCTGGCATCGATATTACTGTTTGAGCGGAGCTATCGAGGCCAGATATGGATCAGCCAACATCACATACACACTGAAACTTGGAGGTAAGCAAATATTACATTCTCATCTGACCCATCTAACACACTGGTGTAGGGGTGACGCATGATGCGATCACCGTACGGTACGAATAGCGGTCGACTGTAAGGTGTTGTGACATCATTGTATTATGTGAAAGGTTCACTTCTGTTATGCAGCCAGGTGATAAATATAGCGTATCTGCTAGCTGGTGGGTTCCAACTAGCTTTTGGGAGCTTCCAGCATGGAACAGTAACAAACAGGAAAGTAAATTTCGGGAAATGGGAAACAGAACAGGTTTGGGAGGGTCCAAGGGTCTCTGGGCCAGGAGTTTTGGAAGATACAATAAATAACTACAGTAAAAAACCTGCTCCTCCTCCTCTCGCCAAGCTTACTCTCAAGAGGCCTCAGACTCATGCGGTCAACATGGCACAATTGCTAGATGTGCGGTGTTTCTTCAAGACAACGCCAGTTGCCCTTTGATCTGCAGCAAACTCCCAGCCTCTTCGCTGATATCCCACCCTAGAGCTCATAATCAACACATTGGCTACTAACCAAGGCTACTCGTGAGCCAACAGCTAGAAAACACAAGACTCCCGTTTGGCAAAGAGCAGTAGCTTAAAATAAGGCATGTCATATTAGTGCGACTTGGTGTGGAAGAGGTCGTGGCAATGCTTCACCTTGATGAAGGGAAATTTTATCATGTTTTATTGGCAATGCGGACTAGGCCCATCATATTGTCAAGACTATTGCTAGCGACTTCAAAGGAAAACCATACTCCCTCCAATAAGGTGTGTTACCACTCTAAGTAGCAGCTGAATCGACAAATTAGCCTCCTTTTAATTAAACCCTGGACGTTCACCAGAACCATTGCCACATATAATGCAGTGTGCGTGCTGGACCGCTAATAACGCGGGGCATTATTAGCTGGGTATTCACAATTTAGTGGACTGCGAGCTCTCCATAGGGCCCACAGTTCTCGGTTGGCAAACGGCCAAACCCCCACAAATGGAGACGCCAAGTGTCATGATCGTATAGCCCTCATTTCTTCACCGTCTTTCATCAAGCAATGACAAGCCCCGTTGGCTAAGTGGTATAGCGTGTCACTAGTAATGACAAGATCACTGGTTCGATTCCAGTACGGGGCAGTTCAGCTTGGTGTCTTTCCTTTTTGCGCCTGCTCACGATATATCGTGGAGTAATGAGGGGGTGAGACTCCTGTTACGGGAATGGAACTCATATCCCAGTTCCTTTTGCTCCCATGTGCTGGAAATCAGCTTAAAGGTACTCGGATGCTCGAGGTGCTATTTGTGTTGACCTAAACGTAATAACATCATTGATGCCATCCCAAACGAAGATGCGAGAGAGAGAATTGTCCAAAACCACTCCATTTATTAACTCCACATCGACTCTCTAACGGCCTAGGGAGAGTCCAGCGGAGTCTATGCCCTGACATTTTAAATCCGAGTCGCTGGAACCTAGTCCCTGATACATGAACTGAAGAGGGTTTATCATCCTATTCCACACTGGCCCTAAGTCCCTTCTTCTCCGGCGTCACCGTTCCACTAGGTCCATCCGTCAGAGCTGGCTCACCTTGCATTATAGCATTTGGCCGTTTGCCCTTGACCATCGAGGTACAAACACGCGCGATAGTGGCACGGCTCTCCCAAAGAGGGTAGATGCCAACAGCGAGGAAGGAACAGAAAATCCAGATCATACCCACCGAAACCCAACCCGTGAAGAAGGACTTAGAGAAGATGTACCGTGAGGCGAACATGGGCATCGGCCACAGCACCAAGAGGGACACAGTCCTATATTAAATCGAGTCAGTAACAAGAGGAGCAAGTGATGGGGGAATACATACATAACAATGGTAATGCTACTGGCAATCTTGAATGCCCGAGCAAGCTTTATTTGCTCTTCTTCAAAGTCGACTTGCTGGGGCGCCTCAACCCGGTGCTGAGCTTCCTCATCCACACCGGCTTCCTTAACCATTTCGTGGTCATCTGCCTGGCGGATATCCATCATTGATTGCCAGTCATACTTGTCAACCCCAAATATGAGACAAAGGACAGGAATAAAAACGACAGGAGATAGCAAAGCAGTGATGTTGCCAGCCAACATGGGGTTATTGGACCCGGTACAGACCACATCGAGCTTGCCACACGACTTGCTCGCCGTCACCAGCCAGGCAATGATGGCGCAAGATGTGCCTAGAATGGGCGAAATAGTTGCAGCCCATCGGTTCTGGCCATTCCAAATGAGTGTCAGAGTGGCCGGGAGCACAGCCGCAGAGATGAGGACACCCATAAGGAGGTAGAGGTAGCCCATAGAAATGCCGTTGTGCCATAGGCCAACAGAGATGCAGCAAATAACGAGGGCGTATACGACCATGCAGGCATGAGACATCCAAATGAGGCTCTTACCGCTGGCGTTAGGTCGGAAGTAGGTGCGGTAGATGTCGTAAGTAAAGATAGAGGATGTCGCAACCAACTCTGAGTTGAAGGACGACGTCACGGCCAGGAAGACCACGAGTAGGGTGGCAATAGCACCTCCCTTTCCAAGAAGGGCCACCGACGCATATGGCAAGACGAGGCCAGCGGAGATATCGGCCTCAGTCATGCGGTCAGGATACGTGGGGAACCGAGGGTTCGACTCGAGGGCCAAGGCAGAAAGACCAAGAGCGGTAGCCGTCAGCCAGGGAATGGCGAACCATGCAAGTCCTCCCATAATGTATCCCGGAAGAGCATGGACTGGGTGAGCGGCAATGGCCTTGTTGTAGTAGCCGTTGTCGAGGAAGACAGTACCAAAGTTGCCGACAATGTTGATGATGAAGAAGATCACGCCGCCTTGGGAGCGCATTGTCAGATAGCTACCTTCTTCATTTCCCTCAACGGGGTGCGCTTTACTGGCCTCGACCAGGAGGTCATATACAGCACCGGGGCTGCCGAGGACATCTGAGGTCGCGTAGGCCGTCAGCGCAAATATAATGATGATAATGAGGACCACGGCTCCATGGATAAAGTCCGTAATAAATGTGGCTTTCAATCCGCCAATAAAGGTATAGGCCACAACTCCTACGGGAAGTAGGAAGATGGCCGCGATGGTGTGCATGCCGGTCAGCGCATTGATGGTGGCAGCGCCACCAGAAATGAGCATCAGAGACACGAGCACATTGGTAACAAGGCCAAAGACGATGAATGTGAAGTGAGCCCCGCTTCCATAGCGAGCCTTGATGACCTCTAGGAAGGTGTGGGCATTAGGGGCGCGCTTCTTGAGCATGATAGCGAGTGTAGCAAACAGCAAGATTTGCACAGTCGCACCAGAGGCATACCAGAATGGGCCAGAAACGCCGTATCGGTAACAAACGCCAGAACTCTGGAGGAGAGTGGCTGCCCAGGTCCAGGAGGAGACGACGGCGGCTGCGACGAGGCCCGACTTCACAGAGCGGCCAGCCGTGGTGAACATTTCGGAAGTTTGAACCTCGCCATTGAAGCGCTTGAGGATATGCGTGAGAGAGATCTACGATTCATGTTAGTTCGTCGTTTAATGAGAATTCTTTTTGGGAGTGGAAGAACTAACCATGAAGATTGCAAAGGCAATGCCAACACCCAAGACGATGCCATAGCCTACTCCCTGGCTTAGAGCCGGGGTCCCTGAGCCTGCCATGATGAAGATTGCTGGACCTGTTTGAAGTTGGCAGTCAAATTTATCGAGGAGACTAGGTTCTGTCGGTGGTGCAGATGATCATCCGGAGTCCTGGAATACCGGTCATATATATACAATATCTTGATATGACAGCAGCATCCAAACCTGCCGCAGAAGGACGTCTTGGCAAGTAGAAGATTTTTAGCATCTCCAACCTCTGATTCGCCGACAGTAGTAGGAACATGACTTCTGTCCGATAAGAAGAGAAGTTTACCAATATGCAGTGCCATGGGTTCTCAGATGGCTTCATTATGGCCCCGCCGGGCCGGTGTCTGGGGCGCCGGCGGGGGTACTGGGATCTGGCCGGAGAAGGAAATCCAAGCTAGAGCCCCAGAATCTTGCTTCTACCCTTAACGCTAGGAGAAAGGGGAGATTGGGGTGACGTTGAGATCGGAGTAATGCGCTTGGGCCCTCAAGAAGCTTGATACCGGGGCCAAGCCTCGGGTGCAGGAACCCCCCACAAGGGCTGCCGCTTGACGAGAAGCTAGCGGCGGTAGACGGAGATAGTGAAGGCATCGCCGCCGGGGTCAAATAACCACCAAGACCGCCGAGTGGTGGGTGCTCACCGGAGGTGTCAGCCCTGTCGATTCTCGGACTCGCGAATCTATAGAGAAACATCTGAAGCTAGCCAGAGCAAAATATTGCCCTGGTGAGAACCGCTGCATAGGCTAGCGGCAGAAGAGAAGAGAATACTTACATTCACTAACCAAATAGTTTTAGATAAAGACACCATCTTATGAGAAGGCGGACGAATGAAAGATGTTGATCAAGGGCTCGGTTGCAGATCAGTCACTGGCGGGTTTGCTGCGTGTTACAAACACCGATATATAATAACACAAGCAATCCTTCCCCGAATATCGCTCTTGGCGCTTGGCACTCAGCGCTTGGCGCTTGGCATCGACGCATCCTTATCTTTACGTTTCCTGCTTTGACCTGAGAGCAGGAAGAGTTGGCGTCGATAAACCCCATCCGTGGGAACATTGGCATCCATAGGCCAGCTGGGCTGATAACGTCAGAGCAATTGTTTAGATTTTCCCTTCACCTCATTCTTTGATCCTCATATCTCCACGGCGCTTGGCATTTGCGGGCATTCCGGATTGGGCCGGCGCGTCAGCATGCTGCATTGCTGAGTTAAAAGTCTAAAAGTCTGGGCATTTCTTTGGCCGCCGGCGCTCATCTGCTGGCTCCTGTGGATTTCAACCCCATGAGCGAACTGCATCATGCTTGAGTAGGTCAGGGTGGGTCATTGGTGGGAAACTCCAGACCTCCATGGTAGAATCTGGGCCAAAATTATGGTCCTTCAACTTGCTTCACTTTGACCTTTCGACTCGCACAGCTTGTACATGATTCTTTATTCAATGCAGATCGCAACTCTGATACGGTATCATTCCAAGTCTGTGCCTAGCCGAGCTTGTAAGAAGCCCAAATACCCTCAAAACAGACAAGACCACCCGCCGTAATGGGGGGATTTCCTGGACACACACCGTCAGCTTTAATTATATCCTAAAACATAGCAGGACTTACAAAAGATGGTAATTGGGGGACGGGGCCGTCGTCTTCGTCGTTGTCGTCGCCGTCGTCCTCGGCGGACGCGGCGGAGGACACGGAGCCCAATCTAGCGGAAAGCCGCCTGCAGAGCGAGCCAGAGGGGGGTCGGAGCGTTGGCAAGAGCGTCGCCGGCCCGCCGCATCTCGTCAACGATGTCCCGATATTCGGGTTGGACGGGTCCGGGCCCGGGGCCGTGGCCGTTGTCGTCTTCCTCGTCTTCCTCGTCTTCCTCGTCCTCGTCGGCCGCCGCAACCCTGCGACTGTGGCGGAGGGCACGGAGCCTGATTTGGCGGGCCGCCGCCCGTCGGGCCCAGGAGAGGGACCGGCACAGATGCCGGGCGCAGCCGGGCGCGGAAGAGGGCCGGCAGGCCGTCTGGGATTATGGCCCAGTCTCTCGCAGGGGGTGGGCAGACAGCTCACCCTCCGGCATCCGGACGCCACTGGGGTGGAATTGCCTGAGTGCTATTAGCTTCTCAAATTCTCAAATTCTAGTTTTGGTAATGCTTGAGAAGAAAAAGAGAAGAGAACTCACCTTCCACAAGACAACACGTTGGGCGGGCATTCTTTTATTGGCTTACTCGTTATTTTAATTTCTGAGAAAACTGTAGAGAATGACTTACACTACTGCTGTTGCTGTTGCTGTTGCTGTTGTTGCCGTTGTTGTTGCTGTCGTCGTTGTTGGTGGTGTTGACATGTCGGCGGGCGCTGATGGTCGCACATTAGGCAAGATCCGCAAAAGGTGCAAATGGGGGCTCTTACTGTTGTTGCTGGTGCTGGCGCAGTCAGTAATTTGATGTGATAGGTGATGGGAAATGGTAGAAAGGAGCGGAGTGTGCGTACCAAACAGGCCGAGTGGTGGTTGTAGAGGAGAGGAGAAGAGGAAAGGAGAGAACAGTAGCAACCCCGGACCCTATGTCGGCATTGCAGAAGGAAGTTGCTCCTTCCTTCCAGTTGATACACAAGGCAGGAGTCCCGAGCCGCTCGAAATGCTGACATGTGCGGAGTTGCTTTTGCTTCTTCAATTTCGGGATTCTTAGGCAGGAGGTCTTCGGAAACAATAAAGCGCGTACCTCGGTACCTACCTACCAGGCACCTAAAGAATAAGTTAACCCTTTAGGTATTTATCCCGCTTAGTGTTATTCTTTAGGTCTAAGTCCTCAGGCCATAGCATAAACATCAGACGAGGAACGTTGGGCAATGCGATTTCCTACCCTGCACCAATGAGAGAAGAATGCTTGGATTTCAAGGTGACTTTCATTTGATACTTCACTTTAGCTGTTCTATATGCTCCAGACTCCCTTCCCGTCAAACCAAGTCTCTTTAACCTCCGCTTTGAGCAAGCTTTTGGCGTCCCACTCCATGCCGACCACCACAAAGTCCGCCGCTTTGCCCACGTCTAAGCTGCCCACTCGATCCTCGGCAAATACGCTCTTCGCCGCACCAAGTGTAGCTGCTGAGATGGCCTCGCAAACTCCTAGACGAAAGTGCTCGTTCACCGTGTTCGTGGACTCGGGTTCCCTTGCTGAGCGTCGCGTTGTTGCTGTGTAGAGGTTGTGCAGCGGGTTATAAGGTGCCGTGGGGCTGTCGCTCCCGATGGCGAGGAGTGCGCCGTTGTCTGCGAATTCGCGGTACGCAAATGCTCGCTCGCAACGGTGTGAACCGATGAGGCGAGGCCAGTCGCGGAGGAGAACCGGGTCGCAGTGCACTGGTTGAATCGACGCCGTGATGCCGAGCTCACCCAGTCTCTTGGCCTCCTCTGGGGCTGAGAATTCCAAGTGTTCGATGCGATGTCGGCTGTTGGGAGCGGCATGTGCCTCAATTGCGTCCACCGCCATTCGGATGGCACCGTCTCCGATAGCATGGAAAGCGATTTGCAGTCCTGAAGCCACGGCTTGCTTGACAACCGCCTCCAGTCCATCCTTGGTCCAGAGAGGATCTGGCGATAGCCCGTTGGAGTACGGCTTCGAGACATGTGCCGTGCAGGCGTCAATGGTCCCATCGCAAATAAGCTTGATGCCCGTGATACACAGGTCTGGTGAGTTGGCCCTGTTGTACTTCTCCTTTAGTTCGACAACTCGCTCTACCTGCTTCCGGCAGGCAGCTTCAGAGTCTGGTAAGATGAGCCAGTAAGCAGTTATTCTCATAGCGAGCTCTGGTTGCTCAGCGCGGAGAGTAAGAAGAGCATCCCAAACCACCTCATCCATTGCCATCTCTATAAGCCCAGTATATCCAGAGGCGGTGTAAATCTTTAAAGCAGACATAATAGTCTCCATCTTCTCAGTCTTCGTCATCGCTTGGCTAAGGTATGGCCAGGCAATGCCCACTGCAGCGCCCTCACTGAGAAGGCCAGTCGGTTTACCATTCTCATCGCGCCCTATTGTCCCCCCCATCGGGTCTGGCATGTCGGCAACTCCAAGCGCATCTAACGCTGGTGAGTTGCACCAGACTGAATGCAAGTCCATGCTATCAATGAAAATAGGGCGAGGATCGATGTCGTCCAGCATCGCTGTATTGACACCATCTGGCGTCAAGTCCAGCATCCAACCCCTGGCGAGGATTCTTGGTAACTGAGGGTTTTCTTTGGCATACGACCGGAGCGTGTCTCGAATTTCTTCCAGTGACTTGCATTCGTCCAACACGACCTTTCGCAGGGACTGCCCTAGAAGAAGCAGATGCATGTGGCCATCAATAAATCCCGGGAGGACCGTCTTCCCTTCCAGGTCTCGGACTGAGATGCCATTGTCGTGCTGATATTTCGCTGTGAGATTAACAGCAGAGCCGATATCAGAAATTATGCCATCCTTTACAAGCATGCTTTCCGCGAACGTAGGCTGGGCGTTCAGGCCAACATCGGCCTTCGATAGAATGCGGCCATTGGTAAAGAGAACGGTGGCGGGGGCGGTTTCGGACCGCATCATGTAAAATAAAAGCTCGAGTGAATTGACATTTAGGATTTCAACATGAAATAGTCAAGAACATTGATAAGAAATCGATAAAGCCGTCTCGAGCCCTTTTATATCGTGCCATCGTAATGAGGCCCCACGATATTCGCACTTCCGCGGATTGCGGTGCGGGGTAGACCCACGCCGATTCATGAGTAGATGTCATTTACACGCCGTAGACGCCGAAGGTAGATAAGACGGACTTGCCCATAAACGGTGAAATACATGCATTAATGTACTCTCACCTGGAGTCTCCTTATATAACGCATTTGCGCCCCGCACTGAAGGTTATTCAATCACCATTGTTGGCCGCATTGGGGTGATGGTAGCGACACCATGCAGCCATGATACCCTCCGTTACGTCAGTCTAGTAGCCAGTCCTTGTCTAGCATGGCAGATGCACTGGAGAGGCCTTGGTCCGAGTTAATGGTGATTTGGCGAGACAGTTACCTCTATGGAGTTTCTTCTCACGTATTGGTAACAGTACCGACTAATGTGATGGCGTTCAAGGACAGAAGAATAATCATTGTATAGTGCAAGCGACCCGATATTGTGTTCCATTGTCATAATATAGGGTAGGCAGCCATGCTGAACTCAGAGCTTTGGAGAATTGCGTAGCCCATCGATTGCAAACGCTTCAAGAGCCTACGTAATTTCAAGACTGCTTAACAGGAGTTACGTCATGAGGACTTTGACAGAGGTATAATTGCTGAGTTATCCGTCCGTCTCTTAATTGTCACATGGTGTCCCGCGAATCACACCCATCACCTTTAGACTTTGTACTTCAGAAAAGCGACAACCAAACACTCTGACAACGAACGGTCCAAGGGTGTGGCAATATGGGTTTATCTGACTGCGGCATTAACCCTTGACGAGTACTCGGCGGGATAATATAGGACGGAATCCCTCGGCTATGGCACGTATGGATGCCCATGTAAATGCTTGATTGAAGGTCCCCATGTATCATAATAAGTCGCTTGAACTGAGCGTCTTGTTCCCCAGCCCATCATCAGATTTTCAATCTTCGATCGTCGCATACATGAATCAAGCCCATGCCGTTGTTGCCTCTAAGCTCAATTATTGAGTCAGAGTGCATTGGCTGTTATCGCGGTTGTCAAAGTGTCTGCCTGTATCAGAGCAAGGCCAGAACTTCGTCTGGTAGCAAGCGGTCGGGATAATAAGTGCAAAATCGATTCAGACGCCTTTGAAAATTTTGCAATTCCCTTTCCTTCAAAATGGAAATTTTAAATGAAAGCGACGATAAAAGACGAATTACTGCGCGTTTCTAGCATCTTTGTACGGTTTCAGAGAGTTGTTGGTTGGTTGTGTTGGCTTGCAGGGCTACCCAACGCCACAGCCTGGTCTGGCGTTCTGGGGTTGAGACATCCACAACCACACCTGCAACTCACTATTTGAGGGACGCTCTCTGGGACAACACATTCTCGTGCTCGATTAAGATCATGTCTTTAACGGACAATCATGTCCTCCTTGGCATTCGATATTTGCTATTCATGATATCTACACCCCACCCCATCCTGCCCATGGCTGTCCCGTGCCGTTTCTTCACGTTGCACAACTACCCGCCGTCAAGACTCGGCCCCCAATGGTTCGTCTCTCAATTATCGGAATCACCCTTCCACCGGCAACTCGACGCGGGGCGATGACGACAACGGGACGGTTCGCATTCGTGGTCGCACCCGTGTGTCAGGCGGGAAGGGAAGGGCAATGTACCATTCCGACAGCTGCGTGTACCCGTGTTCATCCAGACAGGAAGCACGGCTGGCACGGCAAGTGCCGGAGAGACTTGAGGCGACGAAAGATTCGAGACGGTGGCGATGATGGAATTTTCGATCAATACAAAGCATGGTGGTCACAGACACCGAAGTACATATGTGGGATGGTGGAGGCTAGAGTTGCATGCGTGAAGAGACATGCATATCAAACACATGCTGAATACGGGAACGAGGTAAGCAAAGCTGCGTCTTGACCTGCATGATATTTATTTAGCTCGTCAGGACTTGCCTTCAGCTCAGCTCAGCCGCTATTTCTGTCGCCTTGATTACTTCGCGCTTCAGCCCAATCATCCGCTCAGCCTCGCGCAACCAGCGAAAATGCAAGAAGCAGTAAGCGGCAGGCAGGCTGAAGGGGAAAATCCTCAGCCCCAAGCCCAAACCCACATTCGGGCCATTCACAACCGCCAGCAAGTGAAACAAAGCAAGCGTCGGTATCCGTGATAACACGAATCACAGATGCAATGTCATCAAGCGAACCCACCCCTCATGTCTTTGAAAGGGGGGCAAGGAGAAAGGGGATTCGTGGCCCAATCGGATAGGACTGATGGGGGGAAGACGAGGACGAGGACGAGGAGGGTCGCACGCCTTGCTGCCCAGAAGCAGTACGGCTGGGGCATCGGGTGAGCAGTAGAGGTTAGAGGGGCGTGGATGGTGAATGGGGGGGAGGGCATCAGGGATGGGTGTGGCACCCATCACGAGGAGGTTAGCAGGAGATGGAAGGACGAGGAAGGAGACGAGGGGGAGGAAGTGGAATGTGGAATTCGAATGCTGTTAATGTCTGGCATAGAGATGAGCTGGACTCTGGAGTCGCACTAATTCAAGTTGAGGTGAGTTCATGGATGTCACTTCGGCTGTTGACGATAAGCCAGAAGCAAGAGAGGAGGAGGAAAGAGGAAACAGCGTGGGAAAAAAAGCAACTTTCAATGTCACCCTCTGCTTCATCCTCGCCAGTTCTGGAGTTGGGTGTGTCTGGCGTGTCTCGCTGCGTGTACATAGATAGATGTAAGCTGTTAACAAACACATCAAGCCAACAGCACCATGGTCATAGTCTAACCAGTCCCCCGGGCAAGTACACCTTCATGGCGCATCGTGGATCACCACGTGGAGACGAGGCCCCCCCCCCATCCTTTTGCTTCTCCCTCGCCATGCCATGCGGACGGGCATACATCATCACGAACGTGCAGAAGAAAAAAAAAGCCTCGCGTTGTTCGGCACCTTCTTCCGCTCTCTAGGAGCATCTCAAACCATGCGGACGACTCGCCGCCCTCAACGCCATCCCGAAGCCCCTGTCCACGATCCAGACCGTCGGAACGCCCTTGAATCGTCAGGCACCCGTCATGTTGTCCGTGGTCGTATCATGTCCACCTACAGATACAGATTCCCGCATCAACTATCGATTCTTCGGACATTTTTTCCTTCAGCGTGGCGGGCCCTCCAGCGCACACTCCCCTCATTCATCCCTAGGAGAGACCAGGCAGGGGGGGGGGGGGGACACACAGACGTGCGCCTTCATAAACTTCGTTGGCTACGTTGAGATTGTCATGATTCTGATCTCCCCCGTCGCCACATCACCACCACCACATGGCGTATCGGTTTAAGGCTTCCTTGCGCCGCTGGACTACTACATAGTATGCCATCGTAGCTCGCGCATCTGGCCTGATGTGCTCACCATCTAGAACGTCTTCAGACCACGATAGACCAGGCGCTAATACGTAGCCGCCATCACAGCCCCAGGGCCACCCATGTCCTTGTTCTCAGCCCCTCGATCCATGGCTCGCTTGCACTCGTCTCAGCCTTCCGAGTACGGCCAAGATCCCCTTGGATCCCCTTGGATCACCTCGCTATTGCCTCCCGGTGTGTAGCGGCCATCTGGAGCTAGCACACCGGCGCTACAGCACAGGCCCGCCATGATCGTGATACCACCGCAACTGAGGAGCTTCTTCACGCTTCGGAGGGGGCTCCCGCGCGACGACGGATTGCGGAAACTATCACCCAGAGCCGACAAAACCCGGTAGGGCCAGAGATAGATAGGCTCTCGTATCGGGGACCTCGGGGACCTCTGCTCCATACAGATGCAAGGACGGAATGCAGTGATGGCTTTATCAAGGATGGCGACGGCGACGGCGAAGGCGAAAGCCAAGGCCACGGCGAATCCGCTTGTGGTGTGTGTGTGTGCGTCAGATGAATTCACAATTTCACATCCCTTTGTCCCCCTCGTGAAGCGCCTGTACGACGTGAGTTGGAACAGGTCTCACCGTGGACGCGTAGCCAAGCAATTATTGATTCATATCTACGCGCCTTATGCCCCATCGCATGCGACGTATCCCCCGCATGCTGCGCGCCGTCTCCATCCATACCCATATCCATTCCCCATTTGCATTTTCATTCCCACTTGCTCATCCATTCAGGGACTAATTATGGAGTCGACGTAAATTACTCCCCCCTCTAGTTTTCCTCCTGCAGACAGACGCGCCCATTGCCTCGCACGCCCCCCCAAAGCCAGCGCCCATTCATTAATTCGACCCCATAAAAAAAACCAATCTCGATTCAAAGCCCACCTAAATCTGAGTCGTCTTTTATTTGCCCTTCTCAGAGGTCCCCACAACGCCCAGCTGGATCGTCACTAGGTTCCCCCCTGTCCCCAGCTCAGCCCACCTGGCGATGCGACCCCCCCAGTCAAACTCCAACTGCCGTGCCACCTATGGGGAATAAACCCGGCCGCCCGCCTCACACAGGCTCGGGCGATGAGGTTAAAATGCAATATACTATGCACGTCTCCTTGTCCATAACAAAACGAGCAATAAGTAAGCGTCACCCAATGAATAACCAGGGTGGGGGCCGAGGCAGAATCCGTCGTGGGTCGGCTCTCGCGCCAATATTCGAATGAACCACGTCAATGAACTGGATGGAACAGCAATTCAATACCACCGCTGCAACTGCACACCCCCCTTGCCTACCCATCCTCTTCCACTGCAGAGTCTCTGCCGGTAGTCCTTTTCTCCCAGGAGGAGCCTTCCCCTGATACCAACCAGTCCCCCGTATGGAGTCCAGGGATCTGATCTCACTATCTCTGTCTTGCTCACGGCGGCTGTCTCGTCCTTCATCGCTGAGGCTCTCCCGATCTCGCCCTCGTCCATTCTCGGCCCGAACATGCCCAATCCGGGCCGGCCACTCTCCCCCCCACGTCAAAAACGCATCCTCTCTAGCTCTGTTGCTCCTCTAGCCTCTATCCTCTAGCCTCTAGCTTTAGCCTCCTTTCTCTCTAGCCATTATCTCGGCTTCCCTTGCGTCTCCACATGCCGATGCGCGAACGCTATCCTTTGTTGTCTGTGCTAATTACCGTCCATAGCACTGTAGATCACCCGTCTGTGCCATGTCATGTCGTTGTGTCTCGTGGAAATCAAAATCTAGGGGCTATCAGGAGACTTTGACCGATTGGATGCTTCACGCGGATTGCCTCCAATAGGATCCAAGGCGACCCTCTCATCAATTAGCTACGTACGGAGTAGCTCGCTTTTCCCATGCCAGATCCCTCTCGTAGACTTCCCGCGTCCATCTCTGCAACTGGCTCGTGCTTATCCCCATCCCCATCCCATGCATCATGGCCTGTCCAAGGGCGTGCCCGCCAAAGTCCCAGCCCACTTCGCGCGCCCTCGCGACTCACGCGATGCTTTGGCAGTTTGAGCCGAGCCGAGCGCCTCATGGCCACGAGTTCGCCTTGTCCATTGGTAGCACAGTCACCGTGACCCTCGTATCTCGTTGTGTCCAGACGTTTCCCTCACTTTGTTGCGCCCCCTGATAATGGCTACCGATAAAGAATACATCGTTGAAGGGGACGTGGTGACCAAGAAAACAATCCCAATATAAAACCTGGTTTGGATAGTCCCCAATGCCCGTCTAGCCATGCCGAAAAATGAAATCCACAATTAATCCCACAATCCTCTCTGTTGGAGCCATCCTAGTTTCCAGCCTGGTCGTCGCCTATCGTTCCGTCCCACCCTTATCCTGTCCCGTCCTGTCCAGTCCGTTTGCCTCGTTTGTCCGAAGCCCTTTCTGTGTCCTTGGTAACGAAACCAGTTTCCTCTTGTCCAAATGCGCTTCCGATTCCATACCTCGCAGATCCACTTTGCCGAATCCTGCCCCTTTGATTTGTCCCGGTCCGTGTGATATAATAGATTCACGAAATAAAAACAAAAAAGAGCTTCAGCCCACCGTTGGGCTTCCACTGCTTCATGTCCAACGAGCTCCCTTGACGCCAATAATCCAGTCTCCCCTTTCCTAATTGCGCCCTTGCGCCTTTTTACACATCGTAGTCGTTGTTGCTTGCAATGGATGTGGTGGGTGGTGATATGTCTCGCATCAGGTATCGCTGTTCCTCGTTCGCAGCCGCGGCCTCAGCTCGCTGCTTGCTCTCACAATGGAAATAATCCCTCGTTTGCCTTCACACCCCAAAATGAGCGGGTCTTGTTCGAAAGCCGGGTAGTCGTCGTCACCCCTCGTCCCCAATGTGCGTTCACGACTCTTTCTTCGCATCTGTGCTGTCGTCGCCATCCACACTTCGATCTGCTCCGTTGCCTTCAGTGCTGTTGATGCCGTCGCCGGTCTTGCCTTCGCAACCCTTGACGAGTCGATGTCTCTGTGAAAAGAGTCAGTATGTAACCCATAATAGAGTGACATCAAGACATGATCGGGTTGCCCCTCTCGCCTTAATGGCATCAGTAATCAATGGATATGAGGGTGTTCCTACCTTCAGGGCGTCCTTTCGTGAGAAACTCTTGCTGCAGAAGGTGCAAGGGAATGGCTTGACAGCCAAGTGAATTCGCTTATGTCGTTTCAAGTCGTGATTTCTGCTAAAGGACTGCACACACTGATCGCACTTGAAAGGTCGTTCAGACTGAGGGGCGGGTTGTCCGTGCCCGTACATCATCGGGTGGCCGTATTGGGGAACGCCCATGCCGGGAATCATCGACATCTGACCTCCGGGCTGGTGAATATTCGACATGACGGACCCGCCCATGGTCGGTAGGGACTGGTAAGGAGGGTATGGTCTATACGGAGCAGGGGGGGCCATGGACGGTCCTCCCTGTTGTGGACCCGAGATCGAGCCTAGACCTCTCGGAACGGGGCCAGCACTCGAAGGCGAGTGCTGGGTTGGCGAGGGCTGAGGGGCATAAGAAGTAAAGTTGGACTGCTGAGGCGTGGAGGAGGTTGTGTAGTAATTGGAGTTGCTGGGAGGTCGCGTGTGCGTATAAGAGTCAACGTGAGCCGGCGCACTGGAAGTAGTGGGAGGCTGCGTCGAAACTGGGTTCTGGGAGCTCAGGATTGCACTCTGGGGTGCTTGGTGGCCAGGAGTCGTCTGCCCGCCGTTGCCTCCGCTGGAGAGGGATGTCTGAAAGGGGTGCTGGACCTCGCCGTAGGGAGGGGGAGGGAGGCCCTCACCTCCGTGGTGCGGCGACTGGGAGGTTCGGGGATGGTTGAATTGCATAGTCGAGGGCTGCTGGCTGTACATCGAGGGGCGACCGCCAAAGTGCTGGTGGCCCATGGCGGGTTGCGGAGGAGCGGCAGAGCTGACGGTATACGAAGAGTTGTTGGGCGTGGGCCACGATCCATGGCCGTACGAGTAGTGCATGCCGGCGGGTGCCTGAGAGCCCTGGGAGCTGCCCGTGTTGACGCTGGAGAGGCTTGGGCTCAGACCGTCGCTGGCTCCTGGCGAAGGGGTCAGAACACTGGGGGAAGAGGAACGGCGACGATCGGGGAGGGGGCCGGGGAGGGGAAGATATGATGGCGGATAGGGATACCCAGCCGGAGCGGATTCGAGTGAGTTGTGGTAGTGCTCGTGGGAGCCGGCCGGGAGGGGAGGGTACAAGGGGTATTTTGCCATACTTGGAACATCTGCGGTGGGAGGAGGCAGAGAGAATGCAGGCAAAGCGCCTGCCGCAGGGCGACGCGACGAGAAACTGGTGGCCGCCTCCATGGCTATGCGCACCGGGATGCTGTGGTGATGATGGTGTTACTTGCGACAACCGCTGCGGGTGGTCCTGTTGCTTGTTGCAACAACTGCGGGTTGGCTTGTCGTCGAGATGTGGGCGCGAGGGAAGGACTGAGGTTTTGATGGTGAAAGGTGCTGCCTGCCTGAGCTCGTGGTGAGGCGAGACTGAAGGGAATGACGCCCGGCGAGGCTTCTGGAGCAGGAAGCTCAGGGGCTTCGTGTTCCTACACGGCCGTGACGTTCAGAGGTGCAAAAGCACGGCGTGATTGGTAGTATGGACGAGGTCCAAGGCGTTCCTCAAGGTGGGAGTTGTGAGGCGAAAGCTGGCGGCGGCGGTGGTGGAGGTGGTGGTGGCCCCGTGTGCCAGGCGTATATGGCTGTGATGTGATGGCTGTAATGGCTGTAATGGCTTCCGGGAAAGGCGTTCCTGGGGAGTGCTGAGGTCGTCGAGAGGGGTTGAGATCAACCACACCCGGGCTGGGGACCGCAAAGCTTCTTCTATTATACACGCGAGGGGGGGGGGCTGTCGTCGATGCTGGATCGTCTGCAAGGTTATGCAGCGTTCGTCTCCAGGGTCCCCAGGGTCTGGAAGGGGCAAGCTCAAACTCAAAAGAAGGTCTCGGGGAGGGATAAAGGGATGTAGAGAGGAGGAGAGGAGACGAGGGTCGAGAGGCAAAGGTTGAGAGTCAAGATGCTCTTGGGTCGCGGGATGAATGGGGATTGAATGGGGGCTTCTGTGGTTTTGGGGTGTCGTCAATGGAGAGCCAGAGACTCAATAAGGTTTCTGTCCCAGGTGGCGCCCTTTGGCGTTTTTGGCGCAATATGTATATCTTTCGGGGCTCTCCAGGGCTTTCGTCCAGGGCTCTCCTTCACTACACTCCCACTACGCTCGCAGCGCACTCCCACTGCTCGCTGCACTCCCACTGCTGCTAGCCCTAGTCCAGCTGCGGCGCCCACCCCACTGTCTCCAAATCACGCACGCCTCCCCCCCTGTTGGCACCTGGGAGGCCCACACCCACCAGCCGACGCCCGGGGGGTAGCTCCCTCTTGGCGTCTTTTTGAGTTAGCGCCGACGTCGTGGGTCTGCTGAGACGGGATCTCTAGACCAGACGCCAGACGCAATAGCGACTAGCTCGGGAGGGCTGAAGGATCGGGACCCAGCAGCTGGACCAGGCCTGGAAAGCTCCAGGTCATGGCACAAATGGCACAAAGCACAAGGGAAAGGACGCCAGTGAGAGACCAGAGGCGGCAAGCATTCAAGTCGAGAGACACACACGCACAGAGAGAGAGGGTGTGTGAGTGTGCGTGAGTGTGCGTGAGTGACTGTATGAATGCGTTATGTGTGTGGAGAGACGGAGACAAGCGGCGAGCCCAGCGGAAGCAAATGCAGCACCCAGCAGCAGCCACCGCGACTATTTCCTCTCCACTCCCACCCTCCAGCGCCCGGAGCTGGACCCGGAGAGGCGATGAAGAAGGGGGGGATGGATGGATGGGTGACAAGGCCACTGGCTGCTTGCACTACGCACTACGCACTACGCACAATAAATGAATGGGTGAATGGATGGGATGGATGGATGGATGGACGGATGGGCGAGCGAGCGCAAAGTGACGGGACGTGGATTCAGCTCCGGAGGGGCGTGTCTCTATGCAGTACAGCTCCAAGAGACAACAAGAATAGCAAAGGGGAGAGCAACACGAGGGTTAAACGGGAACAGCGACGAGGCCCTGACTGAAGACGACGAAGCAGACGTAACCCACCAGAAATGTTGCCGCAAAGTAATGGACCTTAGGATTCCAGCTGCAGATGCCACACGCCGCAAGTGACTGAGAGCGACTGAGTACAATAGCAACTGACATGAATGAGAGCGAGCCTGTGTAGTGTGCGTGCGTGCGCACCATCGACCGGATGTGGACGACAACAAGGATCTGGACGGTCTCAGTCGCCGTCGCCCATCTCGCGCGCTCATCCTTTTCCCTGTCCAATTTGACTGGGGCACGCGGGAGCAACAAGCCTCATCCCTATCCCCATCCCCATCCATCATCCATCTCCTCAGTCCCTGCGCTGCTGCTGCGTGGCTGGCCCAGATCGGGAACGGGGCGTGTGGGAGGTTGGATGCCCAGGACGCCCCAAGACGCCCTACGGCCTACGGCACGCAAATCACTCCCACGCCTCGTTTCTTTTTTCTCGTCGTCCCTTGGGTCTGGATCTGGTCTGGGTCCAACTGGATCACCTCAGTGGCCGATGCCTTTGAGTCTGCGTCTGCGTCGGTGTCTGTGGCGGTGGTGCCAGAGCCGGTATGGTGTGTGTCATGGGTCATCAACAGGCCTGGGCTGGCGGGCTGACAGGCTGGGGGGGGGGGGGCGCCAGGCCTGCCTTTGAACGTGCGCTCTACGTATGAAGAAGCAAAAGCAGTCTGAGTCGAACAGCATGTATCCCAGCCACCAGCTCAGTGGGCTTGCTTGGGCTTGCTGGATGAGGCTGTCCGCCTGTCTGTCTACCCCGTGGCGCGAACCGGCTGGACTATGTTTCTCCTCTCCCCTGGAGGCGGCGTGCAACCGTGCAACGGGGGGCGGCGGCGTCAGAAGGCGCCCGCGAGTTGGACGACAAGAACTGCAATGGTGGTGGTGGTAGCGATGATGATGATGGAGGTGTCTGAAGCGCAAGCGCAAGCGGGAGCTGAGTGTGTGTTGCGTGCCCCCCTAAAACGACTCAAAGTCATATTCGTCCATACGCACGCCAGGACCTGGGGAAAACGCCATGGGCATAAGCTTGCCAATTATGACTAGACCCCGTCTTTTTTTGCTTCCGGTATCCGAGCTGGGGAATTCTCGTCGCCGGTTCCAGAGATGGACCCGTCTCAGACGGATCGATATGCTCGCACAGTCCCATGGCAGCAGACAACCAAACTCGGAGACGACAGGGTCACCCAGGCCCAGGCCTCATAGAGTCAAACCGGCTGTGGCATCCTGGAGCACGCCTGACGGCCGTGCTATGTGCGTTTTTGTCGTTGACGTGGGATTATAGGGGACCTTGTCTTGTCTTGCAACAGAGAATGACGGTCCAATGGACAGGGCGAGACGCACGACAGACGCACAACGGGCAAGCCGGGGGTGGGCGAGATAACTAGGGCACGCCGCTGAAACCGAAGTGCCGACTGGGTAAGAAGGGTAAGACGGGGGCGAGGGTGTGTCATATTGGACAGAGGACGAGAAGGAGGACGACCAGGAGCAGAGAGACAGACAACGAACCGAGCCTCACTCAGCAGGTTCAGCTGGATGACAGACATGACAGCTTGGGGCCTTCTCGTCCGACATGACCCTCAGATTGAAGTCCTAAAATAAGCACAGCTGGACTCACGCGGAGACCTGACTGGTGATCTGCTGGAGTTGTTCGCAGCCTCCTTTGGCCAACACGAGATGCAAATGCAAACTCATCAGACCTAACACAAGACAGCCAGATGCCTCCAGCAGAGACAGACTTGGCATGACGTGGGATGCGACAAGACGAAAAGGTCGAGAACAGGTCGAGGCCATTCCAAATACCGCCCGTGCCTTAATCCTACTCCTCCACAAGACCCGAGGCCCTGGATGCTTGAGTCTTTTTTTAGGGATTCGTTTAATTATCACTCTCCGGACTGGCCCTTTCCCGGTTCACTGCCCCCCATGTACGTGGGATCGCCCGTGGGAATGAATTAGCGATCACCAACATGTGTAATACAACGCCAGGCTATAGGTTTCTCTCAGACCAGGAGCCAATATTTGGGCTAATTTTTCTTCTTCTCTGTCTCATGCTCAAAAGCCCGCCCGTGCTCGGCCGTCAAGGGACCCATGCTCTCTGTACTCGTGGGAAGTGGGAAGGGGGCTGCATCGGGAAGTTGGGTCAGATTTTCTGGATGTTGCCGAGCCCGATGAAAAGGTGAGATACGAGCAAACAAGATTGAGACGAGCCAGGGCAGGGGACGCGAAGGGGGGTGTTGAGCTAGCCAGTGACGAGGGGCGAAAGGTAGCAAGAGAAAAAGAAGGAGGAAGGAAAATTCATAACTGGAGACTGGGGTGAAGAATTTGCTTGCTCAATCGAGGAGGGCCCTGAAAATATCGATTTGTCCTGTGCCATGATGCTACGGTGCGCCTACCTAGCAGCCCCCCCCCCCTGGAGCGCTGAGCTCCCAGGCCCAGCTGCGGGCTGCGCTGTGGTGGTGCGCTGCAACGCAACCACAGGGACGTGGGTGCCTGTAGGGTGCCAGGGGTGGGAGCGATGGGGCCCCTTGAGCATTCCCCAGATGTCAGAGCGGGCGCGTCACGATTTGGGGTTGGATTTCGCGAATTGAGTCTGAGTTTTCAGTCTTTCCCTTGCGGCCCTGGTTGTTGAGGCACGCATTCTCCGAGGACCCGCCCAACTGGCGATCGGGATCAGAGAATCAGAGGGCGATCACAGATCGTGGATCAGGCGTTGCCGTGCTGCATGTCTCCTCCACTGGTCTGTCTCGCAGTCCTGGTTTCTCAGTCTGCCTGGATCCCGGACGGGCCTAGTTCCCAGAACGTCAAGACTTCGTTGACCATGACACCGCACAGCATCATGCTGCTGCGACTCGCATCCATGATCCTGCGTGTCCTAATTATCTTGTCTCTCTCGCCTCCGCCGCTGCCCCTGCCCGCCGTCCTGATCACCAACCACGTCCCCCGGTCGTCCCAGTTGTCCCAGTCGCAGTCGCAGTCCCGGTCCCGGTCCCCCTGCTCCTATATCCACGTCCATCCTCCATCCTCCATGATCCATCCTGCATCCTCCAGCGTCGAACAACTGTGAGGCGCACGCCCCCTCCACAGAAACCACGGACCACAGCTAGGGGACCGGGGGGGCACACTTTTTGCCCTTGGCTGCTTCTCTGTTGAGCCATTCCGCCGCCATCGACGGATAGGCTCAGCCATGCCGACCCAGCTCTTGGGAACACATCGAAAATGAGGCGCTCGACTCCCGTCCTTGACGCAGGTCGCACGTCCGCCGTCGCAAAAAGAGGCGGTTCTCTCTGGCGTGACAACCACCCACCCTGGCGCCCGCCCCCCTTGCAACCCTCTGCTATTGTCGCCGCCTCGCCGCCCCGCCGCCCCAAGCGGGCAAGACGACGGAGGTCCAACTGGGTCATAAGCCCACCAAAGTTTGCCCCCTCAGTGGGGGAACCAGCTCGTTGGAATGGACGTGGGATGGAATCAGCATAGCACAGCTTGCGCGCCCGCCGGTAACCCGTCTACGGTCTCCTCACCAGGTCCAGTCCGGTCGATGAGAAGAAGCACGTACGTACTATGTATGGATACGTACGCAGGACTCCCCGTCGGCGCGTCCGGCAGAGTGAGGTACGATTCGTTCATCCTTTTCGTACTCCGTCCTAGATGTCCAGTGCTGTCACTCTAGCTCTCGCCTTCAATGCACAAGGGGGTGTGCGATGCGGCTGCATCCAGTGAGAGCCAATCCCAAGAACCAGCCCATAGCATAACTCTCCGGTGCTTGCACAGACGCTCCTCGATCTGGCATAGCCCACCTTCAGCTTCCCCGTTGCTCCAATAAACTCGGCCCGGAATGATCTGCTCATGGAAAACCACCCCCTGGCACCTGCACCACACGCTCACACACGCACCACCTAGATTTCCCAGAGTGTGTGTGCACGCCTGCGCCAGGTGTTCCCTCGTCTGCTCTCTTTTTCGTGAACAAAATTCATATTTTCGTTCTTAATTTACTCTCAATTGCCGTGCTTTGCGATTGCGCTCAGTACGAAGCACACCTTCAATTAACATCCGTACCCCAGTACCGATCGGGTCCCGGGATGGGCGGGTCTGTGCAACAAACAATACGTATTCTCTCTTGGTGAACCCATTGATATTACTAGCTCTAGTGGTGGATATTGGACATTTTGACTCAGGTCCCCGAAGCCCGCATATCCCGCGCCATGGACAATACGTACTCGCAGTGGCCACAAGTACGGCATGGATGTGTTGCCCATGTCATTCATCCTGGTCTTGGCACCGCCGTTGATGCTAGGGATCTTGGACCGGTGTCAGAGGTTGGTTGCGAGGCCCAAAGCTGTCTGCCATTGCATTAGCTACGGCGCTAGCTGGCCTCTTAGTTTGTTGCCTTTGAACTGCCGGCCGTGCTCAGTGGTCACATATCCTTTACTTTTACGTGACTTTCCTCTTCTCTATCTGCCTTTGTTGGCGTCCGGGGGGAGCCGTGATCCGGATTCCCTCAACAAGAAGCGCTAGGTACCTAGTTGGTAGATCCAAAGCAGGTACTTGCTGCACCTACCTACGCAACCGAGTTAGCGCGGGCGAGGCGATCACCGAGCAGCTTGACCAAAGCCGGGCCTGGTTTCTGCAAATACCATCGACCACCATTGAAGACACATTCGTCGCAACATGTAGACTAATTACTAGGGAGGGCAAGTACGTATTAGAAAGCGCACTTTCACAATTCACACCACACACACCCGCGAGCTAGCACCAGATCCAACACACGGCACGCCGGACGTGGCATCCGCGCCCCTTCCACCCCCCGGCCTGTTGCGTAGTCGGCGCGCCCCGGCAAGCAGCCCGCAAGCCCAGCAGCCAACCAGCCAGCCATCCAGCCCTCTGTAACGGTCCGTCGACGACGAACAGGATGATCCTTCACTATCCTTTACTACAGATTGCCCAGGCATCGGGAGGGCGTTTTTAACTACACCACTAGGGGGGGTAGCCCCCAGATTGCGGCTTGGGGTTGAAGACCTGGCCGTCTTGGCCAACTGCCAGTTCAACAGCCAGATTTGATGTTTTGCCATGATGCTCCGAGGTGCCGAGGGTCAAACACACGCCGCAGCACACGGCGGGTCGGGGTCCACGACGACGAGAAACGTCGTACGTACCAGCTTCGTACCCAGTTGGGTACTCTCACCTGAAAGCTTGCATGGGCCAGCTGGTGCGTGCGAGCATGACCCCCAACCTTGTTGTGCGCCAGCCAATCTCGTCCCAACGTCGAGTCTCCCACCAACAACAACAGTGCTGCATCCAATACTCAGCGTGTACGGCTGAGGTACAGCGTCGTCGTCCGCGCTCAGCAGGCTGCCATACATTGGCAGTGGCATCTCTGGTGGCCGGCCGGGGGCGTGACGACTTGGTCCCCGCCAGGCTCATTGAAGCCAAACCTTCCTCTCCCCCCTTCCCCCTTGTTGCCATCGCCGTCTTTGGGTTCGCATTGGTTAGTGCCAATGCGTCGACACTGCACTTGCATCGCCGTAGCTTAGGCCCAGACTCAGCTGAGGTGCATGGACCAGGGGGTGACAGGTGGAAATGGCTCAGCGTCGTCTCTGCATCCGTGCTGTGACGCCTCCTCCTCCGGCCTCTGTGCGCAACGACGCCACCGAGAGCGCGAGCAGCTGTCGCCGGTCCATCAATATACCACTATGCAGTCCGTACGGTCCATTGGGTCTGGGGATCTGAGCTATTGGATCCCGTGGCCTGCAAGTGGCCATCCACGATCCATCGCACAGGCTGTCCCACAGATCATTGTGCGTCCGATGCACCCATCCGCTCGCTCGTCGTCATGTCCCGAAAGGCCAAGCGCCATCGCCGAGGCGTCAGAATGACAATGGGAACTGAGCCACCGAGAGCAATAGGATGCGGTTACACGGCACGGGGGCACGTCCCGAGCAGGAACTAGGACTAAGGTCAACAGGAGAGACAATTTGTGTCGAGCTGTCACTATGCCTAAAATTGGAACCTGTAATCTCTCTATCTCTCGCGAGCTGGCCGATTACGTAGTCGATTCTTCGATTATTGAAGCGCGGATTCATGATATGAACCTCCAGGATGTGGTGCTGGGAAGGGTGCTTACTCACCAACCCTCCCCGTTCCAATTCCAGCAGCGACTGGAGTGAGACCTCGTCACATGGCCAAGCTCGTCTAAGATTCCCAGATGCGGGCAAGGCTAGCAGTCTTGTCTCGACCTTAATCTCCTTTCCGCCTAGCCCGTGCGGGAGAGGCATTGGGGTATCGCGACTGGGAGTCGGTTCTCGGTCGCCCCATTGCGGTATGGTATGGGGCTCGGGCTGGATCCATCAGCCACGTTCGTCGATCAACGTCGATTCATTGTCCGGAATGAAAGATTGAATAGACCATTGCCGCCATGGCTTGTCAAGGGCCCAGGCTTGTTGGTTCTGTAGGCTCGGAGTTGCCATTCAGAAAAGAGGTGTTGGGCTTAGTATGAGGCCATCGCTATTGTCGCTGAATCGGGGCCGCAATGGGTACATCGCCCCAGCCACCAATCGAAGCTTGGGACGAGATGACAGCCATTGTGGCAACCATTGTGGCATCCATTTGGCTGGCCGTGTGCACGCGGGCCCTCCCATTCATGTCTCTCTGACCCGTCTGCGTCATCAACCTTGTTCAACGCCATGCATTCAGTCGCTTTGGAGGATTGTGCCACCGGGTTCCCTTCCCATGGTACCGGGCTTGCAAATGGGCTCGAGGGTGGTGCGCCTTCTGATGGTGGGCTGCATGCCACCGCTCCATGGCGACAACGTTGGCATTGTTGGAAATCGTTGCCCACACAAAGGCGTCAATCATCCCTAGTCGTCCCTATCGCGGGCGTTCATTAGACATGAGCCAGCAGGTATCCACATTGAAATGTCTCTGATTATTCTACCGGAGAACTAAGAACCTTTCAAGCAAGACCGTTTTGATGTTCCCTGGTCAAATCGTTGATGGGAGGGGCCATGGCTTGAAGAAGGGCCAGAACAAAGGCATCGTTCTGCGGAGCACATCGCCCCGCCAGCGCTCTCGACGTAGCACTACGGAGCATGCAAGGGCGACCACCTGGCAATGTAATATTGGTATAATGGATCCTGTATGGAGGGAGCCCAGCGATTTGGGCCCATGCCAAACACCAGACCCAGGCTTGGTCAACCATGTAGAGATGCGCGGCAGCGGCATCTGCCAAACGACCATGTAGGGGCCCCTCGCTCTGCTTGATGAAGATCTCGGGCCCCATTTTGTGGATAGTTTCGATCCAGTCGGCCGACTTGCAGGTTGATTCCAAGTTTGTTTACTGTCACATGCTTGCGCTCGCTCTTCTCCGCACATGAAGTCATCGTTTGAAGATGTGAAAGCTCGCGCAATGAGCCGTCTACTAAGGTCCGCAGTAAGACAGCCTAGACGCACTAGGCATCACGAGGGTCGAAGGTGTGCCCTGCCACAGATCAGTTAATAAATGTGCCGCTAGGGTTTGCACCTTGTTCCAATAGAAGGCAGCCAAACTCCCCAACGAGTCCATTTTTAGGAAGGTGCTAATTCGCTGTGTTGACATTTATTCACGATGATGGCACTTCCCATCCACCAAGAGTGGCTTGTCCAGCTGTCACAAGGAGCACAGGCTGACTAAGGTGCTTAGCTCGTGCGCTGTACTAAACCCACACTGTGGTGCACACAGCAATCCATCCGCACTCCACACGGACACCCAGATGGTGCATGGATCTCGACCAGCCCCTGTCAAGAGGCTGCGGAATGCTGCCGCCACAGTCAAAGCCAAGATGTCCTCGGGAACCCCTTTCTGGGGTCGGGACGCCATAGGCAAGCCCGGTTAGCCGGGCTGGATGCTTGACCGTGGGAGACAACCGAAATCGATAGCTTGCTGCTTGGGCTTCAGGGTTTCTCCAAACATCATCGACGTCCGGTCTCAACGAATCTCTACTTCGCTCGGTCGTTCACCGACGTTTTCGGAATGGGCGAACGCTTAGTCGCCCCTTCACTTTTCCGGGACCAGCAATTGGATGTTACCACTCAGCTAATGCTCAATCCTGAGGTACGAATATACCAAAGTACTTCGCACGTAGTAACCTCTCACAGCCTCATCGCCAATCAACTTCGATCGGAGGACCAACGGAATTGACCCTCGCGCCCCCCCCTGGTCGACCTGGACGACAGGCCAGCTTCATCGTCTCCGAGACCCCAGTTGACGGACGGTGAGGTGGGACAGCTAATGTCTCCGGTGACTTAACTCTGGACAACGACACACCACTCCCATTGTGGACCGATGGAACAGTTGCTGCGACTGGCCCCTAGGCTCAATCAACACCCCATCGTCCGTGAGATGCCTCTGCACGGAGCTCCTTCTGTCATTGCAAGAGTCGCCAGGATGTCGCGTAAACCAAGGCCGGGTCATGGGTTGCTCTGGGTTGCACCCTTCGTGCAATCTGCCCTCAACGCGCAGGAGGGAATCGGCCTCATCCAGTCAATCAACTGTGGCGATCTTGTCCTGTCCAGACGAAACACTGTGCCATGTGCCAGAGCAAGATCCCCAAAGCCAGGGGCCTCTCCAAGCTAACCGCAAGCCATCCGTGTGCCAAACTAACTTGGTGGCCCACCAGATTGATGGCGTCTCCGTGGGTGGGGCCATCCCCCCAGAGAAGAGCAGTAGGCGATAAGGCTAACGGGAAAAAACGTCACGCCTATGCAAACTCCATTCGTTAGCACATGAGTCTAAGCATTGAGGGAGCGGGGATCGTGCCATAAGGCGGAGCACCGTGGGCCTTGACCAAAGATCGAGACCATTCGACCAAGGCTATCCTGGTCGGCCGTCGCAGGCGGATTGCTCTTGCATCCCGGTAGTACGGGACGTGCCAGATCCAACGCCCCACGTCGCATGGATGCAGATTCCTCCTCATCCGAGGCTATCGATGTTTGATCATGAAAATCCTCAATTGGCCGGTCATGAGTGCAGTCAAGGCTACCCGGGGTCAAGGCTACCCGGGGTCAAGGCCCCCCGGAGAGTCGTGCCACCCAGATTCCGTCTTAGGCTATACGCGAGATTTGGCGAGCAGGTGAGAGAACAAAGTCGTGTTTGATGCCAAGCTCTAACGACATGCACAGGTGTTGGTGTGGGAGGAGACCTTCGGCTCAAGGGCAACTTGAAGAGACCGGGCCTGAATCAGGCCTCATCCGTTATTACTGCTTTCCAACGGTGCACAGTGGAAATAGCGATTGAGGTCATTCGTCTCCGCGGCCGCCTCGGCTCGCGCAGGCAACCGGGACGGGGCTGTCACCGATGCACGTACGCGCTGAGCCTGGAGCCATCGCAATACACGGAGCTGTTGTGAAAGCGTCACACGACTAGGGACAGGACGCAGACAAAGAGAGATTCCATCGGGGGTCAGTTGCCAGGTCCGTACGAGGGACATGTATGCAACCCAAAGCCTCGGGACCGACCAGTGCGGGTGGCTGTGTTGTTTCTCCAACTGTCTCTCTCAAGTTCCCCATGTACGACACACCAGTCGACTGAATTGGGCTACAATGCTGTGCGCGGTACTTCCACCACGACATGTGGACTGCCGGGAACTGCAGTCGCCTCGTCATTTTTTGCTTCTTCTCCCACCACAGAGGCACTGGGGCTAGATTACCCACCCAAGCGTTTAGCATCGCAAGAGCAGATGGACCTGCATGGGCAAATGTGATGCCTCATTCACTAACCTCTCGAAGTGTGGATGGGGAAACCGTTCAGCACGTGGAGCAGCGTCTTGGCTGCTGAGACTTGAGAACAGCTGAGCGCTAACAGCGCCTTCTGCAAACCCCTGCTGGAGGGCCTCCGCGAAGGGACGGCGATGTCTACCAGGAGAGACAAGCTCTCGGGGACCTAACGAGGTTTGGATTTATTGATTTTGCCAGGTGATGTCGGCCGCTCTGTGTGGCTCACTAGCAACTCCCTTGATCAGGTTTGCAGAACGGGGCACACATCCGGCCAGCATGAGGCCTGTTGGCACGGTGGAGAAATGCTCTCATCGACGCCCTCGAATGGCGGATGATCTGCACTCAGGATCCCTGCGCCGATCGTCCCTGGTGGCGTCTCTCTCCCAAGCCCATCGACAAGGCTTACCGGGCCTAGGCGCTTTGTTGAGACGTTGTGTGTGCCAGCCTTCTACTACCAGGCCGACCTTCAATTGAACTCTACTCCTCGACGAAGTATACGAAATTTCGGATGGGGAGCACAGCGGCCAAGGATTCAAGGGCTGGGACCAAACGTGTCACACCGTCAGCCCGACCTAATGTCTGAGCTTGAACACATGCACACAGAGTCTAAGGAAATGCCCAGGGTACCTGTTTCTGATTGGTTATGCATGGTCTAATCCCCTGTCTCAGTTGGGGACCATCGTGGAATTACTTTTTTCTTCCTCTTTCACTTGCTTGTCCCCCGTCGGTCTCGATCTCTCTGCCTTGGGAGATTGTCTGGAGACGAATTGGCTCGAGAGGCACCTGTGTGTTTACACCGGGCCGTCTTGGCTGGAGGGGAAACATTTGATATTGGGAGCTTGAAGTTTCTCATATCATGTAGCCTTACGGCACGGACATAGGGTCACCGTACCCAGGGATGTCTATCCTGGACGCCAGCAACGCAAAGGCTCACCCGAGTAGAGTGACAGCCCGGGCGCCACACGCGCCCGGAGCGCACTACCGAAGTACGTGCAATCTCTGAGGGGTACGTACCACGCCGTATGTACAGAGTAAGCCCACGCCGTCCGCCTCCCAAATGCCGGGACCACTCCTAAGCCCTAGGGGCGCCGCGCCAACAGGCATGTACAAAGTACAGTGTGCCTTGTGCCTGTGCGTGCATTTGCTTCCTTGTGCTCGCAGCTTTAGTGCGGCCTCCCAGCGAGCCGTTATAGGCGGAGTGGCGGAGCGGCTGAGCTCGTTGCTTTTCAGACGCGGATCATTGGAGGGGCGGGCTCTGGTGTGCGCCGAGCGAGATTGGGTTGGGCTGAAGGATTGCAGCACTGCAGGAGGGCGGGTTGAGGCATGTCAGCTCCTGGGCTGCGTTCAGCCGTCTTGAATCAAGGGACTCGAAGGACGGGTGGCTAGAAGGATACGAAGCGAAGTATATGCAAACGGTCCATGGTAAACCCCGGCGAAAACGGGAGGTTTGGCGTCTCAGCCGTCCGTGTGGTCCTTAGGGAGAGCGTTTGTTGCAGCTTGTCTCTGGACTTGGCTCGGAAGGCTGGATCAACAGCCGGGAGATTCAAGGCTCGTCCCGGTAAGGAGATCTATCACACCGGTGTTGATCATGCCGCAACCGTCCCCTCCGCGGCGCTGGGAGGCCTGTCTCCCGGGAGAGACTCCTGTGCAGCCGGTCACGCAGGTCGTCATCGCCGTGTCGTTGTCGTCGTTCAGCTGGGTGGGCTAGTCCTCGCTCGGCCGTCGGTACGCTAATGCCGTCGAGCCCAGCCCCTCGGGGCGCGGCTGTTGACTACCGGTATTGGGTCTGGAGAGTGCGGGTTGGTGCAGGAGTTGGTTATAGGGCTTGGTGGCTGACGAGGAGCTGGAGCTGACGGGCCCCAGCGCATTGCAGCAGCATGCCTGTTGTTGAGATGGCCATTCAAATGACGTCTACTTTGGGTCGTGCGGACCACAGTTAAGGCCGTCGGGATGGCATCAAGGCACACTATCCCTGCCCATCTCCTCAACTAGTCTCTGCCTGCCGGCCGTTGGGGGTAGATCCCGGAAGACTTGCCGTTGACCCTACGAAATCCAGTTTTGGGGACAGACTTACGGAATTTGCCATGATGGCAGACGATCCTTGCAAATTGCCCATCTCCGCCTGACTTACTCCGTATTCCACGGCCGCTCACCCTCCCCGCCGGTTGCGGAGGGCTTGGCTGGGGCACATACCAGGATGGGTGACATCTCATGAGAGCCCATTCCCACGGTCCACCACGGCACTCGGGTCGTGACGGCAATTGCGTGCACTAACCCGACTGAACAGAATATGCTTAAGTTCGTTGCTTGGCGAGAGAGGACGGACTGTTTTAGGGAGTCGGTGCTGTTAGGGCCCAACATGTGAGGTTGTTGGTGCTGTACTCCGGGCTGGGAGTTGGGGCGATTGTAAGTCGGAGGCGGCGCGTGGCCGAAACGATTCCGCAACCTTCGTCTGCTCGGACGTCCGAGTGGTGTATCAGCAGCAGCAACAACAACACTTGGAGCCTCAAATGCGCTTCACCACCCGTAAAAAGACGACCTCGGACCGTCTACCTCACCGAACTGCTGCTCCTCTTTCCGAACCGAAGCTGCAAGCATTGCGAGCAGCATGGATTTCCTCCTCCGCCGTCACGTGGCTCGGTCCCCGCAAGGGCCGAGCAGTCGGCCTCTTACAACCATCTATATGAGCCGATGGATGCATCATGGCTGTTGCTTCCTCGTTCCCTCGAGCGGGGTTGCCAGTGTAGCTTCGAGAGCCAATTCCTGAATCATGGATCGCCTCCCTCAGGAAATCTACAACGAAATCGGAACTTGCTTTGCGGACGAGGAAGAGAACCCGAGATATGTGCTCTCGTCCCCTCTAACCGTCGAGCGGCCGGCCCTCGCCACCATCTCACGTCCGTGGCAGCAGGCAATCGAGAAGCAGACGTTTCGGAAGCTTCGTCTGAGGAGCACCGACTTGGACCGGTTTGAAAAGACCGTCACGGGCAGCCGCCGACGCTTCCTCAGCGGCATCCGGTTCGTCATCGTCCTCCCCGGATATCCCGCCGAGGCTCGCGGCCGGTTTGAACGAGAGGCGGACCGGCAAGCCAACAATAAGGCCTTTACCGACGCTGTGAACGGCCTATTTCGCATCCTCAGGTCCTGGGACGAAGGCAGAGACGCCCTGGAGACCGGGTACTCTATCCAGCTCGATATCGAGGCTGTTTACTCCCCCACAGATGACTTTCACAACGGCAGCCGCGGTGCTCCCCGTCGCATCGAGCGACTGGATGTGGCCGAGCTGGAAAACGAAGAGGAAGTCCGTCGTCGTGACTTGCAGGACCGTCGTTTCAAGTATTCTTACATCCAGCTGCTTCACCCGGTCGAGCTGCCCGTGGTGCGAGCCATCGCCGGGTTCAATACGACCGTCATGAAAAGGACGCTCGCCCATCGAACGGCGGTGGATATCGCGGCCAAGCTGCCAAATTTGCGCAGCGGGAATTGGTTCATGGACGATACCGAGCAGCGTTATCCGGCTATGCGCCGCTCCTGTCGGCATCAGTTAGCCGAGGTTGTCCGAGACGTGTTGCCGGTTGCGGCATCGCTGCAGACGCTCCACGTCTGCATGAGCCAGGACTTGCTCTGGAATCACGCTTGGATTCCAGCTGATTTGACTACTGTAGGCAAAGAGGCCTCTGATCCTCTTGGCCACGCAATTCGCGAGGCCACAGCTGACCTCGGAAGCCTCAAAAGCCTCACAGTAACAGGATGTCTTGACGAGTCGCTCCTCTGGCCGAGTCCTAGTTCGGGGCCTTGTCTCATTGAGCCGTTCTGGCAGAGGTTGCAGCGCCTCGATGTCCAGTTCAACATGACGACGCCGTCGGGAGGTTGGTACTTTCGCGCGCGCAGGCCGGGCGATAACATCGACCCGCCGCTTGCTGCGCGCTCGACTATCCTGATGCCCCCGGGATACGGATACAGCGAGGAAGAAGACATTGCAGCAGCGCTGCGATATTCTGACTCTGAGAACCAGAGACTGTCAGGCGCCTCCATGTGTTTGTTTCGATGGGTGCCAGACGAGGAGTCGCTGGTGCCCCTGATCGAAGCCTTCGGGCGAGTCTGCTCCCAGATGCCGTCCCTGAAAGTTGCCTCCCTCATGACCATGATTCACATCTCGCTGGAGGTTGGGGCAAACCGGCAGGTTCCGACTCGTTCGCCTTGGGGGGTCTCGTATGCTGCTCCGGGTGAGGTATTCCCACAGCAGTTCCAGCTTGACCCTGCGTACCGTGAGGACGGAGGGCAGCGGAGGTTGCTCTGGGACGTGAAAGATTGGCAGCCGCCGGGTCATCTTAGGAGCGTCATGGCCGCGATTGGACGAGAGCGGTATGGGGATGAGCTTGCCGAGAAGAACGTCGACTTCTGGGCTGCGGTCATGAAACCCCGCGAGCTTTCCCGGTTCAGATGCTCCTACTGGTAAAACTCAAAGCCGGAAGGCAGAGAGATTTATGGGGGATTTTGTGAAGGACACGTTGCACCGGCGGTTGATACCTCGGCATACGGCTAAGTGTGTGTCCATTAGCTTGTCTAGTATATGACCGGTACATGTGCTTTATTGGACATAGGATTTCAGGATTTTTATTTTGCATCTGACCTTTCCTTAGTGCGGTATTGGGATATCTACTGATGCATGATGAGAGTTAAGGGAACTTGAGGGAATGGACACATGGCTGGACGAGATATTTGGCGACACACACGTAATCCGTCTTGGTTCAAATAGATTATATCAAGGGATTTAGTGACTGGGCGCGGGAAATAAGCTTCCAGTGGTTCATATAGGCTTGGTAGGTACAGAATGGAACCTGTGTAAATGGCAGATTCGTGGTTCGATGCATGTGGCGGAGACTTTCTCCGCTGGGTTCTGTGATAGACACGCCAGACAAGGATTTCTATTGTGAATAGCGTTTGCTAGGTCGGTAAGTGCATTAATCGGAGGCCCGGAAGTGTGTATGGTGGTGTGGTTCAAGAGCGGGGACACATTGGAGCGATACATGATAGTTTCTGATCGCGAGGCGTCATTCACTACTTGATAGCTGGAGGATCGGACAAGACACCCACCTTTGGATACATATCTTCCATTCCGTCATATTCCCTGTCCGTCGCGGTTTAGCGGAATAAACAACTTCCAGCTCAACATATCTATCGAACACAACTCGTGCTTGACAGCTAACCTATACCACAATACCGCAACTTAACATCACCATCGGGATTGGCGGGACCCTGTGCTCGTATGGCGTTAATGAATTCATCATCACAATTATCATTATCATCGAGTCTTGGTCATGTTCCTAAGCTGGGACCAAGACAGCGGGTCAGAGACTGTCTTCGTGAATGAACAAGTTGCTTACCATCCTCAAGCCTCATAATCACGTCCATTACCAACGATCAATGTTGCCAAACCCGCCCATTGTAGTTGAATCAAATAACTCGGCAGTCGTGTTCGAGTCTCTGGGTGAGAGGATGAGTGTGGGGTAGGAGCAGACCATGCTCGTTGCTTTTAACAAGGGTCGCCGTTGGGATCAGCGCTGATCCAATGTCAGCACTCAACCCAGCAGCGCATGAGAGAAGAAGAGATTCACCTGAACATGCAGGTTTCGTGCTCACATCAGCATCCAACCACGGGTCCCCACCTCGCGGTCCAACAAGAAGTAGCAGTCGTCGGCGGACGGGCCGAGGGCCGCTGGCACCTGTGCGCTTGGCCTCCAGGTTATCGTGGATATGGCGTCGGTTTGAATGCACACGCACTGCGTGTGGTCCTACTCGAAGTAGTCTGTGAGTGTCTTTAGCTTGCCCAGCTAATCCTTGAGCGCCGCTAGCACGCAGGGGAAGTAGCTGAGCCAGAGCTCGCTGATTGCTTGGCTGCCAGCCAGGGCGACGTCCGGCGACGATGATGACGATGATCGAAGAGAGGTTCATGTTGTGTTACTTATTGTCAATTCGTGGTGGAAAAAGATGGCGCTGAAGTTTGTAAGCTGGCTGCTTCTCGCAGGCGATGGTGTATCTTGTTCTGCCAACTAAATGTCCTTTGAGAGTCAAATTTGCGACGTCCCCGTATCACATCTAGCGACTACATCGAGCATATATAAATGCACCCGGCCTCCTTAGGCTTGAATTTAGTGAACCACAGGTATGAAAGTCTCGGTACTAAGTTGTCACTGTTGCTATTGCTGACAGGTAGAGCAAACTGCGAATCCTTGTGGGACCATGAGCGAGCGGGGTGGTTGAACGGAAGGCTCACGAGCCTAGTTCATGGCCGCCGTGGATGTAGAACATTACACGTTGGAGATGAATAGTAACATTGGTCCCGAATTAGAGTAAACCGCACCGGGCGTAGTGTGGAAGTTGAATGCGGTGGAAGGTCCGGCGGCCAATATAGACTCCTCGTTGGCTGTGCATCAGCAAGGAGAGCTTGTCCGGCGCCAGCATGAAATACGATTGGTCCACTCGGACTTCTTCATATCCTCGGATGTGTTGGAAGGCAGTTGACACTATTCACGAGTTGGTTTTCGGTGAGACTCGGGGTGTGCAGAGCGTCGAGTCTGGGAGAGGCATGACATGACAATGCAGCATCGAATCTGCTACGCGGTGCCATGTAGGACGATGGAAAAGCGCACATGACGGTGGCAGATCCCTTTGGTGTGCCACGGGAGTGAAATTGGGTCATCAAGCCGGAATTATGGTTGAGAAGCTATTCTCTGCGACGTGGCGATCTGATCCTTTGATGGAGTGGCTAGGTTGACATTAGGATAAAGTTCCTGGATAAGGTCGTTTCGACAGCTCCTTCAGCGGCCGGCTTCTTTCATGGCCGATAAAACGTGCTCAAGCCCGCTCAAGCTTGCTCGCGCCAATGCCGGGCCGTGTCATGGCGCGACGAGAGTGCTTGTGGTGAAACTCGAAGCATCACTCGTAGCATCACTCGATGCAATCAATCAGGAGCTGGGCTGTGGAAGCGTCGTCAGCGCCAAGCTACGAGCATGTTTGGAGATTTATGGCTGAGGGCGCGGTTGCGATTAGATGAGAGATGAGACAGATGTGCGACTCATTCCTGGAGGGCGGCTTTTCCCTTTTTGTTGTTGTTTGGAGGTTGTTGTGTGTTGCGGGAGTTGAAATGAACTGGGTGCAGAGAGATACAGTGGGATGCACAAAATGGCAGGTACCTCGGCCATGTACCGGTACCAGCAGCGGAACGGCGGGGCCAAGCCGGACTGGGACGCTCCCGGCTTCACATCAGCAATGCGACAAAGCAACGAGGTTATTTGCGCAAGAAAAGGGCCTGTTGCCAGCAAATATTCCCCTGTGTTAGACCGAGAATCGGCGAGCTGCTACTAATAAAGACGTTTGGCAGATGCGGTGCAGACGGAGAGTCAAATACCCGAGGCTCCCCCAGAGACAGAGACGGAGACAGACTTCCTAGATCCAACGGCTCTTCATCATCAACAGCTTCATTATCGACAAGTAATCCCGTTTCTCTCACCGGGACCATTAGCATCTTTCAACTTGGTTTGAGACCGAGCCATCTCAACATGACCTTCTTCCCCCGCCACGACATGACCGACATGGACTCCGACTCCAGCTCGTCCAACTCGTCCTCCGACTCCCACTCCACCGCCAGCATGATGACCATGATCTTCCAGACTCAGCGGGAAACGCCCCTGTACGCGTCCTCGTGGACGCCCTCCAGCGCCGGCGCCTACGCCGGCACCTGCATCTTCCTCGTCGTCCTCACCATCATCGGCCGCCTGGTGCTCGCCTTCAAGGCCGTCCAGGAGGCCCGCTGGCTCGACCGCGAAGCTGCCCGCCGCTACGTCACCGTCAACGGCAAGATCCCCCTCGCCGAGCAGATCTCCGTCAACCCAGACGCTCGCCAGATGACCCTCTCGGCCAACGGCGCCGAGGAGACCGTCATGGTCGTCGAGCGCAAGCGTGGCGTGTCGCGGCCGTGGCGGTTCAGCGTCGACCCCATTCGCGCGCTCCTCGATACGATCCTTGCTGGAATCGGATATCTGCTGTAAGCTACCCTTGACGTCTGGTGCAAAGGACCCAACTGACTCGCGACACAGCATGTTGGCCGTCATGACGATGAACGTGGGCTACTTCATGTCGGTGCTGGCCGGTGTCTTCATCGGCAGCCTGGCAGTCGGTCGATACACGCAAGTGACAGAGCATTAGATGAGACTGAGCCACGACTCGCCATAACCTTTCGATTTTTTTTCAACAGCATCATCTACAACATACAAAGAGGTTTTGCGCAGGCGTAATGGGCCTCTGTCAACGAGCGGGCATTCTAGGCGTTTATGAGATTTTGGCGGATACACACGGCTTTGTCGCCTGGGAGACAAATGCGTCATGCGATACGGCAGAACAATCAATCAACCAATTGAACTTTCAATTAAACATATCCAAATCATGGACTCGCCTGGTGTGCTTATTCTCTTCCGTTCATCTCAGTCGTCCCGGTTGGCAAGTAAGTACCTCGAGTACAGGTACATGGCCCGGGACCAAGGCACCGAAAACCTTCTCAAACCTGCTCACGCCAACGCCTGGTGCAGCCTTAGCTTCGGACGCTAACCTCCCTATCGTAGCGACCAGCCAGCTCGACGTGCCATGAAGCCGAGCTGCCTTAATCAGTAAAGGTCTTCCTAGTCCATAGGTTCCTAGTCTATAGGTTCCTAGTCCATAGGGCATTGGCAGATACCTATCTATCGCTTGGGAGATAGTAGAGAGGATGGCGAGGCTCGCAACTAGGTGTCCTCAAGGGTGTCGATCCATGTCTTTGATCAACGACACTGTTAAGACAATGCATCATACCACTTCGGCTACAACCCATAAACGACAAGGAGAGATCGATTCATGACCAAGGTCCTGGTTAGATTCAGTCACGATGTTATTGCTAGTAAACGATCCCAAGCACCGCGCCTCTTATTCATAAAAACGCATACTCGGCCAGGTCCTTGCAGGATACACCTTCAAAGACCTATCGCTCAACACGCATCCGCAGTCCCCAAAATGCATGGATAGATGACTCCAGTTAGTCAATGACTTTCTCAATTGTGTATCCTTGTCAAGGGCATGCGCCCGTATCCTTGTAACGATTGCGAATACCCAAGAGGCCAAGTGTCTCAACTCGACCCATAACAACGGGCTTGTATCCCCAAACTTTCAACACCACCTCCCGTCCTCACGCCCTCGCCCTCACACCCTCCCGAAAAGCAATCCTGCTGCAAATAGAATCTCCCATAAGCAAATTTCCTCATTCTCACCTCATGTCCCCTCACCTCAACCCTCTGCTAACCCGTAACAATAACCCCTCCCCACCAACCTACCCAACAAGGAAAAGCCGTCCCTCTATCCGCATTCAGCCCAAAAAACCACACATCGCTCCAAACCAAACCCCTTCCGTCAACGAACCCATCCACGTCATCTCAAAACCCATAAAAACAAAAATAAACAAGAATGCCAATCCCTCACCCCCGTTAATATCAAAAAAAGGAAAGCTCTTAATCATCTCTTCCAATCACGCCCGCCCTGCCTCCCGAAAACGGCAAATCGACTTTGAAGTCCGCCACCCACGCGATCCCCTCCCTAAATCGCAAAGCCCCCCTAGACTTTTCCTTTTTCTGCACTGAACTGACACCCCAAGACCAGGATCCCGATGCATTGACAATCCAAGCTCATTGCCTCATTAGGAAGTCTTTAAACTTACAGACGGTAAAGGTCGTTATTGACCTATTCCGCCCAGTCATGGAATTCCACCTCGAGTAGATTTGGATCCTTGTCACCACGCAAATAACCCAAAGACACTGCAAGTGCGCTCCATACCGTAGTTGAGGGATAATACCCCATTTCACATTAATTCTTGAATCAAGGAAATTTCTTCTATAAAATGGAAGAAGCTGTTATATCATACACGATCCCGCCCTTCTCCACCTATTTCGCCTCCTCCACCTCGTCCTCATCCGCCTCGTCCTCGTCCCTTCTTCAACGGCTTGCAAACACTCAACCATATGCGCTGTTCATGGTTCTCGACGCCGTCAATGGCGAAAAGTGCATGCAACAACGTGGTGCGGTCAAGGAGAGGGAAGGGTCGGTGTCAGATCCTGTGGGGTTCAAGAAAATAGTCCGTCGTCTTTTGGCCCATGATAGATTCGTCAAGTCCATTTCGAGTTCCCATCCATAAACATTCATGCTCTCGTTTGCCTCCATTCCCATCCCACCAATAAACCCTTTGGTAAATTCGCGAGTCAGACGCGCCTCTGACGCCACCCACCCACCCGAGGGCTCGTCTGTCCAGGCCCAGAAACGACCTTGCGCGAATGCCCCATAAAGAGAATACACTTTGTGAACGACCTCGAATGCGAGAAAGGAAAGACACGCAAGGCTTGCCCCAAACACACTCCGAGTCCCGAAATGTTGGATCCGCATCACTCCCCCAGCACACGGGCGGCCAAGCCAGTCCTGCAAGGATCGGGGCGAATGACAACATGTGGCGTCGCCCCGAACGATACAAGCTGACCAAAGAGCCGATATTAAAAGCCATCGCGAGACTGATCAGACTTGTTTGTGTGGCCTAGAAGCCATTGTCGCACCGGGAAAAAATGGAAGAAATTCAAGGGAAAATGCAGGTGGCAAAATCAACACCAAATCAACGCCATATCACCGGGACCTCGCAGATTATATTGATGTCCAGTGGGATGCGCAAGGTCGGAAGGCGGCGTCTCGGGAGAGCATTGAGCGCCGGGTATCAGAGACCAAAGGTTCATCTTTGGCTTTGTGGTCTTCACGATTGGTGGTGGTTGCTGGGAGGCATGCCTGGTTGCGGAGGCATGCCGGACCCATAGCCCTGATTCCGTTGTTGCACATAGCTCTGATATGCCAGGGCCTGCTGAGGGTCCATGGGCATGTTGGGCATGTAGTTGCCGGGCATGTGTGGTTGCTGGGGCATGCCAGGTCGGCCGCCTTGAGGGGGGAGGTGCTGGTTAGCAGGCTCCTCAGGAGATTCAACCTGATCACCGCCGTCGATGCCGTTTTCGTTGCCGGGAGTGGGCTCGGGAGCGTTCAGGCACGCCTAGACGACACGTTAGGATGTTATTGGCAAGTGCGCCTAGGGCGCGCGGGGATGCGAGCAGTGTCGGCAAACCCGAGGATGCGATTCCGCTTTCAAAGGGAGCATTGCGTACCTGAATCAAGTTCTTGCCCTCGGCCTTGGTGACAAGCGGCTGCAGCTTGGGCGTGGTGAAGGTGTAGACCAAGCCGGTCTCAGACACGACCAAGAGGAGTACTTGGGTGCCGGTCAGGACTGACAGTTCGTAGGCCTGCGTCAATGGGATGCATGGTCAGCGATAGAACTCGGGAAAAGGGATTTCTCATCGGATGAAGGTGCATCGAGAGCTACTGCGTTTGACGCGACACGCGCACTGGGCAGGCTCGTGAGGCGCGCGAGTGGCAAACGCAGGACGCTGGGAGAGGCGTGTGGTGATGGGGTTTTGGTGGGAACATCTGAAGGTGAAGTCGCGGGACAAGAGAACGGACCTTCTTCATGATACCAGCCTTGCGCTTGGAAAAGGTGATGTGTCGACGAGACTTGTCGCTGATGAACTTGATCTCAATCTTGCGACGCTCGCGGCTGCCCTTCTCATCATCGTCGTCCTCATCGTCGGCGGCGGCCTGTCGCTGACGCTTCACGCCGCGGGATTCCTGGGCTGCGCTGCCATTGCCGACGGCGTGAGAGTCGTCAAGCTCGGTAGGCGAGGTCTGGTCGTGTTGATCGGTGATGTCGGCCATGGCGTAACGGGTTTGGATTGAGAACGTCTTGTATTACTGCGACCAAAGGACGAAAAAAAAGGTGGTGGAGATGCTGCTTTGAGCGTGGTGCCGATGGATCTATACTGGATCTGGCGTGGGAGCGGAGAGAGGGAGGGAGCTGCGGTGCGCTGCCTTTCTTGTCGCAGAAACCTGGTTGGGCGCGCTGTGCTGGATCGAGTCTGGTCGGGGTGCGGGCGTGGGTGGCGCGGCGGAAGGAAGCGAGGCAAGGCGAGGCAAGGCAGGCGAGGCGAGGGATTCGGCTTAAGCAGGTCGCTCTTATTGCTGTTGCGCGACTCTGGGAACCTGTGGCATGCACATGCAATTGCCGGGGCGCTTGACCGCACAGGGGGAGGGGGCGATGGGGGGTTGACCGGGGCTTGGAAGGCGCAAAGGCGAGCGACAAGGAGGGAGGAGGGAACGTGGAGCGGGGGGACCCTCTTTTCTTGGCTCTGCTGCAGGCTCCGGGGAGTGGAGGAAAGCCTAAGCCTGCTCGGGGAGGGGGGGATGAGAGAGCAGGCAGGCTGCTGGGGATTGCTAAGCCTGCTGGGATGGAAGGTGGCGGGGGGGCCTGGTTGCTGCAGGAGGAGGCGGCGGGTGGGATGGGATGGGAAGGATGCAAGGTCCTGAGCTGCCCAACCACACGGCGTGTCTCGCCTGTCTGTTGCTGAGTTGGGGAGTCAGCAGTACGTACTGCGCGATTGCTGGTGCGACCGGGATTGCGCGTGGTGGGTGGGTCGGCGCTTGAGGGGGTGCGTGAGTGCGTGTGAATCTGCAAAGATCCGGGTACCTAGGCAGCCGAAGGAGGCAATATAGCGTGGTGAATTTGAGCCGAGCTGGACGGGAAGGCCGTGGTATGTTTCCGGCTCGAGCGAGACAGGGAAATCGAGCAGATTCCAGGGGAGATGAGGGTGGTGAGAGAAGAGATGGAAGGAGCTGAGGGTTGTGACTGCAGGAGCGGTGTTGGTAGCGGTCGCGGTGGTGGTGGAAGAGAAGAGGAGCGGGAGCGGGAATTGGACAGTTTGGACCGGGCAGAAACTGACGGATGGTACATGAAAAGGCTGGTACGTACATAGTAGCAATTGATACGCACACAGCTCGTCAACTGAAGCACTGCAAGCAACAGATTGGAGGAGTAATTGATTCAAGCGAAAGAGACGGCATGCGCCTGGTTGGCGGCAGGGCGCACCGGGGCGCAAGGAATGAATGCTCTTTGTTTGGCTCTTACATGCAAACGCACACCACAAACAAGCTGGTCTCGCCCAGCCGATCTGGTCTCGTCGGGTGTCTTGACTTGTCTCTCAATGACTTTGTTCCGCCCACGCCATTGATGCCTTAGCGTGTCGTTGACGGCTGTTGCTCCCCCGGTTGCTTTCTTTTCGTGTTTGCCTTTTCGAGTTGAATAGAGTCCCCACGGTTGGTCGTCGATTCCTTACAGCTGTCAGGGTCCAGCCAGTCCTTGGGGAACGGGAGCGGGAACGGGAAAGACAGTCAAGGTCCAGCTGGATGAAAAGAGCATAGTGAGGTAGTAGCCGTTGCACACGGGCTCTCCAGTGGACATGGACAGATAACCCAGGAAAGAGGTCAAACCACCAGGCCGGAGAGGGTCTCGAAAGCGGGGGGTCTCGATGAGCGACGGGGGACGGGCTGGTCAATCAACCCGCTGCCTCTTCCTGTTCCGTCCGCGCGCAGATTTGAGCGAGCCCAGCAGCAGAAGTGCAGAGCGCAAGGCCACCAGCCGGAAACCAACCTGGCCCATGGCAGCAGACAAAGAACCTGTCTGGACCATCCCATGCCATGGCCACGGAACAAGGGCTTGCCTGGTTTCCCTTGTCAATTCGACCCGTTCGCCGTGTGCCTTGCCCGCTGCATTCCTTCTTTCTGTCAGCACCCGCGTAACACTGCCTGCAACCAACCAGCCTTATCGGACTGTCCTCGATGCCCATTCATCCGCCAGTCTCTTCCATTGTTGTTCCATTGCACACACGCAAACAGCAGGATATATCGCAGTCCCCTCCCGAAGAACAAGGAGTTCAGGTACTTAGTACAACGCCCTGTACAAATACCATACGCTCAGGCTTGCCAACGCCCTGCATCTTTGGCTCTTGTGCCACCTCCCAGCCTCCATGCACTCTCTGCTCCTCCGGGCCCAGGAGGCAGGGGTGATTGTGATGGGCACAGCTTTGCAGGGTTCCTATTCCCTACCCTGTGACATTTGACACTCGGAGCCCTGTGCCTCTGTCCGCTCACACGGAGCCGACCAACGGAGGACTCAGGCCATCAGAGACAGCAGCAGCACTCCACACCCGCCATCAAACACCTCCCGTCTGCCCCTCCACCCACCGCCCACCTCCAGTGGCACACAACTGAGCTTCCAGGGCCCTCGCTCGATGCGTGATCCCGCCATCCGTTCCGCCTGCCTCTTGGATTGGTCTGCCGCGCTCTTCGTGAGCCGTTGTCGCAGTGGGTCGTTCTGTGCCGCATGCAGACCGCCGCGTGACGAACCATTCGCACCCTATCTCGTCCTTCCACTGAATTCCCATCCTTGGACCAATATATCCATGGGCAAAGTCTCGTCAAACTCGTCCGTCCTTAGGGGTCTGTCACTCACAGTCAAAGCCCTTGGTATCGACCTACCCAAGTCCGGTGCCAGCTGGACCAAACTCAACGCATTTAGGCCAAGTCTACACACCGAGCTCGGGCCGTAGGGCAAACCCAGGCCCCGTGTGCTCACTGTTAAACCTCCCCACCCCTGCTAGGCCCGTTAGCAATCAAATCTTAGCTAGCGCAGATCTGTCGCACAGTATCCTTCACCATCGCCAGCCATCGCGACAGGGACCGGATGAACTGAACACGAAGAATTCAAGCCCCCATGGCGTTTGGCACATGGTGTGCTCACCCCCAGTCAGTGTCTGCACCAGCTCGGCCTCTTTGACGGCCTCGACCCGCGTGTCGCATCATTTGCTTGGGCAAGTGGGGGACGTTGCTGGGCGCAGAACATGGCGAATCGCAGCAAAATGGCTGATTGCTATTCAACAAGCGCGCCCGCCATCCCTGCTTGTACGACATACTGCTTGTATGAGAACTTGGAGATTGGGCTGCTCCTGGTTGGATCCTGCCGGGTGTGGCTCACTTTGACTCGATAGTCTGTTTGCCTGTATGCCCGCTCGGCCGCCCGCCGCCCTCAAATCACATTTTGCTGGTCGCGCATGCCAGCTCCCGGCAGAGATCATGGTGGTGGTTGACCCTAGTGCGGCGCGTTCGCGGGGACAAACGAGGCCGCCAGCGAGCAGGGGCACGAGAGCCTGACCAAGAGCAAAAGGCCCTGGCTATGTCCATGGCAATAATACTATAGCCACGGAGTGGAAATCGGGGGTAGGCGGGCCTAGTTCCCTCGGTTCCCCAACCGACCACTTGGGTTACACTGATCGAGGCCCTGGCAAAAGGGCATGCTCCCCCGAGCGGTGCTGAATATACCGCAGGCCTGGTCGAGCCTGATTGGCGGAAGGTTGTCAACGCGCCGTCAATCTGGAGTCGGCGATTTCAATTACACGGAGGCGGCGAGCACCATGGACGTGCTCAAGCGCGAAATCATGGTCAGCATAGTGGGGCCGAAGCCAATGGAGCTACGAACCGGAAGCACACCGTCATGTCATCCCATCCTCCAACGGAGGAGACGTCGACAAACCCTGTGGAGACTGCTGCACTGATAGCTAGTCAAATCCAAGAGGCGGGGATCCTGATGTACCACGTCTGTGGATGGCGGATTCGATGGCCTCGGCTCCGTCGGAGGGTGGCGGGAAGGTCCAGGGTCGTTGTTTGTGATGAAGGGGCGACTTTAGGGCGGAACAAGTGCACCTTGACATGAACAAATGGCGTAAGTTGAATCGCGTCAAGCTCCGGAGCGTGCCGCAGGGCACATGAGGCGGGTAGCGACTTGCTCAAGCAAACCAAGAGAAGGTCGGCGGCACTGGATATGATTTCGCAGCTTCATGGCCCCCAGATCTGAAGTTGGATGTCGTCCAACTCCATCTTGCAGTCGAGGCTGAAGGAATAGACCGAAGGAGAAAGGCTTCATTCCGCAGGGGGGATGGCGTCTGGCAGGACTCGCGAATGAAGAGGGAGCAGATGCCTCAGATGGGACTGTCAGGCCGTGCTCGACTCCAACATGGCAACTTGGCGCTCGTCGGCCCGGAAATGCTTGCACGCGCCGAAGCGGGGAAACTGAACCAGACCCAAGGCGGCATCGTTTTCGCTGGTCGACAGCGGTGGATCAGGGGAGAGTGCGGGCAAACGGCCGATGAGACACCATTCTGCAGTCGATAGCCTCGAGTCTCCGGAGTCCAAGACCAAGGCGCAGGGCCTCAAAGACCGGAGGGTGCCAGGGATCCCTGAGGATTCTGGTGCGAACACCTTAGCCTAAACAGGTAGATGTCCGAATGCGCGTCACAGTGTCGGCGTGGATCAAGGCTGCAGAACCACGGTTTTCACGGGCGACCACCGAGAGGTCGATGAAGGCGTGGTATTGGTGGCGTGAGATGGGGTGAATGGGGAATGGAGGGGGGGGGGGACTTCTGGTGGCAGCCGTGTTGTGTTGCCCGTGTCCCGTCCGTTGCCATTGAGAAATGAGATGGAGGGCCATCGGCTGGTAAGCCATGGAACAGCTCGGAAACAGCGCAAATGAGACTAGCGCAGCTTGGCGGTTGCGTGCATGCCAGCGCCCGTGGTGGTTGCCCGTAGCGGTGGTCCGTGAACCTGAGCGATGCAATACGCAGGGAATTCGGTGGGCCCTAGCCCCTCGTTACGTGCATAGCTCGTGTGGGGATTGCGCTCGGACTGTTAACTGGTCAATCAAGGCTGAGCCTCGGGCAAAGCAAATACGATCAGGTGCCCTCCTGCACTCACAGTTGGCCGAGTGGGCAGGAGGGGAGGAGCCGCAGGAGAAGCCGTAGGAAAGCAGGACAGCTGGGCAGGCAGGCAGCAAACACGGGAAACGCAAGCCATTAGGCAGAGCTGCCAGTTTGTCGCTTATTACGCAGTAGAGGGACGCACATCAGCAGCAAGCCGTCTTTCTCTCCCAATCAGTTCCCTCAGACTACTCACCGACACGACCTCCTTACAGAACAGAAAGCATCATTGCGCCCTACTGTCATGTTTGTCTCAACGGGCGTGACGCACTCATGCTCGCTGCATGCAGGCCCAGCCGCAAGATCACGGCATGAATCACCGATCCTGAGGGCTGAAGCCCGATGGCAGCCCTGAGATGCGGAGATGACCATCTTGCTTGCCATCTTGCTTGCCTTCTCATGGGGCGGCTCCTCCCGTGAGAATCTCGGCCATCCTCCCGTTACGGTCCACGTTGCAGTCAACTGCCGTGTTGTTTGTCATTGCTAATGCAGCCCGGTGTTTGCGGATCTTGGCCTCGAGTCTCAAGCCTCGGGCTCCCGGTAGATGGATCTAGGGTTGCGACGTGTCATTGTGAATTGGCCACGCTCCCGCCCGGCCTGATTCTTTCGATGCAAACAAACGTTTGGATGCGTCATAGTTCCAGATATAGCCGTCGAGGAAAGCCCTCGCCTGATATAGCACCATGGCAGTTTAAAGTTGCGGCCAGATTTTCCATCTCAGGCGATGCCCGAGATCGATGCCCAGGTTGTAATGCCCCAGGTCCGATGCAAGAGATCGGCCAGTTCTTCCGGTAAATCAATGCTCATCGGCAGCGCATCCTGGCCGAAGGTTTTGAGGGATGCTTTTCTCAGCTCTAGGATGCATGCAAGGTCGAAAGTTCTGAGATCAACCCGGCCGATCTATCGCTTTGCCAGGAGCTGTGTTGTCATCTCAACCACATGGATCAAGTTGTGCAAACTCCATCTCGGTGGAGATGTCGGTCGATTCAATTCGCAAAACATGCTTGATTGAGCCTGCCAGAGACAAAAAGATTACATCTCGCTCCTCTAACTTAAAGAGGCCACCAACTCCATGGCAATCGACAAAGCCAAGTCGATTAAGCTTGTCCAACCCAGGCAATAATCCCAGGGTCTGCGCCCACCGCCTTCACAACGGCGAGCGATGTTCCCCTAAAAGGCCCCCAGACCCAACAGGGCCCTCTCCCCTACCAAACCCCTATACCATATCGTGTCTAGTTTCACCGCACCGCACCTGTCAAAACCATATCTTGTGTCCCTCGGCTCCGAGTCCCTGTGTGCTGGGGGACGGACGGACTGACTCTGTCCTGTCGCAACCCTAGCGGTAGTGCTCCCTCGTCGGTGGTGCCTCGTCAGCGGTGTCTCGTCAAGTGGTGGACAGGTGGTGCAGAAGGGGAGGGAACGCAGAAACACTCCAGTGCCAGATCTTGTCCGAGGGAATCTGGGACAGACAGGAAACGGTCTCACGCCACAGAAGGACGCCAGAACCGCACGAGTGGATCGCACAACACAGCAAAAGGACATGGAGATGGCCCAGAGATAGCTGATCCCGGCGGCTCTGATGGTCCCTGGCGGCTCTGCGACACCATCTCCGGCGCACCATTGGCCTGTGGCCCAAGACTCCTGGAGTGCCAAGTGCGCTGGGGGGCCCCCTTTCAAGAGCCACGTCCCACTAGAACTCCAGCGGGCTCCAGCGTGCTCCAGCGGTTGTCGTCCCAAACGGGTGCGGTCGCCACCCACGGCGGCCTCCCATTGGCCACCGCCTCGGACGTGGCCCGTGCCCCGTCGGCATATCTGCGTCAAGATCCATATCCTGAAACGGCTCCGTTGGGAACATCAGGTGTTGTCGGCGGGAGGAGAGTCTCAAGTGTCGAGTCTGGCGTCAGTTTCATGCATCGAGAAGGTTTCTTTTTGTGTTTCCGTCTGTCTCCTTGTGCCGTGTGCGTGACTGTCACTGTCTTTCTGTTCTATCCTTCTCTCTCTGCTGTCCTTCTCGTCCGGTTGCGAGTCGTCTTTCCCTCTCTAGTGTCTCGATCTCTGTCTGGATCTTCGTATCCGCTTCGGCGCCGTGTCCAAGACCGTCTCTCTTTTCCTGTGTCCTTTTTCGTCGCTTTCGCCACCGCTCCAAGTCTTCTTCGGAGTCACCTTGTGTCATTCGGTACACTGAGAGTTCAGTGTCGTCGACACCAAATCGCTCCCTCTCTTCACCTCTTGACGAGGCCTGGCTAGTCCAGTTCAATACTATCCATCAACCCGACGCCGGTCGTCCAACGCAACCAACGCGGAATCCCATATCAACCGATCCTCAAGCGGAATACAACACCAAATAGTCGTCACCACGACCTAGATACCGAGCCGCAGCCCATCGCCTCAACTCGAACCGAAATCCGCCGTTAATACGCCCACCATGGCCAACAACAAGGTATTCCTCGCCACCGTGGCCGCCGATGGCCTCTTCCTCGCCGCGGGCATCATGGAGCTGGTCTTCTCGCTCGTCGTCCGCAGCCAGATGAACGACATACCCACCGATGGAGAGGAGGCCACCCGCAACCTGCTCTACCAGCGCTTCCCCCTGGCCGCCGGCATCGTCAACGCCGCCTTCATCCTCCTCACCTTCGTCGCCACGCTCCCCGGCCTCTTCATGCCCGCCCGCGGCATCCTCAAGGTCGGCGGCTACATGGTCACCTTCTGCGCCATCTTCACCATGTGCGTCGGTGTCTTCCTCTGGGTCATGACGCTGCGCATTCGTGGGGAGTTCGTGTCCGTTTACGTTGCCCAAGATCCGTCCGTGCAAAGCCTCATTCAAAATTCGGTACGCTTTTATATCAGATATCAAATAATACAAGACGGCCCAAGAGAAACTAACACTCGGTAATAGTTCGAATGCTGTGGTTACAACAACAGCACCTCTCCCGCCTTCGTCACCGACAGCACTTGTCCCAGTCCCGCAGCCGCTGCTCTCATGCGCGGTTGTGCAACCGCAATCTCAAGCTACGCCAACATCCACATTGACAGCATCTTCACCGTCGTCTTTGGCATTGTCGGTACGTCATTTATCCAGCCTCCCCCAAGATCTCTCGAAATCGAAAGCTAACTTCAGGGTCTGTTCAGGTATCGACGCCATCTTTGTCCTCTGCATCGCCTGCCTTCTCAAGGAGCGCAAGGAGCGCGAGCGCTACCGCCACATTGACGAGAAGAGCGGCTTCCGATCATTCTAAACAACGAAACCCATTCACCATCTCCCTTGCCGTTTGCCATTGACTGGTACGCGTGGGAGTTACATCTTCATTCGCTTCCTCACAGTATAACCTTGCGCACTCTTTTCTGGCTGTACTTGCTGTATTTACACCAACCGATTTTTATAGTTTCACTGGAGATTTGTAGCTCCATTGCAAGGGGGATTTTAGTTTAGAGATATCTGATGAGTGTTCACGGCTTGTACAACATGCAATCTTCGACATCGGGCTTTCGTTTAAACGCGCTGGGAACTCCGCTGGTGCGGGTTGAGCTCTACATAGACCAGTTGTTGCCGCATAATAATCTAAGATATGGAACCGCTTGGAAGTCAAAACAACATACGCTCGTGAGAATTTATTCAAATCGTCTAGCTTGCCGTCATATGCTTCCAAACATCGTTACACCCTTCGTACGACTCTTTGTCCGTGATGTTTCCACCTCTTCGAGCTCAAGCTTCGGTCCCTCCGCCATTATCCTGTCCCGGTGCCACGGCCCAACGAATATGCCCTTGGGGTCCGCCCCGTCTCGAACCGCTCGGAACGATTCCAGATTCTTGCCATAGAAAGCCTCAATCTCCGGGCGGTACGTATCAAAGTTCTTAGCCCAGTGAGGCCGTCCGCCAAGATCCTTCATGAGCCACTCAAACGCCTCATAGTAACGCTCGCGACAGGGCGGGTCGGTCCAGTACGGGCGGTAGAGTGTGGCGTTGAGATACAACGTCGGGCCGTCTTCATCGGTAGGGTCGAGAAACGGGCGAGCGTTGGAGGTAAGGGTGGTGTCGCTGATGCGGACTTCGACGGGAGCGTGAACGTACAGGCCGTCTGCGGAGAAGGGGATGTTGTGAGGCACGTAGTCGGGGTCCTCGGGAGTCAGATGGTTGAGCCACGAGCTAAGTCGGCGCAGGGCTTCGGGTCCCTTGTGTAGAGGAATAGCCCACTCGTTGACGAATTGCGAGTACAGGCAGTTCATCAGGAGCGCTTTGCGACTCGGCTGAATTGCGCTTGTCCTGGATCCATCAGCGAAGCCGTACTGCATGCCGAAGACGAACCACTCGACCCACGGCAGGATCCGAGGAGCCCATTGCGACAGGTAGAGCAGGTTGTGGTAGACGTAGTATCCCAGCGAGCCATCGTAGTAGCTGACGGGCGGGTCACGCTCCTCCTCGGTCGTCTTCTCTGCCTGCCAAACGACTGCGCGCCTCGTGTAAGGGAACCACCAGACCCTGACAAACTCGCTCTGCGTCCACAGCTCATGCGGCCACGCCTCAAACATCTTGTAATCGGTGTCGACGATCTGCTCCCATTTAAGGGTGAAGGCGGGAACGGCACGGAAGGTGACCTCGGTGATGATGCCAAGTGCGCCGAGGGACAACAGCGCAGCGCGGAAAAGCTCAGGTCTCGAGTCGGGGGAGCAGGATACTGTGGTGCCGTCGGCGAGGGTGATCTTCAAGGCGAGTACGTCCTCGGACATGAGCCCGTGTCGCAGACTGCTCCCATGAGTGCCCGTAGAGATGGCACCAGTGATGGACTGCTCGTTGATGCTGCCCAGGTTGGGCATGGCAAGACCATATTTCTCGAGCTCCTCACACAGGGCGTACAACCTGATGCCGCTCTGCATGACGGCGACTCCTGTTTCCTTGTCGACAGATAGGATGCGATTGAAGTTGTCGAGGTTGACGAGCCAACTCGACGTGCAGGTGATGTTGGACGGCGAGTGGCCGCACCCGGCCGTCACGATGCGTCGGCGGCATGTGCGGGCGAGGTTGACGACCTTTTCGACTTCGGCGAGCGACTCGGGCTGGATGTAGAGCTCGGGGAGAGAGGAGAAGGTGCGCGCCCAGGTGTGGTGGACATGGCTCGGCCTGGCGCGAAAAGCAACGCCGTCGTCAAGCTTGGCCAGCTCAGCGGCGACAAGAGGGTCCATGGGGGAGGGAGGAGGAGGAGTATGGGAGGATAAAAAGAAAGAGGAAGGGGAGGAGGAGGAGGAGGAGGAGGAAGATGAGTAGATTCCGAAGTGGGCGTTAGTCACTTCGCGGGTCTCCAAGCCTCCGAGGCGCAAGTGGGGACGACACCATCCGCAATCGTAAGTTTATCTAGACCAACTCCGAGGCTGGTGCGTCACTCGACGAAAGCCATGTCTTGGGCAGTGTGGTATTGGGTCGGGAATCCGCTGGACATAGGACGAAGTCCATCTATCGACACCATCATGGTCGGAACGCGAGAGGAGGGGGAGGGGGAGGGGCAACGTGCGCCAGTGACGCGCGACTAAAATAAATTAAAAAAATGTATAGATGCGCAGTTAAGTCCTGACGCATAGTCTACCGAGTGGGTTCGAGAATGCGACAATGTTCCATTGGTGGACGAGACCCGTTGCGCACGCTGATTGGTAACGACGAGGCGATGCACGTTGTCAATGATGAGCACCAAGACTGCCGTCCATCTTGATAAGCAGCGGCTGATCGGCAGTGTGAACGGAACGGCTCAGGGAAGAAGGAGGGGCCGTGGCAGGGGTCCAGATGGTGTCATCGGCTCTCTGGCCGCCGTCATTCCGAACCGAACCCGGATCATACCCTACATACCTAACTTAGATACTGAGTAGATATATAAGTATACGGGATATCACTTCACCATTCTTTTAGGTTGACATCTATAGTTTAATCTTGACCACCAATCCAGGATTAATTATTGACTGCCGCATTCCCCAATCTGACTTCTCCACTTCCCGATCACCTACCCTATACTTGCATTTTTCTTCAAACCGCAAACCGAAACCCTCCTCCAGGTTCGCACGTCTCTATTCTTGCATTCGATCTTTCAAGATAGGGGATGGCGGGGATTAATAAATTAAACTTGATAAAATAAAATAAAAAGTTGTTGGGGAATAAATGAAAATAAATAGCTTTCTAAACTTGTTAGGATGATATATAATTGCTAGCATGATTGCAATACTCAGTATAAATATAGTTGTTAGCTGGGGGTTAACAGAAAGGGTGATAACCTAGGTAAACCGCAAGCCTAATCGACAAAAATTTTATGCGGCATCACCGAAATCGATAATCTCCGGGCAGAGACAGACCATGTGTTAATGTTAAACAAAAGACTCCATTTTTTCGCAGTTCAACTATGGTGATATATAGCAAAAAGTCATCATTACCCCGGCCGTGAATATCAAGCAAGCCCTCATCCAAACATCCATGCGTCAAAATGCATATTTACTTTCTCATTCTTCCAATTTTAACAATTCATCTGCCTTACAGCTTAGAAGCAGGGCTGGGGGGACCTTGGGCGGTGATCTCATTGTACAGGAGCCTGGCATCTAAGTTAGCAAGCTGCGTCCTGAAAATTCAAACGAGTAAAGACTTACGAGGTCAGGAAGTCGGCGTAGTCCTCGCCGGTAACCTGCCCAGAGAAGTACTGGGCAGCGAGGTGGAACTTGTTGCCCTTGGGAGCCTTGGCGGAGAGTTGGTCAGCGCACTCCTTGAGGAGCTTCAGGGCGTAAGCCTTGTCGACACGCTTGCCCTCGGCAGTGGTGACGCCATGCTTAACCCATTGCCAGAGCTGACTTCGGGACACCTCGGCGGTGGCGGCATCTTCCCTAGTTTGGGGGTTAGCAATGTGCCTCGGACGAATATGCATCCTGACAAGACTTACATGAGGAAGTTAATGGGGACACAGCCGACACCTCGGACCCAGGCTTCCATGTATCCTAGTCCGATATTGAGGTTCTTCTTGATGCCCGCCTCAGTGATGGTACCAGGAACGTTCATGTTGAGCAGATCGTTCTGGCCAATGCTGACGTCCTCCCTCCGCACGAAGAGCTGGTTGGGGGTGGGCATGTGCTTGTTGAAGATCTCGGTAGCAATGCCAGCGAGGGCAGGGTGAGCAACCCAGGTGCCGTCGTGGCCAGCGCGGGCCTCGCGCAGCTTGTCGGCGCGGACGCCCTCCATGGCCTTGTCGTTGGCCACGGGGTCGTTCTTGATGGGAATTTGAGCGGCCATACCGCCCATGGCGTGAACACCGCGCTTGTGGCAGGTCTGGATGAGCAGCTTGACGTAGGCGTCCATGAAGGGAACCGTCATGGTGACGGCAGAGCGGTCGGGAAGGACAAAGTTGGCGTTGTTGCGGAACTTCTTGATAACGCTGAAGATGTAATCCCAGCGGCCGCAGTTGAGACCGGAGCTGTGGTCGCGGAGCTCGTAGATGATCTCATCCATCTCAAAGGCGGCGAGGATGGTCTCAATCAGGACGGTGCCTCGGATGGTACCGCGGGGCATGCCGATGTAGTCCTGGGCCAGGTTGAAGGCATCGTTCCAGAGGCGAGCCTCGAGGTGGCTCTCCATCTTGGGGAGGTAGAAGTAAGGGCCGAAGCCGCGGCGCTGGGTCTCAAAGGCATTGTGGAAAAAGTAGAGACCGAAATCGAAGAGGGAGCCGGAGATGGGCTCGCCATCAACGGTGAGGTGCTTCTCCTCAAGGTGCCAGCCACGAGGACGTACAATGAGGGTAGGAAGCTTGCGGTCGGTGCGCAGCTTGTATTCCTTAGGGCCCTGCTTGAAGTCGACTTGGCGACGGTTGGCGTCGTAAAGGTTGACCTGGCCATTGATCATGTTGTCCCAGGTGGGGGCGCTGGAGTCTGGGGAGCGGGCGGACCCATATTAGTCATGTCCATTACAATTGAGTACAGGCTAGAAATTGACGATGCCAATTCATCCAAATTTCGGTTTGCATCGTGGTGTTGCATTGTCGGGCCGGCGGGGGAGAATCCACCGCTTATCGCGAACTCCACCACGACTATTTTGTCGCGACTTACACGCATTGCGCCGGCGGCCGAGGACCAGCAATTGCCGCGATTTGGACAGGAAATGACAGTGCATAACAAGGAAAAAACTCACCCTCAAAGTCGGCCATGTAAGTCCAGACATTGGCGTTCAGGGCATTGACGACCATCTTGCGGTCGGTGGGGCCAGTGATCTCAACGCGGCGATCGACCAGGCCGGGCGCCGGTGGCGCGCCCCTCCAGGTGGCATTCTCTCGGATGTGCTTGGTCTCGGGAAGGAAGTCCGGCAGGACGCCGCGGTCGAGTTCGGTCTGGCGAGCCTTGCGGCGCTCGAGCAGATTCTTGCGGGTGGCGTTGAAGGAGCGGTGCAGCAGGGCCAGGAAGGCGAGGGCTTCGGGGGTGAGGATCTTGCGGTGAGCGTCGTCGATGTTGCCGAGGACGGCGACGCCTTGGAGGATGGATTCGGTGGAAGCCATTGTGATTGATTGTGTGTGGAGGAGAGGGAAGCTTGAGGGAGGTTGGGAGAGGCAAGACGGGAGAGAGGAGCGGAGAACGTCAGTGGGAGGACGCTTATATGTAGACTTTCACGTGTCGGTGGTGGAGATGCGACGCTGCGACCCGGCACTGTGATACCGACGAGAAAGGTAAGACTCGGTTTTCCTGCGTTCCCCGGTCAAGGATCGGACTGTTTGTCCGAAATAAGACGAGACTGGCTAACTGTGTGGGAATTGGCCTTTGGTGGTGTTGCAAGACAGAGGAAGTGGTGATAGTAGCTCGGCGAAGATGAAGATGTGAAAATTGGGGTAAGCTTCAAGCTAGACTGGAGCAATCCACGTGTGAGTGAGAAAAATGAGATGGAAATTGAAGTCGGACAAAACCAAAGGCCATTATATATAATAACTCATTACTCCGTAGACAGCCAGAGTCCCAACGTCGGAGGCCCGAGGAGAGCTACAACGGAGGCGCACCAGCGGGCTTCGGATTGTGACCGAGGACTGTTTCGCGTTACGGCCGCCCGGATCTAGGGAATCACCATTGACATCCACATCTACACCCACATGCGCATCCGCAAGGGGGGGACTCTAGCTACAGTGGATTCTTGCTCTAAATGGCCTTGATGGATAACCAGAAAATTCAAAATGTTGATCCGGAATCCAAGAAGAGAACGGGAATGAAAGTATTGAGGACCGACAAAGCAATAGGGAGACACAGCAATCGGGCGACGCGCTCATGATGACGCTGGCAGATGGCGGGGCAGCAGGGTGAGCCAGCCAACCCAACCTAGCCAACCTGGCCAATGAACCAATGATGTAATGAGCCTCGGCTAAGACTACCTAGGTATGCTTTCAGTCTTCGTGTGTACCTCCGTTTGCCTCTGGCTCCAAGCGGTCACCAACCGAGAGACTACTACCAAGAGGCACATGCTCCATGTCCCGTGTACGTACTCATCCCCACAAACCACGGCCATCGTCCGTGCGCCCCGGTCGGCAGCCATCGGCCTCGCTCGGGTGGATGGAACCAAGCGCCCGGAAAAAAAAGGTCAAGAATTAAGAGTCGAGAGATTGTAGGAGGTGGGTGGTCTAGAGCTTGCTGGACTGCGCTAGTTGCCATGGCGCTAAATTAAGCTAAGGGCACCTTAGATGTGATGGGAGCACAGGGCAGTGAAGTTATGCTACGGTTCAGCCGCGAAATCGCCTCTCTGGTTTAATCATTTCCGCTGAATAAAATAAATCATTTAAGGGAGATAAGCTGTGAACAATTTATCTTAGCATTTGCGATATTGTATTTATTTCTAATTTGTTTCTGTATTCTTCTTCACATGAAATTTAAGCACTGCAGGAACCCTGACAATACATTGAACCACAATTGACGAATAACCATAATTAAAATAGCCAGTAGAATTATGTTGTATTTTAGTAGCATACGAGTGTACTCGATTATGTTCATCTTGCCCAACGCAATTGTGACATTTGAGCTATGCCTTTGGGGACTAGTCCCAGCTGCGGTATCCCTCTTGCGGTCGTGACGACCTGGTTGAAGAAGAGTAGGTGACGCGGGCTGTCATGGAACTTGCTGTAGTAGTACACGTGACAAAGTCCCCGACCACCTCTTCGCATTTCGAGCAACAAGACTGTTTCGTCCCACAACCATGGCGGACATAGTATCACGACTTCGCCTGGCACAGGAACTTAAACCCGTCATCAGCAGAGCGCAGTTGGAAGCTTCAAATGTCCCATTCCGCGACGATACGTGCATGCTCGCCCCTCCTGGTTATTCTGCCGAGGATTTCGAGACACCGCAGCTTCGGCGATGCCCCTTTGACCCGGCCACCATTGACTGGACTTACTCCTCTCGTATTGATGGAGGACTCGATGGATACATCTGGAGGGTGTGGTTCGGAGCGGATAGTCCCTATGTCTTGAAAGTGGTAAGTATACTGTGGTATCTTGGTGTGGTGGCTAGTCCCGTCTTGCTCATCCAGTTCTTTAGTTCTGGGACGCAGAGCCGCCTGAATTTTATCACTACTTTGCCGCTCAACGGGAATGTCAGAATTCTGCCCTTCTTCAGATGATGGAAACTGCAGTGCAGCAGGCTGCTACGTCTGTCATCCCAATCACCTAGGCGCATGGTAGGAACCCCTTATAGCTTCCACGTCTCTTGGGTCCAACTGCATTATACCAGTTTCCAAGAATAGCAATTCATTGCGGGCGATACATACATACCGACTGCCCCTGCAGGAGACATGCCTGCTCTGGAGACATTCGCCTAGGTAACTAACTTACATCCAGGTAAATTAATTTAGTTAGTCCTTCACGGTGCGCTGTGAGTTGCCACCAGACGCGGGCAACTGCCGTGGCCGCCGGCGAGGATCGCTTCCAAGGACCGAACAATGAGTTAGGTACCTAAGGTGGCCGAGACTAGGTACGTGCTATTTGGCGTGTGTCACACCAATCTTGTGGGTACTTTTTCGGAAGTAAAATAAGTACCGCGGAAAAGCTGCCCGACGAACCCCCGAGCTTCGGATGCGGGCGTCGCATGTCCGGCGTAGTCCCCACCACTCCATCCCCAGTCCTAGACACATCCCAGTCAAACTCCAACTAATTTGCCTGTAAAAATCCGGGGGCCTAAGATCTGACTGTGACTACGTGTGGTTTCGACGACGACGAACGACGAGACGCGACCTAGACTTCGGAAATACACCGAGATAGCCTGTCCTTCGTGTTTCCGCGCGCCTCGGCTCTACGACATAGAGCAGCTAGTCACGGGCATATTCACAGTCACAAACGTGCCCCAGGGTGGTCCATTCTACCATCGCTCTTCCTCGGGTCTTGATACTTGCTCGTTGTCTTGAGTCTGCGGCTCCGCGGGGGCAAGTTTGAACTCGGGCCGTGATCTGGGCCTGGCGGGTTTTGGATGTGGGCCGGATTCCTCTCTGACATTGCCCATTCCATCGCTCTCCCTTGCAGTCTACGGGTAGATCACCTGATCAATTTAGTAGTGACAGAGTGACAAGAGGCCATCACTCATCAATCATACATTCCGATGCCAACTGGTACCGTACATATCCGTATATATCCGTGATGGGGGTTACTTCAGATCAGCGTGCATGTGCCGAGTGCAGCATGCAGATGGACTTGCAGCACGGGGCAAGCTTCTGGCCCAGTGTTTTGGGGGCCGGCCGGCGTTGCGGTGCCCCATCCATCTAAGTTACTTGGTAACTCCTCCGTGCGGTCTATCCGATCTACCGACCGAGAAGCCGAGGCTGCAGTTACGTCCGCCTTCTCACCTCATGTCTACCCACACCCTAAAGACTCGGCACAGCTCACGACCTCTCACATAATTATCCCGTCACACTAAGCCATCCCTGTAGATTCTAGGTTTGAATTAAAAGCAGCACACATCTGCAACTTGTTGAAACCAAGCCATCTATCTCTATTATCTGATGGTGGCGCGATATAGACTTGATGGATGACTGACTGGTAGGCCAGCTAACGAATGAACCAATCCATCAATAACAAGAGAAGAGAATGAATGAATGCATCCGAGTAGCCTTTGTAGTCCCCTTCAAGCACCGTCCCTCCGTCCAACAAGATACTGTAACTCTGAAAGCAAGAAACCAAGCCAAACCAAACGAATCGCAACGTGTCATCGTTTTACATCCAACTCCAGTCCAACACCCCTGTGCAGAAAATCTAAGCGATGCAGTAAGCTTTCCCTCATCCAAACAGCATTAAACGTTAATACTGTCTTGATGCACGTCCACCACCGCCGCACTTGAGCTCGGTGATGCTTCTCGCCCTTGAACAAACAACGTCGTTCGCTCACGAGTTGAGCGTATCCATCATCATCTTCTCCTTGTTCTTATCCACCACCACGAGGCCGCGCGTCTCAAACATCAACTTGATCGTATCCACCACTCTATGGAAGCTGCTGGCTGCTCCCCGCTCCTGCGTGAACCGAATAATGCTGAGCTGTTGCTTCTTACCATGTTCAATCACTGTCATTACCTCGGCAGCAAACGACACTTCCTTGAGCTCAAGATCTGTGTGACCTGGGTTAGCAAGCGCTCACGGTCCCGAGGCACCAACTCAACTTACAGTTCTTAGCAGCAACCCGTGCAAAGACAATGTTGCGCTGCTTGTCAACCTGAATACCCCGAATGCCATACTTGCGCCACTCCCGTAGGAGGATGGCTATCTCCTGACGCGCCCGGCGCCGCGAGATGGCCATGCAGACGTGGCTCGTCGCGGGCTTGACTCGGAAGAGGCGTGCAAGCCAGCTCTGCTTCACTTCGATGTTGCGAACGCCGCCAGACCCAGACTCGCTCATCCTGATACCAGCCACCTTACCCTGGGCAGCATGTTTGCCTACGACATGCTCCTCTGAAGATGCCTCTTTCATTTCTGGCTCTCCTGCTTCTGCATCAGTTAGCATCTCGAATTGTAGATGTTTTCGACGGCACTTACTGCCAAGCGACATGCCAGAATCTCTGGGCTTATTGCTCTTCCAGAATGGGAAGCTAAAAGTCTTTCTCTTCGCCGCAACTCCCATCGAGGTAGAGTCACTGTGCTTCCCCTCGCTCGATGCTGCAATTGAGCTGCAATCTTGCCAATCCGTGGAATCTCTGCCGACCTCTGACTCAGGCTTGTGCGATCGTCTGAACCACGACGACTTCTTCTTCTTTGCGGGACCTTGCGGTTCGTGGGAAATGTTGGCAATCGCAGGTGCTACTTCTTTGGGCCGCTCCAAGTTGTAAGCACTGTTTGGGTGCAGAGTACGCCCCGACTCGTCCTCTCCAGCCTTCTTTCTCACATTTAGCGGCCTAGGTACCTTGACTGGGCTCTGGCCACTTGGGGAATCAACAACCCGAATACTGTTCTCAACTTGGCTCAAGTATTCCAAACCATTGACCCTCTCAGCCCCCCTCTTGGTGGGTGTGTGAGGAGGTGCCGATACGATTCGAGTCTTATCATTGGACATGCCGGTTTCATTGATGGAAGGGAGTCCTGTAGGCTTCCTCTGTCCTCTGGTTTGGGCAGGGGCCGAGACAACACGCCTATCCGTATGCTTTGTGAGCACAACTGGAAAGGCAGTCTTGACCTGGTCTGCACGTAGCTCTCCAATGTAGTCGTCTCGAGAGGTTGGTCGGGAATCAACGTTTGTTGGCGCCAAGGAGTGGCCGTCATCCACTTCAACTGGAGGCAGCGGAGGCAGTGGTCGACTGTTCAGACTTTGGGTGGTGGTATCTGAGTCGGGAGCTGGGTCCTCAGCAGGACGGCCATCCGCCGGATCGATGGTTAAGGAGAATGAAGCTGCCTCCCGATGACTCTTGTCCACTTCTGTAAGAGAACCAGCAATCGAATCATCATCGATCAAAGAGCTACCGAAAGCATCATCACAATCTTTGGCAATGTTGCTGCTGAAGTGTCGCAGTTCTTCCCCAAAGATCTCCGAAACATGTTTCCCGTCTGCGACTTGCCTCTGAACTGGCTCTCGTGTTGGCCTGTTGTTCATCGCGCCGTTGGGAACTGGCTTTCGTGTTGGTCTGTTGTGTACTTGCTCGTTGGGCCCTGGTTGTATGTACACCGGGTGATGTTTCAGTGGGTTGCTATGCACCGCGGGCTTGGGGAGAACGCCGCTCGGCATGGTGGGCACCTTAGGAGTCGGAGAGCGATTCATGTCAATTCGATAGGTAGATCCTTGCTCAGTCACGTATGAGCGGACTGGACCACTGCGAACATGCCCTAAGGAGCTGGATTGTTTTCGAATGTGCGAAAAATCAACTCCTCGCTTGTGGCGTAGGCTGCGAGAATGCGGAGTTGGCAGTCGATTACTGCGGATGGAAGACAGTGAACCTCTGGATGAGTGGAGTCGCCCAGTGGTAGAAGTTCGAGCGGCAGTCATGCGACCACGGCGAGCGCCCGATCCATTTCTAATCCTCGAGGCTTGGACGGTGTATGAACCGCTGGCCGTTTGGTAGTGACGGTGAGCACTGGTTCTGGGGTAGCTCTTTTGAGCATCTCCATCCTCGGGTTGTTGACTACTAGGCTGCGGTGGATAGGTGGCATCTGGATCCGCCCCGGCAGCGTTAGAGATGACGGTGAACCGCGATATGGAACGACCGTGACCGTTTAGACGAGGTTGAGAAAACTCGCGGGTCGCCACGCGCTTTTTCCATGCACCAGGTTTCAAGTGGTGGTAGTCACTCATGGAGTGAACCAATTCAGGCTTGAAGTCTTCCAACTGCTTCTCTCGATAGTTGAACAGCAACCAGTAAAAGGCCTTCTGGTCGTTTGCCCTGAGAATGTTAGTTGTGAAAGTCTGCAAAAGTTGGAGTCACGTACTGATCGCATGTCAGCTTGAGTTGGAGGTCACTCTCACTGAACATGTGCCACATGGAGCGAAGCTGGCGTAGGAGTTGTGGATCAACGTCTTGAGGGGGCACAGGCGTGTATTGGAAACCCTTTCGCGTGTCGGGAGGCTGTGCATTCATGTCGTTGAGATTATCTTGAAAGGCGTACTTCTGAACGACTGGGTGTCGCCAAATCTCCTTGAGGGTGGCACGCTGGTCAGGGTTGACTTGCAGCATACGCCGAATGAGGTCTTCAGCCTCAGGGCTCAGGAAATCGGGCATTTGATACTGTCCCCTCTTCGTTCTCGACATCATCACGCGTAGATCGGGGTCGTCAAATGGTAGGGTTGCAGACAGCATGGCGTAGAGAATGACACCTAAACTCCAGATATCTGCCCTATCACCACGATACTGCCTGTTTTTGAGGAGTTCTGGTGCTGCGTAGTGGGGGCTTCCGCAAGCGGTGGCGAGTTGATGAGTGTCGGTCTGATGAAGAGCAGCCATGCCAAAATCGGCAATCTTGATCTGGAGATCAGCCGTGATCAAGATGTTCTCTGGTTTGAGGTCGCGATGGCAGATGTTGAAAGAGTGACAGTATGCGATCGCGCTAATAATCTGACGAAAGAAGTAGATGGAAACCTCCTCACTCAGCCGACCCCTCATGTTGATGAAGGTGAATAAATCTCCTTGGTCGATGTACTCGAGGATGAGGTACCTGCAAATGTCAATGTCAAATTAATCTAGTGGCTTATGGAGGGAACCTACACTTCGGAGCGGTTTTCCCATATATCATAGAGCTTCATGATATTTGGATGCTCGATGAGCTTGAGAATGGCCACTTCGCGCTCGATGGCCATAGGAACTCGCATCTCGCCATCGATCTGGTTCGGACGACTGTTGTCCCACTTGCTGAGGGCGGCCAAGCTGCTGTCCTGCACCAAATAGGCCATCCGTCTGTTAACAATCTTGACAGCTGCGAGCTGGTTCGTCATGTTGTGGCGGCAGAGACGGACTCGGGCCGATGAGCCTTTGCCGAGTGTTTTCCCAAGTTGCCATGGGCCAATATGGGTTTTGTAGTTCTTCTTGCTTCGGCTGCTGGCGGATGAGTCGTAAGAGGCCTGAGAGAGGCGGCTGGGATCTTCCGTCTCTTGAGGCGGTTTCAGCTCCCCAGCTCCCTGAGGTTGAGTGACGCCTGAACGGGGGTTGGGCACCGGAGCGTGGCTAACAGAGGGACCACCGGGGTGTGCATAGTTCGGACGAGAAACATCGTGGCCATTCTGAGCAACAGATTGATCGTATCGCGACTTGGGCCGCTGGCTGTCCTGTACAGGATAGGTTGAGTTGATTCGATTCGAGGCCTCAGAAAGTGGTGAGCGAGCGGAGGTGGCAACGCGCGAATCCGCCATGGTGATCGAGGAAGTTGCAGTGAATCAGCACATAATACTCGGAGAAAACGACAGTTCGGTGATGGGTTGAAGCGGAAAAGAACGAAAGGACGCTCGTAGGAGCAGTGGGAGAACGGAAAAGAGAGGCACCTGGAAAGGCGAAGTTGAAACGAGGCCACAGACGGGCGGAAAGACGGAAAGACGGAAAGAGAGAAGGAGAGAAAGAGTGACTGGGGAAACCTGAAGGCCACTGGGAGGGAAAGAGGAGGGGGGCGGCGGCACCTAGTATAGAAAAGAGGGCCAGAGAGACAAGGCACTAGGCAAAAAGGAGTGACAAGGGCTGGCAGAGTCGAGAAGGGCGCCGAGGGGGAGAACGGGGCGAGCCCTTGGACGAGGAATGCAATGTTTACGGTGGGAGACGTGTTTTTCGCGGCTGGGGAAGGGAGGAACCCACCGTTGGAGCACGAGTTGGGAACTGGCATCTGGCTGGCATCCGGCATCCGGTGTTTGCCATCCGTCGACAGCTGCCAACCGCCAGCTGCGCCAATATTCTCCACAGCTGGCACACGACTGGGCAGCAAATCCTTGCTTCTAGCCACTGAAATGCATTCCAGCTTCAGGTATGGGCCTCGCGCAATTCCGTTAGGGAAGCTGGCCGCCGTCCAGCCGTCCAGCCACCCATTCGAGGTTCAGCGACGTATAAGAAGAGCTGTAGAAGGCTAGAAGGCACCATCCGCTCAATCTCCGGAGTCCCAAAGAGGTTGCAGGTGGTCTCACCTCCTCTAAATGGCAGCCACGATAATATCCCCGATTTTAAGCATCCGGCCTGGCCTTGAGCTTGCTTGCACTTCTGGCCGCCCCATCTCGTGCGCCGAGGAGTTGTCTGCATCAAGTGTTAACACAAATGAAGTGACGGAAAGTGGATTGTGAATTAATGAGCTATGTGATTGCAGCTAACGAACAAATTGCCTTGTTTCTGATACCGCCGGGCTTTGATAGCCCTTGCTGGGAGCCGCCTTTGTGACGCTGTGGGTTACCTTCTTGATATCGTTGTCTGCAGCAGAAAATGGGGAGATGATGTTTTTGGCACGCAAAACCTCGAGCAAAAGCTCACCATCCGCGATGAATCTGGAAGGGGAGATTCCTGGGGTCCTCCAGAACCGCGGACAATGAAGAATTTCGAGGTCTCGGATCCCAAGGGATGAAGTTGAATGCCCCCTCGGAAGGGGTGTTGTTAACTTGTTGCACTAACGCAATTACTAAGCACCCATCACTTACACAGCACGCCTTGCCAACCTAACCGACCTCCCTCAGGTGAGACAAAGACGGTCTTTGTAGACAAAATACCACAGCCCGCCAATTAAAACAAACAGCGCGGATCAGAGTATGTTTTCGAGATCACAGGGGCTTCAATCATCAACTCTACCGGACTCAGTGATAAGATTTGCCGTCTGGACTGATAAGGGGATGGATAAGGCTGATTGGGAGAGCCTGAAAGACAACGCGCCAAGTCCTACACGAAGTTCTCTGGTGCAATGCGCACCTACCCGCCCAAAACCATTAGTATTGTGATAAAAGAAAATGGCTAAATGTCTTTTTAATCGCATCTGCTTTCTCTTTTCAGCATTCTTCCACAATCAGCGCCCCAAGGCTTGCCTGGCCAAGGCTACTCCCCCAAATTGACAAGGTCTCCCCCTGTTGCTATGGTCTGTGCTGCCGCTCAACCCCACCACTTTAAATCCGACGCCACATTTGCCAGGCGCACGCAACGGGCGCGGTTGGACGCGTCTTCGTATCTTGACTACTCAATCCTTTGACCTGGTCTGTCATCGCCACTCTTTGGATCGCACGTTACCTCTACCATCCCACTGCGCACATTCGAGCGACGCACACGCAAAACAATCCTCCGTCCGTCAAGGCGACATGGCGCCCCCTTCGTCGCGCCGTCGCAGGCGCTCTGAGAGCCAAGACGACGACGACGAGAATCGCTACGGCGACCCATCGCACGCAACCGACTCTCCGAAGCGGCCGAGGCTAGACGAGGCCGAAAGCGAAGATGAGACAGACGACCGTGGGCCTCCCCCGACGCACACGAATGGCGTGGCCAGTGGAAGTAGCTCCGACGGCTTCCAACCCGGCGCTATTGTCCGGGTCAGCGTCCAGAATTTCGTCACCTACGAGAAGGCCGAGTTCTTCCCTGGGCCACATCTGAACATGGTTGTTGGACCAAACGGTACTGGAAAGAGCTCGTTGGTTTGCGCAATCTGTCTGGGTCTGGGCTACAGTCCAAAGCACCTTGGGCGGGCTGGCTCAGTCAAGGAGTTTGTCAAGCACGGAAAGGACACCGCGACTATCGAGATCGAACTTTACAAGCGTGCTAAGGACCGACGAAACTTTGTCGTCAAAGTTCAGATCCGACGGGAGCAAAATTCGCAGAAGTGGTGGCTGAATGGCAAGGAAACAAACCACAAGACGATCCAGTCGTTGATGCGGAAGCTCAAGATCCAGGTGGACAATCTCTGCCAGTTTTTGCCCCAAGACAGGGTTGTAGAGTTTGCTGCCTGTACGCCCGTGGATCTCCTGCACGAGACTCTTCGCGCTGCCGCACCAGAAGAGATGCTTGAGTGGCAAAGGCAGCTGCAAGATCTTCACAAAGATAAGAAGGGCTTGTCTGAGGCTGTTCACACCGATTCCGATACACTCAAGAACCTCGAGAGTCGACAGCAGGGTCTCCAGGCCGACGTGGATAGGATTCGAGAACGCGAAGAGATCCTGGAGCAAGTGAAAAACCTCAAGTCTGCCCTTGTTCTTTCTAGGTACCAAGAGGCCCGTGACCTTCATTCTAGCGCTAAAGAACGAAAAAAGATTGCCGAAAGGTCCCTGAGGCGTCTTGAGCAGGAAAGCGGCCCGTCTCTGGTGGCCGTGAACGATAAACAGGAATATGCTCGACAAATTGAGGCCGTGATACCTCGAAGAAGGCAAGCACTGAAGGATGCCGAAGAAACGGCAAAGAAACGGGCCCGTGATGTCTCGGTCGCAACCGGAAATATCAAAGAATTTGACAACAAACTCGAGGCCGAAAGGAAGGATCACGAAGCGAAGAAGAAAGAGGTCGCCCAGTCGAGGTCTCGACTCACCGCTCTACAAGGCGATTTGAAGAACCGGCCAGAAGAGTTCAATCCTGGAGAATTCAACCGCAATATTGTAAGTATTGGTTGAACACAACGTGTTGACTTTTGGACTGACATGATCCCCCACAGCGAGGAGAAGAGCACAAGATGCGTGAACTGGAGACAGAGCAACGCGAAATAACCAACCAATGCGATGCTATCAAGACCAAGGGCAGAGCAATTACTACAGAGATGAAACAGGTGGAAGCAGACATTCTATCTTTCGACACTCAACAAGGCCAGCAACTTAATTTCATGAAGAAAAACTTCCCCGAAATCGCTGCTGGATGGGAATGGGTTCAAGAAAATCAGGACCAATTTGAGAAGCAAGTCTTTGGTCCGCCAATGATTAGTTGTTCGATTAAGGACGAACGGTACTCCGACCAGGTTCAGGCTCTCCTTCAAGTCGACGACTTTACCTGCTTCACTGCCCAAACCAAGAGTGACTACAAGAAGTTGACGGATCAACTTTACCGTGTGATGAGTTTGTCAGTTGTCGTCCGAACTTGCGCTCATCCATTGAGCGCCTTCCGGCCACCCGTGGAAGCAAACGAGGCAAGGGAATTGGGACTCGACGGATTCGCCATTGATTTCCTGGAGGGCCCTGATCCTATCCTGGCAATGCTGTGCGCGGAAAAGAGACTCCATCAGTCGGGCGTTTCTCTCACAGACCACAACGATATCCAGTACGATCGGCTGGTCAAGGGAGGCAAAGTTAACCAATGGGCCGCTGGGAGGCAGTCGTATTCAGTGCGACGCCGTAAGGAGTACGGACCCCAAGCGATGACAACAATTACCAAGAACATCCAAACCGGCAGGTTTTGGACTTCCCAGCCAATTGATAACCAGGAAAAGGACGACATGAACAAGAAAGTAACCCAGCTCCGAGCCGAAAGAGACACTCTGAAGGAAGAACTTCGAGAAGCCCAGGCCAAGTCGAAGACTATTGAGGATCAGAAGGCAGACACCGCCGAGATCATTGTAAGTTGAGCTATCCTGTAGCTGTGGGACATTGCTAACTATGTCACAGGAGCGTTTAAGGCGTGAGAAAAATACTCTGCAGAAGGAGTACCAGAAATGGCAATCCCTGCCCGAGAAGATCGGTGAGCATGTTCTCCAAGCAATTGGTGAAGTCTACTAACGTTTGTAGAATCCGAGGAACGCGCAAAGACAAACCACGAGCAGGCCATGCGTGATGCTCGCAAGAACATGGTTGACCTGCGATACGAATGGGATGCCGCGGTTCTCCGCAGAGCTGAGCTTGTCCTCCGCCTCAAGGATTCCGTTGATCGTATTCGAGCAGCACACCATGCCGTCTTGGACGCAGAGATGCGGAAGATCGAGGCGACCTCTGATATCCAAGGCCTGAAAGATCGCAACTCCCATATTATGGAACGCCTCCAGGCTGAGAAGGAGGCTATGCAGCAGGCCACAGATGAAGCTACCCGGACGAGAGAAGCAGGGCGAGTTCTCTCGCAGGCCGTCCAGGACATCCTCGCTGAGGAACCTGAGAAGAGAGACCTCCTCTCTAGCCTTTGTGAAGGAAAGAACCCAGAGGAGATGCAGCTGGAAATTGGTGGCGAAGAGGCCAAGCTGGAACTTATTCACGCAGCAAACCCTAACGTCGTCCGCGAGTTCGAGCGACGGGCGGGAGAAATTGCCAGGCTCGCCCGCAAGATGGAGGGCTCTAGCGAGAAGCTCGAGACCCTTACCCGCGAGATCGATGGGCTAATGGCCAAGTGGGAGCCCACGCTGGATGAGCTGGTAGCTAAGATCAGCGATGCGTTTGCCTACAACTTCGAGCAGATCAGCTGCGCCGGCGAGATTCGCGTTCACAAGGCCGAGGACTTTGACGCCTGGGCTCTGGACGTCATGGTCCGCTTCCGGTACGTCTTTCTCACGATCCCGCAAGAGTATATCACTAACGGCCGTAACCAGCGAGAATGAGACACTCCAGCAACTCACCGCCCACCGTCAATCTGGCGGCGAGCGCGCCGTCTCCACCATCTTCTACCTCATGGCTCTACAATCCATGGCCCAGTCACCCTTCCGCGTCGTCGACGAGATTAACCAGGGCATGGACCCCCGCAACGAACGCATGGTGCACGAGCGCATGGTCGAGATCGCCTGCCGCGAGCACACCAGCCAGTACTTCCTCATCACCCCCAAGCTCCTCACCGGGCTTCGATACGACCCCAAGATGCGCATCCTCTGCATTGCCAGCGGCGAACACATGCCCCGCGAGGGCCGCAAGCTCGACTTCAAGCGGTGCCTTAGGATTCAGAAGGGGTTGATGACTGCTGCGGCGTAAGGGACAGCAAGCATATGCATATTTCGTTACGTGTGCATGCCTTGGGAACGTATTTTGGGTTGGTTTAGACTGACATGGTGAATGGCGAAGGCGGGTCTGTTTGAGCTGTTAAATTTGGGGGAGGACATACTATATCATCTATGCCCACGACTTATGAGCCCATTACCATCGCCCGTGAGGTATAGTCCTCGCATTGATATCAAAGGGCCATAAAACAGGTTTCTTTCACGGGTATAAAAGTTATCACAATCACCGTCATCAGGCAGAACACGGAAAAGCAGTGGAAGGTGCCCAAATAGTAAATATCAATTATCAAGTCAAACAGAGAAACACTTCATTTCATCATTGACCCTCCCGCGAACCATTCGTCTCCCGCGTCGAAGCGAAAAACTCTCTCGTTGGAGCTCGTCTCCCAGCCCAGCTCCCAGTGGGAAATCAAAGGGAATCAAAGAAATCAAGCACCACATCCGGTTCCCCATTTTTCTTATTTCGTGGTGGGCTTGTGGAAAAATCTCCCCATATAGTACATGACATGTTCTGAAGACAAGGGCGAAGAAAGAAAGAAGTAGAAGAGGAAGCAGAAGAAGCAGAAGAAACATGTGGATCACCATCCTCCTCGTGCCAAGCAAGTGGGAGTGGGAAAAGGGGTTGTGGTTTTTAAGTTGAGCTGGCCAATATGAACGAAAATGGCGAAAAGGGGTCGATGATTTGAAAACAGAGAGGTATAAAAGGCTGTGCACAAAAATAACAGGGCGTGACCTTGGAACGACCGAAACTCCATTCGCCTTTGCGAAGGTCAGGGTGTACAGACGTTGAAATGGCCCATCGTCTGGGCAAACTCGATGAGGCGGCGGGTATATTGCGTCGTGAATGCGTGTCGATATGTAGCAACGGCGCTGGATTAAGCGCGTCGAGTCTTCTCTCCGTCACTCTGGTGTTCTTCCGTGTCGAGTCTCTTGCGCCAGTCAGCCAGGCTCTCGCTCAGGCCCATGCCGGCGGAGGGATCATCGTCCTTCTTGACGCTCGTGGCGGTCTCAAAATCGAAGTTGGTGCTTAGACGATAGTTCTTGTTGGTGGCCTCCCACTGACTCCTGAGAGTCTCCAGCTCATCGGCGAGGTTGTCCAAGGCGGCACTGTTTCTAGCTTCCAGGCCATTGGTGCCGGCACCACCATAGACACTCTCACCTTCGGAGCTCTCAGCGCGAACATGACCCAAGCCAAGCCCGTTGACGACGGCGCCGGTGCCTGTCTCAGAGTTCACACTTGGGACTTGTCGGCTGCGACGGCGGTAATTATCAACAGAGTGCTCGACCTGGTCAAGAAGGAGAGCTACCTTCTGCTCAGCATCGGTAGCTCGCTGCTCGAGAAGCGAGTTCTCTGACTGCAATTGCTCAAGATCCTTGCGGTGAGAATTGAGTGCCTGCGTAGCATTTGCATTGCTCTTCAGAGCATCGTCACGCTGCTTCTGGTTCTCTTGAAGCTCTGCTTTCAGACCTTGCAGGTTCCTCTCCATATCAGCTGCTGACTTCTGGAGGTCAGCCTCCAAGGCGCTGATCTTCGTCTGGAGGGCGGTTCGCTCAGCCTCCCAGTCTGCCGAGGCAGCAGATTTCTCACCATCGGCTTGGAGACGATCTTCCAGATCTTCAACCTCCGACTTTAGGCGCCCATTGTCCGCCTTGTAGCGAGAGAGCTGGTCTTTCAGCTGCTTGAGCATCTTTTCAGTTCCCTTGACGTAGTGCACGGCCGATTGATAATCGCTCTCGAGCTGTGAGAGCTTCTCACGATACGCGGATTCGGACTCCTGAACTTGAATCGCAAAGACTTGTTTCGTCTCTTCGTGGGCGGCATTGGCACTGGCAAGCTGCGCCTCAAGATCCCGAGCACGGGTCAGGTCTGGCGATTTTGTCCCAGGACTCGTGAGGCCGCGCGCACGAATGGCGCCTGTCGGGCTGATGCCTCTCTCGCTGAGAATGTTTTTGAGCGCGTTGTGCTGCACTGTCATAGCATTGGTCTCGAGTTGCTGAGCGGCAAGTTGGTTCTTCAGGTCCGAGTTGGCGGCTTGTAAGCTCTGGGTCTCTCTCAACGTGGACTGCAGTTGTCTTCGGATACCGACACCTTCCCGGCTGGACTGTTCTTGGTACTGCTCAAGACCAGCGATACGTTCCTCAGCACCACGAAGCTTATCAGCTGCAGCATCTGCCTCTTGCTGGTACTTCTTCACCAAAGTATTCGATGTCGCGATCTGAGACTGAAGAGCCGCGATGCGGCCAGAATCCGCCTTGCTTGTGTCAGAAACATCCCGTGCGGAAAGTTTGTCAAGGCCTGATAGGATGGCTTGACGATGGGTGCGTGCTTCAGCTGCGTGCTTCTCGGAAAGCTCTTCGGCATCTCGCAGCCGTTGGGTGGCAGCAACGAGCTCGGCAGTCCGAGTCTCGTGCTCAAACTTGAGTTTGTTGAACTGGCTCTCTAGCTTCTCTTTCACGTTACGCTCTTCGGAGAGTCTTGACTCAAGAAGGGCCTTGGCCTCCTCTGATGACAACATGGCGGCACGGAGGGACTCAAAGGTGTCATGGTGATCTTTCGAGCTCCCCACAGCCTCATGATACTTGCCATCCAAGTCGTTCTTTTCGATGCGCAGCAGCTCCAAAGCCGCAACAGCCTCGGCAGATGAAATTGACTGCTCGCGGGCTTCTTGTTGGACCATATGTAGTTCTGCCTTAAGGCGTTCAACGTCCGTCGAGGTTTGTTGCTTGTAACTTTCGAGGTCTGTCATCCGCCGTTGAGCTGCATTTGTCGTATCATCCGCTAGATGACGTGCTCGCTTCTCAGCATCAAGCTCAGCCTTGGTCGCTTCTAGCCGCATTTGGAGATCCTTCTGGAGGTGTAGGGCAGCAGCGAGCTTTCTACTGAATTCACCTGACCTAGCGTCGGACTCATCGCGCTCACTATCGAGCTGGGGCGTGCTTGCGACGCTCCCACCCATGTGGGCTGCCAGCTTAGCCTTTGCATACACGGCTTCTTGGATCGCTGCATCACGTTGTTTCTCTGCCTCAGCAATCTGCCTAGCAGCGAGCACTGCCTGCTTGTCCACGGCACTCTGAACGTTAGCGAGCTCCGTTCGCATCGCTAACAATGCTTCGATAAGTGGTCGGTCCTCATCATCAAAGGTCTCAGTAGCCTTGTTATCAAGCACAGGGCTGAAGGAAGCATTGGGAACATAACCAGACTTCCGGGCAAGTTCCAGCTCCGAGGCATACCAAGCATTCCGGTTGCGCGCGGAGTCAAGCTCTTTAAGGAGAACGACTGTTTGCGAGTTTCGGGCTGAAGATCGTCGGGAAAGGGGATTGCTAGGTTGTCGGGTAGGCTGAGGCGGAGAGGCAGGACGCGGAGCAGGAGGCTTGAGAGTAGGTTCCACTGGGCTGTCGACAGAACCTGGAGCCCGAACTGGGCGAACTGGCTTGTTCTTGGCAACCTCTCCGTTTGGCTGGTCTTGCTTGGATCCTGTTCTTGAAACCGGTTGGGTAGGTGTCCTTCTGCCGTTCGTGGCCGGGGCCTCGGGTTGAGCAACAACTTCGCGTGCAACAGGTGATTGGTTCTTTGGGGAGGCTGACATGCTGGCCGGGTCATTCGACTGCGCGCGGACTCTTCCGATGGCAGATGTGTCGACAGTCGGTCTGGCTGGCATAGGGCCCTGAGGAGGAGGCCCGGAGGGCGGAGAAGTGGTGGCAACTCTTGGAAGCTTGGAACTCCCGGGAGGGCCGTTACTCAAGGGGCCAGGGTGCTCCACACCGTGAGGAGGCGACCTATGTCCATTCGGAGGAGCTGACGCACCCCCGGTGATCATCTTCCTTCCATCGGATGGCCCGTTCGAGCCATCACGCATAGGTTGACGGGCAACGGGCCCTCCTGCTTCACCTGCGCTTGGCCGTCGTTGCCCCTGGGTTACCCTTTGGGCGCCACCTTGTTGTGCATCATTGGGGTAGCGGATTTTGGAGGTGTCCAGAACATAGAGTATCCCCAAGTCGTTCACAGAAGCAGATGCGGTACTTGGTTCTCCACCAATAACAACAATTGACTTGCCCACTGTTGTCATACTGTGCCCAGACCGGGACGAAGGAGAAGGTCCCATGTTCTGGAAGGTATACCATCGTCGGGAGGAAATTCTGAATGCTGCGAGATCGCCTAGGTCTGTTCCCTCCTCTGTTCGGCCTCCGAAAACGTACATCACGTCGTCTACGAGAGCAGCGGCGTGGCCTTCGCGAGGCGCGGGTATGTAACCGATACAGTCTAGTTGCGTCCACGTGTTCAAGGCCGGGTCGTAGCACCAGACATCGTTGAACCACTGGAAGCCATTGGTTCCACCAAATCTCATCATTTTGTCAGCGAGACATCGGAGACGGAGGGCGTGCACGAGCCGCGGATGAAACTTACAGGTACATCTTGTCGTTGTACGTAATCATGGAATGGTTAGTACGCGCCGCAGGGATCTTCGGTGAAGTATCGCCTGCGACAAGAATCTCCCAGCGATTGTTGGGCATTTGTAGCTGGTTGAGGTCGAATGCGGAGAGGTCGTTCATGAAAAAGCCCTCGACCTGACCACCAAAGATGAAAATCTTGGAGCCCAGGATATTTAACGAGTGTCCATAGCGACCGGACGGTCGAGGACCGGCTGGCAGAGCTCGGGACCATTGTCTTGTGGCTATCTTGGATTAGCATCCGGTGAGTTCGGAGTAGCGCATGGGACATACAGGTGTTGAGCAAATACAGCGTCTCATCGAGGACATCCGCCTCATCAATTTTAGTGTCACCACCGTAGACGATGAACGCGTTGCCGACCAGCAAACTAGAATGGCCGACTCTCGGCCCAGGGCCCTCTGCGGTCGTAGCGAGAGGGTAACAAGCCATGTTGCCGCCAGCCTCGATCATCCACAAATCACCCTTGACGGTCGAACTATTGATTAATCCTCCCATCAAGTATATATCGCCCTCTTTTGAGGAGAGGGAGTTCACAGCCGCGCCATAGCGGGGGAAAGGGCTGGGGTGGTTGGAAGTATATGTTAACCGTCGCTGAGACCAAGGATAAAGCGAGGCGTTGGAGCCGTTCGTCTGAGGGCCATTTCGAAACTGTCGAGGACGTGTTAGCGGGTATGATAGCTTTAAGAGCACTAGACTCTGGCTACAACATCGCAGGGGCGACATACCGGCAAATCACTTTGTGGCTGTTGCGCTGTCTGATCTGCGCTTCCGGCACGGCGAGTGTGGCCTTGGTCGGGGCTTCCGGTGCTCCCATCGTTATCGATCGAATTCAGGCTGCCAGTCGGGGTAGCGCGGTGTTGCAATGCGTTCTTCTCGGCGACGCGGGCGGTGGCGCTCTGGATCGAGCCCTGTGAGCCAGAGTTGGAGTTGGCGTCGCGGCTGGCCAGGTTCCGCTCAGGGTGCTTTTTCGACTTGAATAGGAAGGCCATGGTGGTGAAGAAGCAGCCGCTCGGCGGCGGGGGATTGAAGAAAACAGCACTCTAGGTCGCGTGGATGCGAAGCAATAGGCGATGGGTCGTGGCTTCAGGAGTCGTCGCGCGTTTGAGAATGTCACGGGGGAGAGAGTGTGGCCAGGGCAAGCGTTGGGGATAGCCCGATCGTGGGGACTATGCCAGCCGCAGACGCAGGTACGAGGGAAGCCAGACTTGAGTACCGAGATGGCTGGGCGAGCATCGGACGGAGGCGCAGAGGGCCGGACTCGTCGGGGGAATTTGAGGTCAACCTCCCGATTTTTTGGGGAGGATGGGAGGGGGTTGGAAACGAGGGTGGACGGATGCGCTTCGGCACGCCTTCGAGGAGCGCAGGTCCTGATTCGTGCTGGCGGCTAGCAAGCGGTCGCTGGGCGAGGCGGGCGTCGGGAGCCAGATGGGCAAAGTCTCGGGCGGGGGCGCAGGAGGATGGAAGCGCCGGTGGTCGGGCGTGGTGATGATGGGAAACGGGAGAGAATGGCGACGGTGATGGTGATGCTGGCGGGAAGTTGAGAAAGTCCTTGGCCGTTGCTGTTCCTGCTTGACCTAATTACTGCCCTGGTCTGTCCGCTGGCCCCCGTCACGGCCGCCTCCTGTAACCTCCGCCTCCACTGGCCTGTTCCTGGACAGTGGCACCCGACTGCAGCACTGCTTCGCTGCTGGCCCGCCGTCGAGCCATCCCATGGCCAATCGCGGGCCTGACCTGGCCATTCTAACCTAGCCAAGACATCTTTTTTAGGGGTTGCAGCAGCACAGGACCAGCGGTACAGTGCCGCTCTGCAGTGGACGGTGGGCTTTGTGGGGGGGCCCTGGTGTACGGGCCAGGTACACGTGGGCCAGTGGCTCGGCTGGCCGTCCCCAAGGTCGAGCTGGAGTACTCTGCAGGGGGCCGCACAGCGCCATCCCCCTTTTGAAATCCAGGGGCTGGACGTTGATGGGACAAGTACCCAACTGCCTCTCCCGAACGGCACGATGCTCCCAAGTACTGTCCCTAGCCTCACTGCATCTGGCGCACTTCGTGCATACGTAGTAGCCTTACCGGCATGGCTGGAAACAAAGCGAGACGCCGGGCGATGGAGCTCGTACTTCGTTGCGCGGTTTCGTGTTTCTGTCTAGGTAATGTAGGGCGGCGGCCCCGACTTTGTTCTTCTCCAGACCTTCCTTGCATGTGTCTCACGGAGGCAAAACCTCCAAGTCGGCCGAGAATCCCCAGATGCCACCCACTTTTCACCACCCTCGGACTATTGCCGCTCACCGTGGCCACCGGTTTTCGTTTCATCCGGAGACCTTCGCACCCAAGAGTCCCCAGAGTTGTTGGATCGAGTACCGGTGATACATCGTGCCCCAGCCGGGATTAGAGTATTGCTTTGCCGTATTTTAGGCCGGCGTAGTCCGTATTTCATATGGCGTCCCGCTCTCGCCTCAACAATCCTCTGGTGCAGGAAATCTGATATCTTGTTACCATGTCAATAAGCGATGCAGTGGAACCAGGAATATCACACAGTGTTGGTTGAGGAATCCTGTCGGCTGGCCTCGACTTGCCACGGCGGCTTGGTGTTCGCGGTCCGTGGCGCCACAAAAGGGATGGCTCCCAACACCTTGCCGGAGCTGTGACAGTCTGCACGTCATTTGTACCGGCCCCCAGCAGCCAGCGGCAAGCAAACCACAGCCAGCGAGCCAACGAGCCAGCGAGCCAACGAGCCAGCGAGCCACGCTCAATTTCTCAAAGCTCAGGACTCACCGGCCACCCAGGGACCAGGGCCCATGAATCCAGGATGGCCATCGTAATCAACGATCCATGCTGTACTCGGTTCAGATGGTTCAGACCAGGCTGTCGTTGACCATGGCCCTTCCGGACATTAAAATCATTCTTCCCAGCACTCGTGTCCTTGGCCTTACTCGTTTCATGTTTCCCACTAATGACGCCCCAATTGGAGCGGGTTGGGGGCACAGACCATGCATGCTTCTTTGCGCTCCACACTCCAGCTTGCACCTTCTTTCTGCTGAGAAAAGGGGATGGGTGTGCCCAGGCTTCGAATCTCGTTCATACTGTGCTACCAACAGCCTACAGGCTCAAGGAACCCTTCGACGGCGCCTGTCAGTCCCGAGAGCTAGGCGTGACAGTCCAACAAATCCATCACGACCAATGATCTCAATAGTAGGAGCGCCCCGAGCCGATACAACCACAGGATTCCCGCTATACCAGCCATAGTAGAGTGCGATGGACCGCGCTTTGGTAGCACTATCCGTGTCAGCAGCATCTTCTGACGTTTAACGCTCCTCTCAGTGGTTGCCTCGGGTGCGGTTGCTGCCGTCAGTAAACGGACATACAGCAATCCGCCGGCTGTCCGCCCCGGTTTCTGTGTTTGTGTGCCCTGGCCGGGGTCCCCTTTCACATAACTCAAGATATATCCCAGGATGTCCTCGTCATTGGGTGGAAATGCCACCGGATGAGTCTCTGTTATGCTCCCCAATCGGGATGATGGCCTTGGACGCCCAGGCTTTAGCCTGGCACCAGCCCGCAAGCAAGGCATGGCATCTGTCATCCGGACGACAACCAAGTGATGAGATGTTTCGTCAGGGACGGCCAGCATGCTTCGTGTGCATACCGCAGCCTGCTGATGTCGCTGATCTACGAGTGCATCCCGATCCGAGTCTTGGGGCTCGGGAGTTAGACCAAGGGGAAATGCATACTGGGCCAATGATTTCGATGCGGCCCGTCCGGTTTCCGGGTCGCTAGCATGAGCAACTGCTCCCGTCGCTTGTACTTCGCACAGCACATTACATTGATGACAAATATTCATCTTATGCTGTTCCTCGCAGTTGTCCAATCTCGATGCAGAAGCTTGGGCCAGCCTCATTGATAGACGGTGCATGCATCTGCACAAAGCAAAACCACGTGCATGGTCACGCGCCAGGCTCATTCGTTCCAGATCTGGCTTAGTGCTTAAGATTCTCCTTGGCGCTGAGGCATGTGGCGGCCGTGTGGCTGCGGCTGCAGGCTAGCAGCAAGGCACTGGAGCGCGAGGCAAACAGAGGCAGGCTGATAGGACGTGGCGGCCAAGTGCCAGCACCAACGATGAAGAGTCGGTCAGGGAATGAATCCCTGGGATGATCCAATCGCCGAGCCAGAGGCTGTGAAAAGTCAGCTGTACAGAATTAGGAATCCCACCCGAAAGGCTGCAGAATTAGGAACCAACGCGGTTCAAGCCTTGCATTTTAGACGGCTCTATGGCGCAAACAGCACTGGCCAGCACCCAACAAGCACCCAGCGCCCCAGCACCTAACTGAGGTGCTTGCCAGTAGTGGCCCTAGCTAGGTACCTATTCCTAATTTCTGCGTCGGTCCTGGTCATCCGCCCGCTGCGCCAAACTCTCGGCCTTCTTCATCAACTCCTCCTCGCACCAAAACTCATCAACCAAACCGCCTATTTCTGTTGCTCCTCGCACCAGGCAATTCGGCGCTTCTCTTGTTGCCTCCTCGCACACGTGCGCCTGTCACCATGCTGGCTTAAACTCCCGCATAGACCATGACCGCCGTGTCGACACAACAAACGTCACCCCCTCCGCTGCTCCCCAACCGCAACTCCTCCGCCAGCTCCAGGCCGCCGCCGACACACGACCGCCACCACCACACGACCGCGAACGACCTTCTTGCGACCGGAACCACGATGGCGCTGAGATCGGAGCTCAACGGCTCTTCCGCGCCCGCAGTCGAGGTTAATGGAGATGCCTCCAGAGCGCGACCAATGACCAACGGGCGTTCATCTCACGACGCGAGCGTCAACGGTGATGATGACCCACGACCTTCGAGTGCGCCAGGACGACGGAACGGTGCCCTAATTCTAGATGCCAGAGATGATGTGGAACCGCAACGAGTACAACGACCCATGAAGCCACTGCTTCTCCGATCCAAGAGTGAATACGCGCATCGAGCTCTGGAGGACCCGGAGCCGATAGAGGATGACATTCCCGAATGGGGGGCTCGACATGGCTTCGAGGACCACTATCAGTCCGAGGATATCATTTCCCAGCTTGCAAACGTGAGTTACAAGTTCTATTCTATCTCCGTCCATAGCAGCCGGTGTCGTCTTCATGTGGTACATGCATCTCTGTCTCCAGCGGCTCGATGACGATGGGAATGTGGTTTTCTGGCACACTTCGCGCTCAAACCTCTTCACCTCGGTCCTAGAGTTTCTCGCAAGTCCAGTAGTCACCAGCCCTCACGTCATGTTCCGCTCCCGCTTAAGTCGTGTGTCTCCTCAGCCCGACTCTTCGGACGCACTTCGGTCTTTGCCATTAGATTCAATAATCTTCAAATTATCATTACAGCTAACTTCTCTGTCAGAATTGGTACATGTATTTTACAGATAAACGACACGAGACGACTGGCAAACCGAAACCACTTCAATACGAGCTTCAAGACTGGCGCCAGCGAGACAGACTCAAGACTGTGTCTGCTGCCCTCGCGGTCTGCTTAAACATTGGCGTCGAGCCGCCGGATCAACTCAAGACGAACCCAGGTGCCAAGCTTGAAGCATGGACTGACCCGACCGTACCACCCATTCAGAAAGCCCTTGAGAACATTGGGAAAGCACTCCAAGCCCAGTACGAAACGCTGGCGATTAGAGCACGCTATAAACAATACCTGGACCCATCGGTGGAGGAAACCAAGAAGTTCTGTATTTCATTGCGTCGAAACGCCAAAGACGAGCGTGTTCTGCTGCATTATAACGGTCACGGAGTCCCCAAGCCCACCGCATCTGGAGAGATTTGGGTTTTCAACAAAAACTACACGCAGTATATCCCCGTATCACTGTATGACTTGCAACATTGGCTACAAGCTCCCACGATCTTTGTGTGGGACTGCTCGGAGGCGGGTAACATTCTCAACAACTATCATCGGTTCGTCGAGAAGCACGAGGAGGAAGAGGAGGAAGCGGCGGAGCGCGACCCCAACTACGTGAAGACGAACTTCAGGCCGTACATCCACTTAGCTGCTTGTGCAGTCAAGGAAAATCTCCCAACTAATCCCCTCCTACCCGCCGACCTTTTTACTGCTTGCCTCACGACCCCAATCGAGATGGCACTTTGGTTCTTCGTCCTTCAAAATCCGTTAAAGACGAACGTCAGCCCGGAGCGGGCAAAAAAGCTACCTGGTCGCCTTCAGGAAAGACGCACGCCGCTGGGTGAGCTAAATTGGATCTTTACAGCCATCACAGACAGTATCGCATGGACGACGCTGCCCCGGGATCTCTTCCGGAAGTTCTTCCGTCAAGACCTCATGGTGGCGGCCTTGTTCCGAAACTTTCTCCTTGCTCAGCGCGTTATGACTGTCTATGGCTGCCATCCTCAGTCGTACCCTGCGCTCCCCGATACTCACCAGCATCCTTTGTGGGAGACTTGGGATCTGGCTGTCGATATGGCTTTGGCCCAGTTGCCCATGCTGGAGAAGAAAGAGAACGAAGGACTCGACTACGAGTACCAGAACTCGACCTTCTTCACTGAGCAGCTCACGGCTTTCGATGTCTATCTCACCAGAGGTGACGCTATGGCCCAGAAATCCCCAGATCAGCTACCCGTCGTGCTCCAAGTACTCCTCAGCCAACAGCATCGAGTACGCGCGCTTATCCTTCTGGGCAGGTTCCTGGATCTCGGCCCGTGGTCAGTTCAACTTGCTCTCAGCATCGGTATCTTCCCCTACGTTTTGAAATTGCTCCAATCCGCAGCGGCAGAGTTGAAACCTGTCATGGTTTTCATCTGGGCCCGGCTCATCGCCGTGGACATTTCTTGCCAACAGGATCTTATCAAGGACAGTGGCTACAGCTACTTTGCCCAAATCCTCAAGCCCTCTGAGGGACTGCCCGTCGTCGACAGCGATGAGCACAAGGCCATGTGTGCCTTCATTCTCGCCATGCTATGCAAGGACTACAAGAATGGCCAGATGGTTTGTAACCAGACAGACATCATGTCATACTGCCTGACCCACCTTCAGAACGAAGAGAACCCGCTTCTTCGACAGTGGGCATGTCTCTGCATCAGCCAGCTGTGGCAGGATCTGCCCGAGGCAAAGTGGCGCGGGATCCGGGAGAACGCATACGTGAAACTTGCCTACTTGAACAAGGACCCGTGCTGCGAGGTGCGAGCTGCCATGGTTCACGCCATGACAACTTTCCTCGGCATTCCTGATCTCACAGACGAGGTTGCTCGCATCGAAGAGTCAATTGCATGGGCAATCCTCGACATGGGCAACGATGGAAGCCCTATGGTCCGAAAGGAGTTCGTCGTCTTCTTGTCGCACTTTGCTGTTCGTTTCGAGAACAAGTTTATGGTTGCAGCCTACGAGCAACTTGTGGAGGAGAAGGAATACCTCCTCTTCCCGCCTAGGGATGACGGCCAAGAGCACAAGATGGGACTGCACTACGCGAGACCGGACAGCCGAAATAAGGACGGCAGCATCAAGCCTACTGCCCATGGTCTGTCCCACAATACTGTTTACATGGCATTGTGGAAGCTGGCGCTTGTCCTCAGCGTGGATCCCCACCCCGAGGTGCAACGTGAGGCCACTGTCGTTGTTGATTATGTGCACAACGCGCTCCTCAGCTCAAGCGCCGGAGCTCCAGCGCAATTGGTGATGAGCGAGATTCAGAGGCGGGCGAGCCGGATGGCAAATAGGAATGCTCCTAGCGCTAGTCAGCGCAACAGCCTCATGGGCACACCCAATACACAGCCATTGCCATCCCCTGGGTTGCTGCGCAGGACTGCCAGCCTTTTGTTCCAATCCTTCATTGGAGCTGAGGACAAGTCGAGGCCAACGACACCAACGTCCCCGGCACTTCCCAGGTCACCTTCTATGAAGTTGACACCGGGCCAACTGACTGCTCCCCCTGAGCAGAACGACCAGTCGACGCCATTCTCGCAATACCACGTTGCGCATGAGCCTATGTCAGGAGCCTACAAGCAACGTGACCTGACAAAATCCCCCACCCTGCCTCTGAAGAGCAGGTTCCTCGAATGGTCCATTGAGTACTTTCGCGAGCCGCAAATGAAGCCGAGCGAGGCCGATGAGCCCGGTAGCACCGAGTACAACGAGCGTCTCTGGCGAAGAGCCCGGAACGAGAACATCCTACGAGAAACACAGCCAATGAAGCAGCAAGCCGGTAGTCATAAGTGGACTAACCAGCTAGGCATTGTCAACAACGGCGCTCAGCCTGCCAAGATGACATTTCATCAGTTTGAAGATCATCTAGCCGTGGCTGACGACGGAAACACGGTGTACGTATGGGATTGGAAAAAGCAGGGCCGCTTGAGCCGATTCAGCAACGGAAACCCCGAGGGATCAAGGATCAGTGACATGAAGTTCATCAACGAAGACGACCAAGCATTCCTCCTTACTGGGTCCTCAGACGGAGTGATCCGCGTATATCGCAACTACGATTCCGATGCTGAGTTAGAGCTCGCCTCGTCCTGGCGTGCCCTGACACACATGATCCCAAGCAATGTCAATTCGGGCATGGTGTTTGATTGGCAGCAAGTGGCTGGCCGAGTCCTTGTTGCTGGAGACGTCCGAGTGATTCGGGTGTGGTACGCAGCGTACGAGACTTGTATCATGGACATTCCGGCACGGTCAGGGTCCTGTGTCACGTCGTTGACGTCGGATCAGATGACGGGTAACATGTTTGTTGCCGGCTTCGGCGACGGAGCCGTGCGAGTATTCGATACTCGCAACAGACCGCAGGAGTCGATGGTGCGCAAGTGGAAGGATGAGTCAGACAGGCAATGGATCAAGAGTGTGCACATGCAGCGTGGTGGTCAGCGAGAGCTACTGAGCGCCAGCCGTAATGGCAAGGTCAAGGTGTGGGATATCCGAATGGACAAACCCTTGCACTCGTTCCAGACAACTCGGGACACGCTCCGCACGGCCAGCACGCATGAACACCTCCCGGTATTCGCAGTGTAAGTACATCCGGGTTTCGGAACTGAAGAAGCGAGGATCATTACTAACCGAATCGGTACAGGGGAACATCAGCCCACACGGTCAAGGTCTTCAATTTGGATGGAAATCAGCTTTCTTCCGTCGAGCCGTACTCGAGCTTCCTTCAACAGAGCAGAAGCTCGCCAATCTCGGCGACAGCGTTCCATCCACACCGACCCATCTTAGGTTGCGCTGCACGGGGCGACCACCATATCAACCTTTTTACTTGCGAGAAGTCGGAGCCATTGCACCTTGGTTAGGGCTCTTGGAGCAGTACTTTTGGCTTCTGACCTGGATAGATGGAGAACGGTGTCCGATTAATATGCACACCGTCGAGACGGGGAAATCGGGAATGAACAGCGCCCGCGTAATGAGTCAAGGTGCAGGGAAGCGAGATCGGAAGGACCTAATTCGTGCGCTGTATAGGTTGCATATCATATCATCGGCGTGTTTTGATGTACGGGCGTTCAGGGGACACGGCAAGCGAGGCGAGGAGAGAGCGAGCTAGGGGACTTTGCATTATCCGAGGGCACTTTGGTCCAGGACAAGGACGGGCACTTTTTCAGGTTAGGTACCTCATCAGTGAGTTACATGTTAGAGCAGCGCGTCGGAGAGAAGCTTCCTACCTTAATGGTGTACGATTTACTTGATATGCGATCACTTTCTGGACTTGGATGTCCGGGCCGATGCGGTGACTCGGGGACAAATTCCGTAGAGACCAAGGCGTTCTTCCCCAGGGACTGTGAGGTGATGGAGGCTGGGTGTCTTGGGTCGTGGGTACCTGGCCGTTGCGGGGATTTGACACGTTGAACGAGGTACCTTCCACCTCAGTAACCCCATCATGACGCTGTCAGCGTGGGCAAATCGCCTGCTTTGGTGGGGCAGGTGCGGCCACAACCCCGCCATATGGCTGGTCCATCTTTTGGGCAACCACCTCTTCACACAAATTTATGCGTCACCTCACTCCCGCCGACAAGAGTCATCTACGCCGCGTCTCCTGATGAGCCTCCGGTTTCGTTCTTCTCTGGCTCTTCGTTAATTCCACTCATCTCGACTCGACTTATAAACGCCCGCGTCGCCGCCGACCGTTGCTCAGGCTTCGAGACCACGACAAAACACCCCGCTACACGTCCCCAATTCTCGACTTTCACCATGGCCGACGCTCCCACCGACGCTGCGGCTCCGGTCAACCCTCCTCCGGCCGAGACGGCCCCCACTGCTGGCGCTGAGGCCGGCGAGGGTGGCGAGGGTGGCGAGGCCGGTCCCTCCAAGAAGGCCCTCAAGAAGGCCGAGGCCAAGGCCAAGAAGGAGGCCGAGAAGGCCAAACGTGCCGCCGAGCACCAGGCCAAGCAGGCTGCCGCAAAGGCCGCTGCTGGCAACACCGAAGACCTGGCCAAGGAAAATTACGGCAACATCACTCCCTCCACCAAGGTCGAGGCTGAGCGAATCCAGCTCAAGAACATTGGCGATGACCTCCTCGGCAAGACGATCAAGGTCCGTGCCTGGATCCAAAACGCCCGTATGCAGGGCGCCAAGATGGCCTTCGTTGAGCTGCGTGAGGAGCGCAACTGGGCTATCCAGGGTGTCGTTGCTACCAGCGCCGAGGGCACGCCCGTCTCCAAGCAGATGGTCAAGTGGATCGGTGCTTTGAATCTCGAGAGCTACGTCCTGGTTGAGGCCAAGATCGAAAAGCCCCTCGAGCCCGTCAAGAGCGTCCGCGTGTCTGACTACGAATTGCACATCACTAAGTGCTACTGCATTGCTCCGGGCCCCGAGGTCTTGGGCATGGGTCTCGTCGTTGCCAATAGGCCCGTCGCCAACTTCGACGACGAGGACGCTGGCAACCCTGTCGAGGAAGTCAAGGAAGGTGTCGAGAACCTCTCGCTCGACAACATCCCGTCGGCCAGCATGGCCACCCACCTCAACAACCCCGTCATGCACAAGCGTGCCCCCGTCCAGCAAGCTATTTCCGATGTTCGCATGACTACCCGCAAGCTGTTCTCCGAGTACCTCGACGCCAAGGATTTCGTCCAGTTCGAGCCCCCGTGCTTGATCGGAGCTGCCTCTGAGGGTGGCTCCAACGTGTTTAGTATGCCTTACTTTGAGAAGCAGGCGTATCTAGCGCAGTCGCCCCAGTTCTATAAGCAGATTGAGATTGCTGGTGGTCGCAAGCGCGTCTATTGCATCGGGCCCGTGTTCCGAGCTGAAAACTCCAACACTCCCAGACATATGACTGAGGTATGTCTAACCCATGATTTCGACATGAAAGACAACGCAGGGCAAGTTGCTAACCTTCATAGTTCACCGGTCTTGATCTGGAAATGGAGATTGAGGACCACTACCATGAGGTGCTTCACATGCTGGAAGGTGTGCTTTTGTTCATTTTCCGCGGCCTTCAGGAGCGTTGCGCCGAGCAGATCGCCCTCATTCGTACCGTCTATCCTTCAGAGGATTTCCTGCTTCCCGAGGCCGGTAAAGAGGTTCGCATGACCTTTGCGGAGGGTCAAGCTCTTCTCCGAGCTGAGGGTCCCGAGGAGTTCCGTAACGTGTCCGACGATGAGGACATGTCAACTCCCCAGGAGAAGGCGCTTGGCGCGCTGGTCCGAGAAAAGTACAAGACGGACTTTTACGTGCTGGACAAGTTCCCGGAAGGCGCTCGGCCGTTCTATGCTCTTGAGGACCCTGAGAACCCCAAGGTTACCAACGCGTATGACATGTTTATGCGAGGCCAAGAGATTCTTTCCGGCGGTCAACGTATCCACGTGCCAGAGGTGCTGGAGGCACGGATCCGCACCAAGGGAATTGACCCAGCCAGCCAGGGCATCAAGGAGTATGTCGACATTTTCCGCAGCGCTGGAGTTCCACCTCACGGTGGTGGTGGTATTGGCCTCGACCGTGTGGTGGCTTGGTACCTGAACCTGCCAAGCGTTCACCTAACGAGCTATTACCCTCGTACGCCCAAGAGGCTGCTGCCTTAGTGGGTTTGAGATAGAGATGGGGTGGACTATGAGCTGTGGATTGTGGACTATTGGACCGTGGTGGAGGATGTAAAAGACAAGAAGCTAAGAGGCTAGGATGATATGACGCCGGGACGCCGAGATGGACAAGATTTTGAGCTTATACACGACTAGTATTAGAGACGAAAGATCTACAGAGAATCAATGGGACCGAGTAACAAAGCCTACGTGATTCATGGCGGGGACCAGATGTCCCCGGCGACGGGTGCATGTACTATGATGGTTCAAATGTCGTTGCTCTCGGTTGGCGCAGGTTGGCGCAGGCAGGCGGGCGCTGAGCCGCTGTCAGGGTCAGGGGGGTGATGTTATGGACGAATGTGGGCATTGCTTTGCTATGTACACTGCTGTGCTGTGCGTCCCACCGGGACTCAAAGGCCCCGTGGACCCTGAAAACCATTAGAGCGATCCTTGGCACGCCAGAGAAGCGATGCCTGCTACGGCGGTAAGAGGAAGCGTAGCTCCCATGCGTCAGCCATCGGCAGTCGAGTGGGATGAAAGCGAGCCCCGGAGACGAGTACCGGACGCCCGGTGGAGACACGGCGGCCGGCTTGTGTCGGGGCCAACCCGACAACGGCCGGGACGACGAAAGAGAATCGTGGCGAGGGCGGTGGCTTCGGCGCGGGAGAACAAGGAGCGAGATGGAGGGATGGAGGGATGGAGGGATGGAGGGATGAAGAGATGGAGGGAACGACGAAAGGACCTTGTCATGAGGCATTGCGTCCTGCCTCATTTCACCGAGTTTTCGCCATCTGTGCCTATCGTAAGCCCCGGATACGTGCGGCAAGATGGTGCCTGGCGATGGGTGCTGGCTGACTGATGGTGCTTTTGTCTTTTGTGCCCGGCGGCGCTGAGCTGAAGCATGTGCTCGGTGCCGGTGCTGGAGATGGCCTGAGATGGCCGGAGATGGCGCGCCGACACGAGACAAGGTGCTTATGGCCCTTGGGTCTGGGATCTTGGCATCTGGGCTGGAGGAGTGAACCTGTGAAGGAGTGAGTCGGTGGACGGCCGTTGCTGGAAGGTTTTGGCGGAAGCGGGGACAGAACAAGCACACGGCCGGCGCGACTACGGCACCTAAGAGAGGTAGGGGGGACGTTGAGACGCAGGGTCTTAGACTCCTAGGGCAGCTACCTACCGTTACCACGCAGTAAGGCATCTAGGATCTAGGTAGGGAACGTACTACGTAGTATGCGCTGTGACGACACGGCTTGGACTTGGCCCCGGCCCGGTTGGGCGTAGCAGCCACCGAGTTTCGTGTTATAGGGCGGTAGGGCCGCAGGATTGCCTGACGGGGGCGGCGCTGGCGGGGGGGCAAGGCCCGGCGGGTGGAGGTTTTTGGGGTCTGGGGCTGAGCCGGCGGCCGACCGAGCAGAAGCGCGGGTGGGAAGAATGGGGGCCTTCCGTGACGGCGCGGTGGGGGCCAAAAGGCGCTGGGGCAGCCCGCGCGTAGGGGCCATCTGGTCCCGGGCTTAGGGCCTAGGGCCTTAGGGGCAGCCTGAGCCTGGCTTAGGTTGTTTTAGGAAGTTAACATGGGAGCAGGGGGGGGGGGCTGAAAGGCGGTCGATGAAGCTGCCAGCTCTCGATAAGGTGCTGCTGCATAGTGACTATTATGTATGTGGGTAGTATGTAGGTACCTGTATGTAGGTAGTATCTAGGTAGTATGTGAGGGCCGACGACAGGAGGCCAAGCCAGGGCTGGGCCTGTTGAACTCGGTGGCTAAATTACCTAGTTGAGTTGTCCAGAGTTGTCAAGAGTTGTCCGGGGTGCAAAGTCGATCTGTGGGGGAGACCGTTGACGACATTCATTATTCCCTTCTGTCCATCCTAAACCCGTGACGCAAACGCCCAATTAGTGAGAGAGCGCCCTGGCGTCGCATCCCCGGTGGAAGCAAAGAGAGCCCTGGGGAGGGACAAGCCACGCCTTCCAAAAGGGCCCCCGGCACGGCAAGGGCTGCGGGAACGCGGCGACGCAAGCCCGCCGAGTTGCCGAGATGGAAGATGGATGCAGAAGGCTTGAAACGGGTGGCACAAGGCGCGGAAAAGGTGCAGACAGAACCGACAAAACAAACATCCGGCAAGCCTCACTCAGGGAAGAAGCGGATGATGCCGAGCTCCCATTGCCTAGGGTCGACCAGATCCATCTACTGCCCTACAACGGCGCAACGGCCCACCCTTGGCGTGCATGTGCGTGGTGGTGCCCCCCCGGTGGAAGAATCAAGGCAAATGTCATCGCCGACATGGATGCGCTGCAGAGATACGGCCGGGGAAAAGACGGGAATGGGAAACCTCAGCCAGCAGGTTGGGAATTTGGAATTCCCGTGCAAACAAGATAGGCCGGGGGGGGGATGCACGGCGGGTCAAAAGCTCCTTTTGACATGTAGGAATCGTCTAGATATTGCGTACTGGCCCGTGGATGGAGGAGGAGCATGGAGCATGGAGTATGGAGCACCTATGGAGCATGGAGTATGGAATATGGGAGGAGTGTCTGTATACCTACCTTAGGTAGGTACCCAGCACGGAGAAATCCGCCCTTCTACATGACCTACTGTATCTCCCCTGGCTCCTCGAATCTCGGACCCGGTACGGAGCAGGCAGACCCTATGTGCATGTCTGGCAGAGGGAGGTGGATGCCAGAAGCAGTAACGAGCAGCCAGGAGCAGCACCAGGAGCCAGCATGAGGCCCCAGGAGCCAGAAAACTGCCCTGGACCCAGAGACACGGAACCCAGAAAAGTTGACCGATCGCGGGGCGCCCGGCCGTTAGAAGGTTAGATCGCAATGATTGTCCTTGCAGCCCGTCCCATTGCCCCAGCTAGCGAAACCCGCCTCGCCCGCCCTCACCCGCCCTGACCCGCCCGTCTCCATATCTCCATGTCTCCATGTCTCCATGTCTCCATGTCTCCAACCCTCGTTTATCCCACACCACAGTCGCGCGCCAATAAAGGTCAGAAACTTGCGTTGCGGCTGGCCTCGACCTCCGGAGCCTCCTCCGCGTCGTGTGATTGGCTGCCTCAAAAGCCTTCCCTGGTGGCTTCGAGCCGGCAACTCGTCAACTCTTGGTCGTCTTCTGAGTTCTCCCCTTTCTCCCTCCAAACCGGTTCAACGTAACTACCTACCTGGTCCCCAGCTGTCCCCCGCTAATAACAGCTACCTACTTACCAGTTCGCCGGTAAAACCCCAAAGCTACTCCTCTTCAACCCCATATCCCATGTATCTACCTAGACGAGTGGGAGATTTGTCATTGTTGCAAGCGTGCTCGGATCCTTTGAGCCGCTCGGGTTGCCCTCGCCTAATCGACTCGTCCTAGAGTTGTCATTGGGGAATCAAGTTTAAGGTTTCTGCCTATCCTCCAGGTCGGAGCCTCCGCCACAGCGACCATCTGACATGTATGCCAATCCTTTGGGCAAATGTCACTCCAGCCCATGTGTTGGCGCGGAAGAGTCGGTGCGGGACGAAGGAAAAAAAGGGTCCAAGAGTTCCCAGGGTTCGGCCGAGCTTAGCCCTGTCTGGACCTGCTTTGGTGGTAGTTAATTCGTTGGAGGTAAGGTAGTGTGGCGCCAATGCAGCCCTTCGATATCTCCGTGAGCCACCCCATTCCCCCCCCATCCGCATCTCCGTGTCAATTCCCATTTGTGAAATCTCCATTGATATCTGGCCAAATACTCCGGGTTGTTGTGCCGAAAGTCTGGGCGAGGCAGGGCACGGCAGGGCACGGCAAGTCAGGGCAAGTCAGGACAAGTCAGGGCAGGTCAGGGCAGGGGGAGGATGAAGCCCTTGCAAAATGCAAATGCAAATGCAGATGCAGATGCAGCAGCATCTTGACCATGGGTTCGTTGCCCGCTGACGAGGGGGCCGCTGCAGCTGTGCAGCTATCCCGTACTCATCTTGCAGTGCATCTTGTAGGTCTGCAACATCATATCATCATCATGACGCCCTCGGTCTAGGCTTAGTGCCTCGCGTGGTTGTTAGTATGTGGTGTGTCGGTCTGGTGCCTATAGTGTCTGGTGTCGGTCGGTCTGATACCTACCTGGTAGTTATATTTTGGCGTCTGAACTGGCTTGGGCCCTATTTGGTAGCGCGTTCGATGTTGCTCTTCTGGTGTCGGTTTGGTATCCGGCCGCCTGGTTGGTGGTGTCTCTCGCGGCACCCGACCCGATGTCTTCGGTGTCTGGTGTCCGGCCTAGAGTCTGTTCCAAATCTTCTTCAGGTGACTGTTGCATGAATCAAGCAACCGCCTTCGTCCTCAGCCCAGCCAAGGAATCCCCTAGTCAAGTCACCAAGTAGCAGCCCCCACTTTGCACCGCACCGCACCGCTCTGCATTGCACAACCAGGGAAGAAATGGAAGCGTCCCGTGTTGCCGTTGTCCCTTGTTCTTTGTAAGAGGTACTTCGTACTCCGTACATGCCATCCCATCTCATCCCGTTGACTGACTGAGTCGGCCTTCGGCTAAGGCACACATGCGTCTTGCTGATTTGCTGGATTGGTTTGGTTTGGCAGGCGGTGGCCCTTGATCTCGGATCCTCTAGACCCTCCTAGACCCTTGTCTATTCCTTGGCATTGATCCCCTAATAATAAATCCCCATCACCAGGATTGGGACCTTTTGGGGCGTCTGTTTTGGGGCGTCTCTTAGGCGTTTTGAGGCGTGTTGAGGCGTGGTTCCTTGGTTTCCTTGGGGGGTGTGGTCCTTTGGAGCGGGCGGCCATCCATTCCTCACAATTGTGCCAACTGGACGACCCACGTTTTTCGCACTTCGACCTTTGCCGGATGACCTCTAGTTCACGGGCAAGGAGAACATCTGTAGCGTCACGATGCTTGAGTTGCGGCGGCTCATATATTGCCCCCTTCCTGCCGCCTTCTTTGCTTCTGTCTGCAACAGATTGATCCCGACCCTGCCGCTGGGAAATACTACTTTACCCCAAGCCAACAAAAGAGCCCCCCCCCCCCCCCATTTACCCCTACCAAACACGCACGCACGTACGCCCGCCCGCGCTTTCCCCTCCCCCGTCCACTAGCCCCGTGCGTCCTTCCGTCACCTCTCAAGCTCCAGTCTCTCCTGCCACAGACTCTCTGCCACTGCTGCACGCCTACTCATTGCTGAACGCTGGACTGGGACTTTGTACCCCCAACGCACCTGCCTCTCAGCACCTTATTCGGCCGCCAAAGAGTGTCCTTGGGCTCTTTCCCCGTCACCACCTCTTTGTTGCCTCTTGCCTCGCTCGCTCGCTCGCTCTCCCGCATCCTCATCGCCCCGCCCATCTCGCTCGCTCACCTTGACTTGCGACGTCGGCGAACCATCACCACCCGGCTCTCCCTCCCACTCTCTGTCGAGACGCAGATTCCATCGCATCTGTCGTCTTCTTGAGTGCTCTTGCCTCCTCCATCTGCCAGCCATCGATTGCGCGCCCACCGCTGCTCATCCAGCCTCGCCTATCACGACAATCATCGCCAACTCCATTCCCATCTCCGCCCGCCACCTCCGCCCTCCTCCCGCCGTCGCCATGGATTTCAGCGGCCAGTACAACTTCCCTGGCGCTCAGCCCTACCACCAGTTCATGCCCATCCCGCCTCTGACGCCTTCTCACTCGCACTCGGCCGCTTCGGACGACTTTAACACTTCCCCGCCGGTCAGTTGCTGCCAAAATCCCAGATTCCCCCACTCCCAGCGTGCAGCCCTTGCCTTAGCGCTACTTACCTGAGCATTACTCTATCACCCACGACCGACCGTCTCCAGCCTCCCGTTCTGCATCCCAGCTCTATAATAACTGATGACCCCTCTTTACTGACACCTGCGTTCTTCGTTGTAGGAAAACTATGAGTCGCTGCCTCAGAATTCAAACGACCAATTTCCCGCATTCGACTACTCGCAAGGCTTCAACTCGAACCCTCATCAACCCACCGGCGGCTTCCCCGGCCCTCCCACTCCTCCAGGCCACAACGTCTTTGGCCAGCACCAGCAGCGACATGGCAGCGTCTCCAACGGCATGAAGTCCGGCCAGGGCGCCGAGTCTGTGTCGGACGAAATGAACGTGACCCGTGGGACCAGCGAGGAAGACGATGCCATGACACCTGCTCAGTCCCGGAGAAAGGCCCAGAATCGTGCTGCGTACGTTAATTCCCTGTCTCTCTGTGGACCGTTGACTGGCATCTACATCTACCCAATAACGGCCCTTGTCGTGGAGAGTGTAGATGTCCGTCGACCGCCACCGTGTCTCAGCCAGGCAGATCCGAGCGCAAGCTAACGTACTCCACTCACAGTCAACGAGCCTTCCGCGAGAGAAAAGAAAAGCATGTTAAGGACCTCGAGGCCAAGCTTGCCGGCCTAGAGGCTGCCCAGCAACAGGCCTCGGTCGAGAACGAACGCCTCAAGCGGGACCTCCAGAAAATGTCCACTGAGAATGAGATCCTCCGGGCCACCTCCCACATGGGTGGCAGCCACAAGAACTCAATCTCTTCTGAACCAGCCACAGGCCCTATGCGTTTCAATCCCACCGAATTCTATTCCAACGTTCTTCAGAACCATACCAACAAGACCCCGTCCCACCGTATCGTTACCGCTGACGACGGCGAGCGTCTTATGGCTGCCGGAGCCACTTGGGACTTCATCATCTCCCATGAGCTCTTTAAGAAGGGCCTCGTCGACGTCGGCGATGTCAGCGAACGACTCAAGCACCTCGCCCGCTGTGACGGTCAGGGACCCGTCTTCTCGGAGCGGTCCATCCTCACGGCCATCGAACAGAGCGTTGCCAGTGGAACTGACGATCTGCTTTGAATGGGATAAGAACAAGGAAGAAAACGAAACACAGTTGCACATGGTGCTATCATGATTGATGTATATCACGGCTACGGGACCGGATTGGATACCCCGCCCTTCGGGGTTATGGAGTGGCGTTCTCTGTTTATGGGTTTGATTAATATATTTGGAAACAATCAAAGAGAGTATAAAACCCGAGCTCTACGACTCTCGATTCATATCTCGGCCAGAGAGGCTTTGGACACAGAGTTACAGACGCTCTTCTACAAAGATAGTTAAATCAAGTCTCGTGCCCCGCATTGGCATTCATAGTGGAGGCAGTATCGCCAGGATGGATCTGAGATAGACTTCAGTTCTGTTCCGAATATATGTGCGATGGGACATGGGTCTGGGGATTTGTTTTAGCATTGGTTTCTTGTCTATTAGCTTTCAAGTCGCAAGCAAAAGGTCTACATGAACAATTTCACAGGGACATTACAATATCTACCCTTGCAATGAAATCTGCCATGCTATCCTCACTCATCGAATTCAGTTTGCATTGTCTATGCAGATATTCTCCCCCGGACCGTGTACTCGGGGGATTTCTAGCATCATGCAACTCGTCGATAGACTCGAGCGATGCAGTATTTGCAAACAATAGGGGAACACACTTAGCACCATACAGGAGACACATTGCTCGATGCAATAGAGCTGTTGCGCATTTGCCTTTGTTCTCATCCTTCGTTTCGGTCATTCTGTCTCTAGATTGGCTGCCCGCTATTAGCAACGTTCTTATCCATAGGCAATGATAACCTGCCCGGGTCGTGTATCAACAGGTGATGAGGCTTCGCAACTCTGGTGTGTTGTGCGTGATGGGCTGTGGAACCCACGGTTTATCGAGTGATTGTCAGTTTGCTGCGAACTGTATGTAACGGGCTATGGATACACCTAGATACATACATGAACCCAAGACCTCTCATTCTCCCGTCAATCCAAGTCCAATCTTCAATAAGCAACAGCTCAGCAACGCCAACAAAACCGTCAACTGTTCCAAACCTCCTGCACAACCAATATCTCACGTCTGACGGAGACATGAGCGCAACATGTGTCGCGATATCAGGCTTAGTTACCAGTGCGACCAGTGCATCTTGGAAGTTGACTTCGTGATGACCGTGGAACGCTGCAAGAAGGCGATCAAGGCCAACGAGAATTGCCAGGTCAAAGGTCGCGGCTTCAAGACGGAGAAAGGCCCTTGGACTAGGTGTGAGAGATGCCAGTTAGAAAGCGATCAAGCTCAATTAGGAGATGCTTCGAGGGGAGAGGAAAATGCTTGAGGATCTAGCTCGAGAACGATAGAGCTGCTGTTAGTCTTGCTCCAGTACGCAGGGGCGTTATGCGGAATCAAAATTGGGGCGTCTTTTTGGGACGACATATGCTTAGGTTTTGATTGCGTGGCGGTCATCATTTATGAAGACTTTCAAGTCTACTACCCTTCAATGAACCAGCAAAAATCCCACTTGAACCATCTCGCTAAGACATCAGGTATGTGCTATAGTTACCTTTGAGACCATGTCCACCTCCCATTACACTTTTCCAGAATTTGGCTGAGCAGGCAAACGAAGGTGACACAACGCAATCAAGGCCCCCTCCTCGATCGTCTCGGCCACCATCTTCCCATTCCAAAACGTCAAGATGAAGGTGCCGGGGTGATAATTTCCCTTCCTCGTGTTCGGCTTACTCAACTCACGGTTCGAGACTAGTGGTCAATTCAATAGGAGGAGTCTGAACCCCACAACAGGTTCGCGTGGGATGCAAGGTCCCAGGAGAGATGCTCTTTTTAAGTGGTCACTTCCCGAGCAACTTACCGACTACTCGGATAGCGCTGCACGTCATGACGCAGGTCCAAATCCACTTGCAAGCTGGTCTCTGCTCTCCGGGGGGAGTGTGTGTAGTAGATTGTGTGTGGTAGATAAGCATGACAGATCACAGGGGCCAAGATGAGGTTCACCAAGTAGTCCATTTCTCCGATTCACCTGAAAGAAAACCTAGGCCATGACATGCAGCGCGTATTAATTCCACTGCTTCAGCTTCACAGCAGGGCCAAGTTGTGGTATGTAGACTCTTCGCGAATCACAACTACGAAACTAGCCGACAGGGTTGAGAGAGGTACCAGACAGTTCTTAAGAGGCGACAAGCTATGTATTCTGTTAATAACCACAATTTTGTTGAATAAATGGGCATGTTTGTACCAGAGACATTCGATATCTTGGTGATTGAGTACGTGGTAGCCTCGCTCCTATACCTGAGACTCAGGGGTAGCTGATGAGGTATCACAGCTTTACGTATTTTTTTCGTTGATGCATGGTGAGAATCACAGCTTGTTGAGACTCGGTTGGCGAATAATCTTTGCACGAGCGTCTATAAATCAAGACACAACCTCATCTCCGGCCATTATAAAGTCCCCGTCAAAGAACGCAAAATCAACCAAACGAAATCAACCCCTGGATCTAAATCCCATCTCGGGCAGGCAAAGTCAACCAACCAAAACCGTCGACCGTCCAAGATCTCAACTCACTCGTGACAGCATCCCAGCACCACATCGTGGAGACGAGACCAAGTTAAGAAAGAGAATGTGTACCACCGTCGATCAAATATACAAGTGCCCTCAATGCGGCACCCCCGTTCGTGCTGAGAAATTCTTGGAGGCATGTGGGCAAGCGCAGAAGTCTAACGAATACTGCACCACCAAGAAAAATGCTACAAGAGAAAAAGTGGCAGAGGAGGGCCAATGTCCGTGGTGCCTAGCAAAGGAATGAGGGAGTCCCGAGGTATCTGGGATCGTCGTTGACAGGCTATCAGAAGATATGTCGTGGTGGACTGCAAAGGAGCTCGGGTTATCGAGGGTCCGGGTGTGAATCACATTTGGCGAATCTCTATATCTTGACAAAAATCACACTTCTCTGTCAATCTAAACCTGCCCTTGAACAAACAAGCTAATTCAACATTCATATAACAAAGTCCCCTAACAGCCAGCCCCCACCGCTCCAGCATCACCACTCTTCGCTTCCAATCTACCACGTCGTAAAACAAGCAAAATGTGCTACAAGGTTACTAAACATTGCCTCTGCGAAGATTGCACCGAGATTGTCCGCACCTCGTACTTCGACGAGCCTTGCGCTGACGCAACGAGCGCCAAGAAGCCTTGCGACCCCAAGATTCCTGATATGCGATTCGAGGATGTCAATAAATCGCAGTGTCCGTGGTGCTACATAAGAGAGCGGAATGAGGCTGCTGCAAAGACTAAAAAGTAGGCAGATGGCGCGGTAGCATCTCCTACATGCACATTTGTTGACTGGGATGGGCTGTAGATATCACAGCTTCTTGGGAGTCATGTTGCGAATCACAGTTAGATAGGCACTATAAATAAAGACGTGAACTCCTTCTCCTTCTCCTTCTCCTCCTTCTCCTCAGCCAGTTCAAACCAATTCTCGACTAAGCAGAGTGCAAAACATAGTACCCAAGCCATTACCCTATCTCGCTGATCTCAACCACTTCCACGCCTTACTCTAACTCATCACAAAGGTAAACAAGCAAAATGTGCGACACCATCACCTGCAGTTACACCTGCGACAGATGCCTCGGGATAATCAAGGTCAGGACACACCTTGAGCGGTGCCCACCAACGAGGGGTCTCGAAGAAGGGTGTGCGGAAGCCCCCCCAAAGGATGTTGTCCGCATGCAACCTTTCGAGTGTTGTCCGGCGTGTAGAGCGGCTATTATTGCTGAATACGAGGCCTCCCGTGAAAAGCCAGACATAAGGAGTAGATGAGTCGACATTCGTCGCAGAATCTCCTGTTGGTGGGTTTCTTGTTTAGAAGATAGCCGTCGCTGAGGGTGTGAATTTATACACATATCTACATATACGCAAGCCATCACTAGTCAAGTCCGTCTCGCTAATCCCTTGATTTAGGTCGTCCTGAAAGGACACACGCAGAATGTGCACCACAGTCACCTGTTTTTATTTCTGCAGCTTTTGCAACGTGGTCATCAGTATGCGGACATTCCCTGACTTGTGCGAGGGAGCGAAGGCCCGTGGACAAAAGTGTGAGGTCAGCCCCTCCGAAAAAAGGACTCACGCGGTCTCTTTCTGGTATTGTGAGACGTGTTCGCAACCTGCTCCTGATCCACCAAATAATAACTAGTTGATGGTGGATGAATTGGCTTTCGTCTCAGAATCTCTTGTATCTGGGGCTTTGATTAGTCCATAGTTGAAAAATCCATAGTTATGCGTTGAACAGGGAGATATTAAAACCAAAGATGTTCTTTATCTTCGTGATTGAGTACATATTCGCAAACACCATCTTCTCATCTCTCCAGTCATTCATTAGATTTTACATGCGCGTCCCTCTGCAAGCCGAGGAAACCCGTCATCCAAGGTAGACCGCCAAGTGCGTATTTGCATCCCATATTTTTTTCAACCACACCCAAAACTCCCTGAAAATATCAATACAAGGCTCCCTCCACGTCCTCATCTTGCCTTGGTAGATGAGGCGCGCCAAAAGCCACCCTCGCCGCCGCAACCATGCATGAAACTCCTCCCAAGGCCTGTTCCTCTATATTAAGGGGTCCTGCTTTGCTCTATCTGTTTGAAAAGACGGAAATGTGTCTTCTCTGTCATGTCCTGCCGATTGATATCCGCCCGTCGTGTGTGTCGTGTGTCTGAGTAAATCCGTCGTGGGTTAAGACGGGAGGCGGTGATGCAATTCTAATCCTCCGCTTCTTTTACAAGTATGGCCGAAATAGATCCTTCCACCTCATTCATGGATCGAAGTCCATGACTATTTTGCTAGTTCATGTAGCAAGTTTACTGAGTCTTCTTGCCGTTGGTCTGGACAGTCTCCTCGACGTAAGGGTGCTTGATGGTCAGGCACCAGATGTCAAGGTAGTCACAGATGGTGACAATGACATCAACGACGAAGCTGCCGTAAACACCGATGGCGGTACCAAGCATCATAAACATGAAGGCGACTTGGTAGACACTGTCACCAAGAGCGCTAGGCCACCCAAAGGCAAAGTGCCGCTGCAGGATGGGGCCAACGGAGTCGGCAACCCCAAAGACGAGGAGCAAGCCCAAGACGTTCCAGTAGGGGAAGCGCAGGTGGACGAGGTGAGCGGTGATGATCTGACCAACGCTGTAGGCGTTGACGAAGCCGGCGAAGAGGGCAAAGGGGATGAGATGGCACTCGCGGATCTTGGGCTGCAGGTAGAGGTAGGCAACGATCATGGACCAGATAGAAACAAAGGGGATGAGGCCGAGGAGGGCGCCACGAGAGCGGTCGCCACGGGCACGACGGACGCGGATGACGTTTCGGGAGGACTCAAAGGCGTTGAAGGCGACCACGACGAGACCCTGGACAAGGTACCACTCGGAAAAGGAGCGCTCGTAGACGAAGGGGGGGAGGCCAAGAGTCTCAGGGACACCAAGAGTGCGGAGCATGCTCTGCTGCCAGAAGTGGGCGCCGCCCAGGTAGCCGGTGAGGGCGTAGACGCCAACAATAATGATAACGCCTTCAACAGGGCCGTTGACGACGCCGAGGGTGAGCGTCTTGGTGTGGTACGTCTCCCAAGTCTGAACGTAGAAGGTAGCAAGGGCTACGAGTGGCGGGTTAGCAAAACCGTGGTGTGAGGGTGGAATTCACTCAGAGGCACTTACATGCGAACAGCGTGGCGACGGTATACCAGCTTTGTCCCATGTTCTGGGAGGCGGCGAAGATGAGGACCTCGAGGGAGGTGTTGAGGGCGTCGACGCCGTGATCGAAAAGCTCACCGAGAGGGCCGGACTGTCTAGTTCGTCGTCTGTTGTGCCATGATGTCAGTTTCGGTTATGCAGTCAGGACCCTCCACCGAGTCCCCTCCACCGAGTCCCCTCGACCAAATCCCCTCTACTCCCACATGCAAAAACAAGACGCGCAGAGAGGCGTGAGGGGGCAAAGAAAGACATGTACTTACGCCTGCGTTCCATCAACGGCGTCAAAAGTCTGGTACAGAAACAAGCCGACGGCCCAGCTGTAGTAGACCCACGAGGGGCAATCCTGGTCGAGCGTGGGGTTGTACCACAGCATGGTGAGGAAGTTTGCGACAACAAAGGAGAATCCGGTAAGGGTGATGAGATTGGGCGCCATGCTCATAGGAAAGCATTTGATGACGACGTTTGTGTAGAACGGCTTCAGCACGTACTTGGACAGCAGCGAATTGTCCACGCCAGCGTACTTGTACTCCCTGAGCGCGGGGAGCTCGCGTTGCCGTACGTAGACCATCTTGGCTGTAGTGTCTTGTATCTGTCGCGGTCCAGCGTCTTGCGTCTTCCTGACTCTTGTATGGGAGAAACGGTCGGTCGGTGAGGTTTTCGGGAGGAAGCGGAGAACCGGTCGGCCGAGTGCAGACTTGTTGGAACGGTGTCTTTGGCGGTGGAGGATCTCGTTCGATTCGCTTTTCAAGCTCCGCTTTGTCTCAACTCCAGGGCCTGGCGTGCAGCACACACTAGGGAATTGTCGTCTAGAGAAACACAGCCGCAGGACAGCAGCGGCGCAGCAGTGAAATCGTTCCGGCTCGTCCGAGTGTGTTTATGGAATCGAAATGTCGTCGTTTGTAAGACAAGACACGAGCAGTTGCAAGGAGACAAAGTCAATACGAACTCGGGCAAAGCCAAAGCCAAAGCCACAAGAGTCGAACAAGGCAAAAGTGGGTCGGCAGGTGATTTCGCGGGCAGCCGGGTAGACCGTTAGACCGTTGCTTCCACACGGGTCGGAGTGATGTCGCGTCTTTGATGTGCTGTTCTCTTTTTTTTGCTCGGGCGGGAAATTTGACACCTGCAATGCGCGTGCGCACAGGACCAAGACCAGGACCCCCCCGATAACTCGATAAGATAAGGGGCAGGGGTAATAATTAAAACCGGTCTTGTCCTCGACGTCATGGACATGGCGCACAAGTGACACGCTCACACGCTCACACGCTCACACGCTCACACGCTCACACGCTCAGCACGCGACCCACATCCACTTAAACTTGGTCCTTCATTGATTTATCGTCCCGTTCTGTAATGAACCTCTTGGCTTGTGCGAATCAACTTGTTTTACCTCGCGCTAACAAACGGGCCGCCAACATTTTAGCTCCTCTCTAGAATGTCAGACACAATTCCATGTGCTCATTGTGACTCTGCAACCTGTCGCGTGACACCAAAACCCCCCCTATTAATGACATTGTCGCCATCCAATGAAATCATCATCATCTCCTACCCATCACATTCCCACGAATACAGTAGGTTGGCCTCATACCAATCCCATGACAATAACCGCATCTGCGTCTGCATTGGTGGCTGTTGGAGCTGCCTTACTTCTGATCTACTACTCCAACCACGCCATCGCCACATCACCCTCTCATTCCGTCGTTGCCAACAAGTCCAAGCCCCGTCCAAATTCGCTCCCAACGTTGATGCCATTCCTGATGCCTCCAAAGAGGTCTGCTATCTGTCCACCTGTCGTAATAGCCTAAGTTACTATCAATAGCGAACAATCAAATTACACCCCTGCAACCCTCGTCCTCAAAAGCCGTCCTTGTAATACCATTACTCCGTCCAAAAACCATCCAACCCTCCCCAGCCAAGCATCAAAGAAATGCAAGACCCAGACACATCCCCAGAACTGCTATTTCTTGTATCCCTTACTGCCCACCATCGACCTTCTTTCCAAACAACGACTGGCTACCCCAGTTGCCTTGTCCGACCGCCTGACCACTCGCTCGCCCACCTGCCTGCTCACCCGATGTCTCTGCCCGCTTCTCCGTCTGCAGCAACCCGCTCTTACACGAATCCACCTCCACATGCCGGAGCACCGATGCAAATGCCATGTTCAACAATGGTTTGGCATGTTCCGCCACTGACATTCGGTTGGCTTCGGTAACATCGATTGGCCCGTACTTGTCTTTGGTCTTCAGAGGACGACCATCTCCAATAGCCCCAAATGTCTTCCCTGCCCCTCGATGACGTGCCTCATCTACAACGTCTTCCATGGTCTTGCCCAAGAAATCAGCACCGGCGTGCCAGTCCCGGTTAATCTTTTCATTTCGAGCTGCAATCACATCGTCTGTCAGGCGGTCAGTCCCAGGCTTCCACGGTCCTGCCATTCTGGCCGAAAGAGGAGTCCAATTTGTGTGAAAGGACTCGGATGGCCATGTCCAGGTGGGTAGAAACATTCCCTTGTGATATCGATGCTCCTGGTTCCACGAAGCCATCATGGCATGCTGGTCATTGGTGCCCGCAAACACATCGTCGGTGGACGAAATCATCTTCTTCAGGACTGCCATTGGGCGAGCCTCGGGGCTCGAGGATCCAGCAGCTCTGTACACCGACGAAGCGGAATCCGAAACAAACTCCAAATCATCGATGCCAGCCTGCACCAAGGTGTGCCGGGTCAAGGCAGACATGTTTTCATCGTCGTCGTCATCATCATTCCCGCCATTTCGCGACGCGACGTTTGGTTGCAGAGCCTTAAATGTTGATTCAAATGTCGATGGGCGATACTGGCGTTGGCCGGGAGGCCCAGCAGTCAAAGGCTGGGGCACACCAGGCCCGGACGCCAGAGTCATCGATGTGGTAGTCGACGTGGATGTGGATGTGGGGGTAGATGTCGGGTGAGTAGTGTTGCCATGGCTAGTCATCTCGCTCAACGGCGAGCTTTCAAGCTGAAAGGTTGTCGACCGGTTGAAGCCAGGCTTGAGGTGAGACTCTTCCTGAACCTTTCGGAGGGCAATGGGATCCGACTGAGCCGGTCTCAAGGATGTAGGCGAGACGGAAACCCTCTTCAGGATCTCAGGTTGAAAAGACCGGTTCCGGGGAGAGGGTGGTGCATGATTGCGAATCACTTCGGACAAGCCGTTCAGCGTTGGCTTTGCTCCGCGAAGAAGGGCCTTCTGAGCCCTCTTCTGGTTCGGATTTGGGTACGAAGCCAGGTTGTGAAGAGACTTTACCGTCATGTTCATCAATGGATCCATTCCCAGGTCACTTTCATCGTCGCTCTCTTCGCTCGCATCCCCATCGGTGTATTTGTCTCGCTCGAGTTCAGAGAAAAAAGAGGTGAATGTGGTGTCACCAGCGCGCAGACGAGGGACCTGTGCCGACATGTTGGCGCTAAAGTGATCGGGGTCGTTGAATGGAGTGCTGGCACGATCGTAGTTCTGCTGCAGAGGAGTATACTGATGAACCGCGGTAGTACGACAGGTACCGGCCTTGAGCGGCAGCGTTGCGAGGAACGACTTCGGCAGGAGCGCCAGGTTACCGTGAGGGCCCCCGGCCGCCCACTTGAGGGAGCGACCTCTGCGAGTAGGGGGCTGCAGAGGCTGGGAAGAGCTGGGGTTGTAAAGTGTGCCGGCGGTGGTGTAAGTAAGCTGCTGAGATGCCGACGAGGGCGCCGTGGCAGTGGATGAAGTGATGGTGCTTAGTGTAGACACGGTGTCCATGGTCGATTTCAGATTGGCATTATCCTGCTTGCCAAAGATAAAGATGTCTTTGGAGGTGCTGTGGAATATCTGGGGAAGGCGCTGGTTAGATTCAATTTGAAATCATCGAGGCAGCTCGGCGTGCATCACTGCTGTTTCTGTTGATGTGGGAAGGCGACGTGATTCAAGGAGAGAAGGGGGTGGCAAGGCAAAGGAGGGCACAGCCAAGACTGCGAAAGGAGCGTCAAGCCGTTCAATCCGTCGTCATTTCTGAAGAACGGAGTGTTCTTGAAGGGCGAAGGTTATAATGACAAGTGAGCGTCGTGTTGAAGAGAGAACGATGAAGGTGGAGAAATGCCGGGGAGGAGAGACGTAGAAAGTGAGAAGGGAGTGAGGTGAGGTTCGTGGGAATGGTTTGTGACCAGGCAGCCGTAGCCTTCCCCAAAAACGAGCATGCGGGTTTGTTGGGAGCGGGAGGGAAAGTGAACAGGGAAAAGTGCAAGAGGGAAGGAGCAGGTGGGAAGGAAGGCACAGAGCCGAAAGCTGAATCGGCAGGTAGCCGTGGTTGCGGGAAGGTGCGCGCGAGGCTTACCAAAATCCAAAATTGCTGCCCAAAATTCAAAGATGGCAAAGGTAAAATTAGACTCGGCTTTCAGAAGGGTCCAGGCCAGGGGAAATAGATCGCGAAAGATGCCAGGTGGATGTTTGAAATGGTGCGAAAACTCTCAGAGGTCTCGCAAGGGAAGTGGGTGCTTTGAAGTTCGCCGTATGCCCCTCGCCTTTGTACTTCGCCGCTCAGATGTTGGTGAGTTTGGTCTGAATCACAGGGTAGATCAGGATGGATGAAGGATAAATGAGGGAAAGGAAGTCCTCAAGGTCGGGGGGACTTGAGATATCACAACCCACGATGTAAGGACCGAGAGACGGAAAGATCGCGACTCCTGCAGTGCGTTGGGAAAGAATGTCGAGTTTATTAATTTCGTCGCTGTGTGCAAATAAATATGAAAGCTCGAGCAAGCAAGCAAGTGAATGAACGACTGGGAGCCGACGTGGTCTCGTCAACTGGCAGACAGCTGGCAGCCGATGCGGCACTCACAGCCAGCTTTGGCCAAGGTGTTCAGCACTCGCTGTTTTGTGAACGCCCCTTCAAAACCTCTACATGTGAGTTCATCTCACAAAACAAACGGAAATCAGCTGACTAAAGGCCTCGTTCATCAGCCATCTTTAACTGATCACTACCTCGTTTATCCTGCTCGTTGACCTCCTCCGTCCGCCTCATCCTCTCAGCTAAACCAACTCTCCAATTCTCGCATCTCATGCCCTCCACCAACACCTTGCAGAGACTAAATATAATACCAATTACAGTATCTCATCTCCCCCGTTCTTCAGGAACCAGCCCTTACTCCGATGCGGCAGGGTTCAATCCCGCCCATCCGTCTTCTGACAACCACGTGCCGAACGCTCATGTTTGCGTCACCGAGCACCGTCAGCATCATGTTGTCGTGATTCCTCACAAAGGTGAGGTCCCCGGGCTGTTCCAGACCACCGAAAGAAAATCAAGAAAAGGCGACATGAAAGAATTTTATATGCTCGAGAAACTTCGTAGCCAAGGTCAAAAGTGTAGTTACCCAGACAAAGTAGGAGCCAAGGCAGCGTAAGCAACAATCCAGAGGGGTTTCCCTTTAAAGTTCAAGAGGTAGTAGAGGGATCGTGTCGAATAGTAGTATAAAAGAAATTGCCCCGGAAGAAAGGGCCGTCGAATGATAGATTATATTCAAACGTTGGGAACACCATGAGCGGTTGAGCCGGATATCCGGCAAAGGATCGAGCCGGAAATGCCCACCGGGCAAAAGAAATTATGTACGACTGGTCAAGGGATGGCAGGTATCTCCTTACATACTACCAGGAGGGTATGCGCTACCCGGGACCATACCACCTCCCTTAGAGCGAGCTCCGGGTAGTTGAAAGTCAGGGTTATCCAAAATCATGTCCTGCCGTTGTTGCTGTTGGTTCACAGGTCGTCGAGCCGGGGGACCTTGCTGATACGGAACCGGCGGATTGTTCGGACCCGGGTTCCAACGAGGGTTTACGCCACGTTGAGAAATGGAGGTAAACGTCGACTCAGCAGGGCTGCGAGCGCCCTGATTAACGTGAACATCCTCGTAGATGGGCTCGATTGGGGGTGGCACGTTGAGGTTGCCTGAGGAGCCAGGGGGTGTGTTAGAGGCGAACCGAGGGTCGACATCTTCGTAGTAAGTGCCACCAGTATTGGCTGGTGGAGGAGGTGATGTATGCCCTACAGGGAGCTCGGCTGGTCGGTTTAGAGCCAAAGGGGATGGGGCTCGAGGCGAGCTCCTCCCACTCTGAGTCCATCCTGCTCGGGGTGGCGCGTATTGCCTGCTTGGGTTAGACATCGTACTCACGAATTAAGGGCGAGGGGACATACTCGTCGTTGCTATACCTGCTGCTTTCGGTCATGTAGGTATCGTGGCGGTTAGGAGGCATCATGCCCTGCTGCAGATTAATCATGCCAGCCACATCCGAATCACTTTCGCGGATGTAGTTATTGTCGCGTTGGCCAGCCGGGGCTGCATCCATCTCAATCGCCTGCCCTCCGAACGTAGCAGGCTCGCTGCCGGGCAATGGTGGCGGAGATTCAGCCCGAGGTAGACTCGACACGGTGGAAGGGGCGGGGTAAGCATTATATCCAGCGTTGACGTTCGGCATGGAAGGGTTAGTCGAGTTGTATCCGTTTGACGGCTCTGAGGGCTCGTAGGCCCCGTATGCTTCGGCGGGAGATGGTCTCCGGTCGTACTGCATATTATATCCTGGAGGTGGGCTACGACCACCTCTCATCCCACCTGGGGGGCCGTACGCTCCTCTTGGCGGCGGTCCATATCCTCCACGACCTCCACGAGGTCCATATCCGCCTCGGTTCTGAGATCCATATCCTCGCCCTCGCATCGGCGGAGGCCCGTAGTTGTCTCTTCCATAGCCGCCTCGTCCACCACGATAAGATCCTTGCGGGCCCATGTCTCTACCCCTCATACGCTCAGTCGAAGGGCCTCTTCGGACCCCATATCCATCTTGGGGTCCGTTGATGGGATTTCCATACTGGTCCCGGGACCCTTGCCTCTGCGGGCTGTTGTTGAAAGCAGCAACCTCTCCGACGTTGCCGGTGTCGTTTACCGGGATGGGCGATCGGTTGGAAGTAGTACGACGAGTCAAGGGGATATTCTCGTCACTAACTTGGTCATTCTTGGCCTGTTGGTCGTAGGTTACAAAACCGGGGAGGTTATCTGTGGTCCCGTTGCCACCGCTCACAGACGGAACGGTTGGTTCTCTCGCAACTTCTTCGGCCGGTTTCGTCTGGCCAGTCCTGTTGTAGTAGTTCTCGCCACTCATCTCGGCATTTTCAGCAATACGTTTCTGACGGTCTTTTCGGCCGATCAAGGTACGGCGCATGGCACATGTAATTAGTCCACTCAGAGCCACGAGAATAGTAGCAGCAAGGACAATGTAGGAGCCCCATGCCAAGTGAGGGACGAACAAGAGAACGTCGATCAAAAAGGCCAAGAGACAAACCAGGAAGTCGATGAAGATGAAGATGAAGACGACAAGCAAGTATCTTGAAGAGTGTCCTGCCGCGTGCATGTGGCCGACAATAGCCATGATAAACAGGACGAGGGTCAGTAGAGCCGCGACTGGATGCACAATCAAGATAGCTGATAGGGTAGTGCGAACCCCAGAAGGTAGGTCAAAGGACGAAGCATCGGCGAATAGATCGCCTATACAAATGTCAGTAATGTCTTTGGGCGTCGAGCAATCCCTATCAGAGCGGAGTACGTACTAGTATCGTAACCAATCCCAACATTGCTACAACCTTTACCTGATTGACAGAATCCAAAAACACCAAAAGTGACGCCGTTAAAGTCACCAAGTGGGATGGCCTCTATGATGGGAACTGAAAGCACGGCGAGCAGGAGAAGCGCGAAGGCAATGCCCATCATCAGCGCCAGAGGCGTCGCTGGCCGCAACATTGCTGCGGTGCACCAGGTGGTTCCAAAGGGTAAGCAGTGAGATGGACAGCCGACGTCGTCAAGACGCGGGGACGGGGAGTCGTAGGCTCGGCGAAGTGCTCGTCTCAGCAGGCGTGTTGTTCAAAGGAGTGACACTTGTAAATCTCATGTATCAGGGTTGATGAGGAGTCGTCTGAGGCAGTAGCGGTTGTCGTTGCTAACATGGATGGCGTAGAGAGCTCGTCAAGTGGTGTAAATTAATCCATCAACCCATCGATCCATCGATCCTTCTCTCTGCGTAACGCCTTCCCTCTTCCTCGACGATGGTGGTGATTTGGTGGTGGGCTAGCGGGCGGGATGTCGCAGTTGACGTCGTAGTGCAAGTCGCAGTCGCGGGCGACTAAGTCGAGCAATCGCACCGGGGCGATGAAGAGTTCGCAACGGGGCCAGCGCGCGGTGTCGTCGAGACGGTCGTCGATGTCGTCTGCGAAGTCGCCGTGGTCCTGCGTCGTCACTCCCAGGGCGCAATGAATGACGATGGCCGAGAAGAGTGCGTCGACACAGAGTAGGTACGGAGCACAGAAGGGTGGATGTGCGGGACAATGGGGGCCCGGGGGGAGAACTTGGATACGTGCAACGCCTGCGACTTGGCTTTTGGTGGCTTAGCTTGGCTTTTTGGGGGGTGCTGGGGGCGCTGGGGGGCGCTGCTAGGCCAGGGACGGATGGTGGCACTACAAGAGTGTGGGCGCACGAAAGTGGGAATCGTGGATTCGTGGGTGACTGGGTGCCCACTGTCCGCTGTTGTGGCCCCGGACAGGGCTACCAGGCCCGCCCTGAAGCGGAGAATGCCCGCAGTCCAGCCTGGAACGCTGGCGACACAGCGCCTGAGCAACCTCTGCCGGGTGTCGTCTCCACTGAACCAGGCACCTCGAGACTGGGAATGGGCGCCTCTTCAAACTCAGGGCTCCATGGGTTCCATGGGCTGCTGCGCAACACAGCTCCGCCAGAGAACTCTGTCGGTGGACTGTGCTGTCGTGTACTATGTACTATGTACGGGATGGATGCGTCTGCGTCTGCGTCTGCGTGCGCTTTAGCAAAATCCCTCCCTCCCTTCTCAACCAAGAACGCTCCTATCGCTTCCTGGTCACCACGGACGCATCTCACGCCAGAAGCTCCATTCAGGCACCTTATCCAACGCCCGCGACGAGGGGCCAGTGACGTCCCCCAGTGCCCATGTGGGTCTCTACAGGGCTGGTCCCTGTCTGAGAACTGGCCTGCTATGGAAGGTAAAGCGGAACGATGGCCAACGCCAGCTCTAGACCAGGGCCCGCAAACGATAATGCCAGGTCCCAGAGCTCGCAGTTCTCGGCGACCACCAATCGCGCATGGCGTGGGCGTCATCCGTCGTACGAACAGGTTCTCTTGCGTCTTGGTCTACATGCTAACTTACGTCGCAACGTTTTCGTCTAATTCCCCCGTTGCTACTCTGCAGCAGCCGTCCAGGGATCGCAACCAGAAGCTCATCGACCCAGCATCGTGTGGGAAATCCAAATGACAGCACCCATCCACTGTCGTCTTCATCTCGACTATTGGTCTGTCCGAGACATCGACAGACAATACAGACAGCCAATGAACACACCACCCCGAATACAGTACGAAAAAAATAGCTCGGTTTAAAACAAAAGCTCGGGGGCCTCAGATACTCGCAGGGACGTGCCAGATGCTCTCCTCTCCAATCGCCATCATGTTCAGTCTAACGGAAATTGGCTCTCCCAGTTGGATGTCGCTTTGGGCCGCCAACACAGACGCGCACGCGCACGCGGCCAACAGACTAACAGACCCGACTTTATCACAAGCCCAGCCTGGCCTCGTCTAAAACCGTCATCATCATACTCCGTAATTACGGCATTTTACGAGGCTCGCCCGATTGTCGAGGCACCTAGAGCTCAGGCGAGCGAGTCTCCCCGCAAGCCAAGTCTCTAGTGGAGGCGTGTTTAACCTCAACCAACAACCAAGGCGGGCGATGCCACGGCGTAGTACAAATATACTTCCTATGCACCCGCAGCTGCATCTGCAGACCACATCATGGTGCATCTGCTCCTCAATACTCAAGTCGTTCCGGGACGGTTCACTGCCTCCCAGTCTTCTTCGGCCTTCGGTTTCGCTCTTGTCGGCCGAACCCAAGCGACCCAATCTGGTGGTGGAGCAAGGAACCCTACCAGGATCAAGTCCGGGATGTGCATCAATCTGTGACGGGCCGATGTTCCTAGGTGGGCGTCCTCCGCCAATGCCACGCACCACGCGCATTTGCTAGCGACTCGATTTACCGCCAGGTTGAGACAGGCATCTGCCGGCCTGGGCTTGCATGAAGATCCAAGAAAAAGCACGTTTGGGCTTCTAACGTGGCTGTGCCCTGTGGCGATCCTCAGTTTCATGTCTGTCGGTCTTGACGCCTGACAGCGAGACGAACCGAGTGCTAAGTAGATAGGCCACTAGGGTGCATGCATTTAATCATGGGATGGACGCTCCTCTATCTGGAAATGAGCACTGCAACCAACCCCTGGTATTTGACAGGCTCGATATTAACGCGTCGGATCATGTCGCTGCGCTGCCGGTTGGTACGGCGCAGCACAGCAAACTCGCGTGAAAGGTGACCCCCACTGGACGAACCACGAACCACAAAGGAATCACATCACGACACTGGTTCATTTGTGATTACTTCCACTTCCCGCGGTATGCAGAAGAATAGATACGGGGTACTTTGGATAATATATTAATAAGACGTCACCGTGTGCCGGTGTTACATTAAATATCGGCATACCCACCATCACGGTCAAGCTAAAATCCACCCACCAAGATACAGACTGGTGTACGCCTCGTTGTCTGGATTAACATAGACGATGAATGCCAACTTTAATTCAGATCCAGAATTAATAACCACCTCATTACGCTACTGGTCCTAACTCTGCCAATGTAGAATCCGATGCTATAATATCTACCTTGCAGCTCCAGCATTTCGGCAAGTTACATACCCAACCGCGCAGGCCAGATTGAAAGTTAGTGGGGCATGTTAATGTGCGTCAACACGGAAGCTTTTTGGTTCAAGCTTTCTTCAATATTGTCGCATAAAATCTCCCCAAAACCTCGTGTGGCTCAAACAAATACGGCTGTGAAACCCTAACTGCACACAGTCAACACACCCAGTGCGAGGAGATGGGGCTTATCGTCACAGTCCGTAGTTGCAGTCGTAATAATTATGGTTGCTATCGAAATAAACATTGCATGTCGTATTAAAAATGCCGGCTCTGCAGACACAAAATGCCGTAGTCGGTGTCGGGTGAGCTACTCCCAAGGAGTCGCCGAGGAACATGTTCCGTCCCGACTTCGGCGCCCGGATGAAGGCATTGCCGGGGCACGAGAATCCGAGAGCCGTCGAGATGGCAGCATTTGAAGTTTCAATTTGTGGCAAAGCTAGTTGGAGTTGCGGCGGTAGAGTTGAAGGGAATAAACCCTGTCATCATAGAACAATGCTCTCTTCCATTAATCGGCTTCACCGTGATTCCCGTGGCTCAGGTTCCTCGACGGTCGGGTTGGATCGGAGACACGCCCACTACCGGCGATGTCAACGTTGAACCCGCTCCGTTGCCCCGTCGGGAAGCCGAAAAATACCCGGAAGGCGCGGATACCTCGCTGGGTCTTTTTTTGCCCTGGCTGGCCGGTAGGGTGACGGGAGAGCGGTAGAGAGGGCTTTGCGCCGTTTTAAATAATTCGCAACGGCCCTGCAAAAGGAACAGGCCGATTGTTCCCTCGATTCCCTCCCGCCGACCTCTGTCCCCGACTAACTGAGCCAATTGGACATCCCCGGAATCCTCGTCCTCGTCCCCTTCGGTCCATTCCGATTTCGCCCTTCTCTCCGTGTTTTTTTGCGCGAAGCCACAATCCCGCAACTCAGCCCATCATGCTCCGATCCGTCGCGGGACGCGCTGCGACCTCGGGCCTTGTGAAGGCGGCGCTGCCTCGGGCGGCCACCAGAGCTTCGGCCCTCACATGCCAGGCGGCTTCCCCGCAGCAGCAGCTCCAGCTACGACTCCAAGCCTCCGGCGGCTTGCGACTTGCCAGAGCCATCCACAGCACTTCCTCCAGAATGTCCGCCACACGAACCGAGAGCGACGCCTTTGGCGAGGTCCAGGTCGCCGCCGACCGCTACTGGGGCGCCCAGACCGAGCGGTCCCTCGAGAACTTCAAGATCAACCAGCCGCAAGACCGCATGCCCCCGCCCATCGTCAAGGCTTTTGGTATCCTCAAGGGCGCCGCCGCCACGGTGAACATGCGATATGGCCTCGGTACGTACATGGTCGTCCCGCCCCCTTTGTTGCCGTCCTTGAACTTCTCTTGCTCTGTTGCAGTTGCGAACAGCGAGTTGACAGACCGGGAGTGGCTCCAGCCCGGCCCGGTCCACAAACATGAAGCCAGCGCAACTGCCTCACGATGCAATCAAGAAGTCTACGAAAATGAAATACATCAGAACTGACTCTCGAATCCAATGCAGACCCCAAGATTGGCGCTGCTATCCAGGAGGCTGCCAAGGAGGTCGCCGACGGCAAGCTCCTCGACCACTTCCCCCTCGTCGTGTGGCAGACTGGCTCCGGTACCCAGTCCAACATGAACGCCAACGAGGTTATCTCTAACCGCGCCATTGAGATCCTCGGCGGCACCATGGGCTCCAAGAAGCCCGTCCACCCCAACGACCACGTCAACCGCAGTGCCTCGTCCAACGACACCTTCCCCACCGTCATGCACATCGCTGCCGTCCTCGACATCGAGGGCGAGCTCCTCCCCTCGCTGCGCTCGCTCCGCACCGCCCTCCAGGCCAAGGTCGACGACTTCGAGGCCAAGAAGATCATCAAGATCGGCCGCACCCATCTCCAGGACGCCACCCCCCTCACCCTCGCCCAGGAGTTCTCCGGCTACGTCGCCCAGCTCGACTTCAGCATCAAGCGCGTTGAGAGCTCCCTGCCCGACCTACGCCTGCTCGCCCAGGGCGGCACCGCTGTCGGTACCGGTATTAACACCTTCGAGGGTTTCGCCGAGGCTATTGCCGAGGAGGTCACCAAGATGACCGGCACAGAGTTCAAGACTGCCCCCAACAAGTTCGAGGCGCTCGCCGCCCACGACGCCATCGTCCAGGCCCACGGCTCCCTTAACACCCTCGCTACCTCTCTTTCCAAGATCGCTCAGGATATCCGCTACCTTGGCAGTGGTCCCCGCTGCGGCCTCGGTGAGCTCAGCCTACCTGAGAACGAGCCCGGTTCCAGTATTATGCCTGGCAAGGTCAACCCCACCCAGTGTGAGGCCCTCACTATGGTCTGCGCCCAGGTTATGGGTAATAATGTCGCCACCACTATTGGCGGCATGAATGGCCAGTTCGAGCTTAACGTCTACAAGCCCCTCGTCATTCGCAACCTTCTCCACAGCTCCCGCCTGCTCACTGACGGCATGGCCTCATTTGAGAAGAACCTGGTTGTCGGCCTCCAGGCGAACGAGGATAAGATTGCCAGCATCATGAAGGAGTCGTAAGTACCCTTGGCCCTAAGACAAACTTATCATGACAGGTTCACATTTGCTAACAAGATTCTTTAGCCTCATGCTAGTCACCTGCCTCAACCCCAAGATCGGCTACGATATGGCTAGCAAGGTCGCCAAGAACGCTCACAAGAAGGGTCTGACACTCAAGGAGAGCGCCCTCGAGCTTGACGCTCTGACCGAGGAGGAGTTTGACACCCTCGTCAAGCCCGAGCTGATGGTCGGCCCCTCACCCTACAAGGGTTAACATGACCTGCTAAACCTAGACGGATGCGAGCTCTCGAGAGGGCCGGTCAGTCCTGTATCAATTAGTCTATAAAATGCCCCCTGCTAGATAACCGAGCCGAGCAAAGCAAACTCTATTTGGCTTGCTCGCGCGGTCTGGGAAAGCGAAACTAGATACCTACTCAAACAGTTTAAAAAGAACATTGATCAACTTCTTGTCCTTCACCTTCACTGTACGCGCGAAAAGGCTCTATTGAATTCGAAGTCTGGACGGGGAATCCATATTAAACATCACGGTAGTGGCTATTCGCATTGCTATCCGTGTCTTGCACAAGTGTGTGCATCTAATTATCATGACCTACCCTGGAGCACTACGATGACGCAAAGGATGATCACAGCTGGGCATGCATTGGTTTAGATGGTCTCCTCCAAGGTTATAGTACAGTATTAGACGACATATTGTGCATTGGTAAACCCACGGTTTCGGTGTCTCATCCACGACTGCACTGCTTACAACTCTTCGGTCTCTTATGTCATACTCCGCAACGACGAAACTCGATACGAGAATTAAGAGGCGATGAGAGACTACATCACAATCAGACAGGGATAAGCAAACACCGAGTACAATGACTCCCAAGCACAATGCTTCGAACACGCAAATTATTTCAACATTGGCACAAATCCCTCTTTAAAGTCATACTCCGGGTCTCGCGGATAGTTGGTTATCTCCGCCTACGGAGTCGGGGATCGGCGTGATTCTGGTCCGTAGCACCGCCCGAAATGGTCGCGTGCCGCAGTCAATTCTCCGACCGAGCCCGGCGATAAGGTGCTCCGGGCTTTTTTTTTCGTTATCGGACGTCATTGCCTCTCAAATCCCACCAGCTGCAGGACTCCTCTCCCTTCATACAATTCCTTATTTTTCTCGACTTGATTGAATTCCCTCGCAGCGAACCACCCCCATGACCCTCGATCGACGGCGACTCTCCTGCTCCTGACCGACGACAGCCATGTTGCGTCAAGGCTTGCTGGGCGCCTCCAGGGCGACCCGTGGCCCGGCGCTCCGTCTCCGACCCGCCTTCCCATCCGCTTCCCCGCGCCGCCATATGCAGTCCGGCGGTCCCTACAAACCGATGCGGCCCCCGTCGCCCGCCGAGCTCGGTGCTCCGAAGGCAGCCAAGCAATACCGGAGCGGTCGGCGGTGGGGTCGGCGACTGGTAACCATTTCCGTGGTGGGCGGCGTCGTCTACCTTGCTGATAGGCAGGTCTACGCCGGCGGCTTCATGCGGTCGCTGCGCACCTTTGGCACCGGCTTGTTTGTCGCCCTGGACTACAAGCTCAACTTCAGACCGGAGCCGCTCACGGGAGGCTCCGTCCAGGATCTCCACATGCGCAATGCCGAGCGGCTGTTCCACCTGCTGCGGGCCAATGGTGGCCTATACCTCAAGATCGGACAGGCCATTGCCATGCAAAGCGCTGTGCTGCCACCCGAGTTCCAAAAGATGTTTGGGCGCATGTTCGATGATGCGCCGCAGGACGACTGGAAGGACGTCGAGGCCGTAATCCGCGAGGACTTTGGTGGTAAGACGGTCGAAGAGGTGTTTGGTGTCAGCTTCACCGGCAAGGAGGGCATGGGATTGATGGAGAAGCAGGCTCGGGCGAGTGCAAGTGTGGCACAAGTCCATTGGGCGAGGTTACCAGACGGTCGAGAGGTGGCAGTCAAGATCCAGAAGCGGGAGATTCAGAAGCAGATCTCGTGGGATCTGTGGGCGTTCAAGTGAGTCGGACCTCTCCGTATCTATAACCCTTCAACACTGACACACGGGGCAGAACAGTGACATGGATCTACTCAAGATGGTTCGACCTACCGCTGTACACACTAGTACCCTTCATCACGGAGCGTCTAGAGCTGGAGACTGACTTCCTCAACGAGGCCAAGAACTCGGAGACGATGCGGGACCTCGTCAATGGCGAGAAGAGCCTCAAGGGACGCGTCTACATACCTACCGTGTATCCCGAGTTCACTACGAAACGAGTCTTGGTGACGGAGTGGATCGAGGGTGTGCGACTCTGGGATAAGAAGACAATGACCGGTAGGTGGTTCGGCGGCCACGGCAATGGCTCACCCGGTGCCGGAAGCCCCTTGCCCCCAATTGACATGGCCAAGGCCCGACGAGAGCTCCGGACGAGACCGTACCAAGAGAAGCTCAAGCCGGAGCGCCAGGAGTGGCGGGGTCGGCGCGGGCGCGGCGGCCTCGGCCTGTCGACCAACGAAGTCATGACGACCATGATCGATCTATTCTCGGCGCAGATCTTCAAGTGGGGAGTCGTCCACTGCGACCCCCACCCTGGCAACATCTTCATCCGGCGGTTACCGAACGGCCGCTCGGAGCTGGTGCTCATCGACCACGGCCTGTACGTGTACATGTCGCAGAAGTTCCGTCACGAGTACGGCACGTTCTGGAAGGCGCTCATGACGTTCGACAACAAGACCATCACACGGGTGACGGAGGAGTGGGGCATCAAGGCGGCGGACCTGTTCGCGAGCGCGACCCTAATGCGCCCGTACGAGGGCGGCGACTCGTCGACGCGGGACAGGTTCATGCAGGAGCTCGAGGGCGCGACGCCGGCGGAGCGACACTACGCGATGCAGCAGCGGATGAAGCAGGGGATCCGCGAGATCCTGACGGACGAGGAGAAGTGGCCCAAGGAGCTCATCTTCATCGGGCGCAACATGCGCATCGTCCAGGGCAACAACCAGTACTTGGGGTCGCCCGTGAACCGCATCAAGAAGATGGGCGAGTGGGCGAGCCGCAGCCTATTTGAGGACCCGAATGTGCCGTGGAGGTTGCGACTGCAGAACCGCTGGCGCCACGTCCTGTTCAAGGCGGTCATGACCGTGACGGACATTGCCTTTTACATCTTCAAGCTGCGGCAGTGGCTGGGCGTTGGCGGCGGCATGGAGGACGAGATGGAGAAGCGCATGAAGGATGTTGCGCAGGACTTTGGCATTGAGTTGCAGCACGAGGTGTTTGAGGGATGAGACGATATCCCACTCTCTGGCTTTGAGTGAAGCCGTCCAAAGGGAATTCTCTTTGAGTGTATAATATAGATCCAACCGCTCCACTACATGAAAAATGGGCCTTGTACAAGTTACATAGACGACGGGCTGGGTATTCTGACCTTGTTTGGCAATGGCGTCAGGAGCTGAGGGATAGAGCCGCATGAGCGATGGCAAACAACACCACACTGATCATGACCACTCAACCAATGTTCATGGCGTAACCGTGATACGACGAAGCTCCCACTGTGAGCGACAAGACATCTAAAACGGACTGCGTGGCACATGCTTGATGGAGCTGAAGTGAACCCTAGTCTTCACGTCGTGATTCTATTTCTGGCAGCGATCGTGTGGGTTTCACGAGGGAGGACAAATTTATGCTGCACCACCCTGAAACACGAGGGGGTGCGTACATTGTACAGACGGGACGGAGCATGTATTGTGTCAAGTAGAGTTGCACGAGATGGAAGCGCGCTGAAAGGGCGGGTAGGCCGGAGTTCGTATGAATACGGCCGAAACGGGGTTGTGAGGCCAAATCATGACGCAAGCATGGCAACAGGAAAAGCACAAATCAAGTAGGCAACTTGGCAATGGACACGCCTCATGCGATGAATGGAGGAGGGAATGATGCCGATCTTTGTGGGTTGGTCGTCGTTTCGTTTCACCTCCAGATCCAACATCCCGCCTCAGTGGCCACGGCAGGGTTCGCCTCAGTGCCGTTATGAGCCGCAGAGCCAACCAGGCGCTTCGCGTAGGGGCGGGACGAGAGAGACAGCGCCAAGCGGAAGCGGGGGGTTGATTAAGTTGAGTTATTGCTACTATGTAGGCTTCATGTCAAGGCAGTCAAGCGGGTCAAGGGCCGTCACGCCCGTGGCCCCGACGACCGTTTCACTCCAGCGGCGTCATTTGCAAGCGCGCGCGGATGAGATGGCCGTTGAAACGGGGATGAGCTATAACCGGGGCCGGGGAGGGCGGAGGAAGAGGATGATTGTCAACGGGTAACAGGGGAACCAACCTGCAATTTCAATTTCATCCGAGCCAGAGCAGTCAGTATCTTGGACTAATTAGTGGACAGGCCGAATTCCATAGGAGGAACTCGTAATGTCGCATGGGACAAGGTTGAGTTGAGTTCAATGAGTTGGCGATGCTCGCCCAGACAGCTTAGCGACGAAGTTGTGGCATGTACGTAGTGGACCTGTCGAGACATGTCGCGATCCAAGATCCAGCACAGCCAGACACGTGGTGAGTGGATGAGATGCATGTCGCGGTGGCTGAGATAGACAGTGGGAACGTTGGAGCGATTGTTAATTTGTTCCAGGACTTGGAAGCGCTGAAGCCGTTGAAAATAGGTACCTAGTCAGCTGCAGTGACAAGCCGCTAACAATGCAAAGGCAATATCAATGCGCGGAGTTGGCGTGGAGGGTGCTGGCGCTGGCGCTGGCGCTGATCCGACCAGGTCCAGGCTGTGAATCCATCCTGATCCATCATGAGCACCCAACTACAGCCGTGCAGCCCAGCCCAATTGCTGTGTGTTGCTGCGTGATGCTGCTGCACCGGCTGCGCGGTGGCGGGAGGGGGAGGGGACGAAATTGTCCGAGGGGCGAAGCTAGCGCACCAGGGCTCTGTCGACGCGCTGGAGTCCTGGACAGCCTCTAATAAGAATAAGCCAGGCCCTGGGATCCCCCGAAGCCTGCACTGCCGGCAGAAGAAACAAGAAATCGCCTGCATTAGTGAGAGCCAGGTCGTGATGGGCCATGTTTCTCAGGGCCTGCCTGCCAGGCTGGGCTGCCGGGCGTTCGGGTGCTTGCAGGAAACGAATGACACCTTGGTGGTGATGGTGCTCTGAGGATGGTACTACGTACTACGCAGTGAGGCGTTCCTAACTTAAGGTGCGTACTCCGTAGTAGCCCTGCAGTTCGAGCAACTGCCCTGCTGAGAAACAACTCCCAGAAACGACCTCAGCCATCGGTGTTCGTTGACGGCTTGACCGTCCGGTTCCGGATTAGCGGATTGGGCAACCATGTGTTGCGCTGCCCATTGTGGGATGTGGGAGTTGGAGCGGATGCTGTGGAGCTCGCAATACCGGTACCTGCAGAAGCGTGTCCCAGTTTGGTGGAGAGCATCGAGAGCTGGAGCCGAAGGGCTGAAAACTTGGATCGCCTGGAGGTCGATCGCTCTCTTACTACGTAGCACTCACTCACTGATGACAGGATAGCCCCATTCCACGGCATCTCCAAGCCAAGAGCCTCCGTATATAGCAGTGGTGGCCGGACTGGTGGACAATGGTAGTTCTTGTCGTACATAGTAGGGTCTCAAATTGGCTGGGGACTGAGCACCCCGGCCTAGTGCGTTTTGTCTCAGTCGACTTCTGCTGGATTTCTCTCCAGTTGCCCAAGACGTTGTTACGGCTCGGTTTCCGAATCTCGTTCCGACAAATTGAGACGGGAGGTTACAGTACCGGCTCTTATCGTCGTGAATTGAACCATGCAACTAACCGCTCAGCATAGCCCTCCCCAGCGCGTATATGGCGAGGAACAAAGAGCGCAAGAGCAGATGGCACATCCAGCTTCCAAGTCGCCATTTAAAGTTACCCTCCCATTTGCCCCTTTATTCCGTCTGGCTGGTGGAGTGGTGCATGCATGCAGAGGTGGAGACGGCTGTTGCACTAGGCGGTACGTACCTTTGTGACTTGGACCCTGCGCCGAACGGGGCCGTTTCCCACGCCCCCCTCCCCTCCCCTCCCCTAGCGCGGGACGCTGTTAGTGCGGCCGGCGCCGTCCAATGGCGCATCGCAACAAGTCCCAGGTCCCGTTTTCATCGAGCTCTCGTCTGCTCATCCGCCGCTGTAGAACCCGATCCCGCACCCCTGGGGCGCGCCCTATCCAGCTGGAGGCCGTGAGGATTGCGACGCTTGCACGTTGGCTGCGCGGGATTTGCATTGGGCTGCGTTTGGTACACGCTGGGCTTCGTCCGGCGGGACAGGCGAATAGGCGAAGTAACAGGACGGGTAGAGATGAGCGATGCTTTGTGGGCTTCGGGGTACTTTATTACAGCTACGCAACTACCTTAGGTACCTACCTAGGTTATCAGTTAATTACAGCCCAAACCGAGGCACTTGACCTTGTCAAACAAGGCACTAACACGCACCAGCACCAACCAACACCAGCACAGCACAAAAAAAAAAGCCCAAAACAACGTCGTGTTGTACTGTACCTGTAGCACCGCGTAGTATTATGAGAGCCTGTATCAACTATTGTCGACCCCTGGCTGGCTCGGGGGCTTTCTCGTCCCTCTCACCCCATGTCCACATTGCTCTCTGTTTCTTGGTCTCCCGGTCTCCCGGTCTCCCACTCTCTTTTCGCCCTCGTTGCCACACACGCGCCCTCTTCTGATTTAGTGCCTGCGCGTTCTCCCACACTGCCTCTGTGAGCCGTTACATCCCCCCCCTTCATCGTCTTTTTCCTACCACCACCACCACCTCCGCCAATACCCTTTGCTGGCTGGCCACCACTCTCTGCCCTCCTCCCCCTTGATTGACTGTCCGCTTCTCCTGTTCCCGTCTTGGTTACGGTACCTGTTCCCGTCACCCTTCCCCAAGCTCCAAGTTCCTGACGCTTGACGTTGGTGTCCTTGATTCACTATCCAAACCGCCTGACGGATTCATTCTTTCACCACCAACCAACCTTGGCTTTATTTTGAGTTCTCGCCTCCCCTTTCTGGCCAAGTCCCTGCATTGAATCCGTATCGCATCCCGTCTCTTTGCATTTCGCATCTGCAATTCAAGGATTCAAGGATTCAAGGATTCAAGCTGGGCGCCCGACTTCGAGTTCATTTGAGCTGTCCGTCGAAATCCAGCCAATCAACCCCCGAACCCACTGTACTTGGCTTCCCCTGCACGCAGCAAACGCGGCCGCTCTTCCTTGGTCCGACGCCCACGCATCAATCAATTTCCATCTCGTCTCCGTCTGGTGTCTCGACTCGCCCACAGGCTACACGTCGACGTCTCAAGCAGAGTCGCCCTAACAGCAAGGCCGTCCATCCTTCCCTCCTTGAGCCACTCAGCGCACCGAGCCGCAACTGCAACGCCCCTTTCATCAGTCGGCCGGCCTTTCTTTCCTGGGCCTCCCCACCTCGCTTTCGACACGCTCCGTCGCTCACTTCAGCACTACCACGACCACACGAACACCCTTTCCGCGCTCACTAACCGCTGCCACTCCTCTCCACAACCCGGCTGCGGCGCCAGTGCTCCTGAATCGTCGTGTCGAGACCCGTGGCTGATCTGAGCTTCTTGCCACAAGACGATCCGCACTTCCGCAGTTTGTGTTGCTCACTCACTCTTCGTCGCTGTTGCTGTTGCTGCCGCTGTTGCTGCCGCTGTTGCTGCCGCTGTTGCTGCCGCTTGTCACCCCATCGCTGTCCCGTCGCCTCATGGTCCTTGGCCCGTGAAACCACCCAACTGACTTATCGACCCGTCTTCGCCCATCTTTTGCGCTCCGCCGCGCTTGTTGCCTTCGCTCGTCCTTCTCCATTCGTTCTCGACTTGTTCTTGCCCCATCTGTCGACACCCCCCCGTCGGTCGTCCCCACCCTCTCCTCAATCTACCACCCATCCACCCGCCGCCCGCTTATGCCCTTGGGCGTCCCCCCCGTTGCGACTCTTTCCTTTCATGACACTTTTGTCAAAGAATGAGCGCCCAGCCTCGTCGCACCAGCTTCGGAATGTTGCTACGACGCAGTAAGAGCGGTGATTTGGGAAAGGGCGGCCGCAAGGCTCAGGCCCTTAGAGAGGCCGAACTTGAGCGCCAGCGCCTGGCCGCCGCCTCTCGCGTCCCTCCCAAGTTGCCCGAGTTCGCCAACAACACCGAGAAGTTGTCCAAGTCCTTTGGTGCCGACCTGCGCCCCGAATCGCCCGCCAGCGTCCGCCGATCCGCCGACTACAGCAAAATCCGCCCTTCCATCGAACAGCAGCGCAACTACGGCGCTGTCCCAGTCCCTCCCCTGCCCAACGGCGGCTTCGATCCCTATGCGAGGACCGAGAGCATGACGCACCGCGGGCGCTACAGTTATGCCAGTAGTGCCATCAGCACTGTCAACAGCCCTCGCCGAGTTCGCAGAAGAAAGGATCCCACCCCGTTGAAGTGAGTCTTCCAGCGCGACTGTCGCTCTTCTGATCATTCTGCGCATATCGTCGCGTGCTCGTCTCACATTGCTAATCAATTGTTCCCCATTTACAGCATCCTCATCATTGGCACTCGCAATGCAGGCAAGACATCTTTCCTTGAGTTCCTCAAGACTGCTCTCGCTCTCCCGGCCAAGAAGCGTGCCAAGAACCCCCAAGACGACTTCGTCCCGGAACGAGCTCCTTCTGGAAACTTCATCCCCCACTACCTCGAGACTGAGATCGATGGCGAGCGAGTTGGTCTGACCCTCTGGGATTCGGAAGGTCTGGAGAAGAACGTGGTCGACCTTCAGCTTAGGGAGATGTCGTCGTTCTTGGAGAGCAAGTTCGAAGAGACTTTCGCTGAAGAGATGAAGGTGGTGCGATCTCCCGGCGTACAAGACACCCATATCCATGCTACCTTCCTTGTTCTCGATCCCGCTCGTCTCGACCGCAATGTGGCGGCGGCTAGGAAACAGGTTGCCAATGGTCAAAATGGTCATCGCAACGACGACGTCGTTGCTCGCGTTCTGGGTAGCCTCGATGAGGACCTTGATCTGCAGGTCCTGCGTACCCTCCAAGGCAAGACCACCGTCATCCCCGTCATCGCCAAGGCCGATACCATCACTACGAAGCACATGAATGTCCTCAAGAAGAGCGTCTGGGATAGTCTCAAGAAGTCCGGCCTGGACCCCTTGGAGGCACTGGGTCTTGACGACGACGACTCCAGCGATAGAATCGCTGAAGAGGACGATGAGGATCAGGATGAAGACGAACCTGAATACAGCCGATCCGGCGCCGAAACTCCAGAGGGCCAAGACCTCCCCATCCAGGGTAGTCGTGAATCCCCCGCGGCGTCGCCCAATTCGAAGCGGCTGTCGACCAATTCCATCCGACGACACAAGGCTCAGGAGGAGGCCAAGGAGGAAGAGACGCCATTCTTGCCGCTCTCAATAATCAGCCCTGACCTGTACGAGCCTGATGTCGTCGGCCGGCAGTTCCCTTGGGGATTTGCTGACCCATACAATGAGGAGCACTGTGACTTCCAGCGTCTCAAGGAAGCTGTTTTCAGCGAATGGCGCGCCGAATTGCGCGAGGCCAGCAGAGAACAGTGGTATGAAGGATGGAGAACAAGCAGACTCAAGCAGAGGGACATCCCTTTCCGTCACCGATAGGCGGATGTAATGAAGGGAGGATGCCACCCATGCAGGGGTAGCAAACATATTCCTTTGTGTTGAGCATGCTTGCTTTTCTAGCCAGCCCTCTCACGCCCACTTGAATTCAACGGATACCCTCTACGACACGCGAAACCGCAGCATCGAATCGCGGTTTTATTTTCTTTACTCTCAACCAACTTTCATGTCCAACAGTTTCGGAAACTCTGCAGCATACCCCTTTGTCTTTGCCCTTTTTTTTAGTCACAGTCCAATTCTGATGCCCGCGACGAGGATCCGGGACGCTCCGGCGAAAGACCAAAGGTGCAGCAGGATCCACTTGTGTTTCTCGTAGCCGAGACCATAAGTGAGACACGCGAGCATCTGGGTCCCGAGACTATCCCACTTGGACCGGATATAGCACGTTTGCATCCTCGTCGGGGATCGCTTCATTCGGTTCGGCTCACGAATATTCCTTTTCGACACCCTCTTCTCTTTCCCCGACATTGGGCCCGACGGATTGGCGTTTGTGTCGGCGGCCTCAAAACCAAAAGAAAGATTCTTTATTCATTCACCTTACAATATTGTCCGCTCTCCTTTTCTACTACTGTGCATTCTCCCCACATATACACGCCGCGCGAGAATTCAGGTGTTACTGGCTCCTTGCAGGCCGAGGGTCATCGTTACGACCGACTCTCGACCTCGACAGATCCAACCATGGTCAAATACGTGGAAGGCGGCGGAAATGGGGAGAAGTAGGAAGATAAAACTACCAAGGGTTTCAAAAGAAGAATGCAGGGAATGTATAAGGATATGTGCTGGTGCAGCTGTAGATTAGTGTCCGGGCGACGTCTCTTTTTCTCTTGACTTTTTTTATCAAGTCCCAATCGATTTTTTAACGTCTTTTCTTAAACATACTTTCTCGGTTCTCTTGGCGGCTTTTTGATGGTGTGTGTTGTGTATTGCGCTGGTCTTAACCAAGTGTCTGGCGACGGTCAAAATTGATCAATAAAATGGGAATACCGTGTGCCCTATATAACATCTGTCTCGAGTCTTATCCTTCCCTCCGGTCCCCCGTGAAAGCAATCTACCGCCCTAATTCATCAAAGTTCCAAGACGCCTGTTCTCGTCACAAACATGGATACCAATGAGCCCAAGATGGCTCATACAAGAAATATACTACATAGCACGCATCCTATCATATTCTGAAAAGCCCCGTATCTCCCCCCGAGGAGAGGATGGGCGTCCTTAATCCGCCAGAATTCCGTGACCCTCAGGGGGAACCAATATATTCCGTATTCACGGCCTGACCGTCCGCGTCAATATCGGATTCCTTGCGGTAAGGGTTCTTGCCGAGACTGATGAGGCGGTCGATCTCTTTCTTACCCAGGGCGACGAGATCGAAGCACGGGGGCATGATGGCGTCGGTCATGAGGTAGTCGACCTTCATGTTGCGGGCCTTGTCGCGATACGCCTGCTGGTTGCGCGGGTGCTCGAACTTGTCGTTGTCGTTGTGCTCCATGGTGGCCCAGGCAGCGTGGCGCTCGCGGATGAGTTGGATGAGGAGCGCGCAGTCGTGGTGGGACCAAACGTGGCGTTGCTTCGCGGATGAGGTGAGTTGATAACGGGCCCTTTGGGAGACCTCAATCTTGGCTCTCTTGAGAGTTTCTAGGTCCGCTTGGGTTGGTTGTGGGACCTGAGATGAGTGGGGGGCTCTTGGGAGGGTGGATCGGACGTGGGAAGCGATTGAAGCAGTCGGGGGAGGCTCAGTTGGCGCGACTCGGGGCCGTTTTGGTGGTGGCATCGACTCAGAGATGGCAGCTCGTTTGCCCTTGTCCACCGGGCGAGTGTCTGTTTCGAACTCATCCTCCTCCTCATCTTCGTCCTGACTTTGAGAAACAAAAGGGTCGCGAGCTTTAGGTCGTCTGGATGCCGATCCAGAGGATTTTATCTGGTCCCTCTCGAGAACAAGAGCTGAAGACGCGGGCAGCGGCGAGGCTAGCAGGTCGGCGTTGGTATGTTCACGATAGTCTCGGGGGGCTCCCGGCCGAGGTGCAACTTGCTGTTGATTTGATGGAGGTGCCATGGAATTTGTTCTTTCTTGGCGATTTAAATAGTTGAATGGGGCATCAGGAACGAATAAACTGGGCCTGCGGAGCGTGTTAGTGATTGTCATGAAAGTGGATGTAGTAGGCGACTTGCCCTAACTCTGCCTGGCTGATCGCTGCTGCTCTAACGATGGGCTGGGATTCTGAGGCGGCATCAGTCTGACTGTCGGCAATTTCTTCCTCCGCATCGACAAATTCTTCCCGCCCTGATTCTTGCTTTGGCTGACTTTGGCTGTACTGTTCCCCCAACATGGCATACATGTCTATGAGCCAAGTTTTCAGGTCATCAAGCAAGCGCACAAGGGGGAACAGCTCCTTAAGCTGCCCGGCCCCGTACGTTTTCTTGTCCTTCTTAATGATAAGAATGAGCTTTGTGATTCTGTCGGAGCATAGCTCCTCAATATTCTCATCACTGTCTTCTCCAAGGCTCTTGAAGGGGCCACGGACAAAGCGTTGGAGATAAGTTTGGCTGTCATCTGGTTCACAGAAGATGTCGGCAATAATCTTAAAGAAATCCGGCTTTTCCACTTGACTGTTGATAACTTCGATCAAGTACCATGTGCGGATGTCGAGAGTGAGCTGGGTATGCTGGAACATTTCTCTGGAAATGATGAAGAGAGAAGGGAAATAGGAGTTGAGTTTGTTCAGCAGAGGAAACGGATCCAATTGTTGGCCTGCTTCCAGATTCAGGACTTCGTCAAGGGCTGTGACAATGTTTGCGCGCACCATGGCCGTTGCCGCTGCCGCAATGACGTCCTCATTCTTGAATATTTCGTGAGCTTGCGCCCAGTCGATGAATGGTGACGTTCTCTTTTCCTCAAAAACCTGCCGGGCACCGACAAATGCGCTCCTCTTAACAGCGACCAGGCCACGGAAGACCGGATCGTCGTAATTTGCGTTTTCAAAGCGTTTCATTAACTCTTCTGTGGTGTTGATCAAATCGGGGAAGAGCTGCTCCATAATCTTATATCTGGTCGCTTCTGCTTCAGGGTCGATGTCATCCTGTTCCTCTTCCTCTTCAATGGTACCGGCTACCACTGGGTCTTCAGTACCGAGCTCTGAGATCTGATCATTCTCTCCAAGCTCTGATTCCTCGTCGACGCCCCTGTGGGGGTTGGTCACAATGCTAGCGACACTGGCAGCACGCCCAACGACACGAGCGCCACGCCGAGGGACCGGATTTGAAAGAAGGCCCTTTGGTTTTGAATCTTCAGGAGTCGGTACAGATGTCTGGCCGCGGGCGGCTTGGGCCTGAGCTGGTTCCGGGTTGGTTGCGCTGGGGGTTGCTGTCTGGCGCGTGCGAGTCGCCCTTCGAGTTCTTGGTGGATCCGGAGCCGAAGCCGGAAGATCCGCGCGTTTTCTTCGATTCCTCGTGTCCATGGCGATATGGAGAGCGATTTACAATGGATATCGGCGATGAGCAAAGATGGCAAAGAGCAACCCCGCGAATCTCTGTTGACGTGTTGCTTTGTTTTGGGTTGTCGCGTTCCGGAGGTTATTCCGTGACCCTAACCCTAACCCTACAGATACAAAAGGCCCGTGCACGGTTAGTGTTGCGGGTGGGTACCTACAGGTACTAGTTCAACTAACAGGGTTGTCATTCGTCGTCTCCGGCCGAGATGGCCATGACGAAATCTCCACGTTTGAGCTTGTTGAGTTGGTTACTTAAGGTAATATTTTGAGGGTTCCTATTTAGAGAATTCATCCATGAGACTTGTTCTTTCAGCATAGTGTTGAAACCAGATCTAAGAGCTTCTGGTCCGACTGTTTTATGTCGTCTTCTTTGCAGCAGCCGCTGCAGGTACCCGGTCGGGACCGAAAAGCCCCAAGAAGTATGCCGATCGCATCAGCAACAAGAAGACCTGTCGTAGCACGCGTTGCAATTAGAGATAAACCATGCAGGGGCCTTTGATATACTTACAGTCATAGCGACGTTTCCCCAGGCCATGGCATTCCATTCTGCAGGATTCAACAGCATATCCTTACCAAGTCCGTAGCTGCTGAATAGGATGTGGCCGATGTCTCCAAGCCAAAGAGCAACGAGGTAGGCTCGAACGACCTTGATCTCGGATGTTGTGTTTAGCACTGCGAGGCCGATAAAGGCTAACAAGAGGTACAGGTTTCCCAGCTCCAAGGCCAGAACTACGCTGTTCTCGGTGATGACGACAGGTTCTGTCTGTGGTATTTGCTCGGCAACGAACCAAGCGGGGTCTGCAATGGCACCAAGGAAACCGGCAACCCTGAGGTGTGATGGGTGAGTGGTTGCTGGGCGAAATAGACAGGGGGAAGAGTGCCGTGGCTTACAGGGAGATTGGTTCGATAATGGTAAAGACCACGCGCGGGATGGTTGGGAGCGAGGATGCCATGATTGGGATGAGACGACGCACGCAAAGTACGACACGAGCAACCGAACCCGGCGACGAGACGAGACGAGACAAGACAAGAGAGGACAAAGATGGAGGAGGAGAAGGCTGGGCGGAAGCTAATTGGACCCTGAGATTGGATTAGATGTTTCCCCGAGACACACTACGTACGTAGTAGTGTGCAATGATGTCGGTGGAGAATAAATGGCCCGGAAGATGGACGGGGCGGGCGTCTGGCCGAGTTGCGTAACTCGGGTTAGAAATAATTCCACCAGCAGTAGCCCGCAGTTGTCGGTGTAGAAGGTCGTACTCCGTGCTCCGTGCTCCGTGCTCCGTGCTCGGTACAAATGAATGCAATGCACGCAGAACTTCACAAGCAAGCTCGGTCGCGGTGGGACCGGGAAGTGCCGGCAGCAGCCAGTGCCAGCGAGGTACATCCAGTCACGGTTCTTTGGTTCCTTGGTTCCTTGGCCCCAGGACACAAGGGCCAAGGCACAAGGCACCTCGGCCGCATCTGGCCGTTAGCGCCGACCAAGGCAAATCCCCTGCTCCGCTAACAGGACGGAAAGCGGATGGGCTGTGGATGGGCGCGGATGGGCGGCCGATGCAAGCTTCACCCACCATGTGGCGATTTCACGTGCTGCCAAACAGAGACAAGCAGGTGAGACCACCGGCGTTAACGACCCAGTCCTCTTTGTTAATCGCTGCCCAGGGCCCGAGATGATTCTGTGATCTGCTGTCTCTCGCCAACTGCCCCGTCTGCGTTTGCGCGCCTGTCCTCTTCTCCCCCCTTCCGCGTCTCTCCTGCACTTCCCGCCTTCCCGCCGCGCCTTGGCTCAACCACTTATACCCAATGCGCCACCCCAATCCCGCGAGCCCACGATGGCCACGATCGAGCCACGCTTGATTCACCTGCTCAACGAGTCGACGACGCCCCAGCTTCCGCATACCGACCTCCCTCCGCTTCACTCTCTGCCCCTCCCAAAGTCCTCGGACCGGCCCTTGCCCCCGCTCGAACCGGACACAAGCCACCGAGGCGACAGACCCGACAGACACGGCGCCGATGGCCAACCGCTGTCCAACCCGGCAGGTCTGCTGTATCTCACCGTCGACGACGGCTCTTTAGATCCCCGGAAGAACAACACTCGCGTAGAGGGGAAGCATGCGGGCACGGCAGCGGCTTTCCCGCTGCGGTTGCTGCTGGGAGAGACTGAGGCTTCGGAATCATCCCACTCGCTCAACAAGATTCTAGACGACAACCTGGACGCTCTAGACGACGCCTCCAACAAGAAACGCCACCGCGGCATGCACGTCAAAGATGATTTTGTCCAACTTCCACAGCCTCTCAAAAAGCAAAAGGCTGCTCAGGCGGCCCCGGTCATGCCACCCATCATCAATGGTCTACACGAGCCCCCACCGCATGCCGCCTTGTTCCCACCCATATCCTCCGACTCCTTCGATGGCAAGGACGGAAATCAAATGAAGCTACTGCACGAACTCAATCAAACGTCCCCGGAAGCCGAGAAAATTAATAATTACAACAAGGCGAGGAAGCGGGCCACGAAACCAAGGAGAAAGTGGTCCGAGGAGGAGACCAATCACCTCTTGTTGGGCGTCAACCGTCATGGAGTTGGAAAATGGACTAGCATTTTGGAAGACGCTGATTTCAAGTTCAACGACCGGACAGCCGGGGATTTGAAGGATAGGTTCAGGACATGTTGTCCGGATGAGCTTCGCAGAAACAAGGCCTCGTTCGGCTCCCAGTCAAGCAAATCGCGAGATTCGAGACAAAAGACCAAAGGCGACACACATCTGGAAAAGATCCTGATAGATGGCGAGGCCTCATTGAACACGGAACCATCAACGGGTAATGACACTGAGACAAACCCAAGACAGAAGAAGAGCCGGGCGCATCGCAAAAAGATGGAGGATCTTGTTGAACTTGGCATACATGGGCCGTTTAAGAAATCCCACCGACGAGAGCGGCGCCCCTTCACGGAACAGGATGACCGAGAGATTTTAGAGGGTCTTAACCAGCATGGACCTGCATGGACTAAGATCCAGCGCGACCCACGCTTCCATCTTGCCACCAGACAACCAACCGATCTGAGAGACCGGGTGCGCAACAAGTACCCTAGCATCTATCACCGTATAGAAAAGGGCACTTTTCAGGCTAACGATGCTGGCCGCGGTAACGACATCATGGAACCGTCGATCAACATGTCGATCAACAACTCTTTCCAGCCGTCAAACACCACTCTTGAGCTACAAATGAACCCCGCAGCTTCAAGGGAGGACTTGCCTCGATGGCCCCTTCAACGGGTGGACGCACTTGAGAGCTCGCATTCCGGCCAAGGATTCGAATTTGGAGAGTCGGCAACTCCTCAATTTATGGGAGGGGAGATGGACATATCGAGACTCTTACTTGATGACGCCCAGATCTCCCAAGGAATCTCGCGGATGGGCGTCGAGTCCTCTGGCACCACACTCTCAGAGTCGCGCCGGGAAGGCCTTGGAAAAACCACAGAGAGGGCAAAACATACCGTAAAATAAGAGACTGACAACGATTACGGGATTAGCTGCTGGGTGGATTATGAGCGCTCCGTTCGGGACAGGAATTGGAACAGGAGTTGGGATTTCGACTTGTACAAGCAACGTTTGGGCGCACGTAGATTTGGGACATCACAGCAGGACAGCACACGCTGATCGTCGGTCATTGAAATGGGTTTGAGAATATATATAGGCGGTAATCACTGGAAGGAAACACGGATGCCTCGCTGGCAAAAAAAAAGGTATTGGACTCGGTACTGTAGATGCATGAGCGGCAATGAGACGATGAAATGGGCCTGGGTCATGGGTGAGAGGTAGTTTAGTGTGGAGTACCACAGAATCCCACAGTCAAGAACACCACAATAAACACCCGATGATGATGAACGGAATTAGGCGTAATCATTGCGCAGCTGTTAGATGATACGTACATCAAGTACTTCTCACTTGCCTCATCCAATTCGTGGCTGTAAATGCAGCCAGCCTTCAACGCAGGCTAAAAGCTGGGGTCCTGCATTGGGTACCTATTCGAGCCAGGCCCATACAGCAGTCAGATGACCAGGCACGTGATCCACAACATTTCACTCCAGGTGTAGGGCACGAAACCCCCCGCCCGCTAGCGCTCACGAAAAAAAGTGTGGTGCATCATTTCACACTTCGTTCCTCGTCTAGCAGGCCCATCGTCCGTCCATCTTCCTCATCACCGCCGACAAAACAGCCATCCGACACCATGGCCCGCGGAATGTGAGTACCAACATACCATGAGAGGCAGCAATCACTGTACAACCCATCTGCGGATTGCGCAATGATCTCGATCTCGATCTTCTCTCCTCCGCCGCCCTGGCGTCGAAAATACAATCTCTAACCGTCTCATAGCAAGAAGCACCAGAAGCGCCTCAGCGCGCCTTCGCACTGGCTGCTCGACAAACTCTCCGGCACCTACGCTCCCAAGCCCTCTGCCGGTCCTCACAAGCTCCGTGATTGCATGCCTCTGGTCGTCTTCCTCCGAAACCGCCTCAAGTATGCTCTCAACTACCGTGAGACCCGCGCCATCCTCATGCAGCGCCTGATCAAGGTCGATGGCAAGGTCCGCACCGACCAGACCTACCCCACCGGCTTCATGGACGTCATCACCATCGAGAAGACCGGCGAGAGCTTCCGCCTTGTCTACGACACCAAGGGCCGATTCACCGTCCACCGAATCCAGGCCGAGGAGGCCGAGTACAAGCTGGGCAAGGTCAAGCGCGTTCAGCTTGGCCGCGGTGGAATCCCATTCTTGGTCACGCACGATGCACGAACGTGAGTTCTGTCAGACATCATTCAGCCGTTGGATCAAGCTTTGGTCGATTCGATTTACACCGGACGATATTGGAGCTTTATTTGACGGCTGTATGTTCTCCCTCTATACCCCAGTACTGACGAAATTTTCCTCGCAGCATCCGCTACCCCGACCCTTCCATCAAGGTCAACGACACTGTCAAGATTGACCTTGCCAGCGGCAAGATCACCGACTTCATCAAGTTCGACACTGGCGCCGTCGCCATGGTCACTGGTGGTCGTAACATGGGCCGTGTTGGTGTCATCACCCACCGTGAGCGTCACGATGGTGGCTTCAACATCGTCCACATCAAGGATGCCATTGACAACAGCTTCGCCACGCGTGAGAGCAACGTTTTCGTCATTGGCCAGGACAAGCCCTGGGTTTCCCTGCCCAAGGGCAAGGGTGTCAAGCTCACTATTGCCGAGGAGCGTGACCGCCGCCGTGCTCTCTCTCACTAAATACGGCAGGAAAGGAAAATGGCATGTGGACTGGAGTCTCGGATTTGACGTTTGCTTTTACGGCTTTAAACAGGCCTACCCTGGAGATAGCCAGCCCATGGGGCTAACGATAAAAGATGAATTTGAGCCAAGCACAAACGTCTATTCCGAGTTAACCTGTTCTCTCACACTCTGTAACGACATACGCCACGTTGATGCCAATGCTTGTAGCCTGGACATGTTTGACCAGTGTCGTAGTCTCGGCGGTTGTAGGAATGCAGGCCAGCTTCAAATCTCTCTTGGCCCCACATGCTGTAAGTGTCTCGTGTATTTATTGTGTGTCTTGTCCTTGCCTACTCTACCTGTTCCGATGGCCAAGCTACGATGACTGGCCCGGGCTTGAGGCTCGACATGCATATCAAGCGGAACGGGGTTAGTAGTCGCCTACCTTGCAGAGAAGCCGTGGAGAAGCGTGTTTATCCCACTCAGATCGCCAATAGATTGCGTGATTTGATACGGAGAGGGCTTAATAGTGCTAAGATAGGAAATACCCACGCCATAGTGGAGGCCTTGTTGGGTTGAAGACTGAAAGACAGTTGAGCGGGCGTTTGTGGACTGTGTGAACTTGGAAGACGACGTCAACTGATGGATCCATGGCTTCATACTTGCGGTTCGCTTGGGGTGAGAGTGGGGTCAGCCTGTTGGGTTTCCGTGGGGGTAAGTCTTAAGCTAGATTTGTAATGCGGCAGAGAGGACAGGCAAATGGGACGTAAATGGTGCTTGTTTGAAAGGTCGGCTGATGGATGTGCGGGAGTAAAGCTGGCATTTGGCGTTGATGGTGATGGTGATGGTGATGGTGATGGTGCTGGACACTCGTTTCTAAGAGTGCGAGTTTCGAAGCACAGGAGGGCTGGATTCGTTCGCAACTTCGGCCTCCACGTCTCTCTCTCTAGTTGGCTCGAGTACTTACTCGGCCAGGAGAGTTTCTGACGGCGAGAATGAATGCAACCTCATACAGGCACGTGGACATGCAGGGTGGGGTGCTTGCATCTGGAAGCCCGATGCTAGACGATGGCAAAGCCGGCGTTGGTGGGCACGGAGGGCCGAGAGTATTGCTGATGACTGCATATGTATGCATCTTACCTTCGGTACCAGACGGACAGCAGAATACGGTCTCGGTGTGCCAGTCGGTGAGATGTTCTGGAGCAGCCAGTGATCAATCCCGCAGGTCCTGGAAGGGTCGGTCAGAGCCCCTGGTTCCTACATGGCCACCGATGTCTCTCTTTCGTACGAGGGGGATGGTGGGCGTCTGAATTTTAAGTACCCCCCCCCCCAAAGCTCCAAGGCTGCATGTGGCCGTGTTGGGACGTTGTGGTTTGGGTGTCTTGCGCCCCGGGATCAAGGATGGTCAGAGGGGCGCAGAGGGCCGGGCGCCGGCCGAGGGAGACGCTTCGGAATTGGCAGGCCGCGTGAGGGAATTTCGAAAGATGACTGGTGGTTTACGACGTGTTGTGAGGCTTCGGTGATACGGCTGGACTAACGGAGTTGTTAGACTGCATCCAAGGACAAATGATGGGATCAAAATGTCACCGTCTTGAGGTGGGACAAGGCGATTTGACGTGTGGATGCATGTTCTATGTATGACCACGACCACCTTGGCCTCGGCCTATACCTTCCGGCTCCGCAGTGGGACAACGGACGCCCTGGTCACCGGTCTCCAAAACCGCGGAGCATTGGCCCGAAAATCTTGGTCTGCAACTTGTTGATGAGAAGGGGCAAGTCAGTTGACCCGTGGCTTGGATGGGTGTGGCAAGTTGTGCATCACTTCCCCGTACGACTTGCTCGGCGCTCCCAATTGGGCGGACGGCAGAGACGAATTGGATCTGGGGGAAACGAGGCGTCGGGATAATTTGATGGGGGGATGCGGCAGGGTCCCTAGTCATTCTGAAAAGCGCCAGATGACCAGAGGAGAATGGAGAAGGAAGAAGGGAGCGTAGTGCGTTTTCGTGTATTTCGTACTGTACGTACGTAGGAGAGGAGAGGAGAGGAGAGGAGAGGAGAGGAGAGGAGAGGAGAGGAGAGGAGAGGAGAGGAGAGGAGAGGAGAGGAGAGGAGAGGAGAGGAGAGGAGAGGAGAGGAGAGGAGAGGAGTCGGTTGTGTTGGTTGTTTGAACCCCACGTCCGAGATTAGAATTGGTGATAGTGATGCTGGCACTGACACGGAGACTCAGGCTGGACATTGATATCGAGGCTCAAAACGCTCAAAATACTATGTAGAGCCTAGCTCGGCCAGGGATCACCAAACAAGCTTGTGAACAAGTCGACCCGCCCCCAAGTTTCCAAGTTTCCCACCTCCAACTCGGCGTCGAGTTTCCAATCCGCCAGAAACCGGTGGCCGGGGCGACTTGGAGCTATTTACCCCTCTCACAGCACGCCTCCTGCGTTAAGCGGACCAAGCTGCAGGGGGGGCAAAAGCAAGAAAAAAACAAAAGGCCATGGTTTTATTCTTACGCCCCGAGGCTTGCTTTTGCTGGTTTTCTTGACTAAGAGCACATGCACACACGCACGCCGAATTCCTCGTGATAGGTTCCCGCCGCGGCGCCCCCCGCGATTTCCACGGGCATGGACCCTTGAGAGTCGAGCCCGAGGCGGCGTTGCCATGTTAGCCAGGCGGATGGATGCACGCGAGCACCCAGAAGCGGACGATGCGTTGCAAAGCGTCTCACGCACATTCGCTGCCTGTGACTCCGCTGTGCCGAAAGCCTCATTAGCTGAGGGTTTGTTTTTGGGGCTAATTTTCCCTCTTCTTTCTTGCTTGCAGTCGTGTTCGATCTCCAGCGGGGGGGGAGCATGCCACATCCGTGGGGATGACCGGGAAGCCCCATGCTCTCTGATCTACCTCCGCGAAGGGCGAATGGGTTTTCCGACAATGGCGGTTTGCATTGCATCGGCCAGACTAATTCTCGTAGATGGATGAAAAAAAATAAGCCCCCCTCATCTCCACCCCCAGACCTAAAGACCCGCGTGCGACGGACTGCTGGACTTGGAATGGGACTTGGCTGGGTTGGGCTGGGCTGGTCTGGCCTGGACGCGGACGGAAGTAGTAGGCGATTAATTACTTATATGTATGTACCCCCATCGTGACCCCGTTCCGAGTTCTGTTTCTGGGTCCTGCGTTTCCCCCTTGGCTCTCGGAGGTGCTTTTCTTTTTCTTTATTAGGTGCATGTGTCTCCGTCATCGTCATCTTTCCGGCATTTCTCTAGCATTCCCCCCAGGGTGTTTCAATTTCCTTCCTTTAAACGACACGGGATTCGTATTCCAGCGTGGACTGTTTTCATCGTCCCAGGAATAAGTCACTGCTGCTGCGTCGTATCGTATCGTCGAATCTTTGTGACCGGGTGCACTTGAAGCACGGATCACGAGTTTTCTCTGGGCGCCATTTCCAGAACGGGGCTGCGCGGGGTGCAAAAGTCGACGACGTTTGCAAAAGCCTCAAAGCGGAGCCGAAGCACCGCCGGCGTGGCCTCGTGCAAGAAGCCCCGTGTGTGTTCGGTTATCTGATCTCTTTGCGGGTCCCACTCCATTGCCAATTGCGGGCCGAAGACTCACAACCAAACGTCGTCCATCGGAGCCCAATTTCAACTCGATTTGAACACAAGAGTCAACTCGTCGTGCATAATCATGTCGTCCAGATGCTGTGCCCGAGCCTTGTTGGGCCGCGGTTCTAGGAGGACTAATGTCCGGCATGGTTTTGCGACTACATCCCGGCGCCCCGGCGCCGATCCCGCCGCGTCCCGGCCCGTCGACTCCAACAAAACCTCGGGGTGGTCCGGCCTCAGGGTCTTAGCTGTGGCCGCCGGCGCTGGCACCGTTGGCTGGGGTCTTGCCAGCATAAATGGCCAGGGCGACGCAAAGGCTTTCTTTAGTGGAAAATCTGCATCTCGTTACGCGACTTTGCCTGAGATGGAAGAGGTAAGCTTATTGCGAACACATCCCATACATACAACAAGAGGTGAGCCTGCGGGAAAAGCTCATGTCTGACACTATTCAAGGCGATCCGGATGATTGAGTCCGAGATTGGCATCGAGGACATCATCTCCACCGACGCAGATGACCTACACGCGCATGGCTTCTCGGAGTGGTCCTCGGTCAACCTGGACACGCTGCCCGTGGCAGTGGCATACCCGCGAAATACGGAGCAGGTGTCGACCATTGCGCGCATCTGCCACCAGTACCGCGTGCCCATCATCCCCTATTCGGGCGGTTCCAGCTTGGAAGGCAACTTCTCTGCTCCTTATGGAGGAGTTAGTGTCGACTTTGCCTACATGAACGAGATAATCCAGTTCAACAAGGAGGACATGGACATTGTCGTGCAGCCCAGCATTGGGTGGCAGGACCTCAATGTCAAGTTGGCCAAGATGGAAAGCGGCCTCTTCTTCCCCATCGACCCTGGTAGGTCTGATAGATGAAGCCTCCCCAGCGTCAATAGGTAACTAACACGGTTGTAGGCCCAAGCGCCAAGATTGGAGGCATGATCGGAACAAACTGCTCTGGAACCAACGCTGTGAGATATGGCACGATGAAGGATTGGGTCATCAACTTGACTGTCGTTCTTGCGGACGGACGCATCATCAAGACGCGAAGGAGGCCCAGGAAGTCGTCGGCCGGATACAACCTCAACTCGTTGTTTGTTGGATCTGAGGGCACCTTAGGCCTGGTGACAGAAGGTATGTGAAGGCGAAATCAGGGATATAAAGGGATGGGGATTTCGTTCGTCAGACATCCGAACTAACCTTCAACAGCTACCCTTAAACTAGCCGTGGTTCCGGAACAGTATTCTGTCGCCGTCGTAACTTTCCCTTCCATCCGCGACGCCGCAGCGGCTGCCGCGGGTGTCATGCAGACGGGCGTGCCTATCGCGGCCATGGAGATCATGGATGAGGTGCAGATGAAGGTGGTCAACCTGGGTGGCGCCACGGCTCCGCGGGTCTGGAAAGAGGCGCCGACACTCTTCTTTAAGTTCTCGGGCACCAAGGAAGGCGTTCGCGAGGCCGTCACGCGCGTGCAGAAGATCACGGCCGCCAACAAGGGCGGCAACTTCGAGTTTGCGCGTGACGAGCGCGAGCAGGCGCTGCTGTGGTCGGCTCGCAAGGAGTCGTTATGGTCGATGCTCTCGCTGAGGAAACACGGCGAAGAGACTTGTAAGTGATTCTGCGTCGAATGGGTTGGATTGGCGCTAATATAAAACAGGGAGCACCGACGTGGCGGTTCCCTTCAGCCGTCTTGCCGACATCATCGAGGTGAGCAAGAAGGAGATGGACGACCTGGGCCTGTTCGCGAGCATCCTGGGCCACATCGGCGACGGCAACTTCCACGAGAGCATCATGTACAACAGGGAGATCCCCGGCGAGCGCGAAAAGGTCGAGAAGTGCGTCAAGAACATGGTGAAGCGCGCGTTGGACATGGAGGGCACCTGCACGGGCGAGCACGGCATCGGCTGGGGCAAGAAGGAGAGCCTGCTGTGGGAGGTCGGCCCGGAGACGTTGGCCGTCATGGGCTCGCTGAAGGGCTCGCTGGATCCGCGCTGGGTCATGAACCCGGGCAAGATTGTCGACGTGCCCTGGCTGCGCGTCCAGTATCCGGGGTCGGACACAGCCGTGACCCCGGTGAGGAGACTCTCCAAGTGAGTTGGTGATGGGCATCGTGGTGTTGAAGAAAAAAGGGGCGACGGTTTGGTCCAGGGCGTAGTCAATGGCGAAGGCATAATGAGGGAGGGCAATTAGAAGTATCGTGGATAGATTCACTTTTGCATAATGTAGTAGGAGTCAGTCATGGTCATTGGGGAGGAATGGTAGCAAATTGGCATCTCGGTATTGGGCACTGGTCTAGGGTAGGCGGCATCACCAGGAACCACAACATTCTCTCAAAGCAACGCAAAACAGGTGACGGTAAGGTTAGTATGGTGAGATACAGTGTATGTTTATCTATGCTCGCGTACTTGAAAACAGGGTTGTCTAAAACCGAATCCTCGGGGATCCTGTACCTGGCGTTGTCAACCATCCCTCTTGTTTTCCTAGGTTCCACTCAAGCACAACCACATGGCCATAGTTACATCGCACAATCCACCGGTACGACGGTTTGGGCCGAAACTAACTGCACCCGCCGTATTGAGAGAGAACATGTTCGGGCGTAACGGAGATGACTCAAAAGTGGGTTGAGACAGTTTGTCAATCAAACACTGCAGAGTGAGAGCAATCAAGCAAACGCCGCGGCCAAGGTAATACATCCCCTAGGCTCCACTTCACAACCACCACGTAATGGCGGTCTGTTCTTCTCTGGACCGTTGATTGGTATTGAGAAAATAGCAAATATAGATTGAGAGGGTTTGTGGACAAACACACTCAGTAGCGCTTGCTTGTATCGGATACCTGCAACGGGTTGACCGCGTCCCTTACCCACTCCATTGGCCGTCAACAATCTTTCCTCTCGCAAATTTCTCCCAAAATCTTCGGCTCTCCCTTTGCATGCCTGAATATCTAACACGAGATTCCGTGCGTCGAGGGCCTTATCTATAACATCCGTGAATCACTGTTCGGAAGGGCGGTAAGATCGAACTACATCACCTCGCTCTTGCGCCTTCGCCTTCGTCGTCCTTCCCTCTTTATTCTTACTTCATCTTAACATGACAGAATAAGGAGCCTACCTTATGTAAAGTCTTCTCTTGTTCGCCCTGGAAGAACCTAAGCTAACCAATGCCTGCTAGACTTCAAGATGGACTCCCCGCGACCATCCCCTCGCCTGTCTCCTCGCTCACCTCAACACCATGCTCGTGGACGACCCCGAGGCGGCAGATTCAATAGAACAAGTCCGACGAGAAGACAGAACACACCGCCAACACCAAACCAAGAGCAGTCTCAGACACCCAATGCCTTTACTGCACAACCTTCCACAGAGTGGCAGACATGGCCAGAGTTCAACGTCCGCTTGGACAACCTGCCCATTGGCGTGACCACGAAACATCTCTGGGATTGGTTTTCCCAAGAGGGCGAAATCGTCTACATGGACATCTTCGAGAATCGACATGCGATGGGAACGATGGCGGCCAAGATCAGGTTCGAGCCGCCCCCGAAGCGAGACTTTTGGACACAGCGCACCTACTGCGTTGCCCATCCGGACAGTCGTCGCTACCCAAACGGTCTCGCCATCGCTGTTATGCCGTGGAGAGCTGTCCCCGACCGTTGGATTCAGAGTCCAGTTTGTCCAGACCGTCAGCATCCTGTCAGGATCATTGTTCTTCCCCTTGCTATTCAGTTTGGAAGCCTAGTCGGCCCTGACACCATGAAGATCATGAAGTCCTTGTCCGCCACCATTGGCGACACAAGCCTCAAGATTGAACTTGACCTCAGGCGTAAATGCCTGACAGCTTTTTTCCCAATGGAGGTTGAATATCGAGGTAGCAGGCAAACTCGGCAATACAAGTTTGTCGTCGAATTCACCTCGTTGAAAGAGGTTCGTCAAACTTCCGAAGACGCCGGTATTGCCCTTATACTGCCTTTGAAGTGTGCCCCGAAATACTACTGGAAAAACCCAGACCCTAGGTCAACGCTATCGGACGCGGTCCCGAGTTGGGGGGCATCTGAGGCATGGTGTAGAGCAACGGATATTCTTGAGCAAATTGGAAGCCCGTTGAAACACTCCGTTGCCTTGCACACAACTTACGATGACCCGGGGTTTATCGACATTGGCCGCTGGACTGCCGTTCGGTTTGTTCTTGGCGGGAAATCGGACGAAGTCGCCATTGTCAACCGACAGCTTACGAGCGCCCTCGAAGATTTCAACATCGTCAGCCAGGCCAGCAGCGATTTCCAGGCGATCCCTGGCGAGAAGCCGGAGCTATGGAGCCATCTTGAGCACCCTCCAATGGTGGAGGACGGAAATGCTCTGCATCTCCTCGGGCTGTCGGCGGGTCCTGCGACGCAGGTGCCCTTTGAAGTTCGCTATCAGCTTGAGGTTTGCATCTCACGCGGAATCCTCAATGAGCATTGCATTACGGTTGAGTTCCTGAAGGAGTTGGCCGGCATGGACGCTACAAAGGCAAGGCTGATCCTCGAATACTTGGCCGACCAGGGTGAATCGGTCCAAGATCCGATGAGTGTTTTCAAGAATCCAGATGCGCTTGCTTATTTCCCCAGCGTCAAAGTCCCCCACTACTGTGCTCTCATGAGAAAGGCCGTAGTCACACCAACCACGATCCGCTTCAACACGCCAACTGTGGAGATGTCAAACCGCGTCTTGCGCAGATATAACAACATCCACGATCGCTTCTTGAGAATCCAATTTATGGACGAGCAAGAAAGTGGCCGAATCACGGTTAACAAGGACCAGAACGAGGATATTTGGAAACGGCTGTTGCGGACGCTTTTCCAGGGTATTCGGATTGGTGACCGAGTGTACGAGTTCCTTGCATTTGGCAGTTCTCAGCTCAGACAGTGCGGCGCATACTTCTTCTGCCCAACAGACCACGTCTCGTGTGACGATATTCGCAAGTGGATGGGCCAATTTGATCACATCAAGATCATTGCCAAGTACTCTGCGCGACTGGGCCAGTGCTTGTCGACCACCAGAGAGGTCAGAGGCATCTCCGTTCCTTCTATCCAACCCATTGAAGACATCGAGAGAAACGGATACTGCTTCACCGATGGAGTCGGCAAGATCTCTCCATTCATTGCTCAAATGGTCATAGAGGACGTTGGCCTCGACGTCTTTGACCAGCCGTCGGCATTCCAGTTCCGCATGGGCGGCTGCAAAGGCGTTCTCACCGTGTGGCCAGATGCAAAGGGTACAGAGGTTCACGTGCGCGAATCACAGGAGAAATTCAAGGCGGAATACAACGGGCTCGAGATTATTCGCTGCGCCAAGTTTGCTACCGCTACTCTCAACAGGCAGACAATTACCATTCTCGAGAGCCTCGGCGTGCCTATCTCAGCCTTCAAGAACTTGCTCGACCATCAACTACACACCTACGAGCTGGCTATGAAAGACAATAAAAGAGCTATTGATCTGCTGAGGAAGTTTGTCGACGAGAACCAGACAACGCTTGCCATTGCCGAGATGATCGAAGCAGACTTCAAGACCAACGAGACCCAGGAGCCGTTTGTTGTCAACGTCCTCAACCTATGGCGATCGTGGTCCCTCAAGTTGCTCAAAGAGAAGGCGAGGATCCAAGTTGAGAAAAGCGCGTTTGTGCTCGGGTGTGTGGACGAGACGAAAACGCTCAGGGGACATTCATCCGCCACCGAGGGCTCCAAGGACAAGGACATAAATAAACTACCCCAGATCTTTCTCCAGATCACCAACTCCAAGGACTACAACAAGACGCGAGTCATCAAGGGCGTGTGCCTTGTTGGCCGCAACCCGTCACTGCACCCGGGTGACATCCGCATCGTCGAGGCCGTGGACGAGCCGAAGTTGCATCATCTCAAGGATGTCGTGGTCTTCCCAGCCACGGGAGATCGTCCGGTTCCCAACATGCTGTCTGGCGGCGACCTTGACGGCGATGACTTCTTCGTCATGTGGGAGTCTAGCCTTATGCCGCGGATTTGGAACTACCCACCAATGGACTACGCAGGCCCCAAGCCTCAACAGTTGGACCGAGATGTCAATGTCAATGACCTCCGAAACTTCTTCGTCATGTATATGAAGAACGATGTGTTGCCGCTGATTGCGTTTGCGCATCTAGCTACCGCAGACAAATATGGGCCAATGTCAAAGAAATGTAAGTTCTTCTGTCACACTTGCAGCATCATCCTAACACCCGGAATTAGGCCTCGAGTTGGCAGATCTCCATTCCAAGGCAGTCGACTACCCCAAGACTGGGGAGCCGGCTATCTTGAGACGAGACCAACACACCAAGCAATGGCCACATTTCATGGAAAAGCAGAATTCGTATCGTTCAAGAAAGGCACTCGGAGTCATATACGACAAAGTCATCAACAAATCGATCCAGTTCAACCCCATCTGGGGTAACCCGTTCGACCAGCGGATCATCAAGCACAAGACACTCACACCTGGAAGCGACATGCTCGAGGCCGCTAGACAAATCAAGTCACAATACGATGTCTCTGTGCGTCGGATTCTCAACCAGCATGATCTCAAGACCGAATTTGAGCTTTGGACGGCGTTTGCCATGTCCAAGGGTCCGATTGGATCCGACTACAAGCGCCAAGAAGAGCTAGGGCGAGAGTATGACGCGTTAAAGCATCGGTTCCGTGATATGTGTTACGGGGCTGCAGGCGGAAAGCATACGGGGCTGATCGACTGCTTTGTTGTGGCCATGTACATTGTTACCGAGGAGGAGACTAAAGCTGCACTATCCGAACTCAACCAAGAATCGATCGACAACATGAGCGACGCCCTGCAGCCGGATGAACTAGAATCGAAAGCGATGCCGCTAATCAGCTTCCCCTGGATCTTTCATTGGGTCCTCATCCGGCTCGTAGGAAGCGATAGCACTAAGGAATCGAGTCAAGTGGCGGATGGTCAGGCGAGACACCAGCCCTTGCAACCACTCGGGGACAAGAAATCGGATAGTGCCCGCGCTGATCACAAGGCCGGCGCAGGAGAGGCGGCGCGGACCGATCTTGGATCTAAAGACCACGTCAACTTGCCAGACGGGATTGTCATCGAACGTGGTCAACCGCTGACGCTCTTTGACCTCCCAGAAGCGGCATCCCTCAGGTCTCCTTCTCTCGATACGGACGAAGGAAAGGCTTCAATGAGACAAAGCCAGCAACCGGGGTTGAATCACAATGGTGGCAATGACGATGGCAGTGGCGGGGAGGTCAATGCTGCCGCCAGGGAAACAGGGTGTGATGCGGCGCAAGAGGAGAGCGCCATGGATCGTCTCGCTCGCCTCGTTGATTGCGGGGGGGAGTGACAGAACTCGGAGACTGGGGGTCAGGGAGCAGCGATTGGGCAGGTTGGTTCAGACAGGGCTCCATGGCTGTTAGAGGTGGCCTTGGGCCGTTCGAGATTCTTGGGAGTTTCACAAAGCGGAGAAATAGAGAGCATCTAACGGGCCGAAGGGGCATAAGAAGAAAGCATTTTGCAGTATCCTGCAGGGCTTCTGGCGCACCCAACCATGAGATGCCTGACAATGGGATGGTCGAATCATCGTCTAATACACAAATCTGTTCGGAGGACCCATTTTTCGCCCGCTGTGACCTCGCGACCCTCGTGCTAGATTGATTAGCGGCGTCAGCCATCGAGAGTCGCTTCAAGCCTCCAACGGATCTTGGATTCTGAGGGGAAAAGAGAAAACACCCCGGAAAGGTAGGGCTTACGAGAAGGCAGTCGTCACCGTGCTTATGCAGGAGGAGCATCCCCGTCTCCAGAGGCACAGCAATTTCCTCTCGCGGAGACTTGCGGTCGCGTGGGTAGAAGACCGTCTCCCCTCCGACGCAGCCTTCGGCGGCTGAGGTCAGGTAGAGGAGAAGCGTCCACGTGGTGCGGACGGCGGCCGGGGGATCCAGCGGCAACGTCAGGTTGTTCGAATCGTCATCTAGGTTTAGCCACCGGCAGTCAGCTACAAGTAGGATGTGGATCTGTGATGTCAACACCAGGGCCAGGCAGTTGACAGGTAGGAGAGTGCAAGAGTGGCGCCGTCAGTGCATAATCGAGCTGAGCGAACAAGAGGAACACTAGTTCATGACAGGTTGGGATCACAGGCCGGGGCAACGGATGCGGCAGGCCGGAACGATGAGAAACTCGAGCGGGCGACAAGTACCGAGACTGACGAGAGGTAGCACACCCGAGGGTGTGAGACATCGTTTGTTAGTTGACGAGGCGAGGCAGGGCAGTGGTGAAGAATGAAGTTGGAGTGGAGTGTTTGTTAGACCGTTGGAGGGAGGGAGGGAGGGCCGTGGGTTGTGTTATGGATCAACCAACAACAGATACCCGTAGGTAGCCAAGACGGTCGCGGAACGTGTACGTACAATGGCAATCGAAGTACTGGCCCTGGGAATAGCGGTACACCCGGATATTTGGGCTCAACCCGACGAGTTCACCGCCCCTGCAAATCAGTCAGTTTGCAATCTCGGCTGCAAAGACCAACGCAGTGCAACCATATTGCTTTTGGGACCGCGTGTGAATGGGTGTTTCCGATGCAGGGTGTCCAACGGACAATGTGTGACAGAGCCTTGTCCAGCTGGAAAACAAAGCAAACTCACCAGCGACCCTGGGCATCTCCACCCTCCAACAGCGCCTCTTTGAGACCTGTCTCTTCCCAGAGGCGAATGGCAAAATCCGGGCTGTCGACTTGGAACCGGTCGTTGACTCGAACGGCCTCCCCCCGCTTGGGGCGACCGGGAGTCGTATGCAGCGGCAATGTCTTGAGAAAGCTCACATAGTCTCGGCAGAGGGAGCGGGGAAAGAAGGAGGGGACAAGCACCACCTTGGAGGTCAAGGGGTGTGGGTTGAGTGTCAGGTTGACGACGGGCAACGGAGGCTTGAAGGCCGGCCAAGATGGGGGCGGTTGGGGCGTCGGCGTCGGCGCCGGGGTCTTGGAGGACTTGGATCCTTTGGGTTTGGGCATGGCGATGCGATGGGATCGGATCGAGGGCCGCCGATTCGGAAGCGGTGCCTTGGAGAGAGTGTCGGACCGCGATTTTGATTTTAGAAGCAATGACGCGAGGTGTGTGCCGGTACGGAGTATCTGGACTTGCATCAGTCTGCCGGTACGTACACAAATAAACAACCAAGCGCAGGGAGGCCTGTGAGGGTTATGCCGCTCCACGACCCAAGCGCCAAGATAGGCGAAATGGCGACTAGGAAGAGTTCCGTAGTTGGCCCGCACGTCAATGGGCTGTACTATGGGTCCATTGCATAGTACTATGATAGTAGTTCAACCAAGTGCCACAAGTGGACCACGGATCACAGCCAAGTGGGCACGCCATCAACATCAACGGAACGCGGCCCTGTATCTGAATCGTGTGAGAGCCGCCGGCGCCCGTCGGGCCCCTCCTCCCGCTGGGACTGGCCCAGGCGCTAGATGCACGAGACAGAGCATTGGGTTTGGCGGGAGTGGACCAACAGAGGTCGTGAAGCGCAGAATTGCTTTTGAGAGCCGAGTTGGGTAGGTTGCAGGTGGGCAACCTGGGCTTTGTCTGCACCATGCTGACGGCCACTGGCCATGCACCGAAGGTGGCGAAGAAGACGGCTGACGGCTGACGGCTTGGACATCCGTAGGTACGGATGGCGGCCTTGCTGCTGAACCGAAGCCAGGGACCTGGGTTGGTGATGTTCGAGCTCAGGTGCCGAGGTGGCAGGGCGGGTCGCAGCGTGTGAGTGGCGCTGGCGATCACGATGGATGATGACCTACTTAAATAGGTTGCAGCAGTGCTCCAATGGCAGGGCGGAGCGGTGATCGACAGTGCCAGCCCGATACTGGTAGGTCCCTGGAGCGCACGAGGCGGCGTGTGCGAGCAGCATGCGATTTGCTCGGAGCGATGCGATTGCCATTGGCGAGGGAGAGTCCTTGCAGTTGAAATACAAGGAGAACGGCAGAGAGGTCAGAGACATGGCGGCGGCATCCTTGTAGGCGGACTTGCAGAACCCCGCCGCATGCATCGAGATGTGTCTGCTAACGTCACTGTGTCATGCCGATGCGCCATCATTTCCTGCCAGAGATTGAGAGAACCTGGGAGTTGCTTTGTGGGGAAACACAAACGCCCGCAGCTGGTACCTAGGTAGTTAAGTAGGTCTACATTCTGCCATTCTTGCGCAGGGAGGCAGGTTTATGTGTGTCAGTGTGTGCCTGCGCGCATCTGCCCAGCCAACATGTGCGTCTTGGTTGCATCGGCTATTGGGCGAGTACGGAGATGTGCAGTAGCTATCTTTGCCTCGTCAGCTCAAACAATCAATCGTCTTGTGCCTGCGTCGACCCCATATCCATGCCTTGATTCTGTGCGCTTTCCGAAATCAACACTAGGGGTCACTATAGCGTCTAGTGTTATTCGCAGCCTGGCAATAACACCCACCCCGTCCAAGACAAATCTCCCGACTGGATGTCAACTCCCCGGCTTTCATAGGTCGACGTGGGTTTCAAACCAAGGGCTTCTTCCCATTCCAGCTTCGTACAGACGCAACTTTAGCCATTTCCTCGCCGTGTACAGTGACTTTGCCCAAAACGTGCTGTGGTTGGGCCTGCCTCCCTTCCTTGGCCCGGTACGACGCTGCCGAGCTGGACAGCGCAATTCATTTTTCGAGGGCTGTGCGGAGTGGCGGGTAAAGAATTGCTTCTGCAGACGCCCGCGCCTGGGGAAGGATATGCATCCGAGAATGCGAGGCCCCAGGATTAGCATAACGTGCCTGTTATATCCGTTGCCCACAATCCCATATAAACCCCATCCAGGGGTGGCCAATTGCTGGGTAGATTCCGACCGGTCTCCTTCACTCAGTTCCGACATATCGATTATCACCTTCGCCTCGTTTTCCGCAATGTTGGTCAGTTTTGCTCTGGCAGCCATCGCAAGAGCCTTGGGCGAGACCCCCGAGCAGGACAAACCGAAGCCGACGGTAGCTATCACGTCCACTCCTCGACTGACCCGCACCATCCAACGTTTCGAATCGCTGTGTAGGGATTGGGCAGAGTGTCTGAGAGTTCAATATTACAACGTCGAGGACCCTGAGCTCGACAAGCTCTTTGCCAGGACAGCTCGGGTCATGTCCGGCTCGTCAATCATCTTCTCCGACATAAAGATGAAGACGAGGAGGGGCAGGGTGGAAATATCAAGCGGGGCCCTCGTCAAGATATTGAGGAATACACGAAAGGCCATCGTCTCAAGCCAAAGAATCACCCACACCAAAGAACTCCAGACATGGGTTCTTCCAACAAAGCCTCCGCCGGGAACTCCCCCGTCGGACCCAGCCTTCCAGGAATATCAACGTAGGAAGCGGATCAACGACAAAGCCCGCCTCCTGGTCGAGCGAAGGAAAAGGCCGGTGCAGTGTTGCATGTTTATCGCGCTGGCTCTGTTCCAGTTTCTCTACCCGGACGAAGTGCATGACTTTGTCGCCGAGTACGAAGACGAGATCGTTCATGAGACATTCGACCGAACCCTTTCAGTCGATGACGCGAAGACATACGAACGATTGCAATTGAAACACCACTGTCGAGCACGACTTACACCGCCACAAGGCAAGATGCCCAGGCGCGGGGTTCCATACGGAGAGCTTGCATGCATCCCTCGCTTTGTGCGAAACCCAATGGCTTGCGGGGCGCCCATTGTGACCAACCAGTACCGCGTCAAGAGTAATGCCCCCTTTCTCCGCATGTTGCATGGCATGACTGACATAAGAATTCTGCAGAAGCTGAGAGGGAGTACATCAATCTAAACCGAAATAACAGGCCGCAGCACCTTGGCGTTGCAACGCCCACAACCCGCAACCTTTCGGGCGATGAGTCGGTGAGCAGTTAGGGCCTCAACTGTGAGGCAGCGATGACTGCATTGACGGCCCCGGCCAGGTTGCCCTGAAGGATCGGTGAGAAAACTACAAGAGGATGAAGAGATACGGCGGAACGCGGCCCAATTTGAGGTTGGGCCGTCTTGCTTTTGCATGTAACATGGGAATTACCAGCGATCCGTGGAGTAACGTAGTTCTCCCAGCGATCAGGGGGAAGAGAAGAGGCGTCAAGGAAGTTATACATGCATGCGGGTAAACAGAATAGAAGTTATCAATTTAATGACATATGCATAAAACGGGGTTCTGATTTTGTGTTTGCAGTGAGCTCGCGAGCGTGTTGAGTTCCTAGCATCCAAGGCTCTCTCAGGAACGGCACGGCAACAAAAAGCATATCGATAACGCACCGGAGCCACTGTGGAACCTTGCATTACCATCTCTTTTCCTAATTCGACTCCCCGGCCATCAATGGCAGGCGCCTTCGCCATGTCTGGAACCGCCAGTACTCCAGCGCCTCAAACAACCACCAACACCACCACCAACACCACTAGTGCTTCATCTCAAAACACACCACCGCCTACATCATCATGGGGGCGCCCACTCAAGCAGTTCGGGTTCCTATTTGCCGGGGCCGGATTCATGGCCGCATCAGTAGCCATATCACGACGCTCGGTGATGCGAAGGCGGCTAGATGCCATCCCCAAGTTCTACTCGTCTAACAGAGACCCAGTCGCCTTCGACTCTGCAGACCGGTCAGCGCTTGCTGCTCAGGCATTGGGCCTGGCAACGCTCAATGTTATGAGCTTTGGGGTCATGCTAATTGCGGGCATTGCCTGGAGCTTTGATCTGAGTTCGATTGAGGAGCTCCAGACCAGGACCCGAGCCGTCACGCGACGGTCGGGGGCTTTGTTCGTGAACCCTGAGGATGAATCCGAGATGAAGCATATGATGGAAGACCTCATGTCGCGTATGGGTATGGAAAAGCCGGCGCCACCAGGGAAGGAGGAGGAGGGAGCCAAGAAGGATTGAGAACATGACACAGTCTCGCACACCACAGCGATCTCCGAAGTCTTAGTTCGGATATGTACAGTAGGGCACGATGTGACGGCCAGGGGCAAATTCGGAGCAAACTCACCACACTGCATGGGTTCGAACATGACATTCAATAGCAAACAAATGGGATCAATAAGATATCACAATCGTCCCCACCTGGTCTTACATGGCCTCAGCCTTCAAGCCCAGCCTTCAAGCCACGGTATCGATGGGCACTTTCGATATTCGCACTCCAGACAAACTCGGTCGGCTGGGAAATCCAGGGTCCTGGACATCGGGACTTGGCTCAAAAAATGGCATCCGGTCTATGACCTGTGTTGGCACCCCTCCCCTTTTCTTTTCCCAAGCAAGCCGTTCGGGGAGCCGGAGCTGTCTCCGCTACGAACCATGGCGGGCCAACAACACATGCGCCTGGATGGTGCGCAGTCGACTTGTTGCACATTCAAATCATTGCTTAGTTTGGGCCGATCACCCCGCCCCGACAGCCTCGTTTCGCAGGGACGAGCTGAAATTCCAACTCTAATCATGGCACACGGACATATTGCGGCATGTGAGGCGGTGCTATTGTCGTCATTGTGCTCTCCTTTGGTGAAAAAGGCCGAGTATCAGTATCAGGGGGGCAAGGTTGCAGTCAGCTGCCAAGGTGACAGAGCAATCCAGAGTTGCGGCCATCTCGAGGTCAGGGTCTCAAAGGATCAAGGTCCCAAAGGATCAGGGTCCCAAAGAAAGTGCAAGGTGCCCATGAGAAAAAGAAAAAGAAAAAAAAAAAGAAAAAAAGCAGCCCACTTGACATGTCTTCTTCTTCTGGGCGTCCAAGGGCCTCTCTCACTGGAGTTTCCAGCTGGGGCGATGTCTAGCCCAAGCCCTGCGGCTACCCATCGGCTTTTTTTTTGAAATATGCTGTTAACTGCAACTCGCGATGCCTCTGTCAGCCTCTGGTTTTCAAGATCGACGACAAGGGAACCCGGAAAACCGCTGGATTCGGAACTCCGCTCCGATTATGCTCGCGCATGCCTTAACTTAAGGCAGCAAGACGTCTAACCCAACGGAATGACAGGTTCGGTCAAGGCGTGAAACAATCCTGGTTAGTTGGCCGTGGCCAGCTGCCTCGATAGAGACATGTCATGGCGCTACGGTCGTTGTATCCATCTGTTGGGTCCCTAAGCGCACGGCGACCCCGGTCTTCCGACACATCAGGGCTGCGTGTTAGCTGTGTGCCCGATGCATTTCGGACGGACGACTGTGAATCCCATCCATCCATATAATTAATACCGAGGACATTCAGCGATGGATATAGTATTTGCATCTTTCCCATTCTTCTGGCCGTCTGATTACCCTTCACAATCAGCGCCAACACTGGCTTGTTGTGCTCCATCTACTGCGGAATGGCCGAGTTAGAACCCGACTTCCAGCTCCGCGTCTGGAGATACACATACACCGAGCGCAGCGGCGGCGGGACCATCTTGCTCAATTCTCCCCAGGAGTCCCAAGACGAACGGCACGATACCCTTGTCCTTCGCCAGGTGAACTCGGACGCCGAGAACAAGGTATGGATACAAGAACAGGCCTCGCGGTTCTTCAGAAGACATGGCCAGGCCTCTGCAGAACCCCTAATGGACGACGCCCATGGCGTTCTCGTCCGCGATGGCCACGCGTGGACTATCCCCAAGCAGGGCGAAAAGGCCGTCACCCACGAGTACTGCCGGGGAGATAGGGTGTGGATCGACCGCAGCCTGGTCCCGACACACAACATCGAGAAGGACGGAAACAAGATCCCAGTCGTTGACCTAGAATCCTTCAGCATATTCGAGGTTCCCTTCGACTACATCTCCTTCGTTCCCCAGCTCGTCAAGAAGGACGGCTCCGGAGAACAACACGCCGTGGCCGTTGGCCCTATCCTCAACACCTTCATAGGCAAGCGCAAAGCCAAGACCCAGATCTACTTCCGGTGGCCGGCTGACAAGCCGGACCAGGTGTCGTACGTCTGGCTGAACAGGAAGGACAAGAACGACCTAAAAGAGATAAAGGCCTTTGTCGAAATCGAATGCGAGGTCCAAAAGCAGGAAGCATTTAGAAACCACTGGCAGGCACTGACAAAAAAGCTCGCAAGGCTGGGGCTGCTGTTTGGCGACGAGATTGTCGACGGCCCCGAGGACCTCTTCGATTCGTCCAGCGACAGCGAAGGCGAGGATCTCGCCCTCCACTGGAAGATGGGACCGTCAGAGGTATTTAGAAGCCGTTCTACAGGCCGGAGACAGGTACTGACTTATTCCACTGCAGCAGGAGAACTGCTGTAATATGAACCCGTGTCCGGCCTTCAACAACCCCGAGCTGGATCTCGTCGCCACATACATCGGCGGCTACCAGTGGATGGAGCACTACCACGTCCAGGACGAAGACACGGACGAATGCCCCCGCGGCGCTGAGCACAAGGGACACTGCATCCTGCGCGACGACCGGACGAGATGCGCCTACGCTACGGATCGCGTGCGCCACACGTGCTGCAAGCTCCGGACGAATCCCCTCCTCCCAGGCCCGTACGGCGATCCGGACGATATGACGTTGTCGCTGTGGGAGACGACGGCCGCAGACGACAACTTCATCGACGTGTCGGGGAATGTGCGGACGAGGATGCAGTTGGAGGACCGCGACGAGATTCCGCCCGAGATGGAACGTCTGAGACAACAGCTTCTAGCCGAGCAGGTCGCGGCGGAACAGAACTCACCCGGAGGCGGTCATGTCCGGATGACAGACGCTTTCCAAGGATCAGTCGGAGACGCCATGACGATGTCTACTACTAGCGGCTTCCCTACTGTTCAGACATTCGGTGAACCCTTCAACCAGCCCTTCAACCCTCCCTTCGACCGAACCTTGATACAAGCGCCACCAGACTTGTCGCTCTACGGTTTTCAACCCCCCGAAGCCCTTCAGTTTTCAGCTCCCATGGCTTCAACCAATCCCTTTGACCCACTCGACACCTTCGCTTCGCAAGCGCCGGATCCAAGCGAGGGCCCCTACTGAGACTAGGGACCTTGCGCTTAGGACCGTCATCGGGGATCGTCGCTTCGTGTCTCACCGAGAACACCATCTTCTGGGCATTATGGCCTGATTTTTCCTCATCAAATACCTTGATAGCTTCGACGGGGCCCTAGCGGTTATCAGACACGACCCTTTCCGTCAACCACCATCACAACATGCCCGGTTTCCTGACATGTCTTTTTTTCTTTTTACCTTGTCCGACCACCGATTATAGTTATTAGACTAGAGTGCAATGCTCCATCACTAGAGCTCGTCAGGAGTATCGGCCGCAGCTATTGGGCACACGGCGGAGTTTTGAAGTTCCTTGGCTCTTTGGGGTAGATATTTTGGTTTGCATCATCACTAGTTAGAGCACAGCAACGCCTCGTTATTTGACAGGCAGGACACTCAACACACCACGGGTCGAGTTTCGGAGCTCGATTCCTCATTATTGCTACGTATTCCCATATTCCATATTCCACAACGCAACCAAATATAATTACAGTCCACCCAATAATACCTCGCGCCCCGACTCATCCCTCCGTTCCGTCATCATAACCCAGAACAATGCGACAACGCGACAACGCCCCGTCCCCATGCACAATCATATATCCTACCCATTCCCCTTGTCCTCTTTACAAAAATCCCTTGGTAAGGCTGGGCACCCGACTAAGGCTGCTCTTCCTCCTGGGCACATCGATAACAGACACATCGTCGCCCTCGCTAACCCGCCAGGGGCCCATGCGGCTGCGGACACTTCCCATGGCACTCCCTGAGCCCTTCTCGTTCCGCAGGTTCTTCCAGCCCTCCAGCTCTCGACCCAGGCGGAGAGCCTTCTCCTTCTCTTCGCGCAGCTCGCGCTCAGCTCGTCGGGCCGTCAGCTGGTTGGCGGACTCAGAGGACTGCAGCTCCTCAATCGTCTTTAGGAGTTTGTCGACCTTGTCGCGCATCCGGGAGACGTCTTCCGAGAGCTGAGAGTTCTGCTTGTCCTTGCGATCAATCTGGCCCTGCAAATCTTTGACGATTCGGTCTACGTTTCGGACTGAGCGTTGGGACTTGCTGCGCTCGTTCTCTTGATCCTCGAGTTGAGACTCAAGCTGTTACATATTAGTGCTAGTTCGGAAATGATGAATACTGTGTTTGAGTGCTTACCTCTTGAATGCGTTTGTGGAGGAACTTGATGTCCTGGCTTGCGCTCGAGTATCCCTTGGTCTCAAGGTCAACTAGCCTCAGCTGGGCCTCATTCAGGTTCTTCTCAAGTATAGCCTTTTGATGCTGCAACTGAACGGTGCTCTCCCGCTCAACCATAACGTCCTTCTGAACCTCAGTTACAAGGGCCTCGGCCCGGCGCATCTTCTCCACGGCAGCAGCAGCGATATCCTCCTGCTGGGCGAGGTTGGACTTGAGGTCGAGAATCTCCCTGTCCATGTTGGCGGCGTTGCGGAGGGATGGGCTTTCACCCTTGACGAGGTCCTCAAGTCCACTCTTGGCTTCCTCGAGGCGCGCTTCAACGTTGCGCTTCTCCCGGAGCAAGTGGTCACGCTCTGCGGCAATCTCGTCGACGGAAGACCTGAGAGTCCGGACCTGCGACAAGAGTGATACAACCTTGCTCTGGGCATCGTTATGGGCGTTGACGGCCTCATCGCGGGACGAGGCAACATCAGCCAGGGTCGACTCGAGGCGAGACTTCTCCTTGGACCAAGTTGAACTGTTCAGAACCTCATCGTCCCACTTCGACCTCAGCTCGTCAAGTTCTTCTCGGAGTCGGGTGATCTCAGCCTGCTTGAATAGCTTTTCCTCGCGAGCGAGATCGAGCTCGTTGGTCAGAGTGGCAAACTCGGCCTGATACTTCTTACGAGTCTGCTCCATGCTTGACTCCTTGTCCTCGATGTCCATGGCACGCTGGTTGCGGTAGTCTTCCAGCTCATGCTGAAGTCGCTTCTTAGCCTGAGTTGCCGCTTCCAAGTCAGTCGAGATGTCCTCGACCTTCTCCTCCAGTCGCTGGTTCTGGCGCTGCAGATCCTCGAGGTTGGCATCCATCTTCTGACGTTCTGACATGACTTCCGCGTAGGTATCATCAGCCTCCTTCGCTTGTGACTTGGCAAACTGCTCGGCGCGGTTGGCCTTAAGGACTGCGATTTCAGCCTGCTCTAACTTGCTGAAGTATTCGTCCGCGCGGCTCTTGTACATGTCGAGGCTTGAGGTAACGTCAACTAGTCTTGAAGTCTCCGCATCGAGTCGAATCTGGAGGTCCGAGAACTCTTGAAGGAGTTGGTTGCGGCTTTGGGCCTCATGTTCTCGAGCAAGCGTCATCTCGTGAAGATCAGACTTGGCGTCTCGAAGTTCAACCTCCGCCTTGGCACGGTCGTGCCGTAGTCGATCGAAGTGAACCTTGACGTCGGTCAACTCTGCCACAGCGTCCTTGTGGCTGTGAATCAGAGACCGCCGAGAGTCCTCCTGGCTGTTCAAGACTTCCAGGATCTCCTCATACGACCGGGTCTGGACATCCAGGAGTGAGAGCTCGCCAGATCTAATGGCTCGCTCCAAAACAGACACCTTTTTGCTAGAGTCATCAAGCATCTCGTGGAGACGGCTGTTCACCAACTCAAGCTTTTGCATACGGCGTATCGATGGGCTTTGCTCGTCGTACATGTCCGGGACAGGCGTGGTTCGATCCAATTGGCTTTGTAAATGTCGGTTTTGCATCTGAGTGATCTGAAGCTGATTCTGTAGCTCCTCAACCTCAGCCTTCAGATCCATCTTACTATTGAAGCTCAAGGTATCAACAGTCCTGTCTGACCGTGTTGAATCTTGGAGATGGTCGACATCCTGGAAACGGCGGGTGGGGGTGGAAGTGATCGAGTTGTTTCGCGCATGGACCTTGGCAGGCCGCCTTTGGGTTGGGGATCCGTGGAAAGGCGCCTCATTGAGGTGGATTTCCTCCAGCTTAGGGCGAGTGGGTGTGACATTTCGCGAGGCTCTTAGATCGGAAAGCTGATTCTCTGCGTTTGACCTCGCAGCTGTCTGCACGCGAAGGTTCTGCTGGAGCTCCTCAACCTTCCTCACGAGGTCAAAGTTCTTGATGAGAATCTGCTCGTCGTTTCCATCTGACTGGGGAGGAATGGGAACCTCTGGGTCAACAGTCCTCAGAATGCTCAACATCTGCGCCCGAAGCTCGTGAATCTCTTGGTCTCGAGAGTCTAGTGCAGATTGAAGAGTGCGAGCAGTCGTCTGAGCCTGGGTGCGAAGCTGCTTCTCCGACTCAATGGTTCGATTGGCCTCGGCGAGCTGAGCAGTGAAAGTGGAAGAGGCCTTCTCGGCGTTCCTGCTGGACTTGACCTCGCGAGCTACCTCATGGCTAAGGTCCTCAAGGTTGAGTTGGAGTTTCTCAGCTCTCTTCTCGAGAGAAGCAATGGAAAGCTGAGAATCACCCAATTGCTTGTGCAATTTAGTGTTTTGCTCCTCGAGTCTCGTCCTTTCCCGTTGAAGAGACACGACCTGACCACGAGACGCTTCGCTCGCACGGGATGTTGAACGGGCAATTTCAAGGCCCTTTTGTTGGAGTTTGTTCAACAAGGCCCGGTTGTCATTTTCAGACGCCATCAGCCGACTCTTGACAGTACCGAGCTCGCGCTCCATCCTCTCCTTGGCCTGGTCATTCTTGAGACCAAACTCACCAGATTCCAAGATCATCTTGTTGAGATCTTCAATCTGGTGGTTGAGGTTGGCACACTCGCTTTCGAACCACTGAAGTCGCTCTTGAGCTGCGTCGAGATCTCTACGAAGGCTGTCCTCGCGCTCGCGTGCGGCCTTGGTTGCTTGGCGTTCTCCGGCGTTCTCGGCCTGCACTCGTGCTTCCTCAGCCTGGGTCTTGGCAACACGAAGACTTCGGATTTCATTTCGAGCCTCGTCTCGCTCCTTCTCTGCAGTTGTCCGAGTCTCCATCATCCGCCTCAGAGTGTCTTGCTGGGCATAGAGCTCCTTCTCGATGATGATTTTGGATTCATTGAGGTGGTCGTATTCCTCTTTCAGAGACTCGTACTTGTGCTCGCCGAGAAGTAGAACATCATCGCGGGATTGACGCTCTCTGCTGAGATCCATCTGGGTCTTGTACAGTTCGTCCTTGAGATCTTTGATCTGAGATTCAAGCACCTGGCGGTTTTGGTCGGCCTGGGCGTCCTCAGACAGACGGGCCTCTAGCAGATTCTTTGCATCTTCTGCCTCCCTCTCTAGCTGGGAATGCCTCGAATTCATCGCCACCAACTCAGCTTGGATCTCACGGAATTTGGCTGCAGTCTTCTCCTTTTCAGCAGTGAGAGACTTCTTCTGGTCCTCCAGAGCCTGGCGCTCGTTCTCGAATTTCTTGTTATCTCTCCGAAGCATAACAAGCTCGCTCTCCTTCTGGCGGACAAGATCTTCGTAATCGGTAGATGTTTTCGAAAGCTGGGTAAGCTGTTGTTGGATATCCCGATTCTCCCTAGACAGCGTTGATTCGCGGAGTTTGACGGATTGAAGCTCCTTCTGAGCTGTATGGAGTTTCACTTCAAGATCCTGGTCGATCTTGAGAAGTTTGCTTTCCAAGTCTCGGGCCTTCCTATCCTTCAGAGAGAGTTGGCTCTGAAGCACCCGAACTTCGTCCTCAAGAGCTGCCTCCTTCTCACTCCTCTCTGATTGTTTTCGGGAGATCTCTTTGATAGAACCCTCCAACTCTGTCGTCTTTGCTACTAGCCGACTCTTCTCTTCCTCCAGCTTTGAAATGAGCGTCGCGGCCTGTTCGAGTTGCGAACGGTATGTCTCGACATCGCGTTCCGCTCGGTTCTTTGCTTCCAACAAGTCGTCCAGCTCATCCTCTAACCTCTCCTGGTCCTCAATAGCACCGGCTAGTTTGTCCTCAAGTTCAGCTTCTCGAAGTTGCAGGCGTTTGAAAATCTCCTCTTTGTCTAGAGCAAGGGCCCGTTCACTCTCGAGTGTCTGTTGGATTCGCACCATCTCGGCATGACAGTTGCGACGCTCGTCCTCAAGTTTATGGCGGGTTTCAGACTCCAGGCGCATTTTGTCGTTTAGCTGTTTGATCATGGCGTCCCGCTTCTTGACCTCGGTGGCAGTTCGAGTTGCTCCCAAGAGAGGCTTCATTTTCATGACAAGCTGCCACCATGGGTTTTCAGCGAGATCAAGGTAGACGTTGAAATTCCTTTGGATGATCCTGGTCGCCTCGGTGCGGAAGAGCCTCTTGTACGCTGACCGTCGTTTGATGAAACCTCTGGCGACAGATTGGAATCGTGACATGATCTCAGTGATCAAAGCATCTCGCTGCTCTTCGAGCTCAGCAAGCACGCCGGCTCTGAAGAAGACCTTCGTCAAACCAACACGGTAAAGTGCCTTGTCAAGTCCCAATTTCTCGAGCATGATAGTGGCCGCGGCTTGTCCCTCAACATAGCCCTTGGGCATGTTTTGACACAGAACTTCGTATCGTTGTCGGAACTCGGTGAAGGAAAGCCGATTGGGGAAACCAGTTCGCGCGATGCGAATTCCTTCGAGAACACCATTGCAACGTAGTTGGTCGAGAACAAGGAGATTATTGAATTGCTTGGGCTTCTTCTTGTGATTTGGAAGAATGCATCGCACGAAATGAGGATGAGTAGAGTGCAGCTGCGTCATCAAGCTGTGGAGTTGTTCCTTGTGTCTTTGAGCAACTGTCCGGAATAGTCCCTTCTTGACACGACTTCTTCCGCCACTGAGGTCATCATCTGTCTCCGCACAATCGGAGAACAGGGCGGCAATGTGCTTATCAGACGAGGCAGCAAGAAGTCGCGTGATGTTATCATTCAACGGGTCCTTGTTCTTCTCCAGCCATCCTTCGGTGGAGTATTCAACCTCGGCAGCATAGTGAGTTAGGATAAATCCTTGCCCAAGGCGTGATGGCCGATACTTGGTTGACTTCTTGTCCCACAGAGAATTCAACTTCTCCGTGAAGGACTTGTCCGTGGCTTTGGGCATAACGCAATCCTCATCGAGACATGAGAAGATGCCGATGGGGTTAGACAGCTCAATGAGGTCGATGGTTGGCTGCAGGTCACGACCGAAGTCAATGAACTTCCACTCGATCTGTTCCCTTGCATATTCCTCCTGCTCAAGGACAAACATGTGATGGTTGAAGAACTGTTGAAGCTTCTCGTTCGTGTAGTTGATACATAGCTGCTCGAAGCTGTTGGTGTCGAAAATCTCGAAACCAGCGATATCAAGAACTCCGATAAAGTGTGAATCGTCTAGGCCCATTCCAGTGCGATCAAGTTGTCGGTTAATGCGATTGACAAGGTCACCGAAGCCTCGCTCGTAAATGCCCTTTGAAAGAGCATCCAGACCGAGGCGGACCTGTTCCGGAGTTTGGACCTTCTCAACCCATTCCCGACCGGCTTTGACCTTGGGATGAAGCAAGCCCTGGAGGAATGGCTCTAAAGGAACTCCCAGCAGTTTGCAAACCTTGGCAGCCTGCTCCTTTGAGTCAGCGGCAAGGCGAGCTTGATCGGCAGCTCGACTCTCTTTAACAACGCTGATGTTGCCAAGATGCAAAACGGCTGCGATTGTACGAAGAATGGCTACTTGGTCTTTGTCGGAGAAGCCCATGACTCCGAATGCCTCCATGAGGGATTCCCATTCTTCGTTATCTGAAATCCCGACAATTGTGTTATGGCCGTCTCGAGTATAGGAGAAATCCTCAATAGTCAAACCATCGAGGAGGAACTCCTTCTTCAAGCGAGAGCTTGCGCCCTTCAACAGTTGATAGAAGATGTGGTAGTTTCGCTCGTGGGGGTTTATTCGCACCACCCTAGACTTCTCCAGGAGATACCAATCGATGAAAGCGCCAGAGATTGCACCCGTTCGACTGAACTCAATACGAATGAACTTGCCGAAACGAGAGGAATTGTTGTTTCGGACAGTTTGAGCGTTTCCGAAAGCTTCTAGAATCGGATTGGCGCGCAAAATTTGCTGGGATAGGTTTGAATGCTGCGTCTTGTTCTTGGTGAAGGCTTCGGATTGAGCGACGGCCGCGAGGTACTGGATGACCTTTTTGGTGTTTTCCGTCTTTCCCGCACCGGATTCACCGGTGACAAGGATACTCTGGTTTTCTCCTTCGTCGACAAGATTTCGGTACGCTTCATCTGCCATGGCAAAAATGTGAGGCTTGGTATCCTCACGGCTTCGGCCTTTGTACATATTGATGTAGTCATTGTTGTATATAGGTAGCGGACAGTACGGATTGACTGTGACCAAGAAGAGACCGGAATAGGTGTAGATTAAGTCGGCCTGGTATCTCATATGTAGGTTGTGAACGACGGAGGCTTCGTTCAAGTGGGTCAATTCGGCCATGTCGTTAACCTTGTCGAACTTGGTGGGGTTGACTTTGTCGACGCTGTCGGCGTCGACTTCTCGTTGCTGTGGTGGTGTTAGTCCCCGTCCCGAGATTATCCGCTGCCATGCTTACTGTTCCATCGTCGCACTGGACGAGTAGCTGATTGTCTTCAAGCTCTTCGACGACCCAGCCTCGTACAAAGGCGTTCTGCGGATCTTTAACCCACACATATCGTTTGCCTGAGAAGTCGTTTTCCCCCTCGATTCCCTTGACGGTGTCATGATTCCGTTTCATCTCCTCGGACTTGATGAATGAGGGGGCGAATGTGCCTGTCGGTGTTGAATTCCTCGATTCGCTGCGGTGTTGTCGTGGTCCGGCGTTGGAGAGGCCGTGTGACGTGGGGAGAGATGTATTCGATTGTGTGCGGTTGTGGGCAGGCGGTGTTGACAATCCGGGGACCATGGATGTGGAGAAGATGGCGGACACCGGTCGTCCGGTTGCGGTAGAAGCAGTCGAAGCCGGCGAGGCAGATGTTGTCCGCGCAAAGGGGTTATTGCGGCGTTGCGTCATGTTGGCGTTGAAAGCCATCGCGGGCCAAATGCATCAACAGCACCTGGTTCGTAGAAACGTGTGCTCCCCTCCACGTGGTGATGCGCTCGCGTGTAAACAATGTGGGCGCGAGGTAGAAATAATGTGATATGGTCCCGAAGAAGGTAAAACAATGAGATGCACACGCGCACCGGTCGCAATCACACCTTCATGTGGAATGTCGTCAAGCAATGCAATCTGAAGATGGGATGCGGCCTGGTGGTCGAGGACGGGCAGTAGCGGCATGGACAGGGATACAGCTGTCACGGTTGCTGGGGGCGTCGAGCGCCAAAGTAAACAAACCATCACACGTGATGTTACATAAGGCAGCTTTTTTGCGCTAGCCCGCATATGGCATGGACGGCGGTGACGCAGCTCTTCAGAAACAGACGAATTTCCATCGCACAGTTCACCACATCAGGCATCTTCATCGCATCCGACGAGGATCCCCCATTTTGCCTCGATAACGCCGCTGTCGCGATTCATTTAGCAGCAGACCTCCAGCTGATTGATGCATATGTACACGGAACCCTCGTACGAACCCGAGCCTGCGTTTCACGACATCATCAATTTGCCCCAGCCGATAATTTTGAACCCCGTCGCAGTGACGAATATTCACCCTTTTTGAGCAAATCGTCCCCCCCAACCTAGCCGCTGCCCGGGTTGCTGAAATACAGTGCTTGCTTTCCAAAGCTTGATGTTGTAAGGAGCACGTCGACACACGCGTCGGTCGAACGTGTATACTAGACGGTGTGAGGTGGCCTACGCGCCTTGCCGCCCTTGCAATGAGTCAATATGGATCTGGTTTTGGCCCTCCCCAGGGTTACCAACCGCCGGACGCCTATTCGCACGCGCCGCCGCCTGCGTATACTGCACCGCCATATCAGTCGAGCGAAACCGCCCAAACCCAACACCCTGGACATGGAAGGGTTACTCTGGAATCGTATGAGTATAACCGTCAGGCGATACCAGGCTTGGGCTTAAACTTTTCCAACAATGCTGTGAATTGGCAGCAAGCTTGGGCGAATGGAGCACCACAACCTGAGGCGGAACGACCACAAGCAGGACCGACCGAGCGCATCCCGACCATCGAACACGTCGTGAGAAGTCCGCCGGCAATCCAAACAAGGCTGACGGCTAACCGAGTCGCCGACAATACTGCGGAAGAAGGGGAATTGAGTGAAGGAGAGTTGGAAGATATTTACGAACCTGGCCAAGTGGAAGAGCAGGCAAGTGGTCGCCCTCCTTCAAATGGCCTACCTCTCCTGCCCACTGCCTCTTCTCTGCGCCACCCTGGTGAGGTTCCTTCACAGCCACAAACTTATCGTGCAGTTGGGAAGGAAGCCTCGACTGCACGATACTGGGACCCAGAGCAATCAGCACGAGAGCGATCTGGTTCATATTCCCCGTATCTTTCCCCACGAGAGATTCACTCTAACGATCAAGCAAACTCGCCATCAGATGGTATTGGTATGTTCTGATGAAGCTTATGCTCTCCTGATTCGGGTCATTTTCGCTGACATTCGTCCAGATACCCCACGAAGTCAGATGAATGAGGACAGAGTCGAGATTTCCGTGTCAACCAAATCCATGCACGTGGACCAGACCGAACGGCAACCCGGCTTGATGGAGGAATCAACCAACAGATCCATCGACGAGGCCAAAAGACGAGCTCAAGACGCAATTCTCCGTCTTTGGCCACTGAATATTCGGTACCAGAACTACCTCGATGAAGGGATTGACAGGCAACTCCTCGACGGCCTCTTTACGGAATTGGGTCTCGATTCAACCAGAACGAAAGCTATCGCAGAACTTCCCACCACGTCCCCACCGATACAGCGTAAAGAGCCCCCGAAGGAAATTCCCCATGTGCAAGATGACGGAAAAGAATCCGATCATGCGAATGGGCACTTGGACAGGGCTACAAAGCCAAAGGACAAGTCCGAGGAGCGGAAGGATCGAATTGCACGGCTGTTAGCGGCCAAGGGATCGAAGTCCGCCGTTGCCATTCCCGAAGTCGCCGTCCCCGGAGTTGCTGTCCCCGAAATCACTACTGTACGGGTTCCACCTACGGCCCCCAGTGCTATGTTGCCGAATAAGACGCAATCGGAGAAGTCGAAATTAATCCAGCAAAAAATGGAAGCTCTAAAGAAGTCTCGGGCGAACAAAACCGCTCACACCGAGGGCTCTGCCACACCCGCTACTGACAACAACGTCGTGAAACCTCCAGCGCTATCAAGCGCACCTGGTTTGGACAATGTACCTGGGCCTTCTGCCTCGGCTATCATGGTCGATCAACCTCCTGCAACGTTGGAAAGGTCCGAGTCCCACGGTGCTCCTTCGATTCCAGGACTATTTTTATCATCTACGCCCCAGGCATCTCCGGTCGTCAATCAACGCAAACGACCTGTCGCTGCTGATTTAAACGAGAACTCAGCCTCCAACGCTCATAAACGTCCGTTCGGCCAAAACAGAGAGTCGCGACCATTTCTTATCGATGTCAGCGATGACGAAGATGATGCTGAAATGGAGATCGACTCCCCTGAACTGCGACCTTCTTCAATTCACCGTCCCACCACCCCCACTGAGAAAACGGCATCATTTCGCGACCATCCCGCGCTCTCAGACAACTTATCCCATCGGCAGTTATCTAGCCCTAAAGCCGTGAGCACGCCGACTGGTCAGGGTAGTAGTGGAAGCAGCATGTATGATTTGGAGAGCATGAACAAGAAAATTGAGGACATGAAGCGCAAAATCGCGGAAGCCGAAGCCCGTAAGAAGGCAAAGCTGTCAAGCAACGGGACCCCTTCTGTCCCTCAATCACAGGTCCAATCCAAGGAGGGAAGTGTGGATACAACACATATCGCATTGCCGACACCTGGAGTGATGACACCGTCAGGGACAGACGCTGAAGAGGACGGGCGGTCAACCCCATTGCCTTCTCAACCAACACCAGAACAATCAAGGAAGTTGGGGAAAGTACGGGGGCAAAAAGGACAGACCAAATCTCCTCTGCGCTCTCGTGCGGCCAGCGCACGGTTGCCAGTTCTTGAAGCTTATCGAAGCGAACAGACCCGGCAGCTAAAACACTTGCAATCCGAAGTCGCTAGAATCGAAAAAGAGATTCAAGCTAGTTTGCAAGAAGAAGAGCGGCTGCGAGAAGAAGTCATCGAGTCAGAGCCAGATGCGGAATCACAGGATGATTCTGAATTAGAGGACTTGTCAAGTGAGTCCTGGTATCCAACTCGCTCGACTCGACCAGAACCTGGATTTGAATTTGTGAGCGAATTTGAATCATTTAGGAGACTAATCCCCGGTCTAGCTGAGCCACATATCGGGCCCCAGTCCACGGACTCCCATCTCGAACATTCCATAGAAACGATCAACCGCGTTTTGCCAACGAACGAAAAGTTGGAGAGCCATGGATCGTCCAGCAGGGAGAACCCCAATGTGTCGACCGATGCAAGAACCCATGATCAAGTTGTTGACGTCACAGGCGGCCAAGGAATCGACGAGGAGACCGGTTACATGCGACATGATAGTGTTGCTGACTATACCGCTGCCTCCCCAGAAGATGCCCTGGCCCCTGTAGATGGCACTTCGGCCGCTGGGGAAGATGCCCAATCAGGCGAGATATCCTCGGACCCGGAGACCGACGTTGCCATGGAAGAGGATGCCGATTCGAGTAGCGAAGAGGATAACGGAGGGTCATTGGATGGCTACGAGCCAACCGTGGCGGGTGTTGAGATCCCCAACGCTCAGTCCCCTGCAAAGTCGGCCTCCTGGAGTCCTCCCCCTCCAGGTGAAGATGCCGTTCTGGAGACTAGTGATACTGACTTACAGGGTGTTTCCGCAACCTCGCCTGTTACTCAACCAATCTCAGCAGCTGATGGAGGCTCGGCCTCGGTGTCTGAGTCTGGCAGAGAAGTAGACCTACTCCACAACGAAGAGTTGACTCGTACCCTGACATTGAAGCAGGTTGAACAGGCAACAGAGGTCTCGGACTCTGGAGCCTCCAAGTCCACGTTTGCCCCGTACGAAACGCCTCTTCAATACTTCCGCGCATACCGATTTCACCCCAAGTTCAAAGATTCTATTGCTGGGGGGCTTCGTTCGTTAACCTACAGCAATAAGATCGATGTCAAGAGGGAAGTATGCCCAGATCAACTTGCTGGAGCTGTTTGCCCGAGAGGCAATCAGTGCGAGTTCCAGCACTTTGAAAACATGAAAGCGCCGGGTATGTGCACCTTTGCTCACAGCCGGAGGAACGACAACGGCATTACGCCTTTGAGGTGAGCGCTAACGTGCCGATGGGCAATAGATGACCAGATTCTGCTTCAACTTGGCGCCTATGGTAACTACGAAGGAGAGCAGAAGCAGAAGTACATTACTGGGCTTCGAGATTTACTCACTGGATTCCGCAATCGGAAGATTAAGGACTTCCAGGCCATCAGCGAGGGAATCATCGAGTATCGAGCCCAATTCCACGGCGACAAGACGAAGATCCTCCCCTTGGGCAGCGTCTCCATCTGACCGTCAGGCAGATGTCATGTCTCTTGACCGAAGCCTTTCCCCCTTTTCGTAATCCCAGCCCGTCCATAACTCGTATGATCCATACCATCCACGGCCGTTGCACATACCCGGTCGACTGGTGGTCATTAGTTTGTTGCACGGCTCGTGAGCATAGCGTCTTCATTTTATCTCTCATCTAGCATTTACTGCCCCCTTTGGCGAGTTCCTTTACAGCATACGATACCCTCTTGTGTCATCTTTTCTGGTGGCCTTTCTTTGCATTCTTGCAGTAGCCTGGCGTGGGTGGAGGGCAGATTCATGGCCGGAGCATGGTGGGAAATAAGTGGAAAAAAAAGAGAGAGCAAGGAGAGAGGAGCCATTCCTGCTTGAAAAAGAAATCAACTGACTTGTTGATGGAGTTGCTTCTTTACGCATCAAGGAACCGGACGGTTCTAGCGCAAAGCTGATGTAAGAGGTAGATAGGTGTGTGAATATACTTGATCTGGATTCAATTGGTGTAAATTTGTTCCTCGTGCAAAAGTGTAATGGGCTGTGAAGCTTATTGTTCTAATTTATACACACAATGGGTGGCGTACTCTGTTTATTCATGGATTATGCCAGACCAACAATCTGCGCTGCCGTCGGATCTGAGATTTCGACGTTGGGGGGAGACTGAATCAAGGAAATCCGGTTCAAGAATGAGATCCCACCAATTCTAGATCTATTAACCTACGGCATAGCCGCCCAATTTATTCCCATTGCCTACATCTCTCTCGCATATCGTAGTATAATAGTACCAACCATGGAGTTCCCTCGTCCATTTATGTAGTCTTTCCCATCCAGGGAGTTTGGTTTCCCAGAATATGCAACCTTTCTGTATTTGTAATGAAATCAATGCATCGTCTTATCCGTCATTGACGGCTTGAAACCCCAAGGTTTAGCTTTGGCTGTCGCTGGCGGTCTCGCCCTCGCTCTTGGACTTCTTCTCCTTGCGGCCGCGGAAGCACCATAGACCCTTGAGACCACCGTCCTCGAGCTCGAGAAGCTCCTTCATGCAAAAGGCCGGGTGGAAAATGTTGAGAGCCCAGACGGCGACGACGATCAGGACACCCTCAAAGCCGATAAACATGCCCTGGTCGCCCATGATAGGACCCTCCCAGCCGTCGGACAACTCGGCGACACGGAAGGCACTACGCCAGAGAATGCAAATGGTGGCGAGGCTGAGCGCACCGAGGAAGGCCTTGAAAAGGCGTGAGTTGCGGACGCGGGCGACTTCGGGACGTTGGTCGAGCGCGTTGTCGCCCATGGCGCGGTAGCGGCGGACGGTACGGAAGGCGAAGTCGGCAGAGGCGACGATGAAGCCGAAGATGGTGATGACCTGGAAGGCCAGGCCGGCGATCATGATGTTGGAGCCGGTGTCGGCCGATTCGTTGTTGTGGGAGGAGACGGAGGCCATGGCGCCACCGAGTGCCTGGAGGACGAGAGAGATGACATCGCAGGGGATGAACTGTTGATGAATGTTAATAGGGGTTTCGGAGAGGAATATATTATGTTGATGAATAGAACTCACAATTCTAGTGTAGTACTCTGGAGGAAGTCTCGAGTTCTCCGGTCCAAATGCCGAGACAATACGTCGTAGACAGAGATAGATGCCGGCGGCCATAAAGGCAGGCCCAATGGTAAGACAGCAAATCTGAATAAGGAAGCCATTCTCGTCCCACGGATTGTTAGCACTCATGACACGACCAGCGTATCCGAGAATCTCGCAGGTCAGCCCGAGCAGCAGGGCGATGTTGAAGGCCGTGCCGCGGCGGGTGATGATCCAGGTGATGATGTAGCCGACCATGGAGGCGCCAAAGATGGCCAGGAAGGCAGCGTTGGGCGCCATGTCGACGCGGTACTGATAGTAGCTGTCGACATCGTCACAGCGGGATTCTTTGGGGTGGTGGAAGCAGTACAGGCCGGGGCCGCCGTCCTCGACCCAGGTTGCGTTGGTGGCGTCCCAGGTGTCGTACTGGATGCTCATGGTCGCGGCTGTGATGGGGACTTTTGGTGTTTTGGTAACACAGGACTGAGGAGCGTCTCGATGAACCACTCCAGGAATAGGAAGAAGGTAGAAGAATACGACCAATATTAATACTAATACGAATATCTAGCCAAAGGGAAAGGCAGATAGATGTCTGGGGCTGACGGGGGAGGGGAATACTCAAAGCAAAATACAAAACGCCTGCCTTGGCTGTACGAAATACGACAACCACGTCGATAACTGGGACCCTACTGAAGAGAAAAAAAGCCACGGAATCCAATCCTCCAATAGCTTGCCGATCCCGAACACCTCTTCCCGGCGCCGGAGTCGGGGATTCGAGTTATCCCCTTGTCTCCGGTCCCATTGTCTAGGACCGGGGTGACGCGGGACCGGCTCTGGGCTGTCGTGAGAGGGCTGATGAGACCCGCAACGAGCAACGCGAAGCTAAGGTCCGTCAGCTTGCAGGCGCTAACGGCTCCTGGTGTTATTCGCGCGAAGGGCTGTGGGACGAGATTGGGCGCAGTACGCGGAGGGATGGGCTCGATGATGGGGAGGATCAAACATTACGGCCCCCGGTTTTAGAAGCTTGCGGTTTGCTCATGGTGCGAGGGATTGAGGGAGTGAGATGAGAGATGAATGATGCTCAATCTGGTCAAAGCAATCTAGCCCATCTTCCTTAACCTTAGCATCATGACAACGACAGACTACTTTCCATGACGTACACCTTGTTGACATCAACGGCGTGCCTGAATACCCCTTGTGCAGCAGGATTCGGGCTGTGCAAATGTGACCCGCGATGTGTCTCATACGTACGGAGTATACGATGCGGCATCGGGCTAATGTGCATCGACGCAGAGTCCCTAGAGCAATACACCCTCGTGGTCACTCGCCCGGGCGTCAGCACTGCCATTGCCCGTGGCTGGCAGTTCGCGAACCCATAAGCAGCTTCTTTTTGTTCATCGAAGTTACAGTATACAGTACATATGTATGGTTGCAAATGGTAGATGAGATTTGATTAGCGAGTTCCCCAACCAAGTAATAAACCACGTACAACAACGTGGGCCACCCCCTGTCCGGTTATTTCCCCTTTTGGAACTTCGTGTACTTATGGCGCCAATTACGCGGAATAGCAATGTACACAACAATCACTGAGCGACGGTGAAAGGGGAAAAAAGAAAGAACAAACACGAACAAACGAAAGACCCAACACGAGGCGCCATCGTCACCCGGCACTCGTTCTGTCTGGCCTCACCTCACCGCGTAAGCTCATGCATGACTCAAGGGTGAGAATGTGCGGCGCCAAGGCAACCAGCAAGGCACATAAACATTGGATCGTCTTTAGTCTACGGGAGCGGAATAGCGGAAATAGAAAGGAAAGGAAAAAAAAAACGTGGGAGAATCGGATCACGTTGCTCCGTCGCCCGACCCCCGTGGCCAATGAGTCCGTCGCCCGTTCTCCGTACTCCGAGCTGAGGCCGATGTTTTGGATCGGGGTTCAGATTAAGATAGGGCTGTGTACAATTGAGTTGCAGGATTGTGTAGGGGTGGTGCTGCATTTCCGGGCAGATCCCGTCATTACCCGCCGTGAGCCCCATCTCCATGAGACGGGGGTTAGGTTAGCCGAGCATTAATATCAAGGATATCCGGATGTAGACTGGCTGAATGGTATATTGAACGACTGCCAGCACTGGGAAGTCGATTCAACAACTTCGTCCTCAGAACAAATCCAGCGTAGGTCGACCAAGACTGAGGAATGTCATTAGTATGCCTTGCAACGACGTGGCTCACGCCATTCGCCCGAAGCAGAAGCAGCCTTCACCCAGGCTGTGTGTCTTTTGACCGGCGCCACGCCATGAGACGTCTCTCTAGTCTATCGTTAGCTCAGACACAACACCACACCGCCCTCTGCAGCAAATCTCAAGACCGCTGTGCTCACATCTACGGGGAGCTTAACATGGTGCACACCGTTCGTCGAGGTGGGCCGTTGGAGCTTTGCGGCTGAAAAGCCACAACACGCGGAGCCGCGAGCCACGCGGCCTGGATACGATGTAGCCCAGGCATCAGCGATTGCAGCGAAACTCGACTGGTTGCCATCTCGAGGTGTTGCGAGTCGATGACGACTGCTCGACGTAGCATTTCAGATGCGCCGTTCATCTAGGGTTTGTACAGAGTAGAGCCTTACATACCGACTCCTTAGTTTGCTTCACTTCCTGGGCCTTACATGAATTGGATTGCCAATCATCCACGCAGTTTTGTGCAAAGTTGACCCGATTAGAGAAACCAACGGGGTGTACAGATGAAAATTCGTATTCGTCAAAGATATGTGCGTTGCCACGGAACCCTCATGCACCTGTCTAGTTTCATTCCAACTCCTTCGCCTGCTCCCTTCTAACCAACTGTCTATTTCCTCTTTTTCTTGAGGGCAACAGCCTTGATTTCGTCTGCTGAGCTTACCACAGGACTGGCCACACCGCCGACACCACTCTTCATCACTACGCCGCCCACAGCTCGGCTTGAACCAATGCTAATGCCTCGCCCCTCTCGCATGCTATCAACACTGATGTTGCTCCCAGCGCTTCCTCGACGTAGTCGGCCGTTTCGAGTCTTCATCGTACCCGGAGATTCGCGGCTGTCTGTTCCCCCGTCCGCCGAGTCATTCTCTGATATTCGTCCCATTCGAACCAAGTCCGGCGTGACAGGACGGGCATCTTCGTCTTCAGGTGTGACAAAATTGACCCTCATGCGTGTCGAGTTCATTGTTGATGCAATCGCTGTGGTGGTCGTCGTCGACTCCCGCGCTCGGTGAGGAGTAGGCGGACCACCGGTAGCCTCACTAGCGGCCAACGTTGATGCTTCGCTCTCACTGCCTCGTTGCGATGATCCGTATGGATATCCGGAACCTATGAGACTCTCCTGTCTAGTGATAAAATACCTGTCGTATTCCTCCTTGGTGTGCTCTGCATCGGTGAAGCTGTCGAGGGCGTCAAAGACGTGCTGGAAGACTTGCGCATCAACATCCCTAGCCCATAGGAAATCAAGGTGCTCGTAGTGTGGGATTTCAGTCGCCACTGTTTGCGGCGGCAACTCTTTGAGCATAGCCTTGATATCTACCAGTGAGTCACTGCCGCCATACACCAAGACGATGGGCGTTTTGATGTTTCGTGTCGGGTATTTGGCCACCTTGGAATATTTGTTTGTTGAAGTGACACTCATCGGCTGGTGGACATCGTCGTCATACATCTGAAAGCACGTATTCCGAATAATCTGGAACCAGTGGACAACACTCTTGGTGCTGGTGAATGAGTATAGATGTGGGTATGCCGCCAATTTCTGACTTGCCGAGATGTTTTTGGTTTGCCAGTTGAACAAGAAAGAAAGACCCATATCGATGAGCTGGCTGAAGATGGGAGGATACAAGAGCGTCTCCCACATCGTCGCCGAACTCAGGATGGACCGTCGACCGAACAGCAGGAACAGCACCTGAGGGGAGGCCTTGACCAGAGAATCGACAATTCCATTTGAAAGGCCTGCTGGGGACATGGCTGGGGCAAGAGCGATGAAGACATTGACCTGGTTGTTAAGCTTAGGGTGAATGGCAAGGGTGGCGAATGCCTGGGCCGTGCCCTGAGAGAAGCCGATATACGACAAACTCTCTTGCTGAGTTGTGTCGAGAATATAGGCGATGCTGTCAGGGATGTCATGAAAGGCAAACTCGTCGATGGAGAAATCCCAGAACTTGACCGATGTGGGTGAGCAGTTGATGGACTTTTTCGAATACTTGTTTCCGCGGTTGTTGCCAAACTACACAGTCAGTAAGGCGCGCCGCTAATGATGGAATACGAAAACCCACCCAAACGTCGAAACCTCTCTCTACCAGCTCAAAGGGTAGACATCTCTGCGCATCGGTGAGAGCCACCCAGACCTCCGAGTTCATGAGTAGACCATGGTGGAGATACGCGACCCTTTTCTTGAGGCTCGACGGTCCACTATTCACCTTTCGCCCCTCCTCCCCCTTTCTCCATTGGAGTCGGTGAAGACCTAGGAGGTATCCGTCCTTTGTTTGCGCAATGTGTTCTTCAGCTTCATAACCCCATATCCGGCATAGTTCAACAAAGTCGGCCGCATCTCGTACTGAGTCCGATATTGCTATTATCGAACGTTAGTAGATGCGCGGCAGTGACATGACGGAAGACTGACACTTGTGCCGATTCTCAGCGCGTTTCCGAGCAGGTGTCGTAAATCTATTAAAAATTCGGCGCGAAGCTCGGTAGAATAGCGAAACGAGGAACGGTGCTAGGGGTGTCGAGGTCAGCTCAGTTCATATTGCAGACCGCCTCATGGGGACACGGCCGCACTTACGCAGAGCCAAGGTCAAGACGCGAATGATGGCCTCGAGGCCAACGAGAACAAAAGATCCCACGAGCGCAAGGTACTCGGTGCTGTGCCAATCGCGGGTCAGTGATTGGATCGAACTGGTGCAAATAAATCGGCGTGCGACATGGCGCGGAGAGTCGACGGAGCGGCGACGGGCTGGGGGCCGAACTCACGGACGCAGCCTCCCGAGAAAAGGGACGGGCATGGCGATATGACCTAGACAAGATCTCGGGACAGGTCAAGCAATGTTCGAGGAGCTGCCAAGACGGCGCTGCGGCCAGGCATGAAGCTGGAAGGAATGCCAGTTCCAGGATTCAGTCCAGGGATTTGGCGTGGATGGATGGATGGTTGGGGGAAGATGGGGGGAGGTGATGTCACATGCCATCGATTCGGGGGCTGCGTGGGCATAGTCATGACCTCAGTCCCCAGCAGGTTAAAGAAAAGTTAGGCGAGATTCGACCCAATTGAATGGGACCACGGCATGGCACAATCAACAATCGACGACAGATGGCAGATGATACACGTGTTTGAAGGATCGGAGACGAATGGCGGCTCCACAAAGGGCGATACTTTGACGGATTGGTCCTGGAATTCCTCCCAACAGCCGCATTTGGACTGTCAGAAGCATTCACGCAGACGGTACGAAGTCCAGTTACACAGCTGCAGTTATCTGTCCCGCGTTTATGTGTGGCGCAATGGAGTCCGTTGATCAACTGCTGCAGGTGTGGCCGTGGCGTTGGACGCTATGAGCACCGTGGACTATGTCAGAGCGGGCACCACCGATATCCACTATAGGAGGGCTGGACATGTGTGGCTCGCGCCCTCCAACGCCACATTGCGGGTCGCCCCTCCAGCCAATCGCACGCTGACCGCATCAGCACCATGTTGAAGCCTCGCCAGCTTTTTGATTTGGTTTATCACCTGAGCTGAGCTCTCTCTGACGAACCGGCCCGCCCAAGATGCCCAGCTCGTGTAAAGAACTGCGTACGGTCCCTGAATATTGCCTGCTCCCCAATGAGAATCCGCCATAGCTAACACATCTCGCTCCCGCAGGCGATGCGCTCGCCCAGTGCCTCCAGGAATCCGACTGCGTCATGGTCGACCGCAACAAAGCCGGCGACTGCCTCCGCGAACCCCTCGTCGACAACCTCCCCCTCAAGTGCCGCCAGCTCAAGAAGGGCTTCGGCGACTGCAAGCGCGGCATGGTCGACATGCGCAAGCGGTTCCGCGGCAACATGCCCGTGCAATACCGCACCATGGAGGCGGCCGAGCAGGGCAAGGGCTACCAGCTGTACGCGGGCAAGCCGGCCTTTGCGGGCTCCGTCAGGACGACGGACGGAAACGAGCCCATTCCCGAGGATTGGCGGGATGTCGAAAACGAAAAGTACATGCTGGAGAAGCAGCAGCAACTGCAGCGGGAGCAGCAACAACGGGAACAGAAGAAATGAAAGCATTGGGCCGGCGTTTATGTCGCGGTTTCGGAGTGTCGTCCCATGACGCACAATGGCGTGCACACGCCTAGATTGAACGCTTGAGCTTCAATTGACATCGGCGGCTCTATACTGGGGCTCCTATGCATGTGGGTGAATTGTAGGCAAACAGTTTGGCCCAGCAGATTGCCGGGGAGGTTAGTCCTCTGCGGGACAAGATTTGCGGCATCCCACCACCCCTTCTCCTCCCTCCTTCACAGGTGTACGAGTATCATTTGTATCTTAGCCTGCTATTTATGTGTAACATCATCAGGGTCACGAAATAAGGAGACACGCGATCACGATTCAATGGCGCAATTTAAAGACGTCCTGATTGCAGTCCTAAAAGTAAGGTTACATACACAAGGGCATTCATTAACATGCCATGAACCAGTCAAAAGTCTAGCGCCATGGTGCAAAGCATTGAGACACCCACTCTCCCTGTCTGGATGTACACCATGTACTGTCAGTTTGATTTGATGCCGCTGGTTACTTGGGATCAGGGATGAATTGAACACTTGTCTTGTTCCCGACCTATTTTCCTGCTCCAGTTTCCCGCAACTTCTCATCGAGATCTCAGGTGTCCATGGCACTACCCCAGAGCCCCTGATTCCCTGCAGCCAGACTCCGTACTAGCCGCCGCGATGTACAGCTGACACGCTGTAAAATGAGGCACCAGTGGCGGATGGACAGCTAATCCCTACGGCTGACCGAAGTTGGAAATTGCTCCCGTGCCATCCACCTCCAAGTAGGTGTCGAGTACGCGGCGGTCTCTCTGTGCGGTGCTTCTAGGCGGTCTTACTCTTGGCAACCCGCATTTTAGTCGCAAAGCTGGCGCCCTCTCAGGTGCTCTCTCTCTCGAGTCCCCCCCTGTTCTTCTCCAGGTCGTCGTCATCTGCCTGGTCCGTGTCTTTTTCAGTGCGCCGTGACCTCCTCCCTCTCGCTGTAATTACTGGGTCGACTTTTGCGTTGGGCGGGCTGTCTCCCTTTAAACCTTTAAACCTTCAAACCCCACACACCCGCATCGACTCTATCTCTCGTCCTCCGCGTATTGCCTCTTCACGCGTATCGCCTCTTCACGCATCACCTCCCACCTCCCACCTCCCACCGTGCCGTCCCGCGTCTCCGCGTATTATATTATATCTATTTAATCGCCCTCGCTCGACGCCACTGCAACGAATACATCTTCACAGGTCACACTCTTGACCTCATCGCTTCTTCCGCCTCGCTCCACATCTGGGAGAGGCCGCGCGCCTTTCGACGGTGACGCCGGCACCATGGTTTTCATGATTGGCGCTGCCCAGCGGCGCTTCCTCGTCTTCGCCTCGACCATCTTCTTCGTCTCGAGCCTGTACATTTGCATCTCCCGCCTCATGGCCCCGACCTTTGAGCCCGTTACTGTTCACCCCAAGCAACCTGAGATCCACGTCGAATTCTCCAAAGCCGACCTTCCCATGTCTTACGGCAATTTCGCCCGCCCGGGCTATGATGGCATCAACCTGATGGCTCAGTTCCCCGACGAGCTCATCCCGACCAGAGAAAACGGCCGGAGGTTGATAGTCGTCGGCGACATCCATGGCATGCTGGACTCTCTCAACGAGCTTTTAAAGCGGACCAACTTCGACCCCACCCGCGACCACCTCATCTCAGTCGGCGACACAGTCAACAAGGGTCCCAAATCCGCCGAAGTCGTCCAGCGCCTGATGGAACTCGGGGCGAGCGCCGTCCGTGGCAACCACGAAGACCGCGTGCTGGTGGCGTGGGCAGGTCTCACCGAACAACAGGGCGTCGAAGCATACCTCGACTCGGATTTCGCCGCCGCCCAACGCGGCGAGTCCCTGGATCTTCAGACGGCACGCAGCCTCAGCGAGACGCAGATCCAATGGCTAAAGAACCTCCCTGTCATCCTGACCATCGAGCCAATGTCCCTGTACATTGTGCACGCCGGTCTCGTCCCTGGCGTCCCCCTCCCAAACCAAGATCCTTGGGCCGTCATGAATATGAGATCCATGCGCTTCCCTCGTGCAGAGTTCCGCGAGGAGGAGGAGACTAAGAGGCGGAAGGCGGAAGAGAAGAAGAAGAAGGAAGAAGAAAAGAAGAAGCAAGAGGAGGAAGAAAAGAAGAAGAAGGAGGAGGAAGAAAAGAAGAAGAAGCAGGAGGAGGAAGACAGCAAGAAGTTCCAGCAACGGAGTGTCATCAAGCGCAGCGAGGAGAAGAGCAGTAAGGACTCTGCAGACTTTGACCGCAACGCCGAAGCTGGTTTCCTGGCTGCTGCTGCTAACTCGGCCGAGGCAGCCCAGTCCTCCCCCTCCGCTACGAAAGCCAAGGTCACCAAGTCGACCTCTGCTTCGACCTCTACCTTCACGATAAAGGCCCAGAGCACAGCTGGAACTCTTGCCGCCACCGACGCTCATACTGACGCTCACGCCGACTCCCATGCAGACTCGCCTGCCGACTCCCATGCTGACTCTCGTGCCGACTCCCATATTGAATCCCATACCGACTCCCATATCGGAATATCAGGATCTGCGGCCCCCGAGTCCTCTCTAGAGTTGGACTTGCTATCCCAACCGGACCACGACATCTGGATTCCTGTTGATAGCCGTTCTGGTGAGCCCTGGGCCAACATCTGGAACCATGTCCAGAAGAAAATCCCCAGTTCTCAACGCCGGTCCATCATCTACGGCCATGACGCTAAGCGCGGCTTCCGCGAGGATTCGTACACGTTTGGACTCGACTCGGGCTGCGTGAAGGGCAATGCCATGACGGCACTCATCATTGAAGCGGAATCGGGCGGCTGGAACCAGACTACGGTCCAGGTCAACTGCAAAGAGCCTAAGAGGACTAACACCAATTGGTGGCAATGATGTTAGAATAGATGATACAGCAGCATCACGTGTACTTGTCAAGACGTAATGAGGTGGAGAGTTGGTTGAAAGGGAGACAATCGTCTTCCTTCTGCGGCAAAGGGCGCAAATACTGGCGTTTGGTTTACTATGGGTTTTGGTTGATGAAAATGGGAAATTCATGGAGCATGTTGACTTTAAGTTCTGCATGATGCATAATCTGACCTTATATCAATATAATGGTCTGCCTTACACAAGGGCTGGCTCCGTCTTGTACAAGCATTGAATAACCAACTCAAATGGTGCAGACGAGATGGCTTATCGCAGGTCACAATGATTCAATATGGACTTTCTTCTGGTCTCTTTTGCAGCTTAATTCCCTTTCGTCGCGCTAATCTACAGCCTGGTAGCCTTCCAACGCAGCGACCCTGTATCATGCATCAATTGTAGGGTCGCAATTTTCTACAATCTTCAACAACACTTGAATCACAATAATTGACATGTTCCAAAAAAATAAAGGGTCACGCATTCCCTTAAGTTACTGAGAACCTCGAGTATATTTGCTCTACTACATTTTATGGTGACATTACAAATGTGTGCATTTGATCCATATGACCTAAGTATTGGACAGTTCTCTTAGGAATTGCTGTCTCGACCGGATATCAAGCCACCCCCCAAGCTCCTCGCCAGGCTCATTGCACCCGATCCCCTTGTCCTCACCGCAAGTGCTACCAACATTATGTACTTGAAGGAGATCAATAGAGTAAATGGCGCTGGGAATTATAGACGGATGGATAATAGCTGTTGATTCTCGATCTTAATCTAAAGCGAGGGTTGAATTAGTGTCCCGTCTGACGTGAATAGCTTCATTCGGTAAACTTTGGTTCCCGAGAATGCTGCCTATCCGCGCTGCGTAATATCGAGATATAGTATGGTATTATGGCGATGTCACGGATACACATATTTGATCCGCGTGGACAGATTCACTATTCGATATCCCAAATGGCGTCAATGATGCTCGAGGGTTGATATTGGGAACTGGCGGTTCTTGGGTCTGGAAATAATGTGACGATGTCAGCTTCACTCCTGAATGAATCTAGTATTAAACTACCTCGAACTGAAGCACCAATTAAACTGCTCCAGGTTTCGCGTGGCGGAGAAATAATGCATCATAGAGGGTTGCGGTGTGTTCCGTGCCATGACAAGAAAGGAAGTTAAGTGTCGGTACACTATTTTTTAGAATGCCGATCTTTAATACTTGTCCACCTTGGCATTCAACCTTTTCTAGGCTATCCATGTCACTCACTCGCTGTCCAAATTATACGCTCCATTCATATGACCAAATTGCAGATTTCATTTGATGTACCGCAGATTGTTGCTATAAAGACGCTTTTCTTCCGTGCCCCCCATATGCCGTAACCAAATTGTGCGTTCTTTTTGGTTAATATATATAACCTACTCAACTCATGACCCATGTCATTCTCACATCCTTACCTATGCTGTTTAGTCCTCGGTAATGTCGCCATACTCCCACATGCCCAGACGATCCTGCTTAGCCTGGCTCTCGACCTCCTTAAGGTGCTTCAAGTAAGTCTCAAAGGCCTTGCTGCGCTCCCACGCCTTGAGCTTCTTGGGGACCATGCCGTATCCGCTGGCCACCACCTCCTTGTTGATGGAGTCGTTGGGCCCGGGCAACTTGTTGTCCTTGGGGTCGTAAAGCGTAATGTAGCTCACATTCTCCTTGTTGTCGACAAAGTCGAAGCTGCCCACCAGCTGCTTGCCCTCCGTCAGTTCAGCGATGACGCCAATAGCATCAGCAAAGTAGTCGGCGCCAGTGGGGAGCTGTACGAATGATAGGGAGGCATCGACAGCCTGGGGCTTGAGCTTCTGGGGGCTGAACTGAGGCTGGTCCAGGGATCGCAGGTTGGCCCAGGGAATCTTCTCGCTGTTGCCGTAGTCAATGTACATGACCTCGGCGACCTTGGCAGTGCGGTCGTTGGCACGGACACGCGCTCGGTACCATTGGCCGTCCGCAGAGAACTTGGCGGACACATACTCGCCCGTCTTGGGGCTATCCTTGAGAGGCTTGTTGTTCTTGGAGTCCAAGTGGAACTTGCGGAAGTCGCTCATCAGACCCTCCAGAGCTGCCGTTCCCTTGCCAATCTCCTGGATCTTGATCTTGCCATTGCCGTCAATGTTGGTGATGACGACGTCCCGGTAGTCGGTGGGCTTCTTCTCGAAGTTAAGCTCCGTCTCCTCAACAGCCTCGACAGGCTCCTCCTCAACTTCCTCATCTTGAGAGGGGTCCCAGTCGTGGAACAGGCCCTTGCGGCCCTCCTTAGCTCGCTTCTCTGCGGCAAACAACTCAGCCGCGTTACCGGATTTCTCGGCAGAGTAGGCGTGAACAGTGGCGAGACCCTCCTCTACCAGCACCTTGGTGAAGTTCTCTCGGTTGATGTACAGATCACCAATGAAGCCACCGACCTTGTCCATGTCGTGAATGTCCACCTCGCAATCTCGCTGGTTGCATCGGCGGTTGGCGAGGTCAAGAGCCTCCTTTCCAAAAGGCTCGCCGCCCTCACCGTCTGCTCGGGGAGCACGGGGTGCGCGGATTCCGCCCAGGACCATGGTAAGCTTGACGTTCTCGCGGGGGATCAGGATGGTGAATCGAGAACCAGCCTTGCAGAAGTCGACAATGGCGGGAACCTTCTTCTGTCGCTGGAGGGTGGCCAACATAATCTTGGCCTTCTGGGTGTTCTCAGAGAGGTCCAGGTACTGTCGCGCCTTCGAGGGCTTGCCAGACCACATTCCCTTGCCCTCTTCCTTGGCCTTCTCCTGAGCAGCCAGCATCTCATCATAGTTGGGGGCTCGGTCGGTGTCGTCCTTTCGGTGTCGAATAACAGAGGCCCATCCAGACTCGATTAGAAGGAGACCAATGTTCTTGCCCTTCTCGGTAACGGTAGCAACCTCCCTGGCCTCGAAGCCCTCGGTGGGAGGCTTGGTTCCATCGACGCTGATACGAACTTGCTTGCCAATCAACTGCTTTCGGAGGAACTCCTTGGCCTCGTCTCGGAAGGGGCTCTCGGAGGGCTCGCCAGCACGCGGTCCTCGGACACTGCTGAAGCTGATTCGCTTGTCCGCGGCTCCAGCCTTGGTCTTGACGAGGATAGTGTCGGCGCCAAGGATCTTAGACACAACCATATCCTGGTTACCACCATCGGCCTTAGCGACGTGGTGCTTGTGGAGTCGCAGCTTCTTAGACTGAGCCTGCTTCTCAGCAGCGCGTAGGGCGGCCATCTTGTCGCCTAGCATGGTGGAGTGGAAGTCGTTGCATCGCGCCAAGCCATCCTGCAACAAGAACTCGGCAATATTTCCGCGGGGGTGAAGGACAGTTGCGACAAGCTGGCCCTGGGGGCTGGCGCCGACAATCTCAACCTTGACCTTGCGCTGGAGCAGTCTCGTCTCAACGAATGCCCGAGCCTCGTTTCCATATTCCTCTGCGGGTTGGGTGGCGCCAGAGGAAGGCAGTGTCCTCTCAGTGGAGGGTGTTCGAATACCAGCAAGCAGAGTCATGGGCTGAACGTGCTTCTTGTCTGAGAGCAAGAGTCGCACTAGGAGTCGGTCACCGCTCAGGATTCGCTCAACGATACCGTCAACAGTCTTTCCCTTCCACTCCTTCATGAAATTGGGGCCACCTAGGTCATTCTGCACCTCAATGATTCCACCGACACCGACCCAGAGACCCTTGTCGTCAGCCTTGGCCGCGGCCTCGAGCTGACGGAGGTTCTCGAGCCTCGCGAGGATATCCTCAGACTCCTCCTTCCGGCCAGCATCCTCGCGGACCTTGAGCCAGCCAGCCTTGACGAGCTCGTCGGGCAAGTCGGTTCCATCCTTGAGCTTGGCGCTGCCAAACTCTCGTCCGGAGGTGGGGATGGTGTAGAGAACAGTGCATTGAACAGGCTTGCCGACGACCAGGTTGCGCAGGTACTCGCGAGACTGGAAGGCGAAGGGCTCGTCGCCCTCGCGCTTCAGGTGAGGCGCAGTGACATAGGCAAGGGAGAAGGTTCGCTCGGCAGTCGGGTTGTTGGGGCTGGTCAATATCAGAGTGTCACCACTGAGAACACTCTTGACATTGCCGACGAAGGTTTTAGACATGATGGAGGCGACACAGGAACGAGACGGGAGAGATCTAGTAGAGGGACCAATGTCAGTACAATCATGCCAATGGTGATGGAAGTTGGTAAGTCATGAGGCGGAGGGGCGGTGGGTAGTGAACATGGCGCAATTGGGCCAGCACCAATTGCTTGAGAACAAAGCCAATGTGCCTGACAAAGCCATTGTACTCGATTCGCAATGCCGTCGCATATCATGGGACTCTTCCCGGGGTTACTGCTGGCTGAACTACAGCCCGCAGCTCCCCATCCAGCACCTCAAGTACTAGCGTCGCCTGACACCGCCAGATGGGCTTGGACGCAGTGTAGAAGCGCAGTGTAGAAGCGCCGAGCATGGGAGAGATGCTTAGAAAAGGATCGACATACCTGGGTGAGGGAGGGGCAAAACTGCGATGGTTTGAGGCCTTGTTGAGAACCTTGGGGAAGCTCAAAACAAGGACGATTCAGGAGAAGGAGAGCAAATGAAGCAAAGGGGAGAGCTTCAAGCTTGTGGAGTTGAGGACCAGATCGTGTGCTTTGTGGAAAGGTGTCCCGAAGGTGAATTGGCCGCTAGATGGCAAAATGTGGGGACGGAGCTTCAGGGACCTTTTGGGCGGGTGGGTGCGCCTAAGCGAGAGGGAGAGCACGCGAACGTGAACGCGGGGCAGCGAGGACAGTGGGTTGAGGGGCAGGCTACAGAGGGAGTCCACTGGAGCTGTAGCTGAGCTGAGCTGAGCTGGAGGTACCTGAGCTGAGTTGAGCTAAGCTGGAGCTCAGAAGATCTATGTCATTGAATCAGGACCAGACAGAATCCATTGGGCTACATCTCATCAATCGACTGGCAAAACAGATCCCATCATTTGGATAGAGCTAGGTGTGTGGCTCATTAGGGCACTGGACCTTGCTGTGTTGTTGTGAGCAACAAGTGGGATGGACTGATCTCCCGTTACCCCTCCTCTCCACGTGGCTACATGATGTCAATACAGACACGAACGCGGCACACCACATGGGATCGTCACGGCAAGGGACGGCAGCCCATGCAAGAGTCGCCTTCAACATGGGGCCATTTTACTTCGATATTCATGCTTGGTTTTGTATTCAGCTATTTCGATTGCGAGTTCTCATTTTATACCCGCATTGAGCAGTCCCGAACATTCGCTTTTTGATCGAACAGGCCAACCTAGCTTTCAATCTAGCTGGAGATGCCAATGACACCTGCGAGGATAATTAGTATCATGATGAATGCAATGAAGAGACGGTATGTACATACCGCAAGCGGGCCTCAAGCCAGCGTTGCCGGTGGTGAGGGACAGCTCGTGGCCACCCTTGCCGAGGTCGTCAGTGCCACCGTGGACAACAACGGTTCGCTAGTAACAAGTGGTCAGCCCAAGAAGCTCTCAGAGAGTAGCAATATCCTTACGCCAACGATGGAGTGGGGGCCAATCAGCTTGACAAGGCTGTCAGTGATGGAGCCCTTGGCAACGCCCTCGCCATCGGTCTTGATGTTGCCGAGGTCACCGACGTGGCGGGTCTCATCGGTGGGAGCACCGTGGGTCTTGCCGAAGGGGTTGACTACAAACATTCCTGGGTCAGTCGATGGGATCGAGGTTTGACAAGCACTCTCTTCCGGAAGGTGTTCCGAGGCATGCGGAGTGGACTCACAGTGAGGGCCGGCAGAAGTGCAGCCGTTGGTGTTGTCACCGAAGGTGTGGACGTGGAAGCCGCGCTCGGCGTTGGGGTCGTTGCCGGAGATGTCGTAGGTGATGGTGGTGGGAGCGGACTCGGACTCCTGCTCGAAGATGACGGTTCCGGAGACCTTGGCGTCACCACGGAGGACAGCAACTGCAGCCAGGCGGGTTAGCCAATGTTCTGTACTGCAAGATGGCGAGACGGCGAGCTGCATTTCCTCCACAGAGCTGAACCCTGCTCTGTAACGGCCATCAAGGGACTCATTCCGAGATGTCATGGCCCTCTCAGGCGTAGGGCTGAGGCCATCAAGGTCTGGCGCGATGCGGTCCGTCCATCCCGTTGGACGAGGAGAAACCCGCTCAAACCAGCTCGAACCCCCTCCTCGCGAGCCCGAGCCGCATGTGCCATGGATGTATAAAGAAGGCGAAGATCCCTCGACAGGTCTGGGGGAAAACGGGGACGTGGGGATGCGTACCTGCTTTGACCATTTTGGCTGATTTTGGGGTTGTACGGTTTGGTGAGGTGAAGCTGTCGGAATTGAGATGCAAGTGGAGAGGGGAGGAACGGCAGAGTTTTGAAGAGCGAAGGAGGAGAGACAAGAAGCCCGAAGCGGAGGTCCCCAGTCCTCGCGCTCGGAGATCCTCCAGTCCCGAGGCGAGGAGGGAGCTTCTCCTGTCTCGCTGTTCGCGCTTTCCGGCTTTTCCAAACTGCCCCTCCTTGCTGCTCCTCCCTCCTTCCCTCACTCGCTCGCAGCTGCCCCTCTGTCAACCAGTCTCATTGGGCTTCCCTCCCATTGCGAACCTTGGTTGGTTGGTCCCCCTTGGCACAAAGGCAAGTCCCGGCGAGGTTACCAGGCCCAGGCCGTTGAACGCCCGTATCCCACCCCTTCCAATATCTCGATGGCCGTCTACAGCTCTCACAAGGAACCCAGCTAGCGGGGTTACAAGCAATCTGGACCCGCTTCGACCACTTCCGTCATTCTGACCAAAAGTGGGTGCTGACAAATGGATTGCATCATCGCCGCTTTTGCTTGGCTCAGACGCCGGGTCCGAGCCGATCTTCGGAGTCGTTCTTTATCTGAGCGTCTCCGCGGTGATGAACTCGGAACATCCTCCAATGAGACGGAATCTCGAGATACTCGTTACTGGTGCCTTACCACGCTTAAAATGGCGCTGAATAATATTAGGCCATTCTCTCTCGCTATTCCCTCCCGTTTGCTCCGAGTAACTGACTAGCTTGTAGCTCGTAAACTACCCCGCGCGGGTGCGAATTCTTAGATCTCGATGCCAAATCGCACAAAGCTCTATGGCGGGGGCGGGGTCAACTGCCGATGCCCATGTTGCAACACTGCAACAGTGTAATACCAGGCCGCGTTGCCATGATGTGATTTTAGATTCATCGATAAAATCCATTGATGCTCTTAGCTCGCTACTCTCACTGGGATGATACTTGTAGGAGTCAAGTATAATTGGAGTCTAGTTAATGCGTTGTTGGTACGCTCTTCCTAGACGTCAAGCTCACCATCTTATGTGTCAAAAAGACGACACTCATAGAATCCCGCGTTTCCTTCGCGAAATTTGAGCTGGGAGGAGCATATCTCAGTGATGCACAAGATCGGCCACTCGTATGACATGTGCATCCTCATCCATCATAATGGGGTATTGAGAATAACATCTACTCCCTCCTCATCCCTTGGTCCAATCCGACAAGCAAATCTCGTAGGATGACTCGTCAACCCATTCGTCAATTCCACCACAGGCGTTACCTCCCTTCCCTCTGTATCCAATGCCTTCTGGATCTTCAATGTGCTCAGCATCCCCACAACCACGATCCACACGCTCGCCTCAGCCAGATGCTGGCCAACGCATACCCTTCGTCCGAATCCAAACTGCCCGTTGGGAAATGGTTCCCCTCGTCCGCCTTCCTCTACGGGAATGTAACGGTCAGGATCGAATGTGTCGGGGTTTTGATATGTCCGCTCGTCGTGTGTCATTGCTCGGGCGTTGGCGTAGACGAATGATCCCGCGGGAATCAAGTAGCCCTCGTATATATCGTCTTGCAACGAGCGATGTGGGACTCCAATTGGTGACACCGGGCACCAGCGTAGCGTCTCCTGGACGATGTAGTCAACGTATCGGAGTTGCGGCCGGTCTTCAAAGGTGGGCAGCCTGTCTCGACCCACAAACTCATCCACAGCCTTTTGGCCCTTCTCTTGCACCTCGGGATGGAGAATCATGTTAAGCACAAACACGATCAACGTGCTCCAGGTCGTATCCTGGCCTGCCGCATAGACAGCACCAGCTGCTCCTTTGATATCCTCGACTGATAGCTCCGGCGTTTGGCCATTTCCGAGTTGTTTATTCCTCTGACTGAGCAGGGTGTGAATCAGGGATTGCCCTTTCTCGTTCGACGATATCACGGCCTCATATGGCTTATCGTGGAGGTTTCGAATGGCCCACCTCCAATCGCTTGCAAACTTTAATGAGCGGTCATGAAACCATCGCGGAAGGGACTTTAGAAATGGGAAGAAATCTACCGGCGTTCCAGCCGGAGCACCCCCGTGCCCGAGAGCGTAGCTGGCATCGGCAGCTACTTGAATGAAGGGGTCAGTATCTGTGTCGATCTTGATGCCGAAGCCAATGCCAAGTACCACGGCCGTAGCAAATCTTCTCATGATCGTCTCCCAATCTTCCGGTTTCTGGAGGAGTCCCTTCAACATCACAGTCATTTCCCGCTCTTGCAGGGGGCGGTGCTGGACAATGCTAGTCCTCTGGAAGGCTCTCTGCAATATGCTGCGATGTTTTCGAAATTCCGGGCCCCATCGAAGAAACGTGAGCGTTTTGCGCCACCCCATCACCTCGAAGAGGACAAATCGAGGTCTGTCACAGTAGTTGGCTCCCCGCTTGTCGAGGAGGTCGATCGCCGCATGGACAGAGTTGAGCACGACGATGGGCTGCCCGAGCACGTTGAATGAAATGATATCTGAAGCATATTCTCGAGACCACTTCATGTATGCATTTTCGGGATTGTCGGTCGGGATGATGCGCAGGTGGCCTAGAATGGGCTCTCCGGGGGGTCCAGGAGGAAGCGGTGAAGAGCGTGTCCGTCGGCGAGACAAGGCGAACTTGATGATAGTAACCAGAGCTGCGAGAGCGACGAATGCTTGTCCCTGAGGGGTATGTAGGATCTTGATAAGTGCCATCTTGGTTTAAAGGATGATGGGGGAAGAGATTCCGCGAAGGAGCTCGGTTGGGTGGCCCAGTGTCTATGATGCATCTAGGAGGTTCCGAAATAGAATAGCTGCCGGTTTGCCTAAGACAGGTCTCAGAAGCACCTCAGAGGAGCTGGGGTATCACCAGATGGGTAGATGAACCCTGCTTATCCGGATCACGGCGTGAGCATTCTTTTACGGAGGTCATTCTTTTCCAACCAAAAGCATCACTCAGATTACACATCAGCATCCGGAAGTAAGGTTGCCAGAGCTACCACGCCAGCACACCACTTCGTCGCCCAACAATAAACTCTAAGGCCACGTTAGTCCAACACTGCCTTCATCGAGGTCTGAAGTAGTGCATTAGTGGAATGTAATACAGAAGTGAGTTTCTGGTGCATTGCCGGACGCTAATCCGGCAACGGCTATCACCCTGCACCGCCCAACCAGCATCCAACTAGCGAATTGCCCGATTGCCCGTCTCAACATGTCGGGCGTCATTGTCTTGAATTCTGACCATTCAAGCGATGGGGATGTGGAATCATTCGCGGGGGAGCAACGAGAATAAAGGAATATTAGCTGACGCGACTGCTTCCTTGCAACAGCCAGTCTCATCCCTCGATCTTGGGTAACATCTACTTCACCTACCATGTCATAGAGCTCCAAGTTATTCTGCCGAGGCCACTCCATTGCTCAACTTCGAGCTCATTCGCAAGAGCTAAGATGACGGGTGCCACGGCAAAGTCAGCATTTACGACTGAGCCAACCCCCATTGATCCACATACCTACCAGCCGGGCTTCGGTAACAGATTCGCCTCTGAAGCCGTGCCCAATGTTCTACCCCGGGGCATTAATGCGCCGCAAAAAGTCCGGTACGACCTGTATTCTGAGCAACTCAATGGCTCGTCCTTTATCGCGCCACGGCAGCAGATTCAACATGTGTGGATGTACCGGATACGACCGTCGGTGGCACATGGCGCGGTGGCTGCTTCAGACGTGAATTCCCATGTGAGTTTCCATGTTTCCATTTCGCCAGCTGCACGACTAATAAACAAGATATAGCTTGAGGCCTGCTTCTCAGCAGCTAACAAAAATGTTGAGTTTGTTGCAGCGCAGGAGGCTTGGGACCCGATCCCGCTACTGTCAGAGCCAGACGAGTCAGTTCCTGAGAGCGGAACCGATTTCGTGCAGGGCATCAGAACCGTCGCAGGGCAAGGAGACCCAACCCTCCGCGAGGGCATCGCCATTCATGTCTACGCAGCGAACATCTCGATGGCCAAACGTGCGTTCTGCAACAACGATGGGGATTTTTTAATTTTGCCTCAGCATGGACGGCTGAATATCCAAACTGAGCTAGGGTGGCTCATGGTCCGCCCGGGAGAGCTCGTTGTTATCCAAGCGGGCTTGCGATTTCGCGTACTGCTTCCAGATGGGCCTGTCCGAGGTTACATTCAAGAAATATTTGGCACCCATTACGACCTTCCGGATCTTGGCCCGGTTGGCTCCAACGGCATGGCCCTGCCTCGGGATTTTGAGTCGCCGGTTGCGAGCTTCGATATCGACACCGAAAAGTCGACCTGGGAAATCATCTACAAGCTAGCCGGAAGCCTCCACCGATGCTCGCAGCACTATACGCCGTTCGATGTTGTCGCCTGGCATGGGAACTTGGTGCCTTACAAGTACGCAATTGAAAAATTTATTAATCTCGCCAATGTAGAGAAGGACCAAGCAGATCCGACCATCTACTGTGTTTTGACAGCCAAGTCTAAAACACCAGGTGTGTCGCTGACAGACTTCCTTGTCTTTACTCCAAAATGGATTACGACGAAAGACACATTCCGGCCCCCTTACTATCATCGAAACATGAGTACAGAAATCATGGGCCTGATCTACGGGAAGTATAACGGCAGCAGCCATGTTCTAGAGCCGGGGGGCCTCAGTTACGAGGCAAGTTACATGCCCCATGGCGAAACTTACGAGACATGGAAGGACGCGACAAGCCGCGAGTTGAAGCCGGAGCGCGTGTGCGAGGATACAATTGCGTTCATGTTCCACATTAGCGTACCGATGTTTGTCACGAAATGGGCGCTCCGGGGAGAGGGGGCAAAGTCGTTGCATCCCAGCTCACCAACGCAGTGGGACAATGCCAAAGCGCCTTTCCTCGATCACCTTGACGAAGTGAACCTGGACTTGGAAGCAGCGGGACTGCCCTTGTTGGGGGATGCAAGCCTAGAGAAGTGAGACACTACTAACAAACATGAAATGTCCGTTTCCGGTGGCCGGTGAGCAGCTCGGTGCACGGATCCGGCAGTGTAACGTTAAGTCATTGGAATTGGAAACGCGGGGGGGTTGATTGGCAGAGGAAGATGAGCAAATCAATAAGTTAGACGGCTGCGAAGCCTTTGGTGGGTGATATTACCAGGAGTTGATGTCAATACTCGGGTTGTTTGTTACTGAGCGAGGCGGTGAGTTTGGAAGGTTCAGGAAATTGGGTTGAATCATGCATTCGGCAAGTAATTGTTGGAGTAATTAGGCAGGTCGTAATACGGCAAATCAGCCATCCTATCTATAATTGGCATTGTTGCTTATATCGTCAAGGCTCCCTTGCCGACTAAAACCACTAAAATTGGGCTTTGACCGTTCGCATGCAAAGGCAACAAGCGCGAACTCAATCAACCGCTGGAACTTTCCGCCGCTGGGAGGAGATTGCCAGGGTGTCGCCGATCGCTGCGTCGCTGCGTCGCGGTGTGTGCCGGATCGGGCTTCCGCAATAATTATCGCACACTGAAGCTTGCGCGGGCGTGAGCGGGCGCTGGGCTCTAGGCTATGGGCTATGGGCGCCCTGTTCAAAGATAGATGGAGATGCCTTATTAGCCAGAAAAACAAGCCGGCCAGTTCTGGGAGTCAATCTCCCCAACCCAACCCTCCCTTTTTGCCTGCCCCTTTCTCGTCCCCGCCGCCCCTCAGGCAAGGCAGATTGCCAGATCCAACCTCTCGGGCGTCTTCGTGTGTGTCTTTGTGTCTTACTGCGTACAACGACCCGGCAACGAGAAAATGGAGCCCACAGCGGCAGTGTCGTCGAGCCGGCCCCACGGCCAAGACCTCCTCGGTGATCCGGGTCCCGGGCCCGGCCCCGTCAAGCGTCGCGGCACCGTAGCCTGCCGGCGCTGCCGCCGGCTGCGCTCCAAGTGCATCCACCAACAGAACGCGCCGCCGTGTGAGGGCTGTCGCCTTGCTGGGCCCCAGGCCGCCGCCGAGTGTGCGTTCCCGCGCCGTGGCGAGAAGGACGTTGATCGCCAGTTCCGCCGTCGCCCCGTCCCGGTTGGGGATCCCGTGCAGACCGGCGCCGAGTACGGTGGCGGCGGCGGCCAGCCCGGGAGCATCACCGGCGGCGGAGGTGTGGGCGCCGGCGCCTGGTCGAGCCCGCCGGGCAGCTCTGGTCAACTGTCACCAAACACGGTAGGGGCCAGTCCGTCTCGAGCGCCGGGGTATCCCCCGTCAATCAACCAGGACAAGATGCTGCCGCCCTCAGACGAGGTCGTCGAAGGCTGTCGCATCTTTGTCACATCCTACTTCCAGCTCGGCTTCATCCCCAAGGCCGTCTTCCTCGAAAACCTCCGCGTCAACCCGTCGTCTGTCAGCAAGTTCCTCCTGGCCTGCATCCTCTCCATCTCGGCGCGCTTCACTCCATCCTTGGTCGCTCGGTACGGCAATGCCCGAAAGGCCACCGACTACTTCCTCGAAGTCTCGAGGTCCATGGTCCCTGCGGAGATGTATAATCCGTCGCTCGAACGCATCCAGGCTTTCTTCCTACTCGCAATCTCACAATGGGGCAATGGCGATAGAGATCGTTCCAGCATGGACATGGGAGTCGCCGTACGGATGGCAGCGCTGCTCAAGCTGCACTGCGAAGAGTCGTACGTCCTGGAAAACAACTGCCCTGTGGATCAAGTTGTTCGCTCTGAGAGCGCCCGTCGAGTATTTTGGATGATCCAAAGCCAGGAGAATCTTCACTCGGGCTACAAGACGCCAGCGCCGTTTCCCCTCGAGGATATTACGACATTGCTGCCATGCGACGAGGGGGACTTTGCCTTTGGTGCCATCCCGACTGAGCGAGCTGCTGAAGCAGGCACTCCGCCAGCGTTGGCCAACCCGCAGTTGGTCTTCAGTCCAAGGCGGTGTCTCTTCGCCACGCTCATCCAAGCCCACGGCCTTTGGGGCAGAGTGGCCAGGAGGGCATGTAGGAACGACTATGCCGTCAACAGGGCACCCCCGTGGGATCCTACAAGCGAGTACCAACGGACCATCATCGAACTGCGGCAGTGGGAAGAGACCCTCCCGCAAAAACATGCCTTCTCGGTATGGAACCTCAGGGGGTGGAAGTCAGAGTCACTTCATCTCGCATATCTATCTGTGACCATGGTCCTCCGGCTCAGCAATATTGTCACCCGCCGAGTCTATCTCCACGACATGTTGTCAATTCTTACGAATGAACCGCTCGACCAGCCACTTGAACCCTCGACACCAACGATGGCAAATGCAAACGAGCACAGCACAACTCCACATCCCACTCCAACCTCGACACCCCGCGAAACTTACGGGTCTGCTCCCAAGGGATTCTGGGCGCAGGCCTCCAACGAACTGTTCCACAATTTGTGGGATCTGCACGAACAGATCGATGCGTACTTTAGCATGAAGTCCTCGGAGGAGGGCTTTCCCCAGATCCTCGTCTTCTGCGTGTACATGTGTGGGTCTCTATCGTCCTTCCTCTGGCGTTACCCTGCGCTCTGCCCTCCGCTAGGGGAGAGGGCGGAGAGAATGGCACAGCGCTCGCTCGAGGTTCTGAGCGAATTACACGCCGCCTGGCCTACAAGTTCCAAGTGGCAGAAGGGGTTACAGCAGATTGCAACGCCTCTTACGGGGCTGAGTCCCGCAGACGACCGAGTTGCAATCACTCCGACACAATCCATGGACAACAGGGCCGGGGTGTTGAATCCGGCGAATGTGCAACTTGTAGACCAAGCCAACATGCCAGACGCTTTTCAAACACCGCGAGGAATGGAGCAGCGCCCAACGGTCCCCGAAGGCATGCTAGGAGAACTGATCAACGTTTTGCCTCATGGGAATAGTCACCTCGCACGATTCGGAAGCATGCAGATGAACCCTTTGCCGAACGAATTATTCAACGCCGAGCTCGCCGCGTTTTTGCAGGGAGACTTTCACTACGACCTTCTAGACGGATGGGGCCAGCCAGGTGTTGCAGGTTGATAAACCGCATCTAATCTAGTATCGTTATATCGTCATGTCCCATAAACACTCTGGAGGTGTTTGACAGCATCCTCGATCATCTTCCGACCTTTATCTATTCGTCCATGGAGAGAGAGAATCGAGTGCGTACCACCCTTCACAACCACAGTTTCAGCGTCAACGCCTAGGCCTCTTAGCTGCTCTCCGAAAGCTAGCGCTTCTGGAGCAAGGAGATCTAGCTCTGCGACAGCTATCCAGACCTTTGGAAGCCGTCGCAGCAAGGACTCGGGGGCGTGGTTGGGGCTCGCATCCCACTTCTGGCGATCCTCGTCTCGGGCGAAGTAAAGCTTCCGATACCACTCCAATCGCTTGTCGGTGAGCCAAGGCGCTGTCTCGGCGCTGGACTTCCAGATATCCTCCGAGGTGGCGGTGTTGTCAATCACCGGGATGAATAGTAGAACTGAGGCGGGAGGGTGGGTGATGGTATATGGAAGAGATGGCTTCGCAGATGGGAGAGGTACCTCGGGGTCCAATGCCGCGAGGGCGGCGACAACGGCCAAGTTGCCTCCGGAAGATGTGCCGCCGATGGAGATGCGGCTGGTGTCAATCTTCGCAAGTTCATCAGGCGCAGAAAACACCCATCTAACAGCATCAATTGAATCTTCAACTGCGATTGGGAATGGATTCTCAGGGGCAAGACCGTAATCCACGCTTATGACCACGCAGCGGGCACCTAGTTCGATTAGTGCTTTCTTTCTCCATCTTGTTAGAGATTCCATAGATAGATACCTTCACAGGTCCATGAACAGAGGTCCCTGCCATTATTCAGACCCCCAACAGCCCATCCGCCGCCGTGGAACCAGACCAAAGCGGGCCAGCCGCGCTCATCGCTCTCGCCAGTGGGCGTGTAGACTCTCACGCGGAAGCGGCCGACGTCGAAGTCCTCGATGCTGCCAACGGGAACCGGCTGAGTTCCGCCGGGAGGGAGTGTTCCCTTGGCCGATCGTACGGACCCGTCCCAGGCTTTGAGCTCATCTGGGACGATATACTGCAAGTACTTGTCGTGGTAGTCGACGTATTGCGGGTCGAGCTTATCGCGGATAGCGGGGTGGAGGGGTTGCCAGATCTTGCGATCGTCGGTTGGGGTTTCGGACATGACGCCTGCAATTGAGGTAGGTTCCAGTGAAGGTTTCGAGGTTGTAGCCTAGTTAATGGCGGCTAGATTGCGATGATCTAGGTTCACTACAAGCCACGAGCTTCGATTTCGATTGTGGATGAGATGTCACTCCCAAGCCCCCACCTTTGAAACTTGGGGCGGATTTAGCCCGCCCAGGATAGTGGAGAAGATGCGAGATGCGCTGCTCGCACCGATCGTACAACACCAAGCAGATTGAAGTTTCTTGAACCTAATATCTACCATTTAGATTTAAAATAAAGACATAATCTCTTCAGGCGAATGATAGTGTTGGGATATTAAAATATAAAGTATATACCCGTCATAAGTAGCCCTTGGCCAGACCTCAGCCTTGAATGAGGCAATTCAGACTGTTTGCTAGCGACATTATGACATTGGGGTGATTACCACTCTTCCTTTTCCTCGTTTGTCTCTCGCTTATGTCCTGTGGTGTTTCAGGTTGGCATTTATTCTTAGCCCCTGCCAGGTTTCTTCCTCGTTGGCAGATGCAGATACCGCGGTCTTGGCTCAGTGAATCCCTGACGGTAGAGGCTCAATGGACCACAAGCGCCTGCGTGTAAGTGCGCACCCCTGTCGCACCTGCCCCCTACGTCATAACCGCCCAAACCTGCCATGTCCAAACAACAACAGCAGCAATGACAGCGAACACTTGCAAGACCGGTAGGGTGATTGCTTCCTTCCCTCAACCCCAAACTTCAACTCGCGTGTTTTCGTGCTTTCTTCTCGGAGCTGGTCCTCCGAGGCTTCGTGGCATTCTCTTATTCTCACCTCCCCGCACGTGGCTTTCTCTCTTTTCCTCCATTTTCGACCGACGACAATCATCAATACCAACTATCCTGGATCGTTGTCAATCTTCACCTCTTTCGTCGCCCGCCTTTCGTTTCTCCCTTGGCATATTTACACGCCCTGCGCCTATCCTCCCGTTCTGGAACGTTACCCACCCCATCGCTTCCCATCTAGACCACCTGACAGGGATAACCAAGAAATCGACATCGAAACCAACAATCATCCAGTCACCGCCATCGAGACCCTAGCTCCCTTCCATCTACGTCACTCTCTGCGTGGTTCCTGAATCCGGGCGCCCACCCTTTGGGGCACCGTTGCATCCTATATTTACCTACTCTATTGGCCTGTTCCCTTCTTGTCACCTTACCATACGCCATGCAAGGCACCAGCTAATACGTGCTTGAATACTTTTCTCTTTGGATCTGGGACTTCCCTTGAACTTCTTCGTTTGGATCCTGGACTTATATCGCTGTCACTTTCGAGGTTTCTGCAGCATCGCCAGTAGTATTGGATATTGGGGACGTGCGATGCGACATTCGTCAGATCGCAGACGCGCTGGATGCGCCTCTTCGATATGTCGCCTTCTAATCCCAATGCTCTCATTTGGATTTCTCGTCCATGGAGTGTCTCCGGACGATTCTCTCGCCCTTCGAAGCTTGTGGGCGGATACTGCACATCACGGGCCGCGAATTGGAGTTCCTAAGAGGGACCTGGGCGATTCAGACAATTGGGATGGAAAGATACCGCTGATTGTCACCAACAACTGTGGCTCCACCATATGGCCCGGAATCGCAACACAGGCCGGCACAGGACCAGGCACGGGAGGCTTCGCGCTCTCCAAAGGGAAGAGTAGGAGGGTTTGGGTCAGCCCGGATTGGCAGGGGCGCGTCTGGGGTCGTACGAACTGCACCGTCAAGGGAGATTCGTGCTCTTGCAAGACAGGGGACTGTCTAGGGAAGTTAGACTGCGAGTTCAGTGTAAGTCGGATTGCCCCAGATATGAACTTGACGTTATCTGACTCATGACAGGGCGCAACTCCAGCAACGCTCGCCGAATTCAACCTGGCCGGTGGAGTTCATAACAAGCAGACATTCTACGATATCTCTCTCGTCGATGGATACAATCTCCCCATCGGCTTAAAGTACATCCCTGCCAAAAACACATCGTATATCCCCCCAAACCTCACCAACTGCATGTGCATCGCAACTCCTGGGTGGATTTACGCTGAAGCCGAAACGGGAACCTACTACACAAATTCTTCCTATCCCGTCCCATTGGAAACGAAGGTTAACAATGACATGGCCCGGCGATGGTGCCCCTGGCCGTATCTTGCCTTTCCGCCCACTAAGCCTGGGGACGGTATCTACCCCTACCCAGATGACAAGATCCAGCGACCCGAATTTGCGCCATGCAAGAGCGCCTGCGCCGCGTCCGGTAACGACAAGGACTGTTGCGTGGGCAAGTACCATGACCCCGACGTTTGCAAGCCATCAGATTACAGCAAAGCTGCCAAGGCCATGTGCCCTGACGCATATAGCTTCGCCTTTGACGACCAATCGTCGACTTTCATCATCCCCATGGGAGGCGGTTGGGAGATCACCATGTGTCCCAAAGGACGCTCAACTAACATTCTGCGTCAGTTGGGAGACGAAATGAGCGAGATAGCCAGCTCAGGGAAACTGTCAGACTTGGCCATCAAGCGGTTGAAAAACGTCACATATATCGAATCTGAACGGGATGCCGCAAATGGTCTTCGGCCAGTGATGGCCACGTTGGTATCGACAGCTCTGGTGGTGGGATTGTGGCTATTGCTGTAATGCGTGTTTATGCAGGGAGTCATGGTTTGATTGGGGTTTCCTTTTTTCAAGGGTCCAGGCTGGTTTCCTGTTCCTCAGTGTCATTCCGAGCTTGCATATCTGCGACGCCGGTGGGAGAAGAAGAATAACACGTCATGATGAGATGATGGGCAGCGAGCCTGCTCCAAGACTTGCACGAGCACACGTATACCCTTTTGATAACCCTAAATGAAAATGCTTATTCAAGTCTACCTTGTACAAGCTCTATTGCTCATATGTCATGATCCATACCCAACCATTTTGGTCCGCCGCCGCGCTAGATGTGACGAGGCCTCGTCTCAAGGCCATTCTCGCATATAAGCACAATCCATAACTGTAGGGTGCTCTACCTCTATCTCTTCTTCTCCTTCCTCCTCCTCTCCCACTCGGCACGCTCATCATCATCGCTTCCGCTGAACTCGGCATCCTCGTCGCTTTCGTCAGCAACGGGGTGTGAATTACGGCCAGTAGTAGCCACCCCAGTGTGCTCGACGGGAATAAAGTCGCCGGCGTTCTGGTTGGTGAACTCGTGTTTCTGGATGAGGTCACGCAGCTCTGAGTTGCGAGGGTCAACGAGCTGGAAGGCGGTCAGGCGGGCCTTGTTCTTAGCGCGAGGGTTAGAACCGGCCTCGAGCATCATCTCGATGAGGGCGAAGCCAAAGGATCGCTGGGCTGGAGGCTCCGAGTTGAGCCAGCGGACGGCGGTGTGCAGCGGGGTGTCGCCTTCGAGGCGGTTGACGGGGTCGCATTCGAAGTCGGGTTGGTCGAGGAGGAGATCGATGATGTCGTCTGGGAGGCGGGCGGTTAGTTAGGTCTGGGGTGCGTTGCGCCGTCTGGCCGGAGGTTTTGGGTAGTCATGGACGGCAGAGCAGTGGAGGAGACGCACAGTTTCCACGGGAGGCGGCCTCGTGATAGAGGTGGTTGCCCATGATGGTGGTCGTTTGGTTCAGCAGCTTTGTGATTTCGGCATCGGACTTGTCCTTGAGGCACTCGGTGAGGAGTTCGGTGTTGTCGCGGCGACAGGCCTCGATCAGGAGCTCCTTGACCGAGGCGCCCTGCGATGGCACTGGAGTTTCAGCGTCGTCTTCTTAGCTGGCGGACAGAAGGGGGCTTCCATACATCGTGCACCTCGTCACCAGCCATCGTGATGGTGTCTGACTGGGCAAAGTTCTAGATGTTGCTTTAGAGGATCTGCTCTTGGCGATCTCGCGGGGAGCGGGGTAGTTTGGGTTATGCGCTGGGACGAGATGTCGACGGCGGGACGGAGGCGGAGGAGTCGGAGGAGTCGGGGGAGTCGGAGCGGGCGGTTCTGTGGGTTTGGGATGGAGGATTACAGAGAGGAGACGAGATACGGAGGCGCTTCTTGTGTGTCGTCGTAGGAGAAAGTTGCACCAGGAGGTGGCAGTGAACAAACAGCCGCCCGCCTGGCGGTCACTTAGCGCTCTCTGCGACTCTGCACTGACGAAGGGGCTGGCGCCCAGTGGACACAGCGCTGGAAGGCTGACCCAATGGCGGGGAAAGGCGCTAGCGACCACGAGGCTCAGAGGCTCAAAGGCTCTTAGGCATCATGCACGGGACCCCACCATGCCGAGAGCGCTCCAGCTGGTTCCAGGCCCAGGCCGGAAATTTTCCCACCAGCCGGGCGGAAACACTTTAACCATCACCAAACGACGAGTGCATGAAACGAACCGAATCCACGCCTGCATATTTGAAACAGAACAGCGCTTGGGCTCTTCTACGACGGAATATCGGAGCACATTGAGTACCTACATCTCCCGCACGGAGCCAACCAACCGCAGCCATGTTGCTCTGTAAGGAACCCTCCGCAAGCCTCTCTCCCTCAAGCCTCCCAAGCTAACCACGGCGACCCTTCACCTCCTTCAGTCTGCCCCCATTGCGCCAACATCCTCACCGTGTCCCTGACCAACACGCGAACCAACCGTCTCGAGTGCCGCACCTGCCCCTTCGAGCACCAGATCACCGAGCCCGTCTTCTCGCGCCGCGTCTACGAGCGGGTCGAGAAGGAGGACGTCTTTGGCGGGCCGGGCGCCTGGGACAACGCGCAAAAGGGCCGCGTGCAGTGCCCTGCCGAAGGCTGCGACGGCGACGAGGCTGCCTTCTTCCAGGTGCAGATCCGCAGTGCCGACGAGCCCATGACGAGTTTCTACAAGTGCATGACGTGTGGAAACCGGTGGAGAGAAAACTAAGATTGGTGGGGTTTTGAGCCGTCTCTCGAGCCGAGAGCCTTGTTTGTGCGAGGAGAATGGAGTTGATGGTTTGCGTTTTCGGAATATCATGGAATTTCTCTTGCGGTCCCCGGTATCGTAGGGTGTCGTTTCTTGGTGACTCAGTGTGGCCATGTTGTTCTGCGTTTCTCTATGCGGCTGAGTGTCTGCCCTATACCGCTCGGAAGGTATGGTTCATGGCCAAGTCGTAGTAGTACTTCAAGTCCCAGTCTCCCGGGCCATTTCGTTCGTAGCTCGTCGCGTATAGTGTCGTGGTGAAAGATGGTTTGGCCATCACTCCCGGTGCCACTCCACCGAGGCCTTCATGCCCTCCTCCACCAGCCGCTGCACCACATCTGGGCTCATGATCTGCTGGCGAAACATCTCCTGCTGCAGCAGCTCGAGGTGGCGCAGCGTCGGGCCCGGGTACGTCAGGTACTTGAGGTACGGCGGCTGGTTCCAGTACTGGAGGTAGGCGAGGTAGGCGACAAACGCGGGCTGGCTGAGGAGCTTCTGGGAGGCGAGGTGGTTGAGGTAGTAAGGGTTGGCGAGGGATTGGACGAACTGTGCGCAGCAAGGGAACCGTGTGAGTGAGGGTTTGCTTCATCGATGGATCATCATCGTCGCAGGGGGAGGAGAGGACGACAAACGAACCTCGAGCTCGATCTCGAATCGCGAGAAGCCGCCATACTTGGGCTCAGCGTCTGTCGCAGCGGGCGCCGGGGGCGGAGAGCCCATCACAATGTCCTGGGAAGCCTCGGTTGCCATCGCGGAGGAGGTTGTGAGAGGTGATGCGCTCGAGAATGGGCTTTGTGTCGGTGTTGATGAATTTGTGGAGCAGCGAAAGTAGCAGGCGTTGTCGCTGTATTCGTAGTTGACGCGCAGAGGCCAAGCACAAAGGCAGAGCTCCTCCAGGGCCGAGACCCACTCTACGTCATTTAATACCCTGTAGGCATAAACATTTCTATGGTAGGAATACTGTCTGGCTACCTTACACTTGTACAATGCATTCTTTTAGCAATATATGATGGACATTTAATTGCAGGGAGCCTCTTTCAACTCTAATGGCCTCCACGTATTTATTTTTGATGGTGTTACAAGCCCACTCCGGAGTCATGACACGGCATCGGAGAACCACCCCTTCAACCCTTTATACCTCCTGTAGTCAACCAGACTTTATAAGAACCCTCACAATATGAATCCAGTCCGTTTAAAACAGTCTAGGTGTCGGTGTCCAAACGTCCCCGGCAAGGCAATACCACACTCCATTAATTGTTGCCGCGACAAAAAAGGCCGAAATGACGCTGGCAAAGCCAACCTCGCAAGCCAGCATCTTCTGCCTCCATCTCGACAGGCTTGTGCGGGATATGAACTTCACCAGAATGTGCGCTTGCTCTAAGCTCCAGAAAGGCAGGGTCATCATCAGCGCCCCAAACCAAAAATTTGAATAAGGCATGCCGTAGAACAAGTATTCGTCTCGTTGGTGGTACTTGTAGATGTGGGCCACCGATGTGTTCGTGCATTCGAACATTGGGGTGCCGATGGTGCCAAGGATCACCACCAGGAAATAGGTGGTGTAATATCCGAACTTTCTATACAGGATTGCGCGATAGAAGTCGAGCAAGACGAGCGGGATCCCGAAGAAAAAGGCGTAGAATAGAATCATCGCCAGTGCTGCCTTTTCTTCCGCAATGGTCCACGCAGTGATGAACCGCTCATCCGTCGTCAGCCTGAAGTAATATTTGCTGTCGAATATCCATTCCATTACGCCCCCGCCGATTGAGGAAGCGAAATAGACACCATAGAAGACGGGGTTTCTTGAGCGCCAGACGTAAACCAGTCCACCGAAGAAAAGGCACAGAGACACTATTTCGTAAAGCCGGATAACTTCCAGACTTGCGACTTCGTCAGGATCTGAAGTGTTGAGGGGATCCATGGCAAATTAATTCAAGAAATATCACTCAAGGAAAATCAGACTTTCCAAGTATTCTGAAACCCAGAAGTAAATGGTATCCTCTCTGCCTGGTGATATAATAAGTGTTTGGTGGAAAATGTGTATGTTGCGGCGAGAGGGGCCGGCGCATAACCTAGGTAGGACGGGCTCTATACCGAGGGATGCGCTGAAGCCGGGGCTTTTTTTTCCGCAACAAAGGCTCTCCTTATTGCATCGACCCTGCATATTTCGGGCCGAAACTCTTGGCTGATTTGCTCCCTTCCGTTTGGAAGTTGGAGTAAGAAGTAAGGTAAGTAGTACATAATGCAGCCTAGGATCTCCGGTCCAGATCAAATGATCAATGGAGTGAGGAATTATACGAAACATGATTTGATCACATCTATTAATTGGCCATGATGACGACTTCCGATCTTCAACAACGCAGCAGCCGTCACGATCTCAATACAACTAAGGATCTACCCACAAGTCCTGAGTCAATCACGCCCAAATGGCTCTCGGAATCATTTGGCCTAAAAGTCGAGGGTATCAATATTCGTCATGTAATTCCTGGAACGGCAACCAAGGTGCTGGCGGATTTGGTATATCCCGTGGGCTCCCGGGTCAAAGACAAGTCAAGCAGCCACCCTACAGCAATATGCATCAAGGGTGGATTCGATCAGAGCCTCTTCGACCTTGGAATGACCTCGGCGTACTTGAGAGAGGCTTACTTCTTTGCCGAGTTCGGGAACAGCGAACATGTACGCACTCCGCACATGTGGTACGGCGCAACGAATCCCACTCAAGGTCAGGGGATCGTCATTATGGAGGACTTGTCGGCAAAGGGATGCAAATTCGGCGAATGCACAGAGCCTTGGAATCCGGCCATCGTTGGCCGCGTCTTGCAGCAGCTTGCCGCCTTACATGCTGCAACATGGGGTGCGAATCCTGCGGACCATCCATGGCTTGCCGATAACCCAGTGCAGGATGTCGGCGCCGTTATGTTCGCACCGGAATACTGGGACTCCCACTTCAATACTGGCCAAGCGCCTTCAGATGTTCCCGATTTTCTGCGAGACAGGGCCCGCGTGCATGCAGCCTTCAAGCAAATGTGGGAGGAGGAGAAGAATGACACGCGGTTGAGATGCATCTTGCATGGCGATGCACACATTGGAAACACGTACTTTGAAAAGGATGAAGACCCAGTCCTCCTAGACTATCAGACGGTATACATTGGCTCAGCTATGCATGACGTCGCCTACTGGATCGGCGGGTCATTGAGCACTGAGGATCGTCGACTCCACGAGCGAGAGTTGCTGGACACGTACTTATGTGCGCTCCATGTCAACGGAGCCCCCTTATTCCAGCGACACGAAGTGTGGGAGGACTATTCGAAGCACATGCTTCACGGTTTCTTCTGGGTGATTACGGGCACGGCTATGCAGACGAGGGAGAGGGCACACGCAATGGCCCAGCGATTCATCGCATCCATAGAGGACCTATCCAGCCTGTATTTGCTTGAATCTCGGAAGAAGCGTACCGCAGATTCTGAGGAAGTAGTAAATGGGAATTAACATGGGTCATAATCGGAGATAATATTACTCAGACGATTTAATTATAAATGAAGTGTTGTGTCAGGCTATACCAGCTTGCTGAATATCCCAACCCGCCCCAACTTGGATTCGTATTCGTGTTATCAAATCTCAATTGCCTGGGGAAACCTGGTAGATTACTGTAGAACCGTTAGCCTACGCTCCGAGATACGAGGGCTGTCTTCTCGCGGAGACGGGGAACCGATGTCTCCGGACCCCCGCATTTCCTCCCGGGCTCCGGAGATTTCGGCATGCATCATGACCCCTTCGTTCCGATCATCATGTTCGGTCCGACAACCTATCATGGCGTTTTCACCGCAGCAGAATGGGCTATTCAACTGTATTCGCTCCGGAGTGTGACCCTGCGCAGTACGCCGGAATAGACTAGATAGCTCGAAGTGATGAATTATTTACGAGCTCCTACCGCCTCTAGTTTAAAGTCCATTCATTAACGAAGCTCTCTTCCTCGTGATAGAGTTTGACAGTGATAACAACAAATAAATCAATATCAACACTGAACTATCAGCGTTAAAAGGGAACTTGGAAGCAAATATGGCTGTCGGAGAGTGGAAAGACGAGGTCAGTTCCTGGTCCAGTACCCTGTAGCATTTGATAGCGATTCTAACGCACGATCATCTTTGCGCAGACCAATCTCACCACCGTTGAGGCATTGCATAACGACCTTAGTTACACCCCTAGCAGCGTGAGCAGCCACTTTTATCTCAATAGAGCCACATCTACTGACCTCAGAGCCGCTAGTACCACGACCCGGCTTTTGCTGAGCAAGAGCAGGAGATCCTGCAACACTACAAGGATTGGGCCTACTTTGCCAACTTCAAGTTCAAGGTTGATCCGGACCAGGGGCACAACTTCTACGATCTTGATGATGTCTTGTACTACGATTTGATGGGCGTCGTAACGCGTGGTAGCTTCGGCGCGCACTTCGACCGAATTGGACCTTACTTTGCCAATGCTCACATCGCATTCAAAGACCTCGAGGTTTATGCCACATCGCCCACATCGGGCTGGTCCAGTATGGTCCAGCGGTACTGGGGAAAATCGACCGATGGTGTCGACTTTGATTTCACCTTTCGCATTACTGGCATCTTGCAGAAGAAGGACGGGGGCTGGCGCTTTGTCCATGAACATGTCTCATTCCCAGTGGATATGAAAACACAAAAGGCCGACTTCAGCTGTGGTCTGGAGGCCAGTGTGGCATTGTATATTGGCAAGGATCGAGACCAGGCCGAGAAGGATGGCAAGGCTTATTGAGTACTTAACTGCCACTGGGTGGTCGATTGATGTTCATCGGTTGTAGTTGTCTCCAAGTAGTGAAATTCCAATCATTGCCGAGGGGTTGTTTCTACTGTGAGCTCAGAAAAGAGACAGACATGGCCGGATACAACCAAATAAATGCCTACCCAAGTCTTAATTGAGTTCCAAGATGTTACATTTGGTTCGACAAGTGTTGCGTGATCCAGAAGTCTCCGGCGGGGACTTCATTAAGAACACCGCTTCGGTCCCCGGAGTGCTATGGCCCTACTTAAAGTAGCAAGGAAAAACAACATGATCAAGCATTACTTAAATATCCAATGCCACGATTGCCAATTTAGGTAAGTCGCAGATGGCGCTTTCCCCGCATAATCCAAGTACCCGGCAGTCGGGATTCTCAGTTCCGTGGAAGCGCGCTTTCCGGGATCCGCGGGACTTCAACTGGTTTCTCTCCGACCACGCCGGATTTTCTCCAAGTCCAAGTTGTTTTCCACTGCCCGTCTCGAATCTACGTCATTAATTACCGCAACATAATAATACCACAATCCCGCCCCAGAATTGACAAGAAATGGCGAGTCCGAGACAGGTCCGACCACCTAAGCGCCGCCCAGTGGCATGTCTCCATTGTCGAGAGAAGAAGGTCAAATGTAAGATGACAGTGAAGAAATAGTACCTCTATTCATACAACACTCATTGACTGAATCATAATTTTCATAGGTGATGGGTCCCAACCATGCAGCTATTGTGCTGTAGGTATCTCCGCCTTCCTTCGGGAACCTAGAGGCCGTGGATGTATTGAGCTCGCCTAACATCTGCGCTAGGCCAGAGAAATAGGATGTGTCTTTCCAAGAAAAGCCAGCCGGCGAAGGGATAAACGTATGTAATACTCTGGTACCATTCCTGCCTCTCATGATGACATGTTTGGACGCAGGGAGACTGCACCCCGCGCCAGACGGTCCTAGCGACGAATTTAGACCTGTGGCTAGAAGCCCAGGTCACAACTTCCATGCGCAAACATCATTCAGAAGCCCGGAAAATCTAGGAGGTAATCAGTCGCGATTCAGTGATTGCTGCCTTGATTAACTATTTATGTTAGAACACCATGACCATGCTCTGTCACATCCTCCGCCGACTCACTGCGCTCCACAACCCCTTCATGGCCGTAGAAATTGGTCCGCGGCGTCTCCAGGAAGAAACAATGGCAACGGCGTGTTGTTTGACTTGACAGGTGTTGTTTCGCCACCCGATACATCGAACAGCACGGCAGAGTATTCAGAGTTGGCCTCGAGTTTGGACCTTGACCCGGTTTTGCGTCACATTCCGGAACTTGGAGGGTCTTCGAGCGGAGGTAGTGGCAATAGCCTCGAAGGAAGTATCATTGAGCCAAATGTCAGTGGATACAAGCTCTTGTCTCGTTTTCAAACGATTACTGACGCGAATCTTGTATACAGACTGGAAGCGAGTACCACGGTAAATACATGCCGATGGAAGATAGGGTCAATGGTGCTAATTCCTCAAAGGTGCCAGCTCCATTCTAGCGATATGCTCAGCGGCTGCAATTGAATGGGTTGTTCAACAAACACATAATCAACGCTACCCTCGCCTTAGCGAGTCAATGGCAGCGACAATTGCCAGTCAACTGAAGTTGAATAAACGCTTTGACAGAGAGCGAGCGCCAGAACCGAGCTTTGAAGCAGCATGGAGGTACTATGAAGGTAATCTGAGCCTTCATCTACCCGGAGCATACGGCATGGCTGACTCTGCGAACCTTCTAGCGTATTTCCAACAGGCTGAGTCGGTGTTTCCTGTCATCAATCGCCCTTCTTTCGAATCACGTCTTCGACAGACTTTTAATCAAGGTGAGAAATCAGATGACGATCCAGCTTGGTATGCGTTGCGCCATATCATCTACGCTGCCGGAAAGCGTCAGTTACTCAATAACGACCCGCAAGAACACACCTTCTCTCACATCCAGGAACAGTGCTGGCCCTACTTTGAAAATGCAATGTCTGTCTATACGGAGTTACTTTTCGCTGAGGTATCGATCATGGGTGTCCAGGCGTTGATTGCAATGGCAAGTCTTGACCCTTGAGTTTCGCATTAATATTTCTAACAGCTTCTTCCCTGATAGGCAATGTTCGTAGAGGGACTAGGGAGTCCCTGTTTGGAATACATGCTTTGCACAGGCGCTTCACGCTTAGCCCAGTCTCAAGGACTCCACCGACAGCCCCCTAGAGATTGGAAGCTGTCTTCGTCACAGATTTCGCGGCGGAGCCTGCTTTTTTGGACAATTTATTCTTATGACAAGCATATTTCTCTCCGCGCTGGGAGGCCTTCGGTATGTGCTAATCCAGACTACAATTGAAAAAGGCATCAAGTTGATTTGTTTGTGTTGAAGGCTATAGATGACGACGACATAACATGCGCCCCGCCGAAATTCTCGGATCAGAACGGCATTGAAGGAGCGTGGGTATCAAAAGTGGTAGAACACGCGCGACTATCATCCGAGATCACAAAGTGGCTCGCCATATTTCGGAGTAAAAATATTCCACTGGATGATTCCATCCACAAGCTTCGCAAACTGAATGATCGTTTAGCGAGTTGGCGCGAATCCCTTCCAACTCCATTTCGCCCTGGGTCGGATCTGAAGAGAGCAGCGACTACGACGTCGAAGCTCCATATCAACCAGATCATTTACATCCACTGTGCACTTCATGGAAGCATAGTCGTGTTGAATTCACCATTTGCATTGCCGTGGCTTGCTGAGACGATGGCTGTCGGCAATGATGCTCTCTACGAGAGTCAGGTTCAGAAAAGCATACCCTTGGTCGTCGAGGCAGCGCGAGCTATCATCAAACTCACACATTTCATTGAAATTGACTGTTCTACTCCTGTGTGGTAAGACTTCCTTTTGCTTTTATTTTCTCTAATTTTGGTTGACTTCCTGGAGCATTGCGTTGTCTGTGAAGGGCTGTTTTCAAGTTTCCCGTCATTAACTCTGTATCCCTTCTGTGCCGACAGGTTATCATTCTATTACCCATTCATCGCGGTCGTGAATATATTCATATATATTCTCCGGTTTCCGACGCGGCCGACGGTTCAGACGGATCTGTCCCTGCTTGATGTTGTAATTGGCTACTTTGGCCGCATGGAACTGGCGACTGCAGCTTCTGTGTCGTTTCCTTTTGTGCGTGAACTTTCTCAGTGCGCTCAAGAGGCAGTAGCAAGGACCCGGACGTCGAAGACGCCATCTAATAGCCTAGTCGCCGTTTCTACCACTGTCACCAATTCTAAACCCCAAAATGAGTTTAGGGGAACATCACTCCAACCTCAAAGTGGACTGAGGGAAGCGAGGTTCGAGTTCGATCTCACATCGCCCAGAGATGATGCACAGGACCTTGGGCTCGATTTTCAAGGTGACTCCCAGATAGTCAACCAGTCTGGTGTCATGGAATTTGATATCGAAGATCCCCTTTTGGGGCTACTGGAGACAGATTTGAGTTGGGGCCTTCTTTCGGTCATCCCCAGAGCGGAGCACATGTCAGCAACTGGAGATGTGCAATAAGTAGTTGAGCTTCTGGGCCAATTGCTTCTGATTTATTTGGTTGTTTGTCTTTCAAATCCTCATATTTATGCACATCTAGGTTACTACCAACCCTGGCGCGTACTCCAACAAACACCTTGCAGAAACTATGGAAACCATACTTGGTATTTCCTTCACCTCAGAGCCTCCGCAAGACTCAAAATAGTCGATTCGCCAGCCTGCTCCTCACCAAAAGGTCGTCTCGTTGCTTGTTTCGTGCTGAATAAAAGAAGTTCTTTACTCAGTCTTCTTGTCAAGTGCTGCGCAAAGCCCGGCAATGGACGTGTTGATGAATCCATTCATGACCGGGGCGACAACCTTGAGGCCTTCATCATCGATAGACTCGGCCTCTGCCGTCCAGGTTAAGATGGTCTTTCCCGAGGCCTCTGGCTCCAGATGCAGGGTTCCATAAAAGCCAGTCATCGGAAAAGGCGTCGGGTCAATGATGTGGTAGCTAATAGTGTGAGAGGTCTGATCTAACACCTCGAGCTTCTCTTGGAAGCTGACGCCCGACTCCGATAGTGTTCGAACCGCTCCAAGGCCCTCTCCCTCCACCGTACATTCCGAGACAGTAGGTGCCCATGTTGCAACGCCCGAAAAGTCGGATATTATGAACCACACTTTGTCCACACCATGATTTAAGGTCTTGACCTCTTGATGAACGAGCCTTCGAGCCATGGTTGTAATTAGATTGGTGTTGAAATGGTAAATGGTTGAGAAGCAGTGATTGGAAGAAGGAGAAGGTCTGGAAGAGAACACAGTCTTCAAATATTTGAGAACATAACCCAAAGTATTAACGAGGTGAGAATTTTATTGGTGCTATGGCTTAGATCCGGTTCCGAGCTGCTCTCGGGCTCTAGAATCGGGTGCGGCAAACTACCGGGCCGAAACAAAGCCTGGCAATTACTACCGAAGGTCCCAGACCCGGCATAGGACTGTCAGGGGTCGTTCAATTTTAAATATCAGTAAACTCACTTTCATTCGCCTATCTACATCACTAAAGAGGCCATATGATTTATCTTAGGATGGCGTTTCTTTCTGCAATCTACCTGCTTTTCGGTGCTGTGATTAGCGCGGTGACGGTGGCCTACTTCCGTGGATATGGAATGAGGCCCAAAAGTTACCCTCCTGGTAAGCAGCCTGGAGGTGCATTTCTTCTGCGTCGGATACTTACTGCAAAAAGGTCCTCCAACCTTGCCAATCATCGGAAATTTGCATCAAATGCCAATGACGAACTTACATCTCAAACTTCAAGAGTGGACAAAGCAGTGTATGTTTTCATCTGCCTGATGTTTTCTCGATATTTGATACTAACAACCGCTGTCTTAGATGGACCCATTATCTCCCTTAAACTTGGGACCCAGGATATGGTCGTAGTTAGCTCGGACAAGATAGTACGCGATCTCATCGACAAACGGAGTGCGATATATTCTGGCCGCATGGATGTCTTCATCCGGGAGTTTGGTGACGACCTCAACATTCTCATGAGAGAGTATAACACCCAGCGTTTCCCGGAATCTGACATGAATAGTTATTAATGTTGATTATAGTAATGACGAGATTTGGCGACGGCAGCGAAAAATGTACCATCTTAGGCTGAACGTGAACGTTGCCAACAAATATGTCCCGTATCAGGTAATGCACACAGATAGCCACTTCACCACAGTTGCCACTTCCTTAACTAATATTGAAATTAGCAATTCGAGGTCACGCAGCTTCTTCACGACATCTTGCATTCACCTCTCGACTACGAACATCACACAAAACGGTTTACGACTAGTCTTGCCTCCACAATTATCTATGGCTGGAGAACAACATCGGTTGACAATCCTCATGTAAAGAGCATGTTTGAGGTGAGATCCCCAAACTCCAAAGTGCATTTAATTTCGGGTTTAACGTCATATAGTGGATTGAAGGCTATTCTGTTGCCGCTGGGCGACTTCAGTTGATGGATTGGTGGCCGGAGCTCCGAGGTTTCTTTCGAAATGCGCCCTTGTGGATCACTGGAATTAGCAAAGAAATGGAGCGACTGAAAAATCTCGAAGAAGATTTGTGGATGGACTTGCTCAACGAAGCCAAGAGCAGTATTGAGCATGGATCGCAGAGAGCAAGTAAGTTGCGACGTACCAAAGTAACCCCGAAATTAGTTGCGAAATTGCTAACATTCCTCAGGCTTCACCACTGATATGATCCTTAACAATGGAACCAAATCTGGCGACTTTTTAAGTGATAGACAAATGGCTGCTAACGCCGGCCATGCCTTTGCTGGGGCTACGTAAGCACCTACGATCTTTATGTCCCCAATACCAAGCCCGCGTCTAACATATTCCCAGAGATACCACTCTCAACACCACACTTGGGTTCATAAAGGTAGGCAAGGTGCTCCTTGTCTCCTTCTATCGTAGCTGACTAGAGTTTCAGGCCATGATGCTGCACCCCGAGATACAAGCCAAGGCTCAAGCAGAAATAGACGCGGTGGTAGGATCGAACCGCATGCCCGGGTGGAGTGATTGGGATAACCTGCCCTACATCCGTTGTACCATGAAGGAGACTCTGCGATGTTTGTCTTCCAAATCGCTAACGGTTTCTATATCGCCAGTTTAACTAAAATATAACAGGGATGCCATCTACAATCCTTGGAGGGATGCCACATCGACTATCGAAGACTGACCAGTACGATGGCTATACCATACCAGCCAATGCCGGGGTTATGATAAATGTAAACACCATCCAGACTATGAGTCAAGAGCTCCATGCGTTTATAATATTCACTAAGGCGGTTCTGACCATGAAACAATAGGTTTGGGGGATCAATAACGACGAAAACAGAGCAAAGAACCCGCGCGACTTCGACCCATCTCGTTACGAGGGCGACAATCTGGCAACAGGAGAGTCTGCAGCACTTGGAGATGCCTCAAAGCGAGATCATTTCACTTTCGGTTCTGGTAGGCGCATTTGCCCTGGCATGCACGTCGCCGAAAGGTCTGTCTTCGTTACCATCGCTCGGCTGCTATGGACTTTCAAAATCAGTCAGCCACTGGATACAAATGGACAACCTGCCCCAATAGGTCGAGATGCAGTCACTCCAGGCTTTATTGTCTCTCCAGTTTCTTTTCTGTGAGTCCCCTCTAATCTTCGGTTAGGCTTGTCGTGCTCAAGTCCTTTGCAGATGTAACTTTACAGCCCGAGATGAGAAAAGAGCTGCAATGCTAGACAATGAATGGGAAAATTGCCTCACTTATCTGGACAAGGATCAGAATTACACCGAGGAGTTCTACGAAAAGCATTTTAGCGAACATTTATGAAACGCATGATTGCCATCGTCACCCAACAAAGTAACACCCATGGCCGCAGCATGCCAATAATCTGACTGCAATTTATAGACTGTATTTAGGTTAAAGAGAGGTCGAGCGAGTTTTTGCAATTGGAAATCATACGGATTGCATGCTATAGCCGATTAGTTCAGTATGAATGCGAATAAGAAGCCTAGGAAATCGAAACCCCTATCATTCAACTAAATTTGGTCTATAACTAATCCCATTGAATCTTCATTTCATGGGATATCTTTGGCAACAAAAAAACCATAAGCTTAATCAGACATTCACTTAGTATACCCCGCCATGAGTTGTTAATTTAATATTTTGATCGTTGATACGTTGCTGCGTCAATTGAAACCAGGCAACGAGTTGCACATCCAAATATCCGAATCTTCAACAAATTGCGGAATTCTGTTGCACATTAATCTTCTAGCCAATTACGAAGTGTGAGAAAGATCAAGACATCGTTCTTCGGCCAAAATATTTAGACTCGGCAGCTGTATCGGCGAACTCGCAATTTCGGGCCGGGGCCAGCGATTCGCCCAAAAGCCTCGGCCCGGGAAACCAAGTCCACCCGGCCAGAGTGCGAGTGCTCAGGTCGCTTTTCATCATAGCGTGGTACTATCGGCTCTTGTTACCTTTGATCTATTCTAGGACTCAGATTTCTATGGTACTTCCGGCAGTAAACGCATAGAGTTAGTTTCGTAGAACCCCTGCTCTCACTCGGAACCCGCTTCGCCCATTGAAGCCGATGACCGCTGTGGTAAAGCATTTACTCGGAAGCCGGGGGGAGAAAAGCATTAAAGGATCATTTGTTTAGAATTCTCGGTGGAGTATATTTTCCATCCATCACCAAACACATAGAAACAAACTCAAGTATGTCGCAACCAGCTGACAAGAACGCTTTCGCCAATCGCACCGTCATTGTAACCGGGGCCGCCGGTAGCATCGGAGAGCCTTTATGTATTGCCCTTGCTAGAGCCGGGGCCAACGTGATTGCCAACGATCTTGGGTGCTCCCCCGATGGCAAAGGCTCCTCAGTGGCACCGGTCACGAAGCTGGTAGATCAGATAACCAGCGAGGGGCTTTCGGCAGTGGCAGATACTCACAATGTAGCCAATGAAGCACACAAAATCGTGGCAGATGCCATTGCTCGTTTCGGCCAGATCGATGCCATAATCAACAATGCGGGAATCATTCAGTATGGCCCTGTTGAGGACCAAAGCCTATCCGGCGTGAAGGAGATTTTCGAAGTCAACGCGTTAGGTGCTTACGCTCTCTGCCACTACGCCTGGCCACACATGAAGAAACAGAAATATGGACGTATTGTGAACTTCACCTCAGACTCAGTTTTCGGCATGCCCAACAGCTCCGCCTACGTGATGGCACGGGGAGCAATGCTCGGGGTAACTCGGACCCTCGCGGTTGAAGGCATCTCGCACGGCATCCTCGTGAACACAGTGGGACCGTCATCTTACTCGCGCATGGTCGCAGATGTGTCAAAGGACCTTCCTAAGGCACAATTGGAGTGGTTTAAGGCGACTTATACAGGAGAATCCAACGTGGCGGTCCTCATGGCTCTGGCGAGCGAGAAGAACAAGATTTCAGGCGAGATATGGACCTCTGGGGCCTACTCTATGGGGCGGACTATCCTGGGTACCGTGGAGGACGTTAGAAATGTCCGCACAGTTGACCAATGCATTGATGCAATGGCCGAGCTCAAGAAGACGGATAGGGAGTGGACAGAGCCACACAGCATCCAGGAGTTTCTTATGTTTAAAGGGAAAGGGGCGGGACCTTAAAGTTAGCAAACAATTCAACTTTGTCTACCAGAGGAGAAGTACGGTTAGACAACTCGTCAATTATTATCCAGTCACATAACATAAAATACGCCACTGAGGTGAGTCTGTCGCCATCCGCTTCTATGCATTGCCTTCTTGTAGTTTGATTCCATTGAGGATATTCAGGTTAGGCATGTTATGTAAAATTCGCAATGAAGTTCTACCGGGGTAATTGTCAGAGCAGTGCACGGAGTGAAGGGATCACTCGCCATCTTACATCAAGAGATAAAGTGCGAATAAAGGACAGAGTACTGGCAGAAGAAATGCGACCCCTAATTTGGCACTAACTAGAAACCTATCGAGGTGCAGTTGTTCGACAAAAGCCATTCAGAATGCACCCCATTCTACTTGATTCTCTACTTATTGTCGACCTTGTAAAACGACGCATTAGACTCATTCTCCTTCGCCATCATCTCCTCCACTGTCCATTCTTCATGCACATATCCCTCGGGGAGGTTAGTCGAAACAAATGGAGTCCCCTTGAGAATATGAGACGCTGCCTCTTCATATTTTTCCTCGGCATACTTTTCGGCGTCATGACCATAGAGCCAGCCTGGTTGGGGCATGCGCAAGAATTCCGGGTTTTTTTTGACAGCCTCCCAATCGGTCTGGTGCCATCTATGGCGGGTCTCCCATCCCATACGCTGGGTCAAGCTCGTACGGTTGTATCTATTGTTTTGTTAGTATACCTCTTAGTATGCGCTTGATAAAACTGTCCTACCTCAAAGCCTCATAAATCTTGAGGCTAGTTCGGATATTGTCCCGTCCGCCACGCGAAATTACAGTGGCGATAGTGGCAGCATCTTCGATGGCCTGGGCAGCGCCTGAGCCAGAGGTGGCCAGGTGAGGGTGAGCAGAGTCACCCGCCAGAGCAATGCGGCCCCCATCGCTAATCCATCTCTTGACAGGATCCCTCCACAGAAGCTTCCAGTCAATGAGAGCCTCTTGGGGGATTGCTTGAACAACAGCCTTCAATGTCTCATCCCAATCCTCGATCACCTTCAACATCTCGCTCTTTTCTCCAGGAAAGCTCCAAGACTCTTCCAGAGTGTAAGTATCCTGTGACCAGTTAGCCTCTGTGGCCAGGTTAGATGAAATATGGCATCGTACTTCGTGAGTGCAAAAGCAGACGGCACTTTTTAAGGAAGCATTAATGTTGAGAATTGCGTGGATATTCTCCCCAATCCACACTTGGAAATGATCGGAATCGGCATCCACAAACTTCTTAGTAAGAGGATTGGTCGCAAGGCGCTCCAAAGGGAACCAGGATCGGTAGACGGCAAAACCACTGCTCTTAGGACGTCCATCGCTTCCAGTAACATAGACTCTGCCTTTGCTATGAATTCCGTCACAGCAGATGACATAGTCAGCACTGTGACGGACACCATTCGCCACAATACCGGCAGAATCCTCATCTTCAAAGTAGTCGCCGACCCGCTGTCCTAGGTGGATCGGAATTCCAAGCTTCTTAGCATGCTCAACCATAAGCTGCTGAATTCTGCCGCGACTGGAAAAAATGTTAGGCGCGCCCTCGAAGGATTCCGGGAGAGGCTGATCAAGGATCTTGCGGCCATCCTGGGTGCACATGGTCATTCGCTCAGGTTGCCCGGATATCTTCACAGCCTGTTCGAGAACGTCATCCCACCGGCTCATGACTCTCGTACAGTTTGCGCTCATTAAAATCACATCGCCTAATAGTTTCGGTTAGTCAAATAAACATGGGTAGATATTGGAAGCATTATATCTGGAAACGAACCAGCGGTCGACAAATCCTGGACCCTCTCAAAAATCTCAACATTCACATTCTTCCTGGACAGCTCAATGGCAGTTGATAGCCCAGCAAATCCTCCACCAACGATGATGGTTTTAATATTCGTCTCTGTCATGTTGGGAATTTTCTTTTAAATGAATCGTGAGGTCAATTAGAACTGTACAGTGCTGCTCGCCAGCCAGGCAGAAGGTGTGAAGAGTATAGCTTCATTTAATATCCAAACAAACGACAACTCTGGACCCAGTTTGGAACTCCAACAACCTCAATATACGATTTCAAGTTCTGCCCGTGTCGCTCCGGCCCCGGCTTGCCGGTGAGGCTGAGAAAGCCGAAAAGCTACAACCGGCGACAAGCTTCGGGCCGAGGAATTTGGACAAGGCTCGGCGCCGAAGCACCGGCCCTCTGTATTCCAAGCTTCTAACATAGACATCATCAATTCCCTTCGGATCTGAAGTGCCTCTCGCACTCTCTTTTCCCAGTGCCCTTCGTTGTCAAGTGTATATTGACCGAGCTCTCCACCCGAACTGGGGTTCAAAAATCTGTCGTTGAGTTTGGTCCGGAGAGAAGGGACACCATCATCCACATCGGTGAGAGACTTGCGTTTGCGTGAAAACTGGGTGGACGGCGTGAGTAGGGCAGCGACAGGGGGAGTGGTTGGCTTTCCCGGGCGCAGGGGCATGCGGGTCTTGGTCTGAGAGGGCAGTAATGCAATCAACTCATGGTCGTCGTCGGCCAGTTCTGGAACGAACTCGTCATCGTCGGCGTCGGCGGGAGGAATGTTCTTTCGCAAGCGAGGGGGCCGAGCATTCAGAGGAGCAACTGCGTTGATCGTGGTTAGTGGTGGAAGGCTGACTTCCAAGGTAGCTTGGGAATGTACCACGCGGACGGCGAGTTGTGCGGGCGTTGAGCTGAGAGGGTGACAACGCAACCAACACATTGTCATCGTGTGCCAGTTCTGGGACGGGCTCATCATCATGGTCAATGGCGCGAGGCTGGCTCTTACGGGAGCGTTGAGCTCGACGTGGACGCTTGGGTGGTGGTGGCGGTACTGATGATGGAGGTGATGGTGGCGACGGTGGTGGTTTCGACTCGGTAATAAACGGGTTGCTATACTGGGAAGTGATCTTGCCGGAGGCTTTGGCAGCAGCAGCGCGTTGCGGTCGGGAGGAGGCTATTGATATATGGATTAGTTGCTATTTCCGTGGACGTTGTGTACGGTACTGCTTGTGTGGTTTATTGTATGTGGGAAACCTTCTATACATAGCTCCATACCACAAAATCCCACATACGTTCGGGAGGCGTATAGAACGTACCGTAAGAATCCATGACACACAACAAGAATCCGAAAGAGGAGGAGGAGGAGGAGGAGGAGGAGGAGGAGGAGGAGGAGGAGGAGGATGGGGTGACAGAAAACAAGCGATGATTCAGACGGACAAAGGCAACCGACCTCGGAGCCGTGCCCACAATTGAGAAAACTAACTGCACGAACAAAGCCCATACAGGAGTAACACGGCAGTTGTCGGTACAGGAAATCGCGTCCTCGAGGCGCAGTGTTCGGTTATGATAAAGGAGGGGAAATATGCCAGGTTTTGTGGGCAAAGTACCAGAGCTGGTAGTGATTTAAGTCTGGGATAAAACTGGCAGGAGCGTCTAGAATATAGCAGCTGGCCGACGGACATTCGCCTGAGGCTAGTAACTTTAAAGCTACAGACTTCTAATTAACTAAACTATTTAGTATCTATAGAAAGTTAGAATAAATTATATTTAAGCTTAATTATCCAATTTTAAATACTATTATTAATATCCAGGTAGTATATATAAATTACTTATAGTATATATATTATCTATACTTAGCTATCTGGAAATTTATAAATATTCTAGAGTAAGTTTACCTATAATATTTTCTAAGAATTTTCTAAGAATTTCTATCTTTTAAAAATAATATATTTCCTAAGAATTTCCCAATTAATATCTAAATAAATAATAACTCTAGTTTCAATTTAAAACTCTAATAGCCTTAATATATAATTTCAGGTTCTATTTATATTACTCCGGCTCCAGCTTATAGATAAGAGTAAGAAAATTAAAAAGCTATAACTAGTAATAAGCTTTAGGCTGAGGAATTTAAATAAGGCTTGGCGCTAAAGCACCGGCCCTTTATATTCCAAGCCTCTAATATAGATATTATTAATTCCCTTCGGATCTCTTATTACCCGTATACAGATTAGATATGTTGGGGTAGTATGAGGCTTCGGCGCTCCAGGGGACCGGGAAAGTGGGGTGTTACGGGCCGGCGCCGATACCGTGTGGAATTGGTCTATTTGTATGTCGAGTAACATTAATAGAACAACGGCATGTTGTGGCCTGGGATGGGTACAGTTCGGAAAGGAGAAGTTGAAGAGCCCAGCGTAGAATGAACACTCAAAGGAGGATTCGTAGAAGCCAGCTCATTCTCATTCAATTGTTGCATTGATACCTACCGTTTCCGGGCTCAGGTTACGTTAGTTGCGACAAGCTGTTGTGGCAGAAGCCGTATTCATCAGGGTTTCACGCCGGTCTTAGATTCCAGTCGTCCTTCTCTGTGTGTGTTTACTGACTCGACAGGGAAGTATCACGATTCCCGATCACCCGCGGAGTCAATTCGACTGGAGGATCGTACGTTTGGCCAAATAACACTCAAACTCTTCATGTAGCATGTGCGAAATTCGGTCGAGCGCAAGTTCTTTTTGAGAAAAGATCATCCACGATGATAATATTCGCTCTTGATGGTTACGGCAAAACATCACCATCCATTTGGATCGGTTGAGTGGATATCGTGTGGTTAAAGAGCCGAGCTGTTACAAGCTTCACGACCTGCCAGCGGAGGCTCCTAATAAACAGAGCACCCACAATACTTGGCACTACAGTACAACTCTGATTTAATGCCTTGCACAGCTGTTCTGCCTGCTGCACCAAAGCCGTGTATGATATGAGCTGGAATTCCTTTCTTTTTTACGCAACGGGTGCCTTGGCTTGTATGTCCAGTCACTGCTTACCCCCAGGCTGCTGGCTCCTGCCTAGCTCCCCTTGCGCTTCTGCCTCACCTGAGCCTCAGTGGAGCAGCCAACATCTACACATCTTGAAAAGCTGCCAGGCATTCTGTCTAATTATTTCTCTGTCGAGCACACAATCTGTCGATGCTTTTCAGGCTTGCTTCTCACAACTATCTCACTTGAACCAATTCCAGCCATGTCCGAACACCCCGCTTCAACACGAAAAATCAAGACACGCATCCTCATCATATCCGACACGCACGGATTCAAGCCCAAACCAAAGCTTGATTCCGATCCCACAACCGAAGATGAGCTCAGCCAGGGCGACATCAGATGGGCGCACACCGGATTTCGAGAACCGCTGCCCGAAGCAGACGTCGTTCTCCACTGCGGCGATCTGACCAAGCAATCCAAGGTCTCCGAGTTCAAAAACACATTCGATATGCTGCGCGCAATCCACGCGCCCCTCAAGCTGGTCATTGCGGGGAATCATGACTTGGCGCTCGATGAACCCTACTGGTATCGCGAGTGGTACGGCCCCAAGAAGACGGTAGACCAGGTCCAGGAGATTGTCAAGGCTGCGGAAGTCGATGGAGTGCGGTTCTTGATGGAGGGCGTCCACAATTTCGCTCTCGACAATGGAGCCCTGCTAAAGGTCTTCGCGAGCCCATACACGCCAATCTATGGGGGTTGGGCATTCCAGTACCAGAACTCGCACGACTTCGATATCCCCTCGGGCGTGGACGTCGCCATGACCCACGGTCCACCGCGTGGCATCCTCGACCTTGCAGGCATGCCAGGCTCGGGCACCAAGGCCGGCTGTCCCGACCTTCTCGAGGCCATTTACCGTGCCAAGCCCAAAATTCACTGCTTCGGCCACATCCACGAGGCATGGGGCTCACAACTGATACGGTGGAAGGATGGCGACGACGGCCCTACCCGGGTCCAGTCCGTCGTGAGTTCCGAGCATTCAAATCAGACGACCATGGCGGATATAATGCCGGATCCATTCACCCAGGATGAAGAGGCACTGAAGGCAAAGACGAAGGGCCTCATTGAGATGAGCCAGCAACGCGGGGCTTATATAGACCTTTCAGAAGGCCCGAATCGTCTCGCGGCGGGTGAGCAGACGTTGTTCGTGAATGCGGCCATCATGAACATACGATATCGGCCGGTCCAGCTGCCATGGCTGGTTGATGTGGAGTTGGAGAAGGTCGAAGCGACTTGCTAGGCCTAGACCCTAACAAAGAGGGTGGCAGATCGATAGTTAGATTTATACATAAATAGGGAAACATGGCTGCAGTCGGTATCACAGCATCTCCAGGCTTGTAATGGGATTCGATGGATGCTTGATATGTTCAAGCAAATGCATTTCTATCATTAATTTTGGCCATGTTATTAAGTCCTAGTTGACGAGACAAAATCCCCCGTCTCAATCAGCCTTCACAAGTATCGTATCCCGTGGCACGTTCTCATACAACACGTCATTAGTCCAGGATTCGCATCCAAGTCCAAGAAGTTCAAGTTCCCAACACATCTCTGTTTCCTCCTATCCCGTATATGGGTACAACCCTTAACTCTGTGCTTACAGAGCAAGGGCGGCGGCGAAGACGGCGAGCAGGGCGCCAACGGCAGGGCCAGCAATGGCGGCAGCGTTGGTCTGGCTGGGGGAAGCCGACCCGGTGGTGGAGGAGCCGCCAGATCCGGAGCCGGAGCTGGAGCCAGATCCGGTGGTCTCGGAGGAGCTACCGCTCTCAGTCTTGGTGGCCTCGCTGCTCTTGGTAGCGTTCTTGGTGGGAGTCAGCGCGGAGCTGGAGGTCAAGGCAGCGGCGGTGGTCTCCTTGGTAGTCTCCTTGGTCGTCGTGCCGGTCTCCGAAGCGGTCGAGCTAGCGGTAGCTACCGCAGTACCGCTGCCAGCAGTGGCAGAGTAGGCGACGCAGAGAGCACCGGCAGCGTCCAGGGCCTTGAGGAGGTCGCTGCTCGAGCAGGCCTTTTGCAGGCATGGACCGGCGGCCGCGGCGAGCTTGGATTGGGTCTCGGCGGAGCACAGGCAGCCGGAGTCGGTGGGATCGCAGTTCGTCTCCTTGATGCCGTCGGTGATGCATTTAACCTAGAGAGGACATGATCAGTTGTGTGCGTTGTAGAGGTTGACAGCGGAAGCCAGGTGTTTGCAGGTTGCTAGGGCGATGCTATGTTGGGGTAGCACTTACAGCACACTCGGGAACGCCGCTGAGGTTCTGGCCAGCAACGAGGCCAGCAGCAGCGAGGGCGAAGAAAGCGGCCTTCATTTTGAATGTGTGTACGGACTGGTCGACGAGTGGGAGACTGGTTAAACGATTGTAGCTGAGGCGCGAGTAGGCGTATGTATGGGAGTATGTACGTTCTGGTGGTGTGTTGGAGGGAGAACGCCCAACCAGCTAGGTCGGCCAGAGGCTTTTATATATGTCGGATGCCTGCGGGACTACTGCGTCTGGAAGCCGTCAATTCAGACAGCGGCAGGTCCTTGCTACCCCAGAAGCCATGGCATTCTGGACCCGACGAAGCGAGCAGCCGGCGGCAGAAGCCATCCCGGAAGAGCTCCTAAGCTCCCATGTCGGCTGGTCGGAGCTTGGAACATGGCGGCCCCTGTGCCCTGGACGGACCTGCTCCTTGGCGTCTCAGTGCAACGCCACTGAAAGCTACGCCCTGTCATGGTGCAAAGAGAGCAAATAGTACGGAGACGGGTTGGGGTAGCGTGGTTGATTGAGTTGGTGGTGGTGGTGTGGGTTCACTTGACTTGTATGTGGTACATGCTGCTAATAACGAGCCATGGCTCACGTTTCGCCTAACTTGACTCGCTCGCTGAACGCGGCCGTGCCATTCTCGTCATGTTGGGCCTGGACTAGGGCTAGTTTACGATTATTACGAAGCCCGTGCCGATTTCCGTTGAGGCTTTTGAGCTGAATTGACTTTGACTGGCTTTATTAGCTGGCTGGCTGGCCGGGCTGGTGGCCGACGCGCTGGCGGTGCCCCGACAACGGCAAAGCAACGACGCGCTGGGATGAAGCATCCCCAGGGATCAATCAAGCCTTACGACGTGGCAAGGTTTTTATTCGGGGCCTTTTGGTGACAAGCTCATCTCACGTTCCAGGAACGGGATAGGCCATCATGTACCGTACTCTACTGGGCTGTAAGGCGTCGCCAGAGAGAGAGCAGGCAGGGAATGCGGGTTGGATTGGCTGGGGGGAATGCCCTGGTCGGTGATCATGGGGCAAAGGTGCAGAGACCACTCGCAGCAGCAGCAGGGGACCCGATGTTGGTAGAACACGCCACGGACCGAGAGACCTGGCGATAAATCACAGTGAATAGCGGTCGACAACTGCGGCGGTATGAAATTACAAGACTTGAATCATGTCTTTTCTCGGAGAGAGGGAAAGAAAGACAAACTCAGACAACCCTCCATCCTCATCTCGCTAGGAATCTAGGATGATGGCTTGAACGGACCAGCTTTCAGTAGCCCGAGGCTTATTTGCGTCGACTAGCTACAGAGCTGGGCGACGGAAGGGGGATACCCATAAATCCACGATGTATAATTGGTGCAGTGATCAGTCAGAAGGTGAGGGGAATTGTGGCCGTACCGGTTGAATCCAGATGAAATTGAGCCATGGATGGGATGCCTGCTTACTTACAGCTCATCCTATCACCACCACCACGCCCAAGGCAAAAACTGGGTAAAAGCAGGGCCGTTTTAGGTTCGCTGGCTGTGGTACCGGTACATGTCCCGTTGATACATATGGACCCTGGGCAGAACCAGACATTTGCTGGGCCGAACTGGTGTTGCTAATTTGGGAATCTGGTGATGGTTCCAAGTCATTGCGAGAGAGAGAGAGAGAGAGAGAGAGAGAGAGAGAGAGAAAGAGAGAGAGACCTGTCTCTGGTTCGGCTCGGCCCCTTGTACATCCCAGAGCTGGACATTCGCACCGACTTCCCGTCTCATGATGACAACCCTGGGATTCGTAAGCCTTGGTGCATACTCCGTAGTGAAAAGTGAAATGTCACCTTTTTGGGTTCCCCGGCCACGAGAGCACTACCGATCAGTATCACGGACACGCATACATGCATGCATGTCTCTGCAGCCCTTCTAATACGAGCGCGAGCGGCAGCCGTGCAGGACGGGATTGGATCAATGCACATAGCAGCAGGCACCGCCAAAAGAAGCAGTCGTCAGTCATCAGCCGTACTGGGACAAAATCAATGTCCCACGATTCCTTCCAGCAAAACACGCCGCCGCCTCCATGCTTCTGCCATCATCTGCCGGTGTTTTGGCCGTTTGCCCAGTCTTAGCCCGCGGTTCTCTCGGCTCATTGTCTCAGACACACCCCATGTTATAGTTCACTCGCGTTTCCTTACAATTTCCTACGCCGATCGTTTCGTTTGTTGGCGGGCGCATTCAGGTCAGTGCAGCTGCGGGATACCGGTACGTAAAATCATCAATTAAGCTCTTGCAAGGTTGAGAGAAGGACAGGGGTGGAGGGGAGGGGATGGCCTGTGTCGGTATCACGACCCGAACTGCTTAAAGCAATGAAACGGACTTGCGGGACGGGATTGAACTGGACTGGGTTCCAACTGCCGTGCGATGTACGCTGCAGCGATGATGGCCTGTTCATAGGTTAACTGGCATCCGAGGTGTTCACTTCGGTAAGACAAGTAAGTGGCAGTGCATCAAAGACAGTAGGTCCATGCGGAATTCTCAAAGCGTTCTGGAGAGAGAGTCCTTTGTATTTCTTCGTCGGCTGAACAGAAAGGCGTGTTACCTTCTAAGCCACGCAGGGGAGGATGACGCGTCAATGGACAGACGTGTCATCCAATCCATATTCTTCCACACAGCTGAACCCTTCGGGTTGGTTAAGTGCATCCGATCAGCAAGATATAGTTCGAGTACCAGTGTCTAGGACAAGATGTTCGGTCCTTCGTCCGTTTTCCATGTCCCAAGTCTCGGTCCCATATCCTATCCTGACTCTCCTTTGTCGGGTTTCCTTTTTTTAACGACCCCGATATATCCCATGTCGAGGTTCAGTATACGAGACGATCAACCAAACAATGAGACCGGGGGTCAATGTAATTCATTCATCAGAAGCGCATGCAGCGTAATTAGACATTAGGGTAATCTATACGTCTATGAATCCTCATCCCAGCGGGGTCTGCTCATGATTATCGGCCTCGCTGGATCCCATGGTCCTCGTATCTCATTCTTGTACTTTTGCAGCCCAATGAGCCACCAACTGCACCCTCCCGTGGCCAGCACGGCGATCAATACTCCCACGACCATACCCACGAAGCCACTCTTCCATGGCCATCCACCTGTTCCCTTGGTGTCGCCCAGGATCAAACCGACACCGAGACCGGCCCCCAGCACCAGCAAGACGGATAACAGCACATGGAATTTCCAGCTGCGGTGCCGGACGTAGCGCCGAAAGACTGGGAACAGACCAAAAACCTCAATGCTGAAGAGGGTCAGACTAAAGACATGCTTCGTAGAGGGCAACCGGCTGGCTAGCACGGTCGAAGCCATGAGCGCAGCATTGGTCGATAGAGAAGCAGGAAACTTGGCACCCACGCCTCCTGAGTAGTCAAAGAAGAAGATGTTCATGGCAAGCAGCCAGAAGGACATGGCCCAGATACTGTCCTTGGAGGTGGACAGCGTCAGAGACTTGAGTATGGGGCTGAGTCCGAGAAGGGTGCAGTAGATGAGTAGCGCTGACTTGATGGTTTCCAACCTCTGGTGGGAGCGATTCTCTTCCACTGGAAAAGGAGGCGGAAGTTCGGGGAGGTGTTCTTGGCTCGTTCGGGGCGTATGCGAGAGGCCGCTGCCATTGTGCGAAGCCAGAGAGGTCGTCGACCCAGATTGAGGCCGCCGAACCGCGAGATGCAGGTTGGTCGTCGAACTTGCAGCTGAAGGGACAGTCGATGGCGCAGAGTCAACCCGCAATGGAGGACGCCTAATACTGCCAGCACGACCTGGTCGCCTCATGCTGCCTGATCTCCCCGTCACAGTGCCACCCACGCCTCCTAGCTCGTCGCGGTCGTCGGCCTCGGATAGCCAGCGCTCCCATAGAATCCAGCCCACGAATGTGGCACCACTGCTCCAGCTGGTGACTGAGACGGGTGACACGCGCAACTGAAAGATGCCGACGAAGCAAACGATGAAGATGATGACGGAGCAGACATGTTGCAGGATAACCGTCGAGTCGGCAACGAGGGGCCAGAAATCGTATGGCTTTAGTCGGGGGTTGAGTTGGAGGTTTTCGAGAAAAGTTGCTTGGTCGGTGTAGTTGTCAGGGTCTATAAGCATCCCACAAGCGTCAGTCACTTGAGCCAAGATAGGAGTGGGAGGTTATGGGCAAGACGCACACGACTGCTTCACCCACATCAGCTTCTTCCACGGACGCTTCCGCCTGCGACTCCTGCTGCGCTCGCTCCGAAGGGGACGCGGGGGCGAGACGAAGGCATCGTCGGGCGAGAGGTGGGAGCGGCCGAAGGCGTGGAGAGATGCGGAGCCATTGAGCGAGGGGAACGAGGTCTCGTCGTCGGTGGGGGAGGGCATGCTCAAGCCTTTGGCCTTGGAGGCCTACGACAGGCCGTTCGCGGCGGCGGTGAGATGCGGCGATCGGGCGGGAGAGGTCGGGGGGCGACGAGACAAGCGTCGAGCTGGTTGATGCAGTCTGCAGAGACACAGGCCGACTCGGGATGATGCTGCGTGGATGGTTTGTCAAGCTGCAGTGGGTGGGTCACCGAAGATTTAGTGGGCAGCCTGTGGCGATTGCCACAGGGCAAAGCAGCGCCTGTGAGGGGCGGCGGATCGCACTAGCTACCTGTAGGCCGCCTAGGCGCGTCTGCTCAGGCGCGTTCCGCCCATTAACAGCCCCGTCGTAGAGTCTCCCAGCTCGCAGCGCAGCGTCCAGGCGCTATACTCGACTCGTGTGAGGATTGCGCGGGTCAGGATGGCTACATCTATTAGTCAACGGGCGGGAAGAATAGTCGTCCTGTATCCCCCGCGCACGCATGAACCAGCAGCATGTTGCCGTCTCCCGTTGGCTCCCGAACGCCATGCAGTAGGGGTGGCTGCATGACTGTGCGGGAAGGGATGGGAAGGGATGGAAACCTGTTTTCTGGCTGTATTCTCTCGCCTCTAGACGGGGCAGACGACTGGTGAAAAGATAACAAGGGCGCAGGCGGCTTAAGTTACAGCGTGGAATCCTGGTTGGGCGTCTTCCAGCTGGGTGACGGCTAAGTTAACCCGCTACTTCCCTCTCTCAACGCAGTCTTCGGCCGCTCTCAACCCTAATCCCAACCCTAACCTCAATCCTTGCCTCAGCCATAACCTCAACCATCCTCAACCTCAAATGTCACCGGCCGAGCACTCGAGCCAAGCTTCATGGCTCGATCCCCCACGATCCACTACTACGCATGTGCTACCGGCGCTCCCTGCGCTTCCTGCGCTCCCCTTGACTGATCACTCCGCTGCTCACCCTGGCAGGCACGCCGGCCCGGTCTCCATCCTCGTGGCTCATGGGTTCGCCTCGGGTTCGCCTCAGGGCTCTGGAAGCCTTGCCTTAAACGTATATCATCACATCCCGCGCCAATGACCTGGGCTCTGCAAACCATGCATCCCAGATGACGACAGGAACATTTCACATTCTCAGCTAGCCAGTCAGCCAACCAACCAGCCAACCAGCCAACCAACCAGTCAGACATCAATACCGCCATACAGCCACACAGCCAACCAGCCCGCCATACCATAGCAGCTGAGCTTCGGGGGTCTGTGCCCTCGAAAGCACCATTCAATGGCTTCCAGTGCAGCTTGGTCTCGTGGCTAGCCTGCGCCTACCGATGGTTATCTGAGACGGTGACAGACAGACGCAGAAGGAGACATACGGTGACACCGAGGACACATCAGCCTGGAACCAGTCATCACGCCCGTGGGAACTTTTGTGATTAACCCCTTTGTTTGACCAGTCCGCCTTGGCAATGGTTGGCAATGAAAGGGCCACCGCCATCACCATCACCTGCCTCCTCTTATCCGAGGCCCAGAGCATCGAGGAATGCAGTCTTGTCAACCTGTCACACTGATACCACCACACCCCTGCCCAGAGCTGTGCAGCCTCCTTGACCTTGCAGCCAATCGACCTTGTTTCCCCCGGATCCTAACAGCTCGAGATTTGAAATACCTGGTCCCGGGACCGGCAATGACCACGGGAGACGAGGGTGCTGGGTCGGCAAGGCCTTGTAGTTCTGAGCCCGCCTCCGCAATCCCAGCCGTCGGCCATGGAGGCGGCGATCTTGTTGCGGTCCCGGACTTCCCGCACGTTGACCGCGTCTTCTCAGCCTGGCCCGATCTCGAAAAATTCCAAGGCTGTCAAATCCCAGATCTGCCTGCCAATCACACGCCTCTCGGACAGGGAGTTCGTCCTTGAACTACTTGGATGGTCCCGGAACCGGTCAGGCGGCACCAATCGCATACCCTCCCGCCTCAACCTCACGAGATCCACTCGCGGGGCTACCCGCATCCCTTGAAGCCCTTCCGCCTCACTTCGACGTGAGACAGGCACCCCAACCCGTCCCACAGAGAGGTCTTGTGAGCACTACATTGCCACCGACCGAGCACAGGGGCCCCAAGCCTCGCACATACCAAGGGAAGGGAGGGACCAGCGGTGTCCAATTGACCCGTCGTCCCGTCTCCTTGGTTCGGTATCACCGTCGAAATGGCTGACGACGGATCATGATATCAACATCGGTAGGAACAAGCCAGACATGATGGTGAGGAATTCCGGACAGGAACCCCTTCCCGCGTGAGGAATCCCCCAGTCGCCATTCCCCCATTCCCCCATTCCCCAGCACTCGTGGACCCCGGCTCTCCAGCGCCACCCGGTCTGCTTGCGTCAAGTACTCCGTGCCAACCTCCGCCCTGATACTGGCTTTCTCCGTCCTGGCAGCACGTCGCCTCCTGCTCCCACCGAGCTTGCTCCTCTGGGGCGCCAGGCGCGTATCCCCATGCAGCCACCGTCTAGGATAGCCTGCCAACATTTTTATCACATCAGACCATTGTCTGAGACGAGGTCTTTTGCAATCCCGCACCGGTGAGCGTCCAGCGGAGACAGAGTTTCACATCGCGGCGAACTCGGCTCTTAATTGACTGGATACCGTCACGAGGGCAAGATACGTCACGTTCACAGTGAGACCTGATAGCCTCTCCAAATCCCGGTGTTTGTTGGAAGGGACGGGTCGTGGCGTCAGCCGGCGTTGCTTTTTACACAAGCTAAGAGGCGCGAAATACCCGATACCTACGTGTGATCGTCCAGTGGACGTCTTGCACCATCTGCGCCTCACCCTGGTCTCATCACCAGTCTCTCCCTTGGAGAGCATCCTGATTGGTTGTCTGACCGAGGGAACAAGTCCGGCCATGCATGATGCCGCTATCGAACCGCTAGAAGCGGTGTCGGTGAGCCATCCCGGTTTTGGGTGGCTGTGGCACAGTATCAACATCACCGTCCCACGATGGCTTCAAGGGGATCATTATTTTCCCCGCCCCGGGAATGCCGCAAACGGCCGTCCCCCCAACATGTACGACACCATTTCCGTCCTTGTCAAAACCCCTGCTCGATAATTTGCTGGCCGAGGTGTGATTAAAACCGCTGCCCGGGACTTTTTGCTCAATAACAAACGTCTCGAGTATCTCTCGTTACCTCCACCGTCTGACATCTGTACTCCATCCTCGAAGCATGATTCCTATACACCCTACCCTCCCATGTGGCACCGAGGGCCCGGAAGATGACAGGTCCTCTTCAATGGCCAGCTTCGGCTCCCTCCCCACGGAATTACGCCTCAAGATATGGTCCCGCGCCGTCGAACCCCGGGTCGTCTTGTTCGGTGACCTGGTCCAGAACCACCGGTCCTACCCCTTGCCTAGCGTCACTCAACTCAATATAGAGGCCCGAACAGAGACCCGGCAAGGGTATGAGCCCATCGGCTTTGGCTCATACTTCGACTTTGACAGAGACATCCTCGTCTGCGACCACAAGATTTCGGACCAAGCCCCAGATCCATTCCTCGAGGGCCTAGCACCCCGGATAAAGAGACTGGCATACTGGGACTGCTTCCCTGACGACGGACGGGTAGATGGGCCCTATCATTATTCGGTTTACCTTTCCGCATGTTATCGACAACGGGATTTTGGCAAGATCGAATTCGACCGGTTTTGGTTTCCCAACCTGGAAGATTTATGGATTGTCAAGGTCGGAGAAATTGACCCAGCATGGATGATTCACGTCGACATGGCTGCTCCATACGAAGCGCGGTTGAAGCAGCTCGCGAAGCAATTCAGGTATTGGGTCGACGAGAACATCATCGAGATGTCCACCCTGGACCTGGACGACCCCGAAGCCAGGGGAGTTTTGAACGAGGGCCGTTGTGGGAAGATGGATTGTCACGAGCTCAACAAGGAACGCAGCAAAATGGTTTCCAAGGTCACTTTTATCGATGGAAAGTACGAGGCGCCCACGGACGGCAAAGAGTGGGTGCGAATACTTCCGTGGCACGTCGACGAGGAGAAGGTTAAGGGTAACCGCACATGCGAGAACAGAATGCGATGGGTGCTGGTGGAAAGGATCCTAACATTCGACCTACAGTGGGAGGGATGGAGCGAGTCTGGATGGGAGATCAGACGCCATGGAAGGGGAACAAAGTGAACCGACAGTGCGAAGTGGACGGCGGTTGGTCGTGCTGAACGTCAACAGGACACCCGAGACTTTCGAAGGGAGACACCTCGCTTAGGAAAAGCTACTATTTGGTTGCTTTGGCTCTATCCAAGACCACACCTTGCCCTGAATACATTGCGAAAAATCAGGGCACTGGTGATTGGTTATTTGCGACAACCTTATGCGAAACCGGGCCGCGAGGATATTTGGGTCTCACGGAGAACCTTCTGGGTTGACCACTTAACCAAAGCCTATATAAATTGGATTGGCTTCGAGGTCGAAGTGAGAACACCGAACTCATAGAGCCGAGAATTTGCCATCTATAAAGGTGTGGACTCTAGAGCCGAGACGCAGGTTTGCCCTCTTCCGGCTATTGAGATTTATACGAACCAAGGGATAGACCTTCTGGAACGAATGGCTCGGGTTCGGACAGAACCGGGCTTGTACCCCTGATGGGCGTGACCCTTTTTACTAAGAGTTAAGGAATTAGGAATTAATGGGAATGAGTTATACGACAGAGATGGCACTGGTCTTGTTGACATGATGCTGACCAACTCGTAGTAGCATTTCCAGACTCACCTCTTATTTGCATCAGGACTGAGAACTGAGGGATGCGCCGGTATGGGCTAGTGTTCATGATTACTCAGACCCAGCTCTGCTGCCTGGTGTTTACAACATTCTTGAACAAACATATTGACGGAACGCGCTCGGGACGTTTTGACTTCTTCCTCGCTTGTTCTTCTTTTTAAAGTGTATTCTGTACTCCCGAAGGTGTTCTAGTTATCACCCGAACACTCGATGGATCGAGGGACTTATCCCTGGAGCCGATTTCCTGGAACTCACTTCTTCCTCTAACGACCATCAACTTACATCTGCAACTCAGAACAACACAAGCAAGGCTAGTCGGCATAACCAAACCCACTCCTGGGGCTGGAGGCTCGCGCTCCCCGATGCAGGAAGACAACCCCCAACCCGAAATGGATTACCAGTACGACAATCCAGGCCCTTCCCAGACACAGGACGACAACCTCCCGTCCGAGATGGATTACCAGTACGACAATCCAGGCCCATCTCCGATACAGGAAGACAACCTCCCGTCCGAAATGGATTACCAGCACGACAAATCAGGCCCATCGCCCGACGCAGGCTCGTCCGGGTTCAGATTTAGAGACCTGCCTTATGACATCCGCCATCAGATTTGGCTCGAAGCTATGCCACCAACGACTATACAGCTCATGTGCGATGGAGGCAATAAGCAGCCTCTCAGAGGCGATGCCCGCGACATTAGCCATGTCAACCGTGAAGCTCGGGCTATAGCCCTAGCCACTCACCCTCTCTGGCTCCGGGACTCGCTGCTCAGCTGGGTTCGGATGGATCCTGTTCACGACACCCTTCTCACCTCCTTCCTCAGGCTCCCCCCTTTCCCGCATCGTCGATCGCCGCTTCGAAAAGTGGTTTCTACTTTCAAATGGCCGCATCTCTACAACTTCCACTGGGAGCGCTTTCGCATGAGGAGTAAAATAGGGTGGTTCCAGCTCTATAATCACCCCTACCTCCATGAGTACACGATGCTGTGCGAGAAAGCATACCCAATTCTCTGGATCCCCGGGTGCCAAATGCACGATCCCCAGCCAATCAGTGCGCCGTACCCGGCCCGATTGGCGATCGGATAGGATCCGGCCGCCCTCGGTGAGGCTGAACAGCACTTCCAGGAAAACGGGATCCCAGGAGATACGGGAGTCAAGTGGCCGACGAACGGTCCCGGTGACATGAACCGGTATGCGAACAGGCTCGCCATTATACGGAGAGACCAATTCGCAGCTGAGTTCGCCAGAGAGCATGGACACTCGCCTTCTCATATGCTGGACTGGTTCATATATCGCATCGGCCTCATGGGCTATTCGAAGAATGCAACCTCGGTCGGAGGTCATTGGGCCGGATTCCGCTTCTTTGTGGACACCAAGCGAGTCGAGTTTACTCCGCTGGCATATCACGACGTGAAGGATCACCTCGAGATGGGCGTGGATAGCCAAGGCGTGCTACCAGAGGTGGCGGTTCGCGTGTGGGTGATCCGGCCAGGCCAGAAGTCGACGGCGCCCGACGAGTCGTATCATGGATGGGAGCGAGTCAAGGAGTACTCGGCAGGAGAGGGCAGGAGAACGCAGAAGATCCGGGCGCTGTGGCAGCTGACGCGGGTCACGTTCAACTATAACCAACAGTTCGCACGAACCCTGAAACGCCGCGGGGATTAGTAGCGGCGGGGATGTCAGATAGATTGGCTGTTAAGAGCCTGTGAAGGAAGATAGTGTTTTGGGGATCTAACCACCGAGCTAGGAGAAACTTGTATCTTTTTGAGACGATCATAGATAGCATGAATAACAAATTCCCTTTTTTTTCTTCTTCTTCTTCTTCCTTTCTTCTTCTTCTGAAGGCAATGGCTCTTCTCGCGATGTGAACAACCTGGTGTGTGTCTGCAATAAGCGATAGGCCGGTTGAAGACAAAGCCGAGTGTTCACAGCTTGACCGAACGTGCCGCAATAGGTCTTATAATTTCTCTTGGCGGATCACAGGATTTCTTGTCCCTTGCTCCTTGTCCCTTGTTCCTTGTTCCCGAAACTCAAGTTGACACTTATCTCCGCAAAGGGCGCAATAGGGCGTAATCGTGTACAACTTGTGTGGGCCCTTGTCCCACTGCTGCCACTAACTTGATCGCGTCAACGATCCATCGTCTCGTTCAAGCGGCCGGTGCGGGGGGAGAAACGGATCCGACAAATTGACGCTTTAATTCGAGAGTTCCCCTCTCTCTTTTTTCAGGTATAAGACTTCATCTTCTTGTCGTTTGCCATGTTCCTGGTAGGGCGTGGAATCAAGACATCTACAACTATTGCTGGGAGCCGTAGATGCGCAGCTAGTTTTACGTCGGCCCGTCTCCGCCACCAACTTCATCGAGCTGGCGTACCCGCTGCGTTTAATCGACGTCAACTCTTGTCAACTCACGCACCAACAACGCAACTCCAGAATCAAGGAGGAGAAGCCATCTCGCAGACAAATCAACAGCCTCGCAACTCAACAATGGCTTTCAAGGGCGACGTGCTCCTCGTCTACCTGCCCAGCCAGGCGCCGCCGCAGTTCCTCGAGGGCGTGCGCGTCAAGTTCCCGCATCTCCAAGTCCGATGGGTTGAGACGCCCGTTGAGAACGGCCAGCTTCTGCCGCCAAATCTCACAGCCGAGCAATGGGTCGGCGTCACCATGATGTGCATCTACCACGTGCCCAAGCCAGAAGATATCCCCAATGTGTGGTTCTTCCAGACCGCTTCGGCTGGCACCGACGCCTGGGTGAAGCATCCCAAGTATCTGGATCCCGACGTCATCTTTAGCAACGCCAGCGGCTGTCAACCGTATGTGTTATATTATACGTCTCGGAAACTACAATTGGCCACTCATTAACTTGCGATTAGACCTCAGATCGCCGAGTGGGTAATCGGCACTTGGTTGTCTCACGAACACCACTTCCAGGTCTACGCCGAGCAGCAAAAGCAAGAACTCTGGCGACCACGGCTCGAGATGGAAGTAAACGTCTCTACCGGCCGCAGAATGTAAGCTCCCATATACATGTCACCTCTCATCCATTATCTCACAATCTCTCACTCAGGGGCATCCTGGGCTACGGCGGCATCGGAAGACAATGTGCCCGTCTCGGCCAGGCTCTCGGCATGGAAGTCTACGCCTACACTCGCCGCGAGCGGTCCACGCCCGAATCCCGGCGTGACGACACCTACTGCGTGCCCGGCACCGGCGACCCGGACGGCTTGATCCCGGCCAAGTGGTTCTCGGGCGCCTCGCGGGACGCCATCAACGACTTCCTCGGCCAGGACCTAGATCTCCTCGTCGTGTCTCTACCGCTCAACGACGACACCCGCGGGCTCTTCGGCCCCGAGCAGTTCCAGATCCTCAGCCGCAACCGCAACAAGACGTTCCTGTCCAACATTGCCCGCGGCGCCATCGTCGACAATGAAGCCCTCGTCCACGCGCTGGAGTCGGGCCTCATCCGCGGCGCCGCCGTCGACGTCACGGACCCGGAGCCGCTTCCCAAGGGCCACCCGCTGTGGAAGGCTCCCAACATCTTCATCACGCCGCATATTGCCTGGCAGTCGGCCAAGTACTGGGATAACCTCTCGGACCTGCTGCTCAAGAACCTCGAGAAGCTGGCTGCTGGACAAACTGTACTCAATCCGGATAAACATTGATTGTAGATCGCTCGTCTATCTTGTCATTCCATTACCTCCATCAAGCCAGCCAAAACTGTCATCTTCAAGCCTTGCCGTACAGTCCATGTCTGTTCGATCCATGGGCCTCAATCGTTCTGTTTAGGTCCACGACGGCTGCCTTGCAACGGTCTACTATATCTCGAAGATCTAGCTCGTGGTAGTTGAGCCGTGTTTGAAGCCGGGTGATTTCTTCCTGCCAAATTTCGAGCAGCGTGATTTTCTCTTCAAGTCGCGAGCGACGTTGCCTATTGAGTTTGGTATTCTCAAGCAGGTACTCCACCTCGAGGGCAACGTCGGCTTCTTTGGTTCTCTCATACAACCTTCCACTTGATTAGTTTAAACATTCCTCAAAACCGGAGCACTGAAACGTACTGGCAAGACAGGGTTGTGATTTCTCGCATCAGTTTCTCGATATCCGTATCATGCGCTTCATCCTCGTCCTTGGGTATCCTGGTTTTCCAGAACTTGGTGTACAATTTCCACGCTACATCTGCCACGGTCGCCAAACCCCCGAGAGCGCCCAAAGCCAGTATGATCGGCTGGTACCATCCACTTATCGGGACAGAAATACCCAGGTTGGCATCGTAAGACCGCATCTCCATCAACAGGGTTCGGATAATTCGGAGGATGCCAGGACGGAGGGTTTGTAGAAATGAACAATTGAAGGAGGGCCGATGTTGAGGAAGAAAGGTGGAATTTTCAAGGTGACGAGGCGCTGATGTGTCCCCCAAGGTAGGACGACCGCGGTGGCAACCACAACAGACCGCAAGACACCCGGTGGTGCTGGTGATTCTGTGATTCACGCTGCGGCTCTGGCTTATTTATTTGCTATTGAGTGAGTCACCTGTTGTTTGTCGCCGGACATGAGAGTTGGCGCTCCCTTCCTATTGGCATTCCGGCTTAGACACAGGTGAACAGGTGAACAGGTGAACAGTCGAACGTGTGAACAGTCGAACGTGTGACGAACTGCAAGCCCTATCCCAAATAGGAGATTCATGTATTCAAAAAGGTGTCCTTGTCCCATACCCAACAACCTATGCACCAGACACTTGTTGTATCAAAACACACCGTCACTAAGATTACAGCATAGATTGTCGCCAAATCAAAATCGACTCCTTTCGGGCTTTCGCAAACTTGAAGCCCGCGACCAGTCTCCTGCCGACTTCTTCAGTCGACTCCCCAAGCTGATGCTGGCAGCTGATAGCCCTTGCATCCTGCTTGGCACGTTTGGTTCGACTCTCTCCCAACCGCCACTCACTTTTGACTCATCGTCACTACCCAGGGCTGGTCCGGGCAACAGTGGAAGGTGTCTGTGACCCTTCAACATGGCTCCCTGGAGAGCAGCCCATGATTCAACCTGGCCGTCCGCTGCCTCTTCAACACAGTTACACTCGTCACCTGCAGGGCATTGGGTTTCTCCAGCCGCGTGCCACTCTGCAAGGCACGCCTCATGACTAGCGCATCCGCATGCCAAACAAGGAGGGAACAGGGCATCGACTGGCTCGAGACAGTAAACGCACCGAAGCTGGCTCTGCAGGCGGTGACAGCGGTCGCACGTTCCCACAGCTCCGCCAGCAGTCGAGTTTGTAGATGTATAACGCAGCGGCTCGAGCTGTGTTTCGTGGATCCGGCAGACTCCTGTGACATCGATGCCACGACCTGAAGCCAAGAGGGCCTGGAGCTGATCCCGTTTTCCCATCGCAATGGGGGAGGAGCTTGGGTGATGGCCAGACACGTTACCACTCGCCCCGTCGTGGAGCGTCGTGGAGCTGCCATCCATGTGCCCGACAGTTGTGTCCTCCTTAAGAACGTTGAACTTCATAATCTCCAATCGAGCTAGAGGCTGGTTCCACATCTGTAGCATCTCGGCATACGCGTACCGATAGTTCGCATAGATGTCGGCTCTACTTGGCTCAAGGAGGGGCGTGTTCAGCCACCCATCATCGTCAAAGATGGTTTGATCTTCCATCGTAACCGAAACATTTATCGGAACCAAAGGCAAAAATTCGTCCCTACGGTATTCGTCGTCAGACAGGGACGTTCTGCCACCGCTGGAATCCATCGCCGTCGAGACACTCCACCCCACATTTCCCATGCTCGGTGCAAGACTACTCAGTATAGTCTCAGCAGGGCTTGGTTTCTTCCTCCCCTGACCCGGCGGCGATGATGAGCTCCCTGTAGTAAAGGACCGAGGGAGGTTTGCTGCAAACGCCGATGCTAAGCCTGAATTTGCCCGGACAAAGCGTGTATTGGGTGAGGTGGACACGCTGGGAGGTGGCTCAAGCTCTCCGAGATAGCCCTTGAACTTGTTTGGCGGCGTCTCTCCGCAAGAATACGAATTGGACGCCGGGTCTCCGTTCCATAGCCCTTCATCAGAAGCTTGAGATCCTGCATAGTGTGGCGTATGCATAGTCATAGGGGTCGTAGTAGCGGAATTAGTGTAGCTTCGGCTGTAAATGTTCCAGACTGAGGTGTCTGTCGGGAAGTAATCGAGGGAAAACGACGGCGCCTTAAACGGGAGCGGTGTGTCTGGCTGTGTTAGGTGAGATTCGAAGTAGGCAACACTATCCTCAGCAGAAGAGTCGCCGAATATGCACGAGAGCATAGCCAGCATCTGAATGTCGGCAATTTTCTCAAAGTAGTCAAACAAATCCACAATGAATCCCTTGGCGAGAGGGTGTCCGCCCCATTTGACTCTGCCTGAGAGGCCGCCACCTGTTTCAACAACATCAGACAGAGAGCTATCTCCACTGCACTTGGTTACCACATCGTGGGCTATGATCAGGATAGACTCGCGCCTCTGGTTGTGCGCAAGAAACTCGAGCGGGATTCCCCTCTTGAGCAAAAGACCCAAGTAGCGCCAGACATGAACGAGGTCCTTGGCACCATATTTTTCGGCAACCTTGGCGTTGTGTTCACAAACCTCAGCACCGTCACCAAAGATGGCATACTCTTGGCCAAACTCCTCCTTGGACGGGAGGAGGGCCCGCAGATCATGGATCGATATCAGGTTTCTCGGCCGTCCAGGTCGACGACGGCTGGTACCCGTGCCCGTACCTGTGCCGGCTCCGGTTCCCCCACCACTTGATCGAATAGAACGATCCTCGCTCCACGTTTTTCTGAATTGGCGACTGGGATGGTACCAGAGGCTGATCTTGTGCATCGATGTTGACTCTGAGTCGCTTGAAGAGGAAGATGACGAGCGAGAGCCGTCCGAATTGGACTCACCATCCGACCCTGAACCGTCATCGCCCACCATAAACCTTTGCCTGGGGCCAAGTTCATGGGCAATCCTGCCAAAGCCTGCGAAGAAAGGTTCTCCCTTGGGACGTTCCCTATATGCATCCAAGGTTGTCGAGAACAAAGCTCTCGCCTTTTCTTCTTTCGTAGGGAAGAAACAGATGAGCCTGCCATTGTGAGAAAATCGAGCACCGCATGTCCTAGGTGGCGGTGGTATGATGGTTCGGTTGGGGGGCGCGAGGGCGGTCTCTGTGTCGTTGTGTGGTATGAGTTCTTGGGACATCGAAGCCGAGCCACCTGCTGGGATGTCCTCGTCCGATTCACTTGAACTTTCATCTGCCATGGCATCGATTTCGTCATCGAGATCCCGAACATTTTTGAAGAAGGTTGTACTGGTTTCAAGATCGACCTCTCCCAATAGGTACGTAAAGGCAACCTCTAGACAGTTTTGCTTCCTCTGCACAAATTGATCAGCGAGTTGGTGGATTTCTCGCTCGATTTTCTTGTGCACCCTTGTCGGCATGAAAGATGTCTTTTCAATGAGGAATTTCGGCGCCTTGCCCTTTGGGTAACTGGAGGGAACGTCGATTCTGACCTTGATAAAGATGGTCTCCCCTTTGGCGCCCCACGGACCATTGAGAGAAGCATTCAATGTTAAACTATCCATATCAATGTTCTCCCACTTGACTTTGGGAAGCTGGGTGCTGATGCGCAGAAGCTCTTCTTGGATGGTGTCAGGCTCGCCCCATTCATCATCGAGGTATGCGTGGCCAAAAATTCCGGTATCTTTAGGTGGGTGTCGCTTCGATGCATCTGCCGATGACTTCCTCTTTGTCATGGTGATGCCCTTCATCCAACCAATTTGCGACTGGTTTCGATCGGTGGCTCCCCCCATGCCAACCTTCGCCTTCATCGATGGGCCTCGCCAAGCGACACCCATACGATGGCTGGAGTTTGCGGCTGAGCGCATCCCAATGGTGAGGGCGCTCTGTTTATAATTGCTGCTCGGGGCGCCTGGGCGGTGGTCACTCATTGTCGCAGCTTTCCGTTCACGGTTGGAGTTGTCATCCACGGTACGGAAGGTCTTGTACGTAGCACCCTTGCGAGTCAGAGGCATCGTGTTCGTCACATGCTGGCCTCGAGTATGGCCAACAGCAGAGAGAACATGAGCATCGGCGCCCTGCAGCCTCAGTTCGTTGTCTGCGCCCCAGGATACAAGTTGGAATTCGCGTTCATCGATCCCGGCGTCTGTGATGCCGCCGCGACTTCTCCATAGAAACTCCTTGGCCTTGTGGTCTCCATGGCCAGGGAAGACAACGACCGGATCAGTCGAGGCACTAATGCACGATCCATTGGGTCTCCTCACGTCGTACAGATAAAGATCACCTGGTTCATTCTGGGGCATAGCAAGAAGGCCCTCTCCAAAGGGAGTGTGTCGCGCTCTCCACACTGGGAATCCAGTGTGGATGACATGTTCCGGTTGGTCGCCGTCATCACTGTAATCCCAAAACTTGATGGTTTTATCAATAGAACATGAGGCAATCACGGTTGACCGGGTACGATTCCAGTCCAAGCCATAGATCTTGGAGTCGTGGGCTTTAATGGTTTTAAGAGGCTCCGATGTCCGCCGCTCATCCCAGATATGCAGGAACTGGTCATGAGCGGAGGCAAGGATGTGAGAGGCTTGACGGTTATACTTAACTTGAGAAGCTCCGGAGGACCAATCACAGAAGGTTAAAACAGGCTGGCGAGGTCTTCGAAGATCCCACGAATGAACATAGCCATCCACAGAGCAGGTAGCCAAGAAGTCGGGATGGTGGGCGGACCAGTTGACGTCGGTTATGGCTCTGCTGTGGCCTTGCAAGGAATGTTCAATGGCACCGGCACTAGACTCTTCTCTCGAGTTCAAGTTCCAAACGAGAGCGCGATGGTTGGCTGTCGACACGATCCAATAGTCTCGAGCAGCAAAAGGGGACCACTGTACATCGACAACGAGCCAGGGCATGCCATGACTTCGCAGCCGCCGAGGTGTACTGTACGGAGAGTCCAAGTCGATGATGGCAAGCCCATCGGGTCTGTGGCAGGTCAGTAAGAGAGAGGGCTCAGATGCGGAGACCTGGTTGTGTAACTGACGAGGCTAAGGCGACATCTCGCCCAGAGGGGGCGATTGTGGCTGAGCCGACAATGCCATCAACATGGATGGTGCCATCAGCATCAAAGCTCTCACTGTCTAAAGCCGACTTGAGGGTCTTGAGCCTCCTGGGCAGTTCGGAGAGGTTGTCATAGGAGGGCATGGTGACGGCGACAAGGAGCTGTCGCGACGCTCGCCAATCGTCATGTCGAAGCTCATGCGATGGCGGATGAGATTTTTCAGGGGCTAGAGCGGAGGGCACGCGGCCATGGGAGGACTCGGAGCTAACTCGTCATCTCAGAGCAGCTTGCAGGCAGTTCCGACAGTGCAGCGACAATCGGCCGTGCAGTACTCGGTACGAATAGTAAAGATGCTGGTGGCTGTGCTTGAATGGATCATGGATGAAGTCGCGATGTGAGAGCTCGAGCTAAAGCTGCAATCTCCCATCCGGGTGCCAGGGTTGTCAGCCGATACGCCTGGCTGACGTCGAGGTACCGCCCCTGCGATGGCTGCAGAGTACACCCCCTGCCAATTTGGGTGGGCGGTACCTCCCCCGCCATCATGGCCACGGAACCTGCCGCGGCCTTATCGGGCGCATACCGTGACGAGGCGAAACATGGAAATTCCGCCTCTGCCACCATCCCACCGCCCAACTTCTTCCCTTTCGTCTCTCCGTCTCTTCGTCTCTTCGTCTCTCTGCATCTTGACTTGACTCTTTCTTGCCTCGCTTGACTTTGTACCAGCCCGTACAAACTGCGTCCATCGCTCCCGCTCGCCGTCCGCCGCAAACACAACAAACAGCCAGCTGCACTCTGCCCCTCTGCGGCGTGCCCTTGTCTAGATTGCCCCGCCTTGTTGTAGGAGAGCAGCCTTCTCCAGCTTCAACTCGACGCTCTGTAAACTACGAGCCCTCGCATCTTGTCGCATAGACTACAGCTTCGCCATTTCCGCTGCCATCCGTCGATCATACCCAGCTCCCTGTTTGCCGTCAAAATGGCTCTGCCAAAGCGCATCATAAAGGAGACGGAGCGGCTCATGGCCGAGCCGTAAGTCATCTTCAAGAGCCTCGCACCCAAGATACTCCTCTGACAGGCTTCGTTCCGCAGTGTTCCCGGAATCAGCGCCATCCCCCACGAGGAGAACCTGCGCTACTTCGACGTCGAGATCCATGGCCCCGCCCAGTCGCCATACGAGGGTTCGTAGCCACACCTCGAGTGCCCTTTGTCGGCTCGTGACTGATCTTCCTAGGCGGTGTCTTCAAGCTCGAGCTATTCCTCCCCGACGACTACCCCATGACTCCTCCCAAGATCCGTTTCCTCACCAAGATCTTCCATCCCAACGTCGACAAGCTGGGCCGCATCTGCCTCGATGTCCTGAAGAGTGGGTTACACAACGATGACTCAGTGTTGGAATGCGAGATGCTGATGAACAATACTAGACAACTGGTCACCCGCTCTCCAGATCCGAACCATCCTCCTCTCCATCCAGGCCCTCCTCGGTGCCCCGAACCCCGACGACCCTCTCGCTGCCGACGTTGCCAAGAGCTGGAAGGAGGACGAACAAGCTGCGATTGCGACTGCCAGGGAATGGACCGCCAAGTATGCTAAGCAATAAAGAAATGAAGAATCCGCAATAAGAAACCAAGTCCAACGAACTCGGGGCAATGAGACACGAGCATCACCGCGGGAGTTGAGGACCGATTTTGTTTCCGCATGAGTAGATAGTATTCGTCCCTGAAGGACTTGCAGGCTATCCCAGGTGTTCTTTCTTAGATTCGGGGGCTTTATTGAAGGGGAAGTCTGTTGATTACCAAGATTAGTCCGTTTCTCCTTTCAGTCCATCGGTTTGGTCCCAGTCACCACCTGGTCCCCGTCACCACCAGTTTCTGCGACGGTCTCCAAACATGATTGCTCTGGTTTCAAACATCAGATAGACCCGCCCAGTGGCACCAAGCACCGATTTGCTTCTTGCTTGAGTATGCATACACGTTGTTTATACAGCACACAACACAACTATTTGCGACACGTTGCCTACCTTGCCGTCGCTACACTTGCATGGTCGAATTGATCAATCCGCTATCCGTCTGTGATGAGGATACAATGTGACAATACATTTGTCCGTGACCTGTTCAAATTGCAATCAGCTATCCGTCTGTGATGAGGAAACAATGTGGCCGTCTGTGACGAGGAAACGAGATGACAAAACATTTGTCCGTGACATTGTATCACCCTAAAGCGAGGCAAATCCTAAGGAACGATGACTCTTGAAGCTGTGATTCACCTTCGAGGCCGTAACTATATTAAGCCTCTCTCGTCGCCCGTCTTCCTCCTTTACTTCCTTCTTTGTTGCCACCGCACTTGGATTGTCAACAAGTGTTCGTCCTTATACTCTGATCGCTATAAAGCTTCCTCGCAAGCACTGCCACTGGGGAAATCGTCGTTTTTCGACTCCTATCTCCTCCTACCTGTCCCTGTGCGACAACTTTACGGAATCCCCTACGCGGTAACTTCCTTCTTTCCCTTCCAGTCTAAGGGACTCATCAACCTTCAAAATGCCTCTCTCTCAGACTGAAACTGAGCTTGGCTATTGGGATAATCTTTCAAATGCCAATCCTGCCCTCTACAAGGCTCTCGAGGGCTGGGCTGACGTCGACTCCCGGGTCGGCTTGGTCTTGAGGGCCGTCCAGGAATCTGCCCCTAGTTCGGAGGATCCAGTTCATCTGACTTTTAAGATGGGTATTGATAATGGCTGGGGCGAAGATCAAGCTCGCCTTGTTGTTGCTGCGCCTGGCGGTGAGGTTTGTACTCGTTCCCTTCTCTGGTCAATTCCAACTCCAGACTTGTTTGGGCTTGGCTTGGTCAAATATAGTCCTAACTGTATCCAGGGTTATATCGCCGTTCACATCCCATCTCACGTCTTTTCTGAGCAGAACCTCAGTCAAGAGAAGATCAACCAGTTCTGTCTCAACATCAGAGACGTCATTTGCCGCATCTCTCATCACAAATGGAACGCTCTGAACCACCATGAACAAGTCGAAGTTCTTTCCGCCGCCAACGAACCAATTAAGAGCGGTCGGTCCCAGTACTCGCCCAAGTCCATCAAGCGCATTGAGCACACGGAGATGTTCCATGAGGCCATGGGCATCCAAGTCCCCAAGGCAGCGACACCTCCTCGATCTCGCCTCAGCCAGAGCACGGTCGATCCTCTCAAGAATCAGGTCTCCCAAAAGGACCTTATGACCTTTGAGGGTAAACTCGATAAACTCATCATAGAGTTCAATGCTCTCGTCTCTTCGGTAGCCAAGAGCAAGGGTCCTGGGGCAGACAGTCGTTCCGCTCCCTCGACTCGCCTTGACACCTTTGAGAGAGACCGCCCTTCTGCTCGAGAAACACCACCAACTGCCAATGTGAAGCCAACGAAGCCCCTCGAGCAGGAGTACGATTGCTGGGGCAATGTGGTCAAGAACCCATATCTTCCAACCACAATCGCCGGCGCTTATGCCGCTTGGAGTCAGAGAGATGGGGACCCTTTCTCGGGCAGCCAGGTTCGTTCCAAGATCGCGAAGTGGTGGGAGAAGGGAGAGGGTAACCCCATGTCCGGCAGCATGATGCCCGGCAAGTGGGTTGAAACTCCTGTGAGGAAGTTCGAAGATCCAGAGACACCCGTACCGAAGGGGAAGGGGTCTGGATCCAAGGGCAGACAGGATCAATCCAAGCTCCCCGACGTTGGCCCATTTGATTGGGATCGATGCGACTACTCTGACGACGATGTTTCTGCTGTCACCCCAGAGCCTCGACTTCGTTCTCGTAGGGGTGCTGCCAAGGCACCACCTGCAAAGCCATCTGGGAAGAGACAGTTCGGTGTTTGGAGAGGACCTGCTTCCACGGAGGACGGTGTTGATCATGTATGCCGGGGACATTCTCATGGCCCAGTCGTTCCGGGTGCCTACGAATGGTAAATCCAGAGCTCAACTAGGAGATAGAGATCAGCTTGGACGGTGTATGCGGGTAGTCAGGTCGACTCTTCAGAGTCTCACATATCTGGAATGGTGCATCTACGACAGCAGGCGAACACAATCAGCGAGGTAGCTAGATCAATCAAAGAAACTTTGGTGTTTCCTATCTTTCAGTTTCACCTTTGCAATACCCATTTCAGCCCATCAACCATCTTCTTCTCCGCTTCCAGCGACTGGGCCAACTGAGGAGCCTTCAACCAAAACGTGTGTGGCCAACCCTTTTCTAATTCCACTTTGACCTCCACCCCTGCCTCCCTCAAGGCCATCCCGTAGCAAAGCCCATCCGAGTATATCGTGTCGTTGGTTGCCATCTGAATCCAAGTTCGCGGGAGGTCCTGTAATTCTTCCTGCGTGGCCTCCAGGGGAAGCCTCTCGAGGCCGTCCCTCGGGATGTCTCTCTGCAAGTATCCGATCAAGAAAGAAACGAAGGATGGCGATACACTAGTGTGATACGGCCTCAGTCTCTCTGGGATGTATTCCATGCCACTCGGTCCATCGGCCGTGACGGGGCATCGGAGTAAAACGCCATGGAGTGTGCCCTTCGGTGCGACTTGTGACACCGCGGCTGCCATTTGCCCGCCGCTCGAGCTTCCCACGACAATGTTCTGCGCTGTCGCACTCCGGAGTGCATTGAAGCCATCCAAAGAATCAGATAGGCATGTGCTCGCCGGCCATGAGGGCATGAGCCGATATCCAATAGAGTAAAGGCGAACTCGGCCCACGTCCGACTTGACAAGGTGACGACACGAAAATTCCTCGCTATCCGCCTCGCCCACATGTAGCCCGCCGCCATGATAGTATATGATAACCACATCCGGCTCCTGACTTTCATGGTCGGACAGATCCAGCTGGAGAACAGGAATCGCGAACCCATCAACCGAAGACGGTATCGTAAACTCCTTCCTCACCACGCCTTGGGACAGCTCGTAATCACGAGCTCCGGCAGCCATCATCTTGGCGTGAGAATCACGGCATTCCTGTGCGTAAATCGGCTGTCTTTCGAGAACCGAGTTGAACACTCGGGGTGGCCCACGACGCTTCAACTCCTCCTCACACTCCAACCAGGCGGGGTCCAACGGAGGTGCCGTTTCGAAGGCAAGAGCCTTGAGGTCAGGGTCAGGGAACACCATGGGGGAAAATTTCGAGGTATCGTTTCAAAGGTACTGGAACCCTTTTTGACTTCAAATTCAAGACAACTAGAGTTTATAAGTGAGGTGACAATTATCCGGGATCATGCGGAAATTGAACTTCAGCCTGAAGACAACTAACTCCACACGTGATCACCCTCTCACCTCCGTCGGGAGATCGGTGAATGAATGGAACGAACCCGGCTTAGCTCTAGTGATCGGAGTATTCGTCATATCGTATCGACTCGATAAGTTGGCCATGTTTTTATGGACTAAAGCTATGCTTTATGAGGCTAGGATTTCCTAAATCATCAGGTATAAGAAAGCCCGAAAGTAATAAGTGAGGGAAGGATTTTTTTTTCAAATTGATTCGAGGGTTCTCACAAATGGCCCTTTGGGCTGGACCGTATTTGATTACCTGGATCCGAAACCTTTCAATATGTAGAGGGGGCTTGGCCGTGTTGGGAATGTAGGGTAGTTGAGTCGTCAAAATCTCAATCAATCTTCATGAATCAACTAATGCTATGCTAGCTTACCATATTACATATGAGCCTACTGGAGAATATATTGTTTCGAATACAGATCATGGCAAAAGCACTATGGATACCGACACGGAGGAAAGGAGGCGACGGAACCCCCGATGATCGCGTTCGGGGATATCGACAAGCTCGGCCGAGCGGATGAATCTCCAATGATAGTTGCAGCCCTCAAACCATGCAATCGTCGCCCAAAGGCCCCAGGGAATAGTGTCGATCATGTCGAATATTTCGAGGAGTTCGTCGTCGTCGTAAGGCGGATGTTCCGCTGCCCCGAGCTCTGCTACGGCCCTGAAACGTGTCGAAATGGCCAAACACGATGATCAGGTAGACAGCCAAATTCGGCCTTCGATGAATCGAGACCAGGTATCGCAGAACTGCGTTGGAAAAAAACACAAGACTATTGATAAGAAGGCACTCTGGTCGCAAAATTGGGGCCAATTGCCACTAGTAAGAGGCAATCTGCAACATTCCATGCGTTCGGCATTTATCTCCCTGCTTCTCTCTCCTTGCAAGACCACATAATTCGAACACGCTCGGCATCTCGTATGCACCAGGCAGCATTAAGCACATAGGGAAAGTCGTAGATGATGATTGGGTATGAGGAAAACCTGGGTTATGCCTCGGGTTCTCGTATCTACAATGCTAGAGTACACAGAGCGAAGCCGGTAAAGGGAAGTCGCCAATCGATTAGAGCATAGCCAGGTCGCCGAACTTCTCCTACAGTGTGTGTTAGGATCGGCATCATTGGCGGGAGTCGTGCAACGTACCTTGTAACCCGGCACCATCCATCGGCCCTTGGACACGAGCTGAGCGGTCTTCTCGTCGATCGACTTCTCGGCAGCGGCAACCTCGTCCTAAATAGAGTGAGAATCGCGTTAAATAATTGGCGCATGGTAGGACGTACGACAGTGAGGTCCTCGAAGGGTCGGGCGGTCTCAATGTTCTGCAGGGTAGCGGCAAGGTCCTTGAGCTCCAGGTCGACGGCCTGCTTGGTGGCCTCGGCGTTCTTGACGGCCTCGGCCTCGAAGGCATCGATGGCCTTCAGCTGGCGGGAGACATCGTAGGTGACGGGCTTGAAGGCAGTGAATCGCTTCTCGATCTCCTCGATGACGGCCTGGTTCTTGAGGACGGATCGGTAGGCGGAGAAGTCGACGGTGGTGGGCTGCTCGGAAAGGGCCTGGAGCTTGCGGCGGGCGTCCTCGTTGCGCTTCTTGAAGGCCTGGAGGGAGGCAACGGTCTGGCCACGGAGGCCCAGCGAGCTGGTGACCTTGGTCCAGTCGAGCTTGAGAGCTGCGCTTCGCTGTTGGGAGGGAGAAAATTAGCTCATGGCTTCGGGAGTCGTGCGGTTGCGCGTCTGGCGCCGGAGCAGCGATTGAGAGAATCTGCCATCAATGCCACGCGCCAATTGACGAATTGAACTTACAGTCGCCATTGTGAAGAAGGATTGCGGTATGGAGGGAGCGGAGAGGTTGATCTTGATGGACGTTGAATGATTTTGCCGAAGTTCGCCAGGGAAACAACCGGGCGCTAGATGGTCACGTGACAGTGCTGGGATCCGGTTAACGGCGCCCTCGGAACCCCTCAATGTGGTAATTGAAGCAGAGGATGGTAGCGGGGGAGCTGAATGGAAACAACGCAATCGTAAACATACAGAATAATTGCGGATACGTTTTCATTAGATGTGCAGAGTAGCTGGGAGATATTTATGCCCTTTACTGGGATATTGATGTTCACGTCAAGACACGGGATTCAGCGTGATTGAAGGTGGGGGACCAAGGTTTACGGACAGAGGGAGTTATTTCCCATCAATTGATTCCATTAATTGGCATCAACTCCTTTTTGAGGACCAGCTACGGTTCGCTGGGGACTAATACAGAGCCCAGAATGTGTTCCATGCACAATCTCATGTAGAAGGCCGCATCAAGCCCTTTGTTCATGCCTAGATACTCAAAGCCATGATGGAGTTGACGATGTCGTTATCGTTCTCCTTCAGAGCTTTGACGGCCTTATTGCGGCTGACGTTGGCTTGGGTCATGACCAGCTCAATATCCTTGTCCTCCAGACCCTCGGCATCGACCTCCTCATCATCATCGTCGTCCTCGTCCTCATCATCGTCATCGTCATCGTCCTTCTTGGCCTCGCCGGACTCGACGGCCTTGCTGGGCTCGCCGTGATTGTGGCCAGAGTGGTCCTCGGCACCGGAGGCGGCGAGCTGGGCAGCGGCGGCTTGTTGAGCGGCAGCGTTGACGTCCTCGATCTTGGCCTCACCGAACACACTGTACAACGTCAGACAGGGAGGCGAGGTGCTAGGGTCGGCGCTACTCACATGTAGGTGTTGCTGTTGGGGGACTTGTAAACCTCGGGGTTGTTGATGACGAAGAGGATCTGCAAATCGCGGCTCAGCATCGTCCCCTCTCTCAGAACCACGGCCGCAGCCGCGGGGTCTCTTCACTCACGTTCTTGGGGCGGCGGAGAGTGACACGGGTGATGCCAGGGACACGGGTGAGGTGCAGCTTCTCGAGGGCCTTGCGAGCCTTCTTCTCGTTGCGGTTATGGATCACGGCAGTAGAGCCGGCAGGGAGGTTGCCCTCGACCTCCTCGGCCTCGGAATCGTCGCTGCTGTCATCCTCGTGGTCATGGACGACAACCTTCTTAGGCTCCTCGTCGGGAAGCTCCTCAACTCTGGGGTTCGACATTTTTGCTGCTGGTGTGGGCGCAAATGTCAGTGACTGGGCCAGTTTCGTCGGGATGGTTTTGTGGCCGAAATGCTTCCCCACCACCAAAAATGAACACGGGATTGCTGGAGGGTCAAAATGACAGCTGCGTACTCACATTTTTGTTGGTCCCACGTACTCTGTTTGCTGCCGGGTATCAATCGTCGTCGTCGTCGTTGTGTGATTCTTAACCGCACAGCGAAATTCTAGGGCTTGGTGGGATGGAAACTAAACTCCATTAGGTAATCAAGATTTCTGGACATCCGGAGTCTGGGGGATCAACGACGCAACTCATATGCAGGGCGCCGGGGATTGGATAGAGCAAGTTCATAGCTTCGGCGGGTATTTGTTTGTATTTTGGCTACACTTCACAACGATCCATAGTTTTTTGATGCTCCTCATGCTTTGAATTCAACCTGATCTCAGGAAACCCGTATTGACCCCGTCCATCTGGGCGATGAAATGTGACATACAGCCTTCCAGAACTGGAGCAAAAGAGAATCCAGCAGCTTCTATGCCGCCGTGACGCATTTCCTTGTCCTGTTCCATGCCTCTCGATCTATTCCCGGCCTGCAAAGCACCTCCTTGACTCCAACGTTAAGAACCCATTTATGCGGAGGCCTTGATCTTGGCAAGAGCCTTGCGCTCCTCGAATCGTCGCTGCTTCTTGAGTCGGAGAACCTTGAAGCGGTCGAAGTCGGTAAGACCCTTCCTTCGCTCAATCTGGTCGCGCTTCTTGGCCCAGTTGGTCTCCTCCCACTTGGCGTCGATCTCGGACTCCTCCCAGAGCTTTCGGACGGCACCGGTTCGGGAGCCACGGTTCAGGCCCTCGACGGAGAGAGAGGACAGGAGAACCTTGCTGAGGGGAACGGATTGGCGGGGGACGGCGAGCTTGGGGTTCGAGGAAGGACCGTCAACGAGAACCTGATATCGAGTCAACATACTACGCCCACCAAACTGGAAAGAATGCTGGAACGTACTCGCTTGTGGTCGATGATCTCGACAATCGTGGCCAGGCGGCCGGAGAATGGGTGGTCGCCGTTGATAACGACGACACGGCCAACCTCAACGAGGCGCCAGTTGGAACCCTCAATAACTGCGTCGCCCATTGTGACGGTGATCTAACAGGATCTGGTCAGTCGCGAGATCTAGAGTCGTGTGCAATGATTGTTCAAATGCAACTGCGTTCGAGAGATTCGGGGGTTCATACCAAGTGTCGATATGCTGTCCGGTTAGTTGATGTTACTGGAGCCTACACCTTGCAAACGCCAGAGACTTTTTTGATGGCTCGGCTATCAGCGTGTGCGGACAGAAAATCATCCCGTGCCCTAACTAAAATTCGCGGAACTACATTTTGCCGACTTCCGAGTTCTCGGCGTCGCTAGCTCTGCACGGACCACTCATGCCGGCTGGAGCTTCAAAAGAAAATTCTAGAGCCATCTTCACTTTGAACTGCCACAATCTCTTGCTTAACTGCAAAAGCTTTTCCAGCCGCTCTCTGCGATTCCGACTACATCAAGGTAAGCCATCACTTTTCTTCACAGTTTGCGAGCACAATGATGAGGTAATTTGCGATTGATTCCACTGGATGGTCCTCTTTCGCCGGAGTGGCTATATCCGGTGGTTACCTGATATTCAATTTCTTACATATTCTGAGCTCCCTTCTTTTATCATGATGTCTTCTAGTTCTGCGCATGCGACACAGTTAGCTGACATTGATTGATAGTGATGTTGGAAAGAATTGCTACATCCTTCCGACACGTGGGCTTGGCTCCTTTCGCGTCGCATCGATGGTGCAACACATCGCGATCGGGCGTCGGGAGACCAGACACGCGCAGGGTGGGATCAGTCGCTGGTGAAGGCTGTGTATATATATTCGGGAGCCTGTTGCTCTCCCTATTTAATTCAATACGATTCCATGCTCATTCAACCACTGTGTCCCGTCTGACTCGACAACGTGATGTTCATTGAAATTTGACGCGCGCACGCCCATGCCTCCCGTGCCCACTAATTGCTTGTCCAGAGCTGATTCCTGAGTCTTGGAGCATCGGGCCACCGCATGGACGGGATTAATACGACCAGCCACCTCGGCGGCTTTTCGACCCTTGCATCCAAGCTGTGGCTAGTACAGGGTAGGACCGCTACCATGTCTTCAAGTCGAGTTGAGCTTGTTGAACTGTACGTTATGAAAAGAAAGATAAGTAATTACTTTAAACAACAAATATGCCGGTTTTCTGGTCATCAGTCGGAGATGTTGGCTCGTTATGGTTCTTATAAACAATATTGTTCCGTCCGTTCAACTGTTCTTGACCACGTTGTCGATTCCAATTGCACGCCGCAAACCATGGCCACACGAAAACAAACCGTTGAGTCCTTGGCGGGGCATGGCAACACAACCACCGGGGCCAACCCGTAAGCTGCATCGATTGAGACACCGCTACAAGTTTGCAAAGAGGGGCCGTCTCTGATTGATCAATGGGTTGTGAATCAGGCCAGGCGGCCCTGCAGCTGCTGCACATCAAGCGGCAAGTGTTTGGCAGGACCTGACGCGGCCTTCACCGTTTCCATGCACATGAAGTGAGGGACCAGCGTTGGACAATGCCTGACAACCGGGATGAACACTCCATAATTAGTAGTGGACTCACGCCCGAGTGTTGTTCTCGGATTCGGGTTCTTATCCCCTTTGTCCCAGCATTACGCATCAAAGAATAGCGCGATGGGGAGTGGCCAGCAAACAAGTCATTACCGTGGCGGTTGGTCGAGGCTCGCCCAATTCAAGGGTCCGTTCTCCGTATTTGCCGTAAAGACGGGCTTATTACAGGGGGACGTTCCGCAGCCAGTGCTGGAGGCATGCGTTGCACCTCTGGCTCGGGACCCTTGTTTGGAGCCCCGGTAGGCTGGGATATCACCGCCAGTGGGGCGTTTGCGACTTTAGCGGTTGTCCAGGCTTCCGCATTTAGATTTGGTGGAGGAAGCCGACAATCTCTGCCAATGTCTTGAATAATAGGGGGGCCTAGTTAGTTGGTACAAGAAACTGTGAAAGTACTCTCGTCAACGCAGGTTCTGGTTCCTTTTTCTGGTTCCTTCACCTCATCCTGCAGCCACCCTCGTCATGGAAAGCCACCTCGTATTCGACGCGGGACTCACACCGGCAGACCGCGTCGTCCTGGATTGTCTTGCCGACGACGTGAGAGCGTACACCAAGTCTCAAGAGGCCAGCGGAACCAGCACCGGCACGGATACTGCTGGAAATGAGAACGGCTCCGTCAACCTGTCAAATGCCGGCGGCACAGCTACGCTGCTGAGCCGAGCGCGCCCTCAGCTGCACGACGACACCGATAGTGTGGATGCTCTCAAAGCCAAGAACGATCCCGACCACGCCGATTTTGAGCCCACCGTCTTCTGTTCCTATGACTTGAGCTCACTGAAGCTCCCGTTGCCCATTGAGAAATATGTCTTCCAGCCCTATGTGTCATGGGCTCGCAAGGCTGTTCGTCATGAGACAGACGTGGTGATGCTCACGCACCTCATCCTCTATGCCACCACCTCAATCCCCAGCATCCTGTACCTCTTCTACAACTTCACATACGTCCACGCCATTTTCCATGTTGTGATGCAGTTCTACTACATGGGCACTTACACGTTGATGATGCATCAGCACATTCACATGAGAGGCATCCTGCACAAGAGGTTTTCTCTCATCGACAAAGTGTTCCCATTCATCCTCGATCCTATGATGGGCCATACCTGGAATACCTACTACTACCACCATGTCAAGCATCATCACATTGAGGGCAACGGACCCGACGACTTATCATCGACCATGAGATATCAGCGTGACGATATCATTGATTTCGCTCACTATGTCGGTCGCTTCTTTTTCTTCGTCTGGGCCGATCTTCCCTTGTACTTCTTGCGCAAGAACCGAAAGGTCATGGCTGCTCAGGCTGCAGCTTCCGAGTTTGGGACATACGGCTTCTACTACGTGGCAAGCCGAATTGATGGCCGAGCGACCATCTTCGCATACATGATGCCTCTTCTCCTGCTTCGCCTCGGCTTGATGGTGGGAAACTGGGGTCAACACGCCTTTGTTGACGTGGAGCAACCGGACTCGGACTTCCGATCCAGCATTACGCTTATTGATGTCGCGGTATGTTATTTTAAGTTAAGACCTCGCTGAGACAAAGACTAACCGTGGTAAATGCAGAGCAACCGATTCTGTTACAACGACGGCTATCACACATCTCATCACTTGAACCCATTGAGACATTGGCGAGATCACCCGGTGTCTTTCCTGCAGCAGAAGCACATCTACGCTAAGGAGTGCGCACTGGTGTTCCACAACATCGACTACTTGATGGTCACATTCAGACTCATGATCAAGGATTATGAGACGCTGGCCAAGTGCATGGTCCCCTTGGGCGATCAAATCCAACTCACGATGGAGGGAAGAATTGAGCTATTGAAGAAGCTCACGCGGAAGTTCACGGATGAACAGATCAAGGAGAAGTACCCGCCTAAGAAATAGAACGGGACCGCTGTGCTTGGCCGGCTTGGCCTGATCCTGACCTCAAAAAGGTGAATGCAATTGGAGCATCGCGTGCATATAGAATAGCATCAGAAAGGAGTTGAGGCTGCTAAAATATTTATTGACGTTGTTATCCAATTGGTTTCTCTGTAAACATTGCGCAACCCTAACCGAACGTCCGATGTGAGTGAAGTTTACGATGTTCGGTCGTGGTGGGGTGGACAGGCTCTGCACGGACCACTCGGAATACCGAGCCATTAAGTCATCACTCGGCGTGACGCAGGTTCACGAAGCTATCCCGAATTGGAGCCATCCGACGTCAATCTCTCCCACCTTAAGTACATCGCCCTTCCCGCAAAGTTTGCCTTACAAACAGCTTTGCTCTTCACCAGTCGCCCAAGATGTTCGGCTTTGTAAGTACCTCCAGCCCGCCGCTGGCGCTTTGAACCCGCTATTGCTCACGCCCCAGGCAGCGCAAAACCCTCGATATTGTCACGCTATTTCACAAGGCTAGCTCTCCTGCCTCGGTGCGAGTGGCCGGCGTCCTTCAGAAGGCCTCTGCCAGGGCGACAGCTGGCGCCAAAACGACCTCCGCCCGCGAGCAGTTCGACCTGAACATCACCGAGGACCCCCCGACAGAAGACCAAGTGAAGACGATCCTTGGCTACGTCGGCCCCAGCGGCATTGCCAGCGTCATCAAGGGCGCCAAGGACGAGAAGGATGCCCTGAGGAAGTTCAAGGAGAGCAATGGGAACTTCATACAACCGGTGGTACGTTCACTTCTCCTACGTGGATCTGGCGTAGACGATAATACTAACGGGTACTTTAGGTTGTGGATTGGAGCAATGGCAAGGCAATCGCTGGCGATAACGAGTCGGAGATCCTGAAGCTTCTGAATGCCGAGAAGTAAGGGCCCTGTTTGTTTCAATGTACGAAAAAGCTATTAGATCCCCTGTTTATGTATAACGAAAATCTCGCCTTCACCGAAATTGGCGCTTGCACGAATACCTGTGGGCTATTGCCGTTTGTTGTGTCGGAACTTTGCACGGCCATCGCACGGCCGTTGCAAGGCGGAAGGCTGCAGTGTTGTGAATCAGCTAGCCCGATACTGTGATGGCAGCCTAAGATTCAGTGACCGACTGCATGTCGGTAGGATAGGCGCAGCAGTAGTAAGATTTTGTCACTCCCGTGGCTTGAGAATTCCCACTGCTAAGAGGCCCAAGTGAAGTGTGCGGAGAGCATCGCAAACATATTCATACGGAGTAAGACGGGAGGCGGCGGGAAACAACAGCAAGCACCCTTCCCTCTCCACACCGATTGCTCTTTCCGCTCATTGTTCACGGAACAGACTTCGCCACAGCATTCACCGACGTTTGACAACCCGATTTCTCCTTTTCTCTCCTCACATCGCATCATCCTTAATCTCTGTGAGTACCCCGGCAGCCAAACGCGGGGCGAAGCGCATTCGGAAGCGCCTGGCAACGGATTTCAGTCACCTCTGCCAGCTGGCCAGCTGGCAACGCCTGTTCAGCAGCCACTTGTGCGCAGCTGTCAGTGCTTGCAGGCTGCCGCCATTCGTTAAATACCTAAGGTACTGCCTCTCGCTCTTCTACATATTCTCTCAGGTTTTCATCTTTCTTTATTCTTGTTTGTATCAAGGATCTTGGACACCAACCTCCACCTCATCACCACATCTCCTCCCCAACCGACCTCTGATCACATAACTCTTGTTGTTGTTTGATAAAGACCGACTGAGCGCGCGCCCTGGTAAATAACCTCCTGCGAAGGTAAGCTTGCTTTTTCTTGATTATTCGAAGTCCCCCGGTCCTGGTGGCTTTCGTATTGTTCCTAGCAAGTGCTTCGACTTCGCCCCCCTTCTGAGCGCAACGCGACTCACGAGATTTCTCGAAGAAACAAGCGCTTCACTTCCTCCAAAATAAATACTGACCGCGGCTAGTGATCACCATGGCTCCGCCCCTACCTAAGATGGGGGGCCCGCCATCGGTGGTACATTCGGTTGCCTTCTCCAGGATTTTCGCAACTGACTGCCCGCCAAATCAACAAGCTGTCTTCACCAAATTCTACCCAAATGGCTTGCCGTGGGTCTACAAGATGCTTCAAACCCCTGGGCCCCGCGGTGTCGCGGAAACATACCTCGAAGACTACCTTCCTGTCGGATTCTACACGAACCCAAAGGCCGGTGCTCGTGCCATCTTTTCCACCATCGATGGGAAGGACCCGTTCCGCAGCGTGCAACACCTACTGCCGCAGCGTCGAATCCACCTCTGGAACAAAGATGAGATCCAGTCGGTGTGTAACTCCATCCGCGCGATCTACTGGGAACACATGAGGGGGATGCGCGAGCCGAAGTGTTGGGATGATCTCTGGACATATTTCGATTCCTGGGATCTCTACCACTACGGAGCCATGAATCTCTGGAACTTGGTAAACACCCTCTTCGACGAGAACAAAATAATTTTCAAAGACATCGCCAAGGAAACCGCCCTGCACGTTGGCTACTGGGCTGACGCGTGGATCGCGAGAGAAGCAAACAAGATCAAACTTGCTCAGTGGAACGGATCTCAAGTGATCCCTCTTTTGACCGATGAAGATTGGAAGTCCCTTGGGAATGTTCACGATGACACTCTCCCAGTCATTTCGAGTGCTCTCAAACACAGGAGAACCTTGCTTCTTGCACCCGACAACGGTGTTGAACAGCAGAAGCCCAACGACCTCATGTCATCTTGCCAGAATAACAGCCTTGAGAACTGGCTAGGTATGTTTGAACCACAACGAGTTTGGTTTCAGTAACTAACATTTCCATAGCTGGAGAAAAGATATTTCAACACAATGGCCTGCCTTCTCCTCCGCATGCCGAGTCCCACCCTTGTTCCCCGGTGTCCAAAAATGCGCCCGCCCCTGTCCTTGTGCAGAATGGGAACCACTACTTTCTCTACCCGGAACCTGTGAGACAGCCACACCCACAGCAAGCTCGGGCCCCGACAGAGGCTGTCAGAGCCCTGCAGCAGTCTGTTGCAGCGGCTGGAGCTCCTCCGAAGTTGAACACACGTGGAACCGCTCCCAACTCGAACACAACTGGATTCGTCATTGCAAACGGTAGTAGTAGAGCTCTGCCGCTCAACATCTCTGGCCACACCGGCAATACCAATGGTCTCCAGAACACGGTCCCAAGAAACACCGAGAAAAAGAGTAAGAAGAAAAAGCAACAGCCTCCTCCTGCGTTGAATCTTTCTCTCCCACCGCGGCCCCCATCGAGCGGGCCACGTGCGAGTACACCTCTGGGGGTAGACAACAATGTCGGCCCTGGGTTTACCAACGCACCTGAAGAGTATGGCCCTTTCACACCGACCAAGATTAATAGGGGGAGTCAGGAGAATCCACGATCTCCTGACGGAGGCTCCCAAATGATGATCACAAAGTCACTTCCTCCGTCAGTCATCATGGGTTACTCGGAGCTCGCAATCAACTCGAGAGCTACAAGTGATGACTCTCAACTTCTCAACAGAGTGCCCGCCGGACTCTCTCTCCCCATCTCGCCTAACCGAACAGCTGCATAGGAATCAGCTCCGGTGAAGCTGGTCATGGCGCCGGAGGAGGCCCAAGGCCTATCTGCCGAACCTACGATGCAGAAGGGATATGATCAGCAAGACGTGCCGAATCACACCCAGGAAACTCACGAGCTGCCCCCACTTCAGTTCCCCATGGCTTCTCAGCCCTTGCCCCATAACCAGAGAACCCCATTGCCTCTACCAAGTGCCCCGACAAACATCGGTGGAGAGGAACAGGTGCGAGCGCAGCCGGTGAATGATCATCCCATGGCTTACGCACCCCATCTAGTCGGGTCCATGGTTCAGAATGCATATAACCAACCTGCCACTATCCAGCCGAACACTATTAACCTAGACTGTCAACCACAGGTCGCCCATGTGCCACCCCGATCACAACCTCTCCACATGGGCAGGACGGGAAGTATCTCTGCTACATCGCAAGTTGACCGAATGGAACGAAATGGACCAGGGTGGCCCAACAACCATGGCTATTCTCGAAATGAGGACTTCAATGCCGTTCCACCAACCCCTAACCGCAGTGTCAGTCATCGAAATGGGTCTCGCAGCGTTAGGGGCAATCGCCGAGGCGGTTATAACCAACGAAACGTGACTATCCACAACACTCAACCCAGTCAAGGTGATCAAAGACCCGCACACAACAAACGAGATGGGACACCATACGCCGTTAATACATGGCGTCGCCAAAGTGTTGGCCACCAGGCCAAACCTCCTACCTGTCGCAACTCTAGATCGCCCCACGGCAGCATGGAGTACGTCCACTGCACCTGCGAGGATTGCAATCAGAGGAACTGCACTGTTCATGTCGCCGTTCAAGGAAACATCGTGAATCCGCAGGTTCTAGACATTCAGACCCGCATCAAGTTTGGGCTGGGTGAACGTTTCGGTATTGTTGTCGATGTTTTTCCTCTTGCCTCAAAGGATCCCACGAACTTCCTCGCCCGGTAGGTTTCTTCAAACAGCTTAAGGCTCAATAATTGGTACTAACAAGATGGAACGTATAGATTCTCGCATGAGCAATCCGTCGTTGAAGCCCTTGCAACTGGCGGTGCAGACATGCCTGAGAGAGGAATCTCGGTGCTTATCTCGCCCTCGATGCGATCGAAATGGATGAATCGACCTCGGGAAGGTGTGATACCTACAAACAGAGGCCGAGAACTGGCGATTCAGCAATCTGCATACCCATCTTCGCCTCTCGAGTCTCCCATTGCGACCAACCAACCGCTTCCCTTGGCCTATCCGAATACTGCTGGTATCCCCCAAGTCGCAAATTTCACGCAGCACCATGGGGCACCCATGCACCTACCCAACACTCAAATTGTTCATGCGGGATTTCAAGCCCAGCCCTACTTCTCTGCTGGACACATTGCTCATCCAGGTTTCACCAGGCAATTCTTTCCTAACCAGACGCCCTACGCTGGGCAACATTCGTCCAACTACGATCAAGCACAGCAACAAGGACGGCGAAGAGGCTCTTCATACCGTGAAACTCCTTCTGCACCTCGGGCTGCTCTCTCGAAGAGAATCGAGGCGCCTCAACCCAAACTCGCAGCTACTGAGGTTCCAAATGAGTCCAAGGGCAGAAAGAAGTATGACAACAAGACCGTGCAAGCCAAAGACGGCGACTCTGCTGGAGTGAGGCCTGCCGAGCCTGTGGCAAGCGCAAGTGACGCCTCAGTCACTCCCAATAAAGCAGAAACAAGCCATGTTGACCACGACACAACGAAGACTGGCAAGGGTGATGACGACCAGGCTGAGCCAGTAGATGACACCTCCGAGAAGGCATCTCCCACTCTGGCAGCCGATCCAGTTCCTGAACCTTGTGATCAGGGCCAAACTGGTCATTCTCGAGTGCCAAGCATATTCACTGAGGAGGAGATCAAAGAGCGGAAGAAAGCATGGGCTAGAATCTCTATGCCAATCGGTCCTCGAAAGACGAAGGCAGTTTCAACAAATGCAAATGAGACAGCGGAAACCGCAAGTGGTGCCCTAAAAATTTCAATGGACAGCAAGGTTGGGAATAGCACTTCTGTATCGGAAAGATCGTCACCGGTTCAATCATCCGGCCATACACCAGAGCCATATGAAGAGACAACAATGAAGCCTCCTCCTTTCAAACCAACCAAGGGTCCCAGTGGGAACCACCCCAAGCACAGACGAGGTGCTTCAGGAAGAAATTCTCGCCAGAGCGACCGGTCGGGCCCGGATTCTTCCCTTAGCACACCGACCTCCCCCCATCTCCCTCTGGTTACTACTAAGCCTTCTGAGTTGCACCTCGCTCACCAAGGTGGGAATAACAGCAACCAGGCCGGAGAAGCTCCACGAAAGAACAAGAACAAGGGTAAGAACAAGAAGAAGAAATCACAGCAAACATCAACGACACCCGGCGCCCCTGCTACACCGCAAGCTGGCCCTTCGAAGGAAACATCGCCTCACCAGGGACGCACACGTGCACCTCAGCAACGACGCCCAGCTAGTCCCGTCTCCCAAGAGACATCCCCGCAGAACATGACATCCCAAGTTCCTCGACGAGGCTCTCTTTCACCCGCCAAGCGCCCTCGCGAAGAAAACATTCAGCAATGTCGCTCCACTTCCCCGAAGCGCAACAAGCAAGATGGCGACGAAGACCCGGCACAATCTATCCGGTCTTCTACTCACACCATGGAAGAGACACGCGGTCGACTAGGATACAGGGCGGGTGCAGGTGGCTCACTCCGCATCAAGAAACCGCGCAAGGCCCGGCCGCTGGTGACAGAGCCCTCTGTTGCAGAGCAGCATCTTGACACACAAGTAGCACCTCCTTCATCTGATTTCGCATTTGAATGCTCGAGCATGGCTCAGAATCATGCCACAACAAATGTGTCTGATGACGCCGATCAAGGGAACTCTGTTGTGCTCTCCGTACAAAGCCAACTGAACCCAAAGGCAAAGGACTTCCAGTCACCATCCCGCCTTCCGAACGAAGAGAAGTCCAACAATGCGGACGCCAACGTGACTTCTGACAATGCTCAGGAGATATCGCCCTCTGGACTTGAGAAGGCTAACAACGAGATCGAGACGGCGCCCCCACAGGAGTTAGCGACGACAGAGGAAAAAGATGAGAAGCTTCTTGCTGACGAACTCGCACCTGGAACTTCCGCTCCCGCTGGGACTAAGAAACCGTCTAAGAGCCAAAAGCGCGACAAAGGCAAGAACAGAGTCGCGCCAACTGAGGAAAAGGGCACACCAGCTGAGAAAGGGGCGTCAGAGCCACACACCCCAAATCGAGCTCTGACGGCGAAGAAAGCTGGTCTTGACAAGGAAGACTGGCCATCCTTGCCTCCACCTCGTGATCGTGCTGCGTCCAAATCGAGTACACCGTCGTTGTGGGGAGCGAAGAAGACTGGTGGCAGTGGGCAGGGCTCGCCTGTCAACAAGTAGCGTTGAACAATGGAAGAGGTAGGATACTCGACGGGTTGATATCGCATGAAAGATGACGCACTGGTTTTGAATTTGGCTTGGGATACTAATAGGAGGACTGCCGATGATAAGGGGAGCCTTGACAATACTCGACACTTGGGTTGTTCAAGTTAGGGAAGGGACACTTTCTGGCTTTTTTTTTCACTTCCTTCTTTTCAGGGCCTACCACTTGGTGATGGAACAACACAGTTTGCTATTGGTTCTTGCTTGGCATGATGTTTGGGGTGGCTGACATTTGGATGGGAGGGAGTGGTCGGACATCCGCGGGAGGAACGACAAAACCAAAAACAAAAAAGGGTGTGGGGATGGATGAGGCTGGTTGGCAGCGGGTGATAGATCTGTAGCGAAAGACGAAAGTCGTGTGTTTGATTGTTGTAAGATGTTCTTGCAAAACCTGATGATGATGATGATGCTGGGATCATGCGAGACTTTGAGTAAATGTGCGCCTCTCATGCGTTAAAGGGTCTTAGGTGCATCCATCCAAAACTGTGGGATCGATGGTGACCAGTCTAATTGATACCCCTGGTATTCTCACTCGGCGCATTGTGTGCTGTAAAGCTGGGCTAGCGAAACGGAAGCGTCGTGATGCTTGGTGGTGGTACAATGCTTGATTTTTCACCCCATATATACATGGCCGTCGTAAACCGATCCGGCAACTCTATTCCATTCCAATTTCTCTTTCCCCATGTCACGCTCATTGTTGGACCAAGCCGGTAACGGTATCCTCGATCTGCTTATCAGTCAGGCCCTCGAGGGAGTGGGACTTTTCGGTTCCGCGCTCTGTATGACGAGAGGGTCAGTTGATTGGGCCTGCTGGGAGCTTTGGTGGTATGGGGGTTCCCGCGGGCGGAAGGAGAGGAGGAGGAAGGGATTACGCACCGTATCGGGCGTAGATCTTGGGCTGGGTGCCAGCGGCCTCGCGGATGAGGATGGGAATGCTGGGGTTGTTGCGCTTCATGGTTGGGTAGGCCCTGGTGATGAATGATCTGAGGAGAGACGAGGTTGTCAGCGTGGTGCTTCGGGGTCCAATGGCTTCTGCAGCAATCAATTGAGTGTATTGCCATGGTTGGCAGCCCAATCATCGGTCCGTTCGTTCGTCCGTCGGTCGTCATGGGGAGTTCGTGGGGTGGTTCCAAACGTACCGAACAGCCGCGCTCTGCTCCGAGGACTGGCAGAAGAGGAAGCGGACCTCGCGCAGGCCCTTGCTGAAGGCGTACTTGCTCGACATGGTGGGCGCGGGCGTGTTTCTCGTCGTGTGTGATCGGCGGGCGTTGGGGAGCGAAGGAGAGCGGAATAGGTCGAGGGAGCGTTTGTTGCTAATTGCGGGCTTGTGGTTGGCAAGCTTTCCCGCAATTGAGTGAGGCTCTAATCGGAATAACTGACGGGCGGCGCATCGACGGGCGCACGTGCATAAAAGTTGCGGTTATGCAAGTTATGCACACTACCCAACTCATCCTCCGGTGCCGGGTTTGTGGGGTACGTACTCGGACGTGTTGAGCACCCGTGGCGGCTTAACTCCGGCGTCCCGTCTTCCGCTTTCCGCTCCTTCCCCCAAAACTTTTGCCCATTCTTACGTATTTTACAGGTTCACGCTAGAGCCACAGCGCTGCAAAGCCCGCTGAACAAGTGCTGTAAGGTACGTACCCCGGTACCCGTACCTGCACATTTCGGACCTCAGTCACCGACCTGCCGAGAGGGATTCCCCCCCAACACAACTTCTTTCTCCGAGACGAAGACGACTCACGACGAGACGAACAACTTCGCGTCCTCAAAGCCCTGCTCCTTTGCAATTCTCTCCTAGACCGAACGTACGTTTGCACCCGCTGTTTTCCCCGTCACCCCGTCCAATTCCGGAATCCGATCCTGCCCGTTTGTCGCAAGCCAACGCCCGCTAACATTTGTCCACATCCTCCCAGAGCGAGAAGTCGCATCGATCCCGGAATGGCCTCCTCCGCCGCAAGCACCGTCCTCCGCGCCGCCCGGCCGGCATTCCGCCCGGCCGCCTTTGGCGCGCCGGCTCGCCAGGCCTTCCGCCCGCAGGGCCAGGGCTTCGCGCAGCGCTTCCAGCAGGGCGGCCGCCGCTGGCAGAGCTCCGACGGCGCCCAGCAGCAGCAAGAGGGCTGGTTCAAGCGCATGTGGGAGAGCGAGATTGGCTTCAAGACGGTGCACTTCTGGTGAGCTCCCCCGGCCTTCTGCCTTGTCTGGAGTTCGGCTAGCTAACGGATTCTGTTTCCAGGGCTCCTGTGATGAAGGTTCGTCGTCCTCCGTCCCAACTCACGCGCGCACACAAAACTTGCTTCAATTCCATCTATATCCTCCCTCTGGCCCTCCAAACTGGAATATCACGGAGCACCGAACAGAACAACAGGATATTTGTGCTAACCTGAAATCTCACAGTGGGCTCTCGTCATTGCCGGCATCTCCGACTTCACGCGGCCCGCCGAGAACCTCTCCTTCACCCAGAACTTCGCCCTGACCTGCACCGGCTTTATCTGGACCCGCTGGTGTCTCATCATCAAGCCCAAGAACATCCTGTGCGTCCCCGTGCCCTCTTTTGTTATCTCGTTGAGCGTCCACTAATGTCCTCGTGTTAGTCTCGCCACCGTCAACTTCTTCCTCGGAATCGTCGGTCTGGTCCAAATCTCCCGAATCCTCGCCTACGAGTCCAAGCAGAAGAAGACCGCTGCCGGTGTTGTCGCGGATATCAAGCAGGATGTCAAGGAGACCATCAAGGAGGTCAAGGCCTAAACTCGATACACTTGCGGCTTTACACGCCTCTTTCCCCCCTCTGGATCCCATTCCATGCCGAGTTGCTCGGCTGGGTTGAAGGCCATGCAAACTACCACAGGAACCGGGTGCGATGTTTGGTCTTGTTCTTTGATAGTCTCCGGCAGTGGTTCCATGTAACGCAGAGCATGTGTCTATGTGTGGCCGTCTCACAGGGCGCCTAAGGACTGCCCAGGCTCAATGGGAACAATCCGTGGGAGTGAGCTCTGGGCGTGTTACTTTTCTATTCGGTTTTTTAGACGACTATGCGCAACTGGACAGGATAGGTTTAACGGGTAGAGCTATACAATATATTGGTTTCGTCCGTCAAGCCGGGACTTTTTCCTTGTGATCATGTTTGTGTGTATTTGCTTGTCTATCTGTATCACGCCAAGTCCTCAACATGCCAACTTCCCGCTCGACTCTGACTCAACAAATACATCCACCTCGGCAAACACCCATCGACGTCATCGCAACTGGGAGCTTATCTTATACAGTTCCAGAAAGTATTTGTATATATGTAATCAAGATCATCTTTCATTTCATCTCAAAACGGCTTCATCTCCCCTGCTTGTGTCTCCCACACATGTGTATCATTTCATTATGCATCCATCCATATGACACCCGCTCCTCTCCCATTTCGTCAACCACGAAACGCCGCATACAAAACCGTCTTCTCCTAGCTACAATCCAAACCTCGAGTCCGTTTTCCCCAACATCGCCATGGATATCAACTTGATGAGGGAAACCCCTTCCTCCTTTGCTCCCCATTGATCTAAGGGATGGGAATAAGAGAAAGAGAAAGAGAAAGAATGCAAAGGCAAATATACAAGTGCTGAAGCAGCCTTTCCCAGGCTCTTACAGCGTAAGAAAAAAAAGAGAAAAAACATCATGTCAGTCCCACCAAAGACGTAATCCCGTTCAATCACTACCCTTTCCAGCCGCACGCCATGTCTCGTCACCATCCCGTGCACCTTGACGTTTTATTCGTTGGTCTCATTACCAGTGCTTCCTCGTCTACTTCTCCGTGTGCCCGTCGTTCAGAAGCATCTCCAGGATGATCTGTCGGCCTGGAATCTCCGGGTGGCACATGGCAATCTTGACGGTCCCCTTGGAACCCTCACTGCCGCTCGATGACTGTATGAAACCGTTGCTGTGCTGCTGTGGGTTCAGTGAGCTCCCACCCGTGGGACCTCGGACGCCGTAGTCGAGCACGCGTACATCCCGGCCCGCGACAATCTGTCGCAAACGTCCATTCTCCGCGTTTCGGACCTCCACATAGTCCTCGTTGAAGAGCAGCAGATATTGGCCGTACATGGTCGCTCCCCGCGCCTTCTTCTGCTTGCCCGTGTACTCCATGATGAGTGTGCGGCTGACGTCTCCGTGCTTGTCCACATACACGGCGCAGTCCTCGTAGGTGCAAATAAATTCGTTTTCGTTGAGCCTGAACATTCCCAGAGGCCTCTGGTCTCGAATGCGACTGGCAATGTTGGCGATTGCTGGTGCCTTCAGGTCCGGGATAGACATCGGCTGCTTCTTATCCAGAGTGAGCATCTCAATTCCCTTGGCTGTTGAGACAGCGATGTAGGTCTGGAACAAGCTGAGCGAGTAGCACTCCGTGGGGAAGAAGAACTCGTCAAAATCGCGGAAAGTCTCTGTGTTGCCACCACCCGGCCGTCGTCCACCAAAGAGTCGTGACTTCTTCTCGTTAGACTTGTGGAAGATCGGCTCGAGCACCTTGAACGAGGTGTGCAAGTTCTCCTTGCGCTTGTAGAAAAGCAACATTCGATCCTTCATCTTAGCCGTGGCAAAGTACGTTACGTCCTTGGCAAGTCTCTGAGGTGCTCGTCGGGGATTATCGTTGAGAGGAGCAGCAAACTCAGACACAGGCGCGACCACATCCAATGGATATGAGACGAGAGCCTTGTCAGCGACGACCACGCAGACCGAGAATTCTTCCAGCACAGCAATTTGCGTCACTCTGTTAGCTTGAACGGTCTGGAGTAATGTGTGTTAGCTGGGGTCAACGGATTAAGAAGTAGGAGCGTACTCTTTGCCATCCTCGGGGATTTCCCGGATCGGTGATGTAGATGCCGTAGTCTGTGCCGATAGCAATCACAGACTTGCCAAAGGCCGTGAAGCCAGCGGCACAGTTCACCTGAGCCCTGCACACCGGGGCAACTCCCTGGGCTGGGCCAAGGACGGCCTCGAGCTCCCCAATAGCTCGGTCAAGCGGCGTACCCTTGACGGGAACACCAGCCGACCTCGCGTACATAGACGCAACATCGTAATGGAACGAGGCATCGGCGAGAACGCGAAGTCGGAACGGCTCAGCATTCTGGGAGAAGAGTGCCTTGGCGTGCCTGGTCTTGGTCTCGATAATCTTGTTGCACCAGTCGGCACGATCCCTCGCCGATGAGGCGTAGAGAGTGTAAACCTCATGGCCAAGGTGTTTAACCTTGAATGGATACAAGATCTTGCCCTCGGCGTCATTAGTGTTCGTCGGCGTGAGATGTGATGAACCCATGGAGGAACTCGTTGCAACATGGTCCAAGCCAGGTCGACCGTTGTTACTCGTCACCTTGTTAAGTTGGGTGCCTGATGTGTTGGCGGTGGCGGCTCGGCCAAGAGGGGCAGTGATACCCTTCTGTTTCTGGATTGCCTCGTCATTCATGCTCTCCAGGAACATCAGAGGCATAGGAATGGGCTACAGCAAGTCAGTATACGTTGTTTAGTAAAACACCAGAGCACACACCTCTTTGGAAACATCAAACTTCTTCTCGCCCTTGCCGTCTTTGGGAATAACAGCCTTGGCCAGGATGAAGTAGTGGTCGAAGAGCAGTGCATGCGTATCGACCCATCGTACACCCTTGGAGCCCATTCTCTGGAGTTCGCCCTGGAAAATCAGCTCTCGGCCCAGATGATCGAGGTTCAGGACCGAGTGGAAGCCCGGTCTCAAGACGAGCATTCTGTTCAGGTCCATCATCTCGACTCGCTTGTTCATCTCTGCCACCTTGGCATCACATTCCAGCGTAACAATCTTAATTTCCCCAATGGCCTTGACAAGGTTGACCTTCTCCTCGCTATCCCCAATCATTTTGTGCTCGACGCTCTCCAGGAGGAGGATATAACGCTGGAGACGCTGCAGGGGCGTGATCAGGTAATGGGTCCAGTCCTGCTTCGAGGTGACCTTGTGCCTTTGCATCTCTTCCAAGAATCGCTTGAAAAGAATATTGCGTTCTGCCTCTCTTCGGATCATGTACACAGCGCGTGGGTACGCGGCGGCATACTCAATGTAAATTGACTTGGCCTTGCGAATCCACTCTCGGAACACGTCACTGAATCCAGTGATCCAAGGACCCTGCTCTCCTTGTCGATATTTCAGTTGGGCTAGCAGATGGTCCTTGTTGATATCTTGAACCGTGTCGAGCTTTCCAAAAACGGCCTCCAGGAACTTGTCTCTCTTGTCAGGCTTGAGAACAGGCGGGTGCATAACCCGCAGCTGATCACGGTAGTACCTGCGAAAGATGTCAAGCTGCTTGATGTAGTTCTCTTCACCAGTGACGATCTCGTGGAGAATGTTCTGGCGCTCAACTTCCTTCTTTGGCTTCGCCTCCCAGTCTTCCTTCTTCAACTTGTAGAAGACATGCCATTCATCTGCAGGCTTGGCATCCTGAGGCATCAGGTCTTCAAGGTCAACCTTCTTGACGGTTCGGGTACAGTGGTACGAGTAGCATCGGCCAGAAATCTCGATCTCGTGTAGTTTGGGCGCATAGCATCCTGAGCCGGTCAGTTGCCATAACACTCCGGAGATGTGGCCATCTCCAAATTTAACCCATTCTTCCTCAGGCATGAGAACGCCCTGCTCGAGCATGAGAGACACGACTCGGTTACTGAGGACCTCAGCATCTGCCACATTCATCATGGGAATCTTGCCAATGAAGAGGTTGATGAGGGCCTCTTCGATGGTCTTGGTCTTGAGGTCCAATTCACCCTCTCCCATGTCTCGAACCCAGGCTTCGATGCCGCTGAGAGCCCATGGCTCGGCGCACCTCCGGAAGTCAGCCGCGTTCAGCTTGGAGGGCACGAACTTCTTCTTCCGACCACTGGGCAGGGTGATGCCATCAAAGGCTGCTATCGAGGCATTGCTACCGGTGTCATAGTCGGACAAGGGGCCCTGGGTTGACAGATGCTGGTTTTGTCGACCCATCCTCCTCCGCTCATCTGCAGCGTCAGTTCTCGAACGTGCGGGCGCTTGCACAACGGGAGTGTGGGAGTGTCCAGATAAGGATATCGATCGCTCGGGCTGTAGGGTGGAGGGAGCTGCGGAGCTGTAATATGCCTCCGGGGTATCGGGTTGGCCAGGTCGCGAATCCATACTTCGTGAGTGCGAGTGGTATCCTGGACGGGTGTTGGTTTGGACTGAGAGCATTGAGCTGCTATCGGAGCCAGGGGCCGGCGGGAGAGCTGGAAGAGGTCGGTTTGAGAGTCCCGGATGGTAGAAGAGGTCTCCGTAGTCGTCTTTGCTGGGAGACTCGGTGCCACTTTGTTGCGAGTGTAGCGATGCACCCTCGTCGCCCTCGTCGTAGCTTAGGCGGTGGATATTGGGCGGCTGCAACCCCCCTGTTCCGCCATAATCCATCTCCACAGTCTTGAAGGCCTGAACACTCTCAGTGTGCTGGTAGCCGGGGTTGAACTGTCCAGGGGTGGGCAGCGGGCGAGCAGTCTCATGGCCAGACGAGCCAGGAGGGGATCCGACCTGGTCTCCGTATGTCAGGTTACCAGCGTATCCGCCACTGAGCATTCCCAGGTCCACCATTCCGCCAAAGCCGTCGCTGTCGCTACTGGGGGCCTGTTCTTCGGGGGGGGGAGGCAGTGGGTTCGAGACGACTGGCATGTCGGTGTAACCAAAGGCATTGCTGCTGAACCGTCGGTCCTCCAGCTCCGCCTGCTGCATTGCCAAGACTCCGGCCGTCCCCTCGGGGTCGTCGTCGTCGTCGTCCGATTCGTAATTGGTACGGGTTCGACCCGAAGTTGATCGGCTCGCGGGGGCGGCAATCGTCGTGGCGCCGGAATCGAACCGCTGTAATTGTCGGAGGTCATCGTCGGCGTATTGGCCGTTGGACGTGGGCTCGGGTAGTTGACGATATCGTTGGTTGGAACCGCCCAGCTCCGCCTCAATATCCTGCATTATGCTTTCTTGGGTGACGTGCTCGTCGTTGTAGTCATCTTGAGTGCGGCGGCCAGTCGAGTTCCACTGCGACTCATCAGGCAAGTTGACCCCGGGTCGGCTCGGCAGCGGTGCGTTGGTCGGGTGCCTCTGCAGTCCCGGGGATCCCTGTGGCCGAGGAGATGTCATAGGAGAGGTTTGCGAATTCGAGCGAGATGACCTGTTGTAGAGCGAGTTGTGGTCGTTGGCAGCGTAGTAAGGGCCGACAGGCATCTGGGGCTCGGTGGGATAAGGCGCCGACGAGCCGGCTCCATTCGATGCGGTGGTCGAATACTGGCTGTATGATTGATCGTACCCCATGGATTGCGACTGGGAAACGGGAAGGGGTGGGCTATGGAGAGGCTGCTCGAAGCCGTGAGACATGGCCGGAGAGGGGGAGGCGGAGGACTGCGCATAAGTACTCGTCGAGTAGGTGGAGTTGGTGGACTGGCCATAAGCGGCAGAGCTCTGCGAAGCTGAAACCAAGGAGGCGCTGTTGTTGTAGCCCTGGCCGTAGTTGTTGTAGCCTGCATGATGTGTCGGGTGTCGCTGTGGAACGGCGGCAGTGCCCGCATACAGGGCAGGATTGTAAGCCTGTGGGGTGAAGGCAGCCTGGGGCGAGGGATTGTAAGAGCTGGCAGAGGAGGCAAAGCGAGTCGGAGGCTGGTGGTGGTAGGGGACGGTATTCGTGGATTGCGAGCGCTGGAAGTTGCTTGAGGGCTGGGCGAAGCTCTGGGGGTTGTATGAGTGGGAAGGTGTAGGAGGGGAGGGATCCTGGAACTGATGCTGGTAGCCCGACAGTGCGCCGGAGCCGTACGAGGGTCGGCCGGCCGATGAATGCGACCCGGCCGGGTTCCCTAAGAAGAGCTCATCCTCGCCGGCGGGCGGGGCATTGAAGGCGGGAGCGCGCTCGGGCGGAGGTTGTTCGTAGTATGCGGCATCGTCCCCGCCAGTGAAGCTGGCACGTCGGCCGGGGTCGTAGGCGGGCTGCTGGTGGTGATCGAGCTGCTGCTGCTGATGCTGCTGCTGCTGCTGGTAATCCTGGTACTCCTGGCCGCGGCTGTGGCCGGCGATGGGGTACTGCACGGGAGGCACATGGCCGTACCGTCGTTGATCGTCACCGCGGAAAGACATGGCGACGGTAGCGACAGCAGTGGTTGTGAAGAGCGATGGCGGATGGCGCGGAGATGGAGGGGGTTGCGCTGCGCGGGAGACAAGTCAGAGCCGCTGCGGCCTGGCGGGTCGGGCGTTCACCACGGCTTAGATGGCAGGCGAAGGGCAGCGCAGGCGGATCGCATTGAGGGGCATTCGAATGAAGATTTCGAAGCGGGAGAAAAAAAAAAGAGGAGGCCGTCGTCGGTCAGCGGGTGGCGCGCGGGTCGAGGGGACGAGGGACGAGGGACGAGGGTCGAGGCGACGAGGGTTGGCGGTCGGGGTCTGGTTTGGCGTTTGGGGTTGGCGGGAAATGGATCTCGTGTGTGGTGTGGACTCGATACGGTACCGTGGCCGAGTCGCAAGGATGGACGAGGAACGGCGTGGATTTGTTTGGGCGACGGCGTGGACGTGGGCGTGGGTGTGGGCGTGGGTGTGGGAGTGGGCGATTGCGGGCCCCCTCTCTCTCACAGCTGAACAGTACAGCTCGCAGACAGACAGACAGACAGATAGACAGGGCTGGCGGAAGCAGTAGAATGCGTGATTGTAGGAGGGAACTGGCGGCCCCGAGGACGAAGGCGGAGGGGATGAAGAGAAATGTAGCAATGATGGGGGCGGGCAACACGAGGGAGTGGCGGAGTTGGACCTGGTTCCCTGCGGAGGCGATGGTAAGAGGGACAGACAGACGTAAGAGCGAGGTGAGGGGAGGTGAGAGGAGGTGAGAAGAGGTCAGAGTCGAGAGACGTCAGTGAAGATCAGGCTCCGAAGCTCCCATGCTGTACGTGGTGCGTCGGTGTCTGCGTTTGGCGCTGGCTCTGGCTCTGGCTCTGCCTTGTCTGGCTGTTCCCGTGTCTGGTTTGTACCAGTCCAGCTGTCTGCAATACGGTCTTGTCTTGTCTGGCAGGGCTAATTAGGGTGGGGATTGCAAGCGGAAGTGGGTGTGTTGGAAACGGCCCAGTTGTGTGGGCAATTGCGGGTGTCTTCTCTAGCTTTGCTACTGGGCTGCTGGGGCTGCTGGGGCTAAACCGTGCCCGCTAACTGTGCTACTGGGGTAAGTTATGTACTGCTGGGTACAGTCCTGGACAGCGCCAGCCCAAGCCACATGGATGACGGGACGCCTCTGGGGCTTGGGCGGAGGGAGACGACACGACGTCCTGGGGGAAAAGGGCTCCAAGGGGGCGACACGTGCCGCTGCTACAACTCGGAGCTGGGGGACCCTGCACCTGTCGTGCTTGTCGTGACGCTGTGCGCTCCGCTCGTCAAACATTGCCCGTCCACTATAACCTATAGCTCTACTAGGCGGGCGGGCCTCTGCTGGGCGGTGCAGAAAAGCGCAACACGGAGCGGTGGGGTGGCATCCCGTGTTGGATACCTTACCTAGGTATGTTGGTTACGATACGCGTGAAAGCCAAGAGCCTGGGCGGCCTCGCCGTCAGGCAACGGTACGTCAGTGTGTCGCAGCAGCCCTCAAGCAATCCCGCAATCCGGGCAGCCCGCAGGTTGTTTGTATAGTACGGCGTACGGAGTAGACATGCTGAAGACGTCGAATCCTCGAATCCTCGAATCCTCTGCTCACATGGAATATCCCGTCCAATGTCATCATTAGTGACTGTAGGTACCGACCTCGCTGTAACCCAACTGTCGCGACCGGGGCCCAGAATAAAGCCCACACCAGAGGGAAGAGGAGGTGCACCTAAGCTCACCACTGACAGCACCAGCCCTAAGACGGACAGAACCCTTGCTGGGCCCTTCCATACGGCGGATCCAATCACAGGGACCTCTGGAGATACGACGTGAGCCTCCGGAGAGGGCCCTGGAGAAATGGCCTGGGCCAGGATTAATACGTTAATACAAGTGCGATGGGTCCCCGCTCCCCCCTGAAAGCCCCCTGGCCGCCCGCCGCCCGCTCCCTTCCGGCGACGGAGGCGTCCTCCACTGTGACCTCATAGCTTAATTAGAACCGGCAAAGCCTACAAAGTCCTAGCATCAGAGCTCGTCTCTCTGTCGTCGTCCTCCTACTACTACAGCTATGACTGAATTGCAGCTCCAGTCTAGTCTCGGGTTGTTTCTACGAAACATGTCCTGACTGCTCCTCGCTTTCACCTTTGCTCATCTGACTGCAGTGAGCGAGCCGGCGGCGGAGAGGCCGAAGCACACACGCACACACGCACGCATGTCAGCAGCCCGCGCCAGCCCTACGCCCACCAGCAGTTCCACCGGCATGACCAACGCATCCATCACATCACCACATCTAATTAGACACCAGACAGAACACCTGGCTTCTAATAAGCCCAAGTCTCCAGGTCTCCGGGTCTCACGTCTCAAGCCTCAAGTCTCGAGTCTCGCCGGAAATCAAACGCATTCTCCTCATCGTCCTGCCCCCTTGCCCGTTGCCCTCTATCCAACATGGCATCGCATCCTGTAGTACAAACACCCACTACCTCGGGTATGTCTCATCGTCACCCTCCCACCTCCCATGTGCATATACCCCATGTTCATCTTCCCATGTTATCTTGCAATGTGAAACCCTTCGGTTTTTAAATTACCAGTATTGTTTTTCGTTTTCGCATTCCCCAAAACCTCGTGTCATCTCCACTCTCGACGCGCACTTGCCCATCTTTCCCTCTCACTACGGAGTACATATCCCATTATCCCGGCGCTATCGGACATTATTACTCCCTCCCCGTCCCTGTGCAGTCCCAAATATTCCGTTTCACCCCCTCTCTAGCAACTTTCCTACCTTATTAATCCTGCGCTCCACTCTATATTTGCTAATGCGCAGCGTAGCACACCGACTCCGATAACGTTCCCCGCATCACCTCACGGCTTTGGGTGCGGGTCCAGAACTCCTCTTCTAGAAGTTCGGATATCTTCGCCTCTTTGTTACATGTCAGCATACCCAGGGTCTCATCTCGACTCTCGGTTTCAGTGCCTAGGAACTTGCATGTCCAGGTCTCTGCATTGCCTCCTCTCTGTCCCTTGCTCTCGTACCCGAGATAAACCACTCCACGATTCCGGTACCCTTGCAAATATCTTTCCAGTGAACTACCCTAAAGCCCCGGTGACTTTACCCATTCCGATATTGTGCATCCCTCTCCCAGCTGCTGTCTTGGGGTTATTGCTATTAGTAATGTGTATGTGGGCAAATAAGAATACTCTGTTAAAAACTAAGCGAAAACTCATGTGCGGCATTGTAGGAATGGATTGGTAATGAATGGATGGGGTTAGTGACCCTTGAATGTAGTTGTCAAGTGTGCTTGAGGCACCGAGCATAGACTGCAACCTTCATAATCAGGTTGTAACAAAGTCACAACCACAACATATATCCAGACCTCCTTGTGGCTGGATAATCTCCAGTCAGTCACATATCTGAAGATCCTCTCATTGTCACTGGAAGCGGACTGAAAGGCGGACTTTTCGCCCAAGAGAATTTGAGCTCACGGTATTTTTTGGCCACTCTCATTAACTCGACACAACTTCCGTGACTTTCCTGCTACAGGTAGAAGAAGGCTGAGTATGGATACGTCAAAACTACTAGTCTAGCCAGGCTGTCGTCTTTGGCTTCAAGATTTTAGTTTCTGAATGCAGCTCGCGCCCATCATCAGCGCAAGGGATCTGACCTGTGAAGCAGCAAATAACAAAGGGACGAAGATAGAATGACACGCCACAGGTTCCCGTAGGACCCCCATTACTGGCCCAAGAAAATAACTGGTGCAGCAGAACTATGTCTTTATCACTTAGTCCTCTCAGAGGCAATGATCCACAAACTCATCAGCCTGGGCATCAAACACAGCACCGATTCATTGGGAAGGGCGATAAGGGTAGTAGGCTTTCGAATGGTAGATTTTGGTAGTTCTCCAAGAAGTCAAATATGACGAATGTGAGGTAATGATGATCAGATACCTTTAACCATAATTCTAGACGCAGATGCGGAGTGATAAAGTTCATCCCGAGAGCTCCCTTGCTTGGCCAATGGAAACACCAAAGTTGGATCAGCATACCGTTATTGGGTGCCAGAGAACTTTCTAACCAACGATTTCCCAAGCGAAAGCATCTATACTATCAGATGTAAAAGTCAGAGGAAATGCTAAAACAAATATTTCTTTGAAGATATGGCTGAAGCAGTGAAACCAGGAGTCGAGGGTTATTCCTTTGCATGTGACGACCCAGACCTTGCAGGCTTGTTCAACGGTAACTGGATCGGAAAAACGGTGTGGACTCAAAATCCGAATTCAGAATTAAGATAGCGACATGAACAAGACGGACCTAGGCTTTCCGCTGGACTCAATCTCGATGAAGTCGCCTTCCGACTTACATTCCCCTTTAGTCGGCGGTATTCACGTTGAGTCCATACTTGACCTTGTGTCGCAGGATCTTGAGCCAGTATGTATTTTCGCGCACGGGGGTTCCACTGATGTCTTTACAAAGGTAATGGATGAGTTTGCTACCATCCAGCTGGTACATCCCCGCTGACTTATGCACGGAATGAAGTTCACTCTCCTCCTAAACGAGCCCAATATAACTTGCTAAAGACACTTGATTATCTCAAACGTAGAACGACTTGCCCGACCCGCTCGCATGCTCCTTTATCGTCCGTGCAAATGGGAATTGGGTTGCACGATGAGCTGTCTGTGCTCGATTGAGTCAGACCGGGCCGTCTTTAACAGAGAAACAAGACTATAAACTGGTGTACCCAAATATCCTGTGCTGGTGTCAAAAAATAACGCTCAAGAAAGGAAACATTGCAGGAAGCTGTTGGTTTCCATCTATTAACACTAGTTTCATTGGTGATTGGAGGGCTAGCGTGACGAGAAAGTGGAATCGTGTTGTACAGAGCTGCTGGAACGGAAATTATGAGATAGGAAGCAGCATTACCTTCCGTTCTGCCAATGTGCCAACTGCAAACCCAGCAGAACAAATTTAGACACCCTAGGTATCATTTTTACAGCACGTTGGAAACTCCCAGGCACGCTTTAGTTTTGTTGACTGACTTCAACTAGCTTCAATTGTCTATATACCGGGCAATCATCATGATCGTTCATGCTGCAACTCCCTCCCCCATCTGGAACTTAGAAGTCAAACTCCAAGGCTCGTGTAAGTCTGTCTACCGTGCCCAACTATTTAACCCCTTCTTGCCAAGATCATCCAACAATAAAAATCCTCCCCGCTCCTCGACATGGTTGCCACAGCCTCATTTGGATCTGCCCCAAGACGGTGCGCCTCGCCTGAGTTCCTCGCTCGCGGTCTGTCATCGCACTCGGGACGCTCGTGGAAGAGACGTCTCAGCCCTGTCGTCTCGTCTTCGTTTGTGTCTTTTCCGAGGTATCATATGGTTTCTCAGCGAAACCCGAAATGTATCGTCCACTTGCGTTCTCCTTCCTTCCCCAGCCTCACATCTACCGGAAACGTGCTCGGCAACGGCCCATAACCTCGCCTTGGCAGACTAACTCGGCGCTGAATTCGGAACCATCCAAAGTCAGGTAAATATCAAAGTAGACACGGTAGAAGGTGCCTTGAGGGGTATCCATGCGCTCGAAGTCCTTCTCCAGGTTCTTGCGTGACAGATCCGAGGTGAGGGTGACGACCTCCTTGATTCCTGTTGGGACATGTTAGCATCTGGAAAAATGGAAGTGAAGCTTCGGGGCAACTTACGGGGATCCTTAGTATACTCGGGGCAGACATCGTCGTCGCAGGCGTACAGGACATCCTCGTACATGAGAGTGGCACCGGGGGCGACTTGTCGGAAAAAGGAAACCTTGACAGGCTCGCCGCTCTTGACCTTCTGGCCCTTCTGGACAAAAATCTGTCGGGTGAACTTGCATCGGTCCTTGCCATCGAGAGAGGGCACACGGTACGCCTCGGGATGGTAACCCTCCTTGAAGGGCTGGAGAGTGGCCATGAGGTAGTGGCGACGGGCGACACGGTGGGTGATGATTCGCTCGGTGATACCGGCGGTGACGGCGCCCTTGACAATGGCGGCGACTGAGTCCATGGGTCGGACGACCTTGGACTGGAACTGGGGAGGGACGTGCAGCTTGATCTGTTGGAAGAGGTACTCGGAGGCACCGAAACCACCGACGACCAGAATGTTCTGCAGGGTGCGGTTCTGGGCCTGGATGGCAATGATCTGGTTTCGCACAAGCTCCAGAATGCGGTTGACGACGGGCTCGAAGCACTGGAGAATCTCCTCGTTGGTGAAGGTCATGTAACCCTCCTCGATACCGGCCTCGGGGAACTCAGCCTCGATACCGACATCGACAGCCCACTTCTGGCCGTTATTCCGGAAGTCGGCCTTGATTCGGTTCTCAAAGTCCATGATGCACTTGGCGTAGACACGGCCGGCCGTCTTGGAGCCATCGGGGAGCTTCATCTTGCGGATCTTTGTGCGCAGGATGTTGCTGAAGTTGCGGTTCAGGGCGGTAGAACCGCAAGAGTCACCAGATCCAGCCGTGCACTCGGCGACAGTGAAGGGGTTCTCCTCCTCGACCTCGTAGGCGATCAAATCGACGGTCCCACCACCGCAATCGACAATCAGGACGGCGTCGTGGACCTTGAGGTTCAGCAGACCAGTCTTTGAGCAGAAGAGGGCAGCGGCCTCGGGTTCAGAGACCAGGGTTAGGCGGTTGTCGTTCTCGTCCCGGAGGAAACCAGCCTGGATGGCTGCGGATCGAGTGGCGGCCTTGCCGGCATCGTTCCAGATGGCGGGCACGGTAAGGTAGTATCGGATGTTGCGCTCTTCTCGGTTGAACACCTCACCAAGGGTCTTCTGCAGCGCCGTGCGCATAGCCTGGCGGAGCTTGAAGAGGTAGTCGGCGGCAACGTCAATCTCTGACTTGCCTGGGGGCAGAGGAGGGAGGTTGATGGGGTCGATGTAGGTGTTACCGCTAAGCATCAGCTGCAGCTTGAACCACTCGACCTTTTGCACACCAGGCTTGGGGTAGCCGGTGGGCGCCAGGGCATCGGCGATATCAGGACCCCATCCTACCACCTTCTGATATTGGTCGTAGTAGAGGACGGTCGGGATCTGGGGCACCCGCGGTTAGCTTTGAACAACGGTTACAGAAGCCTATATTTGCTATAGCTGCCGTGACGCACCTTTTGCTTGGTCAAGTTGCCAGCTCCTGGCCACTCGGTGATGATATCTTCCTTGGCCTCGTTGTTGGTCGCGAAGGCAAAAGCAACACCGGAAAAGGTGGTTCCCTACGACATCCAATGTTAGCGACTGCACTCCATGATCCAAGGAACTCTTCCGGAAGCTTACGAAATCGATTCCGACAATCAGCTGTGCCTTACTCCTGCTGGCGCCCTCGACCTCAGCCGCCGGGTTACCCCGCCCGAACTGCTGGCCGAGGGGAGGGCCCTGGGGCGGCGGGGGACCTCCGGCGGGAGGATAGCCCTGGACTTGTTGTTGCTGCTGGCCGAAGCCCGGGGGACCGCCCATCGGGGGAGGTCCCTGACCCATGGGGTTCATGTTGGGAGGGTAGCCGACGGGGGCGCCGGTGTTGATCGGGGGTGGTCCTCCTACCATCTGGCTGGGAGGGGTGCGGTTCTGGTTGACGTGAGGGCTGGTGCGGCCAACGGGAGCCTGGCCGGGAGGGAAGTTGGCCGAGTAGCTGGGCGGGCGGTTGCCAGAACCCGGGTGATTCATTGGGAGGCTGGTAGTCGAAGAGGAGGCACCGATGGAGGGCGCGGGAGCGTGGTGAGGCTGCTGCGGTTGCTGCGGTTGTTGTTGAGACGGGAAGCGTTGTTGGTGAAGTAGTTGCTGCTGAGGTATTTGGCCGGGAGGAGGGGTCGGACTCGGGGTGAGACCCTCGGGGGTCTGGATGCTTGCGGCGGATTTGCGTTTTCCGAAGCCAAAGCTCTTGAAGCGGGAGTTCATAGAACTCATATGGAAAGAAGAAAGTCGGGGGAGGGCGACGGGGAAAAGGGTAGGACAGGTTTCAGAGGCACGGGAGCGCCGCAGGACGGGGCAGGACGGGGCAGGACGGGCAGGACGGTCAGGACTTGGGGGGGAATGGGGCTGGATTGGGTGGGAGGGAGGGGGAGGGGGAGAGAGGCTCGGGCTCGGGTCAGAAATTAGCACACGCACGGGGGTGGGAGGGGGGAGTGAGAATGACGAGCTGAGAGCGCGAGGGGAGGGGTGTGGACTGTGTGATTTGGGCTTTGGGCTTTGGGCTTGGGCCTGGGCCTCTGTATCCTGGGATCCCGGGGGCGGCGGCGGCGGCGGCGGCGGCTTTGGGCTGGCCACGATGTGTTTTGGCGAGGAGCTTTGTGGTGGGTGACTGGTGTTGGTAGCGCTATTATGGAGGGCTGGCTGCTGCTGCTGGACTGGCGGTGCTGCTGGCGCTTCTTGTTGGCGCTGCTTTGGGCTGGCCTAGGCTTCAGGTGGGCTGGCTGGACTTGCTTTGTGGTGTTTTGGCGGGGGACCAAGCAAGAGTTGAGTTGCTGGAAGGATGCGAGCGGGACTGGATGTGTATGGCTGACGACCGGGAACTCGTGGGCTCGGCGCGTGCTGGGCGAGACGGGAGGGGATGATGGGACTGCGGGAGCGTGGGATCGTGGGAACCAGAGCTCTCGTTGTGTGAGCTTGCCGTGTGAGTGAGTGGGTGAGCCCTCTCCGTGGTGCTTGCGTGAGTGCGTGCGTGTATCGACCTATCCCGGGCTGCTGTGGATCGACTGGCTGGACTGGATGGATGAGCTCTGTCGGTCTCAACTCAATCTCCCTATGAGCGGCGGCGGTGGCGGCGGCGTTTCAAGGCGTTTGGTGACGGGACGACAAGTAGTCTAGGCGATGGGTAAGAAGCAGTCAGCTACCTGGCACTGGCGCTGGCTCTGGCTCACCCTGGGCCTCGCTCTCGCTCTTCTCGTGCCTCCGCCTTAGGCTTGGGCGTTTGGGCTGTGGTGGCTGACGAGGGGCGCTGCAGGTTGGGAATAGGGACTTGGGCCCGCCGCCGGGGGACTCGGTGACCAGGGGACTGGGCTGTGAACTTGGGAAGAGGCGGGGTGGAGCAGGAAAAGCTGCGCGAAAGGGACACCAAGCTGACGGCGCTAGAGTCTGTCTGGCAGTGTAAGGCTGAGGCAAGGTCGTGTCGGGGATGGGGTCCGTTGCAGCTTGTCAGGATTGAGGCCGGGCACTTCCTCGCCGTGATGGAGATGGACACGGCTCTGGAACCGTTGTTGCTTCACCGTGATGTGAATTGCCGCTGGCTAAGGTATTGATTGACTGGTTATCGGGAAGACTTGCGGTCGAGAACCTGTCCCGCCGACGAGGGCTGAGAGTTTTGGTGCGGTACGGTACGGGTACGGTACGATACGGTACGGTGCGCTGCGGCGTGGTGCAATTGGCCGTCGCCCCGCCGTCTGCTTTGGTGGGGTTCTGATTTGGTCGACGGGGGTCGCAATCGGGCTGACGAGAGGCAATTCCCGCCGTCTCTTGTTCCTGTTTCCGGGAACTGTGGCTAGTGTGCAAATTAGTGAAGCCCTCTGTAGAACCCTCGCTACGCCGCTTTCGAGTTCTGAGATGCCCTGGAAGGACGGACACAGCGGCCACCAGTCTGCCTTGTCCGCTGTCAGGTCCGGCCTCTGATGGAAGACGGGCGTGGGTGGATAGGGCCATGGATGCCGGTGCGGGCGTGGGTGTGGGGGGCGTGCGCGTACACTCAAACGTTGAAACCTCACCTACCCTTCTTTGTGCGCTTTTGGCGATCGGGTACCCGGGATAAGTTAAGGGTTCGATTGAAGGTTGCAGATAGAGGCAATCTGGAGTGGCCTGGGGAAAGACAAGAACGTTGAAGCTAAGCTAGGGCCGGGATTCCCTTCTACTGGGAGGACAATGGGGGGAAAAAGAGGATGAGGTTTTTGGAACGGTGACGATGACGGCGGGGAAGAGAACTGATGGGCGCAGACAAAGGTGATGACGAACCACCAAGCTCGGCCACCCAACCCAAGCGACGTTGTCGCAGGCCCTTTGTTGGCGTGGGCCGGTTCGGGGACGACGGGTTTGACAGCAGGATACTACAGGGGGATCCCCAGGGGATGCGATTCGGCGATTCGATGCGATACTGGGCTCCCTCACCAAGGTCCAGGTCCAGGTCCAGGCCTAGCAGATGATCCCATTCGTACCTGTTTCTGAGCCTGTCCTACGCCTATTCACCCACGAACCAAACCAACTCTCCCCGGCGACGACACGCTCGCTTTCGCTTTTGGTGAGAGAGTGGGGGCCCAGCAGGCCCAGCATGCCCAGCAGACGTATGCGAGTGAGGCTGAGACGCCCTGGAACACGAACCTTGGCGGGAATAGGACCAGCTCGGGTGACAAATGCAGTATGCTGGACGAGCCCAGAGCCAGAGCCAGAGCTACTACGTAGCAGAGCCGTGGAGATCCAGGACTCTGTCTAGGACTTTGCTCCCCCTGGGTCCGTGGCCTGTGGCCCTGTGGGGACGGTTCAGGCCCCTGTGGTTGGCTGGTGAGCCCGCTTCCGCTGCGTTGGGCTGTTAATTACCTACCGCACGTACAGTATCGTCCTCTGCTTCGTATCTGCTCCCTGTGAGAATGTCTTGGCCATCGATGTTCTGGCTGTGCCTCAAAGTCAATATGTATCACGGCGACTCTACGTCTCTACGTCCCACTTGCTTCTCTTTTGTCCCCATTCCCATTCCCATTCCCATTCCCGTCCCTTGGCCTGCTGCATCCCCGGTCCTACGCTGGGTCTTTTCATCCTGTCCTGGCGTACAGCACAAAGCCCTGGACGAGCCGAGACCAGACTAGGCCATTCCTCACTTGGGTGACTTGGCTCTCTGTTGCCCTCTCATGCACGGCGCCGATCCCGCCCATGAGGCGCCGTGATTATTACGAATTATTGAACCTTTTCCCAACGATGCGGATGCCACGAGGCACGACCGAGACCCTCCTGCATCTTCCCATCCATACCGTCTCAATCCATCCAATCCGTCCAGTCCATCCCACCCGCCCACACCGTCTACACCGTCCTCGTACAGCTCCGCGTATTTGCATCCCGAAACCCACAATCTCATTCCCCATCATCTCGCTCCCCAAAGCCAGCTACCGAGAAAAACCACTTTTCCACCATCGCTGTCCCTCGTCCCGCTCTGGCCGCAACTCGAACGCTCCACCCAAGCGCTGCCCACGATGAGGCTGAGCAAGAAGCAGTGCCTCATCAACGGCTCCTAGGTCGCGGCGTTGCTGGGGGGGCCAACCTGGCGGCAGGGGTGTTAATTTTTGGATGCTCAGCCGCACCCTAAGCGGGAACCAAACAGAAGCTTGTCTGTCATCTCGCCCACCCACTTCTGACCCCCCTTCTTCACACAAGCAGCTTTACGACAGTATTCGCATGGGCTGGGCTACCTCTCGCTGGTTCCGAATCACGTGGATTCCTAAGCGTCTGTTGCCATCCCCTAACATTCGATAGCCTTGTCTTACCGATACAAGAAACCTTCACCATGGGAATACTCCGATTTTAGCTTCCCAGCCGGGGCGCACAGGCTCGCCGATCCTGGTCCAGAGCAGAGGCGCTCTAAATAAAGCATCTGTGGACAGGCACGTGTGGGGCATCAACAACCACAACCCCTCCTTACCTGGCACCAATGCGGGGTCCTACCCTATCTCTGCATGTGACTGATTGAGCGCCAACCTGTCGGTAGTTGCTAATGCTAGAAAACACCCAATGCTGGCATTAATAACAGACCGATAGACCCTGTCACTTGATATGCATCATCTAAACTTCCACGCGTTTAATCCAATTGACTGTTGGCTGTTGGCTGGCCTCAATTCAGGGTCGAGTCTGAGACGCAGGCGCTTAAATCAACTGCTTCTCCTTGTCCAAATAATTGCCCCTTCACCATTCGCTATGCTACCTTGATCCTTTTTAAGTTAGACATATCATACACAAACTGGCAGCTTCATTACCCCCTCTCGCCCTCAAACCCCTTTGCCCACTCTCTTAATCCTCCTCGTCGTCCTGGACCCATCCCCTGCTCATTTCTACTGCCCGCTCCCATCTTTTGCGCATCCGCTTGCGCTGACTAACCTCAAGCTGAGGCCTGAACACTTTGCGGCCCTTGCTGTTGACTTGGTGGAGTTCATCGAGTTCGTTCCAGACACCAGTAGCCAGTCCAGCCGCAATAGCAGCGCCCAGTGCCGTTGTCTCACGCATCGCGGGTCGATCGACGGGAATACCGCTAAGGTCAGCCTGGGTCTGCATACACAGGTCCGAGTTGGACATTCCACCATCTACAGCCAACTTCTCGAGAGCGTGACCAGAATCGGCGGCCATGGCGTCTAGAATTGCTGCTGTCTGGTGGCAAGTTGCCTCGAGTGTCGCTCGAACAACATGGCCCTTTTCTGTGTGCTGGGTGATACCAACTACAAGACCTTAGGTTAGCTATAATCAACAGGGAACAGGGAGACCAAACGTACAGAGGGTGCCCTTGGCATCGTCAATCCAGTACGGAGCGAAGAGTCCGCTAAAGGCAGTGACGAAGACAACACCACCATTGTCAGGGACTGTTTTGGCGACAGCGTCTACCTCCGCGGACGCCTTGATGATGGAGAGGTTGTTCTGGAGGAATTTCACCCCGGACCCAGCTACAGCGATACTACCCTCAAGGGCGTAAACAGGTTTCCGCCCCTGACCAAAGTCATACGCAACCGTGGCAAGCAGGCCCATTTTGGAGATGACAGGTTCATGCCCTACATTGTAGAGGAGGAAACAGCCTGTGCCATACGTATTCTTGGCCTGGCCTGGACTGAAACCACACTGGCCCACGAGGGCTGAGGACTGGTCACCCAAGCAGCCGGCAATGGGTGTGCCCTTGAGGGATCCACGAGCCAGTGAGCCAAAGGCAGTGGCGTGGGATGATGGAACAATCTTGGGCAGACCAAGCTTGTTACGATCAATCTCAAAGAATGAGAGGAGAGAGTCGTCATAGTCCAGGGTATGGAGGTTCATGAACATAGTCCGGCTAGCATTGGTTGAATCGGTGACGTAGATGGGACCACCCTCCCTATCATGGCCTCCGTTGAGACGATAGATGAGCCATGAGTCGACTGTACCGAATGACAAGCGCCCTTCCTCATACGCCTTACGCACAGAGTCGACATTCTGGAGAACCCAGAGCAGTTTGACACTGGAAGGATAGGTGGATAGGGGGAGACCGCAAAGCTCCTGAAGCTTCTCGGCCCCTGGCCGACTCTTCAGCTCTCGGACGAGCGAAGTAGTCCGGGTATCAGGCCAAACAACAGCATTGTACAAGGGTTCGCCGGTGGTCTTGTCCCAAAGGACAGTAGTCTCTCGTTGGTTGGTGATGCCGATTGATCGAATCTCAGACAGGGAGTGGCCCTGTGCCACGAACTTCTCGGCCGCTTTGTCAATGCAAACCTCAACAGACTCGAGGAGCTCGATAGGGTCATGTTCATGCCACCTACGAAGTTCGTTAGAACAATTTTGCAAGAGAAAGGGAAATTAGACTTACCCAGAGTGGGGGTACTTGTTCTCAAACTCAATCTGATGGCTGGCAACGGGCTCACCGTGGCCGTTGAAGATAAGGAAGCGGGTTGACGTTGTGCCTTGGTCAATGCTGCCGACAAACCAATGTTTCTGCTTTTCCTCCTCTGTCTCAATAATTCCGTCGGGGAGTTGCTCCTCTGTCTCAACGATTCCGTCAGAGAGTTGTTCGTCTGTCTCAGTAATTCCGTTGGGGAGTTGCTCCTCTAGCAAGACGTCGGCGGTACGAGGCCGCTTAGCCTCTCGAGCATTGTCCGAGTTGCTCGGTCCCTTGATATCATGCTTGTAAGGCACTGCCTGAGGCGACGCAGTGGCGGTTGTGAATTCCATCCTTGCGCACGACGCGGTCGCAAATGACCGTCTACGTTTTACAGTGTCGTGGCAAGGGGGCCGTTCCTAGCAGGAACGTGGAGGTAGAAATGTGGGGGAGTGGAAGGTTCGCGGGGAGCAGGAGGATAGGGATAGGGATGTGGATGTGGAGGCTGATGTCGATCGCTGTGACAATCTGGGGCGCTGGAAGTGCAGGAAACGGGCGGTTCTAGGTATATTGGACAGAGAAGAAGCCGAGCGTGCAGTGAAGATGAAGGAGGGAGTAAAAAGAGGACAAGAAGGTCGAGGAGAGGGAGGACGGGATAAATGAGTAAGGAGACGGCTGGCCGAGAGCGAGTGGGGGAGGGTCGGGCCAGACACTCCGAGCCGCACTCGCGGGAGAGTGCGGCGCACTGGCATTAGCAATGACATTGGCAGTGGCAACGCCAATGGCAGGAGCGTGGCAGCTGACATGTGCTTGCGACGTCGGGGGCCGGAAAGGGCAAGAGGGGAACGAGAGGGGGCAGGTACCACGAGGGGGGAGATTGCCGTCCACTGCCGCTGCCGGAGAAGATCGATCGCCGCGCACGCGCACGCGCAAAGAGCAGTTTTCGATATTGGTGAGTTGACTTTTGCCATGGTGGATCTCAACCCCAACTTGCAGGTCACACGGGGAACTGGGGTGGCCCAGGCGCGGCGGAGCCCGACACTACGGAGCCCCGGCCGTCCCCAGACGAGGAAGGACTTCTATGGCAAATCCCCAGCGGGGCATCAATTTGGGGGCCTGGTTGGTGGACAATCTGTGGGGCTGCAGAGACAATGGGGGAAGTTGGACTCGCCCGCCCCCAATTAACCCCCAAATACTGAGAAATGCTGTGCTCTATCACAATTGGGGGACGGCAAATTGATGGGGAGGCCAGGGAGCTTCTGCCGGTCATCGTCCGTAAAGCCGATATTGCTTCCGGTGATTTCCTGGCCCTGCTTCGGCATAAGACACCCAGCGGCACCGGATCTCGTCTCATCTCACCACATCTTATCTCGTTTCCGGTGCGGCGCGAGAACACAATCCTCGTCCTTGTACTGAGAGGAGGAGCGCACGGATCTAAAGAGTCAGGCTTGCTCTCCCCGACGCGTGTGAATCCACGACTCTGGAAATATAGGAGCCCAAAAGTATCAGCCGTCGGATTAGTGTCTGCCTTGCTTCTCTGCATTTAGGCGTACTTATTCCTCTTTTTCGATGCCTCCGAGGTTGATGTGGGTGGCCGAGTCTGGTCACGAGTCTGGTCCCGATGTGGCATGCGAGACATAAGGAAGGTGCAATCAAGGTGTTTCCTGCTGACAGGATGGCCACTGTCCGTCACTGCCAACTCTTCAACTTCCCCCTGGCAAGAAAATTTGCTTCACCAGCACGAACACTGAGTCTCCTCATTCCTTGATTCGAATGATCCTCAGCCATTGCCCTCTTCGCTTGGAAAAGCCGGACTGTCATATGTGCTCTCGACAACTGTAAGTGACAGAAGAACTTGCAGGCAGTCAACCCCCACGGCAACTTCGTACACGCATCCAAGCCACTACAATGCCGACTCCACCATTACAGAGACGACTTGCCGGGAATCCCGAGACCACTGACACGAGGTGAGCACAGAACTTGACTTGTCAGAACATTGTCAAGGTGTTGCGCTTTTAACGGGCTAACGTGCCTTGATCAGCGCTTGCAAATCCACCCGCCTTGAATCCCAAACGGTTTGCTTCACACGGCCCTCGCAACAGCGAGACTTGGTAACGGGATTTACTCCACCTGACTCGCGCACTACCAAGCGGCATGCATTCAACAGCCTGGATGATGGCCCTTACAACTCGAAACACAAGCGCCTGCGTACCGGAAACCAGCCACTACCAGCTTCTCCGCCAGCCTCGCTGCTTTGTCTACGAACCCCCACCCCCTCGTCTTGTCTTCCTAGGATTTCCGATGTGCTGGTTGAGGATCAAAGTTACCAGGAACATGGTCCTACTCCCCACATGTGCGGTGACGCTACATCTGCCGTATCCATCAGCAGTCCCTGGGGGAATACCAACAGACTTTCACAAACTTCTAGTATCCCTGACTTATTTGACGACTCGGACCTGGAGCAATTTATGGACAAAATAAGCGAGGGTCTTTTAACAACTACACCTCGGAACCTGGGCAACCAAAACGACACCGAAGAAACGTTCTCTTTGACTGACTTTGATGAGGAGACCATGATCGAGCTTTTGAATGGTGCATCCTGCAAAGAGACGCAGAGACCGCCATCAAGCGTCGTACGAGCGTATGATTGCGATTCCAGGTCCGCCGATGAATTTGATTCAAATTTACAGCACTCTTCCCCATCCAGTAGCGTGGGCCTTGGGATTTTAGTCAAGGATGATTCACCACTGGAGCAAGATGTTGACTGGGGCCAAGTGCATGAGCGTGCGCAGCTGCCCAAGGCCAATTCAACCCCTAGTTCACAAGGCACGCGAACACTACAATCAATTGGCTGTGAATCTACACAACTTACATCGCTTTCCCCCATGAGACGGTCTTCGGCTGCGATTAAGCCCAGCTCCCCTGTCCCATTTGCCACGGAGATGCTACTCAAACCGCACAAAACGTTCTTCCACATCCACGAAATGTTGAGTGCCAAGGCGGAAATGTTCAAAAACCAACCAGACGCTATTTTTGAACTATTTGCTCGAGTAGTGTACTCGAGCCGCGAGAACTTTTACCGCAAGCAGCACTTTCAGTTTCGAAGCCTGTTCAAGGAGTCACCGCCGTATCTAAATGGGATCCTTGTTGGCTAGGAAGCCGGAGGTCCCTTAGATTGCGCCACCCGTGAGTTTTTATGGCCCAATGTTGCAGGTACCAAGTGTTTTTGTCAGTGCAAACTTCGACTGGACACCCGATCAGATCCAGGTTGGTCAATCATGGTGGTTTCTATCCGGCCGACGACCTGGAAGGAGATTCGGAGTGTCATGGATGTGCTTGGGAGGACAGATCTCGACGATGCGAGAATTCCCCCAGCATGAAGGGTGATGAAGTGTGTATCATGGAGGTGCTATTTTCGTTTCTTCTCTATTGCTCACAAGTGAGACTGGGGAACTCGACACCGTTGTCTTCTCTACAGCTTCTGCCGATATCAATCGTATGTAGCTCGGTTTCCAATCCCATTCCAAATATTTTTCCCTGCCTCGACCATTTCGAGGCCCAATCCAAGTTTATCCAAGACCCATTCCTAAAATCCATCCAATCTCAAACGCTCACTCTTATTGTGCCTTAACAGGTCACACCGGTCTACCAAATCTAGTTCTTTACATTGATCAAGTGGAGGTAGTCACCCATCTTCTCAATCATGAGCGGACGCAACTCACGTTGCTCCGTCACCGTCAGCGGGATCGAGTTGCCATGTCGACGGCACCAGCTCTCGCTGGTTTCACGGAGGGCAGCGTCCTCGTCCTTGCCTGTGGGGTCGACAAACTGATATGAGCGGTACTCGCAGTTCAGCCAGCCAGTAGCTGTGTACTAGTTAGCGACAACTATCGTCTTGGAGGCGTCGGGTCTCTTCTCTGTTATTCCCGTTGGAAGTAGAGGGTGGTCACATACCATGGTCAGGATCAACACCCTGCCAGTCCTCGGTTAAAAAATGCAAGAATCCGCCGTGAGTGACGACAAGGATGTGCTCATCACCGTTGCCGGCAGCATCCCTCAACGTGTGGCGGGCCAACTTGGCGCGAGCCACCAGCTTCTCCATCGTGGGCTCATACGGGCTGTCAACACCCTTCTCAATCCACGTCTCCTCAACGTGGGAGTAGTCAGCCTTGCCGGCGAACTCGGCCGAGACCTTGGGGACGGCCGTGCCGATGTCACAAGGCGTGTGCGAGATCTCCTGGAACTCGGGCAGCGCGGTGATGGGTAGCAGGGCGTCGTTGCCAAATGCCTTGAGGCAAGTGTAGACAGTACGACGCATGGGGGAGGCCAGCAGCTTGGTCACCTTGGCATGATGCGGGAAGGCGGCGCGCAAGTCAGCGCACTGCTGCTCGCCAAGGGGAGTCAGATCCGGGTCGTGGATCTGCTCGGCGGCCCGGGAGAGGTTGTGGAAGCCCTGGGCGTGGCGGACGAGGTGGATTGTGGGGGCCATGGTGGAGTAGTAGTTGTTGTTGTTGTTTCTCTTCTGTTGTTGAGAGAGAGAGAGTGGGTGACGGGGTGTTAATAAGTAGAGTGAGGGAGAGTAACACTCGAGAATGATGACGATGTGAGGGATATAGACGAGGTAGCCAACGGGAGTCCGGCAAGCTCAATCGTCAGCGGGATCACAAGATCACAGGAAGAAGCACGACGATAGGAAAACAGGAACAAGAAAAGGAAAAAAAAAACGCCTTATCAGTTCTCTCATCCAGGGAAGACCCTACGACGGCGCTCCAGCCCTCGTGTCCGCGCGCGCCCGCATCGACGATCCCATCACACGCACCCCCTCTCCTGCGTCCAATCCAATCCGACGGGCTCCCGCGGCCCCCGCGAGCCAGCGACTCTCGTCTCCAAAACCGCGTCGCATCTTGGCCAACAATGACTCCCACACTGCCCGCCGGGCGGCCAACCGAAGTCCGGCTCCGGCGCCGCAGCTGCGGAGCTACCCTGCAGGGCCATGACGGGCGTGGGCCGCCCCGCGCCGCCGATTGGTCCGGCCTGCGGAGGGGCGGGGGGCGGACCGCGGTCGGTTTTGTTTGACATGTTCTCGCGCCTGTTGGGTCGTCGATTGAGGGACCGAGGTGGCGGGAATGCCCACATGGCGCGGCAAATAGCTTTTTTTCCCTGGCTAGTTGACCAGATTTATCATCACCGACTATCCCTACAGCATCGGGATTTCTCATCCTCGACCTTGTCATCTGTCATTTGTAGTCATCGTCCTGGTTGGAGGGCCGTGTGTTGGTGGTGGTGTGAAAGCCCCGCTGCCTTGCGCCTCGGCTTGCTTCTTGCGGGAACCATAGGGACAGGGAGTAAGGATACTTCACCTGCCGGTAGTTTACTTCTTCAGATCGATGGCATCTAGGGCCTCTAGCATCTGTAAGCGCTTAGGATCAGGACGTGGGACACATGACACGCAAGCCAACATCAACTACGGGTCCCAGTGGCACAAGCCGGCAACTGAGTGCTCTTCATAAATCGCGGTATTGTAGTAATCGCCTGGGTTGTCCAAGCCTATCGGATGCCCCTGCAGTACATTCTTGTCGCCGAATAAAACGGATACCCGCCCAACGCCGTTGGTTCACTGGAACCCAGTCTCCGACACACGCAATAGCAAACACCTTCTGACAGTACCTTGCTCTACCCCGCTTACCCATTAAAGCTCAATCAGTGCTTCCTCCTTGACAGGCTGCTGCTGCTGCTGCGGGTGACCAGGCTCGTGAGTTGGCACTGCTGGAAAAGGATCTTGGCCATAGCCGGCGTATGCCCAGTTCTGCGGCGCGGCGGGGGGTGCCTGGTGTTGCTGGGGCATTGATGGTTGCCAGTACGGTTGTTGCTGCGGAGGGGGCGCTTGCTGAACCGGTTGCGACGGCTGAGGTGGCTGGGTCTGCTGGTGTTGCTGAGGGGGTTGGGCGAGTTGCGCGGTTGGAGGCGGTTGAGATGGCTGAATAGGCTGAGCAGCCGGGACCGGCTGAGCAGGAGTCTGAATTGGCGTTGGCAGTGATGGGGCCGGCATTGACCCTATCGGGTACTGCATGGGTTGCTGTAGATTCGGATAAGGAGATGGTCCGGCTTCAGGGGCCGGCCCGGGGGCTGACGGCCCAAGGGGAGCTGCTTGAGGAGTCTGCTGCGGTGGGAGGTAATATGAAGCATTGGGGTCGATAGATGGCGTTGCAGTAGCTTGCTGAGGTGTCTGGGCCGGCTGAGTCGCATCGAGGGGAAGCTGCTGCTGGTATGGGTCCTGCGGCGCAGATGGTGCTGACGGTGCCTTATCCCGCCAGCTCTCGGCCCGCTGCAGTTGCTGTGGCGGCATCTGCTGTGGCGGCAGCTGTTGGGGTGGTGCGTATTGGCCGGGTTGAGTTGGGACGGGGCCGTACGATGCATATTGAGGCTGGGGAGTTGCCTGCGGTGGTTGTTGCTGATAAGGGTGCTGCGGAGGGGCATGGTAGCTCGCTCGTTGCTGGCCAGTATAAAAGCTCTCCGCTACCCCAGGGTTGCTAGCCATGTGCGAAGGCATGGACGGGTAGGGACCAGCTTGTTGGCGAGGAGGGAGGTTGTATCCACCCAGGCTTTGTTGGTGATAGGCCTTGGATAGTCTCTCCTCCAGCATGCGGTCGTAGTACCGGACCACGGTTGAGAGCTTGGCATGAAGATCCAAGAGGGTATCTGAAGATGAGTTAGTCCTGCCGAAACATTCAACGCGGGGATGAACCATACCATGCTTGCTCATAGATTCTCCGTAGGTCCGTGCCAGCTTGGGACGTAGTGATCCGATGCTGTCATAGAGCTCCTGAATTTGGGGCTCCCGGAGGATGGTACCAGGCGGCTGTGTCTGCAGCCGGTCAACCAGTGTCGAGAAGAGGTTGATGTTTTCTGCCTCCACAGGTGTCAACTCATAGTCGTTCTTGGGCATGACGAAAGCGGTGGTGCCGGCTCCGGCGCTACTCGACGTGTGCTCCTTGAGCACCGCAGCGTGCATTTGTTTCTGCTCCTCCATATCGGCCAAGGATGCTGCAATTGCTGCCCTTAGGTCCTCATCCTCCTCCTCGGCTTGCTTGGCGGCCGAGGCATCCCCATTGGTCTTGGGGGCGCTTATAACAGGCTCAGCATACGCACGCGTGTGAGTCTTGACTTCCTCCAAGCTCATTGCCAAAGCCTTCTTCAGATCCTCGTCGAATCCTTCATCCACACGGGCGTTCCGTGGCTGCATGGCCGAGGTGCTGCGAGTTTTGTGGGGGTACGTCGGCGATCGATCGAGGGATGGGCTAGGCTCCTTGAAACCCTTGCTCGTGAGTTTGGCATAGCAGCCATCGTCGACTCGAACGGGGGTCATGATTCCTAAATGCGGGAGAGCGACAGTCTTAGTCGAGCACTGCTGGTCGAAGCAGTTTCCACAGTTTCGGCAATGGTGCTTTCGGTTGGTAAACGTAAAGGCGGTTCGACATCGCATACAGACTTCCGAGTCCGACCACTCTGGGGGCTAGAATCCGGCATTGTCAGCTACCCATCATGTCGTGTTCTGCTGGTTCTCTCTTACCGCACTGCTATCAATCATGCTGCTCGATACTGAAATCTTGGGTGGGAATTGATGTCCCTCTCGCTGCAACGTCTTGTACACCTCACCAATATAACCAAGTTCGTATCGGCCTTCAGTAGCTCCCGCCCACGATTGTATCAACTCGAGAATCTTCGATTTAACTTCAGCGTTGACGGCGGCGCTTCCAACGGCCTGGAGAAGCGACACTAAATTGTCCATGAACTCGCGAGAGGCGATCTCGGCGAGGAAATGCGATCCGCCATTCTTAACACAGGTATCGGTAAGCTAGATCAGGTCAGCCCCAGAACATCCTACAGTAGCCATGGGATTCCGTACGCTCAGAGCGCTCAGCTGGGAGTTGGGGTTCTTGTTGCCGATGCGCCGTTTGAGAGAGCGCATGGCCTCCTTGGGCGCGACCGTCTTGGATCTGATGACATCGGAGATTTCGAGGTTCAGCGCAATATCCTCACTGGGCATCAGGTCAGTCAGCGAGGGGGAAACAACAAAGCGCGGGCTGGTTTGGGGTGCGCATACAGGCTACTGCTCGTGGCCTTCTCGATCTGCTCGTCCAAGGCCGTGTTGGCCGAGGACGACCACCAGCTCATCATCTTGGGGGCGACGGCGGCGACGGCGGTTGGGGTGGCGGAACGAAGGGAGGGGGTCTGGACGCTCGGATGATGCGTAAACCGGGAGAAGTATTGAGGCTCGCGGACGGCGGCTTAAGCAGCAGAGCAAAGAGATGGATGGTGTTGACGGTGTCAAGGTGGATGTCGAGTCGAGGTTCGCCAGGCGTGTTCCAGGCTGTCGTCGCCCCAGCCTCAGTCAGTCGGAGGCGGCGATGAGGTACGACGTAGGAGGTACGAAAATGGGTTAGCTTCCATGTGTTTGGCCTACGCTACTCTGTCGTAGGTGCCTCTCCAGGCCCCCAGCGCTGTGGCCTCTGCTATTGGCAGAGCGATATTAGGTAAGGGCCCTGCTGAGGCAGCTGTCCGGGCAATCCAGGTCCCCCGTAGCGCCTAACGGACAGGGGCTCCTTGAGCCTGAGGGATCCACTGACGCTGCCCGTCCAGTGGGTGTAGCTCAATAGTGTCTGCCTTGCGTCACAGTGGGCGGGCGACCCGCTAACTCCCAGTGCAAGCAACCTCCAGAAACATGCGGCGAGCAGATGACGACGGTGTTGTGGCGTACGTGGCTCGTGGCCGCTAAGCTGGGGAAACGAGAAACTCTACCCGCGTGCAAGGACTAGGTACTTGGGATGCCTACTCACCACAAAGGGGATCGAGGTACCCCCGCCACACCTCCATGTACCGCCCCGCGAAACCACATGGCCATGAGAGCTGTCGTTCACCTGCCCGCCAATGTCCGCTGGTTCCTTTGTCGTCGGCATGACCACCAAGCGTCTCCGACTTCCAACATCGACTCGCGCCCGCATCGTGATTTTCTGCAAGGGGCCTGTGAGAGTTTCGTCAAAGAATCCTTTGAGAGAATGCTGCATGTTCTAGCGACTACCCTGTGGACGGAGCGCTGATCCCTTGTGTCCCTATATCTGCTATCCAGCCCGTTCATGCTCCTCCATTGTTCCTGATACTTGCTCGACTCCTCCAACTCCTCCTTGTTCCTGCGCGCGCCCACGACCTGACCCGACCTCGATTTCCGAATACCGCCTTTATCAGAAGCGACATGATTCGTCGATAACCGTTCCACCCGATCCAACATTGTGATGACGTCCCTGGGCCATTCGCGAGCGACCAGCCTGGTCGACACCCGCAACCGACCCATGGCCACCAGCGGCGCCTTCAATCCTCCGCCGCCCTCAGGCCGCAATGGAGGCGATTCCAGGCCCGGCGGGGCCCCGATCCCGCACATTGATGATATCCTGGGGGCTCCCAGAGACATCGACATAAACCAGTCTATCCGCAGGTTGTTGGAATCGGCCGAGGCATCGCTGCGACAGGCGGAGATGAGCCGCGACTTCAAGAGGCCTGCGCTGGCCTTGAAAGACTATATTCGAGCGTCTGTTATTGCGATCCAGACAATCCGTAATCACCGAGACTATGCCTCCCTCAAGGGCGACCACAATGACCTGGCACGAGCACACAGTTCCCTGCTCAAGAAGATTAGCCAGCAAGATGCCACCTTTGCGAGGATCAAGCAAGACATTATCGCAGACAACAAGAGGACCGGCGTGCGGCCCACCAGCCACAAACCCGGATCGTCCCAGGAGAATGGTGTTGGCTCTCGGTCCAGATCTCCCGTCAAGGCGACGCAAGATGTCGGCTCATCACTATCCTCGGTGAACCGATCACCTGCTGCGTCTCCGCGATCGAGCATGAACGGGTCTCCGGCAAGAGCCAGGCCAAGTATCCAACCGAAGCCCCAAGCTCTCCACGGGAATGCAATCAGCTCAGCCCGTTCGAGTTTGAGTCTTTCTGTCTCTGCCGCCCAGGAGCTTGCCGCTCGCTTCGCCAATCTCAGAGGCCCTCAAGCGTCTCCAAGCCCCCAAGCATCCCCAGGCCAGGATCCCCGCATCAAGACACACCAAATCATCCCCCCCAAGCCTGCCGGCCCTCGAGAGATGCCACCGCCACCGCCGAGACCACCAAAGATTGATATCAATACCAATATGCCGAGTTTACCCAAGATGCCGGATGCAATCTACAGCCCCCGCGGAAGCATTTCAGGAGAAACACCGAGACCTCCAGGCACAACTCGTGCTGTGTATAATCGAAACGGCACTACGACCCCCTCTGTTCCCGGCACCCCTACACAACAGTCACAGGCCCAGGCTGATTACTTTGCGCCAGCCCAGAGCTATTCCAACATATCAATACCCCCTACACCACCTGAGAATGCTATGAAAGTACCAGAAGGAGATTCAATAACATCCGATCAGCTGTACCAGGCCATGAAGGCGAAAGGCTCCATTCTGGTCATCGACACCCGGCTTCGAGAAGATTTCAATGAAGGTCACATCATGTCTTCGTCGACCATCTGCATTGAGCCGAGCGTCTTGCTTAGGGAGAATCTTTCCGCGGATCAGATATCCGAGAGTCTGGTGTTGTCCCCGAACCAGGAAGAGTCACTATTTGAGCAGCGAGACAAGTATGACCTAGTTGTCTTTTACGACCAGGAATCCGAAGAAGTCCCCAAGAATCCCCGTAGTTCTGACGACCTGGTTCTCGTTTCACTTCGACGAGCGTTGGTAGATTACAACTATTCGAAAGACCTCAAGAATCCCCCCAAGATTTTGAAAGGAGGTCTTGATGCCTGGGTGGATTTAATGGGCCCTGCATCACTACAGTCAAGTACGCAAACTATCACACCCAAACCAACCAAGCGAATCCGAAGCAGTACGATTGAGCGGACAAAGTCGAAGTATGTTGTCAAAGCCTTGAAACCAGACGATGTCAAGGCTTGGCAAGAGACTTTGAAGAATGAGGACATGGAGACGGCAACCTCGCCCAACTTCCTCCGGTCCCAGGAGGAGTTTCTCAGGAGGTTTCCGCCCGTGGCTATGGAGCAAGAGTCCATGTCATCGCAGGAACAGTCGCAGGGCCGGCCAGCATACGGGCTATCCCATAAAGTCGATTTATATACCGACCTCCCTTCACCTCCAACTAGACCCGCCCCGGCCCTGCCACGGCCAAGCTACAATGGTCTGACGGAGGGTGCGGATGAGAGGGAGCTTTACGGGAAAGCCAACGGAACGCCGACAAACCGGCAGGTAACCCGTGCGCCCGTGAAGGCCGTAGAGCAACCGCCAGCGGTCGACAACACTAAGTTTTACACGGGACTCAATAACCCCAATAACTGGTGCTACGCAAACAGCACCCTGCAGTGTCTCCTGGCCTCACCTGAGTTTGGAAGGGAGCTAGCGGACTCGACTTGGATATCTAAGTACAAGGCGCCGAAAAAGGACGACGAGAAGATTGAACATCCTCAGCTGATGATTCGAATCATCACCAACCTGTTTCACTGGATGAGCTCTGGCAAGTTCCAGGTCATGAAAGCCCAGACGTTGATGGTCAGTTATGCGCCCCTTTTCAGACACATGCCAGAATTCGGCTAACTAGCGAACAGAATTACTCGCGCCACCTCTGTAAACAAGCCCAGGGCCTTGAGCCGTTTGGTGGAGATCAGCAGCAGGACGCACAGGAGTTCATGTCATTTCTTCTCACTCACCTCCATGACGAGACCAACACGCGGCGAGACCGCAAGGGGCATGTCGAACAGCCCGACACCAAGCGCCAGTCGCTGCTCCAGGCGGCGGGCGAGTACTGGCACAACCACATCGGCCTCAACCAGTCCATCATCGACCGGTACTGGCGCGGCCTCGAGCTGTCGACAGTCAAGTGCGAGGAGTGCCACACCAAGACGTACTCCTTTTCGCCCTTTGAATGGATCCCCGTCACCGTGAATAGAGGCCTCAGCATGACGCTCGACGAGGTTCTCGGAGAGCACACGGCCGGGAACCATCTGAGCGACTTCTCCTGCGACAAATGCCGTCGTCCCACCCGCGCCCTCCAGTCCCTCTCCTTCGCCCGCATGCCCTCGCTCCTCTGCGTCTGCCTCCGTCGCTTCCAGTACCAGCCGGCCTATGGCAAGTCAGTCAAGTCGTCGGCGCCCATCACATGGGATTTCAACGACACTGACATGTCGCGCTACTTCCTCACGTCTGCCGACCAGACCCCGACCAACGGGACCACGGGCCCCACGGACCCGGCCTTTGCGGCGCCGTTCCGCTACGAGACGTATGCCGTCATCATCCACGAGGGCAGCACCACCAACAGCGGCCACTACACGGCGTACGTCCGGGATTCGTCTTCGCACGACCCCTACGCCTGGTTCTACTGCAACGATTCGAGCGTGACCAAGGTTCGTATCGGCAGCGGCGACCGTGACGACGTCCAGGAGGCCGTCTTCAAGACCCGCCGTGACAAAGTCCCCTATCTCATCTTCTTCCGCCGCAAGGGCATGCGGTGAGACTGATAGGTATTGGCACATTCGGAACGCCTCTCCCGTCCCGGTCCCTTGCGTCTCCTCCTAGCCTTATCACGCCTAGCCTCTCCGAGAGACCGGACCCCCTACGGTCGACTTGTCAACTGCCACGACTCCCTCGTATTATTAACCTCGGTACATCCGGAAGAGCCTCCAAGGCCCCCCGTCTATCAGGCTCATTTCCTCCCATCCTCGTTGGATACCGTCATGCGCATCTCCCCTGACCCCTGACGAGGCAGAACCAATACTCATCAACTCCCATATTCGGCTGTTTCCACATGCATGTGTTTCCTACGACACCGGCATCATCCGTTTTGACTGCTTTTTTTCTTTATTTATCCAGCTCTTGGCTTTTGTTCCTTTCTTCTTTGTGCTTCTTTGTCCCTATCTAGCAAGCAGGCAACAGGCAAGCAAGCATGGCACGGTGCAGGGGGTGGGCGTTTTCATCGAGCTTTGCTTCTTCCGGCGGTGTGCGAGAGATTACTAGTCTGTTTTACCAGCATGCTCTGATTTCCCCGTCAAATAATGACCACGACCATGAACCATACCATACCATGACCATTCTCGATAAGAAAAAGACCACAAAGCTGAAAGGTGTTGAAGAGACACATGACGTGGATACGTGGATGTGTGGATACGAGTTCGAGTGAGGCCGCAAGATAGAAATAAGACCCATCCACGTCTCTTGGCCGTCCCTGTTCATTCGTCGCCCCACTCAGCGCTTCGTTGTCAACCGTACGAATTAGGCTTGACATGTTCCTGGTCGAGGGCTTTCACATGTCAAGACGGAGCTGAGCGCAATCACATCAGATCACGTTGTCCGGGATATTCGGGGGGCCAAGAGCGAGCAGGGTCCTTAAAATATGGAACCATTCACATAAAACCGAGACGGCGGCTGGTTTAAGGCATTGAAATGAAATCCGATAAAACAGCATGGAGCCAACGCCGCACAAGCTACAGTACATACAGTCCAACACACTCTCCATCAGTGCCAACATGAAAAGCTGGGCGCACGCAAATCATAGAGCCCTCGCGCCTGGTATCCCTCGTCGTCTCGTCCGACCATCCGTCCGTCCATCCGTTCTCGCTGCGTCCCGATCGCCTATCCCTTCCGACATCACCCACGTCACGTATGGCGTCGCTTAGGCAGTGCTCTTGAGGCACTCGTCGATGTCCTTCTTGAAGGCCTCGCGGATTACTTTTCGGTTCAGCTTCTGCGTGGCGGTGACAAGGCCCTGCGGAATCATTGTTAGCCATGGTTTGTACTGCAAAACTTGGGCGAGGAATTCTTACACTATCGGGAATCCACTCCTCATCCGTGATGACGACACCCGACACGGTTTCCATGCTGACGAGACCGGCTCGCTTGGCTGCGGTCTGGAGATCCTTCAGGACGAAACTTCGGACCTTGGCGTTGTGGTGCATAGTGTGGATGTTATCCTCGTGGACACCAAGCTCCTTAGCCTTCTCGACAAGCACCTTCTCGTTGGGCATGATGATAGCAATGGGACGAGAGTACTCTGGATCGGCGTGGACCATAACGTTGGCCACGGTCTGGGCGCCACGGTAGACGGCCTCAAGCTTCTCGAGAGCAATATACTCACCACCCTGCATCTTGACCAGGTTCTTCACACGATCAAACACTCGGAGATGTCCGTCGGCATCAAACTCGCCAATGTCGCCAGTCTTGAACCAGCCATCGGGGGTAAGAGCCTTTTCCGTCTCCTCCTGGTTGTCCCAGTACTTGGTCATAATGGGAAGACCCCTGAGCCAGATCTCGCCCTGAGGCGGGGTCGAGTCGGCTGAGTAGCCGAGGTCGGGAATCGACACCAGCTTAGCCTCGCAACTAGAGGGGATAGGACCGATGGCGTTCGGTGAATACTCGAGGGGGCAACCGAGAGAGCCGTTGGCACAAGTCTCAGTGAGACCATATCCAGCCAGCATGGGAGCAAGGACCAGCGAGAGGAAATTCTTGGTGCCGTCTGAGATGCCGCTAGCACCGTTCATGGTAAAGCGGAGGCGGCCACCTGTAAGTTCTCGGACCTTGCTGAAGACGATATTGTCGAAGATGTTCGCACCTGGCAACTTGTTCCTGGTCATGAACCCCTTAAAGTTGAAGGCGGTCCAGAACAAGCCTCGAAGGACAGGGCTGGCAGTCTCCAGCTTTGATACGACTCCCTTCTTCACCGTCTCCCAGATCTGAGGCACACCAACCATGACGGTAGGCCGGAACTCGTGCATGTCACCGAAACAATTCTTGACCATGCTGTCGGCCAGTGTTCGAGGGTTGCCGTATCCAAGGGTTCCGCCGATGAAAAGGACGAGATTCTCGAGGGCCATTTCGAAGATGTGGGCCAGGGGCAGGTAAGCCAAGATGCACTCTTTGTCACTCACACACTCTTCGACGCAGGTGTAGAGACCGGTCACTATTTGACAGCGGTTAGCTCAAAATTCGGCTACATGAATGAAAGCAGCAGATTGGAAGGCATTGGGTAACAATGGCGACGTACCTCCAGCAACGAGACCCTCGTGGGAGATGCACACGCCCTTGGGCAGGCCAGTAGAGCCAGAGGTGTACATGACACAGTAGAGGTCGGAAGGATTGGGCGGGTTGGGCTCCACAGGTGTCTCCTCGCCGAGCTTGCGCAGCTCCTCATAGGTAATAACCTTGATATCAGGATTGCTGTTCTTGAACTCTTCAATCTCGCCGCCCTTGGTGAAGACGCAGGCCGCGTTAACGATGACGGTCTTGACGTTAGACTTCTTGATGGGTTCGGAAGCAGTCTTGAGTAGGTGAGGATCGGTGTACATGACGCTGCAGTTGGTCTGGACGAGAGAGTGCTCGACGCCGCTGGGGCCAAGAGTATCATATGCGGTTACGATGGAAATGGCTTGCGAGGCGCATCCATGGGATACGGAAATCCAGCCGACGCTGTGCAAAGTCTAGTTAGCGCTACGGCTCGGGGCAAGCTGGCCACGACCAGAAAGACTATGGCCAAGACATTCTCAGAACATACCTCGTGGTTCCAAAGAGATGGACCTTGTCTGCGCTGGTTAACCCCAGGTTGCGCAAACCAGAGCCGATCTGATTAACACGCTCTAGATACTCCCCGTGGGTCAAGTACTCGAACTTGGAAAGCTCAAAGAACTGCCACTCCTTATCGATTTCCCGGACCTCGCCATCGATGTTCTTCTTGACCTTCTTGGTCTCCTTGTGTAGCTTGATGAGCTTACGGGCACCGACAGCCGTGTGTTGGGGGTAAAGTCGGGCGCTGCGCTTGACGATGTCGTAGACGGTATGGACGCCCTCGGCAGGGCTGCTGAGCAGGCCGTCCTTGGCCTTGGGGTGGCGACGGGGGATGGTCTCGCCTTCGATCTTCTCAGCGCCGGGAGACTCGATGGTGAATGGGGCCTTGTGGACCTGGCCCAAAGGCATGATGCCCTTTGTGTAGTCCATGATGACAGCGACGGGATGCTCGGATCAGAGCAGCCGGGTATTGCGGAAGTGGGGAGGGGGAAAAGAGGGCGCCCGAGAGTCGGATGGGCGCAGGAGAAGTGAATTGGGGAGGAGGGAGATGATGAGAAGCGGAATGGGGTATCTTTGGTGTTGTGGAGGGAGAGGAGGAGGAGGAGGATGAGTGGATGAGCAGGCAGATAAAACTAGGAAGAGGAGACCACGACGACAAAGGCAAGCGAGGAGGCGAGACCGGCAAAAGGCTTCTGCGCAGGCAGGGAAGGTAAGACTGGCAAAGCAACCTGGAAAGCAGGGGAAGGTGCTGTAGGTAGGTAGGTTGGTTGGGCAAAGTACCTCAGGCAGGGTGCGAGGTATCTTTGATCCTCCCCAGCCGTCAGAGACCCCCCTGCCCCCCATCTCAGCGAATGCTACAGTGCAGATGGTCGCCCACAGGGCCTAGGTCGCAGGGGCCTGGGGTAGGCCCGCCCTCCACAGCAAGCGGCTGAGGGTGGTGCTCCCTCCCTCCGAAAACCTGACCGGCCGCGGAGTACCTGCTAAGTCAGTCGCGGGCCGCTACCTGCGCGAGTACCGCATGTACTGCATCTCCACCTGGGGCCGGCCCTGTTGCTGGGGTTGCTGGGGGTTGTGGAGTGTGGCCCAGCCAGGACCTTTTTAGCGGATCCAGGCGACGACGCCACAGCGGCCCAGGTGCCCGCTCGCAAGGCCCCAGCGGCACGAGACCAGGCCAGCGTGTGCCCGAGACTTTTGCGTGCCAAGAAGGGCTGAGGAGCTGTGGAATTGCCAGACGCAGGGAAGCAAGAGAATGCTGCATCTTGTGCAACGGGCTGCGCTGTTGTCCCGCCCACGGCTGTGGTTGTCCGCGACATCTGAGCTGGCACGACGCGTCGTTTCGTGGCGCTGGCGAGGTGGCTTAAGCTCGGTGCTTAAACTTGCTTGGTGCTGTGCAGAAGCACCAGTCGCCCCCAGAGCCAGGGCGGCCTGCCAAGGCATGGGAGGTACCTGGCCAAGAACACGAGGTACCTCGTGGCGCTTCCAGTGGACAGCCGTCGGCCAGCTGGTGGAGCCGGATGCCATGGAGATCAGGCCGTCAGAACCTACAGTAAACGTCCCGGTCTCACCCACTACGCAGCACCTCCAATGCGCTAGAGGCACCTACGCTCTAGCAGCTGCGACACCTGGGCTAGGCCACGGCCAATGCGCAATGCGCCAATGCATCCACTGGCCCCAGCTGCACCTCCACTGTTGCTTGAGCCGGCGGGCAGGGGAGCTAGGGGGAGCTTGGCCCCGCTGCAGGTGTTTTCAATTGCGTCACAGATGGAGACCCCAACTTGAGGTTGCAAATTGAGGCGACTTCGCAGCCAGTTTTTGTCTTGAGAGATGTGATGTGCGTACGTGGTGCCGTGGCCGTGTCGACAAGCCAGCCCGCCGATCGTCATGCAGCCGCCCTTGATAGAAATCTCCGCTGGGCTTTTCGTTGGTGTGGGCAAGCGTACGTAGCAGTAGCTAGTTCGCGCGTTTGGTTTGATGCAATCTATTTCATCGTCTGGTTCCATATTGGGTCGCGGATGGATCTTTTTCAGGGTTGCACCCATCCACACAATCCTTGCCAGCGCCAATGCCTTTGCCATTTACGTCCCCTGGTGTTGGTCCGTTAGATGCTGGCTGGTGCGCGATGCTCCCAAGGCCGAGAGAACCTCGCGTCATTGTGGGTTACTTTGCCCCAGTCCCATACTACATATACTGTAGTCTGGTAGGAGGAGGGTTTGACATGCAACTAACTGCACGAGGACCCATCAGAGACTCCTTGCTGACCACGACGCCGAGGATGAGATGCGGACACCAGCCACAGGCGAGAGTGTGGGTGAAATCACAAGCTAAAAGAGAGATAACTCGGCATGCGCGAAGTAGGGTTGTACGGAGCGAGGTAGCAGAGTCGAGGGCTTGAGAGGCGAGGCCGTAGAGGAAAGTCACGATGCCTCGGGAAAATGGCATCCAAGGGAATCAGCCATCAAAAAACCACAAAATCCCATGACAGAAGATACAAAGTACTCCATACCTAACCGGACGCCACACTTACTTTTAGCTCCATTGCCCCCTGACTTCACCAACAGAAAGCGACAGTCCAATACCAGGTCGAGGAGATGGTGGGAGGGTGACATGTCAGCGGTGCCGCAAGTCCCGTACTATCAGCGTGTATGTGTATCTCTCCCCCAACACTTTTTCCTTGCTGCTCGGATCTAAGCAGCAAGTCTGCGAACTCGGAGCCATTTCCAAGCGCACGTCTTATGATTCTGCCTCCGACTCGGTTCTACTACGCGTCAATTCCTGGGCCCGTCACCGTCACCGTCACCGTACGATTTGGTTCCTGGTTTCAGCGCCGCCGAGGCCTTCTGTGCCGCCGCCGCCTCCCCTCCATCCGTCTATTCCAAGCTTCAGACCGGGGACGGATGCACGGAGACGGAGGAGAGGGCCTGGTCGATCGGTCGACAGGCTTGTTCCCAACCGGCGCCCGCCTCTCCCTGGTCGCATCCCTTTTGCTGTGCAGCCGTTGGATGGTTTCTCTCCGGTCGCTTCTGAGCGAGCCGTGAGCGAGCCGTGAGCATCTCACAATGTGATGCAATCTTGTCGCCTCGCTCCGCGGCTGTCCCGTCCATCCAGCCGAGGCGATCGATGCCTGCATGTCACTGCCAACAACATGTGTCTGTGTCACGGCCCCAAGCGACGCGCCATCATCCATGGCCTGCTACCGCGCACTATCGCAGAGTACCTTACTACGTAGTAGGTAACCTGCTACGCCGTCGGAGCCAAGCCCTTGATCTCCTGGATCTCGACGCAGTAATTCGTCGATTCGTAGCCAAGACCTGGGGTTGTCACCGGGTCGTCAGCTGCTCCAAGCCCCCTTCTCAACAATGCTATTCTCTGGGGGGCTGTCCTCTGGGGGGGCTGTCCTCTGGGAGCCTGTCCTTTGAGGTTCTAAATGCACTGCCCCAGGATGATGATGCCCTTGGCCCTTGGCACGTCCAAAGACAAGCCGCGACACATCTCACCCACAGAACCAGGCGACCCATCAACAAACAGGTGGCCCATCAACAGGGTGCTAAATGTCTCGGGCCTGCATCAGCACGGAAGCAGCTAATTTTCGGCATTGCTTGCACATCCCCCGCCCGCTTGGACACCCGCCGTCAACCTTGTGCTGGTCCTGGCTCTGCAGGCGCAAACAACCTCCCAAATCGAGCATCCGCCCCCAGCTTCGCTCCGATGCGAGGACCCCGGCGGCGTCATGATTGTCTCGATGCGGTGCAATCGCCTCGTCTGAATCCTGGTCTGGATCGGCCCACTCGCGTGTGTCGTCAACATCGCATCTGCTAAGCAGCACGTGTGGCCGAGCATGTTCCCTTTCTCTCACCCTCGTCCATGCTCCAAACCAAAGACCCAAGCAACCAAGCCTCACTTGGCGACATGGTTCAGACGCGAACGTGGATAGGAGGCCCGCCAATGAGTGGGTTTAACGCCACATGCACGATTCGAGACAACCTGGCTCTTGTGATACTACCCAGTACATGCCTCTACTCCCCAGCTACCTACTCAGCATTCTAATTAGGTCCATACCGGTGAGAAGCTTCCACTGCGCCAAAATGCTTCTTCAATCCCCCCCCAGTTACGTACTCACTCTAGAGTGCCAACGTGCCGTCGAATTGGATGACCCGCCCTCAGTGACTCAAGCCTAGCTCAAATACCACTTGGGTGTGTTGGCTGTCATGCTGACACCTCTCCCTTGGTCGAGAAAACACAAAGTGGCCGCTGCTTCCGTCTGTGGAATTACTCTACTGGACACCGCGGATACTACTCCGGATCCATAGGGCTGTCGCTCTGTTAGGTCTAGGCCCTTCCATCACAACGTCGTCCACGTCTCTGATCAATGTTGTGGTAATTAGCAGCGTGGATTACTGCGCTGTAGAGTACATGTTATCAGCATGCTGTTACTTGTCCCGGTAGGTTCCGGTAACGCGCTAGAACCAAGCTACGAGATGGCTTGTGTGGCAGTGTAAGCCATCATTAAACTTGGCCTGACACGACAGCTCTATCTCGAGCTCGACGAGTGCCACGACGCCAAGTTGTCACCCTCTCAGGCACCAATAGTCGCCGACGAACCCGGTGACGGTTATCCTTTGAGTAGGCCTCAAGTATAAGCCTCCCGCCCCAAGTAGCACCAAAGCTGTGGACAATCCAGAACAATCGCCGTCAAGCAGCGGAAGGTGTCTTCAGTCTTGCACCTGCGGCAGGCCGTTCTTGTCCATGGGAGCATTCGCCAAATCCTTGTAAGGATCCAACGCTAGGAATTTATTAGCGGTAAGGTTTCTGAGTGCCGAATCCTTTGCAAGCTCAAGGCACCGGACGGCCGGACTGACTACCGGCAGTACACAGTACATGCGTTGCCTGCGCGTTGCCAACCCACTCTAGTGATAAGATGACTCTTTATTGCTCTTCTGTTACTTGGATCAGAATACGTACACCTTTGGCATGAGCGGCCAATCTCGATCCAGCGTGCTGACGGTGGGTTTTTCGAGGCGCTGGCCACTGCCTACTTCAGGCTCTTGGCATTGCCGCCTGGGTTCACAAGATGTTCTCAGATCCCCCTCCGACATCTCTCAACGTCAATGAGGAACACTCAATATTCAAAACCACGATATCAAACCGTGCCAGAGGCCGTGTGTACCAAATGCTTGGAAGCCCACTATCGCAATTCCAGCCGCTAGACCAAGAATGACAATCTGTCGGAACTGGCGGGGCGGGCCATGAAGCAGTGCGCGTCGCCGATTGGCCACCTACCGTGGGGTCTCGTCTTCAGGGGTTCCAACGTGCTTCAAATTATTCATTCGGGGTCTCATCTTCCTGTTCTCCCGCATCGTAAACTCCATCGAATTCTGGCGCTTTTCATCGTCAGAGGGCTTGATTAGGGCCCGCTACTCGGCTTGGAGGCTTCGCTGTAGAATTGTTGAAATTCGCCATGACACGGTCCAGTTCTGAGCGCACCGGCGACTGGCTGCGGCCCGTCGACGATGAGGAGGACGAGGCCTTCCTCTCCGGCCCTGAAGACGCCGAGGCAAAGGGATGTCTCGACGATGGCAATAGGTCGACTCTCAATCTCGTGCCCGACGTCCTTCCCGTGTATATGACGATTCACCGGTAATTCTGCCCGCCTCCGACGCAGCTTGGACGCGTCCCCAGACCTTGGCGGCAGCGTGACTACCGCTGAGTCGTGAGATGACGAGGGAACCAGCGTGCTAACACCTCTTGAGTGCAGAGTCCGGCGTCTAGTGCTTGCGAGTATCGGTACGTGCGACTGGAGAATTGTAGCCTCGTGTTGCGTGTCAAAGTCGATGGCCGCTAATGAAATCCTGCAGATGATCCTTACACCTTGGAGCATTTCAGGGACCCCAAGATGAACGCTCTTGTGGTGAGACCATTGGTTGACAGGCTCTACAACCCCGATGATATCTCTGTTGGTGAGTTTGCCACTCGTGATGTTTCCCACGAGCTTCATCTAACATGGGACCGCAGTCTATTGCTTGATGGCCAACCGCGTCTCCTTCCTGCGAGACCAGTCAAAGACGGTGCACCAGAGCGTCAACGTTGCGCGTGCGACGCTCTGTGAGCTGCTCGCAAGCCGGATCCTCCGTCGCTTTCATGAGGACAACCCAGGGCCCAAGGGCCTTCTCCTGCTTGCTCACATCCTCGTCGAGGGGTTCGATCCGTTTCAGGGCGCCCCAGAGACCGTCCAGCGTCGGGGTCGGGGTCGCACGAGCAAGCCCCAACGGTCTGACCAGGAGAACAACGGAAACGAGAAGAAGGTCACTGCCCTGGAGCTTGCCATCCTCTCTGAGAGCAAGACCTTCATCAGCTCCTCGGCATGCCAGCGTGCCGTCGACGCGGTCCACGACGGCGAGATCGTCTACACGCCCCAGTCCTTCATGGATATCCTCCCAGATCACTACAAGCGCCGTCCCATTTCTCTCTACGACCCTCGCAAGGCTCCTCTCCTGAACCATCACCGGCTGATCGTGCCCCGGACGAGGAATCTCATCGAACTGCTTCAGTTTACCATTCTTCTCGGCCTCTACGTCATGACCATGGTCTCCCGGCACTCCGAGTTCAACCCCTGGGAATTCGCATTCATCATCTACACGGCCGGCTGGGTCCTCGAGAAAGTGGCGGCCATCATTGAGCACGGCTGGGAAGTCCACGCCCAAAACTTGTGGGCCTTCCTCGACATCACCTTTACGTCCATCTTCGGCGCCTACCTCCTCGCCCGCCTGTCTGACCTACTGCTGGACCAGCTGCACAGTGGATGGGGTTTGCCCATTCTATGCATTGCGGCGCCGATTATGCTGACCCGCGTCGCCTTCAACCTGCTACCGAACAACATCGTCTTCATTTCGCTGCACGCCATGATGCGGGACTTCACTGTGCTGACGTTCCTGGCAACGTGGTGCTTCACAGGTTTCCTGCTCGCGCTGCAGTGGCTCGTGGCCGCGGGCAACGACGGCCGCGAGGAGTTCAGCTGGGTCGTCGTGGGCAAGTGGATGCTCTGGATCTGGTTCGGCCTGGACGGCGAGGGTATCGAGGAGTCGGTCCGCTTCCACACCATCCTCGGCCCGGCGCTTATGATCTCATTTGCCTTCCTGGGAAACACGCTGTTCCTGACCATCCTAATCGCCATGCTCACAAACACCTTCTCCAAGATCATCGCCGACGAAACGGCCGAGATCCAGTTCCGCCGTGCTGTTTTGACCTTTGAGGGCGTCAAGAGCGACTCCATCTTCGCCTACCCGCCACCCTTCAACATTGTCGCCCTAGTCATCCTCCTCCCACTGAAGCTAGTAGCGTCGGCGCGCGTGTTCCACATCATCAACGTGGCGCTGATCCGCACGCTCAACTTCTTCACGCTGTTGCTCATCAGTTTCTTCGAGCGTCGTCGCTTCGCAGCGCAGTCGTCCAAGACCAAGAAGCCGTCCAAGTGGCAGTTCATGAGCTTCTCACCGTACGGCGACGTCCAGGCCGTGTTCAGGGCGGCGCCGCCCCCGGACATTGCCGATGTCATCGACCAGCTGGATCCGCTCTCTGAGGTGCCCATCCTGGAGGACGACTTGATGCCGACGATGCTGGGTGACAACCCCCGGTCGAAGCTGCGGCGGTGGAGGCTGCTGAAGAGGGAGACGACGATGCCAGAGGGATCGGTTGTTGATGCGGGGGAAGAGCGTCCCGGCCACAGCCGTGCTCCGAGCGTAGTTATCAGTGCGTGTCCCAGTCCTGTTATCAAAGAAGGCTGAAGTGGAAGTGGCTACACATCAAATCATTATTACGGCGAAAGGGAGTTGTTTCCGTACCATTAGCATATTGCATTTTTTTTCTTCTGTGGAGAACAGCGCATAGCGAGAAGATAAAGAAGAACCTTTATAATTAGATCAAACTACTCTTATTCGAGCCATTCTTACTCTGCCGTCTTGATACTTGACCTGGTCTCCAGCTGGGTGCCGTGTAAGGTCGTTCTTTGTTCAACATGCCCAGACCAGGGATGGACGCTTGCGCCTGGGCCTCGAACACGTAATTTACAGCCAGTGCTACTGACCTAACTTAAACACATTTCTATTTCTGCAAATCCATGATAGGCTTTTTCCGAGAATATTCACCGTCCTCACCCACACTGAGATTTACGTTCAAATTGAGTTGTAGATCGGCAGACACACACCTTGTGGAGCAACGCCACACCGAAACTTGCCCCTCCACTGGCTGCCCGCCCGCGCCACTTCAACAGGGTCACCGACGAGGCTGAACCTCAATTCAACTCCAACCAACTTACATCGACGGACGCTTCAAGACGGCGCAACAACGAGACATCACCCCGCGACGCGACAACTCACTTCCACTCCGCTCCTCGCAGCCCACTGCAGCTTCAAGTATCTTCGAAGAGCGCCCTCGAAACCATGGCGCCCGGCGACGACGGCCCGCCGCTCTCCCTGCGGCCGCACCCCGTCGCCGACCGCAAGCCCAAGAACCTCGCCGAGTTCATTGGCCGCGTCAACGCCCAGCCCGGCGGCTTCCGCGCCGTTTCCGAGGACAAGCTGCGCGAGGAGATCCGCACGCGCGAGGCGAACAATGCGAATGGCGAGGCGGCCGACGAGGACGTCGACATGTCTGAGGGCGGTGATGAAGAGGACGAGGATGCGGCTAGGGACCCCCACGAGGCGCGGATGGAGGTGTTGAAGAATATCGAGTATGTCTTGCTCTGCGCTTGAGCTTGAACTCTGGAGCGCACCCCGCTGTCGACAATTTCAAGCTGACACTGAGATTCAAGCATCGCAGGGAACACGGCGCTGCTCACCCTCGACTTCCTCTCGCTCCTCCTCTCCAAGCAGAACCCGACGCAGGCAGGCGTCACGCTGTCCCAGAACCTGCGTGACATGGTTGGAATTGGCACCATGGGAGCCGACAAGCTCGACGACTCCAACATCACCCCGGCCAAGGTCAAGGAGCAGGAGGAGGTGGCCATTGGCTGGACCCTCATGGAGATCAACAAGACGCGTGACGCCGCCGAGGCCGCCAGCTCGTTTCTCCAGCGCGAGATCGCCGCCGAGGGCAAGTACTGGGAGGAGATTGTGGCGGTCCAGAAGAGCGGGTGGTCCATCTCCAAGGTCCCCCAGGAACGACACAGCCTCGGTGTACGATTTGGCTTCTCAGAAGGTGACGACCATAGACAGCCCTCTACAAGGCCGATGCTGACAAGCCGTGGATAGCTGCCCCAGAGTTCAGGAGTAACGGCCTCGCCCCCATGCGGCGAGGTGTCGACGGCGCAGTGCAGCTGGACCTTGGCCGACTAGGCGGAGTCTCTGAGCGCCTCGTAGTAACGTACGAAAAGGACGGCCAGGTCACAGGCCGCTCTGCTCTGCCTGCACACACCACCGACGACGCTCCCCTCGAGGCGCGCGTCCTTGAAGCCCGAAACACCATCTTCTCGCAAGAGCTGTGGCACGAGCTCACGCGAGAGGCTCGGACACTCGCCGCATACGACGTGCGACCGAACGGGTCCAGCCTCACCTGCGCCCTAGACTCGACGACCAAGGTGACGGTGGAGTTGGTGCCGTTGGGTTCACAGCCGTCTGCAGATGCGTTACCAGACAACAACATGGCCGAGACGATATCACTCGCGCTGCACATCCTTCTCAGCTATGCTCACCGGCACAACGAACTTATGAGGACTCGACCCATGCCTGCGCATATCACCCGGAACCGCGGCCAACAGACGTCGGCTCTCCTGCGACCCATCATCGCACGTCTGATGCATATTCGCAACGTCCACGCTTGCACCGAACACGTCGGCGCTCTTGTTCAGTCTCTGCAAAAGGCCGGAATGCCCGCCCGTTTCATCCTCCACACGCCATCCCAGAGCGACACCTACACCACGGGGCGTGGCCCTAACCAGCCTTCGTCCTCCCAGACACTCATCCGCAACGTGCTCCAACCCACCGACTTCAACACCAAACTCACTCTCTTCCCGGATATCACCTTCACCATCCGAGGCCGCACGTTCCTCTTCCCCGTTGCCGCCACTTTCTTCTACGTCATCCTCCCGCCCGCCTCGCCCCTCGCGTCCATCTGCCCACCCTACAAGGACGGATATCAAGACCTCAAGGCCCTCGCCGACTACCTCCGCACCGCAATCGCGCGCGTCCTGACCGAGCACTTCCTTGACAAGCTTCCTGCCCCTGCCTCTGGCTCTGAATGGGTCAAGAGCGTCGGCGGCACCTCCATCGTTGACGTCGAAAGGGAGGACTTCGAACTTCGTTTCGAGGTCGTCAACGTCAACACCGCACCATCTCTTCTTGTCACAAGTACCTCCCTCGTTGACGGCCGGCCTTCTAGCAGTAAATGGATCTGGTCCGCCGACCCTGCCACGACGAGCGAACCCGCCAGTGTGGAAAACATCGTCGACCTGGCCGTCAACCAGGCGCTCTCTTAGGAAAGAGACAGGCCGGCCGTCGTAGTTGATTTCGATGCAACCATTCACCTAAAGCCGTGCACCCGTATTGGTGACTGGATTTTGGATGTGGAGGGTGGGACGCCCGAGGACTCGAGAGAGAGCATCATTGCAAAAACACCGACTGATTTCCTTTTTTGCTCCCCCTTGAGGAAAGAAAACTAGAATCACAATGTGGAGGATCTCTACATCAAGGAGACGAATTACGGCGTTGAGTGGCAAAAATAGCAGGCAATATATACCCGGAAGTGATTCCCCTTTAGCCATCCCTATGAAGATGGCTATCCACGTTCAAGATGCATGACTTTTGCATGAGCGTTCGTTATATAGCACATCCCATCAACCTACAACTGCCAAGTTGCTCAAACTCGGACTGCTAAGTCTAATGTTTTTGAGGATGTGTGTCATATTTACTATATCATGAAAATACGTTTAAGAAAGTTGAAGAAACTGCTACAACTTTCACATTAAGGAAGATGCAATATATTTCGCGTTCATTTTGTTATGTGGATGGTACTGAACGGCCGAATCCGAAGTATTGAATAATAATGGCAGAGTCTGAATAACATACCATCCCCGTTGTTTCTCGAGTTTATGCTCTGGTCGTTGAACTCACATCAAGATTAGGACAGGACTAGGCGAATGATTTATCATTAAAACTGCACGTCATTTTGCTTCTGTAATATTTGTCTCATTTCTCATTCTACTCTCAAAATCTTTTCTCCTCCGCGGAGACGCCGCGGGAGAGAGAAATATTCCCATATCTCATTACCAAAACCAATGTATCTCCTTTCATAGCAACCAGTCCGTCAGTCAACCCAGCACCGCGAGGTGTGACTCTTCTTTTTCGGTATCATGGAATCCCCCATAAACTCCGCCCCACCCCTGCCCTCGAATCCTGCTTCCACAGCAAGCCACGGGTCTTGGGAAGGTAGCAAACAAACAAAACATCCCTGTATCACTGTCATATGCCGTTTCATTAATGGCCATGCTGCCTCTAGAGCTGCCGCCATTATCGGATCTCGTCTAACCGCGCGCGTTGAAAAGGAACTTCAGTTCGTTCGTGCTTAGGCGTCCAATCTTGACGCTCTCAGCCTCATCTAAGGCTGCCTCCACAATCGACTTCTTCTTCTCCTGTAGTGCGACAATTCGATCCTCGACCGTGTCCTTGGTTAGGATACGGTAAACCTTGACCTCCTTCTGCTGCCCGATACGATAGGCACGATCAACGGCCTGCATCTCAATGTATGGGTTCCAGAAAGGATCCATGATGATGACTCGGGACGCGGCTGTCAAGTTGAGTCCCGCATTACCCGCTCGAAGGGAAACCAGCATCACCTTGACATCTTTGCGGTCTCGGAAATTGTGAGCCGCAATGTTGCGATGCATGGCTGACATGCTGCCGTCATATCTTTCCGGTTTTGCCATCTTCTCATGCCACATTGCTACCTCGAGGAGATCAAGCAACAGGGTCCACTGGGAGAAGATGATCGTTTTCTCCCCTGTTTCGGCGATCGTCGTCAGGAGCTTCATGCATTCGGTTACCTTTGCGGCCGGCATCCACGTCTTACGCAAGTATCGCATGTACTTTTTGAAGGCATCTCGATTCTTGTAGCCCTCCTTGCGAAGGGTCTTGAGCATCGAAGGCCGGATGTCTGATGCCTTCTTCTTTCCCTTGTTCTTCTTTTTCTTCTTGCCCTTGTCAAGCGCCTTCTTGTCTGGCTTTTCGTCATCGTCGTCTTCGTCCGCTACGATGAAGCCTTTGAGGTTGCCCTGCTTATCGACTTCATCATCAGAGATAAAATCATCAGAGTCAGACTCGTCATCCTCATCATCATCGTCACCTGATGCCTCTCCACCAGACTCTGCCTTCTCAACACATTCCGGCATGTGAATCTTCTGAAAGGTTTCGTAGTTGAAACATTTGCTAGGATCGAATGTGCCACGGCAGACAGGACACTTAGCCTTGCCGCCCTCGTTTCCTTCCTGCAAATTGAGCACTGTAGCGTTTTCAGTGAGACGGCAGAGGCACTCGTTACAACTGTCATGGCCACAGGGGACGAAGAATGTGGGGCATTGTACCGCATCGTAACAGATGGGACATTCGAAGGCCTCAATGCCCTTGATTCTCTCCACGATTGCCACATCCAGGGCCTTGACCAAGTCCACCTTTTCTTCGTCGGAAACAGGGCTGACATCATCGACGTCCAAGTTGAGGTGTGGATGGCAGCATGCCTGGCGTAGTCGAAGTAGAAGAACCAGGATGCTGGAGTAATTCTTGCCGATGCTCCCATCTCGAAGATACTTGCTGAACTGCACTTGGGACTTCTTCTCCAGCTGACTGTAAAAGTCGTGTTCCTCAGGGGATAACTCGGCGTAAACAACCTGCTCAATCTTCTCGGGAAGTTTGAGAATTGGCTTGCCATCGAGCTGCGAGTTCTTCTTGCGTCGAAGCATGATGGCTTTGAGTAGTGCTCTGAGTCGGTTCATGGCCACGCTCTTCGGGTCACCATTTCGGCCAAACAAAACACCGAATGACTGGAAAAATATTAGTAGTCTGGGCAAAATATTGGCGCTTGTAGCATACCTGGCGAAACTGTTCCCATGCGGAATACGGCTTGATCTGAAGAAAATTGAGCAAGGAGTAGAGTTCCAGGACACCATTCATCATTGGGGTTCCGGTCAAGCACCATCGGTAGGTTGACTTCAACTTGGTGCATGCCTTTGAAGTCTTCGTATCTTTGTTCTTGATGCATTGCGCTTCGTCGAGAATGACACGATAGAACTTTGCCTTGTTCGGATGAAGCAGTGGGCACTTGACGGCAAAACTCTTGTCATTGAAGTCGATGTTGCGATCCTTGTTGTCCTCGAGATATTTCTCGAGGCGTTTCAGCTCTTGAGCGATGGTACCGTACGTTGTCAAAACGACATCATACTTGAGCAGGTCTTCCGTCGTTGCCTTTTTATTATGGTATAGGAAAACCGATAGTCTGTGAGAGAGCTTTGTCTTCGTGGCGAGCTCTTCCTCCCACTGCCGGATGAGAGCAACCGGGCCCACGATTAAGTTTGTCTGTGAAGGTTAGCGCCAAGAAAACATGAGGTAGAGGGTATGAACTCACCTTTGGACGGCTGGTTGCTGGACGGGACAGGAGAAGTGCAAGGGTGGATATGGTCTTCCCGAGACCCATGTCATCCGCAAGAATGCCACCTTTGTTCGTTCCCTCTTCCATCTTCTTCATCCAGGTGAGAGCTACTTCTTGATGGGGGTACAGCGGCCTCTTTAGTCCAGCCGGCGTTCCATCTCGGTTTCTCTCCGGGATGTCCATATCCGGGCGGATGTTCTGCAAGAGATTATCCAAGTCTTGATCGGTCATTCTAGGATCGTGGTAAGCATCCTGGATAAAGTTGGTCAAATGTTCGGGCAGAGCATTGCCAGCCCCATCCATGCCATTTGTGTAGTCGAACATATTCGTCTTAGTGATAATATCAGCCAAACCTCCTGACATGCCCTGACTCGGAAGAATAGGAGTCGAACGAGAGCCGGGAATCCATGATGCGTTGCTAGACCCCCCAAACGTCGGCCCAGGTCGACCCTCAAATTTGTAGCCCGGGATAGGAGTCGGGCCAGAGAGTTGGTTTGGGATCTGACCCATATTCTGCGGCGGGATCCCCGATTGGTAGGTAGGGTAAGGCACCGTACTGCCAGCGGCCCCATAGGCGCCGAATGTAGGTGCCTGCGGAGTTGTCACGACGGGCCCATAGCCTCTAGCCATGGAGTTTGCCGGGGGCATATGAGAGGCCTGGCGAAGAGGAACGGTCGCATCCCAGGTTGGATCATATCCTCCTGGCATTTGGTTTGTAGACTGTCCGAGTACAGAAGTTGTGAAAGGAGCTCCGAACGATGACTCCGAATCTCCATCCGTGAGGTCTGTTTCAACGATGCCGGATGGCTGACTGCCCATCAATCGAGTGAAAGCATTGGTTTCGGCTGGTAAAGTGGATGGGCCTGGGACTGGAGATCCCTGGCTGGAAAGCAAGCGAGCCAACTCGTGGTCTTCTCTCTCCTGCTTGCGTGTTTTCTCGGCTTTGATTTGCTGGGCAACGAAATAAGAGTTGAGATCATCATCGTCCCTAGTCATCTAGTGTTAGCGTACGCTCGAGGGCAGGCATCGTAGAAAATTATGCCAGAAATTACGGTAAAGGATGGAAGAAACGTACCCAGTAAGGTCGATGACGTCGACGTGGCTTCCGTTACCGTTGAGAGATGACGAATGAAAGAAGGGATCGGAAGCTCTGATGGGAGTTGTACGTCGAGACTTGTTAGGTCCGACGGGTGCGAAGAGGCTAGCCGATTCAGAGTCCCGCTTACGACTGGGCACCGAACGCGACCCCAGGTCGTTCCATGCGCTGCTATTCTTGACAGGCGTTGACATGGCTACTGGCATCTCCGGGGGTTCGTACACTTGTGGGATGAGGTCAGTCGAGAGGCCGTCTGTTGTGGAGAGAAAGTGGTTGTAAGAGAGCGGCAGCTCGGGGAAATCTGCCATTTGTTGGATGAGATAATCATCGTAGAAGAAAGACATCAGGGATGATCGGGAGAGGGTTTTTTATGCGATGTGAATGAGGCGAGAGCCAGGGACAAAGGGAGGAACAGGTCGAAACGTTCGGGGTGTGAATAAAGATGATGAAGGAAGGAGGGGGGACAGGTATTTTTGATACTGGTACAAGGGCGAACGAAGACCTAGGAGCACGAGCGAAAGACAGATGTGCGATGGCAGAGGCAGGTTGAAAAAGGCGGGTTGAAGAGGGTCATGTGCGACAAACGCAGATCCAGGTAGAAAGAAGAAAGCAAGGAAACAAAAAGGAGTGAGGCGCAGAACCACCAAGCCACCGAGGAAACAAAATGAAACACAAACGGCTCATACCTGGAGATGGCCCAACAGGCGTCCGGTTGGCGCGAGGCCTTGTGGGCAGAGCGGGAGGGAGCGTTGGCTCTATCAGTTTGGTCAATTCGCATCCACCAACATGTATCCGAGCTGGTGCAGCAAGCAAAGCAGGCGGAGCAGGCAGCCTTACCGTCAGCATGATCCCGCGGCTTGGTGAAGCGCAGGAGCTTCTTTAGGCGATCAATCTCCTGGCGAATCTCGAACCGCTCCTCCTCGACGCCCTCGAATGTCTCATTTTGCAGCGAGTCGAGGATGACTTTCTGGATGGTCAGTTCCTCCGTCAACGCGGCGACGTCCATGATGCGTGCGGGTGGTGCGCCGAGGCGAGCAGTGTACCAAGAGGTTTGATCTTGATCTTGAACACCAGGCACCCACCAGGAATAGCGGCACAGCGGCAGCGGTCAGTGCTGGACGCCGAACAGGCAGGGAGCCGCTCGCGTGGTCGGGGGTAGAGTGAACGGGCCCAAATGAGTGGATGGGGGGCGTTGAGTTGGTGATACCGGCCCCGTGCTGCAGGGTGACTTTGTAATGAGGGAGGGCGCCTTTGGTGGGATGGCTTGGGGAAGGCTTGGGGACGAGGTATCCCGAAGTTCCCGTTTCAGGCAATCTGTTAGTGTAGTGGTGGGAGAGAAAGAGCCGCGTCACGCGTTCGCGTTGTAGTTTCTTAACGTTTTAGATGCCGAGCCGACGGGAGTGGAAGGAGCAGAAAGCCTTGGGCTTCGGGGCTAGAGAGGCAGGAAGGTCACTGTAAGGCAACGCTACCCGTAATAATGGCAGGTGCTGCGGGTTATTTTCAGCTGTTTGCCCCAGCCGCGACTAGGAAAGGAATAGGCCATGTCTTAGGGGCCTTAGTGCCCTCGCCCGGTGAGGGAGGGCCTAAATAAAGGCCTGAACAAGGGCCCAAGCAAACGGGCAGGTACCTGTAGACATGCGCTTAGCTACCTAAACAGCGGGAAACACTCCGCAAACGAACAACAGCATTCAGAGGGTGTGCAGACAACATGCCATCAGCCCGCCTCTGCACGGGTGGATGCCCGCATGCAAGAGCAAACAAGCCCAACAGTGGATTGTGAGGCGAACCAGAAAATGGCTTGCGTGCTAATGACAGTGCAGCCTATTCCATGATGCACAATGTGCTTATCGCCCGCCACGGCTCAAACTCCTCTCAAACGAGGCAACGAATCATGTCGCACATCCCGGCCCTCTGGAATCAGCTGGAACAGTCAACGCCTCCAAGTTCTGAATGAGGCCACCCGCCACAACAAATGTACATGGAATTATTGGTTTGTGCATGAGAAAGTGCAAAACTAAAATGGATTATCCCCGCAGCGAGAATCGTGATACTCTGCGGGTGGACGGAATAATGTGCAATATTAGAGTCTCTTGATACAAGCTCGAAGCCACCATTCTATGCACAGGGAGTCAAACGCCGCTCAACACTGCCCATATACCCATGACCCGCCGGAACGCCGAGGAAAAGAAACACACACAAAACTCATGTCGCACACGCTCGGTGGCGACAAGTAGACACGTGTCCGCTCTCAATCAGAGCCTGATCCCGTGATCTTGTGCCATGCCTTGTCCACCTTGTCGGTCAGCCAATCCCACCAGTTCTTGTCGTCGTCGTCGTCGTCGTCACCGTCACCTTTATCATCACTACCAGATGTCGGTTTGGCGGCAGGCTTGGTAGGCTCTGCCGGTTTGGTCGGCTCTGCTGGTTTGGTCGGCTCTGCCACCTTGGTAGGCTTTGCCGGCTCCGTTGGTTTCTCGGGTGCCGTCGGGCGAGCTGGTTGTGAGGGCGCAACAGGCAAGGTCGGCCGCGCCGGCTGTGTAGGCTCCTCATGGACCGCTGGTTGCTCCAGCTTCTTCGACTCTTCTGGTTTATTTGAAGCCGCGGGATCTGCCGGTACATCGGGCGACTCCTCGGGGTTGTGGAGTCCGATGGGCTTCAGCGGCAACCGCAAGGTTCCGTTGTTCGGGTGTGGCTCGAGGCCGATTGAGTCGCACAGCAGGTTGTATACCTCTATATTTTCTGTGCAATGTTAGTCAACGTGTTCTCGGCACCCCCGCGTTGCTTGCACTTACGGAAGACATCGACCTGGCTGTTTGCCGGGTGGGGGAACGCAGGGCCCCGAGCAATGAAGATGGCCCGCATCAACGGGTGCTCATGATCATACCCATGCAGGCCAACAGGATGGTAGATCAGTCCCTTCTCTAGTCCTTCCTTGACATTAAACTCATCCTCGGTGACAATCGCCCATCCCGTCTCAGGGACAATCCACAGAGGCGCGATACGATTGTCCTTGGTGAAGTGATACCGCTCAGGCATGTTGACGTCACGAAGGTAAACTTCGAAGTGGGTATTTGACTTTGAATGCTCTACAAGCTCGTCATACAGACCTTGCAAATCCTCGAGGTTTTTGGGACGGAGACCGTACAGCGGCCAGCCATCAATGTGCTCAATTTTGCTGGTGTCGATAAGATCCTCGAGCTGGATCAGCCTGGTGATGTCCGTGGTCGCCATGCCATGATCCGAGACGACGATGACATTGACAATATCGGTCAAGTTGCGCTCATCTAGGCCCATAAAGATCTGATCCATCATCGTGTCCACCTTGGTAATAGTCTCGCGGATTTCGGTGCTGTTTGGGCCGTATTTGTGTCCATCGGAATCAACATGGGGGACATAGGCCGCAATCAACTGAGGGCGTGTATCCTTGAAGTCGACCGACTTGTCCTCCAGGCCTGGCATGTCCAAGAATTCGAAGATTCTGGCAACCTTGCCATCGAGAGTGTCCTCTCGGCTGAACTTGTCCATTATGCTCGGCTCCGTATGCAAAACATGCGCCTCGCTGCCAGGCCACATGTGAATGGCACTCCGGACTCCCTGCTCCTCAGCAGTCACCCAGAAAGGCACTCCACCCCACCACTTGGGGTCGAGGCTTCGCGCAGGGTCGGTGTAGTAGAACTCAGCTCCAAGCTCGGGGTCCCAGAAGGTGTTTCCAACGATGCCGTGACTCTCAGGATACAGTCCAGTCGCGAGCGTGTAGTGGTTCGGAAAGGTCACTGACGGGAATGATGGATGCATCCACTTTGGCGAGACGCCCTCTTTGACAAAGGCGTTTAGTCTGGGGGTGAGGCCGCGCTGGAGGAAGTCGGCGCGGAAGCCGTCCAGGCTGATGATGATGGTGGTGGGCGCAAAGAGCGCAGTGCCATTGCTCACCATCGCTTGCATCTTGGGCTGTACTCTCTTTCGGTTGTTCGACAGCTTCCAGGCGATCAGGATCAGGATTGCGAAACCGATGGCGATGAGGCTGTGAATGAACACCCATCGACGCCAACTCCGTCTTCGCTGGGCTTTTGCGTCGGCCATCATGTTGAGATGTAGCCTATCCATCTCGTCGCTGTCGTCCCTCTCGCTGCTTTCTCCGGTCGAGCTGCCTTCCTTCATACCTCCCTCCTCCATCTCGTACATCAGCTCTCCGTCCTCGCCATGCTGCGCATCGTCCAGCAACCGCTCGCGCTTCTTCTGTCTCCTCGTGCGCCTGGCGATCCTCTTTTCGGATACCAGGTCTTCAGTCGAGCTATTGGGATCTAGACCCCGGGAAGAGCCAGGGCGCCGGCCAAACATTTTCAGCGGGTTGGGGACGGCCAGTCCAGATCCGCGACGCTCTCGTTCTTGCCTCTTGCGGGTGTCGGTGACCAGCTTGTCCGTCTCCTCCTCTTCCATCAATACAATGCGATCGTGGGCGCGGAGTTCGCGGCTATTTCTTGCGCGAGAGATGAGCTGGTCATCGTCGCTATCGGTGTCTTGGTCGCTTCGAGAATGGAGGGATGCTGCATCGTCGTCGTATCCAATAGGGGACAGGAGAGAGGCGTTGTCTCTGCCTCCGTTGGGCGGATTCGTGTCAAGATTGAGAGACATTTTCAAAAGCCCTCACAAGCCTCTTAGACACATGGAATGGCACGCATCAAAAGTCGCGATTGCTTGGAAAGGGGATGCAATGGTGACATTGAACTCGATAAGCTTATACGGACAAGGACGGACAAGGACGAGACCGGGGTAAATATCCACCGGGCTCCGGTGAAGCCGTCTGACACACGGCCGATGTTTCTAAAATGGCACGACGAGACAGGCGACATTTACATTGGTGGGGATTCATGCCAGCTCCTCAGTCTCATTAATCAACGGAATCCACGCAAATCCCTTTGTTTGAGATAAATAATATTGTCTTGTTACCAAGCGGATGTATTTCCTTGTTTAAAGTTAATCTCACACCACCAGAGAATATCCACATCTGCCCTGCGCTCCGCCAAAAAAGTAGGCCGCACCAAACCCATGTCTGCATTGCATAGCATGCCACCCTGGTGTGGTCCCTCAGATCAGGCAAAAGCAGTGGAAAACGGCAAAAAATAAGTCCTTGCGGTTTATGTGGATCGAACACATGACCTTCAGATCTTCAGTCTGACGCTCTCTGCCAGTGAAGGTTAGTGATTTGCCTGAGTGAGGGATTAATGTGTAAACATACCCCAACTGAGCTAAACCCGCGTGTTGATTGGGAAGGGAGCTCACAAGTCATGCTAAGTATGCAAATCATTCTGTCCGGCTAATGGGGGCTCTCAGTGGGAACTCTGAAGTACGCAAATCAATGCCGCCGTGTTACAATAAACGCTCCTCTATCTTGCCTGGCGTCGGGCTTGCCTGAGAAAATTGGCGGGCATGACGCCGTCGAGTAATGCATTCGATCTTATATCCATCGTGTTGCTCATTCAACTACTCGGGCAGATGCAAATTGGCGTTCGTATCGGTAAATACCCCTAATGAAAGTCATCGTTTACAGCTCTTTCAAAGACTGCCCCCTCGACTTGCAAACCATCCTTCCGCCTCATCAATCCCCATCAATGATGTGATAAATATCTTCCCATACGAATCTATATCACCCGCCATCGCCTCCTGCAACAACTCAGTAAAGCTAGCATTCGTTACTACAAAATGCCTTTTCTTCGTCCATGCCTCTGCAAATTCCATTGGCGTCCGCGCCTGCCACAAGTAAGACGACACCGTCCATGAGTGGCAGAGCCCCAACTTTCCATCGCACTGCAGCCCCTTTTGGAGCGTCATGATTCGATACGCTTGCAAGAAGTAGAATGTTAGGAGGAGTGTGCGGCGTATCGACTCTTGTAGGACCCACTCGATCCAAAACGTCTTGGTGGGTGTGATGGGAAACAACGGCAGCTCTTTTGCGGCTGGGTCGAGGTCGAACTGGGCGTATGCAAACAGGGCAATAGCAGAGGTCTCAATAGCTATGAGATCACGCTCGGCGGAGACCCGAGCACCAATGTCGCCGTCTAAGAGACGGATGATCTGGTAGAGTAGCAGGGCTTGGGTGTGTGCAAGACACTCCTTGGGAGCGTTCGGGGCCGGCGAACGGAGGAGATCGCTGACCCGGGATTCGATGGAGCGAAATATGATAGGTGCATTCACACGGTTCTTTGCTAGGTACAATGCACAGCAGGCGTGGGCATCTAAATACAGTGTCAGTTGACGTTGTCTAGACGAGGAATGAGGTGCTTGCCTTGCATAGACCGAGGCATCTCATCCTTGTATACCATTGGATGACACCAAGGTGTCTGGTTTTCTAGAACCATACTCTTTGGTGCCTTGCGGATCTCGTCTATGGACCACTGCAACCGATTCGCGATTGTCTCTGGAACCGCATCAAACACCCTTGTTGATGGAGGAACTAGCGTTGATGGTTGTTGTTGTAAAATATCTAGGGTATCCAATAGATCCAAGGTGTCATCATAGATCGGAAGTTCAAAAGGCGCCAAGTTTCTGACGCTTGGATCGATGTTCGCCGCATCGATAGTTGCCGCAACCGAGTTGAAGTCGCCGTTGCTTCCCTCAAGCTGCCCCACTGTTGATGGCGATAGACACATCGCATCCCCGATCAACAGACCCGACATCGGGTCTGGTTGGGACCTCACGGGATTCTGGTTTTGGATGCCCCGGTTTGGATACTGACAATGCACGCGTCGCTGAGAGCATCGCATACACGCTGGGACGGCCATGTCGCAGCGCCGCTTAGCCTTGATGCATGCGGCGCAGGACTTCCGCCGCGGCGGAGGATTTCGTCGTTCCCGCGCAGTGAGTGACATGCTGGATGGAGGACACGAGTTCCCAATGGCCCTCAAATGATAGAATGGATCTGTATTCGTAAGAGAAGTAATGCGAGGGCGGAAATCCGATGAAGTGGGCGGTAAAAGAGGATGTGTGAAGTTCAGTCACGACGTCCAGAATGGAGCTGGACGGTAATTGTGGGGCCTGGGCGGAGTTCCGCCCGGCGGACTGCCGCATACCTGGAGGATGAGACCCCGGCATGCGGAGATGTGGAGGTGTGTCCGCAGATTTCCACTCTCTGTTCACCGGGGAGGCAGTAACGATATGATACGATGAGGCCTAATATCACTTTACCATCAATTTGCCTATATAATAACTATGATGGTCAGCCCTCAAAAGGTATCAAAAACTATACAACCAAATCACACCCTACACACCTTCATCTACACCTACACCTACACTTACACATAAATTGCCCTTAAAACTGCATCCAACCACACAAAAATCACTTAATTGTTAAATCTACCACGGCAACTCTCAACATGTCTGCCTCTAAAGTCTTCGTTTGCGGTGCCACGGGTACCCAAGGCGGCTCCCTCACCCGCTGTCTTCGCGCAAAGGACATCGAGGTCCACGCACTAGCCCGAGACCCAACCTCCGACAAAGCCAAGGCCATAGAGGCTCTCGGTGTCAAGCTATGGCACGGGGACTACGACAACCAAGAAGCCATGGCCTCCGCTATCGCTGGCTGTGATGCCATCTTCATCAACCTGATGCCCAACCTCAAAGATCTGTCCACCGAGATGGTCTGGGCTAAGAACCTACTCGCAGCCGGCAAAGCTGCCGGTGTCAAGCACGCCATCTACTCGAGCAGCTTTAGCTCCGACAACCTCGAAAAGTTAAAGTTCCTGGACCAGGAAGGCATCGTCGCCACAGTCCTGCGCTCCAAGCAGAGCATTGAGCAGGAGGTCCGAGGCGCAGGCTACGACCACTGGACGATTCTCCGCCCCGGAAACTTCATGGCCAACTTCCTGCAGCCGTTGGTGCGAATGTACCCTGGGCTTGTCGATCAGGGTGTTTGGACCACAGCCATGACACGAGAGACTGTGCTACCCATGGTCGACACGAAGACAATCGGGCTCTTCGCCTGCGCGGCAGTTTTGGAGCCCGAGCGGTTCAGTAGCAAGCAAATCAGCTATGCGGATGAGCTTGTGAGCATAGATGCGCTTCTGCAGGAGCTTTCGAAGGCAACGGGGCGAGACCTGAAGGCCGTGTATCTTACCGATGCGGAGATTGAGGAGCAAAAGGCAACTAACATTTTCATCGGAGGGCAGCTTGTCATGCGGGACATGTCCCGGTTGGTGAACATGCACGAGGTCAAGGAGTGGGGAATTCCGATGAGCACATTCAAGGAATTTCTGGTCAGGGAAAAGGAGGCAGTGGATGCGACTTACAACAGCTCTGCTTGAGGGGCTTGTTTTAGGAGGGGAGGCATTCTGACAAATAGGTATCGTTCCGTGGATCCTACTCCAGACAATTACTTGATGATCAAATATATTGACTGAACTCTGCGTATACTTTGATATCGTCCAACCAAAGCCTGAGATCATTGACCTTCAGTTTGAACTCCAAGTTTCCACATCTTGTCAAATACATTCTTGGGATCATACTTCTCCTTCAACTCCCGCAGTCGCTCGGCATTGGACCCAAAGGCCGTCTTAGCCGTCAGCGTATCGCCGTCGTAGTTCACATACCGGCCCACGCCGTCCTTCAGGTCCGTGTCGTTGTACCCAAGTTCGCGGATATCTTTCTGAAACGCACGATTATTGTCGCGGATTGCCTGGTCGAGGGAGTCATGTTTCCATGTCCACAAGGTTCCAATGTTGAAGTAGTTGCCTCGGTTGTTGAATGCCGTGGCATCGGCCGGGACCAGCCCGCTCACGCGTTTGGAGAAGCACTCGAGCATGCACACACTGCCCTTGGCTTCCGGGTTGGCTTCGATGAAGCCGATAAATCGGTCTCGGCAAGCCTCTGCTGTGGAGAGCTCAAGCGGAATGGTGAAGTTGCATCCGCCAAATAGATATTTTTTGCCCGAACAAAATATCTCGTCGGCCCCTTTGTTGATTTCGGGATACGGCATGGGGCCGACATGCTTCATCGAGGCTTCCAACTTCAGTACCGGAGCAAAGTACTCTGGCCCTGCCGTCTCCGCGTCGCTACCGGTATGCATGACGTTTAGAATCAACACGGGAGGACGCGGCGCTTCAGGGTCTGCCCCTGGGAACAGAGGTGTATGGGTGAAGGAGGCTCCAAAGGATTGATAGCCATCGTTGGTCTCGTCCCAGTGATTGATGAAGTCAACAACGGCAGGGAGGTTGTCCAAAGGGAGGACGAACATGCCGCCCCAGATGTCGCCCTGAGGGTACGCCTTGCTGGTAAACTTGGTGACAACGCCGAAACTACTGCCAGCGCCACGCAGACCCCAGAACAGGTCTGGATTCTCCGTCTCGGAAGCCGTTACAATGCTTCCATCGGCTAGGACTACCTCACAAGAGATCAAAATATCCAGCGCCAACCCACGACGACCCGTCAGGGCCCCGTACCCGCCATGCAGGATGAGTCCACCAACGCCGGTGTGCGATACAGTACCGCCCACAGTCGCGAGACCATGCTTCCACAGCGCCTCGTCAACCTCTCTCCAGAGACAGCCTCCTCCAAAAGACACGGTCTGCGCGTCAGGGTCCACGGTGACGTCCCTCATCAGAGACAGGTCAAGGACCATACCTTCGGGGGAGGGCGCGCTCGACACTGGCGCGGTGCTATGCCCGCCGCACTTCACATTGAAGGCGATGCCATTGGCGGTTGCAAACTTGACAGTCGCACTGGCTTCTTCGGCGGTTGCCGGCTGGGCTACAGCTGCCTGGACTTGAGGTCAATCGCTAATTTCTGAAGCTCGATACGGGAATGTGTAGGTGCTTGTCAGAACGACTCACGGCTGGCTTCACGCAAGTGAGACTCCATCGCTCCAGACTCTCCTCGTAACCCTCATCATGAGGAAGGAGAAGGCGTCCCTTGACCAATGCCTTTCTCAGGGTCGTATACTTGTCCACGATCATGGTCGTTTAGGTGTGTGGTTGGTATGTATGTGCTGGTGGAGTTCTGGTTCCGATGGGCTTTGTGCTGCTTGCTCACTGTTCCAAACCTGGGGCTTTACCGTCTTTTAACCTGCTCCATGGCGGCTTCTCTCGCATAGCTGCCACATCAGAGACACACCCCATATCCCCAGCTCCAAGGGATAACAAATCAGAATCCATCTCACCTCAGACTTCACACTACCGTAAGCCACGCTGACGGGTTTCTGCAGCCCAAGCCAAAGGAGGCCACAACGCTCATGCGGGATTGGTGGTTGAAACCGCCCCGACTAAAAAGAGAATCAGATTCCTGATTGAGTTAACTTAGTCTGAGGTGGAGGGCCTGGATCTGACGGTCGATCATGCCTAACTCGCCTCGCCACGCAGCTGGGCTTTGTGATAAACATTTGACGTCATAGGCTGGACTTCCAGACAAAGGACTAGTACATTCGCGAACTTAGTATGATAAATGCATACGCAAGGGTTCAATACCATATCTGGAGCATAGTTTCAACACATTCCATAGGGCCAAGTGTCCCATGTGGAGAGTGGCAGAAGCCAAGCCCTCGGCCAAACAATAGGCGCCCAATACGCCCTACGAGCCCTTCACGAACAATCACAAGTCCAGTGAGGGGTAACATGCACACAAGCCCATCGGATTACAGGTATGTGGTTCATTTTCTAGTCCTTTCAAATGCCTGTCAAGCTTTAGCCAGTGTTCATCCTTTGATAAGATGTTCGTGTTGAGGTCCAATAATGGTTGTTGTAATCGATTTGCGCCGCCTCCGTCAAACGCCACCCAGAAATGCTGCAGTCCAACGCCATGTTGTCCCAAGCAATATTTAATACCCATCAACCTTCATAAGATCCCATACATATAGGGCAATTGATTATTTCGTCACAATAGGTGTTTCTCCTGACGATTCGCTTTCCTTTGGCGGCGAGTCGGATTCTTCTTTGTGATGAATGTCCTCGATAGGAGCTTCATGACCCTTTCCCTTGTCCTCCAAAGGGACGCTATTTTCTGCCGGTCGATCGTTTTCCTCTACATCACGACTGGTTGTTCCTTCAGATGAATCGTGTTCTGTGGAACTGTTGGTGCCGTCTACCACTTGGTTCTTTTCTCCAGTCGATCCGCTTGTTTCAGAAGAGTCGTGGAAGTTCTCTCCAGAGCGCCTTGTTTCCTCGATCTGGCTTGTATTTTCGGAAATTTGGCTGTGTCTCTCCGTTGAAATCAGATCCGGTCGAGAGAAGTTCGGCGTTTTGTAGAGGCTTGCGAGGTCGACTCTAGACTGAGTTCCAGACGCAGGATAAATGCCATCAGGGTCATACATGACACTCCCTCTCATAGATGGGTTATGTGGCCATCCTATGGGCATGCTTGATACCCGACGATGCTGTAGACTCGGCTCCTGGTTGCGCACGTTTCCAATCACAACAGGGGGGAGATCAGCAATTTCCTTCTCGCCACTGCGTTCGCTGGTTGAGTCGGATCCAACAGCTTTCTCTCTGACTACTGCTGCGTCCTTCCGATGCAGAGCTGCGGCGACTGCCCCAGGCCCAGCAAAGGCTGCGATGGTAGCCATCGTCGAAACGTAGGAACCGTTAAATTGCTCCATCGCACTCTTTTCCGACCTCTCGTCGACCATTAGCCATCCAATGCCAAAGAGGAGCAAACCGATGACGAGCGCGGTAAGGATGGCGGCCCCTGCTCTGTCGCCCGCGGTTATCTTCTTCCAATTCCGGTTCGGCTCGGTCCGTCCAATATCCTCGGAACCAGCGCCGGCGTCACCTTTACTGGTACCTCCGGTGTCGGCTGTCAAAGGGGCGGGTCGTTGTCCAACTATACAGGAGAGTGTAATTTCCAAGGCGGCCATCTGCTGTCCTACACCGGTCGATCCATCGTATTTGCCGTTGGTCCAAATCATACCACACATGTGTCCGTTGTCACCTCCAACACACTGTTTCGCAGCGGCGACAGCAGACGTTCTCAATAGTGGCCTGATAATATCGGCGGTGTGGGGGGCCCACTGGGTAGTAACAGCCAGCCAGCGACTCAAATAGGCCTTGAAGGATTGCTGATCGAGATTGCAAAGTTTGACGGGCTCACAGGCGACCTCGGCCATGATGTCCTTGTCGGGACCCGTGAAGAAGACTTTGACACCCTCAATCAAGCTGTCGAGGCGATATTTCCATTCCGCGCTCTCGGTGTAGTTGTACATGGCTGCCGCGCCGAGGATGAAGCCGCCGACATTGTACGAAAACTGGTAGGGGACAATGTTAGTGCAACCGGTTTCGATGTGTGCGCCGTCGTAAACAGCCCAATTCTTGTCCTTGTTGATGAATTTGACCTTTTCCATCCAGTCCCACGACCTGTCGGCCCAGTCGGCATAGGTCTTGTTGCCAGTGAAGAGGGCGAGCCGGGCGCCGAGGGCGAAGAAGCACGCCTGGGAAATCGAGTTCTTGTAATTGTACCCAGTGTTCCACTGGAAAATTTGCCACCGAAGGCCTCCTCCACAGTGTTCATTATCCCATCTGGCAGCCTGGGTGTTGAAAACGGCCTGTGCTAAGGCGAGCCATTGCGGTTCGTCTTCCTTAGGGTGAGGGAAGTTGTATTCGGCGGCGGACATGACGGCGAGACCCCAGAAGCCCTGGTCATCGTTTCCTTCGGTTCTGGTTTGGTTAATGGGCATGTAGTCGTCGTATTCGCCAACCTGGAAAAGCAGGGCTTGTTTGGTGGCGTTGACATATGCATCGTCCTTGGTGTAGTGCCAATATTCTACATGTCAGGTTAATATCGGCGTCGGCGACCAAATGCAATGCGTATACGTACCAATGAGCGTGCCCATCATGGCACCGGCCTCCCACCCTACGAGAAGGATTAGCAACGAAACTGAGGGTGACCGAGTCACCAAAAAGGGGCCGAGAAAGGACATACAGTAGTACGGGTCAGGAAGCAGACCAGGCGTGTGACCGGGCTGGTCGCCTTTGTAGAAGGACATGAGGTCTGTGACCATGGTCTTTGCAATTGTCGTGACCGACTCTGGCCCGTGGGAAGGTAATCAGCATGCATCCTCATCAAGGCCGGGGAAAAGCTGCGACGAACGGGTCGAGTTGGGATTCAAGTCGTAGGCATTGGCAAAGCTGCTGAGGGAGAGCAGCAGGGTTGCAACGAGCCCGCCAAAGCTGAGCCTTGGCTCCAATCCCCACGTCGGGAGCATGGCGATGGTTAGGCCTGGGCGACGATGAGCTCAGCGACGGCGAGGTGCATTGAGCGACATGGGGAGAAACGAGCGGAGGAGAGGCTGAGAGCAACGGGAGTCGATAGGAGGTGACAGGATGCGAGGAGAGTAGGTAAGCGAGCGACAGCGGAAGTGGCGGATAGGAGGAGCCGCGGAGGTGGTGGACGCGAAGGAGAGGGAGGGAGAGGAGGTGGCAGGCGCCGAGAGGCGGACGGAAGGATATTAGGGCACAATCTCACGATGGAGCGATGGAGAATACGAAGGGAGGGAGGGAGCACAGAGATGAGAGAACGAGAGTATGGGGAGGTGTGTGATTGTGAGTGTGTGTGGGCGGAATCGGGTATGGTTCGTGTTGTTGAGCCTCGTCTGTCCCATCTCACGTCGTCAGACAAACCGTCCCCAGACGACAGGCCAAAGGAAAAAAACGCTACGACTCTCGGCAGCGGGTCAATCCCATTAAGCTATTGGGCCATCAAGGCCGTTTTACGAGCCCACCCAACGTCAGAGAGGGGAAGCAGGGAGACTTTGGGACTTTGCGGCTGATCTTGCCATGTCCGTATGGGCACTTGTGCCTGTGCCTGAGTAAGGTACCAGCCGACTGCGGAAGCATCGTGCAATGCAGTCCACATGCGTGCAGACCGTCTCAGAATTGCAGCTTCATCACGCCGACCATGGTTGACATGGCAGGCTGGTGGAGCTGCTCGCAACGGCTGGCATGCGAAGCCGACGACAGCGCCAAAGACGACCTTCGTGGCCGCTCCCCATACGCGCTTGACAGCCACCAGCTTCACCTTCCCATCATTCCCCCCAGGCCCCCGGCGGCCTTGGCCCGCGAGATTGAATCCAAATACGAGCTTCTCCAGCCCGGTCCACGGTCCAGCGCCGATACGGGCCACAGGGCTGCCCAGCGACCCCAGAATGGGCCAAGCTCGCTGGCGAATGTGGGCATCTGCTAACTAGGTCTAGTTAAGCCGCCATGATCTTCCCCCATGTCCCCAGCGCGAAGCCCGACTCAGAAGCTACACGACAGGGCTAATAGCCTAAGTTACAGGACTGCAAGCTGCAAGGGAGCAGGCGAGGCGAGGAAACGAGAGCGAAGCATACACGACCGACACAGGAAGGTGGCGGGGCCAAAGACCCGAGTCCGTTTAGACGTGCGGATCTACTGGAGCAAGCTGACGATGCCGGATGACATGGGCTGACTTGAGTGGCCGCCATAAACATCCATGCGAAATTTGGGCCTTCTGCCGTCTCCGTCACCCAGCTGAACCCGTCTGTAACGTACGGAGGGCCCTTTCAAAAGTCTTGTCTATAAGAAGTAAGTCCTACTTATTAGGTTAGATAATAAGTGCACGAAGTACTTTCTGATTTCTATAGGCCCTAAAGGATAGCAGGCTACAGCATACAGCAACCGCTATATCCTGATCAGCAGCGTACTACTCCTGAAGTTACAGCGGCTGTTTAACGAGACTGTGACAGCTTTATGTATCTCAGGTAACCGGCAGGGATAAATGGATATGATGTTACTAGCGCTTGGACAAGACTTTTGAAAGAGCCCTCCGTAGCGACGATACCGTTTAATTATGTCTGTCTTTCACCCGTCCGCCCCCGTCCGTTGTGCTCGTCTTTAATTCTCGGCGCTGACTCCCGAGTCGCGTGGAACGTGGAGCCCTTCGATCCACCTGTTAGTCCTCTGCACCCAGGAACCATATGCCAGTCACAAACTACATATTTTAAACATTTGTCTCTGGGTATGGGGAAATATCCTGGCATTCCCCGTCGAGAGACATGGCTCCCCGAGAAAAGGAGAGAAAAGAAACAAAACCAGGATCGGCGGACCGCGCATAATCGCAGTCGCTGACAGGCACAATAAAATCACAGTCAGCACTTGGCCAACAGCGACAAGCAGACTCCCGGCCAAGGTTGTCCGAAATCGTTCATGGCACGAGGCGACATCCCAAACATCCCAGTCGAGCCGACTCGCTGTGAGCGGAATCCGAGTTTAGCCTGTTTTGGCCCAGTGTCCCCTCAGTCGCCGGATCCACGCCGAACACGGGTAACGGACGTTGGTCCTGTGGCAAACGGGCTGGCTACTTTATTGCGTTTGAGCCCACAAACGATGGGATCGTCATCAGCATTCCCATCACCATCATCAATCATGCCCTTATCGTAATGGCCACGTATTTCACGAGGCTATGCTTCGTGTAGGGAAGCAACACGAAAGGTACCAGCTGCATTTGTATTGCATCTATGGCATCTGCGTGTCTCTGCCTCAAACCTTGCCCCTGCACTAGATTCTCGAGAGACATGGCACGACAGGCTCGTTCCTGAGTTGTGAGATGCAACTGGTCACGAAAGAAACCATATACGCCATGTCTGTTCCAGTCGGTGACGAGAAGCAAAAGTCTGTGGCAAAGGCACATGATTTCAGTGTTTTCGTGTGCATTTCTTTTCGGCACTATCCAATCACTCCCGCGATCCTCACCACCACCACCATCGCTCTGCTCGTAAACCGCTCGCTACCAGATAAGGAGTACGAATAGTACTCGTGTTCTGTGCCTGCTACATCCATACTACTGACAGCTCTATTTGTACAGGCGCTGTACGTCACTGCATGTGAGTGCAACAGTACGGCGCAGCGTGCACCGACGCGGGGAGGGGGGATGACCGCATGGCTGGTCCAGTCGGCTGTCACCTGATTTCGGGGTCCAAGACGCCCGGTTAACTTAATGGCTCAACCAGGCTTCCTGGATTGATCCGCAGGCCCTTTATGGTTGACATTGAGTTTACCAAGGAATTGGCGACTCATTTGATACACGCGTTGGGTCTCCCTGGTGCATAATACCCTCGTTCCTGTCCCAGATTCTCAGCACGGGACAACGAAGACCCACGAAGCCAATCAAAACGCATTCAGAGGCTGGGCTTGAAAATCACACAGGGGGCAGCTGACTACTCCAGCGCTAGACGGTGCTGGTGCCATTATTTTTGCTGATGAAGGATGACGGATGGCTGATCTGATATGATGATGAATGGGTTGGCAAGTTGGCTATGTTGGATGAGGTGGTGAAAGGTGCCTTACTTATGCTGGATGACTTAATCGGGAGATCCGTTCCGAACCGGGATTCTGGTGGAGGGGGCGCTTGTAACCCTCTCCAAACCTGCTTCACCTCAACAGCCATCCATCATAGCCTTGACGGCCACATTTCGCCGCACGTGGTCCTAAAGGCCCTTCTCCGGTGGTACCGTTGAATTGGCCCGCCCGCCGCATCCCCGTTGTATCCCAAGTCCCCTCACTTGCGGCTAACAATGCTGGAATCTCGCTTTTCCGGGTGCCGCGGCGGAGAGAACCCCGACATTTCCGGTCTCCCTCAGCCGTGGTGGCGCAAAATGGCGATACCCATGAACTGACGGCGCCTGGCAAAGCATCAGATGTGTCCCACGGAGCTCCCCACCCAGGAATTGCAGCAGCCCGGTCTGGCAGTTCCGGATTCATGAAACCTGGGAGAATCTCCCGAGGCGGCCCTACTACGTGGACGCCAATGCTGTGTTCCCTGCCACCCCGTCCATGCCGTCGGGGCCTGGGTACTTCACGCTGATTATGGCGAGATCCACCTAATTCAAGGCACTCAATTCTGGTATCCCTTTCTCAATCTAAGCTCAATCCAATGAATGAACAAACCCGGTTGACAGTTTCCCGCCCAAGCCAAGTAACCCCAGTCACGTTTTGAAACTTTTCAATTCACATTGGACTCCAAGATCAGTGATGCCCATATTTTACTTCATTTTTCCTTCATTACCCATTCGTAAGACATTAAACCGCGAGAATTAAATTAAGCAAGCTTCTCCTTGATAATGTTCTTAAGGGTAACGGCGTCGGCAGCGAACTTGCTGATGCCCTCACGGAGCTTCTCGACGGCCATCTGGTCCTCGTTGAAGTCGAATCGGAATGCAGCCTCGGAGTTGATGTAGGTCTTCTTCTCAAGATCCAGAGAAGCGGCCGCGACGGCGTCGAGCTTCTTGGGGACAGCCTCGGTGGAGTTGAGGAGGTCCTCGAGCAAGCCGGGCTGTACAAGGTCAGTAACACATTCATATTGGTGGTAGTCACACGTCAGTGCAGGCAAGTTGGGGACTTACGGAGATAGTCAGGTAGTCGCAGCCAGCAAGCTCGGTGATCTCACCAGTGTTGCGGAAAGAGGCACCCATGACGATGGTCTTGTAGCCGAACTTCTTGTAGTAGTTGTAGATGGCCTTGACGGAAGAAACACCGGGGTCAGCCTCCTTGGCGTACTCCTGCTTGGTGTGGGCCTTGAACCAATCAAGAATACGGCCAACGAAGGGGGAGATGAGGTAGGCACCGGCCTCAGCGGCAGCAATGGCCTGAACGGGGGAGAACATGAGGGTCAGGTTGGTGTTGATGCCGTGGTCGCGCTGGAGAATCTCAGCAGCCTTGATACCCTCCCAGGTGGAGGCAACCTTGATGAGAATGCGGTCCTTTTCGATACCCTGCTCCTTGTAGAGCTATGAGGTGTGTCAGAACGAGCGTTTCACAAGCCTGAGCATTGCAAAAGTGGGAAGCAGAAAACCTACCTCGATAATGCGGAGAGCCTTCTTGACGGAAGCAGCAGTGTCGAAGGAGAACTGAGCATCGACCTCAGTGGAGACCTTGCCGGGGATGATCTTGAGGATCTCGCGGCCGAACTCGACCAGGAGGTGGTCGAGAGCAGCGTCAACCTGCTCGTCGATGGTGCTGCCGTCCTTCTTGCCAGCGGCGACGGCGGCATCGATCAAGACGGCGTACTCGGGCTTCTTGGAGGCAGCGAGGATGAGGGAGGGGTTGGTAGTGGCATCCTGGGGCTTGTACTTGCCAATGGCTGTGGTAAATTGTAAGCTTCCGATTCAAACATCTCATAAAACAGCCGTTATGGTGGGGGAGAGGTGGGGTATGAGGCAAAATGGCTTCGTGGCGCGCTGTCGGGATATCGCGAGACGATGACGCCAATGAGGCCGAGGAAGGGCAGACTGACAAGTAAAGTCACCTGTGTAATGATGGTTAGCAATGCGAGGTAAATGGAGAGGGGGGTGCGGTAATTACCAGAGTCGGACACAACGACCTACAAGTCGCAAAGAAAGCTAGCAGTCAGCAAGTGGTTCTCATGATCGGAGCTGTTGGGGTGAGCGTGCGCGAGGAGACGGCAAAAGCAGACTCAGCGAAATCAGCTACACCGAGAAGCTGCACCAGGTGTGATGCTCGTTCGGTGGGCGTCGAGTTTGAAGCTCTGGGATTGCATATCTCGCGGCGTAGCTCTGTGTGATGGAGGGGCAAAATGGAGGGGTTGCATACGGTGCCGGTAGCCTTGAGCTGATCCAGAGAGGTGGACATGATTGCGGTAGGAGGAATGGTGGTAGTTTTTGCGGCGAAGCTCTCGAAGGTGAGAGAGGAGCAATGGGCGATGGATGGAGATGTAAGAAGGAGGATGGAGGAGGAAAAGAAGAGGAGAGGGAAAAAAAGACTGGGAACTTTCAGACCCAAAAGTGTTTCGGTTGGGATGGGTGACCGACTCGCCACGTCCGTGTCCGTGGCTCCTTCCCCTCGTTCGATCGCTCCTGCCTCCCCCCAACCCACGATTCCACCCCTCCATCAACCCCTCCCGTCCGTTGTCGGTGTCGGTCGGCACGGCGAGGCGCATACACCCACCGAAACGTCAGTTCCGACAGGACGGACTGCTCTGCTCCTGTGTGCTAACCCCCACTCCACAGGCCAGATACGCCAGAGGAGCAGTACAGGGCGTGCTACAGGTTGCTAGAACCCATGGTGGGGGTGGCATGGGCGGCACCAGTTTCCACGACGAACCTACCGCCGTGTCATCATAACATGTAAATCTCCATTTTTCGTCTGGTTCCGAGCTTGGGGGATGCTGCGATCATGTCTGCGCTGGATTTCCTGAGCAGGATGACGAAAGAGGACCAGGTGGAGAGTAGACCAGGATCAGTGCTCACCCGCCACATTCTCATGAGCTACCATCCGCTACGGCGACCACGGCGACCACGGCAACCTACCAAAAACCGGTATAGACAGACAGGCGGAAGAGGCGGACAGAAGAGACAGCTAGAAATGCTAGTCACGTGCTATCATCTCGCCAGCCAGCCACCCACCTGCCAAGAGAGCCAAGCCACCTTGCCGGCTCATCTAATTGGGCTGGGCTAGGTCGGGCGGATTGGTGGACGGAGGCTGGGGAGCCGTCGCTACGTACCTAACCAGGCTAGCCCCCCAGCGCATTCCATTCCACCAGCCCTTCCAGGCGCCGAACAATTCCTGAGGCATCACCTGAGGCATGAACAGCGTCACCAGCCTCGCATTCGAGAGACTACCGGACCCCCTCGAAGGCAGTCTTGTGCAGATTGCAGCGACAACACCTGAGGCGTAGGCCGTGTCACATCAATAGCACCTAATTACCACTCGACGCATGCTCAGCTCCAGGCGCCTGCGTGCTAGTAAAGCCTGGAATCAGGCCAAAAATAAACCCAAATACGTAGCAGGAGGCTTTGCCGTAGCACAATAGCCCGTGCCTTATAGTGCTCTGTAGGTACCGGTAAATGGTCAGCAAGGACCCCCGTCCCGCTGCCTCCGTGCCTCGTCACCCCGTGCAGCGCCTCACTGCCAGCCCACCTTCGTCCCTTTGACCTGCTTGTTTCGCCTAGGCCAGCGCAACGTCTCACATCAACTTCCCACCTTCATCACCCGTATTCGCACTTCCAGCCTCTGTCTTCCGCAAACCACCTCGACACAATCAGCGCGCCGTCTATCGTTCGCCCATCGACCTCTTTTTGCCGTGCCGGCCGTCTTTCTCCCCCGATCACCCCAAACCACCGCCAAAATGCCTGAGCAGGAAGCCCCCTACGACCCCTACATTCCCAGTGGCCAGCAGGGCCAGCAACAGCAGGGTCAAGGCACCGCGAGGACACAGGCGCTGCAGGCTGTAAGTTATGATCTTGATGTTTTCAGTGCTGCGCGAGCGATGGAGATCTGTGTGGATTGCGAGACCCGGGAGACGATGACGACACAATTGCCACTTGGCCATCACCCGACCGACTTCTGCGGACGAGATGGAACGGCGGCATCCTCGCATCGACCCAGACAGCTTTCCCTGAGCGATGCGATGCACATTGTCGCCTTGACCGAGCTCCCCAGAGCATGCGATGCTCTACCATTTTGCGACAGCTCAATCCGCAAGGTGCTCAATCATACAGCACGATCAGCTTGATTGCTGTGCCAGGCTCTCTCGTGGACGTTCCGCTCAGCCTCGCTTCTTTCACTGTCCCGTTGAACGCCTCACAATCCACTCGCATTCCCGTTGACCGCATCATGATGGGATTTCTGTGACACGTGCTGACATTATGCTGGTAGCAAATCGATGACACCGTTGGTGTGATGCGCGATAACATTAACAAGGTCTCTCAGCGTGGCGAACGTCTCGATGCTCTCCAGGACAAGACGGACAACCTGGCCGTCTCCGCACAGGGCTTCCGTCGCGGAGCCAACAGAGTCCGCAAGCAGATGTGGTGGAAGGATATGAAGATGCGAATGTGCCTAATTGTCGGCATCATCATTCTGCTCGTCATCATTATCGTTCCAGCCGGTAAGTTACCTCGCCTTAATCTGATATCCTCAGAACCCTTGTGCAAATACTGACCATCGGCAATAGTTGTTGCTACTCGCTGATTCCTCACGCCGTTCTTGGGTAACTCGGTCCCCATGAATCATTCTGGGACTTGACGACATCGAATATCGCAAAGCTACGACCATGGGAAATGGGAACTTTGGGCAACGGGCCATCATTGCAGTGGGAATATGTTTTTAAGCACGGTGGAATTTGTTCACGTAGGGCCCGGTCATGATATGCGGGCCACTTAGCTCTCAGGGCCGAGGCGCCGACAACACATCTCGGCGTTGATCCCGGAGATGCAGACCGGGCCTCATGTATGATTGAGGTTAGGCGTTCCCCGATTAATTGAGATGTATACCTTTCACTGGCGATTCCCTTAGACCGGTGACACAGTGTGGAGTGGGGGCTTGCTTGCCTCGTTTGACTCGTCTGTCTCGTGTGTGCAAAGCAGTTCCACCAGTGCCTTACTATCATGGTGATTGGTGTGTCGTTGGACTTGAGGCTGGAACATTTTGCAGTCACGGGTCTTGCATCTGGCTCAGTAATATAAAGCAACTGCTAGCTGGGTACCCAGACACATACAAGACCATATATATGCCGCTCCTCATGACAACACATTGGCCGGAAGAGGCATGAGAACCGATCGCAAGTGCGGCTAAATCCCACGTCCCACCACGAAGGCGTGGCCAAGGTGGGACTTCTCTGCATTCGCGGCTCTCGAGGACGCGAAAGAGAAGACGCCATGGCCCGTCGTGACCCCGTCAAGGCCCGTCGTGGCCTGTCGTGGCCATGGGTCTCTTGCACTGGCGTCATTCCTAGGTGGACTCGGGCGTTGAGTAGCCCCGGACTGGCTGCAGGGTGCCAGAGATTGATAATGCCAGTTGATTGATAATGCCTCATCCGATCTGCACCTAGCTCGGGAGGGATAACCGACTACTCCCGGCACTTTGGGTCTTGGATCCTGGGTGGACGGACGGATGTGATGGGTTCACGGGATCCCCAGTGGCGGGCGGGAAACAGAGCGAGAGGAGGTCGTGTTGGTTCGCGACGAAACACCAACTACCGAGCCCGTACATGGTCTCCGTCTCAGCCCAGGCATGGAAACGGAAATCCAGTTGCCGTTCCGGGAACCGGGCATCATGAATTGGGAATTACACGCAGCTCTAGTGAGCCGCGGGCACAGGGCTAGGACGATGGATGGATGAGAAAACCCCACGGACGGCTTGAAAAAGTTTTGGCAAATTCATCCATGTCGGTGCAAAGAGTTTGCTGCTCTCCACCCCCTACAACAGAGACTCCTCCACCGCATCGAAAAAAAAAGCGTGCAAATTTTTTGGTCGGCCTGCCGGAATCTATGTGGTGTGGGTAGGATGCGACATGCGTGCGTGTTCCATGCTACCACGTAGGTGCCTGTCCGTGGGAAATAGGGCGACACAAGGTAACTTACTGGCTTCCCCTCTGGCACGAGTAGAAGCCTCAACAAGCTGCTCCTAAGAAGACTGCTAGCAGGGGAATATGCTGGGCCGGGTTTATTAGCCCGCCATGAGTCAACCGGGAGGGCATCGTTTCGGCCGTTGCAGTCCCCTCACAGGCCTCGGTACCTGCTGGGCCCGCCGGCGTGGCTGCAAATGCGAGGTACCGCCGCGCCTATGACCTCAAGGTACCTCCATCTAGCAGAGTGTGAGTCCGCTGAGCCTGAGAGCGGTCTCGGGGGTGCCCGGTTTTTTTTTCTGCCCCTCCCCCACAGTTCTACTTGAGGCTTGACCTTCCCGCCATTTCTCGCCAACCTGCCTCCCACATCATCCTCCCTTCAATCAACCCTCCCACCGCATCGACGCCTCTCACCGCACCAGACCGGCCCGCCGCCGAGCCAATTGGTCCCGTAACCTCCGAGGAAGATGCTGTCCGCCACCGCCGTGGCCGTTCGGGCTGGTGCCCGCCGAGCTGCTCCCCGCACCGTCGCCCGCACCGTCGCCCGCGCTGGAGCTCTGTCGGCCCAGACCCAATGCCTCAACGACTACCGAGCCCTCTCGACCACCCGCGCCCTCACCATGCCCCCCGCTCGCGATAGGACCCGCGAGATCGTGGCCCAGGCTGTCAGCAGCATCGGCAGCAAGCGCGAGGGTCAGCAGTACCTCAAGCTCTTCACCTCCGTCTCCTCCAAGCAGTTCGCCGTCATCAAGGTCGGTGGTGCCATCCTCACTGAGTACCTTGACGAGCTGTGCCGCAGCTTGCTCTTCCTCAATGAACTGGGCCTCTACCCGGTGATTGTCCATGGTGCAGGCCCCCAGCTCAACCACATTCTTGAGTTCGTAATCACACCACCGCCTAGATGTTGACTACATGGTTCCAGCGCTAACACTAGCTGAAGGTCGGCTGGCGTCGAGCCTCATTTCGAAGAGGGCATCCGTGTAACTGATGCCAAGACCCTCGGTATCGCCCGCAAGCTGTTCCTTGAGGAGAACCTCCGACTGATCGACCGCCTCGATGAGCTTGGTGTTGCCACTCGATCCATCAGCGGTGCCTTTACGGCCGACTACCTCGACAAGGACAAGTGGCAATACGTCGGAAAGATCACCAAGGTTAACAAGGAGGCTATCGAGAACTCCATTGAGGCCGGCTATATTCCGGTTCTTACCTCGATGGCTGAGTCCAAGGACGGCCACCTTCTCAACGTTAATGCCGATGTTGCCGCGGCCGAGCTCGCCCGTGCCCTTCAGCCTCTCAAGGTTGTGTACCTCTCAGAAAAAGGAGGCCTGTTCAACGGTGATGGCAAGCACATCTCTCACATCAACCTCGATGCCGAGTTCGATGACTTAATACGTCAGCCCTGGTGTCGCTATGGAACGAAACTAAAGATCTGTCAAATTAAGGAGCTCCTCGAGTTTTTGCCCCGTACCTCCTCTGTTGCTATCATCCACCCCAGTGACTTGCAAAAGGAGCTCTTCACCGACTCTGGTGCTGGTACCCTGATTCGACGGGGTGACTCCGTTCAGCAGGCGTCTGCCATTGATGAATTTGAGGACCTCGAGAAGTTCAAGGCCACCCTCCTCCGGGACCGCGAGGGCATGGATGCCGAGGCTACCATCGACCGCTTCGTCGACTTTCTCAAGGCTAACCCCTTCAATGCCTACTACGATGACGCTATGCAGTGCTTAGCCGTCGTCCTGCCTGCTGGTGATGAGAGACCAATAGCTACTCTGACTACCCTAAATATCACCAAGTCTGGCTGGCTCAGCAACATTGCCGAGAATGTTTTCGACGCCATCAAGAAGGACCACCCTAGCCTCGTTTGGACCGTCAGCGAAGAGGACGAGAATTTGACATGGTTCTTTGAGAAGGCTGACGGAAGCCTCAATAAGAATGGCAGCGTCCTGTTCTACTACGGCTGCGACCTCCGCTCCGACGCCCTGGCCCCTGCCTACGAGCACTTCATCGCACACGGCCGAACCATGCTTGGTGATTCAGACCTTGAGGCGCGCCTCCGCAGCGCTGCCCAGTCCACTAGCAAGACCCTCAGTGCCTCCCAGGGCCGCACTTAGGGTACGCCGAGTACGAGGGAAACCCTACCATGGAAAGGGCGTCAAGAGTAAGGGTTAGAATAGGGTTATCCACGGGGGTTCATCGGGATTATTTTTAGCTTAGCCACGCCCAGGCCTGTCTTCATCAACTTTACTTTAGGCTACGTAGAGCCCGAGGGAATCCCTACTATGTAAAGGGCGTCAAGAGTAAGGATTAGAATGGGGTTGTCCATGGGAGTTCATTGAGATTATTATAAGCTTAGTCACGCCCAGGTCTGGGTTCAGATTCACTGTTGTATATAAATTGCGTCCGGTAGCAGCCACTTGTTCGTGATCGCGAGTATGGATTCTATTTTTCATTTATTTATTCGTCTGCTGTGCGCACCTCTCGGTTTGTGTGAATGTGACTTTTATAGACTATGATGTCAAGGTACAGACGGCTTACATCCTGATCAATCTCATTGGACATGTTACTGTTCCGCTGTTCCTAGCTCTTACCTATGCGTCCAAGAGAGACGGCATATTGCTAGCATCGAGTCCGAAGTTGATGAGTATGCGTGAGAAGGGGGCCATATTAGTTCATATTCTAAACTGTTTCAGCTGCTCACATCAGTCATAGTAACACAGCGCTAGCTGTTTCTGACGTCCAAAATAGGTGTGTGGGGATGTCGATATTCACATGCCAGAGTCTTTGTGTACGTGGGAAACTCCGTTACAGGTGCCCACGGGACACCAACGCCATGGCGGGGAAGAATGGGAAGAATTGATCTAGACCGAGGCGGTCCGGCACGAGGTTTCATTCGACGGGTGACACGGCGCTACGCGACGTAAGCGGGCAGCAATAGCGGGGGGATGACCTATAAGTGTATAACAGGGAAGCCAGCGCAGTGAGAATCAGTCACCAGATGAGGAATTGGAATAGGGGAATGGGAGAATGGGAGAATGGGGGGGTTGGAGAAGCCCTTGCCTTTTTCGATGAGGTGGTCAAGGTTTGAGTTAACCGGGAGTAACGGAGTACATATAATGTAGACAATGCCCGAGCGCAGGCATGACAACATCGACCTCAATTAAACTCATCGATTAAGCTGATGAAATATGTCCAACATCGCCAACGAGTTCACTTATCTCCTCCTTGCCCTCGTCTCCGGGACGTCCATAGCCTTGGCTATTGGAGGACACTTGGTGTCACGGCTTACAAGCAGCGACCATGTCTCCTCGCCTCTCCCGCTCTGGGCTGTTGTCCCCATGACACCCGTAGCTCTCTACTTCCGCTCGAAGCACTATTGGCTTTACAAGATGCGCATTCACAACACCCAGCCCGCAGCTACCTACCCTCATCGCGACCCCATTCTCGGCACTGACTGGATCACCGACATGCTGAAGGCCGTACGGGCGTACAAAATCCTGCAGGTCTGGGATTCACTCTTCGGTACTGTCGGGAGCACGTACTGGGCGCAGAACGTTGGCGCCTGGATCATCATGACCAACGAGCCTGACAACGTCAAGGCGCTGCTATCGGGTCAGTTCGATACTTGGCAGATCCTCGGCGTTAGGCAAAAAGTCATCCAGCTCGCCGTCGGGCCCAAGGGGATCTTCTCAGTGAATGGCGGAGAGTGGCATGAGGCGAGAGCCATGATTCGGCCAAGCTTTGTGCGGAACCAGATTGCCGACATGGAGTGCACGGATCGGCATGTGGATAACTTCCTCGACAGGATACCCCGCGATGGGGGAAAGGTGGACCTGCAGGAGCTGTTCTATCTGTTTACGATGGATGTTGCGACTGATTTCATGTAAGTGTCACTCGTGAATGGCGAAGACAATCACTTATAGGCTACGGGCTTCAGGTTCGGATATTCCACCGAAACGCTGGTAAACCCAACACCAGAAGCCCTTGACTTTACCGTATCCTTCGACTATGCACTCCTCTCTGCGGCTAACCGCGCACGGCTCGGCTGGATCGCCTTCCTGGTACCGGACAAGAAGCTCGATCAGAGCGTTGCGACGTGCCAACGCTTTATCGACCGGTACGTCGAGGAGGCGCTGCGCGAGGACCGGGCCAAGGAGCGGCCGTATGTTTTTATGACCGAGATGCTTGCCACGGGGGCATCGAAGGAGTACGTCCGCGACCAGCTTCTGGCGATGATCTTGGGTGGGCGGGACACGAGCGCGAGCACGCTGAGTTCGCTGTTCTGGACCTTGGCAAGGAGGCCTGATGTGTTGAGTAAGATGAGGGAGGAGGTTGGACGGTTGGAGGGGAGGAGGCCGAGCTGGGAGGAGCTCAAGGAGTTGAAGTACTTGAGCATGGTTCTAAAAGAAGGTTTGAATGCGGCCCCCGGTAACTAGGTCGGCGATGTGATGCTGATCGGGTCAATAGCGTTGAGGCTATGGGCGCCAGTGTCAACAAACATGCGAACGGCCACAGCTGATACCATCCTACCTCGTGGAGGCGGTCGAGATGGAAAGTCGCCCCTTTTCATCCCCAAAGGCACAGGATGTCGGTGGTCGTTGTACAGCCTGCACCGACGGACAGACATCTTCGGCGACGACGCGGATGAGTTTCGACCTGAACGCTGGGAAAAGCTTCGAACAACGTACGTTTTCCCTCCCCGATGACCATCCTTTATTGTGTCCCTCTCTTGTCGCTAACGAATCGATTTCGTTCAGGTGGGAGTATCTGCCCTTCAGCGGCGGGCCGCGAATTTGTATTGGGCAGCAATTCGCGCTGACCCAAATGTCGTATCTCGTGACGAGGCTACTGCAAACGTTTGACGAGGTTGAGGCTATAGACGATGGGCCGATGTTGCAGGAGGTGAGTACGACGATGAAGATTGTCGGGGGGTGTTGGGTGAAGATGCGAGCGGCTTAAAGCGTGGGTGCGTTAGGAAGTAGGAAGTGAAAGGCGTGTCGGAAGGGGGGGTAAATAGAGGGAGGATCGGAGGATCGGTCCCCTGGTTTCACGAAGTCCCTAAACCGTTTAGTTTCGTTTGGCCCGCAGATCCAAAGCCGTATTTCCTTGGTCGTGTAGTCGTTGTGGGATAATATGTAGTCAAAAAAAAAAGAAACCGTCTCTTGTGAGTCAAGGCCAAATAACGATCCCGTGACAATGGCTGTTGTTCAGGGGCTGCCAGCTGCCAAACAGCTGCCACTCCTCTGGTCACTCATAGAGGTACGTAGCTGAGCGTCAAACAATAAGTCATCAACAGGCAGAGGCGCGAAGAATAATGCGACAAAAGCTATTGTGCCGGAATCCTTGCTTGCTGCTGTATTTACCTTTTCTGGCTTCATCACTCTTTGCTGCTTTGCTTTCTCTCTTCTTTTTGTCAGCATTCTCGACATTATCAGCACTTTGCGCTTTCTCGGAGTCTTCTTTGATCACAAGTTCCCCACACGGTCCTCTCTCAGTGTCAGAAATCCACCATGGCGGACGAAAACACGGCTGAGGAACCCCTGTCGGACGGCGGCCTGGGAACTCATCACATGACGGGGCTCGAGATTGGGGTCATCGCCGGCGGCGTCACCATCTTTGTCATCATCGTTCTCTTTACCTTCTTCTGCCGTCTCAGTGCTCAGCGTGCCAAAGTCAAGAATGCGTTGCGGCAAGCCGAAGAGGGTGGGGCCGGGCGGACGGAGGATCCGCCTCAGCAGCAAGACCAGGCGCTGGAACTCCAGCAGACGGTTCCAGGCGATCGGGAGCCCGAGACGAGACGCTACTTTTAGATGTCAGACACCGACAAAGGGGGTAAGTCGTGTGTGAGGAAACGCGGAAATAGTGCGGAAAGGCGGCCCTAACGATTGTGAGTACAGCGCCGGAGGAGGGCTTCGCGCCCAGCAACGTGCCCAACCACCAACCACCATTCTCAGCACAGCCCGGAGCACGAGGATAAACAGCTAGCAGAGGCGGTGCTCAAGTAAACGGGTGGAGTGGGGAGTAAGCAGAAATGGAAGACTGCGTGAAACAATCACTGGTGACTGGCGTGAACGGAACGGAGCTTCGTGATAGCGGGTCAGGCTTGGTCGTCATCTTTCCCATGGTCAGGGAATCAGACCATGGAGAATGAGGCTCCCAACGTGGCTCAGGGAGGAGGGCTCAGGGAGGAGGCCAGGCTTTGATCATCAGGGGCATTGGGTTGCCTCGAGGCATGGGGGATCTACTTTGCCTTAAGGGGCAACCGACTAGAACAACAACCTTGTCCGCCTCGGACACTTTTTGGGGACATGCATTGGCGTCTTGGGGAACCTTGGGGGTGTGTCTCCAGGGTCTTAGGGCTAAATAGAGTACATGCAGGGCGCTGTCAAGCACGTTGCCGGGATAGGCCGAGAACTGAGAGTTGCATCAAGCATCAGACCAAGTTGGTTCAGATTCGCGTGAAGTCAAACCAGGCTACCCTGGACCAAAACGCGACCTCACCCCCAACGACAATTGCACGTGACCACCCGTCAAGGCTCACTCAGGCACCTACCTACCTTGCCTAGCAGCTTTCTCTCCAACCTCTACGACACGTCGCACCCACGCCAACGCGCTCAACTACAATGGCATCGCCGTCGCCTCCCCGAGGGCGTAATCGCTCGCGCTCCCGCACACGCACGCGCTCGCTGACTCCACGATCCGACGCCTCGCGTTCGCCCGATCGCCGCCGCCGCTACGACGACTCACGATCCCCTGCCCGATCGCCTACACCGGGCCGCCGCAACGACCGCTTCCGGAGCCGCACTCGCAGCTGGAGCCGAGGCCGCGACCGTGATCGCGACCGCAGAGACCGCGGCGACTCCCCACAGACGAAGAGCACCAAGGTAGGAGGTCTTCCCCTTTGGAACGTGGACATCCGGTGAACTGACGGGGTCGCGACAGATTGTGGTGGAGCGCTTATCCAAGAACATCAACGAGCAACACCTGTATGAGATTTTTGGCCAGTTTGGTCGTGTCAAGGACCTGGATCTACCTATCAACCGAAACTGTGAGTTGGTCCCAGCCAGATCGCATACGCCCTGGTCCCTGAACATCAACTAATCGTCATTGGTCACAGTTGGAACCAACCGCGGCACGGCTTATATCCTATTCGACTACGAGGCCGATGCGGAGGCGGCGATTGCGCACATGCACGAGGCGCAGGTAGATGGCGCAACTATCAACGTCTCCATCGTGTTGCCCCGTCGCAAGCTCTCGCCTGCTCCCCCGACCGCCAGACGTGGCGCCAATATCGACCCCAGAATCCCCTTCGCGGGGCCACGTGGGGGTCTTCTTGGAGCGGGTACTGGAGGCGCCGCGAATGTAGCTGGCGGAGGTGGCCGTCGTCGTATGTCGCCAGGGAACAGGTATGGCCCAAGGTCGGACGTTTACCGGCCGGGATCCCGCTCGCCCTCAAGATCACCCGGCGGGCCGCCAGCGTCGCGCGGGGGTGGGAGTCGCTACCGCAGCCACTCAAACGGGTCCTACTCGTCGCGGTCGAGGTCGAGGTCGAGATCGAGGTCGCCGGGGGCGCCAAGACGTCGGGGCGGCGGCCGACACGACGAACACGAGACGAGGCGTCGCAGTGCGAGCCGAAACAGCTACAGCAGCGACGGAAACAGAAGCCGATCTCGTAGCCGGGGCCGAGGCCACCGGTGAGATGCACCGGTCAGAGACTGGTCAGAGATTTATGCCAAGGTGTATTTTAAAAACGGGATTACGGGTGGCGTTCAACAAGGAAGACCAAACCAAACAAGGACGACCAGACAAGGAAGATGGTCCTGTGGAAATTTATTTTAGCTCACCAACAAGTTTGTGGTTGCTGACACGCTTCATCCTCGACTAGCTAACACTTTTCCAGATGGAGAATGATGCACAAGTCTCGAGGGGGGGCTTTTCCGCAAGATGGTTCCCGGAACCCTGGTCCCTCCTAATTCAGCTCGGACCTATTTCCTGTTATGTTCAGTTCAGTTGCTCTAACGCCCCATCACCTCCCCTTTCCATCAAATGATGTCCTTGTCTGCGTGAATTTTACTTTGAGCCGCCGTTATGGATATCTCCCCTGGACTTGCAAGTGCTTGTTTCTCATCTTATCTGGCGTGGATCATCGGATACCAAGCCCACCACTGCCGCACTCTGCACTGCATGGTCACATCTCCTCCGCGCCGCGCAGCCGCATTAGCCCTCAGCATGCGAACAAGTATCGGCCCTTCCAGGATTCCCAGATCTCATTTGTTATTTGTCATTTGGCTCTCCACACCGGACAGTGGTGTGGAGATGTGGTACGTTTGGCGGGCCTAGAACTGAAGCTGCTCTCACGCCTGGCCGTAACGGCTCGCGAGAGGCTGGCGACGCCCTGAATAAGGATAATATTGCATCAATGACAAGACTAAGCGGCGTGACGCAAGCACCACGTGCGACCTGCAGAGCAGCATGACCTCAGCTCACCCGCGTTGGCTGGGCTTATAGGGCTGAGTGATATCGTCACCTCTACCCAGCCGCGAACCCGCGACGGAGCCCGTGCTGTGGGTAAGGTCCAGGGCCACAACTCGGCCGATAGTTTTGGATGCCACTTTGAGCCGGGGGGCCTTTTGAGACGGGGCCGTGCCATCGAGCAGAGTCCCATCGAGCAGAGTCCCATCGAGCAGAGTGCCACTCATACCGTGACGATTCGTCATCACCCCGCCGGTCCTTGGCTGCTCGGTCAAGCAACGGCGAGCGGCTGCTTCCACATCCGTGGCGGCCGGCGGCGGTAGACTCGCGGTCGATGGTCAATGGTCGATGGGAGGAGCGCTTATAGACTATTGCACGGGAACGAGTCTGACGGCGTCTGGCCGCCAGGATGCGCTGAGGTTGTCGCGGCCTCATGCTTGAGTCGCCACTTCCCAGGACGGCTTCAGCAGGACATCGTCACCACGTATCACCCAGACGATTACGATTCGGGCAACGACCTCCTCTGCCAACCATGGTCGCGGGCATCAGCTACAGAAGCTACTGCAGCGTCCATGGCATGTGATCCATCTGCATGGTAGCCAATGGCAGCCGCCGGGATCAGGTATGGCAGAGGCACCCGTGGCCCTGTCTCCCCGGCGTTGCAGGCAGAGCTCCCCCTCCTCCAGCCCTCCAGGGATTTGCATCAACGGGGGCTCTGCATGGAGCTTCAAAGGTCGAACAAGCCTGACGGGCAGGGCCGGTCTATTTTCGGCTTCTCCGAACCGCTTCCCCGTGCTACCGCTTCAGGAGTCCTGCATGGTACGACCGAAGCAGGAAGGTGGCGTATATTGTTCGTGCGGGCTCGGCTGTCCGGTCGCCGTGAGGACCAGCATTTGGGCGGGAAGATTAAGTATGTGTTTCTATTCATCTCCCAACCAAGCAGCGGATGTCTCTCGACGTCGTAGTCGGAAGCTGGTTGGGGTCTATTCTCATACTGAATCCTAGCGCTGCTCTTCTTGGTGCCCAGCCCACCATGGCAGCCCCACTGCCTTGGGGGGAGGGGGGGGGCTTTATTTGGCTGTGAACCACACCATCACGGGGCGACCTCAGCTCCGTGAGGACGCTTGGCGCATGTGCGGATAGACGCACGTCACATATCTGCGCTGGCGCACATCGCGGGACGGTCTAGACGCCCCAAGGCGCCACCCACACGCTTCAGTCACAGATAGACATACATGGCCAGTTGAAAACCGACGGCGGGATGGTGTCTCCCGGGAGGATGGATACGCCAGTGAGCCTCAAGCACCATGATCGCAAGCCACTATGCACTCGGGCCTCTCGTCACACCCAGCTGCTCGGGTCGGCGCATCCGACTGAGATGGTGTCTTGCCCGCTGTCTCTGCCTGGCATGCTCGCCGGCTCTCCGGGCCACATGATGGGCCCCCCCGGGGCGTTGGCATATCCTGAACCACGCCCTCGGGTATAGAAATCGGATCCCCCATACAGCGCAGCATCCGTGGATCCGTGGTTCCGGGGTGCGGGTATGGCAGGCGGGTACGGCGAGCGAGCGAGCAGGGCGGGTGTGTGGAGGCCGTGGGCTATAAGCCATGCGCGGCTGACCGCGTTGAGGAAAGGACGGGTAGCCGGGGAATAATTGCTGGACGGGCTGGGCTCGAGAAGGGCAAGGAGGGCATCCCTGGTCGAGCTGCGAGTCGTGCCATGATGCGGAGGGACGAGATGTGAGCCTCATTGGGAAGTGCGTCGCATCCGGAATCTGCTCTGCGATGCCTGGGACGGAGGGTGGCAGACGAATATAACCTCACGCGCCCGCAGGCGCGCGTGTCTCCCCGGATCCTCACATTCTCGAGTCCAGCGGATGATGCGCGGGTGTAAGCCTCTAGATGCGCATTGATTCCCCCTCCTTCTCCGTCCCCCTATGTACTCTGTCGTCCCTGACGTTGTTGGCCTTTCTTGTCCCATCTGCTCTTTGTCCTTCTTCTTCTCCTCCTCCTCCTCCTCCTCCTCCTCCTCTTCTTCTCCGTCAACCTCGCCATGCTTGCAGAGATAGCTCTCCTCCCCTCCCTCATGCCCATGCCCATCCCTCGATATCCGTCTGTTTTTGAGCCCCGAGATCCAGACCCTCCGCCTACGCCCCCAGGAGGACCCCGCGTGCCTCCTCCGCAACCCAACCCGCCGCCGTCTCCTCCGCACACCTTCTCGTTGCATCGCCATCGCCATCACATCGGCCATCTCGACGGTTCTGCGTGGCCGTTGAGCGCCGACCCTCATCGGCCGCCGCCTTGTGTACCAAGCCTCGAGCTCCCCGGACCGGCAAGGGCTCTATTCCTGCCACCAGGACCCTCCCCAAGACTACGCCCCTGACTCCGCCCACCCGGAGACTTTGAGTCGCTGGGAGGGGGGCAGGATCTAAGAGGCTGGGGGATGGGGACGGGGACGGGGACGGGAGGGGTAGGGGTGGAAAGGCAAACAACGACAACACCTCGCAGAGTCGCAGTGTTGCTTGTCCCATTCTCCATTTCCATTTCCATGTCAAAGGCCATGACATGACCTTGTTTCCCGTGGGGCGATCACGCCAGGGTTCGACGATGAGCCCCCCCTCCCCTCTTCAGCCCCCTCAGGCCCCTCCAACGGAGGGGTGGGATACGACCGCGGATCGAGGCCGTGATTGCGAGATCTGCGTGATTGGGGGGATTGCGGATGAATTGCTGATGGGACTTGTGGGGGCGGGATCCATCGAGAGCGACCCACGGGGGCCGGCCCACGCCCTGCAACTGCAACCGCGGGCCATGGGCTGCAGCTAGTGAAGAGGCTTGGCGCATGAACGTCGCTGCATCCCTGTAGCGCCAATTATCGGGCGTTTTATGAGCTGGGTTGGGCCTGGGGTACAGGGCAGTTAAGTGCTGTACTACGCAGTATCTTGGAGGGGGAGGAGGGGCTCATGGGACAGGGCAGGCTGTCGTCGGAGTTGGGTCTATCTTTTTTTGCTGTATTTTGTTATTGTTGTTTGTTGGATGTTGGCTATCTCTTGTGTCTTCATTGTTACGTGCGTTTCTTACGGGGGCCTCGGCTGGGATATTCGACTAATCCACCTCATATCGGAGTGGTGGACCACGGCTTCATGCTTCAAGGGTCAAGGGGGGTGGGCTTGGTGGGCTCTGGGAAGGAGGAAGGGGGACGAGGCTCGCACCTCGACCTCATTTAGAGGTGGATATAGGAATGAATGGATGGATGGGATGGTGGATGGATGGATGGATCTTGTCTTGTCCAGCAGATAAGATACACTCCCGGGTAATCATAACCAGAAAGCAGACGAAGCTGGTCAAGCCGAGCTTCATCCCGATATCCACGCCATGTCCATCATCCATGTCATGATCATGTATGTCTCTGGCGTGTCGGGCGTCTGACGAGAGCGTCACACAAGCATCTTGAAGGGCGTCTCCACAGCGTCTCCGCAGCGCCTCCATCTCCAGATGTCGTCCCACAACACTACTGTAGAGAAGACATCCCGGATGCGCCGCAGCAATTGCTAGATCAACCCTTGCTTGATAACCCCATACTACCCAATACCCACTACCCACTCCTCTCACCCTCTCACCACCCCGAGGGGATCTATCTTGCACATATCTCGTGCGTATCTGGTCCTTTTGCAGCTCGGATTCGCCTTGTGCTTCCCCACAAACCACAGCCCAGACGCCCAGACGCCCAGACGCCCAGATGCCCTGCGCCTCTCTCTTCGGCCCCCCTCCATCCCATCGTTGGTGACTCCACAAGCTTCGGCCCCTCACTAATCCCATTCCTACCCTAGACCCAAGATGGGGTTCATCCGGCGGTTAGCTAGCAGGCCTAGTGACAGTAAGTGACTAGTGACGGTATGTAAGTGACTAGGTAGTGATAGTAAGTGACTAGTGACAGTAAGTGACGGCTAGTACGTTAGTGAGTTAGTGAGCTAGTGAGCTAGTGAGTTAGTGACAGGGCCGCTCTCATCTCTCATCTCTCAGCTCTCATCCACCATTTCTCCACGCCCCTCACTCACTCCTCAGCGCTTTGACACTCACCACTAAATCGCGGCATCTCTAGTTTTTGTTGGCTGACGCCAGTGATGCAAATTCCCACAAACCACAGCCCGTAGATAATCTGCAATCTGCGATCCGTAAGTCGTAATTCGTAATCCCTAATCCCTAAACCGCAATCCGTAATTCCCCGGCTAGACTTGCCCCGTGCCAGGTTCCATCCGAACTGGGTTTTGGTTTTCCGACATGCCATCGCTGGCAGCCTCGGCGCGGCATCAACTTACGCCGCTTATCGGAAGAGAATCTCGGACCCGTTCCGTTTGAGGGCCGACGCTCCGAGACAGACAACGCCCGCCATCTCCGAACAGAACGACATCTGGTGTTTTCAGGTGCACGGGCTGCAACCAAATGGACACTTGTCTTGACACAAGAATATGACTCTTCAGGGAATCGCCATCTATCGGTTCGCTGATGTAGTACATATCCGCTGGCGCCTCTCGGCTTACAACAAAGCCGTGTCGGCTCCGAGACCCACCATATATAATCCGTACATACCCAGCCTTGAGCTAGCCAAAGCGCCCCGTAGTTATGTTGGGGGCCATTGCCACGCTCATCCTCGAGACGAGTGAGTGGCCGCCGAAGGACGAGTCATGATCGGGCAGGCAGAGTTGCCCGAAATTGCCGAGGTGAAGTGCTCCTCCTTGCTTGCGGGGAAGACGGGAAGCTGGGTTGCAAAAGAGTCATTGCGTATACCCGGACTGTCATTCGGCTTGAGACGGTTTGGGAAGGTGTGTATGATACCGTTGGCGAGGAGGATGCCGCTTTGGTGCAGAATCACTGAGTTGGTGAACTTGCTGTTGATGACCAAGTGGACCGCAGCCGACGTTGCTGACCGGCCGAGTTCTGGCCGAGTGTCACCAGCTGTTGTTGGTGAAGGCTGACAAGGTCAAGACTTAGCCAGGGACGATGGGGTAGCTCATGACCTTGACCAATTCGTCGGCGGAGCAGTCCCCCGAGGCTGCCAATTACGTATCCGAAAACCTGTCTGGGAAGCAAAGCCGCTGATATTATTGAGGTCTTGGACATCGAGCATGATATGCGTTTTGGATAGGGTTACGAATAAGGAATCCACCTCGGAAGAAAGTGCCGTGTCCACTGTGCCCTGAAGGATGTGATAATGGATCAGGAGGATGGTGACCTCCTTGTTTTTAGGATCCTAGATATCATCTAGTGAAGTGAACAGAAGAATTTCTCCAAGGCATAAGCATTTGGAGTGAATGAACTAGAATGAAATAGAAATATGGTTTCATGGTCCAAACTTGCAGGGAAACTTGAGAGTTGGTGAAGTCACGAGAAAGGGGTACTGTGACGACTCGAAGACAAAAATCAGGAGATCTATCCGGATACCGTCGGGGCTTGGCAACTCATGTAAGATATTGGGTAATTCTAAAGGGCCCCACTAGCAGTGCTTTTCGTAGACGAGAGTGCTGAGAGAATCCTAGTTCGCCTGGGTATGAATGAGGAGCGTCTTGTAACTGGACAAGACAGTTTCAAGGGCCTAGTTTTCCTAGCCGTTGGCCACAACCGAGGAAGCATACATACAGGCCGATGCGGGTCTTAGAGAATAGAATTGTTTGAAAAGGAAGGGACGCCGGGTGCCAAAAATTCGAATCCATAAAAATGTCTACGTTCACAATATAAAGGAAGGAGAAACAAGGGTTGAAGCTCTCTTATTACTAGATAACGTCCAAATCCAGCTGGAGGGCTCCAATCATCAACGTAATTAAAAAGTACTCTCGACTATCATCCTATGCGAGAGAATACATTGCTTTCCACTTCCGCGTGACGATATAATTGAGGATAGTACCAAACGTGAAAGGCATGTAGAAGCCACGACCGTTTGAGGCGAGTGAAGGCTAGTGACTGAACGGTGCCGAGTAGCGCTCAGGGAGGGATGGATGGTGCTGTTAAACCCACGGATGCGGACATAGAAAGATAGACTCACCAAGCTGCCGATAAAGAAGCTGTATTGGTGACTCGTTAAGCTAATAATTGTACTGGTGTGGGAGGTCAGGAGAAGCTCTTACGGCCTTGACAACTCGAACTACGCTTAGTTTGCCTCCCGGGAGTCCCGGATGTGACCCGGAGGATGGCTGGCGAGCCAACTATTGACGGCCCGTCCGAAGAACCAGTAGATTCCTGCCCAAGCCTCAACTAGAGCCCGCGAAGCCAAAGTAGCGCGTTTATCGCCCCGGCGCTGCCGGCTAGATCGAAGGGCAAACGCCAAGCCTCCATCTCCCCATTGCGACTGTCTCTGGCGTCCGCCTCTGCATCTGTAGATCGGGTGAAGCGCAAACCCCTGAACCCTGCTAGCTGGATCGCTAATCGTGTGTGACCAGGGTTGATGACTCCGAATTGGGGAACGAGCACGAGCCGCACGCAGCTGCTCGTCGACGACAAGTCTCTCGTGTTAGTGACTCGGGCTGGTTTTCCAGCCTCTTTAGTCCCTTCCCTTCACGACGGGCGTTAGGAAGTAAAAGTCCTGGTGGTTTGGATGTACTGGTTCTAGAACATTCTGTGCCAGATATACCGCAGTGGTCATGCTGCAGTCAGAGGATGGCTGCCGTCAACCCCATCCGCCACCCCGATTTCATGGCATCACATATCGTAGGGTAAAGACGAGCTGAATATATCTACTAGAGGCATCACTGTAAAATTTCGTGAGTGGGCGTGGAGCTTCCTATTGCTGGGTCTTGACGAAAAAGTTGAGTCGATATATATCTCCAGACCCCACCTCGAGGAGGGGAAGCAATCTTGATTGCTGGCTCTATGTGATCTGGGTGGCCCATACTGTCCATTTTGCAATGCCGCGGTCGCTACCATCGCTATCCTGTCCGGAAATACGATTAGTCTTTGGCGAGTGGGTCATTCTAAAATAATACGTGATATCTGCATCAGAAATATTAATACAGTTACCTCCAGATGCGACGATGTCAGAGTGGGTGTCGAAAGGGGGACGTCAGCCCACAACTTGTGGTCTGAATATCGTGGAGGTTTTGAAAATTAGATGGCATAGCGACATAGGAATGCAAATGGCATCCACGCGATAGTCACACTCACATGGCCAAGACGATCCCCTTAGGCTCGAATCAGGTCGCGGATGTGACGCAGTACCGTCAACTCCAGCACGTTCTTGCTTCTACCGACACACAGAAAATGCTAAAACGCAAAGGGGTGCAATGAATAGTAGAGAGTACATTATTCAATGCCGCTCTCGCGATATCAGAGCCTCGCATTCTTTGTGGGCACCGTGCTTCATTGCTCGACGACGGGGACTTCCAAGAAGCCCAGAAACAGTTTGGTTTGCATCATGGGGATCTTGTCGATTGCCATGAAGCCGTTTCATCTCATGGTGAGTAGGTACCTGACCGGCAGGGTTGGCCTCGGAGTAAGGGGCTTAGAACAAGGGGTCGATGTAATGCGAAATATGAAGCACAAGGTGTATGCCAAAAGCAGAACGACTGGGAACTGCGGGACTAAGACGCCGCAAATTATTAAATACGCGGAGAGGGTATCTTGGGCCTCCATGAGACCAGTCACAGCCATTTCTGTTGCCGCTTTTGTCATGAACACCTCATGTACGTCTAATATCGAGAGCCAGGTGGATTACTTGAGCAGCAGTAATGTGAGGGACTAGACGCTATGTCGATCTTTCACCACTGTTAGCGATCTAAGTACCTATATATCCCAAATCGGAGCAAACTATCTCTCTATATGTCGACACCAGGAATTACGATGATGAAATCCAGGATGATTAGGCTTCTCAACCTTGCTGAGTTCCCCAGGCTTCCCTCATTTTGTGATTAATGATCAAAACAAGGCAGGTCACTGAGATCCATCGATTGGCTGGATCAACAAGAACGTTAAGGAACACTTGGCCGAGCTGGGGGCGACGAGGCGGTTTGGAATGGGCTGGAACACTCGACAGCGGCCGCAGCAGGGAAGAAGAGACTAGGCAAAGTCTGTCCGCTAACTAATGTTCTGGACCGAGACTCCAATAGACCGAGGGTGTAGCGTGGATGTAAGACGTTGTTGGAATGGACTGGAATGGAGAAATCGGTTGCAGCATCATTAGTGACGGGGCGTGTAAGTTGGCTGCTTGTAGCTACAGTGCATGTTCAAGCGGGGCACGGTAATTACAGCCCCTGAGGCCGCTATTGAGGATCCAACGTAGCGCGCAAGCAGTGTTGGCTGGGCCCTCTGGTTGACATGGTGCACTGTGTAAATGCATCCGCTGTCTCACTGTACCAGCACCACACTTCCGTCCTCGGCCGGTACCACCGACACCAGTTGACTATGAACTGTTCCGGCTTCATATCGACACACACTAAATCGAGCCGAATTTCCTTTCTTTTGCCCTACCCTCGTGTTCTTGAACCTAACTTGCTCTCATTGTTTGTCCTCTTGTTGTCCTTGCCACCCACACCACGTTGGCCTACACCACTCCAGACCAGCTTTATCATTGGTATACCTCATTCAACTTGCTTCATCATTTTCCACACCGTACCATACCTGATATACTGGAATTGAAGTCAACCTACCTGCGTATAGAAAGCCATCCAAGGCCAACCGCAAGCCAATACTTGCTGGCCGTGTCCGCTCCCTCTGGCCAAGGATACGACCCAGACCTCGGCTGCTCCCAACTCCCGATCCTCTTCCATCTTGTTCTCTCCCGCCCAGAGAATTTCCCCTCCTCGCGATACCTACCTTCGCCATGGAGAAACGGTTGTCTTCATTTTCATCCGAAAAGGACCGGCGCCCTTCCGGCTCCGACTGCTCGCCCACTACCACACCTGTTCGTTCTCGGTCGCCCGTGTCTGAGGCTCTAGCCCAGCTAGAGATGGCAGCGAGGTCAGATAGGCCAGAGAGAGACTCTATACTTTCATTCCCTGACGGTGCGGGGTCTTCCCGGGGGGAGAGGCTCGCCGTAAATCGATTTAGTGTTGGTGCTTCATCACGGCCAACCTCAGGCGTCAGATCAACCAGGTCATCAGAGATCACCCCTGGAGCTCGACAAGACACCAGAGCGGCGCGGTTCTTTCACTCAAGGCGAGTTCAACCAGGCGATATTGAGAAGCCATGGCTGGACAAAAAGGACCCTAAGGAGAAATGGTTAACGATTCTGCCTATTCTGGGCCTGGCCGTCGGTCTCGGGCTCGCCGCATTCCTCATCTGGGACGGAGTGAGAAGCGTCGCCCATCACAGGTACTGCCCTGTACTGGATGAGAACTTCGCCTCCGGCCTGGATCCCAAAGTCTGGACCAAGGAAGTTGAAGTCGGTGGCTACGGGTAAGCTTACACACCTGTCACGCCTATTATATATGTTACTGACTGCTTAATTCTAGCAATGGTGAATTCCAGGAAACCACTGGCGGCGATGAGAATGTATACATAGATGGCGGTCGATTGGTCATCAAGGCAACACTTCAGGATTCCAATTTGATGGAGAAGAACAACGTCATGAACTTGCTCAAGGACGGCACCTGCACCTCCAACAGTTGGAAGAACTGTGTGGCCGCAACCAACTCTACTGCCGGAAACTCGAGCGTCGTGCCCCCAGCCAAGTCTGGCCGTATAAACACCAAGAAGGGTGCTAGCATCACATACGGACGTGTCGAAGTGACTGCAAAACTTCCAGAAGGAGATTGGTTATGGCCCGCCATTTGGATGATGCCTGTGGACAGTCTTTACGGCAGCTGGCCCCGTTCTGGAGAAATCGACATAGCTGAGTCTCGCGGAAACAACCACACCTACGCCCAGGGAGGAAATAACATCGTCTCCTCTGCCTTGCACTGGGGTCCCAACTCGGCCAACGACGCATGGTCCAAGGCCAATGGCAAGCTCAAGGCCTTGCGCACCACCTACAGCGCTGGTTTCAACACGTTTGGCCTAGAGTGGTCTCAGAAGTATCTCTTCACCTACGTCAACAGCCGTCTCCTCCATGTCATATACACCAACTTCAATAAGCCCATGGCGGAACGCGGTGGATTCTCCGACGACCTCGCCGACCCCTGGACTGAGACGGGACATAAGAATGCGCCGTTTGACCAGGCCTTTTACTTGATCATAAATGTTGCTGTTGGCGGTACCAATGGCTGGTTCGAGGACGGGAAGTCTGGAAAGCCGTGGGTAGACAATTCGACAACTGCCAAGAAGGACTTTTGGGACGCCCGCGATCAGTGGTACCCCACATGGAAGTCGCCGACGCTCGAGGTTTCTCGGGTCGTCATGCTGCAGCAGTGTGACGGCGACGAGGAATTGTAGAGAGCTCAAAGCTAAGTCTACAATCGTTGATTTTAATTGTTGCACAAACCATTTTGAAAGAGTAATTATAGACACAATACAGAGGGGGGCAAATATTTGGGGATTTAGAAGCTATGGGCAAGAGGGACTCATGCTGGAACCTTTGCGCGAGGGTTCATTGTCAGCGATTTCACCGGAGATGTCTATCACTATAGGCAGCTACATCATTTCTTCTCAATCAAATATTTTAATCGCGTACGCCATACTCCACCAAATTGCGATCTTGTATGAATTCGCTGCTGCAAAGTCAATGGAGTCCAACTGAAACCGACAAGCTCGACCCAGCGGGTCTGTAGCACCACCTGGGATAAAGCACAGTTTAGGGGGTCTTTAAAGATCTTATGCAGTCACTCATGACTTGGCTACTAGCTAACAGCGAGAAAGTCTAGCCCGGTGGCGAAGTGCTGATCCAGATCAAAGTGGGAATATATGGGTGACCCATTAACCTCGGGGGCGAGGCGGAGCTTGTGTTGATTGAGTCTAGGGCTGATCGATCGAAGACATCCACAACAGCAAGGCAAGACTGGAGGCTGGTGACGGTGGCCATTATTCAGTGAATTGCCCCCCCTGCTTTTCTGACTCTAATTTGGATTTCTTCGAGATTATTAGCGGCGGCGGTGAGAGGTAGTGCTGGAAGTCGTCTAAGTTGATTGTATGTGTAATTAATGTAGGGCTCAAGGCGAGTCGCACTGGCAAACATAAACCAAAGCTGTGGTCAGTGCCTAGCCGGCAGATCCGCACAGAGACATGTGTATCTTCTTTTTTGTTTTTGTTTTTCTGCTACTTGAAGGCGATGGTTTTATCCGGCTGCCTCGAACCGCTCTCGGTTTGGTGTACACGCTTCCTTTGCCAGAACACTTAGCCACTTTGTAGCTTCAAAGAAGTTCATATGGATCAAGAACAAATAAATAAATGATAGCTCTCTACCTTCGCAACCGCCCGCGTCTTAGAGGCGGACGTGCCGAAGCCCGATGACTGGGATCTACAGCTGCCGCGCTCCGGGATCATCGGAAGCGGGGAGAAACTCTGTGGCGTCGTCCTTTGTAGAGAACCCAAACGGCACCGCAATGTTTATCGTTTCCCGCTTGTTAATGTAGCGTTTGTCTGAACTTTATGACCTAGTGCCCCAAGCATGATATTGGGAATCTAGACGATGGGCAGAAACGCCGGGAAGATGACTATCGAGTCAACCGTTTGGCGGTTTCCGTAAATACCAAAATCGAGGTGAGACGCTAGAAGTTATGTACAATTCGGTGGTTGAAAGCTAGAACAATGGAAGTGTTCAATGTGAAACAGGGAAGTACTGTGAGACGGGCATGAGCGTTGAGTAAAAGAAGTGTGATTCCCTGAAGAATTATGGTGAATTAAACAACTCTAGTGGCTAAAAAATGTCCATTGGCAGCCATTAAGATCGATGAGTCAAGCAATAGAAGATCCAGAGCAAGTTCAATACCGCCGTATGCCAAAGAGGAGCTGATTTTTCTGTCTTCCAGAAACAAATGATGCGCATGATTTTCTGGCATCCGTGTGCCAAATCGCTTCCCTAATTTTCTTGCCCTGAATGAGACTGTCTTATATTCAGTCATTAGTGTATCATGGACAGCACGAGGAGTTTAGCCGGATATGCATTTGGTCAGCCTGAGAGTTAAGACCCCTGGATGGAGCTAGAATTCTATGATCAGTCGGATACCAAATTAGAAGCTCATTAATGGTCCATCATTTCGGTATCCTAGATAGAGCTTAGTTGATCTAGATCTCTCGGCCCACGTCGCCATACTTAAAGTCAACCTTCACATTGTCCGTCTAACCTTGCCGCGAGCGTTGCGGCGCCGCTCGAAGTCAGGCCGCCGGGCTAAGAAAACAGGCTGTGAGATACTAAGTCCCCGGACCTCCTCCTGCTGACATGTCTTACCTGTCGGGATTATGTAGAAGCTGGGCACTGGAACGTTTGCGGGAGGCCCGGAACTGAGTCGATTACAAAATGGAGTGGGCCCGGAGAGTCGCGAGACCAGCCTAGTCACCCTTGGATCGAAAGGCTAAAGGAATCTCCTCCGATGGACGAGTAAGACTATACCCAGATTGGTAAGAAAATTGATCCGCCATTTCTGACTTTCCAACTGAGGCAGCTGGCGATTCCCGATGGTGCACTTTGAGGCGCTAATCCCTTACACGTTCTGTCGTTTCTCTGCTTTCAGCGGACAGGTGTAGATTCTCGATGCTAGCGCATGGAGAGCCTGTACAGCGGAGAATAGTGGTGTGGGTCTGGATTCCAAGCCGCTTTAAGCAATCCAACAGCCACTCGCCCACTTACACCAGTCGGCCAACACACTCCAAGAGGGTTTTGGGCTTTTCCGTATTGAGGAGAAAACCTTCTTCAGAGGACCTTTTATAGTGGAGTTTCCAGGTCGGACGGTGCCCGGCGACGGAGACGACGGCTTGAAAGTTTCAACTTTAGCCAGGATGAGGCTGGAGCCGACGGCCGAGGAATGCGCCACCTTCCTGCGCACAATGAGAGGACCCAGAAAGAGCATCTTCCTGATGGTTGAGGTTGATATGGGGGCAACAAAGATGAGAAGGGACTTTTCGATGGCGACTTTTAGCACCCATGTCTATGCCGGTTTACGATCTTACGAGGTTGTGGGGTTTGATGCAATTGGACGTCGCGAGTGGTGCAGGAGGAGGATGGCTGGATTAAGTTAATCATGTCTCGTTTGAGCAACAGCTTCGACATTTACCAACCAGTTTCCACCAAGTTCTCGACGAGTGGCAGGCATCTCGTGTTTGCTGGTGTTTACGCTTGCCTCGTCGCAAGAGAGAGGGAGGTGATAAGCAACAATATAAGAAAAAAGCTGAACAGTGCCTTATTGTTCGTCTTGCTGCATCGCGACTTCCGTCCCGCTTTCAATCTTTTCCGGAAGCATGGGCCACACTCAACGCCACCCACATTGTCAAAGTGGAGGAAGGAGGTGTCCAGACCATGGCACTTGCCCCGATTCCGTCCAAGTCGGAGGCTCTCAGCTTGCTCGGTCCCGGTTCAACTCTTTTTTGAAGCCACCACCAGTCCTCCCTCACGCATCCACTTCACCACCATTGTCGAAACTAGAGGCTCTAGTCTCAACTCGCGAAAAACAGGCCACATTCAGACTTGCATCTTGCCCATTCTAGCCATCGGCATCCGCCCTCCACCCTCCGCCCGGAACAGAAATCACGACTGTACTATCAGGGCATTGGACCATGCGCCACCCGTCGCCTCTGTCTCTCCCACTCCCACTCCCCTTTTCCCGATACTTCCCTATGGCCGGTCCCAGTACGATGGCCACAGTACGACGTCCCCAGTACAATGGTCCCAACATGGTTCCCCCACGATGAGACACACAAGAGCCAACGATCGGCTGCAAGGAGAAACAGCAGCCACGAGGGTCCCCCAAGAACCATCAAGACAGACTCAACCACGTTTGAGCGAGGAAATGATCCTACGCCGCCACAGCGCCTCTACTTCCCATCGATTGGCTCTGTTCTCTAAGTGCCCCGGGCTTGTCTGGCGTACAGTTTCCCCGGCGCCATAATTCTCAACCTCTGGCTGGACCCGTCCATCTCCTCCTTTTGGCTATCCTCTCCACCTCCAGATCCTCAATGCGTCCTGGCTCCAACACATGCATCCTTCCGGGCGCCGCACTCGCCCACACCAAAATACCGAGACCCCAAGGGCGTTGCCGAATCCGTCTATTTTCACACCCTCCCTTTCTATTGTGCTCGATTTTGCACATCGATTCCCATGCTGGTCCGGCTTGGTGCTGATCAGGGACCTACGCCAGGCTTGGGTCCAGGCCTATCCGTCGATAATTGCTTAATACGCATTTCGCGATCCGCCTCTCGCTGGTTTCCGTAACCCTGTCCGTCCTCGTACTCGTTCGGTCCGCCGCGGTGGCGTCCCGCCCTCGTTGACATTACTTCTTAATCTCTCCCTAACCTGGTCGTCGCTCTCCTCTTCTCTCCTACTCTCCAGGCCGCAAAGTCTCAACTCGACGGGGCAGTCTTTCCTCACAAGACTCGTCATCCCTTGTAAGTCTTAGTCGCATCTTCAACTTTGACATACTCATCACCTCGCACCAATTACTCACTCACATCTGTACAACGTCTTTTGCTCTCCCCTCTACTCCAATCCACCCCATCACCACCCGCGCCAACCTTCTCTCTTGCGCCAAAAAGTTGTTCCATACTGAGACTCGGATAGCGTCTCAAATTCACTGTCTTTAAACCACTTATCGACGTTTTCCACCTTCGAATTCGAGGCGCTCGTTCCGCTCTTACACGAACTTCTCGTCCCGGTCGAGATAGGGATTTGGACTTGGTCCGCCCCGGAAGCAAAATTGTCACTTCAGCTTACCTTCTTGGTATTTCACGGCCTTCAAAATGGGTATCCGCAACTACATTATCGCTCCCACTGCGGCCGAGCAGGAGGCTGAGGAGGCCAAGAGGGCAAGCAAACGTTTGTCACGCATGTCGCGCGTGTCCCGCATGTCGCTCCCGCCGCCGCCACTGCCCCCGATAGATGACGAAAAGAGAGTCGCTCCCACCGCCAATGTCGCAGATCTTCAAGCTCCTTCACCGGAATTCCCTCCTGGATTCGTTCCTAGGCCCGATTCAGTGATGACGTGGTTCAACGGTAGCACAACGATGGTCGACGAACTCAAACATGAGGTTATGGTCAACTATCTCTACCAACAGCAATGCGCCCAACTTTGGGTGGGCGACGATACTGGTGAACTGGAAGGTGTACTCCTATGCAAAGCCCGAGGCCAGTACATGGCTTGCCCCCCACAGTTAGGCATCTCGCCTTTTGCCATCGCCTGCGCCGCTCTCGATGTCCAGGTTAGACACACACTCGAGCTTCAAATCAATCCCAAGCTTACCAGTTCCTAGTGTGCCATGACTGTCAACTCTCGAGTCATAAAGACCTTTCTCCGGTGGTCTCCAGATACCGTTGATGTTCCTCTGAAGAATGGCCTTCATGTACAAGTTCTTCCCAGTGTCACCGATCTTCCTCGAGCACGCAAGCACCAGTGTGCAGCCTTCATTGCTGACGCTGGTTTGCTCATTGTGTGGGACGATGAAGCTACCAACCTAATATCTCGAGCCAGGATCATTGAGGATGAACTCATGGATCTAGTGTGGAACTCAGGCAATATGGAAGACGGTGCTGAAGGTCAAGATGATGTTCAATACGAGATTGATGAGGAAAGTGGCGAGATCAAGCCTGGAAAGCGCCCAGTTCATCTTCAAAACACTCTCATAGTCTCCGCCACGGTCATCCTCGTCACTGCCGCTCTCGGAGCTGGTTGGAGGCAGCTGGCCATTGAGGCATCGGTCGACGGTAACTACAATCGCCTCGCTCTTATTTGCCTTACCCCCATCCAGATCTTCTTCACCCTCTTCTTCGGCCAGGTCATTATTGGTTGTCTAGCCCAGATCTTCGGGCCCATTTCCCAATTAACCACTAACTCCAAGTTTTTCTCGGCACGACCTCCTCCAAGACTACAGAGCTCAACCTTGCCTCATGTCACCATCCAATGCCCTGTGTACAGGGAGGGTCTGAACGGTGTCATCATGCCCACTGTCAAGTCTCTCAGGCAGGCCATGTCAACCTACGAACTCCAGGGTGGTTCGGTAAACATGTTTATTAACGATGACGGTCTTCAACTTCTCTCTGAAGAGGAACGCGATGCCCGCATAAATTTCTACGCCGAAAACAGTATTGGTTGGGTCGCGCGTCCAAAGCACGGCGAAGACGGCTTCCTACGCAAGGGAAAATTCAAGAAGGCTTCCAACATGAACTACGGCCTCATGATATCCTGCTTCGTCGAGGACAAACTGATGCTACTCGATCGCAATGAAGACTGGGGCCAGGGTGATGAGGCCTTGGCCTATGAGACAGCGCTCAAGGAAGTCCTCGAGGAGGATGGCCGTGCCTGGGCTGATGGCAACATCCGTGTCGGTGACTACATTCTCTTGGTTGACTCTGATACCCGCGTTCCCACCGACTGCCTCCTCGATGCTGTCTCCGAAATGGACCAATTCCCAGAGGTCGGCATCCTGCAGTTCTCTTCCAGTGTCATGCAAGTCGTGTGGACCTACTTCGAGAACGGCATCAGCTTCTTCACCAACATGGTCTACTCTGCCATTCGCTACTCTGTCTCCAACGGCGATGTTTCTCCTTTTGTCGGCCACAACGCTATTCTTCGCTGGTCTGCCATTCAGCAGCTTGCCTACCAAGATGAAGACGGCTATGACAAGTTCTGGTCAGAGAGCCACGTCTCTGAGGATTTCGATATGTCTCTTCGTCTTCAGTGCAATGGTTACATCATTCGCATGGCCGCCTGGGCCGGCGATGGTTTCAAGGAAGGAGTGTCCCTAACAGTGTATGACGAGTTGGCCCGCTGGGAGAAGTACGCCTATGGTTGCAACGAGCTTTTATTCAACCCTATCCGCACTTGGCTCTGGCGGGGCCCCTTTACACCCCTCTTCCGCCGTTTCCTCTTCTCCAACATTCGCCTCACCTCCAAGATTACCATCATCTCTTACGTCGGTACCTACTACGCCATTGGTGCTGCCTGGATTTTAACCACTATCAACTACTTTTTGATGGGCTGGTACAATGGCTACCTCGACAAGTACTACTTGAACTCATGGAAGATTTGGCTTTCTATCATCATTGTATTCAATGGACTCGGAAACATCGCCTTGGCTGTGATGCGGTCCCGGGCTGGTGAGAGGGGCCTCTTTCGATCTCTGTTCGAGAACTTCAAGTGGACTGCTATGTTGGTTATCTTCTTCGGAGGTTTGTCGCTCCATATTAGCCAGGCCCTCTTAGCTCACATGTTTGAGATTGACATGGCCTGGGGCGCTACATCCAAGGAGGCTGAATTCTCCAATTTCTTTATCGAGGTGCCCAAGGTATTGAAGAAGGTGAGTTCTACCCTAGTATCATCCATGTTTCCCAGAATATATTTACTAACTCGTTTACTCTAGTTCAAGTTTTCGATGACTATGTCTCTGCTTTTCATAGTTGCCATCATCATAATGGCTATCGCACCATTTGTGCCGTATGACTGGCGGATCACCGACTTTGCCGCAATCCTACCCATGTCTGTTGTTTCCGCTAGCCACTTCCTTCTCCCCTTGGCCCTCAACCCTGCTCTCATGACCTTTGCCTCTTAGGGAGATGAGTTGTATTCAAATCAGCGGTCTCTTATTTTTTAGTTTCATCTGCCATATCATTTTAGTAGACAGGGCATATACACAGCATTCGGTTATAGACGGAGTGGGAGTTTTAGGTTACCACAAAACAGGCCGGAAGGGTTCCATATGTCTGTCATTATTGTCGTGGAATACCACAAAGGATTCATTAAGTAGTCACAAACTCGACTCATACATAATACTTATAAACATTAGATTCAATGTCCAATTCATACAATGTCGAACGGTTTTACTTGACGTACAGGCCAACGGGCATGTATGAAACAAGAGAGCGAGAGACAATTTACCATGTCAAGTCTATGAGGATCAAGATGTAGTAAGAATGATGTTCATTCAAGCCTGTCTATATAACAAATAACGCCTCTATGCCCGCCCGAGCAGTCTAAATGCCGTAGTCTGGTGTATCTACTTCTACGTGCGCATCCACAACCGTGCATGCTATCAACAAACTCAGCGTCTCAGGATCATGATGCATCAGCCCCGACACGTTGAGACATCCAACAGGATGCGTACGAGTCTATGATGCAACAAAACCGTGCAGATGCATCAAGACAAGTCATCCGTCACATACAAATTCGAACCAGAAACGGAACCCGAAAACCAAGACCGAGAAAGTCGCAAAGCATGAAAGAAAATGAAAACAAAAATCGGACTAGCTTTTAAATCGGTGTGCGCCTTAGTTATCCTCGTCATCGGTATCCGGAGGATGGGGCGTGCCCTTGGGGCTGTTGAGCCAGTCGATGTGACGAAGGCGGCGACGGACCTCGCGCTCCTTGAGCTCCTTCTTGGTCATCTTGCGCTTCTTCTTGGCCTTGAACTTCATCTCCGAGTTGTCCTCGACGCCGGAGTTGTAAGCGCTGCTGACGACCGAGTTGGCAGCAGTGTTGGCGACGCTGCTGACGGCGGTGCTGGTGGCACCGCTGCCAGGGCGGCTGTCCTCGAAGCGGTCGAGGCTGATGGCAGTATTGCCCTTCTGGGCGACACGGCCATCGCGGACGAGCCACTGCTCGGAGCACAGGGCGCCGACGAACTCCTCGTTATGGGAGATGAGGATGACACCGCCCTTGAACTCGCGGATGGCGACAGCGAGGCCACCAAGAGAGTCACGATCCAAGAAGTTAGTAGGCTCGTCAAGCACCAGCAAATGGGGGTTGTTCCACATGGCACCGGCAATGACGACCTTGACCTTCTGACCACCGGAGAGAGAGCCGATCTCGTTGTGGTTGGCAATCTCGGGGTCGAGACCGAGATCCTCAAAGTGCTTGGAGATGACCGAGGGCTGGAGCTCACGGTAACCCAGACCCTCACGCGAAGCCTCGTGATCATCAAACTCCTGAACGAGCTTGTCGAATCCGAGCTCGAGGAGAGTCTCACGGGAGATCTGGCTGTTGTACTTGGGGAGCTGGGCGCGCCATTTACTGCATTATGTTAGCATCAAGGCCTTCTATGATTGGGGGTATGACGGTGGCTTACACTTCGTATTGGAAAGTCTTCTTGTACTTCTGTCGACCAACAAGCGCCTCGATCTGTCGGGCAGATCGGCCATCCTTGAGGTCAATCCACTTGTCCATCTGGGCCTTGTCGGCCTCCGAAACCATGCGGGTCTGCTTCATGTGGACCTCTCGGTCATCACCGTGGGCGTATCGCCACTGGAGGTACTGGTTGGGAGTCTTCTCCAAGTGCATCTCAACGTGCTCCAGCGCGTGCTGCTTGATGTAGCCGATACGGAGGTTGGGGTGCTTCTCAACCTTTCCGGTAGAGGGAATGGTCTCGCCAGTAAGTAGCTTGATGAGAGTCGACTTGCCGGCACCGTTGGGGCCGATAATGGCAACTCGGGACGACAGGGTAAGCTGGCAAGAGACATCCGAAAGGGATGGCTTGGGAGCACCAGGGTAGCTGAAGTTGACATTGGTCATGCGGATGATGGCGCGAGTCGACGACTTGACACCAGTCAAGATACCCGGAGGAGGGAACTTGAACTGAACATTGGAGGCCGACAGAGTGTAGTAGCTCTTGGCCTCGGGACGGATCTCGACAAAGGCAGCCAGGTTGCCCTTGAAGCAGGCCAGCTTCTTGCCAGGCTCGTAGTGGTAGATGTCAGTGGTGACGTTGTCCAGGAAGCCAGAGTCGTGAGAGACGATCAGACTGGTAATGTCAGGGTGCGTCTTGAGGTAGGTCTCAAGCCAAGCGATGTTGGCGACATCGAGATGGTTAGTAGGTTCGTCCAGGAGGAGAACGTCGGCACGCTGGAGCATGGCTCGGGCCAGAGCCAGCTTCATCTTCCAACCACCAGAGAGGGAGCCAACCTTCTCGGCCTGTCGACCCTCGGGACCAGCGCTGAAGCCGAACTCGGTCAGAACCTCGGAGATGCGCTCCATGCCCTGAGTAGCAATCTCAGGATCCTTGGCAACAAAGTCGAGAATGCTGATGTCAGCATCCTCGCCCTGGTTGTGCTCAACGAAGCAGGTTCGCAGAACATCCTGGGGAGGGAAGCCCTCAAGCTTTCCATTGGCAATGCTTCGCATGAGGGTGGACTTTCCGGCACCGTTGCGGCCGCAGAGACCGTAGCGGTGACCCTTGAGCAGTCGCAGGTTGGTGTGAGAGAGGAGCAGCATACCACCGTAGGCCAGGGAGAAGTCGGCGTTAACAATCTCGACCTCGCCGTCGTCCTCCTTCTCAGGGACGCCGTAGCGCTTCTCGTCCTCTTCAACGTAGTGCTTCTGGACGGCGTCGGCAACCTTTTGGGCAGCCTCGGGATCCTGCATCAGGCTCTTGAGATGGGGAGCGATACGGGCCGCGATGCGGGTAACAAAGCGGTAGTTGACATCGATGGCAACCATGTCGCAAATGTAGGGGCGGACGACCTTGTAGAACTCAAGGTGTCCGGAAAGGCCCTTGTTCAACTTGATCTGCTCGTCGAGGATCTTGGCGACATCGTCACCAGAAGTGCGGGCAATAATGTCCTCCTCGTTACCCATAGCCTTTTCCATGGTGGCCAAGGCACGCTCAGCGAGCTCTCGGACCTCGGGGAGAGAGGCGCGGTCGCAGACACCCTTGACACCAGGAGTCAACTTGGGGAGGAAAGTTCTAGCCTCGATGGGGTCGTGGACGAGCTTGGTTAAGTTCTCGACGATAACAACGGTCTGGCGCAGGACCTCCTGGGCTGTGCTGGGGGTGTTGAGGGATCGCTCGAGGAAAGGAGTCAGAAGACCCAGGACTGGCGAGGTGACGATGGCGACAAAGGTGGTCATGGAAAGGGCGTGGATGGCCTTCTGGAGGGTCTGGGTGGAGGGGTGCTGCATGGTGTCGATGAGAAGAGGGATTCGGGGAGCGACATCGTCGTTGGAGAGCAGGGTAGTGAGAGAAGTCATGGTCAGGACGGCCTGCTTCTCGACATCAGCCTTGAGGTCGTGCATGCCACCCTCGACGATGGGGATAAGGCCGGCAAGCCTGGCTCCCATGGCCTCGCGGAGCACATCCTTCTCGATAGCCTCCTCCTTGGTGCCTCCAGCGGTGAGCTTGGCCTTGTCGGCCATCTTCTGCATCAGCTTGTAGGCTCCGACGGTGCCCTGCCACTTGCCAGTTCTCTTAGACAGGTAGGTGGTGAGAGCGGGCAGCAGGCCGACGACCAGAGCCTCGGAGCTGAGGTTGGTGAAGATGGCGTCCAGGCCGTACTGGGCGGCATCGCGGACCACAGCGCCCTTATCGGCGAGGGCGTCGAGGGCACAGGCAACCATGCCGCCATCCTCGAGCAGGAGAACAACCTCGCTGACGGGCTGGCGAGGGAGAAAGCGCTCAAAGATGGCGCCGAGGAGGTTCTGGCTGGACTCGCGGCGGAGCCCGGACTTCTTATCGCCAGCGGCCTTCTTGACCTCGGCGAGGATGCCGTACTGGGTGAGCCCCGCGAAGCCGACCGACGACAGCAGGAGCTCGCACAGCGCGTAGCAGGCGTCGATGGAGACGGCAGACGTCTTGGCCGTGAAGATGGTGTTGAGCAAGTCGGCAACCGTCTCCTGCGATGGCGGGGGCGGGGCGTCCTTGGAGACCATCGTCGGGTGCTCCGACGGCGGCGAGACGGGGTGAGGCATCGCGGCAGTATTCAGCGTCGATTGCGATGTCGATGGGAGAGCGCCTCGATCAGTCTGGATATGCCTTGGGACGCTGGAGGGAGGAAGCAAAACCAGCGAGGCCCGTGAGATAGGAGATGCGAGTGGGAGTGGGAGGTGGCAGACAGGGACTCGCTTGGTTGGGCTGCCGCCACTGCCTCAGTAAATGGTCAGCAATTGTGGCAGCGCCTGAAATTTTTTTCTTATCAGCCTGTTAAACCCAGCCGAACAATGCCTTATCGCCCGGCATCCCCGCTTGCCCCTCGTTTGATCCCTGGCACGCTCCACCGAGATCGATCTGGCCAATCGCTTTCCACGTGCATTTTTTGTCCATCATCACTGGCAGCCCACCGCTTACCCTACACTCGCCGAGACGCATGTGAAAACTGGAAGAATCTGATTGTACTGTTGATATTCTATCTTTCCTCCGTGGTAAAGCCACCTCTGTCGTTTTCTTGGGAGTTCCTCTTCTTATTATCTATTTACTCTTCTCCACGTTGGTCTTACAGTAGCTTGTAAAAGTAATGTGCCTGATAAGCTGAGTGAGAGTTGTGCCAAGAACATGCGTGCTTTGGCTTATCCTCTCCCAAACCCACCATGCAAGCCACCCTGCATCATCAATGACGAGATCTCACACGAGACATCAAGCTCTCACTGCAATGCGACTCCGATAAATGAACCAGCACGTGGGACAATGAAGCCCAGCTTGTCTGGATTACGATCTAAGTACGTACTGCATACCAAGCCAATACCTAGGTAGCTCCATATCACCCACCCTCCCTCCACCCTGTGGCGTCAACGCCCTTTTTGCCGGCAAAGCCTGCATTCCATCAAACATGATACAAGAAAAAATACATGAGGTCAACTGTCAAGGGTATAATAGAAAAAGACATTACAGGGGGTTCTCCCCTTACTGTTGTAGAAAAAATCGCCCATGCTTCCCAGAAGTCACGCCGTTTCCTATCAAGAAAAGAACAGATAAGAAGGAAAGAAACAAGAGCGTCCCGTTTACATGCGCCGTAATTACCCATGGGTTTCGGACCTCAATGACACCGGGCCTTGGAAACTGGGCGCCGCCGGCTTCACGCTGCCTAACTCTAAAGAGTCGGTTCGAGGGCGCTTGTCCCTCCGGATGCCCAGACGCTGGTCACCGTCTTGGTATTGGCCCTTGAACCGGTAGTAGGTTGGTTGCCGGGGACGGCACATCACGACGATGAAGTTCCGGACAATGTTGGACTGAGTAAACGCCCGGAACCGCTCCTTCTTGATAAACTTGTGGGAGTTCATGTACTCCCGTGTCGTCTCGCCACGGGCCGTGAGGAAGATGTGATATCCCATCAACGCGGCAGGATAGAGGAAAAAGATGAAACCGAGAATGATGAGCGCAAAGGGAACAGGAAAATGCTGCATGGTTTTGGTGAATGAAACGCCCTCGCGATTTTTGTAAGTGAGCATCTGGAGGAGACTCGTGCCGATGAGGTAGGCAGCGAGAATCGTGGCAGAGGTAACAAAGGTAAAGAAATATCGGTAGTTTCGTTTTCCGACACAGTTGTTGAGCCACACACAGTGGTGGTCGTGGGTCTCGATGCAGTTGTCACAGAGGCGACAGTGGTGAGCACGCGGCGGCCGCCAGATGTTGCAAGTTCGGCAGTGCTTAACTGGGACTTCCATGGCCGCCGTGTTGGACTCGGCTGATTTGATTAGAGCCCAGTCGGTAGTAGGTGGGCCGGGCCGCAGGGGATCATCCTCCTCGTCCAAGGGCGGGAACCGGTGAAGATTTCGCGGGAGAATCTATTGAATGTCAGTTGCGGAATGCATTTTGGTTGCAGAGTGATACTCACTCCTGGATCTGAAACAGAGGCGTGGATAAATGAGGAGAAGCAGATGTAGGCGAGGTAGGCAAAGACGACTGGAATTGCTGGTGAAATATTCTTCCATAGCCATGGAGCCTCGAAGGCGAAGAAGAGGGCGCAGGGAATAACAATGGCGAAGCCGGTGGCAACGTTGATAGGCCGTTGTCTGGTGTTCTGCCATCGGCCACCTAGGCAGAATATGGTGTTTCCATCAAAGTACTGGTGCACGCGGCCGAGATTGGGTTGTTGAGTCTGCGGCTGGGGAGCCCTCTGTGGTCGTTCTCCTTGCGAATCCATTGGTCGAAGCTGCGGTGACGACGCTGACGATGGGAGCTTCTCGGCGCCCTCGGTACTTCGGTTTGGGAGGCTTTGTCCTGGGTCGCCTTTGGTCGGGATGAGGAAGCTAGATCGGAATGATCGGGGGGATTTCATAGGGCTAGGTAGATTGCCCATATCTCTGTAACTCTTGTCGACGTTGATCCGGTGCTGCATGGTTTGTTTGTGATCTAGTTTGCCTTGCAGGGGACGGACGCTATCCGTCAAACTTCCCGCAGGATAGTGACCATGGCTCGGGCTCGTATTTGCTGTGATTCGGTCCAAGGTTTCTTGCTCGGTCATCTCGGTGCCTCTGGATGGCGGAGGTCGCATGTTCTCCTCGTCTGTCAGAGTACGCTGGACCTGGGCAATCGGGTTCGAGTTGATGCTATGGCGTGCCACACTACCACCCAGATCGGTCGCATTGTCGTCGAAAGTCGTCGTTTGTTGGCTCATGGTGGGCGGACGCGGTGGGCCACCTCGCTGGGCCTGCAGCTTCTGGGAGCTCATAGGGCGGAAGAAGGCGTGCGATGTCAGTGAAGGGACATGGCTGCGGTTGGAAAGACTCGGGGTCTGGCTGGTAGATCCAGCGGTAGTGCTGGCAGTACTTCGACGCTTGGCTGCGACACCAGCGACGTAGTTCTTTCGCGGCGATTGACCTTGCCATGCGCCCCTGGAAGAGGCTCCAGTGCGAGCAGTACCAGGTCGGGATCCCACGTCTACGCTCTTTGGCAGACTCATTCTGTGCTGGTTCGTGTCCATCTCGTGTCCATCTTCACTGGCAATGTCCGTCATCCGAGAGGAAATTATGCTGGGAGGGCCGGGAACCTCGGAACGGGGGATTTGGGGCGTCGGAAAGCCATCGTCTTCCTTCTTCGTAGCCATGGCGATGGTTGGTGGTCGTGGTGGTCGTCGCAGGTGGTTCGCCCGGAGATGCGATGGCTTGTCGCGGCCGGAAGCGTGGGAAGCAAGTACGCGTTCGATGGATTCTCAAAATCGCATGAGATTATCGCTCTTCGATCGGTTTTCGTGGGCAATGAGCTCGTCAGAGAGGTTGGCGCGTCGATGAACCTTGAGGTCGGCAGGATCGGCAGTGGGCTCGTGTTGCACTGCAGGATGACAAAGTCTAAGGGGCGGACGGACGGGAAGGTGGAAGTGGCCGTGGGCGAAGTAAGGGCTTAGAAATCGGAGGCGGGGACGGGAGGGAGGGAAGGAGAAAATGAGAGGAAGGAGTGTGTCAGAGTCAGAGTGGGCTCGTTTGAGCGATATGGATACAAAGAAAGGAATGAGGGGGACGAAGGGAAAACGAGACGGCGAGAACACACGACGACTCGAGATGAACAAGAGACGATGTGATGCTCGTTCCTTTTTTTGCGAACTTTAGTAGGCTGGGCTACTGCATCGGGGATAACGTGCACACCCGCGTCCCCTCTCCTCTTTGGTGCGAGAGGCCTGAAGTGACCCGTCCCGTCCGCCCAAGAGGGCCCATGTCAGGGGCCAGACCTCGTCGAAAAACCAACCTAATCTGCTTTGACTGCACAAAAGGGTGGGTGTCCTAGCGCTAACAGGCCAATGGCATGCGCTTCTCTCCTGGTGCACTCCTCCCGGACAGTGCACACTGCTACAGTGCAATGTGCCGGGTGTACCAGGGAACCAGGGATCTGGAGGGTCTCCAGGTATCTGCTCTGTGTATGTACTCCAGATCGACGGCTATGCTGGGAAACGTCACGCTCCCGCGGCCACGGAATCGTCTGCAGCACGGCGTCGTGTGCCTGGCGAATAGCGGTGCACACAAGAACACAGGTAGACGTCATTGCATAGGAGGCTGGTCATTCCTCGAGATGGCATTGACAAGTCTCCGCTCTGCAGCTCTGCATGACGGGACGGACCAAGGACGGCGGTCCAAGCACCAGCGCGATCCAGGCCACCGGAATTTGTCAAGCCTGAATCCTCAGGCGCCGATGATTAATGCATCACCTGGTCCATGCCACCCAAGACGTCACCGTCATCCGACTTTCGAAAACGTGATATCCCACGTGATTAAGCTCCCATCGGATTGGCCAATCGCGTGCTCTGCAAACTGGGTCGCTGATGCTCCGGCGAAATCATACGAGAACTTCCAGCTTCAAACCTCACCATCACGAAACCCTCCCGCACTCTCGCATTCCCACCCGCAGAACCGCAAATCCCGTCACAATGGCCTCCCAAGTCACTCGCCGCTTTCTCTCCACCACCGCCCGCCGCCTTCAGGATGCCCAGAAGGCCGAGCTCAAGAAGGAGACCAAGCGCAACCCCGAGACTCTGGTGCGTCATAATTCCTCGGCCCGCCCGAGAACGCCCGCGGCGTGGCCTGCTTCAATCGAACGACGGAGTACCATCTTGGAGAACAATGGCTAACGTGTATGGCTCAATTGCAGATTCTCGGCGGTGTCATGGTTGTTGCCCTCAGCGGCGCTGGCTTCTACTTCGGTATGACGACCCATTGACGATGACCTCGAAAACCACCACGCAAATTGCTGACCATGCTGCGAACCACCAGGCCGATCGCCCACCGGCGCCACCTCCGAGACCCACGTCAACATCGCCAAGGACGGTCACCCCTGGGAGTCCGAGACTCTGGGCAAGTACAAGTACCACCCCGGTGGTGATGCCAGCCAGGCGCCCAAGGATGCTCCCAGCGCCCTCAACGTCGTCGTTGTCCCCAACGTTACCCTCCCCGCCGAGCTCCACGAGAAGTACAACAAGTGGGGCAAGGAGGGCTACCCTTAAATCGCGAGACTGGACGGATGGCGAGACTGTATGCGCAAACATGCAGCTGTGACTGGTGAATTGAGAGGAGAGGAGCTGGAGAGACTAGGTCCTCGTTCCCGCTGTGTAGATGATGGACGTACTGGGCTCGAGCATTGGATTACATATGTTTGACCTGACCCACGGCGCACCACAAGATTTTCTAGCTTTGTGTCTATATTCCCGAGTTCATTGTTGCCAATTGCTGTGTTGATTGCATGTATCCTCGGTTGGTAGTCCCAAAGCTCGGACTACCGGGCGATGTCCATGTCGCCGCTATGAAGGCTTACCCACTAACTCAAAGGGCAATGACTTAAGAAGAGATGTATCAGTATCACACTTGACAAGTCCAAACGTTCATGTCCTCGATCATTTTCATATTTCGTATTTCTGTTGCCTGGTATCGTAATGGCCCAACACCTTGCTTGACTCATGTATTTTAAGCATTCAAACCTTCAAACTCTTCCCTTGCGGTCCTTCTCTTGTTCAACGCCACTATGCAGCCAACGCCTCAATCTCTTCACCCGTGAAACCAAACAAATGCAGTAGGTCCAGCAAGCTCTCTCCGTTCAAACGTGCGTCCGCCTCCATCTGCACCCGCGGCTTCGCGTTCCACGCAACTCCTAGTCCGGCTTTGTCCAACATCAGGAGATCGTTGGCGCCGTCGCCGACGGCCACGACCTGCGACAAGTCAATGCCCTCTTTCTTGGCAATCTCCAAGAGCAAGTCACGCTTGCGCTCCTTGCCCACAATGAGGCCCTCGACCTCGCCCGTGAGCTTGTCGTTTTCGACGACGACTTGGTTTGCGTACGCGTAATCAATGCCCAGCTCGCCGGCAAGCCAACCAGTCAGGGGCTGGAAGCCTCCAGAGAGGACAGCCGTCTTGACGCCCAGGCGCTTCAAAGCCTTGATCAGTTGGGGGACACCCTTGGTCACATCAAGAACGGACTGAAGATCCTTGAACATGGTGGCAGGGAGTCCCTTCAGGAGAGCAACACGCTCACGGAAGGACGCTTCGAATTCCAACTCGCCCATCATGGCGCGATGGGTGATATCCGCTACAAGCTGATGCAGATTCGGGGGGTCTTTGAGAGTCTCGGCAAGAAGGTCGATGACCTCTTGGGTGATCAGGGTGCTATCCATATCGAACACGACCAAGCGAGGGTGTCGCCTCCAAACCGCATCCGTCTGCAAAACGACGTCGACATTCCACTCCTGCTCGAAGCGGTAAATCATCTCGTGTTTCCGCAAATCATTTAAGCTGAGGTACTGAGGAGATGGGACCGGGGAGAGGGTCAACTCGACGACGCGCGGGTGCTCGTGGTTGTCCAGGCATCGATGTGACGAGTACGGCTCGGCAGCATCTCGCTCCTGGGGAAATGTGGACATAAGATGGAGGAAGGAGGCGATGCACAGCGATGAGATGTAGGAGCCGTAAATGTGGTCTAGCTGCTCGGACTCCTGGGTTGGCAGCTCGAGCGGGAACTCCTTGGGGTCGGTGGTGGGCGCGAGGTTGGCGGGCAGCGCCTCGTTGCTGTCAGTGAAGCTGGACTTGACGGGCGAGCTGCTTCCGCCCTTGCCCTTGTAGAACAGCGTGGCGATGAGGCGATCCGACTTGTCGCCGGCGCGAGGCGCACAGTTGGGGTGGGAGTAAGCATGGCTCAGCCCGCTGTCGACGACGGTGGGGGGGTTCTCCTCGGATGGGATGCCATTGAACGGCAGGATGGGCCGGGCCGAGGAGATGTTGGCATTGCCCAGATCCTCCACTACCGTGTCGATGCCCTGGAACTGGTCCGGTTGCCTGGGAGGCCGATACTGCTGGTGGTCGCTCAGGTAGGAGCTGCTCCTCATGGAGCTCGTCAGTTGCGGGCGAGCAGCATTTGTTTTGGCGGGGTTGGCTTCGTCCATTGTGCGAGGCGAGAGCGGGGGTTTGGAATTCTGTTGTCTCTTTGCGGGAGCGTTGGAAGATTGACCGGGTCGCCCAGGGAAAAAAGCTATAGCGAGCTCTGCGTATCCAGGCAGCGCGATGGGACGGCAGCGGATAGATTCGCGAAACTACGGGTTGACGGAGCCACAGAGACCTGAGAGCCGCGGTGTCGATCTCAAAATATCGGGTTGAGGAGTGATTGTGTCCCGGACGTTTCCCTCAATCAGCCCCGCTAAACCCGTTGACGATGTCGGTGGCTCGTGCGGCGTCGTCTGTTTGGTGCAACATGATTGGCCAAATCCATCCGGTTTTTGAATGAGGTCATGTCACGCACACTCGCAGTCTGCAGGCTCCATGAGGCTATTCGCGATGATGATGTGAACGGCCATGCTGGGTGCTGAATGTAGAGTTCAGACCTCATTGCGGTGTAGGCTCAGGCTTACAGAATTAACCAGGTGGATGCAGAGTCTAGCATGCCTGGCCTGTCCGCTCATGCAGTGTCGATAAGGAATGCTGCGAGGGACGAGGGTTGGTAATCATGTCGATGACACGAACCTGGACATGTCAGAAGATGGAATGTCTCGCATTATTCAGTGAAGTCTTGTTTGAAATGTGTTTCATGACATCAGGACGTCATCGAGGCCGCTTGGAAAGCAGGCGGATGTCGCTGTTGACAAATCCGGCAGTGCTAAGGTAAGCACGGATTTGAGGCAGTTGCTCGGGCAGATGCAGATGCTTCAAGATGCTTCAAGATCCAGATTCCGTACAGGGTTACTCGGACTGCCGGGCACCGACGGCCGGGACATCCGAAGAGCGAGGCATGAGGCGAGAAAGAAGCGACAGAGTGGAAGCAATAAGAGGGCAGCGAGCATCGGAGGAACGTTTATCCATCCCCTCATTTTCGCTTCGCCCACAAAATACGGTCCGACCGGCGGTGGACTCGGTGGGATAGTGGGGGATTCCAATGCACCCTCGTGCCTTGCATCGGCACATCGGCAGACGCCCTATCTCGGTCGGGCTGTCGGCGGCCCAGGCGCGAGATGCCGCAATGACTTCACCAGCTGGTTGCCGCCCGATGGACGGTGTATCCGAGCGAGCGACTTCATGGGCGCCTCGACTTCAGACGTATCACATCCCGTTGCCAGTTACCGGACGGTCGAGACCCGGACGCATATGCGTGCCATCGGAGCCGTGGCGACAGAATGGCGACAGCGCAGACGGCCAGAACTGCAGCACTACGGAACATCGATCCAAGGCCAAGACCAGGCGTACAGGGCCCCCAACAAAGCCCAGCCGGTGGCGACACTGCGCTATTCTCTGGCGACACCACCTTACGGCAGACAGACCTGCAGCCTGGACGCCGAGGAAGACGCAACGCAGGGCTGCGATGGCATGCTCGCGGGGAAGTCGTCCTCGTGCCCCTTTGCCTTTCATAAAGAGAGGAGACTTTGGGGGTCCACGATCCACCATGCATGCTCACGCCTTCATGCGCCTTTCACAGCATCTGGCAACCAACACGGCTCTTGCAAGCGAGACCACTGCCAATCCCTCCTCCATGAGATCATCTCATTTCCAATTGCCGCCCGATACCATGCCCCATTTCTAATCCAGGCCTGAGCCATCCCAGGTTAGCTCTCATCCACTCCCCTCCCATGAAAACCCTTCCGACGCCGCCGTGGAAAAAAAAAAAGAGCCCACCGCTCAGTCCCCGCCAAATAAACAGAGGCAACGGGGGTGCCCGGTTGTAGGAAAGCAGGAAATGTACTCGCTACCTCCGGCTCGGCGGCTTTGTAGTGGTACGGTTGCTGCCGACAGCGCGGCGAGCCATGTCCCGGCGACCAGCCGCCCAGTTGAGGCCCGGTGCGCAGGCCAATCAGCCGCAGCACCCACCATCGCGAAAGGGATAGCGTCGATGATGTGATCGCACCCAGACACAACCCGAGACTGACACTTCTCATGGCGGCGATGGCGCAATTGCTTCTCCCCTCTTCCTCTTGCCCAGCGCATCATAGGCACCGGCGGACCGTCGTAGCTTTCGGGTCCGGTTGGCTCAATGCATGTGTTTTCCCAATTACTAAGGCTGCCTGGAACGGGGGGGTGCGGGCGGTCGCCCGGGCTTAACATGTAAGCACCCCCTTCACCAGCACAACGGGGCTCTCTTAAAGATTTCGACTGCTCTCGCTTGCTCTTGTGCCTGTTGTTGTCATCACATCATCGCCCATTCCCCTTCTCTCTGTCGTGCTTCGTCCTGTATTCTGTATCAAGTCAGCAAACCGCTTGCGTCATCGAAAGCACAAAGACCATCTCTCACCTCGACCCCGGCTGTTATAACTCACCCCCTCTCCTGAGACTCTCTCCTCACCCGTCTCAGCCCTCGAAAAGCCTCACCCAACAAACCTCTCCAGTGGCCACCCTTCAACAGTCGTCAAAAATGCCAGCCACCATCACTCAGTCATCCTCCCAATCATCCTTCGCGGACATCAAGATGGAGTGCGAGTCAGGATATGCCTCTGGCCAATCATCAGAGTACGCCTCGCCCTCGTCATCGACCATCCTCCCTCAGGTATCCCTCACCAAGGCCCACATCAACCACCTCAACGACATGTTGGAACCTATGCACCCCATGGACATCCTCCGGTTTTGCAAGGTCATGTTCCCCAACCTGTACCAGTCGACCGCCTTCGGCCTGACCGGCCTCGCCACGATGGACATGCTGTCCAAGATCCAGTCGGAGCAGCCCAACTCCCCGACCGTCGACCTCATCTTCCTGGATACCTTGTATCATTTCGATGAGACCCATCAGCTCATCGATAGAGTCAAGGAGCGATACCCCAACGTGCCTGTGCATATCTTCAAGCCCGATGGCATTGACAGTGTTGAGCAGTTTGAGGAGACCTATGGCAAGGAGATGTACACACACTCATCCGAGATGTACGACTGGATTGTCAAGGTCGAGCCCCTCCAGCGGGCTTACCAAGAGCTCAAGATCGCTGCCGTGCTCAACGGACGTCGTCGATCTCAGGGCGCTGCCCGTGGATCTATTCCCATCATCGAGCTCGATGATGAGCGGGGTGTTTTTAAGATCAACCCCATGGCCGCTTGGTCATTCGCCCAGGTCAACAACTATATCAAGGAGAACGACGTGCCTTACAACGCCCTGCTTGACCAGGGCTACAAGTCCGTTGGCGACTGGCACTCGACCGTCCCCGTCGGCGATGGCGAGGATGAGCGTGCCGGCCGATGGAAGGGCCAGGCCAAGACCGAGTGCGGAATCCACAACAAGAAGTCGCGGTACTCTGAGTTCCTCGCCGAGATGGAGCGCAAGCAGCAGGAGGAGCAACTGTCTGCCGCCCTTGAGAAGGTGGTCCAGGCTCAGGCCCAGACTGTCTTGTAATGTACACTTGCACGGGAGAGCAGATGTCTTGATGATTTGATGAATGCGGCATTGTATCAGGCGTTTTGGGATAAAACTGGTTGAGTTGACAGTTCGGATCGGGCCAAAAGGGGCCCCTTAGCATCGAGATTTGATCGTTTGGCGTTGGGTAAATCGCAGCTGGCCAGGATTGCAGTCGGGTTAGCAAAGCGAGAAAGCAGCTGCATCATAGTATAGAGAATACACAAGAACAATGAACAGTAAACAACTCCTTTGGGCGCTTGACTCTGTGATCTGGTCTGGCTGGCAATGGTCGGAGGAGGTTGAATTTCGATTACCGGGGAATCACGAGGTTGGAGCCGCAAGTGCGCGGCTGGAGTACGTAGTGCTACCCCGCGCTGATAAGGTGTGTTGGGTGTCTAACACGACTCCGAGAAATTCTCCACTGGCTCACGATACTGGGCTAACTGGAGCCCTTGGCCCGCCCCTCCTCCTCTCGCCCCTCCAACGACCACCGCCGCGCACCAAAATCTCAGCCTCGTGACCGCACTAACAATCCCGGATCCCTCACGATGCAGGGTCTCGCAGCCGCCGCGCCCGCATTCGTCGACAAGAAGAGGCGGATTCTCGACCAGCTCGCAGTCCCGAGCGCAGACTACGCTGATGCGTCGCCCAAGGGCTCTGTAGACGTGGGCATCCGCGACCTCATCGACGAGATCAACCAGGCTGCCGGGTTTGTCACGACCAGCAGCTGCGCGGGACGGGTCAGTGTCTTTCTCGAGGGCCGGCGCGTAGCTGATGCGGATGCCGAGGATGATCAAATAGCCGGCGTGGGTGGAAAGGGTGCGGGAGGAACGTGGCTGTTCGTCTCTCATGACCCAGTACCGGACGCTGATGGTGATGCGGACTGGGCGGGTGTTTTGGGACTGGGAGAGTCGGAAGATGCTCACGATGTGGCAGATGTGGTCAAGGAGAGGAGACTTATTCATTTCAAGTTTGAGGCCATGGTAAGCAAGCTAACGTCTCGGCTCAGCTGGAGACTGATGAAGTTTCTCGTGATGTGAGACTCGACATGATGCTGAAATTTCACGTAGATTCTGCATGTCCTTACCGCATCCCCGGAGCACGCCCAACTGCTTCTCCGCTGCGGTCTCCAAGCTGGCTTCCGCGAGTCTGGCGCCATCAACCTGCTCCCCAACGGCAAAGACGCCGCCACACCCATGGTGGCCATCCGTTCCATGGGGCTTGCCTTTGAGTCCCTCATCGGGCAACAGGTCGACGGACGCCGCCAGCGCCTCGTCCCGCCCGAGTACCTCCCCATGCTCATCAGGATTGCCAACGAGCGCTTCGCCGAGAACACGAAACGCATCGAGCGGTTCCAGGTTGCGTTCCGTGATGCCGTGACCAGCGCCTCTGCCCCGAGGCGGAACCCGGAGGGCAACGAGTGGGAAGATGCAGCGGCGAGGCGAGAGAGGAAACGCGCCGAGGGATTGAGAAAGAAGGCTGAACTACAGGCTGGAAAAGAGACGGACACGGGATCGCAAAGTGAAGCTAGGGGGTCAGATGCTGAATTGCAACCAGGGCCGCCCCTGGGTCTATGAGTCCCTTCGTACATGTTTTCTGTATGCAGCTTTTACCGCCGCCGATGCCGTAATGTACACGCAATGTCGGTCTCATCCCGCTACCGAAACCATCGTCGTCTCTATAAGATCCAAATCGCTCGAACCGGGTGGGCAACTTTCCCCCCTCGTGGACCTCCTCATAATCACGCCAGCACCTTCTCCACCCAGCCCTTCTCGAGCTTCTTGACCTCGGCCTTGAAGTTCTCCACCTCTTGCCAGCAGTCGAGCGGTCGTCGGTCGTTATCTCTCAGACATCGGATGACCTCGCTGCGTGCGCTTTCGACGGTATCGGGCAGGGCGCGGACCTGCTTGCGAGCCTCCAGCTTCTTGCGCATCTCCTCAATCTCCTTGCTGACGGTGTGGTTTGACGGGCCATCGTCGGCCTTGAACTCGGCGGCGGCGAGCTTTTCCTGGGCGATCTTGAGGGCGTCGGCCTCCTGCAGCTGCAGCTTCTTGAGCTCCTCGGCCACGCGGGCCTGGATTTGGTGCTCGACTATCTTGGCGCGGGAGGCATCGGTCTAGGGGGGTTCCGGGGAGTCAGTTTTGAATCCTCATGGCTTGGATAGGTCGTCGAGATGCGGCAGGATGGGATTGAAGGTACCTCGTGGCTCGACTGGAGTGAGTCGACGAGATCTTGTGAGAGGCCATTCGGCGCTGAGCTGTTTATTGACACCCCGTCAGTGGTCCATTCGAGCTAGCATTGAGGTTCTGGGGAGCGGGGGTAACCTACGCCTTCCACACATGTGCGGAGACTGGTTTCGACTCGGCGGAACCCATTGTGTCGGGCGCAATGGCTGTTCAACAGATGTTCAATGGCGGCTCGTGATAGCCGTCTGGAAATTTCCGGCGTTGTTCGGGAGCATCACGGAGCAGCGACCGTGGCTGCCTTAGGTTACAATATTGCGCGCCCGTCTGGCCGAGGTGAGCGCCACATGTGGCTGAGTGGCGCTCGGTTGTGGCGCCCTTCACCTTGCGAACTTCACCTTGGGCAGACCGAGGCTTGACAGCTCGCTAGGCTATCTCACCGTCATCAGACCATTTTCGCTTGCCATCTGATGTGATCTGCTGGAATTTAGATCCTGCCTGTCCGTGCAGGCTTTACGCGCGTAGATCCGAAACAAACAATCTTCTTAACTCCCGTATTATGAGCCGTGGATGGAAGTGAGCAGATGGCGGGCAGGTCCGGTACTCGACCCGACGAGAAGCTGTACAAAATGGGCCGAGGACGACGAAGTGCTGATGATATCTTGGGAAACAATCAATGGTGAGACGGGAAACCTAGGGACGGCTTCGTCTTCTCTTCGTGAGCCCGTGTTTATTGGTTCCTAATTGGCGTAACCGACTGCCAGTGACAGAGGACGACGGGCAACGGGGCATGGTTAAGACGAAACAGAACCAAGCCCACCACACCCTCAACCCCCATCCACGACCGCAATGTTTGACCATCCAGCCACGAGGGCTGACGACGGTGTTTCCCCTTTCAGAAACATGTCAGCGGGCGTTCACGGGCCCTGGCATATGCAACTTCTTTGAGGCGTCGAGGCCCGGTAGGCAGCCGAGTATGTCGAGCGCCTGTTCATTTTATCTGCTACGTGCTAGAAGTCTTGTCATTCGAGATTGGTCTTGGCTTTTCTGCAAAATTCTCGAAATGGATGCAGAGCTTCGCGAAGCATCGGCCCATGCCAGAAGCAGTGGTGTTCCGGTATGGCGGTGGAGGTGGGGCCATCCGCCGCCCGGAATCCGGAATGCGTCTAACTGAGGTGCAAGTCAATTCCATCAACCACAGGCCGAGATTCGATCGGTGAGCGGGCCAGGAGCCCCTGGAGGGTGATGACGGGCTGTTACAGGGCCCTCCTAGGCCTCAACCCCTCCCCGAGATGGAGATGACATATCAAACCCCAATTATTACAGTACTGGTGCTGGCGGTTGGTCTTGTCCTTTTGTTCTCTGGTGTCTTGGCAAGAAGGAAACCAGCCCAAGGGTACTGATACGCGACGGGATGACTGGGATCGACGGAGGTCTGGAACATTCAAACAATGGCAGATAGTTCAGATGGATTTGAGCAAGGATGGATGAACGATTGACCACTGATGTTTCTCCATTAGCCGTGATCCATGGGTCTGATCAATCATCCATCACTGGGCGTCGTCCCCTTGTGTCGGCACTCTGAGCAGTCTTACGACAGCGTCAGGCCATTCTTTGTTTGCGCTCGAAGGCATTTTTGGCGGCACGGGATAACGGCACAAAGGCATTGAACAGTGACAGAGGACGCGCCGCCGAGACAAACAGCGGAGTCATGATGTGGCGCTGGTGAGCACAGTCTCACTCACGAATTGGGTCTGCTGGATGCCTCCAGGCCGTGATGCCCGAGTCCGCGTCTGCTGGCGGCTGGGTCGCGGGGCATCGAGTGGCCCAGAAGCACCCAGGCCCGCTCGGGTGGCCAACAGTGTACTTGCTACGTCTTTAGGTGCTAGCTACTGCGAGTGAGAGGATAGGTGCGTAGGTGGTACCGTTTCTCAGTAGGGCTCGCCAACCTCAACCAGTCGCTCGTCACCGACCCCCTGGACCCCCCTGAAGGCAGTGACAGAATCAGGGCCTGCAGAGCCTGCAGGGCCACAGCCCCCCTGAGCCAGGACCAGCGAGGTGGCGGGTTTCAGACCAAGTGCGTCTGCAGGACGGCCGCTGAGTGGCCACTGAGCGGCGGTTCCGCTCCGCCCGGCGCCGATACTGAGATCGTAGAGCGAGATCTCTGGTCCTATAGGTTGAGCCGCCAGGAGGCCTTTCGCCGCGGCCCCCTGCGCAAGCCGGGTAGGGCGGCGCCATTCGGGCACCGGGCGCACCGCCAAAGAACAGATGCAAGCGCTTCGAGGGCTGTGGTTCGCTGCGTGTTAATGCTGTGCTGCCGTGCAGCTGCGCCGCGTTTGCAACCAGGCGAGTCTATTGCGCTCCGGTGGTTGCGTGGGCGCTGTAGCAGAGCCAACCAGGGTCCCGGCGGGCCATGGATGATTGATTCATGGATATGGATCCAAACGACATTCCCAAAGGAGGCCCCTGGGACCGCCACGCGAACCCAGCACCCCCGCCCTCCCGCTTGGGGCGTTGGGACCAGTCACAGCGCCGAGAGGACGTACTACAGAGGAGAGTCGCCGGGAGTCAGCCCCTAGCGGGTCTAGGGTTCCCAGTGTTCCCAGCGTTCCCAGCGTTCTACACGAGATGCGTGTAAAGGCATTGCAGAGCTTGTGATGGGAGGATCCCGAAGATCCCAGGTCCGTCCTGGCCCGCCAAGAAGCGCCGTCGTGGTTGTCACCAGGGGTATAAGCAGCTGGGCCAGGGTACTTGGCTGCATGCAGGTCCGCTGTGCCCGCTGTAGGTACCTGCGCTGGCCGCCCGCCTGCTGGCCTGCTGAGTGCTGAGTGCTTGCCGTCTTGGCTCTCCACCGAACTTATTATCACGACGCTCGCACCCGCCCCCCGTTGCACCTCGTCATGCCCGGTTCTCTCCCTCGTGCTCGTGTCTTGCGTGGCTCTGCCCTTCTTTTCGTTCTTCTCGTTCTTCGAGACATTTCAGTCCGGGGCTGGTTGGTCCGACCTTGAGACCATTACCCGGTTTATACATTCCTGGATTTCTTGCTCAGCCGTGTGTGCCTCTCCATCGACCGCATCGCCCCGTTCCAGTTCGCTCTCACCCGCCTGCCAGCTGTTTGCACCTGCGTCACTTGGTCGCCAGCTGCCGAACACGCCCACACCCTCGTGTTTGTCCTTGCACTCGGCCTCGCTTTTGATTTCATTCAAAACAAACCCATTCTCCCTCCCTTTGTGCATTGTGTTCAAGGCGCCTTTCTCTTCTCGGCACCCCTCACTCTCACCCTCACCCTCACCCTCGTCTCACACGCACAGGCCTGCGTCACTCGCGATATCTGCACCGTATCCAACGTTAGTATCGAGCCCAGTGTCTACGAGGACCAAGGCGAATCTGGAATTCGAACCGCACTACCATTACCAACTCGTCGATCTGCCTGGTGCAATCTCGTTTCTTATCCCAACTGTCAATAGGTGGCCGTCTGTGATTCACAGCATTGTCTTCACACACCTTCATCTCTGAACAGCACTTTCTTTCACCTTTGACCATCTACGAACACCTTCCGCCGATCACGAAACCATGTTCTGAGAATCTCAACACACCAAGAGGAACACCGCGTCTCGTCACCACCGCATCACTTTGGTGTCTCTTGTTCGAAGCTTCGCAACGTCTTAGGCCCCCCGATTCTTCGTCGCCAGCGGCTATTCACTCTTTTTCAACAACAAATTTACGATTGGCATACAAAAGAAGCCACCCTTCCTTAACCACCAACTCTCACGTCATTTTCCCACTTTAACACATCAACTATGGACGCCGCCAAAGATTTCCTCCGGCGCCGGATCGCCGGCCCAGACTCAGCCATTCCGACCTCGACACTCTTCCAGCGCGCAAGTGCCGCTCATGCAGAGACCGAAGCCTCTTCTACCATCGCCCCTTACCACGACTCACTCAATGGCGTCAACCAGCCCATGAACCTGCTATTTAAGGATATTCTGTGGTGGACCCTGGGCATCGCTGCCATGTTTGTTCTCGCGGTACGCATCTTCGAGATCATGTGGGCAAGACTTCGCCAAGTGTCTGCCATGTCCGTCGCCGGAGAGAAGCAAGGGTACTGGCGAATTGCGCAGTGGAGCTGGATGCCGGGCATGAAGAAGCACCTCATCTATGCGCCGCTCTGGAACAAACGTCACAACCGAGAATTCCGCCTATCTTCGGCCATCAGCATCGGCACTCTCCCTTCGCGCCTCCACTCCATCATTCTCTTCATCTACCTTGGCAGCAACTTTGCCTATATGTTCGTCCTGAACTGGCAAAACAAGAACCGCTACGAGTTTTGTGCAGAGCTGCGAGGTCGCTCGGGCACTCTGTCCCTGGTGAACATGGTACCCTTGATCATCTTCGCTGGACGCAACAACCCTCTCATCGGCCTCCTGAAGATCAGCTTCGACACCTACAACCTCCTGCACCGATGGATGGGCCGTATTGTGGTCCTAGAGGCTCTAATCCACACCATCGCATGGGCCATCGTTTGTGTGGCTGATATTGGTTGGAAGGGTGTCGGCAATCAGATCGTTCAGAAGCTCTTCATCGGATCTGGCATGGTTGGTACTGTCGCTATGGTGCTTCTCATGCTGCTCTCCGTCTCGCCCCTTCGACACGCATTCTACGAGACCTTCCTCAACGTCCATATCGTGCTGGCGTTTGTCTCCTTCATCGCCACCTGGGTTCACTGCGCATCCTCCGAGCTTGCTGGTGGTCTTCCTCAGCTCCCCTGGATCATGGCCATCATGGCCCTTTGGTTCGCTGACCGTTTCGCTCGCATGTTCCGAATCCTCTACGCCAACTGGTCTTCCGATGGCTTCACTGAAGCCATCTGTGAGCCCTTGCCCGGTGAGGTCACCCGCGTCACCCTCAACCTCCCCAAATATGTGGACATCGAGCCCGGCACGCACGCATACCTTCGCTTCTGGGGTATCAACGCGTGGGAGAACCATCCCTTCTCCATCTGCTGGGTGAACCACACCTCCGATAGCTCCTTACCTGTCCTCGAAAAGGAACCCCTTCACACTATGGACAAATCGACAATGAAGACGTCAGTTGCTTTCCTCATCGGCGCCCAAACCGGCATGACTCGCAAGCTGTTCGAGCGTGCGTCCAACTCCCGCCGGCCTCTGCGTATGAAGGCCGCCATGGAAGGCCCGTACGCTGGTCACCACAGTCTTGACTCCTATGGTCACACTGTCCTGTTTGCCGGTTCGACTGGAATCACACATCAGATTTCCTACATTCGCCACCTCCTGGAGGGATACAATGAAGGAACTGTTGCCACTCGCCGAATCACGCTCGTCTGGATCATTCGCGAGTATGAATCGCTCGAATGGGTCCGACCGTACATGGACACCATCCTTCGAATCCCGAACCGCAAAGATGTCCTTCGCATTCAGATCTTCATCACTCGACCCCAGAACCCTCGTGACATTGTTAGTGCCAGCACGACGGTGCGCATGTTCCCTGGACGGCCAAATGTCCCGCTTCTTCTCCAGAAGGAAGTGCAAGAGCAGAAGGGTGCCATGTGCGTTACTGTCTGTGGCCCTGGCGCCCTGGCAGATGACGTTCGAGGAGCGGTCCGATCGGTGCAAGGAAACACAGTGGTAGACTTTGTGGAGGAGAGCTTTACGTGGTAACCGTTGCATCATAGCAAACGATAGTCGGCTTTTTTGGGGGAACTTTTTTCGACATGTAAATATTTGCGACAGAGGAGGGGGTTACATCTCCAGTGGGTGAGATGTTGTATATGTGTGTGCTAGTGTTCTATAGACAGAGCTTAATGAAGCAAGCCATCAAGGATCTGAATATTGAATGCCTATGATCGTGAATGAATCCTTCGCGCCGTCTAATGTTTGAATTTTCCTTGGTCGTGATAGTTTCACGTCCGTTAAAAGTTTCGTCCGTACTACCACGGGATGTGTGCGGCAGTGAACAATTGGCGATCATGATCGACAGGATGAAACCTCACTAGACCCCTGTGGCTGCAACCTCGCCGACCATCGCCAAGAAGCCAGCCCCCTGGAGGGTTTAAGACACAGAGTCGTATTGAAACAGCTAGCTAAAGGGGTGACAGAAGGTAAAACCGCCATGTGTGGCCAAGGCTAATGTAAGGAGTGTTTAGTGTAGAAACGGTTCGTTCGAGAAACAGTGAAAAAGCAACCTCATCCCCCCTCCTATATGCACTGGTGTCGCCCCCCTTGCTCCAGTTCCACAGAGGCGATATTGGGACGAAAAATGAATGTTGTGCGTCATTTCACGACATGGTCTCCCTTTTCTTTCGCCTGTCGGATAGGTGCCCTTCCGACAGTGGTTGGGAATCGGAGATTACAGGTCCCCTCGCAGCCGCATCACCTTGAGAACGGCGTACTTGTACCAGTTGCTGTTCTCGTCGAGGGACTTCTGCGCCTCGTTTCCGTTTGACTCGGAAACTCCCTCGTCAAGCTTGGCAGAGGCCGGGAGAACCTCCGCCTCGACGCCAACAGACGCCGTCGAAGCGAGTACCCGGCCGCGGGCGTCGATGGCCTCGGCGGCGATGCTGGTGACCTTTGCGCCGGCAATGAGCAGGCTGGTCTCGAAGCTGGTGCGCCGGACTTCGCCTAGGAAGTCCCGCGAGCCGTGGCCGTCTGTCACGGCGTAGAAGCGCCAGGTCGCCGTCTCGGTGTCGCCGTTCCAGGAGACGTAGGCCGTCGTGCCCTTGGCGCCCTCGAGCGCAACAATCGCTGGGGCTTCGTTGGGGATGCCGGTCCAGTTGTACTTGAAGGCGCGGTAGTTCTCTGCTCCGAGGCCAAGGTAGCCCGAGTCGACATATGCGTGGAAGATGGGCGTGCCGTTCGCAGCGAACTCGGTCAGCGCGCCCTCGGATCCCCAGTTGACGAGCGCATTCCCGTTCGGGAGGATCTGCGTGCTGCCCTGGGACTTGGAGAGAAGATCGTCGGGAGGGAAATATGCAGCGACCAACTCGGCCGTCCACGAGGTGGTGTTGAGCCGCAGGATCTTGCCGCTGCTCGTGGGCGCTGTGTGCACCTCCGAGCCGCCGCCGTGCTCCGTGCCGTGCGCGCTATTGTCGTAGAGGCTGATGACCTCGACGTCGTCGTACTGCTCGAGCCAGCGTGCGTGGTGCTGGAAGCAGAACGGCGTGCCATCGGCCATGTCAAAGTCGGAGCGCTTGCCGTTGAGGCGCCAGATGATGGAGCCGTCGGAGCCGTTGATCTTGTGGACGGCGCAGGCGTCGCGGGCGGAGATGAGGTAGTTGCCGTTGGCGTCCTTGTCGACGCTGTTGATGTGGAAGTAGTCCCATGCATCAGAGCTGTTGTAACCAGAGCCAGCTTGGCCAGGGTTGATGGGCAGTATGGCCTCTGGGGTTTGTTTAGAATGTAAATATTGAAGCAAGAGTACAGGAATACTAACCATCGGGCTGGACATGATCTAAACTTGCCCACTCGAAGAGGAGTTCCCCAGTTTCAATATCAAGCTCTGGACCATACTCGTCAGCTCTGTTTCAACAACTGCGGCGGACTGCACTCAATGGCTGACCTTGGATGATGGCATTCACTATCCACTGCTGGTCGACACTGGCACCCCATTCTGTAAGGTCGCGCGGCACAGGTTGGTAGACTTGAATAAGACCAGTCTCTTCACTGACAATGTGAAACTCATGCTTGTCGACCAATTTGTGATTCCCGGCACGAAGCTCGCGGATGGTCTCGTAATGCTGGTCCATGATGGTAATGTGTCCATGGCCATGACCATAGCCAGCATTATGATCCCCTTCGAAACTGAAGAGGATGTCCTTGCCTTTCCAACGCCCGGCTTGGAAGTTGGTGGACCAAATGCTATAGATGCCATAGCCGGACCAGACCAAATCACCATTGTCTCTAAGAATGTACGGGGCAGCCTGGCGAGGCCCATGCTGCTCCGTAGGCGTGTCTGGGAAGCCCGCAAAGGGGGCGACGAAGAGGTATCCCGGCTCAACGCCATCCGTTGCGGGGATGGTGATGTTGAGGCGAGGAGGCGCGAGATCGGGGCGAGAGCGGTACTGCCAGTCACCCGCCACAAGCGGGACGAGCACCGACGACGCGGCTGCGAGGTGCGGGATGAACGACTTCATGATGGATAGGAAGCGTACAAGCGGTACTAGCAGCGTCAGCGGCCTTGATCTCCATCCTGTACAAAGTTAGGTACATTCACCTTGAGTGAGTCTACAAGCCCTAGCGATTCCACCACAATTGATAACCTGGAGTATGATTAATTGGAACAGATGAAAGAAGCGTAATGGAGGAAGATTCTTCTGTGGTTGAGATTGGCAAACAAGAACCTCGAGTTGCAGCCTTGATATGGATAATGGAGCTGCGACATCGCAGGCTGACGTCGATGGAAAGGAGAGCACGCCATCGGTATGATTCAAGAATCCATTGGACAATCAATGAGTACCAGGGCGGGGGAATATGTGGCTAGTGAGGGAATATCATCGAGGATGTATTTAGTTGGACGGTTGGATTGCGTGATGGATGTTGTCATGCTGAAGATCGTCAGTCTACATGTCGTTGCAACTCTGTGACGTGTCGAAGTGGGGACCACAGGAGATGATTCAACGACCAGAATACTAGAATGTTGATTGGAAATCAAACAATGTTGCTTTGATTCGTTGTGATATTGTTGGGCAGTCAAATCGAAGTGTCGGCAGATGTCCAGCCGGGAGTCTCTACTCTCCGCACTCGGCTGCTCCACTGGATCTTGGATCCGTTTATAGAGTCCAGCGAGGTCGCATAAAGACCAAAAAGCCGTATGCATATGCTGAACAAATCAAGTTTCCATATTTGCCGTCTAGATATTGTATGTGTCTATATTTCAGGCGGTTGTCTATTGCAGCCACCAACTACTAAACAATGACAACTGCCGGGCATTAATCCCCGCGTTTAGGACCAATTAAGCTACATGTTTCTTTCACCTTCACATCAAACATTTTCACTATGCTGCAATATATCCGGGGATCCAATCCCTTCCCCGCACGTGTTGTGGATCTTGACGTGCCGGGACTTGCTCTATCGAGATCCACCAAGATTCCCATTTAAACCCGGAATACGTGATCCTAGTCTGCTATTTCGACATTAGAGTCACACCGAGATTCCCACCCGATTCCTTGTTCCTGGCTTCCACGGGGTTTCTGCCCTGTACCGTGCCGACGGCCCGATAAATGCCCTCCGGTCATCTCTCGCTTTAACCCTTGCAGACAACCGACTTCTTCACTTCTGGCGCACCGCTCCGTGCTCGACGATAAGATCAATTTCAGGCGCACTTTCGTCCTTTCACCACTTCACCATGCGCGATCCTCCATCAATCTCGAATTCCAGGGTCCTGGATCCCGAATACTACCAAGGAGCTACCGACACACTCGACACGCCGGAGCCAGCGTGCGAGGATCAGCCGCTTCTCCGTGCTCCTGATGAGGTTTCGTGGAAGGCTCCGCGCGGGTTTGTCTGGATCCAGCTAGCCATCATGTCCAATGTTTTCCTGTACGGACTCGACAGCACCATCACAGCCTCGACCTATGCCGTCATCAGCTCCGAGTTCGGCGCGGCCAACACGGCATCTTGGTTGACCACGTCGTATCTCGTTACCAGCACGGCGTTCCAGCCTCTGTACGGCCGGGTGTCGGATATCTTTGGGCGCCGCTTGTGCTTTTTTATTTCGACCACCACCTTTGCAGCCGGGTGTCTTGGGTGCGGTGTTGCAAACAACGTCGTCTTTTTGAATTGTATGCGAGCCTTGACTGGCTTTGGTGGAGGCGGTTTGATGACTATGGGTCAGTTGCGGCAAACCTCTGTTCCCTCGCGGATCGTCAAACTAACTGAGTCACAGCAACCATTGTCAACTCAGACATGATCCCGTTCCGCAAGCGCGGCATGTACCAAGCTCTGCAGAACGGCATCTACGGATTCGGGGCCGTATCCGGGGCGTCGTTTGGAGGCACCATTGCCGACCGCATTGGATGGCGATGGTGCTTTCTGCTCCAAGTTCCCATCTCCATCATGGCCTTTGCCATTGGTGCGCTCGTTGTATCAAATCAGTCAGCCAGACTCTCTCTCGACAACGGGCTCGGGGCTGTTTGGAAGCGAGTCGACTTTGTTGGCGCCGTCGTGCTCGTTCTAGCCGTCTCTGTTCAGCTCGTCGGTCTCAGTCTTGGAGGGAATGAGCTGCCCTGGGGAAGCCCGTGGGTCATTGGATCTCTAGTCGGCAGTGTTGGTCTATTTGCTCTGTTCATGCTGGTTGAGTCCAAGACGACTGCGATTCCCATCATCCCTCTGCGCCTGCTTCATGGCAGACTTCCTATCGCTACGCAAGTGACAAACATCTGTGCTGGAATGGCAGCCTACGGCGTGAGTGCTTATATTCCTTTCTTGCTGAGGGTCGCGAGGGACTGATTGTATTTTCTAGTACCTATTCATGCTTCCATTGTTCTTCCAAGTCGTTCTTCTAGACTCAGCGACGACAGCTGGCGCTCGCCTCGCGATCCCCTCGTTGGCGACGCCGATTGGAGGCGTTATTGCTGGTCTTGTCATGTCTCGCTGGGGTAAATTGATTGCCCTCGTGCGCACCGGGGCTATTCTCATGGCCTTTGGAAATGCCCTGGTAACATCTTTGGGGTTTGAAGATTCAACCTGGAAGTATTTCGTCTATGTGTTCCCTGCAAATCTGGGACAGGGTATCATCTACCCAGGAATTCTTTTCACCTCGTTAGCTTCATTCGATCATGCTGGCAAGTCATATTCAAAACCTCTGTCCGTGTCAGAGGCTCTCAGACCAGCTAATGATTTCGTTATCTAGACCATGCGGTCTCGGCCTCAACTGTCTACCTCATTCGCTCACTAGGTACCGTCTGGGGTGTCTCAGTCACTTCCGCCATTGTGCAAACTACGCTCAGCGTCCGCTTGCCGGACGCTCTGAGCGAGGTACCTGATAAATGGAGAGTACGCCCCTATTCCTTCTTGAATGCGAACTATTGCTTGAAGTGAGCCTGGACTCAGGTGCTGATCCGTGTTATTCTAGATTATTGACGAGATTCGCCATTCAGTGGATGTCATCCGTCACCTACCTCCTAACGTGCAGCTCAAGGCGCGCCTGGTGTACTACGATGGACTTCGATATGCCTTTGGAGCCTCGACTGCGGTGGCCTGCTTGGGAATATGCGCCGCTCTCCTTGCCAGCGGAACTGGTCTCCGGACAACCCACAAATAGACCTGGCCGCCCAGGAATGGGCAATTTAGTACTATGTACAAGAAATGGAGGGATGCCATCCAGCGAGCGATGGAGTACAGTTGTCAACGCACAGGCGTGAACATCGAGCTCGACGCTCAACCAGTGTCCTATCAACTAGGACGCTTCGAGGAAATTTCACGGCGTTTAAAAGCAGTAGAATAGAATAAATTGCGAATATTGATACTTCAGGAACAAAACCTCGAGTGCCGTGATGTGTTGCATTATGCCTCGGTCATTCTCCTCTTAACACCCAAACCAGTGCTCCCTGGCTCTAATCTCCAAACCAAAAAGAAACCGCTCTTCTGATACATGCAAAGAAAAATTAAGAAGCCCCGAGGGTCAAAAATGTGATTCCGCCCGGGCTCGAACCGGGGACCTTCTCGGTGTTAACGAGATGCCATAACCAGCTAGACCACGGAACCGCTGATTGCTTGATGAAGAAGGCAATTGATTTCCACATTATACACACTTCTGGTTCTGGTGTTGTGAAGATCGTGGTTGATTTGAATATGGTTGTGCGGGAAGGGTGTAAGGTGTTTGCTATATAATTAGGTTGTGAATCAAAATTTGGAAGGTCTTTGTGGCTGAGACGAATCAAAGCTGCAGGGTCTGGGTGCTTGACTGACCAATGCGCTTGCTGTGATTTGGGAGTGCGCAAAACCACCAGGACTCTCACGATGCTTCCACTCGGAGGATCAGTAAAAATAAAATAAAACGTAAAGGAATTTAATTATTTTGATATGAGTGGCATGAATTTGAGGGGGCCATTTTTCAACCTGTAGACTAGGTCCCTTGTTAACCCCCTGAATGCAAGTTGTTGGCGGTCCCTGACACTCTGAGTCTTCAGTTGCCAGCTGCTCACAGCCACTTTACAGCTGTCAACCCCAGCTCCAATGAGCCTCGCTCGTTTGTGCCCTAACGCGTGATTATCTGTGGCGCGCTCCCTTCTCGCGTTTTCCACGCCTCATCCTGCATCGTCCACGGGAGGAACCACGCTGAAGCACCTCCCATCCGCACTTCATCCTTACGGCGGCATCATCAACACTTCTCTAAGCAGGCTCAACCTTCAGTCGCCAACTGATACATCTTTAATATCATCTTCTGGAGGGTTTGGTTTCAACTCTGACCACGGGTTGTGACGGTACGGCACCATGTTCTACAGCCACGAGAGTGAGCCGACCGAGTTCCCCCTCCGAACCACCTCAACCCACTAACTCGCCCGTTAGTCCTCAGCAACAGCCAGTATGGAGTTTCGACCATCTGGTGAGTGATACATGATAGTTCAAGTCTACACAAAAAGATTCTCTAACAGCCTGTCAGGCTCGTGGCCACCGTGGGCAAGACAACCAACCGCAGAGTGACCAGAAAGGCCATCCAGGAAGTCAACGTCCCCAAGGCATGCGAAAAGATCATCCATCCCGGCGCTCCTTTGGCCCTTCGACTTCAGGGAAATCTCCTCTACGGCGTCTCCCGTGTGTTTGCGCAACAGTGTCACTATGTTCTTTCAGACGCCGAGAAGACACAGTCCGACATGTTGACTTTCTTTCGGGTCATGCAAACAAGTGAACTCGACCCAAAGGCTGGCAAAGCAAAGTGCGTTTTCTTTATGCTTTTTATCTTTGACCCTAAACCCCTGCTAATAGATAAAGGCGCCATCAAATCACTCTGCAGGATGATCCTAGCTTTGACCTTGCGAGCATCTTCCCGAAGCTCGATCTCTTCAGCAGCAACAAAGAGCTCGTGCTTCTTTCCAGCCAGAATTCAACACAATCCGTTTCACAGATGACTCCTTTGAGTCAAGGAACAATTTCATCGCGTGGGAACCGGCCATTCTTAGGCTTCGATCTCCCACAGTCATCTCACTCCGGCGGCAGCTACCGCCTTCCATCCGACCTGGGTCGAAACTCTCCATTTACAAAGCCCTTCAACCCTCAAGATTCAATGCCTGAGTTCAATCCATTTGGGGGAGAAGATCTCGATCCTATCGCCGGTATTGGCCTCAATTTCGACGCCGATGGCAACTTGGTTGAGATGCTCGGGCCTGAACCTGATTTGCCACTCCTTCCTGGAACAGAGGCGCACAACGCACAATTTTTTGCCTCGGATACCCATATGACTGGAGTTCAACAGGGAAAGGGGGTTGATTTGTTTGAAGGTGACAACGTGATCATCATGGGCGAGGATGAACTGCCCGACGCAGAAGCCTTTCCCAGGCGACCACTCGCCAAGAAGCCCAACACTCTCTCACTGAGTTCCGAATCAAGCTTCAGCAAGCAAGCCTCAGCACCTCTCCGTAAAGGACGTCTCCGAAAAACCATTCAACTGATCGATCGAACCGACCATGTCTCTCGGGAGGAGTTTCGCAACTGGTCAGCCAACTATCTCGAGAATATGGAGAACTGTCGCAAGAAACCTCGACCTGCCAACAAAGCACAGGCACACAAGAATGCGATCGCCTTACTTTTCGACAATGGCATCTCCAATGTTGGAATGCTTCAAGGTGTTCCAGGCTTCGTTCATCCCCTCGCTCAGGACTTCTCTGGCGCGGCACTCAAGGCTCGGCTCCAGGGTAGACATCCGGAACAGGATGACGAGCGAGGTCAAATTCGCAGCTCCTCTGAAGCATTTGAGGATGAAGAGGTTGAGAACAGACGTGTGAAGCAGAAGACTGACGAGAAAAATGAGGTTGGACGAGGCCCAGTTGATGATATTGATCCGCTCATTCTTGGCGACGACTCTGTCCCTGAGATCGGGATGGGAGACGCTCCAGCCCTCGACGACCATCACTCTTCCTCAATGATACCATGGAACCGTCCACAGTCTGCCGTGCCAGGTTCATCTATTCGCGGCTTCGGAAGCGCACAGAAGGGTCATCCAGCACCAAGCCCACTCCACGCCCGTGGCAGTGTTGTCGGTTCCATTGAGCGATACAGCGACCTGCCTGGTCCAGCCCACGGCTCTGATGAGTTCCCCCAACTTCACTCTCAGGACTCTTCCCTCGGGCACGAAGGTCTGGACGCCCAAGGTGGCGTAGATAACCCAGACACTCAAGGATCAACCCAGGGCCTTGACGCCTCGAGCCTGGAGTTCTTTGGGTACGCTGAGAGCAAGGCTATATACGAGGGCCATGCCCGTCCTGGCGACGATCCTGACCGTCGCTGGGTCGACTTCGAGAAGCTCGCCGACCCTGCTGTTCACACCAAGCGAATCGCGGCCCAGGCGTTCTTGCACGTCCTCTCCCTTGCGACCAAGAATGTAATTGCCGTCGAGCAGGAAGGCATTGCGGACCAGCAGCCATTCGGCACCCTCCTCATTGGCGTCAAGCCCGAGCAGGAGGACGACGAGATGGACGAGTTGGCTTAATTATTCTCCACAGGTGCAGCTGACCATTTGCGACTTCTCTGATTTTCGCAGACATTCTACGGTGCATGATTTTTTATTTGGGCGGTGATTAATTTTCACTTCGGGTTAGCAACAAGGAATGCACAATTCATCTAAAGGGGATACTGAGATTATCGGGAAAATCTGGCGTTGGTGGTTTTTGGTTTCAACAATACCCGAACTGGGACATCGTTCTAGGAATGATTACCCCTTCATCATTTGAACGGAAGATGGGATAGGTTTGGGATTGCAAGGTGTTGCAAGGACATGGGGGTTATCCGTCAGATGGAGGACATCGCATTGGCATGATTTTGCGAAGTTTTATGGGAAATGGGGATTGTCACGGAAAGGAACGCCACACATGGGAATGAGATCACGATATTCAATGGGAATGTTTCAATTAAGTTCATTATGGTTTGCTCGTGAAATCAGTCGTAAGCATCATCCTCGTCTCCACCCTCGCGATCCTCAAACTTCATGTACTCAACATCCTCTTCGTTGGACCCGCCGAGAACCATTTTCCAGGCTTCTTGGACAGGATCCAGCACCGAATCGTTGAATGCGAGATCTACCGGTGGCAGGGGAAATGTAGCAGTGTTGCCGTCCACAACTAAAGACGACGCGCTTCTGCACTGGTTGTAGAACAATTGATAAATGCACGGAGATGATTGAGATGCTTGATCACCACCTTGTACAGTGGCAACAAGGGATGACAGAGCCTTCTGGAGGGTGGATTTCGACGAGGCATCATGAACGGTCGTGAGGTAGATGGCATCTATGAATTGTGGTTAGCACAATGTCTCAAATTCCGTTTCCAAGAAAGCAAGAAGAGATGAGTGGTGTGATCAGATTTTAGATATTGATCGTCATTGAAATTCAGACAATGTAGATAAGTATTTGATGGGAATCATCCTAACACCAAAGCAAAAGAAAAGATAAAAATAGTGTACTCACATTGTCCAGAAGGGCATTCCCCAGTATCGCTCGAATGCACCATTGCGTAGACTGGGTACTCTGAGGGTTTACCGTCTTCAGAAGATACCGAGCCAACAGGGAATGCAACAACGGCCACAGCAGGAACCGGAGCACCCTCAGCGAGGAGCTCAAAGAGCGACGAGAAGTCACTTTTTGTGATTGCTGTCAGCCTGCTAATGCGTGAGCCCTCAGTCGTTGGCTGTTCAGAGCCTTGGATGAGTCGCTTGGTCTTGACCACCATGTCATTGGTGAGCTCGAGCTCAAGCTTGGCTTCAGTCTGGTCATCCTGAGAGGGCGCTTTCCGCACATCTTTGATACCAGTACCTAGCATGTAGACCGCACCGCCAACCGCAGCAGCTCGACAGCCCACTTGAGCCACCTCCGAGAGGCCACCCCATTTAGGATAAACAGCGGCGAAGCCAGGGCCAAAGGCTCCCATGGACGTCAAGTGTCGATGGATGGTGGTGAGACCGTCTTTGACAGAGATCTTGCCGTTATGACTCAAGGTGAGGGTGATGATGTAGGACTGCAACGCGGTGTCGAGCTTGAACGTGGAGGCTAAAAAGCTATCCAGCGGCTCGTCGGCATGTGGGTGCCACATATCAGTTTGAGGCTCCGAGTCGAAGTCAAGAACGAACTTGAGGAACTTCATCAAAGATCGCTTGGACCGAACGGGGATGGCAGTATTGGAAAAAACATCTTCTCGGGTCGAGGGGATCCGACTGAGCGACGGAGCTGAGGAGTCCGAGGGCGGTTGGTAGATGAAGAAGGAGCCGACAGCGAGAAATTCGATGTGGCGGAACGCCTTCGAGTCCACCAGCTGCGACACAAGCTTCGACCGCGAGTGTATTAGCTGCGGCGCCAGAGCCAAGGTGTATGCCCGCCGCGATGCCAGCTCATCTGCCTGCTGCTTCACCTCGGCGCCAGAGAACAGTGCATCCTCTCGACTGTCCGCGCGGTGCCTCTCCGCCCATTCATCAGCCTCCGGAAGACTCAAGGCAGCCTCGGGGCCTCCGTAGTAGTCGTTGGGGTCGACGTGGAGGATATTCTTGCCTGAACGCGAGAGGGCTCTTCATTGGAAACGAAGGCCGGGTCAGCCTGATCGCAGGGCGTCTCGACGATGGAATCCAAAGCTTACAGGGCGAGGAGGGACTGCTGGAGCCCCGTGCCGCTGATCACTACATCCCACTGAGTGTCTGAGAGGGATTCCATGGTGAGGAGAGTGGAAGTTGAGATGGAAGTTGGAGAAAAGAGCAAGAAGAAAAATGCTTGAGGTGAGGATTTGAAATTGGCAGCCTCGGGTGGGGCAGCGGACTGGGATGGTCCGTGCTCGTCTGCCAGCTCCATTTCACAGCGAGCTCGCCAAGTTTTTTCTCTTCTCTTTTTCTTTCTTACTTATCCGCCCAGCCCGAAATGTCGTGTCTTCGTATTCTTAACGGAACATTGTTAGTGGCGTGAGTAGTTTCATTACTACTTACTTTCTGAGCGGCAGAGCGAATCTTGTCTACCGGTATCTACTGCCCTGGAACTTTTGGTCTGATAGGGTGGTTCGAATGGTTTGACACATCTCACGTCGTAGATACTCGTAGTAATAGCGTGAACGTACTTGCACTGTGTTTTGTCCCAGATAATGAACTGGAGTGAACGGGATTGAACTGAATTGATTTCTTTTCGTCTTGGTCATGAAGGGTATCATTCATCTACGGCTGAACCATCGCCAAATTAAAGTCCTCCCATCGCTTGCCCGCCCAGCTCAGAAACTGCTTCGACGTCAGAAGCCCGGGCGTCAGGACTGTCCCACCGTGCTTCGAGATGGACAGAATTCTCGTGTCTCCATCCTTGCAGTCGACCACAATCGTCACGCTCTCGTCGCACAGCGACTCCTCGAGTCGGTCTGGGTCGACCAGCATCCAATACTTGCCGTCCGTGGCGGGCCGGTCCGTCTCTTTGCCGGTGAAGACGACGGCTGTGCAAGCGATGGGAATGTTGGTGATGGTGAGAGGGATGGATTCTTTTCGAGAGGAAATGATCATCTCCCTGTCTGCATCGTACCAAGCTCGTGGAAGCTTTGTGTCTCGTAGGGCGGCCATGGTGGCGGCCCAAGCGGCGTCGAAGGGATTGCCGTCAAAGGAGATGAAGAAAATGTCGATGTAGAGCACCCAGTATGCTGCCACCACCTTGTCTCCCTCGACCGCATCCGGCGCATCGTCCTCCATGCGATCCTCATCAGCCGTCATGTCCTCGGCGGCACCCGTATGCCATATCCGCAGGTTGTCGGGGTTGATGACCTTTGAGCTGTGGAGGAGGGAGTATATTCTCGTGCTGAGAGTCTGGGCCAGCGTTGTGGGCGGGCCGCCTGGAAGGAATTGGGGAGCACAGCCAGTGGCGAGTTCGATGTTGGGCACCAGGAGATCGTATTCTCTCAGCTCCGTCTCTGTGTTGGAAGCACGGTAGCTCGGGATGTTGGAGGTCAGAATGGTTTCGCCACGGACACCACAGATGACAGTGGTGTCGCCCATTCGCACTACGGCACTGCCATGGGCATGTGAGAGGCTGGAGGAGTTGACTGTGGGAGGTCTGACTTCGTTCGGAGCCCGGCCGTTGCTGCGGGCGGGAGGCACATCGTCGGAGGAGGGCTCGAGGTTTGCGAGGAGGTAGGGATGGGGGGAGAGTTTGGCAAAGGTTGCGCGGGTGAGACCCGCGGCGGGGGCCATTCTGGCAGTATTTGGCAAGAGCTTGCTTTTCTCTGTGTTTTCGGGTACTGGGGGGAGAGTGACGCTTTGATGCAGCTGAACCTGACAGCCTCAAGTTTTGGTTTGGATAAAAGTTGTAGAGCGCCATAGCCTTGCGGGGCTTGACAATTACCATTGGTGGGCGCATGAATCTAACTAACCAATGGTGACATTGCGGGGCACGAGGCTGATAAGTGAGACTGGCAGCTGGACGCCACCGAAGCGCTGGCTAACTTTCGCATCTCCAATCTAGCCGCGGTTCAAGGGTCGTTCAAGGATCGGTCCAGACTTCATAGACGCCCGTAAACGAGATGTCCATTGACGCCCTCACCTGATGATCTTCTCAGATCTGGCCCTCGGAAGGAAAAAAGTACCATCGGAACGGGAAAATGGCGTGAGCCGGCCGTTGATGTTGCCTTGTGACGGATGGAGGAGGCCTTCCCTGCCACCTTGTTGGTGCAAGAAACTCGGGGATGTACAAGGGTGGACCGGCACTGAGAGTGTCCAGGATGATGACGGGCGGTGGTTGGCCTCACATGAGATCCCTACCGTTTACTGAGCAGAGCCAACAAAGCACTCTGTATTTGGACATGTTGCAGGGCTTGTATATTGCGTGCATCCCGATCATTCGTCATCGGGCCATCTGAGAGCCCACGGCTCACGGGCTCACGAGGAGTTGTTTGGCATCATGTTAGTCAATGACACGCATCATTTCATGTGGGCAGGTTTGGCAGCGATACGCGCATGCCTGCAGTGCAGATGCCGTTGAGCTCCAGAGTGCGGTAGGACTTCTGGGACCCCAAGTTGGTGGATTTATCACGGCTGCACATTCAAATATGCAATGTGATGAAGACGGACGCCGCGATGTCGTTGGTTGGAAGCGGGGGACAGGCGGGAAAGGCTCAACTCCCGTGGACGAATTGAGCCAGAGTGCATACATTGTGCTGCAGTGAGCAAGCTTTGTGCAAACCCATGGCGCGGCACAAACGCCCACAGTCTGCATGCGATGCGGTGGCCTGGCGGCCGCCTTGGCCCGTCCCCATCAACGTTGCGTTGCCTTGAACAATGACAGTTTAACAAGGACGCAGATCATCACCAACACCAGAGCAAATTCGGGAGGCGCGGCCGCGCGGGAGAGACCGACAACGTTGGGAGCTTGGGTCTCTTCCCGGTCCCCTTCTGGCCTCTGTCTCTGAGAACCCTGGTCGTTCTACGCCGTACAGAGTACAAAGCCGCCACATCCAGCTTCGGACCAGGGCGCAGAGTGCAAGTAGCGCCGGATGCCGGAGAGGGCATGTGGTGAGCGGGATGCAGCAGGAACCGGCGCCCGAAATAATGATGTCTAAGGCGGATGTGTAAGGTAGACCAAGGTCCTGACAGCTTAGGTAGGTGGCTATTACTGGTGACGCTGCGAGTTGGAGACGGGGAGAGACACACAGGCTCCGTACAGCAGCCACCGTCATCGTCATAAGTCACTAACAAGGGCAGCGCAAGCATGGGCGCAGGCGTACATAGGAGACGCAGATGCAGACGCGGACGGTGACAAACCACAGGAATCACACAAATGGCATGTCCTCCCATGGCCGTCGAACGATGAGATTCGGCATCAACAGACTGGCGCACACCGAAAGAGGCGCCGTGGCCCACCGCTCGGCTAAGACCAACCGCTTTCAGGCACAGTGGCCATACCACACAGTAATAAGCATTTGCTGAAGAGGGAGGAGAGAGCGCCCACGAGGCACATTGGTCGTCGAAGAAGCGGTGCAAACTGGTGCAGGCGATAGATTCTCGAGCTGCTTGAGGCCAATCACAGAGCCCCTGTTGCCGCCCGCCGCAGGGCCTGGGCTAAGGTTGTCACGGCGCCTCGGGACGAATCACAGCGCCAGATTCCATCACAGCATCTCGCAGCTCCACCGCACATGCTCCGTCCCGGACACCAGCCGGCCAAGCATTTCTCACCGCGACACACACACTCGACGCCCCGGACCCTTCACCGGATCCACCACCCGAGAGACAAGCCACCAGCGGGCGGCCCCCAAAAAGCAATCACCCGTCAGGAATTCTGGGATATCCGTCGAAGAGAGGAGAAGAGTGGGGCCATGCATGGGCGCCATCGCCCGCCATGCCAGGAACCTTGTGTTCGTGTGGCCCACCGTCGACAGGTTGCTGCACCATGCGGCCAATCCCACGGCCGTCTCAGACGCTCATCTGCACTCATCTGCACTCGTGGCTTTTGCTCGAGCCAACGGCGGCCCAGAGCGGGCTCGAGTCAACATGCCGCTGTCGTCGTCGTCACTTTTGGACGCCCGGCATGTCCTCGAGAACCAATTCGAGCCAGTTCGAGCCAAGTCGAGCCAAGTCAAGCCAAGGCAAACCAAGCAACTATCGATCGCCAGGGGTGCCGTTGACGACTCAAGCATCAAAGTCTTTTGTTGCTGTCGGTGATTTCACCATGTTGTTCCGTCGTTCGTGGTGAATCCGCCTCTTCCCTCTTCAACACCAGAACCAACATAAGCCTCCCACCCCAGTCAGCATCGCCGTCGATCCCGCCTCCTCCGCTCGGCCCCCAGCCCCCAGAGTCCACCTCTCCCGGGCACCCCAGCTCTCTGCCGGCAACGGCCACGGCCCGTCTCTTTGTCTCTCTCATCTGTGCGAGGTTCTGGCTTTGTCTGGCGCGAGCTAACTGATGCTGCATGTCACCCACCGAAACCAGCGCCGCCGAGTCCATTTTTTCCCACACCACCACGCCCAACTCCCGGCTGGCCGCTGGTGTGACGGTCCACCCTCGACAGGCGGGGAGAGACCGCATCTTCAGGTCCAGCCAATATCAACGCTCCGTCTGCCGCTGGCCCTGGGGAGCTGCCCATCGCGCCCCATTCCATTCAAGCTATCCCCTGCTGTGATTGTCCGGCCGCATGCACAGTCGTCTTCCACTGGCCTCGTCCACATGGCAATCTCGCATATCACCTCTCCACCATATGCCCCCAAACCCTCGCGCCAGTCGCCGCCATCACAACTGCTAGACGCCCTTTCTTCGCTTCTGCCGCCCGCCATTGAACCCTTGTGTATTGCTAGCTCCGTTCAAGGGCCAGCATCTGATCGTCCAAGGTCATATATCCGGCCGCATTGCCCGTCCATGACCCCACCGTGACCTTGCTTTTAACCTCTTCCTCGCCCCATCATCGTTTCCCGCCCCCATTCCCATCGCCTCCGCTCAAGACCCTTTCCCTCGTTCACGACCCTGGGTTTGTTTAATACCGAATAAACAAAGCGCTATCCCATTAATCGCGGAATCTGGTATTCCTCGGTTTCACCTGGATCACGTCAGCTTGTCCCTCGCTGTCTTACGTCACATCGCAATCTCTACCCCATCGCCGTGCAAAGTTGACAAGAGTCTTTTTAAACTTGTCGACCCTTCGCCTTCCGCCCCCACACAGTAGAATTGATACGCGAACTCGGCAAACTTATACGATCCCTCATTCATGTCGAACTGAACGGGGCCGTCCCCGCGCTTCGCCGCCGACTCTCTAAACCCCCCGTGCGGAAGCTCAATCGCTGGTCGAAATGGCTTCTCGTCTGCAACCCGCCTTCCAAGGTGCCGTCTCTGAGGCCTCTAGGACTTTCAACGATCTCGTCAAGCGCATCAGTATTCCTCTAACTCCCACGAGTCCCGCCGGTCTGGTCCAGGCGCACACAGTCGATCCCTGGGAGAAATCCGGAAAGTATGCCCGCGGATGGTCGTACTTTGCGCTTGCTCTCATGGGCACCGTTATTGCCGTGCGAATATGGCATTTCTGGCAAGACAAGATTCGACAGGCCATTTACAAGCAAGAAGTTGAGGAGCACTACCGAAACGCCTACGCCCTCGAGCAGGAATATGGCATGTCTGCCCTTCCAACCGGGCAGACCGGCCACACTGCCCAAACTGGCCAGCAGTTCTTCCCCGAGCCCGAAATGCTAAATGGGAAGAACTTCCGGCCCAAGGCGCACTTTTCGTCTGTTAACATCGTCAACGATACCCTGGCCCTATTTCGATGGATCTTTTACCGTCCTATCCCGGATTTTATCTGGGGTAAACACCGATTCACCTTCTCCTCGTTGGCAGTTCTCACCTGCGTCTTCATTGCGCTCGCCTTTGTCACCCTTTACTGCTTCCTCCAGCAGCCCCTTTACTGGCAGAGCATCCAGTATGGTTCCCCACCTCTGGCTATCAGATCCGGAATGATTGCCGTCGCCCTGACGCCGTGGATTGTCGCAACTAGCATGAAGGCCAACGTGCTGAGCATGCTGATCGGCATTGGCCCTGAGCGACTCAACGTCTTCCACCGATGGGCAGCTTATCTCTGCCTGTTCCTCTCCCTCGTCCACACCATCCCATTTTACATCCAGCCGGTTTGGGATGACGGTGGCATGGAGATTTACCAGCGCCTCTTTCCTGGTGGCAGTGGTGTCATCTATGGCACTGGAATTGCCTGCCTGGTCCCTCTGGTGTGGCTCTGTGTCGCCTCCCTACCATTCATCAGGAGAATTGCATATGAAGCTTTCGTTTGGTTGCATATTCCCGTCTCTATGGTGTACGTTGGACTCCTTTTTTGGCACACCAAGAACTTTCTCATGTCTTGGAGCTATCTCTGGACCACTGTGGCCATCTGGGTCTTCTGCTACATGATGAGACTGTTCAAGCTCAACTGGGTGAGACCATGGCGCCTATCATTCATGGTTGGCGACGAGGCCGCCATTACTTTGATGGCAGAGAATGCTATTAAAATTACTATCCCGACTCAGATGCGATGGAAGCCTGGACAGTACGTCTGCCTGCGTATGCCAGGCATCTCTGTTTTTGAGAACCACCCCTTTACGATCTCGTCGCTCTGCAGCGACGACTTCCCGTCCGACTATGGCGAGCAGTACCGGGACTGCACCCTTGTGTTCAGACCCTATGGTGGGTTTACGCGCAAGGTCTTGGATACCGCTATTGAGAAGGGACCGTTCCACACCTATCGTGCGTTCCTGGACGGCCCATATGGTGGTATGCGACGTGATCTCGCCGCTTTCGACACCTGCATCCTAATTGCAGGAGGCAGCGGCGTCACTGCACTGGTGTCCCAACTTCTGGATCTTATCAAGAGGATGAGAGACGGCAAGGCAATTACCAAGAAGGTAGTTGTCGTTTGGGCCTTGAAGCGACTAGAGGCTATGGATTGGTTCCGTGAGGAATTGCGAATTTGCCGAGAAGCTGCTCCGCCGGAGAGTGTCACCTGCAAGTTCTTCGTTACTTCAGCTGTGAGGAACCGTGGAATGCAGATGACAGGCCCATTTAGTGACCCGAACGGTCCCAACGGTCCCAATGGCCCCAACGGCCCTCGAGCCCTGACCCACGCGTTCCATGATAAGCTGGATGGTTTTGTGGCAGGCATTGCATCCAAGCGAAATTCTGCTCTCATCCAAGCAGAGGCCCAGGGCGATCCTGACCGCGAACGCGAGCTGCGCGCTGAAGATGAGGATCGCATTACCGCCCTGCCGCAACAAAAATACCTCCAACCCCATCTCCCTCCGCCGCCCTCTGGACCTCCGCCATCCCACCAGTATTCAGCAACCGACGAGTCGCTGAAGAGACTTGAGGGTCATGGTTATCCGGAAGACAAGAAGATGCCAATGGAGGATGCTCAGGACCAAGAGTTCCACTTCCCGTCCATGCACAAGGAGAACCAACCTCACTTCAATTACGCACCACCCTCACCGCGGAGGCCGCATGCTGAGTCTAGCCCGACCGGCGAGAACTTCCCCGTCAACCCCCCGGAGCTTGCCCACCTTCGACGACAGGCCGACCCCGAAGGCGGCAAGCCTCGCCCGACGTCAACTTTCGGCCCACCATCGGGCTTCGATTTTGGCTTTCCCCAGACACCAACCGAGTTCCAAAAGAGTCTGATGCGCTTCGCCTTCCCCGTGCCGCACCAGATCGACGGCGGATGGAGTGTCGAGTATGGTCGACCAGACCTGGGTTACATGCTTAAGGAGTGGGCGACCGGTGGACCCGATGGACGGGGCATTCTGGGCCGGCGCACGGCGGTCTATGTGTGCGGGCCGCCCGCGATGCGAGTCGGCGTTGCCAACACGGTGGCCAAGCTGCAGGCGGAGATTTGGGGAGACGATGAGTTGGAGGAGATTTACTTGCATACGGAGAATTATGCTTTGTAAAAGGATAGGGGGGCGTTATGATGACGAGGCTTGTATTTGTATGAGATGACTGGAGCGAGATACCATGAGCGATATGCTTTGCTGATACCTATGATATACCTACCTACTATATACATGGACGGGCGAGAAAGCCCGGGCCATACGACTGTGTATACAACCTAATCATCTACTACTTATTTATCTGTTCTGTTATACCACGACTACATGACTTCATGGGCTGGATGCCGATGAGAGTTTTACATCATGTTATTTTGGGAAGCGGGGCCGGACGGTCGAATGGGCCAGAGTAAGAGGAGGAGGAGCCATGATGAGCCATGATGAGCCATGAGTAGTGGGATGCAGGCCAAAGAGGTTCCCTCGTGATGCAATAGCTGCTCCACACTGACAAGAGCCGCATGCGGGTTGCCAAAGAATGCGACCATGACGTGATAGTGATTGGCAAGCTCGCGGCTGCAGCCAGGGACGTGGATCACTGAAGGGTGGAGGAGCCGGGAGCTAGGAGGCACCTTGATGGCCTCTCTCACGCGCCGCGCCGCAGCGAGCACCAGAATACTTGAATCAAGTGAGCCCTCGACTGAGGTGGGATGTTGATTTTCCCCTCATTCTTGTTATTCTCTCAACTTTATTGCAGTCATTGTTCACTGCGCCGTGCACTGCAATCTGCTCCCTACTTATCGGTGCATCTTTGGCCTTCATACCCGTTCATACTGCGCGTCTCTTACATCCTACGCATCCCACAATGTCGGTTCTATCGGAGCTCCCCGAGAGGGATATAGAAAAGATCTCAAAGGGATGGTCCATTGCCATGAACTACTCCCAGGAGCGCTTGAAACGAGTCTACGAACTCGAGTGCGACCAGCTCGAGAACGCTGTCAACGAGGGCCGTGTGGTCCTCGAGACTGTCTGTCTATTCATGCACGCCTGTATCAAGCATGGCCAATACAAGTAAGTTCTTCCCAGTCACCTCCACGCCTCGAAGATACGAGACTGATTGTAGCCTTCAAGACTGCCGCTCGAGTTCTGGCGGGTTCTCCACGCCGAGTACGGTATCGTCGTGTACCCATCGGCGTTTACAGAGGACGTCGAGGTCCAAGGACTGGGCACCGATGTGACATTTACCGAGGCTTACTATGGCCACATAAGTATGTTCTACACTAGACAGACTACCCCAGTGAGGCCTGAAGCTGACGTTTGCGTGGCAGTGATGTTCCCTACATGCTGCGGCGGGAAGCATCCCCCGCGTTGCCCGTTCGAATTTCTGCAGGAACCCCCGCCGGTTTACCAGAAATAAATAAAAAATTGCTCATGATAATGATAATGAATGCGGGGTATTGAGGCAGGGAGGATGGGATCGCTGCATTCCCTCGAGAGGATACAGAGTCTCGGCCTCGCCGTGGCGAAGAACGCTACGAGAGGACAGTTGGACTGGGACATGCCATCTGGAGATGTATGGCCAGTCGCGTGAATTACAGGTCTTTGTCGATAGTTAGAGATAGACTCTCAAAAGTCCAAGAAGATGCGAATCTCTCTTTGTGTGTATATATTTCCATAACAATGTTACTTTGCTCTCCACCTTCAACACCAAAGCCACAAACAAACACACACTCACTACTTCACGCCTCTTCTCGCTGTCCCGCAACTCCATCACGATTAGCCCTCCACACGCCCTCCTCGCCCTCAAACTCCTCACGCTTCCACACCTCGACCCCGGCCTTGCACTCCTCCAACGCCTCCTCCCCCGCACGCCACGCCGCCTGGCGGTGCGGCGAGGACACGGCGATCAGGATGCTCTCCTCGCCGATGGGCACGGTGCCCAGGCGGTGGATCATGGCGATGCCCTTGAGGCCGTGCTTGGTGCGCATGGTCTGGGCGATGGCGAGCATGGACCGCAGCGCGCGGGGGTGGTAGGATGAGTACTGGAGTTCTTTGACGGGCTTGCCGTCGAAGGAATCCCTCGTGGTGCCTGGCGGACTCTGTCAGCGGGAGGATAAGAGAGGACAACGCTCAAGTTGTATAAACTACCTGCGAAGATGACGATGGCTCCGGCTCCAGGATCACGGACTCGGTCCATGGTGTCTTGGACGTTGAGGTAGTCATGGGTAAGGGCAACATAGCAGCTGTCCTCTGCCGTTTCCCATTTCTCCGTGCTCTTCTCGGGCTTATGAGATGTAGCCATTTTAAGTGCGTGGGACAATCTGGATTCCAGTCTTGGTGCGCTTTCTAAGAGGAAGCGAGAGCCCAGTGATTCGAATGAAGTTAGGTTGTGGTGTTTTGAGGCCAGCCACTTACATACAACACTTCGTACACTAGACTTTTAAACCCGGTTTCTGACTACGGTCAAGACTGTCCTTACGACTTCGGAGAATCGGGAACAATTTGGCAGAATTTATTTCCGTACTCGCTTTGTAAATTTAGTGAAACTTGAGATCCCGTTCAGTATCACGAAATGGCGCTGGGTCCTTGCAAGGTTCATGCACAGGGCGCCGATGACGAACGTGGATGGATGACTAAGCTCCGATCGCAAGCTGCCTTGCTTTGTCTCTTGTCCTCGACATGCCACCTCGAACCCCATTCTCCCATCTCATCATTTCGAAACATCACATAGAGCGACAAGCGACGAATCACCGATCGCCACATTCTACGAGATCGTGCGAGCTGACGCCGTTATGCACGACGAATACAGTGCGCGATCCTCGGATCGCGGGAGGGACTACAACCGGAGGCCCCAGGACCAGAACTTCCAAGAGCGACAGGACGCCTACCGATCGCGGCAGGGTAATGCCACAGCCCGCGCCTCAGAAAGACACTGAATACTCGAGAAGGACCATCATGGATCATTTGAGCTTGACGGCTAACTTCCCCACGGGACGTCGAGATCAATCTAGGTCTCCGCCCCGCCAAGCCTTTCCCGACGACTCAAGGGGCAGAGACTCGCGATACCAGGGCGACGAGATGCGCCACGAGAGGGACTACGACGGCCGCCGTGACCAAGGCGACGAGAGATATTCGAAAAGGGGCGGCACCTCGCGGGGTTCGAGACATTATGCCCAGGATGAGCACGACTACGGTGGCATGTACGACGAGGGATACCAAGGCGAGGGTGATTACGGTCGCGACCGCTATGGTGACGAGAGCTATCAGCGCGAACGCTCAAGATATCGAGACGGTGATGACAGAGAATCTCGATCGCGTTCTGACAGCCGCCACAACCGGAGTGGCTCCCATAGTCCGACACGGGAAGCTGGGAAGCCTAGCGATACGGTCATCCTCGAGGGCCTGCCATTCAACGTGTCGTCGAGTGAGGTTGGTACCCTGCTGATCTGAGCGATTGCTTCAACACCGATGACGAAGCTTTTGGTCATCGACCTGGAGCCAGTTGTCCACCCGCATCTCCTCTATGCCGTTGCGCTCCCTTCAGGGAGCTTGTCCTCGGACCACGAACACTGTCGCCACGACCTGCTCGATGTACGGCCCGCTTTGATGGTTCGCAATGACTAATTGAAGAACCTGCAGCTGCGCGAAAGCCTCCTAAGACACTCCGCCGCCGCCGAGTTTCCGTCCATTGACGTCCGAGTCACCTCTTCTAGAGGTAAGTGATATTCTCCAGTGGCTCTTAACGCACGTCTAACACACGATAGGGCATTGTCGGGCGTTTGTTCAGTTTCAAGAAGTCGACCACGCTGTCATCTTCATGAAAGAGCATTATCCAAAGCTTTGTCTTGAGTTGGCGCACTCCACTGATGACGTGCCAGACGGGAAGTTTGAGGCATACATACACTATGCCCGCAACCGAGAGAGCCGAGAGGATGTAGACCCCCGAGCGGCCGGTGGCAGTAACTGGATCTGTCCGACAGTGAGTACCTGCGACTCCCATACCTATCACTCCCCTGACGGTTTGCAGTGCGACTTCTCCAACTACTCGACGAGGATCAAGTGCAAGATTTGTGGTGGCCCTCAGGGTGGTGAGTCCCTCTCCTCAACCAACCAATTCCTAGCTAACGACGTGGTGCCTAAGTTCCAAACTGGCAACAAAACCTTACTGGCGTGACTGATGCTGCCAACGTGCCATCTCAGATTCTTGTCGTTTACCCCCTGGCTCCCTTTGTCAACGAGGACATGTTTATAAACGACATCAAGCGCCTAGAGGTGGAGAAAGTAGACAATGTCAAGGACAATTCCAACGGAGCGCCAAAACTCAAGTCAACCGCACCCACTGGCGACACATCGAGATACGGCGCCCGACCTGGCTCATTGCATCGTGTGTTTTTAATGCGCGACACCAACTCGGACGAATCTTTCAAGTATGGGTTTGTCGAGTTTTGGACTCTGGAGGACGCTGCTGCTGCCGTGGCCAAGTTCCAAAAGTCACGATCCTTCATGGTTGCGGCATGCCCAGTCACAGTCTCTACCATTCACATGGGTGTTTTCGTGCCGGAGGAGCGAGAGGTGACACCCGCTATTGAACGCATGTCCTTCAACCCCCTGTTCAACCCGAGCCTCCGTGTGCGATATCGGGATCTTCACGTCTACCCCAGCCAACAAATTGTGACACCACTCCCTCCCGGCGGTGATGATGCCGCAAAATTAGCTACTGATGAGACTGGCGATGGTAAAAAGTCGAAGAAGCGGAAGGCTGAAGGAACGCCTGCTGGAGCTGCAACCAAGAAGCTCGTGCCTATGGCTGGGCAGATGGCTATGTGGCAACGCAAGAGGGGTGAGCTCCGAGGCGATGGCCGTGGTCCAAGTGACAGTGGATCGCAGAATGCTGGCGGAGATGACCAGGACCGGGCACCTGTGCGAATATCACTCTCAGGAAACGGATCCGCAACAGATGCTAAGCCTCAAGGCCCTATAAAGATATCGCTTTCTGGGGCCACGAAGTTGGGCGCCCCTCAAGACACCATCGCGAGAAAGTCTTTGACTCCCGAACCAACCGCTGGGTCTGACACTAAGTCGCAAGCACAGTCCGACTCGAACACAACAGTCTCGTACGTCGACCGAGACCGGTTGATGTGTCTGATCTGCATGCGCAAATACAAATCGGTAGACGAAGTCAATATCCACGAGAAGTCGCGGAACCACAAAAATGCCACTGAGAACGAAGAGCAAGTCAAGGCAGCCTTGCCTAGGCTGGCGGCTCGCGACAAGAGACTCCAGAAGCAGACACCGGAGAACTCAGAGGCTGCAGCCACTGCTTCGCAGTACCGAGATCGAGCCAAAGAACGGCGGCAGGTGTACAACCAACCCACCAAGCCCAAGCCTACACCTGGGCAGACGAACAAGCCCAAACAGCCCCCGAAGCAGGAAGAGAGCACTCAGCCGGCGAAGCCAGCGCAGTCCAAGGGAGCTGGCATGCTGGCCAAGATGGGGTGGTCCGCTGGTGCTGGTCTCGGCGCAAATGGTGACGGTCGCACCGAGGCCATCGCCACGAATGCCTACCAAGAGGGTGTCGGCCTGGGCGCCGAGGGCGGCAACTTGGGAGATGCGGCGCAGCTCGCGGAGCGCAAGACGAAGAACAGCTATACCGACTACTTGAATACTGTTCAAGACAAAGCTAGAGAGCGGTACAGCAAGATGGGGTAGGTGGTTTGTCGGGTTAGTCGATTAAGAGGTGAGCAGCTGGTTGCGCTCATCTTTACCTGTACTTTTATGTTACATGGGGCTCGGATGGCATTTATAGAAAGGGTTACACTCATAGAAGGAGAACCAAGGAAGCATGCAAGACTTGAGAGGGAGAGAACTTGAGACAATGTTTCGCAGGTAACAATTAAATTTAGGTGGCACATCCATCATATATATCCAACGTGCCCGATTGCCGATATGGCGGAGGGATTATGTCAAACGAGAAATTATTTCCGATGAGGGTATCGTATATACAAAGGTTTTCAGCGACGGCATCTCCTTGTCGTCGTCGTCTCGGGATGGTCATATACATACACAAATCCACGTACACCGACGTGGGAAAACACGCGCGCATCGAGCTTAAGCCGGTACACACCCGATTATAGCATCACGGCCACGGCACCGACAACCATCATGAGGGCGGCCACCATGGCGGGGGCCAGGTTGCCGGCGGCGCTGTCGTTGTTTCCGTTCCCGCTGCCTGCGGAATCGTCAGGGTGGGCCGTAACAGTGACGGTGGGACGGGTGCTCGACGAGCTCGCAGAGCTCGTAGGGTCAGCCGTGGACTTACTAGCGACGCCGGTGACGTTGGGGAAGTTGGTGTCTCCGGCCTTAAGCTCGACAATGTCACTGTCGTTGGTGTTGGTGTTGGACTCGGCGATGCCGATCTGCTTGTTGACGAGGTCGTAGACGACGTAGGCGGAGCGCAGGAATGTGTCGCCGAGCAGGGCAAAGTCGGAGTTGTCGACACCGTAGTCGGACGCGGAGGCGACGCCAAACATGCAGGCGCTGTCCCAGCCACTGAAAACCTGGCTGAGCTGGGGGTCGCTCATGATCTGGTCCTGGATGGCGGCGAAGGAGTCGACAACCATCTCGTTCAGGGGGACGCTGATGGTCTTGCCGCTGAAGGTGAAGTCGATGGAGATGCCGTCACCTTTGGAGCCGGCGTAGGCGCAGTCGACAAAAGGGACGTTAATGCTCTGGACGGTGCGGATATCGAAGGCGTTCCAGAGGTCCTGGGTCTGGGATTGCGGGAGGAGGCAAATGGTGGAGCCCGAGTCGAGGATGGCCTTGGCCTCGAAGCTCTCGACGCTGGCATCCTTGGCGCCCGAGACCTTGAACGAGTCCATCTTGACGGTGAAGGAGGTGACGTTGGTGTCGAGGGACTGGAAGTCGGGTTGGAGAGGAAGGGTGGTGAGCTCGCCGACGAACTTCTTGGTGTCGATGCCGCCGAAGAGGACGGTACCGGAGCTTGCGCTGAGGTCGTTCTACAAGTACATCGGTCAGTGGAAGTTCTCTCGCACAAGATACGACAGTCAACCGTGCAAATGTGGGAAATTGAGAGCACATGGCAAGCAGTCAGACGCTACACAGGGAGACGTACCAGGTACAAGCTAAAGGCGTTTGTGTCGATGTAGCCTTGAGACACCATGTTGTCGAGAATGGTGGGGTACTCGACGTTGGCGGCGACGTTGGCAGCAAAGCCCAAGCCCATGATACCCGTGGGGCGCACTGACTTGGTGGCGAGGCCGAGCTGCTGGTTCTTGACGGCCTTGCCGCCGATGGTGACGGTGTCATTGAAGTAGTCACCGCGGATTCGGCGCGTGTCGAGGTAGGTGATGTCGAAGCCGCCGGCGTCGACGAGCTTGTAGGTGTCGCTATCTTTAGGGTTGACTGCAGGCGGGTATTAGCATCAACGTCGCATAGACTCACTGTGAAGCCCCCCGACACATGGGGCAATGCGCCCAGTCCCAATTCAACTTACAAGTGGTCATGCAGAAGCCATTCGTGGCCTGCAGCGAGATGCTGTTGCACAGATCCGTGTCGACAGAGTTGACCCAGGTGTCGCTGCTGCCCGTGTCGAGCAGGAAGCCAATCTTCTGGCCGGGGGTGCCGATGTCGAACTCGGCATAGTAGCCTCCGCCGGTGATGTTGTTGATGGCGTCGAGGTTCAGCGTGTTGTCGCGCTTGGTGATGGTGAGGGGGAGGTCGAGCTTGTGCTTGGAGAAGTCGACGGCGAGGGTGCCGGCCGAGACGCAGGTGGCGGCGAGGGAGAGGAGCGGGAGAGAGCGCATCGTGTGATTCGGTGTGGTTTTGCTGTCGACTCGTCGAGAAGAGGTGACGACGGGATTGTCTTGTCTCGGGAAGGGAAAATGTTTCGGTTCGTCGTCGTTGTCTATGATGGCGTGGTCTAGACCCAAGATATATCCACCCCCTTGTTGAAGAAGCCGAAGAAAACAAAGACCAGAGGAACAAAGAATGCAAGAGAAAGAATAAAAATAAGAATAAGAATAGATACCCTATGCCCTATGCCCTATGCCCTATGCCCCAAAAATGCAAGATCCAGCGTCTAGATGCGGCGGGAGAAGGTTGACGAGAGCGGGAAACATGGAGATGGGCCAGGTGGGAGTCGGGACAGGGGCATGGAGGACGTTGGGTAATAATATAGTTACGGGGGGAGTGCAAGCCCGCAGCAGCCCATCGGGCGTGAGCCAATGGTAGAATGGGATCAATTAGGTGGCTTACAGTGGCTTACAGTGGCCTAGAGTAATTAGTACAGCGACGAGCAGGTACGCAGCTTGGCAGCGTCATGGCTGTGTAAGTACTGGGTACTAGTCCCGCTGGCGCTGGTCCCCATGATCCACAATCCTCCAGGTCTTTCTCGCTCTCTCTCTCATGCCTTGATCCTGGTTTCCCTCGATTCCCTGCTGCTTGGGGGGCCATCCAGCTGCTCATCAGTGGTGCAACGTATTCCCTACAACCCTACAACCCTACAACAAACCCTGCTCGGCGGCTGGCTGTCGTTCATTCACAGGTCGGTCCGGGCTCAGCCTTGACGCTGCGCCTCGATGGGCGGCTAGGGTGAGTTAGGTTACAAGACAAACAGGCATTCGTTCAGCCATCGTATTCAGCCATGCAGACATTCAGGCAGGCAGTCAGTCGGTCATTGTGAATGTATGATGTATGATTCATTCATCAATAATTCATTCCGTTCTCGGTTCGCTGCCCGCCCAGCTCAGCTTCTTGGCTCACACAGAACCGGTTTGCTGAAACTTGGCAAAGCACAGCAACCCACTCATAACACACAAAACTAATCCACAACACGATGCGACAGATGGGCTTAGGCCAAAAGAGGGCTTGCATTGGCGTCGGTCCCCGGGCGTTGGCGTCGAAGCGGTCGGCATCTAAAGTTCCGAGACGGCCAACGTGACGGAGCACGACTGCGGAGCCTCGAACCGGAGCGTCACAGCAGCACACACTCGCCCGGCGTCAGCGTCAGCGCCAGCTACACCCCGGAAAGAGTGGCAAGCATGATGCCGATTCAACCGGGTGAGACGAACGGGGACACCAAAGGGCAAAAGGGCTAAAGGGTCCATGAATGCCGACATTCCTTCAGCATTATTCCCGCATATATGCAGCTTGCGTTGAAACCCCCCAGAGCAGCCCAGACGGCGCAAATAAACTGGCAATAAATGTCATGACACCCATGACACCCATACATTTACCCATCTTAGCGACGGACTCGCGAAGCTTTCCCAGAAAAGATGTCCGCCTAAGATCCCGGACCACATGCGGTGGAAGGGCCATTTTGATTCCCACCTGGGCCTAGGCAGTGGGGAGCTGAGCTTCCGCTCAATTTCTCACCATGAAGTGGAGGGCATTACAGGGCTGAGATTAAGGGAATCCTCGGCCCAGTCCTTGTAAAGTGGCCCTTATGCTTATGCCCATGCCCTATGCTTATTAGGCCCTATTATCCAGCCCAGGGCTCATTCCATGTTCCATCGTGTCCGCCCCGTTGGTTCATCCACAAGCCCCGTCTAGTGGATCGGTCGGTTCAGCTTTTCGCCTCGCCTCGTCTCGTGTGTCTGTATCAGAGCACCCCAGAAACCCCAGAAACCTCAGAAGCCCCAGAGACGTGATGGGTCATTCATCCTCCTCCATGCTCTCTACGCTGCAACAGGGTCGCTTCTGAAGCTCCGTCATGCGCTGGACCGTCCAGCTTCGGTGCTGCTCCCCGTTCAGTGCTGGCGATAACCCGCAAGCGTGGCAAATCCAGACTCCCGAGCGGCCCGCTAGATGCAGACTGACGACACACCCAACTCGATGGAATCATGGACAAGCCTCCAGCTCCTGCGGGGCGACAACGCTCCTTGTGGCTTGGGTCCAGCGGTTAGTTAGCGCTTGGAATCTTGGAGTTGTGAGGGGAGGCTCTGTCTCGTTCCCTCTTGGTGTCAAGTGTCGAGTGTGTTCGGGCTTTGAGACGGCTCAGCCACCCGTTGTTTCGCCACGCCGCGATTGATTGACATTCACGTGTGTGAGTCGTGTGTTTTCAGTTCGTGGTTACTACCAAGGAATGCAAGCCCTAGCCAGCGAGACTTTTTTGCCATGTTCACCACAGCCACCGCCGCCTGTTGCCACCAGGTGCATCGAAAGCGAGGTACCCGTCTTACATACATCATGGGCGTCGGGTGGCGCAGAAAATTGATTGATCGGTTCTGATGCAACGCTGAGGTGCATATGCTGTGAAAGGATTACGCAAGCCTTGGTGTGGGGGGTGACATCTCATCGATCGGAACGATCCGTATGAAGACGGGGGACGCAAAATCTTTGCACGAGACGGTTTCGGATCTTTCTCAGATGCCTGACTTCATGGGACAGTTGGTGCTCTAGACCCATAATACCCATAATATCCGCGTAACAGATCGATCTATATGTCGAGGCTGCTATAACATGAGTATTTGTGAGAACTGATGAACCCTGTGTAGTAGAGTTGTTGCAGCTGGCAGATCAGGGGGAAGACAATCGTGAACTACACGTCTTGCAAACCATTACAACGAGTGTAATCCTAACCACCTGTGTCATAAGCATACTTTGTACCTTCGAGCCTGAAACTGCGATTTGGAACGCTTCCATGAAGCGAGTACGAAGCGGGAGCTCACGATGCACTCCAAAAAGGCGTGCTCAAAGCACTCATATTGTTTGACTTTGCTATTATTGGATATTGCATCTCATCAATACTAGGAAATATACTAATGTAGAAGACTTCAGAGGGGATGCTTTTATATATTTCAGTGAAGACTCCAGTTAATGGGGACCACATTTGGCTGTTGGATCATGACACTCGAATAACCCTCGTTTTCGAACCTTGGCAGCAGATAATGTTAAAGTACTTACAAACCTATACGATTGAAGCAAACAAAATTGGATATAGCTCAAATAAACTACCTGGGCGAAACGTACAGTTACATTGACGAAAGTCTCCCCTCGTAGAGATGGCGTTGCTTTTGCTCGACCGCGTATAGCAACGAAACCTAAATGCTGTATGCAACCGATGCCCTCCTTCCAGTCATCCTCGTGCGCAATGGGTATAGCTCATTCTGAATCTCTCGACCGGGTTGCCGGTAATAATTTCTGCCAATTTGTCCCTCGTGCCTGCTTGCTTGTAATCGTTGTCCTCGCCCCGTCGTTTCGTTGTTGATTGAGGTCTTCACCATGACGACCCCATCATTCATGGCGTATAGTGGTGTATAGTCCATTGCTTCCTTGCCGTATCCATGTCAAGTTTTGACTTCGCTCTCAGCTGAATCAAGAAAGTCTCTTTTGCATCAAGTCCGCCAGCTCATCCAACAGGTCAACCGTCTCGGCAGGGCTCGCAATCCACGCCGTCGTCCCCACGCTGCGCGCCTTGAAGTCGTTGGATCCGGCACTAAGGAACTGGTCGCCCACGTGTAAAGTGTTCTCGCCGCGGATCGTGCCGTTGCCGCTCTTGCTGCCGAACCACTGCTGACAGACTGTCACGCCCCAGCTTTTATCACCAATGTCGACGAAGACATCGCGGCCACCATTGAAGGCGCAGAACGGCACGCAGCGGGTCGGTACAGAAGGCGGTGACCTGCTGGCGGGGCGGTCGTGGGAGGAGCCTAGGTGGCTCAGCTCCAAGATGCGTTGGGCCACGAGGACAGTCTCCTCGAGGCTCTCGCGGGCGATGCGCACATCGGGTGACTTCGGGATAATGCCAACGGCGCGGTCCTTGCGAACGATCAGGGCAGGGAGGTTCATGGTTTTGATGCAGTCACGAAGGGCGGACTCGGCTACGTCGAGCAGATTCTCGATGTCCTGCTCAGACCAGGACGCCATCTCCGGTGTCAACCAGTTGTTGCGGGGGACGGGCGCTAGTCGGTGAGGCGACGAAGCACAGAACTCAAACAGGTAGTTCGACTCGCCGCCCATGATGACAATGTTTTGCTTCTGGATGGCGTCCAGATCCGGGGAATCTGCGATGGCGTCCAGCAGGCCGTGGAGGCGCTCATAGTAGCGGTCAGCCGTGGTGTAGCCGGCGGCTGTGACGATGCCAATTTTAATGTTCTTTTGGAGGAGGTCTACGAGTTCTTAGCTTGTATCGTTCTTGAAAGGATGCGGAAAGCCTTACCAAGGAGGCGGGGGATAACGGGGCTCGTGGGGAGCAGACTCTCTCCATCATCATACAACGTCACATCACCATCAAAGGTAGCTAGCTGCAGCGCTCCGTTGGTAACGGCCATGGTCTGTGCCGAGTTGAGAATTTGTCGAACATCGTTAAACGACGGGGCAACGAATCTCCTCGACGAGATGTATCGTTTTCTGTCCTGGTACTTGAAGGCGGCCTCGAGGGGGAGTCTGGTGAAGAAGGGGCCTGCGGTAGGCACCAGCATCCTCAGCTTAGAGGGCAAGTTGTTGTCACCGCTCTGGCGAGCGACTAGGCAGAGATAAATTAGTCAATTGCTGGGTGAAAACATGTTCCGGAGGTTCACGTACTGTGGTCGTCAATCATGAGCTCGACATCACGCATAATCTCGGCATAGCGGCGGTGAGCCTCCTCGGCCATCTGGGTGACGCTGGGTCCATCTCCAAAGACACCAGTTGGTTGGGAGTAGAGGACGAAAGGTACGGCCAAGAGACCCTTGACCCATTCTGCATTTCAATGTCAGCGGAGCGATTCTGTGGTGGTCACGAGGGCGATAGCTGAAGGTGAGGTTGAAGTGCTGATAACGGAGTGGGGCAAGGGAGAGAGGCCATGATGAGCGCCCGGGATGCGAGATCGATCGACAGAATGGCGGGAGGAAGGCATCCTACCGATAAATTGGTCCCGACGGTGCGTCTTGAGGGCATCTGGAGGTCATTGTGAGTCAGTCATTTTGGCAGAGAAAGATGTTAGCGCTCGGGAGGCAGCAGGGCAGCTTACACTCGACACGATAACGGGTCGTCATGATGGCACTTGTTTTGGAGCACAGCTAGGCGGTAGATGGAGAGGGGAACGGGACTTGAAGGTTTGGTTCTGAAGTTTAAGCCGGGGAAATATTGTGAGAGAGCAGTGAAAGGAAGAGAGAGAGAAGGGAGGAAGTTGAGACAAGGTCCAGTGACTCTGCTGAGGGGAACTGAAGCCAAAGCCCAAAGATGTCCGGGTGACATGCGGGAGCCGCCGTGGGGCGGGGAACGCCGATGGAGCTCTCCAATTGCCCCAAGGCGGCGGCGATGCGGGCTGCTATTGGCCGCGACTCCAACCGAACCCCTGATATTCGCCCTGCATTGGTTGCATTGGTGGATAAAGACTCGTCATAAACGGTGATGCAAAATCCACATGAGGCTGTTGGGTGCGTTGAGTGGCCTTTTCAACGACTTACACTGTGGCCAGAGGAGTCATGATTCCAGGAGTTAGCTGTAGAGCGAGGCGGGCCCGGCCGTCTTGCGAGATTCATACCAGTCCCAGATCCACAAACCGAGTGCTAGCTCCCCCAGTTCCATAAGGCACTGTCTATCTGGAAGATAGCCATCCATTACCTAAGTGTCAAGCACAGAATGCGGTCTGGATGTTCTGTATCTGCCTCCTTTCGTAGATAAACCTTGGCCTTACCCAACAGGAACGCAGCAGCGAAGCCATGTTTTGCCGCTATCCCCTTTCCTGTCTCTCCCCCAGACCGCAAGTTGAAAGACAAAGGTGGCTACTTGTGGTTTCCACCGACCACCGTTTGTAGCGCACCCCAACCCATTCGACATGGGCTCATGCACCCGGTATCTGCAATTGTGATTTGACCCCAAGCAGTTTGCCGTAAGCTCCTTCATGCTGTGGCCAGCCGGTTTGTGTCACGAGTGTCTTGGGCCATTCATGCGTGAGTGTTTGCGGACCAAAAAATACAAAAGAAAAATGCCACAAAACATTGACCGTACTGAAATCCAACAATTGATGCCTCCGTTTCTTGTTCCAGTGCCTGCCCCAACGAAGGCGTGTTATGCAAACCATGCGTTGTTACTTGTCGTGGTGCATGGAATGTTGATAAATTCAACCAAGCTACATCCCACTAAGGGAAAACATTCCGCCGGCCCCGAGCCCACTTCTGACGCGCGCTGCGACAAGAGCTACTGGTGCTTGACAGCGAAGCCCAACCGTCACCTTGTTGCTCTCTATCCCGACCGTCCGACTTGCTAAAGCGAAGATCCAGCTGGATGTAGGCTACGACCATGTACTGACCTGTCACCTGCCTGCGATCCCACCCGATCTCCCCACCCTTACGACAGAGAATCTCAAAAGCGGAGGGCGCTGCAAGGTCGGTCTGGCGAACACCCAGTACCGGCTTGTGTGGTGCCGAATCGCCAACGGTCGCAACAATGGCGCCTATGCTGTCACCCAGGCAGGCGGAAGAGCTGTGCGTACAGGCCCTCTTGGAGGGCAAGATTTCGTATGCCAGGGAGAGATGTTAACATGCTGCCCGCAGTCACAAATCCATCATCGCATATCTCTTGGCCAACAACCTCCCCAATGCCGCCGCCGCACTCCGGGCTGAGATCAACCTCGGCGAGGACGTCTTCGACGCAGCCACCGCGAAGAAATACGAGACATTGCTAGAGAAGAAATGGACGAGCATTGTGCGGCTACAGAAAAAGGCACGTTGGCGGGTTTCGCGACAGCTTCGCTTCGTCGTTTCCGCTTGCCCCGCTCCCACACCACTCCCGCACCGCTCTCGCACACCGACATCTAACAATCTCCACAGATCATGGATCTCGAAAGCCGGAACGAGTCCTTGCAAACCGAACTCGACAGCGCGACGCCCAGCTCCCTCTCAAAACGAAACGACCCCGCATCCTGGCTACCCAAGGCCCCTCCCCGCCATGTCCTGGAATCTCACCGAGAGACCATCAACTGCGTCGCATTCCATCCCATCTTCTCCTCGATCGCCTCTGGGTCCGACGACTACACAATCAAAATCTGGGACTGGGAATTGGGAGAGCTGGAAAGGACGATCAAGGGCCATACAAGGGCTGTGCTGGACGTTGACTACGGTGGTCCCCGCGGCGGTTATCTACTGGCGTCCTGCAGCTCAGATCTGACCATCAAGCTGTGGGATCCAGCCGACGATTACAAGAACATCCGGACTCTGCCAGGCCACGACCATAGCGTCAGCGCTATTCGCTTCATTCCTTCGGGCGCTGCGGGCGCACCGTCTTCCGGAACCTTGCTCGTTAGCGCGAGTCGAGACAAGACACTCAGGATATGGGATGTTACCACTGGGTACTGCGTGAAGACAATCAATGGCCATGCTGGCTGGGTCCGAGATGTGTGTCCATCTGTTGATGGGCGCTATCTTGTCTCTACCGGTGATGACATGTCTGTTCGACTCTGGGACGTCTCCATCCCAGAGCCGGAGGCCAAACAGATCATGTTCGGCCATGAGCACGTCAACGAATGCTGCACAATTGCTCCGCCCTCGACATACAAATACTTGGCCCCGCTGGCCGGAATGAAGAAGCCTCCACCTGCGAGCAGCACGGCAGAATTCATAGCCTCGGGGTCTCGAGATAAGACGATACGAATTTGGGACGCTCGCGGAACGTGTCTCCTAACGTTAATTGGCCACGACAACTGGGTGCGGTCAATCCTATTTCACCCCAGTGGCAAGTATCTCCTTTCGGTGTCAGACGACAAGACGTTGAGGTGCTGGGATCTTAGCCAAGATGGCAAATGTGTCAAGGTGCTTGCGGACGTCCATGAGCGGTTCATCACTTGCTTAAGATGGGCACCCGGTATTGTCAAGAGTAGCGGTCCCGTTGAGCCGGAGAATGGAGAAGTTGGGACCCCAACAAAGCGGAATGGTATCGAGAGGGCTGCCCCTGAGGTGCAGATTCGGTGCATCATCGCCACGGGAGGTGTAGACCAGAAGCTGAGAATCTTCGCGAACTGAGGTTGAGGAATTCTTTGGAGAATAAAACAGCAAATATTGAAAGGCGCAGCGGATTCGCTAGCAGATGAGCAAAACGACGGAGGTCTAAGGAGGAGGAGCATCGGTCGGCACATACCACACTCCGGTCCGGCGCAAAGCGACATGGCGAAGCAAACGTACCGTCACTCTTCCCGGAAGAGTGCATGCTGGGCCCGGAGAGACGATAGCCAAGGGTCGCGTCGCGGTTCGGACACCGCAGCTGGAACGAGGCGCTCCCTGGGCAAGGCCCCTCTCCGCCTCCGGGACGGAGGATTGGTTGTCTTTAGCGATTGCAATAGACCTGGGAGATGATGATGATTACTCTTGAGTTTACCGAAGCGGGTGGTACTGAATAGAATGAGTCCATGTCATGTACGAGCTGTCGTGAAGGAACCAAAACGGACCCCAATGTGATCGCCGGGGAATTGACTGTAGATAAAATATTGCCGCACATACACTAAGCATCCAATTTTTGCATTATACCCGATCTCGTCCAGTTTTTGTGTCCCCTCTATACTTGTGAAGCCACGTGCTGTTGCGTAAGACCAAGTTGTTAAGAGACGCAACGAAAATGGGGAGAGTGTGGCAGATGGATTGCCAGTGCCCTGGGTGAACAGTGAATGCACACCGTGATACCAGGAAAGGCCTGACCTTCGAGTCAGAGCAAGAATAAGTCGATTCCTGCTGTCGCCCCAAAGCCTACTTCAACCTTCAATTTAATACCTAACACCCCAACCCACCCGGCCGCATTTGACTTGCTTCCTCGCCGATAGCCAATTCCGTAAGGATGACTCCCTTTGTTTCAGTGAGGTGTGGTGCATTCATTGCCTTACTACGTGCCTCTCAACACTTCCGCCATCATCATCTTCGGGTTGCGCCTGTAAGCCAGACCCCTGCATTTATGTATCGCCACGAATTAACTCCTCAATCTCCAAGGTAACGCTCATTTCCAGTTGTCGAAGAAAGCTGCGAGCGGTGCAAGGCTATGTCGACGTGGATAATGGTCTTCTTTCGGTCCGTAAGTCCCCCATTGTGAGCCTTGAGGAAGGCAAAGTGGTAAAACGCGAGGTATACTGGACAATTATGTCCTGGTTTCTCTGTACCTCCAATTGGGAAAATATTATAGACGTATGGGTACCTGATGACGGTTCAGCGAGCATTTGAAGTGCACACCCAAGTCTCAACCTATGGAACTATTGGGGAAATGCTTTGTCAAATATTACTGATTTTGGGAGGATGACTTTGTCTGGGAAGTGAAACCATGAGCCGTGGAATTCAGATCTGGGAAACATAACCACAGGACTAACTGATTTGTGCGCACTAGCTTTCCATAAAACTTTTTACCCTAGATAACAATAAGGGGCAGGCTAAGCTATTGCATCAACACTCCGACAGTCTCAATCTCCAGAAACTCTCTCTTCTCATCCTACTCGAGATGCATTCCACATCTACTGCATTGTTGCAGAACCAGGTACATACGACCATAGCTCTTAGAAAATACGGGATCCCGTCCGCTCTCCCTTAGTCAAGCTGAGAAGCGGCGAATTAGTACTCGGGTCGGTGACGACCGGGGAATCCTCGCTGTTGTATGTTTTTCTTTTGCCTCTTCTTTTTCTTTTTGTCTAATTCCGTGCTGGGTAGTAGGGTTGTGTGGGATGCCAGACGCTGGTGGTGACAATGGCTAGAGTGGGGTTGAGATTGATTGTGAAGTTTGATGTCAGAACATTTTGTTGAGTCGCTAAAAATTACCCGCTCAGTTGAGGGTCGTATAACAAATGGCAGGACAGGCGAGGTAGTGATGGATGACGATATGCGGTTTTTGTTCTACGTGACTCCTATCCTCCATTTCTTGCGAGACTCATTCTGTTGTAGATAGTCGAACATTTGCATGCCATTGTCAAAGGTATTGGAGGGTCATCGATATATATTATATCTCTTGTCACCCATAATGTGTTATTTACATACATAGTATCGTTTGGTTCATAATTGGGTAGCTTATTTCAATGATGTTGTCATCCCGCTCATGATTTGCAGCTACGTCATGAGTCCCAGTATCTCCTGTGCTGGGCTACATGCCCTTGATCCAAGCAACACAGAGAATGCCCGAGAGAAATCTTTGCTCCTTGGCTGCACTAGCAGGATCGTGTGATCAATTATCTCCCTCGTTGTACCCTATTTAAGCTCTTGTCCCCCCGACAAATAGTCTATGAAGCCCCATGATAAACCTGAATGAGCATTGTGACTACTTTTTCATGGAGAAGGCAAGTGATCGCTTTTAGTCAAGCCTCTCGGGGCGCCATGACACTCAAGACAACGGACAATGCGACCCAGGCAATAACGGACCGTATCGTGACTACCCTTGTGGTCCGTCATTCCCTGGAAACAGGATCTGCGGAAGAACCCAGTTCGGGCTGTGAGCAATAAGTATGGATATTGTGGTAATGGCAAAGAATCTTGTGAGACTTGAGTTTCTTACTTCCCTCCAAGATGTCGTAGCCACACTGGAACGATTTGTAGATCTCTTTTTGCTAACAAAGGGCTCAGACAACAGGCAGCCAGGAAACCGCCACTCAGGTGATTGTTTATGAATTCCACTACAAGGCTCAAGGCACCAGTAACCGTGGCTGACTATAAATGCACGACATATGGGGCTAGATCGATGATTGTGTTTTGTGGTTGTTAGAAATGGTTATTGATTGCCAATGGCTCACTGGAAATCCATCCACATCCAACGTCGCTATGCTGTACCTCGGGCAATACCATCGTTGCAATGAACCATAGGTATTTCCTACCTCTACGCATTTCTAGCCTTCTTCTGACCGTGACGATTCCACAAGCCCAGAATGGCAACTAAAACCCAACAAAGGCCAGCGAGAGCGCAGGGTATTGTGGCACCACGTCGATAAAATGGGGCATCATCAGCACGGAAAATTTGCCCTGCAGGTATACCGGCAAGGTTGGACGCCATGATGATGAAACTAGAAGTTGTGTTACAAGAAGTGCCCAGATATTAGGCCATTCCGGCAGTGCCAGAATCAGGCTTGGAAGAAAGACTCACGCTGAGAAAATGCTTCTGTCTTGGACGCTGGTGTATGTGCTTGCCATCCAACCCACATTCAACGCACTTGTATCTTCGTTAGCTTTGCTCTTTTCTGGACTCTGTTGATACAGAGGGAGGGCACCAAGAGCCTCCACCAAACCCTTCCCGGCTCACACTTACTGAACAGCATAATATGGGACGCCAGCCAATACCAAAGCCGCATATCTGGACCATTTCGAGTATTGATCCAAGTTTACCATGCATGAATACACAATGACATTCCAAGTTGCCGCAAACAGTGTGAAAGGTCCTGTGTGTCCAACCCGATCACTGCATACTGTTAACAAGTCACTTGGCAAATTTAGCCGATCAAAAGAGAACATACGCAAGGTAGGCGAGGGTAAAGTTAAAAAACATGGCGCCATAGGCCGAGACTGAGTACATGGCATTGGCATTAGTAGTGCTGAAACCTGAAGATTTGAGCATCCGTGGGCCGTAGGTGCTGAGACTGTGGACGGCGCAGACTGAGCTCATTGTGATGAGGACGTGAAGCCACTTCTTTGGCTTCTTCATGAATTCGAGGATGTCTTGTCCACCAAGGCGAGCTTTGCTCTCGTTCATTTTAGACGGGTCGTCCAGAATGACGCGATTCACCAGGATTAGCGATTCTTTCTCGGTAAAGTAACTCCATCGACCGAAACAGATGAGTGGTTTCCCGTCGCCCACGGAGGGTGGGATAAATAGGATGAAAACAATGCCGATCACAATGGTGATGAAGCCATCCACTATTCACATTAGTACAGTTGACATCAAACAAATCACCAATAAGAGGGCAGGGTATCGAACCGAGAAATATCCATCGCCAGCCTTCTAACCCGAGATGACCATCAAGTTTAAGAAGACCAGCCCCAAGCAGTGAAGATGTGGCCGTCGCGAAGTTCTGGCCCAGATAAAACGTGGTAACCCTTACACGGCTCTCGTTCCCTTTATACCATGAGCCCATTAAGTACAGGCAGCCTGCGTGGATTGGTTAAAAACATGTCGAACTCCGTACGCGGTGCTTCAAGTGGTCAAAGTTCATGTCATACCCGGGATAAATCCAGCTTCCATACAGCCAAGAAGCAGTCTGGTAGCCAGGTACGCGGGATAGTTGCGGATGAAGGCTTGGAAAGTAGCCACCAGACCCCAGGCGATAATTTGGCAAGACAGCCAAACACGAGGTCCAACCTGGATATACTCGTCAGAGGGAGATTGATAGGTGTAGACTTGGGAGGGGAGACGCACGCGCATGAGTAGGACATTAGACGGAATTTCGAGGACGAAGATGTCGAGGGATAAAAGCTGGTTTCCCACGTTGATTTCATTGGTGGTGATTCCCAGATCCTCAGTGATGCTGGAAGTCAAGGCGCTGCCAATGTTGGCCCGGTCGAGTTGGAGTGCAAAGAAACCTAATATGAGTAGTGGCATCAGAATGAAGTCGATCCTATTGAGGAAAACTTCGGTTAGTGTCAAGCACACAAATAATGTTTCGACGCTGAAACTGAGAGTTCTTCAACAAACTTTCGTCTGGCTTTGTTCTCCTCCGCGACGGACCAGTCCACACTGATACCTTCGACAGCCATGTCGCCATCGGAGGGGTTGACAGAGTCAATTGGGTCTTTGACGTCGTGTTCGATGTCTCGAAGAGCCATTGCGGATTAGCAGTTGGTGAGCTATACTGTATATTTATGATCGGTGGATCTCCGATGTGTGGTTGATCAAAAATCGAATGATGGGGGTTGATCCCATAGATATCTTGAATTGCATCGTCGAAGGCGTCATCTACACATTGCTGAACGGGGATGATTATGCGGATCGCACCCTTTTCTCCCCGAGTTGTGTAGTACACCATCCGCAGCGTATCGCTTATCTGGTGCAGTTTCCGCACGCCATCAGACCTAGTCTCAGGACCCATGATCCGCCACCCAGATAACCGCTTTTGGGGAGACCGAGCTAAGAAAATGGCCTCTGTAAGCGATTAAAGAGGGTTCGATTGTGGTTGCAGCTATCATATCAAAACTAGTTCAGGGTATAGAATTAACACTGGTGCGAAGGCATAATGGCCTGTCTGCGATGCTGTCAAGCGTTGCCGTCTAATCGTCATTCGCGAAGTCATATCACGAAATTATCCGGATCGCAACAATTTAGGTCTAGATTTGGCGACCTCAATGGTTCAGATTGTTAAAATTGCAATTATCAAGGCCGTTTTCCTTTCATTTTATAAATGATGTAACGCTACTTGTATGGCCAGACAAACGGTAACCAATTTGCTGACGTTCTCGACTTCTCGTCGCACTACTCCTTCGTAATAGAAAGAAAGATGTAGATAAATACCTTTTAATGTACAAATTTCTCATTTTATGTACCCAAAATACCTAAACGATAAAAAAGATTGTGATTTATCTTATTGAGATGGTTTTATAGCGTCGAGGTCATTTAGAGACACCAAGAAATCGCCTGCGACCGGCTTGAAAAGCAGACATGCTATAACCACTTTGACAACGCACGAATCCACAGCAAAGCCAGAAATGCTCAGATATTTAACAATTGGTACAACTCGTGTATATATTTACACAGATTCCAACAATTCCATATAACTGTGTGCTATTACAGCTCACTTTGTGCGACGAGATTTGGCACGACCACATCTTTCGCTTTGCCTGGTTCTTGCTCCAAGACACGCTCAGTGGAAACAAGATGGTGACCGCGAGCATCAAACGCCTCGGCGTAGATGAGCAGGGGCTGCGATCTTGATGAAAACGATTGGTCCTTTACAGTGAAGGAGGTTTCGAAGCCAGCGCGCTTAGCTTCTCCTAAGAGGCGAGGCTTACAGAACCACTTGAGAGGGGATACACACGATGCCGGCACGGCATAGAATTGCCATTTGGTCGTCTCAGTGTCTCCGTTCCACGAAACGTAAATTGTAGTCAGGCCACTGGCGTCCACTAGGGAAACAATTGAGGGGGTTTCTTTCGGGAATCCGTTCCATGGAAAGCGGAAGCCGCGATAGCTTTGAACACCTTCGCCGATCTCGCCAGAATCGAGATACGCGTGGAAGATGGCCTCTCCATCGCTTGCCCGATACTCGGTCACCGCTCCACCCTGACCCCAGTTAACAAAGATATTGTCATTGGGCAAAGTCTGCACATTCCCCTGAGAGGGAGCCAGAAGCTTGTCTGGTGATGCAAGCGACAGTTCGATCGAGGCGGTCCAGTTGGATGTATCAAGGCGAATGACCTTGGCCCGTGACTTGGAATGGACAATCTCAACTCCGCCGCCACGATGGCCGTTTGCTCGCGCTGCATTGTCAAATAGCGAGACAAACTCGACGTCTCCGCCGCTCGATGACTTCTTCGCAAACCTTGCATCATGCTGGAATCCGAAAGTCAGATCCTCAGGGTAGGTGAAGCTGGAATCCTGACCCCCAAGCTTCGACATGATCTGGCCTGTCTTGCCGTTGACCTTGTACAGGGCAGAAGCGTGGTGTGCAGAGATGAGGTAGTTCCCTTGGCTGTCTTTGTCCACGCTGTTGATGTGAAAGTAAAGTAATCCCAGGCTGAGGTGGAGTTCTGGCCATCACCAGCGTGGCCTAGGGCTAACGAAACAGCGCTGTCTGCCCAAGAGTGTTAGCTATATCAAGAAACGCGAAAAGAGCAGAACCTACGAGAAGGCGAGACGTGTTGTAGACTGCTCCATTCGAACAGTAGTTTTCCCGTCTCCAGGTCGATTTCTGTTGACTTGATCAGCACGAACTGTTATCCAAACCTTCGACCCGCTGGAGCCCGCTCTCACCTTGGAAGATGGCATCCACAATCCAGGTTGCGCCCTGAACACCACCGTACGGAGACAGGTCGATTTGAGTGGGTTGGTAGACCTCAACCAGGGCGGATCCAGAATCCAGAATATTGAACTCGTGGATCGAGATGATCTTGTGGTTCCCACCGTGGAGATCGCGAATGTTCTCGTAGTTTTGGTTCAGAATAGTTGGGTGCCCGAAACCGTGGCCATGGAAACTGTCCAAACTGCCCTGAAAGGCAGAGATGACGGGCTGTCCTTTCCAGGTCGATACCTGCATATTGCCAACCCAACCCGTGAGGAAGCCCATGCTAGACCATACCAGGTCGCCATCATTGCGGAAGATGTAGCCGGCCGGTTGTTCGGGGCCGTCAAAGCCGTTTCCCTTGGTGAAGCCACTGTAGGGACACACAAAAATGTATCCAGCCCCAACATCTTCTGTCGCTGGAATTGTAATGTTCAGACGCGGTGGTGACAAGTCGGGTCTAGATTTGTATTGCTCATCTGCAACCGCTCCGAGAGCCAGGAAGCCCAAATGGTAAGTGATTGAAGATGGTGCATTTGACTTGAACACGAACAACAGTTCAGTAGATTTGTTGATTGGGTAGAAGGATGAACGAACAGCAAAAGACAAAACACGGCACGCAATTTGCTTAAATAAAGAAGCAGCCAACAGCCGATAGTTTTACCCACGAGGGAAATCTAAAACTGGCTGGCCAGCAACAGACAGACGAGTCAATACCGCAACTCATGGAAATTACCCCGATTCCAGGGCTAATATTGGTAAGAAAAGCGCCACAATCCAGCGGAACTCCCATCAGACGAGGGTGCAGAGTCCACATGCTGCAGTGCATACTCCGAAGACCTGTGGTGCGGCTCCCGCTCGGTGCGGATGCGGCACTCCACGATCCGCATGCGCCCTTCAGGTTATCAATATGGGGCATTGATCCATTGCGCTCGTTTCACGAGCTGAATCGTGCATATTCCGCTTAATACGACTGATCGGGTTTCCAGTAGTGTGGTATTTCCAGTCTACTCAACAAAATGCACTAGATTCCAAGTACATTGTTCATCGCCATCCACCGTCCTTCCCAAGTATCCCCTGCCTCATCGTGTCTGTTTGACTCGACAACACAATCATGGCCTCTAATCCTACCTCCAAACTCTCAGAACAGTCTCTAACCTACGTTATTTCCTTCTGTGCATTCTTGGTATCAGTTGGCATCAACTTTACCCGCGTCCCGTGAGTCTTCCCGCGGTTTGAGGAGGAGAACAGTGAGCATAACATTGAACAGTATCATCTATTCATTCCGGTTAATCATTTGCGATGAATACTATCACCATCACCCGCCATACACCGGGGAAGGGGACATGTACAATATTAGTGAGATCGAAGCCTCGACTGCCAAAGCCGTGTCTGTCCTGGGTGCTACAGTCACAATTAATGGTAAGGCTGAAAACACCTTTGCCCTTCGTTCACGGCTGATCTATGTAGGCGTTTTAAACCTGCTCTTTGCCAATTGGAGCATGAAAACATTCGGCCTCAAATCAGTCTAGGTTCAACAATTGGTAGGCCCCACCATCCGTCTTGGTTGCCAGTTGTTCGGAGGTTCGTAATTATCTCATCTCTACTACCCCTTGTATCCCATACGCGGTGAATATTGACCCTAGGTGCAGTCAGAGTCGGCGGTGGCACAGGCATAATGCTTGTCCAGGCCTCACAGCTCTTGGGTGTGGTGGGAGGCTCAACCGGCTATGTGTAAGTGTCCTGCAGCTGGTGTGATGGTTCCAGGAGCCGACGGGTATCCGAAGTTTGGTCTTGACGACTTTTATGTCGCGCGTGGTTTCCTCGTCGCAACAGACAATGGCATTTGGCCGCCTTCATGGGGCCATCATGTTCGGAACTGCCGTGGCATATCTTGGTAGGTCCTTTGTATTCTAATCATGTCACTCGAGCCGTATGCTGATCTTCGTGAAGCTGGAGGCATTGTCAGTGACTATTCAGGCATAGGTGCAGCTTTTATAAGTGCCTGTGCCGTGATGCTGGGCTCTATTCTATACGTCATCGTTGCCCTGCCAAAGCTTCCACTCATTACCAACGAATCGAGCGCGGAATCGGGGAGCATCCTCGCCAAGATCACCAAACCTTTTCGGTCTTTGCTTAAAACAAACGTTGGCAACTCCGATACTCAGACTTACCAACGTCCACTTCTTGTCTTGGGTGTTTTTTGCGGCGTGGTAAGTATTGTTAGAGTCATGATTGTTTTATGGTCAACCGAGCTAACTCAATGTCATTCTAGCTAGCCACAGGGTTTATACCCATCTTGCTACAAATGTATTCCACCAATATGTTCGGATTTACATCACAGGAAGTAGGCATTCATACGAATTGCAATCAGTAATAAGGCTAAATATGTGACAGAATGGTTATTTGATGGCCCTAACATTCGGTGTGCGAAGCATCTTCCTCACTCTGGGCTTCCCCGTCATTATTGACGCTGGCCGACGCTGGTTTTCGCCAAAACCAAGAGCACAGCGAAGTGATGGTGCGATAGTCAAACCTAACGAAGAAGATGAATCAACACCATTGCTAGAGTCTGCAAACTCTCCACTGAAAAAGCCTGCAAAGACTCAGTTCGATCTCTGGTTCCTGACGGCGAGTTTCTTCGCCGATGCATTCTTGACAGCCGGTTCAGCATACTGCCAGAAAGGATGGCACTTATACATAGGCATGTTCCTTCCCCTAACTGGTATCCAATCGGCGCCAAACACTGACCGTTTCACCTATATAGCGGCTGCATTGCTGCCCTTGGCTTCAGGGTCTGCCCCGGCCGCGAAAGGTGTTGTGGTTTCACTTTGTGAACATGAAGAACGAACAGATGCATTGGCAGGAATCGCCATGGTCGAGATGCTGGCCACTGTACTACACAAGTAAGATGTTCCGCAGATGTTTGTCAAATGTCTCATTAACATTTGTTTCTTAGTGACCATTTTCGGCTTCATTTTCTCGGCCCTCGCGGCTGCAGAACGATCTAACCTGGTGTTTTTTTGTAAACGGGGGACTTGCCTTGGTGGCTGCTTTTGTCACATTGCTGGTCAAGTCTCCCCAGCAGCGAGTTTCGCCCGCTCAAGGAGACGATGGAGAAGAGATAAAAGAAGACGACTAAGAAAATGATGGGGGCGTTCAGTAAATGTCAGCAGTGGCCTTCATCCGCAGCTTTACTAGAGTCTAGATCCAGGGTAGACTGTTCGTGGGAAAGTAGACAGAAAGGTTGTAGATTTCATAAGAATTAAAGAAAGAACAATATGTGGCATAGTGTATCGTATGATTAAAGTCTGGAGAGATGAACTACGTTCTATGATATTTGCTCGGCGCTTCATTGTGAACACGATGTGTTCCGAGGGACTGGATCTATCCGACTTGTCGGGTGCCATAGCCCGTAGCCGATGCGCTAGAGGCCGTATCACCCCCGCATTTAGGGACTCCACTTGCGTCCCAGCACTGATAAGCCTCCGAATTCCTCCTAATAGACAGACATTCTTGTTCTGATTAACAAGTAGTGATCCTCCACGACGGCTTCGTCATCTGCACTAGGGCAATAGGCCGACCGAAGGTGCGTCCTGAGGCCCGCCGTCGGGTTGTCCAGGCCTGTGAGCCCTGTAAGTCGTCAAAGCGACGCTGTGATGCCCGGAAGCCTTGTGGAAGATGCATCACGTTTAACCGCCCTGGCCAATGCTGGTTCAAGGGCTCAAATGATGGCCATGAGTCCACACCGGGAAGGCCACTGTCAGATACTCCCCACGACGACGCCAATGCCTTGCAATCGCCCTTTAATAGCACTTCCTCTCTTCTATTTCCTGGCTCGGGAGCCAACGACGACGACGGTACAGCCTTGGATCAATTGGAAGTGGCCTATGCTCCTGCATCAAGCCGAATGTTGAGATCGGAGCAAGGCGAAATGTGTTAGTTTGGGTGTCCTCGAAACGAGAACTGCTTGTTAACATTGAAATCAAGTGTATATCGGTCCATCAGCCTCTCTTTCGTTTTTACAGCTTCTGCGCAACACCTTCGCCCGTCACGCCGGCGCGTCTCAAAGTGAACAAGACGGCAGAAGCGAGACTATGTATGGAGCTGAGTCGACACCGCGTGCCAACCAAAATCATACGGATTTGACAAACATGCAACAATTGACCGAATATGTTCATAATTACTTTGGTGCTGTATATATATTCTAACCTGTCTCAATACTGTTCCTTGGTTACCACATCTGCGATGAAGCCTTGCCCGTCATTTCCGCCTCTCTGACAACGGCCTAGACGAGTGGTATCCTCAACCTTTTTACCAAGGCTGAGGTTCTTCAAAGTGTGCAATATCTAGCAAATCCAGGCTCCCCAGAGCTACGCCAGCGCGCACCCGCTATCTATCTTATTATTGCTATTGGCGCCCAATGTGGAGCACGCAATGAACTAGACAGTCGCTACGCCGCTGCGTACTTCCATGCTGCATACAGAGCAATACCAGATCTGCTCTTAGTCCCCAGCATCAATTCCACGACTGTGTCGCTCTTGATGTCCTTCTACATGCTTGCTGCTTACCGGAGAAACGCAGCATATATGTACATTGGTGTGGCAGCTAGAGCGGCCCATTCGCTTGGGCTTCACCACCAGTCCTCTTATGACACTGAAGATAGAGAAGCCTCGAGACGGTATTAAGCCTCTAAACCACCACCCTGTCATCACTTACTGAAACAACTTATAGGCTATCGTTGTGGAAGAGCATTTATGTTCTGGATCTTATGGTCTGCTCCATCCTTGGGAGACCGCCGGCGGTTGCCATTACAGAACCCAGCGATCAAGAGGTTGTGGCCAGGCTGGACGTCCCCCTTGACACATGTTCCGTCGCTTTCGAGGCAGCATTCAGAGCAGCAAAGATCATCGGGGAGACACTAAATAAGATGTATCTTGAGAAGGCAGCTGGCACTCTCAATGCTCATCATTTTCTAAAGCGCCTCACGGACTGGAGGCTCTCATTGCCGGCAGAACTGCGCCGCACAGTCGACATCCCCATTCAACCTTTGTCCGAGCAGTCGGACCGCGAGATTGCCATCGCAAGCATGAATGTGGCGTGTTTTTATTACTATGCCGTCATGCTAGTCTCGCGGCCATTCTTAGTGTCCAACTCCAATTCTGAGCTGAGGAATCAGAGCGGTGGTCCGGTGGTAGGAAAGTCGTCAGCAAATGACGAACTACAATCCACAGGTCTTGACCAGCTGTCTAGAGTCTGTGTCGACTCAGCTGTGTACATGATTGAGGCGGTTTATGATACCAGCCAAACTGGCGCTCTGCTATCCAATACATGCTTCATCAAGTAAGTACCTAGAACTACTCCAAAGCAGCGGCCGTTTAGTAAGCTGACATCTCAATGTTCTTCTCAACGATAGGGCATGGGTCTTCGCAGCTGCATTGGTGCTTGGCTTTTCCATGTTCATCGCACCGCGGACAAGCTTTACAATAAAGAATGAATTCGACCTAGCCATGGAGTTTCTACGTGAGGAATCAGCCATCAGTCCGTACGCCAAGCAATACTACGGCATTCTCAAAGACATGACTGCCGTTATACAGAACTGTCATGATCAAATTGCCCAGCAGCGACGAAACTCGAATAAAGAATACATCGATCGGCTTCTTGACTTCCGGCATGATGGATCTGACATGCGTGAGCCAGGACAAGCACTCACCGAGGACGCACCCACTACCAGCCAGGATCTTTCGTTCGACAATGAGAACACCGGATTCTTTTTGTCAGCCTGGGATGATGTGATCATGGATAATCTTGAAGCTCGTCACCCTGAGACCCAAGAGTTTCCCTGGTTAGATCTAATTTCTGGTGATATGAACCTCGACAAAGTATGAGTCTGTGACCTTGCGCCCCTTAATAAAGTGAGAAGTATTATCTTGGGGATTGGTGTATTGCAATCACCCTCAAGGTACATTTTCAGGGACCACGGGAGGAAAATAACATGCAGTTCACGGGGGGAAGATGATCCTTGGAATCGAAACAAGAAATTTTTCACAGAAATCTCCGGAAATATGCATTGAGGGTCCCTTAGCTCAATCAAGCGGCCTGCATATCGCGGGATGACCATGCACAGCGGACTACTGCAAGCTACTGCATTCTTTGCCACACGGGACGGCAAGCTTCCACACCGCTTGAATTGCTTCTTTTCAGCTGGTGAAATAGTTTACTGGGTTGCGGCGAGTGAAACACGAGCGATAAAATGCCATCCTTTACACGATTGCGTCAATCGATGGCGTCCCATGGAAGCTTGGCGTGACTCGACCTAGACTAGATGGATACACGACACCATGCAAAACCAGGGTAGATCGGTCAGGAATCTACCTTAAAAACTCTACTCTTGCAGGCAAGTGAGAGTAAACGTTGGATTGACGAGTAAACGCCCTAGTCGTAAGAATACGCAACTGGTTACGCTCCCCGATACATTTACGGTGCTCTCTGTTGCTCTCACTATATCACCCAGGGACATATGGGGTCTCTCTACCAGTCTTAGCTTTTCGAAAGAGTAGACATATTTTCGTCGTTAAGTCGTTAGATCATTACGGGCATTCCATGAGTTCCGGTCCCTTTTAGTTACATCCCCATTTCGCATACACATGAGCATTCCCTCTTCCCATCATCTACCCCATATTTCGAGTTTGAAGGGTTCAAAATTGGCCGCCAAGGTTTGTATATTAACAATGACCGTTCCTACAAGGCACATTTCTCTTGCGACTCTCTTTTAGTAAAACTACATCAACAGGCAAATGATGTACGGACGATCACCCGCTCTGGTGCAGCGATCGCACGTTCAATGTTGCGCGTCTGGAGTGACCTAACAGGGGACTGAGTTCCGGGGCAATTCTTTGGACCCGGCCCAGGCCACCCACGTTGAGGCCGTGGATTGAAGCAGATTGGAGCAGATTGAAGCGGGTGGGCTAACTGGATAATTGGGTGGAAGCAGAGCGGAAGGATTCCATTCCGCATTGCCGGCCATGCAGGAACAATTTAGTGTACATCGTTACTGAAGGCGGGGAGTCCTCGACGTACTTTCTATGAGTGGAATTGCCTCGTCTTTTCAGTTCTTCTCAATTCTTCCAAGCCATCTAAACTCAAATGTCCGTATTTGAACTGAAACCCCAACAAGATGACCGCTGGCTCGTAAATCTCACCGCCTTCAGCCGGTGTCATGGGGCTGCTGATGGCTGGAGTTAGTAGGTTTGCCCGCTTCTGCTTGGACAAGTTCCAGCCAAGGCAAACTCTCTGCGACACTAAAACTGACCAGGCGCCTCTAGTTCTTATTCTCATGTTCCCTCAATTCGCTATGGACTAGCAGATTTTGGTGGCTGGCTGTGTGTCTTACACTGAGCGCGAAAACATCTGACACGTCATAGCGGGCGGCATGGGATGGGCCGTGGTATTGTTGGATCGGCTGGGCAGCAATGGAGAGCAATTTGGCATTGGGGAGTGATGTATTTATTTATTATTAGAGCTGTACCTCGGGTGTTTCGCACGTCAATCCTTCACACCTGCTTGGAGGTCTCGCCATCTTGTCCGGACCTCTCTTCGTGATCCGATTTTACACGAGCTCCAGGGCAACCCCCCACCAATAGACTAACCCTTTCATTAACCTTGTAATCCTTTGTTGTCAAGTCCAATGCTGTTGGCGAAGTTGGGGAGTCCTCTCCCTCCCGGAGACAAACATGTGAGCATGCACTACAGAGCTCCTCTTTCAGCCCATGCTTACCATCAAGGCCGTGAGCGTGTATCTTCCAACTTGGCGAGACACAATGAATTGGGCCGAGCGAGATCCAGAATTATTGTCTTTGATGAAAACCGGTTACCCGAGATTCTTCGTTCCTCTCATCGTCCGCGAGCTGGCAGAGCGTCTGGTGCAGTGGGCGGCCTCTAAGACCGCATCCGAGGCGCCTGACAAGGAGTCAACCAAGCTCCTATCTACACCGGGGCAGCTGGCTCTACTTACAGCTGGCAAAGGACATGCTGAATCTTGTCGGAGATACTTGGAAGCCCAAAGAAAGGGCGCCATCACTGTCCTCCATGTCAGATTCTCCGGGGCCCTGGAGATACTCGACAATAAACAATCGACGAGCTCCCCGCGTCTTCATGAAGATATCTACGCGGTAGTTTACGCCGGAGAACTGGCTGTGGAAGCCAAGGCGTTTTGGCAGCACACAGGATTCGGAATTTCCAGTCGATGCGCTGAGTTTTGGTTAGGGAATGCCCCGTTCTTACACGCAAGTACGGCAAATTCGAACGGACTGACCCCAAAACTCCCTCTAAGGGAAGCCGAGGATGCAAGCGATGTCCTCCGGAAGAGAATCGGTGGATTGATATCTACAGAGGTGAACAAAGTAGGCGCAGATGCTGTCTATCTGTATCCATCTGGCATGTCTTCGATCAGTCACTCTGCGACGGCCTTGAGCAAAATGCGCGGGGGTGAGGCTAAGGCCTGTCGGGTCGCAATCTTTGGGTAAGTCTTCCATGAGGCAGCAGCAATATGCGAGTCAGTATTAGAGATGCTCACCATCTTGTGACCAGATTTCTGTACGTCGACACGTTCAAAGCGCTCAGCAAAGTGTACGGCTTCGATTGCAAGCTCTATGGCCACGCCACTCCTTCTGATCTAGATCAACTCGAGGCCGATCTGGACGGCGGCCGGCAAATTGATGCACTCTACACAGAATTCCCCGGAAACCCTCTCCTTGGCTCTGTTGATCTTGAGCGGCTGTACAAGCTATCCAAGAAGCACGACTTCGTGTTTATTGTGGATGACACTGTTGCGACCTCGGTCAACGTCAACCTTCTCTCATTTTGCGACATGGTGTGCACCAGCTTAACAAAGCTGTTCAGCGGGAGCTGTAACGTCATGGGAGGAAGCGCGGTGCTCAACCCACAATCGGAGAGATTCGAGCGATTACGGCACATCTTTGCTGAGCAACACGTCGATACATATTTCCCCGAGGATGTGTTGGTTATGGAGAAGAACAGCACCGACTTTGAGCAACGGGTCGTTGTCGCCAGCCGAAATGCAGAGCGTGTAGCTCAAATGCTCCGACGACACCCTGCTGTTTCGCAAGTATTCTATCCCAAGGGAAACCCAACTCAGGACATTTACGACCGGTACAGAAGACCTGGCAAGGGATACGGCTACTTGCTCTCAATCAGATTCGAGCAGCCCGAGGCGGCAATTGCATTCCACGATGCCTTGAACGTCGCAAAGGGGCCGAGTCTGGGAACAAACTTCACCTTATGTTGCGCCTACACCCTATTTGCCCACTTCTCGGAGCTTGAGTGGGCAGCACAATACGGGGTAGTTGAGCATTTGGTTCGCATCAGTGTGGGAATTGAGGATGAGGCGGAGCTGGACGATCTCGTGCACCGGGCTCTTCAGGCAGCGGCAGAGAAACATCAATAGATGCAGAGTCGGTCCTCAAGACTTTTCGATTGAAATCAACTTTTGTGGGTTTAAGCTCATTGATCAAACTCATAGCCTCGGTTCTGGGCTCAAGTTTTCTGGTGAATCAATTAAAAATAGGCGACGATGTCAAACTTTTATATTATTAAAATGAGAATGAAGAAATACTCGGTCCCGAGAAGCTATGATGATGCCATTATCTCCATGTGACGAGACTCGCCATTGAGCTTCGTGTTCCCACCTTTGCAGTATAGTGTCCTTTTGGAGGAATCCAATACCATTTGAGCCGTCAGTAGACTCCCTCTACAAAGTGAAAGGAGTTACTTTCTCCTCATCCAATTCATCCGGTTATTCATGGCCATGAAACTAGGGGCATTATACTCTGGCCTCCGGTGGTTCTCTTCTTCATTCGACTTAAGGGTAGGAAATGAAGGCAACATTGATAAAGCTCAGCAACATCTTACAATTGTTAAATAATATTCGGCTAAATACGAATCTTGATTACTGTCCACTCTGCAGCTGGTGGACAAATATAGACCCAGTAAAAGTCCGGTCGTCGTGACTTGAGGTCATTGACGACTCTCTCCTATAACTAAGAGACTACTAACTGATGATAACTAGATGGATCTTCTCGAAAAATGAGAGTTGATACACTGGGCGTCTATATAGCGATTACAACTACATTGTTGACCGCTTGATGATCAAGACTTGAACTAGGCACAAGCCCTCGTCAGTTCCACCACAACGTTCTCCCTCTGAAACTTGAGGGATTGGGAAGGACCCCAATGTATGCAACTACTTGTATTAACGCCATGTCGGTATCAGGATTCACCTAATAGGGAAGTGGTGGCTATCGACCACGCCGTAGGTGATAGCCCAACACCCTCATTTCAGCAATGTATATTTCAAATTCAGAGAGCAATAGGTGCAGGCTTGTTGTGTCATATCCAAAAACTCCAAGCTGTTGTGAAATCTGTATCAAAGATTTAATATCCCAATTAAGGCTGGAGGGGGGATGGCCGACAAACCAGGGACCGGTGGTCCATTGTGTATAGGGGGGTCTTGCAGTCACGGCATTTTCATCATTGAAAATTGGAAGTTGAGAATTGGGTGGGAGGATTGCAATTAAACCAAAACCTTTCTGATAGCTATGCAGAAAAAGCCCGGAACCGGTGTATACTCATATACTCTACTAACTAATTTACTTTTTGACGGGCCACTTCTTGAGTAGGACCGCCAGACCAACGTAGGCGGCAACACCAGTGAAGCAAAGACCGCTGATGACGCCGAATCCCATGAGATACTTGGGCTTGTCGTCGCTGGGGAAGAGGTAGGCTCCGTAGATCTGAGCCAGGTTGCCCATGGCGTTGACAAAGGCCAGGAGAATGGCGCGGACCTCAGCCGGCGCCTCGGAGAAGGTCGAGGAGGTGTAAGACAAGGCAAGACCGTTGGAAGCCCACAAAGATGAGGCCATGATGATCAGTAGGGCGTAGCGGGCCTTGAAGTTGTAGACTGCGCAAATGATGATGGCGCAGATCATGGCAACGGACATCCAGGCTCCGAGGACATAGCCACGCTTACTAGGGTAGCGATCCATGAGGATTCCAGTGACGGCAGTGCAGACGAATGCAACGATGTAGATGGGGATGGTCATGTACTGGGCAATGTGGGCTTCATAGCCGAGACCGTTGACGAGGGTCGGGTAGAAGTAGGAGAGAGTGGAGGAACCGACGATGGCCTGATTGAAATCAAGGTTAGCAAATTAATCAAAAATAGGATATATGCCATTTCGTCTTACCATGTAGCCAACGACGAACATCCAGGTGCGCCAGTTTCCAAGAGCAACCTTAAGGGCTGCCAAATGGCCAAGCTCAGGCTGGTCCTCACTGTGGATAATCAAGGCCTCGCTCTTGAGACGGAGGATGGCGAGACGGCGCTCGGCGTCGGTCAAGCGCTTGCTGTTGGCAGGGAAATCCAACAGGATGAAGGCAGCAACAATAGACCAGGCAGAGGTGGCAGCACCCTCGACAATGAAGAGCCATCGCCAACCGGCGAGGCCATGAACACCGTCCAGACCCGAAGTGATAGCACCGGCGAGGAGACCGCCGAAGGCACCGGAGAGGATAGCAGCAGAGATGTAGACGGCGAATCGCTTAGACTGCTCAGACTTCTTGTACCACGAGGAGAGGAGAAGGAGGACACCGGGGGCGAAACCAGCCTCGAGGACACCGACAACGACACGGAAACCAATAAGACCGTGGTATGAAGGAACCCAGGCCATGCCAACGGTGACTAGACCCCAGACGAACATGATGGCGGGGAGGAATCTGCTGGGTCGAGTTCGAGCAAGAATCATGCTTGAGTTGACATTAGTACTGGTTTTTAAGGCGGTATCAAGCAAGTGAGATTCTCTTACTTGGAGGGAACTTCGCAAAGCACGTAACCGATGAAAAAGACGACGAGGGTGACGGAGTACATGTTGGAGTCCATGCCGAGGTCGTCGGCCATACCAGCAATCTTGGCATTTCCGATGCTACAGAGAATCGCCAGTCAGTGTTTGAAAAATACACAACGCCAACCGGGGAATCTCACTTTGTGCGGTCCATGTAACTGAGCAGATACATGAGCCAGATGGTGGGAAGCAGAAACAGGTCGATCTTGCGGACCAGGGCCTTCTCCTCGTCGGTTCCCGGCACGTACTCGTCGAGGGCAGGATCAACAGCCATCTTGTGCTTCTGGGCTTCGGCATCGGAGAGACGCTCCTCGCGGTGCTCTGACATGTTGTCCTTTTCTGCCGCAAACGTCGCCATTGTGGTTGATGCGTGGGTTGAAGCTGGCAAGTTGCGAAGTAGGGAGGAGGGCCCAGTCAGGATATATAGCCAGATGTAGAGTGATTGCGCCCGGAGCGAGGAATGATGAGCAAGGGGTGGCAACTGGGATTTTCCGTCTTCGAGATGCCGATGATACGGGGTATACTTATAGTGGCACTGGGCTGGGGACCACGACACCCGGGGCACTGGGAGCAAGACGTCGTCCCGAGGGAAAGGAGCAGCCCGTGTAGCGAGAATCGATTGATACACTGCGAATTGGAGACGCGGAAACCTGGGGGAGAGAAACGGTGACGCTCAGCTGAGCCGGACTAGGCGATGGGACGCGCTGTATTGGACGCACACGGAGGCAAAAGCCAAATGCTGGAGTCACACTAGCTGCAGGGAACGACTCAGGGTACATGGGGATCCCGGGCGAGCATCTCCACACGACGACTCCAATTTCTGGGGTATGGGGTGACAGGGTGACACTAGACGCAATGGCTTAGACGAACCCAGGCCGGAGCGGCATTTGCGTGGCGTGTTGCATTGGAGAATCCGACGACGAGGTTGAGTTGCGGAGTGGCTGTGCCGCGAGACGGGAACAGAGTAGCGGCTCGGGGTTACTTTGGAACTCCCCCGGCACGGGGACTCCCTCCAACTCAACGCCTCCTCTCCGCAGCTGAACTGCGACTCTTCCGCATGTTGCTCCTCCATGACTCGGGTGCCGCGCATGAGCACAATTCGTCCCACGAGGGGCGCGATGTCAGGCGGAACCGTATTGCTGGACCCGGCAAATGGTTTAAGAGCTCTGGGGGTCGCCGACGCGGTGGCAAGGAGCGAAGTATTAAACGTTGAGCTGTCTGGCCTCGGTTTCCCATCATCATTACCACTTCTTCGCTCCCATTTTATACCGTCCATCTCACCGTCGTTTGAACGCGCTCCAGCTTCAATCACATCATCCCTTCATCCTACGCCGTCCAAACCTCGCCCAATATGCCTAGCAATGACGGTGCCTCCAGCGGTCAGCCCGCTGCCGACAACTACCCCAGCACCATGCCGCAGGCTGGCCACAACTGGCAAATCACCCTGGGCGGCAAGGTCATTGCGAGTGAGTCTTGATAGCGGGATCTCAATTGAACTTCAATGGCATAAAACTAATCATTGCGTCTCACAAACAGTCACTGGCGCAAACCAGGGCATCGGTCTAGGCCTCGCTGAGGTCGCCCTCCACAACGGCGCCGGCACCGTCTACTCGCTCGACATCTCGACGCCCGGTGACGACTTCGCCGGCCTCCTCAAGCAGTTCCCCGGCCGGCTCGAGTACATCCAGGCCGACGTCACCAACGAAGAGTCGGTCGCGAATGCCCTCGACCAGATCCTCGCCGCCAAGGGCCGCTTCGACGGCATGATCGCCAACGCCGGCGCCACCAAGCACCAGCCCGCGCTCGACTTCACCATGGAGCAGGTCGAGAAGCTCTTCCGGCTCAACGTCTTCGGCGCGTGGAACTGCGCAACCGCCGCGGCCCGCGTCTTCATCAAGACCAAGACCAAGGGCAGCATCGTCTTCACCGCGAGCATGACCAGCTACCGCCCCAACCGCGCTGCCCCTTCAGCGCCCTACGGCGGCACCAAGGGCGCCGTACGCAACATGACGCATACCCTAGCCATGGAGTGGGCTCAGTACGGCATCCGCGTCAACAGCATCAGCCCGGGCTTCGTCAAGACCGCCCTGACCTACTACGTCGAGACCAGCCCCGACTGGGACACCAAGATGAAGTACTACGGCGGCATGCCTCGACTGGCCCTTCCCCAGGAGCTCGGCGGCGCCTACGTCTACCTGTTGAGCGACACGGCCACTTACACCACTGGTATTGATATCCCCATCGCTGGTATTGTCGGGGCTTGGTAATGGAGGAGGAAATGATAAAACGGAATCCGGTTATGACGAATGAAAACTGTATATGTGTCAAAGAAGCATTCTGCATCAGTATTATAGATGAATGGTAAATAAACCAAAGTTCAAACACTTTTGCCATCGCCGTCTTCATTCGACGAAGTGATAGGAGAGCATCGTGAAGGACGGCCAGCTTCGTAATATCGCCCGCCCTGTTGCCGGCCGGGAGAGAGGGTCTAGCAGGTTACGTACAAGCTAGAGGCGAGACAAGCATAACACGGCTCTTGCACGACACAGTGGATTTTTAATAAGCGATCTTCTTAATTTAGTTGGGTTGCGAATGGAGATGGTCTTCCGGCATCCCAAGATTCAATTGAAATTGGACCACCTTGAAATGCATGCATACTCTTGTTTGAAAATCAAGATCTGGGCTTGGTGTCCGAGTAGTCACATGCGATCGCCAACGTGAACAAGTTCTGATATTTCTTCAATGTCCTCAAACTCCATCCTCCCGTAAGTGTTACACTGAACAAAACGTCTACATAAGCTTCAAGAAAATCTCCGAAATCAAAATACTGAGTCAAGGATGGGGTAAGTTTTGCAAGGATTATGAATAATCCCCGGTCCCCAAGGTGTCGGGTGTGATCGTTAGGTAGCAGTCGCGATGGTTAGAGTCGCAACTCCAATCACGTATATGTTTTGTCTTGGCATTGACAGTCGTAAATATATATTTGCATTGCCTCAAGCTTTTCCGGCTGAACCACTAACATCGATTTGCCACTCCACAAGCCTCCGGGTCTCCTCAATGGCCTGCTCAAACGCCCCCGTCACGGCCATGCCCGGCGCCTTGTCCTTGAGGAACACCAGGTAGTCGTCCAGCACCAGCTTGTTGACGTTGATCTTGGAGATGCGCCCGCCGATGCATCGCTGCATGATGTCGTTAGGAAAGCCGTTGGTGCCGTGCAGCACGATGCGTACCCGCCCGTCCACCTTGTTCTTGATCATCTCCAGTCGGTCATAGTCCAGCACGGGGCCTCGCTTGCCGTACTCGCCGTGGACGTTGCCGAACGCAGGCGCCAGGAAGTCGATGCCCGTGGCAATGAAGTCCTCGACCTGCTCCTCGGTCGTCAGCGCACCCTCGAGATCGGCAGTATCAGCGATGCCGTCCTCGCCGCCCTCGATGCGGCCAGGCTCAGCCTCGGTGGTGATGCCGCGCGCGTGGCAGTAAGCAACCAGCTCCTTGGTCTTGGCCAGGTTCTCGTCCATCTCATAGTGCGACATGTCGACCATGATGGAGTCAAACGGGAGCTCGTCGGCGGCCTTTCGGATCATGTTCTCGTCTTGGGCGTGGTCGAGATGGATGGCGATGGGCACCGAAGCGCTCTTGGCGGCCTGGGCGGCGACGTGGATGAGCAGCCCATCGGTGGCGGTGATGGCCCAGGGAAACACCTGGATGATGAAGGGAGCTCGCTTGGCCTCTGCGGCTCGGACGAAGGCGATGACATGCTCGATGTTGTAGCTTTAGACAATCTCAATTAGCAAAGGAAGCTCAGGAGTCTCAGGAGTCTCAGGACAAGGTCAGCTCACGCAATGGCCGCAATCACACCATAGCCGCCCTCCTCGGCGGCTTTGAGGATCTGATACGTCTTGTTCTGTTCTTTCCAGCTCATGGTTGCAGCTCTGTCTGACGGTGAGGGATTGGGGGGAAATCGGAATCGTGCGACTGCACATTGAGCGGGCTCTGGGATGATCTAGGACGACCGACTAGCTAGGGAATGAGGCAATAGTCCCAGTCAGCGTCTCCCTTTTTCCCTCTCCAAAAACCCTGCAATCCACGTGCAGAATGCACAACAGTTGCAACAGCTCAATTGATTGCATGATTTCTCGCAACAGTCGACCGAGTCTCGCATCGAGGATACCGAGCTCCGCCTGGCAAAACGTCACGATGCATATCGCCTGCTTATTTACGACTTCCCCCGTGTGGCCATTTGAGGTTTGAGGCCAATTGACAGGCATCTTCTCCGCACTGGAATGTGACCCCGGTCTCCAACCTCGTCTCGAGGCACACACCACCTCCTGACACCGTGCCGCGGATGCACCCCGGACTTCGTATCTTGGGGTAACGGGTCCTGCAAAATTGCCGAGAGAGCTGGTTCAAGCTTGTTGCTTTGCTGCGTATCCGCAGTTTCGTGGCGCGAACGTGGTTCCGAGACGGGCTCTGCCATCACAGCGATGCACCTCCATGGGGCCACTTATACAACCGGTCGCGGTGGAGTTGCCAGCAGAATAGGACTATCTTGCCAATTCCACCTTTTGTTTCTCATTGTAACGAACCCTTGCGTCTCACATCTTTTTCCTCCTTCGCAAAAATACCCCCAACACCATCGTACAAGATGGGACTTCGAATTGCTCTCGGTGGCGATGACGCTGGCTTCGACTACAAGGCCACCCTCATCAAGGACCTGAGCTCCGATCCTCGCGTCGAGTCTACTATCGATGTCGGCCCCAAAGCCTCTTCCGACAAGACGGCTTACCCTCACTATGCTATCGCCGCTGCCGAGTTGGTTGCTCGCGGAGAGGCCGACCGCGCTATCCTCATCTGTGGTACGGGCTTGGGCGTCGCAATCAGCGCAAACAAGGTCCCCGGAGTGCGTGCCGTGACCGCCCATGATAGCTTCAGCGTCGAGCGTGCGATCAAGAGCAACAATGCGCAGGTCTTGTGCCTTGGGCAGCGTGTTATTGGCATCGAGTTGGCCAGGCGCTTGGTCAAGGAGTGGCTAGCTTACGAGTTTGACGAGGTTCACACTGTCTTCACATTCTTTTAATCGTTGACACTGACCTGGCTATGACAGACCTCCGCTTCAGCCGAAAAGGTCCAAGTCATCTCCGATTACGACACCAAGATGAACGGCGTCTGCGCGTAAGCGGGCTGTCGACGAATGGGAATATTAATTGCGGCGGCAGAATCAGAATCAGCTGCATTAGGGCAGGTTTCCAATTGACGCATCAAGACTTTCGAGGTCAAGTATTGCCGTCTTGGTCCACCCTGCGCCACTCTGCCAATAGGTCGTTGCGAATAGTGGACATTGGCCAACCAGTACGATCTTCGCAAGCATCGACGAGGGTTATTATAGCGTTTCTTTGTGAAGATTCTTGTACGCAAAGTCCAGCTTTGGGTTTAGTGTTAGCTGGGGTGTTCTTTTGCAAAAGTAGAGATACAAGGGCGTTATGAACGAACCTCCATATAGACAATGAGCCGCTATGATTTGGCATCCTTCGTCCTGCAACGCCATTGCAATGCCGCATATCGCTGTTACTGCATCTGACAATGTTCTCTATCTCTCAGTTAGCCCAATTCGCAAGACAGGAGTTGACGGGTCAATCCGACCTGTGTTTTGAGATAGTGGCCAAATCCAGGCTCTGGTGGCCGATGTAGCGATATCAGTATCTTTGCAAAGTTGTACACCATTGTAGCAACAGCGAAGCTCGGGGGGTGTATCCATATCGCTTGGAAAGGGCACTTCTCCGCATCCAACTCGCGCTTTGGGGAAGGGAGCGGGCGGAACCCTTGGCCCAAGTACAGTTTCCACGCCTCCAGCATGCCAAGAAGCTCTGAGCCAGCCACTGCTCTTGCGCGGAGTACCTCGGGGTCGGAGGAGGCAGGGTCTCCAAAGGGGTTTGTGGCCCCCGCAGCGGAGTAATTGACAGCTTTGCTGAGGAGGTACACCGCTCGATCGGCAAGCTCATGCTGCGTCATGTTGCCGTAGTCCTTGGTCGGAACCCAGAAGCTGTGGCATTTGCGCTTCTCGCGGAACGCGGCCCAAATGTCTTGCCGGAGCCATGCCCACCATACGGCCTGGCGAAGGCCTCCGGTTTCGCCATTGACGTCTTGGCTTCGCTGTATCCAAAACACACCCTTCAGGTGGCGTTGCCATCCAGATGCGGACTCGTCCAGCATTTCATACGTGGAAATGATGACGGCTGTGGCCAGGATCTCTTCAGATTTAGTATAGGTAGGAGAGTGTAGAGCAGTTTGAACGTAGTGCAGTGTCTCGTAGTAGTACTGGATGGCTTGGGCATGAGTCGTAGTTGATTCGAGCACACCTGGGGACCCGTCGGTTGCTCTCTTGCTCATGGCGTCGTGGCGAGCAGTAAGAGCCAGGATGGCCTTCATTAGGCCCACGTTACGGAGCTATCCCTCATGTCAGCAAGGGTAAGGTCTGAGGCCTCGTGGTGGAGTAATGCAGTTGGTTCCAATGAGGTGCATCACTTACTGCTAATTGTGTTGCGTACGTTGAGAAATGTCTTTCGGGGTCCAGCAGATCGAGCTTCACAATGACGAAGTTAGTCACTGAGGGACAACTCAGTGGTGTACGAGGAAAGGACTACTCACCCATAGGGCTGCGTGGTCCACAAACTTGCGGAACAAGACAGCTTCGTGATCTAAGAGCACAATGTCCTCAAACTCCTGCCATCCGTATTCCGCGCTACCTGTGGCGGCAAGGTCCGACAGCCTTTGGTATAGACCACCGCTGTTGACGGCAGCCTGATGCTTGACGGTGGACTCTTGCGTGGGGCTCGGAGCCAGCGAGAAGCCGGCATCAGCCTGGGCAGCGTCGGAGGCCAAGAGGTCTAGCCACCGGGTGGATGCCCCGCCGGCTGTGAGTAGCTCGGTGGTATCCGGGGAGTATCCGAGATACGGCGACTCCGGGAGGTGGCTCATGGCCCCGGGATTCGCGGCGGGTGAAGGCCCACCACTCCCGGGAACTCGGGTCGGCTGTGGGGCCGGATAGGATAAAGCAACCAAAGGACTCTGGGTCTGAGGCGGTGGAGGCCCGGGAATAGGTGGCAAGTTGGGTCCATCCGGGGTGACTGTTACAGCGGGCAGGGGACGCTGACTCAGGGTTGCCGTCGTCGAGGGCACTGCGAAGGATGCCTCGGGATTTGGCCGGTCAGGGCCGTAGACGCATGTCTTGCCTGCGAGGGTACAAGATCCACAGACGGGGACTGGTTATAAGCAGTCAGCAGGATGGTTCGTTGCTTCAGTGAGGTTGCAGCTGTAGTCGCTACGGCTCCGTGCCTTGTTCGTCACACTTCTTGTGTCGCTGGCGGCATGTCAAGCTGGAAGTCAGTCAGCAATTGTCGCGTGCAAATTCTGCATTGACTCTGTTCAGCTCACCATCCCGTCTTTGTTCTCAAGCCGCGACTTCGGCTCTTCCGCGCCTTCTTCCTCGCCGGTGCCTTTGCATCGGGATCGCTGCTCGCATGGTCCCGGGCCAACATTATCCAGTGATGTCTCGGTTCTGTCTGTTCCAGTGTTTTCCTGGCGACGCCGCGAAACGGGGAGCGTCAAAATTCGGTTCGAGGGCGCTCTTGCTGGGATGCTGCAGGCGTCCGCAGTGAAACCCTTGGTGGTGTTGGGCGAGACGGGGACTCGAGGAGTGCAGCGTGAGTGAGAAGCGAGAAATCCAGCGCCTCGAGAACAGCGCCGCGTGTCGGGAACACTAGCACTTCCCCAGTGCGCGTTCGGTAAATGGCACTCACTCTGTGGTCACGAACAAACTGGCACGCGACGGAATCAATTTCCAAGAGAATTCTCGATAAAAGCTTCAAATTTTCTAATTAGCTCTCGTCACTAACATAATATCGTTGATATCGCTCAATTTACTCAATATTGTCTCTACTCTTCCGCAATAGCTTGCTGTACGTGCACTGTTATTCCACACTGGCACTGTCATTCCATACTGGCCAACTGGAATCCCCGCCCACAGGTTAGTAACAGTGCTGCGCGCAGCAAATATTAGCGGTGTTGTTTAGTAGTGCGGTTAGGAGCAGCCACACACGGCGAGAGCACGGTAGCCCCGTGTCGAGGCCTTTCTTCACACACCTCGTAACAAGGCGACTAACCGCCATCGAAAACGTCCCCGTGCCGCGCGCGACACCAGACTTCTGTGATCCAACTCAAGACTTCGCTGGAGCTTCCATTGTCGGCAGCAGGTCCCAATTGAAGCTGCAGCGGCAGCTGAAAGCAGAATGGGGCTGAATTGTGGCCGTCCTCGCCTCGACGCCCCTCTGCGACTCTGCGAGCACATTGAGACCCGTGCAAGTCCATCATATTAGAATGCGGACATCGTCCCTGACCCAGGCTGCCATTGACCATGCCATTCTGCCCTCTTTGTGACCTGAATCCGTCGTAATCATGTCAGACAAGCACTACTTCCCCGAAACTGCTGCGAACCAGCTCGTCCCCCGGGCGCTGCGAGCTCTCGTCCGCGGAACACCGCAGCTGTCGCTGATCGACTCCGAGCGAGTCGTCTACAACAACCAGCACGACCCAGCCCGCGTAGCAGTCATCAGCGGCGGAGGATCTGGCCACGAGCCCGCGTGGGCCGGCTATGTTGGCGATGGAATGCTGTCGGGCGCTGCTTGCGGCGATATCTTTGCCAGCCCCAGCACGAAGCAGGTCCTCGCTGCAATGGCCGCCACGCCCTCCTCCGAGGGCACTATCCTGATGATCACCAACTACACGGGCGATCGTCTTCACTTTGGCCTCGCCGCTGAGCGCGCAAAGGCGTCCGGCCTGTCTCCCAAGGTTGTCGTCTTGCCCGCAACAGACGATGTCTCCATCCCCAGAAGCAGGATCCGCGTGGGGCGCCGGGGCCTCGCGGGCCATGTCCTTAGTATGGGGAAACCTGCCAGCTTTCGTCCCCTGTATTAGGCTAATATGGTTAAAAGCTCTCAAGGCTGTGGGTGCTGCCGCGCAAGCCAACCTCTCATTTGAGCGCTGCGTTGATATCGGAAAAGCGGTTAATGATAGCCTGGTGACCATCGGATCGGCTCTCGACCACTGCCACGTTCCAGGCCGGCAAGCCCACGAAACAATTGCGAAGGACGTTTGCGTCGTTGGTGCTGGTATTCACAATGAGCCTGTAAGTCCTTTTCATAAGATCTACTCTCAATTGCGCAAACTAACAAAGGCTCACAAATAGGGCGCCGAGCACATCTCACCATTCCCCTCCGTCGAGTCTCTCATTGACCACTGCTTGAAACGATTGTGTGATCCCAATGATAAAGAGCGAGCGTTTGTTTCATTCGAAAACAAAGATGACCAGACCATTCTTCTCATCAATAACTATGGTGGACTGTCCAACCTAGAGCTTGGTGCCCTTACCGATGAGGTCCTCATCCAGCTGGGTATGGTGCTACCCTACACCTCACCGCGACAGAGCTGACAAGCCATTAGAATCGAGTTGGAAAATCAGCCCCGTCAAGATTTACTGCGGCACGTTTGAGACTTCTCTCAACGGGCCTGGTTTCTCTATCTCCCTGAGCAATGTCACCCAGGCCGCTCGCCAAGTGAATGTCGAGGTTCCTGAACTCCTCGAACTACTCGGTGCGCCCACGGCTGCTCCGGCATGGCCCAACTCTCCCCCTTCGCCCATCGACGTGTCAAAGCGATCTGCTGTCAACGCCAAAGAACTAGACCTACAGCCTTCAATTTCTCCTAAGACTGATATTAAGAGTGATTATTTATTCCAAGTATTCTGGATTGAAACCCGCTCACAGTTGACTTAGTCGATTCTGCCCTCCTCAACGCGGTCCTCCGCCGTGGATGCGAAGCTGCAATTGCTGCCGAGCCAAAGCTAACAGAATGGGACATGGTTATGGGTGATGGTGATTGTGGTGAGGCCGTCAAAGGAGTCAGCGAGGCTATTATTGCGCTCCTCGATGGTTCATCCAGCATCGCCGCTGACGGATCCATCTTCACTGCCCTCTTCGCCATCCTCCAGGCCGTGGACGATATGGGCGGTACCCTGGGTGCCATCCTCGGCATCCTCCTCAGTGCCTTTGCTTCCGAGCTTCAAAAAGCTTCCTCACGCGACGGCCTTTCCCCCGCGCTCTACTCCACCGCGCTGGCTGCGGCTGCCGAGTCCCTCAAGCACTACACTGCCGCCCGAGAGGGTGACCGGACGGTCATGGATGTCCTCCTACCGTTCGCCGACGCATTTGCCAAGTCAAATGACTTTTCAGGCGCCGTAAAGATCGCTGCTGATAAGGCCGAGGCAACGAGATTCCTAAAGCCGCGGTTTGGACGAGCAACATACGTGGGAGAGGACAAGGAACAAGAACTACCAGACCCTGGAGCGTGGGCCATGTTTGAGTTTTTGAAAGGTATGGAGAGCGGATTGAAGCAATAAAAAGCCACTGCGGTTTATCTGGCTATAATTTCTTGAGCCCCGTACATAAAAGTATCACCCAAAGTATCATTGTCGCCAAACGCCCCTATAATAACGAGCTTAATGAGGACCGGTATTCGTGAGCATCCTAGTGCATGAACTCATCCATGTATGAATTTCATAATGTCGTGTTTACTCGGTCAATGTTTAGGAGCCTCATACAGTAGCTGGTGATGCAATTCCTGTATCTGCTCAGGATGGTATTGTAGTTGCGGCACTGGTTGATAGTACTGCGGGTTAGGTGGCGTCACAAGGGTGGTTGCCATGCTCCCCAGTGCGGTTTCGGACTTCGGCCGTTCTAGCGACAATAGATGTTCCCGGCTAGAACGAAGATACCGACAGAGAAAGAAGCCCACTCCTGCTAGCACTGCCAGCCCACCCAGCGTGGCGCCGACGGACACGCCAACTAGGGCCCCTTAGAAAGCCCCTCATCCTCATCGTCGTCATCTGAAGCCTGTGTCGTCTATGACGCTGTGGCGCTGGTCTGGATCCTGCTTCTAGAAGCGGTGGAGGTTGTCGTTGGTGCCGTGGCTGTCATTGTCCAGTTCGCCGGGTCGGTAATGTTGAAGAAGTGAAAGGTAGTCCCCCTGCTGTTCCGGAGGCATCCTCAAGTCCGAAGTAGTATACATTACTCCTTGTCTTATCGAAATACGTAGAGAAACGGTCTAGAGTAATTTTCCATGTATGTTTTGCCGAGTTTGTGCTAACTATGTTAAGGCCAGTTAGCCCTCGTTCAATCGTCAACTTCCTCCTTCAACTTACAAACCACCTCAGTCGACATTCCCTCTGGCAAATTATTGACGACATCATATTGTTCCATCTCTATCTTGGCATCGTCGAAGCACATATCTCACTGAATATCCAGCTCCTGGCCGATCTCGCATGTTGAGTGGTCGTGGTTGTCCCGGTTCAGCCTGGGATCTGGAGGAGGACGGAAGCGGGTCTCGCCGTGGACACTAGCGCAGAGTAGGAGGGACATGGCAAGCCCAAGCAGGCAATGCATCGTGAATGTAAGAAATATATTTTCGAGAAGTAGTAGTGAGTAGCGTTCGTGTGACAGAGGATGGTCGGTGACGATCACACTGGATTATATTGTGTTGCTGGGGTCAAGGTTCACGGTATATTCTCACAGCACGTCTCCTCTCCTCGACGGTGGTTTAATCAGGAGGCTTTGTTTTCTTTCAGGTACAATTCTGACCGGTTTGAGTGAGAGGCTACGGCGGCAATTATTGTCTAGAACAATCAAGGTGGCAACCGCCTGATGCTGAGTGGTGGAGCATGGTGCAGGGGACCAGAATAACCCACGGCCCAAGGCGAATTTTGCAGCAGGTCCAGGCGACTATTTTTTTATTTCATCCATCCGGACGTAGACAAGCTTTTGGATATGAATTCGATTACCGCGATCTTGTTTTAACGTCCAGCTGTCCGAGATGGGACATATCATCCCTGTGGTCGTTGCACTTGCGGATGGGAAAGTGGGCGTCGCCTCGTAAATCAGACCCCACGAGACCAGAGATTTGATCCTTGACAAGCCCAAGCCTCGGATACAGGGGGATTTTTCCACTTGCAACCTGGAGGGGTTCTCTTGTCGATACGCATGAGTCCTTCTCCATCATAGAGGCCAGTAATGGGCTCATCGCTGTGCCGTTCCTTGGAACCTGATGGAATAGACTACCGTCTGAACCGTAGCATCTGTTCTGGACTTCCAGCCTCTTGGGCGTCCATTCATGGATACGCTTTCTAGATAAGATGGTACACACGCGCACTACCACTGGGATAACGGCGCACGCATGTAGTTTCAATCGTGAGTAAGTTCGGTATGGAGTGGGATGGCCGCCATTCGTTTGCCAATGGCGGCCAGGCCGAACTGGACCCAACTAATTCCATTTGGAATTCGGAGAAGAAAGCGAAAGAAGAAAACGGCGGCACAGCTGGACCGCCCACACGGAACCATCGTTATCCTTTCGACAGAGGCTTCCAGAAGCCATAACAGAAGCTTCCCCCCGACTGGATTCCTTCTAGTTCTGGACTGTGATAACGCCTGTGCTAACGGAAGGGCCCGCGTGCGAGCAAGTTACCCTAACGCTCCTAATCCCCAACCATTCCAGATGTTCGAACTCGTGGCAGACTAAGCCCAACGCACTCAGAATTCGGGGTGATCCCTCCGGTGGCGGGTTGCATCACGCGGCTGGCGCCGTGGAGGTGGGTCTAGATGGCACCGGGGACACGGCCGAGGCTCCGGTTGGTACTACTCCACAGGCAACGGGGCGGCAGGCAATTTGTTAGTTAGCAGCAAGTCGTTGATATCCAAGACGGGGGACTTGGGAATTAGCTAGTTAGTCTTGGCTGCCAGGATTCACCAGTATAGTTCGAAGAAACTCAATCCTGGAAATGGCTTCAAACGGTATGAATCGTTACAGTTTGGTTGAATGAGGATCCTAACGGGGGAGCACGCTCTTGAGCTGGCATGGATAATACTTCACATTACGTCACAAGGAAGCAGACAGTCCAGTCCAGTTCAGTCTAGTTATGACTTAGGATATCGACTATTGAGTGAGCATGGGAACTGGCAGCATAGAACCAGGTCTCAGTTCTTAAATCCCATCAAATACCCTCCCTCACGCACAATTGGATTCCACCACAGTCTGGACCGTCTGAACCCACAATCACATTCTACGCCAATTCCCAAAGCAAGCCTGCCAAGCGGCCGCCCGTCGACTCTTGCAACCCTCACGTCGGGGAATGCACCGCAAACTATTTGGTCCCACGCCCCCGCATGGCAAAACGCTGCTCCCAGGGCGGCCGCCACGTGGACGAGAACCCGTTGGAATGAGCCAAGCTGCGTTGCTGTCATTGTCGCGTGGTGTGGCGGCGTTGCCATGCTTTCCTCCACGAGAGGCCAGGCCAGTCTGTTCGTTGCGAGGGAAACTTACACGTCGTGAAATGGTCTGATGTCAGATGGATCCATGAACGGGCGTTGCGTGTTTGCGGATATGGGAATTTCCAATACGCAAGCCTGGGTTTCCTTGACTCTTTGGGTTCTTGGCTCTTTAGGTTCTTGGCTCTTTGGCTTCCTTGACTCGACCGCAAAGTCCAGGATGTGGATATATGGCGACAATCCCATGATACCAGCACCAGGTACTCGGATCGACATGTCTCAGTGACTAGCACCGCTTCCTTCTCCCCAGTGCCAATTGTCTTATTAGAAACATGCACAACTCGTCCCTCGCAGCCGCAGCCGGCCTCATCGCCAGCGCCATGGCCTGCTCGCGCGTAGCCTACAAGGCCGGCGGCGCGAGCAACCGCATCACCATCGGCCGGTCCCTGGACTTTGTCGTCGACACAAACACCACCATCTGGGCCTTCCCCGCGGGCCTGCGGCGCTTCGGCGGCGTCTCGGGCAACCCCTTCACGTGGAGGTCTCGCTACGGCTCCGTCACGGCCGTGGCGCTCGACGAGGTGTACACCGAGGGTGTCAACTCCGAGGGCCTCACGGGGAGCGCCATGTACCTCGACCAGATCGACTACGGTGCGCGCATCGGGAGGGTACCGGGAATGTTTGTCGGCGTGTGGATGCAGTACTTCCTCGACATGTATGCCACTGTCGCCGAAGCCGCCAAGGACTCCTGCCCCAGCGAGGGTGGCGAGCAGAAGTTTCAAGTAGTAGAAACCTCTCTGAGGCGAGAATTCTCCGCCGGTGTGCACCTCTCAATCTCGGATACAAAGGGAGACAATCTCATCCTGGAGTTCGTCGAGGGGAAGCTCAAGTGCCACCACTCACCCAACTACACTGTGGTAACCAACGAGCCGTCTTTCGCCCAGCAGCTTGCCATTGACGCGTACTGGAAACCTCTCTCCAACTACACTCTCCCAGGCACTTCCACACCCGCAGGTTTGTCTCCCCTTACTTGGGAACTGGGCCAAAATACATTGCTAACCTACCGTCACAGACCGCTTTGCCCGTCTATCGCACTACAACCGCATCATCCCCCCAGCCGTCGACCTCGAAATCGCCATATCCAACACCGCGGGAATGATCCGTGCCGTCAGCACACCCATAAAAGACCAAGACCTAGAAGAAGATGATAATGAAGATGAAGATGAAGATGAAGATGCCAGCGCCCCAGAGGTGTGGCCGACGCTGTGGCGCATGTTCACCGACACGCTAGACAAGATTGTCTTTTACGAGAGCGCAACGAGTCCCATGAATTTCTGGTACGATGTCGACGCGCTAAATTTGACCAAGGGCGCCAGCGTAACAAGGCTGTCCCTGGCTGATGTGTCGTGGCGGAAGAGAGTTGGAGATGTGACTGACAAGTTCGAGCCGGTTCCAGATAATGAATGTATATGGACGGTTTGTTGACGATGAAATGGCAAGGGGTAAATGTAAAAGTAATAAAACACGCAATAAACTAGAGAATAGAAACACAAGAATAAATCTACTTGCTTGCTTTTGGCGATAATTGTTAACTTCGATAGTGTGCATTTGTACGGTCATTGCTCACCTATATAATCTCTTGGAGTATCAGAGACAAACCGAAGCCCAGCAGACAAAGTCAAGATACATGGTTCAGGAAACCCATACTTTAAACTGTTCTGTGAATTTGGACGATATGTATTGTTGATATTTAATGACTACTTTGTTCCTCATCGACATGTCCACTGCCAACCCTTTTCCCTTCATCCCACTCACCCTACACCCCCAACATAAAGCGTGCCACAAACAACCCTCATCTTACATCCAACCCAGAGTTTTCGCCATCGTTTATCAAGTTTGCCTAGAACGATGGCCCTCGCTCATTCCCAGCCCTTCTTTTCCGCCATGCTTGCGTGACGACATCGACACAGCAACTACCAACCGACGATATCACGCCCGCGGCACGTTCTCGGGGGGATCTCCAGTAGATGGGGTCATCATTTGTTTGCACGTTCTAAAAGTTCTTTCTTTTTGATCGGGCATCTCATCACTCGTCTCTTCGTCCCCGGGGAATCTTGGCTCTGCCCTGATGTGAAAAGAGGAAGGGGATATAAAAAGGGGTAAACGAATCCTGCCACTCATTCTCCTGTCGTTGATCGCTGATAACTAACTTAACTGGCACCGCCATTAACGGCACCAGGGGCGCCAGTAAGACCAGCCTGCTGAGCAGCGAGGGCCTGAGCCTGCTGGGCAGCGACCTCATCAGCCTTGACCATGACGCCCTGGATCACAGTCTGATCATCGGCAGAAAGGTGACCAGCCAGGGTGGCATAGAACTGGGGCTGCTCCTGTTGCATTTCTGTGGGAAAACCGCGTCAGAATGGTTCAAATATTAATAAGAATTGGGATGAACATACTCAACAGGGTAGCGCGGAAGAGCTGATAAGGCTCAATCTTGTCAAGGGGAGACTCGAGGAGGACGCTGTCCTCGCCGAGATCATCTTCCTCAACATCATCAATCGCACGGCTGAACTTCTGGGCCTGAAGACAGTTCAAGTTAGTACAAGGTCTGATAGTGTGAAGCGCTGAGTGATGCTCACCTCCTCATTCAGGAATTCCAGGTAAGCGGTGCTTTCGTCCTTGGACTCGCCGGTCTCGCCCTCGGCAGACTCCTCTTCTGCGTTCCAGTTGGCCTCATCGTCATCCCACTCGTCCTCTTCACCATAGTCGTAGGTGGACTCGAGGTGGAAATCATCTCGGAGAGCCTCCTCGCGGTCTTAAAAACATTAGCATGTGCTGCGTAGTAGGGGAATGAGAGACTCACTCTTCATGGCATTGGGGAGAGTTCGGAACAGCTCGGTGATGCCTTGGAGTAATCGCGGCCAACCAACCGAGACACTGGCGGGAACCTGCTCGTGGTTGAGGTTGAGCAGAGCAGAGATGGACACGATACAGAGCTTCTTGTCGTGGACGCGAGTAAAGGAGGTCATGCTGCCGAACCACAGGCTGAAGAAGCGGTTGGTCCAACCCTTGGTCTCAAGGACCTGGAGGGTGAGAAGGGGGTTGTAGTGGATGGAGTTAATGACCATCTCCATCAAGTGAATGCGGTAGCTCTTGATCTTGACGTCCTGGCTGGCCAGAATGTTCATGGCCATGTTGATGAAGCCCTCGACACAGCTGTCGATCTGGCCACGCAGGCTGAGCATCATGGCCTCAGCCAGCTTGCAAGCACATATCCTCTCGACGCCTCCCTGGATGCTATCCGTGAACATATCAGCGACCATCGAGTAGAGAGCCTGGGTGTACTCGGGCTTCTGGGCCAGCTGAGGAGCACCAAACTGGACAAAGTTATCAAGTGCAGGAAGCATATCCTCCAGGTAGTACTCGGCGCCGGCCTTGAAGGTGGTGTGGATGAGCTCAAAGGCCTGCCACATGGTGGGGGAAATGGCCTTGGCAGCGAAAGTGCAGCTATCGATAATCTCGAAAACCTCGTTGTAGAGATCTGCGCATAAAAGTTAGTGAGCACATTCAAAGTCGAAAGAGGAAACGAAACTTACCATAGAGCTTGTTTTCTAGGGTAACCTTGATGACGGGCATGAGAACAGCCTCGATGTGAAGTAGGACATCGGGGGTGCTCTCGAGGGTAAGAATCAGAGTGCCGATGGTCTGCAGAACACCAAGGGCGGTGATGCTCTTATCGTCGTACTCGTTGTAGACTTCGCCATCATCGCCAACCTTGCTCTCCTTCTCGAGAAGCTCACGGACAATTCGCATGTAAGTGTCGCGAAGCTGCTCGCTCAGGGCCACGGCGAAGGGGGTCAATTCAGTGGCAAAGACCTCGACAAAGTCCTCCATAACATTGGCCAGGGCATCGATATCGGCCTCGTTCGCCAGCTTAAGCAGCTGCTGCATAATGGTCGGGATGTTCTGCTGCATGCTGGTGCGAATGACATCGTGGCGAATGAGGGGCTGCAGAGCAAGGGCGGCGGTGACACGGACGGGGAGCGCCGGGTCAGCCATACAGTCCAGGATGTGACGGTAGATGGTGAGGAGGTTGTTCTGGTCCTGGAAGTTGAGCTGCTCAAACTTCTCAATAGTGTCGCAGGCACGGGCTCGGAGATAGCCCTGTGAGCTGGTGAAGTCGGGGAAGACGTAGCGGACGAGGAAGTACTCGACCTGGTCGGCGATGGGGCTCTTCTTCCCGAGGATGACGGGGGCAAGGGTGGCGATCATTCTCAGAGCACCCTCCTTGGCAATGTGGTTCTTCTTGTCATCCGAGGCCTGCTCGTATTCATTGACAACGGCGTTGACGAATGTGAGAATCTCAAAGGTCTCCTTGCGGCGGTTCTTGGTCAGGTTGACCAGGAAGTTGGTGGCGGCAACGTCAGGAGCGGATGCCTCCTCGAAGTAGTTAAGCTTTCGGTGGAGGTACTCGTCGGGCTCGTCCTCGAACTTCTCGATATCCTCCTCAGTCAGGCAGAGGACGGGGAAGACGAAGTGAGTGACCAGGTTGGTCAGATGCGGCTTCAGATGCACCCACATCTCCTTGGGCCGCACCGACTCGTCGAGGAAGACGAGGGTATAAGACAAGCAGGGGCGACTGAGCCAGGACGTCTTGGCCACCCACTTCTCAATCTCTTGCAGGTAGTGCTTGAGAATCTCGGGAGCGATCTTGGAGGTGAAGTCCTTGGCAAATTGGAGGGCTTCGTCGCCCTTGCCGGGGCTCGCGGGGTTACCGTGTCTGGAGAAAGCAGAGTTAGTTGTGTTGATGGCATTTGAACATGTACCAAGCGCAATCGTACCGAATAAAGAGGCGGTTCAGGTTGAAGTAAGCCCACTTCTTGGCCTTCCACCAGTGGTGCTTCTCGCGATCATAATTGTCACCCTGCATGGCATTGGCGGGGCAAGTCTTGGAGACGGTCTGGAGGAAGACGGTGCACCAGGCGATGGTGACGTCGTGCTGTCGCAGGAAGGGAGCGAGCTCCAACTGTACGAGGTTCGATTAGTAAACCCAGCGGATTTGGACAAGATGGGAATGGAGATATCGCACCCAGGTTGCGTGCTTGTAGGCCTTGAGGGCCAGGTGCAGCATCTCACCGGCCTCATCGCTCTCCTGGTTCACCAGCTCATTGCAGATGGCCAGCAGGCGGGGGAAGCTGGCCTCGACAATGTTGTCGAAATGTCCGCGGTCATCGCTGTCATTCGACTTGTAGCGGAAAGCGCGGCAGATGGCGAGCAGACATTGCAGACCGGCGAGGACCGAGCTGGGGGTGTTTGTGTTGAGGAGCTCGAGGGTGAAGTCCATAAACCGCGGCCATCGGGCGGGGAAGTCATATTGAAGAATGCGCTGGAGGACGGGGATGAGCTGCTGGCGGACCAGGCCCTCGGAGGCGGCGAGGATGGGCAGGAGGCGGTCTCGGACGCGCGCCTTTTCGTCTTCGGCGATGAGGGTGGTGGGGTTCTCGGCCGTGTACGAGTCCGCGTTGTACCAGGAGCGATTGACACGGTTCTTTACGTAGATGACGGCTAGGAAAGCAGGGTTAGAGGCGCTGGCTGGGATGGCGGCAGCGGGGGTCGCGTTGGAGGGGTGAAAGAGGGAGGATGGAGACATACTGGAGAGGCGGACGCTGGCATCCTGCTCGGCCTGGAGGATGTCGAGCAGACAATCGAGAAAACCGGGGTGCTCCTCGATCTAGACGAGAGCAAGTGCTTTGTCAGTATTGGAGACTGGGAAGCGTGAAGGCGGCGCAAGGGGCGGGGAGTTGACGTTGGTGGTAAACAGTCGGGGAGGAGGGTCAACGGGCAGGCAACGACGAGCAGACCGACAAGCCACGGCCTCTATACCGTCGAGGCTACGACGATAGAGATAGAGGATAGACGGCGGGAGGCTCGACGGGCTGAACGAGGAGCGGACGACGGGAGGGAGAGGCGGGATAGAGAGGCGGGATGGACAGGCGGGATGGCATCGGGTTGGCATCGGGAGGGCAACACGCACCTGTTTTAGCTGCAGCTCGGCGCGCCGTCTGTTGTCGGCATCGGGATCCAAGCTGGCAGCTAGCAAGGACCTCACGGCGGCGGGATCCATGGCGATATGGGGGGCGGATGTGTATTCGAGGTCGAGGGCGACGACGACGAAGGTGGGAGGTGGGAGAGGCAGGATCTGTCAAGTCAGGTTGGGAGCGGGCGGCGGATGCGGATGGCGGGGCATCCAGCAGCGGGCGGGTTGGCGGGTTGGCGGGTTGCAGTAGCAGTACCAAAGTAAACTTAGCAGGAGCAGCACACAAGCACACAAGCTCTCTCTCTCGCTCTCGCTCTCACAAACAAACGACTCGGTCTGGGACTCAGAAGACTCGACGCAGCAGGGACCACCAACAAGTGCCAAAGCCAGGGCAGGGCCGGTGTCAGTGTTCGGTACCAAGTGCAGCCAAGTGTGTTATTAGTGCGATAGTGCTAGGAGCCTTGTTAGGGCGCGAGCCAGAGGTCCAAGTGTCTGTCCAAGTGTTTGTCCGGCGTCGCCCAAGCAGCAGCACCACTGAGAGTCAGCAAGTAACTACCTAACTAGCAGTATCTGGGCAAAGACCCCGGCCAGCAAAGGGCAGCAGCAGCCTGCAAGCAGCAAACGGAATACGTCGATGGGGATTGGATTTTGCTAAGTATGTCGATTGTGATTGGGACCGAATAGGGCTGGCGGCGGGTTTGTGTGGGACAGATGGGCGGTACACACTGCACTGCGCTGCACTGCACTGCACACTGCACTGTGGAACACAGTTTGGGACTCGACGGCAGGGACTGTTCTGTTGTCTGTCTGTGTGTCCCCTTTGCTGGTGGAAGGCGTTGGTCTGGCTTTGAGGAAACAGAGGCCCTCATATGGGGGACAAAGCAATCTGATTGTTGCCGAGCGTTTACACTGTAGATCTCCCTGCAATGGCCGTGGTGGATGGATGATACGGCAGACCCAGCGTCGTCTAGCAGCATCATCCCTACATTGTACGACAGCACGACAGCATCGCACGTCTGCCTTCGTACAGTGGCTCGCGACAGCCGCCGCCGATCTCTCCAGGGCCCTCTAGGGGACCCGAGCGGCGCCCTATGACATAGTAGGGCCCCTAACAAGCCCGTGGAACATGAACACCTCCGACCCTTTGAGGGGCCCTTGGGCTTGGGTTCCCCAGAAATAATCCCACCTCAAAGCGTCGCTCAGTCACTCACCTCCCGTGGCCCACACACACACACGACCGAAAAAATAACCCTACGAAACTGTTTGCCACCCTGCCCGAATGGCGGCACGATCGGGTAATAGCCGGAAGAGAATCCGCTCTCATGTCAGGTCGCAACTAAGGGAGGATGGGACCCATCCTAGACGCAGTGACAAGAAAAAAGTCCAGCGGCGGAGGGGGAAAAAAAAATAAAAAAATTGTGCCGCCCGCGAAACCCAGTGAAATCGCATATCGCAGGGTCCCGCGGCCAAGCGTCTCCACCATGCGCGCTCACCGCCTTGGCCACTCGAGGGCTTGGGTGCCTTGGGTCGTGGAGGGGGAGGGGGAGACGGAGGGGGAGCACCTGAAGGATAACCCTGACTTCTTAGCTCCAAGTGGCTGGCGGGAAAATCGAGCATGAGAGACGATGATGCATGTTGCATGGATTATGGGTGCATGGCCAGACCGTATGGGCAGGGGTGGGTTTTCAGAGGTAAAACCGCTTTGTTTAGTAAAGCAAGAGGTAAGAGTTGCATGAGGCGGAGGGAAACCCACCAGTTAATCCATGAATTAATCCATGGATTAATCCACGAGTTCATACTTTCACTTCCTAGGGTTGAAAGCTATCACAAAGTAAACAATGCCGGCCTCGTACCTCCAGCAACCCACCCACCCGCCTTGGCCGGGCCTGGAATCATCACCACCACCACTCCAAGGGTCCAACCCCCCACGTCCTCACCACAGTGGCTGGCAAGCCATGCTGCGTCGTTGCAATTGTAATTTGTGCACACCTCATGAGGCTGCGCTATCAGACACGAAAAAAAGGCACATTCCATCCCGTCATTTGCCGTACAGCCTAGAGCCGCAGCCATTGCCATATCCCCCGGACCTATTATCAACCACGGACACACCACCAAAGCCATAAGTTATGCTCTCTTGTCTCGAATCACAATGTCTCAGACCCTAGCCCCCCTGATCCTTTCTGCCCTTTTTTCACGCTGCTGTTGCCTATGCCCAGATTCACACGGCGCCATGCTCCCCCCAGGCCTTGTGTCTCGACTCCACGTCCTCGCTGGACGCAGTTCCACAGACGTAACGCGGCAGAACCGACGTAGCTCAGCAGCCCCGTCCTGTGAATGATTGAGCCCCAGGGGATCCAGAGCACAGTCGGGTACATGATCGATCTAACAATCTAGCATGCCTGCAGCTCCTCGCCTCACGTGGCTGACCAGGGACCAACCTGGCCGGGGAATAATTGTCTAGCCGTGGGGTATACCGTATTACTCGGTATCAAGTTCTGTGCCCCTGGGATGCGTTGCGACGTCTGGTGTGCCGTGAGGTCACACCAAGGCAACTCGAGCACCCGAATTGTAGCCTCGGTCTGCTTGCGTGGGTTTTGGTGATGGGATACATGCAACCTCTTCCAAAACAGATCGTCGAGCCTAAATCATGCCCTGATCACCACAAGTCCCCGGCTTTCTTCGTGCCAGCCCTATTGGTACCGCCCCGGAGCATGCAGTCTGCCTTCCGCAGCCCCTTAGACTCTTATTGGCAGCGAGCCTACACTATCACATACATGGCGAGTTAGAATTGCACATGCACTTGACGGTTCGATAGTAGGGTCACTTTACAACAATTCATCCGCACGGCTAAACTTGCTTGAACCAATAACCCGGCGGCTCGCCTGAAGCAATGAGGCGTGGAGTAACGAGGTGTGAAGCATCGAACAAACTACTCCAAGAACACGACATACTTTGGCCAGTACCGGATGTCCTTTCGGCGGTTGTAGAATAATTTCTGAAGTATTGTAGACGAATAGAAAAACCTCAAGCGAAAAGCCCATGAGTTGGCATCTAATCACGGGTTAATTTCCCCAAAATCTCCCACCCCTCCCCAATGAGGTCTTCTTCTTCTTCTTCACAAATCCCCCAGTGTGCACAACTTCTCTCATCATCCATCGAGCTGAAACTCGGTACTTATTTCGCTTGTTGAGGTGGCTCCGAGGGCGGTACCTGAAAACCTTCACCTCACTTTGATTCGCCTTTAATCCTCCTACATCATTCTCACTTTCACGCTCACTCACTCTCATCCTCATCCTTACTCCACTCTCGGCCACACACACTCCATCTCTATCTCCCTGACACTTTTCAACATCCTGTCACTCCACCATTTTTGTCTATTACGCATACACACACCACCCTCTCTCCCCGCTCTGGGACTCCCGCTATCCTCGGTATGGAGCACGTTGCAGACGCCGGGAAGGCGATATCCATCGCGCTGGACGATAAGGTGCGTTCACCTCCACGAACCGCTAGACTCGACCGCTTTCTCACCTTCGTCCCAGTCCCCTGTCCTAGACGAATAGGATCGTCGAGAGCTGGAGGATGTGAAGTATGTAAGTGATGCATGCAGTCTACTTTCTAGCGTTGAGGCTGGTCAGGAGCTGACCTTGATTCTCACCAGCTGCTAGGTCGCCGATTTCCCATCTGCCCTATTCACGCAGGGCGGTTTCCGTGCGTCAGCAAGCCCAGTGTCCAAGCCATCATGGACATCATATTTGCCACGCTTGTGTCATTAAAAATAAGCATATGCTCCTTGTGAGGCCATTCCGCGCTTTCCATGAGGACTGCGACGACCAGTTATGGACGTACAGAAACCTTCCCGCCGACACACAACTTTGTGCCGACAGAATTGGGACAACCACAGTTGAATGGAGAGAGGAGCATCCTTGCAGCGGTCAACAGACGTGCCACTTCTTCTCTATGCCTGATGGAACCTGCGCGAATCCGGACTGCTCAAATTTTACTTGTCCCTCTTGTGGTGCCTCTGACCACCTCCTCCCGGTGCCTTGCTCTTTGTCCTTGGATGCGGCCACGACCAGCTCGGGTGACACGATTGCGTGAGTTAGACCTCCCCTGCATCATGTTTGTGCTGCTGACGTTTATTCATAGAAGACGCCCTGCTCCGGCTGAGGTCCCTCTGCCGTTTCAAGCTCCCGTCACAGCTCCGGCTCTGGCTGCCTCCTCTCCTGAAGTCACACCCTCTACCCAAGCCGCTTCTGTCGACCCTCTTATGGAATGCTATCATACCTGGGAGAGATTCAGAGGCACGATGCAAGAAGAATGGGGTTGCGATGTCTGCATGCGGTCGAGATGCTCCCAAGCGTGGGTTTACCTCACTTGCTCGGCTGAGATATGCGGAATATGTCACAAACCTGGCTTGGTTCCTAACGAGGCTTTGACCCATTGATTACCCTGTTCTCGGTTCCTCTTGTGCATTGCTCCCTCCATCGCATGTAATATGGGGGTCGATATTCGAGGAGATTTATCACCTGAGTGGATGCTAAACGGGAGGATAAGATTCAAGTCAAAATATCGGCAGAGACTTAGTAAAGCTCAGGGTGGCAGTTACTGTATTCCAAAAGCATGATTTCTCTAATCTCGGGATTACCAATGACAAGGCAACTGGAAAACGGGTAGCCACAGCCTGGTTAAGTCCAACATCGATAGTGTGTCTTACCATCACAGCAACTGCCTGTCCATGTTGGGGTGAAAGTCATCATCTAGCCCTTGACCAGCTCCTCACCGACCGCACGACTCAACAGACCGAATGAATTTACCCATCCCATCTCCTTGCGGACGCAGCATCCCGCTCCATTTCAGGCGACCGGCTTCGTCTGCCCCCGATGGGAGGTTACACGGGCGGCCCTCGTGAGGGCCAGATGCGCTTCGGCAACGCAGCACGTGTATAATCTCTCTGCGTCTTTTGGCACTAGTCCGTATCCCTCTCTTCGTTCCGACAGAGTCATTTTAGCCGTGGTCATGCTCTACTTGACCGGTCTGCGTGTAACCGTGTGCGGAAGCGGTGGCGTCTCGGTGAAAGGCACCGGCTTGGGGGATCAAGGGGTGGATGAACCGAGGTAGAGGGTTGGGTAAGACGAGAGAGTACTCTGAAGAAGAGGCCGCAGTATTAGGAACGAAGGGGCTGTTTCTTAGGGCTGTCCGGAAAAATGGACCGCGAGAACGATGAGGATATCAGCAATCCATTCTTCCTACCCTCACTCCCACGAAGATAGGAAAGCCTCAACTAGCACTCAAATGACTCTTGTGAGAGCTACCTCATCGCCCCTTCATCCCATATCATGCTTCTTGAGTACTGGTGTTCCTCAACTGTGCTGCTGACAAGGATGTCTACAGCTTACGGCTACGTACATCAAGCCTCCGGGAAACTACATTGACGAAACCATAAGTGTACGGCATCCCTTGTCCAATGTGAGAGGTGTGGCATGGTGTTCACGCAGTCATGCAGTCATTCGAGGAGGGGATAGCCAGAGATCTTTGGTCGTCTGAAGCTCGCGGTGGTCTTGGTGGAACACCGCCGCTGTTCACCATATATGAAGCCCAACACCACCCGAGCTCGAATGACAGATAGGAGGCGTTGTCTACCCATACAAAAAAAAACATATCTACCAGTTTCAACCCTTCAATGACCATGCAATCATCCTCTACATTTAGCACCACTCCCTCCTCCCTCTCCGCCCACGATGCCGAACCAGCCAGCCACCAAGTCTTTCGTGTCGAATCGCCTCAGAACCACCACAAACTCTTCATCCAGACCAGCTCCGACATTGTTCGTAGCTTCTTTGCTCACGTCATCCATACCGCAGACACCTCGCAGCCGGCAATGACCTTTGTCGAGGACGTCGCAGACACTGCAGATCCTCTCGCGGCTGCCCTCAACATTCAGCACCTCGGCTCCGTCGCCCCTGGGGACTTTGATCGCCTCCGCGCAGCTTGCCGCGAGAACCCGCCACCGGAGAAGGGCCCCACTGAAGAGGAAGGCGAGGAGGAAAATCTCAGGCGCAGTCGTGTCTGGCTCCACGAGTTGGTCCACGTATTGGTTAGTGACGGCATCCTAAAGCCGCCGCCGTTGCATGACGACTCCCACTCTCACCACCGCCCGAGACACCATCATACGCATCATTGCATTCATCAACGACTCCACTGCCATCATCCGTATCGAAGACGTGGCCGCCAGCAGTTACTCGCCAACTCTCTGTTAAACCCAGCAGCAACGGTCCAGGAACGATGATCACACCTGATTAAGAGTATTAACGGTAGCACTAGGCTTGGCTAGACATAAGAGAGGACAACAACAAAGAGGCAAGGCGGATTGTGGGGTGCACTAAACAGTGCCAGATCGCTTGTATTTTAATAACATGATCCAATGAATTGCCATGGTACTGAGAAAGAAAATGCCTCCACGAAAATCACAAACATTCCATGCCGGAGGGATATAACAAATCCAAACCGCAATAATCCCACGTAAATCCAGACCGAGGAGTCAAACAAACAAACCAACCAACCAACCAAACATCTATCCACTCAAATCCAATCATTGATATGCGCAATACAAAAAAGTCTCTCGACATAGGAATCTCCCAGAGTAGTGGTCGGAACAAGATAAGGTCCCGGGACATGAGTGCTGAAACAACCAAGACATGTGGCAACGGAAAGGAGTTGGCCTTTGGGCAGGATCGCAGTGGAATCCAGGCGAAGAGTCCTTGGGCTCATCTCAACCAATCAAATCCTTGGGTGTCCGTAGTTGAAAATCATGCTCGAAAACAGACATTCCAGGAAGGGTAGCCGAGAACCAAAACCGCGGAAGACAGAGGCGAATGGTGGCGACAAACAACTAAACTGGACAGACACCGGTAACACCAAGAACGGCCAGGAAGGCAGACCAATTGTTCCCATGGATATAGGCGAAGAGAGCGTCCAGCTGTGTTGAGGAGGTCTTACCGGGGCAAGCCGTGCTGCACCCTTTCGTTGACAATGATTTTATTTCCAAAGCTGCGGCTCAACAAAAGTTGAATGCTGCGAGGACAGGTAGCCTCTTACCAGTGGTTTGCATGAAGCAACGGCAATCCAAAGGTTGGATGGGAACCCCAAGTTAACGTCGTACCCGGAAGGGACATTTCAATCCTCGGGAGTTGGGAGTCTGAATCCTAACGACGGCAGGGAAGCCCGGGAGTCCGCAAGAGGGAACACGAAAGCAGACCAGAACAAGTGCCATGGGTAGTGGAAGATGTGTTCGCGCCTAGCTGCCATGAGTGAATACTGCTCAGTCAATTTCTGCCGTGAGAGAGTTCAACAACGTCCGCGGCGAAGAGTCCATGAGGGGAGATGAAAAGTGGAACGGGGAAAGATCCTTTGAGAGAGTTGGCTAATATATACAAGCTCTTGGGACTCACCTTGCTGTCCGGGTGCCGGCCGTGCCAATATATTATGAGACATGTCGACGACGGAACCGTCGAATCCCGTTTGCCAAACATGGGGAGGAAGAAAGCACCAGATCCAGGATACGAAAACAAACTCTCCCCGATGGCGGATCCGGACAGCAAGGTCTTATCTGATGACAACGAAAACCACCGCGGGTGCACCGGTCGGCGCACCCTTCTTTTCCCGCCCAGCGCCTTGACCCAATGTAAAACGTATGCAGCATATCTCATCCGTGGTAAATAAAGGTAGTCGACAGGATCCTCATCCAGGGGGCGGGGGCCCATCCATAATGCAAGGTCGTTAAAAAAATAAAATCCTCAAAAGGTATGCGTCAAAGGTCCAGCTCCGGTTCCAGGTATCATCCGTAGTAAAATTGGCAGCAGTTGAAAATCCGGGTTATTCGTATCAAGGGTCCAGTAATGGATGACGACGGGACACCAAAAAGAGGATACCTCCAGCGGGAAACTCCTGCGAGATGCAAACTTGCAACTCTGGGTGGCACCAGCCAGAGAAAGAAAACCTGGGACCTTATCCGTGGAACAAAAAAGACGGGACGAAAGACGTCGATCCAAGGGAAAAAGCCGTACTCCATTTGACCCGGTCATTATGCAGAAATCATCACACACTCGCGAGGGCGGTGGGTAGCCTCGTCAAGTTCAAAGGGGGGGGATCTGTCTCGGTTCTCCAAGGACGCTTATCGACGAGGGGCCCTGTGGTGTCGGTCGGAAGAATGCCTGTCGCTCTCACGTTCACTACGGCGGCTACTCGTACCACTGGGATTTGTTTGAGCATTTGATGGTGTCGCTGAAGTGCGAGTGCGGGGGGTTTCATCATACTGTGGCTGCTGCTGTTGTTGTTGCTGCTGTGCCTGGGTTGCATAACCCTGCTGTTGTTGAGTGGACTGGCCTGCTGGAGACGCTAAAGAATCAGATCCTGTTCCCAACGTGGGCGATATGGCGGCATTATACGCACCGCGACCGTAGAAGGGGTCCTGGGGCTGCATCGTAGCATAGGACTGAGCAGCTGGGGGAGGAACCTGGCTAGAGTACTGGAAGGGAGAAGTGGTGGCCGGGTATCCTGGTTGTGATGCGCCGGAGGTGGCATAGGCGGCCTGCTGAGACGGGGCGGCTGAAGCGGCCGGGTTAGCATACGGGTCATTGGCGGCGTATCCTCTGGGGTTTCGGTTCAAGTTTGTTCCCATGGCGGTGTAGGGGTCCTGGGCTGCCTGGAAGGCCTGGTTCAACACGGAGCCGGACTGGGGAGTAGAGCCGTATCTGGGATCCGTGGGGGGAGGAGACTGTTGGGGCTGCGGGTAGCTCCCATACGCACCACCACTTGTGGCGGCATAGGCCTGTTGCTGGTATGATGAGCCAGCGGCACCAGTGTATCCGGGAGCGCCTGTGCCTGGGTATCTGGGGCCGTCAAAGCCGGAGTCACGAGCATAGGGATCCTGCTGGTAGGAAGCTTCGGTAGGGCCGTGGTGTTGACGAGATTGGTGCGTCTCGGAGTAGCGGTATTGTACTACAGGTGAGTTAGATGAGTGTCTCGCGGGAACGCCACTGGCATTTCTCGAGGCATGAATACCTCCAGTGGTATTGCGCGAAGTCTGCGCTCGTCTCTCGCTGTCCCATCGTGCGGAGTCTGCCTTGAGATCCTCAATCATGGCCTGCGAAGTGGGGCCATTGTTAGTACGGAGACAATGGTGCGAAACGCACGGGTGAAAAAAAGATGGTGCGTGGGCGGCTGAGCAGAAGAGGGCTTACTGTTGTTAGGTTCCTGTAGGCGGTGATGTAGTAGCCTTGGACAACTTGGCCGGTTTGCGGGTTCTGTTGAATGCAACTGTGAGCCATTTGATTCCGGTGTGGACAAGGTGGGACGGTGGGGTGGTATGAGTGACGGCGTGAGTCGAAGCCCACAGCACCAGGCGGCCAGCCGTCCATGTTGAGGGCAACTTACCTCGTAGTGGCCGGGACGCACCAAGGCATCGTTGCCCAGGTAGCGACAGATGTCGGCGGAGATGACCTCGCGGTCGATGCCATCGCGAGGCACGAAGTATTCGTTCTGTCGCGTGGCGCCGGCGCCGGTGGGGGGCGGGTTTCGGGATGATCTCGACATGGTCTGAGGAGGGGAGCGTGGAGGATGGAGAGCGGCGACCGAGAGAGGAGAGGGACACGAGAGGGAGTGTCGATGGGAGGAGGGAGGAGGAGTCTGAAAGTGGACGGGAGAAGAAAGAGGAGCGGGCGACGGAGAGGGTGAGGGTGGGAGTGGGAGAGAGAGGGAGAGGTCAGAAGAGCAGGCAGCAAGTGAGGGAGGAGTAGGAAGAGGCGGAGGTCGAGGAAGAAAAGGCGATTGTCGGCGGTGGGAGGTGGGTGGGTCTAGGCGCTGACGAGGGGCAAGACGCCTGGAGCGACAGTGGGACAGGGCCTGACGGCGGCACGCCGTTGGCTGAGAGCGTCGTCTTGGTGGTTGTGGTGGAGGTGGAGGAGGTGGCGAGGACAACGGTGATTGCTGGTGCTGGTGTTGGTGGTGGTCCTGCTGTTGATGCTGCTGTCCTGTAATCGTCGTAGCTGCTGGTCCTCCTGCTGGTCCTACTGGTCCTGATGCTTCTGTCGGACGACTGAAAAACCGCTGCGGCTGGAAGTCGACCTGGAACTGGTACTCCGGATTCCCTTCCTGGTACTGGTACAACGGCTGGTGCTGCTCGACGTGCGTCTGAGCCTGCGTCTGAGCCTGCGTATGCGTCTGAGCCTGCGTCTGCGTCTGCTGCTGCTGTCGTCCTGATTCACCCTGAGTTGTGTTGCCGTAAGATTGGGTGCGGGCGTGACCGCGGCCTGCGGAACGGGCGACAGGGACGGCCGTGACGATTGGGCTGGACCGGCCGGACTGGCTGGACTGGCCGGACTGACACAATGATGTGTTCACTGCTGATGAAGATGGCTGGGCTGGTGCCGCAGCTTGTCCCTCTCCTAGACCGAGCCCAACGACCGCATGCGGGATCTGCGTTGGGGGGTGGCCGTGGTCCCCCCGCCGGTGGAGGCCCTGACCCTGACCCTGCGCGTGGCGACCTATGATGGTGGACCGTTGGACTGGGCTTGCGATGCGGATGGCCTCAGATCCTGGTCCGCACAACCCCGACGTGGACGTGGCGGGCCCTGGACCTGGGCTGGGTCGTTGGCTTGGTCGTGGGCTGGGTCGCGGGCTTGGTCGCCCGGCACTCTGACAGGCTTGGGCTGCTACTTGGGCTGGGCTTCTTCTGCCCGTTTCGCTGCTTCTAGCTTGGGCTTGTTGGGCTTTGACGTGGCCGGGGATTGCGTCTAGACGAGATGGGCCTTCACCACTCCCGCCGCCCTTCAACCAGATCGTCGTGATTGGAACGGGCAGCGAAGCCCCCTCCGCGGCTTCTTCTGCTAATCGAAACCTTGCTTTTGCTGCCGTCGCTGCTGCCGAATCGCCCTCCGTTTCCGATGCCGTCGTCGTGGTTGCGGCTGCGGCTGCGAATGCTTGTGGCGTTGGCTTTGGCTGCGCTGGTCCGGCCGTAGTTGGCAAGTCACTGCACAGCCTGTTGCGACCCTGAAAGGCAATGATGATGACGGTGGTGGCCGGTCAGCCTGGGGAGCGAGAGACGTCTCGTACAAGGCGCCCGGTTCTCACGGGCTTTGCCGGGCTCTGCCGGTAACTGCTGGCTGCGCTGTGCGGTTGGTTGTGCCGGGTGGTGTGACGGACGCAAATGCAACTATCTCTAGTCTGTCTCATTGGGGTATTCTGCTGTGACGTGGTCCCTTGCTTGGGTCTCAAAATGAGTGGTATAAGTACGAGATACAATGTATAGATAGTTGATCGCAAACGGCTCAACGGGGCGTTTATTAGAGATCGAGACCACCGGACCAGAACCGCCGAGCAGTTCAGATCACTGTAATGTCTGTGCTAGGTCAAACCTGCTCATCCACTGTGGATGTGATGGCTAAAGCTTCAGAAACCTGGCTTAAGTTGGCGCTGTCTCGTCGCGACAAGGCTGTTCCCTGTACTGGCGATGCCCAAAACTTGGCCTCGCTTCTTACTTGTTTCTGGTGGATGATGATGGCGGGTACGCGCCTCTTTCTGGATTTCAAGAGGCTAGGCAACACGTGTGCCGTTGTTTCTCCAGCACACTTGAAGTTACGATCGACCGCTGGCTGGGATGTAGTTGCATTGTACGGAGTGCGTGGGCCACTCTCGCTGAGAATTTTGACAGATCAACAATCTAGATGGCTGGCAATGGTGGCGATACTTTCAAGCTTCGTCCCTGGAACGATAGGCAAAGGTGATGCCGAGCTTGGCAAAAGGTTGCCGGTGTCTGGGAAAGCGTCGAAGTCTCGAAGATACCGTATTTCGCGTAGGCAAATTTGAGTACCTTACCTACTCGGGGGAGAGGAATAAGGAATAGATCGTGGCGCCTAGAATGATCTCTAACCCTCCGGAACCACCACGTGTTGGCGCTTTATATCTAATCCCAGGTATCCGAGACTCCCAGCTTGACTTGCCTTCACACCGAATCACATCTCCAAGCGACACGTCTGTTGATGGGGGTCCGAGCCTCGCCATCTATAGACGCACTCCATACTCGACTCCATCGCAATCCTTGTCTGCTAGACGCCTGTTCTCATACGGCCACCGCTTCCGTGTTTCCTTCCGGTTGCACCATCTTATGCCCAGCTGCTGTCGTGGGGAGTTGGGCATCCTTCTCCATCACGTCCAACGTGTATCGTCGAAGGAAGCGCTGCCAGCCATTGGACCCACAATTGACAGGCGACGTGTTCCAACAATGCCGCTCTGTCATGTGCTGCTAAATTCCGGGATGACCTCAGCTGCAACCGAGCGACTGATAGAGTTCGACCAGTCTGGGTTGGTTGACTGCACTTTCGTGGTTGGGTTGGGTAGCAATGCCTAGACCAAATTGCCGCCCAATGCAGCGCTACCCGTCGCGCTCCATCTGTTCGATGCCCAAGACGAAACTAGCCAATCACCGCTGTGCAAGTCGATGAAAGTGAAAGGCACCACGAAAATGAATCCTGCATGGCAACAGATGACAACCAGGTCGTCTGCCTGATTCAGGAAGTGCCTTGGCTCCATTCACCTCCTTGCCGCTGGTCCCATCCCCCGTTTCGTCGGTCATGGGACACCTAGCCAGTCAATTCTCTCCAGCATATCCAAATCTGCGTCGTCCCCTGATGCACGTCTAGTTGCATTGCCTCATACGAAGTATGTTCTGTCATGGCACCTGGGAGACGTTCGACATGAACTGCGTCGCCACGCGGACGCAAATCCCCGGTTCTGGCATCCGTCAGGCACCCATGGCTTTTCCCAGAGACCGTTTCAAAGGCCGTCGTCTGGTACGTACCACGTGTGCGAGTGAGAATGGCTTCACGTAACCCATCTCGTCATCTGGCAAAAGGAGGTTTTGCACAAGGTGACCTGAAGCTCCTAGGTACGTGTACTTTGGAGTACATTCTCGGCTCTTGACTTGGCGTAAGCAATCAACTCTTCTCGATGGCGACCACGTACACTTCCCAAGTAGCTGCAGTTATTGGTTCGACCTACCCCGGGCCATCTCCAGTAGTTCAAGAGACAGATTGCTTCTGTAGCCGATAGGAAATGAAACTCTCGCATCCGGTCTGGGGTTTATGATGGGTCTGATCGTATCTGTGTTATGTTCGTTCGAACTCTCTGCCATGGTCTATCGCTAGGTTCAGATAGGATTATCCAAACCGGAGACGGCTTTGTCCTTGCTCTAGCTTCCCGCCTCTGCCGCGTTTCGACGATGCACCCTGCCCCTTATGCGACGAGTTGCGTGGGGTTGGTGGCCGTTCAGCGAATACAGGCTTGACACGTTCTGCGTCTTGGATATCTTTGGCTAGATGCCAGTCCTCATGGCTCTGCAGCGCGTCTGGGTCAATAAAGCCGGCCTTGCAGCGAGAACAGGCAAGGAGGTCTGCGGAGTACAGACCGTGCTCAGTCTGGGCGGTTGCAGAATCGCTCGTACTCGGTTGACCGACGGTTGGACCCAAGTTCGGTATCCCGAGCGGACGAGAGGGGAGGTCAGTCTCACCGCCGGCACTAGACTCAGCTGCATCGACCGGGCTTCCATCAGCGGAGTTCTTTTTCGCAAAGAACCGGTGTATTCCCCCGTCCCCCACTCGGCGTTTCTTGACTGGTCGGTCGGGTTCAGTAGACGCTGGACGGCTCCCCCCCGTCGTCGCCCGGAGAGCCTCGGCTTCCTCACCTTTGACAAGGAACCCATCGATGCCCATGTTTCCCTTGACTCCATCCTCGAAACCCCCGACACTGAGACTGAGGTTTGCACAAGGCCAAACTCTTCCTTCGCTTATGATTTGGGCGAGCAGGTCCTTGGCAAGATCCAAAAGGGTCTGCTCGTCCAAAGACTTTCCCTGTGGGATAGGTCCCTGTCGGGATCGCGTCTGGCCTCCATGGCGATGGTGCAGATTGATGGTTCGGGGCCGCCGCTTGTTCTCCAGGACGCCTTCCTCAACCAATCGAGCATATATGTCAGCTACAAAGATTCTGAGCCACCGGATGGCCTGGTCTGGGGTGCTGATCGTGGGCCTGAAAGATTTTGCAGACAACATGGATTTGATTTGAGTCCGAGAGTTGACTTCGCTATTGTCGATACCTCTGATGGTATTGTAGACCCACAGGCCAGTGTCATTGCCAAGTTTCGCTTTTATCGTGTCCAAGGGAACCTCAAGCAGGTCCTTGACATTCTGCGTCTCAAACGTAGTGACTACCTGATCGCCGAGCTTGCCGCCCAGGTTCCGTAGTTTGGTGATTTTGAATCCACTCATGAACGAGTGCACAGCTCGGTTGCGTACAACTGTCTGCTGGTTGGGCTTCTTGAATGCGGAGCCCAGCTTGCTCAGAAGCTTGTTACTTGCTATCCCTGCGGAGCAAGTGTAATCCAACTCCTTCCAAACCCTTGCTCGAACGTCGCGAACGATCTCGGATCCAATGAGTATGGCCACATCATCCCAGTCGGGGTCGATGGTCTCTTGCTCCTCATTTAAGTCAATCAGAGCATCTGCCTGCCAATCCAGTGCGGAGACGGGCGGGAGTGGAAGCCTCTCGGTTGGGTCATCATACGGCGGCGGGTTCTTCAGTTCGGGATATCGTTCAAGTAGGATGGAGTGAACTTGGCTGGATAATTCCAGGAAGACCTCGTCTATTCCTGCTTTCTCCACCCTCTGCAGGTCGGCCGGCAGAGAATCCTTTACCAAAGCCAAAATCTTTCGTGATTCTAGCCGATAAGGGTCAAGAGAAACCTTGTCGGTGGAAATGTTCGCATCGGCATCGTCTCGGTAGGCCCACTTGTCGTCGCCTTCTCTCCATGTTGCAACATGAGGGGCAATGAGATCGGGGCATAATTTCGTTGCCTCTGTAATGGTACAATGGCGCCCAATGCCCCATTCGCGAGCGGGATAGTTGACGGCAATCAGGGCCTGCCTTGTAGAATGTTAGCAAGCTGAGCAGTAAGGACAGTAATGAGCCACGTCTTGCGCTAACTGAAGCAAACTTGGTAACTCAGAGGGGAGAACACCAGCGAAAAAGCCGATTAGAGGCGACAGGAAATAAAAGCGGTGAAAGAAAATAATGAGAATAGATGATGGGAGAGAATCTCCTCCAAAACTAAAAGGTTGAGAAAAGGTGGATGACTGCTGTCAACGCAAGAACAAGCGAATAGTAATGGGTGGGGCAATAACACAACTAGAAAAGAAGACCTGACAAGAAATTGAAGACATTTTGCTGCATCACAGACCACTAAAGCAAGGATGACCGGGGGCTGCACCGGATGGAGACAAAACCCGCCACACCACATGGCGGAGCTGCAAGAAATGTGACCAGTCTCCGAGCCACCACTGACGACGTCGTTCACATCCACAATTAACTCACCATTGCTGAACGGCAAGCGGTTTGTCCTTGGGAACTCCGAGCCGTACCATCTCGCACTGGGCGTAGAAACCATCCAAGTCGACGTGCGCGACTACACGCAGGGGATTCGACGTGCTAGACGAGGCTAGCTGCGAGAGTTGGCGGTACGTAAACTGAGACCGTCGAAGACCGCCCCCATGTAGCGGAGAGGAAGCACCATGGCGGTTGGGCGGCGTAGATGGCATCTTGGTGGTGGTGGTGACGTGGGATGCCAAACAAAAAGCATTGTGATTCGCGCGGGACAGTTCGGTTGGTCGCGAGTCGCAGCCGATAGCTCCGATCAGCCGATTTTCTAGGCCAGTAAGACAGAACAGGGGCGAGTCTTGACTCAGTTCAGCTGAAAGCGAACCTGGTCCATCTGATCGAATTGATTCTTGAAGGTGACTCTGCGCGGCATGGAGTTGGTTGTTGTGGAGGATAAGACTGAGAAGGTGAGAGGAGCCCCGATTTGTTACTGGTGGACAGAGAAGCCTAAGATCCGAGGCTCCACTAGCACTGCACCTGCAGGAAGGAACGCCACCGACGAAGGACCCACCGGGCTTGTAAATCTCGCTGGAAATTTGACCGGGCTTCAATTTGTGGTGTAAACGGGACGGCTAAGAGGATGCGGGATCCATTCGCTCTGCCTCTAGTGCTTTTGGCCGAAGGCTGAGGGTGCATTGGTTTACGCTCGGATTCCCTGGTAGTTCATTGCAATATGGCGAGTCTCGGGCAAACGGTTCATGCATTCGGCCCAGCTGGTGTTTGACTGCAGCCGGCTCCTTGGGCGCTCACTTCAAAACTCCATCCCGTTTTCTCATTTCTTGTTCGCGTTCCATCCTTGGCCTTGTTTATTTTCCCACAGACCGTGCTATCCCCACTCCCGTGCCCCTTCTGGATCATCAACTATGGGACCAATCACGTGCGGCTGAGGTTTGTGCTCCGGACTTCTCCACCAGGTGCTCCGGCTCGGGCCTCTGCGGGGCCTTCCGCCGGGCCGTTTTGAACAAGTCGAATCCAACAAATCACTCTATCCTACGCTTACCACTGTGGCGAAACTCGGTAGATCGGATCATCTCTCTTTGGGGCTGGCTCTACCATCCATTCTCGCGAGGTTCGAAGACACTCAAAAGACCAACATGGATCGCTAATGCTGAGACTGCGAGGACTCGAAGTCGGACTCATCCAAACAGGCCTCATTCTCAAGTAACCTCACCAATACAATGGCTCCTTTTTCACACTTGCATCGCGGAGTCTGCACATCGTGTCCCAGGAATAATATTACACCAATCCATAATGACAAATTCAAGGCGCCTTAGCATTCTCTTCTACAGTCCACACAATCCCACACATTACAAGCTTTCCTATTTACAAGCCCGCCATTAAGCTCAACAACCCATATATTGCACATCCAATACGCTATGCACGCGATGTTTCTTCCGTGTTTACCTTACGCCAGGACCAGCCAACTCAAGGGGGTATCAATATCGGGGCCTAGTGCCTCGATGCTCCAGCACTGCGCATTTCAATTCCATCCGCCGCCGGGGTTCCACTATCGGGGATGCCATAGCGTTTCTTCAACTTCTCTACAACGGGCCCAAATTCATAGTCGCTCTCCATGCTGTCGTGGTTGCAACAAGGTGAATGCCAGATAGGGAGTAGCCACTCCAATATGGAATTGCCCATGACGGACTTGCAATTCTTCCAAACTCCAGTGTCCCATGGGTTCTCTCCGGGCTCTGTCGCGAGGATGGCGAACGTCCTTTTAGCCTGCTCATCCCTAGGCGACGCTGGGCTCATGGTGCCCATCGAAATACGAGGAATATGATTCATCGGGACACCACTCTGTCCCCAAGCAGGACTTGCGAGCGGGTAAGTGATGGTCTGGTATCGTTGTGTCGACGGGCTGTTCTGGGGCACGCGTACGGCCAATCGGAAAGACTGGCTCTTCTTCAGCATGTCGATGTTCGTGATATTAGTGGCGATGAAACGAGCTGAGGTGAGAGTCATGGCAATCGTGAAGAGCGCAAACAACGATCCGAGAGCAATGCCAGCGACAATTCGACCATCCAAGGGCCGATCTTCGTTTTGCTGCAATCGCAACGAATATGCAGCTGTTGCAATGCATATGATACAACATATACTACAATAAAAGGTAAACTGCGCGAAGAAGTTGAACGCTGACAGGTGTTAGCATCGATTCGTTGAGATCAGCCAAGCCCAGAGCAGGCGACTCACAGGTCTCGGATACGACACCGCCAACCCATGGGCACAAATGATCCATCTTTCGGATGCAACGATCAATCTCACTTGAATGGTGAGCACGATCCGGTTTCCATGTTTGGCAGTCGGAGCACCATTTCGGTCGGCCATCGAGTTCGCAAACGAACACATCCTTGCTATAGAAAGCCTCGAGCCCAGGGCTGTCGGGGTTTGAGTCTGGCGGAACCCATGGGTGCGTTTCGATGTCTCCTCCTCGATATCGTTTGTTCTTGCGCCCCTTTTCGATCGCTTGTCGTTCGGCAGAGAGTGGGACGAGACCCGGGTTAAATTGGACCGTGAAGAAGGTTCGGAGGTACGCCGCGATGGTGAGGATGAAGAAGACAAACCACAACACAATGAGTGTTATCGCGATACCCGTCTTATGTTCCTGCCGATACAAGTAGTTGACTGCGCACAGGATATTGGTCAGCGGGCTCCGACGGGGCCGTCAAGAGGGTCAAGGTTACATACTACAGAGATGCGGGACGACAACGAAGGTGGCGAATCCAAATGCAGCCGCTATGAAGAAGGGGATGATGCGCACCGTCCACCGGGTCTCGGCGCGGTTGCTTGTGACCGGGCGTGGCATGGCGGCATTGCGCCCCCGTCGACGATGGGGCGGGAGGTGAGGTCGGACGGGACGGAGTGTTGCGGCGATGATGCGACCTCTGGTGGTGTTGTTCTGGACGAATCGACATTGTCTTGGTTGGCCACGGATGGCAACTGTTAGTGGAGGTCCGTGCGCCTGGTGGTCCCAGGCTTGCCGTGCTTACGAGTACAGTGCGCGGTCTGGACAGTACGGAGTACTGGGCACGTACCTTACACAGGGCTGCGACCAACACCATGAACAACACATCACGATCGAAACATCAGCAGACAACAGATGTAATTCCAATAAGTCCTTACAGACTTATTGGTGTTATCCCGATGGAATTTTGGTCTTTCTTCGGAGATATTTCATCTTTTGAGAGTGGATATGAACACTCCTCGCCTGCTCATTTCAAAGACGCGTCTTCCTAGCGACCCACCAACGAGGGCTCAGCCATCTTCAATCATGGTCGATTCGACTGGCCACATTGCTTTAAGCAGATGCAGCTCACCAATTGGCGGTCGTTTATGCGCAATCCTTCTTCATGGCCACCGTTGTATCGAGGTTTCAGCACGGGCAAATCCCTTTCCCTCCCCCCCCCCTTTTCTGTCCGTTCTGACTTGTCATTACGCACCCCCCCCCCCCCTCTCGTTCCATGTTCATTTGACCTGTCAAGTATCGCCTCACATCGCTGTAAGCAGAGAGTGGCTCAGGAGCATATCTGGAGGGGCCCTCTCCTTTGTCTGCTAATCTTTCAACCTATGCTCTTGGCTCTTTTCTCAAATTCCGCCGATTTCTGTTCAGGGGGTCCAAGCTTTTGGAGGTAAGGAGAACCTGGGCGTGGCTCCTGAGCTTCTTGAAGTCTAGACTCTCCATCTGATGAGCCTGTGTCCCCTCACAGATGAGTGGTTTCTGCCTGACAACCACTCCCACGCCAAGATGCCTCGCCTTTCGTGGGGGAAGTTGGGTCAACACCGACATCATGTATCCTACTTGACACAAATATAATAGGCAGTTAATCATCTACTCTCTTGGGCTGCCTTGTGTTGTTCCAAGTGCTGCGGGCGCGTACTGGGTCGCATCTTGCTATAATAGTGCCCGATGTGAATCCACGCTCCGCACATGATGAATTGTTAGGCATGCCAGCATGATGACCCAGCCGCACAACGGATCCTTCGCCCAGCTCCCAGCAAAACAAGCGCAGTGGGCAGAGCCTCAGGTGTCCTGGGCGCACTACTGATTACAATTCAAGCTTCAATTTGTACACATCGCGCTATGGGTGATCAGGCTCTGTGGCTTGCACTTTTCGCGTTTCCTAGAGCCGCAATACTCTTCCTTCCATAAATAAGGAGCCAAGGGCCCATCGGGCGGGTTTGATACGCGTCTGTCCTTTTATTTCTTCCCTTCTCGACTCTGTCGGGTCTGCTGCGTCCTTGACAGCTCAGCCTGGGATTCAAATACTCGTTGCACTTCTAAGAATACGACGACTTCGATGCGACCTTTACACTCACCATATACTACGAGAATCTTGCTTGTACGCATCATGCTAGGTGTCTATTGTCAAGGTTATTAGGTCATCCGCCCTACAGGGCCGGCCTGTCACCTCCAGACACTACCCCTAGTTGAAGGCCAGGGGCGACCGATCGAAGACGACAGACGAATTACATGCCTACACATAAGACAGGGTCTCGGAATACGAGAGAAATGCAAGTAAAAATTCCAACATAATCAAATATGCGTTACTCTATTTTCTCAAGGATGAATCAGAGTCGTGCAACTCATGGCGTGCAGAAAGGGCATCCAGACGCTGGCTTACGTGAATACATCTGTGAGTGGTTTCGCTTCGTACCTGCGAGCTTCGACCCTGCGACCCTTCCTTCCCAGGTCACTCAGCGGCCCCACCAAACCCCAAACTCCGACTATCTTTCTAAAATGGTTAACATCGTTCTTCTTACTTATTCTCTTCCTCTTCTCCGGAATCATCTTTATCCCGATGCCAACTCTTATCTCGATCGCGGGGTGGAGGGAGTGGTGGCGCCTGTCAGGGCCCAGGCTGTCCAGCCTGCCATTGGCTCTTCTCCTCCCACCATCATTCTCAGGGCGACATGAGATGCATACGGAACATTGCACGTTACCGTCTGCGCGCTCCATGCTGCGTCATAGCAGTTCATCGCCCCAAGCCCTACGAGACGAATATGGTTTATTTCAACTGACTTCCCTTCTACATTTAGCCGTGCTCAACAGCCTGAGAACCCGGCCACCGCCGCCCTCCGATTCCCTCGTTCACCCTCGCCGCTTGTTCGCACCAAAGATGCCGCCTCTCTGGTCTACGACGGTCCGCCCGGCCGAACTAAGCCCCTCGCCGGTCGTGGGGACGTGTTCTGAGGAAAGAAGTATGCCTAGGCGAGATCTTTTCAAGGCTCCAACCCGAGGAAACCGCCCTAAACAAACGCTTGTGGGGCGGGCGCTGTTGCGTTGCGGCTCAGCAGAGCCTCCGTCACACGCGCATGGTGCCCGATTACGCCGGTTCTGTCTCGAAAGCGACTGGTTTTGTGTACGCTGGGATTACAGCCTGGCGGGAATAATTAACCAATGCGGAAATGCAGAAGTGTACTATTTTTCGACGGCCACCTTCCAGGAACTTCCAGCCCTGGTCCGGAGTGTGCGTCCAGGCTTATGCATGGAACTTGCTCACACGTGCTGTCGCTGTCCGACCTTACATTCCCCAGATCACAGACCACGACCAACACATTAGTCTTGATCAAGCAAACCCACAAAGGCCCGCATGTCTCCTATTTGTTTATATCACTGCGGGCACCAGCGCCTCAGATTCAACGTGGCACAGCCCAGACGCTCTCGGACCTCCCTCCGCTTCGTCCCCTTGCCAGGCGATGTCGTTCCAATGGTACAAGAATTTGGTCCCGTGGACCAGTCTTCTGTGGCATTGCCATCCCCTAACCAAGGCATTCGGTCAACTCCTCAGCTCCTAACCAATCGAGCAATGGAGCAACGGGCGGTGCGAACGAAGCCCACGAACAGGAGCCTTCCCTTTGCTCCGAAGCAACACGCTCCACTCGGCAAAGACCACTCGGCGAAGACGACCCGGTTGGAAAAGACAAGATTGGGATAATCACAGGTTGAAAGGTTTGCAAAATGCCTTCGGCGAAGGCTCTCCACCCCCAAGCCAATGCCAATGGTATCGTATCGTGTGTCTGAGGCGAGGCATCGGGGGTTGTGTAAATGACGAAACAGCTGAATTTCCAGTTGCCCATTGTAATTCTCTCCAGCTATATAATCCTCGCCATTTCGTCCTCTTGGATATTTCACTAATCCCAAGCAAATTGCCCTCTTGGATGCTTCATTATCCCCAAGCAAATCGCCTTCTCCAGACATCTCAACTCCAGCAGCAACGCACTCATCTCGATCAGCAGAGAAGTCCCCTGACTTCCTTTTAACCTCAACAATCCCCTCTCGATCGCTAAGATGCCTCGCAATACTTCGAGCCGCCCTACCACCCGTATGTGGACATGTCACAATTGTTCATACGAGTGGTGTGAGAGCACCACTCCGTCGTGCCATAACTGCCAGCACTCTAAGTGCGGCATTTGCACCGTTACCCTTATCGTTGCTCGGGAGGATAAGTGACTTATTCGAGACCCGTCTACTCCCGCCACAAACATCAATCATCCTCCGTCTCTCAAATGCCCCTGCTAGGCAACTCGGATGATGATGACAAGCCGGGAGCGGTCATAAATCCGGCAATCGGAGACGACGACGACCTGGAGAGTTCGAAAGCTGTACAGTTAAAGACGCAAGTCATGATTCGCGATGGAGTTCACTTTGTGGGTTTCTGGTTTTGTGGCTGGGGTCCAACTCTTTTCCCTGCTTCGTTGGGAATTCCGGGGGTTGTCTTTCAGGGGGATTTGATTCGTCTCATTATCCTCAGGAAAGGCTAGTCGGGATGGTGCCCAGAACAACGCCCAGATATTTTCTTTTCTTCAGTATTTGTCTTTAGTTTAGTTTTTCCCCTTGTCCTTCTTTTCGCATATAGACTTGCTTTGTTTCAATACACTACTCGTTTCGGCATTGACCAGACTGTCCGACGTCTCGTTCCGCCTCGTGCTATTTGGCTCCCTTGCACGAAAGGGATGGTGATATCACACATGTCCACAAGGGGTGAATTCCCCTTAGGAGTGTAACCGTCGCGAAAGCAATGGTCACACCTGTTCCACGGTGACATCAGGGCAGTCCGAGGTCCGGGGCCGGGTAGTAGACATCCCCGGCCGTCACCGGCGTACGCGATGGTTATGGTGTGGGTATCTACATCTCCCTTCTCAACTGTGGTTGATCCTTTTTTGTGTAATTTGTCTAGTCTATAACTCTCTGTGTCATGCTCCCTTGTAGTTTGCCTACTCGGCGCAAGTGGCTCAGCCATAGACTAAACCAGCTCAAACTCACCAGCACTTAGACCATCACGTTCTCCCGCAATGACTGGTAAACGGTACCGCAAGCGTTGAAATGACTCCACGGTAAGCATTTAGTCTCCAGCGACCGGCGTGGGAAATTCCATGTCGAAGCCGCCCGATACGTCACCGTAACTGCACTGAACCAGACGGTCGGGACGGCTCCGCCTCAGGCTCAGCCCGCACCGGGTCAAAAGACTGGTCCTCAATTCCTAGGCACCTACTTGCGTAATTCTGTCAGCTCGAGCACATGTCTCCGGCTTCGGCTGGTTGCTGTCTCCCCCAGAAGCTGACCGTCTGTAACGCTGGGCCAACCTCGGCCCACAGCCTCGCCAACCAAATGACATTTGGCTCACTCTCTTGCTCAACTCCCACTTAGCTAGTCCCTATGTTTACTACGAAGTAGTTTTTGTCTTTTCCCTTCAATACCAATCCAATATGATTTGTAATCCCTGGAAGTCTCTCGATCGCGCACAACTTCTCCTCCTATTGCTCGTCCAGCTCCCAAGCACCGCCTCAAAACTCAAAGCCCGCGTCTGTCCGTGTAAACCGCCAGGATCAACTCTAGACATTGACCCTAGTGCCATATGTTTTCTGCCAGAGCTAGTTACACTGAGCTAGAAGCTCGTGATAATTAGGATTCGGCACTCCACGGCGGGCAACCACAGTTCACTCCACCACGAGTCACGCTGAGTTGAAAGCGGCAGTCCCGAATCGGGCAGACTTCAATTCCCGCCATGGCATTGATTGGCGATGGCACGGTCATAGCCGAGGCTGTTTCCCGGGCTGAGAGGGGACGAACAAATAAGAAGCCCAAAACGGCCATTTTGCACAAGGCGACCAACGAGGCAACGGAGCTAATGAGGCGGGCCACCAGCCCAGAGAAAGCGGTGAAGTCCAGGCCGGTCCAAGATTACGACATTTGTAGCCAGGCTCCAGGTACCTGGTAACATGGCGGAGAGTCAGAAGTCTATGCTGGAGGGGTGTGTCATGACGTTTCAATGTCTCGTGGTGGAGGCGTAGTTAGTGTGGTGGCTCCTCTTACACCGAGAATACCACCTCACCGACACTTGAAAAATTCAACTCCAATCCATGAACCAGGAAACCAGACGATGATTCAGGGCAAGAACATGGTATCATCACAGCCACTCGCCAGCTATGTCATTATGACGGTGCATAGCCCGCATCGCATGAGAGTCACAGGGTTTAACCAAAAGGACGCGGCTCATCATATTTGCTAACGCGAAACAGAAATACAAAAAAAATAACAGATGCCTTCAACAAACCTGCCAGCCACCCTTTGTAATGTACAATGCCAGCCGGTTTTCGCCTTAACGCCTTGGAAAACATGAAAAGCAAAAAAGTCGAAAACGCAAAAAGATAGTGTTGAACCAACCCCCTTGCAAAATCCGAATATCAAAACCATTGCCTCCTTCAAGCTGGCCCCTCCGACTCAACCCTTTCGGTTCAGACCCTTCCATGTCCTCATTAACACACAATTCGCTCTTCATATGCCTCCTCTTCACTCCGGCTGAACCACGCGGATCTGGGCGTCCCGCGAGATCTCCACGCCCTTCCGGGGGGACGCCAGTTTAGCAATGGTCTCGGCGACCTTCGTGACTGAGGCCTTCTTCGCGGCGGGTGACTTCTTGACAGGAGTCGTCTTCTTCATCGCAGCCTTCTTAGCAGCTGGGGAGGCCTTGGCGCCCTTGACTCCCTTTGTAATCGCGGCGACAAGGGTGACGCTTGAGCCGCCGGACGAGCTTCGCTGCTTAGGCGAGGACGACGACTTGCCGTAAGTCTTAATAATGCGCTGCGCTGTTGACGCCTTCTTGAGCAGACCGCCGGTTGAGGCGCGTCGCTTAGCGGGGGACTTGGCCCCTGAGCCAGTCTTCTTGGTTGTGACGGTCGACATGCCCTTCTTGAGAGCTGTGGCCGCCGACTTTGCCACCTTGGAACTGGCACTGGACAAAGATCGCTTCACGCCCGTAGCGGGCTGGATCTTGCGCTTCTTGGTCTTGGTGCCGGTTGCGTCGGCCTCATCTCCGATCAGCTCCTTAAGCTTGCGCTTGCCGGCCTTGACCTTGGCCTTGACGGCGTTCTTCAGATCCGCCTTGGGAGGCTTCACCTCGCGGGGCTTGGGGCCCAGGACGCCTCGGCAGTTGGGCTCTTCGCAGAGGCACTTTTGGACGTTCTTGGCCGAGAACGGGTCAAAGTTGTAGTCGTATGTCAGCTCGTCACCCGTCATGATGGGCTTGTCGCCGGCGAAGAGGGCCATGCGAGGTTGCCCCGAGACGATCCACTTAATCATTCTGCAGTTAGGGTTACAGCTGTGATTTACGAACCGGGCAATGCTGCCCGTGGTTGCGTCGATAATCATGTTCTGGTCGAAGCTCATGAGATAGTAACACTGGGTGCTGAGTCAGCAAATTTCCAGATCTGCTCAGGAGGCTGCACCTGTGACAGCAGCACAAAGGAGACGTACCTCATTGTCCTTGTAGACCTCAGTCATGCGGCGTTCGCACTCATCCTCTGTGATAATCTCGCCGGCATACTCCATGATGATCTGGTTTGGCTTGAAGCCGCGGTTGCTGCGGACTCCGTATCCACGGTCTGAGGTCTTGATGACCTCGACACCAACGCGATACTTGCCGCCCTTGGCCCTGCGGGCGGTCAGGGTTGCAAACGCGCGGTTCGCGCAGTATTGCTTGCCGACGTTGCAGTTCAGCTCGTCGCACTCATACAACATAATCCGGTTCTGGCAGCTCTCGCCACATCCATCCTCAGGCTTGCACACGCACTTGGACGAATAATCGTGGAAGTGCGGCGACTTTCGCCAGTAGTCCTTGGACTCTCCAATGAAGCGATCTGAGCAAGGTCAGCAAATGATGTCAATGATAAATAGTAGAAACAAGGGCTCGTACTCTTGGTCATCTTTTTCCACTCATCGGGCTTAGGCTGGCCCGGTGGGAGAGGGTTGCACACATTGTAGGGCAGCTTAAAGTCACGTCCAGCAATAAGCAAGCGCAGACCCGTGAAGATGGGCGAAGGCATCGTCTTGTTGACGCGGCCGCTGGGGATCAGCTCGGGGAGCTGGGCTAGACTCTTCTTTTCGGCCATAGTCAGGCCCTTCGCCATATCCATGGGAGCGTCTTGGCCGGAATAGAGGCCCTTGTCAAGGTACTTCTTCACACGGCGCTTCCTCTTGTTGGTGACAGGCTCGGGCTCCGCCTCCTCGGGCTCCTCGGGGGCTGGCTCGGGCTGAGACTTCCTTCGCGCAGGGGGTTTGGGAGCATTGGGGTCGATAAATTTGCCGTTGGCCCAGACGGTGTGGACAACGGGCTTGTCGTCAATGTGGGCAAACTCCTTGGTGTCCTGCAGACGGCGAAGCTCACGCGACATGTTGGACATGCCCTTGTCGACGGCCTTGCGACTTCGTTTGCTGAGGGCGGACAGCTTGTTAGTCAGAGCCGAGACGGGGACAGGGCCCGAAAGACGCGTCGATGAGCGCCTCGAGGCGGGAGAGTCTTGGAGGCGCTGGCGGCGGGTACGTGGCGAGTCAAGGCGGCCCAGCGACCACTGAAGATCCAACGCGTCGATGCCATCGCGTACAGTCCTTGTGGCCCGGGGACTCGCGCCGGCGGAGCGGGAAACGAGGGTATCGCCAGAAATAGTCCGTCTGCGGTCGGCAACAATGTCGCCCTTGGCGCGGCGCTTACCGTGGCCGGCAGTGCCGCTCAATTGAGCCATGTTGTAGACGGGGGCGCTCACGCGAGCGCGGCGAGGGCGGGCAGCCGAGGGCGGATCGACGGCGGCGACATTGGCGACGGCGGGCGCATCAGGCTCAGAAGCCGCGGGTTCGACGGGAGCGGGCACAGGCTCGTCATCGACAGCAACGTGGACGACATCGCGCTTGGGAGAGTCGGAGTGCAAGCTGGCCGTGTCGGCGACGGTGGTGGGCGGCGTCGAGCTGGTGGACGCGAGATTGGACGAGTCGTCCGTGACGCCGACCTCGAAGCTGCCCTCGGCGGACAGGACGAGAGCCATGGCGGGTGTAAGGCCTTCCGGGACGAGCAAAAAAGAGCGAGGCAAAAGTGGACGCGTAGATTAGAGACGAGAGATCGTCCAGAGCGGCGTCAGAGCCAAAGCAGCGGTCGTGAGTGGTCGAGGTATTATAGCACGGGAGAGAGTTGAGTTGAGTTGAGTTGGTGCGAGCGCAGGTAGCGTGAGCGTGAGCGTGGGTGTGGACTAGCAAACGCGCCGCGTGAGCCAGGTAGAGACTTAGGTAGGTACCTTAGAGAGAGCCGGGGTCACAGCGCAGAGCGGGAGGATTCGTCCAGGTGTGTCTGTCCTGTGCTTTTCTCCCCAGAGCGCGCGCCCTCAAAGCACGGCAATTATTGGAAATAACAACAACGCGGCGGGTAAAAAAAAAAAAAGGGGGGGGGGAAATAGGATAAGACAGAGCCGGAAACTCCGCATATAACGCAAACGGGGGTTTCGTGGTCGAACAAAACAGAAGAGGCTCGTTTTTCTGTGTTTTTGCACAACGCAGTTGCCGTATATCGTTGGCCGTGTTGCCCAAGCTTAATAGGTCAGGGCGACACGCGAGGCCCCGGTGAGAGCAGCGAAACGGCACAAAGGGCGCGTGCCTCACGAGCAGCCGCGGGGGATGATGATCCGGGAGACAAAGAAACTGAAGGAAGAGGAACAAAGGGGGCGAGCTGGACAAAGGCGCCGGGCTTTGGTGGAGCGCCCAAGAGCGTGTGTGTGTGCAGTAGCAGAGGGAATAATAGCACACTCACACGCAAAAGCACACGGGTGAGGCAGCGTTGCGTACCCTTTGGAGTGCGGGTATGTGTAGAAAGGAAAAAGTAGCCGGCGCCAGCGGATTGATGGGCCGCCGTTGGTTTTTAAAAGAGAAAAGGCTGGGTCCTTTCGTTTTCATGGCTGAACAACCTCTGGTACGGTACGCTCCTAAACAGGATGGACAAGACACACACACGCACAAACACTCTCACACCACGTTATCACGCACCTCGACGTTCGCGCGCCCGCCGTCTCAACGGTCCCGTATTCACATCATCACATCGCCTGCTTGTCTGTGTGCCGTGGCATATCTAAATCACCCATGGCCCGGGAATCGCTGCAACGCTTCCTGATTCAGGACCTCGGGAGCCAAACACTCCTAGACAAAAGGTGCCAGCCAGGCCGTGCCGCTCCAACTCGCATGTAATCCGAGGGAGAATCACACGGTCCCTGTTATCTGTTATTCGCCTTGCCTCGCGGTGCCGCAGGTTTACATGGCGATCCGTGGGCCATTTTGTCCCGGTTCTAGAACCGCCCCCCATCTTCCTTTTTGACCACCTCTGACCACCGCCCGCGACCTCCACATAAACACACCCCGGCTATCTACAACCCCAAGCCGCGCCGTGTCTCATCGCCCGCAGTGAGCAGCCCCCATCACTTGGCTCTCCAGCCTTGAGCGATAAGCACCGCCGTCCGTGGCATTTGAGACGGCGTCTATAGCCGGTATAAGTTCGCACATGTAGATATCTGCCAAGTAACATAGAATGAGGGGCGAGTCTATTCGGATCTGTCCAAGTTGAAGGACGGACAACCGGGTAGACTCCCAAGGTACTCAAGACACTCACTCAGCAACCGCCGGGCGTTAGGCTCCGCGAGTAGGAAAAGACTCACTCGCCATGTGGGCGTCAAGTCGCATCTCCCCAAACTAAATGAGACGGTGGCAGTGGGAAGTGATGTCCGTCATCACCCAGTTTGCATCTGATCGACCATCTCACCTCAGCCACTCCGCCAAAAACGGGCACGACTCACTCGTTCTGTGAACTCGAGAGAGTGAGAATAGTCATACAATTATAGCTCCATCACCGCATGGAGATTATTGAGCGCTTTGCATTGTCACACTTGTAGTGTACTGTTGGCCTGGTCGGTACTGATCTGAAGGATTCGCATGAAACTGCTCCTTGGTCGGCCCACGGGAAGCGCCCAGCTGCTGAGGAACCAGGCATTTATCCAGGTGACTCGCTTGCGGGCTCAATGTCATCACTGCATGCTCAAGACACACAAACATCACATCACACCGTCTTTGATTAAGAGCCGGAAACATGGCGCTCGAGAAAAAGTATCTATTCCATCATATCTACCTAACTAGGACAATAATGCGTCCGCAGCGGGGATTCATACTGCCCTGTTTCTCGGCGGGCGCGCACGCGAAATCAAGGGGGTATTGTTTTTGCAGTGTAAACACACACGCACACGCTCATTGCCGATTCGTACGTCGCCTCCAGGCTCCAGGTCAGGTCATGGTTCCACTAGCAAACCCAGTCGAGACCACCCTGGCCGGACTACCTGCGGCCTTCTCCACCAACATGCCGCAGACGGATTAAGGCATCGAGTATCATCCATCTGGTCCACATCTAATTACCCATCTCAATCCCCAAACTCTCCTCAATTGCATGCTTAAGTGGACTTGACCTCGGTCTTGGCCTCCTCAGTTGCGGGCTTCACCTCCTCGGCAGGCTTCACCTCTTCGGCGGGCTTAGTCTCCTCGGCAGGCTTGGACTCCTCGACAGGCTTGGACTCCTCTGCAGGCTTGGTTCGGTCGGCAAGCGTCGTCTCTTCAACAGGCTTGCTCTCCTCCACAGGGGTCTCGTCAGCCTCCTCGACGGGCTTCTCCTCAACGTCAGCCAGGGCAATGGTGAGGCCCTCCTTGACGCTAGGTCCCTGACCACCATACTCCTTGGGCAGCGAGGAGACGATGCTCTTGAGCTCGGTGGCAAGCGTGGTACCCGAGCTCATGGGGTGGAACTTGCGGAGGGTGGCGGGGGCCAGGAAGAGCTTCATGGCGCCGAACATCCAGCCCATGATGACGGGGACGTTGACAAAGTACTTGTGGGCAAGCAGCTCCGGGTAGGCCATGGAGAAGACGGCAATGGTCTCCTTGCTGGCGGCCTTGACGGCTGGGTCCATGCGGAAGAAGCTGACGCTCAGGTAGTCGTGAACCTGGATCATCTGGTAAGGGTCCTCGCCGCCCTCAGGAATAGGCTCAGTGACAGCAGCCAGGTTGAGCTTCTGGACGCTCAGCTCCATAATGGCAGCGCGCCACTTGATGAACCTGGGGATGGTGTTAGTTGGGCTTCACTTGTCAAATAAACAAGGGAACTCACTCCTCAACATTGCCAAAGGTGGCCTTGTTGTCCTTGACAGCACCGTAGATGTTCCAGGTGATGATGGTCTCCTTACCATCATCGGCCTTGTGGATGGTGACGAAACCAAGGTCCTCGAACTTCTTCTTCTCGAAGGACTGGGTCACGAGAGAGCCAGGCTGCATCTTCTTGCGCCACTCCAGAGCCGACGTGAGCTGCTTCTCGGCGGCGGCGACATCGTTGTTGTTGGCGCGCAGGAACTTCTGCAGGACGACCATGGTGGGGATATGCTCGATGTCGGACAGCTGGACTCCCCACATCTCACTGTGGCCAGCCGCGGCGGTGATGTCGGCGAGACGAGCATTGAGCTTCGCCACAGGACTCTCAAGGGGTGCCGGGGCAGGGTCAGCGGGCTTCTCCTCAGCCTTCTCCTCAGGTTTCTCGGAATTCTGTTCCGCAGGCTTGTCCACCGGCGTCTCGGCAGCGGCAACCGCGGGGGCCGCAGGAGTCTCCGCGGGAGGTGCAGCAGTCTCCGCAGGGACAGCGGCAATGGTCTTGTCCTGTTCAGTGGCCATTGTGATGATGACGGACTAAGTGGATGAGATTTGGAAGGGCGATGATGATGAAGAAGTGGTGTAGGTGGCTGGTTCCGATGACGGCGAGAGACCAGAAAATCGACTGATGGGGGATGCTGTGAGCTCGAAAGGGGAAGCAGGCAGCTTGAAGTAGTCGCAGACAAGACGCGGCAGACTGACTTTTTCAAACTCTCCCAACGCGTTTGCGTTTGACTCGAGACGAGACGAAGATCGAAATGTAAAACAGTCGAAGACCGGGATGATGGCTGTCGGGCGTTTGGTCGCAATGCAATTGAGTGCAAGCGGGATAGGAGTCGGGTGGATGCTGCTTGCAAGTCGACGGCAGGGGAATCTTTTGTTTGCATCCACGGATCCAAGCCGGGCAACGCGTGGGTTGGAGCTTGGCAACGGGTGTGCGCTGTGATAGGCCAGCCCGCAATCTCAGAACAGTTCCCCGGGCGGGCCCCCTCCACTATCATCCACTATTGCAGCGGATGCATCAGTGCATTTCAGGGCCTCGAGGCCGTCCCGCCCGCACTGGGCAGCCCGTGGCCCCTGCTGCCCCCGCCCCCCCCGTTGGGCCTTGTTGGACGGCACTGCAATGCGTTCGATGCGTCGGCTTATAGGTAGCGTCGCCCTGGGGCCTGCATTGTCGCCCTGCATTGTCGCCAGGTACAGACAGTAGTAGTAGTGCACCGTAGGTACATACCAATGATACCATGTGTACGGTTCCGACACACAGCTGTCGTGTAATTAACCCAGCGTCTACGGGTCCGTTATGCGTCGCATCAGTGCGGCATGAACCCGATTGATCGGAATCGGCAATGGATTCAACGAATTCCAGACCTGCTCCTGTAAACCGGCGGTCGAGGCCGCCACATGCTTGCATATCTGATGCCAGGGGGAATTGCCCTGCTAGCCTGCCAGCCTGCCAGTGATCTAGACCTGGCCCGTCAACCTGGCACGCAGGAACGTTCTGACCGCTCGTTGTCTCAGCGTCTCGGTGCAGTAGCCGGCCAACGCTACAACTCTATCATCACCGCCTCCCGACTCGGCAAGTCGACGCGAGATACGCCGTCGCCATCCGAAGGCCTACAATGTGAGACCCTTGCTGTGGGTATCTTCATGTCGATGAGGATCCCTTCCAAAGATAGGTAAACTGATTTATCACGTGATGGCGCGTCAGGGCCCATCCCCTTGAATGCGCTATGACAATCCCAACTTCATCATGATCACTACCAAGACACTTCACAAATCCCAAGAATCTTCATGTGAAGCAAAGTGTTTTATTATTAGAGACATGCCCTTCCAAATAACAGTCATTCCGTTGCCATGTAGTTCATGCAGTTCATGCTCAAATGTTGAAAGCTAAGCCGTCGGATCTCGCTTCAGGAGGTTGTTATCCCCAAGGTCATCAATCCGCAGCTACTTCCCTGGAAAAATCATCAAAACAAAACAAACCGAGCGAAACAGAGCAATTTCCGGAAGCAAGCCATCCCAGAGTCCCATTTGCATCCACCACAATCCATCCCTTCTCTCACGTGTGTGTGCATCTGGTGTCAGCGAGTGACCAAAAAGTACAACGCCATGGATTGCCCGCGAAGCCCTAGTCCTTGGGGTGGGTGGTTGGCACATGTGCCTGTGGTGTAGAAGGAAAACCCGAAGAACAAGATCCATCGAAAATCGAAGAAAAGGTCGAAAACAGTTGCAAAAACTACCGCCCAAGTCATACCAATCGCCCATGTGTATGAGCCCACTCCAAAACATTTGCTTTGGTCAATTAGTTGCGTGGGAGAGCACGGGAAAGAATTCGCTCGACAGCCGAGAGTTCGGCATGAGCGCACTGGGCGAGAGTCATGTTGTCGAACTCGGGGCCCTGAACGTAGCCAACTTCGTCCCAAAAGTAGCCCCAGTACATGTCAGTATGCTCGGCCTGTTCATGGAGAAGAGTTCTGTCAGACAAAGGAAGCGCGAAGACGTCGCGGTGGGTCTGTTCACGAATGACGGCAATGTACCACTAGGATGATGTTAGTTGTCGGTGACTGAAAATAAAACGTTGGGTGTACTTGCCTCAATGACATCAAGTGGAATACCCGCCTTGGGGACAAGAGCATACTGGTGAGTCCAAGAATCGGCAAGTCGGGGCTGTCCATAGAAACGAGTATGGGCATCCTTCAAACCACCCATCCAAGCGATATCATCCTTCATGACTACGGTGAAACCCTTGCAGGACATGGCAGCTGCTATGACTCGCTTGAATAACTGCGAGCTCAGGTTGACAATGTCATCTTCCTTCTCAACCGCGCGATGAAGAAGACGAACGAGTTCACAAGTGGCATCAAAAATCGCCGTGCGCTGGTAGATCGTGATGTGATCGGTCATGTACCAAGGAAACTTTCGAAGAGTGCTGATGAGGCATTCGTAAGGGCGCTGAGGGCACTCCTTGGAGAAAGGAGACTGTAGGATATTAGCTAGTAGAACCTCAAAAAGGTTGGGTGTACCAACACGGTGGGGAACTTCAACATGCTTGACAAGCATCGTCATTTCTTCAGTGGAGATGAAGCCCTTGAAGTTATCCCAAGGCTCAGCCTTGTTCTTGGGCTTGAATGTGGGCTGTGGCCCATTCCAGAAAACGCCACGAGCAATGGGGAACAAGTCCTTCATGAGACTGGCCTGACTGGACAGCTCTACATCAACGGGTCGGTCTCCCAGACGGCTGATTCGGCCGTGAGAAGAATTCTGGTGGTGTCTCTCGGCAGCTTTCATTGCGTCACCAAGGGTGTGAAACTCAACGTAGGCATCCATCGTCTTGCTCGTGGCGCGCTCCATAATGATGTGAATGGGCTCTTCAGAATCGTTGAGGATCTTGCTGTTGCGGCCGAGGAATGCCACAATCTCGGAGCGTTTGGTAGCGAACGGAATCTAAGATGCGAGTCAGAGTTTAGGATGTACGCCGGGGAGAGAAATGAGAAATCTCACGTTCTTGAGCTTCACCACTCCAAAGTTCTGTGACTTCCCCTGTCGTGGCCCATCCACGAATGGAAAGTTCGCCGGGTCCATGGCCACATTGATGGAGGGATATCCAGAAGGAGTGTTAGTGAGCTCGTTGAGCTGACTGGATCTCTGAGCCTCGATGGAAAGGGCTTGGCCTTGAACCACGCTTCCCTGCGAGATGCTGGATGGGATGCCACCGCCAGTGAAGTAAGGAACAATGGCCCTGTTAGCTGGGGACGAAGTAAATGGGTCATAAACAGAGCTGCTAGGCGAACTGTGTGTCAGATCAAGACCAAACTTGGGGGGAGGCGCGTTGACAATAGGCTGTCCCGAAGTTCGGGGGGCATAGTTGCGTGGCTCGGTGAGTCGACCAGATGTTTCAGGGCTTGCAAAAAGGGTGTGACCATAGGCTCCGCCGAGATGCTGAGGAGTTGGGCCAGGGCTCAGCAAGTGCTGATAGGTCGACATGGCCTGGTAAGAATGACTCTGTGGAAGGCCACCTTGGGCCTGGTAGGAACCAACCTGTCTGTGGTTGCCAGAGTGAATCACAGAGTTCAGACTCGAATTAGACTGAACAATAGTGGCCACTGGCGAACTTGGAGGGGCTGGGGGAACAATCGGGTCACGGGGGAAATGCTCTGGGATTGGCATGCGAGCAAGGGCTTCGATCAACGCGGGAGTAGGGCTGGACGGCTGGACGGCTCCCTGAGCTTGACCAGTCCATCCCTGAGAAGCACCAATCGATCCACGAGTAACACTGGGGGCTCCGTTAGTAGAGCCAATGCCCGTCTGAGACTGCGCGATACTCTCGTTGGTAGAAGTATAGGCTCTGTGCGGATGACTGTGGGAGGCCCGACCAATCCCATTGGCGTTGTTGGGGACGTTATTGACTTGGCCACCCATCTAAGGGACCGTAGTCGGAATTCTGTCAGCCGTGGTGGAGTATCGGGGAGGAGTAGCCCATTTAAAAGTCATCGCCGCTTCCAAGTTGATCGACTCGACCGAGGGGACGTTGGAGTTGAAGGTGACCAAGGGCATAGCTGCACTATTCCTCTGCCCGTTTGCAGGGCTGAACTGGCTAGCCTACCAAAAATATCAGTTATAATAATGCTAGATAGAGGCTCTGTACACTTACCTGGAGAGCGTTGGTCAGGGCCTGATGAGCCGAGGGAACCCAGGACTCCGTGGCCGGGTTCAAAGAGGTTGCGATAGATAACCCATTCTCAGTTCGAGGGGCCATAGGTACAAAATCCCGGTTATTCGTATGCAAAACTCCGTTGGAAGTAGCACTGCCGGACGTGATAACTCCAGGATGAAAGCTTTGAGAAGCCTGGCCGTTATCCGAGTAAAAGGGATCTTCGTTACCGGTAAAGGTGTCGGCCCGCCCGGACGCACCTCGAAAGTAGCCCGTGTTAGACGACATCGTGAACTGATCCTAAAACACAGTTCAGCTATTATCCCATATTGACCAAGATCAAGCGTTGGGTAGAATTTGGGTGGATGGCAAACGATAAAAACGGGAGGAAAGAAAGCCCTGCGACCGGGTGCCGGTCGGGGTACCACGCGCAACAGAACTTACCACCAAGGATAGTATAGGACAGTACTTCTCTACCGGGTTCAGGACGCCCGGTGAAAGGTAGAGGTGTTTTTGCACTTGCAAGCTTTGTTTGCTCGTCGTCCCGAGGCTGATCGTGCACCTTGTTCTTCGACGATGTTTGTGAAGAACGTGAGGAGTTGGGAAGGGAGAAAGTTGTGTGATCGGCACCAGCTTCGTTGATCTTATACTCCAACAGCCTCTTTCCAACGCCTCGAAAGCGGAGAGCTAAGGAGCTGCGGTATTGAGGGTGGTGAGTGCGAGTGTGGTGAACGAGAAGAGAACAATAGGTAGGCAGGGGTGATGAATAGGCAGAGAGGAAACAAAAGGCGGGGTCACTTTGCCGTTCAGTTTTGAACAAGTGCCCAAAAACAGTGGGTTGTTGCAAGTAAAGCAGCCGAAAAAAAAAGGCGAGGAATAGATTGATCACTCTTCTCCTGATGTTATCGAGTTGTGAAGCGGCGTTCTGGTGCGCAACCCGGTCAAGAAGAGAGAGAGTCACCAAGAATGGGAGAGGTGTGGAAGTGAGGGTGAAGGAAGGAGAAAAACAAAAGGCACTCCGCGCGGCCGAAATCCGTATTGTGCTCTCCACCTGCCTACCTAGGTACCTAGGTAGGGCAATAAGCAGAGATACTCCTGCTTTGGTTTTGGTGGCGGCCTGGCCACCTGGCTGCCAGCTGCAAGAGATACTCACAAGACCAGAGTGGAGCCGACAGGTGAATGGTCAAAATAGATAAAGCGGCGCAACGAGGAAAGTGTCGTCGACTCAGAGGGAAGTGAACGCGTCAGGATAGGTCAAGGGAGGAGAGTGCAAACAGGGAGAATGTGGGATAGTGCAAGAGAGAAAGGTCACAAGGCAGAAGGTCAGCGGCACAGCGAATGTGTCAGAGCATCCACTTCCAAGAGATGAGGACAGAAATGGTGCCAGTGGGAGAGGGAGGTGACTACATAAAGGGGGCGAACTGGCCAGAAGAAGCTGAGTTAGGCGCCGAGGTGAATACTTCACCGGTCAAGGACGCGTGAATCATTCAACAGTTCTCCGTACACCGCTCGGCGACACCACCAAAAGGGCGTCATTTCTGGTGTGTGCCTGAACCATTAGGAATCTCTAGACTGTTTTGGGTTTGCATGTTGGCGCCAAGTCTTATTGAAGTTGTTGGAGGTGAGTCGAGGTTGATTCACGAACCAAACCAAGCGCCACATGTTGAAGCTCGTGAGCGTTCTCATCACATGTTGCATCACTTGGCGGGTTTTCCAGCGCTTGATTGGATACCTAATCAAGCCCAGGCATCATATGTCCTCCGTCATCTAGTTCAAATGAGTTTTATTCATACAGCTCGGCCCAACCACAGCAACACCGACGCCAAAGAAGTGGCCACCACATGAAGCCCGGAGGCCAATTCGTTCCACTTTGACACATGTCACAATCTGCGAGGGTTTAATAAGTCCACATGTCCCGGCGGTTGCAAACAGGAGGACTGCATGCATTTCAACATCGATGTATGTATTTCTGCTCGATACAGTCGGCAAAGCTTCGTGTCTAAATATCGTCATCCCAACACGTCCACTCGTGGTAGGTCGAGGTTTTGCTTCGTCTAAATCCTGTTTGGATGGATGCTTTGTGGTCAATAACCTCGTCCCAGATCACAAGAACCTTCGCGACAGTCAGAGCCCCTTCGTCGAAACTCCGCACCTCAACCCTGGTGAGGTGGTTCTTTTAGTCAAACTCAGGAGTAGTTAGCACACGAGCGCAAAAATTATGTGCCATTTCTTCTTACCGGTGTCAGGAAAGACTCGGCCACGAATCGAGCTCTTGCGTTCAACTACACGTCATGGTTAGAGTGGGTCTCAAGTCGGGCGGTAATGGTGGACTCACGAAGAGCTTCATCTCGGAAATTTCCTTGTCAACCTCCTCCATAAACTGGATGATAAAGTCGACAAGCTTGTGCTTGAGCATTTCCTCAGTGTGGAAGTTGGTTATTAAGAAGGTAATGTCGTATCCCTAAAAGCGCGGCGGTGTCAGTCAGGGGCAGCACGTCAGCAAGGGGCTTCGCCGGATGGAACGGACCTTGATGGGTTTCCTCCGCAGGATAAAGAAGGACTCGGCGCGCTGCGTCAAGAATCGAGTGAACTTGTGTACCAGAATGTGCTCAATCTCGTCGGCCTGCTTGATCTTAATGCTAATGCGGACCGAGTTGATGCTTGGCTCGATCAGGACCCGCTCGTTTTCGTTGCGCGCAATGGTGAGCGGGGTGAGGAGGACCTCGGGCGACGATTGGGCCTCAATCTCGGGAACATTGTGTCGTTCGGCGGTCTGGGAGGCGAAGTTGGAGAGGGTGAGGGCAGCTGTCAAGCTGCTCCGTACACATTGCAGGTACGGCCGTAGGGATTGAGACTGGGCGACGAGAGGCCACAGTTAGCGGGGGCGTTTGGGGTCGGGAGGGGGCAGACATTCAAGCGGTACATACCATGGCTGCGGCTCCTGCTTATGCTGAGCCCAGGGCGTTTGTCGGCGGCGATGCTTGGAGTCAAGAAGGCTGGTGATATCCCAGCGGGGTCTGGGATAGAGACATCAGGCACATAGTCGGAGCTGTCATGTGGGGGGCCATGACGAGTGCGCGCTGGGGAAGCATCAAGCCACGTCACGTGGGCTGGCGCAGTGTACGGTGAAGGTGCTCCCCAGCTCAGCCACAGCCGTGGTTGCCCAGCAGGGGATGCAACTTAGGTACTTCGTACCGATACCTCTTCCGGGCAGGCCCAGGTACCTGTCACAGTGGAAGCGCCCGGAAGAGGTACCTCGTCCTAAGGCCTTCTCAGCGATGCCACTTGAGTCCCTAGCGGCCTCTACACCGCTTTCCCCACCACGACCCTTCGCCTCAGCCAGGTACCAGCATGATGACGCTGTCCCAATAGCTTGCTTGCTGGTTTCCTTGTCCAACAAAATCCTCGCCATCCCACGCCCACATCGCATCGCATCAATCTGCAAGGGGCTCTGCAAGCTTAGCTTCCGCCGTCTTCCTCTTCCCTGCTACTTTCCTTTCTCCCTCCAGCTTGCTCTCGACCTTGCGCTCTCAGAGCTACCATCTCGTGCAACCATGGCGTCCCTATCAGGTCCGTTACCCCTCCATCCATCCATTCATCCCTCCACCCGCCATGCATTTCTAACCGCCTTCGTCGCGCAGTCACCGTCAAGCACCAGGGCAAAAAGTACAATGTCGACATCGACGCGAGCTCGACCGGAGAGGACTTTAAGCTCCAGATGTTCAGCCTCACCAATGTCGAGCCTGAACGACAGAAGATCCTCATCAAGGGCGGCCAGCTCAAGGATGATGCCGACATGACCAAGCTCGGCCTCAAGGCTGGCCAGACCATTATGATGATGGGTACTCCGGGATCCGGCGGCGGTGATCTTGTCCGCCCCAAAGACTTGGTCAAGTTCGTCGAAGACATGACCGAGGCCGAACAAGCCCAGCAAGTCGGCGCAACCCCAGCTGGCCTCGTCAACCTGGGCAACACCTGCTACCTCAACTCGACTCTCCAGACCCTCCGGCTGATCCCCGAGCTCCAGGACGCCTTGAAAAAGTACAGCCCCGATGCCGCACCCGCCAGCCTCCTCATGAGCGGCTCTTCCATGGACCTGGCTGGCCAGCTTTCCACCCTCTACAAGAAGATGGGCGAAACTCAGGACTCCTTCCCGCCCATGAACTTCCTCAACGCCCTGCGCGTGGTGTTCCCCCAGTTTGCCGAAAAGTCCAAGTCGGGTCACGGCTATGCCCAGCAGGATGCCGAAGAGGCTTGGTCGCAGATTGTCCAGCAGCTGAACCAGAAGCTCCGTGTCAAGAGTTCTGAAGATAGCCCCGAGGTTTCTTTTGTGGACAAGTACATGACGGGAGAGTTCACATCTGTGATGGAGTGCGACGAGGAGGAGGCCCGCAACGCCGGCGAAAAGGCCATCACCACTAAGGATAACTCCACGAAGCTCAAATGTCACATCGAGAGCTCAACCAACCACCTGCGGGACGGTATCCTCGCCAGCTTGACTGAGAAGCTTGAGAAGAACTCGGAGGTCCTCGGCCGTAACGCTGTCTACACCAAGACCTCCAAGATCTCGCGGGCGCCCAAGTATCTGACTGTTCAATTTGTTCGATTCTTCTGGAAGCGGGAGACTCAGAAGAAGGCCAAGATCATGCGAAAGGTGACTTTCCCGCAGGAATTAGACATCGTTGAGTTTTGCTCGGATGATTTGAAGAAGGCTCTCATCCCTGTCCGTGACAAGGTCCGGGAAATTCGCAAGGATGAGGAGGATATTGAGCGAGCCCGCAAGCGCCAGAAGCGGACCCACGACCAAGCCATGGCCGACGTTGCCGGCGGTGCCGGCCTCCCCAGCGAGAAAGAGAAGAAGGACGCAGAGAAGAAGGCTACAGAGGTTGCCGAAAGAAAGGGTGAGAAGAAGCCGGAACCATCGGCAGATGGTGACACAGTCATGGGCGAGACATACAAGACGGACGCCGAGGTCGAAGCTGAGCGGGATGCCGCCTTGTTGGTTGCCAAGAAGGAGCTCAACGCTTTGATTAACCCCGAGCTTCGTGACGACGACGGCGCCAACCAGTCGGGTCTCTACGAGCTCCGAGGCGTGGTGACGCACCAAGGCGCCAGCGCCGACAGCGGCCACTACACTTCGTACGTCAAGAAGACAGCGCCCGTCGACCCCAAGACGGGTAAGAAGGGCGAAGAGGACGGCAAGTGGTGGTGGTTCAACGACGACAAGGTGACGGAGGTGGAGGCGGACAAGATTCAGACGCTGGCTGGCGGTGGCGAGTCACACTCGGCCCTGATCCTCCTGTACAAGGCCATCCCTCTCCCCACCGCTGATGGAACGATGGAATAGACGTTCATATAAGCATGGGGTTTCTTCAGGTGGAACGGAAACGAAAATGACCTCTGGGCGTTGGTGATAGTCTGGACAGGCAGGTTCTAGATGAACATGGATGTAAAGAAATGATTTTACACATTGTAAAGCAGGCGTAGGCAGTGACGGAATGGATGAATACAGGTACACGGTTGTTTGCCTTTTTCTTACACTATGATACATGTCTATTGGGTATACAGATGTTCCTTTTCGCCGTCTCTCGAGGTATTATTCCCATGTCCGCTCAATCCTGACGTCGGTGTCATTCGCCTCCATTATAACATAAATGTCTTCCAGTTGGAAACAGTATTCGAGGCGGTAGGAGGTGTGCAATGGACGTGGTGTTTCGGGAGATATCCCCTACACTCTTGTCACTTGTTCCTTTCTGCCCTCTCTGCCCTTTCTGCTCTTTCCGCCCACTTGGCCTTTTCTCTTTCTCGCTCCTTGACAGTCTCGTGGAAAGCATCTAGTTTCCGTTGTAATGTAGCCCTTTGTCCTAGCAATACGTGCTTCTGGTCCTCGAGAGCGGCGATCTGATCGGCTGGTGTCGTGGCGCGGAACTGGGTGATGGCCTAGGTTGAGCAAGTCAGCATATGTATAACGCTAAAAGATGTAGACCAGGATGAGAAATGAACTTGCCTCTTCCTTTTCCTTGTCTGTCTTCAGCTGGGCGCCAGTGATGGTGCCAACGAAGATGCAGGCGGAAAAGGCGACGGCCCAGATGCCCCTCTGGATCTTTTGCTGCTTGGTCCACTGGTGAGCCATTGCGGTGGCGGCAGGCGGAACCGGTAAGGTATGTGTGTATCGGTGCAGTGCTTAATATGCTAGGAGTCCCGCCGGGCTAGAGTTTCGGGCTTGCGACGCTCCTCGGGCGTCATGACCCGGGGTGCCGGAGCCAGTACTGGAGCTGGGGCCGGGGGTTCTTCAGGTCGAGTCGAGAAACGACGGCCGGCGAGGACGAGGGGAGGGCGCAACCGATGAGGCCCTTTGGATATCGGTTACCGGGGTAGGGACTGGACCTCAGGTGGATTCGGAGTCGGAGGCGAGTCGGAGGTCAATTTCGAGATCGGACTTGACCTCGTCGAACAAGAGGATCCTGGGTTTGGCGCTACGGGCCGGCGCCAACGGCGAGGTGGGTTTGCTGGAGCGGCCATATTTTGTAGGATTAGTCAGCGGCCAAACTGCGTCATTGTCCAGAATGAGGGGCAGGAGAGGAGGTAGATGTGAAGGAGGGGGAGCTTCGATTGGGATGGCATATGCAATTTGTTTTGTGGGAGTGTGTCGATGTTGATCTTTTAGTGATGTACCATGAGCTAGGTAGAGAAGCTCAAGTAGATGGCCAGTTCTATCAACGTCACAACTGGTGGGCAGCTCTTCCAAAGTGTTGCAGTTGCCAGCCATTAAACGCTATCGAGTCCCATGTTAATTTTCTACCTACCTACCTGGGCACTAAATTCCAATTACACATATCTCGGCCCTGCATTGAACACAGTGATCTATCCTGGGATCCTTGCACATATTTCCTTTTATTTTCAGCAAGTCAAGTGTCTGAAGTGTATGTAGGTGAGATGATTCCGGTAGGTAAGTAGGGAGGAAGGTATGCCCCTCGGTCAGGCCGGAGGCGGGGAGCGAGCGGGGCAGGCCTGAGCAACAGAGTGTGGAAGGAACGCCGGAGCCAGCGAGCAAGCGAACCAGCGAGCCAGTGAGCCAGTGAGCCAGTGCATCAGTGATAACTAAGGCAGGTACTCCTTAGCGGAATTCATTACAGAGCGCTTTCTAAGTATTACTCGGCATGTGGATAGCGCCTTCCCCGCTCTCGCGCCTTTTGCCGCTCGAACAGGCGGCATTCCCAAGTACGTAGATGGTGGTCTCCGCAACACCACGAGATAATAGTCCTTAATTGCTCGCTCGACGTACAAGTAAATCTCTCACCCTCTACCTGCTTCATCTCCGAAATTTTGACGTTGACCTCTGTGTGATACTTGCGATTTCTTGGCTACGGTGAGTGACATCTCTTGTCGTTTGATTGAATTGAATTATCCCATGCCATCCCCGTCTTTCCATTTCCAAACATCTCCTGTTCCTCCAGAGACGCTGCTCCTCGCTCGACTCAGCCACTCGCAGGTTTATCTCATCTCATCTAAAACCGGCTTCTAACTCGTTTATAGGCGCCTGCTTAATTGGCTCACCGATCTTCCGAGGCGGGGTTTATATCAACCGGCTCCCTGATCTCTCGCCCCTCCGAGTCAATCAGACCACCGATAATCATCTCACCCTCCTCACCCGTCACAGCCATGTCGACTCCTCGCGTCTTCATCATCCGCCACGGCGAGACGGAGTGGTCTCTCAGCGGTCGACACACCGGTCGCACCGATATTCCCCTTACTGCCAATGGAGAGAAGCGCGTGAAGGCAACCGGCAAGGCTCTTGTCGGCAACGACCGACTCATTGCACCGAAGAAAATTGCACACATGTAAGTCGATCGATGGAGTCGAGTTTGCTTTCATTGTGCTTGCATGGGGAAGATAATGTCTCCTTTGGGATTTCCAAATGAGAATTGCGCACTGAAAACGACAAGCCCTTTCTTGAATATGGAATTAGCTGCCATTGCTTCACACCATCCTCATTCATCCATTCGGTCACCATCCTCATATATCGCTCGTCCCCCGCCCTGTGTCAACAGCTTATGTGACCCAAAGCTAACATCATACCAGCTATGTCTCCCCGCGCAAGCGTGCCCAACGTACCTTTGAGTTGCTTAATCTCGGTCTTGAAGATCCTCTCCCATGGAAGCCCCACGGCGAGACGGAAGGCGACGGACTACCTTGCCAGGCCAAGATCGAGATCACTGAAGACATTCGGGAATGGGACTACGGTGACTACGAAGGTGTCACCAGTCCCGAAATTCGTAAGATAAGAGCTGAGCAAGGGTACGAGGGAACTTGGGATATCTGGAGAGATGGTTGCCCAGGAGGAGAGTCAGTCTTCCTACCGACGAGTGTACCCGGCACCAATGGGTTTCAATATGCTCGATCCCCCTTGCGTTTACAAACTAACTTGAATTCAGGAGCCCCGAAGATGTCACCGAGCGCTTAGACAGACTGATCCAGGAGATCCGAGACAAGTGGCACAAGCCCGTCATTGGCAAGCCTGCCGACGGTGCCGCCAACGGCGACGTTGTCATTGTCGCCCACGGTCACATCCTCCGCGCTTTTGCCATGAGATGGGCGCGATACGCCCTTCAAAACGGCCCTACTTTCTTGATGGAGGCTGGTGGTGTGGGGACTCTCAGGTGAGACCATTCGTTACTGACTTTACGGATGCTAGTTCTAATCGCAATACAGCTACGAGCATCATAGCATCGAGGAGCCAGCTCTTCTTCTCGGTGGTGCTTTCGTCGTCGATTTTGACTAAGCCTATGCATAGTAGAAGTCCAGGCAGTTCTAAGAGTTTGGCTGGCACGGGGCGTACCGACTGTGGTCTTGCACGTTGGATGGTTGTGGACATTGCGTGTCGTCTTAGTTTAGACCCTTCTTTGTTCAAGTGATGCCTACCGAGCCTGCAGTCCACCGGCCACACTCAATGATTTCTTAGTGGCTCTCAAAGAAGAAAAGAAGGCTTGGAGGGCTTGAGACGAGGAGCCATCTAACCTCGGAGTAATCAAATGGTGTAGCGAGACCTGCTCCGTGCGGCTGCATCTCGGGCGTCTAATGGCACGGGGAGGTTGATATTATCTCGATTTATGTGCATCCCTTGATTCGCCAGTTTGCGAGATACGAATGGAACACAGTGTGGCATCTTTCCTCTTCGTTACCGCCAGTTCATTCCCCACGATTCATATTGTTGTCGCCCGCAGAAGGCTACCGCCAGGGGATGTGGCCAGGGGAAGGAGATACTGACGTCGCCATTTGACCCGTGTCCAACCAAATCAACAATTCCCATATATCTCAATAGTAAGTCAGGATACGCCATTCCCACCCCGACCGACCGGAATGATTTGCTGCTTGTCGCAATCTCGTTCGCTGTTGGTTGGTCGTGCAACTTACCCTATACTCGCACGGCCCTGACATGTGACAGACGAACAAAGAAGCGGCCAACGCGGTCAGTAACGCGATGTTGATCGCGAATTCTGACGTGTCAACTCACTAGCAGTGGGCGTCTTTGACGAGCTCGATCATTGCCATGTATTGGCTCTCCCGATGTTGTGTTGGATTATCCCTTTTCCTGATCTACGTCGACCCTTCAATAGGTACGCAATCGAGAGCCCAGAGATTGGCTGTCAATCCTCGAGTACCATAATCTAGCTACTACGTATACTCTCACCGGAGATGTTTCTCTGGACATTCAACAGCGCCAGGGGGGGTTGAGTTTAACGGTGGTTTCCTGCCAACGTCAATTTGTCTATGCTTGGATATGCTGTTCAATGAGAGGTTGCTCCTGGATGATGTCCCAAGATCTACCTCTCCTCCTATGAAGTAATTAAGCTAGAGTTTAGATCCCCTAGCTATGAAGACCTTCTTGCTATGCGCATTTCCTTGGCCATGGCTATGACTTTGCCCCTGTCCACCATGCTGGTCGTCATGACCGTGACTGTGAGTGTGGCCATGCCCTTCCCCTTCGCCATGGATGGTCTTAAAATCTATCGGCTCCGCAAACTCCTCGAAAGCAAACTCACCCCCAGCTCCTGCTTCCTCGAACATGGTCTTAATCTGATCCTTGGTGAACCCATGGTGTGTGACGCCATGGTGCGAGGCAAATTCCGCATTCATCTCATGCGCGGAGAAGTCGACGATGAAAAGGACACCGCCCGACTTCAGGCGGCTGACCAACCGCTTGGCAGCCAAATTGCAATCGTCAAAGTGATGCCAGCCTAGGCCTACGCCTGCGATGTCGAAATCGAAAAACTTGGCGTCGGAGAAAGCTAAGGGGGCAGCGTCAGATGGGTCGGCGAGATTGCCCACGAAAGCCGACCTAGCGGCAGAAATACCCTACGATGAGCATGTTAGACACCTGGTAGTTCATACCAAAACGCATCGAGGCGCCAATGAAGGTGTGGAGGTCTAACCTCGCTCCGTGCTCGGGCATTGTACGCCTGAACCATGTTCTCAGTTATATCAATCCCAATGCTTTCCGACACAGTCTTGGCCAGCACCTACAGACCCAAACATTAGCAATCTACACTTTTCATCAAACTTGCTCGTTCCCAGATGACTGACTCTCGAAAGCATCCCCGTGCCACACGCATAATCAAGGAATCGGGAGTCTTGCTTCACACCAATAAAGTCCAACTTGGCTTGAATAAGGCGCTCGAGCTGCACAATCGCAGCGGCATTCTGTTGGTCGTACTTGCCGGCGATTTCACTGTGATTGCACAATGTCAGTCCGGTAACCCCAGAAAGCAGTGCGGGAGACGTGGCTGGTGTGACGTGTCGGATCCTGCTGATCCCGTCGACCGCCACGGAGAGACCATCCCAGTGACTGAAAACGGAATGGCCAAGCTCGTGCGGTGCAGATGTGGCGTGCCAGCCAATCGAGACTCACTTGAAATGCGCCTGATTCTTGGATAGGATGTCCGTCATGATGGGCAATCGAGATAGTCGAAAGGTCTGAAATATCTGGCTGCACAGCACTACAATGAGAACAAATAGTATTCCAGTCAAGTCCATGTGGCTGATGAAAGTTTTGTCCGTCTACAGGATCTCGGACCTGTTATAAACATGGCGACGGAGACTTTCTGATGTCGTCTGGTCGGTATAGCCCATCGGACACATAGGACATCGGAAACTTCAAGGATCGGAAACATCGCGGTTGAGAAAGCACGCATCGGAAACATGACAAAACAGCACCAAAGCCCCAAAGTGTAAACGCCGAGAGGCGTCTGGACTCGCATGGCACTGGGAACCCCCAAGAACAGGCTGTACACCACGAGATGTACTCCATACATCCAACACAGACATACTACGTCAACCACAGCACTCAACCACAGCACGGGCAGACCGCCCACCGGCAGCTGCGCGTGGCGGTGGCATCGCAGTTGAAAGAGTGATTGACGGGCATGGGTGCAGCAGCTTTGCAGGAAGCGGTTGCAGCCGTGAGGGCAGACGTGGCCAGCTTCGATACGCACAACGCCCTCAGGTGTGCGCTCGGTGACATGGTGACATGGGCGAGTCGACCTGATGCGCACGTACCTCCGTCACCGTAACCGAGCACAGGGGCCGATCACGGGTGATCCTGCGCCTGCACGAGCGCACCGGTCCGCAAGCCGCGAGTTGTGCATGGCAGCCCAGTGGCCCTGCCCGAGCCCGAGCCCGTGGCCCATGCAAGCGCCCAACGGCAGTGGTACGAGATGCCATCCTGTCTGTGACATACATGCACGAAGCCAGAAGTGAAGGGTGGGGATCACCACCCACACACGGTGCTGATCTCCTCGCCTGCAAGGGAGCGAGGAATAACACAAAGGAAAAAACCTGCACACCAACACTCCAGAAGTACCCCCGAAGCAGGGGAATGCCCAAGCTCGTAGCGGGACTCTCTGCGCCAACCCCCAAGGGCCATGCCGAGCTCATTGCTGAAAGAAACATTGGTTGGGATCGTGTTTGCTGAAGCTGGGCTGTGTCCAAGTATGCAGCGTCCTGGCGTTCCAGCGTTCCAGCGTCCCAGCGTCCCAGCGTCCCAGCGTCCCAATGTCCCAGTGTCCCAGCGTCCCCATGGCCAAGGGGGAGTTGCACTCTTGCGACCCCGTCGCACAACGGCAGGGGCGTCTTCTACCCCAAAGGGAGCATATCAGCGGCCGAGACGCAACCCAGTGGAAAAGGCAATGTCTGTGTGCGAGAAGGGCTACAAGCGGGATGCAGACGAGCAAATGGTCGCCCCCGCTCACCGCTGATTGCTTCGTGCAGTAGCAAGACGATGCCATCCTTTCGTCCAGCCTCCGCCACCATGCCCGGAGACGACGGCAGAGTGATTCCCCCGGACGAGGTCCATCACCAGCCCGAGGACGGCCGTGGCGACGCCGAATTCTCTCCAGAAATGCCGTTCTCAGGCCGAGCGCCGGCGTGGGATTTTGTCGCTATTGCGGAAACCCTTGCACCTCGGCAGAGACCCGCAACGCGGAGTATGGGAGGAGAGCCTCTAGGGCGACATGGTGCAGCCGGAGCTCAGCCAGCATCTCACGGAGTGGCGGTCGCTAGGCCGAGTGCAAGAGGGATCACTAGCCTACCACGTAGTAGGCATGGTTGCGCGCGCGCGCGCGGCCCCAGAGTGACAATGAGTGCCAATTGTTACAGGGACCCCAGTCGTCAACATTGACAACACGCCAGGACCGCGCCGCACTACTCAGCCTGCAGGCCGCCGTGCATGCACACTAGGTCTCGTGGTACTAAGATTGCATCAGTGTCGTCCTCCCTTCGATGTGCCAACCTTTGCTCTCCCTCCCTGCAGTCGTTGGAAATTGGGTTGAAGGGCTTTGGGGGCCATCGAAGCAATTGGTTCCTCGACGCTTTGCTGACCACGCTGCCCTTTGTTGTTGGGCCGCAGGGAGCCGCACCGGCATAGGCTGAACATGAAAGCGGGGAGGCCTGTTCGGATGCTCTGCAACCCCCGCCAATGTGAGGTGTCAGCTACATGAAGCGGGCGGCTGATCTCAGAGAGAGTTGCTCGTCCGGACGGCAAACATGGGGTGCGCGTTTGATTGCTCACACTGTACCGGGAAGTCACTCCGGTCGTACATGGTTTGCGGCCCAGGATGACATGCAGCCGGGGATGGCGCGAAGGGGACGGCCGCGCCACCCCGTGAAATTGCGACGTGGCAGGCCCCCTTCAAAGCCAGGGCGTTTCTTGTCCTGCAAGCATTGCCCCTTTTCATGTTTCCTTTCCCGAAGACTCCAAGTCTATATTGTTCCGATACTCGACATCACAACGGGAATGAGACGACTGAGACCGGGCCCAGGGGGCTATCTTGTCCTCTCTTGTTACTGTCTCGGTGTCCATCGATCCCCGGCCCGGTACGAGAGGGCTGAGCTGGGCTTGGGAGTCGCCAAGTACAGGAGGTCCGTGATGGCGTCCCGTGGCTCATTGGGGATGACGGCCTGTCCAAAAGCCCATGGCACCCGAGAAAATCGGGCCCGTCGCGGGACAGATGCAGCCTACCCGACTTGCATGGATCTTCCGCATGAGAGTCTGTTCACGTGATCGAAAGCGGACGTGTGCGATTGGCGGACCGGGCCTTGTCTGGGGCAGCCCAATCAAGGGCGTCTGGTCGAGACTGTCACAATGAAGCGTGGCCGGTTTGGTTCAGCATGGCGCCAACTCTGGAGCCAGCCCCGAGGTCTCGGGTCGGCATAGCGTCCAACTTGGCGGAGGCAAAAAGTGTCGGTGTGAGCTGAGGCTGCGTACCCAGTACCCAGTCTGCAGAGCCCCTCTGCCTTGTCCCACGATATCGTATGTGGCGGTCGATTGGCAAATGTGCCCAAGCCTAGCACCGAGCCCAACTATGTTGGTTGAGATGGTCGTGTCGGAAGCAACCCTGCCAGCGCGTTGAATGTCTTTCAATCTTCTCAGGGCCTCCGTTAGTGACTGCTAGCTGCTGGCATGTTTGTCGTTTCTGACGCCAAGGATGTGTTGGTCGTCGTCCGCAGCCACCTTCCCTCCTTGCGCCAGAGAGCATGGGTGTCTTTGGCGTACACAGCACCCGTTGCTTTTGCCACACAGCACATCCTGGGTCGTGTTTCTAATTCTGTTGGACCTGGAGGCTTGCAATGGCCGCTCGTTTATCCGTTCCTCTTGATCCACCCCCCGCCAAACCCAACCCTGTGTCAGAGCGCAATGTCTCGGGCGGCGAGTGATGGAATCTCAGGTTCCATCCGCAATCCCTGGGGACGAGGTGCGGGTCGTGGCTAGTGGTGTCTCTCTCATAATTAGCAGGGATTGGGCGGAATTCCATGGGCCGGGCCGTTTTCAAATCTCTCGTTCCAAGCCGCAGCATGGGGGTATGGACTAGCCCCCGGCGATCGCTGATGGTCGGCCGATTTTAAATTGCATGGGGAGTGCAAAAAAGAAGGATGGAAAAAGGGCAAAGAAGCCAACGCCATTGACGAGGATGGGATGGAACCGGGTTTAAACAACCAGCGACACCACCAGAGTGCGTTTCGGAGTTGGTGTCTAGGGTGGATTGTTCGTATCTGGAGGTAGTGGTGGAAGGGTGGAAAGGACAGATGCGTGGGCCTGAGGCGTCCATGGCTCAGCGGAGAGGTGCATTGGTGCAGGAGCGATTCTAGTGCATAGCTTGGGCAAGCGACAAGGTGGCAGTTTGAGGGATGAAAATCAAAGCGGTCTCCAAAGGTCGGGTAGGTGCAATGCGCACTGGCTACCCCGGCCGCGCCCCGATCGCCACTGGCCAGGCAGGAACACTTCCGTAGCTCCTCCATGGCTCCAGACCAATTACCGCTACTGATCGCGCCGGTATGGTGTGCCGTGCCTGCCAACTCCCCACCGATCCGTCGTCATTAGTCTCCCATCTGGAAGGCACAGAGGAAGCTTCCCTGCCATCCAAGCATCCAAACGGTGATGAAATCTCCGCCCTACTTCCAACCACCCAGTCACACCCATGCCAATAATACTCGTCCCGCCGCGCGCCTCGCCGTCGACAACGACGGCTCACGCCTGAACAGGCCCGCCTTGGTCCCGGTCTCGTCCACATTGCTAGGTTCTCCGTCTCCCGAGCCGTCTCGGCCCTTCCCCTGCAGGTGCCAAAGGTCATGTGAATCCGCTGTTGGAATGCCAATTCGACCGCCCGGGTGGCGTTCCAAGGTAAATGACCATCCCCGATACCCACTGGCCTGTCTCAACATGGGGATTGCACCAACTCGTCTACACTCGTGGTTTCCTTCTGGATCTCTCCTGTGTTTCTGGTGACGGTTTGCGGCAGAATGGTCCCTTGATAGATCAAAGACACGCTGGTCGCTGACGTTCAGCTGTAGAGGACTGGAGACATGTAGCCTCTGATCCCAGCGATCGAGATCAGGCATCGACCAGATCTATTGAAACCATTATTCAATATTTGTTGGTTCGCCCAGGCCACCGGGTCATCGGTTGGGAGTATGCCACCAGCTCAACTGCCACCTCGAATATGCCAGGATGCCGTCCGGGGTCCCTGGTGTTCAATATCGATACTCTACACAAGCGGCGTCGTCTCTTTTCTCCCCCACCAGCTATGTCCACCCTGATAAGTTGGTCTGTTCCCTTGGCCGCCGCCATCAAGCCTGTTAGACCCAGTAATTAACCACTTTATTTGACAGCAGTTGGGCCCTCACCCTTGTGTGTGCGTGCGTGTGCGGATACTGCAAGCAGAGCTACTGCAACTTTTCGGTATCCAACTTTGCCTCACGCATCCAAAGCTTTTTAATACTCTTTCTAAGAGTTTCTTGCTCCCGGATTGATTTTGGACGTGTCGGGTGAAACGATCGCTCCCGCGGTTTTGCATCTCCATCCGCCCAATGCCACTTCTCTCGTCTCTCGTCTCTCATATCTCATATCTCATGACTAGCATTTCCACTTAAACGTATGCACGCTCATGTCGTTTTCAATATTTACCCATCGTCTCCAAAGCCGACGTCCGGCTACGGTAATCGAGGAGTCGTCCCGCTCTAGTGTCGGGGATCACTCCTCACTTCTCCATGGGCCTACATAACATTGTTCACGACGAGCCTCGGCTTACACAAAAGCAAATATAATTACCGACCGACTCCACCTTCAGAGACGATCAAAAAGCAACACTCAGCCCAGCTGGTGAGAGACACTACTAAACGGCCCGCTTCTGCATCCTTTGCTGCAAGTGTGAGCCACAATCTGCGGCCAACTCCGGTCAACAACGCTGAGACAGGTTCAGGTACCTTTGATATCGGTACGGATCTGCAGCCTCTATGGGTGACATCCCGCTTCTGCGGCTTTTACCCCGACTAGAAATGAGGCTGCAGGACAATGATCATGGGGCTTTCTCATTGAGAGCTGGGCCGCGCCTGTAGCCAATCTCCGCCCAGCCTTACCAAGGTTACTGCAGATGAGCTGTACCGTCTCAAACCCTCTGGGGCCGCAAGCAACCCAGGAAAGGCCGCACAGAGACGGAATAAAGGCTTTAGCACAAGATGCGAGCTCCGGTCAGAGTATCTTCCTTTCTCCACGACATGGGGGGATGGGGGGCCGATAGCGTGCAGCTGTTGATCCTTGTCTACGTGGATGAAGGGCTGCAACCAACCAGAGCTAATATGCAATCACTCAGCAACACCCTGAGTAGTCAGGCTCCCTCCCACGTGAAGTGGGCATGACGCGGTCGCCCGAAGGATCCCGTTCGAACGGTTTAAACCCTTTCCCCAGTGCTCGGACGGATCAGCACTTGCGGCCCGATGCGCATCTCAAAGTGGCGGGTCCCATCAGACCCAGGCCGCCACCAAAACGACGTCTGGCCAGAAAGGGTGCATGGTTTTCAATCTCCAACAAGGATCAGGCCCGGCTCTTCCATGCAGTGTGCTCTTGGTTTCCCCTCGATGAGGCTTGGACGTAAGCGAGCCTTACTTTGGATGCATCACCAATTCGTCAAGGCGCAGAAATCAGGCGCACTGCAGGTCAATGAACCAAACATCGATCCCTCTCAATCAATCAACCGCCTAGGTCCACACCTGAGTTGTAGCGGGCTAGACACAGAATCACAGCCTCCCAACAAGATGGTATTGCAGTAGTCTTTACCCGGTACGAATCACGGCGACGCATCATGTTTCACAGTCGCATTGGACTCGGCTTGTCCCACTTCGTTGTTTGCAATTGCAGCCAAGGCCACCAGTCAAGATGCCGACATGCACACATGCATATGGAGGCACGGAAAGGGCTACCGGCACTCGGGCCTGCTCCCATTCACGCGATGTGCAGTTCGCAGGTGGACAACAGGAAGGGATGCTGATGTCGCGTCTCCAGCCCCCAAGGAGAGCACCGCACCACATTGATGAAGCTGTCGCCATTGGACATAGATACAAGCTTGCCAGCTTGATGCTGCATATTCAAGAAAAGCGTCTACATCTGCATGGACTGTTGGCACTGCTCAAATGGGTCACCAGGGCGGCATGGAGGCGCGGATATGCGCCGTGGAAGTACGCGGTAGGGACGGGAGGAGCCTTATTGCGGGTGGTCCAGGTGTGCTCGCACCCTTGTCCCACAAAGATCATCCCGGTTGAGTCTAGCCAAGTCATTGGGGCCTGGACCAAAGTTGGTGACCGTTCTGACGCAATCAGATCCGTCGACTGCGCGGAGTACTGGGTACCGGTATCTCACAGCACACTATGGTGGGTCGGTGACAAAAGAAAGTAAAGAAGCAAACACATTCCCTTTTTTTTTGGACCAACTCCGCGCACTGCCTCTCCTCATGTCTCGTGGAAGATGAGCGGTGACCATCCACCTCTTTCAGCTGGCTAGCGGTCGTTGGGGCTCCGCCAGGTCTCAGACACCCCCCCCTGGAACCATCTCTCATTGCTCAACACCGCCGAGCACACCAAAGGCAGCCCCTCCCGCACCACCGACTTGACTAGGGATGAGAGAAGCACATCTGACAGGTGATTGGCAGTCGATAGTCGCTGGGCCAGGGCCCAGTGGTGGTAGCGGCCAAGTTTTTTTTTCGCTTCCCAGAGAATCGGGAGCTACGCTCCACATGAAGGTTCATGACACACAACGGGTTACGGCACGCACAACGATCCGGCATCCATTAGGTTGGTGCATGACCATTTGACCACGGCCAACCCCGGACACCGCAGTGGACGTGACCAACTGGTCCACTGTTTGCTGACGAGCACAGTATTAAATCCTATAGCATTAACTGGCAGCTCGGTCAGCTCCGCGATCGGGATGCAGGCCAAGACGGCCAATCGTCATCTCGTGACGATGACGCGATGGTGGGCGCCGCCGCGGAGGCTGTCAAGACGGTGTGGGTAAAATGCTACGACGGTGGTTCTTTGAAGGAAATATTAGGGCTGTGTGAGGCCCGCAGCTCGCTGCGGATTACAGCCTCACTATCCAATACCGGTACATCGACGCATCTCATGTCGATCACCAGGCTCTCGTCAAGACGACGCAGCGCCATCCCGCTTCGTGGTCATCTAGAATAGCCTGATGCTGACACCCACACCCGGTCTCGAATCGATCAGTGACGGTGGGCTGCGTCGCGATAGCGCCCGACATTCCATGCGGGGCACAATTCAAGCGCGCAAAGAGATCTGATGGGAAAGAGGAATCGCCGACCCCCCGGCTGTCCCCAAGACCTTGAGAGAAACGAGGACGAACCAACAAGCCAATCAAGTGCTTCTATACTGTCCCTCGTTCTCTGGTGAGGAAACTCGGTCATGGGGGAGGGGTTGCATCGTGATGGGGATTGGAGGACTTACCTTCAATCAGCCAGTCCCAGAGGGGTGAAAAGATGGTGGGCGGGCAGATCAGTCATCGGACGCCCCAAGCACCGACCTCCACGAGGGTGCCATGGATGATGGGCCTGGGAAAAAAATAGCCCGATCTAAAGCGCGGCGCACCCGTTCTGTTGGGTTAACCCGGACGAGTACGAAGTACTGTGGCCAAGGGAGCTGGTGACTGGCCGGTCATCACAAGCCTACGAACCTAGGCCAACCAAGCATCGGGGGCGAATGACGGAATTGAATCCGAAGTACACACGGTTCATGGCTTGTGTGGGCGCTCTTTCATTTGGACCTTGCCCCAAGGGTGACGCCAGCTGAAGGTGCAAGCAACCCCATGGTGCAAGAGGTTCAATGTGGCAATGACGGAGTGGGCTGGTACCTGGGCCAGTACTTCATGCTCTGTACCTCGTGGGTGGCGGGGGCAGACGGGGGTTCACAGTCGAGTTTGGCCATCAGACCCGGCGCTATCTCGAGAGTTGCGGGTTGAACCGCAATGCATACGGGAGATGCCACCATGGGGGGCCTGGCCTGTGGGGGCTCATTCCAGCTGGGGTCTGTCATCTCATTCCTCATTACCATCCTCACGACAACTTGATACGCCATGCTCGCCCAGTCATACGTTGCTCGCATCAAGCAGCTTGTTAATGCAGACGAGCCTGCATGGCACAACATGAGGTCAGTAAGAATGTTGTTGCCTGAGCCTGCATGCCGCATTTGTGCTGCCTTACGCTTCACAGGGAAAAGTGCAGGCACTCCCCCATTGACCAGGGGAGAGTATTTATGTTGACAGATCATTGTACTCACAAAATACTGGCCATCAGACCGCAGCGGCCAGGGTTTCTGCAATCTACCGCATCATCATCGGCCTAGGCATGCAGACGAAGACTGGGTATATTGCCACCGCAGCCCAGCTGGTGGTGCAGGGTAGGAACAGAACGTGAGGTTTCGATGCAACGAGTCGATTTTAGCAATGACGATACCAAGATGAACATATTGCAGATCCACTCACTTCTCCATGGATAAACAAATTTATAATTCAATATTAAGTTCGCTCTGAACTAGCGCGGGCCTTCGCAGAAGGCCTCTCAACATTACGTTCGAGTATCTCATATGTCGCTTTTCATGTAGTCTGACTGACAACATGAAACAGAACGCCGGGACAACAAAATGCAATATCGACTAGGGCCGGTCGGTACACCGAAAGCTCGGGTCGTGGCCCATGATCCTTGTCTCAAAGGGCTGCAACTGGGTCTGTGGAAGGCGGAGGGGGATAACTGAGATGTGATGGGGCAGAAGGGTCAAAGTTGGGGTTCGCGCTTCACTTTTCCATGCAACCTTCAAGCCGCGATCGAAGGGTAAAAGTGGTCGACGGCGATGATGCTACACAAATTTCATCAATGAGGTACTGGCTGGCACGGTACTGCACGGGATGCAAGTGATGCGCGGGTAGGGGCAAAAGAGGGCCAAGCAGAAGACACCCCATTCCGAGCACGGAAGTAAGGCAAGGGGAGAACACGGATGGAAGCCCCACAGACGGTGACCAACCCACGAGGGACGGCTGACCTGTCAGATTCCCGAAATCCGCAGCATGATCCTAGCGGAGGCGAGCCATGGGAACGAGACATGACTGGCAAGCAGATGGCCTTCCGCAAATGGGCGTCCTGGGCCTTGAAGAGGGATGTGGCGCCGGAACTGGCGGGTGTGGGTGCATCCAGGTTATCAGAGAGGTGGGCGGTGGGCATCATTCGCAACAACTACGAACGGGCAAGTTGGAATTGATTTGGCCGAGAGGCTTTGATCAATGACTCGTACGGGGGCAATGCTTCCCCTGTGTCTTTCTGGCCACAGCCTCGGTCTTTGACCGCTGGGAGTGAATTGGGGAGGCCGTGTGATAGGCGGAGGGAGTGCACCGCGAGGGAGGGAGCGAGCAACTGCAACAGCGCATGGGTGACATGGGATAGCGCAAAACAGAGGAGCATGATGATGTCGACAAAGAGGAAGACGTGTGATTTGGAGATGGATGGACGGGATGAAAAGGCGTGTAGCTTCACCACCCACAACGAAACCGATACAACGCAGCGGCAGGACGAAGCAAGTCGATACCCATCCAACATCGACCAACGCGTACTCCCGCACTTTCGAGCCTATCCCAAGCCATTCCGGCCATCCTCCTGGTAAACGGTGATGCCTTTCCCCCCTTTCGCGGGCGGTGAGCAAGCAGACGACTTGCAACGGCCCCCTACCGCCTCTGCCCGAGCATGCCTCATCCTTCGATTGCCCGACATGCCGACCCGGCTGTGCCTCACGGACCTCACCAACTGCGTCAGTGCCTTGGCTCAAAACTCTTGGACATCCTGTACGGCGTTGCCTTGTATGCCTGCTTCCTGCCGTGCGCGCGCGCTGCTGCCACGCACTACTGTACGAGGGCGGCACGTCACTTGGTCGCGGGGTCCCGTCTCGTTAGGGTGCTTTGGGGTACGTACTGTACTCGACTTGTACCAGCGTTGAGTCTGAAAGGCATTGCACGTCACCGCTTACTCAACTGCAGAATCCGCAACTCCAACGATTTCCCGTCAGTCCCAAGCACTCGGCCGTAAGGTACTACTGAGGTACCGTACCCGCTGGCAAGGGCAGCAGTAGCGGACTCTAGCGGCTCCCATGGCTCAGTCGCAGGACGGCAGTGGCTCCGGTCGCCTCCAATGCTGGCACCTCCTGGAGAGAGGCGTCACAGACGGGCCCCAGCTCATGTACCGGTCCGTTCCTGGTTGCCAGCACCGTACAAGCGGCCAGGCCAAGGCCATTGAACCATTCTAAAGCCCCGGTGTCCCGATCGAGGGGATTTCGAGCCGACCGAGCCCTTTTGAACGACATCACTGTGATTGCTATCGAATCATTGCAATTTTTTTTTTTTTTTTTGGCACTCTGAATGGGTGAGCCTTGAAAATAAGTCGATTGTTGGCGCTCTAGCGCATGCAGGATCTAGTCAATGGCGGTGTTGATGTCGGTGTGTTCCAGAGGCAATTGAACCGCTCACCGATGTATAACACACACTGTTATCCCCTCTCCCCCGGATAAGAGCATTGACAATTGAAAACCCGGTCAATGTACAGCCACCACCTAGCATCCCCATCCACCTGGTTTGTTTTTTGCTCAACCAGGTCGAGCCCCCACCAAAGCAAACAATTGCGACAGCCCACGGACTGGGTAGAAACCCAGACCGTGTGTGGATGTCCTAGGATTGATCTCGGGACCAGGAAGCTGTCTCAACTCGACTGGGGTGGATGTAAAACCTGGAATTGAGACGTGAAGCACATTTCTTGTTTGGTCAGTGTAACTGAGTTTTACACGTCGAGAAACCAACTGCAGCTGCAACTGGTACCGCTACTGCAGACAGCAATCCCTTGCGCAGAAGAGGAAGCTCTGGGTTGAAAACATGAGATAAGAGGACGTGGATTGTGCTGCATGCCTATTTGGATTTGGGATTGAACGGAGTCGCGAGGGCAGGCTGGCATGACTCCGACATGGACACTGGCATTGACTGCTGCGGTAATCTCAGCGACAAAGCACAAAGGACCCAGTATCCGCCGCCATTGGACTAATCATACCAGGTCAACTCCCAGATCCAAGACTCAAGACTCAAGATCCAAGACCCAAGATCGAAGACCACCCAGGCGGAGGAGTGTCGAAAAGGTGGCAGAGAAGCGGCCGGGGGGCGGTCGAGAACCAGCTGCATGAATGACAGCAGCGCAGACCGGCGAGCGATGCGCTAGCTGGTTCCGTCTTGTCAAAAACTCCACCGCGCCGACTCCGTAGGTCCAGCGGTCCACGGCGAGATGCACGCCCAGCTGGTTCGCCGCCGCCTCTTTCAACACCCAACCCAGACGCCAGACACGCAGACTGTGTGACGAGCGTGTATAGGGACACTCCCAGGGATGGCGCAGAGCCACACCCACACACCCGGGCACTCCCACGCAAAGAGACACCCTTGCAAGCGTGGCACACCCACGCCCACACCCGCCCACACCCATCCACACAATGGTCGTGCATCCTGCGGCCGCCTCTGCAACCCGCCGTCGGGAACAAGCGCGGGACCCCAGACCACGCAGCGTCGACCGAGCGAGCCCTCCAGGCCACCCACCCCTTGGAGACCCAGAAAGAGGAGACCCAGGTCCCCAAGACCCCAAGACCCACGACGGCCAACCGGGACTGGCACCAAGTTGAAGAGGCCCCAGCAGTGAGGAACCCCAGCAGAAGAGCGCCCCAGCATGATGGCCCCAGCAGCGCCCCAGCAGCGCCCGACCAGGTGCTGATTGGCAAATCCCCACTTGCAAGTCGATGGCTTATTCTCATCCATCCATCCATTTGCCTTTTTGCCTTTGCCTTTGCCTCTGCTTGTGCTTCTGTGTGCGTGTGCATGTGCTTCAACCTCTCTGCGCTGCCCCGCGGTTCTAAAGCAAACCAAAGGAAAAGAAGGACGAGGAGGCCACCGTGTACCGACTGCTGCCCTATTACCACCTTGACGGGATGCACGCTCGGTCCCCAATCAATTTCACTTTTTAGTGAGGCAGCTACCTGCGTGGGAGGTACCAATGGCTTTGTTACTGGTTACTGGCTTCTGGCTCCAAGAAGACGCGTGCCGGAGCTACCTCATATTGCGGACCTTCAAAGGGTGCCAACATCGTGACACGCCCAGCCTCGACTCTAACCCAACATGAGAATCTTTGCCTGTGCGCCTGTGTGGACACCTCGACACCTCGATACCTCGAGCATGAGCCCCAGCCCGGCTGGTGGACAGGCGGCTGCGTTTCTTGTTGCCATCCATCCCCTCCATTCATCCATCTATTCGCCCATCCATCCCATCCCATCCATCCCATCCCATCCCTCCCCTCCCTCCATCCCATCAATCCCTCACGCTTTCAGCACATGCTCACCCGCACACGCACCGCACACGCACCGCACACGCACCGCACGCTTTGGCAACGCGGTCGCACTGTACCCGGTCGAACACCCCCTCCAATCGCCTTCACTTCACTCACCCTCCCTCGTTTAGCGGGCCCGGCGCGTGTTTTAGAGGGCTATCCCCCTCGACCCTCGACGCACCGACACAATCCCAAGCACGTCCATCCATCTCCAGCTGGCCTCGGTCGGTCAGTGTCGGTATCTGTTCCCTCTTTCTCTCATTCTCGGCTCTCTCTCTTGTTGTCTCGTCCTTTCCCTCCGTCACCTACGTCACTCACCATCTGCCCCTCTCCCATCCCTGTCGACGGCCCAGCAGCCTTGCCGCCCAGGTTTTTCTTCGGACCTGTCCTGTACTGTACTGTCCCGTCCTCTACCTAGGTACTGTCCCGTACTGCATCATCCAGTACAGTAGGTCGGTAGGTAGGTACCGTCTTGCGTCCCCCAGCGACACTCGACTCCACCGTCTCAAAGGCGCCGCCCACCGCCGGCGCCCGCTCCAGTGCCTGGTTCGTACATGACTGCAGCTGCACTTGGGCTAGGTACTCTGCTGGGTACTCTTCCAGGTACTCTTCTAGGTACTCTTTACATTAACCACACCCGCTACAGCGCCGCCGCTACGCCCCGGTGCCACATCAATCCTGCTGGGCGCGACATCTGCCTCAACCCACAACCGACAGCCTGGCCCAGCACCTGGCGCACCCCCGGCCTGACCTGACCTGACCTTGGCATACCTCTCCCATTCTACTGGGACCGACGCACGACAAACCTCGACACAACCAACAACAGTCACACACTTACTACTGCCCGCACTCACACTCTCTCACACACACCCCTCCCCTCTCACGTTCCGCTGCCTTCGCCTGCCTCTCTCTCTCTCTCTCTCTCTCTCTCTCCTTCTCTTCCTCCCCTCCTCCCCTCTGAAGGCCAACCCAGTCCTCCTGCTGCCCAGGTACGTTTTGCTCTTTATTGATGCCTCTTGATGCCCCAAACAACGCCTAGATGTCGACGATTGGGCCTTGCCAAGCGCGTGCTGAAGACGACGGCGAACGGCGAACGGCGAACGGCCGGTGGGTGGGGGACCGTGGACGGTGGGCAAACCTACCGCACTTTGTCCTTCAATGCCCACCAAAACCAAAAAAAACTGTTGCTGTATATGCCAGATTTTGTGTCCTGTCTCTACGTCTACTTGTTCGTCTGTCCGTCTGTCTGTCTGTCTGCCTGTCCGACTACCTGCCTGCTTGTCTCTCTGTCTGGCTACCTGACTGTCTGTCTACCCGTTTGTCCACCCGTTTGTCCACCCATTTGTCCACCAGTCCGGCCGACCCTGCTGAGTTTGTCATACCCTGTCTCGACAGGGCGGGCTTGCTGTCGCTTCTCGGCTCCAAGACCTCGAAGCGTGTCGGCTTCCTGTGCGAGAGGGAATGTGAATGAGTGAACCAACAACCAACGACCAACAACCAACAATGTCGTCGTCATGCCCTTTGAGCCCCGGACCGAGTCGCCAGCTAGCGATCAGTGATCGGCTAATAGCGACAGGCCATGGGCGGTTCGAGACAAGAGGGAAAGAAGACAGCCCTGACAGACAGACGCGAGGGAGGCGCCGTTCTCGTTGAGTTGTGGTCGACAGACATTCCAGCTAGCAGAAAAGTCTAACACGGTTCTTGTACAGGCAGTTTCCCTCGCTTGGCAAGCATTGCGCCGTCGCCTTGCATCGCCTCGTTTTGTTTATCGTCTCTGCCTTTGTTGAGACTGCGCACACGGCAACGCGCGCGCGCCTGGAGCACAGAGTGCTAGAGCCACCAGCCAGGTCGGGTGAATCGTCCAGGCGAAAAGAAGGGGCGACAGCCTCCTGCGCGGCCGCCGTCGTCGCCGCCTTCACGGCTCTCCACGAGAATCCCGAGCCCAAGCGCCATCCCATCGTCCATCCTCAAAGAGCTACAGAACCACGAAGCCAAAGAGCCAAAGAGCCACAGACCCCCTCCCACCGAGGTCCTCAAAGGCCCCAAGCCTCCTCCCCTCGACGGTACCAGGCGCCCCCAGCACCCCAGCGGTCGTTCACACCCCCCCCCAGGCCCCGTTCGCTTCTGTGCCGTCCCGTCTCTGGCCCTTGACTTGACGCCAAAACGCCCTGGCCCTGGCCTTGCCTACCCCTCTAGGCCGTTGCCGCTTTTTTTTTTCGGCGGGTTTTGGTACTCGTGCTAGGTGCTAGGTGCTAGCTGGGCCGGCTCCCTGGGAACGGCTCGACACACCGGGCCATCCGTCCCATTACATTCCCGCCTCTGTCCCCGCCACTCGCCCACTCTAACCTTCCATCCTTTCTGCACCTCCCTCGCACATCCCCTCTTCCCTTGCACACCCCCCCTCCGCCTCTCTTAACCCTCTTTGCCCTCTCGACCCTCGCTCTCTCGACACACTCTCCGCCTTCTACCTCTACTTACTTACCCTCTGGTCCTCTGGTCTCTCTCACCTTTGGAGACATTCGAGGCTACCCAAGTGCACGACGGACCTCTCTGGGCTCGAAACCATAAACCACCAGGGTCTGTCTGTCCTGCGCACCTCTCAGGCTCTTACACTCTTCTCTCCTACTTCTCTCCTCTCCGCCCCGGATCTGGGAACCAGGTTTCTTCTTCCACCACCTGTTCCCAAATCCACCCCTCCCTTTTAATCCCCAGACCAAGACCACGGCCAATACGCAGACCCAGACCCAGACCCAGACCTCAATCCCACCTGCACCGCATTGTACTTGCACTTGCACACGCACTTGCACACACACTACGCTTGCACTTGCACTTGCACGCTGCATTGCACTGCACTGCGCTGCACCTCGAGTGTCTACGTTCGTGCCTGCTTGTTGGCTGTTCCTGGCCCCTCCCGCCCTGGATCAGATCGTCCCCTCTCTCCCATCCCTCGCTATATATTCGGCTTGTCCCGTCGCACTCCTCCCGCCTGCGTCAGAGACACAACTTCCGCCCATCGGTCCAAACACCAGGGTCTACCCCTCTGGTCTTCTGGAATCCGCACTTCTGGAATCCGCAGTCATCTCCCACCGAGACATCCATTCTTGACTCGGTACCCTCGGCCACTCCGACGACACAACAAGACAGCCGACGACATCTGCTACTACTCTTACCGTGGTCGTCCCCACCCCCAAATGCTCATTCGCAGTCTTCCCATCAACATCATCACCCACTTCGCATCACGAGCTTCTGGATTTAACCTGCTCACCTGAATCTGCCCGTCAGCGGCCCCTTGCGCATCAACGTAGCATGGCCGACGACAGCTATCGAAAGGAGTATCCTCAGCACAGTCGCCCCGAGGAGAACCATTCCCGACCTCAGTCGCACTACCCTCCACCTCCCCAGGACAACTCTCAGAGGCCTTCTGAGGACCATCAAGCAAGCATGGCCGCCTCTGTCTCCCTCCCCTCCATTCACGACGCCCGCAGTTATGGCCCGCCTCCTACTGCCCCAGGACGTGGATACCCTCCCGACCCGCGGTATGCTTCGCCAAATGCCGTCAACGGCTATCCGCCACCAGGCCACCAGGCCCCGCCTCCACCCCAGCAGCAGCAGCCTCCGTATCTTCCGCCGCTCCAGCCTCAGTCTGACCCCCGATCTCCTGCCTATCCACCGCCGGATCAGCGGGGTGGCTACTACGATGACCGCCGGCCTCCTGGCCCTGGCGGCTATGGTCAAGAGCCGTACTCATCGGATCCCTACTACGCCTACCGGGGACAGCCGCCTCAAGGTCCCCCGCCTCCTAACGGCTTCCGTGACTACCGCGCCCACCTCGCCAGCGGCGTCTACGAGTACCCTCCTGGGGGACCCGGTGCCGCTCCTCAGTTAACACAGGCAGCTCCAAGGCAGCGTACGTCCATTGCCTGCAGATATTGCCGGAAGCGAAAGGTATGTGAAGATCTCCGTAGGTCCGTTTGTTCCATATTTGCTAACCGTCATAGATTCGATGCAGTGGCTACCAGAGCGCTCCGGGAGGCAAGTGCCAAAACTGTGCCCGGATGAACCAGGAATGCATCTTCCAACCTGTCTCATCCTCAAGCTCCACGGCATTCATCCCAGTGTCTGCTGTCCCCGGCGGCGTTCCGCCAGGCACTCAGCTTTTCGGTGCATACGGTCAACCCCTGGCTCCAAGTTCGGTACCAGCCCCTCATCCAGGGGGCCCTTACCAGCAGCATCCTGGCGCACCACCGCCAGGCTATTACCCGCCAGTTCAGTCGCCTACCGAGTCGTTCTCATCCTACGGAGATGGGAGGACCGACGATGGTAGCCAAGTCGCAGGAAGACGCCGCCGCAGGACTTCGGAGGAACAGGACGAAGGGTACAGGCTACCCCCGCCGAGAGCTGCTGTCGAGGAAGACCCTCGGAGAAGGTCTCCAGCTGAATTTTCAAACCATAGCAGCCCTGGGGGAATCGGTTACCCGCCATACGCAGGGGCGAGACAGAGCCCACGCAACCCTGGCGGAAGCGCGCTGCCACAGTCGACGCCAGGAGCAAGCTATGCGACTTCTGCTCCGGGTGGTCGCTCCCCAACGGCACAAAACGGCTCCAGCGGAGCGTCGACACCGGCTCGACAGGGGCAGAGCTCCAGCCAACAGCCACAGCAAGGGAACTCGTCGGTTATGAGCCTCAGCAACCTGGTGGAGAAGAACGACATCGATAAGACGATGATCGACCGACTGAATCGCCCAGGACCCAGCCCCAATCAGAACGGGCGAAGAGACGCAAGCCGTTAACGAAACCCGAGGACGAATTGACCCTGCCGGACAGGTTAAAGCGACGAGTCGAGGCTCTATGGTTTAATTTATGGGCCTCTCGGATTCCGATGGCTGGCCACCGACGAGATGACGAGTTTTCGATTCCTTTTCATGCTTTTTTTATATCTCGACAGAGAGGGAGGAAGCGGCTGGAGTACAACCAAAACAAAAATGGGAGGAGGGACTCTCGTGGGCGATACAGGACAGCAGGGCATGGTCTAGAGAAAGACGCAGTTTGGCAACAAACATCCTTCAGGTATCATGTCTTTTTTTTTTTCGGTTGCTGTTGTCTGATTTTGTGTTGGTCGCGGCTTGTCCTCGTTCCCGTTTTTCTTTTTCTGCTTTCTCCTTTTGAGAATTTGCCTGAAAAAAAGCAGCAGCTACAGGCCGTTGCACTCTTCTAATCGGTCGGTCACTTTTGTTTCCAGGAAAGACGGATACGCCTCACGGCACCAAATGGTTTTTTGTTTCCCGTTTTCAATGCCCTCGGTTTGTTTGGTTCATTGTGTTTTATTTGCGACTACTACAGAGTTATGATTTGGGGATGGGCTGGTTGGAGTGGTGCGTTTGGTTTCTCGCGAAGATTTTTGTCTTGTCTACTAGGATGACGATTCGCGCAAGCGAAACGAAAAGGATGCCCCTCTGTGGGCATACGTTGATGAAGCAGGGCGGGAAGGGAACGGCAAGGACGGGATGATCATGGGTTGGACTTGGTTGGGCTGGGCCGGGATGGAAGGCAAGGCTTTAGGCAAAGGGAAAGAAAGGGGATCTGGCTGGGGCAGTTTGACGCTTGACGTTTGCTGTTTTTGTTCGTTGTAATCAATTGTTTCCACGCCCGACTTCCATATCCCACTATTGCCCTCAATAGCGAATTGGAGCATTTGTTGAAGCGCATAATTTTCCACTCTTTCCCACTCTTTTCCACCCTCATTCTAGTCTTGGGTGTCTGACTTTGGTGAATTGTACCCAATGAATGAATGGGTCGAGGTTGGGAAGCACAGCCAACACTACCACTGAAAACACGGACGTGCTTTTGTTGATAGTGGGCAGGGAAGTAGGGAAAACAAGGCATCCAGGGATCAAGGGATTTAGAGGAGGTGGGTGTGGAGGCGCACGCAAGAAGGGTGTCATGTGTCACCCGAAGACTCCCGGCGTCTCTGTACAAAAGGCGAGTGAGGACAGGGCCAATTGAAAATTTCCAGTGGCGGAGGCTGACAGGATTGGGAGGGAGGCAGGGAGAGTACGTAGTAGAGAGAGCTCACGGCAGCAAGACAAGGGATTGGGAGCTGGGATGAGAGTCGGGCAGAGAGAGCTGGGGAGCTGGCGGGTGTCTCGTTTGCCTCGTCTGGCCCGCCTTGTTCGCCTGGCTCGTCTCGTCCCGTCACCACGCTGCAGCGGGCAACGGGGGACGGGGGACGGGGCGAGTAAGGGCTAGCAAGGGACGCGGGCCATTTGATGGGGTCATGGATCATGGAGAGGAGAAGGGGGAGGGGGGGCAGAGGCTCGGGAGCGAGGGGAGGCTACGGCAATGGCTACGGAGACGAACAAAGAGGAGGGACTACTATGGACTACTGCGGACTAGGAGGGAAGAGGGCGAATCCACATGGCGACATGGCGGGACTGGCAGGTAGGCCGGGCATGGATCATGATGGGATGTATCATTGTATCGTCCATTGCGCCAGCCACTGGGCCACTGGGCTATGAACTGGGCCACTGCTGGGCTACGAACTGGGCCGCTGGGAGGACCTTTGACCCTTGGACGGAGCCAGGGGCCTCTCTGGCGTCCGGCGAGATGGGCATTGTGAGTGGAGGAGGCGAGGGAGGCGAGAGACGTGGGCAAAAGGGAGGGATATCGACCCGGGGGCTGGTCCCTGTCAAGCGGAGAACTGGGCGACCGGGGTGTTGTAGATTTGGTGTCGATGCGACGTTCTCCGTGGGCGATGTGGATATGCTGCACGGGGACGGCCGCAGGACGGTCGATGCACATGACGCAGCGCCGACGCAGACGCACAGGGCACGTATGGAGTAGGGAGTAGGGAGAAGGGAGAGGGGGAGGGAGGACACGGACAATTGACAATTGGGGTGTTGTGAATTGGGAATTGAGGAGTGGGAGTGGTGGGACTGGGCTGAGAGAGAGAGAGAGAATGGGGAATATTGGGTGGTGGTGGTGGTGGAGGCGGCGGCGGCGGCGGCGAGTAGCCGAGAGAGTACTGCGTAGTTTGTGTGCGTGTGTTGTGTTGTGTAGGTATACGTACGTACCTATGTATGGTATCTGTGTGAGTGGAAAACGGGTAATTGGAGTGAGTGAGTGGGCTGTTAGGCTGTTAGGCTGGGCTTGATTGCTAGATGGCTGGATGGATGCATGGCTGGCTGGCTGTTGGGCTTAGTTGCTTGGATCCGTGCTGACGGAGGCTGGCTGAACGATTGAACCGAGTACCAAACGGATGAATGAACACAATGGAAGAATCAATGGGTACTCGGTATATACTACTTGGTGCGTAAGTAAGTACCCCGTACTCTGCCCAGAGTACGGTAGTAGCATTCGATGGGCTGACTGCCTTAGACCGATGGGGCTGAATCGCGGGTCTAGAGGCGTCCCGAGTTGGTGGATAGCTGAACGACAATGGCCCATGATACGAGACGGGGAGAGACAACAGCACCAACGAGCGGGGGCAGTGGCAGCGGCAGAAACGGAGAGCAACAAAGACGGAAGCAAGGACTATCAAAGTAAGTTAAAGCAAAGCAAAGCAAGCAAGCAAGCAAACAAACAAGTAGCCAAAGTCGGAATAAAACAAAGCAATGTCGACACAGAGCTAAGGCATGCCAGCGAGAACCACCGACATGCAAAAGCACGAAGTACAGTACTTCCTCCTCATCCCAACACTCATATTCACACACGCACAGTACTTGCAATACATAGCAAAGATTAGTTGTCGCAAGATGCGGCACGCCCCTCACCCCCTTTGCGGGTATTCCACTCTACTACACTACGGTACTCTACACCCTGCGACGAGTAAGCACACCTGGCTTCTTTTTTGACGACTACTACGTAGTACGCCCATATGTGGTCCATCCCGTGATCCATCCGTGAGGCTAGGACGACCTGACACTTTTTGGCAGATTGCCTTCCAGCCACTGCCAGTTGTAGCGGTGGCATCGGCACGTAGTAAACGTGCTACGTGCCACATGCGTACTTGTTCGCCGACTAATTAACGGTAGATTAGGCGCGCGAGGGAGTGAAATTGGTCCCCGGAGAGGAGGAGCTAGACGCGAGAGACACGCTACACACGCTACACACGCTACACAACACTCACTACACACACCATACGGAGCTGGGACTGGCGCTGGGGGCATCCGCATCAGGTAACAATAGCAGCGGCTTCATCAGGGGGTCAGACAACGACGACGACGACGACGACGACGACGAAGGAAAGAAGATGTGGTCAAGAGTGTTGATTTTGACGCCCACGGTTGATTATGCAAATCACCAACACCAACACCAACGCCCGAAATGACGATGACCATGTTTGCCCCTCTCAATGCTTCAACAGCTTTTATGACTACGTGAGCATTACACTACGGTATTCACATCCCGGCGGGGGTGTAGCCCTACGAGAGAGGGGAAAACGCTTGTCAATAAGATGGATGGATGGCTCTCCTCTCTCCTCTGCTGGCTGCTCCCATCTGGCTGCCTTGTTAGGGCAAAAACCTCACAGGACAGCCCAACTACCAATTAGCTGATTAATGAGATCCTCTTATTATTATTATTTGGTGTACCTTACCTAGCCGTACCATCCATCCCATCCCATCCCACCCAAGGGCCTTTCACCCCTCACCCCCCCCCCCCCCCCCCCCCCGTCTCACCGGCTGACCTCGCGTAAGAAGAGGCCGAGTCCGCGATGGCGTACAAAGGAAGGGAAGGGTAGGGAAGGGAAGTGACGGTACGTCTTGGCCGAACTTTTAACGCGAACGACGGATCACGGCCGGCAGCGGGCGCCCGCCCGGGGGACTCCAACAAAAAGGGCGCCAGAAAGGCGTGAGAAAAAAGATTAGGAAAACCGGTACACCAAGGACCGACGGTCTGTTGGACGGTGCGCGGGCGGGGCGGCGGCGACGGCGGCGGCGACGGAGGCGGCGCGAATGAGGGGAGACGAAGCGGAGACGAAGAGGAGACGGAGAGGAGACGAAGAAGAGGAGACGAAGAGGAGAAAGGAGGGGGCGTGTTGAGGCGGCAAGGTTTGGGATGGGGATGAAAATGCGGATGAGATGGCGCGGCGCTGGGCTGGCTTTTTTTTGGACTTGAAAAAGTAGTAAATACTTTGTAATGGGCGTATGACGAGGCTTATTGGGTTGCTGTGCAGATGCAGTCTGGGATGGATGGGGAAGATGGATGGGTGGGAGGGGGGAGGGGGGGGCGTGTATAATAATATGGAGAAGAGAGAGAAAGACAGAGTAGCCAGAGAGAGTAGCCATCGCGAGAGGGAGAGAAGAGACAGACAGACAGACAGACAGAGAGAGAGAGAGAGAGAGAGACAGAGAAAGGGACAGAGTGAGAGCACCAACCAGCCAGCCACAGATCACGCATCACGCATCACGGAGTTTAGAAGACGGGACCAACGACAGGAAAAGAGGAGACCTCGACAGGGTACTTTGCAGTATGTACAGTGTAAGCGAAAGCGGTGACGAATCCTAGGCGAGTGTCCTCGGTAGTATGTATGTATGTCTTTAGGTTTATATGTAGGATTGTACGAAGACGGTATGGCCACGGATTGTGGATGGATGGATGATGAATGGACGGAGAGAGAGGGGTCAACGTGTGATTGTTTGTGGAGAAAAGAGGGAATAGGCAGAGACAGCCGGAGTGCCAAAGAGAGCAGACAAGGACATGGATTTATTATACCGGCGTCTACAGCTATTCTGCTGTTCTGCTGTTCTGCTGTTCTGCTGCTAGCCAATATCATTGAAGATCAATCGACAATTGCTGCAACCGTCGACACCCAGAGCACGCAAATCACAAACCACACAGCTGCGCGTCTGCCACGAGTACAGGACATCCTGACCATTGGCCTCCCTTCGGAGGATGCAGTCGAGACACGCACCAGGCGGAGACACTTGTAAAAAAAAGCCAAGACTTCAGTACAGTGTGTACCTCCATCATCAGCCAAGCCAAGCAGTCGTCTGGCCGTCGCCGACGACGCAGCCTCAAGGGTGCGGTACCCTGATTGCGCGCTGCTTGTTTTGACCGAACTCACCGTGCGGTAGAGAGAGACGAAGCAACGAAAAAAAGGTCAATAGGGGGCGTGTCTACGGTGGGTGTGTACGGCTGCCTATCTCCTCTGTGTGGGAACGGACTTAAATGGATCGATCAATAGCCTTGCCAGGGTTTTGCGAGGAATAGGCCCGGAGTCGTGATGGGGGGGGGGTGTTTATTCCACTTTGCATGCGGTATGGAGAGCGAGCATGACACTGACACAGGAGGATGCGTGTGTGAGGAGTGTGTGGGCGAGAGTGCAAGAGAGGGTTAGTCGTGTCGCACACTTCGTGGATAGTAAACCCCAAGTGTCATGTCGTGCAATACGATGCGATGCTGGTGAGGAAGTTTGACGGTAGGCCCAGTTGGCCATGGTTTAACCTCGTACGAGGTTTGCACTCGATGTTTCCTTTTCGACTCTTGTTTGATTTTTCAAACTTCACAAAGCCAAAGGAAATGTCTCTAGACTCCAGCCGACTCAATTCCCCCGTGCCGTGCAAAGGAACAGTCACCCAATACCAAAAAAGGGGTGTGGGCGTGGGAGGCCGAAACCAGAGGCAAGTTCAATTAAGTCTCCCGATCGCCGCCTCACGCGCGGGAGAGAGAGTGTCCGATACAGGACGGAGCAAGGGAGGACGCGGGCCCCGTCAGGAACGAGGCGGGCTACAGAACATGTGGCGGTGGAGAGGGGACGAGTCTGGAGTTGCAATGGGTTACCGGGACGCTGGAGCGCTGGAATGCGGGTATGGGGAAGGGATGGGCGGAAGAGGGACGGTGACGGGGAGGCATTTCAAGAGTTTGCGGGCCGATATCTCAGAAGTGTGTCTTGCCTTTGGGCGAGACATACGTGGCATGGGAGAGATTGGGAGAATTCCCGACTCGGCTGTGTCTCGTGTTGTCGTGACCCGACGGCTTGGTGTTTTGGCCGCCGCCATTCCCTCAACACCAGGAACCGTATCATTTTTGCCATGTCAGTTGCCCAGCCAAAACCAGCCGTTAGAGTAGACGCTTTTGCTCTTTGGTCCAACTCTGGTCTGGAGTCTATGAGGAAGCACAGCATCCATCATTGTACCTGCTCGCCATGTTCCGCTTCCTCCCAATCTCACCCCCTATTAGGCTTCTCTAGGCCCACGGGATAGATCTACACTCGCCCTGGACGGCTTCCAAGCGATGGCTTGTTCGCTTGCCGTGGTACCGGGACGCTCCAGAACGCGGGAGCCCACGGGACTTGCTGAGGGCGTGTGGGAACAGAACACCTTGACGAAGAGGGTTTCAACCAAGAAACGCCGTGCCCGTCTGCTGTCCCCAGTGTATCCCAGCTGGACAAAATTTCTAAATTCGCCCACGCCCATCTGGGTAACCTTTGCACTCCCTTTCCCGAGGGCGACAGTGCCGGCCGAAGGTGGTTCCCGACCGCAAACGTTCTCGCGACTGGAATGTGGATGTTTCGCTTGTTTTGGTTTCGCTCGCGGGACGGTGAGGGCGGAGGACGAGGCCCAAGGGCGCCAGACAGGCGGAATCGGGGGCGGATCGATGGCGCTGAGGGCAGAGTTTGGAGGTCGGCGAGGTAGAGCGAATAGAGGGCGCTTCTCGGGGAGGCCGTGGACAGGACGAGACGAGGCCGGAGAGTCACCAGGGACAATGACGAGCGTACGGGTCGGCTGAGCCGCCTCTCAGGAGCTAGGAGATGCTTAACATGGAGTAGACGAAGGATGACTGGGCGAAGAACGAAGAGGAGGCAGACAAGAGGCTTGTCCCATGCTGTTTCCGGGAGCGGGAATCACGGGATGGCCACGCAACGAGCCGGCCAACTTGTGCGCCATGATCGACGCTCGTCGGACTGACGCAGGAACCCTCCTCTCTCGGCGTCCTCCTGACGTCTCGCCAACGCCGTTTCTTCCAGATCACTGCGGCTTTCCCCCTTACGGCCCAGTCCGTGATATCGAGGCTTGGGGCTCAGCCAGCGCCTCGGGTCCGTCTCCACGAGCCCAGCACGCATGGATGGCTCGCCGGTATCCATCCCATTCCGGCGACTTTACGAGAAGACGCGAATCCCTCACCCATCTCCCAGCCGGACGCGTGCGCAGGTTTTGCCCGTGATGAATCTGCCCTTGAGGAATCTGCCCGCGGGCCACACACGCACACCCCCCCTTTTGCCTCCCCCCCTGACAAATGCCCCGTTGGAGCAGAGTTTGTATTCGGACGGGGAGGCGGTCGGTTTCGGACGGATACTTTGACGCCACTGGCTTTGGCTTTGCCCGTGATGCCGGGTCGGAGGCTTGTGGCGGGCTGGAGACAATGGGCGTGGGCCGGCCGAAGGGGAGAAGGGGACGGTGGCGAGGTCGAGAGGAGGCTTAGAATTATGTCTTTTCTTTTCTTGGTTCCGTCTTCGGTCCCGGCCGTGATGACGAGTCTCGGACGCTCTCCGATGGAACCCATCTTGCGTGTGTGTGTGTGTGTGTCGTGGTGGTGTACGAGTAAGGAGTAAGTGTGCGCCTACGTTGCTGATATTCGTAGCCTAACGTTATCGGAGCACGCTTGACGCGCCGGAGGGAGTTTGTCCTTCCTTGGTAGAGATCCGGGCGACACCTGCGCAAAAAGGCTTTGCTACCATGGCTCTTGTGCTCGATCCGAGTCCCCTTTTTGTTATCGACTATTGATAATGATTCTTTGAAAACCTGGTAACCAGACGACTCTGGATGACCAAGGTTTGAAGGCTGTGATATGGTGGACTGGCCTTGAGAACCTCACCGTTTGTCTCTCCCAATGCCAAAGGGGATTGGAACTCAGTTCGATCACTCGGACACTCCGTACAGGTATTCTGTCCGCTGATTCCTCCTCGCTACCAAACCAATAGGAGACTCTGTCGTCCCACCGCTCCCATTAACCGTTGAAGTGGAAGCAACAGTAGATGGACTTGACGACAGTCTTCTTCATTCTATCGTCGCCAACCTCGAATCCCTCTACGATTGGAAGAGGCAAAACATACTACTATTTGTGCCAATCTTCCTCGACGTTTCGATACTAAAAGACACGCGGAACCTCTTCGAGAGCGTTGCCAACGAACGATCCCTCGAAATCTATAAATGGGCATGTGGTTGAATTATCGATTATGAAATTCAAAAAAGAGGGAATACAATGGCAGAAGGAAGGCCCGTTGAGGAACCAAGCGGTTGCGCATCTGGACTATGGGATGCTATGCCCGGTTTCCATGTCGTGGGTGTCAATACAGTCTACGACAGCGTTGAATTGATGCTGTTACGACAAAGTTGCCGTACCCCTATCTGTTCATAGCTTCTCGTACACCAGATGTGTACAGTCAACAGCCCTGTTCTTCCAGTACCAGCTGTAGCGTCGAGCCCAGCGATTAAGATGCAATCGTAGTAAGTGCTGCGAGCATCAACAACCCTTGCCCTGGAAAAGACGGTAGCATCGACATGCACAATCGTAGCAGGGATACACTCGACCTTGGCCGAGTCTCGGAATATGTACAGGACGGACCCATGGTTTGCATGGCATGGTCCGGCCGCTTACACAAAGCAGGGTTTGCCTCGTAGGGTTACGTCGACAATGCCATTGCGGTATTCCCTAGGGCTTCAACATACACACACGGGCGTGTTTATGTGACACCGCTCATCGATGCTCTGGAACACTCAACACGCGACCGGCAGCTTGGATTCGGGCAAAAATCGCGGCAGGTTCGGTGTCATGTCGTAGCGTCATGTCGTAGAGACAGCGTCACCGCTCGCGTCCAACTTCCGGCTTCAGGCATGGCGCGCCGGGCCCTGGAGTTACATTGTTTCACGGGGGAGCCTTTACCGGCGGGATGGCCCGTGAAGGAGGCAGCGACTGCTACGTTGTGTGGTTTGTGGTTCGTCGTTCGTGTGGAGGGATGACCCTTGAGGCATTGCCCCTGGAGTATAGTTGGACCGTGATATTGATACTTGGTGTGCTAATTTGCACGGCACGACGACTAACGAACAAAATGCACTGACTGCCATTTAACGTACGCCCTACTCAATCATTTAGATGCCAGAATCTATACGTTACATCCATCGTAATAGCACGAACCACGGCCTAACGGACCGAGGCCACCCCTGCTCAATCTAAAACCAACCCACCCAAAGCTCAGCCCAGTTCGAGAACCAACACAACCAACAAGTCCATGGCCACTCCCGCCCCTCCCGAGCGTCCGAATAGCTTCCCGCTCGAGCCCATCCAGCCCGCGGATCCTCGCCCTCCTCTCCTCGCCATGACTCCCCCATGACCTCTCCATGACCTCTCACCGTGATAAAATCCTCCTCCGTCCCGCTCGCCGTCGTGTGGAGCGATCCCGGATCCCGGCCCGGACACCGCTGCTCCGCATTAGTCCTCTTTAAGCGGATTGCAAGGGGTCGCAAGCCAGCGCGAGCCGCGACCGTGCGAGACAAAGTGGGAACCGCCGCCGATCGAAAACAAACAGTCGGCCATGTTGCCGTAGGCCAGACGGCGCTGCGAGAGCCCACGCCGCTGAGCCGCCGCCTGGCTGCCGTGTCGCCGCGTCGAACCTGCGAGGACGGCCTAGCTGGGCTGTACTCGAGCCTGAGAAGCGCGGGAGGCGGGGCAGAAGAATCAAACAAAGGCCATGGTGGACGAGGTGCTCCCGGTATGCTTGAGGGGCAGTTGGATGGCCTGGGACACTTCGGGAGAGGCCATACGACGTATATACTCAAGAGAAGGGGCGTGGAGGCTGTTCTCGTCACGGAGGATCCATTGGGAAGAGTCGTACGGCGTGTTGGCAACTGGCATCATGTTGGAGGATCAGCGCTGTTAGGGCTCGTGTTATTTAGGTCTATGGAGTCATGGACGGCATGGAGCTGGCTTCTGAACGTCGTCTTCCGCACCGCGTCTTCTTGGTTTAGCTTAGAATTTGGGCTCTGGATCAAATCACCAACATATACTCTTCGCAGGCGTTGTGCGTGAGCCCAGCAACCGGTGGTCGAGCTGTCGTGTGGCTCCCTGTCATACCGTACCCATATCATCACTTATACTCTCCTCCCTACTCCCGACCATGCCACCTCTCTTCACCTATGGATATACCTCCGTAGACCCTACTGTCAAATCTCAGATCTCGAAAAGACCAAGCATGCTGCAAGCCCAGAAGCAAGCACCCAAGTAGAAGACCAACTTCCAGGGCGCATTTGACCAATATACTACCAAGACGCAATATGACATCCACTAAGTCGTCTTTCAAGGAAATAACATGAACCGTGATCTTGCAACCTTTCTTCTCTTCAGGTTGACTATTGTCTATGGTCGTGTCTTCGTAAATTCGTGTTCATCCGTGTATTAAATTAAACACCCAAGTATTGGGATACCCAAGCCATCGCTTGAATCAGGCCAATCGATATCCCTCCACCAATTGACATCAAGCCCGACTGCTTCCAGTCGTATCCAGCTTCGACAGATTTATTTCCAAGGATGGCCAAGTTGAATAGTTCGGTTCGCCATGACTTAAGGGGCCGGGCTGGCTCGCCGACTCGAGTTTTCCAGGCACATCTCCTCTCGCACTGCCAACCGATCCCAAGCATCTCTCTCCAGGACGAAACATCTTTCCGCATAAATACCCATCTCGTTCTGCCGATGCCACGCACTACCTAGTCGCCGGACCATGACGCGCTTCCAGCCCCCGACATTGATGGTGATTCGCCTCCACGACGTTGAGGTACCCTGCTGCTTGCCCTGGACAAGAAACCGGAATGTTTGCATAGCTGCATTAAAATCGCGGTCCTCGACGGCGGGGGTCTCGTCGAAAGGGTGGACGAGGGTTTGTACGTGCAAAGTCACGGTGTGTAGGGATGGAAAGGCACACACGGCGCGGAGGAACTCGGGCGTGTCACACAAGCCGACGTCCATATCTAACTCCAGCGTATGGACCAATGCCAGATGTTGAGAGAGCTGCCTGACGTGGCCATCCCACAATGTCGGACACTTCCCATCATCGTCCACGAAGCCGACGTGGTCTCGGAATCGCAGAACTTTAAGCGATCGTCGATGGGTTAGAATTGCATCCAAGGGAAATATTTCAGTATGGCATGTTATATCGAGAACTTCGAGTGCCCGGATATGGTTCTTGATTAGCAAGTAGAGACCACCAGTCGCTTCCTGTCTCCTATCAGGTAGATGGCTGTAGTCCTCCACTTGTAATGTATGGAGGCCCGAGAGATCCCCGAAAAAGATTGACGATAGGAAGTTGAACACGGGCACCGATACCAACTCCAAAGACTCAATGTGTGAAAAGTCCCAATGCTTTCGGACGTCCTCGGGAGAGTGGTTCCAATCGTAAGACCGTAAAAGTAGTTGGGCGAAGGGGGGCAATCGCTCGCCAGGCTGGAATTCGAAGCTGGTACCTTGGCCGCGGTCCTCGTAGTGCAAAGTCCGGAGTTGGGGGGATTTTAGAAGAAGGCTCTTCAAGGGTCCAAGTCGAGTGGAAAGGGTTGGTGAGGCACTCGTTAGTTTGAGTGACGTTAATAGGTGCGGAGGGATGGCTTGGGTGTAACAGTCGCGGAGATGGTTGTCGAATTCACAGAGCGGGAGGTTTTCGACATGAAGCTTGGTCTTACTAAAACGCTTGTGGCTAGAATTCAGGACATCTGAAGGTAACCATATGCTAGCAGCGTTGAAAGCCCCAATAACGTATCGCCATCTACCGCCCCGGCATGTTAGTAAGGTGTTGATTACGGCGGAGTGATGCAGTATACCTTATTGAGGCAAGCCTCTGGATCCCAAGAATAATACGGGTAATACCCTCTGGGTCCAGATTACTAGACACGTCGACATGGTTTGTGTGAATGGAGATGTGACGAAAGGCGTTGGGATAACGTTGCTCGGCATCGGGTGCAACAAGACGCTCATTCAAGGTCAAGAACCTATAGGCAATTGGCGTCGCTATGGCATCGAACCTCCTTGAGGCTAGGCGCACAGACTCTAGCGAGGACGAGTCCACATCTCGAAGCTGGGGAATCATGATTAGTGCTGTGTTTGGGCAGACGATCATGAGTGACATGGGGGGCAGATGGAAACTCACTTGTTCGAATATGAGAGCCAAGAGTTCCGAGCTGAGATGCTCAAATGATATGTTCAACACAGGGGTTGGTTTCAGAGGGGAGGCCATGCGGCGAGAAGGGACGAGAGGGTGTGAGGAGTAGAGAGAGGGAGAAGCCGAGGAAAGAACTGAGGAGAGGGAAATGGAGGGGGATGGGAGAAGGAGATCCATGGATGGCCGCATAGTTGACGAGGAATAATGAGGGGAGAATAAAACGGGACCATGCGAGTTGTTGAATCGGTAAGAGAGGAGAGTGGTAGTGGGCTGAGTATGTATGCGAGGGTGTAAGTCTGCGGGGAGAAGAATCCGGAAGTCTGGCCAGGTTCTGACAGATGACACTAGGCTGGTTGGGGTGAAAGTAACGAAAGGACATCGGACGGTTGAATTGGAGGCGGGAGGAATGGTGGCCCTAGGGTGGACGCAGATCCGAGGAGGCGGAACGGTAGCAGGGGCGTTAGCCAGGGATGGAGATGGAGAAGAATGGCGTTTGGTCAGCGAGGGAGCCACTTGCTTGGGGCCATGCAGGCGGCTGGGACTGCCGAGCAGGTATATATGTGTCTTTATCAAGCCTGACGGCACGGCTACGTAGCAGGTTGCATATGTGAATGGAGGAGGGAGCAGGGGTTGAGTAGGCTCAGCCGCTGTCATCAGATCGGAGACGTGGTGGATGGCCATGGCGGCTGGCAGAGAGGTGTTAGAGGACGAGACAGGAGATGGTGCGCAAGCCAGAGCGCGAACGGACCACAGAGCGACCTCAAGGAGACTCAGGGAGAGGGAGCAATGCTAGCGGATGGACAGGGTCTGGGCCGTCATGAGGAGCCTGGACGGGGGAGGATAGAGTGCGGCAATGGTGGAGAAGGGACAGGCCGAGCGAGAGGGCCAACTTTGTAAGCCATGTGGAGATAAACGAGCCGCCTAAGAGAGGCAAATCGGGCGGCAGGCGTGTGTTGTCGTCGTATGTGTGGAGGAACTAATGTAGAGCGACAGATTGTGGATGATGAAAATGCCAGGGTTTGGCTTGTGGGAAGCAAGAAAAGGCCAGGACAAGATTCAGCTCCGCCATGTTAGGATGGTGAAGACGACATGAGTGTGGACGAATGGAGAGACGGGGGCAGAGACATGGTGGGTAAAACGACATCAAGAGAGTACACCCCCTTGAAAATGTGTGTGTGTCTGTGTAAAAGAACGGAAGCAAAACAAGGAGAGAGACTTGTTCAAAGGGTGGACCCTCAGACCAATATCAATGACGAGAGACGACGGGATGGATGCATCGATGGGATTGACGATGGATTGGCCTGTCGTTGAAGATGCAGGGTGCCCACTTTCCAAGACGGGTCCATTGGCGGGGGGCAGGAAAAAGAAATAACAAGACGAGGATTATTTCTCGCGTCTGATCCGATGTGAGCGAGCGTGAGACTGAGCGGGTTGCTCGCGGATCGACGGAGCGCACAAATCGAAAGGGAATGTGCCATGCGTTTGTCTGTGTACTCGTGTCCGACCGTCTCGTCTGCCTTTCTGCGTTTTGAATCCGTCTTGCTGTGCGTGTTGCCGGCCAAGACATACACCAAAAGCATACCACCGACGCAAAACGTGTACGAACCAGAAACCACAACCAGAACCAGAACCAGAGCGAGAGCCAGCCAGCGGCGGGTGTCGTGGTACGCGCTGCAGATGGCCATGGCTCCCACACCAAGTCACCAACAGCAGTCACACCTTGAAGCGTCCGTCGAGTCTCGACATGAGGCATGCCTCATCTCCCACCGCGAATCTGATATGTTCGCAAGAATGTCCCGAAATAGGCAACTGGGTCCAGCCACGTTCGGCGGAACGGTCGCCCCTCCTCGGCTCCCTTGGCTCATGGCGTGGCAGCGGGAACCAATCGCCCGCTCGAGACGCAACGAGACGCACGAGACGGGGCCGCGAAACTGGGGCGGCTTGATGCAAAGCAGGTCCCCATCCCGTCGTCGCATGTCCGCCGCGTGCCTGCCGCATCCCCGCCGTCCATCCATGTCTTTCCTAATGCATTTGCATGTCATATCCATGTCGCTTATGCCATTGACGCTGCGTTGAGGACGAGTCTGGAACTTGGGGCGACTCTGCCCGCGTCTGCACTCGCCAGACCGCCCTGCTGGGAGCCAGTGCAATTCGCAGTCGCTTCGTCGTGCTGGGGGCTACTAGGATGTGTTAGTTTGCTCGCTTGCTCGGTACCGATGTTCTTAAAGATGACTGCGTTTCCCTGTTTGCCGACAGAGGGGTTGGTTGACCTTTGCTCTGTCGCTCTGCCCATGTCGCTCTGCCTATGTCGCTGATGATGCTGTCATCATTTCTGGGCTGCGTCTCGACTGAGTTCGGTTGAAAGTAAAGCTGCACAATTGTGGACTGGCTTCGCAATTGTGACCAGCTTGTGGACTGGCTTCGCGATTCTGACCAGCTCTGGGTTGGGCTGGGTTGGATAATTGACGCCGCCACCGCCACTTCCACTTCCACTTACCACTCGGAGTTTCCAAGTCCCCGTCCCCGGTGGAGTTGGGAAAGTGCAGGACCATACCGTTGACCTTCCTTCATGTTGGCAGCCTGCTTTTGGAAGGTCAGTGGGTTGGCACCTGCCTTGCCTACCTATGTGGTACCTGCCTAGTCGCTGGATCGCGACTCGCTTTGCCATGGAACTAGCGAAGCTAACATCACCTCCGATATTAAGATATACTGTCTTCGGCAAGGTGCCTCCCCAACTCCCATCGCCAGCGACTAACACGCGCCTCTCCAACTTCACCACCACCGCACCACCGCATCAGCCAACACCATACTAATCACTAACACCAAAATCACACCTGAACCACCGTCCTCATAAGCGCCACTCCCTCTAGAATTGCTACCTTGTATGAATCTTAGCCGTGGTTCGCCCTTACCTGTCCACATCGACCCGCCAAGATTCTTCCCCGGTGTGGTTTGTATTGAGATTGGCTTCACCGGTCCGTAGGCTAATCCAACTCCTGCTTTACCTAATCGATCTACGTGTTTGTAACCAATAGATTACTGATTACTATCACTACTCATTAGCTGCTAAGCTACTTCGCATCCCTCGATTCATGGCGGAGACAAAGCCACAGCTCTAAAAGGTTCTAGATGCCCTCCGCTCTCTTGGATGTACTCCCGCCCAGGCAGGCGACAGGCTACCAGCTTCATCTGTTCCAGGTCCCGCCGCTCTCGTGCTACTCGCCCATGCAACACAGCGTCATGAACATACCGTGCTCATCGCAAACTTGGGATCCACACGGCTCAATGGACCCTTCCTCTCTGGTGTCGTCAGTCTGTGGACGAATGCACAGGATGTGACCTTGTAATGCAGCTAGCTATATACATATCAAGTTGCCGGGAAGAAAACCAGAAGGATTCGAGCGCACTCGTATAAATGCCCTTGAAGGCCTTGCTAATCACGGGCAATTTCCAGTTGCACACTCGAAGGCCAGGTTTATCGACTACGAAACGTGCTCTTCATCCTCGGTTAGTCACATTCATTTCTGAACTGCCCCTGGGCCCTTGTCGCAGCGACAACCGACGACCCCGACACTCTGGCACCACGTCGGTCAATGTCCCCATTTTTGTTCCTTTTCCCGGAGCTGCATACTGATTCTAGTAGCTCCCGTACTACTTGCTTTTTCTTTGTTTCGTTTCGTTTCGGTCCGTTGGGATTTGTCTGAGAAGCTGACACATCTGGTGCTGCTCAGACAAACAAACAGAATCGTAGAAATAGGTCAATCTCCCGCTCCTCGTGAAACCTGAGTTCTCTGTGGCCTTGACATTGCTTCGTGAATTTTTGTACTACATAGTTACCAGTACATGAGCCAAGCCACTACCATCGAGTGCCTACTCATGATGCTGGTGGGTGACGATCAATCCCAAGCCCAGCCCGCCGGATCATGAGCCACACCTGTGGCCATCACAAATCGCACTGGAAACGCCGGGCTTTGCACCCTGTCTCGGCGAGGTGCGATTGTACCACTGCTGACGCCCTGCCGTGTTCTTGATTCGTCGCAATTACCACTGTGCCTATCTGCCTACATCCTCGGAGGATGCATCCAGGGATCGGGAGACAGGGGAGCATGCTACCACTTTGGGGCAGATGGGCAGCGAGCCCTTCCCCAGGTCGTACCTGTACGCCGAGGGGCACTGCATGCTACTGGCGCAGATGCAGGAGGCTAATCCAATCAATCTGGTGCATGGGCTTGCTACGGTATCACTTGCGAGTGGTTGAGATGCTAGGGGAGCTAGGGGAGCTAGAGGGTGGTATCTGCTTCTCCATTCCCAGAACGCGGTTGCAATACAATACATGTGAAAGAAGAACGCTATGGGGATCCGTCCTTTCGCCATGCCAGCCACCCGCCCTATGCTATTCTGTGGGATGCTTTCCATCCAAAGACTATCCAATCCTCTCCCCAACAGGTATTCAACACCTTTTCGCCAAGCTAAGTCAAGAGCAAGTTGGTGCCCAATGCGTTTCAACGTCAAACGCCTTTTAGCTCATTCGACCAACTCGATTGGCCTCTTGGACTGCCAATCCTACTCCCTATCGTACTGCTCGATCCTCTAGTACTTGTGTGGGGCCTCTTTGGTCCTAGATGGCGCATCATAGAGGTCATCGTCATCTGACACTTCGTCGGTAGCTAGTCGTCGCGTCCGCGGGTCAACTGTCTCGGAAGTCGCGGCACCGTGCATGGCCACCTTGCCAGCGGCACTGTCCTGACGGTTCAGGTAGCTCTCGGTCGTACCGAAGCCGGGGTGGAAGGGCTCATAGGCCAGGCGGTTGTCGAAGTCGCCGTTGGAGCTGGGACCCGCGTGGGTGGCCGAGCCGCCGGGTTGAGGGTCTCGGAAGGGGTCCTCAAAGGGTTCACTAGAGGCCTGGTCTGGGAGCGGCCTGAAGCCGGAACTAGAGGACCCTACGCCCGGAGGCGGACCGGGAGGTGGGGCATAGTCGTCCGTCTCTTTGCCCTTACCGTTACCGGTCGGGCTGAGACGGTCTGGCAACGGAGGGTTGCGAGAGTCCGACGAGGATCGATGCTCGTCGCGCCTTTCGACTCCAGACCCGTTGGACTGGGGCATACTCACGGGCGTGCTGGATTCGGTGCGCTGACCGAGGCCGAGGTGTTTGCGAGAGTTGAGGACAGCACGCTTATGCTGGTTGAGGGCCGTCTGCAGCTGCTCGTTTGTGTCGATGAGGCTCTCCATGGTCTCGTTGTCTGGAGTGGGGTTCTCCGACGTCATGTACCCTTGGATGCTACGGGAAGCGCTTTGGCAGCGATCGGCAAACTCCTTGATCAAGTCATTGTCGAGCATCTCGGTCGGAGGGGTGTTCATGACCACCTGCTCGAGAAGTTTGGCTGATATGCGAGCCTCTTCGAGGCGGCTAGCCAGTTCTACGGGGTCGGGTAGTCGCTTGTTGGAGTGGCTCCGAGCGAAGTAGTTTTGTGAATGGGGGTTATACGGAGCTTGGCCAGGGGGAGGCGGTTGGGGCATCGATGGTTGTCCTCGAACCTAGGAGGAGTGTATGTGTTAGTAAACGGGGATATGGTCTGGACGAAGGTACTACGACGAGCAAGTGGGCGTACCGGGTGGTCCTTGTATGCCTTCTCCTTCTCTTTCTTCCACATGGATATAATCAGGGCCAGGTTCTCGTCATCCATCTTTGTGTGCTCCATGTCATCGAGCGTCTCCATGAGGATCTGGCGCACGCTGGGATCGCGCGCACCCTTCAGAAGCTGGCGAGTGGTATCGACGAACTTTTGGTCGAAGTTTCTCGTAAAGGTTGCACCCGGGTTGTCGGCCAATATGCGCAAGAGCATGATGGCGTTGTACTGCCATGATGGCCGCGAGGTGTAGTCTCGGGACATGTACTTGCGGATGATGCGCGCGCACTCGGCGGCGGCGCTCGGAGAACACTCGGCGGCATCGACGATTGGGGGGAGGAAGAGGACTTCATCGCTCTATAATAGGTACGCGCTGATTAGCATACGCCGACGGGGTTGGGACGGCGGCTTGACCGGCCTAGGTTGTTGATGATTGCTCACCTGTGCTTTTCCTCCAGACTCGCAAAAGGCTTTCTGAGGCTGATGTTAGCGGCGGGCGGGAAGAAACCAAGACACTGGCGACGTTGGCGGGCGTAGGCAACGGATGAACACATACCACACTGTTGTGAGCCGTGATTTCGGGGGTCGAGGCGGGCGTGGTGCCGCTGACACCGTCGGAACTGCCTGTAACATCTGTCGTCAGTGGCTGTCTCGACCGTTGACAACGGCGACAGAGGCGTCGGTGTTGTGGGGAGTTTGGGGGTCGCGCGTACGAGCTGACACATTGCTGGCCTTCTTCCTAATGCTGCCGAAGACTTTATTCACGCTGAGCCCCTTCATGGACTTCATGGCTGCTGCTTCAGCACTCGCGCCACCTACAGCAGGCTCGGCGCGGGATGGTCGGGTGGGGGGAAAGGAGGGCGGAAGAGGGTCGCGGAGGTTCGGCAATGGGAAGAGAGATGAGAGACTCGAGAGGCGAGGCGAGGTGAAGAGAGGAGGAAAATGGCGATGATGTGTTTGTGAACCGAAGCGTTCCCTCGGTTTTGGGAGGCTTTGTTGGTTGGGACGGCCCAGATGCTTTTCCAGCGGTGACGGTTGACTGATTGGAGCGCCGGTTGTCTGGGATAAGCAGTTGGCAAGGGTCTTACGGATCCCTGGTGATGAGAAGGAGTCGGGTAGGAGCAGAGCAACGGTGCAAGACCTGGGCGCAAAGCTGAAGGATTCGACCAACAACTGTTGAATCCCTGGCAGTGGGTTTTTCTTCCTCCACAGTTACGTCTCTGTAGTCACAGTTTCGTTCCGCGGGAGGCGGAGTGGTGGAGGAGTCGCCAGAGCGCGAGGCGTGAATGCGCGTTCGGACCAAGCCCCGTGCGTCACTGTCACCGTCACCAAGGCGTCGTCCAGGTCAGTTCAGTCCGAAGCTCGTGTTGCCTACCGGGTTGCAAGCGAATCAGGGTACTGCGCGCGTAACAGGGGATGACGATACTATCGAAACGGTCGGCGGCCAACAAAGGGTAGAAGGGTTGCGGAAAATAAAGGAGATAGACCCCTATGTAAGCAAATTAGGCGGAAGATCCGGGGTAAGTGTTCGAGGCAGGCGGACTGGTGCGTGCAATGCAGGCAGGTGCAGGCAAGCGCATCAGATGCAATCAAATGTCAGTACAATGCGAGTTGCAGCAGACGCCGGCTTGTTTGTCTCTTGCCAAATGCTGACGCCCAACCAATTTGCAAGGGCCAGGGACTTTAGTATTGTACCTGCTGTATGAGAGGAGCGGCCCGCCTCACGGAGAGTGTACTATGTACATAGTGCCGTTGCACAGCCTCACAGCCCTACGCAATCAACCCCTCTCCCAAGTCTTGGTATCTCTGACAAAAGCTTTGGACGAAAGAGGGTGACGTTTGTCGTGTGGGCGTGCCACATGACGATTGGAGCCTGCATTTTGGAGGCCGCCGTGAAAAGAAGAGAGAGAAACGCGTGTCTTTGAGCTAGGCATGAGGACCCTCGAGTCATCCATGCATGGATCCCCATGAGCCAATTTGCACGACTTCCGTGTCGTCCACCACGATATATCGCAACAGGCTCACTCTGCCCTTTGTCTGTGCTGTGTCTGCAGATGATGAGATTAAAGTGGCCCTCCTGTCTAATATGTGCAACCACAAATACCAAAAAGCACATCACATTCATTGCCAAGAATCTGTCTCGGTACTTCTATCCGTCGACACCAATACGGGGCTGGCCACGCGCATTAGCATGGATACCACCCTGCCCAACGTGCTCAGCCGTTGAAAGACCCTAGAACCGCCGAGAGAGTCCTCGTGAGACCTCTGCGCTGCCTGCCAGTCCTCAGCCACCAATCATTGATCAACAGCAAAACATTGTGAAGAAGTGACCGCTATGCAAAATATCTTCAAACGTACACGGGCGTCACACCACCAGTCTATCACTTTTCTGCTAGTCCCTTAGTCCTCATCCTCAGCCTCATCGTCCTCGTCATCATCGTCGTCTTCGTCTTCCGATTCCGGGGTGATGTCCTCCACAATCAGGTTTCCAGACCTGCCAATCTTTTGTCCCATCGTCACTGTCGCGCTGGGCTCGTAAACCATTCGCGGGAGGATCGATGCGATCCGGAACTTGAACTCATGATCGTAGTCCTCAGGCTTGTCACCGCTCACATCTTCGCCCTCCTGTTGCAGAATCTCATAGCACTCCACAAATGCGTAGAGCTCCTCCAAGGGCGCATCCTGCGGGAACCGTCTGACAATTCGGCCGATGCCGGACTCCTCGGGCATCTTTAACGCGACCCGGACGACGCTCTTATCGCTAGCCGTAGGTTCAGGAAGGATCGTCGTGGCTCTCCATGCTCGCCACTCCTGTCGCTTCTCTTCCAACCTCACCGCCGCCTCGGCCTCTTCTAGGGCCCTCTTCTCCGCTGCCGCGGCCTCAGCCACGGCCTCCCGCTTTTGGCGCGCACGTTCTCGGTCAATGGCCAATGATCGCTCATACGCCGAATCTTGCTCTGTCCTAAGGTTTCTCGTGACCTCTTGCACCGTTCGTTCTGCCCGAACTCCGTCCAGGTCAGACCCGTACTTCTCAATGGCGGCTCTTATCTCCGAAAGGTAAGTGGCGGGGGGCAAAGGTCCGACGAGCCGCTTCACAATTCCCATTCGGGTGCTGCCCTCCTTTGGAGTAAGGCATACCACGGCCGAAAAGGGAAACTTGGTGCAGTTGTATTCGGTGGCAACCTGATAGGCTTCTGAATCCAGCACATTGCCGCCCCATAACACGATATTGTTGGTAGGGTCCTTGATAAAGTCTGTCACTTCCTTAGAAAGAAGGGTTTCCTTGACAAATGACTCGGTGTCGTCGTGCTCGGGGGACATGAGGACGACCAACATGAACTTGAGCTCCTTTTTGGCCAGGTCATGCGCCTGCGCTACCCCACCCTCGAAGAATGGTAGTTCGTTTTCTCCGTACTCTTCCTCGAATTCGCGTTTAAACCTTGCTGCTGTGTCTCGGGGCATAAGTGGCCGTCGGCCGTTGGTGCCCCTGAAGCCGGTCGAGATTCGGCTGGTGACTGCGCGCGGACGGACTGATGCCGGTAAAAACGACAGTGCATAGATGAGCGTGCGGAACAGGGTCGATGCCGCCTTCCAACCCCATCCGAATGGTGCGAGGAGAAGTCCAATGAGCCACGGCGATCGCCCCGTCACTGGGCTCTGGGGCACGATTCTGGGGGCGGGGTCGGTGCGTTGTCTTTGCGATCCTCGGTGCGGTCGCGCGGCGGCAGATAACAAGCTTTCTTGAAGGTTTTCATGTCGTGCGGATGATCGAGGAATATCTTGTGTAGCAAGTGACTCGGCGAGCGGGTCGGGAGCTTCGCCGTCGAAGAACTTGGCGATTGCGATCTGGATTGTCATTGTCAGCAGCCGCCAGCAGGAAGCGCAAGGCACCAATGTCAGGAAAGGGGACATCCAAGCCATACCTGAACATTCCATTCTGACCGTCGTAACAACGGGATAGCCTCGTTGAGCTCCTGGTTTGTGACTTGGGTGTATTGGTTCAGAGCATCTTGTTGGCTTGTGGACAGCTGTCCCAAGTCGAACTCGTCTTCGGCCATGATTCCGGACTCGAAACCTGCGGCCCCCGGGTCTTAGGGCGGGAAGTGGCGGTCGCGGAATAGTTTTCGGCCGGGTGCTTGCGTTGTGTAGTCGTCCAGGCGGTAGTTGGGAGGATATGATTCAAAGTCTGGTCTCGCGAGGGAATGGTGCAACCTTTAAAGCCGGGGCATGCACCTTGTGCGCCGTCCGAAGAAAGTATATGCACTATCTGTCCGTTTGGGCCCAACGGGTGGGTGGATCAAGGTGATGTGAGAGTGCAAAGTATGACAAGAAAATCAGGGCGGGTGCTCGTTGAGTTGAGTTGAACTATCTGTCTCTACCCGTGAGTAGTGCCGTGGTTCCTGCGGAAGGTTGCCTCGGAGGTCCGGTGACAATGACGATTGGCGTTGGGTGGATCACCGCTGCGCGTGTCAAGGAGCTGTCGGCGCTTGTCAGAGGAACTCTGCTTAGTGGATAACCCCGGAGTATTCGTCTATCCAGGTCAGGTTGCCGCTCGTGTATGTGTGTAGGTGAGCGAGACACGGGAGAGTGGGGGGTTGGAACGCGGGGGCGAATCTCATGGCATCGCAAATCACGCTGGTGGAAGAAGGTCGGATAAATGAAACATGGTCCCTGTCGTCCGGGCAGTTGCCCTGTAATTCCCAGGCGGTGCGATGGTAAAACCTGCTTCAGAGAAGCTTGCCCGATCCTGCAAGTCGTGCGACAATGAGACAATGGGTGATGCAATTAAGGGAAGGGGACCTCAATGCATGGGTGCAACGCTTGTTGGCGTCATTGGACGCTGGCGGGGGGAGAGACGGCCACCAAGTACCCCCCAGGTACCCTCCCGCACAAACCAGTTGGTGGGGTACCTGCGCAGACACTTGGCGCGTAGTGTTTCTTGGTCGCCCAGCGGCCCCCCGTTTTCCCTCGCGACTTTGAGTCTCGCCCGCCCAACCCTCCGCGACTCCCTCCCCCACCGACATACCTACATACCTACATCCTCGCACCGGCTACTAGGTCGCTTGTTGAGGGCGACGCCTTCGCCTCCGCCTTCGCTTTTGCCTTTTGGACTCGGCCGCCGCCTCTCCCTCCTCCGCGCTCCCCGGCTGCTTCGACCAGCCCACTAATATCCCCCGCTTCTCTTCGTAATCCATGGGCGGCCGGTCGCCTCGATCAATTGAGCCATGGGAAATGCTTGCCAGAGTCAAGTACGTGCCGCTCCCCCCATCCCGCCGCTCCCAACCCTCGCGGTCCACCTCGATTCCTTCACCTGCGCGCCGCTTGCCGGCTTCGTTCTCCCGCGGACCCGCTAACAATGATGGCAGACGTCGTAAATTCGGCCAAGGGGGCGGCTACATCCTCAACATATCATACTGACCATGGCGACGTCGCGATATCCACCGGCCGATCTTCGCCGCCAGATTGGGTCTCCGAGGCCCAAGGGACGCGGTACGTGAACCAATATGCATATATACATGCCCTCGGACAACTCTTGCCGTCGAGCTGACTCCGGCCCCAAGAAAACAAAGATACTCTCTGCCGAAACGTCCTCATCTATGGCCACTGCCGATACGAAGATCAGGGTTGCGCATTCAGCCATGATCAAAACAAAACAAACTCCAACCAAGAAATGTAGGTCATGCTTCTTTCTGTTCGTCTGTCTGGAACTGTGTCTACCTGGTATCGTCCGGAGGAGAGATCCTTTCGTCGACTTGGCCCCTCCACGAATGGCCCGACCAACCATCGCCGTTCTTGCCCAAGCAAGTTCCACACCCAGTGAGAACTTTGTCTCCGCCTGGAAAAGGACCGCTCTTAACGACTTGGTTCGATCCTTAAATCGGGCGGAAATACCGGCACCTGCAAGAGCGTCATGACAAGTTTGAGGGGTGCTTGGTGTCGCCTGACGTGGTTGTGCATGGGCCGACGTTTCCCCCTCCTGAGAGGGATGCGCCACCTCTCGCCGCGCCGAGGTGGACACGTTCAACAAGTGCGCAAAACCCCCGGATTCGTCGGAAGTCAACTATTCGCAAGGCACTCATGAGTTCTTCTCTCACATCCAAAGTCAGGACGTGGTGTTGCTCCCCGCAGACCAAAGTCGCAATTCTTCCGTTGAGAAGCGGCATCGGAGGCGTATCCCTGCAAACATGACCACACCCTCAGCATGTGCCATGGCTAATAAGACCGGCATATTTAGATCAAAGAAGGCATTGAACGTCGAATCACCTTCATTTACCCCCGCAAATATCCAAGCTGGAGGGAAGAAGCCCACATTCTCTTCCCAGGCCGCTAGCGCCCCAGCTTTCACTCCACGCGGCTTGAGCAGTATGTGTCTTGTCAGTGTATGTGTTCTGTGCTCTTGGCTGACGTGAATGAATAGCCGGAACCCCAACTATATCCCCAGAAAACGACACTGTTGCCTTTAACCCTGCCGCCATCCGCGAATTCACCCCTACCTTTGACCTCAATGCCTCGGTATGCCACGGCGCGCCCGTCTTCAAACCATCTTGCTAATGAATACAGACAACGACAAACGGCTCCGCCCAAGATGGCGCTGTCTCCTTCGACCCCTTTTCCATGTCCACTGTGAGCCAGGGCCTCTCCACTCCTCAATTCAATCCTTACGCCGATGACCATGGCGGACTGGGTGGCCATGGATCCAATTACTTCCAGGCGCAAGGTGCCTTTCCCACATCTCTCCAGCCTCTCCAACATCACCTATATGCCCCTGTGGGACCCTATCGAGAGGACTTGATGCCGTATCATCGCATGACTCATGATTTCTTCTTGGCTGAGAAGCTCCGAGAAGAGTATCAAAAGAAGGCAGAAGCATCACTGCAAGTCATGCCCAATTCCCAACTACCACAGCTGGACAATTACCATTCCCTCGTTGCATTGGACACGACACATAGGAAGAATGCCAACGTCTTTGGATACCCTAGTTGGGTATACAAGGCTACATCGACCAAGACGGGGAATTTGTACTGCCTGCGACGGCTTGAGGGATATCGCCTGACCAATGAACACGCCATCAGATTGGTCAAGGAATGGCGCCGCATCGACAATGGGAGCGTGGTGACGATCCTGGATGCCTTTACCACTCGGGCTTTCGGAGACAGCTCTCTCATTTTCGTCCAGGACTACCACCCGCTATCCAAGACGCTTGCTGAGCTCCATCTGCCGCCAAACCCTGCCCATGGCAGCCGGTATCACCAAAAAACACCTCTTTCGGAGGCCGTGCTATGGGGATACATTACCCAGATTGCCAACGCACTGAAGGCCATCCATTCTATCAACCTGGCAGCACGGTGTATCGACGCGAGCAAGATCATCCTAACGGATAAGAACCGGATTCGACTCAGCGCATGCTCGATTCTAGACGTAGTGCAGTTCGATTCACGACGGCCCATCCAAGAGCTGCAACAAGAGGATTTCGTACAATTCGGTCGACTCCTACTATGTTTAACCACCAACACATTGCCGATCCACCTCTCCAATATCAAGATATCGATGGAACAGATGAGTCGGAGTTACTCGGTGGAGCTAAGGGATACGATCCTTTGGCTCCTCACGCCACAACCACCACCAGCGCAGAAGGGGATTGATGAGTTCATCAGAGGGATCGCTGGGCGCATTGTCGCCACTATGGACCAGAGCCTACATGCCACTGACAAACTGAATTCGGACCTATACCGCGAGTTGGAGAATGGCAGAATCGCCAGATTAATGATGAAGCTAGGTGCTGTCAACGAACGGCAGGAATTCGATGGCGATCGTGCATGGTCAGAAAATGGCGAGCGATATATGCTCAAACTATTCCGAGACTACGTCTTCCACCAAGTGGACAGCAACGGAAACCCGGGTCTGGACATGGGGCACATGATACGGTGTCTAAACAAGCTGGATGCCGGGACGGACGAGAGAATTTGCTTGACGAGTCGAGACGAACAGACTAGCTTCCTCGTCAGTTATAAGGAGCTAAAGAAGCAGCTGGGCAACGCGTTTGGCGAGCTCGTCAAAGGCAACAAGTCTGGAAGGAGCTTTTAGGAAATGGGCTGGATGGCTACAATCGGGCGGACGCCCAGAGCTATGCAAGGGGACTTGAGGCGCTGAATGAGGACACTGTAGATTCCTTGAAGACAGCATTGTCGACAACTTGGCTAGAGGACACGGATTTTGATTATCTAGGATCTGATGGGGTCTTTCTATCTGGCTGATGGCGGCGCAACCAACCCTCAGAAGGGTGTCTCTGCGTGCTTCTTGTCACAGGGGTGGGAAGACAGGGTCAGGCGTTGGGCCAGCGTTGATGTTGGTCCTTTGGGATCTCGTATGTGTCCGAGAGTTATGTCTAGGCGAGGACTGGGCGAGATGCGAAGCAGCGAGATGATAGTACTTTGGCTTTATGTTATTTGCCTTGATTCAACAGTCGACAGGACAATACTCTATGTGACGTTATGTGGCAGGCTACCTGCCCTAGGAATGTGCCATGTGTCAGTGAAGCCGCGGGGAGAAGATCGGTTACGAAGTGGAGAGGGCCACACGGCCTCTTATTCCACATATAGCTGACGATATCGCGACAATAGATGGGGGTCTTGACGAGAAGAAGCCTGGGCATAGCACATAGCCCAGGGTCGGCCTGCCGCACACGCAGCTCCCGCAACGGCCGACTCGTTGGTGGATTTGCCATGCTCCTCCTCAGATTTCCACGAAATCAAAATGACGTCCTTCTTCAATCGTCATCGGCCTGGACGAAAGGGTTGGCAATCTCCTCGCTGCCGTCGACGGGGCTGACAAGGACAAGGAGGGTGCCTCGGACGACGACAAGGCCAAGGGAGCGGGTGGATTCGTTTCCTTCGTCATCTATTCCAGAGCGCACCTGTTAGTGGGATGTGGTCCCGAGATGTGCGCGCACTTGTGTAGCTATGCGGGAGAGGGGCGGTGTGCGACTCACCTCGGACTACTTCGTGGACATCATCGAGGACGAGGTTCATGAGGGCGTCGTAACCTTTCAGCGTGCCCTTGACTGCGAAGACGGAGTTGTCAGCATCTGTAGCAATGGAATAGTTTCGGGCGGTATGGCGCTCCGCATACCTTCACGGCCGCCATTGAACTTGACGTTGATCTGCTTGTCCATGTACTTGGCCAGGTCGAGAATATTCTCCTTCTTGGGCCGCTCGCGCTCGCCAGACTGGTTGCCTCCGCCGGCGCCTCCTCCACCGCGACCGCCGCCTCTACCGCCGCGGAAGTTTCCTCCATGGCCACCGCCTCCTCCGCGGCCGCCTCGGTGATTGGGTCTATCGGACATGGCGCATGTGTGGTGTACGGTGGGTGTTGCGGCTGTGGTTTTGTCGCGAGTTTAGACGAGCGAGAGCTTGGGTTTGAGCGTTCGGTGGTGATGGCGGGTTTAGTGGGGTTGGTGGGAGGGAACGAGGTTGTGGCTAGTGGGGGGTGTCGGTTTTGGAGGGGTTTAGGTGGGTGGCGCGTGGGAATTTGGAGTGGCGAGGGTGCGTATTTGGCTAAATGCCTGTTTGGGCGAGTTTGGGCGAGTTTGGAGGAGTGGCAAGCAATGGTCGACGCCTCAGCACCGGCCCATCAAGTAATTCTATAATATTCACAAGACTAAGATTATTCGATGAAAATTCTCACTAGATTTCCAACTCAGAATACATATTTCGATCCCTCGTTTGCAGATTAAAAGGGTCGCGTGGGTAGATTTTCGTGTCAGGATCTGGAGAGGTAGGGTAGTATTCTGGCGGCAATCCTCCAACAAGTATACAGCCACCAGCACCCAACAAGCTCCAAGCGCGCGGCATCAACCATGGCGGACGACTCCCGCTGAGCGGAGAGAAGTGGTGATTCCTGCATCCTGTTAATGCAGTCCCGAGCTTCTTGCAGTGGCAAGCTAAGCTTGTTTGGTCGAATTCCTTCCTGGTCTAGACGCAGTCCATGCAAATTCCAGCGTCGCACGTTTCCCATGCCCATCCTTCCATCCGGACCGGATGCCGGCCATGTAAAGGTGATGCAGCACAGCCTCCTCTGGGGTGACACAAGAACAAGAACCCAGCCAAGGCAAGATGCTTGCTTAATTGACATGTGGACAACACAGCTGCTTCACATGTTGCTCCACCTCCAAGTGAATATTGCCGCGTCCATCTCTTTGTACGTAAAATAGAGGCAATAAACTGCGCGGTTGCGGGCCAGGCTGCCTCCCTCCCGCGCCACTCTCCATCCACTTACGATGATGCCGTTCACGGGAGCGATCTTCAATGTGCGTCCGTCGCGAACATTGCGGTCTCGAAGACAAGCGGGAGCTACTCTCTTCCCTCATATCTTACCTAATGATTGGTTGACTTACTAGCGTTATTTTTTCTTCTGGATAAGACTTTTGAAAGAGCCCTCCGTAGCTCTGCCGTCAATCCGTTTCCCCGTCCATTCGTTTAAGAACAAACAGGCCCGAACGTCGGTACGAAATACAAAGTACCTTTCGCCCACTGTCCGGACTCCATATCTTGGCTACAGGTACCTTAGGTTGTTCCTGCCTGTCGTCCTGGATTCTCCCCCCACATCGGCTCGGCACTTTCTTGTCTCTTGCCTGTCATCCATCTACCTATTTATTGACTTTTTCCTTCACCCTTTTGAAAACTTGCTTTCTCACCACGCCGTCTTACACTTGCGGTAACAGCCACGTTTGAGTTCGAGTCGATGTGCAATTTATTCCCGAGGGCCAACTAAATCGCGACCGTTGGGTTGTGGACCGCCCTTGCATCATCCTCGTCGTCAGCGCGCATCTCCAGACTCAGACAAAAAAGACTCTTCTACAACTTCGCCATGCATCTCCAATAGCCATTGCTGTGGCCCCTTTACCTCCCTCTTCCTCGGACCCCTCACCATCTCCCCATTCTCTCCTTGTCAATCCCATTATCCTCATCCTGTTCTCCTCTTTGGTCTCTCCACTTCCCTCTCGCGAATTGTCGCCACTCGCCTGCTCTCTCTTATACCCCTAGTCTCGCAAATCTCTCACTCACTTTCGCCCTCCCTCGCCTTATTAGTTGCAGCATTCACACCCACTCACACCCGCACAACCTTATACCTCTGCCAAGAAAGTCTACCGCGACATCCTCCCCCTTGGCCCTTGGGCATTTGCCCGGCTCAGAAGGCCCCGCATTCTTGACCACTGTGATTGAGGTGACCTCGTCCTCACCACCACGCACGCACACACGAGATCCCTCCAGCCAGGCCAAACATGGCCCATGTCGTGGACGCGGAGCCTCAAAAACGAAAGCGTGACGTCGACGACGCCGGTGGCCATCCAGGCCGTCCTCCGCATCCACTCCAGCCAGGTAAGTTTCATGCGCCAGCGCTTCGCCGTCATCTCGTGTCCCGTGCCTCGCCGTCAGACATGCTCCATCTGTAGTATGAAGCAGGATTCGTCCGCTTGATCAACTATTTGTGTGCCTGCCCATTGTCTCTGCATCTGTCTACCGGCCTGTATCACCCATCGGCGCGCGAGGAGTCCATCTGTTGACGATTCATCGTCCACCATCCTCTCCGAGGTCAACCTGTTGCGTCGCGCCTCCAGGACGCCCATTCCTCGTGCTTCATTTTCGACTTGCTCCCTTGGCGAATTGGCAAAGCTTATGACCTACCTGGGAGGATGTGCTAACTCGACATCAAGGCGTGCCTGGCTACATTCACTATCTACCGAGGTCGAACTCCTCACATCTGAGCCTTGTCCAGGGCGATGGCGACACATTTGCTGACATCATTGGCCTTATCGGCGAGTACGAAAGTAGGGACCCGATAATTCTCTGTTCTCATCTTGTCGGAAGTTGATGGACGATTATAGATGTTTTAGACCGGCATGAGAGTCTCGCTGCAAGCCTCGGGGCCAAACTGACGGGCCCACGCCTGCTCAGGGGGATTGAGAAGTTCTTTGACGGACCCATCAAGACCACCCCTCTCCAGCACTTCTCCAACACTATCAGCTGGCTCGATGTTGTCACATACGCCCGATCCAATCCCAAGGAGTTTTCTCTGACGCACAAGCCCGACGGCTCACGCTGGTGTCAGTTCGTCCTCAATGGGGTACAGGTCGAGATCACAGAGGATGACTGGCGCCTGGTCTGGTCTGGCGCCTTAGACCGATTCCCGCTAGATCAGCCCCTCGAAGAAGATGAGGCGGCAGAGCTCGCGACACTAGACATCCTCGAGCAGAGGACATCAATTCTTTACAAGAAGGCCGATGAAGTGGCAGCAAGGGCACGCATCCTAAATCACAGGCTCGGTCACCGAAAACAGGATATACATCGATGTCGTAGCACCCAAGAACAAACGTCGTCCAGATTCTCGTCCGCAAACCCCAGCCACCGAGGCGCCAACTTTAACCTGGCCTACGATCTCCACGCAGATCTTCTCCAGCAGTTTATCGCAGCTTCAGCCTCCCCACCACCGTCCCGGGCAGCTTCTGCGGTTGGAGGTTCGTTGGCCAACTTCGGTCCACGGTCGCCATCTCACAACACTTCCCATGCTTATGCTCCTCCAAGCTCAAGTGACCGAAATGGGACAGGAAACACTACCGAGACAACGGGACAACCTGTCGTGGACAGTCGAGCGGAGGTCTTTCGATCAGTCATCACGCAAAGGACAGACCAACTAGGCAAGGGGGAGGTAATCAATCCGCCATGTGACCGATGTCGACGACTCAAAGTGCAATGTGTCAAGCATTTGACAGCATGTGTGGGATGCACGAAGAAGCATGCCAAGTGCAGTTGGAAGACGGTCACGGAGGAAGAGATGGAACGACTCAGGCATGAAATGACCATGAAGGATTGTGGATATGTGGACGTGGAAGAAGATGGCGGATCCGACGCCTCTGAGGTGAGGGATGTCCGGGCGGATCGTCTCGGAGACAGACAGGAAGCGGGTCAGATGTCGGGCGAGGTGACACCAGGCACAGCCGGGTCGATAGCAAAGGACGGTGGCTCGCAGCCACCAAGTCGAGAAGGGGGCCGCCTAACAACATTGGAGCCACCTACTTCTATACCAATGACCAGGTTTGACCTGAGTGCCGAGAGACATCGGCTGAGTCTGGGCGTGGGATCGTCTGTTGGGGAGGCCGCTGATCGGACATCTGAATTGCCCCAGCCAGGTCACGGCCTGCCTGTTGTCGCAACGGCGAGCACCACAACAACGACTAATGCGCCTCGAAGTAGCGATGTCTCGTTGAATGCGTCACCCAGCTAGGCCATGTGTCTGTGCTTCAAGAGAGGATGTTGTTAGATAAGGAGGCACAGACAGCTAGCTACGAAGAAACGTTTGTCCATGATCAAGTCAAGTTGTTTCAGTTGGACGTGATTGCCTGCATGTCCATGACCCCTACAACTATGGCCCTTTGGTAAGTGCATGCATGACGTACCGTACAGTGTATGCCGGTGCCATGTAGTGTAGCACGTACTACATATTCTCCCAATGAATTGGCACACTCTACAAAGGCTGGCGCAGGAAGTTTGACACCTTCAATAGTATCTAGACAGCCCCCCATACAGTATGATCCGCGACCGATCAACTACCGAAGATGAGCAATAGCGGCGGAGCTTTAACTAATGCATGTCATGACTTCAAGAAGTTGTTAAACTTACTGCATCAGCTTTTATTGTATCTCTATATATCGGCTTTTCAACAAGTGATAGACCATCAGACTGCACTACTTCAGCAAGCTCAGCTATCAGCATGTCATCTACATCGGCGCTTAGCTGTGCCAATTTATTGCGAGAATACGTAGTATGAAGGGCAATAATTCTGTCCTGGCCGGACCCGGAGCCCCGGACCCACCCGGGATGGCCTGGCCCATGCCACGCGGGACGAGGCGGCGCGTGTGGCTCGTGAGTCGTCCAGTCGCAATCCGCAGAGAAAAAAAGTTGGATCTAGTCTTCGAGGCGGCCCAAAGTGGCCATGCCAGCTGCTCTGCTCCTGCATGAGTGCTGAAATAATCATCTTGATTTTTTTTTCCTTTTCTCATCACCACACGCACTCTCTCTCCTCACGACGATTCAAACGACCCTTTGATGCTATGGGCCAGCAAAAGTAGAGAGTGGTTGCCTTTGTCCTGAATAATCGAATCCCGCACTGCGTCTCCGTCTTGTCACCGACCGTCCCGGGCGCAAAGTCACCTCCAAATACTGCAACACTCGAGACGACAGCGAATTGAGACGAAACCGATCCAAACAGAGCCATGACGGCTGCTTCCCAAATGACAATCCCCCAATCTACGACCTTGGTCGCCGCCCACGATGAGCGGGCCTTCCACCACACCAAAACTCCCCGAGATCACGCCGCCCTCATACAGTCGAGAGAGACCGGCGATGTCCTTCCCGACGACACCATTGTGCAGGGCAATGTCAAGGCTTTGCCTTTTGCTAAGTCATGGGTGCACATGGTAGCCGGCGCGTACGTCCAACTCTTTGCGCTCTGCAACTGTACAACTGGAGACAGAAAGCTGACAGACATGCCCAATCTCTAGAGCCGGTGGCATGACGGCCGCAACCCTCACAGCTCCCCTCGACGTCCTCAAGACACGACTGCAGTCCGACTTCTACCAGGCCCAGATCCGCGTCACTCGCCAGGCCCAGATGCAAGCTCTTGGCTCCGTCAATCCCGCCCGCGCCGCCCTCTACCATCTCAACGACACCCTCCAGATTCTCGGCTCCGTATACAAGACTGAGGGGTGGCGGGCCCTGTTCAAGGGCCTCGGCCCCAATCTCGTCGGCGTCATCCCCGCCCGCAGCATCAATTTCTACGTCTACGGCAACGGCAAGCGCCTCATCTCCCAGTATGGCAACCAAGGCCAGGAGGCCCCTTGGGTTCACCTCACGGCCGGTGTCGCCGCCGGTGTCGTCACCTCGACCATTACGAATCCCATCTGGATGGTGAAAACCCGCCTGCAGCTGGACAAGAACGTCTCGGAGCGCAGTGGGGGTTCCACAATGCGCCAGTACCGCAACAGCTACGACTGCGTGCGCCAGATCCTGCGGGACGAGGGCCTCGGGAGCCTCTACCGCGGTATGAGCGCCAGCTACCTCGGTGTCGTCGAGTCGACCATGCAGTGGATGCTGTACGAGCAGATGAAGGTCGCCCTCGCCCGCCGGGAAGCTGAGATCGTGCGCACTGGGAGGGACAAGACATGGTGGGACAAGACGCTGGAATGGACGGGCAATGCCGGCGCTGCTGGCGGTGCGAAGCTGGTGGCTGCCGTCATCGCCTATCCTCACGAGGTGCGCTTTTCTTGATATCCCCTCCCGTTTCTGCCGATTGCAGACATACTGACTCGATGAATAGGTTGCGCGAACACGACTACGACAGGCGCCCATGGACAACGGCCTCCCCAAGTACACCGGCCTGATGCAGTGCTTCAAGCTCGTCTGGATCGAGGAGGGCCTGATGGGTCTCTATGGCGGCTTGACGCCCCATCTCATGCGCACCGTGCCCAGCGCAGCCATCATGTTCGGCATGTACGAGGGTATCCTTCGCCTCTTCCACACGCCTGCCTAGAGGCAAGACACGACGAAAGGGCTGAAGTGACGACACCGACAAGAAGGGTTTTTGACGAAAATATAAGCCACCACAGACTCCTCTGTTCTTGGCTCGTCACATTGTAACATCACTGGAAAACGAAATTCACCGCAGCTGGAAGGGGAGAGAAGACATTCCGCTCTTGGGTCCCCTCATCTCTGGATATGGCGCCACGACCACCATGTATAATATTAGTACTTTCCCGGTTCTAGAGGAACCGGAGCCACCAAAAATCACGACACAGAAAGGGGAAGGACAAGCATTTTTAGGCGTCTCGATATTGTGGCGTTTGGCTGGCAGGCTCGGGGCAGCCTTGTAGACGAGGAGACCAAAAAACACACTCTCACATTACATGTACAATTAGGGGCGCAATTTTGCGTATGCCCTGCTCCGCATGGACATTCAACGCTTATTTACCATGTACCACCACCATGATGTACGCATAGGACATATAACATTTCCAACTTCCGCTGGGCGTTTTGTTTAGGGGATAGCAATCTGACGCTGGATATGAACACGTGCAAACATTCCGCTTTGGTTCGGGGGTGCCTTGCTTTTTTCTCTTCAAGTGAATGGCAATGTTTCGTCAGGATTGACGAGAAGTGCAGCAAGATACAGGAAAAAATGGTATCCCAACGCCCCCCCTCCCTCCAAATTGAAGCAGCAGCCGTGGTACTGCCAAAATGTGGTACAACCAAGAAAAAAGACAAGAAGACGGGAATCGTGGATGACCAACGAGGGCTAAACTGAAGCAAAGGACCGACCTGGTATTCCCACGAGCGGGATAAGCGGGACAGACAGAAGGCTATATACGGGTTGGAGGTAAAGACTAAGGGGGAGAATGGTCCTTTTAACATGTCCTCTCTCCCCTTGTCGCCCACCTTTGAGTCCACCCCCTCTCTGCGGCATTCTCTTGGAGGGTGATCATCTAGTGGTGCGAGAGATACTCAAGGGGGGTATCTCGTTGGCGTGTGGGTTGTTGTCGCTTGCGGAGCTTCCGGGGAGTTCGGGGGGCGGAAGAGGAAGCAGAAGTGGAATAAGAGGATATGGTGATCAAGGACCATATAAGGCGACGGGGTCACCAAGCATTACGGTCCCAGTTGGGGTCTGTCAAGGTCAGTCAGTGAGTTTACGGTCCGTATCCACGTCCAGTGCGTCACATTGATGCCGTCATGCCAAATTCGCGCGATATCAGCAGGGAGGGGCGCTTACCCTGGACAAAGGCAGCCAGGACCTTGCTGCCGGTCTGCAACAGCGGGTGGCCGACGACAATCTTGAGGAACTTCTCGAGCCCCGCACGGCGACCCTCGATGACGTCGTCACTGAAGCGGTTGGTGAAGACCTTGCCGGGGAGCGGCGGGATGGTGACGCGAGCGCTTTCGCGCTCGAGAATGTCGCGAAAGTACTCAAAATCGGAGTAGCGGCGGCGGACGCTGCTCTGGCGCAGCTTGAAGGCGGGGATGTTGGTGCGACACATGATCTCGTAGTCGGTGTACATGTTGCGCCCCATGCCGTGGGTTCGGGGGTTGCGAACCTAGATCGCAGGCGACGTGGGTTAGTGAACTGTTGGTGAGGTCTTGTCGACTTGGCGCGATCTGGAGATGGTCTTGCGACACTATTTCGCGAGGTCGCGGGGGCGAAGCCGAGGGGACACGGGAGCAGCACGGTAGGCGGGGAAGCTCACCTCAATCTCGAGAAAGTTCTCGGGGGGGCCGTAGATCTCGTCGAAGCTCTGCTGGCGAGTATCGGGCATGGACTGGAGGATCGGGCGATGCAGTCCCTTGGGCGACTCGGGGTCGGTGCCGGCGCTGTGGCCGGGATCCTGATCGGGCGCCAGTTTGGCGGTGTTTGGGGGTTCAATAGCCGGGGATCACCGGCAGAGGGGAGAAAGCAGGTTGCGCCGGTGGTATGGCGTTGAGAGCGAGGGGATTCGCGGTGTTGGGTGGTGGTGGGAGTGGTGGTTGGTGGTGGGTTTTGTCGCGGCTGCAAAGCGAACGAGGACGGGATCAGATGGAGAGGTTCGCCGATGACAGAGCAGATCAGACGGAGGCGGGCGGCTTTGGTGGGGGGCTGTGTCTCTCTGCGAGGAGCTTAGGAAGGCGGGGACATTGAAGGTGGGCTTGGCACTTGCTCCCAAGTTGGCCAATGGGTTCAGCCGTTTTTGGGTAGGGATATCAAGAACTGGGCTAAGACCTTCCTTATTGACCTCTTTTAATGAATCCGCATCCGGGATATAGCTTCTGGTGAGTGCTTGGTATTGCCCACACCACATATATATCAATTGTCTTTCATCCACAGGTGCTGGATTATCGTTGGCTTTAACGACATCTTCGTGTCGGGAACGAGGCCTAGCTGAGCTGGCGTATCTTGCCATTGCTATCTCACTGGTGGAACGGAGGATGTAATATTTCAGCCATGTCTGTTCATACTCTGGTCTTCGTCTCGCGGTTGCGATTATCAGATCTACTCCCTGGACGACAAGCGTCCTGCATCTATCTGAGCGAGGGGGCGGGTATGCAACTATGTATTATAGGTAATGTACAGTACATTGGTACATGATTCACACTCTACTCGTCTCATCCGGCGAGGGGCGTGTCTGGTTACTCAGAATTGGCGTCGGCAGACATCGCGTCCACAGCCTCGATATGTATCCCCTCCTCGGTCTTGATGACAATACTGCGATGATCTCAACCTCCCCACGCAAGGCAAACTATTCCCTTCTCCTTCCCATCGCTTGCAGGTCGGCCTCTCCAGGGAGGATTGGAGCTGAAACAAGACATATGAGTCCCCGAAATCACGAAATTCAAACGCCAGATGTGCCTCACCTTGGGCCATGACTACCAACGCCAAACAATCTCTCGTGTACCCAGGGCTTTTGATGCTGAGAAGGGGCTTTGAGACATTCATCCCCCGAAGGCCACCGTGGTGGCAGGTCCCAGCGCAGATAAGGATCGGGGGTTTCTTGCACTAGACTTTCCCTCATTGGACCGTCATTTGGGTGGATTGACACCGTCGCCAGGTCGGATGATGGTTCACTTCTTGTCGGCAAACTTCTGGTGGATGGCGCGAATCTGTTCCTCGACGTTGACATTCTGCATATGACCGAGTTGTGCCTGTGCCTTGACGTCTGGGTTGCCATCGAAACTGTGGATGGCGGCCTTCTTCCTACGGGCAAGCTCATCCTCGGAAAGAGCCTGTCCGGTGACGGGGTCGAAGACATCGCTTCGCTGGCTGGCGAGGCGCTTGAGGTTGTTGGCCACATCGACGTGGGATAGAGTCGAAGCGGAGTAGCGAGAGTCGGCCTTGGCCTTTTGTTCCTTCCAGCTCGGGTCCAGGAGCTCGACTAAGTGGATTATTAGCGTCTGTTCATTCTAACGAAGGGTATATCGGGACTTACTTCGCATGTGGGCTTCGAGCTCGTTCATGGGGATCTGCTGTTTGCAGTTGGGACACAAGGCCATCTGGGCACCCTGCCTGTTGGCAGCCTTCTGCGCTGCGCGCGGCACGTAGTTCTCTTTGATCTTCATCGGAGCACCACCACCACGAGCCTCGGTATGTGCCTGCTGCTTCCTGGCCTGCGCCTCTGCGCGCTCCTGGATCCGGCGCTCCTCTTCCTCCTCTTGGGCAGATCGGTGCGGTTGTTGCGGCCCTGAGGGGTAGAGTTGTGAGGGTGGAGGCATCTGGGGCTGGTAGACTGGCTGCTGAGGGGCGAATCCGGGGTGGACGGGGAGGGCATAGGGTTGCGCGACAGCAGGGGATGCGTTGTAGGCGGTGTCCTCGCCGGGCATGGCCTCTTCAATGCGCAGATTGGAGCTAATGGAGGCGTTGTTTCGTTCTTCAAGGGAGGCGTACTGGAGCTCGGATAGGTTGGTCGGAGGTGGTAGGTTGGTCTGCTCGTCTGCGTCGTTGAATGTGATTGTTTCCACGACGACGAAATCTCCCCAGTCGATCTGGGCGAAATCCGCCTTCTCCTTCTCTTCCTCCTCTTCCTTCTTCTGCCGCTCGGACTCCTGGAACTTGATATACTCGGCTCGCTGCTTGGCGCGGTTGAGGACAAGGAACTTGTCTTCGATATTGGTCTCTAGACCCTTCATGCGCTCCTCCTGCAGCTTTCCACCCTCGCCACCAAGTCCGCTCGCCCTCAAGAGTGTGGTATACTGGTCGATGATGTGCTGGAAGAAGTTGTGAAAGGTGTGGTTGGGGATGAGGAACTGGAACTGAGGGTTGCCAGCCTCGCGCTGGGCCAGCTGGGTCATGAACTGGCGGCCGTTCTTGGCGACAAAAAGCGCTGCTAGGCGAATGACGTCTAGATCCTTCTGGTTGATCCTGGGCATGCGCGCAGAGAACTGGAAGTCCGGAGGCTTAGGCGGGCCCTGCGGCTTCTCGGGCGCGGAGCCCGCGTCCTCAGCGCGACCAGCCGCAATGGCAGTCCCTCGACCGGCCTTGACCTCGTTGAGGCGCCATTGATAGAAGGGGTGATAGGCATCGGTGGGGTTAAGGAAGCTGAACTTTGGGTTCTGGCGCTCCTTGTCGCGGATGCGATCCTCGAAGACGCTACCGTTGCGCGCGACGTAGCCGGCCGTCTTCTCGAGGACATTGCGGATCTCGCGAGGGGGGAGGACGACGCCGGCCGGGGGCTTGATGTCGTCGAGGACGGTGGAATCGCCGTTTGTTGCGACAGCTGCCATGGTTGACACGTCTGTCTCTTCTGATGTCGTCGCGAAGGGTTTGGCGAAACGTGCCTTGGACCCAGCTAGGAAATTTCGAGATGCGTATGGCTAACGCGAAGCTTTGTCGGATAAATAGTTGATCCGGCACAGGGTGTCAGAGCTGAAGAGCGCCATCCTCCGCCATCTTCAGCCAGCACCAGCCACCTAGGATGAGGGCAATTGGGACGGCATGTGAATGGACTGACAGTGAGACATTGCACGGTGTTGATTGGTACACACGAGATCGGGACAGTGTACGGAGTACGCAGCCCTTGGTTGGCTTCCTTGAGTAAATTCTAAGGTATGATGCAATCCATGTTGTGCTGTGGAGGTTCCAACGGCGGTCATGGCTGCTTACCTAACGTTAACAGCCAGCTCCATATCTGCATCCTGCTCATGTCTGGTTCTAGGATAGCTCCAGGGGGCAGTCAATAGTGCTTCAGTAGTCTTCTAGTCTATTCATAATTAAGTCGCAAGTCTACCAGGAGACGCGTCTGGATCAAGTCCAACTCCACCCTGGGCATGTTCATGTTTGGGGCCAAACCATTGGCAGGCCGTACGAAGTAGAATTGACGGAATAGGGGCTTCGTTTCTGTCGGTCAGCTTGGAAGTGCTGCAGTCCACATGTCAGACGGCGCCGGTTGAGCTGCCTGTAAAAAAGCCACCTTACAGCGCAGTTACCCCTGTTGCGGCTGAAGTAACACTAGGGATGTAAGTACCTGCAGTGGCGTCCCCCCTGGTCTCTTGCAACGTATCATGTACGACCAACGCCGTTTCCAGAGCGCGCAGCAATTGAAATACGTGGGATTCCATTTTCAGCTGGGGCGGTGGGACGAGATGGCCGTTAATGGAGGCACGCAACTCGTAAAGAAACAAAGGGAGAAACGGTGTCTCTGAGCTCCTTGTTTCAACGAGGCGTCCCTTGATAAGTTGCCGTCAGATCCTTTGCAGGGGTTTGACCGCCGCAGTGGCCCGTAAGTGCTCCAGGAAGGCTAGGACCAGTATTAGCGGGCCCCCGGGGCTTTTTATAGGGCAGACGGGGGTGGGTTTGGGGGGAAAGGGAGCCTGGGACATGCTGGGATATGCTGGGACAGCTGGGACGAGCCCCGGGTGGGCTTAGCGGGGACTCTGGGAACGAGCCGAAAAGGCCACTGTAGCTACAATTTCTGGCACTTGGACGCGTGGGTTGAGAGGATCCCATCGCCAGTCGGCCGGTCGCACGCGCGTTGCATCCCCTGATTCTTCGTGTCCAAGTCGGGACTCTGCTTATCCCTCCTCCTTTTTCATCCTCGATCGCCTCTCGCCATCGCCTCTCCCACCCATCCCGGAAGGCCTGCTGCGATTGACCGTTTGCCGGGTGTTTGTTGTCTTCTTGTCCTCTTCTATTTCCTTTTTCCTGCATCAGCCACTGATGAGGATTCTTTAATCTCTTCCTTTACTCTCTTTTGACTGCCCCCACCCATCACCAACCATCGATCGATCGCTTCACGCACCGCACCTCAGGCGCCTGCGACTACGAGACACGACCTCGTTCCTCTACAACTCCTTGCGAGTCGAGCCCATCCGAGCCGAGTTCCCTAGCTGTCCTCGTCTGCCATGGCTCGTTCCACGCGGGGCAAAAGTCCCCAGCCGCCGGCCAAGGGACAACGAGGCAAGAGTCCTCAACCGCCGGCCAAGGGACAACGCGGTAGAAGTCCTCAGCCTCCTGTCAAGGCACAGCAACTGCAGCCGCCGCCGGTGCAGCAACTGCCACAGCAGCCCCAGCGGCAGTCGGAGCCTGTTGCTAAGCCTGTTGCTAAGTCCAAGTCCAAGTCAGGCAAGAAGAAGATCACCTCGTACCAGTCTGAGGGCGTCGAGGACAACGATGTCTTCTTGCTCCCCGTCTCCGACTACTGGATGGTCCTCTCCGTTACCATTCTTGCCACGATTGTCCGTGTCTTCAAGATCTTCCAGCCCACCAGCGTCGTTTTCGATGAGGTCCAGTAAGTCACAATGCTCCCATGCGCATCCCCTTTCCCGGCCCTGTCCGCGAGATGAACTTTCCCGCTGACCATGATGTCTCCCCGAACAGCTTCGGCGGTTTCGCTTCCAAGTACATCAAGGGCAAGTTCTTTATGGACGTCCACCCGCCCCTGGCCAAGATGCTCATCGCTCTGACCGGATGGATTGCCGGCTTCGACGGCAAGTTCGACTTCAAGGAGATTGGCAAGGACTACCTCGAGCCCGGTGTCCCCTACGTCGCCATGCGCATGTTCCCCGCCATCTGCGGTGTCTTGCTCGCCCCCTGCATGTTCCTCACCCTCAAGGCTGTCGGTTGCCGTACCATGACAGCTACCTTGGGTGCTGGCCTCATTATCTTCGGTGCGATTCCTCCTAGTCCTCGCGCGCGCCCTCGCCGAGACCTAAATGCACCCCCTCGAGGTCGCTTACTGACATCGTCCCGTTGCAGAGAACGGTCTTCTGACCCAGGCCCGCCTGATCCTCCTCGATTCGCCTCTGGTTGCCGCCACTGCTTTCACAGCTCTTGCCTTTTCCTGCTTCACCAACCAGCACGAGCTAGGCCCTGAGAAGGCCTTCTCGCTAAGCTGGTGGTTCTGGCTCGTACTCACTGGTCTTGGTCTCGGCATCACTGCTAGCATCAAGTGGGTCGGCTTGTTCACCATTGCTTGGGTTGGATCCCTCACTCTAGTTCAACTCTGGGTTCTCCTCGGTGACAGCAAGAACGTCTCCATGGTTCGTAATCCCATCCCCCTTGTCCTACTTCTGATCTGCTAACTCCTCGAAGCGACTTTGGTCCAAGCACTTCGTGGCCCGTATCTTCTCCCTCATTGTCATCCCTGTCACCTTCTACATGGCCATGTTCGCCATCCACTTCGCCATTCTCAAGAACCCCGGTGACGGTGACGGTTTCATGAGCTCCGAATTTCAGGCCACTCTGAACAGCAAGGGCATGCAGGATGTCCCTGCCGATGTCATCATGGGCAGCCGCGTGAGCATTCGACATGTCAACACCCGAGGTGGCTACCTCCACTCCCACCCCCTCATGTACCCCACGGGCAGCAAGCAGCAGCAGATCACTCTCTACCCTCACAAGGACGACAACAACATCTGGCTGCTCGAGAACCAGACCCAACCCCTTGGCATTGATGGCCAGCCCATCAACGGCACCACGGCCTGGGACGCCCTTCCCGAGCCCGAGTACATCAAGCATGGCAGCGTCCTCCGCCTCTTCCATCGCCCTACCAACCGCCGCCTCCACTCCCACGATGTCCGACCCCCGATCACCGAGGCTGACTGGCAGAACGAGGTGTCTGCCTACGGCTACGAGGGTTTTGAGGGTGATGCCAACGACTACTTCCGCGTGGAGATTGTCAAGCAGCGATCTCACGGTGCCATCGCCAAGGAGCGTGTCCGCGTCATTGAGACCAAATTCCGCCTTGTCCACGTCATGACTGGCTGTGTCCTCTTCTCCCACAAGGTCAAGCTCCCTGACTGGGCTTCCGAGCAGCAGGAGGTCACCTGTGCTCGTGGTGGCACCCTTCCCAACAGCTTGTGGTATGTCGAGTTCAACGAGCACCCTCAGCTCGTGGACGGCGTTGAGAAGGTCAACTACCGTAAGCCTGGCTTCTTTGGCAAGTTCTGGGAGCTCAACAAGGTCATGTGGGCCACCAACGCTGGTCTAACCGACTCCCACGCTTGGGACTCGCGCCCTGAGTCTTGGCCCATCCTTCGCCGTGGTATCAACTTCTGGGGCAAGCACCACACCCAGGTCTACCTCATTGGCAATCCTATCATCTGGTGGTCCACCACCTTGGCCGTTGCTCTCTGGATGCTGTTCAAGGGTGTTGCCGTTCTGCGATGGCAGCGTAACTGCAACGATTACCGCCATACCACTTTCAAGCGTTTCGACTACGAGATCGGTACCTATGTTCTTGGTTGGGCCCTGCACTACTTTCCCTTCTATCTGATGAAGCGTCAACTCTTCCTCCATCACTACTTCCCGGCTCTCTACTTTGGCATCATCGCCCTGTGCCAAGTATTTGACTACCTCACTGCTCGCGTTCCCGGCATCGGCGTCCGCGAGAACCCCATCATCAACAGGATCACCGCCGTCTCCTTCCTCGTTCTCACCACGGCCGTCTTCACCCTGTTCGCTCCCCTGGCCTACGGCAGCCCCTGGACCAAGGCCGAGTGCAAGCGAGTCAAGCTCTTCACTACCTGGGACTTCGACTGCAACACTTTCTTCGATAGCGTAAGTAATTCTGAGGAAATCCCACAAAGAAAACTCCCGCATCGCCGCGGGTGACTGAGCGACATGTTCGACATGGCCTCCCTCCATGCCATGCTTGTATCTGTCGTTTGGTGTATGCACTCACAGACAACTATTTGGGCAGCTTAAAGCTAACATGCCTGATGCAGTATGACAAGTACACTCTTACTGAGGTTCCCACTGTCAGTGACGGCGCGGTGCCCACCACGGAGGTGAAGAAGGTCGAGCCTAACCAGCCCGCCCCTCCTGTTGAGAAGGCCCCCGAGGTCAAGGCCCAACAGGAGGCCGGCATCTCCGGAGCCCCTGCCATGGAGCAGCACCGAGTCATTGCCAAGGAAGAGAAGGTCGAGTACCGAGACCAGGACGGCAATCTCTTGGACCCTGAGCAGGTCAAGGCCTTGGAGGGCAAGGTTGAGTTCAAAACCAAGTACGAGACTCAGACCCGTGTTGTCGATGAGGCTGGCAACGAGCTCAACGCCCCTGAGGGCGGTTGGCCTGAGGATCTGGTTGGTGTCGCCCCTCCTCACCCCGACGTTGAGGGCGTCAACAGCGAGACTGTCAAGGGTAAGGATGAGGAGGCCGTTCCTCTTCAGAACTACCAGGCAAGCCAAGATGGTGAGAAGGAGGCCGAAGAGTCTAAGCCAAAGCCTGCCAGCGAACAGAAGGACGCCACTGCCAGCCAAGACAGCGAGAAGGAGGCCGAGGTCGTTGAGGAGTCCAAGCCTATCGTCGAGGAGTCCAAGTCTATCATCGAGGAGGCTAAGCCCATTGTCGAGGAGGCTAAGTCCATTGTCGAAGAGGCTGAGCCTGTGGTTGAGGAGTCCAAGCCCGTCGCCGAAGAGTCCGTGCCTGTCGTCGAGAACCAGGAGACGGAGGAGTCCAAGTCTGAGCCTGCCGGCGAGGAGAAGGAGGCCCCCGCTCACGAGGAGCTGTAAATGCCAACTCCACTGGGCATTTGTTGACTTCACGATGTCTCTATGTCAGCGTGGCTGATAAAGGCGGCTCCTTTTCCCGGGCCCGCTGCCACCGCTACAACCTGTGTAACATCATGTACTCATATCATCTGATGACGAATTGAGAGAGATGGGAAAAGATATTTCAAACAGCGGTTTTTTATTGGGGAGGTTGTGGGAATAAGAAACACCACTGTGAAGAAAACCCAGAAGACCAAAAAAGGGGGAGAGACGAGTTGATACCGAACCTAGATCGCCGGGCCAAGGCGTATTCTCATTTGTACCGACCTAGTTGAGGCATGTCATGTCATTTTGCGGTGGGCTTCAATGTATGATGCACTATTCCCATCTAATTAAAAATGTTTCATGTTCACAACAGCAAACTCGCAAAAGTGAAATTTGATGAAGCTAAATACCGGACCAAATGTCACTGCAGAACCAACTGACACGCTGAGTGATCGACCAAAATTAACAAAGAAAAATGCAGAAATAACTCTGGTATCATTTCTATTACTACTACGACTATTGGCACCGTCCATGTCATGACGACAGCGGATCTAGTGACTGTATGTGTAATCCAATCGTGACGCTCAGCAATGAAGACAAAAAGGGACATCTGGTCCCAGAGCAAGACCCAACCCAGCCGTAATACGCCAGCAATGAAGATGCGCGCGATCCAGAAACGCCCGTGTAACGACCAATAGTCTCAAATCATCCATCCTGTTCCCAACCAGGCCCATAACTGTCATCCGATGTATGTTGAAATCCCACCAATCTCCCGCTAATAATCGCCCTTGTTTCTCCTCTGGACCAAGGGGGGCCGAGACCAAGTAGGCAGTCCAAACAAAAGCCAAACCCATGCATGCAATCCTGTGCAGACCCAAAGCTAATATACAAAAAAAAGAATTAATACAATGCGCCACAAACGCGAGGTCAAGTGATCTGGGCCTCGGGAGGGTGCGTGATTGCTCAAGATTCCGTAGAAGGAATCGTAAGAGACAAGCGCTTCGTGTCCTCGGAACTGGCGGTGCTCTTGACCTCCAGAGACCGAACGGAGCTACGAACGCTTCTGGCTCCTTCGGTCTGGTTCGGGGGAGTACGCGGTGCCTCGATAGGCACCTTCTTGGGGATATCCCTTATTCTGTCAAGGTCCACTGGAGACGTTTCCCTCACGATAAGAATGGTTTTGTCCATCGAGTCAGGATTGGAAGAGGTACGGTCCTCGTGGCTATTACGTGGGCTCTTTTCGAGTTCCACCGATAGCCCCAACTGAGTCGCGGGAACAACACCACCACCAATCCTCGCCCAGAACATTTGGTCTCTCAACCTGACACTCTCTTCCCAGGCAGCCTTTTCATGGTCGTCGTCATCGGCCCGCCAGTGACCATCCTTAACCATGCGCAAGAAGCCCAGAAAGTCGCAAGTGGAACGGACGCGAGTGAGGCAATACTTGCAGAGGGGGTGTCGTTGAGCTGAATCAGCCTCGCTCGTTCGGAACCGGTGGTTGCGTAGGTACATCGGGTCGGAACGAGATTCGCCGCAGAGAGAACACGGATAAAACTGGGGTTTTGTCAAGGCAAGGAATGATGTGGTACCAGCAGGGACGGGCTCAACGACCAACGACCCTTCCATCATGGAGTTGACAACGGTTCGGCGAGCCAACCATGAAAGGCCAGGGGCGATGTCAAGGCGGAGAGTAGGCTCGATATCCTCAGCAAGAACACGCTTGTAGAACCTCGTGTCCTTGAGACTGGGTAGAGGGGGCATCGAGGCGTTCGAGTTGGCGCTAATAGTGGAAGCGGGGGTGTTGGGTGATTGGGGAGCGCTACCACTTGTCGGGGCGGAGGTATTCAAAGAGGTGGTGGAAGCGTTTGAGGGATGGGCACTCGAGGTCGATCCACCGAGGCCCAGCGACGTCAGAGCATTGAGGGCGCTAATGGAGCCTGATGAAACTCGGCTACTGGCACGGTTGCGGGACAGGCGGGCGAGGCTAGTGAAGTCATCGTAGGACGAGAGGTCGGTGCGCAGGACTGGTTGGACGAGGTGAGGGAAGGCAGTCGGAGGTGATGGCTCGACAGAGGCACCCCAGGGTGAGGGCGCGGGCTCATCGGTTGAGGGTCGATCATCGTCTCGGGATTCGAGTTTGCCGATACCGGGTGAAGAGGGGGCAGTGGCGTTGGTTTGATCTTCCTGTTCGGCGGCCATATGTTCCATGACGTGTTTAAGCTCGAAGAGTTGCTCCTGTTGGGACTTGAGAAGACTCTCCGAGTCGGCGAGTTGAGCTTTGAGCTGATCGTTTTTCCGTTGCAAGACTTCGTGATCTGCCTTGGCCTCCTCTTTTGCGCCTATTACCATCTTGTTAGCCTCCTCGAAGAGGGCGGCAGTCAGGTTCTCCAATTCCTGTTCGATCTTCTTCTTCTCCCTTTCCATCTCAAGACGTTTTTGTCGCTCCTCAGAGATCCTCATGTGCAGAACCTTCTTCTCAGCCTCCACGGTATGTTTTCGGATCCAGACATCACCGGCGAGCATATCGCGCTGTGAGGCATTCTGGGCCTCGAGGGAGCGAATTTGCTCACGGGCAGCTTCAAGCTCATGACGAGCGGTTGATAGGGAGTCGTCGAGGATCGTCTGGTGGTTGATAGCATTGATGAGCTTGGTGCTAAGGGTGGCTACCTCATCGTTGAGATCGGGGTGGCGACTGGGGCTCGGGGCGCCGGCGTCATCAGCCGGGCTCATAGCCCGACTCCGAGGATCTGGCAAGGTGCTCATCTCATCGTCGAAATCGGATTGAGAAGCGGAAGAAACGATAGCCAAGTGTGAGGAAGAGGAGGATTTTGACAGGACGTGGTTGGAGGCGAGAGAGGGAGCTCGGGGTCTGTGGTTGGAGGTGACGGCGATGGAGGAGAGCGAGCGAAAGTGACCCAGAGAACGGCGGTTGGGTTTTGAAGATGCGCCTCCAAGAGGCTGTGACCAGCCAGCGGCGGACATGGCGATGAATCTATTGCTTGGAAGAGGGCGATTGTCAGCAAAGCCGAGGCGGTTAGGAATGTTGGAGGAGGGGGGTGGCGTCCTGAGTCAAGGAATCCGAGACAGGAGCAAGAGGAACGAGGCGAGAAACATACGAGTCCATCGGGGCGGGCGCGTGGTCTGGATGTCAGTCGTAAACGTCTTGTGCTCTCGGCCCAGAGAGACGTGACGTGACGTGACAGATTGAATTGGCAGCCGACACACGGAAAATCGGAAGTCGGAATCGGTGGTAGGGGAGGGGGATGGGAAGATGAAATGGGGGACGGGATAGCGAGATAGAGGTGGATAGATGGATGGGAAGCGGGTGCGGATCCTCCGGCGACGGGGTGAATGACGAATGGTGAGTGGTGAGTGGTGAGCGACAAGTGACGAGTGACGAGTCGAGGTCAACGGACCGAAGAGCCAAGAGCCAAGAGAAGCCAACGACCGAAGGGGACCAAACCTGGCAGACCAAGCCAGACCAGTAGAGAGCGGCTACTGCGCGAGGACGGGCGACCCACGGGCAGACCGGGGGTTGAGCGGAGAAACGCTGTGGCTGGGTGCGAGCAAAACGAGGTAGTACGAGGCCTCTTGTTCGTGTCGCTGCTGCTGAGCCGACGGCCAGATCTGAACTTGCAGGGGTAGGTTGGAGAGCGGCCGATGATGTAGTGGGAGCTGGAACAACAAGAGGACAAGAGAATTGAAACCCGGGAAAGAGGGATGTGGCGAAGAAGAGAACCGCTCAGCAAGGACGAGGCGGAATGGGAATGAAGATGGAATTGGGGATGGAAAAATTCTAGGTTTTGAGGGGAAGAGCCAAAGAGGTACCTAAGTAGAGTAGAAGAGGAAACCGAGGAGAACGGGAAGGAAAGAAGCAAGAAGCAAGGCACTGCGCCGGCCCAATAAAGCCTGTTTGATCTCAGTGTGTTGTGCAGTACTGCAGTAGGTAGGTACTGCAGTGTGCCGCGGGATGTGCTGCGGGATGTGCTGTGCTGTGCTGTGCTCTTCGGCTCCTTCCCCATCTCCATCCATCTGCCCTCATCGCCACCAGTCGGTTACCTGCAGCTGCAGGAGGGCGAGCCGCCTGCTACCCACGAGGTGCTACGTAGTAGGTACCTCCCTGCATAGGTATCGGGTAGGTACGTGCTCGACTCATGGCAGCACGCTCACGGTACCTACAGGTAGAGTGCACTCTGCGCTGTACAGTACCCAACGTCGTATCCTGCAACACGCCCCTTCCTCGTGCTCGCTAGGAAAACGGCCATCGCTCCACGCTCTCCCCCCAAAACGGCGACCAACAAAACGGCACCGGGGCAGGAACGAGTCGAGGCCCAAGTCACCCAGCCCAATCCCAGTCCCCGCCACGAGTCGCTTCCTGGCGCCACCACATCATGACCCCGGCGCTTACCTGACGCGCTAGTCCTTGATTGGTATGGCACACAGTGGACGGGGCACTGCTCGCCTTTGCTACATTGGGATTTGCGGCCGGGTACCTTGCCACAATGTACCTCCCGTCTCTCCCTACTCCTAAGTCCCTCGCTATCTCGCCGACACGAGCCAGAACGGCAGGGACCGAGACCATCACTGGCGCGCGCCCCCCAGCTGGCCACTCCGTACTCCGTGTACGTGTACTTCATTCCCAGCTGACAAGCCCGAGTCTAGAGCGTTTAGAGCTCTTAAAGCCCCTCCAGATCCCTGAAGCACGGGACATCTACACGATTAGCACTAACCAGGGGCTGATGGATGGATTGCCGCTTAAGGGCTCGAGACTTGGCTCTCGCCACGGAATGTGTGAGAACTCGGACTCCGACAGAGTCAACGATCGGCAAGCCGTCAAGCTCCAGGCCCGGTCGAGGCCACGTCCCTGTCCAGCTGTGGCGATGGCTTTTTTTTTTCCTTCAGCCGTCGATAGTTGAATGATTTTTGAAATTTTTCTACGGTGCGTGTCCGAGATAAATTACCCAGAGAGATGAGATGAGATGACAGGCAAGGGGATGGACGCTCATCCATGGTCGTGTCCTGTCGTGTCCTGTCGTGTCGCGCCCGCGCACCCCAACGCTTGCTCTCTTTCTTTCTTTTCCCTTGGCTGGCGCCTCGGGTATCAATAAGCTGCAGCTGCTGCACTTTGGTAGGTACACGATAAATCGGATGCACGCTTTGCGCACAGATCCAGGGTCTGCCCGAGACGGCAACGTCCACGGTCCGTCGGTGTACCCGCTTCCCAAGCCAAGATCAGCCATCCGGTGCAATGACGCCGAGACTCAGTCAGACGGGACAAATCTTGACATGCCGAGCTCGGGCCACGAGATAATCCAAATGCGGCATGACTTCACCATGGTGTAGGGTAGATGCTGGCGACGACGGGATGTAAGACGGGAAGACACTGCGCAAACTCAATTGCTCGTAATTGTCTGCCTCCTTCACTGCATCTCTCAGTCAGAGCAATATGGCTGTGTACCGTGTACTACATACCTAGTATGGAAGAGCCAAGCCGATGGATGGATGTTGCCAATAGCTTCACTTTTAACCTGGGAATCTTATGCAGGGGAAAGCGCCGTCATCACCGGACGGACCACTGCTCCCGCGACGGGCACAACCTTGTCGCTAGTCATTCATTAAATCATGGTGACAGTGCGCCTTGAGTGTGCTGTGCTGCACCACCTCAACCACCTCAACCACATCCTCCACCTCCATCGCAATTAGCCAACCTGGCTGCGATAGCGTCCCGGTGGCTGAACCTTGCGGCACCTCCCCCAAATAATCCGTCCTCAGCCTTCCCACGCTTCAATCCGGGCAACGTGGCAGCGAGCTCTGGTACCTGACGCTAGGGACTTTGTCTCCCTGCCTATCATGTCCCCCGTCCATGTCCCCGGCTGTCAGCAAGGCCAGTCTCAAGGCCCAAGCCCAATCAACAACACATCACATACCTGACAGAGGGCCTTTCAATAGTCTTGTCCAGAAGAAAAGTAACGCTAGTGAGTCAACCAATCATTACGAGGGTAAGTACACTAAGCACTTACTGATTTTTATAACCCCTATAAGATCCCAGGTACAGCATACCAGCGACTGCTAGATCCTGGTCAGAAGTGCCTACTACCCCTGAAGTTACAGCGGCCGCAGCAGATAGCTTAACGAGACTGTCACAGCCTTATGTATCTCAGGTAACCGACATGAATCAATAGATGTGGCGTTACCAGGTAGTGCTTGGACATGACTTTCGAAAGAGCCCTCCGTACCTCACTATCGAGAATACAACCTCGTCAGTCAACCAAGAGCGCACCGGCTTAGTTCAAACAAAATATGAAACACACACAGACACACACAGTACGTGGCATGCACACGTGGCTATGTAGTTGTAGTATATGAGACACCAAAATGCCATCTCTACCTCTGTGTATATTACATCCATCCACTATCTCTTTCTCTCGCAAGGGGTAGAACCTTGTCTCTGACGCTAGGCTGAATACAACAATGAAAACCAGTCAAGGTATCTAACGCAAAGGAAATGTTTTAACGTCTCTTTCGCCAATTTCCCGTAACGAGACAAAAGCCAAAGGCTTATATAAAGAAAAAAAAAATTGCAGTTGAGCAATCTTGTCAACCATCGTCCCCCTTATTCGTTCCACTCTCCGTACTCGGGCATCCCGTACGGATTCCATTCCTGTCCTGGGTAGCTTGTCGCGCTCATCTGAGCCGGCACCTCCCCGTCCGAGTCCTCGTCGGGGTTGTAGTGAATCTTCTCCTCTTGAGAATCCAGCCGCACCTTTCGTCTGTGAGCCTCTTCTGTGTCATCCAGCTCCGCAGGCGCATTGCGATTTACTGTACGGCTCCTCATAGGTACTCCGTTGCCCGGCTTCTGTGATTTTACACGTTCGAAACCGATGTGGCTTCCTTCATTAATATCCTTCTTCACCCCATGTGTCGATTCGCCAACAACCTCTTCAGTGCTAGCTCCAGTCTTGTCCTTGGTCGTATTCATATCCACACTCGCCACATCACTCACTCCGGATGTTGAGTATGTGTGTGAGTGTGACGGACTAACCTTGCCGTCAGTCCCTATCGGAGGGCTCAGCGAGATAGTCCGCGCCTCGGCTCCTTTTAGATCACGGGCTCTGTCGTCCTCAGGTGGTCCCTGTTGCATCGCCGGCGTCATAATTCCAACGCCAAGATTAGGCGAGGTGGCGGCATTGACAGGGCTCTGAGGTTTGACTGACCCATTCTCACTCGACTGCGGTTGATGCTGCCCCTGATAAGTTGGCGGCGTTCCATTGCTTCTCACACTGGTAGCAGTCATATTCGGCGGCGAGTAAGAAACCACTCTTGGGCTGGCGTTGCTCCTTCCGCTGCTCCTTCCGCTGCTCCTTCCGCTCCCACTTCCACTCCCGCTTCCACTCCCACTCCCGCTCCCGCTTCTGTTCCCGCTTCTGCTCCCGCTACTATCACTGTCATCGCTTGTCAAGCGTGATAAATCTGGGCGTGGTTGCTGAGTGGCATCAAAGGAGTTTCCAACAGGCGCTGTTGGTGTATGTCTAAGCTGTCCTCCCTGAGGTGTCTGCGACCTAGGGTCAACGCTGACGCGGTGATCACCAAGAGGGGAGGTAGGCTGGGACATGGGTTGGGGAGCTGGCTGGGACATTGGCTGGGGCACCGGCTGGGGCACCGACATCTGCTCGGCGGGAGGCTGTCCCTGTAAAAGCGGCGGGGAAGTCATCGGAGGGGGTGGCTGCTGCTGCGGATAGACCTGCTGCGCGGTATGAACCTGCTGGGCTTGGGGAAAATGTGCTGGGTTCATATGCCGGCCCACATTGTACGGCGAAGGGGCAACCATTCCTTCGCCATGAACAGCAGTATATCCACGCGGGATGGGTACTGGGTCGTATTGAAGCTCGTTAGACCTCGGTGCTGGTTGCTGTGGCTGGGGTCGGGCTGGCCCCTGGAAGGCCTGAGGAGGAGCTTGACGAGGATTCATAACTGGCTGGCCAGGAGGTCCAGGTTGTCTCTGTGCTGTCCCAGGCGGCCCCATAGAATGGCCCGCGGACGGTGCCGCTGGGTGTGCCTGCTGTCCCATAGCAGATGCCATTGGTGGGAACTGCTGCTGTCTCATGGGTGGACTGGGAGTTGCCATTGGCGAGAACTGCTGCTGTCCCATGGGCGGGCTGGCGGCCGTCACGGGCGGGAACTGTTGCTGTCCCATCGGAGGACTGCCAAACTGCGACGACTGCCGACGAGAATAGCTTTGTGGATGGGGAGACTGCCCCGTGAATTGCTGTGGCTGCTGTGGCTGCGGCTGTTGTTGTCTAGGGGGCATCTGTTGTTGCATGCGTTGAGGAGGGATTCCCTGCGGGTGAATACCCTGTGGAGGAATTCCTTGTTGGGTAACTCCCTGCTGGGGAAGTCCCTGGGGAAGCTGCATGAATCTCGGAGGAGGAACTTGTCCCGGCTGAGGAGCTTGTCCCGGCTGAGGCGTCTTGGAGTTTCGTTTGAACGCACCGAGGAGCTTGCTTGTTCTCTTTTCTGCTGTCTCCGGTTTCCCTTGAGTTGCAGGTGGCTTGGGTGCCATTTGGCCAGACATTCGACTTCTTAGGCCCTTCCACTTAGATGCGGGACTGTCTTGACGAACCGGAACATTCATCATCGGCGGGGGGGTCATGTTATCCTTCAGCGGGACTTGAGGTCCCAGAGGACCCTGCATTTGCATTGACGGTCGTGTGATAGGCACAGAAACCTGCGATGACGGACTTGGCATAGTCTGAGCGCTGGGAGGGCCCCGTAAGTTGGGGTTTTGTTGGCTAGCTTGTACCGGGACACCTCCTTGTTGCGAGTTCATTCGCTGCTGCTGCAATTGCATCTGTTGCTGATGGTACTGCTGTTGCTGTTGATACTGCTGCTGCTGCTGGAATGAAGGAGGGCCCTGCTGCTGTGGCGGTGCCATGCGTGTTCCGAGCTCTTGCTGCTGCATTGTTGGCGTGGTAGACGCCATGGGCAGTGAAGGGGTGCTGGGTTGAGATTCCCGCGTACTAAAAGTTGGTGCTGCCGATGTAAGGGGAGGGCTTTGGCCTATGTTAGAAGAGGCGATGGATGGAGGTCCCGTTCTTGACACTTGGGAAACTGGAGACTGGGGCAGGGAGTCTCGGACGCTGCTCTCCTTGTGTGCATGGCCGTTCCTGACATCGGTCCACGACAAACTGGGCGAACCCATAGGTCGTTGTGGCTCTGTGGCCGCGACACCTCCCTGCATTGCCGTATCTAAAGACTGCTTTGAAAGGTGACGGGAGGCATGAGAAATCGGGACTGATGGCGCTGGAGACACCCCGCGAGAGCCAGATCGCAGCCTGAAGCCATCATCTGACGGAGGCGGTCCGATATTAACTGATGGCTCTGATGACTCCTGTTGGCCTAGCACTATATGGGGCTCCCTTGGTGTCATGCGTGACTCTTGTGGCAGCGGCGAAGGCTTGGGTTGACGAAGAGACGCCTGGGACTGGTTCATTTGAGCACTTTCAAAACCTCGGCCAGGTTCCACAAAGGTGGCATCACTCGACGAAGGTCGTTCAGGCGATGCGTGGGCCTGAGAGTCTAGCGAAGAAGTTCCCGTCATCCGTCGCAACATTGGTGGCTGTGTTGGAGATTGAGGCACTGGAGACGATTGTCCTGGAGGAAGCTGCATAAGAGGTAGTTGACTTTGGGGACTGTGTCCAGGAGAAACCTGCTCTTGGAGAGCCTGAATAGGCGGCAATTGTCCTTGAGGATGCTGTCCTTGAAGAGGCTGCCCGAGAGGAGGTTGTCCTTGAGATTGACGTCTTTGAGGAGGCTGTCCAACAGGCGATTGCCCCGGAGCAATCTGTCCTGTTGGAATCTGACCAAGGGAAAATTGCGCCGGGGGTAGTTGTGTTTGGGGAACGTGTCCAGGAGAAACCCGTCCTTGAGGAATCTGAACCGGGGGCAGCTGTGCCTGACGATGCTGCTCGATGGGTGATTGTACTGGGGATGATTGCGCTGGGGATTTGTACCCTGGAGAAAGTTGCACAGGAGAAAGTCGTACTGGAGGCAGCCATGCTTGAGGAGATTGCGCTTGAGGAGATTGCGCCGGAGGACTCTGTCCTATATGAGGCTGTCCCTGATTCCTCTGAGAAAATTGCGCCGGAGGGAACTGACCAGAAGGAAATTGCTGGATAGGAGACTGTGCCGGAGAGAGCTGCCCATGACCCTCACGAGTAGACTGGCCTGGGGGAATCTGGTCAGGAGGGAACTGGCCAGGAGGAGGTTGTCCTTGATTGCCCTGAGGAAATTGACCTGGGGGAAATTGACCTGGATGAGGACGTCCCTGGCCCTGAGGAGTTTGGCCCAGGAATTGGCCAGGAGGAAACTGACCAGAAGGAAATTGACCAGGAGGAAACTGACCAGAAGGAAATTGACCAGGAGGAAACTGACCAGAAGGAAACTGACCAGGAGGAAACTGACCAGGGGGAGACTGACCAGGAGACACAGGAGAAAGTTGTTCTGCAGGTGTCTGTCTCTGGTTGTCTTGGGAAAACTGTCCCTGAAGTTGGCCTGGAGGTGGTTGTCCTTGATGGGACTGCGCAAGGGAGGGCTGTCTTAGGGGAGGCTGTCCAAGAGGAGACCGCCCCAACGGAGACTTTCCTGGAGGATTTTGTCCAAGAGGATTCTGTGACGGTCGTAGTTGTAACTGAGGCGGTTGTACTGGAGGAGGTGCTTGTTCCGGAGGAGATTGTCCTGGGGGCGGACCAACCTCGCCATCCTGAGATCGATTCTTCCCATGTCCCAATATTCCGGATATCAAACCCGCAGCAGAACCTCGTCTTTTGCGACGCTCGGGGCTGTCGGGCACCGGTGTTCCGGATCCTCCAGATATGACCGGCGGATCTTGCGGTGCGGTACTGCTCCGTATGAATCCAACGGGTGGTGGCGGACCCATGGAACCTGGTGGTCCATGTGGTCCAGGCGATCCAGGCGGCTCAGTACCCGTGGAGGGTCGCACAGCGTGAGACGTCGCTGGGTTCTGGGCTACGTCCGCATTGGAAGAACGATGGAAGATGCCCCCAACGGCAGACCGGGCTCCCGAGAAGCGCTTCTTCGGCGGTGCCATGCTGTTCGCGGTGCTTCCAGGCTCGTTCACCATGCTGGAGGTGGCCGAGCGTGGAGGACCACCGTGTTTACTCTTAAATTGCGCGCCGGCAACAGCTCCCAGCCCAGTACCGAATCGAGACGGCTTACGTTCGGACTGAGGAGAATCCGGTCTAACCTGATCCGGGTGGAGGTGAGATGGAAGCGAAGCCTGACTCGGGACTGGAGACGCGGCCATGTCTCTGCTTTGCGACGGATGGTCCATCGAGGGACGACCTCGGAGACTGAACAGGAAACTTCCCCTGGATGCCTTTTTTCGTTCTTGCAACTCCTCGAGGCCGGTGCTGGACACAGACGCGTCGTCGCCAACATGCTCGGTTGGCTGCTGTTGCGCCCTAGGCTCAATGGTCGAGCCTCGACGTTCCGATGAGGGCCGCGCGAAACGGCTGCCGAAGTCTTTGAAGATGCCGGAGCTCTTCCTGCGGCCCCGGTCGTCTCCGCTGGCCTCCATTGGAGGAGGACCACCCATTGGAGGACCACCCATTGGAGGATTGTTCATTGGGGGGTTGCTCAATGGGGGACCGCTCATGGCCGGGCCACTCATTTCTGGATCGCCCGTTGCCGCGCGGGCGATGGCCATTTCTTGGGAGAGACGGCCCGGGAATTGCGGGCCCGAAAGTGGATTGGTCTGCGAGTTGCTTCGAGACCGCGGGCCGCCGCGGTTGAACAGCTCCGGGTGTCGCCACGCGGCCGACGGCGGTACATCGGACGGCCTCTGCCTTGACTTCGACTGCGACGTCGGGGAGACTGGGGACATGGGAAGAGGCACGCCCATACCCATCTCTTTGTCGTGACCAAAAAAAGGTCGTTGTTGTGAGTCGCCGGTCCCTGCGCGATTTCTGGCGACATGATGGAGAGGCGCCTGCAGGTGACTCTCCTCGAGTTTCCAGGGTCCTGAAGGGGGCAGCTTCTGGATTGGGTTGTCCACCATATTGGGTGGTATCATAGGTGACGCGCCATACGACGGGTTCTGCTGGTGCTGTTCCGAGTGACTGGGAGCGTGTGGATGCATTGGGGCGGCTGGATCCGACTGTTCTTGCGGAGCCACAGGCGGCTGCTCATCGGGATCAAACGACATCCTTGCAGGCGCCTTCTGGCTCTGTAGGGCGATTTGTTGACGTGATGTTGCAGAATGGGTACCGACGGGTTCTGTTATGGGGAGTACCGCTCCAGTGTCGGCCGTGCTATTCCCCGGGAAACGGGTTGGCGTCACGTCATGCTCGTCAGAATCGTCAAGCGAAAAGCGCTCGGCGGCTGGACGCGCGGCTTTGGAGGACAAGCCAAAGGTAGAGCCCCGCCTGATCGGGGGCAGCCCGATGAAGGACGAGTTACGCTTAGGGGTTTCTGCCTCCATCTGAGGCACAGACTGCGGAGGCTGGGTGCGAGGACCGGCAATTCGGGTTTCCTTAGCATACGGTGTCTCATGGAGCGCTTGGGGTAGCGCCTGAGGCTGCGTCTGGGGGCGCGCCTCGGGAAGCGCCTTAGCCGCAGCAGCCGCGGCCGGGTTGTCCGGCACCAAGCGGATCGAGGCCGCAGTTTGCGGGGATGCCACCACCCACTCATCAGAAGCCTGAACCTTAGACTCGCCCTGCGCCACGGGTTTAGATGGCAAGGGCTGGCTTTGGGCGTCCAATTGGACACCCGAGTGCTCGGACACATCATCCCTGGTCAAGTCCGTGGCCATGCCTGCGTCTTTGAAGGGATTCCAGGGCGTGCTGTCATGGCTGATCGGCGAAGGAATCTCCCATTTGGTCACATCTTCGCGGTCTTTACTGTTAGAGCCCGGCGGTCCTTGCTCATCATACATCGGCCTGGAACCTTGGATCTCAACCGAGAAATGCCGCCTACCTGATTCGCTGACTTGAGACGCAGGGCGGAAAAGATGCATACGAGTCGAGTGGGACGATGGGGGAGCTTGGTACGGGAGGCCCGCCGCACTAACCGTCCTCCTTTCTTTGTCCGCGGGCCCTGCGCGGGATCTTGCACCAATGCTCAAACCCCATGAAGAACGCCTCTCATTCTTGACCTTGGGATGCACCACGCGGGGAGGGATGGGTTCGTCCTGTCAACCAGAAACATTAACAACCTCTTCTCGTCACGTTCATTAGATGGATATGGATGGGCAACGGCATGATGTGTGAAAAGGGAAAAAAGCGTCGTAGCATTCCTATCTCGTACACCCGTCTCGTCATATGCCAAGAGTGAAACACAAGAGTCGAAGCGTAAGATGAAGAAAGATTTAAATCCAACAATTACCCCGCCCAAAGTGAAAGGAAGAGGCCCGTTTGCATCGGTCGGGCCCTAGAAAAAGAAGTGTCAGTGAAATACCTTGTCCCCGGTTCCGCGCAATTTGCTCTTCCCCTTGCTCAATAATCCCTTGCTAAACTTTCCGGTAATCTTTCCGGCTGAGTGCATAAACTCCTTGCTCTTCGTGCCAATCTGGTTGCTAGAGTTTCCAAAAGCGCTGCTGGCGGCTTGTGTCGAAATTGGCAACCCGCCAAGTCTCGAGCGACTGGAGCTGGGTGCGCTGGATGTAGGCGTGCTGGCGTTCAGGTATTGTTGGTAATACGGTTGCTGCGTTGTGGGATTGGGCCCGCTCGAACTTGTAGGAGGGGCTCCTTGACTGAAAGTTTGATGGCTTGCTCCGCTGAATGATGATGTTGCATTAGCATACTCCGGGTGCTGGTTCTTCATGGATAGAAGCCAATTCTCCAAGCCTGATTCGGCTACAGCGAAGGCTATCCGCGACTCTTCGTACTTGGCGATCCTCTGAGCTGGAGTGGGCAGTCCCATAATTTCCTTGACTCCCATCACCTGTGGCAGCTGACCAGAAGGAGCTGCAGAAGTTGACGTTGTTGGGCGCTCATCTGGAGGAGGAGGGGGAGTCATCGACACAGGGTGTGAAGCAATCTCCGTTAGCATCTTGTCATCCAAAAGAGACGGACGCCGGTTTTCGGGAGCATGCGTGGTGCTCTCATCTGTCCGAGTTGAAACAGGAGAAGGAGGCTCGAGCATTGACGGCAGCTGCGAAGGCGGTGCCATGCTAGACATCGAAACCTGTTGGGAGATTCCTCCAGAAGAAGGGGGTATCACGATCCTCGGAGTCTCAACCAATGGGCTGGTAATATCGGACACGACATCCTTCGAGGACTGAATGTCAGATTGCCCAAGCGATGACGGAGTGTTAATGCCAGGAATACCCTCCTTTGCGGGTTCATCCGCTGGTGGTGCAAGCGGTGCAGGATTAAATCCTGCTTCCCAAGAGAACCGCCGTCGGAGGTCTGGCTGGGCTTGGCTGGGTGCCTCATTCGGTCCACTCGAAGGAGCCAAAGCCGGTACGTTAGATGAGGGAATGCCAGCCGGTGGAATCGGTGCTTGAGACACTGGCACACCCGATTGTACGGCTGCAGCAGCTGGTTCCTCATCCTTCTTCTCCTCAGATCCTGGCTTCCCTGTGGCATCGTCCCAATAGCTGTCGTAATCACTAAGGGTATAGCTACTGTTACGGGTGTCCCCCCTGTTACCAGGCGCGAGCGAAGTGACGTTTTCTCCAAGGGGACTTGGAGTAGGAGCGGTTGCGATAGGACTGAGAGTCCTCATGATTTCATCACTCAACATATCATTCTCCTTAACAGGTGACGATGTGGCGGTGCTCAAGGTAGGCTCTCGTTGAACCGGCGGAGGCTGGAAGTCCGAGGGGGAATAGTCCGGACGACGAGGCTGCAAAGGCTCTGTGGGGGTGATGTCGGGGGTCATCGACGGGGGAGGAGTACCAGCCACTTGAAGCGTCGCCGCATTATGAATTTCCGGAGGAGCGATTCCCTTGGAATGAGGGCTTGGGGTACGTAGAGGCGGGATGGATCGAGGATCCGGCACAGGAGACAGGATAGGTGCCTGGCTTACTAGGTTGACAGAAGGCTTGCTGTCATCGAGGGAACGTGCGGAAAGAGAAGACTGTTCACCCTGTTGCGACTGGGATTCCACGGAGTCTTGGAAAATGCTTGGTGCATTAGCTGGCAGCGTTGTCGCGTTCTCGGGTTGTTCAGCGGCAACACTCTTGCTGGAGAATGCTTCCGTTGCCGGTGGTTCCGGAGCCTTGGGTTGATCTTGCTTCATAGGATCTTGCGGCTCCTCCATCGGAGTGACAAAGAAATCGGACCCAAACACGGAAATGCGGTTAACATCAGGTAACTTCGGGCTAACTGATCGTGCGCGATCTATATCCTGATAGGGATCGGCAACCAGTTCTCCTTTCTCGTTCGCCGGAGGTGGCGCTGGTGCGTTGGTCACCAGGCGATTGGACTCATCCAAAGGCGGCGTCGATCGTTCACTGGGCTGCGGAGCGGCCTTATCTGCGGTCGACTGTGGCGAGCCTGAGGACTTGCGGTTCTCCTCCATGCGCCGGTACATCTCCGAGGGTCGAGCTTGAGGGTCGGGTCGCGCAGGCGTAGAGCTTGCGGCGCTATGAGGAGTAGAAGAGCGAGTTTCGACTTGGAAACCTGCCACCGAGGAAGGCGCTTGAGATGGGAGGGGGGCTGGTGACGCATTTCGCCCGGAGAGAGGAGAGGGGCTATTTCGAGCCGAATCCTGAACATGGGCTGGAACAGTATGAATTGGGGGCGCCGTGTTTTCAGCCTCGGTCGTGGAGGGCTGCTCGGTATGGAGATGGAGTGAAGGGGGGCCGCTGGAGCTTCGAGAGCTAGAGGCGACGGCAGCCAACCTCGGAGAAGGCCTATGTGTTTCGGACGGGAGGCGCTGGCCGATAGGGCGAAGGCCACTGGTGACACGCGAGACAGGAGGAGGAACGGGCTCGGGCTCGTCGTCGAAATCATCGTCGCCCCAATCGTCACCATCATAATTCTGAACCTTCGCTTCAACCCATTTCCTCGTCTTCTTGCGGTTGATGTTAACCTGATAGCTTCCGCCCGTGGGAGTGTCCGGTGTCCTAGCAGGGAGGTATCGTGTTAGGAGCGAGCGATAAATCGCGGGTGTCGAGGAGGGGGTTCTTACATGGGCGACTGCCCTTGCGCAAAAGGATTGTTGTAGGTCCCGTCCATGGCGTCCGGAACTATTCGCTCAATTACAGGAACATTATTCTCCAAGAGAAAGGCTTGGTAGGTATATCGAGGGTTCGAGGGCGATTGTGATGGTTCGCTGAGGGTTGACGGTCCGCAGATGTCAAATCCGATAGCCTCGTTCGGCTTGACGGTGATGGAGAGTCGGAGGGGGAGAGGTGCGTGCGTGACAAGGGAGCTATGGATACAAGGGAAAGAGGACAAGAACGATGATCAATACAAACGAGAGCGCGGCAAAGTGGTGATACACGAAGAAGATGCGTGCGGCGACGCGCGGGAACAAGATACGGCCGTGAGGACGAGACAGGGCGATGGATGAGGAGGGAGAAGGGCCAGGGCGGTGATGATGTTGATGGTGCGGTCAGGCACTTTTGTTGGAGATGATGGGACAATTTGGGAGGGGGGGAGGCGTCGGCGGCGGCGCGGTGGCAGCGGGCTGGTTGCAGGACGGGGCCTAGCCGCCTAGCGAGGGGCCGACAAGCTGCAGTGGAAAGAGAGGCGACCACCTCCGCTGTAGCTAGCGGAACTAAACGTTTGATGTGGCAGCCCAGGGGGACGAGAGACGAGGGATAGCGGGCTGCGGGAACCCGTGGATGGATGGTATGGGACGGGTGCTATGGAAATTGTCAGCGGGCCCAGCCAGCGCATTACAGAGGCCGCGGTGCACTAGCAACAACACAGCACCTCCCGGACGACCAGATCAGCTGGCTCGTGTGCTATGTTAGTGCTCCGATACCCACCACAACGCGACACCAAGGGCGGCACGGACGACTCGACGACGTCACGACCGCCACCACCACAGCCACAACTAGTAGTACAAGGACCACCTCTTCAATTAGCCATTACGTGCGGCATAAGAGACCATTCCTTCTGATTCCATTTCTATTCTCGATCATGGGCCTTGCTCATGAAGATGTTGGGGGATAGGCGCCTACCGCAAGAAACTATGCTTTCGTGCCCCCCCTCCCTTTGCTTGAATACGACGTCGCACGTACCAGGTAGTGAGTGGGCTGCGGATACGGGGCGAGGATCAACGGGGGCCTACCAAAGCGTCCCCTGCAGGTGTTCATGGACTCCCTCAAGAGGCAGCGACACCTAGAACGTCTTGTCTCTCGCAAAGCGCCGTGACTGGCAGCGGCTGCTGCAGAGATGGGCTGGTACTGGGTTTTAGCATTCACCATTCGCCATGTCGCAAAATCGCATTCCTCAAACCTCGTTCTGCGGGGAATCAATCCACAGCAACGGGAGGGATACGGCACAGCCCGCATCGTTGCGTACGCATGCAAGCGCCCACTACCGCTACCGCGCACCACGGCAGAAATAGCATTCTTCGTGGGGAAAGCACCCACAGCAGCATTGCCCAGCCTCTTCACACACGCAATCGCCTGGAGCCGGTGACGTCGGGTGATGCGATGATTGGGAAAACCGTGCCATGCCTCCATCCTTGCTCCCCTGCTGCGGTGCGTACGGGCAGATACGTGGGCACCAAACATAGGAACCCAGCTTCGCCAGTCACGGATACGGAGGGAAGAGAATGATACCATGCCGTCACCTTGCTCTAAACCCTCGGCTCCACTCTGCTGCAGCGTCCCGGGTCACATCCAATTGCCTTTCTCCACCAAACTCTGGCGCTACGAATTCTTGGGTCCCAGCGAACTGGTGCTGGTGTTGCCTGTGTCCACTGGAGATAATGTTGAGGGAGAAACCCGGATGGCAGTAAAAATGGGGCTTTATGCTGGCATATGAGCTTCACTGTATCAATTACAGACGGATGAGTATGCTTATTTGGTAGGCGTCTGAAGTCGGACCTCTCCTACAGATTTGCAATTGACCCCTAGTAATCGAGGACCACAGAAGATGGGGGGGTTTGAGTGACAGCCTCTCAACAAGCCACCACGTCGAGCAGACAAGTCACCTAATTTCTTGCGACTTGTTAGCTACGACATGGTTAATGAACATGTCGCAATGTCAGTGTTCTCTTCTACTATCATGCGGTGAGAAGAAATTGAGCCACCTCGGTGATGTTCATCTGATGTCAACATCGAATAGCTGCTGAGATTGAACCCCTAATTCCAAGCCACACCCGAAGTCCCATGTTCGACTAACCCATTTTACGTCTGGGTCACTAATTAAGACTTCCCCGGTGTGCGTAACGTAGCATAATGCGGATGATGTACCTGCATTGTTAATGCCGGACTTCACAGCTGCAGCGCTGACTCGGACATGCTTATTGTGGCGGGTGCCCTTGCACGGCCACAGAAGTTATCAAATACGGGTCTGACAAGCCACGGAGCGGGATTACCTCGGATGTGCGAACGGGCCAACGTGGCGGGAGTGGTAGGCTACCCTGGACTGTGAGACAAACCGCCATCCAGATCCCCTTTCAGGCGCAGTGGCCAAGCCTCATTTGTCTCTGACATTCCCACGCTGCGAAGCTTTTCCTCCCCCCGCCCAACCCTTGACTCGCTGACATCTCATTTCCCTTTTTTTTCTTCTGCATCTACATCCTCGTGTCTCATTGCGCACTTTTGAGTAATCTGTCTTAATCTCATCACCGAACCCACGTCCGCCCTGCGCCCCCTCGATATTGCACCCATCGCGCCTCGCGTCGTATTCGTACTTCATTCGCGCACATCCATACCGAGGTATCGACGTTGAACAATCGATCCCGACTCCGACAATAACCACGAACTCAAGGCGCCTTGGCAGACCCGTCATCTGTCATCTGCCATCCTTTCCTCTACCGTTACACCCTCGAGAATCGAAGCCGCGCTGGCCGCAGTCGGTCCTCGACGCAATCCCTAATCAGTTACCATTATGGCTGTCGCATCCATCCAAGATCGGACCTCCGAGTTCAAATCGGTGCTCGTACAGGCGCAGCGCCGCCAGGCCTCGTCCAAAGTTGGCTCGCAGCGAAGGTCCCTCCTGTCCGATGCCCAGAAGTCAGCCGCCAACGGCGATGGCCGACCCAGGAGATCCGACTTTGCCAGGCAGGCAGCCGAGATTGGACGAGGCATCTCGGCAACAATGGGAAAGCTGGAGAAGTTAGCACAACGTGAGTTCTCGCACCCTCTCAGTGGCCCATGACGCGGCCTCTACGTCCGGCCTTGTGATTCCCTTGAGAAAGAGACTAACCCCGCGGGTAGTGGCAAAGCGACGCACCCTCTTCGATGATCGACCGGTCGAAATCAACGAGCTCACCTTTGTCATCAAGCAAGATCTATCGTCTATCAACCATCAGATTGGTGCCCTTCAGGCGCTATCCAGGCAACAGCACCCCAAGGCTGACCAGGAGGGCGAACACAACAAGAACGTCGTCTATCTGCTGCAAGGCAAGTTGACAGATGTATCAGTCAACTTCAAGGATGTTTTGGAGGCGAGGACGAAGAACATTCAAGCATCGAGGTCGAGGACAGAGAACTTCATCTCGAGCGTATCCCAGCACACGCAACCATCCCTCCAACAGTCCGCATCACCACTCTACGGAACCCCCGCTCGTAACTCTCCAGCCCCGGGGGCCGACACTCTGTCGCTCAACCCAGTGGGCGACCAGCAGTTGATGATGATGGAGGAGGCGCAGCCGAACAACACCTACATCCAGCAACGAGGTGAGGCCATCGAGGCGATTGAGAAGACGATCGGCGAGCTAGGCAGTATCTTTGGCCAGCTGGCAACGATGGTTTCGGAACAGAGCGAGATGATCCAGCGAATCGATGCCAACACGGAAGACGTGGTGGACAACGTTGAGGGCGCGCAACGAGAACTACTCAAATACTGGTCTCGGGTTTCAAGCAACCGGTGGTTGATAGCCAAGATGTTTGGTGTCCTGATGATTTTCTTCCTGTGAGTCTTCCCGTCTTGGGTCTGGTCCTCGCTATGGTGTCCGTCTTATGCGGCCCTCGCGAAGCCTTGGCTCCCTCTTATTATTCCGATTGATACTGACGTGTTACCGCAGACTCTGGGTCTTGGTCTCGGGGTAGACTTGATGAACTTATAGACAAGACAAGTCGAGTCGAGGGAAATAAGTAGAGGAAGTGTCGAGGAAGTGGGGAGGGGAAGGGCGAGTTTTATGGCACTATTCGTTGTAATGGATATCACTAACAGTGCTCTTCTCTTTCTTTCTTTTGCATGTATGTATAGTTTCATTTGTTCCCCTCCCTTAGAGTCTATGCGACATAGAAGGGCCTTGAAAAGGATAATGAAGGAGACATGGGGGCGCCTTTGTTGGGTTGGGTTGATTTGGTTTGGTTTGGTCAGGTCCGACCCTGTCTGATGCGATCCGGGCTTGGCAATGGGTCCGACACGACATGATCGTGGGGGGAAATGTGTAGAGAACATGGCAAGCAGTATGCTTTGTAGATGGGAAGATGTCCCTCGTCGGGGGATACTATTATATTTACCGACTTCTTTACGCACTCATCCGGGGGCTGGGTTCGTCTGTGAGGTATGTGAATTGACTGAAGTGAGATTGTCCGTGGTTGCAACTCCGAGAGGCGTTGCTTTGGGCGTACGGTATGGAGAGGGCTCATCCCAAAGAGAAGGCAAAGAGAAGAGAGGACCAACAACGACCAAGGAAAGAGGCCAAGCCGTCGACTCGACCGGTGTCACTCTGATCTCTGTGGTCTGTCACCGTGGTGTGCCATCCATTGGCTGTACACCCTTCGTACTGTACATGGCATGGTGAACATTGGGGGCAGACTATTGACCGGGGTTCTCGCCGACCAGGCCCACACAAGAGCAGCTTCTCGGACCAACCCCACCCCGAGAAACAGGCGGGACGAGCCCCGTTGCGCCCTACAGGCGTCCACTCCCGCGCCGTCTTTTCGGCAACTCGCTGTTGATACTGACGGCACTGCAGACGGTACCGGTACAATTGCTGCGCTCCCACACACGCCCCCCAACCTGGCACCCTGGAAACTTCCCCCGCTCCCCTGCGCGACCCCTTGGCAGCGACGAAATCAGGCACAAGGAGGGGTGTAGTGGGGTTTATCTGGCGGGTTTCGGCCTTGACCCCGCCGATGAGCGACCATGAGCCGGCTCGCAGTGAAAACATTGGGGGAGGGGGAGGGGGAGGGGGAGACGGGCTATGTACGGAAAGACGAGGCGAGTGACGGAGACGCTTGTTGTTTAGAACAGTTGGCCGTGCTGGCGGGTGTTGATGTGGGAAGATTGCCGTGGTTATAACGGCCTGGACTCCCGCTCTCGCGCGATGGACACCGATCTCTCCCCCTCTCTCTCTTCTCCCCTCTGTAAATAACTACCTGACCATCTACTCCCTCCCTCTCTCCCACTCATCCACCCTCTCAATTCAACCTCCCAATCTCTCACAATGGCCGCCACCTCCTTCAAGCTCAACACCGGCCAGGACATCCCCGCCGTTGGCTTCGGCACCTGGCAGGCCGAGCCCGGCAAGGTCCAGACTGCCGTCGAATACGCCCTCAAGGACGGCTACACGCTCGTTGATGGCGCCTACTGCTACGGAAACGAGGACGAGGTTGGCGAGGGCCTCAAGGCCGCCTTCGACTCCGGCGTCAAGCGCGAGGACGTCTTTGTCATGACCAAGGTCTGGGCTACATACAACACCCGCTGCGAGCTTGCCCTCGACAAGAGCTTGAAGAGCCTTGGTCTCGACCACGTTGACCTCTTCCTGGTTGTGAGTGTTCCCCTGCAGCTGCTGCTACAACAAAACCGAGAACCTCGGCGTGCTAACTATGTGTTTCTAGCACTGGCCTCTCCTTCTCAACCCCGAGGGTAAGATTCACAAACCGCAATTTCTCGTTTTCAAACCATCAACTAACCTCGCCTAGGTAACCATGACAAGTTCCCCACCAACCCCGATGGCTCGCGAGACATCATCCGCACCCACAACCACGTCGACACCTGGAAGCAGATGGAGAAGCTTGTCGCCACCGGCAAGACCAAGGCCGTCGGTGTCTGCAACGTAAGCTGCCCCCCTAGCCAGTAAATCACGGCACAAACTAACACACCTCTGTAGTACAGCGTCAAGTACCTCGAGGAGCTTCTGCCCCACGCCACCATCGTTCCCGCCATCAACCAGATTGAGAACCACCCCAGCCTGCCCCAGCAGGAGATTGTCGACTACTGCAAGGAGAAGGGTATCCACATTGTTGCCTACAGCCCCCTGGGTAGCACTGGTGGCCCCATGATGTCCTCTGAGCCCGTCGTCAAGGTTGCCGAGAAGAAGGGCGTCTCTCCCTCCACCGTCCTCCTCAGCTACCACGGTAAGACTCCTCGCTCCAAAATATCCGTTGACGCATACTGACAAACCCATCTAGTTGCACGAGGCGCCACCGTCCTGGCCAAGTCCGTTACCCCCGAGCGCATCTCCGCCAACAAGAAGATTGTCGTGCTGGACGCCGATGACATGAAGATCCTCAATGACTACTCCGATGACCTCGCCAGCAAGGGCGAGCTTAAGCGATACGTCTACCCTCCCTTCGGCATCAACTTTGGTTTCCCCGACAAGCAATAGACACTCACCCGGGTATTGGATGAGACAATGAGATGAAAGAACAAAAAGATTAAAGTGAATAAGATGTTATAATAGATTAGAGCCTCTGGTTGGGCCAAGACATGAATAAACATTGAACCCCAATCTCAATCGCAGCAATGCTGTAGCCCCCAATTGGTGACTTGCTTGTTTGGGGATTTCCGTTTTCGGACTACTTTTCCGTTCGGGGTCTTTTCCGCGACTTTTTCCGCGTGGGGGTCGAAGATGATGGGTTGGCTCAATGCAACGACAGATCTCTCATGACATCACAACGGAGCGGGATGTGCACTGTCATGTGAAAGGAGAGCTTTAAAAAAAAAAAAAGTGCTGTTGGTGAATTACAGACAAAATCGTTGAAATGAGTATGACTCCCGTGTTGGGCACGCAATGCAGTGAACGGACAATGAAGCTTGTAATCCAAAATCATGTTGCTACCCAAGACTACCTAGACTCATCATTCATTTCACAAACCCGCCCACCCGTGCCATTTTTCTAAATAAAGTGCCGTAAAGAAATGCTCATCATCAGGTACATCTACAATACACTAGTTCGAGACTTGCCCGACATGTCGACGACTACCTTAATGACCAGGTTGCCCTGTTCATCCTTGATCTTGCCGGCCAGCTTGAAGGCATCCTCGATGCGATCCATGCCCTTGAAGCGCTGTGTCACTAGCGTGCTCAGATCAGGCATGGCCTTGGGACGATCGGCTAGCAGGTCAAGGACCTTGCGGTATGTGTTTGCGTAGCGGAAGACGCCGACGAGGTCGACCTCGCGCAGGGCGGCGGCGGAGATGGGGAGGGTGAGGACGGGTGTGCCCATGCCGATGATGAGAACCTTGCCTCCAGGCTTGGTGGCCTATGTACGCGGCGTTAGATCTCTGTGGAAAGGATGTCTCATGACCGAGCATTTTGAGATTCAAACTTACGTAGATGGCGGTTTGCACACATGTCTCGACACCAGTGCACTCGTAGACGGCAGTAACTTCGCCGACAGCTTCACCTCGGACCACAGTCTCGCGGACGGTGGCAGCCACCTTCTGGGCGTAGGCGAGCTTGTCCTCGATGGTCTGGGGGCGCTCCATGGGGACCAAGACACTGGCGTCGGCGAAGCCGTTGGCCACGGCAAAGTCAATGCGGTCCTTGAGAATATCGGCAATGATGACCGTCTTGGCACCGTCGGCCTTGCTGACAGCGGCGGCGAGCAGGCCAACGGCACCAGCACCGAGGACCAGTACGGTGGAGCCAGCGGGGAGGGCAGCACGATCACGGGCGTGCCAGGCGACGGAGAGAGGCTCGGCGAGGGCACCCAGGTCGAGGGAGACGTTATCGGGGAGCCTTGGAGGTGTAAGTGAGTATGTTCTGTTGTACGTACGCTCAAGGCGAGGGCGACGAGGACTCACTTGTGGCACCACCGGGCAGGGTGGTTGATCTTCTCTTGCAGCGTTCCCTGGGCATGGGGGTTTGCCTTGGCGGAGCTACGGAACTTCATGCCGCGGCAGATGTTGTAACGGCCCTCAGCGCAGTACTCGCAGTCCTCGCAGGAGAGGCCGACCTCGAGGGCGACGCGGTCACCAGCAACGAAGTCGGTGACGGCAGAACCGACTGCGACGACGGTGCCACTGGACTCGTGGCCCAGGGTCAAGGGCTCGCGGACGATGATGTCGCCGTTGCGGAAGTGGTTGAAGTAGTGCAGGTCGGAGCCACAGAGGCCGGTGGACTGGACGGCGACTTGGACCTCATCGCTGGCGGGCGCGGGAAGCTCTCGCTCTTGCTGTGAGAGTTGTTAGCCGATGGAACCGGAAATGTCGAGGCGGAAGACAGAGGGTGAGAAGGTAAGAAGTGAAGAAGGTAAGGCTTACCAGGCGGAGATCCTTCTCGCCGTGCAGGACGGAAGCTGTGACACTCTGAGTCGACATTATGGTGAGGTGAGGTAATGGGCGTCTGGGGGATGGTGATGGTGAGTGGACGATGCAGACCGGGTCAATTGGGGACCTTGATGCGTGTTGTAGAGTGCCAATCCTTGGATGAGAAAGGAGAACAAGGCTGGGATGATCAAGAGAAAAGCAAATCAACGGAATTTGTTGGACGAGAAGGGGGACGGAATTGAGAGAGGGGACACCGCCGAAGGTGGGATGAAGCAGTTAACCCCGGCTCCGATATCGAATACAAACACCAGTCGATGGCCCATTGCGCGGGGAGAGAGCCGAGTCGCGGCCCCACGATGTGCCCCATGACGCCTCGCCCCATGACAAGTCGAAGCAGAAGGAGAAAAAAAAAATCCATCCTTCGCCCGCGTTGCTCTGGGGCGCGCTCGGAGGTACAGTACATGTACATCGTGAAGGGCGACGGGGGGTGGCAGAATGACGATTTGGCAGGGCCGTGGTTGGCTGGCGTGAGGCTACCCTGGAGCTAGGAAGACACATGCCAGGAACATTTACCCCTCCCCCGCGGCGGGACCCTCTCTTTTTCCCCGACAGCGCCCGTCGAGAGTAAATAATATTGTTCATGGCGGGTTGGGCCATGTACTGGTAGCATAGTAGTGCGACGGCTTGTCATAGGGCGTGGCGATTTGAATCGGCCTTTGAGGCCGGCTATTGAGATCGGCTATTGAAAACGGCTACGGGGCTTGTTGCTGAAGGCGGGCTCTGAAGAATTGGGTTAAATGGGCAATGTTCCCCGTTTCTTTGGGGCTGAGAGGTACCTAGTTTCTAAGGGATGAGCCGCAAGTGGGAAAGTGTTTCCGTTCCCCGCAGATGGGCGGCTATAGACTTCTCATGATGAGTCTTCTCGTCACTAAGCTGGACGACACCGTAATGAATGTATCAAGTAGCAGACTCAACGAAATAGCGAGTGTCCCGTGAATCGCAATCAGCGGTCTATGTACCAGTACATTCCATTGGATCCGTCCTGCTGGCTGCTCTAGCGGGGACCCAGCTCCCACGTAAAACGGCATCATGCCCGCCTCCAACTCGGCATGGTCTCCGAAGCCCATCCGACCTGTGGTGCGCCGCGCGACGGTAATCCCCACAGTCGGCATTGGGTGAACATTCTTCAGGTCAGGCGGGACATGGGATGTAATTAGTCTACGCTCGGCGTATGAAGGTCGAACGACGCCGAGTGGCAGATGCATGGAAAGAAGGCCAGACGCTTGTGAAGCCGCAAAAGTGAAGCGTCACTACAACTTACATAGACTTACACCCCGCCGCCCACTTCATCATCGCCCCCCTCATCCCGCCCAGCACGCCCACTCCCCCCGCGTCTGCCCGCCCGCTGCCCCTCGCTACGCGTTATCTGCTCTGGAAATTGTAAACCACCGCCTGGGAAGTAAAAGCACTCACGCTCCCAGCTGCATCTCCTTGACATTCGGGACTGCACTTCCGTACCCAACCCTCCACCAGACTCAATTCATTTCCGATGGCCTCTTCATTCTTCTCCCTCGAAGGCCACACGGCCGTCATCACCGGCGGCACCCGTGGCATTGGCCAGGCCGTTGCCATTGGCCTCGCCGAAGCTGGTGCCGACATCATCTTGGTCCAGGTGCGTCATGCCATTCACTGACGATGCGTCCTTTTGGCTTCCACCAAGAGCAATCCCTGACACTGACTCTGTTCCTTCAGCGAGACACCACCGCTACCGACACCAAGGAGGCCATTGAGAAGCTCGGCCGCAAGGCTTCGGTTTACACCGCCGACCTCTCCTCACCCGCGTCCGTCGGCACTCTCGTCCCCAAGATCCTCGCCGACGGCCACAAGATTCGCATCCTCATCAACTGCGCCGGTATCCAGCGACGACACCCCTGCGAGGAGTTCCCCGACCAGGACTTCAACGATGTCAGTCAACTTTTCTGGCTCTTCTGAATCCCCCACTAACACCGATATCGCAGGTCATCCAAGTTAACCTGAACGCCGTCTTTACCCTCTGCCGCGATGTCGGCGCCCACATGCTCGGTCTCGAACCCTCCCCCGTCACCGGCCGTCGCGGCAGCATCATCAACTTTGCCTCGTTGCTGACCTTCCAGGGCGGCTTCACCGTGCCTGCCTACGCTGCCTCCAAGGGCGCCGTTGGCCAGCTGACCAAGAGCTTCGCCAACGAATGGACCGCTAAGGGCATTACCGTCAACGCTATCGCCCCTGGTTACATCGCCACAGATATGAACGAGGCCCTGCTTGCTAACCCCGAGCGCCTCGCCAGCATTACCGCTCGTATTCCTGCTGGGGTCTGGGGCTCGCCAGACGACTTCAAGGGTACCGCCGTCTACCTCGCTAGCAAGGCCAGTGGCTACGTGAGTGGTCACATCTTGGTTGTCGACGGTGGCTGGATGGGACGATGATTGTGTGTTGCGTGCATCATGGCAGAAAACAGACAGAAAGAATAATAATCATAGACGGAAAAAAGAATAAAATGTCATTGAAAACACCCGCGCCGGCTTCCCCATTTGGTATGCGATTCGCTTCCTCGCCTTTCTTAAATCATCGACGGACCCCCATAAAGCAACTGAAATTGTAGGACTGGAGACGAGTTATCACTCACGCCTCGCCCGAACCAGTCTCTTCTTCTCTAAGCGATGGATGCCCCTTGGGCCAGCGACGACTGTGACCTTGTTGCGCTGATGCCGGACCACATGGCGATCCGACTCAGAAGCTCGAGCGAGGATGCTAGACGTCCATAAAAGGCGGCGTGAGCTGCTGTGGGTGATTCAGACTGGGAAGAGGAAGGGAAGCATCTGGCTTACGTAGATTGCAAGGCGGCAATGCGCACCCGAGCGAATGAACCGTTTAGTTCGTCAAACATTTTGGAAGAGTTTGCCTGTTTCTTGACTGAAGTACAAAAGTATTGAACTTGACGAACTCTCTTAGTCGAGATAATATCAGGAAAGTCTCCGCCTTCAGATCGTATGCGGGATTCGGAGGGTGAAATCTCACGGCCATGGGCTGTCGGGAATTCTTATACGTCGCTGAACTTCCTCCATGATGACTCGGAAGCCGAGGCCACATGCTTACGATCGTCATCATGTTGTCGCACATATACTCCGACCAGAGGCTCTCATTCGCTATCGCTGTGGAAGCATCTCCGAATGAGTGCGGATGAGATCCGGCCTTCATGTGACTGAGCGCGGCGCTTTCGAGGATGTTTGGCTGCACGGCCCAACGCCTCGAGGCTGAGTGTAATGCTGTCATACTGCAGGTAAGGCGACCACCTTCTCGGGGTCTGATATGTCCGCCGTCTCTGTGCCTACATCCGAGTACGAAGTCCATCTCCCGAGTGTCTAGAATCCCACGTCATCTTGACCAGGTGGCAGTCGGTAGGGCTGGAAAGGGAGCGGAGACCCCGCTTGAAAGAGACGAGGAGGGAACATGGTAAAAACACAAAGAATTACGACTTTAAAAGATCTATATTCTCCCGTCACCAGGTTTGTAAACCTTCTAGGCCTAGATTTTGCTTCCTGCGCCATACGAACCCACATCAGCCTCGGTGCGATGCACGGAGATGGTGTCGACAAAAGAGAAAGGAGAGGATCATGTCAGAGGCCATCAAGACCGCCAATGGCATGCAAGAAGGCAGCTTGTGGAAAGAAATTAGTGGGATTTACCCTTGGTTTCCTCGTAGTAATGGGCCATCTGGAGACCGGCTCGTCGAAAGCCGCACTTAACGTAAAAACCTTCGTTAGCCTCGCTGCAGTCGAGAATGCTCTTGTAACAGCCAGTCTGCTCGGCAACAAAGTCGAGGGCCTGGATGATTCGGAGGCCGAGTTTCTTGCCCTGCTGGTCCTTTGCGACGGCGATATCCTCAATGTGGCCGACGGCGCCAAGACTGTGAATGCTGTATAGGGAGGGTTGGTCAGCGTGAATTATTTCCAAGACTCCGAGGGGACCCTAGTCGACTTACAACTTGCGCTCGACAATTAAAGCACCCGTACCAACTACGGGGCGCTCAGTCTTGGTGGTGTCCTCAATGATGATAACGTAGTAGCTGGCGGCACTGGCCATGTGGTCGTACTGCTGCTCAAAATCGGCCCTGCTGATGTCGCCAACAGTAGTGAGAACACGTAGGCAATCGAGGAATCCGCTATCGTAGTCGGACTTGCGCAGGGCGCGGAGGGTGTAACCCTCAGGCAGGGCAGCAGAGACCTCGGGGGAGAGGAGGCTGGAAGCGAAGATGCCTTCTTGAGCCATGGCGGTGTCGGTTTGGCGGGGTCGCGGGGTCGCGTTCGGGGGAGGATTCGTTCGTGAGGTGGGAGTCGAGGAGACAGAGATTTCAGAGCGTGAGGAGGGGACTCGGAGTTCAATTGTCGTGGACGAGGAGCGCGCAATGTCGAGGAAGGCAAGTTGAATAAGGATGATTTGGGGCTGGAGTCGAGGACGCTTCCGGTCAGATCGCCCCGTAGCTGGATCTGCTGGATTGGTCTATTATTAGGCCGGGGAGCTCACTCCAGGGCAACAGTGGACGGTACAGTACTGTAGTCTCAGCGGGCGGGGCGCTCACTGCCAAATGACCCCACGGTGCTGCGGCCAGAGCGACAGGATAGGGGAAACCCGCTCACCCAATCATGCTGCGCCTCAAGGCCACTCCGATCATGGCTGCTGGTACCCGTTGGCCCCCCTTAAATTGACCAACGGGTAGGTCGGTGAGGCTCAGGCACCCGGCGATGTGGAAGGCTTATTAGTGTCAGCTGGGAAAAGGCATCAATGGCACCCGTCGTGGAATATTCTTCCCGCTGCCAGTGTCAACATGCCGACCGACGATCGTCTCTGGATCCGATTCTCTTGGTTTAGGCCCGACAACGACCGGCTGGTTTGCATGACCATCGAACCCGGGATGATGATCTCATGGCCCTTTCAGGGACAAGAGATGACCGCATTGGTAGATCCGGCATTCGGCAGTCGAGGAGGCTTTGACCCTGGTGAGGCCATCGTAAATAGTTGTCACAGAGCCACTTCTGAAAAAGGGATCAAAGAAGCCAAAGTCCGACGAGAAGTTTGATGGCAGAGAAATGAACGGTACCTGCCTGAGGGAGGAAGTAGGTGGGGGTCGTGACTGCTCGGCAGGTACGGAGGTGCGGACGTAAGTCGGTAACGCATGAATGCATTGTGTCGTGGCTTCCCTCAGTCTCATAATCACATGCAAATGTTTCAACTTGGTGTGCATCATCACGGCCTACCTACCCTTGATTTACCATCCCACTTCGCGCCAACGGTGACCCAACCATTTTCCATAATCCCAACCGCATGCCATCCACCCTTTGCCACTCCGTTATCAAGGTGCTGCCATGTCATTGGCGTGTTCCTGTTCCCGTCCATAGTGTGGCCCTCTCCAGGAACCTGTGCACCTCCTTTCCCCTTTCTCATCAGAAGCTCACACGAGACGGCCATCGACGATACTGGCGATGTTACCGCCCACACCATGATTATGGATAATCGTAATGTCCCACCCGCTTCCGATGCGACGCCTCCCCATCCAAGTCCCACGCTTCTGCCGGCGCCTGTGGCACAAGCCGTTAGTCTCGCGACGCGCTCTACTTCCCTAGCCATACGCCTTGGCTCCGCTGCTGGCTCTTATGGACTTGGCGCTGCAAGATTCACCACTCTGTCTAGCCTGGAGCTGGCTCGGAGCGTGGTTGAATCTGTCCTGAGCCGTGCTGGTAGAGAAACACTATCTCGGTCCCAAAGCGACCTGGCCACCGTCGATGCCGAGTCTGTCATTGAACGAAGTCTCGAGCATCTCCATCATGCCATGACCCAGGTGGTTTTCTGGACAACTGCTGGCTTCCACATCACGAACACAACCATCTCCATGGCATCAGAGGTCTCGCAGCTACTTCTATCATCCCTTGATCAACTCCTAGGCTCCACCGATTCATCGCGAGCAATTGCTAGCATCGTCACCTTGATTCGCCGAGAGTTCCGGGACCCCGCCACAGGTGCTCAAGGCAAGCCCGTTGGCGTTGTCGATCTCACGCTTGGTCTATGTGCCTTGGCTTATCTGCAACAATGGTGTTGGAAGCTCCCAGATGAAGAGCTCCGTCGCCATGAGTACGAAGAGATCATATGGGATGTTGTGGTTCTCAATGATGGTGAGAGAGTGGATGTTCAGGAACAGAAGCCTCAGGTCTCCACAAACCCGCAATCCAAGATCCCACAACGCCAGATGGGTAACTCTGGTGGCAAACACCTTGACTTATCACAGGAAAGTCACCAAAGTCTAGCCGACGATGAAGAAGAGGCTGCTTTACGCAGGCTCAAAGACCAGATTGTCGATTCTCTGCCCTCGGAAACTACCATATCCATCTCAAACTCCATCTCCACCACACAGACAATCACGATCGATATCGATGGTCCTCGGCCTCTTTCTCTCCCTACTCTACCAGGGGCAGAAGTTGTGGAAACTAAGGTCACACGGTCTCCGCAAGGTGTCCGGTCTGGAAGGCGACTGAGCAACTCAGGAGAACCATCCTATCGAGTTGTGTACAAACTTCAGAGGTCTAAAGTTGGGACCACCACGTTTCAGAATCGTAACGAATCACTGAAGCCCCCAATCATTGAGTTATCGAATACTGAAAAGCCGACTCGAAACGTACCGGCTCAGGAGCCATCCAGATTACCAAAGAAAGCAGTGCAGACTGGCCCTAAGTCCCCACCGGGCAATCGTGCGATTGCTACAAAGAATGACAACGGCCAGCAATACCGAATTCCAATGCGGGAATCTTCAAAGCCTCCGAGTAACTCTGGCCAAGTCGCAGCAAGTAGGAAGCCAAAAATATCATACCCTTCCTCACCACCAGCGGTACCAACACTCCAGCAGAAGCCAGAACGTGAGGCCAACCAAAAACGGCTCCGAGTACCCCCAAGCCCAGTTGCTTCTCGAACGAAAACCGATACTCCTCACGAGAGCTCTGCTAGAATGCGAAAGGTGCTGCCCAAGAGAAAGACTGACCCATCCATTACTGGCAAACACCCGGAGAAAAGGGGGACACTAAAACAAGTACTTCGAGAAGGCAGTAATTCTTTCTCGAACATGTGGCACAAAGACACCGCATCTGCGGATAGCAAACAACCGCCAAGAATGAAAGAACGGGAAAACAAGACGCCATATATCTCCTCAAGCAACCCCGAGCTGCCTGCTTCAACCCAAGAGACATACGCCCCACCCTCTACTTCATCAGCCGATCATGACTTTGACAATCCAGAGTTAATCCAACGAAGCTCCTCTCGAGCAAGTTACGTCTCCATCCACGAGTACCGCCGTGACTCGATTGTCTCTCAGACCGATACCTACTCTATCCACTCTACTCTCGGGCCACGGCCAAATTCTCCCAGTCTCACTAGGACCGATGCTGCTACAGATCCGTCTTGGACCAAGTCTTGGAATGACAGAAACTCCGTTAGTCCCGTCCGACCGAAATCTGCTGTGGGACATCGTCGTGGTATATCCAACGTTCCAAGCATCTACAGCCTAGCATCCAATGACTCACAGTCATCCCTTGTGCTGGCGTCTTACCATCAAAAAAGCGCATACACTGCAGCTGATGCGTTGAGCATCCTTCGACGCGATGGCGAAGTTGACGGCATATTTCCTAGGGCTCATGTACTCCGCAACATTACGAGGTACATGCGGTTCTCATCGGCTTCTTATGGATCGCATTTTCTCAAAGTCATGGGTATATCGAAGGAGATGCCTATCGTGCGAGCCTGGGACGGGATTCATGCCGATGTGAGGCACTTTGTCCATCACACCGAATCTGACACGCACAGCGTCCTGCTTGCCTCATTTGTTGACCCTGAAGGGGGGGCTGACTCAAGTGGCTTAACCGGGACGGGTGTACCGCTGGTACACTATATCTCATTAGACCATGATGCAAGGACAGTAGTGCTGGCTTGCCGGGGGACCCTGGGATTCGAAGACGTCTTGGCCGACTTAACATGTGATTACGACGTTCTGACCTGGCGTGGCCGTGGATACAAGGTACACAAGGGCGTCCATGCATCCGCCCGAAGGCTACTTTACGGCGGAGACGGGCGTGTCTTGGTGACAATCAGGGAGGCATTGCTCGAGTTTCCAGACTACGGACTTGTTTTGTGCGGTCACTCACTGGGGGGTGCCGTGACGGCTCTCCTGGGTGTGATGCTGTCGGAACCAAACCCGACTGGCACAGGGTTTGTCACTGCCACTGAGCCGCACAGAGGATCAAATGATTCCCCAACCCAAGAGAGTCTTCGATCAGACCATCTATGTCTGCCTTCTAGGCGTCCAATTCACGTCTATGCTTACGGGCCACCTGGTACAATGTCGACATCACTCCGTAAACGCACACGGGGCCTCATCACTAGTATCGTGCATGGAAATGATGTGGTTCCTTATTTGTCATTGGGGACCCTTCACGATTCTCAAGCCGTCGCTTTAGCATTCAAGGACGATCAACATCAGGCAAAGGGGGAGATTCGTCAGCGGATCTGGCAAGCCCTGCAGAGTGGAATAACTCAAAAGTGGTACGGTAGCTCATCTGCTGTCCGTAGGGAAGAGAAATCAGAATGGGGACTCCCATTACTGCAAAATCTGAGAGCCACTATGACAAGCCAGAAACTGATGCCACCCGGGGAGGTCTTTACCGTTGAGACTCAGAGAGTACTGAGGCGGGACGCATTCCTTCTTCTAGAAGAAGACCACCTTGGGCGGCCGGCGCAAAGAATTGTGTTGAAGTATGTCAAAGACGTGGAAGCACGGTTTAAGGAGTTGAGATTTGGGACGAGTATGTTGATGGACCACAGCCCCGCAAGGTACGAAGAGGCTTTGGACAAGCTTCGCCTCGGTGTTGTTGATTAACATTTTTGATGACTTTATACCTAATGATTTCTTTTGTCCTTTACGACAGAATGATATAGAGGGAAGAAAGAGTAAGGGTTGGATATACAGGCATCACAAAAGCGTTTGGGAAATTGGAAACCTTGATACCACACCATGATACATTGGTATAGACTACCTACTTTCATTTAATTTCACATTTCGTTCTTTTACACGTACACGCAGTTCAGTCCGCCGTCGTGGTGATGATCTTGCCGTCATCATCATAGAAAATTTCCTTTGCCTTGACCGACCTAAGGTGGTCGACACCCTTGCTTAACTCACAGTCGTGGAAGAAAAGATATGTCTTGCCCTGGAACTCGACAATAGAGTGATGGGTCGTCCATCCAAGAACGGGCTCCAAGATGCGGCCGCCATAGACAAACGGCCCAAGAGGACTCGTGCCGGTGGCATAGCACAAAAAGTGCGTATCCCCCGTCGAGTACGAGAAGTAGTAGGTGTCTCCGCGCTTGTGCAACCACGCAGCCTCAAAGAAGCGTCGGTCGTGGTCGTCACCTTGGATAGGCTTGCCAGTCTCAGGGGCCAGAATGATGAGCTCCTGCACCTCATCTGCAAACTGGTGCATATCGGCGCTGAGCCTGCCAACCCGCGGTCCCTGGGCACTGACACCCTCGCCGTTGACTTCCTTGGCGCCCTGCCACGATGGATCGAAGACGTCGTTGCCCTTTTGGTAGCACTGGAGCTGGCCGCCCCACAGGCCGCCAAAGTAGAGGTACGCCTCGCCATCGTCGTCGACGAAACAGGCCGGGTCGATGCTGTAGCTGCCCTTGATCGGTTCCGGATCCGGGGTGAACGGGCCCTCGGGCTTGTCCCCCACGGCGACACCGATACGGAAGATGCCCTCCTTGTCGCGGGCTGGAAAGTAGAGATAGTATTTGCCGTCCTTCTCGGCGGCATCAGGCGCCCAAAGTTGCTTGGACACCCATGGGACGTCTTCTGCCTTCAACACCACGCCGTGATCTGTGACCTCTCCAGGAGGGCTCAGGCTATCTGTGCTGAATACGTGGTAGTCTGCCATGTCATACTGGTCGCCATTGTCGTTGAACTTGATATCTGTCTCACGGTCATGGGAAGGATAGACGTAGACCTTGCCGTTAAAGACATGCGCTGAGGGGTCGGCAGTGTAAATATGAGTGATGAGGGGGGCCATCTTGAAAAGTAGATTCGGGTATGTCTCGAGCGAGTGCCTTGGGTCTCAAGAGTTGAGAACTGCGGTGATGGCTAAACTTATATATGCGTGAGCCGACTATAGCCCCGCGATGTCATGATATAGATGCTAGTCGACGTCTTGCCTATTATTGAGCTCAATAACCAATTTATCCAGAAATGCACCAACCAATTTACCCGGCTGCCCCGGCCATTTGGGGCAGGAGACGATGTCGCAGTAGGAAAGCCGACCGGGTAGGATCTGCACCGGAGCATTTCTTGGGGCCCCATCAGGTGGCTTGATGTTGCGGGATGGCGGCTGATCTCTCCGGTTGAGTGATCCGATGGCAATGAGCGGGAGAGCCACCAGGGTTGGTGCCCGACCCAGCCGTCGATGAGCCACAGTACTCGACGTAATATTCCAACGCAAGAACCACCCAGGCCGAGATCAAGAATTGACGGGAAACTCGTGAGATAAGGGCGCCAGCTTCTCAAGATATGGTTTGCTGCAAAATAAACTCATTCGCATGATGCATTCTGGGGCGGGCCGCGCCGCAATCGCGCAGCCAGGTGCAACTCACGCCCAGGCCCTGCATGAGATTCAGAGTCAAACCAGGCAGGATAGAATAGATGTTGATGGAAAATGTTTAGTAATCCTGAACGCCAGTCTCTCCGTCCCTCTTTTCCGCATTGTTTCCCACATCGGATGCCGCACCGTCTTCGATCCAACTAGGCTCCTCGTCGTCATACCAGGCGTCTTCGGCATCTTTCCTAACCATAGAGTCAAATTCATCATTGTTGTCAACAATGCTGTAGTCAAACTCTTCGTCATGGCCATGGACAAACCGGTTCTCGAGGAAGTCGCGCCAGAGCTGTTGGCCATGCTCTCTGTTCGTTGCCGGGTGCGTCCAGGAATTGTCAAGGGTGGCGTCCGTCGTATTTGTCCCGTTGGCCCCCGGCTCACTCGCTCCATTGGATGTGGGTAAACCAGAGACTTTGGATTCCCCTCGCTCCAAAGCCGCTTCCAACGTCCGACCGTAGCCCTTGGCTTTGCCTTCTGCTTCTCGTTCTGCCGGTGTTTGAAACCTCTTCACAAGACGTTCGTACAAGACAGGATCTAGAAGTCAATGAGCATACAGTCACGAGGTGAATAGCCCATCTCAACCTACCAGCGAGCTCGTGTTCAACGCTGTCAAAGTATGTTATGTTTCGTGCGAGATATTCGTGACGACGGTTCTGGGTCTGGATCCGAGCTGCTCGACCTGGCGGATTGGGTTCCCTTGGAATTGGCCGCTCAAGCTCATTGGTGGGTAGGCTGGGAATTTCCGACATGTCGAAATATCTTATGTGTTAATGATATGCCGCGTTTTCCACCTGTGCGAGAAGAGTTTTGTGAGTTTGCATCGTTCCAAATAGTTTCGGACGAAGGCGCCAACTTTGCTGACCGATGCTTTGGCAGCACAGTGCACACGGTATTTACAGCACGGCCCCTCGAGAATGTGACTGAAGCTTCTACCAGGAGCTGCCTACTATGTAGGTAGGCCACCTTTCGCGGTTCAGTCAAACGAACTTTCTGTAACAAGTTTTACCCTAAAATCTTGAGATACTTCATCACATGGCTGGTCGTTAAAAATCGAACACCAACACTTTGTTGACAGGAGATGTACTTTACACGAGCAAGACGGAGAACAAGCGTTGTATGAGAGAGAACAAACACAGAGAAGGCATTTCAGAGTGTATTTGCAACACTACTTTCATATTTCGTCCAATGTGACTCTCAAGACATCGGTGGCTTACCAACAACTTAACCGAGATGATGCCAGATGGGGGATGCAAACACATGTGCTTGCACTCAGCTAGTGTGGTAACCTTGTGGCAATGACCAGGATTTGTAGATCCACGGCAACGATGTCTTGTAATTACTGTGGTTCTGGGGGGGTTGAAGGAACAGGGAAACGTGGTCGATGATGACCACTCTCGGTTGGTCCCATGTTTGGCGGGTTTGTCTCTCCCTGGCATGGTTCTCACCGTTCCGGCACATCCATCTTCCCCACAGGCTTGCTGAGCAATGATTAACGAGGAAGAAATCAGGAGAGCAATCAGAGGTGCAGCGGACCAACTAATGAGAATGGCATGAGATTCCACGCACCATCGAACCGGGCTGGCTCGAATATGGGCACGTGCGGGAGACCGACGGATCGGCCATAGGGCGCCATGGATGCGTGCACGTACGGCGAAGGTTGGTGGGAAAAGGGATATACATGGGCACAATAAGAATCTATTTCCCTGATCGTGCAGGGCCCTGTATAAGGAACGCGGGTTGGACACGGCGAATGCCGTCAAATGCGATACGTCAAAAGAGGGCGGAGAAAGAGGCGGTAGGGAGCCCATCTGGCTGGCTGGAGTCATGAACGGGGGGGCTTGGTATCCGGAATGCCGCAGTATAATCATGTGCCGGTCCACGGTGTGGATATTTGGCGGGTGTTTCTGGGGTTCCTGGCCCCTCGTACTCCATACCGATCAAGGCCGGGACCCGTGAATGGATTGTTAGAACGAGGCAGAATGGTCCGTAGGGCGGCAATGATGATATGACCTTTTCTTTTTTCCCCCTTCGGTGAGGCTTGAATTGCGAGGTCCGTTAGGCCCGGTAGGCCCATCTGGGTAGTCTAGGTAGTCTAGGTAGTCTAGGGTCACCCCTGTCGATGCGACACCTAAAAGAAGTTGGATGGGCGCGATGAGCTGTGCATGCATCTCGCTGGGAGCTGGGAGCTCAGAGCGGCCCCAGGTGCATCTTTGGGCGCGCTGGGCTCCCTCGGCTGTAAAATTACAAGACCAAGCAGCTTGCAGCTCGACTCGCATCAACGGTGACAGCCCGCATGGGGAAATGGGGAGAGAGCATTGACGATGTATGTATCCGTAGGTGCATCTCGGTCTAGCTTACCATCATCCTCCGTCTTGCATCTTGCATCTTGCACCTCTCACCTCTCACCTTTTCTTCCGTACCTCCATCGCCTTGTCCACCATCGTGGCCATCGATACACGCTCTGTTCACTAACGGCTTCGCTGCGTCAGCTCCATCCCTCCCTCCTTAAGCTATCCCAAATCCTGGAGATCCGTCTGTCTCAGCTGCCAATCGTTGAGAGGAGAGCTCCCCTCCCCACCGCCAGCTGTCGCCGCGTCCTAGCTGCTGTTGCCCTCTCGTCGTAGCTCTCTGGTTTGGTTCCTTGAAGCTCGACATCCGATCTTGACAGGACCATCAGCCCCATCGCCAGCTCATCGTCGGGCTCGACCGAGTCCAGGCCCCATGTCGTCCTAATGGGCACCAGCGACCTGGCCTCGCGCCTGAGAGCAAAGTTCTCGAAGCGGCGACACTCGGCAGCGGCATCCCTAGCTTCGTCAATACAGAGCGTCGCAGATACGTCGTCTCTTGGGAGCCGCCATCGCTGGGATTGGCATCGAGGACGCGACCAAAATCACAACCAAGGCCATGACGACAAAGATCGAGATCATTCGCCATCTCGTAGAGCTGCCAGCCAGACGCGGGCGACACCGGGAAGCTCAAGCTTCGACAGCAACCAGCCGGATCTAAACGTCAGCAAGGAATCCACGGATCCTCCGTCTCCTGGCACGCGTCGGCAACACCGCCACGAAGGCGTTGACAACACGACTGGTGTTGGCACTAAGAAGGAGACGGCGCCGATCCGAGCCCTATCGCCGACATCAGAAGCAATGCCCCCCAAGTCAACACCCGTTTCATCCGCAGCCGTTCCCACTGCCACCCAGGCAGTCCCACCCACTCCGGATGTTCTCACAGCGCCTGATACAGCGACGGATGACCCAAAGAGCCCGCTAAAACCGCCTGCCCCCCGGCAGAGCCGCCGTGGCTTTGCCCCTAACGACGACCTGGGCAACGATCTGCACAGTTCCTGGCATGTCCCACCACAAGCTCAACCTCATCTGCATCCCAACTCTCGCCCTTCATCAACTCAATCACCCGAGCTATCCCCCAACTCGACGCCGACGCGACCGCGAACACGCCCATCAAACTCGAACCTCAGTCGCATCCACGAGGACAGCTCTGCCGACTCCTCGTCGTCCCCGCTGCCGCACTCCGACGCCGACGCCGACGTGGATGTTGAGACGGAGGCGCGCGACCATGACGACCCGTTGAGTCCCGGCTTCGCTCCCTCTACCCCATCACCAGCACATGCTGCTATCGCGACGACGACAGTCACGATTCCTTCATCCCCTGGCTTTGCGCCCACGTTAACACTTCCATCCTCCTCGTCATCATCCCCACGGCCGTCCGGCCCGCCCCGCCGCCAAAGTCTTCTTTCCAACCGCCAATCGACCCTGATCAACACTCTCCTCCACAGTCCGCTTCCAGCTGAACCTGGCGCGGAAGCAACGCTGCTACTCCCCATCGACGCCAACATGGTGACCCGCAAGATCTGGGTCAAGCGCCCACATGCTTCCCCCACCCTCGTCACCATCAACGAGGACGACCTAGTCGACGATGTTCGAGATATGATCCTACGCAAGTATGCCAACTCCCTCGGCCGCACTTTCGATTCCCCCGACCTCAACATCCGCATCTTCCCCCGTGACCAGCACAAAGACCGCCTCCTAGGCCCTGAGGAGCCCATGGGTCGCACCTTGGATGCCTACTTCCCCGGTGGCCAAACCGTCGACGAGGCTCTCATCATTGATACCCCCCGCCGAGCCCCCAAGGCCTCTCCCCGCCCGGTTGGGCACGCTGCCAACGTCTACTCTGCCGATGACCCGCGACCATCTGAAGCTGGAGAGGGCTACTTTCCTCCCGTTGAAGTCAGAGCTTCGCCACATCTTCCAGTCGCAGTTCCGGTACATAGTAATTCGCAAGCCCCGCACTCCATCGCGGTCCTCGGCACAGGCCAAATCCCTCCCATCCCATCCCCTGGTGGCAGGGCGTCACGCACCTACCGTGAACGTCCTGAACGCCCCCGGCTCGGTCGAACCCATACGTCGTCGCCCACGATTCTAGCCAACGGCCCAGTTGCCACTGCCACCAACCACGGTACGCAGCACTTCAATCCTAGGCTACCTCATGTTCGAACTCACTCAAATTCCTCAGAAGCCGGGATGCCTCCTCCTCCTCCTCCTCCTACTCTTCCGACCCCTCCCGCACCCGAATCCTCCCAGGTTGCTCAAGTTGCGACACCCCCGGCCAGAATCTCGTCACCTCGACCCGCTGCTAGTCGGATAAAGAAGGTCAAGAGGAACCCCGAGCATCCAAACCTACCACCGGGTATGCTTAACGGTGGTGTTCCCCCAATCAACGTCCTCATAGTCGAAGATAACCCAATCAACTTGAAGCTCCTAGAAGCTTTCGTGAAGAGGCTAAAGGTGCGGTGGCAGAGTGCCATGAATGGGCGGGACGCTGTCAAGAAGTGGAGGACTGGTGGCTTCCACCTGGTGTTGATGGATATTCAGCTACCAATTATGAATGGTCTCGACGCCACGAGGGAGATTCGGAGATTGGAGAGGGTCAACTCTATCGGCGTCTTCTCGTCTACGCCAAGCAGCGGCCTACCCGAGGAGGAGAACCCCGATGAACTAAAGGACCAGGACCGGCTCGATACCCCCTCCTTGTTCAAGAGCCCAGTTATTATCGTGGCCCTGACCGCCAGCTCCCTCCAAAGCGATAGACATGAAGCTCTAGCCGCTGGTTGCAACGACTTCTTAACCAAGGTAAGTACCGAATCAACCTGTTGCCACAACGGATGATGCATGGATAGGGGACTAACGAAATTCTTAGCCCGTTAACTTTGTTTGGCTCGAGCGAAAAGTCATGGAATGGGGTTGCATGCAAGCTTTGATCGATTTCGACGGCTGGCGGAAATGGAAGGTTATTTCTCAGGAGGCAGAGGAAAACGAGGCGGCCAAGAAGGCTGCTAAGGCTGCTGCTGCTGCTGCTGCTAAGAACAAGTCCAAGAAAAACAAGTCATTATCCGTTGCGGCATAATAGCTAACACGTCAACCATTGTTGAGGAACCATCTAGTTCCTCAGTTCGTCAACGGCAAATCTGGGTTCCGACTATCCCATGCATATGCCATTCCGGTTCAGATTCATTATAATCCTCGAGCTGGAAGCGTTCATTTGGCGTTCATCACTTGGGGTCTGGGATGACAACCTCGGTCAATCAGCCCGTCCCTTCACACTTTAATGAATTATCAGAGGAGTATCGGTTGGGTGTTCAGGTTGGGTGTTCGAAGAACACGTACTATCTACAGGTGTAATGAAGCTTAGGATTTATGTATGATGTGGTTCACATGTAGAACTGGTACATGCGGTGGATGACGGCTGGGAAGATGAGGAGTGATGCCGGTGCAGAAGAATACCACCTGGGCATGTTGAATGATCTATCTCAAGCATTTACATAATCGCCTCATAGGAGAATTTTTATCCAAATATCCGGCATATACACAGCCGCGTTTTGCTTTATTTTGCTGCAAGCATTCCATGAACGAAGCTGTCGTGTAATATATTAAAAAATCGGCTTGTCTGAAGCTCAAGTTGTGGGGCCAGAAGCTTGTCGGGATCCGGGTGATTAATTTTCCCGTGCACCGCTGAAAAATTGCGACTACTTGAACAAGCAACAGCTCATCTCCAACCAAGCACCCAACATTTTGACTCGACGTCGCGCTGAGCCAAGCCAATTCCGCTCAATTGGCCCTGGGTTGCATGTAATGCAGCACAAGGTTCGACCGGAGCTGCTTTGATCATGCCCCCCCGAGTGCGCGTCCCGTCGGTGCCGCTGGCTGGCCTCGATGCCGCCAGCTCGCTCTCCAAGACAGCACCGTTTGCCCAAGCGTTTTCGACAACGCCATGCCGCGAAAAGATGAGCAAGAGCCGCCAGCGCATGTACGAGTGGCTCAAGTCTCAGAGCGGCTCCAGCCTGGCCGAGGCACCCAACTCTCCCAACTACTTGGGTCCGTTCCAAGACCAGCCCTTTCCGCTCAACCCGTTGTTCCGCAGCCAGCCTGTCCTGGACAATTCGACACGAGACCTCATCTGGGAAAAGGTGACTGTTCGCGGAGACTCGATCAAGGCTGTTTCGGCCGAGATGGGTGTCGACGTGAGAAGAGTCGCGGCCGTCGTACGGTTGAAGGAGGTGGAAAAGCAGTGGGTAATGGATGTGAGTATTATCCCCCATTGCACCTTGACATTCAATTCCCTTGCTATGATGAGACTATTCAAAAATTTCGATTAGTCTTGAAGACACCTACATGGTTAAAACCTTGTTTATTTATTCTGATTGCAAATCACTCCACTTCACGCTCGTACCTTCGATTTTCGTATCTTGAACAAGCGCTGACAAACTGGATAGGGCAAGAAACTCGCTACCCCTTATGCCAAGGCCGTGATGAAGATGTTGCCCAAGACTTCTTACCGCGAGGGCGAGGTGAATGAGCCTCACGAGCCTGTCAACGAGGTGCAGGTACACAACCTAACGATGCAACAACTGTTCGTCCCAGTGTCGGAATCCCGACATTTTACACGAGAAGACGCTGCTACTGCATTCCACGACAAGGTGCTGTCGGCTGATGTGCGGTCGCCCCAACCGCAGCTCATCACCATGGAGCGGGATATTCTCCAGGGCAGCTCCCCTGCGGAGAGCCTGCAGAAGTTCAAAGAGGCTACTCAGGAAGAAGAAGAAGCGGTGGCCGAGAAGCTCGAAAAGCAACGGCTTTGGGAGCGGAGGCAGACAAGGAGAGTGTTCAAGAAGGGACAGACCCGAGTTCAGTTCCGGTTCAAGGCGATCAATGTCGATGACGCGGGCCGGGACGGACGGTCAAGGAATGGCACTGGCTGGCGGTATGGTGCGCCGTTTGAGGATCGCAAGCGTGGATTGGTCAAGATTCCCACTTCGGTTCCTTGAAATGTATGATTATGTATGTCATGTCTCCCAGTGCGGGAGTTGGGAGTCGGGGGAAGCCGGATCGCTTCACTCGACCAGCGGCGCAACTGTACAATACCAATACCAAAGTCATGTATGAAAGAGATGCAATATTCTAAACATGTACCATCTACTCTACCGCATCAATCTAGTTGGTCGCGTTGGCCACAATCAAGTTCTTACGAAGTTGCTCAATGGCATCCTGTGACACGCCACACTTGGTCAGAACGTATTGCTCTGGGGAGCCGTGCTCGAGACGCATTGCCTGGAGAGCGGCGAGCATGTTCTCGGGTCTATTTCGTTGTTAATGGTCTTACTCAAAGGGATTTGGGCGGGATGGCGGCCTACCTGGCTCCAAGCATGCGGTCCGCGCCTTCAGGGTCGTCCGTCATGGCTGGGTTCTTCATCAAATGGGCCTTGATTTCTTCCTTTCGCTCGGCCAGTCCAACCTCGGTGAGGCTGTACTCCTGGGCGATGGTCTCGTCATCTACTCCGCACAGAGACAGGATGATGGCGCAGACGACACCTGTTCGATCCTTGCCCGCGGTGCAGTGGACGAGGAGCGGGGAGGCATCAGGCGTTGCGAGGTGGTTGAGCACGGTAGCCACGGGTCCAGTGCCGGCCTCCCAGATGGACCGATAGGTGTCAACAAAGCCATCGGTGCCCTTCTGCGAGTACTGTACGAAACGCAGGGCGATAGCCTCGGGGCCATAGTCCTCGTCCTGGAAGACGGGGACGAAAACACGGCTTGCGCCGTCCCACTCCCGGACCCCGGCGGAGTGGCGCTGAATCTCTACGGCAGAGCGGAGGTCATAGACGTGGGAGATGCGCAGGGCCTGCAGCGCGGTGACGCCGGCATCGGTGACGCGAGAGGGTTCGGCGGCGCGGAAGACGACGCCGGGCTTGATGGAGTGGCCGGGCCGGGCGGCGATGGGCGTATTGCCGATATCGCGGAAGTTGGGCAGGCCGGGAATGTGGATGAAAGGGGGGCCGAGGTCCGCCATTGCTACCAAGTTGGAGAGCCGTAAATATGCCGCGTACAATGGGAACAATCCGGTAAAGTTTGCGACCGTCTCAGCTTCGCAAAGGTGGTGTTCGCTGATGGTGCTGCATCAGTATCCCTCCGCCTTTCTCGGATCTGTCCATTCATTGTTCGGAGGGGGAGAGTGGGGATGTCGTCTCCGGACCTCGGCAGACGATCGCATTCGGTGAGTGTGCGACGTAGCATTTTATGGCCGGGTGATATAGATTCCCCGATTAGTCGATTTACGGCGGGCACGGAGAAGGGAAATGGTCCGGCCAGCGACAGGATTCAATCGAGGGAGCTGGGTGGCTGGATTGTGCGGACGAGCCGGATTCTTGACATGTCAGTGGTCAGCCAGTTGGTTGTGCACTGCACATGGACCAACTAACAAGGATGGTCGCTTTTTTCTAGTCACCTCTATATAGACTGAAATGAAAGCAACCATATTTTATAATGTATCATTCTAGGCAAGGAAATCTATGCAATCTGTCTGGTGAAGTGTCCTCCAGTAGGGAGTTCTATTCTATGTCTAAACCGTGATGAAGAAAACAGTATTGGCACAAAGCTACCGGCCACATCTTCCTGCACCCAGTTGGCTGTTCGAGACAAAGCGAAAATGAAACTCAACAAAGGAAACGAGAGAAAGAAGATACAATGTAGAGAAACAATGGTGAGAAGTGAAACCCCTGCATTCTCCTTGATGGTATTGACGGCCCCGGTGTACTAGGGCCCCGAGCGAGCCGTCTAGCTAGCGGCGTATTTGCATTGGTCGCAGCGGTAGTTGTGACAGGTGGGGCACGCGGAGTTCAACTTGGTAGAGAACCAGCCATCGAGGCAGTTGCACTATGACATGTTAGTAAAAGATGGCATTTGGAAAGCCAGGAGCTAGCTTCACTTACGCATTGCCATAACTTGGCACTTCGTGAGTTCAAAAGCTGCACCTCGCGGCGGATGGTGTGGTTCTTGTGGCTGCTCCGGGTCAGTGGTTACTAGGCAAGTGGGGAAGATGGTAGACTGACGAGTGCGAGCCGGCCATGATGATGGAGAGATTCTTGAAGTGTATGAATGTGAATGTGGTGATGGGCTATTTGGTTTGGCTGTTGGTGACAACTGTAATGATATATTTCACTTTCAAAGGGAAGAGAGGGAGTGCCTTTTTATTGTTGGTTACGGGAAGACTCTCTACCACGGCCCTCTGGGCCTTTCAACTACTATCATTCCGCCTTGGACGACTATGGGCAGTGCCCGTTCGGCGTGCGCAGTTTGAAAATAACCTTGAAGGCGATTGACAGACCTCTCAGAGACCGGGCATTCATGCCAACACCAAGTTAGGTGTTGAGCGGGAGTGCCAGGTGGGCGTGGCGTGTGGAGCAGACGAAGCCCCAGCTCGCTAGCTGTAAGGCGGCCAGCGGGGCCAGGAGAGCACAACAGACTGAAGTTTCAACTTCCACCAAGGCTTCCTCACAGTCAGAACTCCGCCACCTGGAATCCCTCCATCTTGGACGGCCGGTCCATTGTTTCAGACTCCCTGGCCGGTCCCTGGGTGTGAGTTGGGGCGGTCAGAACCCGGAGCTGCCTGGCGTTGTAAGACGCGGTAAGACGCAATGGGGGGCAGAGCCCGGGATGAGGCTCGCACGGGCCGACTGCTGCAAAGTTGCCGGTTCTGAAGGCAAAAGACTCCATCAACCACCGAGTCACGGAGTGAGACACGAGGGAAAAAGAGGCACACTGAGGCTGCCAGGCTGCCAGGCTGCCATTGCGGATCCAGATGAGCCACAGTTAAGCCTCAGCTAACGACTTCTTAGCTCACGCCGCGATGATGCCTTTGCTTCACCTTGCGCTCACCGAGCATGTCCAATGACATAGTGGCAACGGCCTCTGCTGCAAAGAAGGTTCACTGAGGGGGCATGGAGCGCGGTTCATGTGAGCAGGGCGCTGCACAGTTTGCCCCTGTGGCCAATCACACGCCACCATTCTGCAGTGGGTCTTTTTTCGGGAATCGAGGAATCAGGGATCAAGGCTCAAGCCATCCAATCTTGAATCACTACGTCATGACTTCACTAGGAACCTCACTAGATTCAGGTCCATTTCAACTCTCGCGCGCGCTCTCAAGTCTCATCAACATATTTGTCGGTGGAAAAGAAGGCCAAGTCACAAATATCTGCAAGGTAAGCATACCCGGTCGTTTCTGCCTGGTTTGTCCGATTTCGGGAGAGTAAACGAGTCATCTCGGTGTTTGTATTTGTCTGACGATGCGGATCGTCGTCATATGAGATGACTCGCCGAGGGCTTTGTTACGCTTCAAGAGGGAGGCTTTTCAACTCAGCCTGGGAGCCCTCCTTGCCGCCCATTCTTTATTGGTATTTTTTCACCGTTGCCTTCTGACCAGGAACCGTGCCGAGCAGAGTAGAACGGAGTATCATCGGCCAAGCTTACCTGCTAACCTGCGTACTCGTCAGATACTCCAACCGCGCAGCGCAACCACACCGCCAATAACCATCGCAACACGAACCCTCCCTCCCCGCTCAACACCCACTCTTCCCATTCGCGTAGCATACACTCTCGTCGCCGAGGCGAAATTTGGCAGCAATGGGAGTCGTTAGCTTCACCGTCAGCTACCTGCTGTTCTCCGCCTTGCACCTGTGCTGCTTCGCCCTTGCCCTCACGACATGTGGTCTCTACGGTGTTGATCTAAACCGAGCACATCAGCACGGCAAGTACGCCGACTCGAAATGGGTCAGTGCCGAAACAATAACTGAATAAAAATGCGTGGTGCGTGTGCTGACGACTGGATGTGCAATAGGTCTACGCCGTAGTCGTAGGTAGCCTGTCGGCTTTCACTTGTGTCCTCTACTTCATCCCCTTCGTCCTGCGAGTGGCTGGGGTAGTGGCCGTAATCTGGGACCTGATTCTCTTCATCCTTTGGATCACTCTTTTCGGCATTTTCGGCAAGGTATGCACTTCTATGCTCGCGAGACGGAAACCTACCTCGGGGATGAATGGATCACTGACTCAACTGACACACCCCTGCAGATGTACATCAATGAGGATGCCGAGGGTGACCATGGCGTCATGCGCATGAAGAACGCAGTGTGGGTTGACCTGACCAGCGCTCTCCTGTGGCTGATCGCCGCATTGGCGTCCGCTGGATACTGGTGGAAGCACCGCGACACGCGCTCGCGCTTCACCGGCCGCGCGCACGTCTAGAGGACAAGAACAGCGTGTTCATTGAGGGTCGGGGCTGCTGCTAAGGCAGCCATGGAAGACACACATGGTGAGCAAGACTTCCCAGGCCTATCGGTCTGGGTACGTCTATGAGGCATGATATCAAGGGAGGTAACCAGTCCTGGAACGAGGGGGTAACCCGCTGGTCGGGTTGTTTTTTTGGTCATACTCTTTTGCTTAGACTGTTTTGGCTTTGTTTGTTCAAATTGCTCCTGTCCATTCGTCGTGGACCCTAATATTCTCCCATGCTGGGCGCGGATGAACGAGCCCTTTGCTAGCCAACCAAGCAACCCAGCACACCCATATACCCATATTTTAGTTGCTTAATCTAGTCATTTGCAGATACTTAGGTCTTGCTTTGTGACCGGGTGGATGGTCTCTTGTGCGACTGTAGCATCTCGGAGTTTACGAATGAGGAGCGAGGTGTGGTCGATCTTGATTGCACTGCACCAGCTGACTCTTTTCATCCGTTACATCTAGGGTTGGGTGTCAAGATGCCCGAGGTTGTCGGACGGACTACCCACACAACGTAACCACAGACGAAAGAAATATTAGTCGCCTAGGGCGCTCCCGGGCCCGAGACAACATCACGAGCAAGGGTGAAGCTAGAGAGGGAGACGGATGCACATCGACGTCGGTATGGGACCACAACGGTCAACGCCAAACCAAAAGGGTCCGACGATCAGCGGCGGGAATGAGACGGAGAAACTAACGGTCTCCTACCGCAAAATGAGGTGGGAAACAAGCGCGAAACCAGGGTCCATTTCTACCCTGACGATGACGATGACGATAAGTCTTTGGGTAAGGATCCAGAAATTCAGAATGCCTCTTATCCCAAAAGCCAGAGAGGGCCCTGGCGCTTATGTGGGCCATGTGGGTTTGGCGCCATAACAATGACGTCGCCGGAAGGGCCCTAATTAATGCCCTGTGGGTTTTCGACTTTGACGCCACGTTCATTCCAGACGTGAAGCGAGAATTGACGCCCAAGACCCAAGCTGAGCTTCTAGTTCATCCGGTTACGCCCTCGAGGTCTGTGCTGATTCACCTGCGGGGCATGAACCCGATCCCGTAGGGCCAGACGAGAGTTACTACGTAGTAGGCTACGAGACGACGTGGACATGGGTGTTTGTTTAGAGGGCGATCGTGGACGGTGGACCCTCTTCTCGCCGCAGCACGGTCGGGAAAAGTCTGTGAGACGAGAGAAATTAGATTCACAGGTTTGCCAGCAAAGCGCTCATCAGTCAGAGAGACGAGACAGCGGGCGGTTTTATGTATGTTCCGTCACGCATGGTAGGGATCCTCGCCTTTGTCAAGGCCGGTGAGGTGTTCGGTCGAGGATCGACGAGACAGGCAGCAGGGAGATGACTGTGCAACGAGAGGTGACAGGGTTGGTACGGGCGATCTTGCTACCCATCACTGTCACCAATTTTACACTCGGCGAAGCAAGTTGGCGTTTGCCGCTGATACACCGTACATTGCCTTGGCTGAGAAGTGTTAGGTGCTAGCTTGGTGCGTGGCACGCAATGAGGCAAACTCGCGCGGAGCCGGAGACTCGACCGGCACTCGGCGGCGTCATTGGGGACTAGCAAGAGCGGGGAGGATCAATCCATCAGCCATGGGTCAGCCGTTGGTAAAGATGGAGAGGCGTGGGAGTCTCGGAGCAAGAATGCGTGCCCGGTTATGAGGGCCAATTTGCGTTGGTAAGCAGTCTGACAGGCATCGACAACGAAAGACAGGCAATCATTTTGCTACGCCGAAAGAACAACGCAAGAGGGACGAAGACAAACTCGGAGACTAAAGAGGTTGCGTTGCACCATTTTACGTCGTATCGTGTTTTACAAGACGAGGCGCCGTACGACCCACCACTTCAATGATGTGCCTGCATGGATGGATGGTTGCGATATCCCCAACGAAACCCAACGAAGTGGCCACTGACCGACGGCTGCGCGAGCGAGCCTCAGATCATTGTTGCAGGGGGGGCGCTGTGAGGGCGGCTACCTCTGCGTGCCTTGGCTCATGACGAAGCTGGGATAACAGTTCAGCTTTCAGCGGGCCCTGGTTCCCTTCCATGGGGCCGCTGCATCCACTAAATTATTAGGTTATCCATGGAACGACCGGGGAATTCTTCAGAGAGGCAAGGATTTAGGTTGTCATCCAAAACATCCGTCGGGTCGGATCATCTCTGGCTGATTAGTCCCCCTCTCAACCCTTCTTGACAACATCCCTGGATCTTGAGCCTTGTCCTTCCTGAACTTCATTCACACTCACGAATACCTTGACTTCTTCGACCTCTCCTCCCTCTCTTCTCGTATCTGCCATTCCACCTCGTCCCACCTCCATCACATTTGGACAGGAACACGCAATCACCCTCCCTCCTCAGCCACGATTCTAGACGTCTCCTTTGCTCTCGGATCTTGGACCGTTTTACAGCTCGCCGCTGCTCGCCGCTACATCCTTCGATCCTCATTCTCCCCTCGCAGAGCTGCCAACAGCAACACGAGGCAGCCGCATCAGTCAAACCAGGTTCAGGAGGCTTCGAAACGCCTGATTCACCCTCCTTCTCCGCTCCCTGCTGTGACTGATTACATCGGTCCAATCTTTGTTAATGCAACGGCGCTGGCGCCTGATAACGCAACACCAAACGTTCTGACCAAACGGGCCACGCAACCTCCCCTCCGAGAATTCGTCTCCAGCTCCACCAAAGACGATAACAATAACTACGACGGCACCATGGCCAACTTCGCCCGCTCTCTCAAGTCGCCGTACCTCTCGCCCCGGCTGCGACCTTCTATGCCCGGCCGAACCGTCTCCAGCTCCTCCGACATGTCCACCAACAGCCCGCTCTCTGAGGACTTTGCCGACGTGGCCAGCTCCGGACGAAACACGCCGACGCTGCCGACCAGACGAGTCCCAGGTCGGGACGGGTTCTGGGATTCAGAAGACGCCGGGTTTCCGGGCGCCCATATTCGAGGTGAGAGAGTTTTTTTCTTTCTGCGCACAGCATTCCATTGTCCTAGTCCTTGTCAGCCATGTTCTGTGACCCCTCCTCTCCTTCTGCTCCTGAGGAATGCTGCGATCCATCAACATCAACTCACATGGCCGCCACGTCCTCGACAGCAAAGCCTCGACAGCAAAGCCTCGACAGCAAAGGCGGTGACAACCTCGTTGGGACGCTGGTCGAGTAGCATCGCATCGACTTCAACAAATGCCACCCCAAGATGCAATGGCACTCCCCAATCCCCCTTCTCCGGAACGCCACATCCACATGCACATCCACGCACCACCCACTCACTGAGACGGAGCATACAGCATGGAGCATGGAGCACGCACCACCCCCTCCAGCCGCTGAGCTGCACATCAGATCAAGGGGCACGCAGGCTAGGAGCCGCCACCAAGCAGCTCACGACAAGTCGACGAGGCCTGTGGGTTCCCACAACCAATAGCACGTCACACTTACGGCGCATGCCGCGGGTGCGGGGTGGGTTCCCATGCTTCCAATGGTCCCTCTAGCGGCTCCCAATTCCCATTCCCATTCCCATTCCCTTCGATCCGTTTCTCGCCGTGTCCCTCCGCGGCCCGTCTCTCCAACTGTCTGCCCGTCACCTGGTCCGGGCTCTGCGGCCATCATTCCATCGTTTTTCCCCACACATCAGTGTCATCAATGGCGGGGTAGCGGCCCCATCTCCCCGGCCCGGCCGTTAGTGACGCCGCCAGTGCCGCTCCCATGTCGCTCTCCCTCTCCTTTATAAGTCTCATACTCCCCACCTCTATCTTGCCCATTCGCCTTCTCAGCATCCAATCTCGCTTTGCCTTATTCCTTCTAGCCAATGCCAATGGCTGACATGTTACCTCTTAGTAGACGACTATGACACTGGTTCTGCTGCATCCTCTCGTCCCGGTACACCACGAAGCCACAGCAATAACGGCAGCCGTCCCATAACAATCGAGCTACCTCAGCACCGACGCTTCAGTGCCGCTCCCACCCGTACTCCTCCAGAGCCCCTGTCGGCAAGAGGAGATCTCCCCGGGTAAGATCATGCGTCTTGTGCTTGTCATCGCGCCGTAACAACCACTAACCTGGAGTCCATCCCACAGAGGCTACTTTCCCCTCCACGAAGACCCCAACTCTCGTGTCCACCGCCCTCATCCGTTCCAAGCCCATCACGACGCCAGGATGGCCAGGCATCAGTCCATGGGCCTTGTCGCCGACCCGAGGGCTGCGTACGCCGATCGCCCGACGTCACACCCCGCCCCGGGTTTGTCCATGGCACAGTCCAACACCCCCGTCGCCTCCTACCTCCCCGCTGGATTCCACGACAGTCCCCTACCGATGGGCAAGTACTACCCCTCCAACTACGAACAGCGAAACGCCAGCCAGACAAGTTTGCGCCAATCATTCTCGGGTTCTCTGGCCTCAAACTCTACCTCCGACTCTGACGGGACTCTTCGTCAACCCGACCGATCCCACATCGCCACCCCCGAATCAGAGATTCAACGCAAATTACAGCAGTATCAGCGGGACATGGTTGCACAGGCCAGCATGGCTGCCAACGAACTCATCGGTAGCTCCACCAGCTCTGAAGCAAAGCTGGGAACCGGCAGGTCCTTCGGCAGCATGCGCATTCGAGAGGCACGCTTCACTGCCCCGGTTCCCCTCAAGCCCATGTCGCCCAAGCTTCTCCCTCTAGGTAGTCCGGGACCGGTGACACCAATGACCCTTGAGTCAGGTGGGTGTTACCTGAGCATCAAGAGAGTGGAGGGTGCACGAGAGGAAAATTGTGGTGCTACAGGAGGTTTATGATTTGTTACTCATGTCTAAACACACTTAACACCTTGACAAAAAGTCCGCACATGGCTTTCGAAACAAGGCGGCCATGCACACGGAGGCCACCTTTGAGCATGTACTTTTGCGTTTCATTTCCGGCGTTGATTGGATTTGGCTTGTGGGCGGCAGCATGATTGTCTCCAGGCTTGGACAGGTTCAGAACATTCGTGTGCATATCGTCGGTAGTGTCACGGACGCAATCACACCTACTTTGAAGACATGATAGATACCCTTAGATACGAAGGCGAAGATTTATGGAAGCATTCTTGATTTGGAGTCTAGACTCTTGGCCACCTTTGATCTAAATAACCGAAATTGCCACCTCGTCTAGAAAGGTGATGCCCACCCGTTTCGAAGAACGAGCAATTACTCTCCCAGGTAATTAGCTTGAGGTCGTCGACTTGCAATAGTTAGCTGGAAAGCTTCCCTGAAACCCATCAAGCTCTCCTCGCCACCAGTCTTGGTCAGTGTCTGTTTTGTGGATGATTCGAATCCTGTCACCTGCCCTGAAGGATAGATCATCCGCTCCTTGCCCTTGAAAGTCGTACAAGGCTTCCACAAACTCGGCCAGTTTCTTGGGCTTCGGTCCCGGTGGTGGGGGTGGGGGCTTTTTCTTAGCTATCGCGGCTTGCCCAAAGTAGTCGCCTTGACGAGAGTGGAGGGATGATGCGCTGGGCTTTCCACGCAAGACCGTTGCTGTTGTAAAATCAGTCGGGACACCCAAGCCACTGGGTGTAGTAGATTGTGATGGGATTCTGTGTGCGGCAGGTGACGGTTCACTGGGGGGGTCTGGACTTCTGGCGGGAGATGGCTGGCGCTGAGATGAGGCTGAAGAAATCCGGCTTAGAGGAGCCTTCATCCTTTGGAAGGACACGGTTCGGCCCCTGTCTGGACGCTCGGCCTCCGCCTTCCTGTTCATCCCCAGGTGCTTTCGAACGGAAGAGAAGCATTCAACTTCTGACACAACGGGCGCAAAGGCGTGCTCCCAATCCGCAACCACGTTGTCCATTGGGGGGGATGGGGATGGGAACCCATGCTCCTGGCAGTACTCGTGAACGACGGTGTAACAGAGACCCAGCAGACGATTTTGGATCAAGATTAAACTAGCGAGCAAGGGTGGGATCAGGCTAGAGACCGCCAACACCAAGGGAGGGAGAGTCTCTCGCAGATGAGAATCTGCGGTCTCGAAAGCCTGACGTGAATGTAAGTAGACGACAAATGTAAGCAACCAAGGCACAAAGCGCCAGTGGCATGAGTGGCATTGGAGGGGTTGCACGAACATCTGACAGGACCGACAATTCTCCCTGCGCTTTCGCTAGCTGGGTCTCCTCCTTGACAGATTTTCCAGGCTTTCTTTGCAACTTTGTTGCTTTGGCCTGGGCGTTCTCAAAGTCGACTCGCATCTTTTCCCGCTTCTTAATGGTCTTTTTGATGGGCTGAATCATGTCCTTTGCGTCGGTGGCGGGCCGGAGCAACAGCGTTTCCATGGCAGTAATCTCGTCTCTCATTTCCTCGTGGAGACCTGAGTAAGCCTGCTTCATGCCGGCCGTGCGCTCCAGCATTGCGCGAGGAGTAGCGGTGTGAATGACACGCCGCTCCTCTTCTTCTTCTTCATCTGCAGCGATAGAAGCATCAATGGGACCATAGAGGTCATGGAAGGCGCCAGCGATGCCAAGTTGGGTGAAGGCCATCTCGTGCCAGGCAGTCTGAAGACTCTTGGCGTCATTGATGATCTGCGGGCTCGTGTCAACGGCGGGCTTCGTCAGCTGACGAGGAAGCTCACCTTGGAAATAGCAATGTCGCCGGCCTCGTAGTCTTTGATCAGGCCCGTGACATTGTGGTCGTCAGCAGGAGCCTTCCCAACGAGCTTCCCGAACCTGGTCTGGACCGACTGCATTGAGTCGGTCGTCTTACTCCGCCAGTTCGACATGGCTGGCTGAGAGATTAGAGGAGAGCCGGCGGAATGGTCCGTATGGAAGGACTACGATCTGCTGATCAAGAGAGAGTGTTGGGTGGTCGTTGGGTCGGCTCAAGGGTCCACTTGTGTGAGAGGAAACGTCGCAAGACCAGGTCCTAGTAGTCGCCGTGCACTGTGTGGCTTGGCCAGCGACACGACAGCGCCAACGCCACGATGATGCGACTGGGTGAATTGTGAGATTGAGCGATCAAAGTGACGACCAGCTCGATGGGATGGATCGAAATGTACAGAGGCGTACTCCGTAGCTTGGGCAGGGGAGAGGATGAGCCAGGTCTACTGAGGTAGCACCGACTCCACTCACGCCAGAGAGAATTACTTCATTGTATGTACTCCGTAGGAAGGTATGTACATATCCGCAGCAGCATGTACATTCGTACCTGCCTTCGTACCTTGCTTACCTTGCTTACCTGTACGTATTTGCTGTACTTCGTATAATGGTGGACTCAGTGGAAAGGGGCAAGTGCTTCGGCAAACGAACTAGTTGATCCAGGCCGGCAATCCTAACCGATGTTGGTGGCTCTTGCAGGTGTTGCCTTGGCAGGATGTACAGAGGATACGCACCTCCCAATCCTTGAGGGGTGGAAGCCAGAAACGAAACACAGCGAGCAATTGGGGGCTGCATGCCAGTAATGGACAACAATTGGTCGGCATGGCTATGGATGCCTAGATATGTTGGTAGGGCCAACAGTGCGACTTGGGACACCGGTGGTTTCATCCATAAGGCTGACTGGGCTGTTGCTCTCCAGGCCTACCAAGGCTCAGGCTGATGTTGACGCCGAGGCATCGCCGTTCATCTTACGCAGTTTTCCAATGTTCAAATTTGAAGAAGCACAGATTGTTGCTTCCATGAGGACTGGTATACGAAACAGACCCCTGTGCCACCCTGGCGGGCTAATGAAGCAGCCACGTCCAAAACTCGGCCTAGATTACGTACCACCACGCACAACAGGTAGTTGTGGTAGCCCCACTCCAACAACGTGAACGACGGCTAGGTACAGGGTAGGTAGCGATGTGGCCGAATAACGGCAACATTGGGAAACTTGGACAAGACTACGATGTAAGTGTATTCCCACATATGTCGCTGTGTGAAACGTTGGAGAAGGGAAAGTGTGATTGAAGGAGCTCGAGTTTCCGTGACAAGCTCTCAGCACCCTCGTAGGCATGGTTGCGTTGCTAACTATATGCGACGCTATAAACAATGACTCGCGGGTGGTCCTCGAACTATACATTGTTAGCATTTAGGAAACGATTATAATATATTTATCGGTATTATATCGGAAATGGTTAGTTTGCCAAAAGTAAATAAGTTACCTTCTCTCACGTCAAGTCAAATGGAGGCAGTTCTTTCGACTACGCAGCTCGTAGCTCCTAAAGGGCAAAGAGTTCACGTGACTTGGCGTCGCGTTCGTTCTCAACGCCGGTCGTCTCATCCCACCTTCAGCTCAACGCGCTCTGTCCCACGTCTCACGGCGCCATCGTCTCCACCAGCACCAGCAGGCATCTTCGCCCATTTGTGACGTCTGAACAGTCTGGCAATCGCCGTGGTTGATTGACAAGTCAACCGCCTCTGGCGGCCACCGCAATGCAGAATAGTTACCCCAGGCCCCTGCCCCAGAAATGGCTGGCCCATCAAGACATGGCACCGCCACAGTGCCGGCGACCGCGACAGTCCTCGACTTCATTTGCCTATTCACTCACGACCTGAAGCGAAAACAGAAACGATGGCAGGATGGCGTTCTCAAGTACCACACCTTCAACAAGCGCATCATGGTCTCCGACGACCGTGGTCACTTCATTGGTGATGCCCACTGGCAGGCAGAAGCTCATCTAGAGACTGGGGACGAATTTGAGCTGGACCGTGGCTCGGCCATTGTCCAGGTATCTGACTGCACTGGCCAGCGGGAACAAGATTTGACAGAGCTACTCGACAAACGAGCTAGGGATGTCGAAAAGCGCCGCGCCAATGCCATTTCTCGGACCCCTAGGTCTAGTACCAGTGCAGTTTCAACACCGGCGCAAGACCAATCTTCCCACTTTCAACTTCGCCATCGTCCACTGGCCTCGCTCGTTGGAGCGTCCCCAAGGATAGGGAGGGCAGCCATTTCCCCTCACTCCCCATATGAGGCACGTCAGTTGGCCCAAAAGGCTGAGCAGCTGGAGCCATCTGACGAACCTCCACCCCCGAAAAGAAGAAAACAAGAACGGTCTCCCCCAAGCAAATCTTACCATGCTCGTAGCTTGTTTGGAGCAGCTTTAACTCTTTCGCCCTTCGTGACGAGCAGCCCTACAGCACAGAGCCAAGTCCTACGAGACAAGACCAATACCAAAACGAAGGCCCCATTGCTAAGTGCGAGGAATCCCCACCAAAAACCACAGACTCCCATCTCCAGTCAACCAGAACCCTCGCTTCAGCAACCTGTCGAGATACAGAGCTCCCCTATATCCCCCATGGCCGAGCCACGCCGTTCTCCGGAAGCCAACAAAAAGCGGTCAAAAGATGTGAGCGATTCGACGGTCAAACCCAAGGAATCGAGCTACTGCCTCCATTCAGATGACAGCAACTTGGACACTTCGGAAAACCCAACTTCTATTCCGATCACTCCAGCTTCCCAGAGCACACTAGCCCCTCTGAGTACTGGGACCAAATTTCAGCCCAAGATGCGCCCTGGCGCTCCACCTCCTCTCCGCGCGACCAAGGAACAAACGAGACGCCATGAATCCATCGTCAGCGGGGACGAACGAGGCAATGGCTCAACATCATCGAACCCAAGTACTGCTCAGAAGCTGAAAGACGCTACGAAACCACTGCCCAATGAGCAGGACCCCGTCCGCTCGATCAACGAGCCAAGAACCGAGCTTCGAATCAGATCAAGACAACGTCGAGGACTGCTTGTGATATCCGAGAAGCATGGTCGAGACCAGAAAGCTGGGAAGCACCTCGGAACTACTGTCGACAAGGGTGTTGAGTCACATTCCAGCCTAGAATCAGGTCATGTCGGACAAGGCAACGGGATGCGGAATGTTGAAGAGCCTACCTGTACAACCGGCCAATCTCGATCGAAAAATGCACCAATCGAGACGAATAAGCGACAAAACGAGGCTGCCACAAACGTCATCGAGGTAGGCTCCCACGGCCTCAAAGATGACACCCCGAATGATAGTGCGCCTCAAGTGATACTGGATTCAAGCCCCGAGGTCGAACTCGAGTCCCCTCAAACTAGCGAAACTCAACAACAGGATGATGCCGCTAGGGATCAAGCTTCGTCACTGACCAAGACAGCCCGCCATTTGCGTGATCGCGGATCCCGAAAGGAAGTTGCACGACATAGCACAAGTGACGAAGAGCCGGTGGCCATAGCACTATCCCCGGTGCGCAACGCCAGTGACCGAATACAAGCTTCTCGAGTCACCAATTCAAGCTCTAGCGGACCTCGCATTACGAAGATGGCTCGAAAAAGCGTAAAGAGTAGGGAAATTATCGGCTTCGTGATCCCAAGCGATGGACCCACTATGACAGCCCACAGAGTTGCGGCTCCGACACTGGTAGCCAGTAACAAAGTTGGGCGCTCGCCGGTTGGAAACATTGGTAGTGAGGCGGAATCCGAGTCACACTTGGATGCGACGCCAAAGCCACCACAAGTCCAATTAGACTGTATCACTGCAGTGGCGCAGTGTGCGTCAACAAGCTCAGATGACAAGTCAACAGCGAAACCTACACCGCGACTTAGCAATCCGGCAACTCGAGGCAAAAAGGCAGCCAAAAGGGAGGATGCGGCTGGGCATTTGCCTCAAACTATGATTCAACTTGATCCCGTTCTATCTACCCGTGTTGGGGCCCCTAAACCACCGCCCTCTGCAAAGTCATCGGGGCTACCCGGCTTTTCCAAGGCGAACGGTGGTGCTTGGAGCAGACATGCTGAGGACCTACTTGGCATGACCAGACCGGCAGACAAGGCGTCTCGACGGTGATTCAGGCTGTGATCCCTTGCTTTGGCAATTGAGCTTTTGACAGATTCTCGAATTTATCTCGACAGTATTGGCCCATATTTTGACTTGGGCTTTTGTCCGGCATTGGGCTTTTAGGCGACGAGCTCCGCCCCCAAAGCAGCGTCCATGTTACCGGTACACGGAGTTTTAGGCTCGACCCCGCTGGAGTAATAAAAAATCACAGAAATGGGTCGCGAACCGCCATATTGACTGACACTGCCGTTGTTGAGGATGAGGCTCCGGCAGCCTTAAGGCACAGCAAAACGCAGCCAAGCATGCTCACGCGCTCCAGCGACGCCTCGAATTGGAATTGGGCCAGGCTGGCTTCGATGCCTAAAACTTATTGCGAAGCCCCCCCGGGCTTCCATTTTCCAATTCTTCTTCCATGTCCTCTTACAAAGTGAGATCCGGGAGTCTCGCCTCCTATCTGCCTCAGGAATATTGTTTCAACACCGACACATCTCTGGATCGTGCACTAGCGCAGATATTGAGTACTTGACGCGCGGCGCATCACACGTTCGAAAATAACGAAACTGTTGGTTGCTGTTCATTCCAACTGCCCATGTTAGTACAAGACGGGACGCAGAAAGCCCTGCCGTACGATCGGGGCAACGGTCGCATTCGGCCCCAAAGAACGCCAGAGCTGCAACGTCTGTATGACCGATGGCGAGATTCGGTGGAATGCCAGACCTTCGAGAGCTTCCTACAGCTCAACCAGGATGAGGCGATGCTGCAAGTACCGTCCATGCGACGCTCTCTATCACAACGAAGCGGCGGGTCTAGTTCATCTATTCATTCAGCTTCGTCGGCACCCGATGATTCGGAATTTGAAGAGCAGGACAAGAAACCTCGACGCCGGGGCCCTCTTACGAAACCGAAGAGGGAGAAGACGGCCTTCATTCGCAGGCTCGGAGCGTGTGTATCCTGCCGAACAAGGAAAGTTGGGGTAGGTCATTTCAGCAATCCATTGGCCAAGTGCGCTCAACTAAACCCCGAATAGTGCACGCATTGGGATCTTACAGAGTTTGAAGAGTGCTATCAGTCGTCAAAGCATGGCGATGAAATACACTTAAATGAAGTCGACGAGCTCAGCCCTCTGCTTCTCGGAGATGATCTTTTGGGCCTGGAGCAACACCACAGCCCACTTGCACTAATACCGCAGTTCCAAATGGGCATGGACCTTGCGGCCCTCCCACCATCATCCCCCATCAGCCCCGTCAGCCCCCTCACCCCTATGGCACCTCCCAGCCCTCTGTTCATGTCTGCAGAGTCCTATATTGGCTGGGGCTTTCCCACGACCGAAGATGAACATTTGGGCAGGTTTCAACTGATGAGGAATGAGCTGCTGATTGCGATTGGGAACCAAGCAGCCACAGCCAGCAACAATGTCGGCTGCTGGCAATGCCAATTTCACCCGAAAGACGATTGGGCCTCACGAGGTTCCGCATCTACTTGTCTAGAGCGATTTGCAACACCAGACGAAATAATCGACCACTTCTCAACGGTCCATCATCCCATTGAGCTGCCCGACCAGCCAATTTGGTACAAGTGTAGACTGTGCGGGCGGGGGAGTAATGACTACCAATACTGTCAACAGTGCGGAACTGTGGATAGTGGAAGCCAGGAACAATGGATACATGGGTACGCTGTGCGTGTCGGCCCCGCGTTGCTGGCCCAGGGCTGTGAATATTATTGAAGACAGGGATTAGTGATGGACAGGCTGGTTATGGAGAATGATCGAGGATCGATCGAGTAGCGTTGTCTTGGCTCCTGGGGGTGATGAAGTTGTGGGGGGACAAGGCTGGGTGCTGAACCTGGAGGGAGACTGGAAGAAGGCTGAGGATGTTCGTGGTGGGTTGCTGGCTGAAGTGAATTTGGATGCCCCCACGTCTATTGCCATTTGCAGAGGAGATGCAGCTCAGGGAGTATCTTGTGTTGGGAGTTGGGAGAGGTTGAAACGGAGTATATGCTGGGCAGCGATGTGGAGACAGGAACACAGGACTTGGCCTAGAATAGACATATTAGACGGTTGGTCGTCTTGAAAATACCTGATGCTGGTTGCCTTGGCGTGTGGGTGTACATCAGTTGGGCAGCTGGGGCGACTTCAAGGTGGGCTATAAGAAGGGCGGCTCCCCCCGGTGGATTGGCTGTGTGGTGACGGCCGCTCAACATCAAGTTGCGTGCACGTGCGCGCTGAGCGCTGAGCCGAGTCCATGAATGGTGGTGTCGGTATCTGGCGCAATCTGACCTTATTCGACAGCGATGAGTACTACGTTACAACGGAATGATCTTCTCCGAACATCCGTTGTGAGGAGGGTTACACGATCTTTGGTCTTTGTACGATTTGCAGTTGAAATGGGTGAAAAAGAGTCGTTCACCCGTTCCCCTCCACTGGCTGAGAGCAGAGAGCAGAGAGCAGAGAGCACAGAGTGAGTGAGTGAGAACCTTGGGATCGAACAACCTTGGACGTGTGGACAAGGACTCCCAAGCCGGTAAAGTTAGTTACGAGACGCGTACCGTAATGGTGCATACACGAAATGTGCTCATCCTTCAGGTCTCGCGTCTTGCGTCTTGCGGCGGACAAAAGGCCGGTCGAACGACCACGCAATGCTGGCAAAAGCTGGGGTACAATGGTATGGTTCGGCCGGTATGGGGGTGGAACTTGGAAGTTGAGTCATCGTCGCAGGAAAAGGAGGGACGGATTGGCCAACCACAAGGCATTTTCCTCGCCGAAGTCAGAGCACCGGCGGGGCAGGCGGTGGAGTGAGACAGCCAATGGGAGCTCTGGATAAGGCAGATCCCAGGAGCGGATGCAGTCGCTATTGGCCAAGGTGGGCCGAGCTGCCTTGTGACGCTATTCCTGATCGAGCACGCCGAAAGACTCAATCTCGTCGACTGCTGCGCCATGTTCCTAGGCCTCCGTTGGCTTCAAGTGAAATACCATCCACCAGCCCTCCAGCGGCCTTAGGCGATTTCCTCTCCTCTCCTCCCCTTCGATACAATTCCTGACGCCATCCCCATATACAACCCCATCGCCAGTGCCCGAGTGTGTGTCTTTTGATCACCACTCCCCCTCCCCCTCTCCTCCCCTCTCTTCCCCCGTCTTCCCCCGCGTCCCACAGTCAGCAGGCGTCCGCCGAAGCTGGCCCATCCACCTTCCGCTTCGACCGCCCGCGTTCCGCGCCCACACCCACCCAGATCCTGGCGCAGCCGTGCCTCTCACCCACACTCGCTTGCTTACACTGCTAGTTGGAGTAAGCAACCCAGAGCAATCAATAAAGAAGTAAACCCCCAATCCAACTCACCGCGACCTCCCGGAAGTCGCAGCCTTGGAGCCGATTCAGTTCTCAGTAGCGGCAAAGGACCCTTCGAAAGAAGATCCTCTCACCCTACGTTCGGCGCTCCGCTTTGCTGTGGTTGACCCTGGATTCCCGACTCCCGCTCTCGTACCGTAACCGCATCCCGGAACAACTGCCAATCATGTCTTCCCGAACCACCTCGTCTACTCTCCCCCAGGGCTTCTCTGTCTACCAGCCTGCTCTCGGTGCCCAGCTCCAGTTCTTGCCTGCCGTCGGAACCCCTGAGTTGGACGAGCTGCTCAACACTTACATCCCCGGCCCCGCCTCGGCCCAGGAGAAGCGAGCCTCGGTGTCGCTCGACTTCCTGGAGTATTCTCACCTGACCGGCCAGAGCTTCAAGTTCTACGCTGTCTACTCCATGGCCACCCCCGTTGAGTCTCCCGCTACCGTTAGCCCTGTCATGTCCACGTGGGATTGGAGTCAGGCCTCCACCTCATCGCGTTCTCCTACGTCCCAACAAGCCCGCACATCCCCTAAGTCTGGTTCTTCGCGTCATCAGGCCGACTTCTCCCATATCCCCGGGATGAAGATCATGACCAAAGATGGTCTGGACGTCACCAACTCGGCTTCTCGAGGATCTAAAACCAAGGAGCAGCGTGACCACGCCCACTTGATGCGCATTATCAAGGCTTGCGATAGCTGCAAACGGAAGAAGATCCGCTGCGACCCCAGCCACAAGAAGCGTGGCGTGTCTCAGGCTTCTCAGTCTCAGCCCGCGGCAAGGGCCACCAAGAAGGTCAGGACCGTTGCACAAGAAGCACGGGTTGCTGCTCCTGCAATAGTTCCTCAAACGGACTTCTCTGTCTCGGATTCTTCATTCGCAATTGACCAGTCTTTCGCTCAGGTGGACCTGGAGATGCTGACTCCTGCGTTACCTGCGCTCGAGCCTTGGGAAGAGTTTGTCCAGTATCCTACTGCTGAACTCTCGGCCGACTACGACTTCTTCTACGATCCTGAGGGCTACCTCTCCCCCGAGTCTTCCTCTTCTCTGTCGGCATTCTCCACCAAACCAGTCACTCCCAACTCGCAACAAGACCTGTCGGGTTACTCCAACCAGTCTACTGGCGAGGCTTCTATGCCATCGCCACAACTCCCATTCAACCAGACCGACTCCATTCACGACTATGTCGACTTTAACCTCTTCTCTCCTCAGTCATGCTTCTCAGAAGATGATCACATGGTCCCGATAGAGATGTCAAGACAAGTCGCCAGCCAGTCACAATCACTCCAATCCAGCCTGCTCCAATCAGATCAATCCCCTGGAGGGTCGGGCGGTGATGGTGGTCTGATTGGCAACGTCTCGGATGCCGCATCCTCCTATCTATCTGGTGATGAGGAGAGGACCCGACATGACCCGTATCGCGATCCTGGACTTGATGCACAGCAGGACTACAGTCCGTCGTCCTCCAGCCTCAGCTATGATGTCTTCAGTTACCCTATGAGCTGGATTGAGGAGCCGACGTCCATGTCGACCAACAGCTTGGACATTTGTCAATCTGATGGAGACAACGTACGTTCATTTTCGACGGTCTTGATGATTGAGCACCGACTAACTTCGCAAAAGGTGATTGTCTGCAACACAGACGTTGACTCAGCAGCATCAATCGTTGAACGCGTACGTTTGGCATCCTCATTTATCATCTGGCGGCGACTAACTTTGTGGAAGGTCTCAACATTGGCAGCCCTTCGTCAACCTAGCGGACTTGATGATTCGACAACCGCGACAACTGTGACTCATGATGGCCTCAACACATTGGTCGATCGCGTATGCTTCCATGGCCTCGTTTTGATGGAATCATTGCTGACTCCCCGCCAGGTTGTACCCAACAATGTCGCGCATTCCTTACGAGCTGTTACTCGTGGTGGATCTGAATCCCCAGTTGATACCACCGGTATACACTCCACGGTTGAACTAACCGCGATTGCGAACTTGGCTTCTGTTGCTCCTGCCACTACGTCGGCCATCGGCCGAACAGTTGTTGCCAATGACTCCGAGTCTTCAGATGGCCTGCAGGTAACAACAAGTGGCTCATCACTCACTGAGTCACGCCCTGTCAACGCTGGCACTGTCAGCTCCGGTATGGAGCCGTCGTCAATTAGTCGTGGTATAATTGCAGCGGCAACGATGACTGCCAACTCTGGCGCGCGACAGTCGCCAGTTAGTCGTCGTACAGTTGGAGGTGCAGCAATCATTGCGAACTCCGGCCTGCAGCACTCATCAGTCGAGTGTAGCACAGTCGCATATGCAACCGTGGATGCGAACTCCGATGTATCGGCACAGTCTCTGTCTGAACATCACAGCATCGCAGCTACCAACACCGCCGACATGGCGAACACTCAACCGCTGACGTACACTTCTCGTGTTGATCAAGGCGTGAGTGGCGTGTTGTCGCAAGCGTCGCCTGACCAAGCTCAGTCGTTATCATCGGTCGATGTACCTCGTGTTGAGGCACAAGCCCAGACTTACTATGCACCTTTCACATCAGCGGTCGGTGGAGGTATCTCCTTGATGCCGCTGATGACCAGTGCCCTAGTGGTCCTGGCATCTGGCTCAGCCAAGTCATCGGCTGAGCAATACCTGACAACAATGATGTCAGTCGTGCTCTTGCTTTTCGCAATTGCTGGCTGGTTCCATCAGTCCCACCCGTCACGTAGGAACTCCTATGGACAACCGTCAAGTTCTCTGTCTGGAAAGACAAAGCTCAGTGGGATTGCCACTGGCTTTGCTGCAACCGTTCGGGACAGACTCGAGGCTCTCCAGAGCCAAGCATCAAACGGCAAGATGTCAGTCAGCCGTGTGGTATCACGAAGCGGATGCTTGATTGCGGTGTAGAACCTGGAGATCTCATCGCGCCGCAAGCAGATAGCGGAGGTGGATAAGGAGCACGAGGCTCAAGATACCCCATGGTCCTCGGGGACGAGACCAAAGACTCTTTTCTTGTTTTGTAGTGTACAGTAGCATTTGGTAGACCGTGTCAACAACGCCGGTCTGGACAGGAGGGGTAGAACCCATAGAGCAAGCATCGAATCTTAGAGCAATTGACTGGCCTTTAACGGCCGTGTACAATTATTACATCTGGATGTATCATTCCCACTGTGATTCTTGTCATGAAGACTTTTACCACCACTCCTGACAAGTGAATTCCCTGCGATTCTGCGAGACTGGTGAAGGAGGACATTTGGGTGCCCTTTTCGCGACGTCATGTGACTTTGGCAGTGGGACAATAAAGGCAAATAGTGGGGTACGGGCCTTGGCGCAAATGGCTCCAGGATCGTAGGCGACCAAACTTTTACGCCTCCAGTAGGACAAGGGTCATCTTTTGACTGTGAATGTGTTGGAGGGCCATTGATCAAGCCAGCAACCCTTGTCTCGATTCCAGACATTTGGACCCGCGATAACGCTCAGATACCGGCGTGCTATTTGATGCGTTTCTTTTGTACGCCTCAGTGAAGCCAGCAAGTCGGGGCACTTTGTTGTGTTTGCTCACTCACATCCTGTGACGCAAGACTGTTGGCTGGGCTCAATCAGTCAACATCCCCCAGGCATTCGGGCAGCTCTTCTCTGAACGGAAGTTTGATTGGAGGCGTTGGATAGGAACCCTTCTTGCCGGGCTACGCCCAGTGTTCGTCGATCCACGTGTGCGTGTGTGAAGGACCATCCTCCAAGTCTTGACTGCGAATGTCGGCGACGTTTGATGACTCACTAGCCACGTCTTACTTATTAAACACGGGCGTTCGTTCACTAAGTTGAGTTAATTGGCCTAGCTGTAGTGATTGCAACGAGACCAAAGGGTCTGGGAGACACGGTGACCAAGTACCCGGAGGGGCAGGCAGGCGGACAACAAGGTACGGGGAGCAAGGAGTGAAGAAAGACGCCATCACGTTATTATCTCAAGGGAAATCAGGTGACGTACAAGAAAGCAACCTGCCTTTGGGGTCCGGGTCAAGCGACAGAAGCCCACCTGGTGGCAGGCGGTTGGTAGTTGGCAGTTGGCAGGTGGCAGTTGGCAGTTCGCAGTTCGCAGTTTGCAGCTGGCAGTTGAGGCGGGCAAGAGCAATCGCGGGCCAGTCACAGTCATGGGAATCCTAAAGAAGGCAAGCTCGGCCACATCAAGAGCCCTCCGCCGGCTCTTTGGCCATGCGCCGCCAGCTGGTGACAGCGATACGGCAGCTGGCAGCACTGCCAGCCTCAGTGCTAGCCAAAACACAAACCACCACGACCCCAAACAAGGGCATGACAACGCCAACAACACCGACACCGACAACACCAACAATACCGACAAGAGCAATCAAGAGCACAAGCACAAACCCGACACTCGGCAGAATACCTCTTTCCCCACTCCTTTATATTCCGGCGTGAGGAAGACATCAACCGAGCTTGACACCAAATCCGCAACCACCACGAGTGAGGCCGAGATAGAGGCCAAAACCGATCCCATGGCGCCCAATTCACAGCAGCTGGTCAAAGGACACCATGTCGGCAAAGAGAATATCCCGCCGGCTCCAGAAACGCTCACCGATGTGCTCGGCCGCTTGAGTCTCGATGGAGGTGATTCCGTCCCAGTGGTGAAGACCATCGTGCCCCCAGCGCCGAGCCTCCTGAACCCTTCCGTGATAGCTGAACGAGCTATGCACATGCGCTTTACCGAGGAGGCACTCGATATGGTGAGTGCGATCAAGTGAAAACATCGCCTTTGCTCGTGGCATCGCTAACCACGACTTCAACAGGCACGCCTTGCACTCAGAACCAATGAGACTCCAGTCGGTTGTGTCATTGTACACAATGGAAAGGTCATTGCTAGAGGCATGAATGCTACCAACGTCACTCGAAATGGAACCCGCCATGCCGAGTTCATGGCTATTTCAGCTCTTCTCTCCTTGCCCGGCAAGACTGGCCCCAGGACCACTTGTCTCAAACCAAAAGTGGAAAGCCCTACTTCCCTCGAGACTTCGGATGCCTCATCGAACGATTCACAGGCCCCGGATGAGGGCAACGAAGATGGTAGCAAGGGACACCTCTATCCATATGGCCAAAAGTGGCATCCGGACCCGCGAGTTGATCGTTCCATCATCCGAGAAAGCATCCTCTACGTCACTGTCGAACCCTGCGTTATGTGTGCTTCGCTCCTTCGACAACTTGGTATCAAGAAAGTCTATTTTGGTGCCGTAAATGACAAATTCGGCGGGACTGGCGGTGTCTTCAGCATCCATGCAAACTCTTTGCCCGTTAGGGATGACGGGCAGACCGCAAGCGCCCACCCTACCCCGAGGCCTAGTCAACTTCCTGATGGAAGTGGCACGTTGGGAGTATCGTTTCCTCCTGGCGGCGGAGATGGTGGAAATATTGAGGCTGGATACGAGATCGAAGGCGGCTGGGGTCGCGATGAGGCAGTGGCTTTGCTGCGGCGATTCTACGTGCAAGAAAACGGACGAGGTATGTTTCCGATGCTTAGTCTCCCCAAACCTACTGGATATCATCACTAACTCGATTCAGCTCCGGTTCCACGCAAGAAAGAAGGTCGCGCCGCACGCTTGGCTGCCATGATGGAGAAGGACGGCGACGGTTTGCCGGAGGATGCTATGAACGACTCCGCGCAGGATGCTGAGCAAGGTGACTTGATCCCACTCGCAGATGTGTTGAAAGATCAAGTAAACATTGCCAACGGACGAGTATAAGCTCACCTGGGCTCCCCGCACATCAAGATGCGACAGAGCCTAAAAACGTGAAGGACAACTGAGAGAACAGACCATGCTCATCCCTTGGCGTCCTTTTTTTCCAAGACGAGCCCCGGCTTTCTGAGATCAAGCATGCGCTCTCGTCGATTTGCTAGGCGTGGAGACTTGCTGACTGGCTGTTGCATCGTTGTTTGGGTACATATGTAAAGAGTAAATGAAATCAGTCCAAGGTTTGCCGGGTCATTCACAAGGTCCTGGGTTATTCGACACGCAGGGAGGTCCTCATGTGGGCCAGTATGACAAACTGCACAGGATTATTATCTAGGAACTGTTTTGCCCGTCTCCTGACTACTGCCCCTTGCCTAGCCTGCTGGGTTGAGATGGGCTATATCGGGATTGTACCATAAATATCAACATCTGAGCATCGCATGTGTGGCGATGCAAGATTCGCAGCTATGGATAAATGTATATCTTCTCGAAACCCACATGATGTGTTACTAAACAGACATAAGCTATTGCGAAAGATTGCTTTGTTGAGCGAGATGGGATTCAACATAGATCGTTTGCTGTTGGTGGTTGTGTCGCTGAGGTGATATTGCTGCCTAGGGCCAACAATCATACAACACTGACTCACAAGATAAAATTAAGGCTTCGGGTATCGCACGCTGCGGACAAAAACGCAGCCAAGTTGCCCATGACTCCAACCCAGGATGCAAGGGTTGCTAGACCAGCTCTAATAAGAGTTGCACATGGTCCGTTTGCTGGTATCTTGCCACCAAGTCCTCTTCGACATAAACAATGCCCCCATGCTCAAGGCCATCAAACCAACGGCCATCGACTATGCAACGAAGAGAGGACATCCATCATAGCCCTCATGCGCGGCGGAGAGCCCATGGCCTCGGATGTCAACTAAGCATTCCCGCCAGCCGTGTTCATCCATGTGGCATCCGGCAGCCCAAGCGATATCAAACTTCATCATGTGCATCAGAGGATCTTTCAGTGAAACCTTGGCTTTATTTCAATTGTTTGGAATTTGAATTTGCATAGTTGAGACTTTGTCCCAGGCATTGTTCCACAGGACGATAATTGTTCCACATCTCACAGCATATACCTCCAAGTCAATGCCTTGTCTCCCTTGGCAGACAGCTCCTGGGCCGTATATCGGCTGACCTCACCCTCGCCGGCCCTGATTTCTCGCTTCTTGTTGATTTGAGTGTACCCAAGGACTAAGATGAGCGCGGCAACGATACCAGCGCAGATAAATCCGAGTTCGAGCCCGTGCCCAAGAATAAATCGAGGCCCATCGGCCTGTCGATAAAAATTTGATGCCATAGCCTGCGAGATTTATTAGAAGGGTATATGGTCTCGAGGAATCATTGGTACTCACACCACCCAAGTTTCCCATTCCAATCTGCAGGGCCATACCCGTGCCTCGCTTATAGCTGCCTGCTAAGTTGTTGGCAAGCCATGTGATGACACCAGGGAATGCTGGGTAGATGGCACAAGCTGCGATAAAGACGCCACCATAGACCACCTTGGGATTGCTGGACGTGATGCACCTGTATGGAACACGACTGGTGAGCTCTGTTCAAAACATTTGTGTTTTTCCAAACAGGGATTAGACGACTCACATTGTGAAACCAACAATCATGACGCAGAGGAACGAAATAATGAAGGGACTTCGCTTTCCGACGCGATCCGAGATGTACGCAACGACAACGGCGAGGATGGCAGCCGTAATGTAAATAGGAACCGTCATGAGCTGGGATGTGCTAGACGTGTGTCCGAGACTGCGAATGATCGTCGGGAGGAATAGACTGATGCCATACAGAGGGCATACAATCTAAATACCTCGTTAGTATCTACCAATGACCTCACAAAAGCGAAGGAAAAATGGACGAAAGTATGACTTACACCCCAGTAGACGAAGATGTTGACCCAAATCTGCCAGTCCTTGAATGCGCTCCAGACATACTCCCACTTGAACTCATCGGCTTCAGCAACTTGGATTTGATCACGGCCGGGGCCATGAGCTTGGCCCTGGTACTTGAGGCGAAAGACAACAAATGCCCTCTCATCATCGGTGAGGAAGCTGGCCGTCTCAGGAAAGTCATATAGGACGAAGAAAGCCAAAATGGCGACCAAGACGGTAACTATTCCTTCGAGAATAAAGATCCAGCGCCAGCCTTCAAGTCCGCCCACCCCGTCCATCTTGGCGATTCCGAAAGCGAGGAGGCCGCTGAAAGCGCCGGCAATCGAAGCCGCTGAGAAGAACAATGCCTGGCGGAATTGGATTTCATGACGGCAGTACCACATCGTCAGGTAGTACTGGGAGTCAAGGTCAGCACGGGGAATTACTAATTTGGATAGAAGGAGAAATTTACCGCCACTCCGGGGAAGAGACCCGCTTCTGTGACGCCTAGAAAAATGCGGGCGACGAGGAGGCCATGATAGCTTCGTACGATACCCATCAGAGTCATCACCGTGCCCCATGCGACCATGATGGTAGGAAGCCAGACACTAGGGCGGAGCCTCTTAAGAAGCAGGTTGGAGGGAACTTCGAAAGCTGCGTAGGTGAAGAAGAAAACGGTCAGGCACCAGTTGTACTGGTCGGGTTCCATCTTGAGATCTTCTTGGAGACCTTCAATCTTTGCGTTGCCGATGTTGCCTCCTAGGTTGAGAAAGCTGCGTTAGTAATTCTTCAGACATAAGGGGATGTCTTGGGTCAACTTACGGTCCAGGAAGGAGAGGAGGTATAGGAGCGCAAGCATAGGGATCAAGCGAATGTCCATCTACACGGAGAAATTAGCAAAATGTTCGTCTTCTCCAGCTCTATTGCGGATGGAAGCCAACCTTGCGAAGAATCTTCTTCTCGTCCAGGTGGGCAAAAGACTCCAGGGTTGTTCCTGACGTCTTTCCACTTCGATCAGAGGCATGGCCCATTTCGGCCTCGACCACGTCGGCCTTCTCGACCGGAGGTGCGTAGGACGACATGTTGAAACGCCGTAATGAGGGGCGAGTATGTATGGGGCTGTATTTCTCAGGGAGAGGGTGGGAAAGACAAATCCTGTAAGAGACTGCGAGATGAGAAGAAAAAAAAAAGCCGAGACGGAGGCAAAGATCAGAATGGACCCTCAGGCTTGCTTGTTCACTTCGTCTCTGGTAAACAAAATGCATGGAGGATCAGGGGTTTAAATATGCCTTTCCCATCATGTCTTTTGGCGGGGTGAAGGCCAAAGGTCCACCTCGGTCTAAGCTTCGTCGGCCGCCATGGTACTATACAAGAGGCTTGATGGAACGGAGGGTCCACCAGGATGCAGCTGGGCAAATCAGCATGGAAAGGCTGGAGTGGGAGCATAGTTCGAGGGCGAGAAAATCTGGGGAAACGGTAACATGGCGGCTTTTCCCCCGCACTTTGTTTGGGCGCTTATCTTGAACAAGGAACTGTCTGTCATGGGGGGGGGGCAAGATTTCGACAGGGGCGGCTGACGGATCCGAAAATGACGTTCCAGGAACTATCTAGAGACCCAAATGATGCGTGGAAGCGGTGGAGAAGCTAGATGGCGCGCTGATGGGAATAAAGAATGACGGCGTGGCTGAGAAAAAAGCGTTTGGTTTAGTGTGTAAAGAAGGTGGTGTAGGATGATTGTACACTGCGTCATGAGTTAATGTGTGGCTGAAGTTGTCGGATCCGATGAACCCTGCTGATGGGCAAAGGCGCGATTGGCCGGGGCTGTTGAATGGAACTCGAGACTGGACACTGACAGGAGAGAGAGAGAGAGAGAGGGGGGTGTGTGTGTGTGTGGTGTCGGATCCGATATTGGTTGCTGGACCTTGGTTACATTGAGCAACCTCGTAGTGTTGCCATTTTAGCTGCGGCATGTTTCCGACACTCGAAAATGAAGGCGGAAACAAACCGGCTGAGATTGCCACACGGGACTCCCCAGCGCCCGCTACCTGGAGACCAACATGGTAATTAATAGGCCAGAATGATGCTCGCCAGCTAGTCGCACCGGGGATCTACAGTACTACCCCAGGTCAATAATGATCGGCGCCGGATCCCTAATTACCCCGCACCTTAGCTTCCAAGTTCCGGGGTTTGTCTGTCTGTTCAGCTACTGGCAGATGCAAAAGGGGAAAGGGAAGAGGGAAAAACGGTTCCGAGCTGGATCCCAACATATTTCCTGCAAAACCACAACATCCACATATCCACCACCACCACCACGTCGCCCGGATCCGATCCATTGACTCCAATTGCATCTGGCCAGTCTGGCCGATTGGTCCTCTTCCACCATCATGCCGGAGCCCCTCGTAGCCCGCCGCACCCAGTTCTCCAGCTGTGACGAGTGCCGCAGATCGCGCGTTGCCTGCGATGCCCACAGCCGCCGCAACACAGTCGGTGATCCATCTGCTCCCTGCACTCGCTGCCTCAACCGGAGCCGATCATGTACGTTTAATGTATGTTTAATAATTCCACCCCTCAATCGCCCATAGATACCACGTTGGGCTGACTCCGATGCTGCTTCCCGGTGCTTGATACAGTGGATCCAGGGTGCCAAAACAGCCGCCTTGAATACAGAATCTCCCCCAAAGCGAAGGGGCCGCCGCCGCCGATTGAGAGCATCTCATTCATCCAATGATTCAATAGCAGCTCCATTGATTATCGCTCCAGAAGACACGCCAACGAGACGTAGAGCAGCCATAGACCTACACAGCGCCAGCAATAGCCCCCCGCCCGCCGATCTCTGGCATAACTTGGCCGAGTCTGTACCATCTACGCGGCCTACGTCTTTCCCATTCGAGGCTCCACCGCTTCCTCATCCCAGCTTTGCAGATTTCACATCGGATATCATAAGCGACCTCGATTCAAAATGGCTTCAAGATCTCTATAGAGAAGGGTTCGAGGCCGTTTTCGGCTCCTGGATGGGGAGATACAGTTGCCCTTTCTTGTATGTGCACCGCCTAAACGTTGTATATGCCTCAAATCAGCGCGCTGAATGCTCATCATGGACATCTCTAGATTCGAGCCAGATGGTCTTGTCGAAAAGTATGTGAGTATATCCGACCTGTGCTGCCACCTCGACCGGTGTATGGCAGATGCCGCAACTGGTGGCCAAGACCGAGCTCAAGCTCGAGATGCTACCAGCCTACAAGAAAGTGAAAGAGATGGCCTTATCGAACAGTCTCTCCGCAATACCATTACTGCCTTTTCAGCGAGATGGTTGCCCATCGCCTCCTCTCCGGTTCCCTTCCACGACCTCTCTCTTGACCTCGACAACTGCCGTGCAGTCCAGGTCCTCTGGCGAGATGCTCGGAGGGACATGCTCAGAATCATAAATCGGCCGTCATACCGATCGATGCTGTCCCTCTTTCTCTTTGCCCTAACTCCAATTCCCGTCGGCATCTCCGAGGATGAAGAGGCCGATGGAATCTCGGGGCAAGCCTGTGTCCATGCGGCCCTACAACAAATCCAGACACTTCGGGCCAGGCAACGGAATTTGCAATTCAGCGGCTCCAAAGTATCTCCATCCCAAAAGCCACCGCAGGCCATATACAGCACCCCGGAGTCAGCCGACCCTTCCGGTTTCATCAATGCGGAAAGCATAGCCTACTGGGCAGCTCTCACATTCGACACATCAGCGTCCTTGACACTCAACTGCAGACCGCTGCTCTCGTCGGGTCTTTTCGGCTTCGAGTATGAAATGCACTGGCGCCTGGTCAGAACCTGCTCTAAAATGTTTGACGAGGCTGCCAAGCATTGGCGCCAGGGGAGCTCCGAAATGTCAGACGAAAGGGCAAACCAGATTATCGCTGCCGCTGCTTCGTGGAAGTTGCTGGGCTGGAAACTGGCTGCCATCTTTAAAGAGGCTATCCGGGATGGCCATGATGAGGCCGAGGTTCAGAAGGCACTCACAGCTGTTATCGATTCCATCAAGCAATTCAACATCACTTTCCGTCCACATCTCGAGGAGTGCCACAAACGGATCCAGTTCCTCGGCCAACGAACCAAACTCCGCTGGTGTAAGTGGTGTTCTCCGGTTTATTTATCGGCTCATAAGCTAATTTTCTGCCAGTTTCCCTCATGTTTCACTACCATCTCAGCATCCTAATGCTCCTCGATATCATCGAGGTCACAGATCGCCCCGACTTGCTGGTAGACCTCAAGGACGCCAGTACCGAGGCAGAGAACACAGTCATGAATGCTTTGGCATTTGGCCTACATAACACCATGGTCTTGAGGCGGGTTTCCCATTGCAACTCCGGAAATTCTTCTTCTAGAGTCGGGATAACAAACGACGTAGCCCTAACCGTCCCGCTCATATCCATTGACCCTTATCCACACCATGTTGTTGCCGGGGTGCAGCTGATGCGCAAGGCTATTGATAGGGACCTGGCCAGTGGGAAAATCGCTAAGGAATCTTATAACAGCTTATTTTTGACCTTAGAGCGCACCCTTGGGCTCCTCCCGCAGAGCTCCAAGTCTGTTCAAGCGGCAAGAGCCAAATTTTCCACCTCCATACCAGACGAGATAATTAGAGAGGGCCAGAACCATAATGTTGTATGGTATTATGGCGCAGCTGAATGAGGATGTGCCGCAAGAAGTTCAAAGAGAAAGAGCCGACGAAACAAATATCAGGCCGTCAACGTGATAGGGCTAGCATTCTTAATATTAACACAAAATGAAGAACGAGATTCTGTTACTCATAGGTCTCAGCCTCCATGATGAAAACGAAGGTATTGGTCATACACGGCTCTACCCTAGAATTTATCAAGAAATGGAAGACGGCTGCAGCCACCGACGACGCCAAGTGCGAGATTGCTGATCAAGGCTTAAACAAGACCATCGGATCCGATAGCGTCCAAATCCTGGTGGAGAAATTGCCACACTCACTAAGTGCTACCTGGTGGCACCGCGAGCGACTCAAGTGGAGTCTGGTGGAACACAAAGAATCGGATCCGAGTTTCACCTCCCTATATTATGATCAAGTATGCGCAATGTATGGTTCTATGTCATTTTCTACTTCGAGCATAATTTTATTCTTGTGTCAATAACGCAAAGATATTCTTTAAAAACCTCACTATCTTCGACTATCACTCGGTTCGCAACATGAACCTCTCAGTCGCTACAAAGACTTCCGTCGCCCTCATCGGAGCAGGTACCCAGGGCAGGCGTTTGGCATTCATGGTATGGTTTTCATAGTGCTCCCGTAACCTCTTGTTGAACACGGGATCTCAATAGACAATGCTAACGTTTCTCTAACTAGTGGTCCAGTCAGGGGAGCGATGTTCACTTGGTTGATGCCCAACCCAGTCAGCTGCAAGCCAGCATCAAAGCTATCGACGACTTTCGCTCCGCGGCATCACAAAAAGGTGATGTTAGGTGGGGCCAAATTATGACACACTCGCCCGAAACTCTAGGTGCAGCACTTCAGAATGCATGGCTCGTTATAGAGGTATGAGAGTGCCGGGATGAATTCTAGCATCATCACTGACGTTGCGCCGTAAAGTGCGTACCCGAGCAGCTGCCCTTGAAGAGACGTATCATCTCCGAACTCGATGCGCTTGCAGCAGATGATACCATTATAGCCTCCAACTCAAGCAGCTACTCCTGCTCGGAAATATTGGACGGGTTAGCTTTGAAAAACAACCGACGCATCCTCAGTGCCCATTCTTGTAAGTCTCCACGTCATCAATCCACCGCTGCCCAGCCGAGATGTATTCTAGAGACTAACTGCGAAATATCTAGACTGGCCTCCTGAAACTTGTGGTATGCCCGCCCTGTCTGATGGTTGAGACCTTCCCCTGATGAGAAGTACGCTAGAGATTGAAATCATGGGCCATGAGATGACAGAGCCGTCCTATGTTGCATTAATGATGAGGCGGTGTGAAGCACACGGGTTTTCTCCCTTTCACGTCAAGACGCAATCCATGGGGTACATATATAATAGGTTCGTGACAGCTTGCTAAGCCTCTGCCCTAAGAAACTAGACTAACAGGCCTTGCTCGTATAGGATCTGGGCAGCAATCAAAAGAGAGGCTCTGCTTGCTGCAGCCGAGGGAGCCGCATCTCCTGAAGAGATTGACGCTATTTTCAAAGGAGTGCTCAAGACACCCAAAGGCCCATTCGAGCTGATGGACGTTGTAGGTCTTGATGTTGTATTAGACATTGAGAATCATTATGCCACGGCTCGTGGGGATATCCCGCATGAACCAAGACTGTACTTGGAGCAATACCTCTCAAAGGGGTATTTAGGTATCAAGAGTGGTCGTGGCTTTTTTAACTACAAATTAGGCGAAGCAGCTCTGGTTTAAGAAGAAAATAGGTATATATCCTTTCAATAACCAAGTTCTTACTTTGACCATTCATTGCAATGAGACCTCGGGTTATACCGAACTCCAAGGCCCCTGTTGTTTGCTCTGTTGTGGGGCGCAAATAAATGGATAGAGAGCATGTCCTAGGCAAACGGAAACTAAAAGGCCCCTCGAAACGCCGTGGTGAGAATAGCAAACTTGCATGAAATCAGATAGCGGGCCAGGGACCTTTCCCTTCTTAGCGTTCGTCCCCACCTATTACCAAGCAGGAATCGTTTAATTCAAGGACTACTTACGGCCTAACTATCCTGTCCAGAATCAGTCACGCTTTACAGACGACACTCGGAGAATATCTCTTTAAGGGAGTGATGAGAAGGCGGCGAGATGAGATGCTACCTATCTAATATCAGTCTGAGTTATTTTACTACACATCTACTAGCAATATTCTAGTAAAAGAACTGGCATCTAGTCTCTGCTTAGGCTCGCTAATGTACTATCTACACTCCGACATATCTTTCAGTTTGTTTTTAACTTGAGTTCTCCAAAAGACAACTGCGGGTCAAACTTCGAGATGTCTGTCTCTGTTGGGCTCACCCCGTAATCCCACACCGTATAAAAGTTTCGCAGGAAAGGGGTGCCAATCAGGGTGAATCCGGGTGAGGCGCCACCGTCGAAAGGCGGCCAGCATGCATCATCTCTGTATGCAAATCCCGGACGGCGTAGTTGGTCTCCCCTTAGAGTGACCACTTGGGGATCGCGGTAGTCACCGAAGCTAAACGAGAGTGACCACGACGAATTGAACTCGCTGCAAAGGGGTATATGCTCGCCGTTCAGAATCGCTGTGTAGTTCATGCCTATCGACTCGTAGACCTTGAGGTTTTCTTCGTCGGGTAGGGTAATAGACCCAGCGCCCGTATCGAAAACGACGTTGCCAATGTCGAAGTCCGTCTTGGTCTGAATCTCAATGCCGTTGACTCTCTTCGTTCCATTAACGGCTAGTATCGTGCTGCGCCAGACATCATATCCTCCATCAACACGAGTGATGGGGATCGTGACTAGCTCACCCTCGACGTACTCACTCTCCTTAGATGCGCCAATGGTCAATACTCCATCGCCCGGCTGGCCTTTAGTGTCGTTGAACTCAGTACCGTAGTAAATACCGAACTTCGCCGCATCAAGATGGCCTTCTGCCATGAGCGTCTCGACCACTGTGTTGGCGCCGCCATCGATGATGGAGCTAAAAGCGAGACCCATGAAGCCGTCGGCGGCCAGCGCCGCCCAGTTGCTCTCGTTGGCTGCAATAAAAGTCTGGTTCCAAACCCGGCCGTCGGTCTTCCACACTTCAGACACTGCGGGGCCGGCAGTTCTGCCTCCTAAATAGGGGATGTCCGCATAGCCGCCAGTGTAGTGACCTGTAGTTGAACCGTTGATGTTGTAACCAACACGATCGTATCTAGTGAGCTGTCAGCGGCATGTTGCAATGTGAAGTTCAATTACCTGAACGCACCCGCTCCCATTGGGGCATGTATCCGTACAAGTGCCATCGACTGCCCATGATGACGCGCTTCCAGTGTCAAAAAGAAGGCGGTAGGTCTTGGAAGGCGTGCCGATGGCGAACTCGACGGTTTTCTACCAGGCAAATCAATTTGAGCATAATCACTTCCATTCCGTCAGTGTTTTACTCACGTAGCCGTTGTCCACAATAATAGGCAAGTCAAGTGAAGCGGCCGCCGCTATAGTGAAGCACGACGCGGACACAGCGGCGAAAAACAAATGAGTAACTGGAGGCATCCTGATGGTGACTTGTCGATGGCTTTACTCCTGGACGACTAGACTGCAGGTAGATAAATTCCAAAAGGTCCATGATGGGTCTGGATAAGATGGCTCGGCCCTTTATATATATTACTTCATCATAACGACGATCATTTCTCTTACTACGTAGAATACGAGCTGTGCTGGTGGGGCAATGTCATTCCGGGAGCTTGGGATGTTACTGCCGGACAAGGATAACCCGTCCAGCATGGCTTGTGCATACGAGGTGGCAACTGTACGACTTCGTATTTTTAGTATCCACGGTATAGTAGTAAACTTGCATAATTACAGACGCTGGGGTAGACAATAACCAGTACAGAAGGCGCAAGAGAATAGTGGGCGAATTTCAGGAGAGGCTAATACCTGTTGCTAGTCGTATTGCAATATCTCGATTTTACTCAACATGTGACTCGTAGATTCTTAGTATCTTGTTTTATTAGTGAGGGCGACTCGGAAATGAATGCTTTGAATCCCTGGATGTTACTTTGGGCGCCTTTACTGGCGTATTTGCTTCGAGCTACGTAGTAACAGCAAGGCCAGTGCAGCATAAATCGTGACCACCATCACTCTATTTATATCTAAGAGGCCCGTCGCCTCGTACCTTGCACCAAACCCTACAGATAAAAAGAAGCAACAGGGACATTGAATAGTCTTTACACTTTATTGGACCTCAAAATAAAGTCATTGGGAGTGAGGGCTAAACCTTGTCACTACATACGGCCAAGTCCTCTAACCTCCACAATCTTCCTTAGACACTCACTGCTTGACAAGAGAACAACTTACTCTCTAGTCTACCCTGCCATTAGCGCAGTGGATGTACCCTATCTTATCCGATATCAACATACTCGTTATTGTAGCAGTATGGTCGACCATATATGTATTATTCTATTCTCCAGCTCTTAGTATCCTAATCCGGGGGTGTGGCTTTCAACAACGTTAATTTTTGCGGCAAGTATGCGGTTTCCGACGATTCCAAGCCTGGTGATTAACATTTAAATACTTTATATTTGCTCAAGTCTCGGTTTTAAGGTGAGACCTTATTGAAGCGATTCCTGTTACAACCCTGAGCTCTTGAGAGGTGGCACACTAATTACCTTCAAGATCGCTAGTAGTATGTGTCAGCATGCATTTCGTCGGCAACTAAGCCGATGCTGAATAAGAAAACGACAGTTATCAGTCGACGGATTCCACCAATTCGATGTCGCCGTCAGAGCACATGTTACTCACCCAATACCAACCATTGCTCGCTCATCGTGCACCTCCTTTTTTTCGAATCCATGGGCTTCAGGACACGACGCGGCGGAGGCCTTTTTTATGAGACTGCACCGCGAAAAGGTCAATAGAAACTCTCAATATGCATACAACACTGTAAGTCACGCCCGCCCTCAACATGTGCCATTTGTTAACGAGCCAGTAGTGAGAACGACACCGAGAACGTCGAGGCCCTTCATTTGCAGGGAGGGGGACAAGACACACTTGAGCAACAACAGCATGATCAAAAGTGGCTTGCTGGTCCTCGGGGCCTCAGGGGAGGAGCCTTAGATGAACATGGACGCAGCTTTGTTAAGGACCCTTCAGGTCTCGAACATGACAAGCCCGAGAGGAGAGGTTTCTTCATGAGGACTCTAAAGAGCTTTTGGCAAAACGTCATCAAGGCTGCATTCCCGGAGGCTATCCAGGACATCAAGATAATGTACGGCATGTCTGCACTCAAGGCGCTGGTCACACTGGAGACTAAGAATCCGCTGGTTCATCCCGAGATCGAAGAGGTCGCCAAGGTGCGTCGCGGATTAGATCTAAGCCCCGAGGAGCTGGCATTCATCACGAAGCGGAAAGCCGTGGCAAAGGCGGCCTTCGTCAAATATCTCAATCTCAACCCGGACGAAGTCCACCCGGATGATGTGCCTACCATCGCGTTCGGAGGTAGCGGCGGTGGTTTCCGCGCCATGATCGGCTGCCTGGGCTATGGCGCAGAGATGAAGACGTGCGGCCTCTGGGACTGCATATCATATGTCGCCGGAGTTTCTGGCTCGTGTTGGGCACTCACGGCTTACTATAAGCTCGGACAATGCAGCATGGAAGCAGTCATCGATCATTGCAAGACAAGGCTTTCACCATATCACCCGCTGTCCGGTGAGGCCATTCGTGTCATGCTGAGTGCTCCCAGCGGACCAAAAGTCACACTAGGTCCGCTAATTCAGAAGCGCGAGACTGGCCTGGACATTGCCATGATGGATTACTATTCAGTGTTTACCACCGGTTGGATATTCTTCCAGGGTGACCTGGTGCAGCACCCGATCCCCAGCCCGTACAAGAGAATTCTTGGCCAAGGTCATCGCACCTGGGACAAGTTGTCTAGCTTGCGTGAGCACATTGACGAGGGCCAAGAGCCGATGCCAATCATGACAGCAATCCGTCATGAGCGACCAGGCGAAACATGGGCGCGAAAAGACCGTCCCTTTGAAGAGCCCCAGCAGGCAGCGGGTGTTCAGGTAGAGCCACCCGATGCCTGGTACCAGTGGTTCGAGATGACGCCTTTCGAAGTTGGTTGTGACGAGATTCAGGCATGGGTGCCGACTTGGGCTTTTGGCCGCCCTTTCACCAAAGGCAGATCCACGATGCAGGTTCCAGAGCAGTCGCTGGCTCTTCTACTTGGGCTGGCCACCAGCGCG